AAAAGTGCTTAACAAAAAGTGCTTAACAAAAATTGCTTAACAAAAACTGCTTAACAAAAAGTGCTTAACAAAAAGTGCTTAACAAAAAATTGCTTAACAAAATTGCTTAACAAAGTGCTTAACAAAAAGTGCTTAACAAAAAATTGCTTAACAAAATTGCTTAACAAAAAATTGCTTAACAAAAAATTGCTTAACAAAATTGCTTAACAAAAAGTGCTTAACAAAGTGCTTAACAAAAAATTGCTTAACAAAAAGTGCTTAACAAAAATTGCTTAACAAAGTGTGCTTAACAAAAAGTGCTTAACAAAAAGTGCTTAACAAAAATTGCTTAACAAAAACTGCTTAACAAAAAGTGCTTAACAAAAATTGCTTAACAAAGTTGCTTAACAAAGTGCTTAACAAAAAGTGCTTAACAAAAATTGCTTAACAAAGTTGCTTAACAAAGTGCTTAACAAAAAAGTGCTTAACAAAAATTGCTTAACAAAAAATTGCTTAACAAAATTGCTTAACAAAAAGTGCTTAACAAAAAATTGCTTAACAAAATTGCTTAACAAAAAGTGCTTAACAAAAAATTGCTTAACAAAAAATTGCTTAACAAAAAATTGCTTAACAAAATTGCTTAACAAAAAGTGCTTAACAAAGTGCTTAACAAAAAATTGCAACAAAAATTGCTTAACAAAAAGTGCTTAACAAAAAGTGCTTAACAAAAATTGCTTAACAAAGTTGCTTAACAAAGTGCTTAACAAAAAAGTGCTTAACAAAAAATTGCTTAACAAAGTGCTTAACAAAATTGCTTAACAAAATTGCTTAACAAAAAGTGCTTAACAAAAAGTGCTTAACAAAAAATTGCTTAACAAAGTGCTTAACAAAATTGCTTAACAAAAAATTGCTTAACAAAAAGTGCTTAACAAAAAGTGCTTAACAAAATTGCTTAACAAAATTGCTTAACAAAAAATTGCTTAACAAAAAGTGCTTAACAAAATTGCTTAACAAAAATTGCTTAACAAAAATTGCTTAACAAAATTGCTTAACAAAATTGCTTAACAAAAATTGCTTAACAAAATTGCTTAACAAAGTGCTTAACAAAGTGCTTAACAAATTCTGTCCCCCCTTTTTTTTTTTTTTTTGGATATCTCTTTGTTAAGACACTTGTCGAAACATTGACAAATTTGAAGCAAATGCTTCAAATCATTCAAATTATAAGCTATCTTGTCATGAATGATCCTTTTCTCAATAACTTATTTCGTTACACTCTACTCACTGATCAGAAAAACTGCACGATTGGATTCATTTCAGGAAAATATGGACAAAAATACAAATACTGATATCCCCTATAATTGATAAACTCACCTATATCGGTTGAGCTGTGGGTAGGAGTGTTATCCATGACAAGGTAATGTCCCTTCATTTATGGATATCTGACCATCTAATCAAGAGTGGCCTTCACAAAGCTCAAATAATGCCCTGTCACTGTTCCGGGTGCTAAACATCTGTCACATGTCTAAGCTTTCTCCTTTTGATACGCTTTGGAGCTCTGAAACTAACATTAATTAAGCCAGTGGCCGATATGGCACCTGAAATAGATGTTGCTTTCGCTTTCGTCATAGGCACTGTAACTATTGCTGGAGTTTTCTTCCTTGACCAAGTCATACCTCGATTCAAAATAATATGGAAGGATGATTCATCCAAAGACACAATTTGTTGTAAATTCCATGTCAGTTTGCTGCCACTTTCGGATCCTATCATACCTTTGCTGAATCTTTCTCGCTGTTTCTTTCCACTGGTCAGAATTGTGCATGCTTAATGGAAAGGTTACACTGACTTGTCGTGAAGTTGTAGACTGTACTATGAGAAACATTAAGATATACAAAGTTTTGTTTTCAAATTGTCTACAACTTCAGTTAAACCGGCAGAAAGATTCTCATCAATGCGCCTTTAAGATAAATTGCTTATGCTCCTCCCCAAGAATACGACGTCGACCCAACTTTTTCTTTTTTTTTGAAAACGCTCTCAGATCTTCATAATAACGTTTGACCAATCTCTGAACTGCACGAATATGAATGCCTCTCGCGGCAGCAGAAGCGCTTAAGCATCTGCTAAAAAATAGATGAAAAAACCTCGTTTTCTCATCATCAAAGTAAAATGTGTACCGTCACCTGTTGAATAATACAATATCGACATCGTTGTTCTTATCGTCTAAAACTGGATGCATTACAGGATTAGAATTTCTTTTTTTAAGAAACTGAGTACGAGAACTTATTGTTTTGATAGCGAATAGCTCTCGTCAACAACAAGATCCATCGGCTCAACTCCGTGCTCATCAACAACATGTCCTTGCTCGTAAAGAAATTGCATACTCATTCTACATGTCTATGGAATGAATAGTTAATTGAAAAAAGGAAGTAAAAAAGGTATACAGAGAATGACCGCCTTTTTAATGATATTAATGCCAAGAAGCACATGGCACATGAGCACGACTTTATTTTGGAATCATTCGACATCATTACGTCGCAATCTTTGTACGCTCAAACTCAAAATTAGCGACCTTACTTTATGAAATGACTGTATGTGCCGTCTATCGAATAAAAGGAATATATAAACGATAGCTTTTTTTGTAAATTTCTTTCCTGTATCCAAACTATTCCATCGTTGCCTTTACTTTGCTGACCTTGATAATAATGAACAAGCAAACTACTTGTGTTTCAGAAGTACCTTTGGCTACACTTGCCAACCATTCTACTGCTGGTACTCCTGCTTACCCTGCCGCTGAGGGAATGACAATGTCAGTTGCAAATGATCAACTTCAAACTATCGAACAACACGAAAATCAAACCACTGGTAAGTTATATAGAGACGTTTCAGGCAAAGTATGGAGGCACATATATTGATCTGAGTACACTGATATGTATAATCCTTTGTTCTGGACAATCCAGACATTTTCACCAATTCAGATTCAGTTTTAAGGTATGGTAACATGTGTCAATAGTCTTTTTTTTTGATTTTAAAATACTCTCCATGTTTCATTTTAGATTGAGAGGAGGTCGAGGCTGTATCACAGAATGCTTGGCAGCTATCGGCTGTTGTTGTATTTGCGAAGAATGCTGCTGTTAACATAAATTCAAGCAGAAACATTCGCTATCTGTTGCAGTTGGCCATTCCGTTTTAACAACTACATGACAACTATTTGGATATCTCCCTGTATGATTTATTCCCATCAATATTCCATGATAATTTCTATTCTTAAATTATTAATGCATACTTCACAGCAATTTTTTCATCGTATGTAGACTATAAGGAAAAACTGTCCAACGTTTATATGTTTTCCTCTTATATAATGGAGGGCGAAAATTGAAATAAAGTTGTATAACATGGATTATTGGTCATTGGACAGTCGATCTAGTCATTACACCCTAAATTTAAATGATGAAAGGGCTGACAAGATTGTGTACATACAATCTGATTGTTGAGGGTTATCATAAGTTTTTTATGCAAATGGCGTAGAGTGAGTTGTCCATTCAATTGTCGTTTCGGTGATTGTCTGCGTCAATTAAGTGACTATACGTAAATAGAACTTAAACAGGAAATGAAAAATCAGATGTACCTGTAGGTAAAGCTAACCAGCAATTAGCGATTTTCTTATTCACAACATAATGCAATTGTGCACTACATGATGTACAAATTGCAAATAGGACAAGCATAGTAGCATAAGTGAGACGTTATAAATATTACTTTCAATCATATTAGTTCTGGGGCAGAGTTGAAGATCGGTTACGTTCGATGATGGAGACATAACTATTTCTGTTCTAACCAAGCAGTTTCAATCGACCTAATTGTTTGCTAACTCAGATAAACCGTCGATCCTGATCTGGGACGTCTTAATTGTAAAGACGGGAGTTTTCTCTTCTTTTTAACATTTAGATGAATTTGGGTAAGGAACCAGTAGATGAGAAGTGTGACGACGTGGTCTATTAGACACTTGCGTTCGTATATCTAACTTTAATGCTAACATTAGCATGATAACATCTATGATCTATTTTAAAATCAATTTAAGCGGCACTAAAGAACCATAAAAAATACCTATAGGATCTTTAGGCATAAAAGGCTGACCATTGATGCCGGTCTTAATGCGCTTTTTTTTATGTAATCATGCATGCTAATTCAGCAAAATGTTTGGTGCTTGCAGTGGCTATCAAACCATCTACAAGCCAAAAGCTTTATGCATTTTTTTAAGGCACCTATATCGTATTTTAAGATGATTGTTGCTTGTTGCTTCCTTTGTATCTCTTCTCGATTCATTTCAATCTCTTAAAAATACAGCTTCAATAAAACAATTCCTTTTTTCCCTGTTGCTTGTCCTGCTATTGCATAGCTTTCTTTCTTTTAAAGGCTCCTCTCTATTCTCACTTGGAGGCTCTTTTAGTTCGGATTACAATAACGTTCTATCATTGAAAATGCCGGACATGTCTATAGTAGTCAACAATTCATCGAAAACATTAGGCGACAATTTTGATAGCTGCTTAGCATCAGATCACACTAACGTTAGTGACAATAACACTAGTAATGGTATGTTTTTATAGCCAAAGACACAATTTAACATTTAGTTAGTCCCTGCACACTCATTCATTCAATCTAGAAGACAGCAATTCCACGAAAACAAACACCTGGGAGAACTTTAACAGTGATATTATTACGCATGTAGCTAAGAAGGAGAACAAATTAGAACCATGGCTAGTTATAACAGGAACATTCATGATAATACTAGTGGGATTAGGGACGCCTAACGGGTGGTAACTACCAAAAATTTCATCTAGATTTTTATAACTACTCGTTGACGACAGTAATCTGAAGAAACATTTGCTTTTTATTTTGTGTTCAAATCAATTGCCTTTGCAATGTATTTGACACATTCGCAGGGGTAAAGTAATATAAGTGGGTAGTGGTAAAAGCAATTTTTGAAAAGATTACTGTGCTAATCAGTAATCTTCACCATAATAGGTGTTATGCAGGCTTACTATGAACGGCACCTAAATTCGCAAGGCCCTTCCGATTTAACACTACAACTTACCTTTGTCATTACTATTTGTAATATCCTGATCAATTTGATGGCTCCATTGGGGCAAATACTGGTCAATAGATTCAAAACAAGATTAACATTATTCATATCAGTCATCATCTGTTCAGCAGGCCTAGTACTTGCAGGCTTTAGTACAAAAGTAAGGCTTTTCAAATAATTAACAAGCAAGAAAGATTTTATCTCTTAAGTTATTAATAAAGGACTTAAATAATTTAAAATTTGGGTATAATAATTCTAGGTTTTGCATTTGTATTTAACGCAGGGCGTCGTATACGGTATAGGTTGCTCTATTATGTTCTATGTGAGTACACATATGAATATATCTTTCCTTTATTTACGTAGTTATAATGTTGGGGATAAACGAAAGGCTTAATGTTAAAAAGAAAACCAATATAAAAGTAAAAGCAAATATTTCCGTTTGCTGACATTTGATTCTCTGTTCCTTTTAGATTGCATTGACAGTAGTCCCTAAATGGTTTTCAGAACGAAAAGGTCTTGCTTTAGGTGTTTTATCCAGCGGTATCAGTATCGGTGGCCTAGCTATGCCTTTGATAATGGAGCCGTTGAATTCTCGATTAGGGGCGGCCTGGTAAGTGTCATTTTTCGTAAGACCAAAACATACGTGTATTTTTGATTTCATGATTAGAGCAACTGCTTACCATAGCAATTTAGGTGCTTTAGAATTCTTGGGTTTATTTGTTTTGGTTTGGGAATGATTTCCTGCCTACTCTTGAGCGAGAAAAATGTAGTAAAAACCAACGATGATGAGAAGAAGCATGGTGAAAATGATGTTGAAAAATTCAGTTTCAAGAAAATCTTCAACTTCGGTTCTGTATTGAAAAATCCTCGCTTTTTACTATGGGTAGCATCTGAAATATTTATGGAGACAGCCTTCAATGTTCCGATTGTATTTATACCTTGTAAGCTTTTACGATGTTGTTGTAATTGATTGATTTGAAGATATTAAACCAATCTTCATGATCGTTCTAGCTTATGCAACCTACATAGGATTAACTTCATCTGAAGGTGCCGTAATATTATCAGTTTGTTCTGGTATGAATGCTGTCGGAAGATTATGTGCCGGGTAAGACAGGATTATGGAGGGCGTAGATGGCTCTGAATATACTAACAGTATTTAGATTTTTTTTATAATCAGATTTGCAGCAGATTTCCTTGGACATGTAAATGTAATTTTGATCTATACGGTTATTGCTGGCTTGTCGTCTCTTCTGGTGTGGATGTATGCTACTTCTTTTGGCATGTTGATGGCCTTTGCTGTTATCTTTGGCTTTTTTGGAGGTGCCTTTATTACTCTCAGTAAGTCGAATTACATATATTGACTAGGAAGAGCAGCAATTCTTATCATTCTATTCCTTCCTGTCTTCTTTTTCTAGCACCAACCATCACACTATTAGTAACTGGAAGTGAAGGATTTGAATGTGGTGTATCTGCATTCTTAGTCCTCTCGACGGTAGCACAATTTGGACCTAACCTAGCAAGCGCAGTAGAGCTTACTGTGCACGATACAAAGCCATTCGACACCTATAAATACTTCACTGGTGTAAGCTACTTACTTGGGGCATCTCTCTTATTAATCTTCAAATTCAGTTTGAACCGAAATCCACTCACTAAGATTTGACTACGATAAAGCCATATTAACATTACTTTTTAGGAAATTGAACTATTAGACTGAAAATGATAGAAGAACAGTTGCATTTATCCATAATTGCAGCTATCTACGAACATCTATCACAGCATAACTACTAAAGCGTGATTGACAATAGAATTCCGTGAAATAAAATCGAAAAATGTCTTGATAATTACTTTCTTCATAGCAACGGTGCCAAAGTTCTGGATTTCTGTCATTTACGGTCAGTTTCATTCTTTCTCTCGGCTTAAAAAAAGTCACAAAGTGACTTTGGTTTTTCTGAACAAAAAAATAAGATAGTTTTAAGCTCTCCTTGTTGCTTTACAACTAAGTACTTCACTGAAACCACGCACCATAAACCCTCACTATGGGCAAGATCACTCATAAAGCAAATCCTGATACATCAACTGTTGAGACGTCAGCCAATCCTTCAGAGAATGCTGGCATTGTTATTTCTGCATTTGACAACAGCTCTACAGCTGATTATTTTGCGTTAGTCACACACGCCATGGATCGTCATCGATTGCGCATTCTCAATGTTCGATCTGGTACAGTGAGCAATGACTATTCAGCACAAGAAAAGGAAAAGATTACCTGTTTATCTTGGGGTTTTATGAAGGATAATGGTGATTTACAGGTACTGCCCTTATCCTTTAGAATTAACTCACAACCTAAAAACAATTTTTAACTCACCAGTTACTTTGACAACCAGGCAAACACAGTTCAAGCCTTTAAAAAGAAAAAAAGTGGTGTTACCTCACTATCAAGAGTGGTTGCACTTGGCTTACACTCAGGAACAATTGCTATGTTCTCTTTGTCACATGGCGCGATTGTCAGCACATTAGTGGGGTCACATACAACACCTATTTCAGATTTTGTTATGACAAAAGATGGTTCGAGAGGTTATTCGGTAGCAGAAGATAGTATAATTGTTGAATGGGATCTGGAAGAGGGAAAGGAGTTACAGTAAGTTTGGAATGTCATGTCTGTTGCTTTGCGAATATGATGATGTAACAATGTCTTGTAATCGTATAGTAAGTGGAAAGCAGATGCAAAGAATGTACGAAAACTGAAGTTGAGTCATGACGAAAAGAAGTTAGCTACAGCAGGACATACCATTACTCTTTGGGATTTGAGCACGTATACAGTTATTAAGGTATGTCTATTATACAGTTTTAGTATTGCTCGGTATATGGCTTGTCCAATAACAGATTGTTATTCCTTATTTGTAGAAATTCATTGGACATGCAAGTGCTATCAAAGAAATGGCCTTCTCACATCAAGACGATGTATTAGTGTCTAACGCAGAAGATGATAGATATATTAATGTATGGGATGCCCAAGCTTCGAATACAAATTCAAATAATCTTACAGCGTTAACTCTTGAAACAAATGTTCTACATATTGACTTCTCATCAACAGAGCCATCCGTATTAGCAGTAACAGATGATGGCTTAGTTAGTATTTGGGAAAATGCATCTTTAATTTCAACACAGCAAACGCCCTCTGCTGGCAACAGAAGAAAAATGATTCGATCCATGACGAAACAAGCTGATGCCAATATAAAACTGGTTTCTACTGCTGATGAGAATAATGTGATTCCCATCTTAGGTGCTAAGTTCGTAACTGATAATGGTGGCAAATCAATAATGATCGCACGTGGATCCAGTATTAAACCTTCTTTCGAGGTAGTCAAGTACGTTAATGAGGAAACAGGGGCCATCTTATGCGATATCGTTCTATCCAGACAGCCTATTACAAATTATTTAATCGACACTGCATCTGTTGCTGCGAATAATTTGAGAACAACCCGCAAAGCCTACGATGAATCCACAGTTACTGTTGTGGGCAATTCTGATTTTGCCGTCAAAGCACCTATAATGGCTACCAACGATGAGCAGAACCTTGATGAAAATGAAGAGCCATCTATTGAGCAGAAGCTTCAGAGCTTAGACATGGTGGACACAGCAACAAGAGCCACTCAAAAAAGTAAGAAAAAGAAAACTGTCAACACTCCCTCTGCTGGATCATTACAAACTGTTTTGGTGCAGGCCTTACATTCGAACGATACTACTCTCCTCGAAGCGTGTTTGCAGCATGAGAAGCCTGAGGTGATCAATAATACAGTAAGACGATTGCCTACGGAATATTTAATTCCCTTGTTATTGGAGCTTATCACAAAATTTCAAGAAAAGCCTAGTCGTGGTCCAACGCTTTTACTTTGGATTAAGTCTGTTCTCACCATTCACACTGCCTACTTAATGACCGTGCCTAATTTAGTGGGAAAGCTCTCCGGCTTCTACCAAGCATTAGATACGCGTGTTGGTGTGTTTCCCAAGCTACTCGCATTAAGAGGGCGTTTAGATATTGTACAGAGTCAAATCAACGTCAAGTCATATTCAGATATCAATGATACACAGTTACAACGTGCACAAATGGCTGAGAATGTTTATGTGGAGGAAGATTCAGATGATGAAGTGGAAGCAGAGGAAGAGTTATCAAGTATGGATGAAGATGATGACGAAGGTTTATCAGAATAGAAATGTTCAACTATTATAGAAATTTGTAAATAAACTATCCATTCGCTATTTATCATCTTACAAAAAGTACTTTTATGCCATATTGACCATTGAGATAATTAATGTGGCTGATGTTCGGTGCTTTCCTTCTCAAAGTCAGATTAGCTTACACAGACATAGCATGCATAGTGCAACAAGCAGTTACACTGACAACCAAATTCTTCTTCTTTGCGTAAAATGGTCTGTTGTATAAAAAGGCATAGTTAATTCTGTGCTTTCAAGCTTTTCCTCTTTTTCTTTCCTTTTCACGGACTTTTCTCTTTGACCAAGATAAAAAATGTCGTTCTTTACCAACCTGGCTGAGAAGGTTACTGAGTTTTTCGAAGACAACAGTAACGAAGATAAAAACAACGATGATGATTTTATTGAGCAACAGCTGATGAATGAAAAACATCGCTATGATTCGTTTGCTGCGGTCAGACATAATGCTCAGGTCAAATACTACATTGATGGCCATAACTACTGCTGGTAAGTCAATAAAAACTAACCTTATTATAACATGCTATTAAGCGTTTATTACTCTGCAGGGCTGTGTCTGAAGCCATTGAACGCGCCAGAGAATGTATTTACATCGAAGATTGGTGGCTGGTAAGACAGAATAGAAAGCTCAATCTAATTTTAAGCTTGGTTTCATTAACTAATAAGGTCTTTTTAATTTAGACTCCTGAACTAGTAACTGCTGAACTGATTTGTACGATAAATACAAACAACGACTAACGTAAAAAGTGTTATTTTTAAACTTGACAGTATTTACGTCGTCCTCCTTCCAAGTATCCTGAGTACCGTTTGGATGCTCTTCTCAAAAGAAAGGCAGATGAAGGTATCAAGATTTATGTTGTCGTTTATAAGGTTGGTTTATTGGGCTGCTTGTCTAAATACCTGTGGCTAGTCATGTTGGTAATACGTTGTTTATTTGTAGGAAGTTGAAATGGCTCTCACTTTGGACAGTCGCCATACAAAAGATGCCCTTCAAGCTTTGAGTGAGAATATTATTGGTAAAGCATTATTTGTTTTAAAATATTTCATTGATAATGTGTCCAACCCTTCTAGTATTGCTGTGGGCAATATAGTTCTTAGGCATCCTGACCATGACATTGGAGGTACCTTTTTTTGGTCTCACCATGAAAAGTTTGTAGTTGTCGACAATGAAATTGCTTTTCTTGGCGGTATTGATCTGTGTTTTGGGTAAGACAAGAACCTAGGATTATATTCAATAGAATGAGAAGCTAATTTAGGACGATCTTAATTGTTATGAACCCTTAACAGACGTTGGGACACAAACGGCCATCCTTTGGCTGATTTCAACGGAAATGACCCCGAAAGCGAATTATTTCCCGGTAATACAACATATTGGGTCGTAACCAACTAATTAAATTAGTTCAGAAATTATTGACTTTATGAAATCTTAGGCCAAGATTACAGTGATGCCCGCGTAAGAGACTTTGAACATGGTAAGCTCAACTTTCCACCTTAAACCCACTATAGTACTCTGGGAGCAATAACGCTTGCTTCTACAATAGTCAAAGAATGGAATATGCGTTTGATTGATAAGACCGTTATACCGAGAATGCCATGGCATGATATTTCCCTGTGTGTTGTAAGCCGCCTTCAAGCTTGACAGCTAATGCTTTGGAACTGAAATACATGAAGGCTAACTCGATTACAAATACAATCTTGATAGATGGGTGCTCCCGTCCTAGATGTAGCTCGTCATTTTTGTGAGCGCTGGAATTTCATAAAGCATGACAAAAAAATGAATAATGATCGAGTACCTTTCATACAGCCTCCACTCGGCGGTATGGGTCAGCAACAACGCTACATTGATGATGCTGCTGAATATAACTTCAGGAAATATCGTCATAAACATAGAACACATAACGTCAGTGGTACCATGCGTTGCCAAGTTCTTAGAAGCAGTGCCAATTGGAGTTCTGGTATCGAAACTGAGGTAATTTAACTTCTGTGCCCAATGCTGTCCAATATACTTTACACTGACATTCAATGCCACGCTATAGCATTCTATTCAGAATGCCTACATTGCTACTATTTTGGGAGCTAAGCATTATGTATACATTGAAAATCAATTCTTCAGTATGTGAAATGTGCCTATACTTATAAATGAAGATTAATACTTAATCCTCCCATCTTGAAAAAAAAAGTTAGTTCTACGGAAAGGAAAGAAGATAGCATTATAAAGAATCAAATTGCTAATGCTATTGTCAGGCGTATCATTCGGGCACATGAAGAACAAGACAAATTTAAAGTATTTGTTTTAATGCCGCTTATGCCTGCTTTCCCTGCTGACCTTAGTACTAAGGATGCTGCTACTGCAAGGTTTGTTGAATTACATTACTCATACAATTCAAATCTATTTGCCGATTTGCTTATCACATTTTTACGTTAGACTTGTTATGCATTATCAATATATTTCTATTTGTCGCGGTACAGATAGTATCGTTGAAAAGCTAAGAGCTACTGGTATTGATCCTGATGAATATATTCGTTTCTATAGTTTAAGAAGTTACGATCGTATCAACCGCAGTAAGCTTGAAGAGCTTCTTGTTCAAGCTGCTGGATATTCGAATTCTGTTGAGCGACAAATTAATACTGCTGGTGGCGAAGAAGGTGATCTTATTGGAATTGTACGTCAAGCCGGTGATCCAGACTTTGCTAGAGGAACGGAGGGTGCCTTCAACGTTGAAGAAGAAGTGGAATACAGCCGTGTCGGCCGGTATGAAGATGAGACGGAGAGAGAGAACTATGGTGACCGATACAATAATGAGGAAGATTATGCCGGTGACGAAGGTATTGCAGCAGATTCTATTGCCAAGGATGCAATGCTGAATGGTGATGTTGAAAATGAGCCTTGGGTCAATGATACGAAGGAAGAGCAACCGCGGGATGATGAGGCCGAGAAGGAAGAGGTCAGTGACTATGTAACTGAAGAACTCTATATCCATGCAAAAATTCTTATTGCTGACGGTAAAGTATTTAGAGTGAATTGTAAAATGTACTTTGCACTTGATTAATCAATACCTTTGTATTGTAGACAAAACCGTCATCATTGGTTCGGCTAACTTGAATGATCGTTCTCAATGTGGTGATCGTGACTCAGAAATTGCTTTAATTGTTGAGGATCAGGAGACTATTCCGTCGTTAATGGACGGCAAGGACGTTAGTTATACATAAAATAGACGTTGAAACAAACGCCTAATTATAGAAGCTAATTTATTTTCAAACTATTTCATTGATAGTATGAAGCAAGCAAATTCGCTGCCAGCTTCCGTCGTCAATTATGGAAAGAACATTTGGGTTTACTTCCTGATAGTTCAATTGATGAAGTCAACGACAATATGCTACCTTTACCTGTTCCCCAAATTGATTACACTGAAAGCGAAGAAGATAAAGAAGTTATGGATCCTCTTGACGATGCAACACTTGAAAGATGGAACTTCACAGCCAGAACCAATACTGAAGCATTCCGCGAGATTTTCCATTGCGTTCCAGATGACACTGGTGAGTTTAGGATCATTATACCTCTTAAACGAGATAATATGAACGCTAAACAATTTGTCGTTGGCATACATTAGTAACTGATTGGGAGGAGTATAAAGCATTTTATCCTGACCCTAGCCAGATTGACATAGGTCATGTTCATAATCCTGAATTGACAGTTGAGGAAATCAGAGGACAGTTGAGCAATATTCGAGGCCATTTAGTTGAATTCCCTTATGATTTTCTAAAGAACGTCGATCTTCAAGGAGAATCCATTCCGTTTATTGGTGATGATATTCAAGAACTATATACTTAAAAGATGAACAAGAAGCAGCATCTCATGGATCTCGTCTTTTAACGCTATAATTCTTATTTGTTGAAGAAATAAACATTGTCCTTTTCGTGATAATGGTAAAAAATAATGGCAGAGAGAGGACAATATTTTTTGAGAGTATGATTGAGAGGAAGAGCATCATTAAGGAATCCAAAAATATCTCTTTGCAAGGAATAAAGTTACGAAAAATGGTGCTTTCCAAGTAATATCGTTTTGTGCAGAAAAAATCGGGTAATGTTCAATTAGAAAAAAAAAAGCACCTCATATTTGCTTGTTGCAGCACAGAAAAAGGTATAAAAAGGCAGAAGGATCTTCCATACTTTTCTTTTACTTTTCTTTCGTTTTTCTTCTTTTCTATTTTGCCGCATTTAAAGTATGAGATCGTTATTGCTGTTTTCGCTTTCCTTGGTTCCGTATACTTTTTCGTTCCTGAATTATGAATCAACCGGGGCAAAACGGAAAACTCAATTTTTGCGGGGAAAAGCAAACAATGAATGATAGGAAGATAGGGTGTGTCATACCACGTTTTTCCTTGTGATTTCTGCCTTATTAAGAATATCTTTCTTTCATCTTTCTTCTCTTTCGATTACTTTATAATAAAAACTCTCTTACTCAATATCTTTATACTTTGCACATCATTATTTAACCTCCCAAAACGCTATTATGACAATTCTCAGCGGTTTGTCTCTCTTTAGTCTTTTTTCATCCCAGAGCAAGAATGATCGTTTACGCAAGAGCATTGTACCTATCTCTAATGTATTGAAGCGTCAGCCATTATCTTCAACCCCACAACGTGCACTTCCAAAATCATCGGGTTTTCAACAATACAGACAAGATGGTGGTGCATCCAATGCTAACGGTAACAAAGGGGAGCCTGAAGTGATTACAGAGAATTCAATATTAAGAAATTACCCAAGGCCTAATTTGATGCCTACATTGCACTATTCTTTGTTTGGATATCAGTCGCCAACTGAAGGAAACAAAAACCGCACAACTGTACAATGCAGCAATTGCTCAGGACCACATTCAACAAGCTACTGTCCTTGTTAATACTTCATCTTAACAACATCCATACTACGGTCCTTCTCCCCATTTACTTCAACTTTTTTCCTTAAATACCATTTTGGAATCCCAGCAATTTAGTGGTTTTGTCCACACAGTTGTAATATCCATTACACTGATTATAAGTAGTACACTTACCTTCCCACTTGTTTTTATAATATTCGTTTACTTTATTTACCACGGTAGCATTTTTAGAACTACATTCTATCATCATCTCCTCATCATATGCATAAAGAATGTAAATCCAACAGCTTTTTTCACAAGCGCAAGTAATGAAGCTTCCATAATCTGTTCATCTCCATTAGTATGGTTATTTAAACATTGATAACATACAGAAGCATCACAGCAACACAGACAGCGTTACATGATCAAATGTACACAAATGCTCGAGATGCTCGGGCTTTAGTTAATCTGGGCATGATATATACCCAAAATAGATATAATTTTACAGCAAGAGTATAGTAATTTATTGTTCAGAGACACAACAAATCAAATTTTGTGTTTGCACAAGCTTTCAGCCGTTAAAGTTCTTCTACTTAAACAATGTGTGATATTTTCAAAGAGTATATACGTGGTTAGTAGCAATCGATACAGTAGATATATAGAAAGAAGCGGATGTGTATAAAAATTCACAGTGATAGATAATAATATAGAATTTTAACATGAGCATGTCTTTGAACAATCGCATCCTACACCGGATCCACGGCCTATTAAGAAATGGGTGTTAATTGAAAACTCATACGAAAGTATTCAACTATTAAAACCTACAACTACAAGCTGCACTGTGCTTGAAGAAAATTCGAGAGCGATCATTGAATACTGGTGAGCCTGCCAAAGTAGCATCGTTCGTTTGATGTGAAGTTCGGATAGGTATGCCACTAGAGGAGTAGTAAGTTGGCGAAATACCGGATTCTGTGTAGTTTGGTAAACTATTGCTTTCTGCTTCTGTGTTCCGTTGATGGTCCAGACTGTCTGAAATTAAAGAGCTAGATAGCGTGTTTCCGTTCGTTCTGGCAGAGACAACTATTTGTTTTGGTCGACTTTTGCTGTTAGGTATGTCAATTGCTGGAGTGCTATCCATTTCTTGGTTTAGTTGTATAATATAGTGAGGAAAGAGTAAAAGCAAAAACTGTGGAAAGTATTTATGCAGCCTCATTTAGACTTTTCTGAAACCACAACTTTAAAATATAGAACGAATGACATCAAGGCTATTAAACAAAAAATCTTTTTATTCATTCATATAACCAGTCGTCTACCACACCATTTTTGGACAAGTAAAAAAAAAAAAAAATATCTGATTTAAATAAAAATTCTTTTTGCGCAAAGGGAAAAGGTATAAAACAAACTAGTAGGTATTGATGACGGTCTAATTAGATAGATTCAGAATATGATTTGATCCATCTAGTAAAGGGGCGTCGGAGAATTGATCAATTGTTTGATAATGGTGTTGGAATTTATCAAGGTAGAAAGAAGCTGCTGTATAGTAGGTCATACTGTGCGTCAGACGGTCGAGTACATGAGACAGAATCACCGATCGAGAAGCGTACTCTAATTGGCAATGGAATCTGAAGCCGAAGATTATAGGTTCATGGTGATTGCGTGTTGTGACGACAGTAACTCTCGGAATTATCATTAGGGTAGCCAAATGAGTCGTTAGCATATGATTTAGCTAGGCTGCAATCGGACTGTGCTCTACCATCGCATTCGAACAAAAGGCAGATATTAGTTCTGAATTTGTACGTTTGAGTCGGCATGCTTTCGTGGTAGGAATTTAATACAGAGACACTTGAAAGCGAGTTTCTCAAGGTTATTCAAGATAGGTACATATTTGCTTCTGAGGCCGTTTGGGGTCAGCTTATACCATTGTAAGCTACTAGCAGAGATTTGGAGACGTGGAAATAGTTTGGAAAGCAGGGTATCTTCAAGTGATTCTATGGAGCGAATCAGGAAATTGTTTTGTGTGATTGTAGCTCAAACTGTCACTGACGGCTGTCAAACCATATAAGTGTATCACTTTTGAAAGTACCTAGCAGAACCACCAAATATGTGGTGAATACACAATTTTGGCAAGCTTAAGTTTACTACCGCTCAAATTGTTGGTAGTGACAGCGCCTTCTTATTCGTCAAGTTATATGCTGATTGTAGAAGCGAATCGAAAGTAGTTGAAGAAAACCTTTTCGTTAGCAATAGGCGCGATAACAACACATTTTGATGGGTTCCGCGATATTTCGACGAAAGCTATGGTCTCCAGAATGTCGCAGGAGGGAATGCAAATCGTGTCCGAGGATAGCAGCACTACATCAACGTTGGCATATAGTAGAGATGTATTCATTGGTTCAAGTTGGAGTGGCATCTTGAAGCTCATTTGAAGTTACAGCTTGGGGACGAAGAAGACCAAGTAGATCGTTAATTGGGTACAAAAATGGAGACATGACGAGCTTTGTAGAACACCAGTAACTGGAAGAAGTGAGACAAAGCCGTAGTTTTTATTCTGGTTCTCGATGCCCTTAGCATTATAAATTCGTTAAATACGAAGCAACGCAGGCTTCATGGATTTCCCTCTGAACTAAGCAGTATACAGTTGTACAAGTGGATATAGTCAACTATAAAAATGTTATTTCCTATGATTACCCTCATCAATCTCCTTGTTAGTACAAAAATTAAGTGAATCCATTCGGAGAGCATATATTAACTCGAAGTTAATTCTATTTGATGTTTTTACACCGATATCCAGTTAGTTATAAGCAAACGATAACCTTTTCAGCAACGTGGCATCCCTAACAATTTTGCGTTGGCAATTTCAAATTTCGTGCGCGACATAATTGCCTTTTTCGGTCCTCATCTTTCGCTTCCTTTGTTGATAGTCTTTAAATCCCATTTTTACGATTCCTGAACACTATATTTGCAATTTTATCTACCAATCTGTTCGGCAAATTCTGCTAATTTATGCTGAGCAGTCAAGCGAATATTCATATGCCTCTGATTAAATTAAGTTGAGTTAAAGGTGATCGACATTGTTTGCTTACTCCGCTGTTTCAACCCATCAAATTAAAAAAAAAACGAACCCCAAAACCAAACGATAATTCTCTTTCTTTCCATATAGATCAAACTTAATATGGACAAGAACCCTAAGCTAAAAAACTTACCTATCAATGACGAAGAATTCAATAGTCTTAAAGAAGGTAATGAGTAGGGTTGTTGATGCTTCTTAAAGTACTAGTGAAGTAACAATTTAGATTTACAGCTTTTGGATTGTACGACAGGGAAAATAAGGGAGCTATTGATCATGCACACTTTGCCCCCATTCTTAAAAGTTTAAACATTGAGACAAATGATGAAAAACTAAACGTTATGCTAAATAAAATTGATAAGAATCATGACGGTTTGATTGATTTTGAAGAATTTGTCCTTGCTATGACAAGTCTGATAGCTCAACCTGGCGCCGCTGAATCTGATCAACCAAATAACGCGAATAATAACGACACAGGAGAATTCTCTGGAAAAAGACGCTTCTCAAGGCGAATGAGCAGACATGAAAGCGATGAATTACGATTGTGCTTTGCCAAATTTGATCAAAATGGTGACGGATTGATCTCTACTGACGAATTAAAAGAAGTTATGAAGGGATTGGGCGAAGAACTGACTGATCAGGAAATTGATCAAATGATGGAAGAGGCTGATGCAAACAATGACGGTTTTATCGACTTCAACGAGTTTAGAGCTTTGATGCCCTCTTCCTCAGCATAAACTTATCCCACTTATCCCAACCTACTGTTAAAAGATGTAGAACTCATATCAATTGTTTCGGTTAATTTAAGAATGTAGTATATTTGTATAGTTTACCCGAATATAGAATTATAATAAAGTGTATTTTATTTGAGTTATTGCCACATTGCTTACGCAATTTGGAAAGGGCAAGTGTCACAATCACAACTTTTTGAGCGAGTTCTGGTCCAAGTTCTTTGCAGCAAACAGCAAAGGGCGATCAAAGTGAACTGCTACACAAGTTGAAGGGGGTAACATATAAATATCGACAAGCGGTTAGATTTTGTGTGCCAGCGTATGCTGTAAAGCAGTTCGCAATACATAACTGATCTAATAGCTGTTTCTTTTACTTGACCTGAAGCAGAAATGTTTCGACTGATGATGCTGGAGAAGGCTCTGTAATTTTCAAGTATAATTTTCGAGGTTCATGTTCGATTCTTCCTTTCTCCTTTTTTTGTTATCAACCATAGAAAAGAGATGGTTCTCTAAGCCATTGCAAATGTGTAAAATTATACGTGTCACAAACCCGAGGCACAATTAATATTTAGTTCACGGTTTTTGTTACTTTTATTCAAAGAGGCTCAACAGGGGTTCATATTGTGAACAATAGCAACATCAAATCTGGTAGCAAACTCTTGTATTGTGCGCTGCTATTTAACGAAGTATCAATAAGACATAGACCCAATTACCTTAAAGTAACACGACTGTGCACTAACAGAGTCAAAAGTGCATGTGATGATATCCTAAATGTTATTGTGTACCCTTTTCGAGTGAAGATACAATGTTAGAGTTATGGTTCAGAATATTTAAATTTTGGTTCATTTTTCTTTCCTAATCTTATCACTTTCTTACTCAAGCTTGTTACTCTAAACGATGGTTGATTACCAGCCAATCAAATACCCTTGGTCAGCATATAAAGATAGATCTTACAAACCAACGGAAGTTGTTAATAATGATCTTTCGGGGTAAGCATAAACAATGAGATTAACCTTGTTAGTAAAATTGCAATAACTCATCACATTTGAGATGAAAGCTCACGAACAAAGATGGAAGAGCTCAATGATTCAACCACTGAGACGGTTTCAATGAATGAGCAGGAAGATTTATCGCCATTCAGGGCTAGAAAAAACTCACTTATACCAAAAGAACTTATGGCTAATAGTAGCGCGGAAGGTTGTAGAGAATATGCTGCCTTGGCGACAGTTTTCGGTGTTCCTGAGTATGTAGATTCCAAAATATTCTGGGAGCGGCAACAGTATCAGACAGAGGAACTTTTGCAGAAGTTACGGCCAACTTCACCTACAAAAATTTCAGAAAACAAGAATCAGAAAGGCAGATCTACACAAAAGCTCAGCCAACAGCAACTGCAGCAGCAGGAACGAAGAAGTTCGACCCTATATTTCAATTCAATGACCGAAGGCAGAAATGGTACATCTACCAGTTATGAACTCCAAGACAGGCGCTTTATTTCGTCTTACGTAAATTCTGCTTTTGATCCTGTGCGACTCGATAGTCTTCTCGAGACGACTTTTCCGAATAAGGACGAACCAGTACCTACATCTACAATTAGTTTTGCTTTACCGAAAATACCAACTGTGAGTAATTTTGGCGACTTTTACTATGAAGAGACAAGCATCGACAACGGAGACACTCATAATTCGCAAATAACAATACCTGCGAAGAAACCAAGTACAGAGAACTTTTATACCAGTTGTCTAACTTTATTACAGCAGACAAGTATACTGGACGAGAATAATGGTGAAGAGTCATCTAGTACGGTATCAAAGGAGCGCATTCTGATTGGTATCCCTGAAGTTTTCGATTTTATTCACAACGATAATGACGAAAGATTTATAATCTGGGGACCCGATCCTATCTCTCTGTCGTCCTCAATGGCCACAATAACTGTTCCTGAACGCCTATCATCTTACGCCACCGTGTACAATAATCAACACAATACGCGCCCTGCATTACAAGGATTCTCGTCCAACGTTACTTCAGTTTTATCAGATGAACAAGAAAGTGCATCACATCTGCAGCACATTAAAAAATCCGAGAAGAATAGATTGAGCACTAACTCCATGCGTATGTCAGCCCAAAAGTGGGCAAAAACCTTAAGCAGATTAAGCATATCATCAAGAGCACGTGAATCGCACGATAAAAAAGCGCTGGAAAGTCAAGCACAAGCTTCGTTGTTTTTAGAGAAGGCTTTAAGCACGATTAAGTTTCAAGACAATCCAGCCAGCAACAAACGTGGCTCTACCTACAATATCGATTGCTTAAATATTCCGAAAGTTATTGAGGCAGCCAGTGTTTATAAGTTAGTTGAAAAATTAACGAATTCTTTGGGTAAGGGATACACAACCTTCGTTCTTTTCATACTCTATATTGACTTGCCATGGCTAGATTATACTTTCATGACAGATTTCTTTCTTACATATCGAGACTTTTTGTTTCCGGAAGATTTATGCCGATTGTTGATTCTAAGGTTTTATTGGGCTCTGCAAACAGATGAGGAAAGTCGAAAAGTTGTTCGAGTCAGGTATAGCGACACCAGCAACTAATCAATACATAACGTCTCTACGCGTTTTCTTGTACAGTTATTTATATCACTTACCTCATATAGATCCTTCATAGTATTCCGACATTGGCTAAACAATTACTTTGTTCATGATTTCATTGGTAATCAGCGTCTTCGTATTTTGCTGGTCAGTTTTCTCAACGAACTACCTCAACATCCACTCATCCATAAATCTCCACGCGATCAGCGCATTGTCAAAATGTTGAAGCGTGTTGTACGACGTTTGAAGAGACTGTACTACCATCAACCTATCAGCAACAGCGATAAAGATGCGCGTGTTAAGGTGATTGCTCCCCCTCCGCCTACAGTCGAACAAATACAAATTGAAGATATTGTACGTGAGAAACTCTCTTATCAAAACGTTATTCATCATAAGGCTAGCTTTGGCGCCTCTGATAAAATGAAGATCAGTGCTAGTCATCATCACGGAAATATGGCCATTCAAGATGCCAGATATGCTTCGGTTGTTATAGTTGGAAGCTTAAAGGTCAAAGGTGGCAGTTTTATTGATTCAGGCGTGGATACTATAGGAAGTCAATTTGGAAAACCCTCCTTTTTTAATCCTCAGAAATTGCAAGGTGTTAATGGCAATAAAATCGTTGAAAGCCCACTAGTAGGCAGCAATCAACCGTCTTCTTCATTAAGCTACAATCACTCCAACTTGATCGACAATCAGTCTCAAGAAAAGGGTGAAGAAACACAGTACAATACTATCGGTGTGCAGTATGATCAAAAGTCAGATACTGACCACTCATTGCTAAGTGATTTAACAGCAGGCGAAACTCTTACCCGTTACGACGATAATAACTCTATGGGACCAGACATTGGCAATTTAAGTGACGATGAAATGGATTATGAAGGGATTGCCAAAAATGACGAACTTGAAGTGCATTGGTTAAAAGAGCAACAAGAAACAATAAAGTTCTTTCATCCATCGAACCAGACAACTATGCATAAAAACTGTATCTCATCGTTACAAGCGGATGACACTGAATCCCATCTAACAATTGCAGAAACAGATATACCACGTCCAACCGGAAAACTTGAACCAGGGAACAACAGCTATGAAGCAACCGCAGAATCACCAAATATCAACACTGCTGCAGTCATTTCAGTAGAAAATTTGGAAAACATCTCATGTAGTAAAAGTATTAGACGTGTACCGTCAGAACGCTGGTGTAAAACAGGTGATGACTATCTGCAAAATGATGAGCATAAAGCAATTGCTGGTCAATGCTTGCCGCAAGAGCTATTGAAAAAATTGCAACTGAATGAGGCTGAAAATGCAGTCTCTTCAGGCATCTCCCACGGATTAGCAAAGAAGCTATCACGTAAAAGTATTGAACGTAGAAAAAGTGAAAAAACTATACTAAGTACAGGTTCTTTGAACCTTAATTCGGAAGTAGCTTCGACAACCGCCTCAGTACAGTCGGAAACTTCTTTAGCGGTACATAATCAAAGACCCAAAGTGTCTTCTTCTATTACAGAATCAAGGCAACTCAAGTCAGATAAATCAAGAATGAAGAGCTTATCCAGAGGACTATTAAAAAGGAAAGGCAACAAAATAGCAACAAAGAATAGAGCGGCTAATAAATATACAAAATTGTTTGTATCGATACCGTACGAAGTGAAGACGGAAATTAATCCATCTTCAACGACTACGATGTCGCCAAAGGAACAAAAAGAGAAAAGTTCTGCAAATATAAGCGAAAAATACGATAGCAATAATCGAGAATCGGTAGAAACTAAAATATTACCGCAAACTCGTAGACAACAATCAGAAAATGGTCAACTCTTAAGCCTTATAGCTCATCGTTTACGCCATAATAGCTTCGATGACGATGGAAACATTGATACCAGCTCTTGTGCTTGTATTGATTGCATTAGTAACAACGATGACATAACATGTGATACAAAGAGATTAAGCATTTTTTTGTTAAATGACGATGAACGTCGATACAGCGTAGAGCTGCGGAGAAAACGTGCAACTAGCGTAGAGATTGATCAACGAATCGAAAAAAATCAATTTAACTCAAGCATACACGAAGGAAACGAAGAAGAAACTAGAGTAGAATCAGATGGTAGTAATACAATTAAGAGAGGTGTATGTGATGATGACAGTGCTATGGATCTGGAATCAGCTATACACAGAGAGCTTTCGATCGAACAGAATGATTTGTTGGTGGAGATAAACTCTCAAAATAGCCACAAGCAAACCACCGAACAAATGTATAATACCGTAAACGAAAGCATAACAGAGCATCAAAAAAATTTAAATGATCAAACAACTCAAAGCTGTTATTCTATTCCGCGTCCTCTATTATCTACCAGCTCTTACCATAACAATAACAGTCGTTCATTCATAATGGATTATAAAACGAATCAACTGGCAAGCCAGTTCTGCCTGATCGAAAGGGATGTTCTTATTAAGGTTGGATGGGAAGAATTGATTCACTGCAAATGGACACAGATGGACGTAGATAATAAGGTCAATAGGAACAGCACGTCAGGCAACAATATACTTCCATTTAGCAATGAGATTGAGGAGCATATTCCGAATTTTACCGTTTTAACTGAGAAGAAACGTGCATCTGACCAAGGAGTCGAGAAAGTGATTCAACGTTTCAACTTTGTTTGTCAGTGGGTTTCTTCAGAAATCGTGCGTACTGAAAATATCAACGAACGGGTGAAACTGATCGAAAAGTTTATACGGTTAGCACAGGTGAATATAAAATAAAGACACGGAATTTTAATATGATGTACTCAAAAGAATTATGCTCCAAACTATAGAAATGTAAACTGTATTCAAATTATGCAACGCTTGTACAAATTCTATTAGGCTTACAGTCTCCAGCAGTAGCTCGCTTAGAAAAGACATGGTCAAAAGTGAGCGCAAAATGTCAAAAGCGTTTAGAGCAATTGACTGAATTCACGTCTCCCATACGAAATTGGAAGAATATTCGAGATAGTATGACAGAAGTGGCAGAGGAATATGGAAACTCTCCTTCAGAAGTACAGGTCGAAATGCCCGGAACAACCTCTGCTAAACGCAAATTCAAGAAATCAGCCAGGATTAAGATTCCATTTGGGGGTTGCATTCCGTTCTTAGGTATATATCTTTCAGACCTTGTCTTCAATTCTGAAAATCCCCGGTTTTTGAAACCGAACTTGGAGAATCAAAAAATTTACACCACTAACAGCAAAGTAGGTTTGCCACCCTGCTTAGACCAGCAGCTAGTTAATTTCAGAAAGTATAGAGTCATTGCTACAGTGATTAAAAGGGTTCTTACATTCCAAAATTTGGCGATGCGTTATGCTTTCGATGAAGACGAGGTTCTGCTTGAAAAATGTCGAAAATTACACGTCCTAGATGCTGTTACAATAAAAGAGCTGAGTGTATCATTGAAATAGATTCTCCAAGATCTATACACTTTATACTATCCGTACCCCATGTGTAATTATATGTATATAGTTAAAATTTTTTACAATAATAAAGCGACACATCGTAGATCGATTTTGTGCATTAATTGAGTTAGGTTTTAGCAAAACATGGATTTCTTCGTATATATTCTCTACTTTCTTGATCTGCTGCTCGAATGGGTTCCGGTAGACGATACTTGATACAGGTAGCCAATACAATTTTAATAGCAGTTTTCAACGAAACACGATGACCCTGACTTACAAATACTGGGTTTTTGGCCGTATCTGATGTACGCACTGCAGAGCCGTAAATCAGACTATTACTAGCTCCCTTGAGAATATATTCATCTCCTCGTTCGAGTAATTTATTGTCAAAAACTCGTTTGTAAGTGGACATATCATCGATCTCAGAAGGAATCACTAAGAAGTTCTTTGCGACACCAATGGTTGGAGTATTTGCTAGAACTCCCAAATGGCAGGCAATTCCAAATCTCCGTGGATGTAATAGACCATTACCTGTTTTGCAATTTTGAGCATTACTGCACAGATACAGGGGTTTCTAGGTTTTGATTACCTTACCATCAACAAGAATGATTTGAGGATATAATTCAGGTTCATCATGCTTCAGCTGCTCAAGTAGAACTAACAGTGGCTGGACCTCACGAAAAGCCAGGAATCCAGAAATATATGGCAATTGCAATTTGGTATGACAGAATTTCTTATAAACAATCTATGGTCCAGCATCGTAATATAGTATGATATTCTATTCTACCCGTACTCTATCATTATTATTTTTTTTCTTATATAAGCGTACCTTGCAGTCGGGCATAGACATAACTATAAGGCAAGCAACCGCCTTCTCCCTATCCCCTCGCGGAAAGCTCAAATCAACACCACCCACATATTTTAAACCAGCTAGATTCTCATTGTCAAAGTCCAAGACATCTTCCAGCACAAGATCTTTACTCAATCGTATTTGTTCCCTGATCTCGCACAATACCGTCATTTGATAAACTAAAACCTGTAAATAGATTAAATTTGTTGATTGTAAGGTTGACTTACTCAGTCCAAATTACTTTTTGCTCGTTGGAAGGGTCTTTATCGAAGGCCGTATACATATTGAGTCAACCTGTCTGTGAATTGTGCGTAGAAACTGTTACAGAACAATGAGATAACGTTTAAGGCCCCGACAGAAAATACCACGTTACGTTTAAAGAAATCTTTTTATTACAATATTTAAAACCCAATGAGCACCAAAAATTGCCCGGGGCAGATCCCAAAGTTTCTATAGTATAGACTATATAATGTTAAAAACCCCTTTGGGAACAAGGGTAAAAAGGATTTAATCAGCTGTTGTTGTATGTGATGGCTGGGTCAACCATTGTAATAGGGCGTAGCCTAGTGAGGGGTCTGGTGAAGGTGCAGTCATTAATTTGTACAGGAAATCGGGGAAGAAAGAATTATCGTAGCTTTTGTCGAGAGCTTCGCGGAGGATCAGGTTTGTATTTTCAGGTTTTATATCAAAATGACGAAATGTTGATTCTATTGTGCAAAACCATGGGTTTTTGAACCATATAAATCCTAGGCATCAGCTTTCCTCTTTCATAATTTTCTTTTTTTACTTTAAGCAAACTCCTTACATTTTCTCCATATTGCATATATTTGAATGAGATTATCGTTTAGTATATTGTTACTGCTCAGTGCAGTCCCCTATCTCACGCATGCAGAAGAACAAAACAAAAATATCAAGGATGCTCTTGTAGTGGACGCTGGAACTCAAGAGACAACCAATTTTGGTGCCAAAATCAATAATACTGACAGTTTGACAGTTGGCTTACGCGGTCCTACTCTCATGGAGGATTTTATGATGCGTGAAAAAGTTATGCATTTTGGTAAGTTATTCCTCTATGGATCGGTTGCATTATGGATGAGAAACTTACACATATATTCCTTGAAATTTTGTTGACCACGGGCAATTGCAGACCATGAAAGGTAAATTAATTAACAACAGAATATGTTTGATCAGAGAGCGCAAAGCTAACCCTTTGAATTAAGAATTCCTGAACGTGTGGTACACGCAAGAGGCGTCGCTGCACATGGTTATTTCGAACCTTACGCTGACTGGTCTAATATTACTGCTGCAAAATTTCTCAGACATCCCGGTAAGAAGACACCCACATTCGTACGTTTCTCCACTGTTCTTGGCTCGAAAGGCTCGCCTGATACTGTACGTGATGTAAGAGGTTTTGCAACAAGGTTTTACACTGAAGAAGGCAACTTTGATCTTGGTAAGTGTCATTGTTTGTGTTTAATATAAGGATTGTAAAAAAAAAATTGTTTCAATCGACTAAATTCTCTATTTGATTGTATAGTGGGAAATGTCATCGCACCATTCTTTATCCAGGGTATGCTCTTTTGCTATTATTACAATAATGCACGAACTTATAATTGTTGCCACTTATCTACCTGAAAATAGATGCCATCAAATTTCCTGACTTAATCCACGCGGGAAAACCAGAACCAGATACTGAAGTTCCTCAAGCTGGTACTGCACACTGTACTGCTTATGACTTCTTTTCACAACACACCGAAAGTATCCACACTGTTATGTGGGCACTCTCCGGCAGAGGCATTGCGAAAAGCTTCCGTCAAGTAGAAGGTTTCGGTGTTCATACGTAAGTTCCAATTTTTTAGTATTGTGTTGCTTATACAAAGTTTGTGATTTCCTAATGAAGCGATCCCTGCAATTAGTTTCCGTCTTATCGATGAAAAAGGCAAGTTCGTCTTTGTCAAGTTTCATTGGAAGCCTCTACAAGGCCTTGCCAATTTGGTTTGGGTATGAGTGAAATTAATGTGTACCGCAAGTTTTCTGATATGCACAATGTTTCTAACTTCATTTTTCATCTAGGATGAAGCGCAAAAAATTGCGGGCAAAGATATCGACTATCACAGAAATGATCTCTATGAAGCTATTGACCGCGGCGATTTTCCCGAATATGAGCTCGGTGTACAAATCGTTCAACCTGAGGATGAAGACAAGTTTGATTTTGATCTGCTTGATGCGACCAAAATTATTCCGGAGTCACTGGTTCCAGTCACAAAGTTGGGTAAGATGGTATTAAACAAGAACGTCGACAACTTTTTCTCAGAAACCGAACAGGTTACCTTCCATATGGGTCACGTCGTCAGAGGTATTGGTTTCACTAATGACCCCCTTTTGCAAGGCCGCCTCTTCAGTTATCTTGATACACAACTAAACAGAATGAGCTCTGCTAATTTTATGCAACTCCCTATTAACAAACCTTTGGTTCCTGTTCATAACAATCAACGGGATGGTTTCATGCAACACAACGTGTACAAGGGCAAAGTATCTTACTTCCCTAATGACATGCAAGACAATACACCTGACGTTGTTGCTCCAGAAGATGGCGGATATCTTGAATATCCTGAAGAAGTCGATGGTAAGAAGCAACGAGGCAAGGGCGGCAAATTTGCCGATCATTACTCTCAAGCTACCTTGTTCTGGAACAGTCTAACGAAGGCTGAACAACAGCAATTGGTTGATGGTGCTCGTTTCGAAATTGGCAAGTGTATGAATATGCAAGTTCGTACTAATATGGTCAACGTTCTCAACCATGTCGATAATAACCTGGCCCGCCGTGTTGCAGAAGGTATTAATGTTACCCCTCCAGATCCTGTTGTTGAAAACCACAATCAAACGACTGTTGGCTTGTCTATTGAAAATTATCCTCGTCCTAACCATATCAAGGCTAAGAGAGTTGCTATTGTTGTTGGTCCCGGCACAAGTTGGACGGACGCTAAGAGCATGCGTGATTATTTGGATAAAGAAGGCGCTTATGTTGATTACGTTGGACCTACTATGGGATTCCAAAATGGCTTAAATGTGACCCAAACTTTCACAACTACTCATTCTGTTCTTTATGACGCTGTTTATGTTCCTTCTGGCAAACAAGAAGCGTTCGACTATTTAACAGAGCCTACTTCACAATTCCCTTATGATGAACCTTTAATGTTTATTCTCGACACTTACCGCCACGGTAAGCCTATTGCTGCTGCTGGTCTTGGTGTTGACTTCTTGAAGGCTGCGAAAGTCCCTAGCAAAGCCATTAGCGATGATGAAGAAGACCAAAAAATGTACGGTGTATTTACAGACAGCAAGGGCAGCAAGTCCTTGCAGAAGTTGCTTAAGGAAGGTCTTATCAAGCAAAGATATTGGATTAGACTTCCCACTGATCCTAACGCTAAGGATTCTCCTACTCTTCCTGTTCAGTAAGCTACCATCTTGAATTTCCTAACATTTACTCTTTCATTCAAATACGTAACATAGGTAATAATAAAATAATTGTAACCTCGTTTCTCTTCATATAATTTATTCATGAAATTTAGACCTATCATGTCATCTTCGACGTTATCAAATGTCTTACCTTTCTCCTGGCCTACTCAAGTACCAGGATGGAATCAAGTTTTTTCACTCTCCAAGGAGAATTTGAAAAAAGTAACAAGCCTCATTAAGAACTGAAGGAAATGTGAAACTTCAAATTCAGTATAATTTTTGCCAAACCATATATTTAAAGCTTAATTCTTCTCTTTTAGTATGCTTATTCACTTCACTGTATATTTTGTAAATAAATTGAGTCCTACTGATTAATGTAAAAAAAATAAAGAAAAAAAAATTAAAAAACAAAGTTATACTTCATGTGTTGCTTTCAACACTATACTCTACTGCAGATATGTCTATTTTCCAGATAAGCTTATGGGATTGATGGAACTTGGTAGTGGGGATACCAAAGCTGCTACTATTGCCGGGTATACTTTTGTCATTAGGACTAATGAAAAGGTTCCCGTTACTACTTTCTTCGATAATTTTATACAATAGATTAACGAAAGACTCCAAAGCTAATGGGCACAAGATACATTAACTGACCTCAATTGCCAGAGACAGCGCTTATCTAAAATCTCTTTCGGGTTTATAGGGGAAAGAAGAATGTGATCTATGGTTATGAAGATGGATACGAGGGTACCTATTCAAGTAGTTCGTGACCTAGAAGTGAGGGTGGAGTGGGGCTCTGATCAATTGCTGCTAGTCGAACTAAAACAATACGTGACGTATAGCCAGCCATTGGTGATACCAAACTTTGGTTTGAGTATAGGATCTGGGGAATGTGGCGAAACAGTGGATAATGAATGATAGTGAATCATGAATTGTAGTTGGAAGACATAAACGGCAGTACATGTTAAGACACAATATAGCGTAGGATGATGAATGGAAAGGAACCTAATACTTCTTCAATTCCTAAACGCTTCCGTGCTTTTTTGAATTGTGATGGATCTCGTCTTAAAGCATTGGGTTATTTAAACAACATTACAGAAGTAGTAGTAGTACATGAAGGAGAGCCAAATTTCTGCGCCATAGTATAAATTAAATGTGTGTTATTTTACTGTACTATACATGTAGCACGTCTCTACTTGTATAAATTACTGTAATAGCAGCCGCTTGTAACCAAACCCACAAAAGTCAGAAATACAGTAACTTCAAAGGTAGATTTCAAGCCTTGTTCAAAGGCGTTTTGAAGAAAGTAGTAGTAGCTTTCAACTTCATTCATTTAACATTAAACTTTACTGATGACTGATAGTCTCATATTTTTGCCCATCAGCTCAATAGAACTGGCAAACAATCAAAGAAAACTGTCCTCAGATCAATTCATAGCTATAGCATATGTTTAAGCTGTCCTATTTTTCTATCTGACTTTCGATTTTATTCTACTAGGGCTTACAATCATTTTCTTGCTATCTTAAATGCTTTGACAAACTTGAGACTCTTTCACAAAGTTGTCTTCTTTCAAAGATATACATGAAGATGTGATTTTGCTCTGTTCGAATCTTGGTTTAAATCAAAAAATGTCAGAAAGTCCAGAAGATGGTACTGGATCCGAATTTAACTGAAGTGAGAGAGGAGTTTGAAAGGATAATTTCGATGGGCAGCACCTCAGTAGCATTGTCAAACTTATTCGACTTATTTCAGTTGGTTTTTTTTTCCCTTTTAACTCTCGACATCAATATTTCAAATCATGGTTTTAGCTGATTTAGGTCGAAAAATCAATTCAGCTTTCAATGAATTAACAAAAGCGCCTGTCATTGACGAAAAAGTAAAATTGAAAAAAAAACCCGATCTGTTCAACATCTCTCAACTTGAATTTCGAAACTTAGCATTTATCTATTTATAATCTAGGTTCTTGATGGGCTAATTAAAGAAATTTGTGTTGCTTTATTATCTTCTGATGTCAATGTTAAACTTGTACAGAAATTGAGAACAAATATAAAGAAGAATGTTAATCTGGAAGAGTTAGCAAACGAGACAAACAAAAGAAGATTGATCGAAAAGGTACTTTGGTTTATTATTGCAAAAGCTTGGACTTGTACGATCATACTTAATATTGTCTTGAACAGGCTGTCATGGACGAGCTTTATCACCTTGTTGATCCAGAAGCAGAACCCTACAAACCTGTCAAACGTCGATCTAATGTTTTTATGATGGTGGGTCTACAAGGTGCTGGTAAGACCACCACTTGTACAAAAATTGCTTCTTTCTATCAACGTAAAGGCTGGAAAGTTGCCCTTGTGTGTGCCGACACTTTTCGTGCTGGTGCTTTCGATCAACTGAAACAGAATGCCACTAAAGCGAAGGTCCCTTACTACGGTAGTTATACAGAAACAGATCCTGTCACAATTGCTTTACAGGGTGTAGAGAAGTTCAAGGCTGAAAATTTCGAAATCATCATTGTTGATACTTCTGGTCGTCATAAGCAAGAAAGTGAGTTATTTGAAGAAATGAAACAAATTTCAAGTGCTATTGTAAGTGATATGACTCTCAATATGATACAAGCTGTGAAGCCGCAATGTTCTTTAACTGAATCTTTTGTCTTTTTGGTAGAAACCTGACACAACTATCTTTGTCATGGATGGTACCATTGGTCAAGCTGCTGAACCTCAAGCCAAAGCTTTTAAGGAAGCAGCGGATTTTGGTTCAATCATTATAACTAAGATGGATGGCCACGCCAAGGGTGGTGGTGCTATCTCTGCGTAAAATATATTCCTTATTTTTGACGCAATTAACCATTGATCTTGCAGAAATCTAACTTTTTTTCGTTGTCACAATTATGTAGTGTGGCAGCTACCCATAGTCCAATTATCTTTATTGGTGTTGGTGAACATGTTCAGGATATGGAACGCTTTGAGCCAAGATCTTTCATTCGAAAAGTACTTGGTGTGCAAGATATGCGTGATGTCATTGAACAAGTTCAGGATACAATGCAAATGGCCGATAATAAAAAATTAATGAAGAACATCGAAAAGGGACAATATTCACTCCGTGATATGTACGAACAATTTCAACAAGTATCGAAGATGGGGCCATTATCAAAGATCATGGGAAGTATTCCTGGGATGCCTACGGAAATGCTAGCAGGTACCGAGCAAGAAGGCACAAAGCGTATGAGGCGTATGATGTGCATTATGGACAGCATGACAGATGATGAACTAGATGGAGATCATAAACCTTTTGATGATATCAAACGAGTTATTCGAGTGGCTCGTGGCTCGGGTACAACTGTTCATGAAGTGCAGGAAATCTTGCACCAATATACCAAATTTGCTGATATGGTGAAGACGATGGGCGGTAAGGATGGTCTTATGCAAAACATGCCCAAGGATCCTCGTAAGATGAATCCTAAGCAAATGCAGCAAATGGGACAAATGCAACAAAAAATGATGAACATGATACCCCCTCAACTACTGCACCAAATGGGTGGTATGGAAGGTATACAGAAGATGGCGAAACAGATGGGAGGTATGTTTGGTCGTGGTGGTGGACCTGGAGGAGGAGGAATGCCAAATATGGCTGAAATGATGAAAGCCATGAATATGGGTTAAATAAAATGCATCAAAAAGTAACATTTGCCATAAATATACACGAAATCATCTGTACAATAATAAGCACCCAATTTGTCATGTCAATAAAAACTTGAAAATAAACCGATTGCACATGTTGCTCTGCGGTAGGCAATAATTTAGTAATCATACTAGTAATATGGCTTGCCTTATACTAAAAGCTGTTCAATTGTCACATTATAGGTAATAAGGGGAGTATGTGAATGGTATGATTAAGGGTAGGATGCAGTGATAAGGGAAAAGGGTGATTAGGTTACGAATGAATACTTAGTTTTTACCCTCTTTGGCCTTCCATGCTTTCTCATCGAACGTGTTGTTGAATTTATTATTACTGTTGATAATTATCAAATCCTTAAGCTCACCAAATAATTCAACAGACGTTGTTTCTTCGAAATAAACAGGCTTCCATTCCTCACCCTTCTCTTCCCTTTCTTTGCGAAGCGCTCTTTGGTTATTTTCTACAATGGACTTTTCGATAGAAGCAGTTTGGTAATCGCCCGCTTTGAGAGCTTTGGACACCTTTTCCCAGACCTTTTGTGATTCGAGTGGGCTTTGTTCAGAAATAGGTGAAACTGTGACTGGAGGACTTTGTAATTTACTTAGATCGAGGAAAGTTTCTGATTTCTGCTTGTGCTTAGTAATAGTTGATTTTTTGGTCCATTGTCCTTTAATAATAGTAGGGCCATCCTTCAAAAGGGTCCTGTGATTTATGGTCGCCTTGAAATAATGATAGTCTCCATGGATCCAGCCCTTGGTAGAGTATTCAATGGTAGCGAAGAAACCAGTAGAAGATTGAACATAAGATGTACCAAAAAGCTCCGTGTAGGGTGCTGTTATTTTTTTTTTTTTTTTTTTTTTTTAGCAGTTGATCCTTATTGTTAACAATCAAATTTAACATCAGCTAATAGTGTATTTTACCTGCGTACCAAAGACCATTGACTGAAATTGATGGAAGTGAAAATAGGTATCTCTCATTATGTCCTTTCATTTCCATCAAACAATAACCAATTTGGTCTACCAACAATTGTGTACCGGAGAAGCGAGTTCTTTGGGCATCATTTACTGTAAAAGATACACCCGCTTCCTCATTCTCGACTTTGAAAGCGGAAATTGGTGGATGATGACAAACTTGTTCACAGGTGGCTCTCGTGCCATTTTGCCAGGTACAGAAGTATTGCTCACCCAAAATAGGATTAAAAGGTTTCTTTTCCCATCCACCGTTCGGCACACGCGTAGAGAAGCCGCCATTTAGTGCTGAAATAAACCATTTAATAGCCCCATAGAAACGATCTTCTTCAGTGGAACCCTTAGGAGCATCAACCATCTATTCACAATGCAAAGCAGTCTCGGATATTAGTTCGGTCGTAAATGAACGAAGAGGTTTGGAAAACCATCGAAGCTTACAATCTCAGGATGATCTGCCCAGTAAGAGCTATAATACAGTATAAATAAATAAAAAAAAAAGGTTAATTGATGTTCCACTGCATTTAAAGGCATATAATCATCCAACCTACGATAATTCAAGTAATGATTTCGAATCTAAAAGAAAGGAGGGGCATGTTAATTTAGATAAATCACCAGTAAAGGATGATAAGGTCTTCAGAAAGGAGGCAAAACTGCCCTTTTGATCCTCAGGAATAGTATTGAGTCGATTCTCGGTCTCAGTCATCTTTATCAATGTTGGCCCCTAAAAAAAAAAAAATAGAGAAGAAAGTTTGACAGGTCTTGTGAAGTATGAGGAAATCCAGAAAAAAAAAAATAGATTGCCCAAAATAACAATTTTTCGGTTAAAAGCCAGACGCGTTTAGGGTAGTTTTTTAACGGTTTGGTCAGAAAAGATCGGGGATGTTTTAAGAATATTGTGAAGATTCACAAGTGGCAGATAAGATCTGCAAAATTGACAATTCTCTAGGTTTCTCCTTTTTTCAGCTTCTATCATGAAATCCAGAGTTGACCTCATTTGTTTGTCTGATTGCTTCAGCTGAAAGGCAGTAGCAGAAGTACAGAGAAGAGTGTACACGAGTTTCTCTTTAATAAAGCGTGTATGTGATATTATGCTCCGCTTATGTAGAAGAAAAGCGCAATAAGTCGATAGATAGTGCAACATTTGATTGTGATCGGTCAGAAATGGATGTCATAAAATAGAAGAGATTCTTTCGTTAGTGAGATATGATTTAAGATAACGAATTAACACGGCCAAATCTCCAAAAACTCGTATTAGCTGTTCCACAAAAAATAGGCCGTGAAAATGTACAGTACACAAAATACAACCTATTCTGCATAATATTAGCTGTTACACCTATGAGCAAAACTTCCTTTTAAACTTGTTGACGGTACGGCAACACATCTGAGCATTTAAATACAATAGGAAATAGGATTTCTGTTGTAAACAATCAAGCCTCATAGAGTCGGTCGTAAGAACCATTTGATGATCGTATTATTGCTGAAGAAAATTGCGCCATGTTTCTCGTTGAATGAAAAGACGGTGTTTTATGATCAGATGATAAAATGTACAGCAGTGGCTTTGCATTAGTTGAGGAACCTTATTAGGCATCGGATTTTTGTTCCTGAAAAATGCTGAATCCACAGGAACATCGGATATTTTTATTATTGCTTCCTTCCTTTGATAGATGTCATATTGTTTGTATCCTGGCCTTCTAAAAAATTATGAATACAACTTGGGCCAGTCTTTTCGTTCTTTTGAACAATTTATTAGTTAGTGACATCTTCATTCTTTTTCTGTTTTTACAATAAATATCCTTACGCTATGCACAAAATTGATGGCTTAATTGCTGTTTTCCTTTATACACTACTGCCAGCCTTCGTTCTTGCACAAGGGAACTATGCTGAAGACTGTATAGGTAATCAAATCCATTTAAAACACCGTAGCTAATAACTATCTGACAGGGCTAATGCCAACATAAATAGTTCTAAATCCCATCGCCAACACGATTGTGTCTGCTGGAGAAAAAATGAAAATTTCATGGTATACTTTTTAGCCCAATTCAGTGATTGGCAGTAATGCTTATAGAGATGAACTCTTCGTTAGGGTCAATTCTCATGCAGACAGCTTTGATTCAATATATTTAATACAAATGGATGGAGACGTACGCCCTGTAGTGATCGCTCGAAACGTGCCGACTAAACAAGGAGAAATTGAAGTGGACCTTCCACATAACTTGATTCCGTCTAATGCTTGTAAGCAACTACCGTATTATTTTGAATAGGAATAGGCTTCGCTATAACACCTTTTATTTTACCTTAATAGACTATATGACTTTGGGAAGCCCACCCTTTCACTGTTATGCTGGAAATTTGAGGATTGTGGGTTCAAGAATGAGTAAGTCTCCAAAAATTCTTATCGTTATTAAATTAGCAAAATGATAGTAATATCTCTTTCATTGTACAGAAATACCTGATTCCAAAGTGCCTAGCACTTTCGGAAACCAGATTTCAACAGGAAGATTTCCAAAAAGCGAAAAGGACGTCTTGAATGATAGTGCTGCTGAAAAATCTGCCGTTCTAAAGATGTGTACCCTATTTCTGACACTCTCGATAGCGATAATCTTCTATTTCTTGAAGTAGCACGAAAATAAAATCTTCATCGGTTCGACAACCTAAAATATACCAAAATAAGTGCTCAAACTATTCCAATTAAGTGCACTTCCTTTATCAACAGAGCTGATCAAAGTAATGCTCCCTCGAATTACCGTGGACACATCGCAGACATATTAAGAGGCACCTAACACTTTTGTATTCGTTTAACAAAGAAGGAAGGCTGCCGTTCTGTATATGTTTTAAGATTTATTTGAAACCGAATTTCAGATTAATATTGTTGGTCAAGTATCTGCGACTTTACTTAAGATATCGTTTAATCTATCAATGACTTGATGTATGTCTGGTCGAAGAGCGGGATCTGTTGTTAGTAACCATCTAATGAGCTCTTTTACATCCTCAGAATAAAGGCTTTCATCTGGAATTTTGAACTGATTGTTAAGCACAGCCAAAGCAACTGATCCACCTTGATCATTCATCTCAAACGGTGATTGACCATAAGCCATAGCAAAAAGTGTGCAACCTAACGACCAAATATCAACTTTCTCAGTCAAGGTAGTGCCAACTTTAACATCAAATAGTTCAGGTGCACGGAAAGGCATTGTACAATGTTCTGCTGCTAGATCCTGCTGATGTAGTGCTTCTTGCCTATTGTTGATTTGTACACGAGCTGGACAAGCTGAACCAAAATCCATTAGAATCGGTGTTTCGCCATCATCTGAAAGCAAAACATTCCTAATAATTCAAAACTATTTAGGCTCTAGACTTTTAAACGAATATGGTGTGTATTGAGTTCTACCCTGGTTTAATATCTTTATGTACCCAAGGCACAAATTCTCCGTTTTCTCCTACCCGAAGCTGGTCGCCTGTGGGTTGATCATGAACATTGCTAAGTAAAGCTTCTTCTGGTCTATGATCTTCATCTGGAGTTATCGCTTGCTGAGCATCGTATAGCACTTTTGTTCCTCCATTTGCTGTGTACGTATGGAATTCGCGAACGGCTACACAAACGTCGCGAAAGATTTTCAGTAGATACTGTTCTGGGAAGTGATTTTGATTTAGATTATTTCTATTGATAGCGTCTTGTAAATTCCCTTTCTATTATAAAAGCGGATAATCAATATACCACCCTTTATCTTTTTTATACAAAAAGTGAACTACATACAGAATAGTATGGTAGCAATATATATACGGTTTTATTGCCGTCGGGTTCAGATATCGTACACGAGTCCTAGTAATACTTACTTCATTACTACTCTGGAAATAGCGCTAAAAGAAATTCTCTATTCTCACTTACTATTAGACGTATAATGTTCTTGTGATTGAAAAGCTGGTAAATGTCTATCTCTCGTTGAGCCAATTCTGCATCCTCTGTACCCAATGTACAGCGAATTTTTTTCAGAGCATAAAAGTTGCCCGAACCATCTTGAACTAAGTATACAAAAGAAAACCCACTATGCAATATTTAAGTATCATCGAATTTGGTCAGATAACCAGTGCTCTCATTTCTATAAGTTACCCTTCTCCTAATAACTTAACTACACGATAGGCTCTTCCGTTGATACTCAAGTTTGCATTGGGTATACAACATCCTGCGAACGATGAGAATGTGCCAAGTACTGATGAAAGAACTTCAAGTAAAGACGAAATTACAGAAGACATGAGCTTCGAAGAACAATTTTTTTTTACTTATTGATTGATATGTCAGAGTGCTGGAGGCAGTCGAGCTGTATCCATATATCTTTATAAATATAGTAAAGGGCAAGTGTTCTGAAAAAGACTTCTTTCTGTACCATCAAAAATGAACCTGATGATTGCCAACCCGTTATCAGATTTTTGACTTTTTAAGATTCAGACAATAATGGATGCTTGATCCAGCTTTTGCCAACTGTCCACTGATAATTCTCGAATATTGGTAAGTCTACATTTTCTGCTTATTATAGAACTCAAGTCGTATGATATTGCTCGAATACAAATGCTCTAAATGTCTGTAGCATGGTAGTATACAAAACTATGTTGCTCCATATTTAAAAATAACCAAAAAGCTGAATCTCAGACTTTGTGAAAGCTTCACATAACAATCAAGTATAGTTGGTGATGCTTCAATTACAATTTATTAAGGTAATAGTCTGGTGCGAGCCAATAATGTGTAATCTCATTGTTATTGATTCCTTTACTTGACAAAACTGCTGTAATTCGTCGTTTATCGAAAATTGAACTTCGGTGAGGCCGAGAAGCACGTCTAATTGTTTTAGATACAATGCGATGGCTTTCTCCAAGGTATTTTAATATGTGATACAACTCATAATCACTCAAAATATCGTGAAGTTTAGCGCGCAAATTTCCCTGAAAATTTCAGTTGAATTAGTTAGTGAAGATCGAACTTTTGAAGAGCAAATTAAAGATAAACTTACAAATGTGATGCCTGGTTTGGCCAATATATGGCTCATGATAACCTCAGCCGTACCTTCTAATGCAGATTCCAATAAATGTCCATTCGTATCATGCCACATTAACGGATAAATCCAGCGTTTATTTGTTGAATCATGCATCAGCCACTTTGGGGCAAATACCGTTGCTACATATCGTAGAGAGCTGAAACCAACAATATGGATAGCAGGTGGCTTTGATTGAAGAAGGAAGTCTAACGCTCTGAGAATATCATCAGTGTTCGTATTCAGTTCACTTTGAATTTCAAACGTTGAAGCTCCTCTTGCACCAAAGTGATGAATAACATTGTAAACAGGTTGAGCCCATGGATCCAAATTAGTGACAGTAGTGATGGTACACTTATCAATATCTTGCAATGTAAGTGTCGTTTTAGACACTTGTGAGATAGAAGTATAACTTCTTGAATATATGTTGTCTACTATATCTTCCCCTATTGTAACCTGTAAATCAAAATTTCTAAAGACAAATGCATCTCTTAACGGGACTGAATGAAGAAACGAGTTAGGGAGAAGCAAGAACAAGCAGCTTATACTCAAAGGATTATTAGAATTTGACTTACTAGCTGTCGGCTTAGGATAACACAAAACCTTTTTTGATTGCAAGAATTGTTCCTTATTCAACAGGTCAATATTTAACTAACCATGAACCAGTAAAGCAATGCAAATAAGCAAAATAATCCTTGATCGTTTCCAAGATTTGCTTCAAGCGAGATAAATCTTACCTTCCCTTGCGAAAAGAGATCCAATAAAGCAGCCATAAAGCCACTATTCAGCAATGCGGTCGTTAAGTTACAACTTCTTTCTGAAACAATTGCACTGTAGAAATTGCGAGCTTTTTCAGTCATTCTTTCAGGAAAAATGCTTGTAGCTAAGTTCATGAATCTGATATTTGATCCTTCAGTATTGTAAGTATAAGCAAGCAATAGAAAAGAGAGAACAAAGTACCTTTCCGAAACATTTATACGTCTTCCAGGTATACGTCCGTATCTACTCTTGTCGCTGATGATTAATTCTTTGGATTTGAGCTCATGTAGTGATTGTTGTATAAGGTCTTCAGGGTAAACTGAAAGCATCTTGTAAGCATCTTTTGGAGCATAACGATCGTCAGGAGTCATAAGATTCATCTGAATAGCTAAGATTAGTATAATTCCTTTTATAAATATAAGGATTGGTGATATATTTACTTTAATTAGCGTAGCAATGAGCTGCTTCGAAACCTCAGTCTTATTATACGTTGACAGATTTGCTTTAGTATCATAGTCCTGTTCACCAAAGGGATTGACAGAATGGGATATTAATAACCGTTTTGTCTGTTCATTTTGACTGTCGCTTCGTTCGATACGGTAACGTTCTCTCAACTTCTTAGCCTGTGATGGTAGCAGTACAGTGATGGCTACTTTGCGGCTGATTTATTTCTTTTAGTTTACTGCTTAATGATACTTTAAATAAGCCCAAGAACTGATTACCTGTCCTCCTCTTTCAATTTACGAAGAAAATACTCGAGATATGTGGTCAGATCATAATTGACCGTATCCCATGAATTCTCATCTGTGATCTCCTTTTTCTCGAGCCCTTCTTGATAATATTTGAGCCACTTTGTTTTCAATTCTTCAATATCAGTTGTCAATTGCGGACGTTTGTTAAGCATTGCATTAAGCTTATGACGGCATCTTTCAGGAGTATGATTTGGTAACACTTGGGAGATTGGGCTCCAATAAAAAAGAGACATTTTCGCTCTGGTTTTCATAATACAATAAGAATGAATAAGAATATCTTTTTCAAGTGATGTGAATGGATCCTTAGTACGACGGATGCCTGTAACTTTTGACCATGTTAGAATTAATTAGTATGCTTTAACTACCAGCTTTAATTCTCATGCTTATTTTACATATATTATAATAAATACTTACTTCTGCTATTCCCATTGAGGCTTTGATGAGGCTCAACAACGACTCTAAGTTTTTTAACCTTTCTACTTCCTATGAAAGTTGGCTGTTGAAACATTTCCATTTCTTGGTTATCATAATGTGGAAGCGCAACTTTTTGCTTTTGAATGGAAGCGCGTATAAGATCATTGACAATAGCCGAAGACGATTTCCTTGGCGGCTTTTTCAATCTATCAGTCCGTATCTTCTTCATTTCAAATTTTTTGAAAGAGATTAAAACGGCATTATAATAAATTCTGACACGCTTCGCTGACAAATTTGTCAATTTCATTATATGAGAACGTAAGACTCTATTATCCACATCGGGCACAGTTTTTGCTTCGAAATCGACAAAAGAGTCTAACGTAGCCTTTTGTTCGTCTGTTATTGATGTATTTGAGCTCCAACCCCTTCTTAGAGTGATTCCTGCTAAAGGGTCATTTTTGTCAGCGATATAGTCAACATCTTTTATGGTCTCTGTACAATGCGTTTGTAATTGATTCCAATATGCGGAAACATCTTCCGAGCTTTCAAGTGGTAATTTTACGATTAAAGGCCTCTCTTTCTTTGTATAATCCCGTATATTCCCAATTCTATGTAAAGCAATTCTTAAGGGGACGTTGGGCCCTTGCAATTCCTGATCATGAACAGGATCAATCAATTCAAGTGCCTTAAGCAGACTTAATGAACGAGTAAGAGTATATCGGAACTTTCTTACTGCATCGCTCATTATCGTTTTGATATTGTGGGGCAAGTCTTTCAGAGCGACGTCAAGGTTGACTCTTGTGTTCAAAAATGCCAAAAAAGTCTGATTTTCAAACGGTAACACACCATAAAGCTGTATAAATGTTTTCAAAGGCATCTGATTCAGCATATCACTCATTGCAATCACTCTATCAACCGATTGTTCACTGATACAATAACTGAGCATAGTCTGGTGTAATATACGTGCACGATGCCATTTTGAAGTTGAATAGCCATATTCTGTCGCCCTGAATAACCAAGCTTTCTTTCTGAGAGAAGAGTCCAACGCAATAGCATTGTTACCGGAAATGACGGTCCCATTGAAAGAATCTGTAAGGCCATTAGTAGCCCCGTACTCAGTACTTGGAGGCGATCTCAGTTTTAAACCTTTTGCTTCTCTCTTCGTCGGTACCTCCGTAACGTTAACCGTTTCCAATTCACGACGTTTAGGGCCACTTGATGTAATACACTTCAACTTATCGATATACTGCTGTACCTGTGCGTCATTTTCTGATAGAGTTGGATGCAGTAAAAAAGTTTTTTTCTCTGTGACTCCAAAGGAAGTCTCGATAACAGTAACATAATATTTCAACTTGTTTTGCTCTTGCAGTTGTTTGACTAAAGCAAAGAAAGTCTTGCGAGCGATCCCTTGACCATTTGCTGCTGCTGCCTCCAGTTCTACGAATTTATTGTATAATTCATGGTTCAGCTCAAGAATATTTTGTTCTTCTAGCATTTCTAGTATAATAGCATATCGACGTGCTTTAGTATTATTTTGAACAGTTGTTTTAATACGACGACCAGCTTTGCTTTGAGATTGCTGCGACTGAATATCGTTATCTTCACGTTTTCGTTTATTATTATTTGACGAATTGCAATGTATTTGTTCAGTTGATATTGGTACTGTAACTTCTGAAACCTTTTCAGAAGGGCTTTTAAACGAACTATTACTCGCTGCATCGTCGATTTCTATAGAAGCAGCTCGTGTGTCGATTACTTTGTATTTCTTAGTCGAGCTATTTCCATTGTCGTTTGTTTTAATTGTTTCTGAGTACGATCTAGATCGTTTCATCGGAGAGTTTGAATGATTTACATATTCCTTTGTCTCAAATCCTACCGAGTCAATGTCGCTGCTCACATCAAGTTCAGGGTTAGCACTAAAAGAGCGATCTTCAACATGCGGTTCACTGGATATACTATGACTATAAAACGCTGATTCCTTCCAACCCTCTTCTGAGTAATATCTATACTGTTTGACTTTTCCGCCGATCTCTTCAGTGCGATATAATGGATATTTCTGATTGGCAAGGTCACCCGAGATAATGAAGGTGTTATCGCAGAAAAATTTGAACAAATTACTATCTATATATGGATAGGTTTTTGTGAAATCCTATCAAATTATGAAGTCAATAAGTTACAAATCTAATCATCTATTGATACTATTATATTACCACTTTTGAGAAGCCGTCTCCTCTTGAACGGACGATATCTTGATATACCACATACTCGAAGGGTAGGTCTCGAAGAATTGCATACCTATTACGCTGGCAAGGCCTTACGGATGTCTTATCGTCGGCACATAACTCACTTGTCCTCTTAATAGTCTCATACTCCGATTTTCTCGGTAATCGAACAGAAGCCACTCTAGATATACCATCATAAGCTATAAATTTCACGAGTTGTCCTTGATCATGCATCTTACAAATCGTCGCTCGGACCCATTTTCCTGGCTGTCCACCAGTTATTCCCAACGAATGAACTAAATTTCGTAAGGACATCATGTTGTCGTCAGCTTTTTTAAGTTGATCAAGTATATCCTTCTTTAGCTTCTCGATGCGGTATAAGGATTCTGTATCAACGCGGACGCTATTTGTTTCAGCGACTGAAGCGACAAATTGCCAGTGATACAGTATATTTGTTGCTCTTTTCGCTCTGTAAACTTTCTCTTTGATTCTAGAATATGACATATACATTAGCGTTGGCCTAAATAGTCTATTGGCAATTGAATGAGGAAACATATATGCTTTTACATCAAACCAAGCTGGCATAGCCTTTTTAAATAACGAAAAGTTGTTTTATGGTTGATTTGTAATAGCTCTGCTAGCTCAAGCTGAGTCACTCCTGTTTTTTTGCTTTTGGCTACGATACTCAAGATATTTCGATAGATCTCTGTCAAATTCTTTTTCTCTGACTGTAGCAAAAGATAAATTTAGCTGAAAATTTGATCCCCATTTCACTTTTACAGTCTGCATGAATTTCATAAGACTACCTTCAAATGGCCGTACAGAATGTCGTCCTGTATCTTTTCTGCTGCTTTAACTGTTATATCGGTTGATAATTCCTCAAATGAGAATTTAGGAGCTTCAATTACAGTATCGTTCTATAAGAGAGAGTTAGATCTGTCGAATCTATTTGATCGTGTTCGACTATTATAGCTTGAAGCCTAGTTTCTTCTACCTTCATGAATATGAGATGAGGATTGTCTTTTACTTTTGTCCAAAGAAAAGCTTTATATCCAACATCAAATTGTAATGGTTTCAATAGTTTTTCATTTGTAAGTGAGCTTCCAATGGCTTTTCGTATAAGCTCGAAAAAACGATCAAATGAACATCCTATGGATATTTCTCTGTTCCGATTAGGCATTGAATTAGGGTGTTTACAGTCATAACGGTAATTACCCTTCTCCCCTTCTAAAGCTATGTCGAATACAATTTCTGACAAAGCTTTATCAAGCATCGTAGTGAAGAATGTCAACCCTGAGATTTTAGCCAAAAATATTAGAAAAGTGGAGAGCAAAAATCTGACATTTGACAGATAAGGAAACTCAACTATTTCAATAAGCACTGCGAAAGCATCCGAAACAGAAACATTCCTTCAGTCTTTGTATTTCTGTTCTCTGAATGTGTCTCTGGCTTCTGGAATATATTATACATTGGTTTAAGTAAAAACGGGATCTATTTACAAGGATAAATCAGAGTCTATCAAATTAAGTAGTCTATCCCTTCTTTGTGGGTAAATTGTTAGCTAGTTGGACGAGTGCTATTTGAGCATCTGAGCTTGGTAACTTTTCTATAGCTGATATTGCTTTTGTTATATGCATTTTTGCAAACTCTAGAGTTTTCTTCAAACCAGAACTTTGGTACACTAATAATCGAGCCTATTTATATGGAGTTAGAAAAGTAAGAACTTCAACCGTAGAAGTACTATCCTTACCTTCTCCTCATCTCCTTCATGTTTGCATTCTCGCTCGAGTAAAATTTTCAGCTCTGGGTATTCATCCCAAGCAATTAAAACTGGTGCAGTCAACCAGTTCGAATGTTGGTACTTATCCAATCTTGCGGTTGTTGAGAATGTACGAATGTCATCGATTAGCTTAAAAGAAACAGAATTTAGCTATTATTACATAATGTGATAAGTGTTGCTATTTGGTTACCTGTAAAGCTATTCCAAAATTCTTGCCATACTCATAAGCAACGTTTGTTATTTCATCGGAACATCCAGCCAATACAGATGAGGCTTTACAACTTTGAGCAATCAAACTACTAGTTTTCATATAGATCTTTTCCGTATAGTAATCGAGCGCTTTCTTAGCATCTAAATTCCTTTCATAGATATCCTTATATTGGATAAATTCTCCTTCGGCCAGATTCGCAAGACAAGTAGCCATCAATTCTATACACTCTGCTTTTTTCAGTTGTGCTAAATTCACTGACGCTCTCGCCAGTAAGAAGTCGCCTGCCAAAATAGCCATTTTATTGCCGAATCCTGCAGTAACCATTTGTCCCCCTGTCTCTCTAACATCATAATGAAGTAGAGAAGATGTATATATCAGTTCTGATATTTCTGCTAATTTTCTTTGTGAAGGTAGTATAGGGTTTTCAAGACTGGTGAAATCTATGTTTTGCTCGTCTTCGCCTGTTTCTTGTAGCATTTGCTTTTCTGGTTTCTTTGTTGCGTTGCAAGTAGCTTTTGCCATCAAAAGTACCAACAACGGCCTCAATCGATGGGTATCATTTTGCAGATAATGTTTTCGCATTGTATCGATAAATGGATGGCCTGAACCTAACAGGCTCGTAATATTTCTTTTTAATTCTCTTAGGTCTTTGCCGATCAATTTGACAGGATCAAATATTCTCTCTTGGTCGGCCGAGCTGACAAGACTATGGGCTTCTTTAATAGCATCTTCCCAATTATCTGCCTGACCAGTAAAGGGTAGTGTTTCAACGTTCGGTTGTGTGAGCTTACGAAGAGGTGGAGCATTTAGTAAAGAGGATTTCAGAAATTTGACACTATGTGTGAATCTGTTGAGAGCGAAGTTGTCCTCTTGTACTTCAGCTTCTGCTGCTTTTTTGAATTGCAAAGCTGATCGGTGGAAGCATCTGCAAGCAACTGACCTTGGTAACTGCCGTCTGAACCATATAGAGCTTTTGGTTGCTTTGATACTGCTGAGTAACATTTAAATATGACAGACAGAAGTCTTCCTTAAAAAGATTACCCCGGTTTCTGATGATTTTGAATACGTTTAAACAGAGATTTTATTACATAATATTAATTTTTTAAAGCCCAATGGACACGAGATATTAAGCTTATCTAAATTGCCCGGGGCAGCTCCAAAGGCTTAAAAGAAACTAAAAACCCCTTAGGGCTCAAGGGTAAAAAGGATTATGTACTAAAGGATTGTGGGAGGAGAAGAGGGCAACCAGTCGAGCAATAGGTGCCCTAACCGAGGAGTTGTAGGCGGCTCTTGGGAGTGGTGTAAGTAGTCGAGTTCAAACAAAATGTGACAAAGTGCTGGCCATAGAAAATGCCAGTGTTGTATTTGGGATGGGTTGTTGATAGGATGTGTAGGAAGACGGTTGAGGACATAGGATATGGGATCACAGACTGATGTGGGGAGTCGTAGGCGGTGGTGCATGTTCAAACAGGAGATAGCGTGGAACTTTGTAAGTAATGACGAGGGATTTTTAAGGCAATAGGTTCGGTGGCCTCCAGGAAGCCAACCCAAACGCCATCGAATACATCGGCTGCGTTCATTAGTTGACATTGGGACATAAAGGATCGGGTCGATCATTAATCGAGAACGGCATTGAGAGATCAGTTTGGAGTAAGGGCTGTTCGATTGTTGGATGTGAAGGAGGCTAGTACGGAAGTTAGCAATACAGCGTCTCAGAGCAGCTGATTCAGATCGTTGATTGAGCGGAGAAGAAGTGTAGTCTTGCCAGATCGGAGAACGAGCAAGCTTGCAATATAACGATTTACTTTGTTGCTGGCCTATATATGGGAGTAGTATCGAGATTAAAGTATCAGTAGGCAGTGAGGTAAAACGTAATAGGAACTTAACTTGTAGGACGAAGGAGCGTTCTTTCATGGTGGGCAGATTGGCAAGGTGGAGCATAAGTCGGGCAGACGATCTACTGGATCCACCAAAGATTCGTCGAATACACTTGTTCTGGGTATCTTCGAATTGTTTATATTGCTTCGCAGTTAGGGGTATCAAGTGAATACAGTATCTTACCTTATATTTTAGACGATTTACAATTTTTAATGGACAATATACATTTTAATTTTAGAAAAGTCCATAGTATTTTGGATATTGGGATACTCAATTATTCATTGATATTCAAGCAGCATTAAGGATGACATACAATCAAACCCTAGAAATTAGTCTCTATCAGTAAGAAAGTCGCCAATAATGGTTTTATTGATGTTATCTTGCAATAGGACAAACTACAAAAAGCTTGACAACTTTTTTATTAAATGACGATGTGTTCCGAGACCAACAAGATATTCGCTGGTGCCTTTTTTGGATAAGAGTTCCAAAAAAGGTCAACTTAGAATTGATTGACGTCAAACCATTGATCGAGGGCTGAGGGTCATAGTATAGCAGATACCATAGCAGAATGGGATGGTTATATTATCTGTTGTCAATGTTTTTGTGTGCGTTCATGGGTGACTTTCAAAGATAAGCACTATAAAATATATTGCTCTCTTATAGTCAAATGTTGTCTCTTTCACTTTTATTTCACGTTTTATTTTTCATACTATGACCCATGTTCAAAACAATAATTTATGAAAAGAAAAAGCAAATTTTTGAAAAGAAAAAATCAAGTGCTGTTAATGGTAACTTGCCTTTTGAAAGCCTATCTACCTAATCATATATATATGTATAGATTAATCATCGTGTACTGTTAGATGTAACGTGTATTGATTGCGGTAAAGGGGGTCACTACACCAAACAATACTTTAAATGTGAATTATATGAGCCGGAAACTGCAGATCAAGGTAAGCACCTCATGTGGCTTTAAAAGTTGGTAAATTCATCATTAGTAAGCGACTTCATTGTACCTATAGTTGGTTCGAAAGGCAGAAAGCGCAAACAGAATTTTGAAATCAAGAAGGAAAAGAAGAAAGCAAGGAAAGAGAATAATGAAGACCCAGATGAAGACAATGCGTGTTGTACCAAATGCAAGCAACCAGGACATAAATCGGTGCGTTCTCCTCTGTGTCCTCAACATGTATTATCAAAGGCAGAGGTCTTTCAACATCATTTGGGAAGTAATTACAAGGCGTTTACAAGAAGGTTGCCTCTTGATAACTGTGTTTTTGGTGACTATCGCAACACATTCAAGTCAAAAGTTGTTGAAGCTTGTTCTGTTATCCGCAACTTGGTTCTTAGAGCCAAGCTCTTTGTGAATTATTACGTCTTGGAAAATGCCACTCTTGCTGAGCCAAAGTGTATTAAATGTATCTTTACACAAAATTTCTGGTACTCTATGATACAGCTAGTGAATGGACAAAGACCAACAAATAGTAGGCTGATATCACAACAATTACTGAGCTCGTTTGATTCTTTTAAAACGACTTACGCTAAGATTGTCTTCCCTGTCAAGCTCTTTCCTGGACTTAGTCAAGCCATTACAGAAGCATGCACCGAAATTGCTACTTCCTATACGAACAGTATAGTGGAAAATTTTGAGGAGAAACTTCTCTATTTTTTGATATATAAAATACAAACAGCATTTGTGGTAAGTTGCAACTCAATATTACTTGGGTCTTACATGAATTTTTAAAAAAAGCTCTCATCTTGCGTAGTGTATGCCTTGGAAGCTTGTAAAAAAAGTCACAAGTGATTTCTGCTATCAAGAGATATGCCAAGGAAAACCTAAATGGCCAACTGATGACTACCTTACCAAAGATATAAAAGCAAAGATCCAAACCTTCTGTGAACCTTGGAAGAAGAAGCTGGGGAAGAAAGTGAACATGAAGACATTATCCGCTGATCCTGGGTCTTTCGTACCCTTTTTGTTATCTTTGAACGCAGAATTTGAGAGGGAACACGATGATCATAAACCATTTGACGTACGACGACGTCCTCTTCCAAAATTGCTATCCTTACTGCCAAAGGTTTCCGTTCAATGGAGGTTCATTACCTTGAGCGTGAACGCTCTGTCTTCTTTTGTGAAACGTTCTTTACCCCGCAATTACCAAAGCCAATTAGAGCTGTTTTTCCATGTCTTTGATTTCAAGAAACTCCGGTACAAAAGGTAAGCATACAGTTAATACGGTATACAGTCGAGTATAATGTATGAGCTTTAACTTCTTGGGCACTTGTAGTATCTCTGAACTAACACCGAATGGTGATAACAAAGAGCTCTTTGGTAATATTGTCAGAACAGATGGGTTTTCAGTTGACTTTCTTTTTTATAAAAGACAACAATCTGGCCATGGTGCCTCGTTCCAAAAATTTGACCTCACTCTTGATGATTTCTCTCTGGATGAAGTTGACAATACTTATTTACCTATTACCCTGGATCCCGGAAGAAAGTCTGTTTTTACTGCTGCTATTGGCCTTGAATATAACAGACAAGTGCGAAGATGCACTACATCTGAATACTATCATATGACAGGGTCGACCCAATACAGTGCCAAGTTAAACAGAAAGAAGGCTGTCACAGGCATAGATCTCATAGAAAGTCAGATACCCTCGCCAAAAACCTCTCGTTTGGAAATATATGAGCTATACACTGCCTATACACTCAATAACCTGGACGCTCTCTTGGATTTTTATGGACTCGAAACTGCAAAGGACCGGTTTTCATTGTACCAAGGAAGGCAAAGAGCACCAGAAACTATGGCCAACATGTTGACTCATGGAACGGCCAAGTACAATCACAAGAAGAGAAGCAAGGCAAGGAAGAGGAAAAGACATCGGAAGAAGAAGAAGAAAGGAAAGAATGTTGACGAACAGCAGCCAACAAAGTGAGTTTCAATGGAATTACATGTTCATCGTTTAGCTTATCCATTCATTAATACTTTTTAGAAGTGCCAAGAAGTGGAAGGCTGATAAGTACTTGGAATCCCCTAGAAGGGTGCCACTGATTGTGTTTGGTGCTGGAATGTTTGGCAAAGATGCAGTGAAGTTGAAAGGACAAAGATGTGGTGTTGTCGGTAAACTTTTTGCAACTCTGAAGAAACGTGAAGCTGAAGGTCAATTGATTGTTGTCACAATCGATGAATTTAAAACCTCTAAAACATGCAGCCTCTGTTTCTATGATGATATGCAAATTGTTGATACTCCTGGATTCAAGGGTACCGGCGTTCTTCACTGCAAGCAATGTCTAGAGCTATGGCAGAGAGACATTAACGCTGCTATTAACATGATGACTATATCTCAAGCAGTTTGGTCCGGAGCTGGAAGACCCGATGTTTTTAAGCCAGCGAAGAAGAAAAAAGTATCGCCGTAATAAACACGGTTTTCCTTCATTTTAAGGATTTAGATCATTACAGGTAAGGAATAGTACGGTATTTTTTTCTTGTTTTTTTTTTGTTTCGCAATACTGACAAGTTTTTGGGATTTGAATCATTGTTTGAACGGTTTATATTTTCGTCTACAACACAATTGCAACTCATCTAAAATGAAAATATTAATCGTCCAAAAAAAAATGTATTTCATCTAAAATATTAGTTAAAAATACTGTAGTTGTTGAAAAAGAATTCAAATTCCTCTTCCATTTGCATGAAGCTGTCACCTAAGATTTGAGGCTTTTGACGACAAGTTGAAACAAATTGAATGTATGTGTCCAATTACTCTATCAATAAAAGTGAAAGAAAAAAACGCTGAATTGGTCTGTCTCCTTGAAGTAGTATTTTAATTCGATACAGTAACAACGGCCATCGTCAAAGACCTTCACACCGTTTGAGCTTGAATTGTTGACGACGAGTAACTATAACATATTGACATACTTGTACCTCAGATACTAATGGCAAGATACGAGGGTTTCATAAACTACGTTCCATTCAACTATACTACTGCTTTACCTACTCTTTCCATGCCAGTTTTTATGGCTTTGAGAGTTTGAAGCAAAGATTAGGTATAGATGATTTGTTTGGAGAATCCAGTAAACTATCGAGAAGTGACGATATAGAATAACTTTCTTTACAAATAACGTAATGCTTTCGATGTCTCATGAACGAACTCCATTCTGGAAAAAATGAAAATTATTCACTGTAGATGACACACGAGCTCACAAGAGCAAGAAATACGGGTGAATCGATTACTACTTTTCACAGTGGCTTTCTAAAAAACTTGATAATCGCTATAGTAATCTCAGGTCAACGATAATTCTGAAGCCTTTGAGGATAATAATAGCTGGAAACAATATTCCATCATTGTCTAGTCTCAGGGAGCTGGTTTTCTACTGACATTAAGCGTTCAACACGACCTCGGCAGCTGTCAAAAAAATATTGCCTGCAATTCGAAACAAATATGATGACTTAAACATGATCTAACCATAATCAAATAGTCCTCCTGTTTATCCGTTAATTTCTTCTTGCTCTTGGGCTTGGCAATCTTTGAATCATAGTCATCTTTGTGCTTGTTGAGAATTTGAGTATGTTAAAGATGCGCGAACTCTGGTTTTGCCACGCAATAAATTCAAAACTTACTGTTATCATTTAAAAGGCGTTGATAATTTGCGCTGTTCAAGCGCCCTAATATCGCTATAATTGGTACAAACTCCTATATCTGGAGAAATGAACATATAATATTAATATGATGATTTTGTAAGAAGCATAAGAGGGTTTGCAGTGATATCATTTTCATTTGGCACCTTTTGCATTCTTTCCATTTCTTTTTAAAAGGAACTTTTGCTGTTTGACAAATTAACGAGATGCAGAAGTGAAGAGTGCTGTTATATGCAGAAACGAAGAGAAAAGGACAATTTAAAGAAAGGTAACTACATAAATTAGTTACCGTAACTGTAATTAGTTTTTGGATTATTATTCATCTCTCAGAGAGAACTACAAATTGGTAATTATAAAATACGTTGTTATAACCCGTATAAGAAGCTTAAAAATCTGATAGAAACGAGGAGACAGTCATTCTTTTCAGTTAGACCAATTATAGCATCATAGAGACTTACCATCTAAGATTCTTAGTATGCTCACTGAACTATTGTCCTCATTACTGTCAAATCCCCTTAGCTACATTTCATATGAATTATTACATAGTAATAAAATAGCCCATCTCTATTTAGTAAGGTGCATATATTTACATAGTTTGAAAAGGAGGTCTCTGTCAAAGTGTTGAAAACTTCTTTAGAAAAGAGATGAATTCTACCTATCGATATGGGTTAAACAAGAGATATTCCATTTGTTCGTTCTCAAACTAGCAATTTCTCATCTCAATATTTGTATTGTCCTTTGGTTCCTAAAGCGCTACAATCTCCAAGCATATCTTGTCTATGAGAACGTGAGACGCGTAGAGTTGAAACGATGCTTAAGCTATGCTTGGAGTGTTTTTACCATGTATAAGATCGTTTCTATGAATCATTTGTTTTCGTTGTTTATCGAATTACAGCACAATAGTACGCTTCATATTTTTGTACGGACACTACGAGCAATCCTTTGTACCTGACAATTTGTTGTTTCGTCGACTCAGTTAATTCGCGGTTCATGCATAAATTCGTGACGCGCGAATAACTTCAATAGAGTGGGCGGCGGAGGTGTCAAGATTTCTTTTAATTCTTCTTTTTGTTAAAAATTACCAGTTGATCAAGAATGGATGCTTCAAACGAAATCAACGAAGTTGAACCGAAAGACATCGATGTACAGTTGTGAATATGAAACAGCTACACCTAAACAACGATGATTATGATCTAATAATTACCTTTCTACAATCTTTAAACAGTTCTTCAAATTCACAAGTCTTGTAGCCGATGCAAAAGTATCTTTGCAAGATACACCTTTCAACACTATTGAATATCCTGCCACAGTATCGCTACTAGCTGTTTCTAATAAATATGGAAAGTTTGTTGCTGCAACGACTGATGGTACGAAAAAACTCAGAACTTATCAGTTACAATTATGTTAAATAGCCCGTTATCTTTATTGTGGCATTGATGCCATGCAGGCTTTATCTTGGCCTCAACTAGGGATCTCAGAAAAACTTTTTATAGTGCTTCTAAAGGTGCAATTGTGCCGTTTGACAACAAGATTACTGTACCAATTGGGGAGCCTATTTATCAAGTTCGTTTTACCGCTGAAGAAACACAGATAATTGTAGCAGTATCCGGAGGGGGTTTGTTATTGTACAATATTGCCGAAATCGAAAGCAATGTAATGTATATCAATTGCATTTATTGTTGTAAGTACTATGTCATTAATCCATCTGCCGCAATTTCATTGTAGAAAAATGCTACTCAGGCAGCAAAATCATATACATTTGCCGACGGTATACGAGACATACGTCCCAATCCTGAAGTTTATCCTAACATGGTAGCTGTTCTGTTGAATAACGGAGGATGTGAAATTATCGATAAAGACAATGGAGATACAGTGTGTAAACTCCCGTTAGATAATATATCAGCAATCTGTTGGTCACCTAAAGGAAAGCAGATCGTATGTGGTAAAAAGGATGGTGCTCTACAGCATTTTGATACAAAAGCTACCTGTAAATACACGATTGGTATTCCGAATAGTATGGAAGCTAATCAGTTGGGAGAATCCGAGAATAGATATGGTAAATATATACATGGTCGTTGAAACGAGCTTAATAAGGCTTACCGTTTTACCTTTCATACCTTACTTTCTTATAATAGTGCAAGATGTTCTCTGGATTGAGAACGATATATTTCTCGTAATTTATGCACGTAAACGTGAGAATGCGGAAGATGATTTCATTCATGATACTTATCTAATCAACCGTAAGCCAAAACGCGGTGCAGGTATCGATTATACGTGCCTTCCAGATATTGCACCTGCATATACAATTGAAGGAAGAGGATTTCACTTCTATATGGAAATTATGCGTGGATTAGGCAAAGAAATTGAACATCTTGTTATTGTTGCTAGTGCTGCCTGCAGTGAAACCTCGGTGATTGGTAACGGGGGTCTGGATGAGAAACAGTGGGCACCGTGGTTGCTGCCAGAAACTGGCAAAGCGAACCTACCCTTATCAAAAGAGACATCGCTGGATACATATCCTGTAGGTGTTGCTCTGGATTTTACAGCAGATGAAAATTTACCTCCAATTGATGCCAGCACAGAAAAAGAGACATTACCCGTACCAATCTTCTACTATCTTAATGATGAAGGTTTACTTGGGGCTTATCATTGTTACAACGTGGAATTGGCCCGTCGAGGGGAAACATATAAGTCTCAACCAAAGAGTGATCTAGCAACCGATACACCTTCAGCACCCGTTTTAAATTCTGCAACAACTACTAATACTGCGTCTTCGAGTGCTTTCGCTAGTGCTTTTGCTAACAACACTCCCTCTAGTGCCTTCAGCGATCTTTTAAGCGGGAAAAACTCTTCTTTTACTGCATCAACTTTGGCTACTCAAAGTAAACCATTCAGTAGCTTTGCGTCTCTGGGTACCAATACTCCCTCATTTTCCTCGTTGGGAGCGAGCGCTAAACCTATGCCTAAGCCGAATACAGCTGTCTTTGGTGCTTCTTCTGATTTTGGGTCCACCACAGCTAATAAATCAGTGAGCTTTGGATCTTCTACTGGGTTTGGATCCTCCAACACTACCAGCAAACCTGCGACATTTGGTGCTTTATCAGGCTTCGGCACTACGAAGCCTGCTTCAATGCCTGCAACGTTCAATTCACCATCTCAAATCGACAACGCACCAGCATCTGCCACTGCCAACAATAATGCTGCATCGCCGGGTTTAAATGCCTCTAAGGCTACTGCATTTTCTACTAGTGCTACTGTTGGCACTACCGACAAATCTGTGGCACCAACAGTTGCGATACCTGCTTCAACTACCACTACTTCTAATGTTCCTGAAGTTAGTAGCAGTGCACCCAGTGAAACAAAGCCAACCGTGATCACTACCGCTCCTTCCTCTATACCCCCATCCTCGAAAACTACACCCAGTAACGTATCAAAGATACCCACAGCAGATACTTCGACGTTGACTGCACCTGTTCCTTCTGTATCCATAACTGAGACATTCAAGCCCACAGCCAAAGAAGGAATGGCCAAAGAATACGAAAACATTTATATGACTGTTAAGGCAGAAACTGGCAAGGTATTGACTTCAGCGCCTAAAAAAAACAAAAAAGAGATGTTTATTTGAGCGAAAGTATGAACTAAAATGGTTTTCTTCTCTCGTTTTCAAAATTTGCCCGGCAATAGTTGAAAGAAACTTCGACCAAGCTCAATAAAAGCATGGAATACCACACTAAGATACTGGAAGATAGGACGGCAGCAAGTTTCTTGGATGACAATTTAGTATGGAATTTGAATGATATCAACAGCTTGAATAAACTTACAAAGGAGCTGATTCAAGATAAGGAAAAAGATGAACAGAAAGTAAAAGAAGTGCAACTGTCTGTTAAATTATTGATGGATGATTTAAGAAAATGTAAGTGACATAAAAAGGACATGTAAAATTTTTAATATGTAAAATGTTACTAATTCTGTTCGCTTGTATATTTTAGTATTAGAAAAGAAGGAAGAGATTAATTATCTTTTGCAGTCAAATGCCAATGAACAGATAATTCATATTATTGATAACAGGGAATTAGATGCAGAAACAAGTTCGGCATTACGAGCACTAGAGAGTAAGTCAGAGGCCCATAATGATTTACTCAAAAAACTTGAATGGAGATTACTTGAGCATGAAAAAAGAGAAAAGATCAAAAACCGGCATACTGAAGGGTAGGGTTAAAACCTTTTAAACTGTGGATGAACTTTTCCGTACTAATAGCAATCTACTTTTTCTTTACACATCAAGACAACTTTCACTATACACTCTGCATCGAGCTATTCGTGATATTGAATTGGATATTAGACGCAAAAAGAAGGATTTGGATGAAGCAGAGGAGCGATTAGCTGAGTTAACTTTGGAAGAAAGTAGCAGACGAGCCAAGCAAGCTTCAGTAGGATTCACTTGTGATGATCTTTCTGATACTGATGAAGAATCAAGCGATGACAAGCAAAATGTGTCAAAGAAAACAATCAAACAAACAACTATGCATATCCGAAGATATAACTTTATGGATAAAGTTTGTACTGGGTTAAGCAATCAAGCAACCCTTGAAATATCTATCAATTGAATGGGAAAGAGCGTATAATTCTCATTACTCTTTTCCGTTATAACAATACATTCCAAACGTAAAAATAATAATTCACATACAAGGCCTTCTTGCCGACACTTTGACATAACGTTTTTTTGTATTGTATAATAAAAATGCATGGTTTATTGGTAGCTACATCGTACAGTATTATTGTTTTTTTGTTCTGCAATATGGTCATCAATTAGAAAGAAATGATATAATTTATTAAATAATGATAGTTGTTGCTGCTGTTGTCGTTGGATCTGCGTGGCCCAAAAAGAAAAAAAAAAAAAAAAAGAAAAAGAAAAAGAACTCTATTACTGAACCATCATATCCTAAAAGCAAAACGTAAATCTGCGTTAAGAAAAAAAAAAAAAAAACACGAACAGGTTTGAAAGGAAATAAAAAATCTAGTATGTTGTAAATACCTGCTCGGCAGCATCTGTAGTTTTCTCTTCTTGCTGAGGAATTGTATTTTGAGGGTTCATCCAGTCAATTGTGTATCTGCATAAATAATAGTATAAATAGACTTCTCCAAAGATAGTACTTCCGTGCTCTCTAATTACTAACCTGGTTACTTTCGGTTTATCAGCTAAAATGTTTCTTTGTAAGCGATCAATCCTAGGCTCTTCAGGAGGATTCTCTTGTAATTCCTGATCTATGTATTCATTATTGACGTAGTAACCAATACGAACAAATTCTTTGTCTTGGTAAAGGCAGCACAGCAAGACAACTGTTACTTCTAAAAGGTCTGCTTTGGGTAGCAGTTCAATTTTAGGTGCGTCAGCCTATAATTTGGATCGTGTTCACAAAGTTAGTATTGCACATTCCTTATGCCACTAACAATCCCACTTTGCAGTTAACTCACCGAGAAAATAAATTTATTGATGCCTACAGGAATAGGGCCCAGCATAATAGATTCGAGTACTTGATCGTATTCGGAACTTTCGGCTGATCCAACATAAATCATTCGCCATTCGAGATCTATTTAAAGGCAAGAGCATGCTTTAATTCAAGATCACGAAAGTATCTTACAATTGGACCTTACCATCTGGAAGAGGAGCGTTGCACTCGAGCGTAATTTCAAACTGAAAGGGATCTGTGAATTTTGTAGGATTATCTAAGACTTGAACATTCAAAATGTTTACAAGTGACATTTTATAAGCGATAAAGAGAAAAGGAAGCAAATTAAAGAAGAGGAAAAGGAAAGAAGAATAAAGTAGCGACGCGCTCAAAGAACGCCGCTTAACGCGTGTAACTTCATAACTAAGTTACGGGATTTGCTTTCCGCCGTGAATTGTTCTTGAGCTACTTGCAGCGGCTGGATCAGTGGATGTAATTTTCGAATTACTTAAAAAGTCTAAAATTGATAAAAAAGATCTGCAAAGCATAAACCCAAAGCCTTCTTCTTGTTTCTCCATTGAACTCATTGATCTAAATATATCATTGTAATTTGAATCATGCCCTCAGTTGATAACATACAAAGGGGCTATTTAACAGTCTTCCCAATCTCAAAGGAAATCGGACGATCTTGTGGGCATATTTTTGATTGGTCTACTTCCAGCTTTTTGGAAAAAATTAGAGGTAGGTTTCAAAGTTCTAAAACGACAGGTCAACACACAGATAGGGGCAAACCTCAACGGACCTGCAACGTAATTAAATTTTGTAGTTCGAATACAAGTGCTGAAAAGTAAGTAAGATCTGATTCACACCGAAGAAGGGTATAATCGAAGCCTCATATTAATGCACACTTTACGATGCCTGAAGCTTTGCTGAGGATCATTCCAAATCAATACCACCTTTCATATTTATGGGCCTAAACAATATCGCGGAGTTTTGCTTGATAGAATTTTTTGTGAACAATTGAATGCCCAAGTTTTAAAACCTGTTTTGTTGATTGTAAATACGAATAAAAAACTTTTTACAGTCATAGTATTCGACTTAAGTATGATGCTCGAATCTGATTTTGCAATATCTCTTCTAAAGAGGCCATAAGAAGTAGGTAGCCCATCAAAGAAAGCTCAGCAGCTTACTGAGATGTTTCAAAACGATGTATAAACGGGAATTGATCCTAAGGATCCTTCAAACCGATAATATCTGATAACAAATCCGTTGATGTTTGACTTTTTTTGGACTGCACTTTTTCATCTGTGTCTGCCGTTTTATTTTTTGTTCGGGCGTTTCTTGATTTTTCGACTACAACCTCAACTCTTGGTTTTTAGGTCTTTTTTTTGGTTTCTTTTCTTTATTTTTCATTTCGATTTCAAAACTTCCGTTGATCTATGGACATACACCGTGAAGTCGGCGCAACCAGTCTGAGAGATGAAGAGTTCACTGAAGAAAACAGTAAAATTCATAGCCAGCCGTCGTCGGACGCAATAGACACTGATGTTGCACAAAATCAACCTGTCAGAAAACCTAAAGTTGATAGACAGTTACAGACCTCTTCTACTTGGCCTAAATTGCCAGTGTTGGCCTTAACAACTAGTGATGATTCCGACAACTATCAACCTGTCGATATGCCCAAATCTCCATCTGTAGAATCGATGCCCTCTAATATGTTGAATAGTGAGCTTCTTGCAGACAATCCTATTCCCACCCATAACGATAACAAAAATAACGGAAGAAATATTTTTGCAGACACTGATTCAGAAAGTGACACAGTAGATATCCTGGATCAACAACGACAACATTCGAAGCAAGCTGAATACGAAGATGATGCATCCATAAATACGCTCAGTCGAATGCCCTCGTTAAATAACGACCATCATAGAGTAATGACTGAGTTCGGTCTTGATGATTCAGCAGCAAACACATTGGTGGAAGCAGCTTTGGACAAAGACGAAGCAAAAGATCGCCATGTTAGATTCCAAGATCATGTTATGGAATCTGCAGCCCTTGTTCAACGTATGTTGAGTGTCAAGATGGGCCGAGTTCCTGAGGCGGACTCGTTAGGGAGATATATGCAGGCAAGACATGAGCAGAATCAGCCTGAAGAAGAAGAAATAGAACTTGACTCGCTACCTCATCATCATATGGGAGGTGGCAGTGTCCTAGCTAGTCTTATGAAATTAGAAGCACAAAGACATACTGAAGAAACAGTGAAAAAGAAGAAGAGAAAGAATAAGGTAATTACCGTTGCTATACAGTATGACAATGAAAGCAATTTTCTGATTTTCAGTTTGTACGGCTCCTTTGTTACAGCATAGAAAATCTTTTCCAGTGAATCGACACAAAAAGCATAAACCAGCATCTATTCATGAATATCCTATTAGATCAAGCACCGATCCTTTTTCAGATGCCTCCTCAGGGCAATTAATACCCAAGCCACGTCCACAACGGCCTCCATTAGTGAATAGACCGACCAGTTGGCTATCCAACGTTTCCCATAGTCGATATGTTGTTCCCAGTTTGGAAAAGCGTAAAAAGACGGCAGCGCCGTCACTTTCGCGACGCTTTTCAAATGACAGTATGGTTACTACTGCTTCTCAATTTGAACCCATCACTCTAGAAGACAGAATTCGTATCACCTTTGAGATTGCCAACATTTTACAGAAACAAGAGTTTTTACGTAAGCTGTGCAAGTCGCTTATGTTATATGGTTGCCCTGCACATCGTCTAGAATCCGCTATGCAGAAAGTTTCTCGTACTTTGGCAGTTGATGCAGAATATATATATATACCCAATGTGATGCTCGTCACATTTATAGATAATACTACGCATACAACGGAAACTCATTTTATCCGTCAAGCTCAAAGTTTTGAAATGCATCGATTAGCAGATATATACCGCTTAGAAAAACTTGTGTCTCATGGCGAAGTAACAGTAGATGAGGCTTTAGAGTTCATTGATAAAGTCTATGAACAACCATCTATCTACCCATTATGGTTACATCCTTTTGTTTATGCTTTGGCTGCATTCTCTGGTAGTATCCTATTCTATGGTGCTCGATGGAAGGAGGCTGGTGTTGCAGCTGCGCTGGGTAGTAAGTATTAGCAGGTTAATTTTGTCCTATTTTAGTCATCATTCAAAATTGGCTTAATTAATTATGAATTTTTTAGTGGTTTTCGCTTCGAATGAAATTTTTGCCTCCTTCATAGCAAGCTTTCAACCTATTTGGGAGATTACTGTGTGTATTTTGATCGGGTTTGTAGCTCGTGGTCTTCAAAAATATGAATTTTGCTTTACGCCTGTTGCATTCCCGTCATTTATTATTGTGCTGCCGGGTTATCCTATGGCTATTGCTATTATTGAATTGGTATCGCGACAGCTGGTTAGCGGTGTTGTCCGCATGATCTATGCTCTGATATACTCATTTCTGTTAGGCTATGGTGTATCCATGGGCTCAGAACTGTATTTGACAATAGACAAGAACTCTAATACAATTCAGAGTGATGTTTGTAAACTCGTTTCTAACGCAACTACCTGTATTCAAAACGAGTCTCCGTGGTTTAACTTCTTGATGGTACCCATGTTTGCTTTTGCTTTCTCGGTATTTTTGCGTGCCCGTCTCCCAAGGTTTCCGATTATGGTTGTTGTTGCCGCGTGTGCTTATACAATCAATTACGCACTCGCATGCTGGGCACGTGTACCCTCGCAGATTCTTCAAGTGGTGCCGGCATTTGGCCTTGGTTTGATTGGTAATTTGATTTCAAAAACTACAGGCAAAATGTCTTTTGATGCTGTATTGCTCGGCGTTTTTTATCTGGTGCCTAGTGCTCTCGGTTTGAAAGCTGCTTATGGTGTTTTTACAGGCACGAATGAAGCCGGTGATCAAGGTGCTGGATTTGCGTTATCCATGATTGAGACATCCATCGGTATTACCCTTGGACTTTTCTTAGCAACATTAATAGTATACCCTAAAGGAACACAGCATACACCCCTCATGAATTTATAAATGACATTGGCAAATATCTGTATTATAGTTCTGTAATAAAGTTTTTAATTGTTGGATTTTTTGTTTTTATATATTGCTTACAGTCACCAAGAAACCCTAGCAAGCACAGGGCGGTGATCACTTATATACAGACCGTCATCAAATCTATTGCTGAGAATGGCATAATGGTGAGTTTTGACATTAAACTTTTCGCTTTGCAAATGCATAATAAAGTCAATACGGATAGGTGCGCGGTTATATTCTTCTCCAATGCCAAAACTAGTCAAAGTATTCCTATATCCATAGGGTCCGCTTAAAGCACCCGCGGCACCTTTTGTTTCCAGTAAGGTGGTCAACTCGTGCTGTGCGTCTCTGAAAAAGATCTCAGAATGCGAGATGTTCGCCTTGGAAGATTCAGCTTCCGGTTTTTTAATATGATGAAGTATATCTGCAGGACGAATCACACGATGTGTAGGTAATGTCATATGTTCGTCAGACGTACGCACAGGTTCATTGGTTTGCCTAGAAATAGCGGATGCACATACTTGATTCAATCTCTTAATGTTGAGCAGAGTATCATTTTTTCCGTTGAAGTCGTTGTACTGTCCACCTGTCAAAGTAATATATGCTGGATCTTTATCAGTTGAGTTCAGATCGCCTAAAAGAAATACTGGTCCCATTTTACTGGCATCTTTTGCTATTTTCAATATCAGTTTTGCTGCTTCCTCTTTTGCTCTCTCTCCTTTATGGTCAAAGTGAGCATTAAATATAGTGAAATTTATGCCGTCGTCTTTCTTCAAAAATCTAGGAGGTGCATTAAACAGTGTATGAGAATTCAATTGCCTTACGAATGTGCATGTGCTATATGTATGTATATCTTACGTTATCTGCGTTGCTATACGAGGATGTCTTGCATCCCATCCAAGACTTCCGGGAACGTTGGGCTCCTACATATTGTCTGTTATTGATTTATATTCGTGCGTCAAAAACTGGCATTTTTTTTTTTTTTAATCTTCCCCAACTCAATACCTCTGATAGCCAAATGGTTTTCCAATCTTCTATTGCTAAAACTTGTCTTTTAAAAGTAGTTTTTGAAAGCAGGAGAGAGAGTCTTACGTTAATGAAATGGATATAACAGAAAATAATTACTTCCATACTTTTTATAGAATACAGCAGCAAATTCGCCTTTTTCTTCGCCGTCTTCACGACCAACACCCACCCAATCGTACTCATCATGAAGCAAAACTTCGAGATCTCGCAGTTGATGAATGAGAGGCTCCTAGATATGTACAATTCAAATTTAGCGGAATAGAAAAAGAGCAAAGATAATCAAAAATAAGTACACACACCTGCAGGCCAAGCACGTCCGGTAGATAAAGTCTTATTGTGTCTGCTATTTTCCACTTCCTGATAGACCACGGCTGCTCTTCTGCGAATTGCTTCGGATCAAAAGGATCTTCCTTTGTGGGAGGTGATAGAAAAGGCCTTTTCTCTCCATGATCAAGCCGTATGTTAAATGTCATGAAAGTTAGTTTATCTTGCATTTTTGACAGTGACAATTTAAACAATAACTAAAATAAGTAATTGAAACAAAGAAAAAGAAAGTAGCGCAACGTTTGCAACAACAGTAATGCAATTACTTGGTTTTTGGTATTTTTGGCGGCTATCGAAACTAATTTATAATGCTTTGATCAACGCGTGGGGAATATTTTCATAGAAAATGAAGAATTGCTCATTCTAAGCACTCTGGGGTTGAAGCTCCACTGATCCAAAAGTTAACTCTTTGTTTTAGTGCAGTCTACGGAAGCCTTATTTAACAGAATCAAAATGAAGGTAGTCTCTTATTATCAGAATGACAGTCTAGAGATCCATATCATCATCTGGCTTGCATGAACTTGAAACAACCATTCGATGATGTAGCCTGTCAAAGTAAAATTACAGCATGCGGTCAAAAGGTGCCAATTTAGTTTCAATGGCCGCTACAAAAATTAAATAAAAAACCCTTATGAGCGCTGTAAATAGACATTTGAAACCTTGTAAAACAAGGTAAGTATGATTACAGGCTCACGTCGCCCGCGTGCAGCTGCAAGAATAAATCGAAACGCTAAAAAGCTTCTTTTCTTGCAAAAAAACTGCTCTGTTATGGTGAGGGATATAGTCGGAATACACTGAAACAAAAGAAAACTTTAAATGACAAGCTACTATTGATGTAGTATGCTGTTTATTGAGACGTGGGTTTCTCTGCAGCCTTCTCAGCTTCAAAGGCATCACCGTAAATTAATTCGTAGCGCTTTCTAGTCTCTTCATCCAAAATCTGTGCTCTACCTCTACGTTCGTAATTTACCATATATCTATCTGATTTATGAGCACCTCCGCCCAGTGCAAAACACATCACGATATAAAACTAAAATGAACATTACCATGTATAAATTGTCCCTCTATTGTATTCTAATTTTAGGAAAACACGACTCGCAGTTTGTTCCCTGTATCTTACCTTGTTCACAGTTTGAGTTCGACGATACCATGGCATAAAAGCGTAAAGCAAACCTGAGGCGAAAAGACCAACACCTGCCCACTGCGCAGCACCAACAGCAAACCCTTTCATGGCATAACGACCTGCATTCTCTTGTTCAGTATTTGTAACCACTCTCATTTTGAAATTCGAATTCGAAAGATCAAGTTAGTAATGTCGAAAAAGAAGGCATGCTTGCAGGAAGGTGGGGGACAGTTTAAATGCAACCGGAGTGTCAAAAGGTGTCACCTTCCAATTTTGGAACGGACGATTTCAGTGGTGTAACAGACCTCTTCGCCAGTGAGTAAAATGTTTAGCCGTGATCGGATGGCACGCAACATTACGAGGTTCTCAATACTTCTACTTCTAGTAACTATACGTCAATAAGTAATCCAGGTTGTAAGGTAGAAATATTTTCAATTTTAATTGAGAGGCAGCAACTTATATCTGCATTGGCATGGATGGAACATGGAAGCGTTCAATGGTCTGTTGTATCTTGTATATTGATGTATTGTCACCGATATTGAGGAGAAACTAAGAAATAGAGACTCATTTATTCTAAATGGCACGAATGAACAACCCATACCGATGAAGCTGTTATCATTCTGCCAATAGGCTGCTTATTTTCATAAGCTAAAAATAATGGATGAGCGACCCAAGCGCCTTGCTAGTGATTAGTCTGTCTGCTGCTTCAACAAGCAACTCGATCAGTTCATTGATATGCAACTACTTGAAATTGCACGAACAGCAATAAAAGGATCCGTCGACAATACAAACAACGAAGGCAGTGAGTGATAACTTGCAAAAGTGCCAGAAAGAAATCCAAAAGTTAAAAGATACAAACACTATTATTGGATATACAAGCAGGCCCAAACCTTGTCTAGTGAAGATGAAGCAGAACGAAGTGTTTACACTTTGAAAAAAGCCAACACCTGTTTAGCCTTATATTGTTGAAATCATGTATAAATTTATGAGAGGGAACAACTATCAATATTTGAGGAAAAAGATACAGTATGCCCCATCTGGCTTGAATTTAATTACTTCAAGCATCATCCAGAGTATGTCTTTACGTTTAAAGCATTGAAACACTACGTCTTACCACATTTAATTTGATACATGTACCGTTATTCCTCAATCATATTAATCAAGCCATTATGCTCAGTGCATTTTTTCAACAAGCATCACTCAACACACCTCAGAAACTTTTCTTAGTGAATAACATAAAAGGAAATAGGAATCGCATGAGATAAATATAATTAGGAAGTACCTTTAGTATAAAGCAGATTTTCATCAACCATACTTAAAGCAGAGCTGTTTCACATAACGACACAATAACCTTAGCATATGGAAGACTTTTGAGGATGTTGCTTGTAGAACTGCTCAACTTAAAGGATGCTTGTGATGGTGACATTTAACTCAAAAATAATTCAAGCAACAGCACTAGCAGCGACAACGGTAGCAGTTGCCTTCACGTTTGGGATATTCGTCGCCAACAAACACTCCAAGGACTACCATTATGACATAACAAATCGACATAAAATATGTTGCCTGTTGACATGTTCAAGCCTCTAACGAACAATCAGAACTAGAAAATTACCTAATCATCACATCGCATCATACTAGTCAAAGCTTTACACGACGATAGTTATCAGTGAACAGCAGTCGCGTGAAATGGTGTTGAAAAGATTTGTTTTGGCAAAGTATGGATATTATCCGCTAAAATCAATACAACTAAAAGTTTTCTTTTTTACGTTTTCACTTTGCTATTTGACGAAAGAGGGGTTTTTTATATTCTCACCTTCAATTTCAAACATGAGTTATTGGATTACATATTAGTATTCGTCAGATAATTTATTTTCGAGAGGTTGAACAAAATAGACATAACACATACGTAAATTGATACTATTAAAATTTCTTCAGTGACTTTTCTTAAGAATTGAAGGGCCTGCACCCCTCTCGTAATAAATCCGATAAACACATTTGAAGACCATTTTAAAAGAGTGATAATGGCAGCAGCTACTGTTGGATTACAACGACGAGGATTCTTGTCCATATCAAACATACTCAGCTCTAAAAAGCATTTCTCTGAAAGAAAATTGTTAAAGTAAGCTTCGTTTGAAGGACCTTATATTATGATACGTACGATGATACAGTAAACTAAGTACAAGTAGTTTTTCACAGAATCAGCTATACAATGTCGTTTCAAACGTAGACGATTACTACTTGTTTGTTCCTTATTGTATTCATTCGAAGGTGTACAGTACACGAAAACTCAATGACATTACAAGCGTAATGCAGGCTGAGTTAGGTGTTGGCTTTAAGCTATTTAAGGAGAAATACATGTCTGAAGTTACGTGTCAAAAGCCTAGTCTTGTAAAGGTATGTTACCGCACAGCTTCTTCTAAAGGATCAATCTTTGCTAACTTATATTCTTAGGCAGTTGCAGCTGACGCTAGCTTATTCAATGATATGGTTACAACTTGGAGATTGACACCCAATCTACCAAAATCAAGGCTAAACACACCAGATGCAGCTAATCACCCTACTTGCTGGATTGACTTTGACATTATGTTTCAATTTGCCTCACCAGTACATGCACAGGCGTCCTCTGTATTTTTCGATCAAGTGTCACGGATGACTTTACAGGCTTTCATAGATAGATGTCATGCTGTTTACAAGAAATAAAGAAAAGTACCTTTTGGCCTTTAGAAGGGGTGAAGTCGAAATGATTTCGGTTAATATTTTCTCCAAAAATGTCCTTGTTGCCTTTACCTGGGATCAATCTGTGAAAATTTTTTTAGAAATGTTAGTGGATGAAAAGCTTGTTTATCGCCTTTCTCAGCATGTGCTCAAAATATTTACATACAAACGGGTCTCTATCGAAAAACTAAACCAAATGAATATTGTGGAACCTGCTGCCCTTTCTTAAACAATTGGTTAAGACAAGATGCACATTGATAAGCTCGAAGCAACTCATTTTTGGTGGCTCTTCTTGATCACTAGTGATTATCATGCTCTTCTTTTTGAAGCTTTCTACTATGCATGAACGCCTTCACAGACTTCAATCAAATTTCTTCTTCTGTCTAAAGGTCTCCCTTAGAATGGTCTATTTATCCTTTTACCGTTCCCTCAACAATATATCAGTCGATCAGTGTGATTTCATTTACATCTAATGTTGTTTGGCCAACTGTATTACTCCTGTGGTTCATAAGAGCTTCTATAAAGTCATCGAGAATATCGGTAAAGAACTTAGACGATTTTATACGCGCGACGTGCCTGCTCACCAAACAAACATCACCATGTTGACCGTATATGTCGCTCAAATTCATTTTACTACTTTCATTGATCTTCCTTAAACGACACCGCTCTCTGATGATGCTTTGACTGGGTACCGTATAATAACTACACCTATTACCCCTGTCACCCTTACTGAGTCCTTACCAAAACACATGCTATCAAGTATCTGAGCATGTATCACCGAATAGACTTCACTATTTCCGACCTGTTGTCATTCCTTCTGAATATCATCTCTATGCAAGCACCTCGCCAGCACATGGACCTTAAAATGGATTACCATACAGATCATATTACAAACACTAGATCACCTACAAAAACTTCCACTTCCAGCACCTACCCACTTGCTCACAGCTTCTCGACATATGTACCTCAACTGTCGAAATTCTGAAGCCCTTGACATATTTTAAAGATCCTTACCCTTCCCTTAAAGAACCCATTGAAAGATTTTCAAACCCTATATAACTTGCCCTTAGTTTAAAATATAGCTCAAAATAAACGAAATTGTCGTGTAACAATTGTTATCAGCGGATCCGAGTATAAGCATTTGATCATGAATAAATACAAGTAGATAACGGTTAAGTGAGCACTCCCTTTAAAAACAATTTGTAAGAAGTTATTGATAAAAACTTCTTTCATTCCTAAGTTATTAGTTATTGATCCTTTGCCACTTCTGCTTGTCAATTAAGGCGCCATCTTCACGCTTCGTCCGTACTTATTTTAGTATCATCACAAATTAACTTACAGTACACTGAAAGGCAATCCTCTCTCTCTAAATAAATGAGTTCATCTACAACACCATACAATATGATCAACGTTCAGCACATTCACCTATTGTACTTCTGTCATGTTTGTAAGAAGCAGTTCGACAAGAGAGCCAATCTGATGCGCCATTACCGCACTGTTGAAGGTAACGAACTGAATATAATTGTTCAAATAACCAGAATATAACATAAACATTTTTTTAGGTTATGATCTGCCTAAATTAGGTGGCCGTTTCTATAGCACCCCGAGGTAAGTAATATTCAGACATCTTTTACGGTTATAATCAAATATTTACATACTTCTTTAAAAGCATCAAGTTCATTTCAGCAGCTCAGAGAAAGTTATTTGTATGTTTAATATGCACTTATTGCTTGTCCTTGACGTTATTCTTTTCTAAAAAAAAGAAAAATGTATAGGCAAATTCCATAGATAAATATGCATGTATATGCTGTAGTGTATACGAAGATGATCTTAATAGATTAGGAGATCATATTGAAATTAAACACAGTATGTATCCACGATGTAACTATTTATATGTTATTCAACTTTTTTTTTTTTAGTGCCTCATCCTCATCCAATTCTAGAAGCAAGCTTTATTAAAGTTGAAGAAAAGAACAAATGGATATTATCCACAGGGAAAGTGGTAGAAAACACGTTGTACATGTCGTATTTGAGGGTAGATGATATACAAATATTAAAGATATAATTCACTTTATGAAGGATAAAGATGAATTATACAATATTGCAAACCAGAAATAATTAGAAACTACATAAACTCTAATATATGAGTACCGTGAATTAAGTGTTGTGTTTAGTTGACAGCATCATATGAGATGTGGAGAACTCGTATACAAATTATACAAGATCCTCACACCTCATTACTGCTGAAATAATATAAAGCAGAGTAGGAAACGAATATAGAATAAGTGATGATTCTTATACGAAATTATCTACCTCGTATAAGGCTGAACAGGTTGTCATTTAGGATATATAGTAGAATTAATATATGGACATGCAGGATATATTGATTCAACACCAAGGTATAATAGGTTATAAGTACTATTCTCTGCCTTCGGCATAAAGAATGATTACAAGATAATAGTTTGTGATCATCCTTTACAATAACTGTTCACTCAACTCAAACACCACGCACGAATACCATTTTCCTAATTAATACTATTTTCCTGCAAGCAGTGCTACATAATGGTTAGTACGGGAAAATAGGTTAGTTGCATGATCACTAGATCAAGCCATGGATACGTTTACAAGTCCACCCGCTCCGGGTAGATGCGTAATCTCCTCAAGGGAGAATTCTATTCTTTTACGGTTCAGAAGACGTACGTCTTCTTTGAGTAGAATAACTCAGCTGTCAGTTTCTAGGTTCCGCAATATGAAGAAGATATTTAAATTTTTGCAGTAGATATTTTTTCTTCTCTTTGAACTTAACTTGATTCAAAATAAAAACCTACTAGTTTGATCTCGTTAACTTTTTATTGTTTTAACTAAGTGATATTTAACTCTACAAGTCGTCAAATACCACAGTACAAATTTAGCAAGTCTTGTTTGGTAGATTACCCGGCTTGTTCCATGATTTTGGATCTAGACGATTAGACCTATCTAAATGAAAAACTTTTTACAGAAAAAGAAATTACTGAAATGAAGCAAAAAAGCCTCATCGATTACATTACCACTTTGCCTACAGGCCTGGCAAACTATATAAATAGCTTTAATTGTGATAGCACTGAAGATCTTCGAGCACAGCTTCTCAAGGTACAGGATTGGGAGAATAATTACAATCCAAAAGAGCACCATGACTTTGATTGGGTCAAACATACAATATTTTCATTCGTAAGACTTTATGAGTCAGGGAACTTGAAAAGAATTCAAAAAGAAGCATGGTATAATAGTCGTGTTTGGTCGCTGATTGATACGATCTTCGATGATATAGAAACGCTGCATGTTATTCGGTAAATCAAACAAAAAAAATCAGTGTAAACAGTTGTATATTAATTTCATTATCTCGTAGTGGCGAAGCAGCAAATGCTGCAAGTATTAGAAGAAAAAATATCGATAGAGTAATTGGATCTAAAGACACTATCACAAGAGCCCTTACTGGTTATAAGTGTGACCTGATTGTTAGAGAGGAGAAGGCTGACCACGAATATGCAGATGAATATGCAGTCGGTGAAACCGCTGTACATAACCTAAGCACCAAGACAATCGAAGAAAAGGGGATAAAATTGCCAAAAGTGATGAAAGATATGTTGGATAAATTGGTTATAAGTACCCAAAACGAGACCAACAATCTTTCAGTATTTGGAATCCAAACTGCAGGTCTATCAATAACGTTATTAGCTGCCGACAGACCAACTTCTTATCTAACTAGAATAACAAAAGTAAAAGACCTGTCTATAGCAAGTAACGTATCCCACTTTACTGGAAGCATTTTACCGTTGATAGTATTAGTATGGCAATTGAAACAGCAAATATTGAAAGTGAAAAACCAAGTATGTTCCTTTCAAAAAGGTAATTACCCGAAGGATTCCAGCGGATGGCTAAACACTTGTTTGAATCATGAAAATGTGATCGTTGTGCCTGCCACATCGACTTCAACTGAATACCTGAACAAAAAAAGAAAGCACAAAGCTTAAATCAACAGCTTTTCAAGCTCTCAAATATCTGATTACGATGTTGTTAGTAACCTTCTTTTATACACTGCATCTAAGACTTTTTTAATATCTATGAACATCAATGCCATTAAATTGATATAATAAAAGGCTATTCCATCTTCCTCCTGCCGTCATCATCTCATACGTATGAGTATGTTTATATTAGTGAAAGAACTGAAAGTCCTCGAGTAAACTGTCAGACAAGCCTACAGAATTCACAAAAATTCCGCTCACGCCAAAAGATTTCTCCATTTATTTATTATTTAAGAGGCATACTGAGAGCCATAGATATGATATGAGCCTAGTACGAGCTATAGTCTTAATGAGACGCATAATGAGACGCATAATGGAGCATCACGAGTCCAATCTCTTCTGCACGAAATTCAATTCGAGTGTTACTGAATTCTATAATGCTTCTGTTTATAATACCTTGATATCAGACAACTGATGAAAGTCTTTGAATACTGAGGAAGTAATGTTAAAAATTGCTTGCTTCGCAAATATCACCTCAAATAATTTATTTTGCAAGTTATCGTTTACGGCGGGTTCGTTGCATCTGTTCACCTCTACATGCCATACAAAGAAACAGACAGATTGTGGTGCTTCCATACCTGTTCTCATTTATAAGTAGGAATCAGACTACATCTTCAATATAAAGCATGCCATTGCACTCAAAGACTTATAATAGCACCTGTATATCAGTTATACTCGTCATTCTGTCCTGCCTATGCAGTCTGAATAACTCATTCTTATCGCTCAGAAGTCAAGGAAAGGTTTTTTTTTGAAAAACAAACATTCTGTTGCCATGAACGGATCATATTGGAACTCGTATTGATAGGCTCTATTTTATCTGGCTTTAAGTCTGCAAGTGTAGAATAAAAATAGCGAACATCCTCCTTTAACGGTGAAGAAAAGAAATAGAGCCGAACGTGAAGAATATGTTTAAGAATTAGCACGCTCGATACGCTTAATAAGCTAGTATAGCGGTTCCGTGCAAGATTCCAAAAGCTTTTTTAGGGCTCGTTTTACTGGTGCTACTGTTTGTTCAATGAACCCTCAACTTACCGGCAAAAGAAAAAGCGATCAAAGTGATATGAATGAATTTTAGACATGGAACGCGTCATACTTTTAACAACGGGTTTATTTTGCATTTGTGTATTTTGAAATTTGGTATTGTCTGTATGAAAATTTGGACAGCGATAATTGGAAAGCAATGGAAGCTAAGGACAAAGATGGGAGTAAGAACATCAAAGTATGAGTATATTGAATTTCTGGCAGTCAATAAGGTATTTCACTTTTTTCCAACTTGGAGAACAAAATTGGTATGTTTGAATTCGCTATAGCGGAGACAGTGATGCCTTGAGGCACAGCTGAAGTATATCTGCATTCAAGTAGGCAGCTTTGAACTAGGCATTTTTCAATTGAATTCAACAACTAGTCTAAGCTTTCTTTTTCTTTATTTAATTACTCAAGTCTTTTAAACTATCTAACGATTCAAACATATTACTGCTATTGATTATAGAATTTCACGCTAACTCTCTCCAATTTCTGAAAAGTCAGTAATGGCCACTTGTTGTGACTCGCTCGTATGAAACTGACGCAGTATCAACCTTAATTGTCTACGCGTCGCCTTACAATTTATTGAAATTTCGGGAAATGCTCCCTTTGCCTCCTCTTCGTCTGTAAATACATAATCTTTAAGGCACATTTCAATTACATCACCCAACAAAAAGATATATAGCGATGTTCTGGACACGTTCTGAATATGACCGTGGTGTCAACACTTTCTCACCTGAAGGTCGTCTTTTCCAAGTTGAATATGCAATCGAAGCTATCAAGGTACCAAAATTTTCTTATTGAAGCAAAAAGGATATCCAGTATTTTTAACTACCTAATTTGAAAAGCTTGGTACAACTGCCATCGGTATTCAAACCTCAGAGGGTGTTGTATTGGCTGTAGAAAAGAGAGTCTCTTCAATTTTATTAGAGCCTAGTTCAATAGAAAAAGTTATGGAGATTGACGAGCATTTAGGTTGTGCTGTCAGCGGTATGACAGCTGATGCCAGAACTATGATTGAACATGCACGAGTAGCTGCTCAGGTAAAGCAAAAAATAAGCCGAGCATTTTTCCATTGTATTGGTAGGAACTGACAACTACTTTCCAAATTAAATTATGCAGAACCATAGATTTACATACGACGAAAAACTTAAGGTAGAGAGTGTAACTCAGAGTGTTTGTGATTTAGCATTAAGGTTCGGTGAAGGTGCTAATGGTGAAGATTCAACAATGGTAAGGACATTCTTGTAAATAAAAAGAATATGTGTGTCAATAATACTTAATTACCGATTCTCCATGCCAAACAGAGTCGTCCTTTCGGTGTTGCACTACTTATTGCAGGCGTTGACGAAAATGGCCCTCAACTGTACGTCGAATATATTACAGACTATCATACTAATTGAATGCTGATGCTAACTATACAATACAGCTTCCATGCTGATCCTTCAGGTACATTTATGAAATACCAAGCCAAGGCTATTGGTTCGGGATCAGAAGGCGCTCAGACAGAATTGCAAAAAGAATATCATAAGGTAAAATCGAAAGAGGGTAATGATAATGTACTGTCAAATCTAAATGAGGTCACATATTACTTTAGTCTATGACATTAAAGGAAGCAGAAACTCTGGCTTTAACTGTGTTGAAATCAGTCATGGAAGAGAAGCTAAATAAGACAAATGTTCAGATCGCAGCTGTTACACCAGAGCAAAATTTCAAAGTCTATTCTGAAGAAGAGTTACAAGCTGTAATTGATAGATTGTAAAAATTTTCTACTTATATTTTTCTTTGCTGGAATAGCAAAATAACGCTTTCAGCAGATGGTCTGTCTCCAGCCTTTTTATTCGACGAATAATTCAAATAAATATATAAAGATGACGATGGTGATTGAAGAGCGCTATGCACGAAATCAATGTTATACCAAACGAGACAATAACTATGTATTTTTGGCTTAAATGATTAATAATAATTATATGGCTATCATTACACAGTGATTGGCGTAAAGATTGGCTGCTTGTAACGCTGGATTGTTTTAATGTTACTGAATTGCATCACAAGTTGTACTTGTTGTGGAAGGCTGTATGGATGAAAATAAGAAAGGGGGGAAAATTTGATTGTTTGACTTTAGAGGTGATAATATAAAAGGGTAAAGCTAGACTTTTTTTTCGGTTGTGTCAAGGTCGGCTTAGAGGTATAAAAGGGAAAAATGATATTAAGAAATGAAAAAGGAACAACAAGTTGGAACTTATCTCAAAAAAACCAGACCCTAGCCATAATTTTACTAAACTTGGGTTTGTAGCTATCAATTCTTTGTTATTACGAATATAATATAACAAAGTGAAAATCTTTCTATGAAGGACAGTAAAATGCGAATTACTCTATCGAAACAGGTCTGTTTTATATTACTGTTTTTACAAGCCCTTATAGCATTGTTTAAGTGGCGTAAAAAGACAAGCAACTGGGACACTCGTATAGCCATTATAAATAACTCCAGAACTTGGATTGTACACTTTCATTTGCCTTTCAAGAATTCGTCAAAGCTCTGATATAGTGATTACTTTATTTTATTTTATTTTATTTTTTCGGAACAGTATTGTTTGTATTTTCTGGCGACGTGAACATCATTTGCGTCTGTACGTATGTTTGGCCTTTTTATAAAATATCCACAATATCCGATAGATTATGGATCAGATTGTCTTTTGGATACGATATGAGAAATAAGATAAATGACAGTGAGAAATGGTTATTCACCGGTGCTAAACAGTTTCTGCTTCATCCGCTATCTTTTCAACTTATAGAGATAGGCATATACTATGAAACAATTAAAAAAAGCATTTTATTGCACAGTTAAAGAAGATTATCAAAGCCTCGTTGAGCTACTTTTCTTGTGGCTGTATTGCATGCAAACTGGAGGACCTCTGACATAATATAAGTGTCTTGCAACAGAGAATAGATAGCACCCGCAATAAAAGTGTCGCCCGCACCGACAGTGTCCACGACATTGTTTATACAAGGCGGAGAAACCTGGATAATGTTTTTCGTTTCATTTATCAAAACGCTCGCTCCTTCTGATCCCCAAGTACAGAACGCCTTAGCACTGCAATAAAAATCATTGTAGGTCGGCATTTGGAATACGGCAATCAGGTGAACTCTATGAGAAACTTACTTTGGCTTCAGTTTTTCCAATAATGGTGATTTTTCCATAAACGACTTAGCGTTCTTAAACCCATGATATTGTGCAAAAAGCTTTGAAAAGAATACTATGTCGGCCTGCATTTGCTTATCACTTAGTAGGATGATAATGAAGGTATACAACTTTTGGCAATTACCAGTTCGATTAAAGTGCTGATATTTTCCCTGTCGGGCTTTTCAAGTTCTACTGATATAGTAAGATAGTCTCTCCACTGTTCTGCATACCGTCTATTCAGCCAGTCCACCTGAAATCTTACATTATCAACGTTACGGCCCTCAAAATGTACCCACCAACGTTTGACAGGTCGTGAATCAGTTGATATATCACCACCATTAATTCCCAAAAATATTTGTTCAAATTCTTTTAGGTTTACATCTGTCAAACTAACGAACATTGTCAGTGATGAAACCGTGATACCCTGTGAGCTCATATTCTTCTCTCTGATTACTTATTGTTTGATATGATTGTTCTTGAATTATGTTGTTCGCTGTGTATTATAGTAGAGGAGGGTGTGATTTCATTCTCTCTGTATAAAACTGTCTTATTTGTATCTACATGATGATTCTCTAAAAATTGTACTAGGTGACTTATAGGTTTGTGATTATGCAGTTTTTTGAAATGAAAATTATCAAAAGCTTTATATTTTAAGGTTCAGACTTTGCTTTGCCCTTACTTTGATGATTTATAGGATCCGACAGCAGATAGGTAGTGCACTCTTAATTGATCATATCTTTGTGCTAAAACTTGAGCGGTATTACATGTATTGCCGCCTATTCTTTGCTCCACTCTATCTGCACGAAGTTTCGTGTCTTCTTCAGGAAACTTCTTCACATGTAAAATGGTATCTATGTATAGCTGGCCAACAAGGAGTACATTGTGATGAGGCTTTGACATCTCCAGTTTAGCAACGTAAGAGTCTTGGACAAATTTTGGAAAGAGGGGTCAATTCTATACATTATTGTATAATGTGTAAGAAATTTAGGCTCCGCGAATTTACCCTTTTTCAGAAGACGAAATTTCCAAAGAAATGCTGTTTGATGCAAAAAGAATTCCTCGCCACCGTTATGTCTTAGGAGCTGAAGTGGGTATCAAAGACTACGTTAGTTGTAATTTAATTGCGCAACTTTCTTTTTTCAGAATCGCTAAATACGATTGTTGGTAAATCACGCATAATTTTAATTTTTGTGAATGAACTTCTGACAAACACGCCGAGGGGCAATATCTCATTATGCATTTTTCTTTATGAATCATGTTACCCGGACAACCTGAAGCGCTGATTCACTTTTTTTTTTTGTCCGTTGTGATCCAGTAGTTTATTGATCTGTCTCTCTTTTGGTTCTATATCACTTTTTACAGAACGATGGAAAGTCCAGCTACAGCAAGTCCGCAGGAAGAACTCAACGATTTCTATATATTAAATGGCCCCACGGTACCGGAAAACTCTTCAAAATCGATCTCCAACAATAACAGCCGACCCTACCGTTTAGAGCAACGTTTTGAGCAAAAGCTCAGCTTATCAGAAAGCAATCATAGGGACGGTAGCATAAAACGAGCACAAGCTGCTGAACAAAAGAGAAAAGCTTTTTTAGAACAGAAAAAAGGCAACCTTAGCAAGAACTATACTCTCAAGGTTAAGAAAATAGCCAAAGAAGCGAAGGCTAATCGTGAAAGGAAACTGTATACACTATCGAAATCCATGGAGTTGGCTGAATTCAATCGAAAGCAATACATTGAGCAAAAAAGGGCCAAGTCCAAGGAAAGTGTTGAAAGGGCAAAATACGTTGCACTTCAGCATCAACTTCGCTCTGAGCAAGAACAAAGTACGTGGTAACATCTCGAGAATTTACACCGGAAATTTTTGCATTTGTCATTGATCTTTTCATTATTATCGATTGAAATAGAAAGGCGAAAGGCTGAACTTGAAAGAAGGTTGAAGAAAACGGAAGAACGACGATTGGCGCATCTGAATAGTCGCAATAAGAAAAAGCAACCAGCACCTTCTACAAAATCAAAAAGGAGAACTTCCTCTGCTTCTTCTGCTTTTTCATCCCGTCTCCCTCCCATATCTGTACCGCCACCCAAATTAATCACAGAATTGATGAAGGTAACAAATACTTCAGGTGCTTGCTCAGCTATGATGATGACAGCGTTTAAAAATAAGAAGTCATCCATGACAACCCCCATTTCCGCAGCAGCAGCAGCAGCAGTAGCGGCAGAGGCTGGATCACCAAACATAAAAGCGAAGAAAAAGCCATCCAATTGGTCTATCATCCTAAAAGCTTTTCGAGAGTTAGGTCTACCTTCTTGTTCTGCACCCGCTGATACATGGCCCGATTTTGATCATTTGCAAGGGCTTCTTAGGGAAGCCAAGGTTATTGTTGTAACGACGAAAGTATTGAATACCGCCCTTAAAATAACGGACGAAAATAGTAGATTCCGTGCGAAAAAGTTGCTAATGTCATACGTGATACTCATGTGCCCAGAAGCAGCATTGGGTGACATCAATAAACCCGAAGAAAAAAGAGTATATGAATCAGCCAAAGAAATGCTACGATTGTTCGAAGTATGGTTGAAAGCTCACGGTCATCCAGGTGCAACAGCAGCTAGACTTGCCTTTGTCAACGCCTATAATGAGTATATTTCAGTTTTTGATCTATGGAAATCGAAAGATTACTCTGAATTTGTTCAGATTATGATCAAGGATTATGTGCAAGAATCTACTTTGCGTCAAACCATGCTTGCCTCTGAAGAACAAATGGCAACAATCGAAACATTGGATGAGAACTTAAAGACACGAAAGAAACAGATAGAACGGTTTGCGGGAAAAGAGGGATTGGAACAATTACAGCGAGCATTGGAAGCAGCGCTTAGCTCAACATCGACTGGTAGGAAGAAGCAAAAAGAACTCAATACACCTAGATCGCCGGATTTCGAACAGGAGTACTTTACAAATCAGCAACAGCAGGAATATCATCATGCTACTGGCAGAGAATATATGAGTTTATTATTGGATCAGTATATTTCTTCAGCAGAGAATGTCGTTAGGGACGGACTTGCCAACGCTCAGTTAGCTCACGAATTAATTATGGACCCTGATTTCAAAATTGAAAAGCTAACTTCAGCATTTGAAAATAAAGTGAAGACCATTGCCCAGAAGGCTTTCTTTGACAAAATGGCAGAAGATATACAGAACGGACAGGCACATGCAGTAATCCCTCCATTATTTTCTGATATCAAGAACGTAAGTACATTAAATCGCTAGCTTTATGTAAGGTTGACGGCGGTAATAAGAGTTTGTTTTTTGTTTTTTTCTTTTGAAGCGTTTACTGGTTTTGTCGAATCCTGAATCATCGCTTTATAACAATATTCAAGAATCTATTGACATATTGTTAATTGAGCAACAGCTCAAGCAGCATCCAGAGCAGTTCGACATACAATCCGTGATCGATCATATTCTTGGCTTGATGGCATGGATGTGCGCTCCAGTTCGGGATGATGAAATAAATGAAGCACGCAGCTTGAGGACTTTGACTAGTCCTCATAATAACGATAAGAAAGGTAGAATTACCCTTTTGTTAAAGCAGTTGCAAACGATATTATCGCTATTAGAGAAGATGACGTTAGATCATGCCAACTATAAACTGCACTTGTTACGTCCACATCTTCTGTCTATTGCTGTTGATTACGAAAGGGAAAGTTTTGCAGCATGGCTAGAACAACAGCACTCGTCAACATCATCATCATCATCATCAGCATCATCGTCGTCATCATCATTAACACCGTTAGGCAGAACTGAAACATGGCTGACCAAGTCTGTTGATAAATTATGTCAGGAAGCAGCTAAACGTAATCCCGATAATATTGAACGAAGCAACAAGCCTTCACATGATGCAATTTTGGAAGATGCGTTCTTATCACTGTTATGTCAACCCATTTTGATTGCAAAGGACAACGTGCCTGAAACCTTGGCTCTGGACGTTTCAAGATTAGCATACTTCCAAAATGAAATACAAGCCATTACTATTGGAGGCGCTTTAGTAATAATTGCCAAGTCTTTTGGCTCAAATATTGATGACAATAGCATGTTCGAGCTCGCATCTCGTCTCTTTACAATGCTGGAGAATAATTCATCTATTGAACACCTATCAGCTGAACTTATACGAGTAGCGCATGTAAAATCGGAGCAACGAGAATTACTGAAAAATGTGGTGGATAAAACTCTGAATTATAAAGACAAGGTCTTTACTTTGGTATTAGATCGTGTGGTGAAGATAATAAAAAGCACAATCCAGAGTCGTAAATTTGTTACATCAGCAACACTAGAAAGCTTTGGACTACAATATGTACAAAGTCAACTACAAGCTACTGCATTAAACATTCAAAGATTGGTAAACCATAACAGAAAAGTGTATGCTACTTGGTATAATCAACTTATCGTAAAGGCAGTAAATGATAAGCTGGGGACTCATGAACCACAGCAGCAGTAACTATTCAATTATTGCTACCTCGTAAGCCTTGTTTAATCTTACCTATGACCGTATCTCATCTCATAATTTTTACAGAGCATTCGATTAATTTTCATTTGAGCATATCCTTTATCCATTAATTCATCAATAAATTTATGACCATAACAAGATACTTCTACGGGAAGTCTCATTATTAGTCCTCCATCAAGCCTTGTTATTGATGCTAAGTACATGTATAACGAAACGAGTGTAAATGTGGGAGTCTTTCGACAAACTACAATCTGCTAGAGAATAATTCACACAATTTATCACGCATTTGAAGTGTTTGTCAATTTTACCGAAAAGGGCATCTGATTCAAGGACTCAAATCACTATAGCCAACCAAAGCTGTCAATAGGATGATTTAGTATTTCCTACTTCAATCAGTTGCTTGGAAATGTTATTGGATAAGCACTTCAGAACTCAGATTGATTTATTCAAGGTTACACTTTGCTCGTACCTTATTCCTTTGTCCTAACTTTGATTTTTTGATCGCCTCCTGTTGTCCAACTTGCGAACATGCGTGTTCCTGTTTTCCTTCCGTTTTCTGTGTTTTCTCTTTTCTTTTTCTTTTCTTTTTGCATGTCGAAATGCCAATAATCGAGAGATATGAGTTGAAGAAATATTTACCTTTGAACACAAGTGATGTTGAAGAAAAGCAGCAAAAGCAAGTTTTCGATGATGAAGAGTCGCATAGTAATATTAACGACACACAAACTTCACGATGGCGAACCAAAGGTTTGTAAACAAGCTTTCGTACAGAGTTCACTAAATTATGTAGCTGACGGAAAACATTCTAATGGTACAGAATTTTACTTTTACTACATGTGTATGGCTGTGGTAATACCTTACATGTTTTATACTGGAAATGAAATTAGCCAAGGTAAGGCTTGAAGCTTTGTAAAACAACATGCTTATACCAATATACTGAATGGAATTGTTGTAGCGAATCATCCCAATTACAATCAATACAATCATTTGTTGTCAGATGGATGGATATTTGAACGAAAGATTGATAACAGTGATCTACAATATGCCAGTTTCCGTCAGCAGTTCCCTCTATTATCGTCATTCGCCATTGTCTATATCATTTTGAGTCGTCTCTTTGAACATATAGTATCGGAAAAAACAGCAGATGTGGGCCAAAGGAAAAAGCGATACTTTTATTTGATCAGCTCTGTTGTATCACTGATTGTACTACATGGTATTCATTGCATCAAAATATGGCTGATTGTTTCAATCAGTTACTGTATCAATTCTATAACCAAACAGAAACGGTGTTGGAATCCTGCTCTGAGCTGGGCATTTAACATCATGGTTTTATTTTTGAACGAGTATTACAACGGCTATTCATTTGAAAGTATTCATAAGAAACTAGCTATATTAGATTCTAACAGTTATTATAGCGGCCTATTGCCTCGGTGGCATGTTTTCTTCAATTTCACAATGTTGCGACTAATCTCGTTCAATATGGATTATTTCTGGTCGCGTAAGGTTTCCTCAGATCAGCAGCAGCAGCCACACACACACACCACATCCTTTCCAACGGATAAAGAACGAATCACAACATCTTGCTTACCCAGCGATTACAATTACAGCAATTATATTATGTACATATTTTATATACCTCTTTATCTTTGTGGACCCATCATTACTTACAACGACTTTATAAGCCAAGTGTTTTACATTATACCCAACAGCAGACAGATTCAGGGCAGCAAAATCAGCTCTAAATATATTTTACTTTACTTCATTCGATTCTTATTCGCTTTATTACTTATGGAAGTTATGCTACACTATTTGTATGTAGTGGCTATCTCGAAATCAGATATTCTTTCAGCATCTACAAGTTCTGCGGTGACAAGCATTCATTACACACCTTTTGAAATCAGTATGATTGGTTATTTTAACCTTGTTATTATATGGCTAAAGCTTTTGATAATGTGGCGCTTCTTTCGTTTATGGGCTTTATTTGATGGTATCTGGACTGAGGAGAACATGATTCGTTGCATGAGTAACAACTTCTCAGCACAACGTTTTTGGAAGAGTTGGCACCGCAGTTTCAATCGCTGGATTATACGATATATCTATGTGCCATTAGGAGGATCGAAGAATTTAATATGGAACAGTTGGATAGTATTTACATTTGTCGCAATTTGGCATGATATAGAATTGAAATTGCTAGCTTGGGGATGGTTGATATGTTTATTCCTGGTACCTGAAATTGTCGGATCCAAGGTCTTTACGTACAAAAAGGTATTACAATACACTTGAGAAGAAAAAAAAAAAAAAAAAAAAAAAAAAAAAAAAAAAAAAAAAAAACTATTACAACGATCTATTTTTATTTACAAAAAACTTTACAATATGCAGTTTGGCCATACTTGGTACTATCGCTTTGTCTGTGGTTTATGCGGTGCGCTCAATGTTTTACTGATGATGACTGCAAATTTGGTCGGCTTCTGTCTTGGTTTGGATGGTATTAAATATATGTGGTTAGAGATTATCGGTTCGTTAGACGGCCTTATTTTCCTATTTCTCACCATTGCCTGCCTTTATATTGCTGTACAAGTCATGTTCGAGATTAGGCAATCAGAGAAAAGAAGAGGCGATCCTAAATGGACAATGTAATTCATTTTTTTGGTGAAGTCCTCGTTGTGGTTGTCGACCTTGGTTTAACCTTAATATGAGTCGCTTGCACAATAGCATGCTTGATTTTCGTTGACTCTGCTTCTAATAGAGCATTATATTCTTGGTCTTTCTTCATTTTACCGCACGACAATAATTCTGGAAAGCAACAAATAGCATTTTCGTTCAATAAATAATCTTCTATTTTTGCTTTGGATGCTTGAAAAGCAGGTTCTGCTAATCGATCGCGTTTCGTCAATATAATTTGGTATGATAAAGGTACACTGTCCAAATACTTTATAAAATTCATGTCCGTTTCCTTCAGTCCTGCTGTCGGATCTATCAGTACAAACAACCTTTTCAAGCTGAAAAGACAGAGAGAAAGGCAGATAAATGAGTTGAGCAAGGCATTTGCAGTCGAGTATTCCAAACAGACTTACTGCTGTCGTTGAGTCAGATAATCAACCACTAAATTTCCCCATTCATCTTTGGATTTGAAACCGTATCCTGGCATGTCCACTAATGTAACTTGACCTCCAATTTCAAAAAAATTCAGCAATTTGGTATGACCCTAATATACATCCGTCAATAACAAGCCTTTCTACTTATCAAGATAATTACGCTTGCCAGCTCTCTGCTTTTGTTACCGGTTTACTTGATGTTTTCACAAGTCTATTATTCTTTGTCAAACTATTGATCAACGTGGATTTACCTACGTTACTTCGACCTACAAAAGCTACCTATAGGAATAAATCCCCAGACTTATGTTGGTTTTATTGAATAAATTCATTCAGATGGTACAGATGTTGTGTTTAACTAACTTCAGGTTGATTGGACTCAGGCGCTTGATCTATATGAGCGATGCTTTTAATAAACTGAACAGGGCGGGCAAACAAGAGATTAGCTTCATCGATCTGTTCTGGAGTTAAAGGCAATGGCTCTGGCCATTGTGTCAGTTGACGTGAAGGTACTGCCGTGGATCTAGCAATTTTTCGAGCCAATCCACAATAAGCAGTTGAATAGAAGAAACGTCTATGGCATTGTTTATTGACCGATAAGAGCATAGAAAATATCATGATAAAGAGAAAGTAAACTAAGCATTTACTACAAAAGCGGGTTTTTTTTTTCTATGCTGATTTCTTTCTTTTTTTTTATTCAGGGGTTAAAAGGATCTCAATTTTTATTTGGCTGCTGCTTTTATAATCTCTCCATTGGTCATTTTGGCAACAGTCGATAAGAAAGCAGTCTTTTGATCATAATCTAACGTTGCATTACTACTGATAAGTTGGTTAATATTTTCGGCTTTCACCTGTTTGGACCATTTCAGGCCTGAGCCGATCTCATAGTATTTTACGTAATCGATGTCCTTTACCGGAACCTTTTCGGTTGGCGTTTCTGCTTCTGGTTTATCTACCATGGTTGTGGCAGCTGTGATGTTAGCTAGAGGAGTGGTATCAAGTAATGACCAATCAATATCATCTGCATCGTCAAATTCTGTTTCTTTTATTTGTCGTATTTCTTGAGGTTGCCTCTTTGAAAAGGGTGTCTGTCTATTGTTGTTGCCACCCTTGGCTCTCAACTTATTATTATTATTATTATTATTGTTGTTGTTGTTTTTGTATCTATTGTCGTTAGCACTATTCATTGGTCGTCTATTATTTTGCTGCTGACGTTGCTGAGGGCGTCTGGATTGTCTCTGCTCTCCTTCTGCCTTTACATCAACTGCATCATCAAACTGGCCTTCCTTGGGCTCGTTCTTATTGTTAAATCGTCTTGTGTTATTGTTATTGTTACGTGGAATGAAGCTTCCGTTACGCTGATTATTATTACGTGGAGTAAAGTTTCCATTACGTTGATTATTATTTCGTTTATGTTTTTGTGCTGCTGCTAAAAAAGATGCAAATGGGTCATCGCTGTTGCTATCCAATAGCTTGCCTCTGCCAGCTCCTAAACGTGCTGAAAGTGTTGGTATCTTTCTATCTTCCTCTTCTGAGTCAGCTTTAGTTGAATAGAAGTTCTTGGCAGATTCAAATGCATTCCAGGAAGTATTTCTTAGTTTGATACTATTTCTCACTAAGCCTTGGTTTGCAGATCTTAACATTATGGTAAAAATTCACTATGGACAAATATCAGAAGGAAAGAATAATGTAGGTGATGCCAAATTGGAAAAAAAAGCTGGAGAACAGAAAGAAATTGGCCCTGGCGAAAATGATGAACTTTGGTGTGAAATTTATAAAAAGTCACAACAGGTCAAAAAGTGCGGGGCAACCACAGGTTGTTTTTATCAACACACAAACTTACTGAATGGCTTGAACGACAGCTATTCCTCTCCTGACCTTGGAAAGTCAATTTATAGATCATACCAGTTTTTATCCTGAAGTTTTTTCAAATCCATGCCTTACATGAATGCATGACTCAAATAATGGACAAGATAAATGAGTTTAGGACAAACAAGCATAGCGATTTTTTTCAAGATGGAATAACATTTTGGTGTACTTTGGAGATATAAGTGGCGTATCATTCAGAAGTATTTGTTCCTTTTGAGATTTTCAACATTCAAAGGAAGAACTATGTTACGGTGTCTGTCTGTGCTAAGTTGCTGTAGTATAGCCTGCATAAACGTTCGATTGAGGTTCTCATTTTATAAAAGGCTCCGCTCTAAGCCTTTTCTTTGACTTTTTTGAAACAGCCTGCAAAAGGAACAATCCCAATTTTTTTTTAATTGCTGATCAACACTTGTTAAATGACTGATTTTTATAGATCTGTGAGTTAGAAAATCAACTGTCTTACCATGTTTGAACACGTTTTGTGCATGTTTTACTTATCAAAAGACAAATCAAATTGTTAGCGTAAAAAACGTACATACGAGAATAAAGAGCTTTCTGGTCCTGATTATGGTAAGGAACGCCCTTCCAAACGCCCCATTAACAACAACAACAACAACAACCATTCGCAAAACGATCCATCGTCAAAAGGATATAGTACCTATCCTAATTTACAATGTCAACCACGTACTTACACTGTCAGTGTCGCTGTTCCCAGTAGTATACTAGACAGCGCTCCAACTCAAGAAATGAAAACCATTCTCGCTGGTCAACTAGCCCGTGTGCTTGTTCTCTTTTCTATCGACGAAGTGATTATATACGAAGACAACAAAAAGAGACAATTCTCAGGGAACATCATTAATCCTAATCTATTCCTTGCCCGCTTATTTCAATATATGGAAACCCCACCCTATCTACGTAAGCAACTTGTTCCCATCAGTCCTGATTTGAAATTTGCAGGTCTTTTACCACCACTTGAAGTACCTCATCATCCCACCAAAGAAGAAATTACCGTCTATCGTGAAGGTGTCACATTAGATAAAATGAACAAGAATACTGCGGCCGCTGAGGATTCCACGCTCGTGGACGTGGGCTTATATAGAAGAGCCCGTATTGTGGGTAAAGCCATTCAGCCCGGTGTTCGAGTCACAGTTGAATTGAATGAACCCATAGCAGCTATTGATACTCACAAGGGGCAAAAACCATTACCTGCAAAGGTAGTGAGTCCCAAAGTACCTAAAGAGAAAAAAGGTCTTTATTGGGGATATTCAATTCGTTTAGCTTCTTCGTTTTCGCGAGTGATGACAGAGTGTCCGTACAAGGACGGATACGACTATAGTATAGGTGTCAGCGATGACGGCAAGGATAGTCAGGATATGTATACTTGTCAAGTAGAGAAAAAAGTGAAACCTTTCAGTCATATGTTGGTTGCTTTTGGAGGACCTATGGGTGGACTGCAGGAAGCTATCGAAGCAGATGAAGATCTGAAAGCTGGCAGGGACGAAGCAGCTGAGCTGTTTGATTTGTTCATTAATCCTAACGCCAAAAGTGGTACAAGAACTGTTCGTTTAGAGGTAAAACGTGTTTACTTCTTCTCAAATACCAACGGAGTGACTGATAACTTGTTCTATTTTTTTTTTTGCTTCTAGGAATCCATGACAATGGTCATGTCGGTTTTAAAGCCAATCATTAAGAACAAAGGAAAGAACACCTAAATACAATTCTTTTCCTTGTTCGACGTTTGTAAATAGTATCATAAGTTTTGAAGTATATTGTATAAATACAGATCGTTTTTTCTTTTTGAACAAGAGGCATAATATTTGTTTTTGCTTTGATATGTGTACGAAGAGGAAGTCGTTTGAATGATTTTCCTTTCCTCAAATAAATAAATGCCGAACAAAAGTCGAGTTGGGTGGCCTGAACGCTGGGAGCACGATGTTTCGGTTTATCCTAAAATAGTAGATAGCCCTCAGCAGATCACCATTTCCATTCGAATAGAAGGCTCGCCCCCTCCCCCCGCCTTATTATTCTAATAACGAATAAAAATGAGGCGAATGGCAAGTTTAAAGCAAATTGTAAAGCAATTTTGTAACTTTTGACAGTTCGTTTTGTAAGCACGTGCATTATGCAATAATGTCCTTTTTCTGCGAACTTAGTGAAAATGTTTAAGCGAATAACAATTATCAGAAAGACGTCCATGCTGAGTTTTTTTCGTTTTTTGTGAGTTGTCCTTCAGCCAATCAACGTCTGTTAAAGCAATACATTTTCCTGTTGGAGAACCAGACAAAAAAAAAAAGGGAAATAAAAAAACTCACTAGAAAATGAGAATGTCCTTTTTTTGTCTTTCTTCTCTCCTGTTCTTTCACTTTTTCTCAAGAGAAAATAACCAGTCTCCTTATTGTTTCAATTATTCCTGAATACTAACCAGACCTAAATTTTAATATAAACACACTATTAAATTTGTCGAATAAAAATTCTTTGTTTTGGACTATGCAATCTAATGAGTGTCAAATTTCTGATGTCGAGGAAGGGTACGATTATGAAGACACAGAAACTGAATGGGACATTTTAGATCAACAGTTTGAGACCAGCTCAGAAAGTGATGATTATGCAACCACAGACAATCACGCCTATCAAGAGCAACATCAAAACCAGCACCAGCACTATTATTTTGATCCGACCAAAATAACCACTTCTTTGCCTTTATTACCTTTCCAGAATCAAGTCGGTGGTCACGCGTCGTTTTTCAGATTTTCTAAGCGAGCCATATGCAAACCAGTATCGGTTAGAGAGCAACAATTTTATGAACATATCGATACTCATCATCATGAACTGTTACCTTTTACGTCTCAATATATGGGTGTTTTGAATGTAACTTATCGTACAGCCGAAAATCCCGTCGACCCACCGGTTCCAGAGGTTCTTTTTGAGAAAAATAAGCAATTGCTACGTGATTGGCGCGCATGCTTAGCTTATCAGAAGAAGTATAACCATCATTCAGGTCACACCCGTCATCATCATCAACATCAACAACATTATAACTATCAGCATTCTCATAGTAACGAGAAAGACTATGATCCACCACGGCGTTATTCGGGATCGCCGCCAGTGAATAGCAGCATATCCGCCAAAGTTTCTAGAAGTAGATCACTCCACAGCGATATTAATGAAAAGAAAAATGGTCGAATTCGCTTAAAGAAATTTCAAGAACAGGTGTTAAGAGAAGTGTTCTCACCCAAAGCGTTGAAAGAAAGATTAATGCAAGCAGAAGATTGGAGACGTAAAAATCGACGCTCAAGTGCTGTTAGTACCCTCAGCCTTACAGAGTTGAACTCACCCAACTGTTGGAATAATGATGAACACCCCACAGACGATAACTTATTTTTGAATACAGAGAATAATCCTAATACTGCTCCTGCTTCTGCTGCTCCTGCTGCACTTACAAGCAGTAGTGGTACAGATATTGGCTTTAGTGGTAACACAAATCTTGACACTAGAAATGGAGTAAAAGTCGCTAGTAGTGAACTTAATTTACCACATAGCTTTTCAAATGGATTCCCAGTAATAATCAACAGTGTTGATAAGGATCGTAAATTATGGACGGATGAAAATTTAATAGCTGAAGGAGGTCGTTCTATGCCTCTCATGAGCGAAATGACTTCATTCTGCTCAGGAGCAACCTCTAAGTTTGTTGGTGGAAGTGGGAGTGAAGATGATGATGATAGTCATAGCATGAATAGCATCAACAGCAGTAGCAATAGTGTCAGTGGTGGCAGCGCCATCGATATAGCACCCGTACCGCCCACAACAAGTAGTACTCAGTTCTTAGCAGACTCCATTGATCATATGACGATTAAACCTAGAAAACCGTCCATGTCAGGCTCCACTATCTCGATTCCAGAGTTATCAAAGCATAAAAAGAAGATGATGAAACGAAGGAGTTTAGTTAGAAATGATACAGGAGATGCTGATGCTGAGAACGACACAGATGACCAGATCTTTACTATGGATGACTTTGACATTGGTAAAACCAACCACTGCCCATTGATAAAAAACCAGCCAAAGAATCCACCTAGTCCCCCTTTGTTACAAATCGATTCGTCATTTTTGCATAGTCAGCAACAACAAGATAAGGCTGATAATGATTACGATTCGGCCGAAAGTAATTCAATCAATCAGCAACAACAACAACGACAGCAACAAACACCGGATAACCCTTGGTCATTGCAAATATTCAATCGTAATTTGCAAAAAATGAGAAGTAACAGTAGAAAGCAACAACAACAACAGCAGCAGCAACAGTCATCAGACGAGCCTCAAGAGATACAAAAGTACATTTTGATTGAAGATTTAACAGATGGTGTCAAGTACCCCTGTGTCCTTGACCTGAAAATGGGAACAAGACAGTATGGTGTTTTTGCGTCTCGAGAAAAAATGAGAAGCCAAACTATCAAATGTGAAAAATCAACCAGTAAAGTCTTGGGTGTCCGTGTTTGTGGAATGCAGGTACGAAAGAAAAGAAAAGAAAAAAAAAAGCATCCTTTTTCGTTGCCTCACTATTTACTGCTTTTTCATCCTTCAAGGTATATGATAACAACTCCAACGAGTTCATATTCCAGGACAAGTACTTTGGACGAACATTAACACCCAGAACTTTTGTAGAAGCATTAGAGGCTTACTTGAACAATGGAAAAGGCTGTCAGATTCAGCATATACCCGTTATCATTCGAAAACTTCGTAGATTGGCGAGAATTGTAAAAGCTATGGATGATTATCGATTTTATTCATCGAGTTTGTTAATGATTTATGATGGAGAATCCTCAGCCATAATACACGATCCCAACAGCAAGACCAAGAAAATAGATGTCCGCATTATTGATTTTGCCAATTGCGTGACATCTGACGATGTTCGCTATCATAATGAAGATTTCACGTATCCACCGAGAAATAAAGGACCAGATAACGGCTATTTACTAGGATTGAAGTCTTTAGTTTTGTGTTTTGAATGGATTTACAAAAAGAATGGTGGAGACGAGCAAGATCTACGTGTGAATGACAACAACGATATCTTTAATGATATTTATGAAGCAGCGAATGATGAAGTTCTAGCATCCATTCTTCAGTAAACGATCAACAAACGACGGCAGCCAATATTACCAGCATTATCATCCCTTAGAAGGCACTATATCCAATAATATCACTATATCATCTTAATACTATATTCCAATTCCTTTTTCTCTGGCAGAAACAAGGTATTCTTGAAAAGTAACAGTAGTCGTATTATAGTAATCCAATTTCTTCATACTCATGCAGCTATGCTTCTTTTTGGCAATGTTGGTGTTGTATTATACACTGCTTTTATACTCCAACGTTCTTTTTTTGTAAAATACCCTCCCTTTCTGTTACCTGCTATTACTCATAATTGATGGAAAATAAAAAGAGTGCTTCATTAAACAAAGAAAGAAAAATGCACGTTTTATTTGTATATAATGAAGTACTATTTGTGATATACGCTATTAGCAGCAAATGATTTGTTGGTTTTTTAATCTGATTTTTCGTCTTCTTTGGTTTCTTCTTGTTCTTCAGTTGCTACATCTACTACGTCTTCTGTATCTTTTTGTTCTACTTCTTTGGGGCTCTTTGGTTTCTCTTCCTCATCATTGTTTACATCGATCAAATCCGCTGTGCTATTATTCTGTGAAACGTCGCTTAGACTTTGAAGCTCTGGGAATAAGTTGGGATATTCCTTTGGATCTGCTAGACTCTCAGCTGTCTTTTTACGTCCTTTGCTTTCAAGTCCAGACTTCCATAATCCAACAATTTTTGAAATTTCATTGGGGGCGTATGTTCTTGCTAACATTGCTGCTTCGGGAATACGATCTGTTTTGATTAATAAGTCGATCATTTCTTCTATAGCCCCTAGTTCGAATAGACAGGTGAAAGCAATATTGTTTTTGCCTTGTTCAACTAAAAGAAGGCAGGAGAAATGTTAAAGGTGCAGCTGGTCATTTTTCGTTTGTGGCATACGCTATAATACTTACGAGCTGTATCAGCAATCTGTCGAATACCGGCGCGGTTGCCGTTAGCTGTATAGAATAGTAGTAGACCGCTAAGATCTTTAGCCTTCTTTAAGCATTCTTCGGCCAAACTGAATTTCCAAGATGACATAGCTACATCACCCAGCGTTCTCCATTTGGGCTCAGAATCAACTTCATGAGCGATATCAGAAGCAATATCTAATTTACCGAGTTGAATAGCCAAGTCAAACTTTTGATCAATATCGGTTGTTACTTCAAGAGCTAATTCTTTCAAATCTTGAGATTCAAGGAAACGAGCAACTCGTCCGCGCTGATCCTGAGGAATAGAATCAAGCAGGCTAGCAGCCGCATCCATATCGCCACGTAGAATAGCGGTTTGATATTGAATGACGGTGAGTGACAACCCATAACTGTAAATGTTAACGTCTCTGTCTGCCATGTAGATTCTGTTATCTCTAGGTGAGTATCCCAAGAGATACATGGGTTTATCAAAATGACTGATGGTGTAAGTTTCTGTACCGACAAGATAGTTCATACGGTTAGAATTGTTGGAGTAGATGAAGCAATCGCCAGCCCAAGTACCAGTCTTGACGCTGTCAGCAACTTCAGTGATAAATTCAAAAGCGTCTTCAACACCCTCTTCACCAGGATTACCGCCATTTTCGATGAATTGGGCATAAGCCTGGGCGTTGTATCGTAGGATGTAGTACGAATCTTCGCAGACAATGGCAATCAAATCACCACCATCAGACCAATAGACATCTCGAGAGTCAACGTCAATACGGCGAACAACATCTCCAGTTTCCCAATCGTAGAAATTCAAAAATCCATTACCACGGACACCAAGTAACGCACCACCATAAATACCTTCAGCGGTGTAATTTAGCTTGGGAAGCATGCCAGCTCTTTCCTTGAAATTTTTGAATACTTTAACTCGTGTGGAGGATTCACGAACGGCATAAACATTAGAATCATCAGCCCAAACGAAATCAAGACCATTACCAAAACTCTTATTTCTCCAAGCTAAAGCAGTATAAATAATATATTCACCATCACCGCAAACAACAACAAAACGACCGTTGGGCGAATGTTGCAAAGTTTGAGGATATATTTCACAGCTACCCAAATCTTTGATAGGCAAGGCTAAACGTTCACCATCCTTTACGTTGTCGTCAATGCCCGTCTTGATATTAGCTGTTTGGATTTCAGTATGTTTGGCCCAAATGATTTTGCCTGAAAGATCCATAGAGACAGCGGGTTCTTCTCTACCAAGTTTAATGACAACTGCACCCTCATCATAACCCAATGCAACATTATTACCGTTCTTTTGAGCAGCCATGCACCAGGAGCGTTCCAAACCATAATTTAATGTGTTTTCAAGACGGTAGGTGTCAGAGTTCCAAATACGAACGGTACCATCTTCAGAACCGGACAAGATGATGGGTAAATTAGGGTGGAAGGCGGCAAAGTTGACATTTTGATTATGGCCTTCAAGAGTTTGCACGCAGTTTTTGTTTTGGTAATCCCAGATTTTCACAAGATTATCGTCAGCGCAGGAAATAAGGTAAGGCTTATCGCCACCTTGATAGTAATCAACGTAATTGACACCTTTTTCATGTCCTTCTAGAGTGAAATTGGGAACATTAGAGCCGAGAGACCACACCTTGATCATACCATCAAGACCAGCTGAGGCAAAAGTATTGGAATCTTTAGGATTAAACGTCAAATGCATAACAAAGTGAGCATGGCCTTCAAAAACCTATAGTATAAAAGTGTTTTGCAAGATGATAATATAGATGTAAGCTAAAGAGCTGCTAAAGAAGAGTAATACATTTAGTACTAATGCTTCTATTAGTACATATGATTACCTGAGCACATTTCCAACCCTTTTCCCAATCCCACAAACGAATGGTCATGTCATCTGAACCAGACAAGACAAGTGGTTGTGTTGGATGAATTGCAATGCAGCGAATATAGTCAGGGTGAGCCTCGAATTGTGTTACTTTCTCGAGTGTATTGTAGTTAAAGACACGGATTTGCGAATCGTCAGCTCCAGTGACGATCCAATTCTTACGAGCAACGAATTTTGCGGCACGAACTAATAGATGAAAAGCTGTCAGCTATTTTTGAATCTCTATATTGAAAGCCTATGAAAATTAGTTCCAAACCTGGTGTTTCTGACACTTCAATCGTTTTAACTAGAGCCTATTATAGTTTTATTGAGTATAACAAATGAGAAATAGCGGTTGTTTTTCGTTGCAAAATCGAAATTTATGTTGGGCATTTGGTTCTGTACCTGTGTTTCATAGTTGTAAATTTGAACGATGCCACTGTATAAACTGGTCAGCAACCAAGGTTCAGTTGGATGTAAGTCGACGCACTTGACACGCTCAGAACGTGACAATAATTTACGCTATAATTGCCGAGATAATATCAGTCAAAAAGTCATCCAAAAGAAAGTAGATGACGTTGGGGTTTACTTGCCTTAATGTCTATGCGCATACCCTTTGTAGATTGGACGGCATACAAAAATAAATTGAGATTAGAGCTTTATTCGAAAACAAACGAATATTTCTAATACACGTGTATGAGTCATCCAAGTGACAGTAAGATAGTGAAGAAGCTGATCAATTTTCTAGGCTATTTCGAGATGGAGTTCTTAAACTTGCCCTTATTATGCTGAGCACCTCGTGAAGAAGCCTTTAATAGCTTTGACACTTTACTGGCACTTGAACAATTCGACGGCAATGAAGAGAGAATGTTACCATTTTTTATTGAAGTCGTGTCTTGATGCAACAAAATGGAAGAAGCTTAACGGAAATAAAGAAAGCAATCGAGGAAGTTTACACAAAGTCGCTTTCTACTAAAACGGTAAACAGACGGAAATTGAAAGCTTGTAAAGGACGAAATACGTTTAAACAGAATACAATATTTTTAAAACCCAATGAGCACCAAAAATTGCCCTGGGCAGATCCTAAAGTTTCTATATTATAAACTATATATTGCTAAAAAAACCCTTTAGGACGAAGCGTAAAAAGGATTTAATCAGTTGTTGTTATGTGAGGGGTGGGGGTCAACCAATTGTAATAGGGCGAAGCCTAGTGAGAGGTCTGGTGGAGGTGGATCCAATTCATGAAACAAATGATCGAGTTCATAGAGAATATGACAAACGGCCGGCCAACGAACGTTCCATGATTGGCGAGTGGCGGCTGATCGAGGGGGACGGGTTTGAACAAAATACAGTACTTTTACTTCCGTACGAGGTACTTAGTGGACAATCTGAGCTTTATTAGGAGACGTTTCTAGGTTAAACAGGATACGAATTGAAATACCTGTAAGATCTTTACACTTTAATTGGAGACATTACTTTAAAGGTTATTAGTACTCTTCAATTGATAGCGGCACTACGTTTAAAGCACTACGAGATGTACTGAATTTTTTTAGGGCGACACAGGTTTTATTAGTAATAGACACAGGGTTGACGTTTACGAGACGTTCTTTTATGGATCAGATAAATTGATCTACGGGTTCTTAGGCCACATACGTACATAACAATTATTGTTGTCAATCGTAATAAACAATAAATATTGTCAAACTCGAAGCATTTACAGAAAGTTGCCTTTCCTTTGATTTCCATCTTCTTCTTATTCTTCTTCTTTCATACTTTCTTTCCTCATCCTGATAGCTACTACTCACCATGTACAAAGCCAAAATCTTGCAAAAAATCAAATCGGTGGCAGAAGCCCATAAGAATAAAGTCAAAAACGAGTCTTTCGGTAAGTAACACATGAGCGCGCTGCCACAATAGGTTATAGTGGTGATCCTCAATTCATGTTTCGTATGACTAGTAAGCATCGAGTGCAAGGATTGCAAAACACGCGGACATTTCAACAAGGCAGACCATGAATGCAAGTTTTACAAAGCAGTTTCTGCGGCTGATGGTAAGTATCATGCTCTCACTGCAAGACAAGTTTATGTTTACTTAACGCAAACTTAGTTGGAAGTAGCGGCAAGAAACGTAAGCAATCAGCTAAAACCAAGGAAGAAAAGAAGCAAACAACTGGAGATATCAAGCGCATCAGTTGTGGCTTAAAGGGTCATTCTACTTCTCGTTCCCTCGAATGGAAAAGTTGCCAAAGGTTATACAGCCCAACTCGAACAATTCTGTAAAGTCTCCAACTTCAAAAAGTTAGGCTTCGGAAGGTAAAGTAGATAACACTCTGCTAAAAGATTCTGTTCTCAAGATTATTCTTTCACTTTTATCGTAGTATTGTTGAGCTTAAGACAAAAACAAGTGTGCTCTTCCGAAATCTGATTCGATCTGATGGCTTCACTGTGGACTTTTTATTTAGTCGTAAGAAGAAACCAAAAGAAGACGCCATCATTGATCATCATGAGTTGACGTTAGAAGACTTTTCATATGAAGAGATCACGGCAAACTACAGACCCGCAGTTGTTGATCCTGGTCGAAGACCGTATTTACAGCAGCGATCGGGTTAGAAACAGAAAGACATGAGATACGACGCTGCTCAACAAAAGAATATTACCACATGACGGTTAGTACTTGTATCAATACAGAGTTAGAAAGGAAAAAAGCCAACTGTACGATGAAAGATATAGAAAGCAATATACCGAGATCCAAAACAGGCTCGCCTGAACAGTATGAAATATATACTACTTATATACTGCAACATTTAGAGACTCTGTTCTCATTCTATGAAAGAATTACGGAAAAAAGAAGGGCAAACCTAAGCGTAATAAAAGGGAAAAAAAAAAGAAGAAACAGAAAGAGAAAGAAGAAGAAAAGCAGGAAGTAGAAAAGAAAGAGGAAGAGAGCCACGTTCGGTAAGTCTTGTAGCGATTAACTATCAACTGAATTTGTGTATACTCACTCTACTATCTTTCTTCCACAAGACGATGGGCCCCTGAGAAATTCAGGTTGAGTGATAACAAAAAAGTTCCTCTGATGTATTTGGTGACGGCATGTTCAACAAATCCGCCGTTCATCTAAAAGGCCTTAGAACTGGTGTCGTTGGCGCTCTTTGGCGTGCCTTGAAGCGAAGAGAGGCTGCCGGCGACTTACTAGTGATAACTATTGATGAATATCTGACCTCTCGAACATGCAACAAGTGCCGCTCCAACACCGTTGAAGCATTGAAGAATGTTTCAAGCCAAAGTAACCTTGTCTATAAGACCTATTCGATTTACTGGAACCGGGACGTCAACGCTGCAAAAAACATACTGGAAATTAGCGTGTCGATATGGAAGTCAACGGGAAGACCTATTGAGTTTTATAGAAAAACAAGGAAGTCACCCGCATCAACCGCTTAACAGCATCCTCTAATCGCCAGAACGAAACTGGCTCGATTTTTACATGTAGATCTATCTAAAAAATTGTAGCGGCGGCTCGTAAAATTGCTGCGGAATTCTAAACATCAATCTTACTTCGTAGTGATATTTTGACCCGTCTCCACCACGTTTAATTGGATATATTGAGAATTCGCGATTTGCGGCTGTGATGTGCGAATAGTTACTTTTGGATATTGGACCTAGGGAAATAGAAATTAAACAGATGAGATGTTACTACCCTTAGAGTACTTTGTATTTTATAAACTGCTCTGAAATTCTTCGTTTCGCTCTAAGTCTTCTTGGAAGAAATATCTTTTTAGCGATACGAGGAACTAGTAGTAGCCTTGTAATATGGTGTCAACGTCATGCCTCACCAGCTCAGTTCTCAGACATTTATCATAGTTATTCTCGAGCATTCATTCTTGTTATGTTGTTTTTTGTTCGCTTTCATTATTACGCATTTATTTCAATACTTCTTCTTCTGAAAGTAGTGTAGTATTTTTATACATATACTATACCCAAAAAGAAAAAGAAGAGTTACACATATATGATAGCCCGTTTAGCATTGTCTTTCCCGCGCTGCTGATTAAGAATTTTGATGGTGGTTGTAGTAAGAAGTGAACTGCTACTAAGAAGCGAAGCACTTTATGAAGTTTTCTTCTACTAGTACTGCTGCTTTGCTGCTTTGCAATAAGTTAAGCGGCGCAAAAGAAGGCAGCTAACATGAATAAATGAGAAAAGAAGCATTTGGCTGCTTTGATGGAACCTCTTTGTTTGTTACCTTTTTTTTTAAGAAATATTTGCGACGTCGCTGTGGTACCTATTGATTTAAATAAGATAGAGGAGCCTTCCTTATAGTTAGGTCGTAGGCACTATATTCTTTGTTTGCTTACATTCATTCATAGCATTACCGATAGCGCTTTGCAAATAGTCGCTGCCTTGAAAAAAAAAAAAAAAGCATTGTATTTTCCCTGAACTGCGCGTGTTCGTTTGATACCAAGCAAAGAATAGCTCGCCTATTCAAGCTCAACTATAGAAAAAAAATAGCGTATTTGTGGACTATCATCATTAACTTCACTCGATGTAACATGACGATCAATAAGATTGTTCGGTAATAGGTTAGTGATTCATTTGACTTGTAGCGAGAGACAAAGGGAAACTATTAAGGTTGAAGAGGAACGGAAAAGGCTGGTAACATCAGATAGCAGAAGACTGCTACGTTCATTGGATACTATTAATACGAGTAAAAATTGAACCTTCTAACTTTTCTCCACGTTTTGTATATTGATAAGGTCTCACAATTGAACTCGGCTTTTAACGGGGAGGGAGGGGTAAACTTAGCATCAGGTGTGATTATTCGTCTCTTTATGAGGATTGAAATATTCTTATTCTTCCCATAATCATACCATTATAATCATGTATCAATAATATACTCAAACTAATTATATATAATAAATACTCTAGAATTTCCATCAAAGCTTTTTGTAAGGAGCCGATAGCAGAAGGCATATGTAGTCTGTTCGTGAGTCTAAGTTTGTTGCTGAGCCGCTCATCTAGCCTTTGTGTAAATATAGTTAGTAGTTCTGCGTTGAACTTTCGCGTTTGGATTTCATTTCAAAACAGTTGAAATTGTACACAAAGATTTAAAAGCGGTAGTGATCTTATAATGGGATGTCTATCGCCACTTTATCTTAGCAGCGAATAAACGTGTATTACATTTTTGTCATTTGTCCTTATAGTTGTGCTTACTCAACTTCCTCCTCCATTGTTTTGTCTTTCAGTAGGAATATATATTTTTCATGATGATTCAAAAAATAGTTTCAAGTCTTTATATCTCTTAGAGAACAGGTGATAAATAAGTACATAGTATACATTAATGAAGTTCTACTTTAGTAAAATATAAATGGTACACAAACACGGTCATACAATCTGTGAATGTCCACAGTTCGTTTACGTATAAAGGCTACATTGTGAAAAAGGAGTGACTTCGACAGTTGGATGAATTGAAAATAGAAATGGAAAGATTAAAATTAGTGGTAAGTAGATTATACACGGTATTTCGGAACAAGAATTTTTCAGCAAATCATGGTGGTGGCCAAGACTAATTCACAGGCCAGATATGCTGTTCACCATTGCTTCTAAAATCCCAACGGTAACCCTTTTCAGGATAACTCTTCCATTGCTAGTGATCGAATAAGTAAATATGTGAGTCATAGAGGCAATACTAAGTTCAGGAGATATAATTGACTTACATCCAAGCATGAGCCCGGATCGTTATCAAAATTAGGGGTATCATCTAGAAGAGTAACATTAGTCATCCAACCAAAGCATAACAACTATTTAAATCAATAAAACTTACAAGGGCACATGCACTTTCCGAATAGACCATCATCGACACAATGAGCAAAGGAATCGTGTTTGTAACCAATATCATTGAAGAAGTGAACTTGGTTTTTGTTTAGGAAGAGGCCTGCTGCCAAACTGTGAACAATAGCATCGCCCCATCTTTCGTAGAAAAAATTACCAGTACTATCAAGGTAGTCAAAGTAAGCTTGATACCGTTCGTCTCTCCACAAATTAAGACTAGCAATTTCAAAATTCGACCAGAAGTGACATAAATTGTATCCCTCTTGAGGGTTACCAAAGAATTTTAGTAGCGTTGTATTAAGGTCATGTTCGTGAGCGAATTTCATAGTATGATCCCACAGCGTAGGAATCGTCTCTGGAATTTCTTTCAACGTGATAGTAAAACCGTACTCTTTACCGTTCTCTCTCATAAAAGTGAAGGGATCATAATCCAAATCACAATAAAACTCCACACCAGGCTCAACACGCCTATTAGCCAAAATAACAATTGTCATTAAATTCACTACATTCATTTTCAGTTCGAATCAAATTTACCAGTAGTAGTCATAATCAGCAACTAATGGATGTCTATAAAAGAAACCTGAGTTGAAACGACACATATGGCGGTAAGACAAGGAGCCTCCATAAAGAATATGTCGAGCAGCATAATCGTCTAACTGCTGTTGCATAACTGTTCCGTTGACGTGCTTGGGGATTGACCACATCTCCGAAGGCACTAGGCCAAATTTGACGTCTGCTTCTGTCATAGACGTGATAGCAAATTTGAATTCGTTGGAAAACGGCTCATCGTTCAGAAAGACGTATGGGTATTTGTATTTGCGATTAAAACGACTAACGCGCCCAAATAAAAAAGGAAATTAAAAAAAAAAGTTTTAAGACAATAAGTGAATCGACAGTGTAAAGTAAAAATTGTGAAAATGAGTGCCTACTCTTCAAATTGTCGTAATGTACGTCTCATCTGTTGTATTTCTCTATTTCTAACTAGGATGACAATAACAGCATTTTCTCTGCCAATCTGCTTAGTATTTGGTAGCTTTTCAACTATTGGCTTTGTCTCTTCTCTGTTTTCTGGAACTTGTAAATCTTTTTTAGGGCTGCTCTTAGCAGTTGTATCCTCGATGTCCAACAAATTCTCTAGGCCCAAATGTTCGTTATCAAGCTGTTCCTCAGAAAAATGCATTTGTACGCCATCGTTTCCAATGGACTCTCTATTTAATAACTCTGCTGCTTTTCCATTTATAAAAGAGGGCGTTATGCCGTTTTTTTGCCTGGTAACGATATACAGAGACCCAAAATATAATACAGCTATGAAAGTTAGTGTTACAAGATATGTGACACCCCTCCTCATATCAGACAGCAATAACAATCACAATAGTGAAAACGGTATAGAAAGAGAGGAACGATAACTGGAAATAGAAGAAAAAAAAAAAAGAAAAAAGTAAAGAAAAGAACAAGCTAGCAGAAGTGCTATTATCATAGGTATTGAAATCCATCGTTTTGATAAATAAACTCAGTCAAAAGACTCCTCACCGTGCCAAAAAGGGCGTTTATGGCAGTGAAGAAGGAACATGATCAATGACTTTAAATTAGGTCGCCGAAATGTTTCGCCTGGCTTGGCGATTACCAAACAAAAAATTCTTCAGTAACCTATCTCTTTCAATTACTTCAACTGATGTAACTCAAAAGAGGGTTAGTAGCTTAATTAATTTACTTTTCAAAACCATGATAGAAATATTGAATTTTCTTGGCGATTGTTTACTGCTAGATAGATTATGTTTGTTACTTGTGAATATAACTTTGATTGACGTATCTTACGTTATATGTCTGATCGTCATGCTCACAGGAGAAAAAAATGATATCATTGCACTCAGATACCCGTAATGTTTCAGCCTTTATTCAATTTAGATCTGCGAAAACCGACTGTAGTTTTGAAACAATAGAGGGACAGATGCGACAACAGTAAAATCAAAGTTAAGTAATTAAAACTGATCCGCTCTGGTGAACAGACGTTTGACTGTAAAAGTGCAGAAGATTGCACACTCGTCCAATGTCAAGTACTATAAGTATTTAAACACAGAAGACGCGAAAATGATCGGCAAGACGAAGACAGTGACGATGCGGAATATCTGTTGTAGCACATTGCCCAGATCAACTTTATTTTGGTGAGCATTTGATCCGTGCAAAACTGATTTACTTTGTGCAAGCATATCTCATTTTAGCGTTTTTATCAGCTTTCTTAAACTATTGTATAGCTGTCGATAAGACCTTTTAGTATCCATCCTCTTTTTCACTGCGGATACATTTCTGTATTTGGTATAGAGGTCAAATAACTGCTGCTTTTCTTCTTCGGACCATGGACTTCTATCCAGAGCAGGATTGATAAACGATTCATATCTATCCCGTATTTGCATTACCGTTCGCGAAGAGCCAGTAGCTTGTTTGATTTTATAAAAGTCAGTCGCACCAAAGGTCTCCACTGCTTTTAGTATTGCTTTATCCTCCTCGTCACTAAATTTACCTACAATTCACTTAATTCAGTATCCACTATGCAACCTTCTCTACTTTCTGTGTATCTTTGACTCTTTTTCTGATGTTAAAATGTTTGAAATACCTGTTGTTATTATAGCATTTCTGTTCTCATAGCTCCATTTATTTTTACATTGTTTCACACTCCTCTGTAATTTTTGCGAAACAGCATGCCAATCATCTGGGTAATTCTTGACAAGTTCACATAATTGATTAACTTCGTCGACTGTCCACCTCCCACTCCGTTGGCTAGCTTTACGTGATAATAATTCTTTACAACGAGCTCTTACTTGACTCCTCGCTTTACTGGTAAACTTGTTTTCCAGCGTTGACCAATCGATTTGGCCCAGATCAGTTATATCTTGTAAATGTCTTGCTAGCGTTTCTTTCTCTTCTGGGGTCCAGCGTGTAAAACCTTGCGAAGTGTAATAATGCTTTCTTATATAATCGGCCCGCCTTGATGGAAAGTAGCACTCACTAAACATTGTCCACCGTGGACCGTGCTTCTTTACCAGCTCCTTGAGTGTCTCTGTTTCCTCTTTCGTCCATGTTTGTCTTTTTTGAGCTGATGTTATATCTGCTGCCCTTTTCTCTATTGCTTCTACGAGGGAGAGGTAGTGACCACGCTGAAAACTTGAGGTATGGAAAAAAAGCTTCCAACTTCTCTGAACAAGTAAAGTTTTGTAAAGTGATTTCGGATGTAAATGCTGAATTAATGACATGGGGATCGCAAAACACACTAGCTGCTTTTTATTCAACTTTCGCAGAAAAATGAAAAAAAAAGGAGTTCGAAAAGATGGTCATTTTTGATTTTGCTTGCCAAGCTGAAAATGGACGCATGAAAGATCGTTGTCAATGAAAGGTCTTCACAACGAGTACGCTTTGACAGAGATTTGCAGTTGTTCATTGAACCCCTGCGAGCTTTAGTTCGCTGCTTTGGAATGCGTCGGTTGATATCCAGTGCACCAGTTCCTACTTCAGCTGCTTTTTTGCATACAGAACAATGGATACCATCCAACATCTTTCTGTTGGAAGAGTTCTAGGGATTTGCTTTCTGGAGTCAGATAAACTTCCACCTTCACGCACTCGACTCTAAATAATCAAAAGTATTATAGAAATGTTCTGAGAACCAAACGATTTTGCTACCATTCCTCGTCAACGAATACGTATAGACTAGTCTAATCGTTTTGTCCACTTATGTTTGGATTGAAGTTTGATGGCAAACAAATCTGCAAAACTGAGTAAATCATTCGTATAATAAAAAGTTAACTACATGTCTATGACATATATATGAACAATATAGTATATGAGTTTTGCTTCATCAACTGATGATGCAAATTTTGTATCCACTTTTCCGATCTTTTTGAGACAATGAAAAATCACCTTGTTTGTCAATAAAAAAACTTTTCTGACGCTTGGTTTTTTTTCTTCTCGTCAACAAAAAATCATAGAATAATAACAACACCAATCCAACGACCCTACCCTTAAGACTTCATTCAGGTTAAACACCTTCAAAGCGGAATTCTTTTCTTCACATTTTGGTCATAGCAGCAATATAAGCAAAAGAAGGATCTTTTCTTCTATGAAAACAGTTTTGAGAAAACAATAAACACAGGCAATGAAAGATGAAGCTATGTATAAGACAAGTTGAGGGCACGTCTACAACAACTGATATTGATCCAAGGACTTTTTCGAAGGCAAAAATTGGTTTAGCTATAGTCCAAGAGATTGGGAAGTAGAGATTAATTGATTTATAAACGCGCAAACTGTAGCATAATTTTGAAAGGACAGACGTTATGGCGTCTTAGAGTTTTTGGAGGCTCCCTATTAACGCGATAGAGGATCTGATACAGATATTATATCGACTGCTGGAATAAAGGATGAATGTACTGTGAAAGTGACGATCACAGTGACAATTCAAAAAGCTCAAGCACATATATTCTCACCAAAAAGTCCGACGTCAAACTGTTACAAAGAAGATCTGCTGTAAATGACAAGTACGCGGCAAAAGAGGTACTGCTACCGTTTAGTTGGTGACTGTGTAAGCTTGTTATATAATCATGGCCTTTTACTCAACTTCATTGTAAACATTGTGTTGTGCAAAAAGCTACGATAAACATAAAGTAAATGAGAATAATTGAAGAAAAAAGAGGAAAGATTATTGTTTATGTCACTTGACATATTTTCAATTTTTATTCTGGATGCTACATCTAATACTAATCAATAATAGCTCTTTTTTTTTTTGGTGAAATAGTAACAGTTTTTTTTTTTTTGTTTTTTTTTGGTTTTACAAATTCAAGTGCTTTCTTGTGGTTATTGTATTGACGAATAAAGGAAGACAAAAGAGAGAATCAGATATACTCTAGGGTTGATGGAAGTGAAGGTAATACAATATGCCTCGTACAGTCAGAATACATTGAAAAATAACTTGGGCTTTTAACCTATATCTTGCTCATATGAGCGATCTATATCCTTGAGATTTATTCTTAAAGTTACGGAAAATTTCAACCGGTTAATAGCAAGACCAGGTATTATTATTAACTGTAGATCAATGGTAGTTCACAAAATTTCCAGTATGGTACCCACTAGTTCTAGTGTGTAATTCTCAGTGTACTCAGCAGATGGCAACCTTAAGATGAGGAGGGCATGGCAGACAGAAAGAGTCTAAAGCTTCTAGCCAATAAGCCATTCCACAGGACAACCGACTACAAAAAGATAACAACTTCAACGGAAGTGGTACACAGTTTACAGTAACAGGATTTTTTTTTTTTTTGTTTAAATTCAGGTACGATTTATTCAACAATAAAAAACAAAGATATAGAATTATTAAAAAATGAGGAAAAGAGCATCTATGATGTATAACAAAACGAATGTTACCACCAAACCCAGCAAGGCAGTTAGTCTACGGCTTGCGGGGATAAGGGTGCAGCACTGCTTAAAGTAATCGTCAAGTTGACTGAGGACTTAAGCCTTTGCAAGGCATTATCGGTGGACCAACTTTCTTTAGTGATAATCGTATGCCAATGGTATTTCCAAAGTGTTTCCAAAGTGTAATTCTCAGTATATACGATAGCCGTTGTGTAATGAGTGAATTACTTTTCATTAGAGAGGTTTCATTCGATAAACATATAAATATGGCCTGCTTCTCAATTCATAATATCTTTAGTGATTTTTATCTGTTTTTCCTGCATATTATACTTTTCTCTTGTTTTAATAAAAGTAGTCTAGCTTATCTTGTTGTAATTTCCGTTCAGAGTTGTAAGTAACACCAACCTCCCGTCGGATCATCGCCTCCTGCCTCTTTACATGTTGGCAGCTTCAGATTGAGCAAAATATGCCAGACATCTGCAGGAGACCTCAATACATCCGTGAGAGAGAAATGAACCAGAGCTGCTGCCCAATAGGACCATTTTACAGGGCAACCAACGACAAAATGATAGTCGTCTTCAATGGATGCTGGACAGAATTGACATGCTGGTGAAGGCCATCGCCGAGGACGAAGACTATAACAGGACAATTGTTTAAAAGAATTTCCAGCATTAAAGGGGTTACAACCACCACAAACATAAATGGAGCAAAAAATTGCGGCTAGAGTGGATCGAACACCCGACCTTTAGATCTTCAGTCTAACGCTCTCCCAGCTGAGCTATACCCGCTTATACATTGTTGAGGAATGTAAAATTTACAAATTCATAAATGCATTTAAACGCATGTGATTGGCCGACCTGGACCTGGCCATGCTCGACATAAAAAACTCCGTCGTCAAAAAGAAACGAACTCATTCTACCTGTAAGAGGCGAACGTCACACTCACTTATGATGAGCATTTTTTTTACTTTCGGTTTTTTTTGGACACACAAATGTTGGTTAGGGCGAGTGATACCTTTTCGTAACGTATTGTTGAGGTTCGGATTGATTTTCAGCCAAATTCAAATCTTCGTCACGTCAGTGAAAATGAAACGTTACTATTGGTTGTACGTTGATGGCCCGTCGGTAATGTTTTCTGTTAACTACGGTTAAATAATTTTTGTCGAACAAAATTTCCTGTGAGCACGCAATGTCTTAAACACATTGGATGCTCTGGCCAGTTCCAGTAGTTTTATTGACACTAAAACCACTTTTGAGGGACGAAGTAAGAAAGAATGTGAAAGGAAGAAGAAGAAGGCAACAGTCAGAATTTTTTGTAACTACTGTAAAAAAGAGGCGAAAGATTTATCCGATCTGAGCACAGGACGGAAGTACTGGTAACTGCTGCTTTTCGCTTGACTTTCGCACGCATGTTACAAAATTGAGACATTTTTGTTATTTAAATATAGATTGATATAACAATATTTTCAAATAAAGAAGCATACTTTTTGGGATTGTACCTTTTCTATCCAAAATGCTCAATGCCAAATGCACGACCTACTATTACTCAAAAAAAAGTACATATACTGTGCCGAAGCACAGAATACTGACGGTGTTTGATTGAGATAAGATTGTCAAGCAGCAGTTAATAGAAACTGCGGAAACGTACAATGAGAAGTTGCGCAAGATGAACTCACATAACGCGTATGTTATGCCACCTCCTAAGCGAATAATATCATTGAAGAGGTTTCACCTCTCTCAATATAATACAACCCACATCTGTAGTCAATACAACCTCAGTGTTTTTATCTGTTTATAACTTTTCACACTATCTTTGGTAAAAAACTGTTTCAATAAACCTGCATAATATCAAGTATCCATTCTCCCTGTCTGTTGTAACAATATCTTCAGAGGCGTTAATGATATTAATCCCACAGTCTTATTCTGTTTACTTCGTCTTTCCAATCTCTACCACAGCCACAGTCATTAAATGCAAGTATCTTTAAACCGCCTGGTTCGAGGAGCCGACAGCACTGTCTTCGCTAAGGCGATTCTGTGGGATAATTTGTGATGGTCTTCCACAATGTCACGTTCTGACCTCTAATTCATATAAAAATCTGAGAAACAATCCAGATTTACTGCCTTTACCAGTTATGGTGTACTGGAACAAAACAGATTCAAGGCACACTGGGACAAAGAAGATTTCATCAGGCACACTTCAACCTTACTAGTAATCCAAACAACTCGCAGTGGCTTTGTACAATTCATTATTGACAGGAGCAATACTACTCGATTGACAATATTACTTTCTTGATTTCGTTATAAGTTCAGTTCTACCTCGCATTCATTTAAAAGACCATCCAAATTCTAAACCGGAATAAAAATTGAAGAACTCTTGTTTGGTCTCGCTGGATCCTCTAGTCTCTACTGTTGACTTATCAATTAATTATGCCTGATATTAAGAGATATCACATAGGTATATACGCTTGTCCGGATCATCAAATAAACCGGACAAAAAAGTATCAACATATCGAGTGCTAAGTGCCAATTGTTTGATGTCTTCTGCAATTAGTACAGGAGGAAGCTTCCGAATAAAATCAATTATGCAATTTTTGAACTTGTTTTCATTAATGGGGAGATCCGAATCCAAAAACTTTGCGGTCGTTTTACCTCGACTGATTACTCCCATAGCAAGAGCTTGGACTATGCCAATTATGCTGGTAGTCAACTCCATTGACATTGGGCCTTTCTAATACCATATTTTGTTTCAATCTCACTGATAGTCACTTCGAGATCGTGATTACTCAAATAGGGTGATGAATTCTATGGGTACTGATTTTGTGACAAAAGCAAAATGTGGGTGGCAGCCAACGCGCAGTGGATGTAATTTTAAAGTGATGTTTTCCATTTGTGTTGACATAACCAAAGCTGCAGCTTATGAAACGGCAATGTTGCATCGAAGTTTCGTACCAACAACTGGTCATCGTGATCAAGAGGCAGAAACGATAAGCATAATGGATCCAACAACTCAGCTCTAAGGACAATGCTTAAGCGACGTTCGTTAGGCTGGTATTGGTTGCTGTAGCTTTAACATATATAAATTCATCATTATCATATCGTCTAATTCCTGTTACTCGATATGACAATTGCATATCATGCTTTTACATGTGCTGTTGAAGGCGTTGTATACAAGTTACTACTGCATGTCTTCATCTACAGAACGACTTCAGTACCTGCTTGACGATCTGACACACATCTACTTTGGCACCCGCTTGCGATTAAGATCTTATCATTCTCAGAATGGTTTTAGTTCAGTTGTATTAATAGTTGCATACCCGTTAATACCTCCGTTTTGGTATAAAGGTATTATTCTCAACAAACTTGAATAAAGGATATTTCAGATTTCTCTCTTCTTATGCTCATAGAACATAAACTAAACAGAACTTCGTAAGACACTTTGATACTACAGTTGTTATGAATGCGATCATGGCTTAGAGGGAGCAGCTATTTCGAACATGTTCGAACGTAGTGCTTGAGCCTATTTTTCAAAATTCTCCACCATGAAGGCTGAATAAATTAGTGGCCAGTGTCACGCAGGCCGCTACCAGCGAATCGCTGTATCCGCTCATGGGATGTGTCTTCAGACTGTAAACGGTTGTGGGAAATTTGCTGTTAAAGTTATCAAAGGCAAGCGTGACCAACATGTTCATGTATAGTAAGTTTCTGACCTACTGCCGTAATATAAGCTTGCAGATGGTGTACCAGAAGTTCTGCTCGTAGACGTATGGGTGATCAGTATTTGTTTGGTAGGCATCAGTAATTTTATTAGTTCATAAATAATTGTGCTCTATACACCACTTGACGTATAAATTGTGCTGAATTGATGATGTTTTCTGTAGCGACTTGAGCAAACGCTGGCCTTGATATATTCAGTTACTTTAAAAGACTTTTGAAAATAAAATAAGACAGTAAAATGACCAGACACAACAAAGATACTCTTTATTCAAGTCTGTTAAAAATGATACTTTTATATGAGAATTGGGGTTATTAACCGGTATTCAACTATTAATACACACAATTGAACTAAAACTCTCATGAGAATGATAAGATCTTAATCGCAAGCGGGTGTGTGGCGAGGCGATGGTCAACGGGTATTGGCGGATTATACCGCCCCTGTCATTCACCAATATCTTGCGGCCGATTGAGGGTCTTCTATCGTCAATGGCCAAATTCTACAAGCGGAGCAATCCCATCTTTGACGATGATCACCCACGATCGATCATCCGCAGCCATCTCTTACCACCCGGTGATCCTGAAGCACCCGAATGGTGGTACACTCATGATATGGGTTGAATTTTTGTGCGGGTGTTCGCTCGCAGCTTCGTCCAACTGTTCACCCGGCCGGAATGGGACGAAGTCTACTTTTACCAGCATCCCAACGTGGAGTTTTCTCGCTACATATTGGTGCGCGATGACGATCGACATCATATGCTGGTCGTTGAAATCTGGGACGTCGACGACTTTTTGTGGAGAAGACGAGGACGCCTTCATCATCATAACGACGCCCTTTACGGACGGTTTAACCGAATATTTGTCCCCAACCTATTTATTGAACCAAATTCAAAAGAAATTTGGAATATATATCTCGGATAGTCAAGATGGTCTTTCAATTCATTGAAAGCTGGAGCAAGCCTGGCAAGAATAAGAATTGGAAGGATCTCTTCAATGAAGGCAAAAAACAGGGTTTGTTCAAATCGTACAAATCATCTGATACTTTGAAGTCCTCATATATCATATTAGAAGACGAAAGAACAAAAAAAAAAAAAAAAAAAATAGTAATGAATAAAAAGAAAATGGTTGTAAAGTATGTTTAATTTTCTTTGTTTGTTACAGTTTCACAAGCTAAGCATATAGATTGAGTATCTGAATTCAGCGTTAAACTGAACGATATGCTAGGATCGGGTTTGAAATGACACAATGTAAAAAAAATGCAGATGCAGATGTATCATCTCTATCTAGATTAACTAAATCATCAGGGAGAAACAAAAAGCACTTGTGTGCCCAAAATTAGATTCGTATTGCATTAAATATGAATCACCATCAACGCTACTCCTTCTCGCTCATTAAATAAGAACTGTCTTTGACAGAGGTAATCAATACTGTGGGCAAAAGTTTAAGCTTCTCCTAAACCAACGTTCAGTGTTCAATAGTGTTTAACATTGTGATTTGATTAACTTCTTTTTGAATAACAATAAGTAGTGGAATAAACTTATTTGCTTTTTTTTTGGCACAAAAAGTATATTCCCCTTGGAATCAGCCCAATTAGTTTGAACCACAAAATAAGTATTGGCAGGAACATCTGTACCTAGAGACGGTTTATATGTTGAACAAATACAGCATATTTAAACGAGTAATAAAAGATATTAGTGAAGTACCAATTAGGGAGCGAACAATTAAATTTATTGACTTTGAGTCACTTAATACAGTCCACATAGCCATATTCAACTGTTATCTGTGATATAGAATGTCTCATGTAGAAATCCCCAAAGCGAGCAAATCTATGAACTCTGCAAGGCATATCTCATTCTCAGATCAAGTTCCTGAAAAAGATGAATACGACTCATGTTGAAGTGTAGAAATATTGTCTTTGTCCTTATCCTCATCCTTGTATTTTGTCTTTGTCTCTGTTAAATGACTCTAATATAAAACCTACCACAGTTTCCACAGACTTCTCTTTGCCTCTTCTTTTGCTATTCTATTCTACCCGTACGCAACAAGACCTTTATAAGGTCTTTTGCATAAGTAGCGCCTAGAATAGAAATGGGGTTAGCCCTAGACGTCTTTTTTAACATAGGAGTTTCTCCAATGTGTGCCCATCCTTGGGTTCTTATCAAATTAGCATTGAAACCAGCTTCGTCAATAAATATGCATTTGATCCCTGTAATATACACCTGTTCCTTCACAGTTATCATCCATTCTTTTCTTTGTTGAATTTTTTCAAGGGAGTTTCTGCCTTCTGGCTCCATGAGAACACGCTTCAAAGAGAAAAGCCACAGATCAGCCATGCAACGATATAACGTTCTTTTAGAAATAGTCGCGTCACTGAAAGTGGTATCAAAGTGTTCCATCGACCATTGTAGATGTGGGCTGTTTAAAGTAAAAGTCAGTCATCACCTTTTTCGTTGCTTCTGCTAGTTCCTCTTCCGGCTCGATGAGCTTTGGTCGACCAATAGTTTTGAAAAGTGAATTTGGGTCTTCTTTCCAAAGCCTTATACCATCTTTGTACAGTTTTAGTGTAATGGCAGTGCTCTACATTTCTCATTATCAGATCTCTGCCCAAGGTAAGACGCGAAAGGAGCTTGATGTTACTAATGCTCTGAACAAATTTCTTACAAAATAGAACTGTGTAAACTTTTTATCAGTACCGAACAGATAAACAAATGTGAATAAAAATGTAATATGAGAAAAACAATTAAAAAACTGAGAATGTCTTGAATATGGTGTGTTTTATACTATTTATACGTTTCGAAAAGTCTATCTCTCTAATGAGCAGCTTCCGCTCCTGACACTAATCTATTTATTTCTTATCTTATCTTAGAATTATACATTTGATCCGAGATGCAATCGACCACACCGCGTACACAATGGAAACGAAAATAATAAGCAATGCTTATACATGAGAATGCTTTATTTTGATTTTTCGTGGGACGGGAATGGTATACTTATGCAAATATATTGCCACCGCATCTCTAGTATGACATATCAGTTACATATTCTAGAAAAAAATGATTATAGTATCTAATATACGTCGCACTTTTCAAATAGAGTCATATGAGAGGTAAGTATCTCCTTTCATCTAGTAATGACTCAGTAAAGGGTAGACATCGCAGATAGTTTAATAATATTCGATTACTCACTTTTGATTGGAGCATGATTGTCTGTCGATTTCAGGAAACATAGTGTATTACATTTTAAGTTTTTGAATAATTTTGTACCTGAGACTGTATTAAGAAAACAATGGTTTCTCTCCGTAGACAAAAAAATGGCACAAACTGTAGTCGAAAAAGTAGACCAACTTAGCCAAACATTATTTCCTGGACTACCTCCTCAACTTCACTTACTTACTGGTAATGCCAAATTGCAAGTGATCTTGAGTTTATTTTGGTTTACTTTTTCGTTCTCATTTAAAATATTCTTTAGCTGTAGAAGTTATTAATAACGCAGCGATCAACACTGACGATGTGCTGAATAATGACCGATCAACATTGAAAACTGTACAAAATATGCTGCGATACCTGCGAATAAGAGCAATTACGGTAATAACCAGGTAACGACCACCTTAAAGATATGCACAAAAGTGAAACTGATGTACCGTCCAAAATCAGGGCGATGTAGAAGCGAAGTTGAAGTTATGGACAATATTAAAGAGAAAACAACCAACGGATAAAGCTTATCCTGAAAAAAATAACGAGGCTACATTATGGGCTCGTAGTTTATTCGATCGCCAGCTTATGAATGCTTTATCGCATTGTTCACTAGAGTTGATTGCGTTGGTGACGGAAGATGCTGAAAACAGTTCCTTTACAAACATAATCTTTAAAGCAGCTAATCGCAAATCTTACACGAAGGATACATCAAGCGAGAAGCAAAGGAGGCGGAAGAATAAGCAGCATCGAAACATGTCCTATTTAATGGGGCTACTTCTTATAAGTGGCATAGGAGTGAAACAGGACGTGTCAGAGGGTGCAACATTATTGGCGAAAGCTTTTAAGCTTGGTCATGAAGGTGCTGGCATTGAATTAGCTAAGGTTTTCAATGATCCTTACAAATTTCCTCAACAATATAACGTCGAGAAGAGCCTACAGATCTGCGAAACGGTTGTAGAACAAAAAAACCTTCGCGGGCCTTTCGACAGAAGCGCAATAATAGACCTAGCACGCATATATTACGAAGGCAGCGAAACAGTTGCGCGAGATATAGAGAAGGCGTATAAATTCGCTCGTCGTATTGCAGAGAGTTTAGGCGAGCAATATTGTCAATTTATTGTAGGAGATACGCTATTAGAACCTCCAGCAAATTCAACAATTCAGCGTGATGTTCAACAAGCTATCTTCTGGCTTACACAATCCGGAAATCAGGGGTTTCCATTAGCGATAGAGACTATGTCTAGGATTTATTTTGAGGGAAAAGCAGAAGGTTTCTTACAAAATTATGAGACAGCACGCCACTGGTGCTTACTAGGAGATGAGGTCTGGCCATACGGCCTTGATTACTGCCAAACATGTCTAGGTGATATGTTCTACTTCGGTTTAGGCGTACCGAAGGATCTATTTCGCGCATTTGAATACTATCAAAAAGCTGCTAGTCAATCAGGAACTTCCAGTACTCAGTCTCAGTTTATGCTTGGTGAAATGTAAGATCAGCCTGACATAACAAATATTTTGTTTAAAAATTCTCGCGTTCTTTGAATTAAACGATCAATCAAATCTAGGTTTTTTAAAACAGAAGGATGGAATCGTAATTTACTTCTTGCTACAGACTATTATAAGATGTCCGCAAAAGGGAAGTATGCGCCTGCTGAACAACGTCTTCAGGAATTGATCACTATAGAGGAGTCTTCCAAACATACTGAAAAAAAAGCAGCAAAGAAAAAATCATGGATGGGCTTATTGAGATTACTCAACAAAAAGAAAGGATAGATTATATAGCTACAACTACGATTCTATCCGATCAGTTATGATACCATATTTGCATTTGTTAAAAACTCATTGAATGCAGCCTCAGATTAGTATAAAACTTATCTTATCTGAAGAACAATCATTTACAAATTACCGCTTCATCTTGACTTAGCCAACCATGAACCAATACATATTACCACGTTCTTTCATGAATCACTCTGGGTTTTAAACTTATCACTCCATTTGTTTTTTCTTTCTTAAGTAACGCCTTCTCGCACCCGATTTTTTCATTGTTCCTGATTCTTTTGGTTCCGTGACTGATTCCTGCTCGGACAGATGACGTACGCTTACAGTTATGCGCGTTACGTGTTCCACTATCAATTGTTTGTGATATAAATCTCCTTCGAAATATTTCTTTTATATCTTTTTTAACACTTCTTTCTTCACAACTTGAATCTAAATAAATGAGCAGTGACCATAAAAATAAACTTTTGTAAGTTTGGTTAACCTTTGAGTTCAAATGCTTATTTGAGTTGCTTCAAAGAAGTCCATACTAAACGTCTTACTCATTTCTTGATTGTATTGACAACCGAACTCGCAGACCCAACTCAGGAATTGAGGAAAACCAAGTTGATCCCAATCACGATCCTGCTACTGCCATCTTACGTCGTAAGGCAGCACCCAATAAATTGATGGTCGATGATGCTACAAACGACGATAATTCTGTTATTACACTTTCAACTGCTACCATGGAGAGACTTCAGCTCTTCAGAGGTGATACAGTCATTGTTAAAGGAAAGAAGAGAAGAGATACAGTTCTTATTGTTTTAGCTGATGATGAGATGGAAGACAATAAGGCAAAAATTAACAAGGGTACGTTAAAAGCAAACAAGCATAAAGTATCACCATTGGTTGTATCCCCTGCTTATGACATTTCTTACTCTTGGAATTTTAGTTGTTCGTAACAACTTGCGTGTTCGCCTCGGTGATATCCTTACCCTTCACCCTTGTCCTGACATCAAATATGGTAAACGTATCCATGTCCTACCTATCGACGATACTGTCGAGGGATTGACCGGTAATCTTTTCGAAACTTTCTTAAAGCCATACTTTTTGGAAGCATACAGACCCGTTCGTAAGGGCGACACTTTCCTTGTTCGTGGTGGTATGCGTGCTGTTGAATTTAAGGTTGTTGAAACTGATCCTGAGCCATACTGTATTGTAAGTATACAATTGCACGAAACTAAATGATGTATGGGAATCGGTTGCATTATTCTGACAAGTTCTGTTATATTTCAGGTTGCACAAGACACAGTAATTCACTGTGAAGGAGAACCTATCAAACGTGAAGATGAAGAACAAAGCTTGAATGAGGTTGGTTATGATGACATTGGTGGCTGCCGTAAGCAAATGGCACAAATCCGTGAACTTGTCGAATTGCCCCTTCGTCATCCTCAACTGTTCAAGTCTATCGGTATCAAGCCTCCTCGTGGTATTCTTATGTTCGGTCCTCCTGGTACAGGTAAAACCTTGATTGCCAGAGCAGTCGCCAATGAAACTGGTGCCTTCTTTTTCTTGATCAACGGTCCTGAAATTATGTCAAAGATGGCTGGTGAATCCGAAAGTAACCTTCGAAAGGCTTTCGAGGAAGCAGAAAAGAATGCACCTGCTATTATTTTCATTGATGAAATTGATGCGATTGCACCTAAACGTGAAAAGGTAATCGTCTAAGTATGACCACTAATGAGAGATCATTTTTATCTCATACTTAGAAAACTTTTAATCAATCATAAATAGACTAATGGTGAGGTAGAACGTCGTGTTGTTTCACAATTACTCACTTTAATGGATGGTATGAAGGCTCGTTCAAATGTCGTTGTTATTGCAGCTACGAACAGACCCAACTCTATCGATCCTGCTCTTCGTCGTTTTGGTCGTTTCGACCGTGAAGTCGATATTGGTATTCCTGACCCCACTGGCCGTTTGGAAGTTCTTCGTATTCACACAAAGAACATGAAATTGGACGATGATGTCGACCTGGAACAGATTGCTTCTGAAACACATGGTTATGTTGGTGCCGATATTGCTTCACTCTGTTCCGAAGCTGCTATGCAACAAATTCGTGAAAAAATGGATCTTATTGATCTAGAAGAAGAAACGATCGATACCGAGGTTTTGGATTCATTAGCTGTTACTATGGAAAACTTCCGTTATGCTTTGGGCGTTTCCAATCCTTCTGCTCTCCGTGAAACTGTCGTTGAAGTTCCCACTACTAAATGGTCCGATATCGGTGGCCTTGAAAACGTTAAGCTCGAATTACAAGAAACTGTTCAATATCCTGTTGAACATCCTGAAAAGTTCTTGAAGTTTGGTATGAGCCCTTCCAAGGGTGTGCTGTTCTATGGTCCTCCTGGTACTGGTAAAACTATGCTTGCCAAAGCTATTGCCAATGAATGTCAAGCCAACTTCATCTCTATTAAGGGTCCTGAACTATTAACCATGTGGTTCGGTGAGTCAGAAGCCAACGTACGTGACGTTTTCGATAAAGCTCGTGCTGCTGCCCCTTGCGTCATGTTCTTTGATGAATTGGATTCTATTGCTAAAGCCCGTGGTAGCTCTGCTGGCGATGCTGGAGGCGCTGGTGACCGTGTTCTTAACCAAATTCTGACTGAAATGGATGGTATGAATGCTAAGAAGAATGTTTTCGTTATTGGTGCTACAAACAGACCCGATCAAATCGATCCTGCCTTGTTGCGTCCTGGTCGTCTCGATCAACTCATCTATATTCCTCTTCCTGACGAGACGTCTCGTTTATCTATTTTAAGCGCACAGTTACGTAAATCACCTGTCGCTCCTGACGTCGATTTGAACTTTATTGCCAAGCATACACAAGGTTTCTCTGGTGCTGACCTTAGTGAAATATGCCAACGTGCAGCCAAACTCGCTATCCGCGAAGATATTGAGAAGGATATTGCTAGAGAAAAGGAGCGCAGGATGAAGGAAGAAGCTGGCGAAGATGTAGGTATGGAAGATGACGAAGAAAATGAAACTCCAGCATACATTACTCGGTAGGTATTTGCTGTCGTCGCTAAAGAAACATAGAACATACATACTCATAAACCTCTTTTTTTAGTGCTCACTTTGAAGAAGCTATGCGTTTCGCTCGTCGCTCAGTAAGTGATGGCGATATCCGTCGTTATGAAGTCTTTGCTCAAAATCTTCAACAACAACGTGGTTTCGGTACATTCAAATTCCCTGAATCAAATGCTAATGCTTCTGGAGCTCAAGCTATGGACGGCGTGAGTGGGGAGAGCGGATTTGGTCAAGAAGGTGGCGATGATGATTTGTATGCATAGTTTAGATAATCACTGTTCAGTATAGTATTTTTCTTTTTTTTCCCCTCTCTTTTTCTAGTTACCTACCACTTTCCTTTTTTCCTTTTTTTTTGCAATTTTAAAACCTTTTATTCCATCAATAATCCAACAGAAGAGAAATAAAATACACGAAAGTATTATAAAAAAGTACAACGCATTTCAAATCAGATTACGATGAATAGTGATTTTAAATTTGGGCAGTTGGCCATTTCAAGGTCTGAAATATTTTATCAAAGCGAATATTCAGTTGGACTTGTTAATTTGAAGCCTATCACAAAGTAAACTTATTGAACAGCCTAGACATTGCTAAAGCTGAGCTGCTTTAACCAGATTAGTATTCATATAAAATTTTAGTGGACGTATGTATCTACTGCAAAGCCTCAACATCATATATACGCGTACTTACAATCTCAATGAAATAGATGTTCTAGTCTTACCAAAACGCGTCGTTCCCAGATATTCAATGCTATCAGTAGAAGAGGTAAATTAAACTCTTGCTTTTCATTGTTGAACAGTAGACTTGACCTAAGACCTTCTTCTAGATCAGTGATTTGACCATTTCAGCAAAGTTAATAACAGATATGCTGAAGAAAGAATATCCGCACGCTCAGGATAATATAATATGGCTAATTCAGGACGGGAAAGAAGCAGGCCAAACGGTAAGTTCTCGCGATATTACACCGTCTACAACCTTGTTAAAAGAACGCGTTTTTTAAGAGAAAGCTTACATTATATTAGGTATTTCATGTACATCTGCATATAATACCTCAACAGTTTTCTGTACTAAAGGGAATTGATTCTGTGGATAGACCATCCAGAAGTTATGAAGAAATGAAAGTAGAAGCAGAAAAATTCAGATCAAAAATAATCCAGCATTTCTAATTCGAAGACCTTATCAGATTCTAAAATAAGCCTCCATAATTACGAAATAAAGACAACCCTCACTCATACGAGTGAACTATATTGATGGATAGTTACAGATTATTCTCATTGTAATGCGTACATTTTCGATGATGCGCGTTTTTTCCTTTTAATGGGAATAAAGGGGATCAAATATCTTGTGGCCAAACTCCGTCAAGATTGAAAAATTTCAACAATTAGAGGAAATCAAAAAACTTGTTGCTGTAATAATATAAACTTACTCTTTTGTTCTCCCCGTCTTCAAAGCTGTTTCGAATTTCCCAATACCATTTTACATTAGCGTCCATAGTTTTTTTTTCCTAACTATTGGTTTAACAGCATATATAAAATTAATGTCACAGGCAATGTCGCAGGCAACAAAAACAGCAACAGGAATTAAGAAATTAGTTATACCCAAGTTTCTTCCAGCAAGCAGTAGTAGTGAACGAAGTTCTAATGGACGCTCTTCCTTAAAGACAGCATCGCCCACTAGAAGAGGCACTCTTAATAAACTAACAACTCTTGCTACTAAAGTGCAAGTCTTTCTACGGTGCAAGTAAGCATCGATCTGATCAGATCTCCAGAAACGATTTGTAGATCAGGTAACTTACCTCTTTATTTGATTGCTTCTTCATCTCATAGGGGTGGTAAACTTCGAGAATCAACAAGCTCAACTCCAGCTCACGTAAAATTGAAACTTATTGACAATGGCTCGATAACAAGTAGCATTACTGATTTCGATATTGCAAAAGAAGATATGTCAACTGAATTCGTTCAGGACGTTGTACTTCTGCCTTCAACCACTAAGGTTTTCCACTTTGATCGCGTTTTCAGGCCTTGTGAGACGCAAAAGGACATTTTCGAAGATGTTGCAAAGCCTCTTATAAACGATGTTTTCAAAGGGTACAGTTTTCCGGTTTCGATTTATGTCATTAATGCTTGAAAAAGAGTTTTACGCAAGTCATTTACCTACTACTACTTCTTTTAGAGCAAGTTGCACAGTCTTTGCATACGGCCAAACTGGCACAGGAAAAACTTACACCATGGAGGGTGATCTTCAACGTGCTGGTAATAATATCATTTCTGAAGGTGCTGGGCTCATACCTCGTTCTCTATGTGAAATTCTTCACAAATTGAATAGTTATCATGAAGATAGTTATGCTACCGTTTCTATGCTGGAATTGTATAAAGAAGAATTACGCGATTTGCTATGTATTACTGAGCCAAAGCAATTGATAATTTACGACGGGAAAGAAGATGATAGAGCAGTAGTTCATAATTTGCGCGAAAAACCTGTTAGAAACGTTGCAGAAGGTCTTCAAGCATTGAAAGCCGGAGTTAACAGAAGAATGACTGCTGCCACAAATATCAATGATAAATCAAGGTAAATGCTATTGTTACATTCAGTATTAATGCTCACTACTAATTAACCTTTGCGCCTCGTTACAGCCGGTCTCATTGTATATTTACCATTAATGTTTACATTAAGAAGGAGGGAAGTCAAAAGACATTTCAGGTTGGCAAGCTAAATATGGTTGATCTCGCTGGTTCTGAAAATAGTAAATTAGCTGGTGCTGATGCAAATAGAGCAAAAGAGGCAGCATCCATCAATAAAAGTCTATTAACCTTAGGGCGCGTCATTACTAGTCTTGTTGACAAGACTTCACATATACCATATCGAGAAAGTAAGCTGACGCGTTTACTTAAAGATTCTCTTGGTGGCCACACAAAGACTTGTATTATAGCTACAATCGCGCCATACACCCAAACGAATGATGAGGTCAAAAACACCTTGGAATACGCCAATATGGCTAAAAGTATAGTGAACTATACACCGAGGACTGTTGAAATCTCCGAAGAATATCAAACCAAAACCTTATTGAAGAAGATTGTCAGTCTAGAGGAAGACTTACAAGTATGTTATGAGAAGAATGGTATGTTTATACCCAAAAGAAAGTACGAACAGTTGAACAATGAACTCAAGAGTCTAAAGGAAGAGAATACGAAAGCTCAATCCAGCAATCAGCAATTACAGCATACAAATGAATTGTTACGGCAAAAAATTGTACAAGCAGAGCAAGCAGCTTTACTGAGAACCGCACAGATAGAGCAACAACTGCAACAGAAAAGCAAGGATCTCGAAAGGGCGCTACAGCAACTTGAGCAACATGAGCATAATTTGGACGTTATAGCCCGTACAGTTGAACAAGCGCGCGGAATAAAGAGGAATAGAGATGACAATGATGTGACAGAAACTCGCATTGCGAAAAAGCGATAATACCATACAGTGATCAATAAGGCTTTTGTCACTGTATTTATATATAAATACACCTAGATACCCCTACCATTTAACTTTTTCTAAGTCAAATAACGACCCATTATTCCAATTTATGCTCATTAAAATATACTTTTTACTGTAAAACAGTGAGGACGTAAGTTACCCATATTATGCGGAAACAAAAAAAGACATTCAGTTACCAGAAGTCAAGCATTTGTACAACTCATGAGGCTTGGTTTTACGCACAGCAATCACTATAACAAATGTGAACTTGCCTGTAGAGCCTACCTAGTAGTCATCATACATTTTAACTTGGGAGCAGCTACCGCTCGAACATTATTTACGAAGAAAACAGAGCATGAGGCATTGTTCCCGTACCAAAATTTTTTTTTTTTGCTCATGTTTTTTTTGCTCATGTTTTTGTGCTCATGTTTTTGTGCTCATGTTTTTTTTTGCTCATGTTTTTTTGCTCATGTTTTTTTTGCTCATGTTTTTTTGCTCATGTTTTTTTTGCTCATGTTTTTTTGCTCATGTTTTTTTTGCTCATGTTTTTGTGCTCATGTTTTTTTTTGCTCATGTTTTTTTTTGCTCATGTTTTTTTGCTCATGTTTTTTTTGCTCATGTTTTCTATTGGCTTACAGATTGCTGCTACCCGCTTTTATAAGCTTTATTTGTTAAGGCACTTATCAAAGCAATTAGCAGAATGAGAAACGAAGCCTTTGAAATCACTAAAATGTAAGCTATCACACGCCTCACTGATCCTAGTCATGAGCGATTCTTTTTCCAAAAACTTGTTTCGTTTAACTTTACTTTTGACGACTGACCAAAACTGCTCAATTGGATTCAGTTCAGGGGAATATGGAGGAAGATATGCATATCGATATCCTGGAGAGTGAATATACTTTCCTATGTCAGTTGAGCTATGGATAGGAGCATTATCCATGACAAGATAATGTCCCTTCATTTCTGGATACTTGTCCATTTCATCAAGAGTAGCTTTTAAAAAGCTCGAGTAATGGCCTGTCACTGTTCCTATGCTATAACCATCAGTCTCACACCCGAGCTTTCTCTTCTTCGGAACTCGCAAACTAACATTAATTAAACCTGTGGCAGAAATTGCACCTAAAATAGAAGTTGCTTCTGCTTTCGTCATTGGCACTGTAACTACTGCAGGAGTGCCTTTCTTTGACCAAGCCATACCCCGTTTCAAATTAATGTGAAAGGCCGATTCATCAAGACGCAATTTGTTGTGAAATCCAGGTCAGTTTGCTGCCACTTTTGAACCCAGTCGTATCTTTGCTGAATCTTTTCCTCACTGTTTCTTTCCACAGGATGAAACTGTGCTTGCTTATTAGACATATTACACTGAGTTGTCATGATATTATAAACAGTACTACGAGAAACGTTGAGATCCTCATAGTTTTGTTTCAAACTTTCCACCACTTCATTGACAACGGCAGAAAGATTCTCATCAATGTAATTTAAAAGAAATTGCTTATGCTCATTCCCAAGAATACGACGTCGCCCTGATTTTTTCTTTTTTTCGAAAATGCTTTCAGGGTCTTCGTAATAACGTTTAACCCATCTCTGCACTGCCCGGATATGAATGCCCAATTGTCTCGCAGCAGCAGAAGCATTCAAGCATTTGCTGAAAAATAATGAAAAATCTAGTCTTGTCTTCATCAGAGTAAACCGTATAGCGTCGCTTATTGCATAACTCCATATCAATATGATAGTTTATTTCATCCGCAACTGGAAGTATAACGGGATTAGATGGCCTTTCTGGAGGTTTATTCATTAAGAATTGAGTACGGGAACTTATTGTGTCAATAGCATACAACTCCTCATCAACAACAAGATCCATCGGCTCAACGCCATGTACATCAACAACATGCCCTTGTCCATCTTCATAAAAAAATTGCATACTCAACTTCAATATCTGTAAAATAAATTGTAAACAGAAAGAAGAGAGCAAAATGGACACAGAAAATCGTAACCCCTTTTTTATAATAATTTAATGCCAAGAATTTTATTGGATAATTACTAAGCGCCAATTCTGAGCAGGACTTTATTTTTGGATCAATCGACATCATTATCGAACGCACAATTTTTTTGCACGACATTGAACTCAAAATCAGCGACTTTACTTTCTGAAATGACTGTATGCTCATCACTCAATTTTATTTTTTTTTCTTGAATGGAGGTCTTGTGCAACTGTTCAAATCATGGTCAATCGAAGCTTCCATATAACAATTCCAGCTAGTCACGCTCGGGTGATACGTGTTCATTACGCATTGCCTTGGCAAGTATGAATGAGACCAACAATGAAAGTCTTCTCGTCTACCGTACAGGACTTGCATAAGCTGCAAATTGATAGCGGTGAAATAATATCAAAACGCAAATAGGCTTTGTGTCTTCAACATAATATCTCATCAGAGGCCATTGTAATAGTGCCATGGTTCCTGGAAAATTCCGCCAAGAAGGAACAGTGTCTGTTACTGACGGATAAGGCTTGGACCTTAGCAAAATTCTATTCTTGGAAATAGCAAGGTTTGCTTTTTGTTTTCTTATTTCTAAACGTTTGCCGTATTTGTGCGTCTCAGGATAAGCATATCGTCATGTACGTGATAAATGAACTTTATTTTTCTTTGATATAAAACTGTCAAAGTAAACATTTTAATTTTCCTAAGATTTATTTTTCTTCCTTAGTTTTCTGTCTTCCATTTTCTCATTGTTTTTCACATCTTTTTGAACTTTTCTTACATTTCATAGCTGAGAATCCTGCAATGGCTCTTTTTGGATATTTAGCGACCTTTTTCACATTTGCAGCGCTCGTTTTACAAATATTTACGATGATCGGTACAACATACAACCAACCTTTTTTACGAGACCTCTATTTCGTTAAAGTGAGGATAAGCAGCGATTTTGTAATTGCCGGCTTATGGAACTACTGTACCGGTAACACATCAGGTATACAGTCATGCTCTAAACCGGTTCCAGCCTTCGATTGGAGCACTGCCACTGGTGTAGGACGATATTTGGATGGTATCGGTAGTTTGGACAAAATTTTCCTTGCAGACTTCATTCTCTATTGGATTGCTTTGGGCTTTACATTTATCGCTTTTATTATCACTATCATGAGCCACTTTAGACGCGGCCCTGATTTATTGGCTTCTCTTATGACTTTTATTGCATGCATTGTTCAGTTGGTTGTATTTGTGATCATTCTGGTTATTTCAATTCGTGGTCTCAATGCTGCAAGAGGTGTAAATGATGCTGTTGATGGTAACTTGGGGCCTTCTATGTGGATGACTCTGGGTGCTTTTGTCTCCTTACTTCTTGCTTCCATTGGATATTGCGTTGCTTGCATCTGTGGCCCTGGTAGGGTACGTGCTTCTGACAAAGCTTAGAAATTTTCGGAAAATTTATCTCTCAAGCATACAAAAGACAATCCGTCAATACCACTAGAATTTAGCACCTAAACATTTAATAATATACGCCTATATATTATCTCCTCTTACTTATTTATTTATTAACATCTACCTCAGCCTACAAAAAAGAACGCTGATGATCAAAGCAGATGGCACATGATAGAAAACTAGCTTAAAATTACATCCTGTGACCCATCATCTTAGACCATCTTTTTCTATACTTCGCAATATACATTTAACTGAAGCTCTAATCCTTTTTATATCTTATTTGAATTAATGACATAAATTATCCTTTATTACAATAAACGTAATTCGTTTCTTTTTGTTTTGATGCAGCTGGTACGATTCTATGGCATCTCTTAGTAGAGAATGGAGAATGTAGCACTTTTATATTATTGTTGCAGGCTAGATACATGTACCTCGATTGGAAAGAAAAGGTCGCAATTTAACATATATACTATATGTTATCAATGCATGCTGTGCGTTAGATGTAGAGCTTTGAACTATCAAGGCTTGAAAAAATCTGTCAGGACTTAGCTTTTGCCATTATCTGATTAAAGCTACTGTTTAAGCACTTCTTCTTCGTTAAGTGCGCTCTCGAAAGTGTCTGCAATTTATGTTGAGTAAAACAATGTTAAGAAGACTCGCTTTGAAAAGGCGCCATTCGTATATCTCGAGGAGTAAGGAATCGGATCAGCGTCTCAAACATGCCTTACGGAAGCCACCAATACCCTTCACAAGCTTCATTGGACGAATCATTCATTCTTGTCGCACAAATTCTTCTTTGTTCAATTGACCCTATAACTTTTATCGCACAATTTCTATTGCCTTTCACTTCCATATATTTATTACGCTTTTTTTTTTCTTCATTGCTTAAAGATTCTTTTTAAACATGTTGAAAAAGATCAGGAGTGATGAGGTATCGAAACACAATTCTGCAGACTCCTGTTGGGTTATCTACAACAATAAAGTCTACAACGTCACAGAGTTTATTCAAGACCATCCTGGTGGAGACGACGTAATATTAGACTACGCGGGTCGAGATATTACAAAGGTCATGAGTGATGTCAACGAGCACGAGCACTCCGAATCAGCTTACGATATTCTCGAAGAGTATTGTATTGGGCAGCTTGCAACAGAAATATCAACACAAGAGGCACATAAGAAGTGCACGGTGTCTATTCATGAAAAGCGAATGAAGTTATTGGAAGAAGAAGAGGAATTTCAATCATTTGATAAAGAGGATTTCAAGCCGAACGAAACAGATATTAATTCCGATATAAAGAAGAACCAATTCTTGGATTTAAGTAAAGCACTGATACCCCAGTTGATGAGAGCGAGGTTCACAAAAGAGTTTTATCTAGAGCAGGTACATAAGCCACGCTATTTACCAGGCCCAGCAATTTTCTTCGGCCATCCACTATTGGAGCCCCTCACAAAGACAGCTTGGTATGTTGTGCCTACTGTTTGGATTCCTTACGTGGGTTATCAGTTATATCATTCACTTCAATTTGGCAATTCTACGGGAACGGCAATGAGTTTTGCTTTGGGTGTCATTATATGGTCTCTGTTGGAATACCTACTTCATCGCTTCTTTTTCCATTTGGATGAATTACTTCCAGACCATCAGGCAGCTTTTGTTCTGCATTTCACAATTCACGGGTTCCATCATTATTTACCAATGGATAGGTAAGAAACATATGAATTCCTACTGTGAACAGCATTCGGTAGAGTTAATGCATCATTTATAGACTAAGGTTGGTGATGCCTCCAACTTTAGCTGTCATTATTGCATACCCGCTTGTTAGACTAGGCTATTTTCTCTTTCCGCCCATGATGGCTCATGGTGTAATCGCAGGAGGTTTTTTTGGGTACATACTGTATGACTGTACTCATTACTATCTTCATCACGCCAAAGTATACGAAATCCATTTTAAAGAGATGAAAAAATATCATATGGCACATCATTACAAGAACTATGAAGGTGGCTATGGTATAACATCTAAAATATGGGATCATTGCTTTGGCACCAAACTCAAGTATACCAATTGAAGCGTTATATGTTTTTGATAGTAGAAGCTATTTATAATTCACTCATACTAATATTATATTCAAATCACTGCTTTTATAACGTCTATTGTTGCTTTTACGAGTTCCCAAACTCACCGTAAACCTTAACATTGGTCTACAACTGACGTGCAAAATCAGAATTCATAAAGTATAATTAATATGCGTTATTCGAACATGCATCTATAAAACTTTATGTTCGTCCCTCCAGTTAGATAAATTGAGCATATCCAAATAGGGTAGACATTCATCATGCAGCGCACACCGAGACTTTAAAATAGATATGCCCACTATGGTATCTCCATAAATAAATAAAAGGAAAGAAAAGCGTTAGAATCTGAAACTGTTAATTATAATTTCATTTTATATGCTTGTGTGTTCAGGTTCATGGTACGTGTCCGAACTCATAGGCTGCTTGTATACCAGATGCACTTACCAATTATGAATATTCTGTGCACAAACGAATGATATATCCTTGTTCTCCTTTCTTTGTTTGCTTCAGCAACCCCTTTTCCTTTTGCACTGGAAGGAAGCAAGTAGTTCGAAAATGCAGCAACAAAAGGGGGTTGGACACCTCCCCTTACTTTGCTGATTAGACGTATCCTATTCTTTGTTATTTTGAATTTAACAACAACCACCTATTGTAGGATTTTACTCCTATCAAACTATTACTTATGTATTTTATTTGCAAACAGCAGAAAAGTTTAATACTAACTTCGTTATCTATTTCTCTTTCTTTCGTTTTCTCTCAGTGTATGTTTACTTTTTTTTTCACTTAGATTAAAAGGCTTACTATTTTGTTAATTCCCCCATTCATCGCAACTCACTTGCAAGTCATTCTTTTGCATAACGCCTGTAAATACACCTCTATACAACATAATAACACTCAATCCGAAAGATGATGGCTAAACCACTCCTATTAAACACACAACTACTCTTACAATTGATATGCAACCTTTGTCTACTCTTCATAAGCGTTAGCTGTCAGCAACAACAACAGTTCCCAACAACAACGACGATATTATCATCCTCATTGTCACTAGCAGCAGTCGAATCACATTCCATATCACCTACTACAATCACTCTAAAGAAATCTTTGAGTAAGGCCTCACGTATGTAATAGAGACAAGGAGATTAAGCTGTCTTACAAGTTTATTGTCTGGCATTTTATTGTTATAGTGGAGGCGTCATCATGTGGCGCGAATGGAAATACAGATACAATTTGCTCTCCAAAAGAAGGAGAGGTTTGGAAAAATGGAACTTGGTACCCAATCATTTGGAATTCAATGTAAGGCAATTGAAAAATGACTACTTTGCACAAAAGAAATACATAAATTGCTAACCATAACTACCCGGTGTCCTTTTGTCAGGCATCCAGCCTATGTGTCAGCTGTAAGTGTACTATCTATGTAAAGCAAAACTCAAAGTAACATAAAACTCATATTTCTGAACGCAACAACAGCCAACAATAAACATCTATATCTATTTTGTGCGGAACTACGAGACAATTCTTATAAAGACATTGCCTGACATCGATGTCGCAAAAGGAACTATCCATGTACTTGTAGACAATAGCTGGAGGCTGGACCCTTCAGCACAAACTTACGAAAGTATAATTTATATCGTATCTAGCGGTGTAAATCCACAAGACGAGATGTACAACCGGAATTCGGATTTTCCTGCGCCAGTCAGTAACTTTGTCGAACGTAAATATTAGGGAGCAGTGTACATTAGCCAATCATTATCAGCAAAAAGACTTTTTATAGGGCATAAAGATGGACTAACCTTTGAATGCACTTTTCAATTCATTAGAGCCTGATTTAAACCCACCTCTGGTTTCCTTGACGAGCATTGGTGGCTCAGCCGCTACATCCTTCTTGTTCTCAAGCGGAACAGCATCAGATACTCCTCCATCATCGTCTTTGCCCTTAGCCGATAGGCATGCCAATGTTGAGAATAGCAATCCAGACAGCCACAATAATGCAATGCCACCCTGGTTGATTGCAACCGTTGTTCCAACAGCTTGTGCTGTCATAAGTATATGCGCTCTGGCGTTTTGGTTCATTCGACGTAGTAAGAAGAGAAAGATGGTCTATGGCGAGAAAGGACACTTGGGTAAGCCTATTTGGAATCCTTTGTGTGATGTGCAGTATGCCATAGCATTAGACAGCATCAAACTCAGCCGAAAAACAAATCATTGTTCTTTTCTCTTCTAGAATCGAGTGGTACACTGAGTAGCTCACTCTATCCAACGAAGGGTGTTTACTTTAACGGAAACGGAAAGGACAACGACAAAAGCAATACGAGCATCAATCATCATCATCTCAATTCTTCCATAATCTTAAGTCATCCTGATATCATTACATTAGCAGGAACGCCTGCATCTGTGTCACCATCTCGATCTTACTATACGGCCCCTCAATATCATCCTAGTCGAATGAATAGAAACAATATTAGCACTACCACTAACAACCTGGATAAAATAGTAGACGATAGCTCTCTCGCAAGTCAAACAGCACCTTTATCAGCATCTCAAGCAGCTGGTAAACCATTCCATGCAGATGAGCTGGAAAAAGCCGGCAGCAATAATAACAGCCTCCCACTGTTAAGCGCATTAAATCGTCCTCAATCAACAAACTCTGTAAGCAATTTATCCAGTCGTTCTGAGCCTCCTCCACTCATTACTTCAACCGATGCTATCATGATAGCCGATACTTTCCGTCAACGTATGAGACGGCCAGAATGGCAGCAGCAACAAAAGGTTTTTGAGGAAAAAGAGGAGGAGGAAAAAAGACGGCAGTTGAGTGAGCAACTCATGAAGGAAGAGCTCGAGGCAGAGGGAACATTAATGAAAAAGGTTGGGAAAAGAGCTCAGCTTTCTCCGTATATTTATCAATCTCAAAATGCATGACATGGCATATAATAAAGACCTATGTAATATTTATTTTTTGTACCAGTAGTATTAATAAAATTGAACATAAATGAGCGTACATGCATACGATACAAGCAGGCAAAATAAATAATATTGATCAAACTTCTGATGAGCAGAAATATAAATCTAATGGCCAGCCATTTCGGTTTCTAATTTTAAAAAAAAAAAAATGGTAGGAATGGATAGGACGGAAGCGGAGGGGTTTGCATTGTATACAATCATTTATCTCTTGGGCGCTTCTGTATTATCAACCAATTAAAGGTAGCTCCCTATAGGACATATCACATACAATTTTACATCTGGTTGACCGAGACTTAGTATCGAGAAATAGAGTATAAAGATATGATGGGTTTCAAATACAGTAAAATTGCTATAAAATGGCATTAGATACTTTAATGATCACTTAGTTTCTCAACATTGCAAAGCAGCAGATGTAATAAGCAACAAAGCGTTTCGTTTCCAATAAGATGTGCAAAAGCATTTTACGAAGCATCTACCAGTACGAATAAGAACAGTAGCAGTGACTGGTAGTACCTATACTAAGTTAGGAACAGAAGCAGTAGTTTGTTGCTCTCGACACATGAATAATCAGCCGAAGCGTACAATCATTGAAAGCCTTCTCCCTGTGCAAAAAAAAAAAAAAAAAAAACTCAATATGAAATCAGGATTAAATACAGTTGTGGATTCAACGCTACAATCTCACAGATTCTCACATTTAGCTCACAGCTTTCTAGATGGTTCGGAAGATTCTAAAGCCAATAATAAACAAAATATTACCCGTACAAATAAAGTAATACGGTACATCTCTCTTCTCTTCAGGAAAGCAGGGTAAACAAGTACAATTCCATCGTCAAACTTATTAAAAGTCTTGTATCTCTGGCTTGATCCTAAGCAATTATATTGAAGGGCAAGTTGGTATTGATAAAATTCCTTCAGGTAGAAATCAAATTCTTGTTGATACAAACAACTGCGTATAACTCGTCCATTATAACTTAATTACCATCTACCAATATCTTCTAGGGCCTCTTATTTTAATGCACTTATAGCTGATGATGTATTGGTTTATATTACAACTCTTCCTTATGGGTCCTTCCGTTCTATACAGTTAAAGAGGCTTTTCATTTTACGGACACGATAGAAATTTGGATGCATCCATGTATGACTTCACGCGTTGCTTTATAGATATTTTAATGGCAAACAATCAAAGTTGCTTAAAAAACGACACCAATAGAAGAATAAGTCGTGTCGATTGGGTTCCACTATGTTACATAATACATGCCTAGCTGAAAATCCAGAAGTCAGTATTCTATGAATCAAACAATTGTACATTCCGTCTTTTACCAAAACTGGTGCCTTGGACTCATGTAGGAAAAACTGACCCTTAGTTTTGATGCTAAACGTACAGTAACTGGTATAAGTCATGTTCAACAAAAACCATCTTTATAAATGTATCTATTAATAAACATTGTCAGGTCAGAGTTGAAGCTACTTGTAGGTAAACGAAGCATTGGACCCAACCAAAGTGGTCCTTTTTTTATATTATTCGTGATAGTGCAAGTTTTGTATAGCAAGCTTTGAAGGGCGGTGTTCATGTAAATATCATAGACGACGCCGCTTCATAGAAAATTTTTTTTGGGGGGGGGGGAACTAACTGTTGCAGTTATAGCTGGTTATTGTTAAATCACGACAGCATTGAGACTGGTCTACGAAATGAGGAATCTCTTGTGAACGTTACAAAAAATTTGGTTAATACAGTAAAAGACATAATGAGGGTGCAGTTTATCGATCTTATCCCTAGCTTTTTGAGACAAGCAAACTATTAATGCTAGAGATTATACTTTCCAATGCGTTTATAAATACTTTTCAAACAACAATACTATGTTCCTAATCATGTGAAGCATATGGCACGAAGTATAAAGTCATATAAATAAGGAACCTTCTCAAGTTCAACACTAAACTATGTTGGTTAGTTCTCGCCCCTCATTGTCTTTACAACTTCTTCTTAGGTTAACAAAAGGGCATTTTATACGTATCACTAGAGTTTCCATGCAAAAAAAGAAAATATACTTGCTCACATCATCATGGAAGCCTTTCCGACGTGCAAGGTCCAGTTACTGTTGGGAATAGAATATCATATCAATAAAAGATAACTGAGAGTATGGTCTTGAGTTCTGAAACTGACCATCAAAGAGGGACATGAGTGTACAAAATAAGCTTTTTTTTTGTCTTGAAGAAATACGAGCAAATCAATGTGGATTTGCTACTATTCACAACTGCTCCCTGATGTAATATAAGATGAGCGATATTGCACATAATCGATCCTGACAGCAAAGTATTACATTAAGACTTGGACCAACTCTCAAAGAGATTGTAATTGGTGCCAGACAATATATAAACGGGTAGGTCGCTAATAGCGATAGTCACTCAACCTATAAAAGAAATGCAGTAAAGTGCATGAAGGGATGCATGTCACTGTATGCTCGAACATGACTGAAATGTTATCAACAATTTGAAGGAAGTGTAAAGACGTTTAATTGAATAGCAACTTTCAATATTGGAGTGATAATAAATTACAAATATGAATGAATGGGGGGGGGCGGTTTTTGGTTTCCTTTCTTTTCAGTCAATGTTTTCAATGTGGGGCAAGATATATACTATATATATATGAAAACATGTAAACGATGGTATATAATGGGTATAAAAATGCTGTCTACTGAAAAAATACTCAAGTCCAACCATTTATCTTCATGACATAAGTTGATTCCAATTCGTACAAGGATAACAAATGAATCATTTGGTTCAAGAAGGAAATATCGGATTGATGAGTAATAAATGTAATTTTATGCATGGCTTCGTTGATTTTTTTAATTCTACAAAGGAAACTAGCGGTTGTTGTAGCGATACGATTGGTTGCTGTATTGCTGCCGCTGCTGCTATCATGAGAACTACAATGATGATGAAGATGATATGGATGCTGATCATTTGCTGTAGTTGTGGTTGGTATTAGTACAGGAGAACTACCTATGTATTAATTGAGAAGTAAGGGGAAAAAAGCATTAAATCTCGGGACGCATACGTACATACGACATATGTATACACATATATAAAATGTCACTGAGCTTTCTCTTTACCTATCCTACCAGACCACAAGATTTTGCCATCAGGATACATACATCCACTCATATCTCCTTTAAGATGCTAATCGTTCAGGAGGTGAACAAAAAAAATAAAAAATAAAAAATAAAAAATAAAAATAAAAATAAATACTCCAAATTTATATAAATTATACAAGTCATTTTTTTTTTTTTTTTTTTTGCACGATATGATATACCTCTGAAAGAATGTAATGCAGTTTCCCTGCAGCAACGTATTCTGTTTTTGCGGGATATTGTATGGATAATTCTTTATTGTGTGAAGATGTGTTTCGTCGTTTATTCTTCTTTTTACCAAAATAACGGTCGGATGTCGTCGTGAAGGTAGAGATGAGTTTCGCTAGACGGCTGCTGCTACTGCTGACAGACATGAAGTAGTTGGTGAGCGATGATTTATGATGTAGCATGCAACGTTTAAAGTAGCGCAATGTAGATAATGTGGGTGTTGTTGTCTTTTCAAAATCACGTGTATTCGTACTGTTGTTGAATAGTGCTGTTAGTAATAAATTCCCTGAAGTGGTGTGTCCGTCTTCAAAGGAAGAAGCGCGAGTAGAAGTGGTTGTGAGATAAGTTGTGTGTTGTAGGGACGGGTTTTTAGGGGAAAGAGATTGGATAAGAGCAGGTACCGAGTAATGGTGTTTGATCAATTGTTGAACGATAGACAAAGGGGGTTGAACAGTGCAGCAATCGTTCATCATCATCATTAGCATGGCTCTCTTTGAGTTGTTGTTATGGTGGGTGTTGTGATTCGACTGTAATTGAGGCAAGACGTCAATAAGGGTGGCACTTGTTGTGGTGGATGAGGAGGAGGATGGCATGATGATCGAACTCTTGTTGGTATAAACACTGCCACTACTACTGTGATTTGAAGAGGAGCCTTCTTCTTCTAAATTGAACGGCGTTGGCGGACTGTTGCTGTCATAATGATGTTGTTGATGATGATGATGATGATGATAATAATTGTTTGTCTCACAACTAGAGGTCGCTGTGGCTGTTGAATCATAACTGCATCTTTTAAGTTGTCGATGATGTGTTGTATCACAAATAGTGTATTTCTTGAAATTCTGTTGCTCTTGCTGCAGTTTCATTGATCTTTCCATCATAAGTAAGTGTCTTTCTTGTCTCTGTTGTAATAATTGGAAAGTGAGTTTTTGAATGTTTGGACTATAATGAGAAACCATGTGAATGAAATCAAATAAGTAAGAGTGTAAATGCATTTGCGTGTTGTATGTATATATATATGTATGTATGTATGTATGTGTGTTTGTGGGGTTGGGGCTGAGGAGGTGTTGGAGTGGGAGGAGGGGATGGCGTGGGTTAGGATGCAAGTTAGACTCTTTGTATTTTTTAAAGTTACCTTTTTTCCATCAATGCAGTTACTATTTGGTCATGACTTAAGTCTCGCCATAATACTTTGAGGGTCTCTTTTGTCGGTCCATCGAGTTCATTTGGGCTCTTTATGAGTGGTGATTTCAACTGCTCGTCGTGCCATGGATTGCAACGGAACGAAAAAGAATGTATCGAAAGCATTCGGCTGGAAGGTGTACTGCTACACATGAAATCGCTTCCTTTCAATAGTGTACTGTTGGTATTGGTATGGAGACTGCTCAAAACAGTGGTTGGTACTGCAGTTGAATTCAGGGTTGTTGGTAAAGGATGAGACAACAACCAAGGATGGTTTAACACGTCATTAAACTGTATATAAAAATATAGATAAGAGAAGCATCCATGAGCTTTCTTTCCATGCTGCAACTTGTCGTGTACAAAAAAGTTTCTTTTAGACTTACATTAATTCGCTTGTTTGGATCAATATTTAACATCCTATAGATAAGATCCTTTGCTGCCGATGATACCCAATCTGGTAATTGTCTGAAACGACCTGTTTTAATTTTTGCTAATAGTCTTCCAACGTGACGATCATCAAATGGTAACTTTCCGGTCAATAGGATGTACAAGATTACACCAGCGGACCACACGTCAGCCGATGGACCATAATATGGAATTCCCTAAAAAAGTAGAGATGTCAATAACTCTCTTTTATTCCATTACACCGAATTCTGTTGATTTTTTTTTTTTTCTTACCCTGACAATTTCAGGACTAGCGTAATGCGGAGAACTATTTCAGCGTTAGAAAGATGAATATTTCAGTTATTTTTTTTTAGCTCTACATCGGAGGAAGTCTGTATTTTTTGGTTGTTACCCGCAGCTTGTTTTTAATAATTTTGTAGTTGGCTGCATAATAGCCATTCCAAAATCAGCAATCTTGATATGTTTTTTGTCACTATCCAAGAGTATATTTTCTGGCTTGAGATCTCTATGACTAATAATGATCCATCAGCCAGTGTTTAGGAAAGAGGGGTTGTCTATAGATCTTTTACCATATATGCCGAGAGTGACACCATGCTAAGGCACTCGCTATTTGACTAAAGATATCTTTGGCTTCCAATTCAGATAATCGACGGTCATGCCGTTCACTTAATAAGTAATACAGCTCTCCCCCCGGCACATATTCAGTTATAAAGTAGATATTCTGCTCGTCTTGCAAGACTTGATAGAGGTTGATCAGGTTGGGATGATGTAATAGTTGTAATACGGCTAATTCTCTTTCGACAGCTTGAGTAATTCTTATCGATGAATGCAGTTGAATACGGGGTATGATCTTTATCGCTACTTTCAAGCCAGTTGACTGATGAATTCCAAGCTTCACTCGCCCTAAAAAATGTGTTTGCTATTTTTGAGTTTTTTTTTTTTTCAATTTTTCAAATGGGTTTTTTCACAGTTGTGTTATAATATCAACCTGTTGATCCATGACCGATGGTAGAGGACATGATATATTCACCAATAATTTTCGGTGCATTCGTCTTTTCTGTCATCATTGCCTGGGTTGTCGATTTGTTGACCTTTTTACTGTATAAAGATTGTACGAGTCGTAGTGGAGATACAATGACAAAGTGTATAGATGTTGATTTAATTTACAAAAATGCTAAAATGGTTATAAAAATACGCAAAAAATAAAAGATTTAAGAAATAGGAAAAGGAAAGGACACACAAACACACAAACACACTCAGACACGCACACAAAAAAGTAACAAAAAAAAAAAAAAAAAAAAAGAGAGAAAAAAAAGGAGAACGGGGAAGGGACAAAGGAAATGAAGTTTTATAATGATTCTGTAAACATTTTTACATAGCTCACATATGTATACATATGCGTAAAATGTAATACCAACAAAAAAAAAAAAAAAAAACCAAAAAAAAAACCGACTCAGTTTTCTGATTCGCCCTTTTTTCAACGATCATCGAGCTACTACCATTTGTCCTCTTTTGCCAGCTTGTTAAATGTCATTTTTTGTCTCTCACTTATCCACACACTATTTTTTTGTTATAAATTGGAACAGAGTGTTCAAAATGGTGGTTATAAGTAAACGATGACTAGAAATTTCTTTTATACAAATATGGTCATTATAAAAGAAAAGAGTAGGTCGTTCAGCCCACATACTAGGCGCAGGGGTGCGAGTCCATTTGCTTTTTTTTTAAGGAGTTCTCACTCTACGAAACACACTTTTTACGCAATTTAGAATAAAGAAGTTGTATTATAGTATGTAATGTATCTTTTTTTTTTCTGTTATGCACAGGAAAGAAATTATCTTATTTTGGTCAATCCATCCCAAAATCAAGGAGTTATCCCAAGTTTCATCATCTAAAAATGGGATCAAAAAAAGGGGGTCCATTGGTTGTTCAGACCCTGATTTGCATTTTATTATTTTTACGTGTGCACAAAACCATTTTTGGTGAAAATATAAATCATTCACATAGCAAATGTTTGCATGTTGTGAGGAAAGACAATCTCGCTTTTCTCTATGGGCATCTCGTTTCTGCCCCCTCGCCTCCCCTTCCTTTTGTATGACAAAATGGCTAAATGCCCCGGCCATAAGCCAATCCAAATCTTGCTACATGAAAAAGCACTATTTATATTGCAGCCAACGATTATTACATATCGATTGCCCTTTTAATTCTTAATGAACAGTAGCCGTTTTTCCAACAAACAAAATGATAAAGCATTGAATAGAGGAAAAAAAAAACTCGATAAAAGTGGGCATCTTGAAGAGGAGAAGCCGTTGTGGGGGGAAGGGAGAGAGACAGACAGAAAGATACAATTGGATCATGTGCGTTGTATGTATAGACATTGCCACGAAAAAAAAAAAAAAAAATCTAACCGCACTCCATTCATGAAATCTTTTCCATAACCTTAGAAGTGATAAACATAGTAAAAAAAAAAAAAAAAAAAAAAAAAAAAGACATTGAATAAGCTACAACGTGATTTTCAGAATCTATGCCCCATACAAAGAATGCACTCCTACCTATCCACTTTGGATGAATATGTATAAAATGTCAAGTTAGTCATCTGCAATAGCATCATGCGAGAAACCATCATTGAAGCCCATGTATCAAAGTTGTCAACAAGTTCATTTTGAGATCTAGAGCAACATGTGTTTAAATATTGACTAAAGAAGTAACATGAACATGTTACTTTAAAAACTGGATACTTTTACTTTTTTTCTTTCAATGCTGTAAAGTCTCGTCCTTCTTTATTTTGTGTGACATCAAGACGCATATCCAACGTAAATAATCCTTGTTTTGGTGAAATTATCTTGTGGACGCCTCCCTTCCATATACACATACCCCTAACCCCTCTTTAACTCCCAGATCATTGAATTGGGCAGTAAGTAGAATACAAATAGCCACAGCTGTACAAAACTAACTTCAATGGTTTTCCGATCATCATGCAAAGTGATATTTTTACATTAGACTCCAGTCGAATGGGACAGAACACATGCGTTGTTTAATCATACAAAAAAAAAAAAAAAAAAAAAAAAAAAAACCAGAAAAACCCTGTGATTTAATCTTTTTTTCTAAGCGGTTTCTTCTTTTTGAATCGAGACAAGATGCCTGCGTTGCCATCGCCTAGTTTTCGTTTTTTAAACACAACTTTATCTTCTGAGGCATCGTTATGGTGATTGTCTTCTTCCGCCAGTAAGTTCAAGTCGGTTGGATATTCTTTTTCTTTTATTTTGAAGTTGCGTAAGTCCTCTTGATCATCTTCCTCATCTTCTGGTATCTCGGGAACATGATCGGTGGTTGCCTTGGTCGTTTTGCTAGTGTGACTCGAGTCTCTCTTGGATGTCGTTGTTGTTGTCGTTGTTGTTGTTGTTGTCGTCGATTGTACTATTTCCCAATCACCTACTTTAGCTATCTCCTTGTTCACTGCCCATTCTTCGCGTCCTTCTAACTTGGGCTGCTCTTTTTGTTTCTTTTCCTCTTCCGCTTGTTGACGTAGTTCTTCAATGGTAGGAATAGGATGCGCAGGCGTAGGATAAAAGCCTGACTGTGGCGAAGAAGTGGGCGGTATGGATGACGTTGATCGACTACTGTTCAGGTATTTCAGTCTTTCCTCTGCACTAAGAGAGCCTAACGCTGCCTAGATGTGTCCTTTAGCGAGACGATCCGATGACCAACAACCCCCTCCACCTGTGAACAATTTACCTTTTCTATGCGTTCTAATTCTTGACGCACATTATTAGCATCTTCCTCATTTTGCTTTCCCTTCTTATATACATCTCGTAAGAAGCGTTCTACGTTATCTTTATGCGATCGGCCGCTTTCATGAATTTGAATCGACTATGCCACAGGATAAGAGATAAAAAGGTGGGCCCTTGAATGATGGAAGTGCGTGAATCATTGGACTTACAGGTTTATTGTTTTGTATATATTTTTTACAATATTTACACCAATGTCGTGTCTGCGAGACCCAGTAATCAGACCTTTAAAAAAGAAAATGAGAGCAGTGAGTAAAAACTTGGACCTGATGACATTGTAAAGGCAAATTCATTGTACATTTTTTTAATTTCGTTTTATTCAAGCAATGGGGGGTTGTGATGGAGCACAGAAAAGAAAAAAAAAAAAAAAAAAAAAAAGAAAAATGTCAGCATTTGGTTTAATTTTTTTATTCTTCGAGATAAAGCAGAGGCGGCATGTATATATAAATAGGGAGAGACTGGTGGTTCTTGTATAAAAAATCATCGTACTTTAGTTCTTCTCTTCTGCCGTGCTCTTCTTTCCTACAGGCAAAGTATAAGCAGCAAGAAGTTCGTCACCCTTCTTGATGGCTTTCGTAGCAGTAACGGTGATTTCATCGTTATCAAAGCTGAGCTTGACATTGGGAGAGTCTTGAGACTGGCCAAGATAAGTAGAGATCTTGTACAAACCGGCACCTATGTGCTTGGCCTCACTGTCTGTCACTCTGCTATGTTCTTCAGAATCACGCACGTCCACTGTCGTTGTCGTGGACGCAGGGATACCGTAAGCGTTGTACAGTAACTTGCCCTTCAGCATCAAGTAAATTTCATCCGACAAGAACTCGCTGATACCTTGGACCTTGGTACCGAGGACTTTTTTCAGCATGGTGATCTCAGCTTCGGATTGAGCACTAGGAGACGTTTCCAAATATCTGAATCGATCCACATGATCCCAGGCGCCAAAAGTGGTTTCACTCGCCTTCTCTTCTGTCTTTTGCTTCTTTAATTCTTCCGCTACCATGGAAGACAGAAATCGTGCAATCATGTAAGGATATTTGGTATTGTTGGTTTTTGAGGTCTGGGCAAATTCCAAAGCTGTGTTTTCGTCATCTGCTTCATCGACTGCCTTTGTGTCGGTGGATGTGTTATGCGAACAGAGGTATTTGTGATATTCTTCCTCAGCCGTGTCTCGACAGGATTCGCTACAGAACGCGACTAAATCACAATGAGGGCATGGGACCTTGCTTTCGTCATTGTCGATCGATTTTAAGCAAAAATTGCAGTGCGATCCTTCCAATTCCGGATAAAGAGCAGACACAAGAGGTCGTTCTGAGTAGATCTTTTCATCTTTTTCAATGTCTTTGTCGGCTATCAGTGAGCGACGGATCACCGGCGTGCCTTCTTCGTTTTTACCAGCAGGCAATTCACCCAATTTAACGTGTGTTTCCTTGGGAGGGAATGTTTCGTAGAAAATGTTTTGGCGTCTTTGTTGCTATCATAGAAAGAGTCCATATGAGTCCACTTGCATATGAGCAAAAAATGATCATCCCCGCCCCCCACCCCGCTTGTCCATCTTTTACCTCTAATGCCATGATATTGATCAGCATTTGGAATACTGGTTCAGGCACGGTCTTTTGATAAATCAAAATCAACTCCATGGGTGCGGGATAGACCTTTAAAGCCAAATAGAATGGCAATACGGCATCATTATAAAAAGCTTCACCTATTGAATTGAGTTGAGAGAGAGAGAGAGAAACGCGTTATAAATTTGGGACGATTGTCTATTCGTTTCAAGCTTCATCTACCTTTGTTACAAAGGGCTTCACCAGCAGCCACTTGTTCCATAAAGTATTTTTCTTTGCTTTCTGGTGAAGAGGGGAAGGTTTCCTTTTCAGCTGCCTTCAACACGTTCTCTATGATTTCTAATGCATTGGTTTTCGCCTTTTCTTGGGCTTTCTTCATTTCCTGTTTCACCTTCTTCTTTTCTTTTCCTACATGAACATGAATGAAAAAAAAAAAAAGAAAAAGATGAGTCGTTTTATACTAGTAACAAGTAAAGATGACCAGAGAAGGATAGAGATAACTGTCACTGAGAAGTAACCACTCCCCTCACTCTCCACCCCTCCGCGCTTCTGACACTTCTTTCTACAGGTTTGGAAGGATCTTTGACTTGTATTCATCTGTTATTCCTTCACTACCCACACCTGTTGGTATATCATAGAAACCGGGGACCCCCGCCTTCCACCCCCACGTTGTATAGCTACTTACTAAGTTTCTTTTTTAAAGTAGGATCATTTCTTCTCTTATAATCGAAATACAACATATAAGCAAGACCTGCGGTTACTGCAACACCAGCAGTCACCATTGCAACAGTTTTAGGTTGAATAGCCATGTTAGAGTGTGTATCTATCTAATATCTCCTAGGAGTCTGAAAGAACTGTGAAATAGGAAAAGAGAGAGAGAGAGAGAATTCCACTTTTTTGAAAAAAAGTCAAAAATTTGCTTTATCCATTGGACAAACACAAGAAATAAAACTACGACGTTTTTTTCTTTAAGGAAATTAGAGCCACTCATAAATTGCTTTTTAGTTTAGCTTTAAAAGCTTGAAAACAAAAAAATCCCCCAAAAAAAATCCCCCACCCCGCGCCACTCCTGTCAACAAACCCATGAGGACTCTCACATGAAACCCATTTGACACTCATGGGTGTCGTAGGTCATTGCCCTTCCGTTTCTCTCTGTCTGTCAACTGAACAGACTTTGACAGCTTTTCCTTTAATTTTTATCACCTTATTATTACTGCTTCTTTTGGGTGGTAAGAGAAAGTGATAGAGCCCATCTATGAGCGACAGGAAGAGGAGCTACAACAATACAGAAAATCGCGTTTCATGTAGCCTCTTTCTCTGCCACCTTCTACCTCAAAGAGAGACTGAAACCCATCCCTTTGACAAGTCTAGCATTTACCATTGTGCAACTCGTAGCATTTATGGCGCAGTGACGTTGATAAAGTATATACACATTTTTTATTTCAAAGAAAAAGGGTACACATGAACGTTTGTTTTATTCTTCCTTTGCACTTTGTTCAAGATGGCGAATGCTTTCTTGTTGCAAATCTTTTATCGGCTTGTCTTCTGCTTTATCAGCTTTAACCTACAGATGAGCTTAGTACATTTGCCAACTAGAAATGAGCGAATGAAAGCCGCAGAATACTTACAACAGCCTCACTATGAGAAGCCAACTTTTCATTCCATTCCTTCTTTTCCTTTTTACTCAAATTCTTTTGCTTTTCCTTTTCGAGCACTTCAGGGTCATTGTCTGACATATGAGAATAAGCTGACATGTATCGTTTTGGTGTATTTGTGACTACAAAAGCCTTTGTCGCTGTAGTAGGTTGACGGCAGGTCTTTGAGAAGGTAGCGAGTGTTGTTTTCATGAGCATTTTTTTATGTTTCTGTTAAATGTGGGTGTTGAAGTAATGTAAGAAAGTAAAGAAAAAGAAAAAGAGAAACCGGGGATGGAAACGAATGTGGGGTAGAACTTCACACTTATAGCAATATGTAGGCAATTTGTTCAATAAGAGCAGGTTTCTTCCTTATTATTAATACATCCATCTCCCATCATCTTCACGTCATTTTTTTCCTATTTTTTCCCTCAACAGCACATTCGTTGGTCTCTTTTCCACATCAGCCAATAAAAAGGCTTAAAAATTGAACTCTTTCATGCCATCACTTTAACGACAAAAGATCGACCAGTGTGTCTCATGTTCATTTTTTGATTTACTGCTACATCATCATTCAAAATACAGAACTAACCCCAAAAAAAAATTTGTCTCTCCTTCTATAGTGAAAACGGTTCCTTCATCTTTATGCATCTGAAAGAAAATTTTCTTCCCAAAAAAAGTTAAAAATTGGTCTCAACTCAGACATTTTTATGCAAGGAAAAAAAAAAAAAAAAAAAAGTGGAGGTTTGCCGTTGAATATTGACAATGACCCTTTTTTTAGCAGTCCAAAAATTTGTCGATTGCTTTCCAAAATCCCTCATTATTATTTTTAAGCTCAGGTTAGGGGCAGGTTGACCCGGAAAAGGGAAATGCTTGGATCATCAGAAAAAAAAAAACTTTCCCTTTTTCTATGAATGACAGACAGCCTGAAAAGAAAGAAAAAATGAGGGCGACCCAGGTCCCTAATTCTTTTCTTTTTTGTTCAAATAATTTTTAAAGAAAACTTTCTTTGCAAATCGAAAAGTATGAAAAACTCAACTATTGCTTTGATTACTACTGGCGTTCTTGCTACGGTGGGTGTAGGCGTATTGTTCTATTTTGACTACAGACGACGCAATGATCCAACCTTTAGAAAGCATCTGAGTAAAGCTATCTTTGTTGACACCTTGACAAGCGAAACAGCGGATGACTTATCGCTTACTTTATGATCATCATAGGACGCGAACGCAAGAATGCTGCTAAAGCCGCAAAAGAAGCAGAAAAACATGCAGAAGAATCACGATTGAAAATGATTGAAAACGTGATTATTGAAAGCTCAAAGGAAGAATACCCCACAACTCCTGAAGCAAGAGAAAAATACTTTATGGAGCAGATCGCTGCAGGTGAAGCACTATGTGGCAAAGGTAAAGCATCATCCTCTGGATGATATCTGAATCGGAGAGTAGAGAGTGCGTGCAAATGGATGATGACTCACCCCGTCGTGAAATGCTGCCTCTTTCCATCCCTATATAGGTCCTACTGCTTATGACGATGCTGTGGTATTTTTCTATAAAGCGCTCAAGGTCTATCCAGCCCCCATGGAATTGATTCAAATTTACCAAAAAACAATTCCAGAGCCCGTCTTCCAACTCATCACAACAATATACGCTATTGAGGTAAAGTAGTAGGCCTTTGTGAAACGATCTTTGTATCGCTCTCCAGTATTGACTTTATTGTTTATCCAATATTGATAGCAAAAGGCCATGGAAGGACAATTGAATGAAACACCAGAAGCAGCGGCGGCGGCTGCCACAGGCATTTAATGGATAGGATGACTACCAAGCTTAAACAACTCAGCCTGGAAAGCCTTCTGACGACAACTTGTCCTTTTATTTTTTTTTGTATTATAGTTAAATATACTCATATCCAAATTTGCTTTGATATCTACTCATTCTTACCATCAACGTAATATTGTATTTTTATATTATTTCAGAGCATACGAGAGAAAGCAATTCCAAAAGAAATAAATGAAAAAACTTATTTATAGGCTTGTGGAAACAGTAACTCAGACAACTGCCTTTTAAATGCACCAAGGAGGATATGTTCGCTACTCTCAGTTCTTTTTTGGTTTCGTCTATCCTCTCCCTTACTAATGGCTCACTTTAAAAAAGCAGAACCTATCGCCACCAATACTTTATTGATACCCGATATCCCACTTCCTTTCTTCTTTTGCGATGAAGCCATGTTGGCTATTCACGATGCGTTTGCTGCTTTCGGACCTCTCTACTCATTCGTCAAAATGAAAGGTTTCCGACGGTTGATGATCATCTATCAAGAAACATTGCACGCTCTCAAAGCCAAAAAAGAATTGACTCATACGACAGCACTCATATGGAGAGACATCACGCCCGTACCTGATATATTGAATCTAATACAGCTTGAAGATCCATTAGAAGAAGAAGAATGGATAAATCACGGATTCTCAGTGTTCAAATTGAAAGTTTACTATGGACAAGTAAAGTATTTTCAGTCTTTATTATTCAAATCTCATTCCGTTTAGTGATACACTGAAACCTTCCTGCTAAAAAAAAAAAAAAAAAAAAAAAAAAAGCATTTTACTATTCATGTAGATCCTGATACAGTCAACTTACAAGTGCCTCAGTTTCAACGTAATTTATTAATTTCACCACCGGGTTCACCGTTTGAAGGTTGGGAGCAGATTGAAGAGGATGCACCGAACCAAAAAGTGTTGGCTTCAGATCTTATGCATGCAGCTGATATGTCAGACTTTGAATTAGACGACGATGTGCTAGATCTATCTTCGCCAACAGCTAGCAAAAATGATGGGATGGACGAACAGGAGGACTCAGCAGAGGAAGCAGGATCAACAGCAGCGATAGCCTCTTTACCATCCGATTCAAGCAAGACTTCCTTGAAGACAGTGTCAATCGTTTGTGCCAAGGGCTCTGAAACTCCTGATCATCTTCCTTCCATTACTGTGCAAGACTGGGATGGACAAGATGATCAGCTTGATATCGATGAAAGTATGAATATCAGAAAGAAGAAACTCTCACGAATAAACAAGATGGTACCAACCGCCATGCCACCCACCACCTCCTCTGTCTTTGAACAGTCATCCTAGTTAGCTCGAGCATCCTCATCTTTCGCTTTATCTCAAAAACAAACCACGCGCATTTCATTAACAAGTACCATACATCCTTTTTTTCTTTTATTTTTTCTGATTCTTCTTAGGAGAATGCTATATAGCTTTCTTGTGCTTTCAAATACCTGGTCTCACCATATAAAGTTGCTCGATCCATCTGCTTTCTTTGTCGATGAACGCTTACGTTCTTAAGATTTCCACCTTTATCACTATAGTCTCGAAGCCGTTAGACTCGAGATGAGATGTTTAATGTATCACTCACTGGCTCGAAACAGAATAGACTAGTTTAAGAAATGCTTAAAGCTATATCTCTTCATGGACTAGATCTCTGAGAAAAAATACCGTGAAACGTACCGTAGTCATCAGTTGATGCAGGACACAAGCTGGCTTGCGACAAGCCAACTGAGTTGCCATTGTCCTATTTTACCATAGCAATGACGATACAGCCCTCTTTTATCAGTGAACCGTACTTAAAAAAGAAGCCATCTATCTTTCATCGAATTATAGGTTTAAATAGCAAAAAAAAAAAAAAAAAAAAAAAAAAGAAAAAAAAAAGAAAGGAAATACTACAGTAGAGTTAGAAAATGATGATGAAAATGAAGGCCATGTAAACAATAATAAGATAGCTAAGCAGCGAATGAAATAGACAGATGCTATCCGATAGCAGCAGTAGCATTAATAATAATGTAGGATGGCAGTTGCTTCACAGTAGCAATTAGCACAGCGATTAGATGAATGTATAATTTATCGTAAGCATTTTGTAAGTGAAATTAGATGTTTATCAAGCTGATAAATTGATGGCTGCTATCAGTCGATGTATATACTTGGTGACTTTATTACTGTTCAGATAAAGTAGAGCAAGGTCTTATAGGAATCATACTATAGGACGCGTATGCTATGTACTAATTTCAGGTTCAGTTGCTTCATGTGTAACTATTTATACTCTGATAGACAGTGGTAGAATGTATTCTCTACCTGAATGCACATATTTAAGCACTGTTAATGTTATTCCATCAAACGCGACGCCATTCTCCCTCACTTTCATGTGGAGACGCAAAAATTTTCGTACCTGATAGGATTATCATTATTGAATAAGAAAAGTTGCACAATAATTACACAAAATGGAGTGTAGCAGTGCCACAATTTCCCTTTTTAGTTCAGTCCGTGCTTCCGTGATGTAAAGGCTTGACGGTCTTTCTCAGTCAAAAGATTAGGCACACCCGTTGAGTCCCTCACAGTCGATCAGATCGAATATCATTTCACTTCCTTTATTTTTCGGATTATCTACTCTACTTTCGTCACTCAGGAATAACTTAGCTTTCTAACAAGCTGATTCACCTTATCTCGAAGCTACCTCTTTTTATTTGTTAAAGTCTAATTCCAAATTAATACAAATTCTCATCCATCTAAACTTGATAAACAAATCTCATAACAATTATCACAATGATTACATACAATTCTCTGCTATCTGCAGTTTACAAGATTGATGGCAAGCAATGCCAATTACTTTAACCACGTTATGATTCATATCATATTGCTTCTTCCCTATCATTGAATTCGATCCTACCTTTAATACACAAACCGTTCTCGAATACGATGAGTACTTGGATTATATAGAAACCGTACAGAATACCACTAGCTGTACTACAGCCATGGTAGTTCTCTTTGAACTTGAACATTTATTTTGTGCTGGTTTGCTTGAATCCTCTCCATGTTTGAAAATCAAGGACTAAACGAAGACCTCTCTTTTACATAACCATTGGCATAAACAACCTCAAAGCAAAACAATGCAATCAGTCAATATTTCACTAACCCTCCGTATCTACAAGTTGCTCTTGGGCTATCTAAACTCTTGCCGTCTGTATCCAACAATTGCATAATTTCTAAAAGCAGAGATTCAAAACGAAAAAGAACGAATTGTATCACTTTATAGAAATAAAATCACAATGACTACAACTACTGATTCATTAAGTGACACTATGTGACTCATGTATAAACTTGTAATAAAAAGAAAGATCCTTCCAACGACGGATTGAAAATAATTAAGCAGGTAAATAATTACAATGAAATGATTTAAGCATCCTTAACCTTCTTGGTACCACGAAGGAGACCAGTACGACGAGCAGCAATCAAACCAACCTTTTGACCAGCAGGAGAATCACGAGCCATTGTGGAAGCCTTACCAATGTGTTGATGGTTACCACCACCGTGAGGATGGTCTACGGGGTTCATAGCAACACCACGAGTCTTGGGCCAGCTGTTACGCTTGACTCTGTATTTGTGGTAAGCACGACCAGCCTTCAACATAGGCTTATCAATACGACCGCCACCAGCAACAACGCCAACGACAGCACGAGCGGTGGAGGGAACAACCTTCTTGGAACCGGAAGGAAGACGGATACGGGTCTTACCATCATCACCATGTCCAATGATAGTGGCATAGTTGCCAGAAGTGCGAGCAATGGAACCACGATCACCAGCCTTCTCTTCAACGTTACAAATAACGGTACCTTCGGGCATAGAGGACAAAGGCATAACATTACCAATGTTCAAAGAAGCCTTCTTACCAGCATAGATGAATTGACCAGTATACATGCCTTCGGTGGCAATAAAGGTCTCAGTACGAAGCTTGTATTTATAAGGATCACGGAATACAACCTTGGCAAGAGGAGCACCTCTTCCAGGATCGTGGACAATTTCCCTAACGATACCACGGATGTAGCCGTGACGCTCGGCAAAGTCGTTGACCCTGAGCTTGGCGGCACCCTTACGACCCACAGTGTGGGACTTAAAAATACTACCAGCACCCTTTCTTTGTGCACGAATAACACGACCCATTGCTGAAAAGTTGGTAGAATAAGGTCGAACGTAACAAAAATAAAGTGCACAAAAATTCAACAAGTTAAATGAAATATCATGATGTTGGATAAACAAAAGTTGGCATTATTGTAATGGAGGGATGGCGATTTATTTGCGGATGAGTGGAGTTACAAATGTCAAAGGCATTTACAAATTCAATGAAAGTGGGGGAAAAGGGCATATTAGTATCATTAAAAATGGTATCCATCCATCATCAAAACGATGCATCCATAAATTTGTCGGATCAATGACGATTGAAATACTTGCCTTATTATCAGAAAAGAGAAGGATACGCTTTGCATACACTATGCCATTCCATGATTTGCCTTGCAGCTTGTTTTTGCCCACCTTCTTTTGGCTAATACTGCACACTTCTTCCACAACTACAGTGAGCCAGTGAGATTCCTGCAGATGCATATCCGGATCGGAATGTTGCCGTTTCCGCAATCCTAACAGCCAATCAAATAATGAGGATAAGACAATACGATTGGGCCTTTCTTAAAAGCCAGCATAAAAAGTGGGAAAGAAGAGACAAATTAGCATTTGAAAAAGAACGTTTGTAAACCATACATACCTTCCTTTCCACTGCTTTCATATAATACAATATTCCCTGTAAATAATGTCACGTAAAGGAAGAAATAGCTGTGGTACTCGAGGCAAACGTGGTAGTGGAAGAGGAGGAGGTCGTCGTGGTGGTGGAAGAGGCGGCCGCAGACAGTTGATCCCCACATCGATCGGCTTTGTCTATCCTTTACAATCAAACGTTGATGATTTTGATGATGACTTTCGAGTTTATGGTCAATTTAGTAGTGATGAAGGATCAACCGACTCCGTTAACGCTGAGCGTAACAATCGAGTGATTGCAAACAGTAACTGTCGCATTATATTCCAACAGATTTTTTAAAATACCAGAGATTGATTAATTCTTCTTTACTGCGCAAAAAGAGAAACGGTCCAAGAAGACACAAAGAAAGAATCAAAAGACTTATGGAGATAGATTTGCTACTGATGACAATGCATTCACATCAGATAGCCTTGCAACGTCTTCCTCTTTTCCTGCATCCTATAAAATGCGGCAGGGTAGGGATGATCGATCGCTAGACCGTAGAGGCGGGAAACCAACAACAATAAGCAAACAAGTTGTCTTTATCAAATCAGCCACCACATTGCAAGAAGGTTAGCATCACTTTTAATCCTTAAGACTTCAATTTTTGGTACATATGTACTGTTTCCAAAAAACGGTCATCCAGAAAGCTGAAGAGAAAAAGTATAAACTGATGTGTAAAAATTTGTTCCTAATTATTACATAGAAATAGACCAGAAAAGTGAGAATAATGAGGATGTCGAAGCTTCAAAGAAAGAAGAAGACAGTGCTTTATCTGCGGATTCGAAATTGACAGCAGCTGATAGTACAAGAATGGCCGATGTAATCGATTATGAAACTTTAGTTTATGAGGAAGAGGCATTGACTGCTATTCCTGTCAAACAACATACATCAACGGGGAATAATCCCTATAACCCTGTTAGAAAGGAGGGAAAACAAAAAGTGTCATTGAAAAATAGTACTAAGAGCGAATCATCAGGTAGTTCTGATGATTTTGAGATTGACGAAGATATACAGGAGGAACTATATGACTTTGAAGATTTTGATGACGATACAGAGGATGAAGATGGGCTGTTGGATGATGACCTGGCTATTATGTGTGACTATTTGGAGAATATCGAACTTGATGAGGATGAAATTTTAGATTATAAGGCGAAATTTGGACTTTCAATGGCCAACAACAATTACAATTCAGATGGCACTTCGTTATCTGAGAAGGACATTTATAATTATCTGCAGCGACATGGCAAGTTAGAAATGAATGCTTCGTCTGATGACACTGATGAACAGGGAACTTCAGAAACTTCCTCGGATGGAGATGAAGAAGATACAACCGATGAAGAACGTCATATTATTAGACAGGAGACGAGTCGTCGACAAAAGAAGAAAATGAAAAAAATACAGAATTCTTCTATCGAGCAAAAACCTCTTAGTGGTAATAGTAGCGGTCAACGTAGAGCGAAAGATTTGAGGAACGTCATAGTTGATCCCGAGATTTTTGGCCAAACTCTGCAACAAGCCCTAGCGGATGTTCCACCCAGTTTAAGAGGCGGTATGCAACGTTGGTGTCAAAAACAGCAGCAAGAGTCCAATAGAAAAGCTAAACGTAGAGAAGAATTCATAGCAAAGCAACAAGAGCTTATGAATAACGGTAAAGGCAAACGAAGAGGGAAGAAAAATGGCACTTTACAATCGTTTGCAGACACTCGACTGGATCGAATCGATCAACGCATTCGTCAATTTATCGAAGACGATAGTATCTCCAGTTACCAATTTGCACCTATGCCAGCATTTTTGAGAAAGCAAGTACATGTTTTGGCTGAAGCCTATAATCTAAAATCATACAGCGAAGGAAAAGGTGACACTCGCTTTACTATCATTACAAAGACCAAACGAACAACTATACCCGATGATGATCGCTTTTTACAAGACTACATTAGAAATATGCAATATAACGTTGATGATCAACAGAGGTTGAGAAATAAAAAGCATTCTCAGCAGCGAAATCAGCAGTATATGACAAAAAAGCAAAAGAAGCAGCTCAAAGCATTACAGTTGCAAGAGGAGAAGCGACAGCAGAAATCACAACGAGAGAATACCAATGGAAATCATTCGAGCAACGCTTCGGGAAACCGAAGCGCCTTAATGAAACCGGGTACAATTGTTGCTGCAGACGCTGCACCATTAAAAGAGGATAACGTCGGTCACCGTATGCTTGCACTCATGGGGTAAGTAGTTAGTCAACCATTGATTTTTGCTTTAAAAGATGGATTATATCTGACGTATTTGCTTTAGATGGAAGCATGGTGAATCCTTAGGCGTAAAAAAAGATGGTATTGTGGCTCCTATTGAAGCAATAATTCGCCGCAAAAATCAAGGCTTGGGTTTTGATAGTAATACGACTGGTTAACGTTCCGACAGCCTTCCCTGAAAATGACGATCGTTCACTTCGTTTAACTCGCGTTTCGTTCTTATTATACCTTTTTCATATTTCCTTCATTCCAGAGTCGCTAGCTTTTCTTGCTTATGGAGTAAATTGTATTTGTTAAAGAAGCTGCTTCTGTTTATTTAGCAGTTCAGTATTACAAAAATTAAATTGTTGCCTTGTGTTCGACTAAAGAGTAGTAACATATAAAAGCAGAACGGAAAAGGGTGCTCATTGTGCTATATAGTAGAATATTATAGAGCTTTTCATTATCACAACATAGTCATACTTGCTGCAATTTTTTTTTTTTTTTTTTTTGAAATCCTACAAAGGACCAATTCTGTCCAATTCTGTTTATTCCTGTTCTTTTGTACATGATACCTCTATATATTTTTCATCATATTGTGTGTATTTGAATACAGTTGGGGATCGTCTCTACCTCCTGTTAAAATAAAATTGACCAATGTATAAATCGCGCCTACTGTGATAGCTGAACCACCAATGATACCGCACAATCGAACGATGAAATGTAGCAGAGATTGTTGATGAGTTTCTCTGATTTGAACAGAGATAGGTTCGATATCGTATTTGAAAAAAATGCCAGGCACAGCTTGTCCTTCATAGAATTTTTTGTGAGAGTCTGTAACGGAATACTGATTTGTGAGCAAAATATTGTTTCTGCGATCAATGTACGTGGTAGGAACAACTGAAATAGAATACTGAAAAACTTCGAAAGCTATTGATTGCCAGAATAAAGTATACTTAGTATCGAATGATACATATATGAAATAGTATTTAAACCGGTATCGTACTTGTTTCTGCAATTTCTACACTGTCGTCTAAAGGGTTCACTAAGTTAGGATATAGTTGACCGAAAGAAAACTCATCGATACGATGAGTAAAATTCATGACTAAAGAAAACAGTTAAAGGGGGGGAAAAGCTATGGTAAAAGTAGCCTTCTTTTGATATCTAGAATTTGCATTTAGCTTACTCTCATGACTTGTATGACCAAAATTTGCTAATCGATAATACCTTTTAGTATATTCTCGATATACTTTTACGTTAGTATTTGATATGCAATTTACCATAACCGTGACCATCTGCAGTAATATGAAGATTGGAGGCAACTTTATTGACGTTCAAAGAGCCATACAATCGACAAGCACCCATATCCTCTACGGAATTGGCCGTTCGTTTGTACTTCATTAGCTTCTGACCATCAATATACATCTATAACGCATAACCTACTAGCTACTTCATGATCATATTTCCTTCCACTTGCTGCTTTGATTATTTCATGGATATATTTTGGATCGTCGACTTGTCTAACAGAACAACATAATCAGAACTATGTGCATAATTACTATTTAAGCCTTATGATTACGATCTACTTGTATTTTGTTGCTGTGCCAACTTGAAATTCTGCCTATAAAAAGGTGTTTTAAATGAGCATTAAAGTATATATCAATCAAGTTGCTATGCAGCTGATACATTACAGGTATCAATTTCAAGTCTTGTGTCAGTCGTTGTCGTTGTCCTGTCGCATCAACGACGTGTACCAAAAGAGCTTTAAAAAAATTTAAATTAAAATGTAAAATCAATAAATGAGAACTTTGAGTCGTTTACGATGTGCTCATACAAGGACAAGGTGTTGCCACTGTTATATCAATGTTAACTTGCATCTTCGTGTCAATTGCCGAATCAACCAAAAAAGTATATTCTGTGTGTACTTTGTAATAACTGATCAAGTCAAGTGCAACAGGAGGTAGAAGTTTGAGTCAAACACAAATAGTCATCAATCGGATGTAAACTAACGAAGCAGGAATTGTTCCCTCTTACTCTGAAAATTCACTCATAGTCAGGAAGAATAAACATAAACCGACCAGCACAGTTAAAAGACCACCTTTTTCGCTACGCTTCTCATTATCCTCCTCTACTTTCGGGAAGGCATCAATAGCAGCTGCTTTCTCCGCCAGTTTTCTGAACATCACAGTTGGTTAATCGCTTATTGATGAGTTCAAGAAAGTGGGAAAAATATTGCTCTGGCAATTTGAGGTACACACTTAGCGTGTTCCAATCGGGCGGCGAGTAAAAATCAATGCTGTTACTGCCACTGCTTGCAAAATAATGAAGGGCCATGGACATGCTTTTGTAGCTACCTTCTACTTAGAAATCATGTAAATATGATAACTTCAAGGCTCATACTGACATATAATTTGTTATGGGAGAGTTATGAGAGCTTTGATTGTAAGCAGATACTGTGCGCGATTCAGGCCCCTTTTGAACAATTATGCAGCAACCTTACTATATAGTCTTTTTCCTTTTCTCCAAACCGTCAAATGGAATAAAAGTTTATATGACAATATGTATATGTTGCAAGGAATAATTTATGTTGCATAGCATATTTATGTTTCGATTCAGGACATACTACAGAAGCGACTGCTCTCTTTAACAGCACTCTTAGCAGATGACGTAGCTTGTCAAGTTTAATACTCAGCTTTTACATCCAAAATTTCCTACATGACGCGTTCGCTTTTTGAGCGCAGGAAACGAATACATTTGTCTTTTTGTTCAGAAAAAGCATATTAAATAGCAATGGAAGAAATTGGAATTCATATTAAACCTGAGGTAATGCTGGCGGATCTTTTAAACTTACATTCTATGCCTTCACTTACTGACCTCAAATATGTAGACTAAGGAACCAACCACCATTCCTTCGAAAGTTGGTCAAATTGAAGAGTTATCAGAGAACGATCTATACATTAAACTGAAGAAACTTCAACGAGAACTTGAGTTCATTGAACTTCAAGAGGAATACATCAAAGACGAGCAAAAGAATTTGAAGAGAGAGTTAGTAAGAGCGCAAGAAGAAGTAAAGAGAATCAAATCAGTACCGCTTGTTCTTGGTCAATTCCTCGAACCTATTGATCAACACACCGGTATCGTCGGTTCAACCACCGGTTCCAATTATGTTGTTCGTATTCTCAGTACCATTGATCGCGAATTATTAAAACCAAGTTCTTCAGTTGCCTTACACCGTCATTCTAACGCTCTTGTCGATGTTTTACCACCTGAAGCCGATAGCAGCATTGCCCTTTTAGGGGCTGATGAAAAACCAGATGTCGCCTACTCTGATGTAGGTGGTTTAGATATTCAAAAACAAGAAATCAGAGAAGCAGTAGAATTACCCCTGACACATTTCGATCTTTACCGTCAAATCGGTATTGATCCACCTCGTGGTGTGTTATTATACGGTCCACCTGGTACGGGTAAAACTATGTTGGTCAAAGCAGTAGCGCATCACACAACAGCTAGTTTTATCCGTGTGAACGGTTCCGAATTCGTACAGAAATATCTTGGTGAAGGCCCACGTATGGTCCGTGATGTCTTTAGATTAGCTCGTGAAAATTCACCTTCTATTGTCTTTATTGATGAAATTGATGCAATTGCGACAAAGCGTTTTGATGCACAGACAGGTGCCGACAGAGAAGTACAGCGTATTTTGCTTGAATTGCTGAATCAAATGGATGGTTTCGATCAAACATCAAATGTTAAAGTTATTATGGCGACAAATCGTGCAGATACTTTGGATCCTGCTTTATTACGTCCTGGCCGTTTGGATAGAAAGATTGAATTCCCAACACCTGATCGTCGTCAGAAACGTCTCATTTTCCAAACTATTACATCAAAGATGAATTTATCTGAGGAAGTGGATTTAGAAGAATGTGAGTATAGGGCAGCTGAATATGATCAAAAACTAGCTTAATCTATGGAAATTATTAACTGGATATTTTGCTTTGTATATTAGTCATTTCTCGACCTGACAAGTTGTCTGGTGCCGAAATCGCAGCCATTTGTCAAGAAGCTGGTATGCACGCTGTTAGAAAGAATCGTTATGTTATTTTAAGTAAAGACATTGAGAAGGGTTATAAAGCTAATGTGAAGAAGGAGGATTCTAACTTTGATTTTTATAAATAATAATCTTGCTATCATTCATATTTGCTATAAAATAAAAGTGTATAAAGTGACAAAAACAAAGATCTTGCGATCAATTGTAAATGAGGGATTACGTAAGCCGGAAAAATTGCTTCCTACATTTAAAAACGCAAATTCGGCCAAATACTTCACTAATCTTCCTTTATTCCTTTCAAAAATGTCTGACGATTTCGATGAGATCCCCGATCTAGTACCAGCCTCTATTCCAACGTATGATATGCAACTTATTTTTTTTCTATAGAGTTGTACTTGTTATTAACTTAAATGTATGCTAGTGAAACACCTGCTGTTGTTGAGACGGAGGAGCATAAAAAAATTCCCGTTACCATCGTTACAGGTAGCTTGTGATGCACCATCAATTGTTTAGATCATCGATTAATCGTTTTTATACTCTAGGATTTTTGGGTAGTGGAAAGACAACCTTACTAAACTATATCTTAACGGAGGAACATGACAAAAAGATCGCTGTTATATTGAACGAATTTGGAGAAAGTAAAGCCAATTTTTCGTATGCTTACAAATCATATAATTTACGTTAACAATTTTTTTATCAGGCAGTGACATAGAAAAGAGTCTATCTGTTAATCAAGATGGTAGTCTCTATGAAGAGTGGTTAGAACTTAGAAATGGCTGCCTTTGTTGTTCAGCAAAGTATGTATAGTGTAACCGTTGATATTATGCATGAAATTCTTTGTAAAACCTTTGTTTTGACCGTGGCATGAAGAGATGTAGGTGTCAAAGCTATAGAGAACTTGATGGAGAAGAAGGGAAAGTTCGACTATATTCTATTGGAAACAAGTGGTTTGGCTGATCCTGGACCAATTGCTTCCATGTTTTGGTTGGACGAAGGTTTGGGCAGTGAGATATACCTTGATGGTATTGTCACTTTGGTTGACGCAAAGCATATAAGAGATTACGTTAACGAAAAAAAAGAAAATGTTATGGTCAATGAGGCTTCAAAGTAAGTGATAATGTTGAATAGACAGTAATATACTACTTTTTCATTTAAAATTAATCTATTATGTATAAATGAATAGGCAAATTGCTATCGCTGATCGTATCGTAATCAATAAAAAGGATCTGCTCAAAAATGAAGAAGAGTTAGAACAATTGAAGCAAGATCTGGCATCCATTAATTCTGTAGCGGAAATGATTGTTACGGAAAGATCGCAGTAAGTATGCACAGATATGATTTAATCCTTGCTCCTGAAATATAGTTAACATTTTCCTTTAGAATTCCTATTGACTATGTACTGAACATCAATGCTTATGATGTTAGTAATGCTGATGCTTTGGTGCAGCAAACCAAGAAAATTAAAGAGCATGGAAGCCATCACGCTCATCAGATTAGTCATGTAAATCACCTTACTTCTAAAGAGTATAAAACAAGGGCAGCCATTACTAAGCTTTTGCTTTACATTCCAATTGTAGGAGGTACAAACTGTATGTATACAGTTTGATCAACAGTTAGAATCATTGGACCAGTTAGAAAGCTGGATTCAAGAATTACTGTGGGAGAAGAAGTTCCCAGGAATTGATAGCGATATTAAAGAAGATGAGAATATTATTGTGTTAAGATTGAAGGGTATTTTGTACCCTCCCAAAGACAAATTGTCACAGGAAGGAGAACAAGGCAAGAAGCAGACAAGAATGGTTATACAAGGTGTTCAGGATCTATACGATATACAAGAGGGTTATGCTGACGTAGATAATAAGGATGATACGTCGAGTAAAATTGTCTTGATTGGAAAAAACTTGGATAAGGAAAAATTGTCAGCATCCTTTAAAAAGGTGTTGAATATTGAACATAATATCATTTAAGGAATAATAAAATTTTCGCCCATAGCGAATTGCTGCTTGATTCTGTTGTAGCTAATATTGACCATCTATACGTCAGTTACCTTTTGCGGGTATCATATTTTTGGTTAAATTTCTTACCTGCATTTTCAGTAGCTGTAGCATTACTGGTATTGCCAGCTGTGAGTGCGCTCACTGTCCCCTCTCCATCAGATTTCGCCACAAGATTACAATCATATTTGCAAAGAGGGCACTCAGCACACTTGGTGGTCAACCAAGGATCTGTTTGAATGAATCAGTACGGATCCATACACATTGGTTTCTGTTTACTACTAATTACCTATACAGTGACAGTGATAAATATGTTTGCAGGGTAGTGTGCGAATTTTTGAACCAATCGTTAAGTTCTCAAGGCATACAACACAAAGTAAAGGCTCATTGCTAGAGTTATTCAAATTCAAGAGCTTTTCATCGTCTAGATTTTCTGAAGGGAAATATTCTTCTAATTTTGACTCTTCAAATATATGTTTGCCCATAGGAAGCATTTCTACTGGTATTGGAATCAGACCCTGTTCTACTAGATATTCTTGCCGTTTTCGTTTCCTCCACAGATGCCAATGCATGATAACTTGAAACAGATAAGAGAATTACTCATATTAGCTTAGAATAGCGAAAATGCTATTTATCATATTTAAGCATGTACCTGATGCGAGGAAGCTAGTGACCAATAAAATGGATACTATCAGCAGGGTAATTTCCCAAGCATTTATTGTTCCTAAGCTAGCAGGTAATAGTAAGACTCGAACATAGGGCCTCGCTGTTACTACTTCGTCAATTCGCGTAGGCTGTATTTTCTCATAGGTAACGATTTTGCTGAGCAAGTCTTCACCAGTTCGCATATCGACAAAATAAACCGTTATAGCTACTGCTGTTCCTGTAGGTATCTGATAGTGACATTATTGCAGAAAAAAAAAAGTATTTAAAATAAACAAGCTGATTCTCATTTATCACGGCCAAAATATGCCAGAGCAGTTAATAATAGTTTCCCCTACTCATTTCTCCTTTCTTCTCTTGGTTTGTTTTGCCTCCTCAAATCCCAGATCAAATACTTACAAATACAGCGTTGGTCTCTACGTCAGATAACCCATAAACGATGGCTCCTACTGCTCCTTCAGTTTGTGCCTTTAGAATCAAGTCAATAATGTTGCAACCGTTCTTTTTCATCTGATGTATTAGCGCGACTCTTGGAAGAGATCTAGGTATGACAGGTATGTTGGAAGTGTCACCATTACTATTCAACAACAGCATATTAGTGCTATTGCTGTTATTTCTGCTGCTACTGCAATCAATCAAATCTTGTTGATACAATACACCTTTCAGGCCTGTTTCATTGGGTTGACTAAGGTTGACAGCTGGTTTTATATTTGTGCTGTACAGTATGGGAATAATATTGTTGTCAGTATGTGCTAATGTTGAGGAGTTGGAGTAAATCCATGCAATATCTGTTCAAGTAGGAAACTGAGTCTTTTGATTTGATTAAGCTTATGTTTAATTATCATGGTTTACCTTGAGTAATCGTTGTTTGAGTCGAGGAGAATAAACTCGAATAAGCCGGAAGCGGATAGAATGAAATAAAAAAGAGTGTAAGGAGAGCGTGAAAGTAAGTAGCAGGCTGCGAACATATCATTTTGCCAGATATGTCGCTATTTATAAGATTGGTTTTTCTTTTTTCTATTCAAATCAAAATCTTTGCTATGCAGTAATTATTGGCAAAGCGCTATAAAAAGGTGTCTGGTAAAATTTTGATCAAGTTTTGCTATGGAAAGCGTGCAAAAAAAAATACATCAAAAAGGAAGAAAAGAACAAGAGACGGGCAGAAAATCTTAAATCAATTAAGATAGTCGAGAGAGTCAGGAGAATGGATGCACACATTGCTTTCGTTTTCTGTATTTGGTTCTACATGAAGTTAGTCTTTTAAAGAGGAACTACAGGGAAAGGGGGAACAAAGGGGAGGCTAGGGGTACTACCTTAGTTGAGGTAAGTATTTGTAAGCTTTAAACTTAGTAACCGAAACTTTTTTAGAAAGTTTAACAAATCCAATATCTTGGTTATATGTTATTACTCTAAATGCATCGGAAATGCTCCGTTCTGCCACATTAAAGCTGTCTAAAGGTTTGAACTGCCATAAATAACAGTTCTGACTATACCAAGTTTAGTAGAAGAAACAGTAGATCAGAATCACCAATCTATTTCTTTAGCACAAGCCAGTTATAAGCGATCAAAAAACGAAGTTATTCAGGAACAACCTTCCCAGGGCTTCTTTATAGACCCAACTATTTGCTGACTTTAATAAGAGTAATTGAGAATGATAGTGAAGACTTTGTTGAAGAGTTTTATTACTAAATAAGTATGCAATTTATCATCGTTGTAACAGCATTCATATCAACAAACTTATGCATTAGCAACGAGTGTAAACTCAGCTACAAGCCTACTCAAAAGCGAGCCAACGAGAATGCTGCCCCTTATTCTTTTGACGCGGTATCTATTGCTTTAATTTAATTTTATTTATTGGTTCCCAACTACAGAATACCAGAAAAGATATCCCCTATAGTATTTTAAATGAATACGGAATTTGACGATGTAGGTGAAGCAGTTCAAGCTTGAATGCAGGATAAAACTCTAACACTGTAGTGCTCGTTGCTATTCTCATAGGTTTTAACCAATCAACCGGTAGTGATCGATAACGTAGGTCTCTCCACTAATTTGCAACTCTGTCTATCTACGTAAAATTCGTTCATCTCACTCTTCATTCTATACAATGTAGGGATCAGGCGTCATTAAAGCAGGTTTTGCAGGTGATGAGCAACCGCAGTGCTTTTTCCCTTCCATGTAAGACCCAGTAGCTCTTAATCAGAGACTCAAACATACATATGAAAGGTGTTCATGCCACATTCTCATTTAGGGTGGGTCGGCCGAAACATGTACGTATTATGGCTGGTGCTGTAGAGGGTGATAATTTCATCGGACGGAAAGCGCAAGAATTACGTGGATTACTCAAAATCAGATACCCTATTGAGCACGGCATTGTTACTGATTGGGAAGATATGGAACGTATCTGGCAATATATCTACACAGACGAATTGAAGACACTTTCAGAAGAGGTTTGTGATGAAAGCGACACAAATATACCCGTATAGATGTCGCACTAATAACACTATTGCGTCTCGTACGGAACGAAACAAAAACAGCATCCTGTTTTATTGACTGAAGCACCTTTGAATCCTCGGAGCAATCGAGATACGGCCGCTCAAATCTTTTTTGAAACATTTAACGTGCCTGCATTATTTACCTCAATTCAAGCTGTTCTAAGCCTGTAAATACTGCTGATCAGATTTGTAGACAATGACAAGTGGTTTTTCTTACTTATTTTTGTCTCGTAACAGGTATTCATCAGGAAGGACAACAGGTATAGTCCTCGACTCAGGGGATGGCGTTACTCATGCAGTGCCTGTATATGAAGGCTTCGCCATACCCCATGCCATCCGTCGTGTCGACATTGCGGGAAGAGATGTTACGGAATACTTACAGCTATTACTACGAAAGTCAGGCTACGATTTCCATACAACAGCGGAAAAGGAAGTAGTTCGTATCATTAAAGAGAAGACGTGCTATATCGCCTTGAATCCAATAAAAGAAGAGAAAGAAACAAGTGGAAAAGTGGATGATTTCATGCTACCAGATGGAAATATTATCAAGGTTCGTATGCTATATCTGTACTAAAGAACACTCAGTGTCCTTGCACACCACAAAGTTTCGGCTACAATCATCTCAAACCTTCACCCTATTGCAAAATATAATAGCTTGGAGCTGAACGATTTCGTGCGCCTGAAATATTGTTCCAACCAGAACTAATTGGAGAAGAACATCCTGGTATTCATCAAGTCATCGTGGATTGTATCAGTCGTGCTGATCTTGATTTAAGAAAGTCGCTTTACTCTAATGTTGTTTTATCCGGCGGATCAACGCTATGCAAAGGATTTGGCGAACGACTTTTGTCTGAAACGAAAAGGTTGGCTCTAAAAGACTTGAAAATCAAAATTTATGCACCACCTGAAAGAAAGTATAGTACTTGGATTGGTGGATCTATTCTGGCGTCACTTAGCACCTTCAAAAAGATGTGGGTATCCGCTGAAGAATATCAAGAAGATCCCGACATTATCCATAAAAAAGCTTTCTAATGAGAGTTAAAATACAAAATAAACGACGCATAGAAGAGCAAAGTGAGTGCTTCTCTCTCCATTTATTCCCCCCTTAAATTTGTATGTCGGTTAGTTCTTTTGTGTTCTTATCCGTCTGTCGTTACCTACCTTTCAGTTCCAATTTAATCTCAGTCAATTAAACTTTCCATGCTTGTGTCGATTTGGAAATACGATTAAACAAGATTTTTTATTGGCAAATAATTTTAACCCCGCGAGCACATAATCATTATGAGATTGAATTGCCCAGGTCAGATCAAAGATTTGGAAATGCTTTAATTCCTACTTTCCTACTGTTTGCTCCGTCGAACAGAATAACATTGTTTAAGAGATCCCAAAAATACTTTTCAGGATATGATTTGAGATGAATTTCTAAAAATGTGATTATTTCAGGGCACAAAAAACTGGAGAGGCAATAACCAGCGCGCTTACCTACGCTGTGTAATATGTTAAGCATATTACAACATCAAAGGCTAGTTGAGAAGCAGAGATACGTCACTGTCTTGTATATAGCAAGGATTTTTCAAACTCTGTGAATGTTGGTAAGAGCTGTCACTTATTGAGACAGTTGATTGTAGCAGTTCTTTGACGACAAACAAAAAGAATAGGATAATAACAAATCACACAATTTTATAACGCGGGTGTTCTTTTCCTTTTTGCTTTCTTTCTTTTCAACAAAGATGAAAAGACAAAAAACGCCTCTAAGCTCAGAATGGCCATGTTATGGCCCCAAATTACACATACATTGATTCACAAAAGTGTTGAAATGTTTTGCTATATTGTAATTTTACGGCTTTTTCATGCATTCTTTCCCTCGAGCACATACTTAATCAATATTTTTTTAATGATATGGAAAAGAGTAGTTCTAAGCTATCCAGTAATATAACTTGCGTTATGACTCTTTTTGCTTTTCGATTAGTCACATTGCCTTCCCCGGTTACTCAAACCGCAACATTAGACGAATTTTAACAGGCGTCCCATACCTTAGGGAAAAAACAGTTGATATTCTAGCTAGACTGCGTGCAGAGAGTTTCATAGAAGTATCGCCAAAAGTACAAGGTATTTAACGTCACTGTTGGTTGAAAGCCAGCCGTCCAAAGTTAGTCTTTGATCGCCTCGCGAGAATGGTCGCAAGAATATTCTACTAACGGCAGTTTATAACAGCACTTGATGCTGCTAGGATTCTACGGGGTCAAGGAGTAGATAACCTCCCACAAACAATATGCAGGTTCCTGAAAGGATCCGATTTCGATTCGAGGGTCAGAAAAACAGCATTGCCATTAACATATGAGCGAAGAAAAGGATCGGTTGAAGAAGGGCGAAAGCTCACAAACACTGGACGGTTGATGATTGAAAAGTGGTTTTTAGCGACGAGACCAAGCTCGATCGTCTTGGATAGGATGAGAAATAGTAGCTCGGATAAAGAAGGGCGAATCACTTAAGGAGCAAATGCTAACTACAAGTTTAAAGACGGAGGTGGAAATCTCATATTGTGGAGCTGCTTTACTCAACATGTCCCAAGCTTCATTGCCAAATAGAGAGCGGAATGGACTCGTAATTATATTGCGAGGTTCTTAAAGGCGACTTCATGGGTACATTGAAGGATTATGGCCTGAAATTGAAGGACATTATCAGGATAATAATCCAAAACATACATCAAAATATAACAAGAAATTCTTCGAGAAGAAGAAGATAAATGTTATAGGTTGGCCTTCGTATTCCCCAGGCTTAAACCCAATCGGAAACCTGTGGTTTCTTTAGAATGCAAGCTGGCTGCCTCTTCCAATGAGCAACCAAAAAGCCTTCTGATTTCGCTGAGGACGTCAATGCCGGTTGCACCGTTTGAGCCGTAGACCCAGGTGTAACCGATATGATATCAGCAATGGGAAAGTGTTATCACCTGTCGCAGCGTTTAAGGCTGGAAGAGCGCTCTCCAACTATACCGTAAGTATTCGTACGGCTGAGGGTTGTTTACATTGTTGCACTCATGACTGATTGTTGGTTGTGTGTTGTGAATATGTCAATAACAGGCTAGTCCTTAGTGGTATAGGCGCTCATAACCATACATTGCGACTTGAAGCACGTATATCCACTCTTCCGCCACTCCTCTTGTTTGCCAACGTTTGGTATGTATCAATGCCGTTCATGAATGGATGTATACTTCGTTATCTAACTGATTGTTCTCTTCGCGTATATATGTAGCGAGGCTGTTGGTAAGCGACGAAATAGCATAATTATACCCAACCACCAATATATACGATACTTCTTAGCATGCAATGATACCATCGACGACATGGTTTATGAACTTGCCTGACGATTAACCAAACGCAACTTGTCTGGCATACTTATTTTAACATATTTATTATTAGCACTAACCTTAGCACCACCACATACCCTACCATCAGATATCCGCAACAAAGAACATCATAGCTGCAGAGTTATGGTCACTGTACTCGATCAATATCGATGTAAAGATAATAGCTTGTTCTTCATACCCAATCTTTTCACATATACCAATAACACAGTCGAATGCAATTATACCATTAACGATGCTGTATTACAGAAATTATTCGCAGATTATAAGCTTATAAGCAATATACCCATTAGACCAGCATCAACACGACCGTCATCAGTAAACGAGCTGCGCCCGTAGAGTTGATAAAAAGGAAACTGCAGCAATCTCAAACAGAGATTGTGGACATCTACTTCATCGATGAATATCTGACTAGTCAGATATGTAATAGATGCAAGCATCAAAATTTGGAACAGCAGCGTCAAAGCGAAAAGTAGATGAGCAGTGTGAAAGACTGTAATACAATTTGGAATCGCGACGTTAATTTGCTAACAATCAAAGACCTGCAGTTTTCAAACGAAGCTCGTCAAAGATGTGCTTGATATCACTCTTTCACACATCTCTACAGTGTAAGTTGTAAGATATTCATAAAGTATAGTCAAAGGCTGAACCTTATTTATTTAACTCACAATTTGATTAACAGTCTGAGTATTTCGTCGGTAAGCACGTCTGAAAGCTATGGTATATTTATCTAAAACAGCTTAGTATTTTTTCTCATGAATAGAATTAATTTTCGAAAGTAGCCCAGTAGTATTTTTCGATTTGCAATCAAAAAGACTGTAGTCTACCAAGACGAGGTTCGATTCCGAACACTCAGTACGAGCTCGAAATGTATATTTAATAGTTTTCTGCAGTAGCTTTACAGTTTATGCCTTTTCTCATACCTTTTATTGCCTTACATCAAATATAATTCGTTGTCCGTTTGATAGTCACTTCTAATAAGTTACGTGAATTAACTACAAAAAAGAAAGAGACTGTAGATCCTGATATCTAGCGGTGCATTTCGCAAACTACGATGCCAATATCTACAAAAGAATGTTATCTTAGACTAAACGGCTCTCATCACGTCGTAAGAAACTCCAGATTGATGCGATTTTATGGCTTTCCATGTCCTTTAGCGAGCGCAGTCGGATGATTCGATGGTGCTTTGGTTGGTTACCTGGTGGTCTTCCCCAAACCTGCCCATGATACCCGTCGATCACTCTATCGCGATCTCATACAATCACCTGCTTCGACATGCACTACCGTCTGTTCCTCCTCACGACTATCCCTAGCCCCATGTCCTTTTTACTTATTATGCTTCCAAACTGTAAGCCCCTCATCCACCTTTCATTGCTGCTAGGCGTAGACGATGGCCTGCAATGTTTTCTATTCTATGTGAATTGGATCACTTACACCGCCGTGTTGACCCATCGCCCCTAGATCATCCAGGCCAATAATTTATAGATTGGTTATCAGTTTAGCTGTTAGTATTCTGATTATTACCTTCTACCTCTTCTTTTTCCTTCCTTTTCCTTTCTTTTTCACCTTTTGTCCCCTAGAAGGGCTTTTAATGTTATTTACACCTACTTGAACTGGCCAGAGCAGGCACAGTGTATTTTTAAGACATTACGTGCTGGTCACAAAATTTTGGCCAATGAAAAGAAATATTTAACCGTAGTCCCTGTATCAGAAGTGAAAAGCGGGTATCACTCCTCATTATTGATGGTTTCTCTTCCGGATTTCTGGAAGATTTGGTATCGAGTGAGATTTTTACAAATTTTTCATTGACGGACATCCAGTTCCGCTTATTGGCTATCTCATAATTCTTTGATTTACTCATGGTTTGATTAACCAAAATCATGTCATTGCAAACTCATTTTGCCTATATTTTCTTCGCATCTGTTTGTCATTGATAATCGTGTCTATCATATTGCAAAAAAAGAAAAAAGTATTTAGGGGCAGTTCGTTGTTTAGGATTCTTTGGCCCAACCGACAATAGCAAAAACCGACGAATAACTTTATTCGACAAATACTTTTCATCAACCGACAAGAAAGTTTCACTAACCGACGTTTACTTTTTTTTTTTGGAAACGCAATACTTACCGGCCTGACTGTGTTAGCTTCAAATAGCCTCACTGCCAGCTTAAATTCGACAAGTGACGAATTTCAGGTTGTTGTCTGGTCGTTGTGCTGCTAGGCACATGTCATACGATTGTCTTTGCTGTGCATAAATTGCCCCTTTTCAGGGTTGTTTGAATGCACAGATCACACAGTGTTGTTGTGGTGGCCAAATGCCTAATTTTTCTATCCAATTGAAGTTTCACCTACTATACGGAATTTCAATTTCACACAGAAGAAGGATGTTCGATGATAGAGGGAAAAAATGCAACTTTTCGAAATAATAAGCTTACAGGGTTTTGAATATAATAACAACCATTGATATTTTATCTGCTTTCTTTTTCTTCTTTATATAAATTTCATCTATTCTTCGCTCTACCTGCACTTTGGAAATTTAATTTCCCTTACAGTCTGTATAATATATGAATAGAACAATCCGTAATACAGAGCACCGGCAGAATAACAGTAACAAAGTAAACTATGCTCAGGCGGCAGGAAGTGTTAGTGGATCGCAACATCAACCCACGCGAAGTCATCACTATTCACAGTATAATGCACAACAAGAAACGGAAGGTGCTGAGCAACAAATACCATATCACAGAAACTACAGGCCTAATAACAACAACAACAACAACAACAACAACAACATGACGCACACAAGCTATCACACACATAGAAACAATAGCTATCAGTAAAGCATTCATTTATTTTATTGCTAACATTTATTCAGTCAACCTTTTTTTTCTAAACTACTTATTTCAAACTGTAGCCATAACAATAAATTCAATAATGGGTACACTAATAGAAAGCCATCTACACCGTTACCTATCCAACCTTCTACGGAAAACTGTAGGTTTTTTCATTTTTTTATGTAATATTCGCTTATGCCTACTTACTTACAAAACAATATATTGGCTTACGTTAGCTCATCAAGCACAGCAAAGACCAGATATGATACCAAGGCCGCATCGGAATAGCAGTCAGAATAAGTTATTTGCAGCATCTTTCGCACCTCGACAGGAATTCCATCCTAATAGCAACTATAATCATAATCAAAATCAGACTGAACAACCACACCATACTAACTACAATGCTAATAATAATGTTACCAATAACAGCCATAGATATTTTAATAACTACCATAATAGTGCTGATAACAATGGCGTCAACAACCATTCCACGTATAGACAGCAGCAATCTCCTGGCAATAATAATACGAATAGTCAGCAACCGTACATTTCTCACCAGTCTACGCAACAACAACCGTCAGTGCAATATTCTCCACAACTACCAGACCAATCTCCCCAACAACAGACTCTGCCATCTTCTGCTACTATAAACCATAGGACGACGTCTCCTAATTTGAGTTCATTTAACCCGCCCAAGAAGAATGGCCCTAGTGCCAATTTCTCTCCTCACAACACTCAACAAGCTACACCTCCGTCCAATATCCCAATGACAGCAAATTGGCCACCTGTTGGTCAATATGTAAGCTTGATTTTTTAAAAAGTTTCTGTTTGTAATTTAAACAAGCATCTGATAAAACATTTGACACTTTCTCTTAAATCATGCCCATTTAAAAATTCTAGTATTTCCCTGCTCAATATTCCATGCCTATGCCTTACATGATACCACAACCACCACCACACACTGTTGGTCCACCCATGCTCGCCGTACCCTCTCAAGCTCGAAAAGTTATCACTATCATCAATCCCGAAACCGGTACAGTGGTTGATACCAGCTCTTCATTTGTAGCGCGCCGTCGAAATAGCAATAGTAGTACCACTTCTACAAACAGTACAAAGCCTTCGCCACAACCTCTCAAGGCAAAACCTGATTTTGTCAAACCGTCACATGTGTCGAAACGTATTGAAATTGTCGATCCAGCGATTCGTGATAGGTTGATACGTGAAAAGAAGGAACGCGAAGAAGCTGAAAAAGAAGCTCGACAAAAGGCCGAAGAAGAGGCAAGAGAGGCTGAACGTAAAGCAGAGCAGGAAAGGCTGGAAGCCGAACGTAAAGCCGAGCAGGAGAGGTTAGAAGCAGAACGTAAAGCCGAGGAAGAGAGATTAGAAGCAGAACGTAAAGCCGAGGAAGAGAGATTGGAAGCCGAGCGTAAAGCTGAGGAAGAGAGATTGGAAGCCGAGCGTAAGGCAGAGGAGGAGCGAAAAGAAGCAGAACGTAAACGGCTTGCTGAAGAAGCAGCCGCAGCCGCAGCCGCAGCATTAGAAAAGCAAAAGCAAGAAGATGAAGCACGTAGAAAAGAAGAAGAGGAACGGGAATCGAGACGTGTTATCCATGAACTTGAAGCTGAAAAAAGAAAACAAGAAGAGTTGCGCGCTCATAAAGTTGGACGAGTACCATCACCTTTGATTACCCATGACAGTCTTGTCACCGATTCACCTCTAGCATCACCAACGGTAATCAATAAGGCTCCGCCTATTCAGGCTACTTTGATCGATGATTTTAGTAAAATTACGTATCCTGAAGGAATTACAGGTCCCAATATTACCGACAAGAAGAAGTTAATGTACAGCACAAACTTTATGATGCAATTCCGCCCCGTTTGTTTGGATACAGATTTCGACCTTTCAGTCATTAGAGAGTCTTTGGAACAAAGTAACAATAGTCGTGCAAATTTTCAACGCCAAAACTCTGACCGTGGTAACAGAGCTCCTCGTACTCCAAGTGGCATGAACAATGATAACAATATGTTCCGAATGGGATCCCGTGATGGCCGTATGGAAATGGGTAAATTTAATATGGGTCGTCCTTTGACTGTCCGCAACAATAGTACACAGAATATGGAGCGTCAAGGTTCTCGCGGTGGCGGTATGTCGAACCGTGGTGGTGGACGTGGTGGAAGCAATTTTGGCGGCATGAAAATTATCCGCAATCCACCTCAACAGCATAATGCACCAGCCTCACCAGGTGCTCCTTTGGACGATCTTCCTCTTCCCAAGAGTGAAAACAGATGGGTCCCTGTCAGTGCCCTCAAGAAAGCCGAAGCTCCCAAGGAAGGCGAACTTATGTCACAAGAATACATCACTCGCAAAGTTAATGCTCTCCTCAATAAGTTAACTTTAGAGAAGTTTGATTCTATTGCTGGACAAATATTCGAGTATGCTAAGCAATCTGCCAAAGAAGAAGATGGTCGGTCTTTACGTACTGTTATTAAGTTGGCATTTGAAAAAGCTTGTGATGAACCTGCATTCGCCAGTATGTGGGCTCGCTTATGTAGATATATGCTGGATAATATGACAGACGATATAAAAGATACTAGCATTTTAGATAATGAAGGAAAACCTACCAGCGGTGTACTTCTTTTCAGGAAATACTTGTTCAACCGTTGCCAATCCGAATTTGAAAAGGGGTGGAAAGTTAATATGCCAGTTGTAGATGAAGCAACTATGCTTACTGATGAATATTATGCTGCTGCTAAGGCTAAGCGTCAAGGCCTCGGTCTAATTCAATTTATTGGTGAACTTTTCAAGCTTGATATGCTTTCCGAACGTATCATGTATAGCTGTATGATCAAGCTTTGTAATGATCCACAGAATGCAGGTGATGAAGAGGCAGAATCGCTATGTAAGTTACTTACCACCATTGGACAAGTTCTGGATAAGAAGCCTAAGACTGCCAAATGGGTGGATATTGTTATGACAAGAATGAAGAATGAAATGAGCAGCAGTCCAAAGCTTACATCTCGTGTTAAATTCATGATTCAAGACGTGCTGGACTTGCGTAGAGATAAGTGGGTACCTAGAATAGCCAATAAGCAAATCGGACCTACCACTATTGCAAAGATTCATGAGCAAGCTGAAAAGGATAAAGAAATTAAGGAAGCAGCAGCAGCTACGAAACGTAATACCAGCTCTCGTGGCCATTTTATACCCAATGCTAACCAATATAACAGTCATAATAATCACCCTGTATCTCGTACTGGCTCATTCCGTGGTGGCTTCTCGTCTCCATCCTCATCAGGCGCAAATCAAATCCATAACTCACACAACGGAAACTTGAATATTGGCAATACCAATAATGTAACTGTTTCCAGTGACGACTGGAATACAGTATCGCAAGGTGCCAATAAAAGCCGAGCTACTGATCTCTCGAATTTTGGTAAAATGGATAGAAGTCGTCCTAGAACTAATATCTTGGGTCCCTCCAACAGCCCTTTCCCCAGTTTAAGCCGCGGTAAATCTGGTGTTAAATTGGACACTAAAGCATCTGCCGATAGCGGTAGAGCTAGTCCTGCCACAAATATGTTTAGTGCCCTTTCGTCTACCGGCGAAAAATCCACTACAGAAGATCGCAAACCACTTGACTTATTACCAAAGTCAGCAGACGCCACAGCTAATAACGCCACACTATCCCCTGCATCATCGCCACAACTCACTTCCGATAAACCTAAATTATCAGATGAAGCCGTTAAACGTAAATGTAAGAATATTCTTGAAGAATACTTCAGTATTAATGATAAACAGGTAAGAGTGACATCAGCCTATGATATAATCTTCCCAACAGTTAATTTTGCAATGCATTTTGCTGATCAAAAAACGTACTGTTATTACACAGGAACTATCTGAGTGCGTTAAGGAGCTGGATTGCCCTCATTACCTCATTCTTCTTGTTGGTCAAATGCTTACTGTCGTTGAGAAAAAGGCGCAAGATGTCGAAAAGATGTGCGACACGATAACGTACCTTCGTTCTCAAAATCTTATATCAAAGGAACATTTTATTGGTGCCTTCACTTCTTTCATGGAAGGTTATGATGACCTGACTATTGATGTACCTCAAGCTCCCAAATTCGTAGCACAACTGCTTAAAGCTTGCGAACTTACACCTGAGGAAGTGAACGGTAGTGCTTTTGAGTCTCTGAAAAATGCTTTTCATACTTCTTAATTTTATGTGTATACAAAGATAGATATAATAAAGAAAGAAAAAAAAAGTAGTATAAGTCAAGAGATAAGGCTTTCCTGCAACGAATTAATCATTGACGGTTTCAATGATAGCAAATTTTTTTAAAAAAAAAAGAATAAAAAGACAAAGCCTCTCTTATTTGATTTATCTATATTAGATTTACACGAGCATAAACAGTAATCTATCTTCTTTTGGTTTAAGTATTTATTTTATAATAGTACGTAAAAATGTAAAATCAATGGTAGTCTTTTAATGTCTTAGTAACAACTCCAGTCGCTTATTGATTTCTAAAGTACTTCAACAAGAAAAAAGCTTTAAAGCCAGAACAACTTTGTCCAATCAAATTTCGTTCTCAGAGCAAATATATGCGGGCAGGCACCATTTGGATTATTCAGCAATGTGTGAATTACAAATCCTGTGAGCTGCCAGCTTAAAAATGCTTTGAGCCAGTAAAATTTTCCTCCTTCCCCCTTTTACAAACATTTAAAGAATAAAAAACTAAAAGCTTTCCTCACTACTATCCTAACTACTTTGTAGTAGGAATACACCTTCAGAATTATATCCATTTTATATGAAGACGAATCACACTTCACAAACCTTGAAAGAAATCCAGCAAATACAGCGATCCAACAAGTGCCCTTATAGAAAACGAAACACTAAACAAGGAACATCCAAAAAACGAACGAAAACATATAATAATTGTAAATACAGTCAAGCTTGTGCATTATTAGAAGCTATTAAACTAAATGGACGGAAACGGTTGAACGATCGATGCGTAGGTAAGTCTATAACGATAAAAAAGCTAACACCAAGCATTTATCAATCAAATTACTCATCTTTTGATTTTCCTGGTATGGGTTTTTTTTTTGTTGTAAAGCTCACATTTCTTGCTATATTGCTCGAGCATGGGAAGAAAAGCCTTGTCAACAGAAGGTTAAACAAATTTTTTGCATGATTCGAAATATGCTCGAAGCAGCCAGCATGGATGCAGCTTTACCGTTCGATATAGCTCTTCAAGTATTTTGTCAGAATCCCTTAGGATCCACTACAATTTGCCCTAGCACAACTCTCTTGATTGCAATGAGATATGTAGAGCGTCTAAAGAAGGTACAGTTAGGATCCAGAAAAAAAAAGAAGAAATTGAAATACCTGGATTTCATTATCCATCATATGACAGTTACTAATTTTTCTAGCACAACCATTACGAAAAATTAGCGTTACCATGATGTGAAAGGCAGCCCTGGATGTTGCTTTCGAATGATAATCGTTGCCTTCAACATAGCTTTAAAATATATGTATGATTGCCTACGATTGATAATATATACCAGTATGCGACAGTTACCGTCAGCAAACAGAGTAGTTAATTTAATCACACCACCCAGTTCACCGAAAAAGACAACCCCTCAAAATTTGGATGCCAACGCTACAGAGGTTGAAAATACCAAAGTAAAAGCAAATTCAACAGCACAAAGCACTGTTAAACCAGAAATCTCAATAGACTCACAGACGGATACCTCTACATGTTCTGATGTAGAACGCGCATTGAAAATTGCTTGTTTGGAACGAGAATTCCTTTATTGTCTTAACTACGACTTGTCTGTTGAAGATCCTTCAAGCCTCGTTACTTGGGCGCATAATTTTGATAATTCTCCAGCGAACTTCAATTGCGTTAGGCAAGAGTACACCTCCGCCGACGAAGCAGATGATGAGATGGAAGAAGAAGATCCATAACAATAACATTATAATCGTACTTTCTTTATCTCCTTGTACATATACCAAATATACCTGATGTTCCATCATAGCCTTTATATCAATCATAATAAAATCAAAAAGCTGTTCAAATGCGCTGATTTAAGTCTACACCGAACTTTGGTCAATGTGACTTGATACCAAACCCGTTCGCTGTTACAAACGTTCTGCCATTAGATACTATTTCAGTTTCTATCTTATTTGCTTTTTTGTTTCCCCGTGTTTCAGCAACAAAATATGAAGCTCATCACTGTTGCATCCTTATTGTCATTGACTTCCATGGTGGCAGCCTTCGAGTCCACTGTCCCTTGTTTCATGTGGTCTCGCAAACAGTAAGCTATTCTACTGTTCCAACACGGAAGGAAAAAAAGCTTAACCACTTTATTCTATATAGTTATATCGACAATTCGATGAAGGCCGATAATCATCTCGTTATTAGCAATACCGATGCTTCATCAACCATTTTGTCTTCGTTATCGCCTGATATTTGCTCAGCCAAACTTATCGCTATAATTAACCAACCTGAGGTTTGTTGAAACAGATTCTTTTAGCAGAATTGGTTTTGAAAGTCTTTTCCTCATCCCTGCAACACTCACTGACTTGAAAAAAAACGCTTGTATATTGATAGCTTCACTTCACTGATTTCACTCGTTCTGAAGTCTCGGATGCTTTCACTCATATGAGAGTAACGTATCTCCGTTTTCTTTTCATACCTCATACAAATCCTTTTTGTGGAAAGCTTATATATTTGCCGTTCATGGATAAACTTGCATAGGATCGCAGTAGTCAAGCAAATACACAGGTGCACTTCGAATATATTACTGATGGTGTGGATGTTTACGATGTTGCCAAAAAGATTGCCAGCAAATGTCAGTCTTCTGTATCCATTCTAGATCCTTCAAGTGAGTTTTTTGTGTTCGTTTCACTATTGAGAAAAGCTAAATATTCTGTTTGTAACTTGTTGACTCTTTCTTAAATCTAAAAATTATATAGCTGTATCCTATGATGATTTCATAGAACAAAATGAACCCATGGTCGCCCTTGTTCCCTTCCCCGCTTTTGAGGATGATACCGGCAGGTTAAGAGAAAATGGTAAGTGAATTAACGTCCCTTAGCGAGAAATCGAAAAATCATTGGAACTCACGACTTTCGAAATTTAGACGCGTTACTTCGAAAATTCATTGATATTGTTGAAGAAAAAGTTGACAACGACTATGCTTTTATTTACACATCTGATAGTGCAAAGGTAACAGAACCGAAAAAGAAAAAAGTATTGCAGATGTCATTGGACGCTGTCTGTCACGACAAGAGATTAATGATTGTTTCTATATTTTATTTCAACAAAAAATAGAGTAAAATTGCTAATGAAAAGCGTAACTTGCAGCATCTACATCGTCGCGCTCCTACACCTATTGACAATCGTCCTATCTTTGAAAAGTATCAATTATTTACACCTGGCGTTTTTATGGTGCTCGGTATTGTGTTCCTCTTCATGTTCATTGCAGGAACAGGTATCACTTGGCTAGTAGGCATTCAAACACCTACTCGTTTCGAAGCAGCAGCAGCAAAGCAGAAAAAGACAAACTAATAAGCGCGATGAAAACTTTCCTTTCAAACACTTAAAACGTTCAATGGTATATTCCCCCTTTCCTCTTTTTTATATCTCTTATCCGATGTTATTCATATCTGGTTCCCACAATAATAAAAGACTGGATAGCCCACTTCTCAAAAATATTTGTATGTGTGTAAATATGATGAGATATCGAAATGAGGATATATTTTATTGTTGCTCAAATAAATGAGGTTTCGCCGTGTCAACTGCCATCAATGCGGTATGATACAAAGCGACTTCTGTAAATTTAGCAACGCTCACAACTGAGGTATCGCAACTTGTAACAGCTAAACCAGCGTAGACGTCACGAGCAAGAACGAAAGGTATAATGGCAAAGGATTCCCATACAGCATCAGTATTAGTTGACATTTCTACGTGTTGTATCTGCGCTTCAAACATATGATTATCTTTATGACGTATCAATCGTAAACGATAAGGGGGTGCAGCCTTCATCTTCTTGATCAATTTAGTCGATTCGGTATTTTCGTATCTAATTTGAATAAAGATGCCCTCTGCGGGTGAAATACCAATCATGATAGAAGGTGCTCCATGTCCTAAATGCTCTCTCACCATAATCCCAGCTTTTGCACATTTAGCAAAAGCCGAATGGGAACGGACGGTGCCCTCGATTACGCCTTGCTCTAAAAGAGGTTGATAGACGAACCGAAAAGCATCTGCTTCATTATCTATGTCAGCACCTGAGCCCCATAATGTGAAAGTAGAGTCTGAATCTGCTGAAACGGTTCCTGGTAAACCAATACGACTTTCCTCGCCAATGTCCGTTGTTTGCCAATCGCCGGGTAGGTTAGGATTGGGTAGCGGACCAGGCAATGGCTCTCTGGGATGGGTTAATTTTGCTTCGAGTAGAGTAGCTAGTTTTTTGGCCAATAGATCATGTCCTGTATCTGTTAAATGTCCCTGTAAAAACAGCGGGTTAATACCCCTTTTCATTTCTCCCAACTGACTTAAATTGAAAAATATATATTGTATATATCCATAGATATACTTTACATCATCTTTGTAGTATGTAAGGCCGTACCTTAACCAAGCTGTTGTGTCTATAAAATAAACATATTGATCTCCTTGCTGTGTTAGATCCAGAACGGATTGCTGAGAAGGTCGATACATATCGCCTAAAGGTTCTGATAGAATAAAGATAGGTGCATTCTCGCTCAATCGTTGTCGTCGTAGCTTGGATAGGAACAAAGTCAACCTATCTAAATACTCATCGGAAGCGTATCCTTTGTGTCGATCATTTGTGCCTAGTAAAACGACAACACCCCAGAGAGAATTGTTTACTGCTATTTGTTGCTGTTGATGGTAATTCGATTGCAACCCATCAAAATATATATTCTCTATACCGTCAATCAATGTAGCATTTTCATACGCAACATACGAATGTTCTAAGCCTGCAAATTCGCTTGCTTTCCAGGAGAAACTGGACAGTATTTGTTGGCTACTTTGTAAGCCTAAAGTAAGGTCATGGCCAATAAATTCTATGGATGGTTTGTTCCGAGAGGGCGGTAAGGTCACACTGGTTTCGTCAACGAGAATAGATCGTAAGCGAGTACCAAGCTCATTAAGGGCGATCGCGTTAGAAATGACTGTCAGTTCGTGCGGCCCCTCTGTATCTAGACCCTCAGGAAACAAATTAATGATACTACTGGTGCTACTGTTGAACGATCGGTACTGTCCTTTATTAAGCTGTACAGTAACAGAAGTGGAACTGTCGAATAGGTCAAGTTTGATAAAGCGTGTTTTATCAAGTATCACTCTAAAATAAGCACCGGGCCAGCTGTTTGAAATATATGTTGAAGTTCGTTGCCAACGTCCATAGTATTGTATGTTTTGATCGTGGAATGGAATCTCTTTGGTCGAGGCAACAGACAGGAGTAAGACAGTGGTGGTAAATAGCTGTAGCAAGAATAGGTGGAAAATTCTATGGCTGGATATATTGACCATGAGCATGTCTATTTTATATCTTGTTACCGTCTCCGAAATGAATAGCAATGGATAATGATGGTTGAAATAGAGTAAATATGGTGCACTATGGGGTGTTGGGAGGACTTTACACTTCCATTAGAGCTGAAAAAAAAACTGCAAAGAATAACAATAAAGAGGGGTGTGGTGGGACACGAAATGAGTTAAAGTAGGGAAAAACCAATAGAAAGTCAGCAGCTATTAAAGCGCTTTACACCTTAATTGGATCAAAAAAGTTGCTCACTCGTTTAAAGACATTTAGCGATATGTGGTAAAAAGAGAGGCTTGGGTATCCTATCATAGTTCAACAATTTTTAGTGTAGAAACAATAATGGAGCTTTAGAACACACTCTCCCGTTGCAAAAATCTCATGGAGCCACATATGATCGAGGTGTTTTCTAGAAATGAAAGGTAGTTGTTCTGTTTCATATAGGTTTTATTGTAGTGTCAAAGCGATAAGTTGATCGTTGGATGCGAAGTCGGAAAAAATAAATAAGGGGAGAAGTTATTGTTTTCGTTTGCTCATACCGTTCATCGAATAATAATAAAAGGCTGCTTGTAAATGTTGTACATGCTAATAGAACGGGGAGCGGGAGGGGTAAAAGGTGTGTTTTTGTCGTTTTGAGGAAGATCAGCATTTACATCCACCTAGCTTGCAAAGGATCACTATATAGATCATGCCAGCCTCTTTCTAACTGACCAGTATATCCACCATCCTCCAAGTCATCACCGGTGTCAAACTGCAGATAATCATTATTATCGTTACTGCAATCCATATGGGAAGGCGTCTTCAAATTCTCATCATCATCTGTGGTATTAGAATCATCTTCTAGCATCATACAATCCTCCTCTTCTCCTGAAGCCGCGAAAGAAATGGGTATGTCGTTCTTGGCAGTTGTATTATGAGTCGTCGCTGTAGATGTAGGCATAGAGGTGATAGTATTAATACAATCATAAGAAGATGGTGTTGCTAAACATTGTGCATTCAGTAATGCACTTTGATCCAAAAGCGATGACTTTTGAAAACGCTTGACTCTCTCCAGCTTGATTGTAAAAAAAAAAGCAAGCGTAAGTATTTCCATTAATTCATGTTCCAATCCCGAAAAGTGTATAGAGAATGGATGTACCTTTTCTGAACTCTCATCATTTTCAAATTTGCGCTTAGTTGCTCTAAAGGTATCAGATGCAATTGGAATGTCACTGGTGGTTCCAGTGTTTAATGGTGTTTGAGCTGTAAATAAATGTAGACTTTTAGCATGAAATTTGTAACGTTACAAAAGAACTACGACGACTTACAAAGTTGAAGCGTAGAGAATGTCTGCATGATTGTAGTCGAGCTTTTCAATCGTATAGAATTTGGATAGATAAGCTTGATACTACTATGTTGTAAGTATCGCGTATTTGGTTATGATTGATCAAAGCACAAGCAAATGTATACTGAGTTTAACAACAACTACGAAAAAAAAAATAGAAAGAAAGGAAGTTGAAAAAAAAAGCACGGAAAATTGTTCTTATTCAACTTCAACAACAAAGTCACGATAACGATGAACAACCAAGACTTAAATTTTAGAGCGTGTGCGGTAATTTTAGTGGGTTCGTCATGCCGCTCAGCAATATTCGTCGAACAGATTGCTTTTGACACTCCTTAAAACCTAAGAAATTAATTGAAAATCATAATCTCTCAGCCAAATCTTTTCCTTATTCTGCGACCAATTCTAGCTATTCGAGTAGTTACAAGAACTGTTTATTCACATCTGCAGTATCATTTGAGGTTGATATTAATGATGATGTTAATATGTACAAGATCAAAAATGGAAAAAAGCATACTGGAACGTATTTGCTTTTTCGTTGTTCATGTTAATGCTTTTGTCTAAGTGATTTTGACGACGTGTTTTCATGGTTTCTACAAAACTTTAAAAAAGAACAAGAATGAACAGAAACTTGCTATTTGAGTAGTAGAAGTGTCCGGGGATCGGGCTGTTTTGCCCATCTGAATTGTCGCTGTATATGGACCGCTTGATCGTCGAATTTTTCTATCGTTTCATAGCTTATATTTACAAACCAATGGTTCCATCTCCTAAACCTGAAAGACCACCATTCTACGTAAAGCAAACGATTTTTAGCAGATGAATTCTTCCGAAATAAGAAGTAAAAAATCAGGGTTATGCAATGCTTATCGGATAAATTCTTACGTCAATTGGACACACGAATGTTGCTGATGAAGATATAGTTGGATGGACTTTTACCATAAGTACTTTCGCTGTCAAGTGGATAGTGTAATCAATGGTAATATCTTGCTTCTTTCCGCCTGTCAAACCACATTTATCTGCTATGTCAGTCAGTATAGATTGATCTAGATCGATATCGGGATTGTACTCAATATGAAAAGGGAACGTAAAATTAAAGTGGCTGTATTTCGGTACTGCTTGCTGTTCAAGATACCCTCCTCCAATTTGTGGACGCCCACCTTTCGGCGTCGGATAAAACGCCTATTTCGGAAAGAAGAAAGTTAAGTCATTGATTGAATTGTTATACAATGCAAAACTCAAAAAAAAAAAAAACTCCAATATTTCGCTTTGAAAACAGTCCATGGTATAACTTACAGTTGCATTGATATTTGAAAGGTCAATACTCAACAAATTTGGATTATTCACATTGATAATCAAGCCGAAATTAATTCTAAGTCCATCTCCTGTAAAGCTTATCTGAGAGCCTGTCGTCGGATTTGATGAAACACCAGCCATATCGACTGTGGGCATGATGAATGTGCCCGCTATGGCAGCCAGTACGATTATGACGATAATGATCGCAATAATTATAAACCAAATTATACCTGCTGCCCACCCTGGAAGACAGCAGGCACAACAGAGATATCGTATACAAGCGTTTCTTCCCTCCATCCGTCGTCGTCGTCGTCGTCGTCCTTTTTTATTATCGGTTGGATAATCACCTAATTCAGTGTCTGCCACATGTCCTTCATCCATTTCTGAGGATTGACGTTTACCTATCAAATGCGTAAATTATTTAAGGGTTAGTAAAGCTAGCGACTTTATGTAGCTATAGGGAAGCTTTCTGTCTTTTACCGGGAACCTCATATTTATCCTCTGTATAATAATGTCCATTTGGGGGAGGAGTAGATGTTGGTGTATATGCAGTCGTAGAATCAAAATGAGGAGGTAATTTCGGTGGTGGTGAATTTGGAGCTGTTCTTATGGACTGCGGTGGATGCATATCGTTGTTACTCTCTGCATTGTTAGGCGGTAACATAATAGGGTATTTTACTGTTCGACTGCCGAAACAGAAAGTGCAAAAATTTTATGTTACAGAAAATGGATAAAAATGCCAAGAAAGAGAGAGAGGTATCAAAATACAAAAAGTAGAGATGTAGAAAGCCTAGATAAAGAGTCCATTCTGGTTCTTTCCCCTCTTTTTAGCCTAGTTTCTTCTGCGGGTAATGAAGTTCGAACTGTTCATCATTTCGATTTACTTAATTTCGGATTACCTTTTTTTTTCTTATTTGAGACATTTTCAATTTTGTTTTAAAACGTTTACAAAAAAAAAATTCCACAACCTCTCTTTCTATTGGCAAATTTTCTATCTTGATCTCAGACGAACATTTACTAATTTTGGACGAACTTTTATGTACGCTGCTTACCACTGATGAGTGAGAAAAGAGGTATTGAAGCAAAACACTGACGATAGCGAATCAACACCCAAGGGTATTATTATAGCGCATTAAATTAGATTATGAATGAAATGCTCGTTATAATGGATATAATCTGTGTCTAAATTTTGTATAAAGCTGACTGAAACTATAGATTAGTTCGCCAATAAAGACAATCCCTGACCTTTTTTTTGTAAACGTCTAAAAAGTAAAATATTGATTCTTAAAAAAAATTAAAGTCGTTCAAATGTGTTTAAGAATGATTCAAATTTTCAAATTATTACGCACCATTTGTAATACGGGGATTGAAAAGTAAGTTGACTTATTATTTTTCTATGATGCTCTTTATCAATTACCTTAATATTCGTCAAGCGAATCATATCTATCTTAACCACTTCGTTTTCGCATATATCAACATCTTCCAAATCGATATATCAAAAAAAAAACTTCTGAAATAGGACAAATAGACCTACCATTTGTAATAAGGAGACGTCAGAATAAGGTTGCAGCAGATTGTGCAGTTACACAAAAAAAACCATCTGCACAGCTATTTTCGTTTATCCCTAAGTCTCAAGAATTGTCAGCACAACGTAAAGGAAGCCGACAATAAAGTTTCTGGCTGCTATTGCAACATGTAATAATTTTGTGAACGGATGAAATAATAGGATACACAATCTTGGAGTGGCGGGTTTTACATTTCTTTCAATCATTAGAAGTAGCAATTAAACCATTGTTATTCCAAGATGTAACTGATAAAAAATTTTGAACATTTTTGTCTATTGTTCAAGAGTGTATGATGATGTTGTATCTAACAATAACCAGTGACAATGTATTTATTAATTAAGTATTATTCATATTAAGTAGCCAGGTTATACTTATACTAAAAATAGCTTAGAAAATAAAACTTGAAAGAATATATGTATAAAGAGTGCGAAATGAAGATATTCATATGTACAAATGGAATGCATATCGTAAGTACGATCGATTGACGGTAAATGGAAGCAGTGCTTGTAAGGCAAATGATTCAGTCTATCATGGTGATCTGAACATAACCACGTATTGACGCTTTCAGTTTTATATCTACGTCAAGGTTTAAATCAAGTCTTAGTCGTGGCGGGTTGCGTGTGGAAGATCTTTCTTTCTTTTGCTTTTGATCATCTACCTTTTTCAAATTAGAGGCATAATTATCCAATCTTTCTTTACGCTCATCCATCATTGGTCCTTGGAGTTTTTCGGAGTGCTTCTTTAGTCTGTCTTGGCGATCAACAATATCAGGTCGCTTAAATTTGTGAGCACACCGCTTTAATCTTTCTGTGCGTTCAATGAAATCAGGATGATTGAAACGTGCAGCATGTTCCTTTAGTGTTTGGGCTCGTTCAGCGAATTCTGGGTCATTGAATCGATCGATACACTTTTTCAGTTTCTCGACTTTTTGCAATAATTCAGGTCGGTTCAGTTTGGCCGCGTGTTCCCTGAGTACGTCAGCCCGTCGTTTCAGTTCGTCTTCATCAATGCTTTCAGTGAAATGCTTCAGCTTTTCAGCTCTGGCTCTCATTTCCGGACTGTCCATCTTCGCAGCATGTTTTTCCAATTTTTTTGCGCGTCGTGCCAACTCTTCCTCATCCATAGACTGTACATGTTGTTTCAATTTCTCTGCTCTCTGTTCTATTTCTGGTGTGTGCATTCTTGCAGCATAGTGCTTTAATGCGTCTGCTCGTTCTACAAGTTGCTCCTTGTCAATCGATTCCGTAAACTCCTTCAGCTTTTCGGCTCTTCTCTTAATGCGAGGGCTGTTCAGCCTTGCAGCGTGTTCCTTCATCATTTCGGCTCTGTCAGCCAGTTCCTTTCTATTCATACGCTCACTGTATTCTTTTAGTCTCTCTGCTCTTTTTGCTAGTTCGGGTGTTTTGAACCTTTCTGCCTGTTTCTTCATTGCCTCTGTTCTCTTTGTTAAATCCTTTTTTGCAATCTTCTTAGCAAACTGTTTTAAGTCATCGGCCCTCTCCTGTATGTCCGGATCGTGCATTCTATCGGCAGCCTTTTTGATGCTCTTGGCTTGCTTTTTCAATTTAGCACGTTGCTCTTCGTCGATCAACTTTTCATTTTTCTGTGCTCCAGTATCTTCTTCATTGGCCTTCTTTTCAGTGATTTTTTTCACCTTCGCACCCTCATCCTCCGTCACCTTTTTCTTGCTACTTTTCGTTGTTGCTGGTTTCTTTTTTTTCTTTGTCTTCTGTTTAGTATCCTTGTCTGTGCTTTTGTTCGTTTTTGTTGTGGATGCAGAATTCTTATTTGATGTTTCTTCTGTCTTTGCATTGCTGTCAGCCTTCTTTTCAGCCTCAGTAGTAGATTTGCCTACCTTCTCACCCATTCGTCAATATACAATAATAATCTGTCGCTGCACAAAAAGAAAAAATAAATGTAATTACAAGATCGAATTTGGACATAAGATCAAAAAAAAAAAATAGTTCCAGGGAAGGATAGACTTTTTTCCAAATTGTGCAAGTTTGATTCTGACCTCGAACGGGAGACCCAGTGTATCGTACAGTTGTGTGCAAATGATATCATTTTTTTTTTTTTTAAATCGATGAAAATTTCCATTTTCTTTTTTTTTTTGGGACTCTGTCCTAGAGGGGCATAGCACTCCACACAATTATCTCCGCCCCTGACCCCTTTGTGTGGCGCCCTCTCGCTTCTTGCATAAATCTTGTGCAACGATTTTTTTTCTACTTTTGTGAAAATGAAAAGATACATTGTTTCCATGGAGATTATTCGGTAGTCAAGATTTTCCTTAGAATAGTTTGTTAGACACAATTACGTGACAATGACAGGTATTGCAGCCATAGCAACGTTTTTTTTTTCTTGTTTTATCTTTTTTTTTGTCCGTTTTATAAGCTTTTTTACGTTTTAATCCCTAGCTACTATTGTTATAATTATTATTATATTTTTCTTGATTTGATCTTTGATTACTAACTTCCTCTTGTAATTAAAAAAAAAAAACTATACCATGGCCGATAACGCTAATGCAAAGAAAGACGCTCCTGCAAAGCAGCAACAAGCTGATAAACAAAAGCAGGGTGCTCAACAGCAACAAGCAGGCAAAAAATCTGGTCAGACCAACGATAAGGCCAAACAAGAAGCCCTAAAGAAGAAACAGCTAGAACAACAAAAGGCTGTTGAAGAAGACGATGATGATGATGACAATGACGATGAATATGACAGTGAAGATGACAGTGATGACAGCGATGAAGACGATAATGATGAAGGTGACAGCGAAGAAGAGACTGATTCAGAAGAAGAGACTGATTCAGAAGAAGAAACTGATTCAGAAGAAGAAACTGATTCTGAGGAAGAAGAGGAGGAGAGTCTCATACCAAGTGCCGCTGGTCAAGTCGCAGGTAACGCCAGTGCCTCGAATAGTAGTGATCATCCTCTAAGTTTGCGTTTGGATTTGAATTTGGAGGTTGATATCGAGATTAAAGCAAAGGTGCATGGTGATGTGACATTGGCCCTTCTTCGTTAACGTACCATCCTTCAAGTTCGATAATTTGTTTGTACATTATATTCCAATATATGCATATCTGTATCTGTATCTATATTAATTGTATACTATTTATTAATAAAGAATCAATCACTTTTTAACTTTTTTTTTTTTTTTGTTTCTACTAAGTTAATTTCTGTTTACTTGTTGATCATTCGTTGTTAATGAAGGTCCCTATTTTATGAGACATTGAAAACACATATATCTTTGTTACTCATATTGGAAGCAAGAATGTTCATTAGCCTGACATATGGAAAGATCTCACAATGTACTGGCTATTTGAGTCGACAGACGCTAAAGGCACGCCATGGTTTATATGGACAAGTTTTTATTCATTGGTTTATAAATGGAACTAATACGTAACAAAAAATAGTAGAATAAAAGGGATATTATATTTATACAATACAGTTTATAAAAAAAAGAGGTAGGGATACAAAAACTAAGCAAGTAGAGCTAATGTGACATCACCGTGGACTCTCGCTTTAAGTGTAATTTCAACTTCCAAATTCAAATCAAGACGTAGACTTAGGGGATTGTCATCATTGCTGCTACCACTTTGTTGCTGAGGAGGAGCAGCAACTTCTTGTTGTCCACCTTTGACGAGATCTTTAGACTTGGACTTCTTCTTCTTTGGCTTCTTGGTTTTTTCTTTCTTTTGCTTTGCTGGTGCCTTTTGAGCTTCTTCTTCATGTTCGTCTTCAGAAGTAACCTCTTTGATCTTTTCGTTCTGTGGCTTTTCCATTTCCTTTGTTGGTGGCATTCTTGCTTAGTTCCTTATAAGCTGTATATTGGTTGAATAAATAGATGATTGATTAATATATCGTGCACGCAAGAGAATTAATTTTAATAAGTTAAAATGAGAACAGTAATGATAATAAGAAAAGCTGATAAATAAAGAATTCACACCTTTTTTTTAAAAAAAGTGGACAAGCCCTTTAACTTTGTCCGGAATAAAAAAAAAAAAAAAGGACGAATGATAAAACAATGATTGCATGGCGGGCAATGGATGTCGTGTGTGTGTGCATGTATCTTCTCGTTGGAATTTCTGTTTAGATCAAAGTTCAAAATGATTTCATCCAACAAGCATCGTATTTCCCTGTGGAACTGCTACCCAACAGAAAATCCTTTGAACTTTAGCTTATCATTACATCATCTTGGCAGAAAGCAAAAAAATAAAAAAAAAAAATAAAAAAAAAAATAAACGCGTAATATCAAAATAAATCTAAACTTTTCTAGAAATGCTTAGATAGAGCAAATATTATATTCTCACTCCCCTTGTTCCCTCTACTGGTTTTACTTTTATTTTATTTTTATTCCTTCTTTCATTTTCATTCTGTTCATATTAAGCGTTTGAAAAGACTATCTTTACAATAACGAAAATGTCACAACAAGCTACTGCCACCGATACCAAAAAAACGAAAAAGAAGTCCTCTTCTGACAAGAAGAAGAAGGCTTTAGCAAAGCAACAACAGCAACAAGCTCTCCAACAACAACAACAGCAACAATCACCAGCAAAAAAAGATAGTAAAATGCCCAAGCTTCGTCTGGATATTAATCTTGAAGCCGAAGTGTATCTTAAAGCCAAAGCGCACGTAAGTTGAAGTGAATTTAGCAGTAGTCGTTTTTTTTTTCTCTCTATTGAGCTGACTCTCTTGCTGCTTTGAATAGGGTGATGTGACATTGACTTTGCTGTCGTAAGATTCCTCCTTAACTCTCATCTATCCTTTAGCTCCCTTCATACATATTACTCTGTACTATTAGTTTTCGCTGCTCTTATTATTAACCAGTCCGAATTTATAAATATTATCTTGTATAATCTTTATTTATCCGTATTCAGCAATTGTGTAATGATATTCATTGATCCTGAATATAAAAATAAATACCATGTTTATTAAATGAAAAAAAGCAGAAAAGAAAGAATCTTTTTTCTCTGTTCCATTTGCTGTATTTTATGCATAAGCCAGTCAAGTTTACGTTGTATATGTGTAAACGATTTGTTCGATCGTCAAATGGCTGAATATAATATATAATTTATTAAGAATAAAGACGTAAAAAGAATATACAAAAAAATATACATGCTTTTTGAAGGAAAGCAAGTCGTTTAATCACGAGGAATATGGATGCAGAAGGTAATACCGTTCTTTGTTGCCTCTACCTTAACTACAATGTCATCTTTGCCTCCACCATTGCCGATGCTGAATCCCTTGCCACCGCTATCCTCGCCCCCGTGCACAGTGGATTCATCATCGTTGGTGTTATTCGTCCTCTTTTTGTTGTGCTGTGCATCGTGATTATCATCATCATTATTATCGCCAAAGCTGTTGACAAGGTCGTCAAGAGGCAGTTCGAAAGTATGATTCGTACCTTTGCCGTCTTCTGTTTTCTCATATTTTGACTTGATTTGGTCATAAGTATCTTTGACTGTATCTTGAACTGATTCCTTGCTCACTTCGTCATTGTTCTCTTTGGCTTCCTCTTCAAGTTCTGATAATCTTTGCATCAACATGCGATTGTATTCCATGATAGCATTCATAGTCATCATAGCATCATCACTGTTGCCAAACGGATTATCATCCTCATCGTCGTCGTTATCATCATTCAAAGAGTTCTGAGCTTGATTCACTACATTTTTGATTTGATCTTGTAAGTTGCCAAGCAAGTTTTGACCTTCACCAGTAACGCCTTCTGCTATATCTGTCACGTTTTTCTGAACATCGTCAACGGACTCTGTAGCCTTTTCAGGTAAATCTTTAGCTGTATCTACCACATCACCTGCTGTGTCTTGAACACCATCAGCAACATCTCCCACTTTATCGGTGGCCTCATTGGCGACGTCACCTACTTTATCAGTGACACCATCAACAGCACCTGAAGCTGTATCCTGGACACCATCGACTGTGTCGCCCACCTTGTCAGTAACGTCGTCCACTGTATCACCGACTTTGTCTGTCACATCGCCCACGGCATCGCCTGCCTGATCAGTTACTCCATCTACAGAATCTTGCACAGTATCCACAGCACCTTGAGCGGTGTCTTGAATGCCTTCTGCTGCATCACCTACTGTATCAGTCACACCATCAAGAAGTCCTCCTCCCTTTTTCTTATCACCTTTAGAGGATCTTCTCTTCTTGCTGCTGCTATCTCTTTTTTTGGATTTACTACTCCCCTTCACAGGTTCAGTAACATTATCCACTGTATCAGTCACTGAGCCCAGGGTATCACCTAAAAGACCACCACTCTCCTCATCACCAGACGATTTCTTGGATGACCTTTTCTTGGAAGAACCTGATTTCTTTTTACTACCTCCGAGTAGACCAGCCATGTTATATGTCAAATAAATTAAAAAAGGTTAAATAAAGATTGAGCGCTGTAATAATTGAAAGATCAGAAAAGAAAAAAGAATACTATTGTAAAAGCAAGAATGTCTCTATGATTAAAAAAAAAAAAAAGACAGTTCTTTATCAGCACCCCCAAGAAAAAAAAAGAAAGAGATTAGAGTTTTCTACTGTATTATCATACACCACTTTTACGTTGTATCATCGTCATCAAATAATAACCATGCAAACAAAAAAAAAAAAAAGTCCAGTTCCACAAAAAAATAAATTCAGTTACACGCTGGACCCTTTCTTTTTTTCCATTTTCCCAAAAAAAGAAAAAAGAAACCTCAAAAATGATCGTTGCATGAAGTCATTATCAAAAACTATCTAGTACCTCCATTCTAAAAAAAAGGGCCTTGTCTTATTCTTTTTTTTTATTTCTTTCTAAATAAATTATTTCCCTTTTTCCTCAACACAGATTCTCTGATAATTGAACAAAATTAAAGATTCTCGAACTATTCTTTATCGTACCCTATTTGACATCGAAAGCAATGAAGGACCAAGCACGCAAACAACAAGAACAAGCCATGCTCGAAGCCTACCGTAAGAAGCAAGAAGAAGAACAACGCAAAAAGCAACAACAGGCAGAAGAAAAAGAAGGCGATGATGATAACGACAATGATGATGATGAGCCTTCTGAAAAGGACGACGAGAAACCTAAACAAGGAAATGAACAAGAGCCTTCTGATGACAATCAACAGGAAGAAGAAGAAGAAGAAGAAGAAGAAGAAGAAGAAGAAGAAGAAGAAGAAGAAGAAGATGATGATGATGATGACGAAGACGACGAAGACGATGATGATCTAGAAGAACTTTACCAACAAATGATTGGCAAAAAAGTCAGCAAGTCTGGTATGGTCGTTGATCGCAAGACCGGGGCTACTCTAGGCCGTCTTGTTGAAGGCAAACTAAAGCGTGTAGTTAACAAGAAAGTCGGCGAAAATGGTGAAATCAAGAATGATAAAGGCAGAGTTATTGGCCGTGTCGAGCCTATTCCTCAGGATCGTAGTGATGATGACGATGATGATGACGATGAAGAAGAAGACAACGATAACGAGCAAGAGCAAGAATCTACCAAGAAAGGTATTTCTAATTTTTTTTTAGAAAAATGAGATGCAGGTCTTTCCGAATTTCTGGATTTCGGGGTAACTGAAATCTGTTTATTTCCTTTTTTAGACAATGACGCCGATCAGACTGAAGCCAATGATAATGCTGATGAGGATAATACCGCTGCTGACAAGCCTGAGAATGAAGAATCCGCTGAAGAAGAGAATAAAGAAGATGACAACAATGATGAAGAATCCATGGATGAAAAACCCATTGATAACAAAGATAAAACTAAAGCAGCCCCCAAAAATACAGCCAAAGATGCCAAGAACAAATCTAAACAAACTGCTGAAGATGTTAAAGACGAAGCTGACAAAGCTGAAGAGACCGATGCACCTGCTGATGATGCAATAGAGAACGTCGATGACAACGAAGATAATGAAAATGAAGTACACTCCCAAAGCAACTTTGAAGAAGATGAAATTGAAGATAGTAATGAAGAGGATGATGATGATAATGAAAGCACCGACGAAGAGGCAAAAGATTCTGATAAAGACAACGAATATATCAAAAATAAGACTGACGATGCTGCAAAAGTTGCTAAAAAAGGTGCCAAAAGCGCCAAGAATACTGTTGAACAAGTAAAAGACGAAGCCAATAATAACAAGGAAGATGCTGAAGAAGGAGCAGAAGATGATGCCGAACAGATAGACGGTAAAACCAATGAAGCTGGAGATAATGCCAACGATATCAAAGAAGATGCGGAAGAACAGGCTGAAGATGCTTCTGATGAAGCTACCAATAAAGCAAAAAATGCGAAAAAAGAAACTGTTGAGGATGTCGATGACAATGACCAAAAACAAAATGAAGTCGAAGGAAATGAAGAAGGTGAAGACGATAATGAAGAAGAGGAAGAGGAAGAAGAGGAAGAAGGAGAAGAAGAAGGAGATAATGATGAAAGTGAGGAAGAAGAAGAAGACGAAGAAGACGAAGAGGAAGATGAGGGGGAGGATGGCGAAGAAGATGATGACAATGAAGAGAAAGATAATCCTTATGGTACCGTCGATGAAGATTCCCCTGAAGTGCGCAAATCCGGCAAGGTTGTCGATTCCGAAGATAATGTCCTTGGCACTGTGGACAAGAAGGTTGCGCCAAAATTAGCTGGACTCAAGGTTGATAAGGACGGTAACGTCTATAACAAAGAAGGTCATATTGTTGCTAAGGCAAATCTGTATGAAAACGAAAAGAAACCCTTCAACCCTAACGACACTGTGAGCGAAGAATCTCCCGAAGTTCGTAAATCTGGTAAGGTCTTCGATATGGACGACGAACTTGTTGGCTACGTTGACAAGAAGATGGCTCCCAAATGGGCTGGGTTCAAAGTTGATCCTGAAGGTAACGTTATTAACCATGAAGGTGAAATCGTTGGCTCTGCTGATATGATTAAGCCTAAGGAGGAAGACGACGATAAGGAAGAAAAGAATCCTTACCCTAATGATGCCGTGAACGAAAATTCCCCTGAAGTTCGTAAATCTGGTAAGGTCTTTGATATGGACGATGAACTTGTCGGACACGTTGACAAGAGAATGGCTGCCACTTGGGCTGGTTTTAAGGTCGATGAAGAAGGTAACGTTTATGATAACGATGGTCATATTGTTGGAAGGGCCAAAATGGTCGAGCCTGAGCAATCCAAGGAAAAAAAAAAACCCTTCAATCCTAATACGATGGTTGATGAACACTCTCCTACTGTTCGTAAGTCTGGCAAAATCATTGACGAAAATGATAACGTTGTCGGTCATGTCGATAAGACTGCTGCCCGTAGATTTGCTGGTTTCCCTGTTGATGACGATGGCAATATCATAAACGAAGAAGGCCAGACTGTTGGTAAAGCCAAGATGGAGAACCAAAAGTCAGAAGAACAACTTAAAGAAGAACGACAAGAAGAGGAGCAACGCAAAATTGTTGACCAATTAACAAACTGTATCCAGCAATCCTTGGATAAGATTCAACCCATTCTCAAGCAAATTACTGATCATATCGATGACGAAGAATCCAAATCCAAAGATGATCGTGATGAACAGAAATTGGTCGATACCGTCAAGCCTTTGATTGAGCAAGGTTCCTCAATCCTAGAGGAATGTAATGGTGCTATCCGTGGTTTAGATCCTTCTGGCAAGATAGCTAGAGAAGCACAAGCCAAGTCTTCGTCTCGTAAAGCCACACCTGAAGAACATCATCTTGCTGAATTGTTGGCTAAGCTCTCTGGTGATGTCTCCCAAACGATTGATAGAGCAAAGAAAAAGATTAGAAACATGCCCCATGCAAAGAAGGAGCTTAACCCCTTGTGGAACATTTTGCAAAGCCCTCTTTTACAGATTCTATCTGCAGTCGGTCTTTTACTCTCGGGTGTTTTGGGTCTTGTCGGCAATATTTTGAATGGCCTTGGCCTTGGATCAATTATTAACAACCTCCTTGGCGGCATTGGACTGAACAAAATACTTGAAGGTTTTGGTCTCGGTGATGCTTTAAACGGGTTACTTGGAAAGAAAAAGAAGTAGATTGCCTCCTTCTGTTTTCTAATCATTGTTGTATATAGCACTTTTACTATTACTATTACTTATTTACTTTATACTATATGATTTATAGCCTATGTATGTATTATTATTCATTTAAAAAACCTTATCTTGTAATAAAATGCATTTTTTATTTTATAAATTGTTTGCTCAAGAAGGCAAGTGCAATGTTTGATTATCGGCGGCAAAAGGATCTGATTACGTAATACTATATATGTATAAAAAACAGAAGTTTTTGGTCCTCGTCTGTAAGTGAAATAAATTTGTAATCTAAAAACTATTTGTTATTCGCTTCATCGAGTTGTAAGCTGTATTTGCCTTTATATATTTCAGAGCTGTTGACAGTATTCTTTGCATCTGATCTAAACAAACAATTTTGCGGTTCTGTATTCTGCTCACATTAAAATCTTTCTTTTATTTAACACAGAAACCATGAGCATATCAACATATACATATGAATATTTAACAAATTGATCGGTTATTTATGTTCATATTGCTCATTGTTGAGGGGATGAAGGCTTTTATAGTCCTATATCACTATCTTTATAGATTAAACAGGAACCAGATCATTTGTGCCTTTTGAGGATGAGATTATAGAATTATACCGGTTTATAGCGCAAGATTATAGTAAATAAATCAGGCACTACAATTTCATTTACCTTTCCGCGGAAGTTCTACATAAAACCCCAAGTCTCTAGCAGGTGGTTAAAAGGCATACCCCAAAAGAAGATTGACAAAGTACACAGTCGCTGAATTAATCTAGACTCTTCCGATATTGTTGTGAACAGTCAAGTTCACATGGTCTGCAAGTTCGAATTGAACAAATCGTCGTATGCGTTCAAAGATTGACCTTTACCAATAAGGCTTTGTACCACGTACTGAATTGTCAGCGTTACTGACTCATTTGCACACTTTTTTGCTGCTTTTGATCGTTTGCACACACCACATAGAGGCAAACCAAACTATCCTTCCTCAATTACTTATTTTCGTTAATATACTTAACAAGCTTTGAGCGTAATTCAGTTGGCCACATTTTTTACACCTTTTGCATGTTTATGTCATGGCACATAAACCAAATTCGAGAAAACAGAATCAAATTCGCAAGTCAAAATCTAAAGAGAAAAAGCCTTCACCTCATGACGACATCGAGTCGCTGCAAGTTACTTTTTACGAAATTGAATCATGGATAGAAAAAACAACGCCTGTCCTAAATCGCTTAACGAAAGAACTGGATAAAGCATCAACCAATTTTGCAAAGACTAGAAAAGAATTTGAAGATAAAGAACAGCAGCAGCAGCAGCAGCAGCAGCAACAGGCTGACAATGATCAGGAAGCATTAGCAATTGGTGATAATCAACTTCAGCAGCAACAAAGGCAAACTCAGCAACAATTCCGCAGACAACCAAGGAACTGCAGTTTCTCAGTAGAAAACCCTTTAGAATACACAACCGAAGAGCCAACAGTTACATCGGCAATAACAACATCAAATGCTAAACCAATGCAATGGCTCTTATCATTCCAGCCGGGAAATCTACTTCGACTAGATACGAATATCACTAGTGTCGAACAGCTGATTGAAGCTGTTAGGATGATACGATCAATGCAATCCGAGGAGACAACCACTAGTCCCACATTGGATAAAGTCCTTTCATCTTCAAATTTACCCAACAAACCAGATAATGATGATTTAGCATTGGAGATGATTGTATGCTCTTCATCATCATCAGGAAGCTCATCATCGATATTGACAAATTACCAAACAACACAAGATGCGTATGTTGAATACTGGCAATATGCCATTGGTCGACGACCCAAGATATGTTTGGAAAACTACAAGCATTGTCGGATGAATCTGAACGGCTTAACAAAAAATATAACACCCGTAGCGTTAAACTATATTGGACAGGTGTATATGGACTGCTTGCATCCTAAGTTTTGTTCAGATTGGAATACTTTTTGGGATAAATCGGGCAAAAACCCTCAACGAGATCAGGCCTGCATAGACTCTGGTCTAGGTATGTTGTTTTTACACATTATGCGGCATGACAAATTTATTTGTGAGAACTCCCAAGAAATTGCTGGTTTCTACTATGATCGAGCAAGAGAAGAACTAATGGACTTTTTTGATGAGCAGCCCGACTGCGCCTCCATCGAAGCGCTTCTCAATTTATCTATGTTTTGCATTGTTTGCAAGAGATATTCGCAAGCGAAAATTTACATTGGGTTATGTTTAGATATGGTTATAAATTGCAATCTTCATAAAGAAGCCAAAATGCCTCATAATGAAATATTTCTACGTCGCAAGTACTTGAAGCTATTGCTGATTCTCTATTACAATGACTCGACACTATCAGTGTATGTCAATGAACCAGCCTTAATTCGTGATGAAGACCTCAACGTTGACTTTTACGAGCTCATCACCTTGAATAATATGATATCCGAATTACACTCTACTGAAGATAATATTGATAAAGTAGATTTTGACAACAACAAGACGCTTGTAAAAGAGACTTATTTCGTACATACAGTCGAGCTATGCAGACTTACTAAGAAAACAACAATTTTAGTTGAGAACAATGCTTCTTTAAGGCAGCTGGTTGCCCAAGAACGTCTCCTTTTGCAGTGGTTCGAACGGTTGCCGCAAAGTTTTAGAAAAGATAGCTTCAATTATGATAAATACGAACGCATGAAACAGAGAAGAGCTGAAGAGCGTGATCTGATCAGCTCTATGGACGCAGAAGCTCTTGAAGCGCAAGCAGCATTATTACTACGAATTCAATATGAAGCACAATGGATTATTTTGCAGAAGGCAATCATCAACTGTATTCGCCATTCATCACAGTCATCATTCACTTTATTGCCGTTTCTAAAAAATCAAGAGCAGAAATCCATTGCACAAAGTACATCGTCAGCAGAAACGATCGTTAGCATATCAGAGAAAATTACACGATGTTTCGGATGGTGTGTATGTCAACAATTAATCCCAAGTTTATACCATGCCTCAACGGTATTTTGTGGGCAAGCACTCAGGACAAATGATGTGTGTCTAAGAAACAAAGCCACAGCAATGATTCACAGAATCATGAATGTTTTGGGTGCAGGAAGCCTAATTTACGAAGGTTTTCCAGACGATATGTCAGAATGTTTATGTGAATTCCTCAAGGAACATGGCATTCACAATAGTATGGAATGTTTATGTATGTTATCAGACGATAATACAGAACTACTTAAAAGCACAGACAAGATGGAAGAAGATAATACAATAATAAAATATGATAATAGCAATACCCCATTTTCTTTTTCCTAGTTATTCAGCCCTCATCCTCATATCATTGATTCCTCTCTGTATTTATATATTTATCATAGAATCATTTTACTTTTCTTCTATAACTTATGTATCATAAGTAAATTTTTTTATAAATAGCAGATTTTAGACGCGCTAAACTTCCACAATCGGCTGTAAAATGTATATCAAGGATAACATTCTAAGATAAGTTATAAGAAATGTGTTCCATTGAAGGATATGCGAAAGCTATACTTTCCCCGACCCCTTCCTTTTAATGATGCTGATGGTGGATCTTTTCAGTAGCGTTTACAGAGTTGGTTATCATCTATCATAGCAATGGAAGCACCTAAGCACCAGCCAGTTTCTGCATCCTTGATTTTCTTTGCAGTACGAACCAGGCGTTCAGGAGGCACATTATAGCCAACCCTTAGGAGAGCATGGGTATAAGTCAAATCTAAGCAATAGTCGGGTGACTGTTTCAGTACCTTTATGGCCCCAGGTACATGTTGAAATACTTCCACATCATTGCTGCATACGCGATTGGCGAGCTCACCCAATTCGCGCACAGAAAATTGTAATGGCATACCCAAGGGTTGCGTCAGATCGTAAAAGAAAGAAAATACATAAAGTTCATGGTCACTGAATGTTTCTGTTAAGGGAGGTTGATAGACACCATCAAAAGCGCAAGGTGATAAAGGACAAGGCTTCTCTTTACCGAAAATTTTCTCAATGACGCCACGACACATAGCATGACCAGCATTAGTTCCAATCACTTTCACATTCGTAGTTGTATTGTGCGATGTCCATTTGATGGTTTCTGTATAATTTTCAGGCAAACAAGGATGGTATACGCGGCCTGATGCAATAGCATATTCTTCCCTTAGTCTAATTATATCCGATTTGATTTTCTTTCTAGCTTCCTTTAATCCAAATCCAAGGTAAGAGTGCTGATATAAGTTGTACTGTCGATTTCCGTATTTTAATTGATATATATGATCGCCTGGTGCCATTTGTTCGTTGCCAATGGGAAATTGAGGTTCAAACACGATTTGCGTGGAAGCCCCGCCCAAATCGAATGTGGCTGCTGACTTTCCGCCACGACCCACATTTAGATTGCCCAACAAATAATTAACTGTTATCCATGCATAGACTCCTTCATCTTTACCGTCCATAATCTCTACGGCATTTATAGGAAAGGGGTATTTCACCTCCAGTCGATTCTTTACTGCATCGAGAATACGTTGACTCTTCGCTGCTCCCAACAATCGTAAACCTGCTGTTGCTTTGACAGCAATAGGTGTACATTTTTGCATAGATGCGGGTACACTTTCTACAGCAATTTGTAATAAATCTTCTAAAGAATCTGCAGCTGCCTCAGGATCGTTCTCAAATGATGATAAGCCGGGTTCTATCATATGGAAAACTTCATTCTCAAGTTCTGGTTCCTCACGACAAAAGTTGAACTTATAAACGTGGACTCGAGAGCCTGATGAGCCAGCATCAATCATGATTGCGTATTGTACTAGCGGTTTCCCGGGATGAGGGACTGAACAATGATCTGATAGTAGTTCTGGCGGTACTGGTGTTATAAAAGAGTTCATTTTATCATTTAAGTTGGCCAAGCAGAATATATTTTGAATTGTTTTAAAAATGTAGTACCTTGCGTTACATCGTATCTATTCCTTGTTTGATAAGTTGTACTTGGAAAGAACCACCATAATACAATCAGCAACAATAAAACCAAACTACCAGTTATCAAAGTTCGTTTTTTATTCTGAAAAAAAGCTATTGATTTTCTGAAACAACCTTGCTGCTCTTGTTGTTGTAGCTGTTTAATTTGTATCGAGCTCTGTCGCTGATGCGACGAAGATGTCGGTAAGGGTATATATTCGGCTGACAAAACGGTAATGTTGACTGATTGCAGACGTTGTTAAGAAAGAGCGAAGGGCAGGAGTAGCCTTTTTGATTGATTAGGAGATGAGAGAATAGCCAACAAAAGGAATACTTTGTTTGTTCAATAAAAAGGCTGCATTTTTTAGGTCGGCCGTTTCCTGCAAAATACGTCACAGCAACAGTTACACGACAAAAAAGTTAAGCTGAGACTTGTTAGAAGAGTCTTCAGATGCAACAACTCGAAAAAAAAAAAGTATCCAGCACGACCGTTGTTAACTTTTATTCAGCCCATTTTTCTTTTATTTTCCATCTTATAGCTTGCATTCGCCCTTCAGCAAGCGATCAGTGAAATCAGCCTACCTTAAAAAGTGTCAGAAGCTGTTGGATAACATTCCCCCCAAAATAGATACCCATACATTCGTTGCAACCCAAATATAAGTTTTTCTTATCCATGGAATCCGGAAAAACAGCACACTCAAGAGGAGTCAATGTTGCAGCTGTTCCTGGTAATACAAACCAGATGTATATAACTGAGCCTTCGTAATGCAGTTGTTTATTAATTATAATTTAAAAGACTCGCCACTACCTTCAAATCACATATCACAGTGTATTACAGTAGTTGCAAAAGACGGTAGAACTGGGAAAGATGTACGGTTAGATTATATATTTGAAAAAGTCATTGGCAATGGATCATTCGGTGTCGTTTGTCAAGTAAAATTATTACACAACGGTGAGAAAGCAGCTGTCAAAAGAGTTTTGCAAGATAAACGCTTTAAAGTAAATTTACCTAATCAATGAAAAGGCAATGAATCCAACGCTTATGCATGCATCCTTTCCTTTTTTGATGTACAGAACAGAGAATTGGAAATGCTTCGATTGATGAACCATCCAAATATCTGCGGTCTGCGAGCATACTTTTATAACCAAGGGAACAAGGTAGATGCTCTATGACAACTCTGCTTCATCCGAAATATTAACAATTACATAACATTTTTTCTATTGCTCTGGTTCGTAGAGGGATGAAATTTTCTTAAATCTGGTTTTAGAATACGTACCCGAAACTGTTTATAGAGTAGCTCGGCATTATGCAAAGATTCGGCAACCTATACCCATTTTGCAAGTAAAGCTTTACATATACCAGTTGTTCAGAGCATTAGCATATTGTCATAGCATTGGTATATGTCATCGAGATATAAAGCCTCAAAATTTGTTACTTCATCCAATTTCTGGAGTGCTTAAATTATGTGATTTTGGCAGCGCGAAAATATTGAATTCTGGTGATTCTAACGTATCTTATATATGCTCCCGTTATTATCGTGCGCCAGAGCTTATATTTGGTGCAGCCAACTATACGACGAAAATCGATATATGGTCTGCTGGCTGCGTGATGGGAGAACTTTTGCTGGGCCAACCACTATTTCCGGGTGAAAGTGGAGTTGATCAATTGATAGAAATTATAAAGGTCTTAGGAACTCCCACAAGAGATCAGATATTAACAATGAACCCAAATTATGAAAACCACAATTTCCCGTTAGTCAAGCCTCATCCATTGACTAAGGTACAATTGCTCAGATAGCAGTGCACATTTAACATTTAAGGGCTATTAACAGACTATCGAATTCTGTGATAGATTTTCAGGATAAGGACGCCGCCCGAAGCTATTGATCTAATGTCAAGAATATTACAATACGATTCTATACTGAGGCCAACAGCCAGCGAAGCTTTGATACATCCTTTCTTCGACGAATTACGGAATCCTGATACGAAGATGCCTACTGGAAGAGAGTTGCCGCCATTATTTGATTTTTCCATCGAGGGTAAAGAATTAAGGATGATCAACAGGAAAGTAAATCGACCGACTAACAATGTCATTATTTTCATTCATGTAGAATTATCTATTCAACCCTCTTTCATCCATAAACTTGTGCCACCTCATTGCCATGCAGAACTTGCCTCTAGAGGAATTTATATCAATAACATTAATACCAACGGCCGCTGATAATTCTCAAAGGAATAAAAAACTGTAATCAACTTTTGGCTGATCTTTAATTTTTCTGAAATAGTAAGCAGTCCTGAAATTGACTGTTTTTTTTCTCTTTGTTCTGAAAAAGTTGTAAAAAGCCAGAAAAAAATAGCTTAATTTTTTGATAACTCGCATTATATACTGGAAAAGTGTATAAAAAAAAATGTCAAAACGTCAAGCTGATCAGGCCGATTTGAGAAACCAGGCTAAGGCACCCGCCTTTGGAAATGGCGCTTCTAGGCACGATGCTGAAGCAAAGAATGAAATGGGTGATTTTGAAGATGCCTGGGAAGACGAAATGGAGGAAGAAGAAATTGTCGAAAGTAGTAATATGGAGGAAGAATTAGAAGGGGGAAGCGATGGTAAACATACATTTTGCATAACGAGATAGAGGATTCAGCTTAAATACATACTGACGAAATTACCTTGCATAATATAGGCATGGAAGTCGACGAAAAAGATGAGGAAGAACAGGATAAAGATTTGAATGTTTATTTGCCCGGTCAACCTTTGGCAGAAGGAGAAGTTTTGGAAGCAGACCCTTCTGTTTATGTTATGCTTCACAACTTGGATGTTCGACTTCCGTTCTTAAGTTTTGACATTTTGGAAGATAAATTGGGCGAAGAAAGAAGAAATGTATGCTTAATACATTTGATAAAGATGAAGAAGGTTGAGAAGTGACATTCTAACAACTAGTATTATTCTTTCAGTATCCTGCTACTGCTTATGTTGCAGCTGGTACTTCTATGCCTGGCGATAGGAATAACGAAGTTTTGGTTATGAAGTTGTCGAACTTACATAAAACTCAACAAGAAGGTAACAATACCCGAGTACACGGTGCAGTCAAAAAGAATTGTAAGCAGTGACATTAAACCTATGCTTCCATTTTTCCAGACTCTGACGATGATGACGATCCAGATGCATTGGATGAAGATCCTGTGCTTGAATATCGATCGATGCCTCATAACGGCTGCGTTAATCGTTTGAGAGTTATGCCACAGCAACAGGAAAAACATATTGCTGCAACATGGGCAGAGACCGGCAAAGTCCATATCTGGGATTTAACATCATCAATGGAAAGTCTAGAGACACCAGGTGCGCCTACGAATACGTCTCAGAAACCTTTGGTTACTATTAACAATCACGGTCGCGAAGAAGGTTATGCTATGGACTGGTCCGCTTTAGATGCTGGTCGGTAAGTGTCATTATTATTTTTGTTTGAGGAAACGCTGGTATACTTTGAACATCAGTTGATAATGACAATTAATTCTGCATAGTCTTTTGACCGGCGACAATATGGGCCGTATTTTCCATACAACTTTATCACCCACAGGCGTGAATACAGATAATGTCGCATTTAAAGAACATAAGTCATCAGTCGAGGATCTACAATGGTCACCTACAGAAAGAAACGTTTTTGCCTCATGTTCGTCTGATCAAACTGTTAAGATTTGGGATACACGTAATAAGAAACGTTCAGCGGTAGGCGTACACGCCTCACATTCTGATGTCAATGTTATTACATGGAATAAGAAGGCATCATATTTAATGGCTAGTGGACATGATGATGGTGTATTTAGTGTTTGGGATCTTCGTACATTCAAGGGTGGAAACTCACAACCTACACCAGTTGCTACATTCAAATGGCATAACGCACCTATCACGTCTATCGAATGGCACCCTACGGAAGAATCCGTTTTAGCAGTTTCTGGTGCAGATAATCAGTTGACACTTTGGGATTTATCCGTAGAGCCTGATACTGAACAAGAAGGTCGTTTAATGAATGCAGGTGGTGTTGAAGTACCACCTCAACTGTTATTCGTTCATCAAGGCCAAGAAGATATTAAAGAATTACATTTCCATAGACAAATACCTGGCTGTGTTATCAGTACAGCAAGTACTGGTATGAATATCTTCAAAACCATTAGCATTTAGATTTTTTTTTTTCCCCACTTTATACTTCTAATTATACACCCTTTTCTCGTTATATTTTTATTGTATTTTTGCTCAGACTGATAATGTAATATTTGTTTGGTTTTTTTAAATTCGGATTAACATTGAGATCTGCAATGATTCATAAGATAAGGTTGCTTCATACCAAACAGTTTTTTGAGTACAAATTGAAAGAAAAGAAGGCGAAAACAGTTAGATAACTTGGCACATTAACCCAATCAGCAAAGAATGAAATGATGTGACAGACTTCAATATACAATGATGTCGAGTTAATTCTTTAACATGAAAGATTGAAGGTTTTAGAACTGAAACGCTTTTGGTAGATGTCGATGTTCTACTTGATATTGATTGGAAATTTGTATAATTTTGCGCGCAGACCAGCCATTACAGACAAAATCATTCTTACCACAACGCGAAGATATACAAAGATCATACATGTCTAACTTCATATGCCTTTCTCTAATAATTTACAACTTGAAAATATTTTTCGTTTTCGTGCAATATGTTTACTACTTCAATCATCGTGAATATGATAAAGCGCATTGTGCTCGTTAAAAAGTGCAAAACAGGGATTTTTTTTTTTTTGGGCAACTGTGTATCTGTGCATCTGTGCAACCTATCATTGAGATTGGCATAGTTGATAAAGAGTTGATTATAGTTCGGATTACAACAATGAAAGCTACTTCATATTCTGCTTGTTTGCCTTCTTTTCGCGTTCTAATGTTTTAAACCATCTCGGATCTGTTTAAGACAAATACGGTTTTACTTTTTTTTTTCAATTGTTTGATACACTTTTCAGCAAAAAAAACATTTTGTAGGTATCTTTTTATTGATCTTTTTTACTTCATTCAAGGAATACAGTCTATCTCTCTTTCTTACGTTGTTGGCCTCTTCATGAAGCAACGTATCTTTATCTCTTTGATTACAAAATCATGCCTTACCATTTAAAAAAGTTCCTGATAAGGATATCCTTGCTGCTGACAGTAATTGTTACGATTGCTTTTCTGACATTATCATTCTTAACATCATTATACAAAACGATACCAGCCAATATTCCTTTTTTCTCGAACGTACCAATGTATAAGAACAAATGGCAGTACATACCTCCTTTAGAAATAACTCATCCCAATCCAGCATTTACAGCAGCCTACATTACTTTCGTGAATGGCGACAAGGAATCCCTTAGCAGTTTGCGATCAACCATGCGGAATATCGAAGACCAGTTCAATCGTCACTACCATTATCCTTTTATCATTTTCACAGTAGACGAGCCTTCTGTTGAATTTAAAGAGCTGGTTTCCTCCACGGCTACAGGTGACGTTGTATTTGAGAGAGTAACTATATCACAGTACGGTTACGGAAACAGAACAGATCAATTTAGAGCCTCTTTATCAAGAAAGTATTTGAAAGATACGCCTGGAAATACAGAAGCATCTCGCTTCAAGTCTCGATTAATGGCTGGCACCATATTCAAGTAAGTTCAACAAAAGGTGAAAACCAAACTCAACGAGAATCATCACCAGAAACTGACAGAAATTTGTAATTCGTTTTCAGACATGAAAGTTTATTTAATTTAGATTATTTTTGGAGATTCGAACCAGGAACGGAATATCTTTGTCCGATCAGCTTTGATCCCTTCCAGTACATGTATGACAATGGAAAGCAGCTTTCATTTTCCTTGTCATCTTACGAACTCCATGAAACCCTACCCTCCATTTTCGATACTGTAGCTGAATTCAAAAAAGAAAACCCTCAACTGTTTGATGAAAACCACGATAATAAATTATGGAAAGCAATGACCAACAAAGACGGTAGTTACAATCGATGTTCTTTTTGGAACAGTTTTCAAATTGTGAAAACCAGCTTTTTCACTTCCAAAAGATATCAATCTTATTTCGATTTTATGGATCATAAAGAAGGTATATTCTATGAACGATGGTCGGATTCAGTCATTCAATCGTTGGGCGCAGCGTTATTTCTGAATAAAACAGAAGTTCATTTTTGGGAAAGCATCGGATATAGACACCAATATCAATATCAACATTGTCCCAATGATAAGGCAATATGGGAAAAATGTTCATGCAGACCTATGCATAACTTTGACAACGATGGCTTAAGCTGTTTATCGAAGTTTGTATAATTGTCATGGCCCAAATAGACATTCTATTCAATTGATGTATATATATATATATATATATATATGTTTAAATTATAGATTATTACCGATTAAAAACTAAATAATAAATGTAATATGCAATCTCTTCACACGAAGAAGTATGAATAAAAAATATTTTTACTTTTTAAGCTCTGGATATGGAAGATGTAAGATATAAAGTAAATGCAACAGTTCTATAGATCTAGTTTCTTAGGTGTCCATTCGCCTTTTTCTAACAAAGCCTCATCTTTTTCTCTCTTTTTGTCTATTTCGATTGAAGCCATAGCAATGGTTCTCTGTTCAGGGTGTACTTCTCGAATTTTGTCATGGTCATTGAGGCAATGTGTATCAAAATCCCAGTCTTCACCTTCAGCATAATGCGTGAATTCAAGATAAGTGAGATTGTCATAGTCATATTTGTGTCGGTATAATCCTCCATTGAACCATAGAGGCACATGATTGATATCAACGTGCAATTGATTACCGCACACATTCTCCGGTGATCCGTCATCTCCACCACGTCCCATTTGTCCAATAACTGCACCATAAAACTTGTTAAAAGCGTAAGGAGTTTGAGTAATTTCGAAGCCAACCCAGAATGTCTTTCAAAAGATAAATATCGTGTTAGCAGATGCTGACTCTGGTAATTTGGCCACTACATGCATAAAACGTACCTCTTTATCACCATAAACACGATTTTACACAATCTCATCACGTTCTGTTTTACCATTCAATTTACAAGTGGATAGTAAACCCAGTAATGCCTTCTGCTTGTCCATAACTATTACACCGGATTCCTGCTCGTGAGTTGAAGTTCTTTGGTACCATCTAGTTTCTGGCACTAATGTACTCATAGTAGGTAAGAACGAATTTAACCATCCCGCTCCCACATCCCAGTCAGGGAATAAAGTGCGATCATAAAAGTATAGACTACCAGTGAGCTGATAACCTTTATCATCAAACAATTTTTCTGGGTTCTGCAGAAAAAAAGCATCGGCATCCATCAAGATCACTTCTCTGAAGGAACTGGACAAAATACAAAAGGGTTTCATAGCCCAGCCGCCGAACTGTGTATAGTGATATCCAACGTAATCTTCAATTTTTTTCAAGGTGACGTCTTCAAACTCGGTTTGGAGATAAGAACGTCTGGCTACAGACAAGTCATCTTCTCGTACAAAAAATACCTCGATAGGCAAAGTACAATTTAAAACTTCACGAAGGGTTTTAATGGTGGTTGCTGCGAAACGAAATTGGTCGTCGCCGACTGCAATAACGATGCCGCGACCATTGGTTTGGTTGTTGATTTGAAAGGCATTGTTCCAGCCTTCATAGAGCCATGGATACAACGAACTTTCGAGACGTTTGTAAAAGGTCCATGAATCTTTATAACGAAGGTCTGTAGTTACATCCACGTTGGTGTTCTGCGCAAATACGTTGTCGAAATACATAAATAAGGCTTTAAACAATCTCTCGGCTGATGTCATAGCACTGAAGTTGGGAGCCTCTTTCATTTCTGGAATTCTTGTCAATTGGGAAAACACTGTTTCGCCTGCTGCTGTTTTAAAAAAGGCGAGATCTTTCTCTATTTAGAGGTGGGGGTTGAAGACGATATATTAATTGAAGGTTAAAGAAGTAGTTATCAATCTAATGCTTGACTTATACCTGTCCATTGTAAAGGAGGATGAGTCACTGCAATATCATGCGTCTTTGATAGTTTTTCAGCATCAAGTAAATTTACCGCTAAATACATAAGCCATCATATATAATCAGAATTCCTGCGTATTACTTATGGGGACAAGAACTAGTACCTGGTTCCTGTACTTGAAGTCTTGCAAATAATTCTTCATTCAGCTCTGAATGATAACTGTTTGTCCTTATTTCAAATCTTGTATCTGTAAAGAACCTCTGCTTCTGCTGGTTCTCCAAGTAGAGCATTGTAGTAAAGAGAATTGAACAAGAAACAACGAGTGGCCATCGATAGCCTATAAAATGGCTATGTCTTTTAACGGATCTCAGCATCTTCCTAAGGTTGAGCTGAGAAGAAGAGAAAGGCAGAAACTGAATTATAAAAACTGACTTTCGTAACAAAACACGAAGAAAGAAGAAAACCATCATTGATCCATCAAATGCACATATAATTCGAGAACGCTTTCTGGATTTACGACGGATTACACACAAAAAAAAAAAAAAAAAAGAAAAAAAGTTGGGTCTGCTTTAGATCCGACGTCTGACAACTGAAACAGTTTCTATGGTATGGTTGGTTGGATTGTCTTACTTTTTAAGCAAAGCAAGGAAAGACTTTTGTAAAGGCATAGTGATAATGTCGAAAGGAAATGAAAAATAGTAAAACTGATAGAAATGATTCAACAATAATAGTAACTTCTATTCCTGACAACTACGACTGACTTTACACGAGGTAAAGAAAGTTAGTCAGACTTATCAATTGCCTACAGCGTTGGTTCTTGGTTCCATTAGGACCACGTATTTAGTCATTTAAAGCTGCTTCGTTTTCACTGACAAGTTCCCTGTTCTTGAACTCTCCCAACATTATGCAAAAATATCTAAAATACTGGTCAAAACAGACAGCGTTTTGATACGTGAGGCTGTTTCTTGTTTCCTCTTGAGAACTTCTCTTCTACAATAGAGCAATTGCTGTTGTAATAATAGTTGGTTACTACGTATTGTTATCAGCGCTCACAGGACTCATGAACATTGATTAAATTGAGATCAACCTTTGAAAACAAGCAGCTAAAATCTGCCAAAACGCATGCTATGTCTTTAGTCGTTATTTGTATTGTTGTACCTTGTCAGTGAAACTGCCAAAAGCTTCAATAAATGGTCAATGAACACTTATATTTTACAGTCACCAAATTAGAAAGAAAAACAGACTTTTATCGTGTTGAAAATAGAATTTATAGAAAGCATTTCATTCACATAGTGCGCTAACAAAAGGGCGACTCCATTTTTTCAGCTTGAAACAAGAATCACATGCTGGAAAATGGTCATACTTTTTTTTTTGCTAAATTGTACAGACAAGGTAAAATGTGGAGATTATCATCTTTTTCTAACCCCGGGATTGAGGAACGTTTCCTTTCTGTTTCTTTTTTCTTTCAACATTTGAACTACTCAACTTTGGAAGGGAGCAATGACAAGAATATTTGACTCGCGAAAACCAGAACCTTATATCAAAACTTCCTGCAAGAAGTGCATCACACCTATTGAGTTTTACCCAGAGGGTGTTTCAATTGGACAGACAGCGTCGGTAAAATGTTGGGCTTGCAATGAGGTGAACTCATATGTAGTAACCGATCCATCAACACAACCAACGACAAATAAGAAAAAAGAAAGCAACACAAAGTCAAAACCAACTACAAGAAGGAAAGGCTCAGGTAAGAATTTCTCAAGAGCTGCTGTTGAAATGGTAAATTTCTAGTATGATGATATTGACCCTTTCTGCATCATGTGGATGTTTACTTGTAGACGAAAAGCCTGTGTCTACAGAATATTATGAATTGCTTGGCGTGAATGTGAATGCTAGCCAAGAAGAAATCAAAAAAGCGTATCGGAAGCTTGCCGTCAAATTTCATCCGGATAAAAACAGAAATGATCCTGAAGCAGAAGAGAAGGTAAAGATTGGGTTGGCTAGAGAGTGTTCCATTATGACTGCGGGGTTGTCTACTTATCATTTACGGCTCTTGAACACGGTAGTTTAAGAAACTATCAGAAGTTTATCAAATACTTTCCGATTCCAAGTTGAGAAAGAGGTACAATGAATATGGTGAAGAGAATGGCGTAAAGCCCGATGGAGGATTTGGTAAGCTCACTTAGATATATCATGACTGAAGAAGACCCTAAAACCAGCCATTTTTTTTTTTCCATTTTCACTTCATCACTGGAAGTTGATCCCGAGGATTTCTTCAAACAGTCATTCGGTGGAGATAGATTTGTTGATATCATTGGTGAAATATCAATAGGAAAGGACATGAGAGAAGCATTAGAGACAGCAGAAGAAGAGAACGAGGGTCATGAGTTAACACCTGAAGAAAAAGCTGAAAAGGAAGCCCATATGGCCAAGTTGGAAAAAGAAAAGGAAGAGGCTCGAACCAAACGAGTGGAAGCATTATGCGAAAAGTTGATTCATAAAATTGATTTATATGAAACGCATGGTGAGGAGAAGTTTAAACAAATGATTCTTCATGAAGTGGATGACCTCAAGGTGGAGAATCATGGCGTTGAATTGCTGCATACCATTGGACACACATATACCAGTAAAGTAAATCAGTACAGTGGTAAGAAATCGATGTTCGGTTTCGGTGGAATGTTTTACAGCATGAAGGAAAAAGGATACATTTTTAGTCAGACTGTTGGGACTCTCAGAACTGCATATGATTTACAATCTACGTTCGGTGAGCTTCAAAAAGCTGAGGAGAAAGGTCTGTCAGAAGAGGAAAGAGCCAAATTGGAGGAGGCAGCTGCAACAAAGGTAAGACCTTACCTACCCTCGTTAGTCATAATTAGGCAGCAAAAATATTGAAGATTTTCTATAGGGTTTGGAAGCTATTTGGAGAGGCTCGAAATTAGAAATCGAAAGCGTACTACGAGATGTATGTGATCGAGTTCTGAAAGACTCTAAATGCACAAAGGAGCAACTGGCAAATCGCGTCCACGTACTCGGTTTAATTGGTACAATATACCGATCTGTCACGGCCGATGAACCAGTAACGGACGCAGGAGAATCATCGCAGCAACAGCAATAAAACTGAATTGACAGCCAGTCAGACAGAAGGCCCGCTAACTCTGTTTTCACCTACAGCGTGAGTGAAAAAGAGTCATCTAATTGCTTATTGGCCCAGAACTTCCCAGTTATTGATTTCCGCATATTTAATACCATTACGATATACACATTTGTCTTTTCTTTTCTATTTTCATCATCACCATAATAATTTTTCTTTCAATATAAATCTGTAACATAACTATTTCTCTGTATTATAATTTTCTGAACAATAAAGCAGTATGACTAAAGCAGCAACATTGCCATCCACTACTTTTGACTTTTCTACGATGGGTTTTCAGTATCGCGACATTAATGGATATGTCAAATATACTTGGACTGAAGAATCGGGATGGGATAAAGGTACAATGGAAACGAATCCAATGCTAAACGTTCACATGTGTGCAACTGGTCTTAATTATGGTCAACAGGTAATGTTTTGACATTGTTTCACGTAGTAAAATGCAAATGTTGTTGATTGAATAGAAGACTCACAGTATGCCTGCCTTTTTTTCATTCACATCAGTGCTTTGAAGGCATGAAAGCTTTCCGTGACAGCGAAAACCGTGTCCGTATATTTCGCCCTTACATCAATGCCGCTAGAATGAACCGCAGTGCAGATATGGCTTTTATGCCGAACATTCCTGAAGAGCTCTTTGTTGAGGCTGTTCGTCGTTGCGTGGAAGCTAATCTCGAATATGTTCCTCCGAAAGAAACAGGTGGTTCACTTTATATTCGTCCTCTCCTCTTTGGTAGTGGCCCTTATATTGGTATGGGTGCTGCTCCAGAATTCACTTTCATAGTTTTTGCCATGCCAGTAGGTGCTTTTTATACTGGAGGTGTGAAACCTGTCGATGCCATTGTTATTGAAGATTTCGATAGGAGTAAGTTTTTCCTGAAAATTGACTTTTTGTAAATAAGCCGAAATTCCGGACAGGGAATTGTAGTACGAAATGCTGACATACCATTGCTCTCTTTCTTCATCACACAGGTGCACCCAATGGTACCGGTGGAACTAAATTAGGCGGCAATTATGCACCCACCTTCAGCCACATTATGAAAGCTAAAAAAGATGGTTACGCTCTGACTCTACACTTGGATTCAAAGACTCATACTTATATCGATGAATTCTCCACTTCCAACTTTGTGGCTCTTACTTATCCTGGTAAATCTTTTATGCCATAATTTGAATCCACAACAATATGTATTGAGACGACTTTCTTTTTCTCTTTGCACAGATGATAAAGGCGTGCGAACCTTCGTAACACCCGACTCAAATTCAATCCTGCGATCTGTTACCCGTTTATCGCTCGAAGATATCGCTATTAAATTAGGCTGGAAAGTTGAAGAAAGACCAATTACATTTGCTGAAGTTGTGGAAGGTAAATTTGCAGAAGTAGCTGCTTGCGGCACAGCTGCCATCATTACACCTGTGAAGAAAATTGTTCGAGGGGATCAAACAATAAGAATTGGTACTGAAGAACAGACTGATCTTGGCGAAGGTTTTAAGAGACTCTATAACGAATACCGTGGTATTCAATCTGGCGAAATCGAGGATACTTTTGAGTGGATGTGGCCAAAGGAAGGGTTGTAATTTATTGGGACATAGAATTTGATCTTACATATTTTACATAAACACCTTTCCAAACTGCATGTTATGTACATAATTGAATAGAAAATAAATCAAAGATTCATACGATGTGCTTTTTCAGCGTATTTCGCAGCATCTATCGTACTTTTTGTCATCAAAATTATCCTGAATTGCACAAAAATGAAATTGGCTGTTACAAAAAAATGAATGTTGGCTAAAACCAAATATTGCACTTAATCATAGTGTGGTTAACTGAATTATTACATAGTACTTTGCTTTTTGCAATGTTTTCGACTATTTGTATATATATTTAATTTGTGGCTATAAATTAATAATGCTGATCAGTCAAGCTTGTCTACATGAAACTAGGGTATAATTGATTTCGGGTTTGATATATCCAATTAGTTAAAGACTTACAAACAAAAAATAAGACAGTAAAATGATTGAGCACAACAAAGTTACTCTTTATTTAAGTTTGTTGAGAATGGTACTTCTATATTAATACAACTGAACTAAAACTATCATGAGAATGATGAGATCTTAGCCGCAAGCGGGTGTCCAAGTAGATGTGTGTCAGATTGTCAAGCAGATACTGAAGTCGTTCTGTAGTTTGAGACGTGCAGTAGTATCTTGGATACAACAGGGTTATCTGTATTTCTTCTAATTTTGCCAAAGTTGTTTCGATAAAGTCATTCATTATCTTTTTCATCTTCACCAGCTGTGTTCTAGCATTTTGAAATATCCAATAACATTTCTCGTTCTTCAAGCGTGACCAAAGGTTGTACTGGTATATTGCTCTCTGCTTCCATAGAAGTCAAATGCTTTGAAAATCTTCTTGGAATATTAGCTGTAGTGAGGTCAAGAACCCCATCTTCACCATAATATTTCGCAAGGTGTGCAAACTTCTTTGTGGGGTGAAAGTCTATTGAAATTGTTTTCTTCAATCTTTTTGTATTCTTCGTCTTCTGCAGAATCAAGAACGTTGTATGACAGATTTGTGTGATATTTGAGGTTTATTTGTAGCTGTGAACGCGACTTATAATTGGTGAAAACTGTAAGGTAAAATAAGTCGCCTTCAGTCTTTTTATTATATACTAAAAATGCGAGAGTGGAGTGTTCATAGCGAACTGGATGTTTGTATTTGACAACAAAAGGAAGAAGGAAAAGAAAGAAAAATAAAAAAAGAAAGGAATTAAAATACTCGTTCCTGAAATTCTCAAATCAGTAAGAATGCAGCATTATATTATACGTATGTTTTCAGAATACAAGGTGACGTGTACAGGTGTTAATATCATTTTACGATCCTATTAACGTGTCTAGTATTTAAATGTGTGTCTAATTCGTATCATATATGATAGGAGGTGTGAAAAATACCACAGCATAGATCTGGTTATAACAGCCATGCAGTCCGTTTAATGGGGAGAATCATCGTTTTTTTTATCCGTCATCTGAAATATTATGGGAAGCCAGTATTGCGTTGGCCAATAAGGTGTCACTAGGACTGCTCGCTTTATTTCTTCCATATCCAGGCCTGATGGCACTTTTGATGCCTGCTTATTAAACTTGGTTTTGTTGACTTTCTACACTGTCTTGAGAGAGAATGCCAAGACCTTCTCACTCTCTTCTGGTTCTTCCAAGTGGCGGATCGGGGCCATTCTTTTGCTTCCTGGCCAGTAATTTCGCAATTGCAAATGCAAAAAAACCGCCCATCGTCTAATCTTAGTCTATGGTGTTGAGAACGTCTTTTTCGTTGATATTGGCTTGATCAAAGTATTGCATGTCTTGAAAATTTTCTGTGGCAGCCTTGGCTGTTGTCCTGATTCCACCAGCTTGACTCTGCATGGGTTTATTATAGTAGCGGTAGTTCGTTTTCGCTTATTGATTACAGTTATTTAATTGTCCTTCTGATTGTACCTTTCCTGAAGGCTTTAAAAGGAAAGAACTAGCTCTCACGAGAATTCGATGGGCTGTTGACGTAAAACTATGAAACGGAAGCAATCAATTCAAATGTTAATGAAGGGACACCTAATAATTTGAAAGAACACAACAACAATGAAAAGCCCAGGAGTAAAGAGAACGCTAAGGATATATTATCTTGATGGAAACCGAAGCCTGTTTATATAATAGCTCATGCAGTTACAAATATGTTTTCATTGTTCGTCTTGCACATTAATCATTGCATTCTATCCTATTCCTCTTTGTGGCTCAGAACAATTCGGTAATGTGCTTTACCACGTATTAAATCCGTAACACCTGCCATAACCCCTTCTAAAGATCCACCGACCTTTTGGATCCATGGACGAACACCAGTTTGAGCGGCTAAAGCTAACATATCTTTTAAATCATCATTACTGCCAACAAAACTGCCAATTAAACTGATATTTTGATAGATGAATGATGCCGGTGGCAGCACAATAGGTTCTTCTGGTACATCCAACAAAATCATTTTACCACGTGGTTTAATAAACTCGGTTAGTTTTCCCCAGTTTGTAGATCGTCCTGAACCACAAACTACAAGCATGTCCAATGTGCGTTTATATTTGTCATCGAAATCTCCGTCACTGTTAAGGACAATGAAATCGGTTGCACCGAGCTTTAGAGAATCTGATTGCTTCCGCATACTTGAAGATATAGCGAGAATCTTCTCACACTTGAAGGCTTTGGCCCATTGAATCTTTGAATAGAACAATGATGAGATCGTTTACTTTTTCTCTCGAGGGTTGCACTTCTGAAGCAGTACTTACTGCAAGATGGCCGAGCCCACCAATTCCAACAACACCCACAGCACTTCCATCGGCAATATTATTGTGCTTGAATGGCGCATAACTGAATGTAATATACAATTTTTAATGTATCTGAAGGATTATACCAAACAATTGCTATACCGGAAACTTACGTGGTTATTCCCGCACACAATCTGCACAAAATTGGTTAGTCAAAGCTTGTAATCACCTGAATTTAGTATACATTTGAAAGACTTACAGAGGTGCACCTTCTTCATCGCTGATAGCATCAGGGATGGGAATAGCCCAAGCTGCTTGTACTCTTACTTTATTTGCAAAGGCCTAATTATAATACTGTTATTATCTGTGGACTATGACGTTTCCGGACGATGATGCCACTTACACCAAAGGTAGGGTGATTTTTATATTGCCCATTGTAAGTTGTTACTTTTGCTGGACATAACTGGCCAAAGGAATTCTTACATTGCTCACATTCTCCGCATGATCTGCAAACAGGGCTGACACCGACACGTTGTCCTAACAATAACTGTTTCACGTCCTTACCCAGAGCTGTTATTGTTCCTATAAACTCATGTCCAACAATTAAAGGGTAATTGGCCCGTTTCCAGCCCTACATAAACGAATCCGACTTTTAGTGTCCATTTTACTGTTACGACGGTCTGTTTATGACTTTTACATTTGTGATCTGATGTATATCAGAACCACAGCTAAAGATACCGTTATTGTCAATAACTGAACTATGTCGCTATTATAAAATCAAGTGCGGTTATTTTTAATCTTACATTCCGCAAGCTGAGACCTGAATTTCTACTTCATCATCCTCAAGTGGACGAGGCTTGAATTCATATTTCTGCAAATGAGTTTTTAGATCGTCCAAGACGAAAGGTTGTAAAGCAGCATAACCAATAAATGTTTCCTCCTTCATGTTTATCATCATATAGTTTGAGCTTTTTTCATCAAGTACGGCAACAAATCGAGGTGAAAGAGAACACAAAAAAAGGAAAACAATTGAAACTTTCAAATGTTGCCTAAATAAACATCACCAGGCGTTGGTGTACAAAACTCTTTTGCTGGAATTAAGATTCTCCGGTTATGATCGCCGCACACATAGAGTTAGAATAGTTTGAAAGCTGCAGTTCATCCGTTTCTGTGACAGTCGATAATGCTGAGCAATCTGCACAAATCGATCAAGCAACGATAGAATGCATGATACGACGCGAAAATCAGCACAATAGATTGATCAATAAGCCTACCGGTATTAGAAGCTGAAACAAATGTTCATCAGCTTGTAGGTGCACTTTTGTACAGGTAAATAAAAAAAAAATCTACATGATACGTAGTCTTATGCAGTATCAAGAAACAGTTGGCATTTTCCAAACAAAAAGCTGATTTACCCAGCTTATCAAAACGGCAGTCTTTTGAAACGGACCCAAAACATTAAATTCACTTTACAAAACGACTGTGCAATAAATAAAAGCCACAGTTTGAAAAGCTTTTCAACACTTCAAATTCGTGCATACTAATAAGCATGCGTATTTGTTTATACGTCTCACTGAAAGGCTGTGAGATTTTCTTGAGGAGTTTTTCGGTTTTATGGTGTTGTTCTTCTTTGATTCCTTCTATGGCAATGCTTGTACTGATGCCTTAATGACGGTAGAATAAACAGCCTAGTCTTATCGTGATGATATGTTGCTTTTTTATCCAAATTCATGTTACGGATACGTTCCATCTTAGGCCATAACAGAAATAATGTAGCTTTATCATTCAACTGCTGTTTTTTGATGCCTTTTCAATCCAAGTATGATATCATCCCTCACCTCATGCTCGATATGCTAGTAAAGATTATTTTTTTTCTCACTCGCTGGTGATGAACTTCCAGGCTCTTCTCTCTGTTTTCCACTGAACTGTTTTTAGGTTTGATATCTTTTTCGTTTTAGCTTCGTGTTGGATACAGTAATAACTAGCTACTTTTTATTTTTGTTTCCTTCTTTTTATGACCAAATGGCTTCTCAACCTCTTGTGGTTGGTCCTGTTCTGTAGTATCAAGTTTATTTTATTGAGAACCCTGAGAAAACAAGCGGAAGCCTCATAGAAAGTTTAATGAATGAAAAGCTCGACTTATATCAATAAAACTTACAAACTAAATATCATTTACAAAGGACAAAGAAACAATTTGACTTCTTTGCTATCTTCTCTTGACTTCCAAAATTTCAAATTTTGGTTAACATGTATCCATTAGAGTACAATGATATTCTGTTAGTTCTTCAATATAGTCTGATTAAACAATCCAAACTATGATTGAGTATAGCCTGGATTACGATCGCCGCCTATTTTCTCAAACAGATTTATGGGCCCATAAGTAAGGCCTGTATCGACCAGTATACCTCTTCAGGTCTAAGACAGAACAAACCCACTTTATTTCTTGTTGCGGCTCCAAAGCTGGAAGTTTGACAAGATGTATTCTTTATCATCTAGATTTTAATACATAAAGGGTAATCAACATATCTAGTCTCATCTCTAAGTGTTCAATGACTATGAATAATGGAAGTATTAACAGCCAACGGCGAAGATGGTGCAATGGTTCGCCCATCCAATAATGACATTTGGCTTTAAAGGTATATGTATAATATCCTGTTTCATACGATTATACATTAATGCATCTTTTTAAAGAGCATTGGGATACATAATTTATTCCAGAGATATTGTCTTTGGAATCTGATATATCCTTACCTGTAAGCAATCGAAGAAAAATGAGATTCTATTTGAAGTAGTTCAAGTATAATTTTCCCATTCTCTACTTTTCATCGAATACCAAGCTTTTCTTGATCTATACCAGAAGACAATCAGCTGCAGGATGACACTAGGATAGCTAGAGAAACAGACAAATCATTAGCACCCTGCAGGCACAACACTAGCTTCCTATACGCATCTTCGAAATTAATGGTTGCCAATTGATATGATCGAAACATGCACTATACGCGAGTTGTATAATAAGGTGCACAAGCACAAAGTAAAAGCGATTCTGTCAGTTGTTCGAGAATTTTATAATTTGCACCGTCAAAATATTCAACATATTATTCAAATAATATTTGAACGTTAGTCTTTATTCGTCTTTTCACCATCCCACCCACTTTGCCTGTCTCTTTGGGAAGTCATTGCTTTAAGGTAAGCAACCAGTTCATTGCTCTCCATTCTCAAACGGTACTATAATAAATTCTGTTTGACGCTTTATAGTTCATACGAAATCTTCACACTTGTTCTACTAGTGATCCAGTGGCTCGTAATGTCATTTATACCTATTATTTTTGACACAAACCAATCACATCTCGACAGAAGTACGGATCGCTTGCTGTTGATTGTAAACATTATTTATTCGTGAGTAAAACTTGGTATTTTGATCTAATACCCCCTTTCTTCGAGCTTATTTTATATTGCTTTCCTAGATTCGAAATTATATCGAAGATTATTGTTTAGGCTTTGTATTAAGAACTCGATTAACGTCGAAGCCGAGCTTTTTTACTTAACTAAGAGCAGGTCAAAGGATTTGTCGCTTATCGAAATTTCTTCAGATAGCCCATGATGATGGGAATTTGGAGAGTTGGAAATCCCTTGATCCTTCAGGCCTTAATAATGGGGAAGACAACCGGCTTGCTAATACACGCATGCACCAGAGTCAAAATAAATTACCGTCGTATGCTGTCAGAAGCCGTTCGTTTTCTTCAGGCGCATTTGCAGCGGAATCGATTAAGACACGTGTTCTTCTAGCTACCATGTTCATACTTTTCATTCAAATCTTGATTCAAATCAGCTGTTATTGCTGTTGTTCTAAGCTTGATGCAGTGGTAACCTATGTTAGACTTGGAGTTAATAGTTCTCTGATGATGGTTTGGCTCTATGTCTCCATAAAACCCTAAGAAGCAGACACTAACATCTTATCGATCGCTTCGGCAGTTGGCTGCAGCAGTTGACAAAGCTTATTTTCTCGTTAGTGTTTCTTCCGAATCTCTGTGCAATCGAAGGTGAAACACCAGTTCTCAAGTTCTTGAAGGAGGCGAGATTGCTCTGCTTCGGGCATGATGTTGGTAATGATGGTCCTATGCTCGCAAGCGATGGGCATAGTAATCAAGTTACAGCTATCAATGCAGCATCTGACGTTAAGGAACTTTTCAATCGAGCGTGGCAGCGCCTGTGTTCATAGTGATCATGCTCTAATGCAAGTCCCTTAAAGGTTAGCTTAATGACGTTACAAACGCATAAACTATCTTTTGTTAAATGTTCTGCTACTGTGGTTTTAGAACGACCTCCTGAGCATCAGCTACTAACATCTGTGACGTTTTTGATGAGATAACAACTACAATACTCGAGTACGTACAACCAGGTAGAGTATGCATTCTACCTCGGCCTATATATACTGCTTCTAATATAGATTATGTACAATATATAACAAAACATAGGCCTAAGTACAAATATTATACTATTATTTTGGCAAAGGGTGTACATAATGTTTGGTAAAGAGTAAACAATGGGTTGACCTTTTAGGTTTTTATGTTTAAGAGAACAAAGTCCATCTAATTGAGAGCGTATCATATGAGCATGCCCGCTATTGCAGCAGATAACCAAGTGCTAAATGAACCGCAAATCAGAGCCGATATTACTAATTCAGTTACATCAGCTGATCTTGACGGTGCCAATGCGCTTAAAACACCCACTTGCATACCGACAGTGCCAAAGTTGGCGAAACCACATAAGGCATACGTTGCAATGATTTCTGATCTAGTTGACAATTGACCCTTGTAAATGCTCACCAATTGTTGATAGGCAAGAAATTCATTTGACCAAATCTTTACAGCCATTAATCTTCCCACAATTACTATGTCCTTAGTATCTGTTCCTATCAACCAGGCAATCTTCAACATCAAGTATACCATATATACACATTAGAAGATTAAAAGTAAAAAATTTGTCACTGTCTACTATGCCTACCGGTACAAATATATATCCTGTTATCACCTCGAGTGTTAGCTCATGGATGTTGACAAAATTCCCTAGCCACGTCAACAATGCATTTGTAGCTTGCAGCAAAGCTAATATTGCAATGATATTGGCCGCCAAAACAAGCGATATATGCATACCTATCTCGGCTCCAACGCCGATAGCATGCAATATACCGTGGGTTTGATTTTTCTTGTCGTCAGGAATGCTCAAGCCGTACTTCGAAACAGATTCTTCTGTTTCTGGATATCGTAATTTTGATACGGCAATAGAGCAAGGTATAGACATAATGCAGGAGGTCAGTAAGGCTTGGCCGGAAATACCTAATGCAATGTAACCGTATAACATGGATCCTGATATAGTAGCAAATCCACAAGTGAGGAGCTGATGGAATTCTGACTTGGTGAACTTAACAATAAGAGGCCGCAGCAACAAAGCATTTTCACAAGCACCTAAGAATGGCTTTGAAGAGACATCATAGCTATTTAGTGGGCACTTGCAATTATGCGTGCCTTGAAAGTTCAACAATCAAAAATTTACAAGTACTCACGGTGGATGCAGCAACAATGGATTCGACACCAGAAACTCCCAGAATAGCTATAAACACTACGGCTACTTTTGATAAAACCCATTGTATTGTTCCCAAATGGTATAAAATTTGCACTGTTGATGCGAAAAATACCATAGCTGGGATCACGTTCAGGGCAAATGTATTTGCGTCAATGGCTGCCTTTCCAAACAGAAATTCTGCCCCAAACAGAGCTTTATCCAAGTAGCCCCCAGCAAAAACTGCTATCCATTGGAATAAATCATGGCCTACAGATGTTTTAAATACAAAAAAACCAACGAAAAACTGCAACATAAAGGCTGTGATAATCGTATTCCAGTTGATGGCTTTGCGATGCTATTTTTTCACATATTTTGTACGGTTACAAGGAATCAAACAATTAGACTTTGAGGCTAAATCATTAAATTCCTTTGTTTTTTTGCAGCATCTTACTTTTGATGTGGCATAAATACTGCAGAGAATTACCAAAACACCTAAACACGGAATGAGTCTTTGTACTCTTTTCGACTCTTCTTTTTCAGGCATAGCGAACACTATTGCCACAATGACTGCAACGACAATGCATCCATATACACATGTACGTACTTTGCTTGGTGCGCTCTCATGAAGGCGTGAGCAAATGACTGATGCTGCTCTATCCCACAGTTGCTTAATGATAGGTATAGAAACATGCTTGAATAAAAGATAGAGTGATATGTAGAGGTAAATGATACCTAATACGAGAAGCTCTTGATTGTATCCCTTCTTGATCTGTAAAGAATAAGCAGCGCACAAGAAACCAGTTAACAGTAGCCATATGATCAAGCTAAATTGTTTTTAGTGTTGAGCATCAGTATACACGATGATTATTGCTGCAGACTTATGTTTGATCACCTAAGTTTCTTATCCGTACTATAAAATGATGGAAACCTAACTGTATATATGCTCTGTATTGATGGACTAGGCGTTTTGCTTTGCTCTGCTTTTTATGACCATCAGCTTCTTCAAGTAAAATAGGCGGTCTTCCTGCAAATGAGCCATTATCACTACTAGCTTCAACATGGGAAACCTCGTAATGATATTGTTCTCTTCTATCAGAAGAAGTCCCGTACTGTTTTTCTGATGATATTGTGTCGTTGTTTCTACTATCCATCATTGCTATAGTAGTTCGATGGTCATCTTCGTTAGGAGTTGCATCACTCATCTGATAACAGGAATAAAACGAGTCCGTATTGGAAGACGCAGGTGGAAAAAAATAAAGGGAACAAAGCTGTTTGAAACCTCATTTATTCATTTTTATTTTTATATTGTAAATCACCAGTTGTGCGTGTGCTGCATGTAAATCATTGCAAGCCTTGACTGCGTTATCTCGCACTCCACTTTACTTCCAAGGTCAGACTTCTGCCCTTTTTATGAAAACCAATGGTGTTTTTAGCGCTATGATCAACTGCCTTTCAGTAATCCATGAATGCATAAATTCAATAGATACGATCTGTGATGTCCTTAATGAGGTTGATCAAACGCATCAGTGATTTGTTACCACTTCATTTGAGTACCTTACTTTTTGATGCAGTACTATGATTCATGCATCTATAAATAAATACATATATATATATATATATGCATTTAATTTGAAAAAAGGGACTTTGTTACTTAGATCCGCGTATTTCTATTTCAGTATGTTCGTCCAGGTTTCTTGGTCTTGCGCCATTACAGTCTTAACAATATATGTTGTCATCCTGATTCACAGCTTCATTCCTGACAATCTGGAGTTAGGGCTTGATATACTGGATGTAGCCAAAGAACGAGTACATGATATTGTGGGAAAGGTGCCTTCCATCCATCAAGGTTAGAATCATATCGCAGAAAGGACCAACAACGCAATTGACATGAAGCGCCGTCATTCATATTGTACTATTGCAATATTTTTTAGCGTTCATGATGCATTTTGATTCACTATGTATGAAATTAATAAAGACTTTGACGTAACATAATAGTAATTTAAACTCTTCATAACCTTTATTTTAAAATTGGGGATGGGAGGGCAATAGCTGTTGAAGTTGCTTGCCTCCTTTTTAAAACTTATAGATTTCCTTGACTTTATTGAAGGAATTACAAAAAGACAAAGGGATAGTGTGGACGTATGCACGATCTACCTCGAGGTTGATTAGAGTTAATGGTCCCCAATTTTCTCAAAAAAGAAACAAAAAAAACTTTAATCTATATGGACACGGTAGCGATTTCTGAATGTTTACTCTATATTGCTGTCCAAAAAGGAAACAGCAGTGAAAAGTGGGATACAATTATTCCACAATTTGTCAGTAGTAGTAAGATTAAGCATATAATAAATAGTAATGGTAATAGTAATAGCAGTGTAAGGTAATTTGTGTATCTTTCTCCGGAAATATGGGTCAAGTATAGTTGATAAAACGAAATATATAGGTATAAAGGGCAAAAAAAGAGAAACTAGCGAATAAAATTGATACAACAACTAATTATTTCTTAAAATTATTGACACGCCATTAATGAGTTGAAATGTAAATAAACTTGTAAATATACGTGTAAGGTTATAGTTGAGAGAGGAACAAGAGAAGCATAGGTAGGACCTACAAATAAGAAAGAAAAAAAAGGGTCCATTCATGCTGCTCAGGATCAACAAGGAGTCCAAAACTGTACATGGTCTATCAAACAAAGGATGTTGATGTTCTTGCGGAATTGATGGTTGAAATAGTAATAGAGGATTCCGTTGAGCTGGATATTCTTTCTGCTGCCAAGTTAGAATCTGTTATAATAGTGCTACTATTATTAACATTTTCTCCTTGAAAAGCTGTTGCTATCTTTTCTGACCCTATTCCACAACTCTGCAAAACCATGGACAATGTACCCATCCTTTATCAAAAATTATGAAAAAAAAAAATGAATTAAATTGAACTGAGCACGAAAAAAATCCATGCTTGTTCGAGAAACCATCCTCTTCCTACCTGGCCAGGAACACTTGTAATTTTAGTCGAGTCGACTCTTGATAAAGTTCGTGTAGTGAACGATGTTTATATGCGCCAGCGCGTAAGTGACGAACAAAATCGTAGTATTCAATGACAGCCATTAATCGATCCCGACAGTAACGGTCGATACAAGCCCATTCATCAAAGTAAGAGATTCTAAATTTGTATTTCAATGTTTCAGCTCTTTTTTTTGGGTCTTTTATCTTTCTACCACACGCTTGGCAGCCAAAGAAGATGGACGAGGTGGTGAATCTTTCCCAAAGCGTAGCTGTGGCTTCCTCTTTGACTTGCCGTGATTCTTGTTCTGAAAAGAAGCTCTCAGAGCACTCTTCCACGAAGCATGATTTTACCAAAATAGCATCTATAATCTTTTTACTGGTCATTCTAGGATTGGGTCCGAATCGAAGGCAGGGCTCAATATCATCTCGTAAGCAACACTTCATATATTTCAAGGAATGCAGTTTTCTAAGTTGTGTCTTTTTTGACAGCTGTATAAAATCATTGAACTCCATCAGAGCTGAATCATCTTCAATGACATCTATATGTAATCCGATATCTATTCCGTGCATTAAGCTTGTCACTAGCTGTGCTCGGGTAAGTAAGTTTATCGAACCCTTACTTTCCATTGCTGCAATATTATTATTCTCTGATATATTAGAAAAGGAAGACTTGTGTTGCTGTTGTTGTTGTTGCTGTTGTTGTTGCTCATCCATTTTCATCCTTATTACTTTCAATTGATCCTCTGCTACAGATAATTGCAGTTTATTTGATTTCAGATCAGATTCCAACTCTTCGTTTTTCTTCAGGATTAACTTTTGCTCGCTCTTCTCTAAAGATATCATCGCATTAGCCTCTTCGAACAAGCGCTGGGTAAGCTCTTCAATTTCTCTTTTTACATTTTCCTTTGATCGTTGAATATCTTCCAGTTGGTTTGTTTCGTCACTATATTTAGTTTTTAAGACCATGATATCATGCTTTAATGATTCAATGTTGATGACTGCTGTTTGGATATTCTGTTCCTTCTCTTTAATTGTCATTGCTAAAGCTGAAGATTCCTTATCCAGCTCGCTACGTCTGATAAGCAATGAATCTCTTTCAGATTTAAGCGTTTTGAGCTGAGTTTCTGTTGTACGAAGGTCGGATAGAAGTTGTTTGAATGAAGTCTGATGACATTCTGCACATGTTAATTTTGAATCCAGTAGTTCGTTACAGGCACATATAGAAGGTAGTGCGTCAAGCTGAATAGATGATATAATGGGGCTATTCGTGGTAGTTGTACTTGCACTGTCTATTTCAAATGTTTTTTCATATACAACCATCGGTGGTTTGTCTATAATATCTTTCTCGTTGTACTCATTCGAAATGACCTTGTAGCAGTTGGTAGTTACAGTAGTAGTGGCCATTAAGAACTATTAAGGACCTAAAAAAACAGTAATAACCGAGAAAAAAGAGTGGATAAAAGTAGAAAAGGACAAAGGCAGTTATAATAAGGATGTGCTGTGGGGTGAAAGGGGACTTTTTTTTTCTTGATGCTTTTTCTCTGCACCACCTGAACTTTAGCCCTGCCTTGCTGCTTTGCTGTAACCATTTAATCCCATTTGAATTAAAACTATATTTCTTAAAGTGCTAGAACTATAAATTGAAATCTGTTACTTGACACAGGAAAAAGCAGCATACTCAAATAAACATTGCCCCTTTTTCGGATTTACATTTTGATTTGAGCTCTACCGTTTTGTTGATTAAAATTCAAATGTTGGTTTTGCAGAGAATCGACAGGGAATTGTCTATAGTGATTCAAGTCAATACTCATGGACTATTTCAAGCTGTACCACGTGATTGATAATCAGTGATCATCATTGTCTTCATTAAATCCTAAACCAACCGGTCAGCAGGCTTTTTCTTTATGCTTTTTTTCAATATTATGAAATTATGCTGATGTCTTCACATATGGATGGCATAGTAGCACAGTGATAGAAGCTTCCATCAATTGGCCTTTTATGAGACGACGGGTTTTCATAATAATTTTTGACTCGTGGTATACAAACTGACACTCAGATGAATGCTTAATAACACGCGACATAATTTTGCATAATAAGCACATTTTCATTCGAAACGACACTGTATACATCTGTTCTGAATATTTCCATGGGCTATTGTACTCAGGCTCATTCTTCACCGATAGACAATACAGCCCAAAATAGATAATGTGTTATTGTCTTTGCACATTCTCTTTATTCCCATAAATTTGCCATGACAAAATCAATGGAATACATTATTAAATGTGATCGTAAGCATTGAACCGTCGAGAAATCTGAACGTAGGTGCTATTATTACATGGGAACTCGTTATAAACTTCGTCTTCTGGCAGAACATAGGGTGCTTTAAGCTTCCATCAAGTCATGGGGATTCATTTAATCAGAGCTACACTCAACGTCAACGGCCAAGCCATTCTCTTCTGGGTATGCGTCATGGATGCTGATAAAGTAAAAAATGTCTCGTCTAATACTAATAAGTTTATTCACCAATTATCATCACCAAAGCTGAACGATATGATGGCGCTTTCCTTTGTTTCTGCTGGTCTCATCCGAAATATTTCTCAGATTCTTTCGAGACGTAAGAAGTAGAAGCAACTGTACATAACTATAACGAGAGTCGTCAAGATTGACGAGACTGCGATGCAGAGGTATATGACATTGGAATTGTCCCTTACGTTTTGTTACTGCCACTGTCACACGACTGTCAACTGCTCAAGCATTAGTGTTAAAGGTAGATAAGAATTGTCATTACAAGCTTTGTTGACTATCATCAGAGTAACTCGCCTACTCAGAGACTGAAAGCACAAACGTCGAATAATAGATAGATGTTCTAAATTGCAACGTTCATTAACCATGAAGGAAAAGAGCAAAGCTCTGTTGCTGTCCCTTTGCTCTTTTTTAAATGATAACGACTATCTTTTCCATTGTAAAGTTATCACGAGGCTGCGCTTCCAAAATTGCAAGTTCAAACTGTTTGAAGAAGTTTATGCTTCTATTGGTAAAATGGTTTTTCAAAAGTAGTAAAACTGTCTTGCTGATACTACAGTATACTGAGATCTAGCTACTGCCGTTGAAACTGTTCTATCAGAAGGGCGAAAGAAAGTAAAAGGCCTTTTTTGTTAAGCATATACCATGCTTTTCTCTAGCTACTGTGAGATATTTAAATCTCAGCTTTTTTTTTTTTTTTTTTTGGGTTGCAGAAGAGCAAACACCAAAACCAAAAAACTTTTCAGTTTCTTTTTGGTGTTCTTTTCTTCCTGGCATACCTGATCAGACAATTTTTTTATTCTTTTCTTTTTGTTGCAAACAGTACCTTTTCTTATCATTTTCGTTAATTTTGTAAAAGAATAATATGGACGTAGCTCAACTTCTTACGCACACATTAGTTAATGGTAAACGGGATGAGAAACAATTATGGAATAATGTAGTCGTGATTTTGTTCAACTTTACTTTTTTTGTTTACGTTCTCAATAGATCGTGCTTTACGTGAAGAAGCTACTCAAAAGTTAGAATTACTCGCACAAGAAAACTACGTAAGGATGCACCTTTTCTAAAAACACACCCAACAGTCTGTTGCATGAGGAATAAACCATTCAACTCTTTTTTTATACATCTTGGCAGGCAAATTATGTTGTAAATCTATGTCAGATTCTTGTTAGCGAGGAGGCAGATCCTTCCATTAGAATGGCTTCCGGGTTAGCTTTGAAGAATAGTTTGACAGCAAAGGTATCTTATTATTCATAGTGTTTTGTTCTTTAAGCAGGGAATTGTAACCATTTGTTTTGATTTCATTACTCTTTTAGGATTATACGCGTAGAGAGGAATTAGCTCAACGATGGGCAGAAATTGCTGAAGATGTTCGTGGTCAAATCAAACAAGGGGTATGTTTTGTTTTCTGATCGTTTTCACACTGATTTCTTAGCTAATGGGGACTTGTAACCATGTGGTACTGTTGATTCTCTGATTAGGTTCTTCAAGCTTTGAACACACCCAAGAAGCCCGTTGGTAACATTGCAGCTCAGGTAACATTACTATTCCAAGCAAAGCATCTACCTCAATCTTGCTTAATGTATTGACTATTATTGACTTTAACTGTTATCTAAATGTTTAGGTCGTTGCAGCCATTGCTGATATTGAGTTACCCTTGGGTCTCTGGAATGATCTCATCGGTATAATGCTCAACAATATCAGAGGAGACAATGCTATTTTAAAGCAAGCTACTTTGCAAGCCCTCGGTTATGTTTGCGAAACAACAGTAAGTTATTCAGATGCTGTTGATTGAAAATGGTGTTTCGAGGCTAAAAGCTAAAGTTTCTTATTTTACGACTCATCATTACTACTAGGACCCTAATATTTTGTCAACTCAATCCGATGGTATTTTAACTGCAGTTATTCAAGGCGCACAGAAGGATGAACCTGAGTATGTTTTTTCTTGATGATATAGGACAATAGGCTGAAAGAAAAAAAGAAAAAGATAGATGAATCAGAGGCATTTGTGTACATAGGTTTCTAACTAGATTTCCATTATTTCATTAGCCAAGATGTCCGTTTGGCTGCTATTACTGCTTTGACCAACTCTCTCGACTTTATCAAAAATAATTTCGAGCGCGAGGTAAAACTTGGATTGAAGATGATAGCGGATCAATCGTACTAAAAAACTCAAACTATATTATTAGGGTGAAAGGAACTTTATTATGCAAGTTGTCTGTGAAGCTACTCAAAGTCAGTCTAGCGCTCTCCAAGTTGCTGCTTTCCAATGTCTTGTCCGTATCATGCAAACTTACTATGACAAAATGCAGTTATATATGGAAAAAGCTTTGTTCGGCGTAAGTTGTTGAAGAGTAAAAAGGTCTATTCGTAATTTGGACGCTTGTGATAATAGCTTACACCCTTTTTTTTATCGTTGGTTTAGCTCACTGTCACGGGTATGAATAGTGAAGACGAACAAGTTGCTTTGCAAGCTATTGAATTCTGGTCTACCGTTTGTGACGAAGAGATTGAATTGAAGGAAGAAATGATTGAGGTAAATATCACATGTCTTTGCGTGTTGAATTTTCGAATGTTGTCAATCAAACAATTTTATTTCTTCTGTAGGCTGCTACTGTTAACGAAGAACCTGAACGTAAAAGCTACCATTTTGCTGAATTAGCCCTTCCTGATATTATCCCTGTTCTCTTATGGTTATTAACTAAACAAGAAGAGGATTATGATGAAGATGAATGGACAGTCTCCATGGCCGCTGCCACTTGTCTATCGTTACTGGCTCAAACTGCTGGTAATGGTATTGTACAGCATGTTGTTCCTTTCATTGAAGCTAATATACAAAGTGAAAATTGGAGACAACGTGAAGCTGCTGTCATGGCATTCGGTTCCATTTTAGATGGACCAGATCCTAACCTTTTGACACCCTTGGTTCAACAGGTTGGTTTCATTTTTCAGGACACTCAATGCAAAACTATGATATGTTGGATTTCTGACCTGATACGTTTTTGTCATCATTTTTAGGCTTTACCAACTCTTATTCAGATGATGAAGGATCCCATTGTTCATGTTAAGGATACTGTTGCCTGGACTCTTGGTCGTATCTGTGAATTGCTTATGCACTGTATTAACCTCGAGCTTCATTTGAATGATTTAATTTCTGTGTTGGTATTCGGTCTACAAGATAGTCCCCGTATTGTTGGTAACTGCTGCTGGGTAAGTTGGAATAATGCTCAATGTATGCCATTTGCTTAAGGCAATCCAGCTCATAGTTTTCCTTTTATCTCTATTTTTAACAGTCTTTGATGAACCTAGCGGAGCAATTAAACGCAGGTGACGATTCCGCCGTTACATCTCCATTGTCCGCGTACTTTGATGGTATCATCACCGCTTTATTGCAATTTACTGAAAGATCTGATAACGAAGCCAACTGTAGAACCTCGGCCTATGAAGCTATTTCAACACTCTGTATATGCTCTGCCAATGATTCTATTAACACTGTTGAAAGAACTGTTTTAACTGTGATTGATCGTTTAGAAGCCACCATGGCCATGGAAAGTCAAATCCTCGATGCTGATGATAGAGCCAACCACTCTGAATTACAATCCAGTTTATTAGGTGTTTTGACCAACTGTGTGCGTCGGCTCTCCAGAGATATCAGTCAAATCGCTGATCGTATTATGACTGTTGTTCTTCAATTATTAAACACACAATCCAAGCAAGCCACTACAACCGAAGATGCATTCTTAGCCATTGGTGCCATGACCACTGCTTTGGAAAGTGACTTCAATCGATATGCAGAGCCTTTCATGCCCATCCTTTGCAACGCTTTGCAAAACCCTTCAGAATATCAGTTGTGCTTCATCGCCGTCGGCATCATTGGCGATATTTGCCGTGCACTCGGTAAAGAAGCTACACCGTACTGTAACAACTTGATGCAACTGCTGGTCACCAATTTGCAATCCCCTGTTCTTCACCGTACAGTCAAGCCTGCTATCCTTTCATGCTTTGGTGATATCGCTCTAGCTATCGGAGATGGTTTTGCTGGTTATTTAGAAGTGGTGATGTTAGTCTTACAACAAGCTGGTAGTATGCGTGCAGACAGGGACAATTATGAAATGGTCGAATATGTAAATACATTGTACGAAGGTTGTGTTGAAGCTTATGTGGGTATTGTACAAGGTTTAAGCGGCAGTCCACAAGGTAAAGCAAATGTAGAAATATCAAAAGCCATTGAATCTGAACTAACTTTTTCAAATTTTCTGTCATCAACAGCACAATTATTGCTACCATATTTACCTCATGTCTTTGAATTCGTACGTCTAATTGCTATTGATCCCAGCCGAACTGATTCCCTTGTTAGATCTATCATTGGTTTATTAGGGTAAGTTGCTCGAAAGTTAGGGATGGATGTCTCTGAACTGAGCTGATTTGTAATCGGTTTTCTATAGTGATCTTGCAGAGACATTTGGTGGCCAAATTAAACCTCTCCTTCAACCCGAGTGGATTTTGATCTTATTACGTGAAGCTAGAACAAGCCGTCATTACCAACAAAGCACAAAAGAAACATCTCGTTGGGCAAAGGAGGTAAGATTTCATGAATTCAATGGTATTCCTTTCTAGAAGAGAATTGAAACTCAAATTCATATCCATCCTTTTTCTTAAAACTGTAGATGATTAGACGTGCATGTCAATAATTGTGAATACTTTATCGTTAATTTGCCTAACTTTATATAATATTTTTTTTCCGACCATCTTTTGTAAAATTGCCTTATTTCCCTTTTTTATACATTTGAAGCTCTTACCAAGGGACGTTGCTGTCTATAGCAGGAAGGATCCAAAGAGAACTTTTTTATTACAACCTCCCATTTTACTTACTGTTCAACCGGTAACCACACACTTACACACATATACACACACACATTCACACACACACACACCCACACTAACACACATATATACACACACACTATTCAAATAAACATCCCTCCCCTTTTGACTTCCCCCTTCCCTTATTTCCATACTTTTCCCCCCACTACATCCCCTTAGCCTTTTTCGTTTATTTTTCAAGGAATAAAATAAATATCCCCCAGACCTAGTACACCCCTTCATGACACATGACACAGTTTTGACATTTTACTATTACTCTTCTAACACTTATTTAATGCCTTTTGTTTTCATGTCAAGTAACCGGGAAAAAATGTAAATATATGTTTTTCTTTTTTGCACGCAGAAGCAGTATATAGTTGGTTCTTTTTCATAAAACACTTGAGTCATGAAGGAGGAGAGATATATAACTTATTAGTGAAGTTGAGCTTTGATAAAGACTTCAAATACTTGAGGGTTTATGTCCCTTCTAAATCGACGGTTATCTTTGATTTACATAGGCATCTTTCAAATTATAGTCGTCCAAAAAGTTAAAAATAGCAGTTTTAATGGTACTACATGTATAAATAAAAGATTGATATAGCCATTATAAGAATCATATAGGTATCGATTTGGTATTATGAAAGATGCCACTTTTGACACAGTGACGCGTGCAATTTAGTTTTAGAAAAGGGCTATATCAATTATAAATAAAGAAAATGGGAGTCATCTTCGTAAGGAGAGCTTTGTCCATCAAGTGGTTAAATGATGAGGAGGTATTTGAGGTCTAAATATGTCGTTGGACGGTGTTGATATCGCTGTGTTATTGTTATTACACTCTTTATTTTTGTTCGACGGCATCAGCTCTTCTTCCGAAGAAGCGAAAGGATTTTCAATGGAAACAGTTGGCTTTTCATAATATTCCTGTCCATTGTGCTGAGTTAACGACGGTGCATAATTATTACAATGTTCGGATTCTGGCATGTTTATTCTGATGTCTAAATGTTGCTGGTCCTCAATGGTCGTTTGCCGTTTTTCTATGTCTACATTCTTTTCATCCATACCAATGTTAGCAGCCAACTCTGTGCCGATGCCAGCACGAGTTCCCCATCCAACTTCGTGTAAAGTGAACAATGCGTATATCTTCATAACAGCAAAGTAATAGTTAAATACTAACCAGCAAGGTAGAACCCAGATATCTTGAGGCCGTTTCAAAAAGTGAGGAATGAGTTTGATGAATCTTGTGAATAGAAGCCAACCAATGTAAGAAACAGCGATATTCCATCCAGGCAATGGAGGGTTTGTGGGGCCTGCATGTTGTTCTTGCAAAGAGGCAAATACACCTACCAGAATAGGGCCTGATAAAAGTGTAATGGGATTGAACATTTTATCCAACATGGTGAATGCAACATAGGGATGTCTTCGCCAAATATAACGCTCTGTAAAAAGTGATCTAAAATCAGAACGCCAAGTATTACGCGTCCAACGAAGTACTTGTTTCAAGAATCGCCAATTGTTTTTGAACGTAGAGTAGAGTTCAGCTTCTTTACAAATCTGAGCATAAGTGTTCCATCCATGCGAGACCATCCAACGTGTCAGAAATTTGTCATCACCTGAGTTGAGTGGATATTTGCCTAGCCAGAGATCATTTGTAAAACAGTATTGGAAAGCTGGATCCTTAAGGATTAAAGTACGGTAAGCGGCTGTGCGTCCTGATAAACAACAAATGCCACCATCAATGTGTGTTGAAGCTGCAATTTCAATGTTACGGCTGGTTAACCGGAAACCTGCTAATATCTCCCATAACGTTTGGCGACCATTGGGGTCAACAGCATGCACCGTTTGACTGGTGCCAACGCCTCCCATTTTCAAATCCTCAAAACAAGCCAAGATATAATCAAGCATGGTAGGTTTCCAGATAGCATCGTCGTCAGCAAATACAATGATTTCTGTTGTGGTCGCATTAATACCAGCGACCATCTGTAGCCGCTTATTGGCCTTTGGTACTGTTAATACACGGATCTTTTCTGGATCGACACTGTCTGCAAGCTCCTGTAGTGGTTCTTTCATGTTGGTCTCTGTGATGATGATGATTTCCTTAGGATGACATGCTAACCAACTTTTAGCAGCAATTCTGAATTCTTCGCCGGCATCGATAGTTGGCACAATAATAGTAACATCTCTTTCTGCTCTATACGTCGGATTGGCTTTGGGACTCCTTGGTTTATAGATTAGCCAAGCTATCACTTTGATTAGGAACCATAAGTACCGATAAAACCCAATGATACCAAATGGTAAATAGAAAGGCAACAAGCCCACATCATCCGTCAGATAGAGCATGTATTCGTAGTGAATGCAGTAAAAATTGTTTTAAGAAATAGGAAAGAAAAGATATAACAATCTTGAATAGAAGCCGCACTAAAAATAGCTGGAAAAGAGCAAGTAACTATATACAATAACTGTGTCCAGAGAAGCGGAAACCCCTTTCTTTCAGGTTTGAATCAACAGGATGCCGACTTTTTTCTTTTTATATTTTTGAAGCATAAATAAACATTTTAAGGTGTCCCTATCCAATCAATGTCAGCAGTGTGCTCAATTTATTGGCTAACAAATTTAATTGATGCCATTTTTGCTACAAGTGCATCTTCTTCCTCTTCGAGCTTTTCGTCAATTCTTTTGTCCTGTGCCTTTTTGATTTCTTTTCTTTGCCCTTCACTTTTTGGCCTCCGCCTCGGCCTCAGATCCACAGCTTTTCCTAATTCGCCGTCGAAAGAGAAGTAAATCACTTCATATACATTGTTGCTCTTATCGTTCTCTAGCGTATTATAGGGTTGCTCGCGGATGAAATTTGAGACGTTGCTTTGAAATTGCAATAACTTTAAATAATTCATAATATGCAAAAGCTCTGAATCGCCGCTCGAAATGAAAGTTGGAGATGTATGTTCAAATTCGCTTGGATGAACGCAGTTGTAGGGTTGAAGTTGTGCTTTCTTTGGCGAATCATCCAAAAGAATCGTATTCGTCTGATCAAAATGTTGCTCCGGGTGCTGTTCGTCAAAGTACTTCCAGACTTTGTCCAAATCTTTGATAGTAGCAACTTTACGGTTATAGTCCTTTTGAGTAAGACCGAATTTAGTTCGATCCCATATCACTTTGATCTTTTCCTGGTTGGCTCCAAATAATCGGCACATATTACGAACTGAGTGCGGTTGAGCACTTGACCATAACATGACGTAAAAGTTTTCAAAGATATACTCAAAGAACTGTTTACTATAAGGTCGAACATACATGGATCGATTTTTACGATTTCGGGACACCAGCGTTCCATTGAGATCTAAGATTAGCAATTGTTGTTGTTTTTGTGCCTTGTTCAACTTAACAGACGGGATAGCGGCCCTTTCGAGGTAAGCTTTCGTTGGTTTTGATATTAAATTGCTCATTTACTTTCTCCTGGATAGCTTATCTATTGTTATTAATTGTGGCTTTGTCTGATATTGATAGTGTAAACGTTCTTACACACAACTAGAAAATCGTAGTTTAGAGAAAACAATTCCATTCAGTTGACCTTTTTCATTTTTAGCAGGCGATGGAAATTTAGGGGTGCAAAGCGCGATCGACAGTCTCAGTGTTCCGAATCCGATTTGAAATTGAATGCATTTGATTTCTTTAATTACTTTTCCTTTTCTTTGAAAGATTATCTACGATGGAGGAATTATGCTCAAAATACAAGGAAAAATTAGTCAACCTTTTAACAAGTATAGGATTCATTTGCTGGCCGGGAAATTTGATATCTTTAATTAAACAGCTTGATTATCAATTTTGTCGGATCAAGAAAAGATAAATTTGGGCCTTAAGAATACTACATTTTACCGATTATTCGTTTTCTATTTGATTTTAAATTGAATTTCATGATTTTCTATCAGGGAAGTGGCTGTCTTATCCCTCATTAAAGATCAAAAAGGTTAGCATATCTTATTAAAATCTATAGATTTTCCATGACAATTGCGTATAATGTCACAGTAGATTGTCAGTTATCAATTTGCTTATTAGCATCAATTAGATCCCAGTTGTTTTATCATCGGATGGCGTATTTCAATCAAGTATGTGTCACAGCCCCTTTTATTTTCATTGGGGCGTTTCGACGTAAATGTCAGCGAGAGGTACTTGGTTGTCGACTATTTCCATAGAGAGGCGTAATGCTTAACTTATGTAATAGCTCGAGCTACTTTGAAATGCTTTCCTCTGTAGACATCAATAACCAACTCGTACAATATGTGGAGCTATAAATGTCCATTTGCTTGAATCACGTGAGCTAGGAAGAAAGACACAGAAGAATTAATAAGGGCAAGCGGACTGATCTTCTTCAAATGTTTCATTAATTTTGTTTGTTTACACTTCTTTCACAATAATATCCCCACTTTACACAACTCGGGGCAAAGCGACAATGCCTGTAACAAACTGGAAGAATAATGCTGGATTTATCATATCTTGGTATTTTCTATCGACCGCTCTATCATTGTACAATAAAGCCCTTTTGAGTACTGAGAATCATGGATTAAACCTGCCTTTGTTAATGAGTGCAATCCATTCTGGAGTACATACAGTTATTACAAGAACACTGATAAGCAAACGCGGCATACAAGGACCACAATTAGTATTCAATAAAGGCTGCATTGTGAACATTGTAAGTAATGCTGAAATATTTATCATTCTCATTCTGGCCAAGAAATAGAGAACCTCAATTGCTCCGAAAGATATTTGTAGTCTAGCAGCTGTCGCAGAGATCAGTCTGTCGAATGCGTCGCTTGTACGCATAAGTTTATCTTTCTATACTATGGTTAAATCAAGTACGCCCGTTTGGGTACTTGTGTTTTCATTTTTATTCGGCTTACAAAAGCTCAACCGACAACTTCTTCTCAGCATACTACTCATTATTGTGGGCGTCTACTTAACAATTGATGGAGAGTGTGGTATTCGCCAGTTTTAATTATGAAGTAAAAGGTAAAGAATAACACAAGAGAAAATAAACACGAAAGCTTAACGAAATCAAACCACCGTCTTTATTTCTCTTTCAAAAACAAACTAAAGAAAAAGAAAAGAAAACTAAAATTACTGCTATTAATAAAGACTTATTGTGTTTGCTGTCTACGAAATGATTGTATCGGGATCTATAGCTGACACTGATGTATTATGGTCAAATAATACTCAGTGAATCAGAGGTTTCCGTAAAAGAATAGGTCTTCCCTTTAGGTGGATAATTACTCGTCCATCCCAGAGCGGATTGATTTGTAATGTGCTATCCTGGCAGATCCAGGGTGATCATGCAGCTACATCTATAATCCAATATCTATCGGCCACCAGTTGTGTAGCTCAGATACTGTGGGAATGATTATAGATGTTGGCTAGGAAGAGATATTCGTGCGTGGTGTTCTTTTGATTGCGTGAACAGTTATTGTATTAATAAAGAGTGATTGAGCCTTTTTTATCTCCAACCATACTTTATTTCCAGAACAGGGAGCAGTACCGTGACCTACTATGTTTTGGTTGTTGAATCAATATATCCTACGAGTACATATACCAATCCTGCTATATACCTGAATGTCATATAGCCATAGATAATCTAAGTAAAATATATTTCATAAAGATAACCTGTTCAAGTCTTATGTGAGGTAGCTAATCTCACATAAGAATTATCCTTAATCCATATTCTTTTCTTATCTTATCTTTATTTGTTATACATTTGATCTAAGGTTCAAATGTATGCAATCGAACACACCGCTTACCAAACGGGAACGAAGATATGAGCAGTACTCATATCTGAGATCAAGTTTTATTTTACATTTCGTTAGACGTTTTGAGTGATGATTTACTCATATAATATTGCCATCGTGCCTCAAATACGACAGAGAGTCCAATTTTGATTTTGAAGGAGTTACATTTGTTATATTAGCAGCTGTTGCATCTGGTTTGAGGTGGACACTGCTACAACTATTGCTGAAGAAAAGTACAATCAAGAGCTCTGCCAGACGACAGCATTGTCTCAGCCCTCTAGACACAATGTATTACATGAGCCCTGTGATGTTTGTCACAATGTTATGTTTGAGTTTGCACATTGAAAGACCACTGGACGTCTTTCGAGCGGCTGTTCCAGATCAAACTCCACTCCTAATTTTTTTGTCCAGATCTTTGTTGATTATGGCCGTTGGAGGGATATTAGGTTAGTCTCCGCCTATCAACATAACTACCTAAATGTATAGATGCATATGTATATACTACTATACTATGTATCTGTCAATTTGGATGGTCGAAGCTCACATTGGATTTTCAAATCATTTTTGTATTAGCATTTTTAATGACCCTATCCGAGATTTATTTGGTTGATGGAACAAGTACAATAACGTTGAGTCTGACTGGAATCAGTAAAGAGATTTTGATTATCAGCTTATCTGTAGTGATTTACGGAGATGCTCTTACGACGAAGACGTGCTTGGGGTAGGGCTGCCGTTTTTAAACCTTTATAATCAATTTACATCATGTCAATGCTGTCAGGAAATGCTACTAATAGAGAGTATACCCCTTTCTTTTTTTTGCTCCCGGAACTTATAACCATATTCATTTTGATAGGATATTGATATCGATTATAGGCATATTTCGTTATAATTACTCCAAGCACAGTAGCATTTCTGAAAGACAAGGAGTAACAATTGAAGACATTCAGTTCAACAAAGAGCTTTGAATAAAGTGACTGGGTATAGTACTTTAGCTTGGCTTTCATTTGCCGTCAATTGTCCTCTACTTTATCTGTATTTCGTCAACACCAAAATAATAGCTGTTATATGTTAACCAGTAATGAGACTATAGTATGTACGAAAAAATTCTTAGATAACTGATGAGTTATTTTAAACTTACCGAAATATTGTAACCCCTCTTGACCGAGTTAAAACTAGGCACATACATAAGGCTGTAGACAGAGTTTTAATATGTAGATTCTAGGTTATACGGCGACCTTTTAGAATAAAATGAAATCTACTGAGGACTCACATCCTTTCTTTTCCCTCCTCTGACGTCCTTTAAGTTACATAGCTTCGGCAACGGAATGAATTCAAATACATACACATTGCACAAGAAAAAAGAAAAAAGAATCTTTCTGTGAAAGAATAGAATAATCAAAGGATCCACCCTTGGTCGACATTTAATAAATAGAAATATTAAACAGGAAAAGCATGATATTCAAACATTCTGGGTCAAATCTTGTTAATCGGTTGGCAAGTGTTCGATGCTGAGATCGAAGACAGTTATAACATTTTAACAAATACGCCCACTACAAAGCAATATCAACATATAATAGTAGATGTGGATCAGATATGTCATGAAAAATTCAGGACGTCAAGCAATATCTTCTACAGATCGTGGTTGCTCAAAAAGAAAGCAATTGTTTGCCATAAAAGAAGCAAAAATATATTTTGGTTGTAGACTATCGATAGCTGAACGATTCTATTTCCCAACTCCTTTTTTTGGAAGTGCTGCTTCGTTAATATCAGCTTTAGCTCATTAAGCTCTGCTTGTAAAAGGTTATTTTAACCGAATAAAGATCATATATAGGTGTCCAAATTTGAAAATTTTGGCTTCGAAGAATTGAATAAGATCAGTGAGACTTCAAAGGTTATAATCTTACATGAAGAGGTAAAGATAGAGAAAAACCAAAACATATAAAAAAAAAAAGGAAATGTAAAGTTTCGAGAACAATCAGCTCTAACCAGGTTTGAAATTCAATATTACACTATAACCGGTTTTTGGTTTTGTTTAATAGATGCTTCTTCATTATCATTTCGCAACGTCACCTCGATCTTAACCGGAGTAGTTCGATAAAGGTGAGCCGGTCCTACACCGATTTGTCGAATTTTGCTAATAGTTTCGAATTGACGACGGTGGCAATAGCACGATTAATAATGATACGATTTTCCTAGAAGTATACGCCAGCTTAATGAATAACATTACATATTCAAAACGTGGTTGTACTCATTCAAGGTGGCCATTGCGTGCGAATATTGTATTTACTTTCGTCTGTGCAGCCGTAGATGGGTAATAGTTTCGAATGTTTCCAGTTTGTAGTATATAAGCACAGTAGTAGGCTTACAAGAAATTGTTTTGTTTTTTTTTTTCTTTTTGATAACATGTGTTGAACGAATTGTAGTGTTAGGCAACAGAATCTCGACAGGATGCAACATATTATTTACAACAAATGCAACGTTCCTATTTTCTCCAAATATACGTCAGTTAAGTATTTCAATAACATCGAAATCCTGTACCAAAGAAAGATAAGAAAAAGAAAAAAAAAAAAAAGCTAGTCTTGAACACCAAAGGACAGAATAAAGTTTTGTAGTTTCACGACAATTTCATTGTTCTTTTCTTTATGTTCTTATATTCAACAATAATTGGTTCTGTACTTCAGTGATGTCCTGAAAACATCCACTATAATTATCGCCAGCTGTAGAATTGAAAGAATATCAATGATAATTACAGAAGCTGAATATCGAAAAAAAGACATCAGAAATCTTGTAAGCAGATGACCGTCTGATGCGTGCAATAAGGTTGTAATTCAATATACTCATTGATAAGTTATCGGAAACAAGCCTCTGCCGAAGTGTGCTTCTCGAATTTAATATTGACTTAATTGGACCCTTTGTGCTTCATTTATGCTCAACATTTGTACAAAATTGATAGAAATAGAAGAAAAAAAGTGCTTGTGCTTTATCCCTCATGTACAGCAAAATTTACGGTGGGACATATTGATAATGTATTTGCACACAAACTATGTGGCTTGTTCATCGTTATTGCCGCTGGTTGTTGGTATGTGCATAAAGATGTCTCGTTTATTCGTCTGACTCTTTTTTACTGATATTGCAAAAGTTGGTTAACCAATCAGTCCTTTCTTGTAGTATTTTCAATATAAAAATGCCTTACCATCATATATAAAACCTAAACTTTCCGATGAATGCATGTACCGCCATTATGACTTCATAATGGAGGCTATTTTAAGTCGATATGATGTGAAAGTGATTGTATAAAACAGTGTAGTTTTTAAGCTGCGTCTGCACATTTACAGAATACAAATCAATGAAATGGTTCCACTAGACATGATCCGATTGTTTTTACTATGCACACATAGGATTTAGAGCAATGATTATGGCTGATTTTCTCAGTTAAATTCTTCAAAGCTTCGTACATGGGAAGTATATTTAAGTGCAATAGTAAGAGATAAATTTCTAAAGTGTATAGAAGTTTGTGAGACATGATCGGTCAATGAATGCATCTCTACAGCTGTTGAATGTTCATATACATGGAAGGATCAGTTTTGTAAAGACTGTTGTTATATATTTTAAAGGAATCATTCAGTTTTTATATAATTGCAGGCTTTTCAATAGCCAAGAACGATTAGGTCTATCTGATCGATTTTCAGGGCTCTTTCCCCTCTTTTTTATATCTTTTTAGAATCCATATTATTGTTTTTCTTTGTGGTTCCCCAGATTTTCTCTTTTCCTTTCCAAATCGGAAATGCCGAAGACATCTGCCTCAAAAAATACAAAGAAAAAAGAGACCAAAAATACGATAGTCCAGAATAGCAAAGTCTCATTCCCGATCCTCACAAAAAAGAAATATATTCAAGCAGAAGAACTAGAACCCAACCAGATCTATGTCATTTCGAATTTCTTCAATGACAAAGAATGTGATGCACTGATCAAATACTTTGAGATCAACCTCCCTCCATTACCACGGCCGGCTGGTAAACCAAAAAAAGGAGAAGCCTTTCGTAACAATGATCGGCAATCGATACAGAATACATCTATTGCAAGTGTGCTATGGGAAAATCTTGAAGATATCGTTCGGGCATCACCTATTACCGCAGACCATAATATCAACGGGGGCACCACAATTGTTGCTAGCAGTAAGGTACCACGAGGTTTGAATTCCAATATTCGTGTCTATAGATATAGAGAAGGACATTCGTTTGGTGCGCATTACGACGACAGTGTGCAAGACAAAATAACAGGTTTATGGACAGATTGGACTTTGCTTATCTATCTTAACGAAGACATGGAGGGTGGGGAAACTGTCTTTTACAGATTGAATAAGCACCAGAATTGCAAGTCTGAACCTATCGTTGTACGGCCAAAAAAGGGAATGGCTTTGCTTCATAGACACGGAACACACTGCTTGCTACACGAAGCAAAGGAAGTGACCAAAGGAAATAAATGGGTTCTAAGGAGTGATTTATTGATGGGTTAATAATCTATTTTGAAGTTTAGACGGCTAGCGTCCTTAGTATATTAAATTCAGTAAAGCTCACAATATCAAAGATTGGTGAGGACAATAAGTTAGCTTAAAAGAAGTAACGATACAGGATATCAAAGTTTATCATAAGCATGAACAAATGTTAAGGAGGCCTAATAAATGCGCAATATTATAGAAAACACGCCACGATCATTCGCATCAACCTTTAATAAAAGTTGATTTTGCCATATCCAATATCTTTGTTTACTTTAAAAAGTTTAAAATAAGTTTTATTGTCTTGTTATGTTTTGATGATCTTCGGTATTTATGAAGCACATACAACATGCATTACCACTTTAAATTAGCTATTGTTGACATGTACGTGCACATGAACTATAAATATGAGAGCGGTAATATTTCCTCAATTTTTGTGCATACGTACTATATATAAACTGCTCATTTTCCCCACTTTTTTCAATGCTCTTCTTGACTGGCAAGCATTCTATTGAGCGGAATATGTACCAGATCAATAAAATGTTATGCGTCGCACAGGCATGCTCAAGTTTGGCAAGTTGTTTTTCGTTTACTGTATCATTATTAAGTCACTTTTTCCATTTCTTTTCATACAAACACTGAAGATCTGAACGGGCCCAGTTGGATTGTCAGCAATTGAATACTTATAATATACTTTGAATTTGCAATATAACTCTCAAGGACAATAGACATTGGAAATATGAGTACCTTTCAGCTATAGTTACCCGACAGCGTACAATTGCGTTTTGGAAACCACCTCGCCCCTTATTCTTGTTTTAGAGACATAGTGTGTCTATTTGTTGTGAAAAAAGGTTCAAGTCATCTGATAAGGAAGGCGTTACTAAGTTACTCTATTTGATATACCGCTCTTAAAAAAAGATGCATCTGCACAGGCATGAATTCAGTGACAAAATCTTCCCTTGGGATCCGAAGAAAGAGGGGCTAGCAGTACCGAACAAAAAATGATGCTATTTTTTGTAACGTGACACGATTCAAAGCTTCAATACTTTTTTTTTTTCTGTCATCATCGTTAAGGAAGTGCAAAAAGTTGAGCAAAAGGGAAAAAATGTATTTATAGTCATAGTTAACTTGCACCAGTATCATCTCTTCTTTCTTTTTTCTCTTTGTTCAATACTTTACTTTGTAACAATAACTTCATCTCAAAATATATTACGGCTTACATTTGATTATTCCACCTCTATTTATTATTTGAACGAAAAAGATATATAACGCCTTGACTTTCATATTATTTTTCTGGTTTTTTTTTTCGCATCTTGACCCACTTTTGAGTGACTATCTTAAGCAGCTTTACCTTAACTTACCTTTTTGAAGACCAGAAATGACGGACAGTAAGCAGTTACAACAAATGTCTCAATTCTCGATCATTCGCGAGTTGCCAGGAAGCAGTAATAGCCATTCCGCTTTAGTAACCACGAAATCAGATTCAGACAAGTTACACAACCAGTTACAAACTTTTACCATTAACAGTAATAATGAACATAGTAAGCAACAACAACAACAACAACAATCACAGCAAAAACCGGCAGAGCTCAAATTCAGGATTGAACCCATTGGTATTCAACCCGAGGATGATGATGACCTTGATTCATGCCCTGCTAGAACCAGAGCTACTTGGCCTCATAAAATTAACCCGTGGTGGAAGCCTGCAGATAAATTTGAAAAGCCTCCATATTCTTACGCGACACTCATTGCTCACGCGATTTTGACGAGCAAGGATGGTCGTCTGACTTTAAGTGATATTTATAAATGGATTTCGGAAGAGTACCCGTACTATAAGAGGGGACAAAAAGGTTGGCAGGTAAAATATAATTTATTTACTAACAAATGTTCGTTATTATGTCATGGGGAGGGCGTTGTAAATGATATTTTGTTTTGGTCACTTACAATCATTGTTCTTTTTTCTTCTTTAAAAATACTTTAGAATTCTATTCGTCACAATCTGTCTTTAAACAAGAAATGGTTCGTCAAGGTGGACCGCCGTCCGACACAAGCGCATCCTGGCAAAGGTGGTTACTGGACACTTCAAGTTAACATGGAGAAGATATTTGTTGATAATCTCTGCCAAGCTGGCAGCCATAGCAGAAGACATCATGATATGGGTATCTATTCTAATGGATCCAACCAATATTACCGTTCTTCCTCAACCTCGGGCGGTCTGGATGGTAGCAGTAGTGCATCTGATAACCTGGATAGATTTGCCATAGATTTATGTCCTAATATTCATATTACTCGCCCAGAAGATTTTGAAGCAAAGAAAGCTGGCGCTAAGGAACGCAAACATCCCACTCCCACCACGAGTGCTTCTGCCCCTCGTATACGTAACATGTCGGCTCAAGAGAAGAGTAAAATGCTTAACGTCAATAGCCATAACTCTTCTTCTTCCTCATCCTCCGCTTGTTCCAAAGATACCGTCAATACCTCCAAAATGAATCCTAAGAGTTTTATTATTCGTTTCAATCCTTCCGATAGTGCGGACAAGAAGCGTAAGGCCAAAACAAGCAATAATGCCAAACGACCTCCTCCTAAGGTTGGTAAGCGTAGAAAATACGTTGAGCCAGGCTCGTCAACTGCTGAAGATGATGATAGTGCTGTCGAGATTGACTATCCATCATCTGATCAAGGCCCTATTTCCAAAAAAAGAAAGTCAACAACAACAACAGCAAAAGGTGAAATGTCATCGGAAATGACCTGTTCAGACTTACAACAACTAGCAATGGATACCATTGGTTCTGCTACTGCTGGCCCTCCATTAAGTTACTCTGATTTACTGTCAGCAGTATCGTACGATGATCTGAGAAACTTTACTAAGCCTTCAGATGTCATCAATGCCATGCCTTCCTCATTGATGGATACAGCTATCAATGGTGACTTTACGTTCTCATCCTCGTTAGTGCCATTTGAAACCTATAATGACTTTTGGATGTACGAGCCTGACCAATTGTTTTCACTTCAACAACAACAACAGCAACAACACGAAGCTTTTACTACAAAGACAACTTCATCCTTTGATCATGGTACGGCAGATAATCATGCCCCTTCTTCTTTGTTGCTTACCGCTGAGTATCCTCCTGCTGACTCCTCCTCTACAATGTTGTATGATGTTGAAGCTCAAAATATTTTACAAGGTCTGCAAAGCACTTACATACCCATGAAAATGAGGCAACCGGATGAGCCAGTAGAAACAGAGACAGAAGCAACAACTACAACTACAGCAACGACAACAGCCGATCACCCAATGATCGTAGTCGCTCAACATCCTGGTATGAAGACGGTAGATTTGCAATCCGTCTCTCTCGAAAAAACTGTTCATTACTCTGATGCATTCTCTTTGGATGCCTTCACCGATCCTTCAAGCAATTGGTTTATCTCGGACTTTAGCTCTTATAACTTTGAACAATACGTTGATTTTGGAAGTGCTGCTGCTACTGCTACTGCTGCTGCTACTGCTACTGCTGCTGTTACTAATATGCATGCCTTCTCATCTACCCTCAATAATGGTGATATTAGTATTCTAGATGATGCCAAGTATTCCGATGTGAAGGTGGAGAATCAAGAAGACACTATTCTGAACACTTATTGGCCAGAAACGTCTAGCTGCTTTATGAAGTTTGACGACGGTAATCATGCTGTTACTGCACTACAATCATCCTCTCTTCTTAGTTAAATTATTCATGATAGGAATGCTCTTTCGAGATATGCATATAAGGTCATACTGAGACTACTACTGTTAGTACTATTGTCATTTCCATTTTTTTGTTGTTGTTTTTCCTTGATAATGATATGCTTGCATATATTATCCATCTTATATAACCAATCCCTTTTTGATATCCATTGATATACCTTCATTTCAATTTATTGTAAAATATATTACTGTTCAACCATTTGTAACACTATAAAACACTATGACTCTCGTCTGTCTTTCTTAAATCAAGTCCATTATCCAATTGTTACTGTTTGTTATAAATAATTTATGCTATAGTTACCACACAGGGCCAACTCACGCAGTGTCCCTTTTTCGAGATGGCACGGTAACTGAGTGTCAAAAATAGAAATAAATAGATTGTATGTTAAAAGGGGAACCAGTTCTTTATTTTGAACAATCTTTTCATAACAGATCATCAAAATGGATCTCGAAAGAGCAATAAGTATGCTTCAGGCGCTGCCCCATACGTCCAAGACCATTGTCGATGATACACTTTACGAGAAAGTGTACTCATTTATCACCTCGGTTCTTGAATCACTGGACGACAACGCTCAAGCGATTGTTGATCTGTTTCAGCAGTCTCGCTTTTTAGAATGCGTCAAGCAAGCTTGCCTCATTGATCCTGAACCTGATTATCGCATTATCACTCTTTGTATTCGACTTTTGGGGCAATTTGTTCACCATGGCCGCGATCCTATTTTCACACTCATTGATATCGATGATAATAATACCCACCTGTTGAAAATTGTGATCGATGGTCTTACATCCTCTGAACCTATACTTCGTTTTTCTTGCCTTGAGGCATGTCGGCACTTTTTATGGTGTGAAAAAAGTCAACTATGGCTTATGCGAAACCAGAAAGTGACAACGTTGATAGCTTATGCGATATTAGATCAGAGTACCTATGTTGTAGCAGAGGCCTGTCATTTATTTTCAGATTTGTTGCAGTTAGACAAGAGAGAAACGATGTTGCAGTTGGTTGATCCTTCTGATTTGATTCGATCTATTCTATATCAACAAGATAATGGCAATGCAACAGTAGCAGCACGAGGGGAGAATGAGCAACAAGTGATTTCAGCGTTAGATTTTTGCTGGAGCATAGTCAATCTAAAGAGCCATGCTGGCCTAGAGTATTTGCGTTCAAGACATTTAGTAAATAGCAAACTAAATGGAAAAGGAAAAGAGATTCAGAAGGTTTACTTTATTGTTTTTCTTTCTTTCTTTTGCTTGTTTCGTTGGGTTTATCACCGCTTCAAATTCTTTGTAGTTGAAAAATATTTTACAATTGATACCTATGCATCAGAATAAGATCATCCGCGCAAGAATCAATGAAATCCTTCTCAATCTGTTTACGTACGATGACAATCCATTGGAAACTATATTCGATGTGGCTAATAGCACTCTCACTGATGGTAAAGTGAGTTCTATCTATTTTCGAATCAGTACTGAAACTATATAAGTAACCCCTCTCTTTTTCTATTGTATATTTGAAGCATACAATGTGGTTTTAGAGCTAGTAACAAAGCTGATGCCAATCGCAGACGTTGAATTGCTAATTACAGCTGTATCCTTACTTAATTCAACTGCTATTTTGCTTGGAAGGATTTCGTCAGAGAAAGCAAACAGTAGCAAAATGAGCGACATACTGCACGATCGGTTATACACACTTTTACATACGTTGTATTCAATTGTTACAGCAAAAGAACAACAGACACTATTGTCTATTGAATTTCAAAATGTCAAAACCATACTCGAAGGAAGCACGACGAGATCAAAAAATAGAGTTCTGCAACAAATTTTACGCGTTATGAACACGCTTGTAACTGTATCTTCTGCATCATTGAAGGTATAATATTGCTTTGTTCAGCAGTACACGCGCAATGTCATTGAATACTTAAAAGAAAGCCCTACGTTTCTGTTTCTTGTTTCTCTCAATTGTATTGCTTGATAGGAGCTCACGTTCACAGATTTTTTCAGCATTTTATCGGCCACGTCTACGTATTCCGATTCAAGCTTACTCAAAGAGATATTCAAATTACTCACCGCTGCGATGTGCCGAACATATGATAAAACAGAGGAGAATTTATCGTCACAACAAAGACAGATTTACGAGAAGTCCATTCAACCTCTGATCACAACCATAAGCAGGATCGATCTTGGATGTAAAAGCTTCATTATCGTGTTAAATCTATTCAGTGATTTATTAGAACACAAAGAATTCGAACCACTTGTTATAGATGCTGTAAGGAAATAAGAGAAAAAGAGAGAAAGGGAAAAAGAAATTGCTTGCTTACACGCAAACAATTTTCATCAAATTTGACATGTCCTTAACCAGGAAAAAGCCTTTATGGATATATTGAAGCTCAAATTCATTGACACCGAATGGGATATTCGCGATGCTGCCGTTCAATTTGTTGGTCAGTTGTTTGATAAAAACGAGGAAGAAGACGCTTCCTGCAGCGGAACAACTACCACCAAAGGTCAATTTGCTTTAAAGTATGACTTTCCGTTTGATGTCGTTCAAAGAATTCATGATTCAGAACCTTACGTCAGGGCATCGGCTTTGGATGCACTGCAGGTAAAATGATACACAAGTTTGTGTATAAATGAATGTGATGTCAATAGCTAGTAACCAAATAAAACTTTTTTAGAAAATGATAAGGTCAAGAGAAGGCTGGGAGTACATCCAACAACATAAAGTGAGTAGAGACATAGCTTCAGCGTTACCCAGCTTCCTTTACGATACGGAAGCGTTTGTTCGACGTGCAGCACTGGATGCTATAAATAGTTTGGTACAAAATCGATCGTGCCAAGGAATGATAGTGGGCAAAATAGAAGGCTCTCATGCACAAAGTGCACTTAGGTAAGCATAACAGCTGCGTTATCTCTTTTGTTGGTTGATATTAATGAGGGAATGAAGTCCCTTTATTTTGCGTAAGGTCCTTAATGATGAGGACACGGATGTTCGTAGTAAACTTTGTCGTTTGATTGGTAATTTATGGAAGCTGTACTACCATGAAAAGCATGAATCACGAAAGAAGACGCAGGAACATGAAGAAATGACTGAATTTTTTCCTAAAATCAATCCAGGGAAAATGCTGACAGAAGCGGTAAAGTTCCTTTCTTTGACGCAAAAAAAGTTAAGGTTTCTGTTGTAATCTTAAATAACCTCTATATTTTTCCTGTTAGGCAAAAGACACAAACAGGGTGGTTAGAATAGAAGCAGTGAGGGTAATTGAAGAAATCCTATCAGAATATGAAGGCGTTGCAAGCATTAATAAGAACAAACGCCAATATACCGAAATTGAAAGAGATGAATTCGAAGATATGTTCATAGAAGAATTGAAAGAAAATGCGAATTTGGCTCAACAAAAGCAGACGCTGGATCCGGAACATCTTTACCAAGAAGCCTTTGAAATCGATGCCGACGCGATGATACACTCAAGTATACCAACCAATGCCGAGGATGATGTAAACATGTTAGACTGTGAATAAAGAAATAATTTCTGCCATGTGGCAATGCAATGATGTTCGTAACTGATTATGCGGCTTACAGGGCTTTTTTGGGTCCTTTTTTTTTTTTTTTTTTTTTTTGGCTCCTAATTTTTGTGTGGCAAATCACAAGAAAGCACGAGGTTTAAGAGGCCAATCTTTTTATTTCAAAGGTTACAACAAGCGGAGTTGATCGTTGTATTTTACATACAACACCCCTTCTTTTTTGTATGTTTTGGTTTTTTAATCAATCTTTCAGGTGCTTTTTAATGCCTTTCCTATCATAGCATCATCTTTTCTCCTTTTCTTTACCTTTCTTTACCTTTTTTTTTCTCGACTACAACATATATTTATTATTGAAACATACGGCAGTACTCTATAATATTTACTACTATTAATTACGCAACCCTTTACTATTACAATCAATTTAATACAACAATGACAGCCGCGGATCAATCAAATACTATTACGGCTACTGGTACGACTGCAATACCTCCCCCTCTTATTGCTGAGTCGTCTTCCTCCATTTTTGAAATCAGTACCACACAGCAGAAGCAGCAACAGCAACAGCAACAGCAACAGCAACAGCAACAGCAACAGCTTGTCAATATGAGTAATATGATAAAGGTGGAACGGAGGCCATCTATTATCGATCCAGCCAGTAGAACGTTATACCCCATCTTAGCTGGTCGCCATCCTACCAGTGTGCATTCCAGCCCTTCAAACTCACGAAGAAGCTCTTTTACCGACCAGCATCAACTCGCACAACAGCCCGCTTCTTTCTCTAACTCACTCTTATACCCACCAAGCTCTTCTTCGTTTCGTCCTACCCTACTATCCGGTGCAAGTTCGATTAACTCACCTCCTACTTCACCGTCTTGCTCTTCTTCACGAAGATCTTCCACTATGTCGACTCATCCTACAAGTAACAATAACACAACTACGGCTACTCCACCTCAGTTACCAACTCCTCCTAATATAACCTCACCTTGGCGAAGAGAATCCTTACCATCTATCTCCTATATCACTTCTTCGGCATCCTCACCTTCCTGCTCTACTTCATCAAGAACAGCCTATAACTATCCGCCAAGCGGTATTCCCGAACATGAAGAAGAAGCAGAAGAAGAAGATACTGATATGTCAGACTTGCAGCAACCCTATCATCATCAATCACAATATCAACCTCAATTTCAGTACCCGTACATGCCATCCTACTTTGATCGCCGACACTCCCTTGCTACGGTCATGAACAGTAGTAGTAATAGTAGTCGTCATAATTCCATTTCTTCTACCGCGACTAGCTCAGGAGTAGAAGAAGACATTCCCATAAATATCAATAATAGCAGTGGTAGCAGTACAGGAGGAACGGCGACAGGAGGAAATATCAATAGTCGTAGCAGAAGAGGGAGTGAGCAAGGCTGTTCCTCTCTGGCCTACAATGCATTAGCAGCGACCACAACTGCAACACCTTACAGTAGATCACCTGCATTGCGTTTAAGTCATAAATTAGCAGAACGTAAAAGAAGAAAAGAAATGAAGGATTTGTTCGATGATTTAAGAGAGTTATTACCGATCGATAAAAGTATCAAGACCAGCAAATGGGAGATTTTGAGTAAAGGTAATGATCATTAGATTGAACAATAAGACACTCCTTTTGTAAAATGCTTTCTAATATCTAATTCACTTTAGCTCTGGAATATATTCGAGCCTCGCATCAGAGAGAGACCATGATGGAAAGAGAGAAATCTGATTTATTAAACGAACTAAATGTATTGAAAAGGCAGTAGTAATAAAAGAAGAGACTCAACCACTACTTTCCACCGGAATAACTTACAAAAGACGAAAGGCATAGAGAAACAACGATATTGATTATCAGTTCTTCAAGTTGCTGAAATATAAACGTCACCTTAAGAAACATTATGCAATTTGTGTTCAATAAAATGTTAGTAATGAATGATTATAATACACATGGTAATGATTGGGCTAATCGCAATAATACATACGTGCCCTTTTCTTGTCTTTGTAAGTTTTCTTTAAACTGCTCAATTCAATCATTATCAACAGAGCAGACTTGATGGCATCTGGAGTGGCTAAAATCATTGGGTTTGTTTAAATACTGTTAAATGATATTATTCGTTTTTTTTTTTTATAAACACTTCACTTCATCTAATCCTTTGATATATGGTCAGCATTCTCTCCTAGGAATTATTGACTGATCTATTAACGTTTGACTTCAGTGATACCAACTGATGCCAAGGGGAAGTAATTATAGCTACCGTGCTTGCTGTTGTTCTCATCAATACCTTTTGGAAGACTATGTTGCTTCTTTCTTTGACATTATGTAGCTTTTTATGATAGAAAGCTATATCTTAGAAGTGTAATACCGATTCTAAAATACACGTTGACAATAAGTATGTCAGCTATTACAATGTCGATGTCGCAAGAAAAAGGCTGGTTAAAGTTAGTAGGTGAATGCAGTGCGGTTTGTTTTAACGTTCGCACTAACGGGAGCATGTTGTTTGTATTAAAATTTGCGATGATCTCCTTATTTGTAGATATAGGAGAAAGCCACGCATTTTCAATAATAAGCGTACGTTACTTTTGCCTAGAATTTTCTCTTATTCTTGCGCTTGACCGTTTCTCATACTTGTGTTCTTTTCAGCAGATCAATCGAATCAAATTTGAGTAGGACCAATCATTTCAGGCATTTCAATGTAATTTTTTTTGTTAACCATATTTGTTCTTTCATATAGCTGTACCCAAGTTTGAAACGTTGATTTCAGTAAATATTAGAGGTTCTTAAAACAACTATTTAGAATATACAGGATTAAAGCTTCTATAAACCTTGTAATCATCGTTATCATGAATAATTTAGCAATGAAATAAACCTAAACATCGTGAAGCTATCAAAGCAGGTAGAATGAGTCTTGAGATTTGGACAAATTATTGGTAGTTCAGGCTGACCCCAAGATCCATTAGTAAAGTAGAAGGAATCAGACTTTAGCAGTAAGAGCTATCAATAACTCTTATTCTTTTGTAAAATCTGAAGAATGCTGCATATGTGGGTTAGCTTCACCTACATACAGTCAAATATAGAGAAACTATTATAGTTAGCAGTCCCTTGTCAGAAACATCAATTGAAATCTACAGGCATTAAGCCTATGGTATCAGTGGCTATTCAAGCTTTCATCTATCAGGATAATGTACAGATATGCCCCTTATTAAGCCACCTGAATTGATTGAATGCATCGCATTGAATTCAAAACCTTGTCAAATCATGGTTATCACTGCAGCTTGCAAAAATGCTTGATGGTCCTCTTGAGAAAATCTTGTTTGGAAAACCATTCAAAACCTTCCTTTACTGGATTTGGATAATCTTGAGAAAATAGTAATTTAACTGCGAGTCATAACTCATAAGAAAACGCTGGATATCTGTTGAAGCAGTGAAGCAATTTTAGAAAGATATTTATAATTAACTCAAAAAGCAAGGCTTTTTCGATCACCCCTTCTAGGACACTAAAATTACCTATCTTAGCCCACTTGGTTCAGAAATAAAAAGGTGTTTTCGATGTGCTTTGAATAGCTGTCACCGAAAACGATCCTTATTATTACAAAGATTTGGTCTACTGGCATTATCAATACCATCTACTATCGTTTGTCCTATAAGTAAACAAGCACGTATCCTTCTGAAAATTCCATCATTCCTTTGTGAAGACATTGTTCATGCAAAATGATGGGTAGTATAGCAGGCATGGTTTATTCTGCATTTGTATGCAGCAGTTGGCTTACTTTGACTTCATGGCTTAGCATATGTGATAATGAGTGGTATTCAACGACTAAGGAACGCCTTCGTTACTCTATTCACTAGCTAAACTGAGAGGTGGTTATGAAATTTGAGACTCCATTGATATAATGAAATCAATGTAAATGCTATGCAATAACGCAACAGTCCTTCCGTAAGCTTTCGAAATGCAGAATGTTTGTACTTGGACTTTTTGATAGAATCTCATTTTCGCGAGCATTGTGTTTTGCTGCTTCTGATGCTTTCTTCATATATGCCGGCAGCACAAAAGAGAACACAGTCCCAGATATTGTAATTTTATTGCTTATATCAGTAGAAAAGGAAAAGAAATAGTACGCATTACATTGGCGGTTCGAAGAGTGTTTTGAATTAAATTTGTAATCATGTCTCGATCCTGACAAACCTGAAAATTTAAGTGTTATGTATTCTTTCCTCCAGCAATATACAACATATGCAATCTTTTTCAGTTTAACGACAGTGTGTATCTGTGATTACAGGTTGTGTGTAATACAAGCTGTTCGTCTTTCTAGAATTAAAATGATTTCATATAGAATAACTATTTTAGGTGTATGTTAATAGAATTAAAAACCTTAACAAGGAAAATATTACGATTGAAAAACGAAGAGGTATAGATGTCAAGAAGCAAACGATAATGATATAAAGGTCTACATGATATTGCATGATTCTTTCAAATGATGTTTATGATGGTGATGGTGATGTTGATGGTGATGTTGATGATGGTGCTGGTGGTGAGGATGATCTTGGTGAGAATGTGTGCTGTTTTTATAACTGGTATCATTTGCATTGACAGCTTTGGGTGACCCCTTATCTGTTATTGGTTGTTGCAATTCATCTTTTGGCGAAGAAGACCTTTGATTCTTTCGCCTGGAAGCAAAAGCCTTGTGCTTCTTCTTCTTCTTTCTCGACTTTTTCTTTTCATTACAATTACAGCAATGCTGTTCTGTATCTGTTTCGAATGTGGAAGTGGTAGGGCTCGATTTCAAATGCTCGCATCTAATTTCTTCAACTACAACTTTACTGAAGCCGTTTCTGTTACTACTGGCATTGTGTTTTTCATCATCATGATCCGTATTGAAAATGCAGTCGGGAGCGTGCTGTTCATATTGTGGGGGTGGTTGATTGAGAACTAACTTCTCATCAAGATCGTCAGTGATAGCTGTCGCTGAATACGACGAAGAATCGTTAGTAGAACTTGACGATGATATTGTAAAAGATGATACCGTCTCACTCGTGGCTAATGTAGATGCTGTTACAACTTTCCTCAAATTGTGATGGCAAGTTTTATCCAATTCGTAAAAAATAATGTACGCATTCTCAGCCAGATCTGTATAAATAGCTTCACTATCTTCGTCTTTAATCTTCATGATACGTTGCTTTACATTCATGTCGTCGAATTTTAACCAAAAATCTCTATTATCCTGATTATCAAGCTCAGCTGTATCTTTTGTTTCATCCTGTTGGGTATCTGATGCCGTGCCCGGGATACGAGCATAACTAATGTAATGACCGCTGTACGGTGAATCGCCTTTGTGACATACAGCACTTTTGAAGTACAGTGTCCAGTTGATTTCATGTCCGCAAGTCGCGCACATGGGGTCGTCAGCGTTTTGATTCACAAATTTGTTAAAGTCAATGGTGACAGGTATTTCTACCCTGTTTCTGATTTTCACGGACCCACCGTTACTATCATACCGATATCTTTTTAGTACGATTGGTAATACCATATGTGTATCGGGAAAGGACGAGTCTAATTGTGTTCGGATTGCCTCTCCTTGTTCGTTCGTAGCACTATAGAATGGCAGTAATTCAAGCACTTGCCAGGCTGTAACAGCTATTTCCTGTTCTGTTTGTTGTTGTTGTTGTTGTTGTTGCTGCTGCCCATCTGCTGCTGCCTTTTTTAACATTTGTTTCAATTCGTATTTTTCATCTTTTCTCACTTCCTCTTCTAAAACGTGTTTCTGAAATGTGGGGGATGTAGCTACATTTTCAGAAAAATTGAGGCTTAATCGACGATTGTTCGTATTGTTGTCGACCTGTCGTTTAATACCGGTGATAATATTGTTGTAAAAATAGTCCAATAAGATGTCTTCTAATTTATTTTCTTGGTTGATATTTTCAGGTATTGACAAAGTAAGTGTTCTATCCGTCATGACTCTATCATCGTCTGCATCTTTATTAGCTCCATGAAATAGTCGAATTTGAAACTATAAAGATGCATATAAGCTTAGCTCTACTTTCTTTTTATGTATCATTGCTGTTGCATTGAACTTACGGGTAAATACGGTAAATCAAAAATTTCAGTAATGAATAGAAACAGCTCACTCGCATCTTCTTGGGTCCATTGTCCATTTTCATCTCTTCCGTTCCATTTTGCTTCTTCTAATACTTTTCTGAACCAATGCACGTAGTCTGCATTGACGAAATGGCCTTTTCTTAACTTGTTCACAAATAATCGCATCAGTGTCTGTAATTTAATCTTTTTCTCGCTCTCCTCATTTAGTTCATAGTCATCTTCTTCGTCGTCAGCATCAGCGTCAGTGTCATTGTTACTCTCGTTTTGTATACCGTTAGTCTCAGTAACGGTCTTTTCTCCAAAATCACCAAGTTCTTTCTCACCCTTGTAATTTTTGTTATTGTCAGAAACGTTTCCGGGGGTGGAAGGTACATTTGAGGGTATATCATACGTTAACAAAGGATCGAAAGTTGTATTGGAAATATACATGGCGAAGAGTAAAGCGTCAATATAGCAAGAGGTGCCACCATCGTTTTCCGAACCAAGCAGTGAAGATGGTGTTGCAGAAGTGCTAGCAAAAGGTGGCTCAACTAATATACCATGTGATGCTTCCTCATAGTCAATCAAGTCAGCTAAAGATTTCTTGGTATCCCAAGCATTACTTTCCAAAATATATTCAAATATTTCGGGATCTAAAGAGACGGATATATTGTGCTGGGCATACTTGGCGATAGTATTAATTTTATTGAGTTGTTCTTGAGTTCTTTTTATTGTGCTATTATTTTTTGAATTATTGGATCTGCTTGTAAAGAAAAAACTACCGTTGCTGTTGCCCATGCTGCTACGTTTCTTATGATGCTGTTTCTTTAAGGGTTGCAGTTGTTGGTTCGAGAATAAAAGCTTCCAAAATTTGTCCCTTTTCCTTACTGATTTTCTTCTGTTGTCATCTTTTTCATTCGCTGTGGTGGTATTGATTAAGTCGTACTTGTTGTTCATAAATGATTTTCTAAGAGTGTGGTATATGGGGAAGTAATGAAAAGCAATCAAGAAAAGAAGATAAAAAAAGGTTAAACTTTCGTGCATTTTGAAATCCTCAATCGCAATTTAAAAAATTAGTTTAGTCTCCCAAGAGAAAAACTGATTCGTCAGTTGCTGGGGAAAAAACGCACAGGAACAACTACCAGCAAAAAAGAAAATTCATTTTTACAGCATAACGTGTTAATGGGGCAATCTATTTAAAACCAGTCATCTTCAGGAACAGTGGACTTCGCCGCAGAAACAATAATTATCTTTTGCCTATCAAATCAGCTTACAATGATTGAAACCGTTGCTAAGCAACAATAAAGCAGTTTGGTTGTCATGCTGCCATGAAAAAAAGGGGAGCGTCTTATTTCTGCCACTTGAAAAAAAATTGCTCGCATGACTTAAAATTTTCATCTTTTATTCTTTATTTTTTATATCGTTATATGTCATTCTACTATTGTAAAAAGAAAAATCTACTCAAGCTTTTAACTTGAAGTAGCCTAGACGAGACAACTTCAAAACTTTTTCCACTAACTGCCATAGCTGTTGAAGTTCTTCCAGGCGAAATCAGTTCTTGCAAGTATCGAATAATATCAAGGCACACTGTTACACGAGATCAAAGTTACTTTTACATCATGTAAAAGGACATCACAGGTTAACTCTATGTTTTTATAAATTCTTTGAGAACTTTGTTCATTATTGAATGACGACGTTATCGTAGTTGCTGACTATAGTCCAAGCTGCCAAGGTTCAATAGGACTTGTATCAACCCTAATTTAGTACTTATTTCACAGCTTTGAGTATATTATGCTATAAATAGATTATGAAAAAGTACTTAACCTATGCAAAAAAGTTCATTGGGATGGTTGACAGTGTAGATGAATCGAAAACAAATAGAAAAAAAAAAGCAAGAGGAACGATATATGATTATAGAGGGTTATTACAATACAGTAATGGATAACTTAAATAAAGAGCAATAATAAGTACGATTAGGTATCAGTTTATGTTTGCATGGTATTGGTGCTAAATTTTCTTCTATTGTTTTACTGCTGTGATTCCTCGTTTAATTGATGTTGAAGATGCTTTATCTGCTTTACCACTTGTTCTTCCCAATTGTCATTATTCGCTTTATCAATAACGGCCTGTGACACATCACCCTTTTTATCCTCGATCACGACATGATGTGGCTCGTTCCATACCTCAATACGTGGGTTCAATCGCTCCCCTGTATCCATCTCAATAACTTCCTCTAAAGGTCTTCGGGGGTTATTACCTTCATCGTGAGTTAAGTGGGAGAACATGTGCCTTAGAGTTTCGTAGGTACGACTATTGTATTCTTCGCTCTTCTCCTTCAAATGGTGAGCAACAGGATGGCGTTGATGTTGTCGTTGTGGTGGAGGAGCAGTAGGCTGCGCTGTATCACTAGCAGTAGTAGTAGAAGGTTGCTGTGTTTCGTCCACACTTGACTTGCCGTGATGTCTGCGAAAGAGATTTTTCAAAGCGTTACTGCCGCCACTCTCCTCCCGCTTATCAGATGCTGACTGTTCCCCATTGGCCAATCCTCCTGTTACCGTTGTGTCTGACGCTTTATCTTTATTAGTAATACTATTTCTGTGGATCCAGTTCTTAAAGCTTGTAACACTTGTTTCGTTCCTTTCGATATTGCTGTTACTTTGCTGTCCTTGCGGCTCATTTGCCGCTGTTGTTGTTGCTGTTGTTGCTGTTGTTGCTGTCCCTGTGACAACAGACTGTGATCGAGGATGAACAGGCTCAACGAATCTTATACTTTGAGATTCTGTTGTAACCGGGGATGCTACATTTTGTAAATGCTTACTATGGGGTTGATATAATCGTTGGTTTTTATTGGTATAAGCCGTGGGTGATGTATTGGCTACTGCTGTTTCATCTGACTCGTCAGGTAAGAAATCTTCCTCTCTAATGTCATCGTCGTCTTCATCGTCCTTGTCACTACTATTGCTACCCGTCATTTGTATCATAGTAAATTGAGGTGGTGTCTGATGCTGCAAGGTATTGGCTAACGTGTTTCTTCTCAGTTCCTCCATTGCCTGTTGTTGCTCTTCAGCATCTCTTCCATATTCGTCTTTTCCTGATATGATGTCCTCTTCCGTAGATTTTCGCGTTGAAATTTGTTGTCCAAACTGAATCTTTGGTAACCGTAGTACTTGGCTTCCATCAGCACCGCTTCTAGTGCTGGCAATAGATAATGTACGTGTACGAATACGTCTACCGAGTTTAAATAACGGAATAGTCGTACCGTGGACTAATGTAGACGCTAATACTATGAACAGCACAACAGGGCCAATAAGTTCTAGTGTGATGGGCTTCTCTGTTGACTCATGGTAAATTTCAGCCATTTCCTCTTTAGCAATTTCTGACAAAAACACAGCACCTACGCCCATCGGACCAAACCAGCCACTGAAGATAGCTTCACGGTAAGTCTTCATTGCCGGCATGACGGGTTTGAGTAAGATAAGAATGGGTAACCGACGGAAGAGTAGGATGAGAAGGGCAATAACAACTAGTCGCCAAGGAGTCAAACCAAGTGCTGAATTACCAAATTCTGCCCAAGGCTATAATAAGTAGGCAAGTTAGATAATGATGAGCGGCAGAGAAAAAAAATGTATAGAAAAAAGAAGCAGACATACAATGATAGCACCTATGTATACAAAGACAGCCAAGTTAAGCATCATATCAATGACCTCCTGAAAATGTGCTTCTTCTGTTTCTTGTCTAAACCAGTCGTCCCAAGAAAAAGCGTTGCCTGCAACAAAACATGCTAAGAGGTCATCACTGCCTGAAAATCCTGTCATACTCATCAAGAATAGCTATCAAACGATTGAAGATGATAGTATTGTATGTGTGAATGAGCTATCATAAATTTATGGTTTCAATGACAATTAATAAAAGTCAACTTACTGCAAGGGCGATAGCAAAGCAAAGAAAGGAAGGCTTATCAATTAATCGACTATGACATGTAAGGAGCAATAATGTTACCCTTAGCGCTCGTTTTTTGTTTGCAACCTTTTGTCTGATATTGTCTCATTCCCTTACTTTCTTTCCGACCACTGTAGGATCTTTCTTGCAACAAAGCCAACAACTAAACCGATGACGCAAGATAGGATGATTTGAAACAATAAAGTGATGTAAACCCATTTACCAACGGCTGATCCGACACTAGGTTCACTGATTAAAAAGAGGGCCAAAAAAAGAAAAGGGAATCCCATACCATCATTGGCTCCACTTTTTTATGTAGGTTGTTAGCGATTCAATGTCTCCATGCTGGCATTCATTTGTTCACTTTTAAAATATACCTTTCTGCTGATAAAATATTTCGAATGTGAGCTGGGACGTGCTTTTCCGCGAATCTACCTTTCACGACTGAGTTAGCCAAGATCTACATTCCAAATAGAGAACAACGATATAAATCTTATGCTTGTTACTGTTTATGCAGTGTTCTACATGGAAAATAATCGTTTTTATCGTACCGGATCAGTAGGACAAACACATGCAGCAATGACAAGTGCATGAAGCTGGATTGCTCGTGGAAAATATGGCAAAAAGAAAAACAAAAAGTTTCAGACTCAATCAAGTTCATTGATTCGTTATAGAATGATCTTTTGCCGACTTACGTAGTTGATCGGTGGAATCAACCACCATATGAATAATCCACTTATGAGCCACATAAATATCATGACCGGGATCAGTATCATAAACATGCTCAGCCATTCTCTTCTCATGTAATGTCTAAATAGTTTGGATTGTATTAGTGATATTTTGCGATATCAGTTTATATATATTCATTGCTGTCGATGTGTTGTTGTCGAGAGAAATAGTGCTTACTTTGGTAGTTCGATACCGACAGCCATCACCTATCATTAAAATATGAGAGTTTAAAAGAGAAAGAAGGAGCTGTTAAGTCCTTAAATGGTTGAAACACTCGGGTTCCTTTTCTTCTCTCTACCTGTATAGCAAGAATACATCGGGTCAACTCTTTGGTTATTTCATTCACATCTTGCCAACTATTAGGATCAAAGCCGTTGGCCACTAGTGGACCGGCAATGATTCCAACGACTAGTGCTACAACTGAACAAAAAGAGATCAATAGGAGCACTGATATGTTGGAATGACAATAACAATTTACGGGCTTACAAGCTTCAGATAAAAAGCATCTCTCTTTTATAAACATTGATACATAGCCGAAAAAGACAATAAATCCGCTTAAAATAGCAATAGCAATAGTGAACGTTGAGAATTCACCAGGTATTACGTGCAAAGCCGTCATCTGTTGTAAAAGATATTGGCGTTTAGACAGTGACTCTCTTAAAGTAGGTACTTTGTTTGGTATAATAAAAAATTGTCAATCGAAAAAGAGGACAAGAAGAAAGAAAAGAAAAGCTAGAAAACGAAGAAAGATGATGATATATATTTTTTTTGTTAGACGGTTATACTTGAGTTTCATAGAAAAAAAAGTCAGAATGACAGAATTTTGTTTTAAAGCAGCTTTCTATTGTGTAACAATTACTTGTCTCTTCTTTTTAGCTTGAAAATTACAGGTCAGAAAAGAAATTTCTAAGTTGTGTTTTATATAAAAAAGGATACAATAGATGCGAAACAGAGAATGACACCTGCGAAGATGCGGGGAGATATAGACAGTTTTTTTTTCACGCGTCAAAATTGCTGCCCCTGGTGAAAAGGTACACAAAATGTCCGAGGACAAAATCGAGTTCAACAATGGCACACTTTAACCTTAGATCATGATATTTGTTATTTATCACGTGCTTAGGAGAGCTGAACCTTGATATGGGTTTTCTTATTTTATTCTTAATCAAAGGAAACAGTTAACAATGGTGTAAAGCTTGTTTGATGCTGTGTGGAGTTGTTAATGGAAATCATTGCGTATAGGTGCATTCCTTTGGTATTATTTATTGCACGGTAGCTATATTATACTGGCTAAGTAGTAGCACGCAGCAAATGAACCTTAATGTGGAATCATCTACGTTCTAAGTGACATTGTATCACGATTTACTTTTTTTTTTAGGCTGCGTGTATGCTTCTTCTACAGTCTCCCAACTATTGCAATAAAGTTGTCTTTTCTTCTCTCGAACATAGAAAGGGAAAAAATCGATCAGTACGATGAAATAATCTACTTCTTGGGAAGAAATAAGTGTGGCGCCTTGTTTCGGTCTTCATAGTGCAGCAATGATCGAAGGTGGAGTCAACGATCAAACATTTTATAAACCTGCAAAAAAAAATGAAAGGGTATTGATTTCCCGCCTTCACTCAGGGAGTAAGCTATTCTTTGACAGCTGATTTGGCTTGCGACAATTTTTAATCGCTGCATCGTGTACAGAATCTTGCAGACGACTTGGAGCTTTTGACAAGATTTAATGGGCTCTCTTTTGCGCGTCTCAGCAAAATACGTCCACAGAAAAGCCGCTATGGTGACAATACCAATACTACATTATATTATTGGTAAGCTTGAAAGACGTGACTGGATGACCAAACAAACTCTATGCTTATGCTAATGATTATTCATATTTTTGCGTTACAATGTTGACTATCTAGATTCAATGCTTTTTTATATAGTCTTACTTAGGTAGGTACTATCAGGAATTTCTTTATTATCTATAATCTACAGACAAATATAAATCTTTTTATTGCTAAATAAAAATACCACTAGGAATACAAACAAACAGGACAAAAAAAAAAAAAAGAAAAAAATCTTACATAAAATTTTGATAAAATAGTGTTTGAAGTCGTGTAAAAAAAACGGTCAATGTTATTGGTTATTATCAACCAATTGCTTAAAAAGAGATAGGTACATAACTAGACCACGAGACCGCGGCATTATTGTTGTTGTTGTTGTTAATGCTATTAGCGCTGCTAATATTACTGTTATTGTCCCAGTAATTATTGAACAGAAAATGGTACAATTCTCTGTCATGCAAGGAAGGATTGTACATTTGCTGTATTTGTGGCAAGTGAGTGTTGTTGTTTTCTGCGTTGATAAAAGGCGATGTTGCTGTAATGTTGCTACTCTTATTGCTCAGCGATGAATTTGATGTATTGAAATGGTTGCCATTACTCTTAACAGCCATGGTAACAGCAGGTTTTGTAGTGTTATAGTAAGTGGTGAGGTTGTAGGGTGTCACAGAAGTCGACCATTGTTGTTGACCCTGCTGACTGTGTGAACACTGAGAAGTCCCCATCACTTGTTCAGTGCTGTTACTGCTGTCATAACTATCCAGCTCGCTAATCAAAGCTGATTGTTGATAAGTGACTGTGATATTGGATGTGGGAATGGGTGCGTGAATACCATGCATCTGTTGAGCGTTTGGCATCGAAAGTGGAGAGTAGATGGCAGCATTAGTATAAGGAACAAAACCCGTGTTGTTTTTGGGGAAAGAACCATCATCTAGAGGATTGGAAGATATAATGGCAACCAATTTAGGATGGGTAATAATTGGAAGTGAGTTTACAGTAGACCCTGTAGCGCCGGCGTTACTATTTAAAGTCGTACTGCCAGTAAACGTAATAGTCGAAACCGAAGACATGCTAGACGTGGGCGAAGATACAAAGGAAGTAGACATGTACGTTGCAGGTGATGACAATGGTGCTGTCATAGGCGTTTCCTCTACATTGTTCTCTATCGTCCTTTCTTCTTTTGACATGGTGTTTTTGTTTGGTCTCCTTCTGGGCGTTTTGTTGCTGGCGGATGCCTTCCTAATTTTGCGCTGAGTTCTGGCTGAGGGTGCATTTCTCTTTCTGGTTTGGTTAGTGTTGAAAATTGCTCGGCTGTCTTGGTTATGATTCTTACTATAATTTACAGTAGTAGTAGCAGTAGGGTTGCTTTTCATAGCGACAGGTGTGGAGTAATGAGTTCGATTTCTTGTTGTTACTGTATCAAAAATGGCAGCAGTGGCTAAAGGATAAGGAGTACTTTGCTTAAACTCCAAACGGTAGACATGATAGCGAGTTCCAGGCATACGTAAGTGGTTATTGAGCACACCTATGTAGATCCTGGCTTCGTGCGGCCGAGGTAAATTAAGGTCTTCAATCTCTACGTAGGCTTCTGAGGTTCTGATTTTGCAATTGATATATTCCTCCTCAATAAAGGCTTGATTATGTATTTCAAATTCGACAAATACTGTATTCTCCAGCATATAACCCCAGACGATCCGGAGTCCTTGGGACCATAATGGATTGTTTATTAACGGTCCAGTCTTCATACTAATATTGAAAGTTATTTATGCTGTAAAAAGAATAAATAAGGGAAAGAAAGTAAATTGGCATCAATATACAGAAAAAGCAATCGCCTTTATATACATTTTCAGTCGCTTTAGAGTAAGGAAAAGGTGGGACCTGAAAAAGTTACATAAGTAATCTGAATGGAAATTGATAGGACTGACGATCTTCAGGGTTCTATACATTCGTACTTATCACCTAAAAACTTTATTTTCGTTTGTCGAAGAACCTCCTTAAAACAAAGAAATCGAAGCAGGCCTCCAATACTGAATTACCCCAAAGATTTTCCTTTTCCTTCCTTTTATGTATCGAAAAAGCGATATGGTTGATACTGCTCTAGTGAGGGTCCCTGGTACCTGTACCTGTGCTTTTTGCTTTTGTTATGTAGTGCACAGATATGGCGGGTTGAAAGCTTGTTTAATCAGCTTTGCTCACTGTACATGTTTATAATATATTTCACCCCATCATCAACTGGAAAGGAAACAAAGCGGCAGCCAGGAATTCGTCTTGAAATAGGCTTGAGTGTAATACGCTCAGAATCTATTGTTGTTGTCTTTTCCGCGTCCAGTAACAATAAAATTGAAAATGTCCTTTTTTTTTTGAGCGGGACGAGGGAAATGCACGCGAAAAGTAGTTCAGCATGCAAAGAATAATAAATTCAAACCCATAATGAGCATTTAATAATACTATCTTTGGTTTAAATGATTTTCTAAGACATCCACTTAAGCTTATAATCCTATGAGATGTTCTTGGATTACTATTCAGAAATAGCAGTTATGAACAGGGAAAAAAAAGAGCCTCGGACAAATTGGGTTGATACATTGACAGGTGGTGCTTTCGATACTCTTATTTAGGGAGTAAAAATCGCATGCTGCAAGAGCACGGCTATTGTACACTTGGAAACTCAATGACAAAAAAAGTCTCCAAAAATTCATTTTCCTTCATCCCCCAATGATTGGGTATAGCTCATTTGACGATCATAAACTTCTTGACCGAATACAATAGGATAAGAGAAGTTACTTGAGTTGTCTGAGGTATCTGCATAGAGTGATACTTACATTTTTCCATTCGTGCAAAAAAGAAAAAAAAAAAAAAAACAAAGACTTTTTTTTCCTTGTCGAAGTAATGGAACCCAGGTGGTACTATAGTAGGTCATGCGGTTGATAATAGTGTTCAAAAATGATCGTAAAGACTAGCATCTTTGCTACCAATAAAAGCATTACCAATGTTCAGCAGGGTTCAGGTTTGAAAGAAATGTACTCGAAGAGGTCTCTTGATGCTTTATCGAGATTCTTCAACAAGTTCTTTGGTACTCACAAATACAAAAATAACTGTGAGTTGCATTTGGGAAGCTGACAGGTACCATTGAAATTTCTTCGAAAGGTACACTTAGTGCCTGTTACTTAAATATCTTTGTTCTTCAGCTTTTACTATACACTACTTATTTCTTCCTTCTGTACTATTTCTAGATGATTTGAATTCCCTTGCAAGGATGAATGGCTTTGTTATTATGAATGCTTTACATGTACCGAATCGAGTCATTGCCCTTATATGATGTTCCTTATCAGTTAACTATGCGTTGTATTACAATGTATCAATTCCTGATAAAATCAGGTTATTCTCTCGACTTTAACTGCTATGTTCAAAATCCATGTTCAGCAATGCATGGAACCAATTAAAGTGATTTCTTTTATATCACTTTAGGTAATGCATATGTATCCTTACATTTTGGCGTACTTAGGAAAAAAAAGAAAAAAAAAAAAAAAAAAAAAAAAAAAAGCTTGCTCGAAATCTCCTATTTTTGTTAATGACTTATTCCATGATGATCACACAAAAAGATCAAAACATTGCTGTACACTAATTTTCAGCACTATCTTCTCATAGTGTAAGTGTATGATATATAGTCTTTCCTGTTTCGTCCATACTTATTGAAACATCCATTATTAAGTATATTTCACTATGTAATTACGATGTTCTGCTTGAATAGTATTTCATGGAAGATTCAGAAAAATTACAGTTGACAGGCGTTATCTTCTTCAATAGATAGTACAAGATATACAAAAGCGTGTTCACTTGATCAATAACAATAATATACAGTCCCTACAGATGAGGTTTACGGGGTGTTTTATTAATAGTACTTCAATCCTGCGGATTATTGTTGGTCTAACAGGAATACAAACAAGGCAAAAGTACTTTATACTGGTTTTTTTGCTTGACTTTTGCACGAAATGGCTATTAAAATGAGATTATATTACAATTAAAATTCAGACTAATTCAAAATTATTTTGGATGAAAAGTATAGTTTTTGGGATCATACCTTTTCTGTCAAAATGCTCAATGCCAAATGTGCGAACTACTATTACTCAAACAAGGTAAATATACTGTGCCAAAGCATAGAATCCCTACACTGTTTGAGTATGTAGTAACGGCAAGCAGCAGTTAATAAAACCTCAGAAATGTACAGTGACAAATTTCACAAGATGAACTCACCTAAACGTGTAAAAATCTTTAAGCCGTCGGTAAAGAACCTGCAGCACCATTTTCGTTATGGCGATGGCGACAGAAAATGTCGGGGCGGCCATTGTGTTCCCATACGGAATTTGCAATAGTAAGCATATTTTTGGCCGCATTGCCTTACATAGAATATTTTGACAGCCTGCGATCATATGATTAATGGTAGTGAGTACAGTGTATTCATTCTAAAATAACAAACTGGCATCAATACTTTAAAGCTCATTGAAAATCATTACATCACTCGTCCTACTTGTAGATGACCGACCCTCATAAATGCTATTTGAGTAGTATACCCGATATTGTACCGAGATGGGTTGATAGTTCTGTGAGATGATTCTCGTACAGAAGTCTTCAGTATTTTGCTGTTACATTTTTTACTTATGGCTTTTATTTCATGAAACTGAGATGTTTCTTTATCAATTGCCTCACGTGGTCTTTCGTTTTACGGGCGGATTCACTTGTCAAACAGTTTGCATTTGGTTTAGAATTCACTGTATCTTTCCTATACCTTGTATTCAATTCCATAGTTTACCCTGCTCCAAAATTGTGGATTCTTATTTTGAAACCAAGGATATCAATCATCTGCTTTCAAAATAGATATTATAATTCGCTGGAAGCAACTGATACGAATAGGTTCAAATGAATTATTTTTATCCCGTCCTTTAATGCCTTTAAAAATCAAGTCGGAAGAATTAAAATCATTAGCAGGTTAAAAAAGCGAAAAATAGGTAATGTGTGGGAAGCTCATTTTCTGGAGGGGAGTAATAACAGTGAAGAATCAAAGAAAGCAAATACAAAGAATGAGCACAACTATTCTTGGTTCCTAGATGAAGAGGGATGACATAGGTTTTTATATTTCGAGTTCTTTTCTTGAAAGCTTACTAATATTATATTGTTGTTGGCAAATATCAATGAGAATTTCGTACATTCCTTTGGCAAAAGAGCAATAATCGATACAATATCTGGATATTCATTGAGTAGATACACATTCGCAAGGAGATGTATTCAGAACTCCCCACTTCACGTCTTCCGTCTCCGTGAAATTCTCATTTTCAAAACAGTAAGCTTGATGCGTTTATGATGATACATCTGCTGAATACCTTTTATTTATTGTGGTTGTTTTTAAAGTGCATCCTCCTAAATTAGTATAAATATTTGAACAATTGGACAGAACAGTTGCTGATTCCTAGTAGAAATCTGTGCTGCGTGTAATTTTTTCCGGGTTGAAAGTGTCTTTTACATATTGCCACCCTATCTCACCCTAAATGTGTTGTAGTTCTACCCCAGGTGTCATTGTCATTTATATAAACATAATATGCATTTTATAGTTTAGTGAGGCTGGCCATGTCTGTCACATTATTCTTTGTTTGCCTTCAAAACTACCAAGGTTCCAGTGTGTCCGATTGTTAACTTAATTAGCGAGGGCAGGAGATGTTACAGGGGCGGGGTGCAATGTGCGGTGGCAAATGCGTGGTTCAAACCACTTTCGGCTGCTTATAGTCATATTTAGTTTTTATTATTGGTTAGAACACTTATACTCTCTTTCAAAAGTGCTCGTAATGTATTTCTGGTTAAAGTAATGTCTAGTGAATTTATTATTGGTAAATTCAGAGAATACTCCACAAGGCCGTATATATAATACTGGTCTTTCATAATATCTTAACTACCTTACCGAGGAAAACCAGGCAGTAAAATCTTGGATTTATAGCGAAGATAACAACGCTATAGTTGCGCGTTCAAGCGTTGTAATGCCACCTACAGATTCATAAGCTCTATTCGTTAATATAAATGGCTGCTATTGAATTGTAGCTGATAATTCCAAAAAGTTGGGCGTTCCTCGTTCGCGGGATATAAGTTTCTGTAAGTCTTATGCTCTTTCTTCGATGTACATTTGGCACCCAATATGACATAAAGCGGCCAAGCTCAATTCTCCAGTTTTTACCTCTGAACATTCTATATTCGTACAAGACAATCCTTGCAGATTAAAAATAAACTTCTCAGATCAGTATAAAAATTTTTCTACAATATCATTTCTGATAATATCAACTTCTTCAGTCAAAGCTTTGTGAGCAGTTTAGTCAATGCGAATCAGATAATATACTTGAAGTATACGACAACTGGAAATCTAGTAGTGACAGCATTTTGGCTTAAAGGACGGCGATAATGGAACAGGAGTTGCTGTAAGTTTTATTATACACAGGAGTGGCAAATGGCAGCAAATGATTTTAATGGTAGATAAATTGTAACATACAAAGGCTCCATCTATCGGAACAAGTATATTAGTATAAAAATGTTTTAAATAAGCTATTATCTAAGAATTCAATGCTTTATCGATCTTGTCAGTTATTTTGTTTAAAATGGACAGGTAAGCTTTAATAACATCATCTTTCTCAGAGTTCAGGCCTAGAATATCATTGACATTCCATAAAGCTTCTTCGCAGAAGCCTAATTCTAAGTTAGTCTTGAAAATGGAATTGAGTTCATCGTTACGTATAACGATATCGTATGCGACCTCTTCTGCTTGACCAAGAGAGGCCACAATTCCGACACCGGGGACACTCTTTAGTGGCACTTTTTCAGTACGGATAATGTCGATAATGAAGGGACTGAAACTGCTACTCTTAATACTTTTGACCTTTTTTAAAAGTAAACTGTTGACCATTAAGAAATGAGGTACATTAGAGAACTTCATAGTGCTTGATACAGGGCAAAAGGAAATTGTCCTTGCGAAAGTTCTGAATGGTTTAACATCTGTACGAGTAAGCATTTGTGTGTTTAGCTGGATCTGATAATCGAAAATCTTCTCCAAGCAGACACTATTAATCACTGCCGAATTCTTATCGTTAATGATGACTTTTTCAAACCAAAAGCAACCTTCCTTCATTGTCATTATTGTTTTTGTGTAAGCAGCTTTGGGTCGATTTCTTGCCAGGCAGTGAAACTCATAAGTCGAATGGGCCGTAGTTTTGATATTGTCTGTTATATCATCAAAGAGGGCTTTCCAAACAACCGTTATGATAGCATCATCAGATGTTAGCCTATAGTATTATCGTTTAGAGCATTAGTGACATGAAATGAATAGCGAAAGCGGCTGAATGCATGCTGTGTTAAAACTTTCGACCGGCTTACATGTCAGTAATCCGTGGTCTAGCTTCGAATTGATCCCTCAAAACAGTTTCTATATCCATAAAATGCCAAACTTTTTCTTGTATATCGGCCACTGGCGATGACCATAAAATTTTACCAAGTCTAACAACCATTATAAGCGTTCACAGAATGAAAGACGATTGACAAATATATTACACAACTTACTTTGCGGAAAGTGTAATTAGTCCTTTAAACCCCTTAACAGATTCAATAGCTTCTCTTAAAACACGGCTAATATGTTTGTAGTTATAATCGTCCAGCCTAAATATGCATAAAATTGTTAGTCAATGAATGTTTGTGTTTAAAACTTTCTAAAGTCATATTGTGTTTTGAAGTTACGAAATAGGTTGATCTCGAGAAAAGAAATATGTTTTCGAGAAATCACCCCTGCTGCTTTGCTTCAATTTTTGTATAGCTCTATGCTTGGAAACACTTAGCGTATCTTCAATTAACAAATCCTTTGGTATACCATATTCACAAAAGTGATCAACTGGCACAGCTAACAATACATATTGATAGTCTAATAGGTGATCAGCCAAGGTTTGAGGTAGATACGCCAGCTTTTTGTATGTCGAAAGGTTACAATAATATAACCCGAAATGAGATTTCTTGCTGGTATTTACACAAGTAAATGATTTCACATATTTTTGTCCTAACTATTTGATAAAAGTAACCGGTATAAGCGTTGCGTTTTATTTTAATGAACATATTCTACACGCCTAAAAGATCAAATTGTCCAGACTCACATAAGTTTTTTGAACTACTTGGAGCATCTTCAATGCAGCAGCAACGGATGAAGCATTACCAGTAATGGAAATACTTCTATTTGATATTACCGCACAATCGGCTCCCGTCTCCATTGGGATTAAATTAATGTATTCAGCATTCAACATATTGAACTGAGGGGGTCCAATAAGAATATCCTCAATATCATGAACTTTGGGTTCAATGGTAAAGATATGCTCTTGTTCGAGTTCGCCCGATTCAAATTTCAATAAATCTTCTTCAGAATTATCCATGTCCATTTCTAATTCCTTCAGATGCATTTCCAAAGGCTTTCCATGTATTATGTCGCCGCGTTGTTTATCAGTGGCAGGTCCTTGATAAGTTTTGTTGAGAAGATCTAGGTTCTCAAAGGTTCCTGTCAAGCTGAATGCGTCAACGTATTCATTCTAATGAAGTTTTCATCTTTAGCTGATCATTTATCACTAAAAATATTTATTTTTGAGGCATAATGAACTTACCAACAGGGGAAGCAGTCTTGAACAAATGAGTTCATTACTAAAGTTATCAAGCGCTTAGGATCATTTTCATAGTATGTAAAAGTAAATAAAGATTTATATTACGCTTGATCACAGTCTTCTTCGTTTTCTGCTGTGATCTCAAAAAACTACATTTAGAATGTGAAAAGCCGTTAAATAATGATCGGTAGGCTCCCTTTTTTACTACCCTATTTTTCTGACTATTAATGATTACTCTTTCTTTGAAATTGTAATCAATTTTAACGTTGCTTTTTGAAGCTATCAAACTATTTACACAAAAAAAAAGTACAAAAAAAATAAATTAATAAAGGTTTGTATTCTTCTGCCTTCTGTAATTGAGCTTTACTGCAAGCTGTTTATGATACTATGGTGTACTTTTTCAGTGATAACTGCCACAGGATAGATTTTATGATTGACTTCGGTCATCATAGCAAAACCATAAATTGTTAAGGTGTTATAAATGGTACACTCAAGAAGAGAATTTAAGATCTATATATCGCTTCCTTATTAAACTACCTTTGGTCATTGTGAGATCTCCATTTGTAAACTTCGAAATGCCAAGATTATAATGGCTTCTAATAGGTCCACTTAAACACTGTGATTAATTTTGAGCGTTATCTCAAAAATTTAATCCTGCTTCATTGGGTCTATTTCATGTACTGAGGATTATTCCCTTGAAAGTGAAAGCCATTCGAAAAGCGTTTGTACTATTCTGTCCATAATGACCGTATGAATATAGACAGTTATACTCCGAGCTGCAAGTAGAAAGTGCTGTACTGTACCGCATCCTTGCAAAAATCATATATTTATATTGTTTCGCAATTACATTGGTGTAGATTGATAAATTGAAAGCAGAAAAAAAAAGAAGAATAAGAGTAGCTACCAAAAGTCAATAAACGGAAGACGATCCATATTTAAATAATAGGTTAAAGAAAAACGAAATAAAAATACTCCATGTAATTTGATTTTTCATAGTGAAGCGAAGCTTTGAACTTGTTACTGAAATTGTGCTAGTGTATCGTTGTAGCAACGCATCAGTCGTTAAATGGTAGTGATTCATAAGTATCGTTTTGAGCACTGCTCAGTTATTAATGAACTAATGGACAATAACGGCGTTGCGAAATTCGCTAATAGGAAAATGAGAGTTTCAATTTGATGGAAAACAGCTATTCTGAATATAAGATCGCCTTGAAACGATACGAGGTTCTTTAGAAACAGAATGAAGAGTTATAAATTGACTGTGCGTTTTCATGGAGTGACTTATCCACCTATATTCATACACTGATGGACAAAATGAATTTGGTTTAAAGTTTGCTTTATGTCCATATACGTAACGGCGTCCAAACTGCAGAGTGGTGATTTACTGCTAGCAGAGATGGAAGGGCTTCAAGCCAAAAAATGGAAGGTTACAATTCGATTGGGTAAATCACAGCAGCAAAAAAAAAGAGAAACTGTTGCGGGGAAAAAGCTCGCTTCATGGTTTTTTTGGGTTTTTTTTTAGCATTAACGTACCGTTTCACAGCAGCTTCCGAGTTTTGGATAAAGCAAACTTGATTCTGCGAAGGGAAAGAGAACTCATGCCTTACCTTGCGCCGAAGTTATTGTATACATTCTTATTTGCATGCCAAGGGTCAGCACCAGTTTATCTTGCCTTATTTTACTCGTCAGAATTAGGTCTCAAAAGTGATCAGATTGGTTTATTGGTAGCAATAGGTAATTGAAACTTCCTTTTGTGCAATGTAAACCATTCGCAAGCTCACTTAAGCTGTAATGCATTCAATAGCACCATTTATTTCAGCTATAGCGTGTCCACTATGGGCTGCCATAGCCGATAAAACGAAGACACATAGATATATTATGTGTATTGTGCATACTTTGGCCACCATCGCCATTGTTAGTGTCATGGGAATCTCTGCTGTAGTCCAGGCAGTGGAAGACGATGTCGACAAAAGCAAACTTACCATTACACTCGTTACCATCACTTCCGTTTGCTTTGCGTTTTTTGGAGTGCCAGTTCTACCTTTAGTCGATGGTGGTGTTTTGAAGATTCTCGGAAGAAATAAGGATCAGTATGGTCGACAGCGTATGTGGGGCTCGATTTCTTTTGGTATAGCCTCTTCGCTCGTTGGGTTCAGTGTGGATTGGACGAATGATATGAATGTTATATTCTATATATATGCTTTTTCAGCCATATGCTTCATTTTCATATGCGGAAATACACAATTTAAATCAGAGAGAGTAAATGATCAATACGATAGAAGATACCTATCTCCCCCTCAGTCTAAATCATCCCCACAAGCTTCTTCATCATCTAATAGTATATCAGATAGCCAGCAAAACAGTATGGCAGCATCATTTTCGAATTCTGGTACTTCTCGTACGAAAAGCAATAATAACATGAAGCATTTTAAAGTCGATTCATATAATGAAGTGGGAATTGATTTTGATTCACCTCAAATACGGCAGAATGAGATTCAGCGCTTAATTCAATTTGCAACAGAATCTAGTATTATCGAGGCTGTCAATTTATCAAATCCACCTTCACATAGACTATATCAAGCTGTATCAAATGCACGTCAGCCAGTAACATTATTACAGCTACTGAAAAGATCTGAAGTCTCTTTGTTCTTCTTGACAATGATGTTAATGGGCGCGGCCTTGAATATGGTTATAAGCTTCCTGTTCATCTATATGAAGCAAGACTTAGGCGCAAGTTCATCACAAGTAGGGCTGACCGGGTTGATCGGATCATCAACTGAGCTTGTTTTCTTTTTTTATTCTAAAGATGTGAGTACGTTATTCTTTAGAGTAATATTCAATGATTATGACTAACGCTCAAACTTGTTGTTAAATAGCTTATTCGAATCCTTGGTATAAAAAGTCTAATTATTCTTGGCCACGTCTTGACCATTGTCCGTGTTTTTGCCTATACAATAATACCAAAGGGTCCAACTGGAGCAAATATAGCACTAGGTTTACATCTACTGAATGGCATGGCATTCTCAGCTCTTTGGGGAGCTGGTGTCGTTCAGGCAGATGAATTGGCTCCACCATCACTACAAGCAACTTCGCAAGGTGAAGCATGATGAGTGTGCAAAATTGTTCCGCGTCTACTGTTAACAAAATTCTTCTATTTTAATGAACAGGTATTCTGGCTGCCATGTACGCTGGTGTGGGAGCTGGGCTCGGTAGCCTTATAGGAGGCATTGTATATGAACAGTTTGGATGTAATGCTATGTTTTATACAGTTATCACTCTCACATCTGTAAGCTTAGAAATTTATCTTGAGACCAATACTAGTTTTGGAATTAGCGACAACTGTCGCCGGCTTTATAGATTGGCGAATCATGTATATTGGCGCATCCAGTATGCTCGCGGTATCGGTCATGCTGTTCCGCGATGGAGAGGAGGCGGTACAATTCGGTTAGACGATAACTGACATAGCTTCAGCCGCGTTTCATATCGGTGCAAATGTTAAAGCTATCATTGGTAAAGTACGATATATCAAATAATTGGCAGGTTCGTTGGGAATCATAAAAACAGGAAACAACGCAGGATATCAATTGCGAAGTAGTACCATATGGCAAAACATGGCAATAACGGAAAAGTTCTGTTGTCTTACTTATTCAGAAGATAATTTGCAGAATGCATTATACCCCTACGTAATAACGCTTACTCTTTAATACCACTATTGTTTTCATTACTACCTGTTAAAACTTTGTATATAATGTATATAAATGAAATCCACTGTAGGAATTCAAGTGTTTCTTTGCCCAATAGTTATTCTTCGTTGGAATGAATATATGGTTTTGGTCATTAATTTGACAGATGTAGAAGGCGGTATATTTTATTGCTATTACGAGCTAGCGTTGATTTTTACTCTAGGCCTCTGTCAGTGAGGAAACTTGTGATCTCATATTTATGTTTCGCTCTAAGAGTTAGTTTAAATGTATTATCAGACAGTAAAAATATGTGTACCAAAATGTTTGGATCCACTTTACTACTATTTTCAATAGCAATAAACTCTTCCCCGACAATTTGGACGATGCTTAAATCCCACGTTTTACGCAGCCTTTTAGCAAGTTTTCTGATTTGCCTAAGAGAGCATTCAAAAACTCGTTCTTCTTCACAAGGATATTGTAACCACAACTGTCCAAACTGTTCTGTTGTTAATGAGAGATTTTCTTCTTCCGGAATCTGCAGCTCAAGTTCAAGGAGATTCGACATCAGGTTATTTTCCTGCTTTAACTACTTAAAATTAAAGGTTATCATATAATGAATTATCACAACGTATTCTGCAATACAATATTACCTTCTTTGCCGGACTATCAGTGTAGGTTCTCTTTCCTTCCACCGATACATCGTTTTGAATGCGAGGAATGTTTGAGTACTATATGCATTTACATAATGATTGTTGATAGGTAATTCCAATAAAGCACATTACTTCTTTATAAAGCAAACGATTACCTGTTCCACTTGCAAAGAAGCTTTCCGGTCAAGACTACGGTGATATAGCAATGTATATTAGATGATAATAATCGCCCGTCAGTTGCTGCAAATATTCTTACCCATCAGTTAACAATAAAGTATGCGGACCATAAGGATTAGGGCTGCTTTTTTTTAATACTTGGCGTTTGTCTAAAAAGGCACAAGTGTTATTGAACAAGTTTATGCTTCAAGCTCCCAAGAAAAGTGGACTTGCCTTCATAGTCTGAAATGAATCTTCCTATACCGATTGGTCGATTGGGGTTTTCCTTGATCTACACATAAGAATTTTCATCAGCTCACTTGACGGAATAATGAAAAGCTATTTTGAGCCTCACATTGGTAATGTCGGGTATAATACTTCTTTCTTCTAGAAGTCTTTCAAATGAATTGTCCTTCAGAATAGAGGTCAACTGATACGCTACCTGAATATCCAAAGTTAGTTCATGAAGTGTCTGTGACGAAGCGTTTTAATCCTGCATTTTTTTAGTTTTTCCTCTTACAGCTTGCCTTTCAGAGAGAGATGACTTCCTAAAATTCATTAGAATGGCATCTAAGTCAGACAACCATACATTACTACGGGTTATACATTTTTTAATGGCTTGTAAACCATAAATTTGAAGATATTCATCTAATAACAAATTATTACATATAAAGAGGGTTGTTTAAAAGCGTCTGATAAAATGGTACTGAACGGATTACCTTCAACAAGCATGATCCATTTTTGCAATTGCCTCATTATATCTACGTCAGTAACATCGGATGCCAAATACCCATTCTCTCCTAGTATCTACAGTTGTTTGGATAAGAACGTAAATATCACTGTAAGCTAGGCTTATACGTAGTAAATATTAGTCTCACCCAAAATAGAAACTGTATGAATACTGATGAGAAAATATTTGAATTTGTCCGCGCCAGTAGGCGATATGCTTTGTTAACTGATGCTTCTCTTAGAATTGTGCTATCGGTTTCATTAGCTAAGGCTATAGATTCATTGCAGCGATCAATTTAATAAATACGTTATTTGTATGTTAAAATATAAGTACATACTGTCTTTGAGCAATGTACATTTTGAGATGACGTATTGCTCGTCCAAATGCTTTCTTGACTCTGCCAATATCATGATTAACGTTTCAACAAACCATACATCTTCTGAGGCGCAATAGTCTGTTAGCCGGTTCGCTAACCAATAGGCAAACATTGTACTGTTTTCTTTGGAATCATGTATTTCCGTTAGAGCCTCCAAAAGTTGGGAACTTATTTCCTTAAGCATTTTCTCATCTATTATGCTATCCAGGATTTCTAAAGACTGGCTTGAAATAGTATCATCAAATGCTGAGGTTCGGATTATATCTGCTATCAAGGTTCCATTCAGCCATTTTGTCTTCCAAAAACATTTATCGACAAATGTTAAACCCTTTAGTCCCAAGTATTTTAGGTTGTGATTAGATGCTTGTAAATAGGGTACTAGTAGTTGGAAAGGATTTTCATCTTGAGCTGATAATGTCCCTAGTAAAATAGGGTCAATCGCAGCTAAGAGCTTAATGCATTCGAGTACAATTGCTATTACGTGAATCACAGCAATGTCAGTTTTACTGTGGAAAGCTTAATTAATGTTTTTCCTTTAAATTGCTTACCAAAAGCCATATCATACTTCTTTTTTATACTAGCAAGACAGTCGATAACAAGACTATACAGTTCTTGAGGAGATCTATTTTATCGATGAGCAACGCCAGATCTTTTTTAATGGCTGTCATCTCTTTTAAATTACCCGATATCCAGCTCGTGATATATGCCATAGATTTTCAAGCAATCGAGTTGTGCCCATGGAGCCATTACACCATGGTAACTGAATGATATATGTATACGTTTTTCAATTATCTGTCTATGGATATTGTAGATAACGGGTAATAAATCCTGAAACCTCGATGCCCCTTGCTCCTACTTAAAGTTATTGAGTATATTCACAATTTATAGATATGTAGTTTAGCATACCATTAGTATCATTTTCCAAACGGATAAAGCAGCGTATACAACACTTATGTCTTTGTCAACTAAAGCTTTCCTTAATGCCATTTCGATGCGCTCACCGTTCGCACCACAATCCTTATATAGAGAATATAAAGCCATTACAGCTTTTTTCCTCACCACTTGTCTAATTATATAGGGCGTTAGAACTGATAATGCCTGATATTGAGCAAAGATCTATTCACTTTACTTTGGGAAGTCTATAGCTTGAATGACACAGTCCAGTACACTTTCGAGCATTTGCTCTGGTTCGATGTAAGAAACAGCATTCAAAGCAGCACAAACGGCGATATAATTCTGACTTTTCAAGTCCCTCAACAGTGTATTGATGAGCAAGATCCCTAATTCATGACTCCTGTTTAAAAATGATATGCAAGCCAAATACCCTTCAAAGATGGCAGATTGTTAATGCCATGACACCTCGTACCATAAAAAATTAGCTTACAATTTACCCACACGTCTGTCTATTTCTGTCTCCCCACTTTGAGTCGCCATAATAGCGTATATAATACTGAAATCAACGTCATAACCCAGCATATGACAATGAATGAGTCGTATTAGGTACTCTTTCATTTTACCCTTTTTCGCATGTATGTCAGAATAATATTCGTAACTGCAAAATTCAGCTCAATTATAAAAACCAAAATATTACCGATGGAACGTCTGGTGAGGCCAATTTGCTGTTTAACGTTTCTAATTCATTCTTTACATGGCACAATTCTTCCTACATTCTTTAATGGTCAGGTTTGCCTATTATGAATGCCGTTCACTTGATTTGCTTTACCGTTTTGCTCTTTGCTTGAGTTAGCTTAGTAATGAAAGTAAAATGCTCTGTACTAAGTCCAGAAGCTAGGAATTCAGACGAAAAATAGTTATTCATCCGTGACATTCACAATAAATATGGCATAAAAAGTAAAGCTTGAACAAAACCTTCCGTTGCATGATTGAGACTTATCACAATCTGTGCTTGAAACTTATTTGTGCTTAAGGTCCCGTGATAACTGCTAGCAACATAAAGATATTCAATGACGAAAATAATGTTATCGTATTGGTCTTGCGTGTAAATATTCTGCTGAAGTTATCATCATGAACTTAAATTGTAGTTTAAAAGAAGTGCAGTTTATGAGGAAGTGTTGCCATATTCAACAATCAATCGCATTTATTGCCCCTAAGGCAACTGAAAGTCGGTAAGCAAGCTGAAGTGGCATACTGTAACTTTTTCTCTTTCAAGAAAAAGCGATTTGTGTATAATATTAATGAGTGACAATAAACCCCATAGAGACAGTATCGAATGAACAAAGAACAAAGAAGTTAAAAAAAGGAAACTACATGTAATGACAAAGATTGTCATTAAGGAAACGGGCTTCTTAGCGTACATTTTCCAAATTATTTCATAAACGAGCCACTTAAACCTTCTACGTTATCCGCCGCATTATATGTGCAATGTTACAAACCTATTAGTGTAAATGAACTGTGCTTCATACTTTTCTGCTTAATCGAAGATGCCGTTATCAACACTGTTTTACTTTGGCAGTAGAATGTTGCTTTTTTGCTGTTTTCAACAATTTTTACGGTTCTTTCATTGCCTAATGTACATGCTCTGTTGGGGTTCAATGTATCTTTTCCTTGCATTCTTGCTTAAATATGGCATACATTTTTTTCTCGAAGCCTTCTTCTTCCTTCACATTGTCCTTCTTTTTTGCTGGTCAACTTTCATTCTTGCCATCAACCATAGCACTCTATTTCACCATCATCATATTTTGTAATTGAATGATGATTGTATTGGGATATACACTATACAGTAGATTCTCTTCTTCTGCAATGGAAGTACAACTTGCTGTCATTCTTAAGACTACATTTGGCGTTTTCCTTAAGCATACAAACACTCTCAGCACAAACAGCACCATAAGTTATACTAAATAGATGCGCCCATCATGTATAAATGGATAAGTGTAAGCCTATGTATGAAGCATATCACGCCCTTGTTCTGTTTACTACTACTCTTTGCTGCCTCTCTGATTTACTTCCGAGTTGTTCTTATAATTCTTTCAGGGCATAATATTACTTCTCAAAAGTTCAAGAAAAAAACTGCAAAAGTGCTCTGGAAGAATTGAGTCGATGATATTAGTAAGACTCTAACGACTGTTGATATTGTTTGTTTTCGGAAAAAATGCCAGTGCACTATTGATTATAGACATCACGTTGTTAATAACAACTTCATAGGCAGTCAAAATACGGTGGAAAAGAACAATAAATATTTACTAATATTTCTGCGACAAAAACTCACTATACTGTAACAGTACCCTAGTCAACTTTCTACACTGCAACACAAATGAAACATTGCCGTTCAGTACATTCTAAAGGCATGGCTTTAAAAATGGTAAATGGAGATAGGGTTTTCTTGGCAATAGAATGCTTTTGATGTCATGAATTTTGAAAAGAAGGTCCACCTTGTCAGTTTTGAAATATCTTGATCTACGAACTTAATCTCTCAACTTTGTAGATATTCTATTTAAGGAACTTGCAATTTTGTCAGGGCTTTGAAAAAAAACAAAACTGGTAAGCTTTGTGTGGCTTCAAATAAAAAGAGAAACATGAATTTTATTAACGGTAAACTCTATACCTCAGCCATATCATTTTTGACTGCTTCCATAACAATAACAATGCAAAAATGGCACCCATACTTGGTTAACACAAGTTGTACAAACCATTTCAATTCGTAAAAGGGACTATATAATAAGCAGCTGGCAGCTCCCTTTTCAGCCCTTGTCCTTTTTGATTTCTGACAATCAAGTACAATATTTTAATCATTATCATGACTAATCAAAGAAAGGATACAGCATATATTACTGATAAACCTTATAATAAATCTGAAGCACAGCATAAACAAGCGATTACTTTTATTTTAAATGACGAATCTACAGCATCCTACAGCCTAAGCTCTCAACACGATAGCGATAGTCTTAAAGCCAATGGCACAACACCTGCAATAAGGCCATCTGTACGTAAAAAAGAACTTGGATACGATTCATCTGAACTCTTGAAGAAGAAAGTGCACACGAAAGTGCTCAACATGCAATCACATAATTCTGAAATTGAAGACACAGAAGACAGCTCTTGCTCAGAGAGCGAGAATGATGAATTAAGTTCAATACAATCAATACCGCTCTGTTGTCAAGCAGCTCAGAATGAACTGAAAGAGTACAAAAAGAGAATTAATATACTCATGGCATTGGTTTCAAGGCAAACAGCGGAAATACGCTCCCTAAGATCCATAATCCATACACATAATAAGCTTACAACACAACAAACAGAGACAGACAAATCTTCTATGTTGCACGATTGTTATCATGCACGCAAGCGAAATAAAAACTTTTGATTACGTAAGGAACGCATTGCCCATTTCTCAAAGAAGAGTATATTTTGTTTCCAAAACTTTGTTTTTCGTTAATTTTTGCAATCGATGTTTAATTTGTTCTTTGTTTTGTTTCTTTTCTTTCCACTTAACCTTCCTCTTCTTTCCTGTGGAGCTGTATTAGAATTTTTGCCTTTTCTTCATTCTTTCCTAACCATAGAACGTAATGCATGATCTTGACAGGTACATTCCTCTTATTAATTTGAAAAGTACATGAATGGGAATCCCTGTCGGCGATTTCTCGTCCTGTAGGTTTCTTGTTATTGATTAAGGGTTCTGAACGCGGGAATGATTCATTGAAAATAGACAATTGGAGCAACTGAGACGAGGAGAAATCATTACAGAGCAGGAAGTTAAAGAATTATGTGCGAAAGCGAGAGAAATTCTGATTGAGGAAAGCAATGTACAACGAGTCGATGCCCCAGTGACTGTAAATACCTCTCTAATCGGACTATTATTGATTGTTGTTCATTAACAAACGTTGAGACTTATTGTAATTACAAAATGCATATTATTCATTGAATAGATCTGTGGTGATATTCACGGTAAAATGACAGATCTTAAAACTTCGATATTTGAATCAGTTAATAAGTTTAATAATGACTTGTTAGGCCAATTCCACGATTTGAAGGAGCTGTTTCGTGTAGGAGGAGAATGTCCTGAAACAAACTATTTATTTATGGGTAAAGACTAGACTTCCCGTAAAAACCTCACTTTAATTGGGGAACAGGCTACTTCATTCTATTCATACACATGTGGTTTTTCTTAGGCGATTTTGTCGACCGTGGATATTATTCAGTGGAAACATTTCTTTTATTATTGGCTTTGAAAGTTCGGTACCCAGATAGAATCACACTTATTAGAGGCAATCATGAGAGTAGACAAATTACACAAGTATATGGATTCTATGATGAATGCACACGGAAATATGGCTCTGCCAATGTATGGAGATATTGCTGCGAAATTTTTGATTTTTTAAGTCTGAGTGCCATTGTTGATGATAAAGTATTTTGTGTTCATGGAGGTCTTTCACCGAGTATCAACACATTGGACCAGGTATACCTTCACTTTACTGTTATTATCGTCTTGAGACATATATTTGATGAACGTATTACTTCAGATTCGAACAATTGATAGAAAGCAGGAAGTACCGCATGATGGTGCTATGTGTGATTTACTCTGGTCTGACCCCGAAGGTAAGACTTCGGCATTACAAAAGAGACTTCTGATGTCAAACTCACGTATGTCTTTTACAGAAATCGACGGTTGGGGCTATAGCCCCAGAGGTGCTGGATACCTGTTTGGCGGAGATGTTGTTGAAGGAGTAAGTACAATGGAAAGTTCGTTGACAATTACAGACCGACATTCTTATTCCCCTTCTTCAAATGTACAGTTTATACATACGAACGGCCTCGACTTTATTGCACGTGCACACCAGCTCGTGATGGAAGGATATAAACCAATGTTCCACGATATGATAGTTACAGTTTGGTCAGCACCAAATTATTGCTACAGATGTGGGAATGTCGCTGCTATATTAGAGTTAGATGACTATTTAACTAAGCAGTATAAATTATTCGAAGCAGCACCTCAAGTAAGTCAACAATCATACCTACAATCTAACGTCCAGAAATCTATGTTAACATCATTGTCTCTTTGCAACAGCAGGATATCCGCGCAATGCCTCAGAAAAAGTCTTTACCTGATTATTTCTTGTAATTAATCTTCAGTTTCCTTACATGCATATTTCTTTTTGAAGATCTTTGAAACCATCTTATACATATAATTGTTCGATTTATTTGTTCAATATACTGATCCAGTCTTTTGTCTTTATTCCTTTATTTTATTATTGTTACACATTGTATATAAAAGAATTACTTTGAAATAATTACCTCATACCTACATAATTATTGTTTTGCCTTTGATTTAACACATGATTCACTAAGCAATTGACATCTTAGCTCCATTCGATTATCCCATTCCTTATCTTCCTGATTCTGTATATAGTAGTTCTTGATATTCCGTATCCAAATAGTTATCGCATTTCCATTGTCCTCTTCATTTACTGTTAGACGCGTTGTAACAGCAATCTCATACATCGCATAGGGTATTGCCCATTGTTGGTGTTTATCATAATCTGTTATAGGTATAGATAGTATTGACTCAAAATGATTCAAGGCTTGATCTAAACTACCCTCCTTATCACGGCAGATAACGCCCACAATTAGATGGTGTAAAGGGGATACATTGTCTCCATTTTGTCTACCGTTGTTGACCAGCAAGTTTGATAAACCTTCTTTTATTCCAATAAGTAGCTCCTCTTTACAATATTGAAGACCGTTCCACAGATAGAGAAGCTCCCAGACTGGGGCTGCTTCTGCATGATATGCTCGTAATACATCTTTCAAGTTATTTTTGCTTGTTGCAGAGTTAGAAAGCCCGTTCCAATAGCGCACTTTAGCTTCGATATATTGTTCATTAGCTGATAGTCTGTATCCTTTCTTTTTTTTATGGTCGAGTATATTAACCATTTGTCGTGCTTCAAGAGAGGCTCTTTCATATAAACCTGCTGCCAGCATACAACACGTGGCTATGTAATGATAAAATAGACTTGAAGATTTACAGAGGGTTTCCAAAGCGAAAAAAGCCTCTGTGGCAAGTAGATAGTTGCCGGAATACATATGTGTCCTGAACAAGTAAAATGAGATAACTTTAGACCAGCAGAAATCTATTCTATTACAATGATGCTGTCAATTAATTTACCATCCTGTTTCATGCAATATCCAACAACGGAATTGTGAAAAGCCAGTTATTGATAACTGTTTTAAGCTATTTTCATTACTCCTTGGAACGATCGTTGTTGAAAGACCGGCAGTATTTAAAATTTGCTGAGATGCATTAGTAGGTTCCTTCGCTTTATTGAGTAAATCTAGGCATTCTTCCGCTGAATCCCCTGCTAAAAGCTGTAACTTTGCTTCAAAAATGTACCATATACGGCCATTTGGAAACTTTTGTTTCAACTGCTCTAGTAATTTTCTTCCTTTTTGAACGCTTAAAAAGCTGTTGAATTGTGGCTGAATATATGTTGAGATGTTGGTACAAAATAACAATAATACTATTGAGCTTAGGCGTGAATACATTGTGGAACTTTCTTGAGACCTTTCCAACAAATGAATTGACATTGCTAATGTTGAACGATACCCCAAGCTACTCAATATCTTTCTAACTAGGCTAGATCAGTATTGAGCAATTTGAAGTTTATAATGGCATAGGTGCCAATTACCTTTTAAAGGTGACAGTGATAGCACCATATTAAACAAACCAAGACCAAAATATATACCGCTTTCGAGTAGATCATCATTCAGGATTTTTCCATCGGTACGGGCTGGTGTATGCATTCGATCAAAAGACGATACTGTGCACTGCTGTATTGTTATTCCCAGTTGTTTTTCAAGCAGAGTCTCGTATATTTTTAGTGCCTTTCGAAAATCGTAAATTGCCTTGATATTATCGAACCAGCTATTCCGCACAATCTGTAATGTGGCCATCATAAAAGTGCAGTGAGCATTCAATAGGCCTAGATGTACTTCGGTTTTATTGTGATTATTCTTTTTTTTTTTTTTGGAGAAAGAGAGCAGTAAGAGTAACGGTTTATAAATGTTGCTATGGATATGGTTTTTTCAGAATGATCTAAAGCATCACTTACCACTGTTGCTGCTGTTGCTGACTTTCTCCTTTTCTTGCAGTCATTCATGTAACGTAATAACTGTAATTGGAGCTTCTCCAATATCCCAGCAACTTCGTCAATTTCGTGCATGTCCAAAGTCAGCATAGCTGTTATATAGTCAAAAAGAGCCTTTCCAAATGCAATGTATGGTGAAGAGCTTGACAGTTCTTTATCTTCAGAACTTGAGCAATTGAATATACCGAGAGCATCCAGGATCTTATCGTCCAGCACTTTCTCCTTAATAAATGAAGTCTCATTGAGTGTTTTGAATGTTGTACTCAACAACACATAGCAATACTCCCGAAAAACTTACGATGCCCATTTCCAATTTGTTCAACCCAATGATATATTCATCGATTATATCTACATTACAGTCTGAGGTCCTTGGACTACCACCAGTAAATTTTGTAGCTATCTTTGAAAGGTGGCGCAACATTATGACGCTCTACAAAAAATTATATAAAAAGGCAGGCATCGGTTAGTGCACTACCAGAATGCTGATACAATGAAAATTGGCCACTATTATCAACATATGAACGAGAAGTTTACAATGGTGGGGTCAGTTATAAAAAAATTAAAAATGTATTACTAACGTAAAGCTACAGTAATTTGAAGAAAAAGAAAAGAATTTAAAAAAAGTCAAACACATCATTAGAGAATATAAAGCATGTAATGTACAGTTTAATAATTAAGAGGTTGAGAACCACTGTTACGCATTCTGAAAAAGGTAGTTGCGCGGAGCGAGCTAAACCTGTTTCTCCATTTAGTCTCCTTTTTCGATTTTTCTTTTGTATTCGTAGAGGATGGACCATTCGTAAATGAGAACCGTGAAAAGGCCTTGCTACTTTGGTCAAATACCCCTTCATTTGGATCGCTAGCAAATGATTTTGGCCGATCGCTTATTTTTGGTCGTGACAAATACTCCTGACTGTTCCCTTTCAGGCCGCACTTTTTCGACTTCAATAATGTACTATCTGCATTCTGGTTATTTAAAGGTAAAATGTGAGAGGGAAAAAGATGATTGATGAGTATAAACCCAATTCAATTCAAGGCAAGGACTTCTTATACACCTACCTCATCTTTAAAGAAAATTTGTGATTCAAATGATAATGGCGTCATCGATTTTCGATGAAAACTGGAGAGTCGATGTAAGACTTTTCCGACGAACAATTTGCTTTTTGGAGTGTTACTCTCTGTATAGCTAACATTATAACTCCTGTTTAGAATGTCACTATTCATAAGAGTATCATCACTACCCGATGGTTGAGGCGTTCCTGTTAGAGATGCATGGCTTGTAATCACTGGTCGATTGTTAAAGCATTTTGTTTTCAATTGTTGCTTTTCAAAGGTTGTATTCGTCCCACTACTTATATTACAGTACGAATCTTTATCAGCCTGGACTTGAGCACCCATTTTATTTTCCGTACTCGAGTATGCAGAGCTTATGCATGATTGATCTTCAAAATCTGTCACAGATATGTGATGTGCGCGTGAGTTGGAAGGTTTGGAATCGATTGCTCTCTTATGCATCATCAGCGAGAAACTTGAAGCAGAAGTTCTGATGAAAGAGGACGATTTACATTTTTTCAGAGGCTCGTTAGTAACACCTGGAAGATTACTGGCAGAGGTTGCGCTACAATTATTTACGTAGCTTTGGGGTGTGGCAGGCGGCTCCAGCGATAACTCTCTATCTTTGAAATACCATGCTTTCGATGATAAATACTCTTGCGTGCAAACATCGCGTAACTTATGATCAATTATGAGACGAAGAGAAAATTGGTAATTGCTTTTCGTTTTCCAAGGTATTTTTCCAATCATAAGATTGGTAGTATTAGTGGCAGTTAATGACAAAAGATCTAAGGAACTGGGTCTTCTTTGGATTCTTCCAGAGCCTACCAGATCTGGTTTTATGTACAGTTCAGAATTGTTTCTTGGTTTCAAAGCAAAATTATCAGGTCGCTTATGCACTGTTGACGGATGATAGTCAACCGAATATCGTTTTTTCAGTGAAACCTGCGCTGATGATTGCCTTGAATAACCTCCCGCTGGTAAGGCAGTAAGTGATTTTGTTGAACTGTCATCAAATCTGACGTAGCTTGATAGAGATCTCTTTAACGGAGATGCGACTTCCCTCGCATCCTTCCTACATATTACAGTTTCATTCGACGTATCATTTACTGTAAGCGAGACTCCTGCCATGGTTTTATCAAGCAAATCGGTAAACGACTTTGATATTCTAATTTTCTGAGGTGTTGAGCCAGCTGATATGCCCGGAAGAGAGGAAATGATCGTATTTCCTGCATCTGTATTGTTCAATTCCATAACTTTGCATTCGCTTATTACCTGCGTCAGCTTTTTAGTCCAAAGTTGCTTTTCATGAGAGCAGGTGGCAGTGAAGATGAATGCATGTTTTTTGCACCGAACGACAAACGAATGCTCTCTCTGACCTTAACAGTTCATGTAGTAAATAAGATAAACAAATTGTTGATCATGACGTAAGTTTTTTGTTTGATTACCTTCGATGTCTTCTAAGTTTTCAAACGTAGCTGAGCAGAGTGGAAACCAGTATTTGGGCTCATAGTAAGTTACCTTCTTCGGCTTAACCATAATCATATAAGTCGAGAAAATGAAGCAACCCAGATATTTTGGTTTAGAAAACGTTTGACCAATAGCAGAATAAGTTACTTCAATAGCTCCAGCGAGTATGATGTTGCCCAGTTCGGCGACATGATTTTTTGTCAATCTCCAATCCCCACTTAATCGCTGAATAAAGCGATCCGTACGCTCTTTTAACTCCCGTTGATACTTCAACTCATCGATCTCTGTTACTATTTCATGCATTTTATCTAACAAAGTTTTCCACAAATTGTATTCTGTACATCGAGGCGGAATATATTTCATGATTTCTTTGATAAGTAATTGATATCTGCATATCCGCTGCACCGGCTGACACCAGAAAAGTATATAATGGATTTTGCATTGTTTCGGATAACAACAGCAATAACAAATACAAAATATAAGAGTATAGCAGTTTAAGATTAGATTTGAGGTTGAGCTGGCAATGCAGAAGGATACAAACCTTAATCAAATAATCCTCGAAATGTAGCTTCTTTTGTTGCTCGTAATAGGATTGTTTCTGCTCACCTTGTCTGTTGAATAAGTTGAGAGTTGTCGACACTAATGACAGTTGCGTTTGAATTATTGAGCATTCCTTTAGAAAATCTGCCCATTCGGGTCGAGATCTGTATTCTGATGTCAGGGTCCACGCTTCTGCGTGAAGATCGCAGTATTGTTTGTATAATGAAAAGTGAGCGATCTGTGGTAAATAAATAAGCAATGGAAATCATCAGTTAAATTTGCTCATCGAGTTGAAGGTATTTCATTTTGAAAGTTGCAGCTAAAAAGAGCTTTCCGCCACTTCATTGTTCCCATCATTTTGGGAACTCGACAGATGCATGCACAGATAAAGCACTTCACGTGACCTTACCTGATCTAAAAATGCATTTACAATGAAGGAATGGTTTTCGTTATTACTAGCGGTAGTATTGAAGGAGGACATAAGCTCCTTATGAAATGACAAAATTTGACTAGAATTCCGCATAATCATAGATCTATCTTGTTGAGGAATCCATTCTTGTCGCGATAGCGCTTTTAAGCAGACCTATATAATTCGGTCATGGAACTAACATTAAAAATGCCTGATTTTTATATCTGTACTAAAGGAAGCCTTGCTGCAGATTTACCTGTACTAGAAAGCTTAGATCTCTCACGTAAACCTTTTCTGTCTGAAGTAATTCCTCAATAGCATGTTTCTTTTTCCTCTGTAGCCTGTCCGCATCTCTTGCCTCGAATTCGTCGTCTTCAAATCTTTCGAAATCTTCTGAGGGCGTTGAATTATCTGTCGACGATACTGAATGAGCGTCGGTGTTGTGTTTTATATGCGAATCAGGTTCAATAAGCGAAGCTGAACAACTGCAGTAACTGGAGGAAGAAGATTGATCTGTGCCTGATCGGGATGAAGAATGGACTTGCCAAGGAGAAATAGATTGTTGGTTCTCTTCCGGTATGCTAATACTGCAATCATCCTCAATATGCTGGTAACAGCAATGACATTGACAACAACAACAACAACAACTGCTGCTGCTGCTCGTATAAGATTGATCATATGCACTGACGGAATGGTGAATATTTTGTTTCATAGGTTGATCTGACAGTCGGATATTACTTAAACAGTTCAGATAGTCAAATGTAAAGTTGATGCTAGATTAAGGATCATGCAAAAAGAATATGGAGCTGGTTGGTTATGCACGGCCATTCAGTAGAATATGTTAGCTATATCTACCTTGTTGATAAATCACTGGAATTTGAATGTTAATCGTTCTACGAAAAAGGGCGGAAAATGATAAATAAGAACGAGAACTGAAGTACAGTGGATGAAATAAATTCTAATGAAAAGGGGAGTGGCAAAAGAATGGGCCTCTTCTTCAATAAAGTAAATAAGCCCGCCAAAGCAAATGAACACAGCAGTCCTTACAGAGCAAAATGAAAAAGTAAGAGAAAGATATGCGACACACGAACACTATAAATAATAACAAAAAAAAAATTAAAAAGAAAAAGATTTGACCCCTTGTTCTCCTAGCTTCTCCTTTCTTTTTGATAGAAGTGTTCCATTTGAGCAATTTAAACTTTTACATGCTTGAGGAATTGAAAAGAGAAAGTCTTTTAGGCTATTGCAAACGTGGGCTTCCTTGTTGAAGCACCACTGAAAAAGTAGTATACATTATCAGTCAATATGCAATTCTTCATTCAGGCAATCTAAGTATAGTTAGTCAGCGATCAAATCTTAGTGTTACTACGTTCGAACTTTGACATTCTGTAGGCAGTAGTGTTACATGTACCTTTCATGCAAGCCATAAGATAAAAGATCCAGTTTCTCATTGCTAAATTTAGACTTCTCTGTTGATGAAATATAGGTATTTCGATTACCAAACTAAGGACTCTGGTCAATAGTTTGTAATGGTGTCCAATAAGCTGAGTTGGAGCATTCACTTTACAACTGGTTTGGCAGGTGACGGGTAATAAGTAACACATCATCAGGGCATAGGACCGAAATTAGAGTAAAATATTCAAAAGAGTAAGCTTTTTTAGAAGTTATCTTTGGATTTATTGCCTGTAAAAAGGTATATCTAAACATTCACCGATTGCTAACTCCAGACGAGAGCTAAGTTGAGTGTCATATGGCTATTAAACTGCCCGGCCAAGAATGTGTACATTGAGTTTTATTTTCGTTCTTGAATCAGAAGTGACACGAAAAGATCATTTAATTGACTGATACAGAAAGGATGAATGGTCAAGGCATGCATTTAAAATGAATGCTGTAGGTGCTGTCGTTGTGCCCTGTTTACTGATTTGGATGTGCGTGTGTAATCCAAGTTCCTTTTTTTTTTATTTGGTGCTGTTTATCCTAATCAGGTACATATTTTATTGGTTAAAAAATGGTTGTAGCCTCCACAGAAGAAGAGCAACGGCATTCCATGCTACATCATGACGATCTGGCTCAGCAAATCAACAACATGGAACCTCTGGCAGTTGGCGGTAACTACTTTTATAATGTTAGCATATGAGAAGTACAAAGAAAATCCAACTACTAAATGAGCTTTATAGATCAACGACTCGAGAGAAAAATAGGTTGGATTCAAGGTTCTATGGTCAATGTGAGCTATATCATCGGAGCAGGTATATTCGTTGGACCCGCCCTTACCTTGCAGCTTGTTGGATCAGGTGGAATGAATCTCATCATATGGTTCATTGGTGCTCTTGTCGCTTTTTCCGGTTCCTACACTTTTATGGAACTGGGAACAATGGTACCCGAAAAAAAAAAAAAAAACCAGCTACGAGACTAATACATTCATCCATTAAATATACATAAAAGCTTCCTCGTAGGTAAAAGTTACTGTTCGTAAAACTCATCGCTTCTTAACAGCGGTTCTCAAATTTTTTGAAGTGGAGGGGAAGTAGCTTATTTAGAATACTGTTATCGAAAGCCCAAATACCTTTTGGCCTACCTTTTCACTTATTGGAGCTTGATGAACAGATCTAGTGGGGTAGCTTCACAAGGTATTTACAGCAATAATAATGAATTTCATTAAGATGTTTATTTTTCAACAATGATATATTTATGTTAGGAATTGTGTTTGGCGGGTACATTAATTACGCTATCTTTGGGCCAAACTTTAAATCACATTGGATAGAAAGAGGATGGGCATGTATGTTAAACCGATAGTGTCGTAGCATTCATGTATGTGTATTTTTTTTGGCCTAATTATATATTACATTTCACCAATTATAAGTCTTGAGTGCAACGATTTATACAGCAATCAACATATTTTCAACTAAAGGGACTATGAAAATGCTAGCAGTTTTGACAATTGTGAAGCTTCTCGTATTAGGCCTCATTGCAATTATTGGTTTACTTGTGCTTACGAAGGTCATTCCGTCTGATGTCAATGTCAGTCTCAATCTATCATTCTTCAGCACTTCAACTACAGCTGGTCCCTACGCGTCAGCATTATATTATGTGAGAGATTTTTGGTCAAAATTAAGGGGCAAAATCTGTTGCTAATCATTTTGGCTTTTAAAAGGTGATGAACAGCTATAGTGGCTGGCATAATTTAAACTTCATTTTAGATGAAGTCAAGGTACGTAGTCATAGAGAAACACATTTATAATGAGATAACAACCAATGACATGTTTAAAATAGGATCCAATTAGAAATTTACCGAAAGCCTCTGCAGTCGCTTTGTTGACTACTGCAGTTCTGTACCTTTTAACGAACATCGCTTATTTGGTGGTACTGCCTCTGGAAATAATGAAAAGTTCTGAATTCATTGTCGCTGCAGCATTGTAAGTCAATTCAAGCATGTCATATAGGATATATAGTACACTCATTCTAGGCATTCAGCTTTAAACGCTCTTTGGGTGAGAATTTTGCATCTACGGTTCTGCCCATTTGTATAAGCCTCAGTGCTTTCGGTTGTGGTGCTGCAATTAATTTTTCAGGCGGACGGTAAGCAAGTCGACTTGACGCATTGTTAGTTTCCGTATAGGTCCATAGGTATTGTTAAACTTTTCTTTTTTTCTTTTCGGCTAGAGTTGTGATGGAAGTTGCAAGGCAAGGTCTATTACCTTACGGCGATATATTGGGGAGGGTTAACGCGAAAATTGGTAGTCCAGTCAGCGCTTACTTGTTGCAATATGCTTTGTCTATATTATTTATTGTTGGCCCCCCACCAGGAGCAGTTTATCAATTTATTGTCGCGTTTACTGGTTACCCTGTCTATGTAAGTCTCTTTATGCAACAGCGACTACTTTATATGCTCGTGGCTCATAATTACGGTCGCATAGGTCTTTTACTTCTTAATGGCCTTAGCTGTATTCATTTTACGAAAGCGGGAGCCTCATAGTAGCAGGCCCATAGCTGCCCCTCTAGGTAAGTAAGAAAGAGGGACCTGACTCAATCAGCGAGACTTATATTGTTTTTTTCAAAAGTATGTGTCTCTATTTTCTTATGTTTTACAGCATATGCTCTCGTCTTTGTCTTCATCCCTGTTGAAAACGCGTACTATCCTTATTGGCGTAAATTCTTTAATACTGAATTATGAGAAAAGTCTGCTTTAATGGATACTAACACCATCTTGATACTTATAGTCCCTTATATTTCAGCCATATTCTTCATGATAGTCTGTACAGGAGTTTGGGCAAGTATTTCAATTATATTTGATAGGAAAGAAAAAAGGTGTTGCAATAACACGCAATATATTTTGTTTTAGTATTATCAAATTATTGTTAAAGATACCCCAAGCAAATCATATAATGAATCTATTAGAAATCAAGGCCATGCCGCTTTAGAGCAAGAAGTTTATGGACAATATACAAGAGTTCCTAGAGAGGAAGAATTATAGATGCTCAAGTTTGGTGCTAACTTCAAGGAAAATGACTCTCACTTTCTCAATTTGACTCAATTTTAGACTTGACTTATTGTAATTTCTTCTTTATCTACTGCAATGATTGAAGCTCTGATCTTTATGAATAGTGGGATCTTGTCGACATACCATTTATTGCTTCTTCAATTTGAGAGGAGAGTCAAATTAGCTCAATTTCACTATCTTTGCAATAAAATTGCGCTTAAAAAATTGGATCTAGGTTTTTCTTGGATTTATACTGCCTTTTTTTGATCTGATATGTACAATCAAGGTGGGGAGTGCAGCATAGATTGATAAGTTTTTTTTTATCTCTTAATTCTGAAACCATATTTCGCAGAAAACTAATTACGATCCAACAAATTTCGATGAAAAGCCGCAGAAAGCACCTGACTTGAAGTTTGGACCCGATTTGCCAGAAGCCTTCTGTAAACCTGTTTTGGCAGTGGCAGATACGGAGGATGCACTTGAGCAGCCGAACATTCATTGAGATTATAAAGGCTAATTTTTATGGAAAAAATGTCAAGCTCTGTTTGTCGCTGATTATCCCTGTGTTATCAGCAGATTAGATTAACACGTAAAAATTATACAGGTTTCTAAATACGAGCGTGGCATGATCTCCACTATATGTAGGGAAAGGTGATACGAGTTTCAAAGGAAACAGCACTGGTCTCTAAAAAATCAAAAAATCTACTACAACGCAGTTGTAACTCCTCTATATCGGAATCCAAGAAGTGGGCTCATTGAAATATCTAGTCTGATCACACAAGTGTTTTTGTTGCAAGTATTTTTTATTGAGAGATTTATGCTGTCGAAGCGCTGAAAGAAATTGAAGCAAAGAAATATCATGCAGTAGGCTACAGGGGGTAAAAAGGAGTTTTTCTACACTACATTAGGATCATATATTACATTCTAACTGCCTGCTATCTACAAAATTTTTTTAAAAAAAATTAGCCACTTATTAGAAGTGCTACTGTTGCAGGAAACTTGCCTTACTCGTATCTTTAGTGGACAATCCCAAAACGTGCGTCTTTGCATGTAAACGTGTTCGCGCTGAAAAGTAAAATATCGAACCATCAAGATATGAGTGTGAATCCCACTTAAAGAATCTGGAACAATATCTTTTTATGAGTTATCTGATCTAAGCGAACGCTATGTATATCAGATAACTGTTCTTTCAAAAATCAAACAAATTTATATGATCTGTTTCCTTCAGATGGATATGCATTTGACTCAAGACTATCGCTTCCTGAATTTGAAACCGAAACCAGGGAATTCCTAGATTCTAAGCTAAAATTTAAACTTTTTTCCTTTTTGGCTGTTTTTTCGAGTACAGCAACCACGCGAGGTCGTCCTGGTCTCTACACAACTCTATGCTCTAAGGATCAACTGCAATGGTACCAGTTCATGGAAACGATGAGCATACGTGTATAGTGTCTAGAGATGTGTCCCGCTTTAGTATTTAACTTATTTCTGGCTTGTTCCTGAATTTACAAGCATATACGTCAAAATCTCCAGAAGCTCAATGGGTAAGTGCATAACATTATCGTATAATACCTTGCTCTTCCGACGAAAACAAATTATTTTCGATGGTTTTTTTGGGAAAACAGATTTTTTTCTATGGCTAATTTTGGCGATATTACTTTCAGTTACCGAAAGGAAGATCACTCTCGAGCAATTATCAGCACTATTTATACCCCTTCGATCTTAATCTTTCTTTCTTTCTTCCACACTGATAAAAAGTTCATTCTCTATCTAACTTTTGCGCTTTCATTCTTCTATAACCTTTCTGTTAACTTGTAGAGAATATATCTGTTCCAATGTCTTGCCCTGAAAAAGCTGGCTATAATAACACCAACGGTCCCAAAAAACGCGGTTTTGTACGACGTGTTGTCGATTACGCGCAGGCACCAGGCAGACAATTCGTTGTACAATCGGCTGCACCATCCATTTTTGTCAATAAGAATGATTTTGAAGATGCAGGATCAGTAGAAGAAGTGGCTATTTCGATCGTTGGCGACGATGTCCCTGAAAGTACTTACATATACAATGAAAACGACAAGATTTCCTGGGGTTCTTCTCTCTTCAATTGGCTCACTGATATTGCTGGTTCTCTCAGTATCTTTCTCCTTACATGTGCAATCATTTTAGCATGGGCTATATGGGGCATTGTCACCAGGGCTCCGGATAACTGGCAGATTGCTATGCAAGATGGTAGCTCCATCCAATGTTACATTTCCGATACCCTTCTGATGCGTCAACAGCATAATAACACGAATCGTTTGTTAGTTATCCTTGCTCAACTCCGTTCTAGATGTTCCACAGTTGATCGATTGATCAAGCTCGTACAAAAAAGTAATTCTGGTCTTACTCCAAACGAATTAAAAGAGCTTGCCAACAAAACGCCTGAAGACTGTGTCGGCGATGCTGCCAAATTACCTACCGAGAATTATTTTGACGTATGCTGCAACTGGGTTTCTGAAGCCCTCGGTTCTCTTTGGTCATTAGCTATTTATTGGTGTGGAATTATCGCTTGGATCGGCGTTGGCCCTTCATTGGGCTTCAGTGACAAATGGCAACTGTACATCAATACAGGTTAGTTGATGTTTTTATGTATTATGCCATAAGCAACTGTGTATTAACGCTATAGTTGTATATTCAGGTGTTGCTGTTCAGCTGACTTTTGTTAGTATGTTTCTACAAAATACTCGTCGCCGTCATATGGCGTATCTTGAAAAATGCCTCAAATGTATTCAAACTTCTGATCATCAACTTGAGATTGAATTGCGAGGAGTGGCCAAGGACAATACCCCCAATCCGATCGTTTCTATTGCCCCTCATCCTGTTTCTAAGGGTGTTCGCTTTATTGATTATTATGGTGACATTATTGGTACTGGCATTGGTGCATTTATCTCACTTTGTGTCTTCATTGCTTGGTTTGCCATCGGTAATACTATGAGCTGGAGTGATGACTGGTGGTTGATTATTGGTACTTACACTGGATTAGTCGGTTTCATTGATGGCTTTGTTTTACGTAATGTATACTTCCGTCAAGATGCTCTCTTGGACGAACAGTTTGAAGTGCTCGCTGATAATGATAAGGCCATCTACCAATTTTTGAATCTCACTTTACCAAAGCAGAACTTTGATGAAAAGAAGTCATTCGGTCAACGCTTGAGTAATTGGATGGGAGATATCTGCTCTCACCCCATTGCTGTTTTATTCTCTGTACTGGTTGTTATTGCTCTACTTTGCGCTGCTGGTGCTTTGAAGTTCAATACAACTGCCCAATTGTTCTGTAACACTCCCACTATGATTATCGAAGGTTTCTTGTTGATTGTTTTGCTCCAAGCCCATAACTTGTCCAACACCATCAGACGTGTCCAGATGAAGGATATTCTTCTTAGGCGACTCCATCTACTACAATATATTCAAGCTTTATTGCGCTCAAAGCAGTAATGGCAAAATACCAATAAGTTCCACCCATTTGATTGAATCATTTATTCTTTCATCAATTATTATACCTCAGTCTTTTCCATGCAACCTATATTTTCCTTTAGCTCTATGAAATAGCTCTATACCGCTGTACATTTTTATATTCCTGCATTACGTTTCTTAGAATAAATCAATCTATATCCCTCTACATGTATTTACACTGTAAGCTTTTGTTATGGTGTTTTAGATGATTCTACAAGAGGCACGAAAGTCCATCTGTTTAACACTTTGTTTACTTTAGTCATGCATGGGCAATAAGTATTAATAAATTTTATTAGATTAGGAGGTATAAACTTGTGCAACAGGGAAGGTCAAGTAGGCAATGTATGAGCGTCTATACTTTCCAGTTGGTTATATTTGGATGAATTCTCGCTTTTTCACAGACAGTTTCGGTCTATTGAGGCTTTTGCTTCAGCAAATGGACAAGCGCTGTCATACTTATAGAGGCTCTGAAGCGGCATTATCTTGTGAACTAGCGCTAGAGAGAGCATGACTAGTCACAGGGCATACATTAGCAGCACTAATGGAGCCCCCTTTTTGTCCAGTAACTGGGCAGACCGCTTCATTAACCGCTACTTGACCAGTTACAGGACATACACTAGCAGTACTAATGGATGGAGCAAAGGAGCCCCCTTTTTGTCCAGTAACTGGGCAGACCGCTTCATTCGCTGCTGCTTGACCAGTAACAGGACATATACCGGACGGTATTTTGTTCTCTTCGACAGCCTCTTGAGGGGCTTTGTAGATGACTGGCTCGACTGTTATACCCTCCACTTTTGATGGGCCTTCAAAGAATAATTTGACCATTGTGCTAACCTGCTCTTTATCCACAATCCAACTTGGAGGTGTGCTTTGATCTTGTGAAGACTTGTGTTTGAGCCAGGTCTTATAATCGTCTGTTTCGCACCATTTAGCATTCAACTTCTGTTCTAAATCTAGTATCTCTAAGGGATTGAGGGAGGCTGTCTTGTTCACTGCTTCGTAAACAACATTCAAAAGAAGAGGTGGTAAGGTATTCCAATAGGCCAGAAGATTCTTACTCCACAGACTATCGATTTCTTCTAGTTTTAATCTCAGATCATCAAAAGATTCAGCTTTCTAAAAATCAAGAACGTCAGTTATAAACCCAACTTTAATGATGCTATATGATCAATAACTTACTCCAAAGGTAGATTCAATTTGGTCTTTCCAAACCTGCATGCGATCAGGACCTGGATACGTATGATGAATGGCCAATGCCAATTGAACAGCAGCGACTGTGGTTTCATCTCCATCCCCGACAGGGCAAACAGCCAGCTTCTTGGCAGTGTCGATTGCATCTTTCAATTTAGCTTCAGGAACGAATGCATCTGCAAAACCAAGTCGTAACAATTCTGGTCCTCTTAATTTACCATATGCAGGTGCTGCAAGAGCAAGATATAGCTCTAGGCCTGCTATGAGCATCTTTTCGTTTGAGTTATGTGTTGCTGCCAAAGCCTTTGCACGTGCGCGTGCCACAGCCAATAACAGAAGAGGAGGCATGGGTGCGTGCGATAATTGCAATGTGAAGTTAAGCAAAGTAAACTCAGTGATAACACGCATCAAACCAGGACCAAGGGAAAGATAAGCAGCGCTTGTAAATATCTCTCCATTACAAAAGGTAATGATTGGCTTATTCTTTCTGTCTGCGCTAAGTCCTTTGCTTTGTTCTGCTTCTGCTTTTTCTTTCTCTTCCTCAGTTTTGTTTTCAAGATCACTAGCATCGTTCTGGTTTACTTCTGGTTGTCTTTGCTGTTTTTGACTGAGGAAAGAACGCACGTTGTCATAATATTGTGATGCTAATTTGCACAATGAAACCTGGCGTAAGTCAGCTCCTGCTACCATTTTTGACGTTTCCTCATAAGCTAAACCATTGCTCCAGACTTTTGTATCCTTCGTTTCAATCATACGTTCACCGACGAATGGATCCATCGCACCGTCATCAGCAACTCTAGCGTTGATGAAAATTGCTGTTACTCGATCATCCTTTTCGACTTCTTGTAATGCAGTTGACAACTCCTCCAACCGATCAAGCGAAAACAGATTTTTACTCTTTGGTGAGGATAGAGTCAGTAGTGCAGGGCCAAAGCGCTGTTCTTTGGGTTTTTCCACGATAACGAAGGTTGCACTGTTTGTTTGATCTGTGGGACCGGCTGATGTTATGAAGTAGGATAGGAAGAGCAAAGTTAGTTTCACGTTCGAAATATTTTGTCAAACAAGGGCAATCTTACCGCTTAGTTTGTTTTGCCATAGATTAGCAAATGGACAAGCAGGAGCATTAGCTTGTTCTCTCTTTGCTCTCCATTTGAAATAAGAGAGTAGATCCACTTTTTCGACACGACTAATACCCAAAAAGTAAAAAGAAAAACAACCGTAGGAAATGATTAGAGAGCAACACAATTGTAAGCATAGTGTGTTTTCAGGTACTTTACGCATTGTAGAAAAATGCCTTTGTCTTTGCGAATTCAGTATCCAATTTCTCTTTATCCCATAAGCCGGTTTTAGATTGCTGTGCTATCCATCCTTTGATAATATTTGGTAGACCTTTTGAATATTCCACATCATTTTCGTAGTCGTAATTTTCCAGTCGTTGAAATAAATTTTCTTGATCCTCTTCACTTGGCTTTGGTTCTGTTTTCTTTAAATCCGCCTTCTCTGTCTCGTATGTTAAGTACTGTTCTAGATCAAATTGTTGTTGAAATCTGGCATACATTATTGTAATTAAATAATGTTAAAACCTTCTACTTCATAATTGTTCCAACAGCATGCATTAGAATGCTTTTATACACCCTCGCCCTTTCTCACCTTGTAAAATAAAAGTGCTTTGCTTTTAATAGTTGGAGGTCTTGATACAATTCTAAATCTTTCTCCTCCTTATCAGATTCCTTTTGGTCCAATATGTTCAATTGATTCAAGATACTCTCAAGGCCTTGTTGAAATACATTATCCGACTCCCAAGGATATTTATTAAACGCCTCAAATACTTGAATGTCTTCGGGTTTATCAGTTGTAGTGGGCATAGCTGTCGTAGTTGCTGTCATTACTCTAAGAAAGAAAACTGAAATAGAATAAAAGTGGAGAAAGGGGTATAATTTTGTATGTTTTTTTCAAACTCCTCATTGGTGGAAATCTCCGCTATCGAGTGGCCCTGCATTGCGACGTTGTTTGTGGAACATACCTTACAAATGGTTAAATTGTTATCAAAAAAGACTGGACATTTTTCTTGTCTTACAGTTAAAGATGATGAAAGGAGGCGGATCTGATACATTTTTGAGTTGAAGACGGCAACAAAGTCGATAGCGGTTGCTCACGTAAATGAATCGATATTTTCAAAGTAACAGTTCGTGTTGGGTTAACTTTTGCTAGGAAATAAATATATTTAAGAAATATAAAATTATTGATTCAGCAATGACATGGACAGTGTTCGGATAAGCAATTTGTTGTGCTCCTACACATGGAAGTATATGATCATGCACTGTGAAAAACGCGATATTAATTCTTTAAAACAGTATGATCATCATCTCTTCCGTTGCGCATCTTTATCAATTGCTTTCCAAATTAGTACTGTGTTGGGATCGTTAAATTATGAAATTCTTTTTTACGTCGCCTTGTCCTAAAATACAACAAATCATGATTTGTCCAATGAAAAAGCAGTACCCCAGGTTTTCTTATGAGTAAGCAAACGACGATTGGATCGCTTTTATTTCCATTTTAAACAATGTCCGTGATCAATTTACTACAGACATCTAAGAATGGATAGACACTTTGTATATGCTCAACGTTGGTCGAGCAATCTTTCACTGGCCATCTTGCTAAATATGGCACGTCCTCTTCAGTTCCTTGTTTGTCTCCTTTCTGGGTTTCGTCAACGGTTGATCTTTGCAAAATGTCCAATTTCTTTCCTAAATCATCTTCCAGCATTTCGAATGGATGTATAGATTGCTGCTGCTCTTCTGTGACCTTATCACCTTTATCAGACGGGGGATTGGCGCCCTTCTTTGTCTTTATTTTTTGCGTACCAGCATTTTTAAAGTCAACCAAGTAGCTGTTATTTTCCAAACGATAAAGTTGGAGGTCGAATTTGACCACCAGTCCTATGTCTCGATATCTATATCGACAGCGTAAATGATATGGATCTAACGTCCTCCATTCCTATTTTCAACAAAGAAAGCAGACATATGCAGTTTTTTTAGACCTGCATAGAATTTCATCTGTAAATACAAAGATAATCCTACCATGCCGACATTTTGAAGTGAGCGAAATATCTCTAGCATGACTTCCCAAGCTGGACATCGACTGCGGATACCAAAATGCCATCTTGACTTCGTTTTGTGCGCTCGTCTTGTTGGCGTCGTGGGTGATGCAGGAAAAGCAGAATTTGCTACTGCTGTTGCTGCTACTGCTGTGTTTATAGGATGTCTTAAATGTTGCTGTTGCTGTGGTTGTTGCAATGGATGACGTTGGTGCGATGGTGTGTTGGGCGAGGATGTGGGTGGCTTATGGTTGTGTCCCGAAGGACGTGGTAGTATAGCACCAGTACCTTGTGCACTCGCATTCGTAGGTGAGGGAGCAGATACACCGGAAATTCTATCTCTACCAACGCCAGGATTTGAAATAGATCTTTCCCTCACTATGCAGGAGAAAAAGTATATTACATTATTCCTTCAGATTCTAATCAGTCCCGCGGCTTCGTTATATTACCTTCAGGAGGTGTGGAGTCTGATTTAGGCAAACTTGAGCTTAGTACAGCAATTGATGATTCCACATCCATATGCTGATCATCTTCCTCTTCATACTGTCCTGTTGCAGACTTTGAGGGTTTCTTGGCGAATCTATCTTCCAAAGAGGTATTCCAAGGCGGTGGGGATGTTGCGAAAAAACTTTGAATATGATTGTTTTCGGCTATGGCAGAAAAGAAAGGTGTTAGTTGCCTTTCGAATAACTTTAGAGCACTATTAATGGCGATATTTACAATCTTGTAATAATCTTTTATGGTCTAAAACAAGTTGATAAGCAACCTTAAATTGGTTGTTATCTGGTTCTTTCAGAGCTTTCTGAATGACTTGGGTTGAGTATCCCATTTTCTAAAGAAATAATGTATCATTATAACTAATCAGTGCATGCTCTCAAAGAGGTATAGTAATACCTTGGACAATTCAAAGATGATGTTCTCATCAATTCGTAACCCATCACTCTCTTCGGTAGTTGGCAAAGGCCGTAGATAAGCTGGCAGATTCTTATTAAACCAAGCATTTTTACTGAAAGAAAAAGAGGAATGGTTAGTTTTGTTCAGTTTTTTTCTAAAAAAAAAGCGTTTTTTGTAATATATAAACATACCGAATCTCTTGTATTGTTATACGTTTTAAAGGATCAACCACAAGCATTGATGTCAATAGGGCCTTTGTTTCAGGGCTTAGGTACGATGGCATAGTATAGATACCGCCTATGAAAGTATCAGAGATAGTTTGGCTTAAAAGAGAATGATCTCTGTATAAAGTAATAAATTACTTTCCTACCATTGATTTTCTTAAATAGGGTTGGTATATATTCATCATCAAAAGGCAATCTTCCACATAACATGACGTATAATATAACGCCACAACTCCAAACATCTACTTCTGGTCCTGCATAAAGTCTGTGTTGCAAAATACTCCTTTTAGCATTCTACTTGGTTTAAAAAAATAGTTCAGGCCACCTGTAAAACGGTCGGTAAACTTACTTTCCTGAAATAACTTCTGGCTATGAATGGTAAAATACAATGTAAAATGTTAGCCCAACAAAGTTTCTCGCACACAATAACGAGCTTCTATGATTGAGATTTGAGCTTTCTGATTATTCTTACAGCTGCATAATTGGGACTGCCACAACTAGTTTTCAAGAAATCACCATCTGTCATAATATTGGACAAACCAAAATCTGCAATTTTAACGTTATTGTTTGCATCTAATAAGAGACTGTAAAATAGAATACAAGTTATTGTAAGTCTCACTAAGCTGCCGGGTAGATTGCTGCCTTTTGAGTATACATCATCTTTTACTTTTCTGGTTTCAAATCTCTGTGTACAATTTTATGTCTATGGCAATATTCAACAGCACAAATAATCTGTTGAAAAAATCGGCGTGCATCGTCCTCGTTCATCTAAGCGAAAAGTCAAAATAATCAGTTTAGCTTAAGGATTCAAAAGGCACAGTACATACGCTAAGTACGAAAATTGCGTTGGGCATTTACTCTTCCTTTTTCAACAATATAGTTGAATAATTCTTTACTGGCATATTCGATGACCATGATAATGTCAGTTGAGGTAGTGATGACTTCGTATCTAATAGACCATGATGATCAACCAATGATTCACTTCCGGTAGAGAAATTAACAAGCAATCATACAATTCAGCCTTACAATTTAATAATATGTGGATGTCGAAGCAGCTTCAAGTATTGTATTTCTCTCTTTACTCGGCCTCCCATATCCATACTGGCAATTTTCTTTCTATTGATAATCTTCAACGCTACTTTTTGACCAGTAATAGCATGAACTGCCACTATACATAGAGTGATAGAGCAATTAAGCATCCAACCATGCAAATTTGTGAGATCCTTTTTGCCATTTCCTTTCTCAATTGTAGAGAAAGATAGTTTTTTGGGGAGGATATTCTTTGTTTCTCTTACATTTGACTTTGCCGAATGACCCAGTGCCAATCGTGCTTATAATGTTATACTGACCGATTGTCAGCCTATTACTGTTGATATTACTCATAGTTTGACTCATATTTATACTATTCTATACAGAAGGTAGCGATGTATACAATAAAACAAAGGAAAAGTGCAAAAGTGCAGTTGCAAAGTCAGTCTTTGGGTTTCTTTTTTTTTTTCTTGAATTCCTAAAATGGAAAATTCGAAAAAAAAAGCGGAGAGCGAAACTTCCAATGACATTTGAAGCATAAAATTCGCAGATCACTCGAAGAAAAACTAAGATTTTTTTTTTGAAGTAAGCAGCAAACGTACTTCCTTTTTTCCTCTTATTTCAATAGAAGTTGGCATGCATAACAGCGAAACAGCGACTTTAATGGCTGGCAAAGAAATACTAGCCTCGCAATTCTCATGTTGTTGTAGAGATTCGGGCTGCAAGAACTTTGAACAATTCAACGACGCATTCAAAAAGCTTGAATATGATTCTATGTTAGCTGCTGGTAACGCAAACACAAAAATTCAGGAACCATTCTTTTTTTTTTTTTTTTTTGCTAGATATTGATTCAAAATTGATTTGTAGAAATTGGACAAGCCTTATTAAAAAAGCAAAAAAATGATAGTAATTTGAGCATAGATGATCCTACTACGAATAGTGCTGACGATGAAGATGAAGAAATTACCATAGTAAGGTCTATGCTTCATTCCTTCGAGCCATTTTTATATACTAACGACTACTGTTGTTCTAGCAATTTTTGAAGAACAATCTGCATGATTTAAAACAATCACAATGGGAAAAAGAACGTAGCAAACAGGTAAAGAAGCGTGTATATGTAAATGGCCAAATCAATCGACTCAACATGCTGTATTAGATTGTTGCTATGCTTGAGAAAGAAGTAAGCTCACTGAAATTAAGCTCGATGGAACTGAAGAAGCAAACTGATATATACAAGCAAGAAGCTGAGAAGAAAAATGCCATAGAACAAATGCTACGCGAAAAAATTGCACAATTGGAAAAACGGTTCAAAACTGAAGTTTTAGATTTGAAGCAGGAACTTCACCACGCTATAAAAAAAGAAAATAGCCTATTGATGAGGTATAAGAAATTGGAGTCTAATTATGGTGAGAGCCCATGCATTTTATATTGTTAGGAAATTTTTAATTAAATGCATTTTTTGTGAGGCTATCCATTATCAGTTTTTAATTGTATAATTTTGACATGTTAATATAGAAACTTTACGATTAACGTACGAATCATTAGAAAAAGAGCAGAAACTGAATGCAGTTTCTAAGAGCATGTTGGAATCCAATGAAAGAATAGAAGACGAGAAGTTAGATATGTTGACATTAGATACAAATCAGGTATATATATATACACATCTATAACATAAAGTGCTCAAATTGATATTCCATGATCCTCATTTTTATGATAAATTGATTTCAGGACACTTCAAGAGATGATCTATATACTGTGAAGCTGTCGATACCAAACAATTATCATGGGAAAGACAGGAAAGGTAATGTCAGCTTATTCAATTAGTCTATGTATTAAAGTAATCAGACAGTTACTAACGGCGCACATATAGTTGCTGTTTGCTATCCATCTAATTCTATGCAAGACAACAACTCGATATGTAACTGTATCAAGAATCCTTTCGATGTATTACACTCAGTCACACGAGAAATGGTTGATAGGATTAGTGCGACAGACACTAGGACCCTCAATAAGCGCCTCAAGCGTGGTGTATTCAATATCTCAGAATTAAGTGAATTAAGCAACTCTATCTTGGAGCAAATAGTAAAAGATCTGGAGACAGATTTCAGATCAAAGTTTGGATGGTTCACAGATCAATATCAATTATTTGGGGACGCTTGTTTTACTGATAATGCCGATATGACAAAAATTAGCAGTAGCAGTGGGTGTATCAACAATGACACCTTCTTTTCTCTGGTGAATCTGATCCAATTTCTATTAAAGGATTTAAGCATAAACAAAATGACGTTAAATGATTTGCAAGCAGATTATGTTCGACGCATTGAAACTTTGACAAACACAACATCAACATCGCTCATGCCCATCAATCCTATCAAGAACAACGATCCACATATTTTGGACCCTTTGTCACATCATAAATTGGCAATGACCTCTACGGTTGCATGTGTACGTGCTTCATCGCCTGCAAAGCATACATCAAGGATGAAATTTCAAATCGATAAGGGTCGGAATAGGAGACAAGGATTGCTATCATTTTTCGTTTGAAGAGTGGATAGTAAACTTTCCTAGTCTTTTTTAAAAAAACGAGGAACAAAGGGAAATAATGTATGTGAAAAGAATAAAGCGCGAGGGTATTTTATTACGTAAATAACGTGTTCATGATGTTCCTCTCTATTTGCCATATGTGAGTGATGACTAGAAAAGTGTATATTGTTGTCGTATGCGCTGAAGTATGTGATTAGTGAGTGAGGCTGATCATATAAACATTCTAATGGCAAAAATGAATAAATATTAAATGTATAAATTTTGGTTATGTAAGCAAACTGTACAAATTATCGATGTATGTGTAAAAAGTATAGTTGAATTGATGTAATCTTCATTTCTTCACTGTCACCATTTATCATTTCCTTCTGTGGTATTTTCGAGTGCTTGAGAGATAAAATTCCATGCAGCCTCAGTTGCGCGCGTGGGACGATTGGGTTTATAAGGCACAGTACGTATGTCTTGATGATTGTGGGAGCCTAGTAGAGAACGAGAAGAAACAATTAGTAACGTAATGGCGGGAGATACACAGGGTTATCGAACATACACATAGTGATACTCTCTACACGGGTTTTTTGGTAATCGTAGTTCACTCTTATCCCAAAATTTCTTAATAAAACCAATTCTAGACTATAGCAATCGTTTAGCACTAAATCTCAATGACATAGTTTCTTTTGAGATTGCATCTTACTCGACTGCTTCTGGCAGTTCCTCTTCTGCTCTGATTTCCTTCTCTAAATCTTGGATCTCTTCTTCTAGCCCTTGCTTATCATTGATTAACATATCCAACTTGCTTTGTTCTAAATGGATAGTATGCTCTAGCCTATTTAATTCTTCCTCTGTTCGTCTCCGATTCTCTTCTATCTCATCAATTTGCCGTGTTAAGTCATCCTCTTGCCTTTTTATTCTATCTAATTCTCTTTCAATTTCTAACATTTATCGGGTTTAGAAGCTCGGTTTTACTTTTTAATGCCGTCCTTTTGCTATGCGTGTTTTCTACCTTCAACTTCGTCGTGCATAGCTTGTATTTCGACTTTAATGTTTTCTGCTACCACTCTGTCCAGGAATTCATTCACCTGCTGTATTTTTTTGCTTGCGTCATTTTCTAATATCTCTTTTTCAATAAGTGATATTTCTTCCAGCACTTCTGATATCTTGTGCATACTTTTGAAACTGTTCAAAGTTGTTGTTATTTTTGTCAGACAATTGAGTTGTGATATATATTTTTATACGCTGTTTCCAGCTTTGGTGATTGGATATAAACAATGAATAAATAAAGTGAGGTTTTGCTAATGGTATAATAGTATCATATATAAGTGTTTTTTATATATGACGTTCAGCAGATTATCAGCTTTCAAAATATACAACAAAGGACAGATAGAACAACGAAGCTAAAGAAATTTGGTTTAATTAAATAAGGAAAAAAGAAGCAATCCCATTCCATTGTGGACAACTTCCTGATTTTACACCACCCTTTCCACCTGTCACACCTTTTCACGTTGTTATAGAAATTTCAAGTTACGGCCTGAACAAAAAAAAAACGCGTTGGGATTCGTGATTTACATTCTAAGGGTAGATCAAGAGTAGATCGTTTAAGCCACAAAATTTAGCATAAAGTACCTCTTCTTTTTTTTCTTATCAGTCTTATTATTTTTCGCCAATAAATACCGATAGATCTACATTACGATCACTCAATAATGTCTTCTTATACAACGGCTTCAGAACAAGCACAAGTCCAAGTGCGTTTCACAACACAACAAATAAAGTATGCTATTCAAGATAAGCCAATGCTACTGCCTTCTGATATGAAAAAAGAAGGTCTTTCCGAGATTGTAAACAGCTTACTTGATCTTGGTAAAGAAGGACTTATTTGAAGCTACTGATAAAATTGTATCTAACATCTTCACACTGTATCATATTCATACAGAGACACCCGTCCCTTTCGACTTTTTAATTGATGGCAATTTACTCAGAACCAGCATTATCCAATATCTCAATACTCATCAACTATCTACAGAAAACATAATCACTATCGAATATGTCGAATCCATGCTTCCACCTACTCCACTCTCTGCGTTCCAGCATGATGATTGGATTAGTTCAGTTTGCGGAAACGGTCAAGGTCTTTTCCTTACTGGCTCTTACGATAGTATGGTTCGATTGTGGAATACATCTGGTGAATGTGTTGCCACTTTGATGGGACATAAGGAAGCTGTTAAAAATGTTTGTTTTGGCAAATCTTCGTCATCATCAGCAACAGCAACAACCTTATTTTCTGGCTCATTGGATCATTCAGTCCTTGGTTGGGCTTTTGATGAAACCAGCGGTGCAAGCCGATTAATGTTTGAATGCAAAGGACACAAAGGGCCTGTCGAAAGTTTGAGTATAGATGCCTCTGGTCAACAGTTAGCTAGTGCTTCAGCAGATGGTTTTGTGAAAGTGTGGTCGACAGAAGAACCTTCAGAAGACGAGCCCGATACTTTATTAGAGAATGATCAAAAGAGAAAAAAGAAGAGAGTCGAAAAGATTGATGATAGAAAGTACAAGACACGTTGTGTCAATCTGGAAGGGCACGTGGGTGGCGTCAACGCCGTTGTCTTTGACCCATCGGATTCCAATACAGTTTATACAGGTGGCTGGGATCATTCTATTCGAACATGGGACATTGAAAATCAAGTCAATTTGGCAACTAAGGTTTGTGCATTATCGATCTGCAGCCCATGTAAATTATTTGTTTACTAAGTTAGATATTTTTTACTTGGTATAGAATTGTGAAAAGGTCGTATTAGATGTAGACTATTCGGGATTGTCAAAGTTAATAGCCACGGGACATACAGATAATATGGTCCGACTATGGGATCCGCGATCAGAAGATGGTACCAACGTAAAAATGAGTTTCCGAGGACATTCTGCATGGGTTTCTTCCGTCTCCTGGTCAAAGACTTCGCAGTATAATCTGTGTTCAGCCTCTTATGATTCTACTCTACGTATTTGGGATGTTCGTAGCAGTAAAGAACCATTATTCACTGTTAACACTTCATCGGAGGATAACAAGGAGAAGATATTCAGTATTTATTGGGATAATGATAGACTTTTAAGTGGTGGTGAAGATAAGAAATTAAGCATACATAAAGCAAAGGTTTAAATAAAATCTACTACAAACAAATTGTACATATATCCTTCTCTTTCGTCAATCTCTAGAAAATGACCTTGGTTTTAGGAGGTGATATATTGTCTGTATCTTTATGTGGACAATAATGGCCTACGCACATTTGCCATAATTCCGTACTATCGGTTGCTTCATAGCAAAAGCCGAAAACGGCATCTATGATTCGAATCCCATGGCAGTATGTGTTAGCATTAGTGAACCGGTAGTGGGAACATATGTAACAGTGTGCTTTTTACCTGTATATGCTCTGCACTGGCTCGATTTAATCGTCGCCCCAGCTTGTCTGTTAATGCATGTACAATAGGTTGTATCTGTGTTTTGAGGTGAGGGGTTGGTCATCATACATTGGCAGCCTATATGTTGATAATCCACATTTTCTGCTGCCAAACGTTCGTATAGATCTTTGCCACCATGGGATCTTCTTGTAAGATGGGTGATAGACATAGCGGACGTATCTGTTGATATTATTGTTAGGAGAAAAGCCAAAATGATTAAATTGAGAATATTACTTATTGATGTTGCCATAGTGTAACGTATATTTTTGACTTCGATATCGAAAGTGTTAAGATAATGTGTTATTGGAAAGTTATAAGATAGTGGAAAAAGAAAGAAAACCCATAATGCTCGTGCATCATTTTTATATTGTACGTTACTTTCATTGTATGGTCGCGATAAAGCTAAAAAAGTTTAATTAATTCACAATTCATCTTGCGAGTTATTACACTTTATTCATCTTTGCTGCCACTGCTATGCTGACCACAACTATTATGGGAATTGTCAATTTTTGATAGCTCACATCAAAAGTTTAGTTTATTACTTTTAGTATCAATTAAAGAAATATGTAATACTTTTTTATTCCTGTTACACTTTTACTATATGTGTGGTATCCAAATCATGAGCAAAGTCAATGATTACTATTTTTTGGTCCTGGCTGGTACTAAAAATTACAGAAATGTATGATGGCTTTCAGTACTTGGTAACTGATGAGTTATCCATGGTTTTTTATTATTTACTCCTACCTTATGATCTGTGTTTCATCAAACATAACATCAAATACCCAGCTTGTATGGCATCTGTTGAATATTCGAATACACTCACCGGTTTTGATACTCCAGATACGTATACTTTGATCATAACTTCCACTCACGATTTTGTCTTGATCAAAAAACAATGACCGCACCAAGCCCGTGTGTCCTGTACAAGTAAAAATACAGTCACCAGTATCTAAAGGTCACAAATATCTTTGCTTTTTAGCAAGCCTGTATATACAAAACGGTACTTGATATCAACGGAGACAATGTGTATAATTACCCGCATCCCATACTTTGATTTTGTTATCGTTGCCGCCGCTCACAATTTTTTTACCATCAAATTGAATACAAGCTAGCCCGTGTGTATGGCCTTCAAAGTCACGTAGACATTTGCCAGTGGTCATATCCCACAGTTTGATCGTGGTATCCCCCGAAGCCGAAACGAGGCGAGTTCCTTTAAACTGAATGGCGTTTACGGGTCCCCTGTGCCCACATAATGACCGTACCAACCGTTGATCTTTCCAAATTTTGATGGTAGTATCCTTTGAACAGCTTGCGATGAGAGGATTGTCGTTGTCGCTTGCGTCTTCAAAACAAACATCTAATACACCAGATAAATGGCCAGAGAGTCGGTAAAGGATTTCAAAACTCTTCATTGACCAGACAATCACGGTATGGTCCGATGATCCAGAAACCAAGATTGTATCGTTGTATTGAAGACAAAGCACGCTAGCTTCGTGGCCACATAAAGTTCTATAACAATGAGATGGGTTATCATGGTGCCAGAACTTTATAGTTTTGTCACGACTTCCTGTAACAATTTTACGTCTGTCAAATTGAACACAGTAAATACTATCTTTGTGGCCCACGACACTCCTGATTCGGTAATCATTCTCATAATTTTGTTGTTGTCGATAGTAATACAAATAGTGAGATGGTGTGGAAGACGAGGTATAGAAATCTTTTAGATGAGAAGTTGTATTATTGTTCCATCTTTGTAAGAGCTCCATCTTAGTTCTGTATAGTCTTTGATAGTTGATGATGTTTCTATTGTTTGTTTCAGCAATAGTAGTTGAAGTAGCAGTATTAGTAGTAATAGCTATTGGTGATGCGGATAAGTACTGGCCCTTGTAGATTGTACCAAAGTGGTTCAGGTAAAGCTGTTGCCATAAATAGTTGTCAGTACACAATGAATACCAATAGGTGGATACTCGTGTTGCTTGTACTATAGTAGGTTTATCGCAATAGGATAAGATCAAACAGAATAGTTCGATAGGCAACTGCTGTATTGGGTCTGAATCCATAGAGAAGAGACAGTATAACAAAATGAGAGGAGCCGAAAAGTAGTGGAAATGAGTTAGAGCAGGTTGATGAAAGGGAGAAGGAACGGGGCATAATCAATCAATTCGTAGTACCTATTACTTTGACTGATTTATTGTCTTCTTTCACTGAAGAATCTGTTAAGCTGCTATTGGAAAGACGGCTTAATGCCAAGGATTGACGCCGTTTTTGCTGCTCTATATGTTGCTGTTGAAATCCCTCGTCAATTCTTGTGTTATCGTTGGTATTATTGTTCACTATGAGTGTTGCATACAAAGATGATCTCTTTTTGAGGAACTTGAATAATTTCGACCTGAAAGTAATAGCAGAATTGTCTTTACTCGTCTCGTTATTAAAACTTCCTACACTCGTTCTTCGACTGTTGCCACTGCTGTCGCTATTATCATTGTTGCTGCTATTAGTGCTGGTGCTGCTGTTACAGTTATCTGTATAATCTTTGCCATCGAATGAGAAAAGGTTAGGCTTCATGGTAGGAAATTTCTGAACAAACTATTTAAAGCAGATAATGAACGAAGAGAATAGAGAAGTGAGAAGAAAGGTAGAATGAAAGCTTTCTTATTTTGCGACAGGAACGTAACAATAAACAGAACAGAAAGAAGAGTTGGATTGACATAGTTTGACTCTTGTTCTTCTCTACTTCCCTTGTTTGATAGACATCACAAAAAGAGTCTATGTCAGAAGAAAAAAGTACCCCTAATCCTTCCTCTCCCACCCGCCATCCTCCTTATTGGAGAAAGTTTCAACTTCTATGTTCGGTATGCTTTAATATTTAAGCTTATATCACTCCTAAATCTGAAAGACTGTGATTTTTTAAGAAAGACTTTAAATTCATGATTGATGGATATAAAGTATAATCAAGATGGCATCTCCGGGGAGTAAAATAAGTTTCATGCACATTAGGGCAGAAGGTATCTGTCAAAGGTTTAAAAAGGAGGTATATTTTCATGTTCTGGAATAAGAGAAGGCATATTACAAGCAGAAAGCTGGTTTTAACTAAAGTTGATCTTCCTCATTTTCGGACTGAAATGGAAAAGAAAGTAATAACAAAGGTCAATAAAATGGTAGTTTATGGAATCTCCACTTTTTTTACTTCTTAGTCAGAATCTGAGCTTGAGGATTCAGAGTGATGTTGGCCCATATCATCAGACTCGCTAGAAGACAGATCTATTCAGCAGCTTATGTTAATAACTGCTGTATTATTATAGTCAGCATTTCTGTTCGTTTCCTTTACCTTTTTGTGTATTCGACTCTAGTGGTTTCACTTTGAGCGTGACAAAATCGCTCAATCTTTGTAGCGTTTCCTTATCCAAGGCATCAATATCCAATGTGATTTCTTCTTCTCCAGCCTATGCAAGCAATGCGATCAACATTTGTTAGGGAGCTAGAAACTTTGATAAAAAAAGAGAAATTGGGGGTAGTTCACTCTTACCTCACCAAGATGTGGCATGGAAGCTTGGATAATTCCAACGACCTCATTTAGATCATCACCGCCCAATTCATTGATCGACTCGCTAAGCTCTTTCTTCTGTTCAAATGTGAACTCTTTGGCATAAGAAGCTGTTTCTTCCATGTCATTGTCATTCATGCGGTTTTTTTTATTACTGGTCGTCTTGTTCTCAGTAGATTTTCTTCTTTTTGAAGGCTGTTTATTCTTTGATCCTGGCTTACGGCCACGACGTTTGCCAATAGCTGTACGAGATGTGCTAGTGGTTGTTGTGCTTTCCGAAGACGCTGCTACCGCTTCTGCTTCCGCTTTCTTTGCTTTTTTCAGGTATTCAATTTGTTCGGTTATTTCTTTTAGATTACGCTCGAGTAAGGCAATTTTCGCGTCTTTGGGATCTATCTCGGTATTAGCGTTCGGAGCATTATCACTTATCGCAGCATCATGAATATGATTGCTCTTTGATTGTCGTCTCTTTCGCTGCTTTTTTTCTGTTGATAATTGTTGATCTGTCATTGATATGGGGCTTTGCTCAGTTTTTACTACTTTGACTTCTTCCTCCTCTGATTTTATTATAGTAATGGGTCTTTGGGCCCATTTTTCATTGAACACCTTTTCTAATTCCTTTGCCATATGATAAATCGGAAGATGAGGCGGGTTATATAGGTAGCAGTTATTAAACATTAGACGAACATCAGCTTCGAAAGTCTCTCCATCTTCGTATTCTTCATTCTGCAATTTCTTTTCGATCGTCGAAATATCCATAGGATGCTTTACGATGCTTGGATAATCAGGAATGTTCAATGCTACTGGATCAACAGGTTGCAGAAAAGGATATGCAATATTGCGGTATTTGCTTTTTTTTAATTCCTTTATCGTTTGCTGACAGAATTTCATTAAAGGCTTGTCATTATTAGCCATTCGTCTTCTCTGTGTTGTGTATGTTTCAGGATAATCCTTTGACGGGCAATGAATTTCTCTTTTTGGTCTGCCAATATCGTCAGAAATAGGTTTATAAACCTCATAACATCCTCCTGGAACTGGTGAACTATGTTTACTGATAGATGGTGAAGATTCACTTTTCATTGCAACAGGTATTGATGCAATATCATTCGTTATCCCTGTGCCTCCTGAGGAGGAAGTTACAGACGTGGGTGAAGAGGCTGCAGATAATGATGCTGCCATGCTATTTCCAAGCACACTACTGTTACCACCGTTACTGAAAGAAGAAGGCATTTGTCGTAAACCTTTTTCAAAAGCTGATTCTACATTCTGGCATAGAACTGATATTGTTGCTTCCGGGCCGTTATATTTGAAACAGTTACTGAAAATCAGTCGCACATCAGCTATAAAATCATCCACGGTTTTATATTCCATGTTGTTCAACTTTTCATCCACTTTCAGTAAGTTCATAGGCTGAGTGATGACACTTGGGTAGTCAGGCACATTCAGTTTAACGTAGTCTACTGGGTTTAAAAACGGTGCTGCATCTCTGTGCTTCTTCAAATTTCTCATTATCGCGCTGCAGTACTTCAACTGTTCTTTTGTCATACTGGTTGTTTGATGAATGGGTGGTGAGGGTAAGTTGATATTATGCTGTTTACTATTTTAGACAAAAAATAAGAGAGTTAAAGATGACTGGAATAGGAACGCGCCGGAAAATCATTACTACTTCTTTCTCTTCTTCAATAAGCAAGAATGTCCATTCTTCCGACCCCTCTTTTTTCAACCTTTCTACCAACCCCGAATCTGTTTAAACTTTTTCCCTTCTGACCTATTTTCTTTTGTTCCCAATTAACAGATTGACTATCCTTTAATATACCACTTACTTTTTAAAGAGAGCATCAATACTAGCCGAGAGCATTTTCGATTCAAAACTTATCAAGTCGTGTTTGGTAATTGAAGAAGAAATAACCAGAGGGAGAAAAGATAATATCTTACTCGTCGAACAAAATTAGCAGCCAAAAGGGAAAAAAAAAAAAAAAAAAAAAGACAAAATGGGAGAAAAAAAGATGGAAGTCGTTTCATTCACGAAAATTGGGCATATTTATTTCAGGGCACATACTTTTCAAACCAAGATATCCGGTGGAAAGCATTTCGCGGACCGCACTGTTATTTAAGGGGTAGCACGTGATAATACGGTTATTGTATTGTCCTTTTCATCTATTCATGCGAACATACAGCTACTCGCTGATGCACCCTTTCATCTTGCACTTTCCACTAAAGATGTTAATTGTACCACTGTGCGCTATTCTTATTCTCTTTAATAAGATGAATTTTTTGCCTCTCTCGTCGTGCGAATGAGCCAACTGATTCTATTCTTTGCATTGCGTTAAAGCACAAAACATCGCCTTGACAACATCGTGATTTACGTATCTAATAATTGATACAGGTAGCCGTGCTTTTCTCGAAAAGTTATTTTATTCTTTACTTTATTGTTGTATGTTCATCCTAAAGATGTATATTCTTTCTGCAAAAGTTCTCAATTATTGTTGTTAAAAATTAGTCAGGTCTTCAGTCAAGTAAAGGTATTCAATCAAATTCATTTTAATCAGTGTCGTATTTGAGGCACGATGGCAATATATTATATAGGTAAATTGATATAATTTGAAAGCAAGTAAACAAAGTATGTTTCTATGGAAGAGTGAATATAAGAAATTTTACTGGTTTGTTCTTCTTATATTATGAATATACTAGCTATAAATGATTGATCGTGTAAAAATGTATAGATCAATACTAAAAGAATTAAAAAAAAAAAAACTAATGAAAACTAAGTAATCAAATCAAACCCTGAAATATAAGATGAAACTTGAAATTAACAAAATTCCAATTATCAGAATAAAATGTTTATAGTAAAATCTGAATGCCCAAAAGAAGAGGGGGTTCCTAAGATTACGTTATGAATAGAATTTACACTAAAATTAAATATCTATATTGATGTATGTGGTTATGCAAGTAATATTTAAAGTCCGCATTAAATGTTCGTCTTCAATAGAACACGTGATTTTGTGCCGGACTTCTCGGTTACTCCGGATCGAACTTATTAATTTGAAAGGCCACTCTTATAATTTTTAATGCTACTCGTTAAATAACAAAATGCCTAGCTAGCTCAATCGGTAGAGCGTGAGACTCTTAATCTCAAGGTTGGGGGTTCGAGCCCCCCGTTGGGCTTCATTTTTACATTTGATAATAAATACGTGAGACGTTTTTGTTATTCTTTTTGGTTCGCTTTTCTGTTCAAAAAAAAAACTGCAAATTCATGATTATGTCCTTTATTGGATACTGTGATATAGTTTCTTCCCTGATTAAGTGCATCTGTCTCCTCTATTAAAAGTAAGAACCTTGGAGAGTTTGCGCAGTCTTGAGTTTTGGCCGTTTTTTAAAAATTTGTGAGCCGAGGTTTTTTTAATGTCTAAGAGCGTTCATCAAAAGAAGGCTGATACAGAAGGGCTTGCAGACTAGGTTCGTTACATAAAATAAGCTTAAAGATTCAATGTAGATGTTGCTAGTGCCAAAAGCTGAGGGTATATTTGTTTGAAAATAGAGTGACGACAGATATGAATAGTTTCATTGTACTACAGCTATTGGGTAATTTTCTGCTGATTCCACCTGTCTATAATTGAATAAAAAGCGTCAAAACACTAGAAAAGCAGTAAGTGTATGGCAATGTTGACTGCAGGGAGGTCAGGGTCGAAAGGGGTCAGCACCATTTAAGCTTAGCTTTCTTCGTCGAATGAATGATCAGAGCCAAGTTACCAATAACTGGGTAAATCAGTAAAAGGAAGATACTGGAATGATCTGTTACTTATAGCCTGCTTGTAATCAACGGCAGATGTCATATGTTTGTTTGAGAACGTAGATAAACCGTTCTGTTCGTCTTCATTGTAGCGAATCTGGGTACTTCGTTGGAACATGGAAGAACTTGAACCTTAAAATAAAGATATCCATCATTCATTGTAACATTACGCCCTTTTCTAACTGAGCTGGATTTCTTTACTTTTGTACTCGTTGGAGTAGACTGATGCTAGAAAGCATGACCTTGAACAACTGCTTATTTGTGTCACCAAAGATAAAGATATGCTTGCAAATGCCGATGATTTTGAAAGATAACAGAATTGTCAAAGAAGAGCTCATTGTTGACTACCCTTTCCCATGACTTTTTTGATGAATTTGCTTTCTTGTACACAAATTGATAACCTCACATGTTTTCTGAATCCTTCTTTTTTCTTTCTTCTTTGAGGAAAAGGGGCACACCAGAATTGTAAAAAAAAAAAAGAAAAAAAATTCAGCTGATGTGATAGAGACCCCCCTTCTCTAATTTTTCTTTTTTTTCGTTCTTTTTCTTTTCTACACGTTTCTGTAAAGTTATAATAGTGACAGTAAAATACATCCAACTCCCAAACCGAGAAAAGCCAGCAAGTTTCTATCACAGCAGCAAATCTGTTTCTAAGTAACCTATAATGTTATTTACATCCATTCCTTTTGGTAATTAGCCTTTGATACATAAAACCCTTATATCACCATTCTATTCTTGTTTGCATGAATTTCATCCTGATCTGTAATGTGCTTCTGATAAACTCTAGATGACAATAGTACTCTCATAGCATCATCACCTACAGCAGACGAAGCAGCAGAAAATAATAGCAATATGAATATCCCTATTCATCACAAAATCAAAATGTCTGCAACATCAGTGAAGAATTATTACGATAGCGAAGACGACGAGGAAACATTGGCGACAGCTATAGACGATCTATCCAGTCTTATCTTATACCCTTCCCATTCATCAGCCGACGCTGAAGTATTCCAGGAGCAAATGCAGGATCCCACCAATGCTCGGATATCCCAGTATCAGAACACTTACTTTATGGATGGAGGTGTTCGTTTCATCTCTGTAAGTCTCTTTAGGATATATCTCAAAAATTCCTAATTACAGCTTAATTTAAGGTTTTTCTTATCCTGTAACGAAACAGTTGCCCACATTAGGTACAAGCAGTACAAAACTAACTACACCTATAGCTCGTATATTTGAAGATTGGTTAGCGAACAAGCTCTATAGTCATCCGAACAAAACAGTGAATCTGCATAGTAATACCTACCAAAATGTGCACTGTTATCGCAATAATGATAATGACGATATGATGATAATGGATCAATCGCCGGAGGATGAATTAGATGACCAGTTACCAATTTTGGAAGACAACATAGAATTATTATCTGAAGATATCATGAACATGTTTAAATCAAGAAAAAGGAACCTAAAAGGCTTGTCTAAGATCCTCATCAAAGTGAGAACTGGTCATGTATACAGTTACCACCAATTAGAAAGCGGTCAACCTTTGATCACTGAAGACATGGAAGACTTTTTCCAGCAATTTCCATTATTCGTAGAAATCATAATTTATGCTACACAGAAGCAGCAATCGTCACAGACAGCCTCATCCACTTCCTTCTCCTCCTCCTTACTAAATTCTCCCTACTATTACCATCATTGCCAACCAGCGCAGCAGAAGCCTTCGTATCAGCGAAATACCGATGAACTAACACTGTTACTTGCAATGGAAAATACTTCGCTAAACCTTGGAAATCCCTATACAATAATGGAAACCATTTCCTTATAAAATCAACAAAATATACCTATTGAAAATACTTCCCCATATAAAGATTACTTATAAATAAGATCATAAAGAAGATCATCATACTCTGTAAATATCTAGTAAAGCTTTTATGACAGTTCAAGATAAATAATGCTGATGAAATGGTTATGGTGGAAGATATATTTACACGGGATAAAAGCTTTGTAGACATATGGGAACGACTAAGCTAAGCATTCATAATATTATTGCTTTTTTTTTTTTTTCTCTTTACTCTTGTTTTTCAGTTTGTTTATGATAATGGTCTGGAAAGAGCATTCGAATCTGGTGTTGCTGGTAATAAAGGTTGCGCTGATAGCGCTGGTAATGATGACTTTCTACTTAGGATTTTTGGTGTAATGTTGGATAAAAATACAAGTATCATGCCACCAACAAACAAATTTAAAACCATTGACTTGACAGTCAGCGTCTTTGTAAACCCATTCCACATTTCGGCAGCAACCTCAGCAAGTATTTTTGTTCTACTGACTGCTAAAGGCTTCAGCATGCACCTCTCCCATTCACGACAAAGATCTACGATAGCTGGTAATCTAGTTTGAGGGGAGCATCGATTTAGCTCGTATTGATGTTGACAATACATTTGGTCGCCTAATAAATCCGATTCATAGGATGCTATCAGTGCTTTCATGTCATGCTGTACATAGTTGAAAAATTGAGTAATGATATAGAGAACACCAATAAAGAAGACCGAAGCGCATACAAGTTTAAAGATGCCAAACAAATAATAGATAGTCCCATGCTGTTCTATAAGTGGATCTGTTGGGACTGGTTTAGGAGCAGCATTGTAAACAAAGGTATAATGGGGTATATTATCGTTAGAACCAGCATTTGCAAGTGATGGTGTTGAGTTCGAAAGTGTCAAAGGGGTTGGCGAGGACGCGCCCACCCTTGATTCAGACAAGTCGTTAACTTCAGTGATAACCGGTGACGATGCCGACGACGGTGAAAGTGACAGGGAATTGACTGTAAGCTCAGATGAAGATGAACACTTTGCTCTGTCATCAGTAGAGTCGACTCCTTTGCGGAGAACAACTGCATTTTCCTTAGCCTCATTTGCTGCTGTTGCCGTAGTGACTCCCTTTGCAGCCTGACTGTCCTCACTCAGCGAAAACTTGTCCAACAAACTGCACACAGTGTTGGTTAAAAAGCTGTTTTTTTTATAGTTATGCTCTAAGTAAGACTCGGGTATCCTGAACGCTGAACTATCGATGATCAGAGGGTTACGATTGAATTGACTGTAATTACTGTGGTCGGTCGTCGATTCTGATGGATTGGTATATTCATATTCCATTTGATCGGGTTCCCAATCTAGCTCCATGCTATTCATTTTGGAGTCTTGTTTAATCCTCTAATTTCGCCAATGTTGATGTATACGATATTGTTGTTAATGACCCTTTCGCTCAGCAATTGGGTTGAAAGCTGAAGGAGAAAAAAAAAAATAAAAGAAAAAAACCATTTTGGATTGTGCGGAAGCGGGAGCTCGTCACTTCCATTATCGTGAAACGCGCATTTCTAACCAATCATTGAGAAATCGAAGGGAATATGGTTCAAGTCCGTTTTTACCCTTGTGGAGTCCACAAATCTGTGAGCTGATTTAATATTTTCAATTGCCTTTTTTTCTTTTGAACTCTTTACCCCACACTCTTCTACTCTATCTCTCTTGAATTATTATAGATTAAAGATGTTTAGAGGCAGAGCACTACGTAAATATTTGTTTGCTTTAATAAGAATAAGTAGTACTAGTAATAGTTGATTATTTAGATCACCCTGTAGTATTGAATTCAGCAAGAGTCAGTCGTGCAGCAACTGTGAATATGTAATATAATACTCAGAGTAGCGGCTTTATACATAGTCTCTTACTCATGGACTTTAATTTTAACATTCTTATAGAAGACGTCAGTTCTCTATGACCAAAACCATAGTATCCAACAAGAGTTGGAGAAATAAGGCTGCTATTGGTGCTATTGGCGTTACTACTTTTGCCTTGATGTGGGCAAACGCGAACAAGGTAGACATTAAGAATTGACCGTTGCTATTGCTGCTTCAATGAATATATGGAAAAGGGAAGCACAAATCATTGAACAGTGGCACTTGTCAAAAAATTAGGTTTATTGTGATGTGATAGGGGATGATAACCAGCGCGTAAGTCTGTTACTGCTGTTCTAACACAGAAGACTTTAAGAGCAATTCAGTTGAAACAGTTGCCTTGTTGCATAGAGATCTGAGGGACCCATTACAGATAAAGATCCTATGAGATTACGGATGGAAGCATTCATCAAGGGACTGCAAAATCGAATTGTCAATGATATCGAACAATTGGACGGCAAACAATTTACAAAAACTGTCTGGGAACGCCCTGAAGGGGGTGAGGGTATTACTTGCGTACTTCAAGATGGAAATGTTTTTGAAAAGGCGGGTGTGGGAGTATCCATTGTATATGGTCAATTGCCTAAAGCAGCTGTAGAGCAAATGCGCCACGACCGTGGCAAGGAAATAGACGCTGATGGGCCTGTTCCTTTTTTCGCGGCAGGTATCTCGTTAGTCATACATCCTCATAACCCTAATGCGCCAACTGTGCATTTAAATTACCGTTATTTTGAAATTGAAAACCCTGACGGTACACCCAAGATGTGGTGGTTTGGTGGCGGATCTGATTTGACACCCGCTTATTTGTACGACGAAGACGCTGTGCATTTCCACCAAACGTTGAAGGATGGTTGCGATAAGTTTGATAAGAAATATTATAGCCAGTTCAAACAGTGGTGTGACAAATACTTCTTCATCAAACACAGAGGTGAAGCTCGTGGTGTGGGTGGTATTTTCTTTGATGATTTGGATGATAAACCAGCAGATGAATTGTTTAATTTCGTGAAAGAAATGGGCAATAGGTTCTCAGAGTCCTACATTCCTATTGTCAAACGAAGAATGAACATGAAATATACTAAGGAAATGAAGGATTGGCAGCAAATTCGCCGTGGTAGGTACGTTGAGTTTAACCTGGTCTGGGACAGAGGAACAAAGTTTGGATTGCAGACACCAGGCGCACGCATTGAAGCTATTCTAATGTCACTACCACTTACATCCCGCTGGGAGTACATGAAAGAAGTAAAGGATGGATCTAGAGAGCAAGATTTAGAAGAAGTGTTGAAAAATCCGAGAGATTGGATCCCTCTTGAGTAACAACTTTCATAGACCAAAATTCGAATAATTTTTGAACGATAAACGTCAAAAACTGTAAAAGTTGAACTTCTTTATTTTTGTTATTGTTTGCCCCATCCTCCGCCGCCTGGCGTGTTGATAATAATACGATCGCCACGTGCAAAAGTGGCAGAGTTTTTGCCCGTAAGATTTAGTGTTCTTATAATCTCTTCGCCTTGACCGGATATCTCATGTCTGACCCATATATTCAAACCTTTCTCGCCGTCTGAACCTCCAGCCAGACCGTAAGGACTATAGACTCGACGCTCTGAAAGAATGGAGACTTGAATACCGTCTTCCAAAAACTCAATTTCACGAGTGACACCATCACCACCTTTGTGCTGACCTTGGCCACCACTGTTTGGTCGTATTGCAAAGGTATGAAGGATGACCGGATATCGGCGCTCCAGAATTTCAGGGTCGGTAATACGAGTATTTGTCATGTGGGTATGTACGCCGCTTTGTCCATTCCATTCAGGTCCAGCACCACTACCACCTGCAATTGTCTCATAATAGCCCCAGCCTGCAATGGACTCCCCACTCTCCTCATTCTTACCACCTTTACCAAATGTAAGGTTATTACAACATCCCTGGCTGGCTGCACAAGCCTCAAAAGCCTTCAAAACAACATCCACTAGACGTTGGCTAGTCAAAACATTACCGCCTACCACTGCACAATGCTCCGATGGGCTTAAAAGAGAGTTTTTAGGTATTCTAATGGTAATAGGTTCTAGACAACCTGAGTTCAAAGGTATATCTTGATTCACCAAACATCGGATTGAATATATAATTGCTGAATGACAAACACTTTCAGGTGCATTTGTGTTGCCATAAACTTCGGGTCCTGTACCCTCAAAATCAAAGGTTGCCGTGCCTCTTTTAGCGTCAATGGAAATGCGTAGATGTATAGGTGTACCATCATCCATATAATCTACTGCAACCAAATCCTGATGGGAATTCTTTTCGGCAATTCCTTTTAGTAACTGTCTGACGGCATCTGAGGCGTTTCGGCGAATATGCATCATGTAGGCTTGAACAACTTCTAATGAGTATTCTTCAATAAGGGCTTTCACTAAAGTTATACCCTTTTGATTGGCTGCAATCTGCGCTTTCAAATCTATTTTAATGATCAATGCAAAGAACGAGTATATAAATACACAGATAGTCATTCCTCAAAATAGTACATATATTGCATATTATAACATTCGTTCCCTCTTTTTTTTTCCCTTTGTATACCTGAGACATTATCACGGAATGCACGTGACCCAGAGCAACCAGGATAGGAAGCAGGGATGGTACACAAGTGCTCTTCTACACCTGCATGATCTAAATGTCCCTTAGAAACGATTTTAAATGATTTGATAGCAGCGCCTTCTTGAAATAGCTCTTTAGAATGTGGCGGCATTGACCCTGGCGCAATACCTCCTATATCCGCATGGTGACCCCTCGATGCGACGAAAAACACTATCTCTCCCTTCTCAAAAACGGGCGTAATTATGGTAATATCTACATTTCCAAAAAGAAAAAGTTAGTAATATACACCTGGAATAATACAATTGATGGATTTTGGCTGGGATTGTTATTACAGACCTGGCAAATGAGAACCTCCCGCTTGAGGATGATTCGTCATAATCACATCCCCTTCGAATAAATTGCCCTTATAATAGTTCAATTGGTAGATAACCGCATGGCTCAAAGAGCCTAGATGCACAGGAATATGCGGAGCATTTGCTACTAGCCCTCCATCAGCACCAAAAAGGGCACACGAAAAATCTAATATAAATTGACATAATACCATCAGTAGGCAGTTTTAACACAATCGATAGACCAGTAACAGAATACCGTACCTAATCTCTCTTTAATATTAGTTGATATGGATGTTTTTTCAAGCGTGCGTCCCATTTGTTCAGCAATGCTCATGAATCGATGTGAGAAGATGGATAATTGAATTGGTTCCATTTCTGTTGTAACTTTCTTTTTTCCTTCCGTACCAACCTGGATAGTAATATGGTTGGAAGTTATGAGAGCCGAGCAAGACGGTTCGATTACGATTGTAGCAGTTGCGTCAATGATGACGGCTGGACCAGGTACAGCGTTTCCGGGCTCCAAGGCGTCCAGGCGATACACAGGAACATTATTGTTACGACCACCCTCTTCAAAATACACAGAAGCAGTTTTGTCTATTTTATCACAGGACACTTCAACAATCTTGTTCGAAGACTCAAGATTCTCAATCTCTTCGTCGGGCGTAAGATTGTTACTACGAAAAGTCTTGCCTATCCCACGTACACGTATATCATCAACAAGAATATTGCGATCTTTGAGTAAAAAGCCAAATTCTTGTTTGTACAGATCACAAAATGATTTTTCAAAGTCCCAAAGGTCCTCTGCTGGTTGTAATGTCATCATAGCACAGTCAGTACCCTCATATCTTAAATTTAGATAGACTTCAAGCTCAATTTCTGAATCACGGAAACCTTGCTTTTTCAATTCTTCCAAACATACATCCTTAAGGTTCGCCAAACGCTCCTTAATACGATCAAGTCCCGTTTTCAAGGTTTCAGCAGAAGGCTCTTGGACTTCGTGAACAACATCTGCTAATGCTAAACCAAACGCAGATAAGATAGAGCTATGGCGATACATAACAATTTTTCTAATGCCCAAGTTACGAGCAATACCGCATGCATGCTGGCCCCCAGCGCCACCAAAAACAGCTAATGTATGGTCACTCGTATCGTGTCCTTTTGCTTCAGTCAGTGCACGGATGGGACGGCACATAGTTTCATTGGCGACCTTTATGAAACCATACACTATCTCATCCAAACTCTTTTTTTCACCGGTTGCTGAATTGATAGTCTCAGCTAGTTCCTTAAATTTCTCTTCAACAATTTCTTTATCCAAAGGTTCATCTTCTTTGGGACCGAATATTTTTGGGAAATAGTCAGGTAATAACCGACCCAAGTACAGGTTCGCGTCAGAAACGGCTAACGGCCCCCCTTTTCTGTAACATGCTGGGCCTGGATGAGCACCTGCACTCTACAAAATGAAGACAAAAAAGAACACATATACAATAAGGATATCTGTCACTAGACAAGGTCAATATTTTGTTGGAGGTGCTTACTTCAGGGCCGACGACAAACATTCCATTTTTGAAGAAGAGCATTGATCCACCTCCTGCTGCAACAGTATTAATATCTAACTGCGGTGCCTGGATAGTGACACCTGCAGTAGTTGTTTCAAATACATGTTCATAATGTCCATCAAACCGAGAAACATCTGTACTTGTACCACCCATATCAAAACCGATGACAGGCGTATTTGCTTTTTTATCAAAAGTAGTCAACGCATATCCAACTACACCACCTGCAGGCCCCGATAATATTGCTTTGAAACCCGAAAAATGGCTCACAGGCACTAGTCCTCCATCACTCTGCATGAATTGTAATTGTGTTGTTCCCTTTTCAAAGCCGTTATCGAATCCATCGACAAAGCCCTTAATGTATTTCTTGATACATGGTGTCAAGTAAGCATCTGCTGTAGATGACGTGCCTCGAGGGACAATCTTGACCATAGGCATCACTTGGCTGGACAAAGAGATATGCTCAAAGCCAACTGATTCGGCTATTCTACCAATTTTTTGTTCGTGGTCTGGGAAATTGTAAGAATGCAACAAGCAGACAGCAACACTTCGAAATCCTTCGTCGTACAGAGATTGAAGTTCGTTTTTCACTTTGTTTAAATCTGGATCAAACTGTCAATTATTATATTGTTTAAACCCAGCATGACCAAGCATGTCAGTTTACCTGGCTCTTTGGCGATTTTAATCCACTCTCCTGAAATACCTTGCTGAATATTGGCGTCGTCGGTATCGCTAGGATCTATTTTTTGAGATGCGTTGGCAGGATTCAATAAGACTAATCTATATTATGTCAACGTTAGATACTTATGCTTAGATAACTTTTATATAACAATTAGCACATACCGCTCATCCACTTCTACCACTTTCTGATATAGTACAGCCGGTTTGTTGATCGCAAGATCGAAAATTTTGGGCCTGGCTTGGTTGCCTGTCAAGCCAATTGAAAATTTAGTATAAACCTTAAAATGGTGTGGGAGTGCTTTAACTTTAAGACTTTCTAACCGATGTCTAACAGGTCTTTAAAACCCTTCGTGATTAAGATGGCAGTTTTCTCGCCCTTACGCTCAAGCAATGCGTTTGTGGCTACAGTAGTTCCCATACGGATACTTTCTGACAGAAAGCCATTCTCATAATTGTTTCAGTCATTTTGATTGATTTATACCTTTGTAGAAGCTTCTTTGAAATATTTCCTCGTTTTAACTCACCAATATGCGTTGTTGGTACAGCCTGTGAGCGAGCTATTTTCTCTCCGGTCGCCATTTCTATGATCCTACGAATGCCCTCTGTGGGCGCATCTTTATAATTAGAGGGGTCTTCGGAGAGAAGCTTAACAACAAACTCTTGATAATCTTCATCTGCAGGTCTGCCCCTGAAGCCAATACAATCCGTAAAGGTTCCACCTCTGTCAATACATATGGTGAGTGGTTTTGATGCCATTCTTTTCTCTCAATATAACAGAATAGATAACAAGAAAATGGAGGAAAGAAAAAGAGAAATAGGAAGTGAAGAAAGGCAATAATGCCATATGAACCAAACCTTAACTGCATTTCAACTCCGCGTACAAGTTGTTTCGTTCATAAAGTTTAGGTATCTCTTTAGCAATGATGAACTTTAATTAGCCATACCGGCTGGGTAACATTATAGATTTCGATAAAATCACTGTTAAAAGATCGATGAAAAGTATAATTTTTTATCATTAGCAATGCACAATGAGTGATTAACTACAAGGTAATTGTATACATAATATATAAATAATGAGTTATCGAGCAAGGGTTTTACGATGAAGAGTATCTTATCTGATTGCTAATTACTGGGCTAAGGGATCCACAGCGCCACTTTATTTGCGCCCGTGACGAACATTGCATTTGCATGATTTTGCCCTACAACTTTAACACCATTACTGTGAGGTGTAGGCAGCACTGCAAATGGCTTGATGTCCATAGCTCCTTGATATGTCAAATCCCAAATTCTTAAATAAGAATCACTTCCACCAGCCATAAGAAATTTGCCATCTGGTGTCATACTGACTTCTTCACCGCAAGAGCCGGCTTCTGGGGGCGAATTTCCTACCAGTCTTCGCACTAGATTACCGTTAAAAGCATCCAGGACGAAGATTGTATCAGATAGAGTAGTGACAACCACGTAATTCCCATCTGATGTGAATTTAACACTTGTTATTTCAGGCAAACGTCCATGTACTGATTCGGGCATCATACTGGTGATAAATGGCCCCTTTGTATAGTCCCTTTTATCATAGAATCGTACTGTATTGTTGTTACTGACGGTGCTGAAGACAACACCTTGTGGATCAAATGCTGCCAAAGTTGTACCTTCGGCATGCAGAACGCCCTAAAGTGTACGACGAAGAATCAAACATTCTTAAAGTTAAAAAAGAAATCAATTCTCAGGTCCTATTATCTTCTTCTGATGGACAAGGCTGTTAAAGTACCTGACAATTCGATGATCGTAGATCCCAAAGGCGAACTGTATTATCCAATGATGAGCTTAATACCATATCGTCAATTGGACACACATCAATAGCTACAACCCTAAAAAAATTATCAGTGGATCTGGCAATCACTATTAACAACCAAAAAACCATACCGTTTCTTATGTCCAGGAAAGTAGCGAATATACTTATTGTCGTAAATAGAAAGATAACGTAAAGTATCTTCAAAATGAATGAGTAGTTACAAATCAGCTAAAGTCGGTAAGAAAGAGAATGTCTGCTCTCGATTACCATTTTCTTTCGTCGATGCATAAATAAGATTAGAGTCAGCATGTGTAAATCGCGCTAGAGTACAACCATACTTCTTTGAAAAAAGAGTTTTATGAAGTCTACGACATATTAGTTATTGAGCCTTGAAATTAGTAATTTGCCAAAGAACACTTACGTTCCGTCTAGACAATGATATACATTTAAACTGTCATCTGCACCAGCAGTAGCACAGAATTCTCCTGTATCGTTGAATGATATGGACGTAACTGGTTTGTCACTTTCTTGAAATTCCTTTGATACTTTGAATTTGGAGAGGGTGTCTCTTGTGTATTCAAGATACTGTGAACTGGACGAATCCACGTTCATTGGCTCTGATTCCATCGTTCAAATATCAATGTTGAAGAAAATCAAACCTGAAAAAATACATAAAGATCATGTCTATTCTATTGTGACGGTAGCAATTTGATTGGCCGAAGTAACCGGCTGTGTGTTGTCGCGTGCTTACTTGGACTCTAAACCTTTTTCCTTTGAGACTCCTTTTTTCCTTCTTCTTTTGCATTTGCACCTTTTGAAACATTTCTTTATTACATTTCGTAAAGGAAAGATTGAAAGACAATGGCTTTAAAACGTATTGGAAAAGTAAGAATCAAGCAGTAGAGTCGTCATTTGAAGGTTTAAGAATCGGTCCGACTAACGTTTTATCGATGGTGTTATTTTGACTGACCTTTTAGGAACTCAAAGATCTCGAACGCGACCCTCCATCTTCTTGCTCGGCCGGCCCTATCAATGAGGAGGATCTATTCCACTGGCAAGCAACTATTATGGGACCTGTAAGTAATGATTTCTTTTTCAACTTGAACCTAACAGCAGTGGGTTTTTTTTTTTCTTCCTTTTTGCTTATATGTCAATTCTCCATAACTATGTTAGGAGGATAGTCCTTATCAAGGTGGTGTATTTTTTTTGTCTATCCACTTCCCCACTGATTACCCCTTCAAGCCTCCAAAGGTAAAGTAGCTGATATTGTTCGGTCTTTAGCCGTAATACAATCAATAATAAATATTCATTTAGAGCTGACATAATAATTTTTGTTTCCGAACTTGAACAGATTAACTTCACCACTAAAATCTATCACCCCAATATCAACAGCAACGGTTCAATTTGTCTTGATATCTTGAAGGACCAATGGTCTCCTGCTTTAACCATTTCCAAGGGTAAGTTTCACATGTATTAACGGAGAGCCCTTTTAGGCTTACAAACTTGGAAATGATACTAACATCGCAAAACGTAGTTCTCTTGTCTGTTTGTTCATTGCTTACCGACCCTAACCCTGATGGTAAGTAGCTCTTGCACAAAAAAAAAAAAAAAAAAGAAAAAAAAAAAAAAGAAAGGGAGTGATAGAGCTTTCTATTAAGGGATACTATACATGATGTCTAATTTGAATTCCTCGTTGAAAACCAGACCCACTTGTACCTGAACTCGCCCACATTTACAAAACTGACCGTGCTCGCTACGAGGCTACAGCTAGAGATTGGACTAGAAAATATGCTAGTAAGTTAAATTTGGTCTGAAGAGCAATTTTTGTTTTGACGGCTGATCATCTCCTTTTCGTATTGTCTTTTTTATAGTGTAATTTATAGCTCAATAAATCCATCTCCCTTTTCGTTTGCTTCGCATAACATTTTACTGGAACACTAAAAACATGATTTATACACAAAATGTACGCCGGTTTTGTTTTTTTTTTGTACAAACATTTGCTGCATTGACACATACTAGAACAAAATAAGAAGCATGCGAGTCAAAATGATGTTGCTACTTATCAGAGCGTCATTTTAGGCTTTTTTATTCTTGACTGTATGTGTTGTAACACGACTTTAAGGCAGGCTTTTTCAATGAAAATAGGAGCTATATAGATGTGTATATGACGTTTTTTTAAAATAGCGGCGAACCTGCATTACGCCTTCCAGGTATCTAGACTCTGGGTTTAAAGCTATTTGCATTCTCTTCAAAGAAAGTCTGAATACTTTGGGGTGTTGCACCGATTAAGAATTTAGTATGAGGTAACTTTATACTGCCAACTGTTTTCTGGGCCCAATCAAAGTAATCAAGAAAAGTTTGGATCTGTTTGGCTATTTGAGACAAGTGGTTTTTACGTAAGTTATGGAGTGGAAAGCAGGATAACTGCCACATGTGTTTCCCCTTTTGCTAATCGTTTTACCTGTAGGGGCAGCATATGCCTTATCTTTAAAATTGTTGTTGCTAAACGAATCATGGTATATTTTTGAGCGTTCCGATTTCAAACGAGCATCGAACCAAATGTCTTTTCCCAAGCCCTTAAGATAATACGAGACATCCATGGGTCTGCCTTGGCGATATTTAAAGTGGTCATAAGATGTGGCTCGGGCCAATATGTCAACGATCTGTCCGGCAGTGAAGCTTTCTGGACCAGTTAGAACGTACACTTGGCCATCATGTCTATCCTCCAAAGGTTTACACGTTTGCTGCTTGTTATCAATGAGTAATTCTTCAACTACTTTACATACATCTTCAATATCGATAGGACAAATAGTGGTATCTGAGGCCAGAGGTAGTAGGAGAGAACGTTGCTTCTCTGCATAGCTGGACCACAGATGGAAATATTGCTGTATAAATTCCAGTCTAAGTAATGGTTTATGAGATGTATGAGTAATTGTGCTATAGGATAAAATGCTCAGCATCTATTTTATATTACCTAAGGATAGTATACGGGCAATTGGTCTGGATGACTTCTTGTTCAATTTTGTTATATTCTTGCAGAGCGCTGTGGTCGCTCGAAGATGCACCGACATGAGAGATATAGACAATGTTCATAGTACCAGAGTGTGCAGCTGCATTACAGATATGCTGGGCGTTCTGTAGGCGGTCTTCTTCATTACTATTGCAAAGAATAATAGTGTCCACACCACGTAATGCCATAGAAAGTTGATTCGGGTGACTATAATTGACTTGACGAACATCTATACCAATTTTGCTAAAGCCAAGACAACGTGTCTTGTATTCACATAACACCCGAAGATGGGGCCGGAGTCTCTCATATTGTGCCAAATAAGACGTAATGGCAAACCCGATATATTGATCCGCAGCCGTGATTAATAGCATAGTTGGGATATGTGTAATAATAATTATTCGAAATAAAAAAAGATAGAAATAATGTGAATGAGTAGAATCTCGTGCTAAAGAAACGTGAATAAGATAAGAAAGAAAAAAGGACAAAAAGAGAAGGGAGAAGAGAATATGCAATCATACTCTGATATATATTTGCAAAGTCGGCGTGCATAATGGATCTGTTTAACAGTTTTATTATGTATGCTCGGTGGATAATGTAAATCAGTCAGTAAAGGCCCTTTTATTAATAGCTACAGCGCAAGAGCTAAACTGGTCTAAAAATTGAGTGAGCTTATTTTCTCTTATTTTTTCTTATGCAATCCTTAAGAGGTTTTTTGCAGCCCATGAAACTTGTAGTTACCCTGATTTCGGTTAACAATTTGATAAATATAATCATTATTTAACTTATACAGAAAAAGTTCGTAAATAGATAATAAGCCCCTTTGATGTAATCAGCACATAACTGTGCAGTCTGACGTCCTCAATTTTGTTCTTAACACCTTATATGGAATATTTTGTTCCGGAATCACCTACTCTATGCATACGTAATTTCCTCGGTCTTTATCAGTTCATTTCTCTTCAGTCTGAGGGAAGGGCTTTTGATAATGTTAAAGCCGGAATCTAAATATAGCAACGCATAAACATATGCGCAACAAAATTTGCTGTGGCTAGAGTGAAAGCATTGATAATCAATAATACATATTTATGACCTTTTAGGTTTGCTATCTAACTGCAAAAAAAAAAAAAGAAGAACAGATATCACTCTTATTTACGTAGATTTTCAATCGCCATCAATTCCAGCCAATAAAATACTTCAGATCATCCACACCTTTATTTTAATGAATGAGACAGTTTTGAAAGGTACGCGGTGAGTTTTTTGCTATGTCCCACAGGTGGAGAGAAGAGTATGTGAGCTTGATTTTGTATCAGTACGATATTCATCTCGACTCGATCATATTCAATCAGACTCTACATAATTTGTTGCCCCGGAACCTTAATAAAATTGTAACGGCAATGGACAAGTGAGCAATTCTTCTCAATTTAATTTTTGACAGGTCGAATTTGTGCAAATTTCCTAATTCGTAAATAAATGAAAATTTTTCTCTAACTCTCTCTTCCTTTTTCCGAATGTCTCTTGTTTTCAAATGGCTACTGATTCCAGTAATGGCAGTCGTATCTTAAGTATTGAAACTTTGCCAGGGAAAGGTCGAGCTTATGTTGCCACTAAAGATATAACTGCAGGAACTGTCATTCATATCGCCGAACCATTGGCTACAGCTGTGTCACAAGAATGGATACCGGAAACATGCATGTGGTGTTTTGATTTTGGTTACCCAAAGAAGCAAAAGGTCAAGATAGTAGATACTCCAATAGAAATGCAAGCACTGTATCAAGAATGGGAACAATATAAGAATCAAGAACATTGCCGAATATCAAAGAGGAACGTCAAGAAAGAAGATATGAGAATTTATAAGAACATGTTATTCTGTTCAGAAACATGCCGCGAAAAATTCAAGAAGTCGGGAGATCATTCAAACAATCCCTCATTAATGGAATGGAAACTGATATTAGCCATGAATATGAAATTAGACCAAGAATATAAAGATACAATGAAAATAGAGCCAAATTTGATTACAACAGCAGCTTCTACAACGACTATGACTTGTCAGCCTCTTGAAGGAAACGATCAGTGGATAGATGCCAATGATGATAGTCTTTTGCTTGCTTGGTTGGATACAGCTTGGTCATGCTTGACCAAAGATTCAGGAATCTATAAAGAAATAGACGATGCCGATAGAACAATGTGTAGGCTGATAGCTGCATGTATCATAAAAAAATACGTTGAAGAAGAGACTTCCAACAAGGCCCAATTACAGAATATGTCGCTCGGATTTAAAGATCTTCTCCTCATTCAGGACAACGAATTGTCATTTTTCAGAAGCTGCTTTCCGAAGACTTTACAACGTTTGCCGCCTCTAACTCAATTAGACAGCGCCAGTAGGAAATCCTTATTATTGTCTTTTCTTCCAATAGAGATAAAGGATGTGATGGCATTGTACTGCTTCTTCCAACGCGCCTTATCAAATAGCTCCTTGGAGAATATACCAGCATTAAAGAACGTCGATCATCCATTGTTCCGAACAATATACTTTCGCGAAAAGGCAAATAGTTTCGGGCTATGGGAGCTCAGTGATCGCGGTCAGGATATAGATAACGGCGGCGTCACGGATGATCTGGAGTTGCTGGGCTGGGGCATATATCCATCTGCAGTTTACTTCAATCATTCATGTGATGCAAACGTTAAGAAAGTGAGAGATGGCAGGAATATTAAGTTTATTGCTCGACGCCCGATAGAGCAAGGCGAAGAAGCTTGTATCTCGTACGGATCGATAGAGGAAAGTGTGAATGAGCGCCGTTCAAGGCTACTCGAACATTATTACTTTCTTTGTCAATGTACACGGTGTTTAAAGGAAACAATATCAGAACCTCAATAGAGTTGTTAAAAATAGTCTTTTTCTGTCATTGCTCGTAAAGATCTATTTCCAAAATAAACGTTTACACCTAATACCCCAAGTATTGCTTACGAAGGAGTAATGCGTTTTTTCTGTTCTCCTTCCATTGCTCACTTAAACGACCAGTAAGACGATTGGTTGATTGCCATCCATCTATGTTTTTCTCAACCCAACCTTCAGCCCAAGCGCCCAAACGATGATTATAGTCAAACTCTTTTTCGAGTCCCAAGATAAAATCAGCTCGCTCTTCTCTGTCGTCATCAGCAAGGTCATCTTTTTTAGAGATTGAATAAGGTAACATAGGTATTTTTTTGCACCAATATCTTGCCATTACAATGGCTTGCCGTTGAATTAAAGGGAAAGGAACAATTCTGATAGGCAAACCCAAGAAGCACAAGCTTGGATCTTGATGATAGAACATGTAGTGATCCAAATGGAAAACTTTTTGCCCCGTTTTGATCAGGTTGTCTTTTTGGAAAGGCAGAAAGGGAAAGCTGTACAAATACCCAGTGCCGAAAATAACCAAATCAATGCCAGTTAGTATGTCACCATTGGCCAGTTCTATACAAGAGGTGTTAGTCTCGTCATCATGAACAAAACGTTCTACTTGGTTCACTCGGATAACATCCTTCGGTTTGGTTTGCCGGTAAAGTTCAGTTTCTGTACGAATACTTTGGTATACTTTTCTGCCAACAGTTGAAAGTTCTCTCGCTATATCAATGGCAGATGAGCCGCCACCTATAACAAGAATTGTCTTCAAGTATGTCAAACTATTTTTATCCTGATTTGATTTCCATTATCTCTTACACCATTTTACCTTGTCTTTGTAAATGGTTGGCTCACGGTAGTCTCTCGAATGAAGAAGCTGGATGCGTTTATTCTCATTCAATTTGTCTAGACCTGGGAAGTCCGGAATATAAGGAACACTGTAATGACCAGTAGCAACTACCACAGCATCAAATTTTTCTGTATACTTCTTGTTATCATTATTTGTCGTAGCTACGGACACGTACCACGCATTGTTCTTACACTCAACTTTTTCTACCATAGTTGAGAAGCGTACGTAAGACTTCAAGTCTTCTTTCACTGCCATACTTTCAAGATATTGGAAGACGTCTTTGTGAGAGGGAAAATCGGGTGTTTCTGTGGAGAAGGGAAAGTCCTGGAAACACATAACTGATTTTGGCAGATTGGTATGAAGATGAGCATACATCGGTGAGTTAACCCGGTCTGCTTGTAATGTCCTATCCACCTCGAGAGCATTGGTGGAAGGAAAAGGTGGTGCATCATTTGTTTCTGGCGTGTAATACCTATTATATGTACAGCAGTGGGTTCATTAACTGCTTTTGCCAAAAAATAAAAAAAAACAAACCTTATCATGCAGCAGATTTTATGTTGAATTATTTACCAGGTACCGCCATTGTGTTCATTTCGTTCGAAAATGGTAATGGTAGCGAAAGCATTTTCGTTTCGTAAAGCTCTAGCAGCGGCAAGACCAGCAGGTCCACCGCCTATAATAGCAACACTTTTGATAGTTTTTTCAATGAATATTGACATGTAGATTTATTAGTTTATAAGTTTTAAGATAAAATGTTATTTTGAGGCACCATAGTGACAAGAAAAATGCGGTCAATTAAAAAATTTCTTAGCAAAGAACATTGGCCAATGTCTCTATCTGTGTCTTACGATATGTTGACATCTTTTCGAATATGTTCTTCCGTTTGTCATGAAATAATTGACACAGGTGAGTGATATCATCGACCTAAATTTGGTGTCTCCACCATTGGAGAACGAAATAGTACTGAATTATAAAGGTAAGGGGCCATCGCAGGTGGGACACCTATCATCTTTTGGGGTTCCATAAAGTGGTATCGTAAATCTCTGAAGAGGAAAATGGTCCACCAGACCTGTGTAGTGATAATGAGTGTTGTATTTATATAGTGAGTCTTGGTTTAGTTACGTGTAACACTCCAAGAAGCACTGCAACTCAAGATTTTACTTACATAAAAGATTGCTATCACTGTCAACAAACCTATGGACCACCCTAATTCTATTTCAAACAGTTGAGAACAATTAAATAGGTTGCTGGACTTTGTCATAATTTCTTCCACAACCACGCTGGTAATATTATTTTGTGAAAAATGAAGCATTATATTCGCTGCCGCGCTGACTTCACATTGCTGCACAAAATCGTCTTTATCAATGCCAAAGAGGATGCAATTGATAGCAGCATCAATAATCACCATTGAATTGAAAACAGCAGTAATTTTAACGTATCTTTGGTACTTGTTAATGCCTGATTGGCGTTGCTTCTAAAAAGGACGTGGTTGTAGTTGCAAGAAAGAAAAGCAGATTAGCTGGAGTAAGAAACTGAAACTATAATCCTAGGGAGCATACTTACATGATATACTACGTAAAATCCGTAAAAGCATGTTAAAGCGCTTAGCAAATTCAAAGTACCAAAAACATTCAGCATAATCCTGTTTGGTACTGTAGAAAAGAAGGCTACAGCAGATGGTTAAAACTATTGGTATCAAGGAAGAAGAATACCAAAGAACATTATTAACTCACCACTTTTGTTGAGAAATGAATAAATCGCAAAGAAAAAACTGGTAATCTATAATCAAGTGTTTGAAATAAGAACCCTACTAATTTTAACTCTGATCATGTCGATAATTTACAATCCATATCAAAAGCAATAGAGGAAGACCAAATCTAGATGGAATACATAAGCAAAAAAAGGGCCTTTTACGCTGATAAGGTTGATAACGGTAACGGTGAAAAGGCTTCTCTGAGGGTGGCGGTAGGTAATGAGGAAGATATTCGAATGGCCCAAACATTCTGTTATCGCCGTTTTCTTATTGAGGTGAAGAAAGAAGAAAAAAAACAAAAACAACGAATGCCAATGTTATCCCTCAATAAAAATGGCATGCAGATAGATTATAAACCTAGAGATGCACTCTCGCTTTTTTTCATTGTACTATCCGTTTAAACAATGAATTTTGAAATGCATTCACTGAAAGCCATATATAGGCTAAGTGACTCTAAAGGAGCATTATAATAAGTTTGGTTATGGTAATTTTGGTTCCATGTCAATAGTCATTTTTACGGACATACTTTTCAGAAATCTTGGCTTAGTATGACTGTTCTCAGTTGATTCTGCTGCTTGTTCATATAATAATACTAAAAGATACAATTTTACGCCCGAGTATATTAGCACGGAAACGATCAATTTTGATGAAACTCAATAATACTCATTGTTTGGAATAGAAGCGAAACGGGATATCTATGTCTGCTGCGATATATCTCACTCAGTTTATTTCACTTTCCAGGCTGTTGCTGTTTAGTAAGCTCTGAAAATCCTTAAATTCTAAACGAATTAGTCTACTAATTATAAGCCAAGATATTGAAATTTATATATCTACACGTAGAATTTTCATATTTTGTTGGATCTTTGAACTAGCCATCCATTACTTCTGAATTTATTTTTTTATTGGCTGAATATTGAAGATGCATAAAAGAAAAGACCAAATGCCATTGAATCTCATCAAAGAAGACGAACACACTGACTTAAAGCATTGAATATTAAAGCAATTTAAACTATCAGCTATAATTCCATTGCGAGCAGTGTGTTGTTTGATGTCTATGTATATGCAAAGGCTGACACAATACATTTCTTTTATTTTTGTTGCCGTTAAATAATTTCTTTTTCTTGCTAGCATTAAGAGAATTTCAGTAAATCAGATAACTTAAAGCCCACGGAATTAAACGAAGACAACAAAAATCGGCGATCAGTTTTAAAACTGCTAAGTTTACCGTATTACAGCCGTTTTTTGAGCCATTGACAACGACAAGTTCAATTCAAATACAATAAGTAAACAAGAAGTAGTTACGCATTCGATTGAGACTATATTTACTAAAAACTTAGCCATTATAATATTATATAAGTGGCTCAAAATGGATCCGCGTGCCTGAATATTGCACATCTCAACTATAGAAATGCTCGGTAGCGCCTTACAAGGAAATGTGAACGCAAAATATTTTCCTGTTCCTTTTCAAACCATTCAAGTTAAGAGAACATCGTTGTGTATCAAAAGAATTGATAGATAATGTACAGAGTATGATACATTGTTGATGCTCTTTCAGACCATGAGAACAATAGAGGGTTACGTGGTCTTTCATTTATGCCTAAACTGTATGCATTGCGTTAGATCTTAACAACTGAGAATAGTTTGAATTTGTTTAAATCACGCATAACTTCTTGTGGTTTCCATGAACATAATGCTAGCGTGGACTAGCGTATAGGCTTTTCTAACGTGTCGCAAGCGTTCAAAACTCTTTTATAAACTTTCTAACAGCTACAATCAAATTCATTTGAAAATTCTAAGCATAGGTGATCAGTCTAACTGCGGGCTGGATGAGGCTTTTCTTATCTCTTCGTACTTTGCTGATTCAATTCATTCACTATCATACCGTTAATTTGGCAGTTGAACCACATCAAAAATACAAAGTATTCCTATTCTAACGCATCGTCGTCTATTTCAAGACCTACCTCTTACAGCTCTTTATGCCATACTTTAATTATCTTAATGTATTGGGTGAAGTCTCCACGGTTTCTTCCTTATTTGCATTGTATCCCCGTTATTGCTAGGCAGAAGTTGGTGAAGTTAGACTTGATGCAATAAAATTGTAGCTTTTCTTTCGTTTCTGGCATTTTATGCCCAAATTATCGCTCGCTCTTTCAGTGATACCGCAGCCGTTCTAATGTCACTTCAGAATCGCGCCACGGATGATAATTCAGCTACCAATAATTACCATGAAATCTGAACCCGCTTGCTGTCAATTAAGAATATAATATTTACTTATTCAAAGTATCAATTTAGTTGCATTTAATGAACAAAATATCAATCTTATGGCTGAATAGAAGACTTCAGTCTTATCTTCACATTTATTTGCACCTTAATCGTGAAGTATTGCAGCTCTTTTCAGTCTTATAGTATCTAGACTGCATAAACTTCATAGTATTTAGAAAAGGAGATTTACGGTAAATAATTTCTAAGTGCGACAGGCGACTTCCTAATGGAATGCGACAAGTGATATTTTAATGTGACATGTTAGTTTTAGAGCTACAAGTAACTTTTCGTTATGCGAACATGATATTCAGAACAGCAGAAAATACAAAAGACTCATATTGTATTTTTCATTTCGAGCAAGGGAAGGGAAATAAACATATTCTTTGCTCATGTCTGATGAACCACTACATTTATATTGGTTCAATTGTTAGAAATAATATAAACACATTTATTGGCCACACTTTTGTAAATGAGTGCCGTAACTACTGATGTTGCTCTTATATTGTTGCGTAAACTTGAACAAACCCTTCAAAATTGAGTTTGCCTTGTTCATTGATATCAGCTTTACGGATTGTATCGTCTATTTCATCATCAGTTTGCTCTTCAACGAGGTTGCTAACCATACGTCGTAGCTCAGAATTGGACACATAGCCATCATTATCACTGTCAAATGCACGGAACATCTCTTTAAGTTCGCTTTCTTTTTCAAATTCATGGAACAAATTAAGCTGTCCTTCGGTAAAAGAAGTCTGATCGGTAGTAGCCATCTCAATAAGTTTGTCGGAAGATATAGAGGAAGATGCAAGTAATACAAAAAAAAAGAGCTATCTGATTTATCAAAAATATTTGTCACTATGCGTGCTCTCACGGTTTCACTTCGAGATGGAAGTCCTAAAAGAAGCAGAATGTACTGATTTATAGAGCCCTTTACTCGACCTAGCTAAGTCATTCACTGTAGATCATATTGAGCACTCGTTACTTCCTTCCATTACTTCCCATCAATGGACTTTGCAAATAAGTAATGTGCTTTCCTCGTACATATATTTTCAGTCAGACCTGTAAGAAACAAAACCACTCTCATCAATCACATTGTTGATTGGTTCTTACGAAACAGAACAGTCAACCATCAAAAATTTTTAATTTCTAGTATCTTTATTTTACAATTGGCAAAAACAGGGAAGTGGAGAGTATAAGCAGATATAATATATATCTTGTTATTACAATGTAGAAAACAGTGAAAAAAAAAAAAAAGAATATGTCTAATAAACAGGGTATTAACTACTAGATTTACAAAAATTACGCGTATTATTCAACTCGGAGCTTGACCAGCCAGGCCCACACGTGCAAAAAGTGGTTGTCAAATCCACGACTTCCTGTGAGATTCGCTTAATTTCTTGCTTCATGATTGCAGTCAGACTATCGTCCCTTCTATATGTATCCAACCGATCTTGTAATTCCTTTGGTAAAGAGGTATAAAGCATTCTTGGTGATCCCAAAACAAACAATGTAGCAAATGCAGCGTCGGAGTCAATGCGGGTATATGTTTGATTTTCTCTATCTGGGTAAAGCGCATCCATGACAATGGGATAGAGCGGTGATTTTGTTGTGTCTGAAAGAAGTTGAGCAATATATTCTTCTGCCTTCATTGGCTTACTAGTAGTACTAGCATTAAAAGAAGCCAGTGATTTATTTGCTAAAATGGTTGCATATTCTTTTGGTATGTTTCGTAATACCAACTGCACTACATGTTGTAAAGTTCTGGGTTTCTCAAGCCACATATTTTCAGGAATTAGTTTGCAGAATGATTTGGCAATAGTAGACCAGTTTAATTTGGGGTTGTTATTTTTTTCTGCTGACGTATCGGTTGATGTCGGTGTGCCTTTTTGTACGGCAATGCCTTGTTTGTCTGATTGAGAAGATTGTTGTTGTTCTTGTTGTGGTTCGTTTTTACTGACGCTACAAAGGCTGACAGGTGGATGTTCAGAATCATAGCTCAAAATGAAATAACCTCTAGGCCGTCCAGTTTCTGCATCAACTGGCTTCATGGATTCAAATAGCGTTTCTATAGAGCACCAGTAGCTAGGGTATTTATAACGAGCTGTATCCAAAACTAATACTTTTTCTGCTTCTGCATTATAAGCCCCAATAGGTGAGAAATGTCCGTCACCTGTCTGCTGCAAGGTCTTTCTGGAGAATGATAGAACCATGAATTTATCTGAAGTTGACGTGACCATCTCTACATCCTTTTTGAACTCTTCAAAAGTAAATTCGAAAGCCCTTTTAACTTGTACGTCGGCATGACACTTGGCTAAACAAGCAAAATTGTCGAATGTGATCCCTTTCTGCTTCATTTCTTCCTTTGACGAGCAACATTGTAAAAACTCATCTATTAATTTGAAAAATAAAAAACCAAACTACTAAGTATATTGACTCCAATCGCAACCGTTACAAATGTCTTTGCGAAGCCGCTTAAAAGCCAAAAAGCAAAGGAAAAAGCATACCTGAAAACCATCTCCAATTTCCTTTCCAACGTCTTTTAGGATCTACTTCCAATGCATTTAATACCATGGCCACTGTTCAGAAAGAACCATTAATGAGTTTAATATTAGTAAACTTCGCTAAAAAGGAAAAATAAACAAAAAATGCCGCAAAACTTACAGGAACTAGGGCCACAATAAGCAGGTTCTGACTGAGTAGTAAAATTACCCGTTAAAGGGAAAAAGCCTTCTGCATGTCCTTCATCCATGGCTTCTCTAAACAGCTTTTTACCTTCTGGTGAAGCGAACCGAACCAGCGTTGATGGTAACTCTCTTTGATAGAAAGTGTTTTTCAAATCGTCATCGTTTTTATTACTGGTATCAGAGGTCTTGGGCACCACACCCAGTAGATGTTCGAAGGCTGCTTTGACAGACTCTGTTGTTACTGATGGCTGTTGGGTTGTTGAATCGGTCGAGGTACACATATTTGAATCTTCTTGAATAGGTTCTGTTTGAGTTGCAATACTGCGATAAGTTATACTAGCCGTTGGCCCTGAAGCTCGTACTGGTTTTGAAAAAGATAAATGTCGTCTAGAAGATAAAACTCGACTAAAACGAAGTGAACTGCGGTTTCGTAACCATCGAGTAGCTGTAATCCGTAACATATTGTTGGGTAAAGATTGTCTAAGTTCAATTTTTGAAAATAAAAATAAAGAGGTTTGAAGATTCTAGAAATGGATTATATATCTGAAAGAAAAAATAACTCCGCAAATTGTACCTTGCGCAAAATTTGCTCGATCAGGAACAACAGAACGAATGAAAATTGCTCGAAGAACCCAGAAGTCTATCATGTTGAGAATTGGTTTTCGAGGTCATGCATGCAGCTATTGCTATGATTTCGTCATCAGACTTCACGCATACCCTACAGAAGCTTACTTGAAAGCAAAATACAAACTCTGGTAAAATCAGCCGTGAATAAGAAAACGACCAATTCTGAGGCACATAAGCTATTGAGAATCGAAAATATAACGCCTCACTCTGCAATCTTCACAGTTGTAATAAAGAAACAATCGCGCAAGTTATATACAATAATGCTTTTTTTTTTATTGACAGTGGTACTAATTTTGGAAAAAAAAAAACCTAACTGAAATAACTTTACTAAAATGATATCATTTGATCTCTTGAATTGTTGAACATATACATATGTGTTTTTTTTTTTTTCGACAAGAAATATTATATTAACTTATTTTGGAGGATAGCTAGGGCTTGTGGGTGAATAACTGGGGCTTGTAGGTGAGTAGCTTGGGCTCGTGGGAGAGTAGCTAGGGCTTGTTGGACTATAACTAGGGCTTGTAGGGCTATAGCTGGGACTAGTTGGACTATAACTAGGACTTGTAGGTGAATAGCTGGGACTAGTTGGAGAATAACTTGGTGATGTTGGTGAATAACTAGGACTAGTAGGGCTGTAACTAGGGCTAGTAGGGCTATAACTAGGACTTGTTGGACTGTAACTTGGACTAGTAGGTGAGTAGCTAGGGCTAGTAGGTGAGTAGCTAGGACTTGTGGGTGAATAGCTAGGGCTAGTAGGAGAGTAACTGGGAGATGTTGGTGAATAACTGGGACTTGTGGGACTGTAGCTAGGACTAGTAGGGCTATAGCTAGGGCTTGTGGGAGAGTAACTAGGACTAGTAGGTGAATAGCTGGGACTAGTCGGTGAATAGCTGGGACTAGTAGGTGAGTAGCTGGGTGATGTAGGTGAATATCCAGGAGATGAAGCATAGGATGGGCTTGCAGGTGAGTAACCTGGAGAGGTGGGAGAATAACCAGGACTATGTGCATAAGGACTAAGATCACCACGCCATGGGCTTGCTACTGAGGTTGGCACCCCGGAATTGCCCATAGGTGAAAACATCGGTTCAGCAGGTGATGATGGTTGTGAGAAATCGACCCAATCTGGAGAACGTGTGTCGTAAGGTGTAGCCATACTGGGAGTCATAAAGCCAGGACCAGGAGTAGCAAAACCTGTCGTATCGCCAGCCATGCTTATTTGCAGGTTTTGTCTGTGGTCTTGTGGCACAGATTGTAACATTTCCTCATCCAAAATAATATCAAATTCACCAGTACCTAATGGTGCCATTTGACCCAGCATAATATTTTCTGTAACACCCCTACAATCATCCAACTCACCAACAGCAGCTGCTTCCATAAGAATTTCAACAGTTTCTTCGAAAGAACATCTCATTAGAGCACCCGTTTCAGCTCTGTTGATACCATGACGAGTAATAGCCATTAAATGACCACGATTGGTCATAACATCACAAAGCAAAGCCAAGTGACGGTAGTTGACATAAGAACCATCAAATTCAATAACGTTACGCAATTCTTTCAAAAGAGCCTTGCGGGTAGCTTCAATACCAAGAACTTCCATAATTTCAACAGTATTATTGGAGTAGGTGCGAGTTTCATCAACACCATCCACACACATGACTTCTTGCAGATTGGTGCCATCAGTATCGAGACCCCATTCAGTTATAGTTTCAAATACACCCTTATCGTTAAGAACGGTGCTCTTTCGCTCAACAATGTAAACCTTTTTAATACCAGCTATACCACGAAGACTGATAGAGTTCAACATACTGCCTTCTAACTTACGAAGGAAGGTATCCTCTTCAGTGCGGTCTTCCTCTTCCTTATCATTCTCATCCATCATTACTCTGCAACGAACAATCAATTTTTCGGCATTTTCATCACTACCCATGACGTGGACATCGTTACGGAACTCCTCTGTAATCTTTTGAACAACTTCCGTCATAGTCACACGTTTATCTATCATCATACCACGATTCAACTCAAGACGCAATAACCATGGTGACACACGGGTGACAGAAGCTGAATTGTCGTCTTCTAATTGATAGTAAGTTTCAACGAAATCAACATCTTCTTCGATGACTGTATGTCGTGGATCAGGATCGTAGTAAATTTCCGCCGCAGAAGTTACCTTATGAAGCGTAGTATGCTCAAGGTAAACCTGTACTTGTTTGGCCATTTCAATATCGCGGGAGTTCTTGGCATCAAGCCAAACTTCGAGACGAGGTGTTTTGATATTTTTGGCCACGTTAATGATTTCCTTCAAACGAGGAACACCAAGGGTAACGTTCTTACTGGATACACCAGCGTAATGGAAAGTGTTCAATGTCATCTGAGTAGCTGGTTCACCAATAGATTGTGCAGCAATAGTACCGACCATTTCGCCAGGAGCAACAATAGAAGTCAAGAAACGGGATTCAATTTCACCAATGATCCATTCAAAAGCTTGTGAGCTCAAATGATATTCTTCAACAACACGCTTGACAGAAAAGGTTGAACGCAGCAAGATCTGGAATAATAGTGTAGCATTCTTTTGTGTTTCACTGGATATTTTATCATTACCGCGAACAACCAACAAGCGATCAGCAAGTGAGGCTATACCATCAATGACCTGCATAGGATGAATATCAGACTCTTTACGAGGGTCCAAGTGGAAGATTTGTTGGGAATTGGTGATCAAACGGTTGAGATTGACTGGCAAAGGCCATTTGTCGTCACCATTTTTGAATATGGACGTTCTCAGTTTAATACGATCTTCAAGCAGTCTGTTATATTCCTTGTCCAACAGGCTCTGAGCTTGATCATTTTGCTCGAGGTTATTGAGAACACTGGAGTTCAGTGTACCCTTTCGGAAACCACCAGCACTGAGGTCGACTTTGAAACGCTTTTCAAATTCAGCATCATTGCATCTGAGAGATACAAACTTCTGATTTTCTACAACCATAGCATCCATACCGTCCTCACCATAACAGAACTCAATAATATCACCAAGTGAATTACGTACAGTACCATCATATTTAACCATAACATCTTCGAGAGCCTTGACCAAACGACGTTGAATATAACCAGTTTCAGCAGTCTTAACGGCAGTATCAATAAGACCTTCACGACCACCCATAGCATGGAAAAAGAACTCCGTAGGTGTAAGGCCTCTTAGATAAGAGTTTTCTACAAAACCACGACTTTCAGGGCTGTGATCATCCTTTGAAAAGTGAGGAAGTGTACGGAATTTGAACCCGTAAGGAATACGTTTGCCTTCTACGTTTTGTTGACCGACACAAGCGGACATTTGCGAGATATTGATGAAAGAACCTTTGGAGCCAGCAACTACCATTTGTTTGACGTTGTTATCTTCTTTCAAACTGTTTTGAGCCATTTTACCAGCATCATCACGAGCTTTGTTCAAAGTTTGATTGACCTTGGCTTCAAAAGATTCACGCAATGTCATACCTGGTTGAACTTCCAACTTATCCTGTTGAGCGGTTAAGATAATTTCTTGCACACGTTGCTTAGCTTGGGAAATAATGTTCGTAATAGTAGCCATAGATGCTTTATCAGCGATGGTATCACCTATACCAATACTAAAACCATTCTGTAACAACCAATAATTCACAACTTGCTGTGTGCCACCCAGGAAATTCTTTGCTGCTTCAGGGCCCAATTCATTCATGATAGTATGTACAAGACCACCACTCGAGGTACCAACTGTCTTCTTACATACGATACCACAGATTAACTCACCGTCCTCGATAATGACACGGGTATCACCAGGTGAAATCATGGTAGTTTCGCCATCAGGATGAGTAGAGTGGAAAGTTTGACAATTGATACCTGAAGGAATGACCATACTGACAATTTGTTTACCAGTCCACATAGGCTTGGGTTTTAAAATAGCGGGTGGAGGAATATAACCATCCCAAGAGGGGACCCACATGACAATATTCATCACCAAATCCTTTGTTAGAAAGCAATCACGTAGTGTAAATTTACGGATACCGCAGAGTGTATCTTGTACAATACCCATGACGGGCTTATTCGATTGTGGGGATACAATTTGCTTGGGAACCATACAAATTTCAGTGATTTCAGCTCTTGTTTCAAGGGACTGAGGAACGTGTAAGTTCATTTCATCACCATCGAAATCTGCATTGTAAGGTGACGTAACTGACAAATTGAGACGGAAAGTTGAATAAGGCATTACTTTAACACGATGACCCATCATAGACATTTTATGCAAAGAGGGTTGACGATTGAAGATAACCACATCATCGTCGTTAATATGTCTTTCAACACGATAACCGTATTGCAGAGGAATTTCTCCAGCACGTTTACGATAGCGCAAATCGACACGTTCACCGTTATCGCGAATGACATATTTTGCACCAGGGTGCTCTAAAGGACCGTTTCTTACTAACTGTTGCAACTTATCGATGTTGTAAGGTGTAACAATTTCTGGGTAAGTCAGATTTCTAGCAATACTCCTAGGAACGCCAACTTGATCAACAGCAAGATTTGGATCACCTGTAATAACGGTACGTGCAGAAAAATCTACACGTTTACCCATGAGATTACCTCGAAGACGACCTTCCTTACCCTTCAAACGAGCACGGATCGATTTAAGAGGTCTACCGGATTTTTGTAAGGCTTGAGGTTGGCCAGCAATATCATTATCCATATATGTGGCAATATGGAACTGTAGAATGAATTGATCAATACAAAGCTCTTAAGAGAATATCAATACATAAATCAAGAACCAACCTGCAAGAGTTGTTCAAATTCTTGCACAACGTGCACTGGAGCACCTTCTGATTCACAACGCTTCACATTAGCGTTTGCTTTAAGAATATCAGAAAGTTTGTGGGTTAAATCGTCTTCACCACGACTAGTTCCGTCCATTTGAATGGAAGGACGAACTTGAGGAGGCGGCACTGGTAAGACGGTGATAATCATCCATTCAGGTCTAGCAAACTCTTCTGATAAACCCATATCACGGATATCTTCATCTGATATATTCTTGAGAATTTGTAAAACTCTTGCTGCGGTCAATTGCTGTCTTCCTTCATTGTTGGAATCCTGTTCAATTACACAAAATTTTTTTAGGTAAAAAGAATGTCATTCAAGGATATTAACAAGCTCTTTTACTTACATCACCAGTAGAACGGAACTGCGCATAAAGTTTCAACCCATCTTTACGAATAAGAGGCTGCTTATAACCACAACCGCCATGGGTGCTTTTACGTTTCCCTCCGAGTTCTACTTTTTCGCCTAAATCATCGTCCGCATCATCGCCACCTTCACAAGTTGTTTTGGATTTGGCGAGGTCCCAAACTGCACGAAGCCTCGCTTTAGAATCTGAAATCTTTCGGGCTCTTTCAAAACGAGGGTTTGACTGAACATGCATATTAATACAATGATTGTCAGAAATGAATAGTAACCTATTTTTAACTACTCACAGCATCCACTTTTAGTTTTGAACAATGAAAGCAAACACATTCAAGAATCTTCTTTACTTTCGTTAAGAAGCCTAATAAAAATAATTAGCAATAAGAAACAAAAGATGCTCCACAATATATAGTAAGAACGTACCAATATGGTAAACAGGCTTGGCTAACTCAATATGACCAAAATGACCTGGACATTCAGCCATGCCTTCACCACAAGTTTGACATTTGTAGTTTCGATCAATAGTACCCATTCTTGCATCTAATAGAGCACCCGTTTTGGGCTTTTGAGTTCCTTCATCATAGAGCTCAGGGTATTCTATTCTTGCAACAGACATTGCTTTCTATTATCGAAAGGAAGATAGGACAGATTAACTACACGAAGAAACTCTGCATAATCTAACGAGGTGACACGTACAATCTCTTCAGGAGATAAAATGCCAAACTGAATTGCATCAACACGTCGAAGAGGTGCTGAGGAAAACGCAAATGGATGTCCACTCATATTGTTGTGTTTTTTCGAAAATTATACAAGTGAAAGATGAACTTTTTACGATTCTTCGCTTTTTTAGCTTGTTTAATCGCCTAGATTTAATTTATTCTCTATTTTTTGTGTGTTTTCGTAGTTTAAAGTGAAAGATCGTACTGCTTGCGCTGAATAACTTCTGATTAATTGTAATATATAAAAGCAAACAGATCGACAACTGAACAGTGTCGATTGATGAAAAAGAAAGCTTTAAAAATGTAAAGTTTGGCAAAAATAACTTCTTGCGGACTGCGGAAGCCGACCGTATTTACGTCACTAATTGTGTGACTGCTATGTTTATCCCGCAGCTGTACTCTACCCTGACAAGTATGGACAGCAGTGTATTGTTATTATTGTGTTAAATGCTAAAGACTTGAACACCGTTCAAGATAAAGTGTGGAAACGTGCGTTTCAGATTTGGATTTGAAAAGAAGGTAATCAATATCTCTTTCAATCCTAAACGCGTGATTGCAGTTATGAATTCTTCCTTTTTTTCCTGATTGATTTTCTCTTTTTTCCTCTGTTCAGTCCTATACAAAATTACATTTGTAAGTCATACTGGCAAATCTAAAGTCAACAGAAAGCGCTTAACACAGGCCTAAAGTAAAGTTTTAGCGTTTTTAGTTTTGAATAAGAACGTTTTTTGAAGAAAAGGCTCGCAAATGTTCCTAATTGTTAGACGGCATATGAGCTCTTTGATACACGTGATTAGAAAAACTGAGAGTTGACTGAAAGATGTGTGCGCCACCAAAAAGTTGTCATTTTGCAGCTGTCATTGCTTGTATATTTGCCTTCCTTTCAGTCTGAAACGGTAACATTTGTAATTGATGTTCTTACTAATTAAAAACACTAGGCTGCCCTGCTTTTTAAGGAACTTATACGATAGCAATAATTATTCGGGCTCTATATTTCTGTATATAACCTATTATCGTCTTTTCTAATAATTAATACTTCTATTGACTTCATTATTTGAACACTTTATGATTTTGGCAACCTTTTTCTTCCGTTATACCCTTTAAGGTTATCACTTCCTTATCAATGGCAGAATAGCCTTCGTAGGTTTCAAAGCAAGCTCAGGACTTCATTAGAACATTTACTAGAGAACCAAGCTAATACAGCTAATAAATTGCTATTTCTTGCCAGTAAAGTGAACATGGCTTGTGACCTTCAGTGTATACTTTAATTAATTTGATCTACAAAATAAATACCATCCTTCGCGTTTGCCAAAGGTAATAAATTGAGTCAATTTAAAACAACTGTACCTTTGAATATTCATTTGATATTCATAAGTAATAATTGAAGCAGTAAAACCACTAAAGATGATGATTATACAAAGAGTGCCGTAAATCAAAGGGAAAAGAAAAGGTTACAAGAGCCAGAAGAAGTCAAAATTCCAAATGAGCCTATTGAAAGCTCTTCTTGACATACGCTACTGCATTATAACGCTGCCCTTAAAGCCATATTTACCATAGTCGATCCATCTGTTGACAGTTGAAAAATATTTTGGGTAAATAATCACGAAGTTTAAGCAAGGGTTATGCATTTGGATGACATTATGACAGAAGCCCATACAAACTCATTTAAAGAAACGAGCGTCTGGGATGTCATATTTGATAGATCAAGTAACTCCTTTTACTTGCTTGACTTTTTGCGCCACTTTCTTTCTTTTTTGCAACATCTGTGTCTCTTTATACTGTATATTACGTGCTTTGTTCTCCATTGTTAAATAAATCTACGGTCTCAAATGTGCGGCTTGTGGTTCGAGTGCCAACAAATATAGCTGCTTGCTTTTTAAGTTTATAAAAAAAGTTAGAAAGCAGTACAGTCAATGGTATAATGCTGACATATCAAAAATTGGAAGCCTGGTTAAACCATTTATACACACATCATCAATTTCAGTACAGGTAAACTTTTGGTATAACACAAAATCGAACAATTAGGAGTAACAAAAAAAAGACGCTGCCTTCTCTTGCGTTAAAAGACATGAACTAGTTATTGCTGTTTATTATCAAATGAGCTGGTAAAGGTATGCCTTAGATGCTTTTCAATCTTCAAAGTCTTTGATCCACGACCATATGATACGTTTTTACCGATGGTTATTTGTGAAATTGAATGAAGAGGGCATTTATATAGGCACCATCATTTGCTGAAGTGCTTAATCTTAATCTGTAATACTTGTTCATAAGTTAATGTAAAGGTTAGTGTGGAGTTGTAATTAGGTCGTTTAATCCTAGCTATATTTCAGACTGGTAGCATCCCTGCTGCTACCAAGAAAACGGTATTTACGTTAAGTCTAAATAAAAATGTTCTGATGGTAAGTACAATATATTTATCTAGGGAGTATTATATAGTAATAATAGTACAGGGAATATTCTAACAGAGTAAGAAGTATCACACGAAATGGAATTTTTGCTGGATTATCGGTATAAGTGTTGACATAGCGATGATTTGCAAATTAGATTTACTATTTTTTCCACTTGACAAGCTCTTCACGGAAGGCATTTAATCGTTGCATCGAGAATAAGAAGTAATCAAAATCAATTTCACTATTGTACGCTTGTATTAAGCCCCACAAACCCCAACCAACATGAATGGCCATTACCCATTTGGCCACCTCTTTTTGCAAATCTTCCGGCGTAATTGCATAGTTGACGACGTCTCGATTGGTATGTTTTGATGGTGCATCAAGGTATGCTTTTAAAAAATGAACTTGCTCCTCGTAAGTAGGAAATCGACTCATATTCATCACAGCAGGTAGTTCTGAATGGTAATCGTACGTCCATTCGCAAAAATGGTTGGCTAAGTCATGTGCACGAGGGTTGTAACCTGCATATTCGAAATCAACAACCACCAATTCGCCAGTTTTTTCCAACTTTAAAACATTACCATATTGTGTCTACAAAAAAAGAATCGAAGAAATAAATCTACTGATAGCTCCTGTAACAATATGACGAACAAATACGTACATCGTTATGTGCAAAGACGATAGGCGAATCTGTCATGCTCAATATCTTTTTGCATTCTTCAATTTCCAATTTCAAGCGTTCTAAATTATAGACGGATAACACTTTAAACCATTCCGCGTTTTTCTTCATCAGCGCTGGAAACAGACTCATTACCACACCATACCATTTATCAATATTCTTCCAACATTCCAAATGGTGTTTAGTTGAGTCAAAAGGATATATTGTGACGATATCATGTAATTCACGTAGGCATGCTGCAATCCCCTCTGAGGTCCTTGGATCACGTATATCATGATGGTTTAATGTACGAGAGGGTAAATATTCTTCAAATCGACCATTACCGAATACACCTAAAAGGCGGGCACCAATACCGACATTAGAGAGTCGTGCAAGCCAAGCGAGTTCGTTTTCTCTGTCAATAATTTGTTCCACTCCTACGCCATAAACTCTCAGGACAAGTTTGTCTTCGTTCGGAATATTGACAAAAAACACTGCACTATAAAAAAACCAAAAGTGAATACGTCAACAACGCAAATAACTAACATGCTGACTCTAAGTAATCGTCGTCTTACTTCGTCATGGCACCACTAATTCGGGTTAAATGGAGGGTTTTAACGTCATGAGCCCATTCTGGGAATAGCACTTGTATGAGTTTCAGCACTCTTTTTTCCAGTTCTTCTTTACTTAACGTTCTAATTAAAAATATCAAATTCAGTTCAAAATTGCCCTTTTTTCTGTTAGCTGAAAAATTAAGAGATAAAATAAACATACGCTAAGTCAATGATGGTATCGCAACCAGGGATGGAAGGCAGTTGATCGTTTTCACGCTCATTAGGAGGCGTTGACATGAGCATTTAATATATTTCTTAAAATAGTAGTACAAGAAAAATAGAAAGATACACGTTGCAATGCCTATGGTGTATAACTGAAACCAAACAAAATGCTGTTTGACACGGCGTTTCAATGAAATGTTGGTCTTTTTTACCAGTTGTCAAAACTGTGTGCGGAACTTCAAAATATTTACAAAGTGGGAAAGGAATGCGTTTGTGATGGCGTGGTTCTATGGTATGTACCAAAGTAAATAATATACTTTTAAACAAGGATTTTTATTACTGACATTTTTTTAAGCCCAATGGACACGAGATAATAAGCTTATGTAAATTGACCCGGGGCAGCTCCAAAGGCTGAAAAGAATCTAAAAACCCCTTAGGGCTCAAGGGTAAAAAGGATTATGGACTAAAGGGTTGGGATTCGAAATACTACATTATTTTCGGTTTAGATTTAGACTTTTTTGTACACAAAATTGGATATTTTGATTGATTTAATTTAGAAAATTTAAGTCATTACTTTCGGACTAGTTATTTTTACATTCGGACACTTGTAGTAAACATCTGAGACCCGCCTCTTTTTGCACGCATTTGTTGCAGTAAGTTTCGTTGTTTGATCGGCCCAGAAGAATTACCTACATTCTCCTTAGCTGCCATTTGAACTGGTTGTCCAGTTGTATTCTATATAAATGACTCACAATCCTGTATTTTCATTGACTGGTCAGCATCTCTCTTGATCTAAAATCGTGTCACTTTAATGTCATTTTTCCCTTAAAGGAAGAATAGAAGCGAAAAAAGCATCGCCATCGAATACTGTCATATGCAAGCACTGTGGTCTAAGTGGTCCCTCAACCAAAGCTTTCATTTGCTTGCCAACAACATATTACTACTAAAGCGAAGCTCCTTCGAACAAACTATTCAGATAAGTATGAGCTTTACGCTCGGAAACTGCCCCTTGTAACCTACGTTACGCGTTTAGGTGAGTTCATCTTGTGAAATTTCTCACTGTACATTTCTGAGGTTTTATTAACTGCTGCTTGACGTTACTATATACTCTGTTTGAGTAATAATAGTTCGCACATTTGGCATTGATTTTTTTTTTTTTTTTTTTGTAGATTATTTTATTTAAAATAATAAATTAGTCACACATCGCTGAGGGGTGGGACATGGAGAGGAAAAGAAGATTTCTATGACAGGTAAATTAGTCGAAAGCAGCCGCTTCCCGCATGAGCTGCGAGGAAGACAGGCTCAAAGAAATTATGTTGTATGCTTTACTAGAGACGGATGGGAGATGAAAAGGAATATCATGGAATATCATTTGAAAGAATGACGTCCAGATAGCCCAATGGATACTGAAGCAGACGGTGAAAAATCGAGATTGCTCGGACGAAGGTAGTGATGGTGGCGAGTGTAATCTTAGGGCGGCGAAGATGCTTTGAGGATCAAAGTCGAAGGATGGGAAATATATCGCGAGGCCTTCTTGCCATATCTGCCAGCGTGGTGGACAACTGGTTGTAAAATGTTCGAACGTATCAATATCATGATTACAAAGTCTGCAGGTATCAGATGAAACTACCCCTGCGGCTTGTAAGACTGATAAGCATGGTAATTTTGTCAAAATGGTGCGATAGCCTAGGTCACGAGCCGGAAGAAACAAAGGAAGGGACCAGAGCAGGGTGAACATCCGTTTGGGGATCACCCCTCATTTGGCATTGAGCATTTTGACAGAAAAGGTATGATACCATAAACTATATTTTTCATCCAAAATAATTTTTAAAATAGTCTGAATTTTAATTGTAATATAGTCTCAATTTAATAGCCATCTCGTGCGAAAGTCAAGCGAAAAAACAGTATAGTTAACAGATTTATACATTTCCCGTAATCTATGTTGACATGGTAGCGATGAGAGACGCCCGTCTATTTTGCTGTTGCCAAATGATTGATCTGATCTGTCTTCTTTATTCTTCTAGACGCATCTTCACTTCTATACTCCTGTAAAGCTTCCTCATTATAACGATAATACACACCATCTATTTTCCTGTCCTCTACTGATTTCAACGGCACTATACAATTCAAAAGTATCGGTCAACACAATTACCGAAACGTCTCCTTCTCATTATGCTAGCAGTGATAATACATACAAAACCATAATAACTTATCTTTCCCCATGATTTCCATCCAATTGCTTTTCAATCCACAGTTAAAAACATTTTTTTCAGTTTCAGTAAACATTTCGATCAGTCGATTTTCTGCCTTTCCAGCCTTCCTAGCTTTCTTCCATTTTTGAAACTGAGAATTCTCAATGGTCGTTCGATTGATGAAAATCAGCCAGATATGGGACATAGTAAACGGTCCTATCACAATTGTGAAAATACCAGCGCTAAAGTAAAAAATCAGCCAACCGCGTACTAACAAAGCACATCATTCGTTAAAAAGTTCCCTTACACAATCACAACAACTAAAGCTATACCATCAAAGGTTGCCTATATTCGTGAAAGAAGAGTTAGGTTTGGTTCTTTTACAGAGAAGGTGTCTATTCTTGCTATTTACCAATCCTCGACTTTGAATGAAAATAATAATGCTTGTAAGAAACACAAATGATGCATACAATGATGCATAGAAAAGAAATTGAATGTAATAGCGATGATTTTTTATGCCAACACATCCATTTACCCTGCAAAAACAAGCAAGTCAATATTGTGTAGCCTATTTTAGTATCAATAGAAATAGTTACCAGGGACAATGACTATAAAAAGAACAAATTAGGTGGAAACGAAACAGTTAGCAGGTGGATCATTCCAGAATATACACTTATACGTTCTTTGTCTGCTTTGAAGCTTTCAAACACTCACTGATCCATTCTTAATATACAAGCGTCGCAAACACGACAATGATGTGCTCTATCAGGTTTCCATACCTGACACGCTTCGCACCATTTCACGTTCCCTAAGATTGTAAAAGGCTTCAGTTGACTTTCCTCGTGTCTGGCATCAGTGGACAAAAGTGATCTGCTCGAATTAACCGACAAAGTATCACCATCTCTGAATAACGGCTAGATATAATCGTATAATACATAAGATACAATGAATTATCGATTAATATTTCTTTTTTCGTCTTATCAACCCCAAAAATGATGCCCTATTCTTGTGAACGTAAGTGAACGAAATATGAAAATTACCTTTGGATGTCCAGGTGTTTTCGTAACAATTCTTGCGTAAGATAAAAAGAAAAAGATGAAAAATGCACATGCAGGTACAAGGCATCCAACAGCTTCCTTTTTACGATTTAATTGATGTAATAAGACAACTAATTTTCCAACAAAAGAAAGAATGATGTAATTCTGTGTGAGTTACACTAAGTATATTAGACAAATGAATGGTCCGTGCGTATAACAGCAACTTACGGATAAAACGAGAAATATAACCAACAAATGCAAGTATAGCAATAGTCGAAATAATCATTACTGGTAGCCAGCCCCAGTCTCTATGTTGTCCTGGTTTTTTGCCCTTGGGGAGAGGCATGGCAAAATCAGTAATAACCGAAAAAAGGAAAATGACAGGCCAGCATCGTATGTATGCTGGCGAATCTGTATGACAACATAGGCAAGCTTGGGTATCATGTACATTATCATCTGGAAAATCAAATGAATCTTCTTTAGATTTCTTTTCTTTTCGACTCTTTAAGCACAGGTTCAATGGATGTGTGCCGACAGTCAAAAACCGTTCAGACAATCGTTCTAATTTTGACATGATGCGCCCTTATATAGCAGAAAGATAAAAAGAATTGAAGGATTGGAAACCAATTAAGGTGAGTGATAAAAATACAGGGAATATTGGTAAAGAGGTATCACTGTTGAGTACAGTATAAAGGGAAGGTGAGTGTTGTGCAGTAGAGAAACAAAAAAAAAATACCAAAAAAATCAAAAGTTTTATTAAATCTTACAAATGAAAATACAGATCTACCCAGCATCCTAATTTAGTCTTTTTCCGCCGGAGAAAATTATACGAACGCCAGATAGCTTTGAACCGCCAGTTCGGCTTGTCAGAATCAAAAGGAAGGCTGAGGGTATTATGTAAGTTATTGCCAGCATATGAGACATGTGTACCGACTTCCATGAAAAATGGGATCCTGAAGTTTTGCAACTTCTTACGAGTGTTGGCAGGACGATTCGGCTTTTTACAAAGAGAGGCAACATTTTTCTGTCGTTGTAAGCAATATTTTGAAATAGATTTGATATCTCAAAAGCCTTTTGGCCCAAGAATATATAACTGCTTTGACTGTGTCTACAGTTTCCCTTCATGGAGTAAGACTCTTATGGTATTATTATCCTAGTTCATACGGCAAGTTAGAGGATCCTTCTAGAATGGGAATGACGCGCATAAGGTCACGAACATTTTTTGTTAAGCGTTTGCTTTAAGGCATATCTTTCTTTTCATTTTGCGTTTCATTCACATACCCTATCGTGTTTCTACTGTTGATTTTAATCTAAATACACATGGAATTTGATACAACATTCAACGGCTAAATAGCTCAAGTAAAGAAAACTAAACGGTATATTCGAAAGATTTTGTAATCGTAAGTGAATTTAGGACCACTTGTAAGTTTCAATACTGTTTTTGTTTATCGTTATCTCCTCCTCATCTGCTTTGATCTATCATCAACAGGCTATAATCCGCAATTACTTTACCTTAATGATCAGTTATCTAAACAATTCTATAGCTGAGTTTTTGGCGCTCGTTTTGAGCAAGACTTTCTCCATCATTTCCTCTATATAAGTACAGTAAAACATTGCAGATGAATCATTTCATTGATTTCCGATGCACTTAAGTTTTGACCGTTAAGTAACGGGTTGTATCAATGGGAAAAAACTATGAATAATACAGCAATAAGCTTATAATCAAATGTCAAGATTAAGAAAGAACTTATGGGGTAGCTATTTTAAGTATTCAAATAATCGAGAATGCGTACTTATTATACGTAGACGGGACGTAAATTAGTAACCGTCTTTCCTTTACTATACCTAGTCATCAGTTACTATAATACAAAAAAATATAGATTAAAAGCATAGATAAATTCGAAGTGTCTTTGATATGATATTGTGGTAGTACCACTTTTAAAATACGATAATGTTCACACGAAGTATCTCATTTGACATATGCAGTAACGCTCGGAGAGGAATACGTCTGGTTGCTTTATTAAATTGACTAGTTAATTAAGCTACATCATATATAACCCATTTTTATTCACCTCAATCAGAGGCTTACATTGTTATATGCTGTCAATTGATAGCTTAAGCCTCGCTGTAATCTGCTTTATAATCGGTCGTTTTCAGCATTTTGATGAAACTCATCACGGACCCTGGCCATAATGATTGGACATTACCGTGTTCGTTAATATACCAAGAGCTGCAGCCACCCGTCCAAACAGTGCCTTTGAACCTCCTTTGTACATCACTAGAATAGGCTTCTTGTGATTTTTCTTTTGGCTCTAAAGATTCAAACTTATTCTTAATCATGTACCTTATCATTTTAACGGCAAACTCCACTTGACTATTTCATTTTGAGTATACGGTCAATATCAATGGGCTTATATAGAGGTTCATAATTGTAGGATAAAATAAGCTTAATAAGCCTTACCTTTCAATCATAACAACTACCGAATTATGTCCTAAAGCAGAGCCGGGGCCGAGCAGAAAGAAATAATTTGGTAGCCCGTGAACTGTTACTGTTTTGAAGGTTTTTGGTGTCTCGTTATCCCAAAGTTCATTTAAATGGAGTCCGTTTCTTCCATACACTTGGAATTGACCAAATATTCTTATTGTATCAAATCCAGTAGCTAACACGAGGACATCAACTTCGGCTTTGGCACCGTCAAGCGTTGATATTTCATTATCTTCTACTCCCGTAATATTAGATGTAATCACAGTAACATTAGGGGCGCATAAGGTCTGGCAATAGTCATCCGAGATCAAAATACGCTTGCAACCAACAGGGAAGTCAGGTATCAGTTTTTCAGCTAGATCAGGTCGACCATGCGTTTCAAATAAATGTAGCATATGCTTACGTAGGTTACTCTTGAATGCCCTGGCAAGCCATGAATTAGCATCACCCCACGCTTTAAAACGGAAATCACGGTAAAAGAAAAGGCATGCGCGATAGAGTCGCATAATGAAAGGAAAGTATCTGAATAACATCTTTAAAAGCTTGCTATGCTTTGTCTGATATCTTGGGCCAACCCATGATGGAGTCCGTTGGAAACTGTAGAGATGTTTGACTTCTGCTGCCAAATTTGGTATGATTTGTACCGCACTAAGTATATAATTCAAGGGAACATGTAAGTTTCAAAAAAAATTATCTTTCTCTTCTCGCACATTTTCTACCTTGCACCACTACCGATAACGGCTACTCTTTTATCAGTAAAATCGTAATTATTATCCCAAAATGCTGAATGTATGATTTTTCCAGTAAAGGATTTAAATTGTTCAGGAATAACTGGTATACGCAAGCCGCCAATGCTAGAGAAACTATATCGTTCAGTAACAAGGTTTGTATATGAGTATAATTGAGTGCAAGCTGTAAAAAATTACGTGATATAAGTACTTATCTCACATTACACGAAATTAAAATACTTGATCTGATTCTTATCTGTGAGTTTGTCCTTAGCGTTCTGCCGTTGCAGCTCCAATTCCCATTTTTTCTCTCCTTCTATCCACGAAGCTCGAATCACTTTTGTACTCAATTCTGTTTGCTCGTAGATACCATACTTCTTGGCAACATAGCGCATATAGTCATGGATTTCTTTTTGATCACTGTATTTCTTGCTCCAGTCTACGTTGAAGTAAGTACAAAATTCTCAATACATCAGAGTTGTAAATAATGTTACGGCAAACTTACTTGGATTAAGCTCAAAACTAAAAGAATACAAGTGGCTCGGTATATCGCAAGCACATCCAGGATATGTATTGTAGTGCCATGTTCCGCCAATATCTTCAGTCGCTTCGAAAATCTCAGCCGTGATATCGAGTTGCTTCTTTAATTGAATAGCTGCTGCCATTCCACTGAAACTATTCTTGCGTTTTATTTAGAGCATAAGGATCTAATTGTTGGATGGATCATAGGAATATGCAACAAACCATCTTACCCGCAACCTATAATTGCCACAGTTGGTTGATTCATGTCTTCTACTACTTTATATTTAGAGACAGTGCAAATTATCCGAGAGTTAAGCAGGCGTAAAACTGAAAAAGAATCAAAGAATTACAAAATACTAGATGCGATCCTTTTGTCAGTTAATTAAACATTGTAGGACAAAAATGGAAAAATAGCCATTATATAATCTGTTGCATTTCACACCCACTTTTGTGCACCTCAATTCTTTGCGATTGTGCATAAATCAAAACTTTCTGCACTTCAGGAACAAACAATTGCTTCAGAAGAACATCAGGAGAATAATAGAAAAGATGTTGTAGATTGACTTTTGACAGAGGACGTCTCCTATATATTTCTTTTTTGAGAGAAAATAGGAGCAAAATGTGAGCAGACAAAAAATACTGGATATATGGTCTTTGGTCCATTTCAGAAATCATCGTTTGTTCTTTCTTGCTTGCTCTGAGTTCAGCATCAGATACTAAACAAAGTCCAGCATTGCATGAGAATACGTAATAATTATCGAGATGAGCCAATACCAGCTTCATCGGTAAAATTGATTCAATGGTTCGGCCTCGACAATTTTGAGCCTGAACGTGCAGTAACTTCGCATTTCATATCCTCCAGAACACTTTTCTATATTCGTCTGCCACTTACTCTATACACGTTAATCGTTATGTGGGCTGATATTGTTTATACGGCGCAGACAGGCGGTATTAGGCATTTTCTTGCTTATTTTACTGATCTCACATTTATAGGGTTGCATTCATATCAAATGGTATTAGGATTATTGCAATAAAAGTGAAGTAGAAGTTCCTTGATTAACGCATGTTTTTCTCTTTATCCTCTTAAACACTAGGCAACCCTCTATCATCATGCACGCTACATATGGTCAGCAAAAAATCAACCTTCCTTACCAAAGACTCCCACTACATTTATAAATCAACACTCAAGCCTTAATTATCTGTACTATTATCTTTATCACACAGTTGTTGTATTTAAGTAAGGTTGCATGAGCTTCACGCATGATTGCAGTATAGTAACTGAAAAAAAAACCAACTCTTTACAGTCTCCTGACACCTTTTGTATTCTGGACCTTATTGGCTAAAGAGAAACTAATTGATGGTAAGTTATGTGTTACGCTTTATAAAATTAGTGCACACCACATGCAAGGCTAATTTATTTGACAGCTCATTTGTCCGAAATCGACTTTTGGACAAGCATATCACTTCATGCTGTCACCTTATTTATCATCATTCTCGAAGTACTTTTCAACAGGATGTCTTTGTCTATTCGAGCCGTACTATTAGTTTACGGGACCGTGTTGATATACATGTGCCTTACCTTTATTATTTATGCCACGTAAGTGTACGAACGCTATGAACTACACTGGCACCATCTCATCAAAATCAATTAATTACTCGTTGAAACAGAGAAAAATGGTGGGTTTATTCGTTTTTGGATTGGAATGTAGGACCAACCGCTATTATATGGTACTTGGCCATCTCCATTCTTGTCATCCTATTTTTCTTCACTCAGTTGGGTATGCATAAGCTAAGGGATTGGGCTGCAAAAAAAATTGTCACTGTCACTAATGCGAAGAAAAGATCAAGTCAACATCCTCAACGTCGCAGTTTGCGTCCATCGTGTCAGATTTCTCCGTCTATTTCTAATGGTGAAAAAACATTACATACACCTGACGATGAGATTGAAAATGAAAACAAAATGAATGATACAACCTATAATTACAGCGAACGTAAGAAGCAGAATAAGATTGACCAGGAATATTCCGTAGCTTTATCAGACAACGACAGTCAAACAATGATTCAGCAATCCTCCAACTTTGAGCCATTGGCAAGTACGATCTGTGGCAAATCTACTTTTGGCGATACATGTACCGAGAATCTGTCAACCAATGCTTCATCCATTTACTACTATAGTTAGTCGTTTTGCTAATAAATAAATGATTCTTATTGGGCCTCAGTGTTTGTTTATATGGAGGGATTTTGTGGTTTTTTGTTTTTCTGCTTTTTCTTTCAAATCCCGCTGTGTGGCAAATACAGTTTTTTTTCTGGCTCAGATTAGACAAACTTTTACTTTTTTTTAAGACAATTATTGAAAATTTACATCCAGACTATTTGCGGATAATCGAGAAAAGGTCATTTACTATGCTTAAGACGTGTCTTTCAGCAATACCTTTCTTGTATTTTTGCTGTCAAAGTTATATGATATCGAAAAGGTGGTTTTAAACGGGAAAAAATCTCTTCTTTTTGGTATTTCGCATTTTACCTCAAGGATATAATACTATGGTTGGTGCGCATGGTGATATTCTATCAGGTTGTCAAAACAACGTATTGCTATCCCCCGTGCATTACTTCGTAGATGCAAGAGTGTTGCTATAAGATGAGGACTACGTCAGCCTTATACAGCGATAGTGAAGGTATGGTTGAAGTGCTTTAGATAAATTTCTTGAAGAGGGCGGAAGAACAACTATCACTATTGCTCATCACTTAGTTACTATTCAAAATCAAACGCTTGTACATATGTTTATATTTATATATATTATTTCCTCGCTTCAGAAGTAATATATACCATTTCTTTTGTGAATCTTATAGAGATTTATACTTTCTAATGTTTCAACCAACATTAATATACTCAAATCATGTATTTAATCGAAATACATTTGATTCATATCGCATTTCATCACCCTATTGTTCATATAAAACATCGTTTTTATTATCAGTGCTCTTCTTCTGAATTAAGCTCCGTAATACGTCGTATAATATCGGTTATTCTTTCATCAATCACTTTAATATTGTTTGTTACGGACTCATCATTTTCCTTGAGACTCGAATTAAGCTAGGATGAGAAAAACATTGAAAATTGAAAGATCAGTGGCATGTACGCAAAGCGAGCTGAATGGGATACTGTATTTTACCAAATCGCAAGTATTACTCAAGCTTTTCAACTCATCCGCCATTCTCGTTTGTTCCTCAGAAATAACCTTGACCGACTGACTAAAAGAAGCTGCTTCCATATGCAGGCTTTGCAATGATTTTAATCTTGTTAACAGAGCTGGTGTCAGGTTTAGCAACGGATCAATCTTCTCCATAGTATCAAACATTTTGTTGATCTATGTTGGAATTATTGATAATGGAGTTGTGTCAATTTAGTGAAAAGCATTATCTCACTGCTGCTTTTCTTTTTACCTTTGTTTCTGTATCATTTGAGCCATCTTTATTCACATTGTCTGCATTCGTCTGTGTATTATTAGAAGGTGTAAAACTCGATAAAGTAAAGCTGTATGTGTCTTTTCTCCCAGATTTCAATTCATTGAGCCTTTCCAAATCACTATTGAGAATTTTGACTCTGCGTGCTATCATTTCTAATTGCCCCGGCTGTGTAAGAACAGCTACCTGTTGCTCTAATTTTGATAACGAATTGACTAGTGAACTAGCAGCAATATCTGAGGGCTAAACGCATAATGAAGGGCAGCCTGAAGTCAGTTTCGAGACATAAACATTCCAACTATCTCTCTCTTATCTGTACCAAACTCTCTAATCCTTCTCCAGAACGAGATCCTATCAGTTTTTCCAATCTTGCAAGACGTTGGTCAATATCCGATAATTTCGTTTCTTTCTGCATTTTGACTGTTTCGGGGGTATAGTAGAGCTCATAGGTGACCATCTATTACAAACTGTTTCATCAATAATCCCAAAGTCAGTCAAGCAAATGTATAACTACTCACATTGTTTTTATTTGAATTCTTTTGGACAGCAGAACCGTCTGCATTAGAAACTTCTTCCGTCGCAGTATCAACTGTGTTCTCAGGGAGGTTTTTAAATGCTTCCAATTGTTTAATCAAAGATTTAGCTTCGCTCATCGACCTTGTATAGCCTGATTTTGTGCCTAAATCGCTAATATCATCTGCTTGCTGCTTTAGACGAGCCAAATCAGATTGAAGAAATGCAATTTGGGACAATATTTCTGACTGTGAAATGGTCTCTTTGGCGTCGAATGGTTCCTGAAAAAAGTCATAAATTTAGGATCGTTAGCACTCATAATACAAAACCAAAAAGTAAATATGTTATATCTCACACCTTCTGTTTTTCAACTTCATCATTTAGCTCTTGAATTTCGTACATAAGTCGACGTAGTTTCTGTAAAGGAGTCTCTTCCAACGTCAGGTTTTTTGGTAATATTTCATACTCGCTTGTTTCTAGCCCGAGTGGTCGACGTACGAATGTACGATACATGGCCTTCTTTCTACGAGACAATCGATCCGAAAAATCTGATGGAAGATGATATGTATCTTTTCAGCAAAATTGTACATAGTAAAAGTGTAGGCATGTCTGTATGTTCAAGAAAATGTCTGCTCTACCTGCATCTGTCGAGTCTACTATACTGTCTTTGAATCTACTAGCTGCATCTTTAACTGAGACACGAGATTTTACAACTTCTTCTCCATCATCATCGTCGCTTGACTATATATCATATGTCAAGAATTGGCCTCGTTCTAACTGTCAGCAATGAAAGTTCGTACCTGATTTTCGTAAGTCACGTTAACTGAGCTCTCGTTTGTGTCTGGAGTTTCGTATACATCTGGTTGGTCATCCTTTATAAATGTTAATTTCAGGGAAGTATCGTTATAACTTATGAGCCTACTTACAATATCGGGTAACGTCGAGTATTTCGAACTCATTTGGTATAAAGAATGTATAAGTTTGAAAGAGAAAAAACTCCTGTGGTTTACATTAAACCGTGGAGGCGGAACTTTATTTTTTTTTTTTGTTCTCAAAAGAGACTTGGATAAGCAAGAGAAGACTAATTGAAAATCAAAGTTGTTTGGCCAACCCAGAATAACCAAAGAGTTTTATTACAAAAATTTTCAAAAACCCAATTGGCAAAAGCCCGAGGCAAATCCCAATGATTATATAATATAGTGAAAAAAAAGCCCTTTGAGTGTCAAGGGTAAAAAAAGTTTAAACATTGGTGGAGGAAGGAAAATGGGGAGTCAACCATTGTATTAGGTTGGAACCAAGAAAAGGCTCTATACAAGGCGGCTCAGCGCCATGGAACAAGTAATCCAATTCATATAGAATGTCACAAATGAACGGCCAACTGACTTTCCATGATTAGCAAGTGGTAGGTGAATGAGGACGGTAGGAGGGTAAATGATTCAAAATATGTGACAACGGGTCCAAACGCATAGATTTCTTCACTCATCCTTTTCTACATTTGAATAGCTTTGAGTTGCCTTTGTGAATTATCTAGTGCCTTGAAAATATTCTAGCTTGCCTTTGTTGTTGACGACTACTTCTTTAATTTGTTTATATGCCCTGAAAGAACATGTTAATAAGTATAAATTATAAAAATTACATTTCTCTTTATTACTTTTAAAAATTTAGAGTATTCTACTTGCTGTAGAGCTTGATCACAAGCGGTTGCGCGAATATACAGATGGTAGCAATATATAGTGCTAGGCTTTACCTTTCTAATAGTTTTTTCTGTGATGTCTGAACGATGTTTACGAAAACATTTACCCAATTACTCACAAGAGTCCCATTTTTATCCTTAACAACCAACAATTCTATTCTTCTAGAACGTTTATCTTTTTTTACTACTAAAATATGAGTCGTATTTATTGGGTAATTAATGGTTTTCTTTCTTTTTTTTTTTCAGAAACAAACATTGTATCACTGTTGCAGCATCCTTCGATGTTGAAGTAGAATTCTTGAATACTCATTTTCTTGCTGCAGATGATAGACTCATCTTCCATTGAAAAATACGTGCATTAGCTTATATCTTTGACCAACAATTATCCATGCACTATCAATTAACCGTTTGCACTCTCTCATATGTTTTAGTTAAGCTTTGGCCTCATCCAGAGGACGTATCTGCTTATCAATTTTAGAACTTTGATAACTGATGAACAGATGACAGCCCCCTTATCCGAAAATGACAACAAAAGTTAGTCAATAAAGATCCAGATGCCTTTACGCCCCTTGTTAACAAATAACTTAAGAAACCCTTTCAATATATCTTCTGCGTCTTGAGAAGAGATTGTTTGTTGCCATTTAAAGTCCTTTCCTTCTTTTTTATCCAACCACGTAATAATTGTTCAACCTCCTTGAAGCTCATGCTTAAACTCATACCTAATGTTGTCATACTCGCATCTATTCACCTCTACTTATATATTTGCATCGCTTTTTTCAAATAGAAATATCGGACAGAAGTCTGACTAATGCTTGTTGTGTCCGAAACAGCTGCTCCCACATATTATATATCCACAATCTGTCACGTAATCCGTGTCTGATAACTGCTTCCGCAACAATCACAATGACCTGACATTGCTTGATTTAATGCTGAATATGTTGAGGATATATAGTAACTGACGACGAAAAAATATGGTTTGAGATGGAAAAATTTACAAGAAAAGAAATTGGTGAAGATAGTGTCGTCTAGAAATACATTTAGATATGTAGATGTCGAGTTGAAGATAGAGAGTCTAATTGTTGACGGAGTATTTATAACTAGAACACATGAAATAAAGCAAAGAGTATAAATTATTGACGTCCTTCTTTCCGAAAACACTCTTATCGACTTACCCGCATTTCTTACAGTTATAGAATACTGTTTGACCTTCATCTGCAGAACGTAGCTGCATTGTATGATATTCCATTTCGGGGTTACCACAATTGGGACATTTTTCTTTGATCTACAAAAAAAAGAATAAAAAATAAAAAGACCTGTCAGAACGAAAAAGGGGGATGGAGTATGTGTGGCGAAAGCTGAGTGTTTCTTACAATAGCTCTGGCTTGTTTGGCTTCTTTGCTTTGTTGTACCAAATGACGCTTGGATTTTAAGGCCGATTGGAATGCACGTTCTGAAGAAGTGGTGATAACTTCGGTTGCTTCGATACCCGCTGTTCTGAAAGCGCAACTGCATTGATTACACACGAGAATATCGTCATCGCCACCTGCCATATCTAAAAGATTACCACATTCTGGGCAAAATGTAAGTGAGCCGATGATGTTAGCCGGAGTAGTGGAAGCCATTCTTTCTAATATGTAATGTACAAGTTTGGTTTATTAAAGAATAGAATTTGGGTAAAAGCGTACTATGAAAAGTACACAAAACTATGTTAACAAAAAATGGGAGGCTTAGAAAAGTAACTGCAGTCCGCTTGTCATTTATGCAGCAGAGTGCTATATTCTTATTATTATTTTTTTGGATCTGTTGCTATTTTAATGATCTATTCTTCATCACTGTCGTCTTCTTCTTCGCTTTCTTCCTCTGCTTCATCTAACCATTCTATGAATTTAGTTGCTTTTTCTTTCAACTTTGTCTCTGCAGGACTCGAATTTGCTGAGTCTGAGTTGTACCAATGTCGAATAGCATCCTCTTCCACCACGTCCGCATTATAGAAAATTTGTAAAGCGCCCAAGAAGAGCTTGCCTAAGTTTTCCTGAGATGCACAATACGTTTGTAGAATCTGTAATACATGGACTTGATCGTCAGGTGTATGTGTCATTTTTCCCACTAAAGGTGCCCATTTATTCAACACGGACTTCATGCTCTGCATAGTGTTGTTGTTAGCATCAATATGATCCATAATGATGGGCACCATCACTTCTCTAACGTCCGTATAAGATCCATTACTAGACATACGTAAGCCTGTCACTTCCAAAGCTGCTGTATAAACAGTATGGTTTTCATTGATAGAGCGTTCAATTGTGGAAGCAATTTCTCTCTTGAATTCTTCCGTCTTCTTAGCAATACTGGAGTCTAATGCATATGCTCCATCAATGGATCCTATATCATCTTCATCATCCGAAGATTCGCCTATTTCACTTGCACTGTCGGTGATGTCGCCGTCTTCCAACTTGATGTCAGCCATATCAAAGGCTAAAGAACCCAACTTCACATTACGAATATCGACATCATCATCGTCGGAACGGAGTTTCCAGTAGTAAACAGTGGTGTGATTGCCTACAACAACTTCCTGGCGTTCTAAAATGAATCGAAAGGAGGAGTCAATCTCATTTTGCTTATGTCACTGGTATCCCGAAATGACTGTTTTGCTCCCCTCTTTTTAATATGACTGTACCTTCTTCAGCATCATTTTCATCCTCGCTTTCCTCAAACATACTATTTTTGGGTTGAGGATGAAGACTGAGTCTAGAATATTTGGCAATCGAGAGATCAGGGCCGAGTGTGACACCTACAGATAGGATGGAGCCCTTTTCTATGGTTGTGTTGTTTAGAATATGAACATTGTTTGCAATAATACTGTCATTGATGGTACAGTTGTTCTCGATAACGACATCATCCCATACATAAGCTCCTTCTAGCACTACGTTATCGCCAATGTGACAGTTTCTTCCAATGACTGAGTTCTTTATGTGTGTATTTTCCCCAATACGGGTACCAGCTCCAATTTGGAGATTTTCTTCGAGAATGGAGGATCGCGATAAAACAACATTCATGGACTTGTAGATATTGCCTCTGCTGAATTCATAGTCATCACCCGCTCGTAAGTTGGTTTCTGGCACGATGGGAAAAGACCAACGATTCAAAACATGAGAAGTGATGGTGGCATACAGCTGTTCATTTTGTACGCGGCCGACGTACGACTCTGTAGCAAGCCTTGTATAGATGGTTTTTCCCAAAATATCAGAGGTGACAATACCATGAACAAAATCGCTGCGTAACCGTTGCCAATCAAAATTCTCAGTGAATAAAGCAGGCACTTCGACTGAGCAAATGTCTAAAAAGGGATCGACAAGGTCGTTGCGAAATTCAAGTTGAGTGCGATTTTCGAATATTTCGGGCGAAATTTCTAAACGATCTTTGCGAGGAAGTGAAACGACAGGTTCGTAATAAACACATTGATAGCTGGTAGGATCTAATACAAATATACTATTGGCATCCTTGGCTCTGGAAAAAATGATCCCATTTTGTTGTTGATAATTGAAGGCATCATATTGATTTGATAGGTAGAGTTGTCTGTTAATTCGATAGGCATCTTAACAAAGCGTGTCTCTGTTGGAAAAACTTTACCTGGCTGTATGTGTACGAGAAGCTTCTTTAAGAATCATGGTCATGATGGAGTTTTTATCTGTCTTTTTACGAGCACGGTGTTCCTCAATAGCTTTATCCAATTTGAGGTTTGAAACAAGCTCACCAGAGGTTAAAATAAAGTCGTTTGTAATCAGCTGACGAGCATCGAGTTCACGAAGACAATCACCTACTGACATGCACTCAGGTGTAGCAACAATCTTGACTGCTAATCTAGAATTGGGTTTCATCCAGTTTGACTTTCTAGAAAAAAAAATGAACAGTTGACAGTCAGTTGCTGCCTGTTTCGTAATGGAAGGTATGCTTTGTGGGTTGCTTTCACCTACTCGAAATAATTCTTGATAGCATCAATATGAGTTGTACAGACTATAAATACTTCAAAGACATCCACAGTACTCAATAACTCCAATGTATACTCGATCAGCGGTATATTACATAGAGGCATGAGGCACTATCAAAGGAAGCATATTAGCAGCTTGTAGCTAATGCGTGCTAGTGACTTGAATAATAATGGTCCTTACTCGAGGCATTTCATGAGAGATTGGAAGAAAGTGCTCTTCAAAAAAGTCTGTTAAAATAACGGCCTGAAGAGCTTCCTCTGCTTCTTCCCCACTCTCGTTATTGTTGGGTTTCTTTTGTTTGGGTGGCATTGGTTATAACGTGGTCTATAATGGATATGGTAATATCGCGTTTGTACAATGTAAAAATGATATTAGAAAAATGTAGGTAAAAAAATGACAGCGAACAAAATTTAGGAGGACGGGTGACTGTGGCTATAAAAGCGTTGGCTTATCTAAGCACGAAGTAAGACAAAATTGCATTCAAACTGTATTTTACACAATTTTGATTGTTTCGTTTGATGGATAAGACAACTCTATAAGCGTTTTGTAAATCAAATATACGAAGAACTGAACGCCATGCATGGGAACAAGCCACTGGTTTATGTAGTATAATGTAAAAATGATATATGACGAGCCAAAGGGGTATCGTTCATATGGCCTTTGTGTTTCACGCAAATTTGTCATTTTGATATATGCTCTTCTATTCTCGATTCAACACAATAGAGTGTCTTTGATATAGAGTGGCAGGTTACTAACAACTGAATTTTGAACCTTTGTCAATGACCATGTAACCACGCTAGTGTATTGACTTTCTGCAGTTGGACCAAGTGAGAGCCTCCCTTTCGTAAAAAGAAAAAATTCAGTGAGAATATATAGTACAAAGATTTTATTAATACAAAAGAATGATGCGTTTGAAGAAAAAAAAAAAAAAGGACAAAGGTAACTAACTATAAACATGAATGTAAAGATGTGAGAAATATTAGACTATTATACAAAAAAAAAATTCGGAGAATGATAATATACATGTGAGTTGTTGAAATAAAAGTACAAAGAAAACAAATAAGTTATGAAAGGGGTTTAGCAAGTGAGAGAAGTTATTTTTCGAAGCTACGAACAATTTCTTCGAGACGACGACCCTTGGTTTCAGGTACTCTGAAGAAAGTGAAAACGGCGGCAATCAGAGCAATAGCAGCGAAAATGGCAAAGGAGTAGCCTTGAATACCAGCAAAGATAAGAGGGAAACACTGACCGATTAAGAAGTTCATGGCCCAGTTAACAGCGGTGGCAATAGCGCCGACAGCAGAAGAAGCGTAAACAGGGGTCAATTCGGAAGTCATCATCCAAGGAATGGGACCAACGCCAATAGCAAAGGAAAGAACATAACCAAAGACAGAAACGATCAAAAGAGCACCCACGTTGAAAACGTAACCGATAATCAAAAGAACGGAGAAGATGCAGGCACCAATTTCAGCAATCATAAGAAGAGGACGACGACCCATACGGTCAATCAAGATCAGAGATAGGATGGTGGAAATAAAGTTGACAGCAGTGGTAACGATAGCCATGTACATAGACATCTTGGCATCAAAAGTCATGTTGAAAATGGTGGTGGAGTAGTACATAACAGCATTCATACCGATCAATTGTTGGATAACATGAAGACAGATAACGGTGATAGCAATACGGCGGATGAGAGGGTCCTTGAATATGTCCATCATGCTCATAGGAGCACGCATTCCTTCATCGACAACAGCAGAGTTGCTTTCCATGTCCATGAACATATCATCCTTCTTGTCATCGTACAAATCAACATCACCTACGGCTGCCTTGGCAGCAGCAGTACCAAGTTGACCTTCGATCATACCGTAAAATTCCTTGTCAATGTTAGCACCAGGACGAAGTCTTTGAAGGTTTTCCTTGGCTTCTTCAAGACGATTCACGGAAATGAGGTAACGAGGCGATTCGACACAACCAGCCATTAAGAAGAATTGTGCAACAGCGGGGAAAGCAACGATAGCATAGTTGATACGCCAGAGAGGAACAGTGGCTAAAGGAAGACCAATAACGGAAGAAAGCAAAATGCCGATTACAATGGCAAATTGGTTACAGGTACCCATTGTACCACGCGCTTTGACAGTAGAAATTTCACCGACATAAGTAGGAGTAGAAAGAGAACCGAGACCACAAGAAAGACCGCAGAGAACACGACCGATGATGAACATAGCAGGATTGACAGCAACACCAATTAAGAGACCGCCAATGATCCAACCAATGTTGTTGAAAATAATGGTCTTTTTACGACCGAATTTTGTTTGAATACCACCGCCGAAAAGACTGCCTACCAAACCGCCAACACAGAAGGAGGCAACTGCGAAACCCCACAGACCCGTGTTCATAGGAAGACAATCAGGGAAAGCGCTACTAGCAACCTTAGCAGCACCGTTAGGACAATTATGAGTGATATCACCGGGAACGTTGGGAGAGCCAATAACCCAACCGTTACTGAAAGAACCAAGACAGGAGATGATTACACAGTACACCATGTAACCGGGTAACTTTAGATCAAGGGAATCCATTTTGTTAAAGAGAAGTTATGAGCAAATATGGATATGTAGAAAAGATGAAAATGGTATAAAACGAGAGAAGAATACAAAGTAGTTTATGATTAAAAAGAACTGTTTGGGATTAGCCTGTTGATAGAAAATACTCCAAGATATTTATATAAAAACAAAAAGTTGATCGCCCTTACAAACATGGAAAAGCAATACTTTCCTTTGACCTTTTTTTTGGTTGAACGCCGCCTGAATCATTTGTTTAAAGCAGAATGACATGTCGGGGATCGAAATTGTTACAAAGTGCAATATCCATTCTTGTTTTCTCTTTTTCTTCTGAAAATTAAACCTTTTTGTCATGCAAATCACACAAGATGCATAATGTGTTCATTACAAGTGATGGATAAGCCAATATAAAAAGATGGATTGAAAAGAATCAAGCTTTTTCGTAAAAATCGAAATTAGCTTTTGTAACTTGTGTTTGTTATAGAAAAAAAAACCCGTAGAATCCCGTTTTTTGGACAAGCGAATCATTCCAATCAAACAAAGACAAAGTAAAATGAGAGATCACTGAATAGAGAAAACTCTACTGAAAACCTTATAGATCTTTGCAGTTGATTTTCCTAGATTTACAGCTTTAATATCTAGATCGTTCCTTTACTCTCCACAATTTTTCTGCTTTTTTCGCTCTTTTTTTTGTGTGTGTGTGTTTTTTTTTAATATATCACAATCGATCCCTCTGTTAGAGAAATAAAAAAAAAGGGATTCCTGATTACATAACTTTCCAGGTAAAACTCGAGTTTGGGGTAGGTCGAGTATTATCCACTTATTAAGTAGGTTCCACTGCTGGGTTGCCTATTTGAAGAAATGCCATTCAGACGCATGTTTCTAAGCGGTCTTTACGAATACCTTTATTGAATTAGAAGAGTAAAAGAGCACGTACATTATTTGGACTACGGCTGATCTGTCGACTTTTGACATACTGGATACGTCTAACGTGCAATTATGTCTTTGCTGCATGTTGAAAGCTCTTCTGTGACACTTCTGTTCAAGAGAAATAGACGCCACTTTTTGTATATGCGTGTTACAACATATGCAGAACATGACATGAAAATAGGTATATACACAGAAAAGTTGTGGTTTTTTCTGTTGGGCGAGAAACAGGCGGGTATCCCGATGTGGGTCCATTTTTTTTCCTTCTCCAAATTTTATTACCCTTTTAGGAACCACCAGCAAAAAGATTCATAGGATGATGTTTGTTCCACTTTGAAACATTTTTAGTCAACCCAAGAGGAGGTGTAAAATAAGTGCCCTTGAACCCTATTTTTCTCTATGGAAACAAACATTTGTGGCTTGCCATTCTCTGTAGCCTTCGCATGCATGAATTCTAAACAATTGCAGGAATAGCATGAATGGATTGCTTGATGCGAAAAGAGCAAAATGCACATTTCCATGACTCTTTTAACCTTCGAGACGCGCAGTATGGATTCCAGTACTATAACTGCATTCAATATGTATCTACCAAACAGAATAAGGGCGCTCAGATGGCTTTTTATAGTTCTAAAAACCAGAGAAGAAACTTGAGTGTTGCCAGTGGATAAGAGTCGCGTCACAACAAAATATGACAGTTTCATGACTTGCTTTCAGTACGCGTCAAGAAGAGTCTCGTCATCAAACATACGATATCCTTTTTCTTTTGTAGCTATAAAGATATACCCAAAAAAAACCTTGGCCGTTGTAGTTACGTACATACTTTTATCCCTCCTAAAGCTTGCTTTGATGTGTTTATTGTTCATACTTTATCAATCTTGACTTATCAGTACTTGTAGCTTGAAATACGCGTCTCAAACTTGTCATCCTATATAATGTAAAATGATGTATATCCATATATACATATATATATATATATATATATATATACCATAACGCTCCATAATAAACCCATTCAGAAGTTATAGCTACCTCTGCCATATAATGGCATCTTGTCGTCTATTATAAAGCAGATGATAACAATGGTATATTGAACAACAATAATAATAAAAAAAGAATAAATTCTAAACTCCTTTTTTGAGCATAAAACCCGTACCTGAACTTTTTTTGTTCTGCTCGTTTAAAGTTTTTTTTTTTATATCTTAGTTCGACGCTAGAAAAGCATAACTGATAATGCAACTAAAAGAAAAAGTCAAAAAGTTTAGAAAAGTAATCGAAGGACTCAATGAAGCACAGCGTCAATCAGTTTTATCTGATGCCAAAATGTTACAAGTCTTGGCCGGCCCAGGATCTGGCAAAACAAGAGGTTAGCCTTTTATACCATTACACTACATAATGGAATGAGATCTATAGAAGAAGCAATTCCAAATACTCATCTTAAGCTTTTGTACTTTGTATTTTGAAAGTGTTAACGTGTCGAGTAGCATATTATGTTCTAATCAAACGAATACCACCACAGCAAATCATAGTTGTCACCTTTACAAATAAAGCAGCCGATGAAATGAAACAACGTCTATTCAAACTGATCGGCGAAAAAGAAACCCAATTACTCCTTATTGGTACTTTCCACGCTATTTGTTCTCGTCTTTTACGTCGAAATCATGCTATTGTTGGTTTAGATGCCAACTACACAATTGCTGACACAGATGCAAGGTATACCGTGAATAGTTACAATGGAACTTATAACACGTTAGACACATACTCAGTTTCGAATCGCGTTTCAATTTTGCGATATATAGTAGGGATATTATGTCTGAAATATTGAAAGATAAAGCTGTGGAAATCGATGAATGGACGAGGTCAAACATGACAGCAGGCGCTGTATGTAGCATCATCAGTAAAGCAAAAAATGATGGAATGACAGCCAGAGACTACTATGATGCCTACCGTGATGATTTTTCAAAGAAAAACATTTCTGCCCTTTTTACAGCTTATGAAGAGAAATTGCACGAGCTTAATCTTGTGGTAAGATTCTTCTTTTTTTTTTTTTTCGCCTTTCGTCAACGTGTCCTGAAATCATTTTTGTCCCCTCTGCATAGGATTTTGATAATTTGTTGTTGAAAGGCCGCGAATTACTCACAAAGAGAAGGACAATCTTAGCCAATATTAAGGCTGTTCTAGTGGATGAAGTAAATGATCATAGCGCTATCTAATCGAATAATGTTGTTGATGCTCAATAATGATATTGTTATAGTATCAAGACACCAATGTTGTTCAGTATGATCTTGTCAAGCTGATAACACGCCAAGAAAACACTAAAGAGAGATTTGTTACAACTGTAGGAGGTATTATTGATGACGTGGCCCTTTTATCATTGCAATTGCAACACATACGATAGATAGACTTGGGTTATTCATTTATACCTTGTTGTAGATCCCGATCAATCGATATTTGGTTGGCGTAGTGCGGATCCTAAAAACTTCTTCAGAATGCAAGAAGATTTTGTAGAAACAAAGCAGATCAATATGGAGCAAAATTACCGTAGTACCAGCATGATACTGAAATCTGCTTTACATGTGATCACTCAAGGTAGAGAAAATCTCACTCTTTCATAATAGGATGAGACTAGTGAACCAAAATGAATTCTTTCATTCTAGACAAAAAAAGAATTGTAAAGTCTCTTTATACCAACAATCCGGATGGCGTGCCTATTGCACTTCTCGAGCCTGAAGACGAAGAGGATCAAGTCAGAATCATAACAAAAGAAATCAGAAAGATCATCAAGCTATCCAAAGGCCTCATTCAATATAAAGACATCGCTATCCTCATGCGTATGAATTATATTTCTCGACAATTTGAAACAACCTTTAGGAGAAATAAAATTCCATTTTCGATTGTAAGGTTCCCTAGCACGCAATGGAAATCAAAAACGACATGTCAAATGAATAATAACAAATGTCTCAAATGGTAGGTGGGTGGTGATAGATTCTTTGACCGTATCGAAGTGAAAGACATTCTGTGCTATCTACGTTTTGCATACAATCCGAAAGACCACTCAGCTTTTAAGAGAATCATCAATGTTCCTCGACGAAAAATCGGCGAAAAGTCATTGGAAAAGCTTGTAGAATTTAAAAAGAAAAATGCCAGTGATTTTCTCGAAGCTATCCATGAGATATGTTACGGCAGATGCACAAATAGTGGCATTGCTGCTGCAATGCGTAACAAACTAAAGGAATTTGTTACTGTGATCGATTCCATCAGAAATATGATCAATGATCAAGTAAAATGTAAAAATAGTTTATCAAAAAGTGGATGAAACATGCTCACACATTGACTATTTCTAGACTGAAATCTCTGAAATTCTTACATATATCATCAAAGCAATCGATTACGAAAAATATCTTGAAGAAAGCCATCATAAAGATTTTCAAGCAAGAATGGCCAATATTGGTGAATTGATAACACTTTCTAAGAAGAATATAAGTTTAGACGATGATGAAGATTACGTCCCTATGACTCAAAGCCAACGTTTTGGCAATAATACAAATCATGCTAACCTGGAAAATCACAGCCATGATCCGCCTGAATTTGAAAATATCACTGTAGTAGAAGCTGAGAGCAGTGATGAAGATTTAGATATTCCTGATATAGATGACGCCGAAATGGAAATTGACCCAACAGCTTCCAAACAAGCAAAGAGTAAACCTGCAACATCGAATGTTAAAACGGAGAAGACGAGTGTCGGAGGATCTGCATCAGATACAAAATTGAATGATAACGACGAGAAAACACCTGCCCTGGATTACATTGCTGAATTTTTAGAATACTGCTCCTTATGCTCCAATCAAAAAGAATTAGAAGCAGCAGAAGAGGGTGTAAGTGTGCATCATTCGATATAATCGGTCTTTAAGAAGTCATTACTGAACATAGAAATGTGTACATCTTATAGAAAGTTACAATTGCCACTATGCACACATCAAAAGGTACTAACAAAGTTGGTATTTACATGTCTCTTATTGCTTCTCTGCTAATGCCCTTTGCATCGATCAACCAACTTTAGGTCTCGAATGGCCAGTGGTATTTATTGTAACCTGTGTCGATGGTGTTATCCCCTTAAACAACAATGAAGATGCAAACGAGGAAGGGTAAAATTCAAGAGTACTATTATTAGAAAAGGGAAATGGATTGCTTAATGGATACTGATTTAATTTTCACTTGTTTATAATACAAAAAGACGATTGCTATATGTGGCTATGACGCGTTCTAAATGTAAGAACAAGTTTTTTGCAAGAAAGCGAGCCTTGTATGAAGTTTTAGATCTAATTTTTTATACCCTTAGTTTTCTTGTATTGTCTCAGTCCTGTCATACAGAATCGGTGGGGTAAAAGAATGACCGCTCAACCCTCCCGCTTCTTTGAAGGCATGAACAACAAACTTTATCGACGCTGCGTTCCTGACGTGAATAACGAAATCAGAAGAATGTTGGCCGAAACCATAGGAAGCCCTGTGCCTGAGGATGATGACATTTTGGTTAGAAAAAGTACAGAGTCGCGAAAAAAATATAGGAGCTCAAGATATGTTGAAACATCTTATGACTTTGGAGCTGACGAGGAGAAGGATGTCGATGTCGACAACATGATGAGTGATACAGACGAGGAGTACTTTGCAAAATTTGAAGAATTTGAAACTACTTATAACACGAGTAGTCAAAACAGTAGCAGCCCTACAAGTTTAATAGCAACATTTGGGGGCTTTCAATCTGCGTCGTCATTAAAAATAGGCCCAAAACCAGCACATAAACCCAAGCAGGAAAAATCAACGGGGAAAGCTCCAGCACAAAAGCAGACTCATAACAAAAACCCACCCCAAAACAGAAGGAAGCCTGACACAGCACCACCAAAGCAGAATGCACACAATCCAATTCAACTCAGCAACCTCGACATTTTGTCAACTTCATCGTCGACCCCCAAATTAGACTACGGTAATTACACGCTTTTCATTCCCAAGAAATGCACAAAACCACAGCCAACTGTTGATACGAAGAAGAGAACCACGACTTTTGACAATACTGTATCCTTACCTAAGCGTAACAAAAAAGCTGACAAAAACTAGATACTATTGTTTTTGATACCCTTCACTGCTAAATTGTACATCAAACCTAAAAAAAAAAAAAAGAAAAGAATTACTGTCTTGCAAATACCTTTTCATATTAGTGCGAAATAGAGCTTTTACAAAAAACGTTACATACAGTGTCCAATTTAGACTTCCTTTTTCCAGAATAGTTTTCCCCATCAATATTTTGATAATAGTATGATCCAAAATGACATCTATGAATAGACTCGTTCAACAATCTGAAATCAAAATAATTGTTTACTGCTGTCAAAGGGTGCCAGTTTGGGCTCAGACAAGCCGAAAAAGATGAAAACCAAGATCTGCTAACTAGATAATTGTGGTGATCGAATCACGACGGTATTTTCATAGGTAAGTTATATTCGAACATGCTTTTAGCCACAAGAATTGTTTATTTTCTTTCTGAAAAGAATGAGCGCTGGAATGTATTCTAGCACTAATGCTTAACGAAAAGACAAGCTTTAAACTGAACAAAAGAACAATAAGGCTAATAGAGAACAGCCGTTCGATTGAATTGTACCATTGAAGATAGCATAAGTTGAGCAAAGGCAGTTAGCAACCAGCATAAAGACTTACTCAGTTCGATAGGAAACATCAAACGCTCTTTGCTATGCAAGTGTTGCATCTATTGTGCAAAAGCTGTATTATGGCTATATGATTGTTTGACAGGAGCGCAAAAACTTAAGCCTGAAGACATGAGTTGTGTGAAGTCTCGTCATATATTAGACGAAAAAATGCCATAAGACAGAATCGCCTTTATCAAAAAATGTTAAATCACCTCCAATTGACAAAAAAGCATATACCTAAATATGATATTATTGTAAAATGTAAAAAAAAAAAGGCATAAAGTAGCTGTACTTGTATAGTAAGCCTGTATACACCAGCCATACTGTTATTGCAATAAATTAGAAAACAAAAAAAAAGGGGGGTTTGATCAAATCTGCATGAAAACTGCAATTGTTTCAGTGACTGCCACCTACTTTTGGATTTGCACGGAGCCTTTTTGATTTGACATTTTCTTCTATTTGTAAACTCTTGACAGATCGATCAACATTAATTAAACCACCATGCGTAGTTTAGGGATCTTAGAGCAAAAACTGTCTACCGTTACTAACTCTGAGATTCAGGGTCATGCTTTTATCGCTCCTGATCCCGAATCCTCAACAGTATATGTAGCATTCGTCGATTCAGATTCTCAAGTTCGAGTGGCGGCCAGTGGGTTAATACCTGGCGAGCCTTCAGCTTTTGCAGAAATTGGCCGTTGCCATGGTTCAGCTATTGTCAACTTTACGTATATTGCTGATCTTCAAGTTGTTTGTTTGGCAACTATCGAAGGTGATATAGTTCACTTCAGTAAAGAACGTTTTGAAAGCGAGGCTGAAGCTGTAAGTATAAACCCAGTTTATAAATTTACCAAGTGTGCAAAAGAAATTAATTTTACTGACTGTATGGTTATCATTCAATTGATAGATGGAAATTATGGGCTCAGTTGATGCTGGTATTCATGCTATGTGCTGGAGTCCTGATCAAGATTTAGTTGTGTTGGTTACGGGTAAGTTAGAAAGTGAAGGATCAACCGTGTCAAATCAAATGATGACCCATCAAATTCTTGCTGTTTGTAGGCGAAAAGAAAGTTTTGGAAATGACACAAGAGTACGATCCTATCACCGAATTCGAGCTTCATGTTCAAGAGCAAGGTGAAGGTGTCCAGCACAGTGTTGGATGGGGTAAAAAGGAAACACAATTTCACGGATCTGGTCAAAGAGCAAAGTTGAAAGAAAAGGTGGACACAACAAAATTCACAACTTCAGACGATGATGACCAGAAACCACGCGTCGCTTGGAGAGGTGATGGCAGTTTCTTCACAATTTCAGATGTTGACCCACAGAAAGTTGCACGTGTGATACGTATCTATAATCGTGAAGGCATCCTACAAAATACGAGTGAGCCTGTGGACAGATTAGAACATGCTCTGGATTGGCGACCATCTGGTAATTTGATTGTAGCAAGTCAACGCTTGCCTCACCGTCACGATATTGTGTTTTTTGAAAGAAACGGACTACGACACGGTGAATTTGCTTTAAGAGAACAAGAAAACATAAAGCAAAAAGTATTGGAAGTGAAGTGGAATGCAGACTCAACAATTCTAGCTGTCTGGATCGAGGAAGAAGGCCAGAAGTCTGTTCAATTATGGACATCAAAGAATTACCATTGGTACTTAAAGCAGCATCTTATTCTTTCCAAGAAGAGGGATGTCATTGCGTTTTCATGGGATGTCGAAAATCCTTTGCTTGCTCATATGGTTACCAGCGATGGTCAGTATGAACGACTCACCTTTACTTTGGAAGCTTACTGCAGTACTTCTATTGATGAAGCGAACCCTGGATACGTAGCAGTTATTGATGGATCGGAGTTGCTCTTGACACCCTTCAGTTATATGAATGTTCCCCCACCTATGAGTGCGCTCAACATTAGTACTAATGGAAATATCCAATATGTCACATTCGGACCCGAATCAAACGGATTAAATGTTGCTGTTATCACAACCGAAAAAATTCAATTATATAGTCTTCCTGAAAGGGGTGTTGGTAGCGTGTCATTGTTAGGTGAATTTGAACTGCCTGAAATCACCAACAACAACGAATCTTACGCCAAAAATGCTATTCGACAATTATGTTGGATTAGTGAAGATAAATTCGCTTACTGCCAATTTGATGAAGATTTGCAAGCTGATATTCTTTGTATTGCTAACTTCAGTCTTGGCGACAAAAACATGACAATCACTACCGCACCTCTTGATGGTCAATGTGGACGCATATATTTTAACGCTACCTATAAGGACCTTTTATTGGAAATGGTCGATGGATCAGTGTATAACATTGATATTGTTGAAGGAGCGCCTGTTATCAGCCAAATTCAAATATTCGCTGACTTTTGCCCTTGGATTGCCACTTGCCGTGTTGGTATCGAAAAAGAGACTTCAGAACGAACCATTATTGGTTTAACTGATCGTAGCAAGCTTTACGTCAATACCAAACTTATTTCGTCCGAAGCTACCTCATTCTTTTTACGTAGTAATTGGTTAGTCTTTTCAACAACTAGTCATACAGCGAGATTTGTGGCTTTAGATAGATGTAGCCTGGATAATCTGAAACTCACAGATGAAGCAAACGATCCTTACGATGAAACTTCCAGACGCCTTGAACGTGGCTCTAAAATCGTCATTGCCACTCAACATAAGCCGAACTTAGTTTTGCAAATGCCACGTGGTAACCTTGAAACCATCAATCCTCGCGCTTTTGTCTTGGCAACTATTCGTGAAGATTTAGAAGCACTCGATTACCGCTCTGCTTTCATTGCTTGTAGAAAAAATCGAATTGATCTAAACATTTTGTATGATACTAATCCCGAACGCTTTGTTGAAAACATCCGTACCTTTATTCAACAGGTACCAGAAGTCGATTATTTGAATTTGTTTTTATCAAATCTCCGAAATGAAGACACAACCGTTACAATGTACCATAGCGGTGAGCGACCTTCTGTTGGCGAATCTTCAGCCGCGAACATTGATAACAAGGTTAATAGCATTTGTGGAGCCGTTAGAGATGTTCTTTTCGAACTAGGTCGCGACTATTATATTCAGTCTATTTTGTCCACTTATGTCAGAAGTTCTCCGCCCGACCTTGAATCTGCCATGTCTTTATTGTCAGACATCCGTCAATCAGATATTCAAGCTGCTGAAGATGCTTTGAAATATACAATCTTTTTGTGCAAGGCTGATTTACTCTATAACGTTGCTTTGGGCATGTATGATTTCCCCCTTACTTTGATGGTCGCACAACAAGCTCAAATGGATCCTAAGGAATACCTTCCGTTCTTACAAGAGCTCAAAAGCTTCGCTAAGTATTATCAGCGCTATAAGATTGATGATCATCTCAAGCGATACGAGAAGGCTTTAAAGAATCTGTGCTTAGCCGGCGACGAGCATTTCGATGAGTTACTTGAATACATGCAAAAGCATTCTCTTTACCATGTTGCGATTGAAGAGTTCGCTAACAAAAAGAAGCAAAAATTGATCATTCTTGATACTTATGGTGGACATTTGGATTTCAAAACAAAATATGAGGAAGCGGGTATAGTTTACACTATGGCTGGTAATTTGGAAAAAGCTTTAGAGTCTTATCGTATGGCCGGATGTTGGAGAGAAGCCTTTTCCATAATCAAACAATTAAGGTTCTCAGTCGAGGAAATACATAACCTAGCTTATGATATGATTGAGCATCTAAAAGAAAAACGTCGATATCAAGAAGCTGCTATGGTTGCTAAAGATTATTGTAACGATACTGAAGAGGCTGTCGATTGTCTTTTAAAAGGTAGTGCATGGAAGGAAGCTGAACGTATGTGCTATAATTTTGATCGCCCCGATCTTATCGAAACGCACGTCAAGCCTGGTCTTGTCGAAGGTTATACTCAAATGGACGATGATATTGACGAAATGATGGCACAATTCCATAAACAAAGTGCTCGCCTTGTGGAGCTTCGTACGAAGAAACCGGAGCAGGTGGCTAACAATCCCATGGCAAATGATGAATCCTTGGATAATATCGATATGTTCTCCGATACAACGTCCATGTACAGCCAGTTTACAAGATATACGAGCGCATCATCGAGAGTGTCTACAGTGACGTCTCAAGGCACATCGAGCTCTAGAAAAACTTCCAAATTAAGAAAGAAAGAAGAGCGAAAGAGAGCTCGTGGAAAGAAGGGCACGGTGTATGAAGAAGAATATATTGTCAACTCCATCAAGAAGTTGATTGAGAAAGCCAGTAATATGCAAAGTAAGTATTGAAACTTGTCTAATTGTTCGACACAATAGAAAATTCATTTTTTGTCTACAATTGTGATCTATTAGGTGAACTGGGCAGCTTGATCCGAGCTCTTGTACCCTTCGATTATGTAGAAGAAGCGCGGGCAATCCAAGAAAAATTCGACAAATTTTTGAAGGAACTTCAAGACTGTATGGACACTGTTTTTGTCCCGCTACAGCTTGTAGTCCACATGGTAAGTTTATTTTATAATTACAGCACAGATTGTAAGAGTAACATCTAACCATATCTTACTATATATTAGTATGCTACTATGGAAGAACTTGAGGAAGCGAGGAACAATCCCAAGACGATCGAAAAACCTACCATTGCTAAAGTTGAATGGAAACTGAACTTATTGTAGTTACAAATTATTCTAGTTAAAAAGTTTTCCCCTTACTCTTCTTATTCTCATATTCTCTTCAGTGTAAAGTCGCCCTTCCTTTGTTATCAATCTGATTTCTCTTACTATAGAATAGAATTAAGAATGTGAAAATTTTTTTATGTTCAGTTCGTGTGGGGGGATATTACCTTTTCGCAATACCAACAATATCAGCAATTGAGAGGCATACAAGCTCGATTCTGCTAGCAATTTGCAAATAGCCATCCGCCAAACTTGTTAAATAATAGATACGATTATAATAAATAAATCTTATTCGGTTTATTTAACAATGTACAAACATAAATTAGGTAATTCATTAAATTAAGCTATTGCTTTTCCTTTGCCTTTGTGGTTTTTGGCAGAAATAGATATAGTATTTATGTCTGGTGTAATTGGTGATAAAACGCCATTTGTTCTTGAGTCTAATACTTCTGCTTGTGGGTTGCCGTATTGACAAACACTACATTCTTCTGTCACCTCCCCAAGTTGAGCATTTAAGCATTGCTTGTGGAAGATATGCCCACAATGGAACAAAATATATTCCTTTGAATGTACCTCTTCGCGTCCTGCCAGTTCCTTGTCATTTTCGTCATCAAATCCCCACGCTAACGAAGGCTGTAGTAAGGAAATGTTCAGAATACTTTCACCGCAGCTTTCACATACGGTTCTACTGGGTCTCCAGCCTCTTTCACGCTTTGCTACAAGATCGTGTAAAGTTCCGAATAAATCTTGGTCAAATAGTCGGTTGGTCAATTCTAATAGCTTGCCCTCATATTTGTAAGTGTCCAACATGCTCAAGAAGATATCCCTAAAATCTGCAAATGTAGTTTCACCATTAGCTTGTGAATGGATGAGCCTTAATAGTAAGCGGGGCAAAGAGACTTGCGATGTGGACAATAGAAGTGATGTTAAAATTGACTGGACAAAGGATTTGTAAGCAGAGGTGATCCTCTGCTGAATTTCTGTGAATTCTGATATATTCTTATTATGTAATTGGCCACCGAATACATTGTATATATCAATTGACCCTTCTACGTAAGCGTCTAGTAGACGGAACCATAATGTCTCTGTTTCATCAATGTGGTCAGAAGTAAAGATATCATCGTTCGCCCCTGTTGATTCATCTGCAGTTGAACTGTCTTCCCCTTCTCGACTCAGCTCAGGCAGCTCATCTAAATCACATTGATTCGTTTGATTGGGGGTCACTGCTTTGCCACTATTCTCACATAAACCTATACTCACACGTAGTACACCATTCAATCCTATTAAACAGGAATTGATCGTATTGTGGTCTTCAAAAGTCCATACCGAGCTATTCGACTGGTGGCTGTTCACAACTCGTAATATTGTGGCATTTTTCCCCCTGGCTACATTAAGCATTTTTTCTAACGCGCCTGTTACATCTCCACTTTTCTCCATAATCCATACAACTGCATCTACAACATTGTACTTCTCGCAAATTTGGTGTAGTTTTGTAAGAGAAACTGATTCATCCAATCTTGTATTGAGATAATTATAAACACCGGAAGGATCAAACCGACAAAGAAGTTCTACATAACGTTCTATGATGGAACTGTCTACGTGCGAAAATTGAGTTCCTTTATAAAATTGTCGGTGAACCTCGTCGTCCTTTAATCTCTTCTCCTGTTCTTCTGTAGGCTCTATTAGTCCTTTCAGATAAGAGAATATCAACTTGTCTGCTGTGGAGTAATGTTCATCCTCTTCGTCGTCAAATTCCTGGTCTTCTTCTAATCGATGGATAATATTGCCATGTTCACCATTTATATAATTCTGTACGATATACGCTGCTTTTTGTCCATCAATTTCGACAATCTGAGAAATCCGTACTAAAAAGAAACGTATCACTTCTTCCTTTTGTTGAGTATTTAACTCGCTCGAAGTACTAAGTAAGGATTCAACACAGTCAAATACAAATTTCCGTCGGTCATCATCCTTCAAATAAGCTTCTACCAATTTGCCATATTTTTTATCACGTCGATAGATATCTTCTAAGACTTTCCAAAATCCAGCTTCTTCAAATAAACGTACTACATGTTCTTCGTTCGCAGGTGTGTAAACGGTTAATAGCTTTTGAACAGCTTGTTCACGTGCAGCACGGGTATCAGGGTCATGATCTTCTGCAAGCCGCACTAGAATTTTGTTTAACGTCTTTGGAGGTAGCAAAATAAAGGTGGTATACATGTGTAAATTCGATGCTATAAAAATATAGAGCAGGATAATATTCTCGTTGGATAAGTAATCATAGGCTGAGGATGGTGGGCTGTTCGGGTCGCTAAAAACAGAGGAGGAGGAAGAGGATGGTATGTCGAAATGCAAATTGGGCGCTTGTCGGTTAGTACTATAAGAGGTTACTGTAGAGGCTGAGAAGGATTGTTTTGGTCGTGGTGGAGGTAATGGCAATCCATTTCCTGTCAAGCCTCCTCCCATGACGTCCAACAATGTATTTACTATAATTTGACGTGAGATGACTTTGCCAGGAACTTCATCTTCAAAACGTGAACTGAGAATATCTTCTCCACCATTTAGCCAAGGGTCTTCAAAGGAAACCTCCATCGCTTGAAGGAACTTCTTTGTATTGAATCGCAGTAGTAGCCGTAGATAAGGATAGGTAGGTTCTGATACACCTTCCTCTTCATCTGCTGTAAGAATAAGTTTCCCACCGACAGGAGGCCATACCACACACCGTCCAGAAAACACGAACGAATAGAGAGCACTTCGTGCATCACTTGCCTCATCAGCGTTTGACATAGGGGCACCATCAGGAAAAGATCTTCCGGTTAATATAAGCTTGAGGTAATCGAATAGCTTGTCAGCATTTTGCTGTATATCAGTGTATTCTTTGCTCTCGTTTCGAAGCACTGTTCTTATTACTTTCAACATTTCAACGAGAGGGCTTACATAGTCGTGCATACTCTTGTTCCATACGTACATCATTGCCTCATACATGCCTTCTCTGTGGCACATACTTACTACTTGGTTAATATCGAGGTTTTGAGGATTAACATGCCATATCACTTGTTCGAGCTCGTCCAAAAGGCGCTTTCGACTATAATGGTCGACGAGGTCCTTCATAACCGAGGGTGGAACGTCAGGTATTCTGTCAGCTGTGATCGAAGGCGCTAGGACTTCAAGGAAAATGCCTTCTGCATTATATTCTGCAAAATAGCGCTCATAAATGATGTCAAACAATAATTCAGTATTGTTCATACTGAGGCAAGCTTCAATGCAGGCACGAGCAAGATTCTGAACTAAGACAGTTTCTCCACCGGCAACTTCTTCGTCGGTCATACCATCATGATTTTGCTTCATTGAAAAGGTATAATTGAGGGATGCTGACAGTAGTTCCATTAAACGCTCGCCTACAACGGCTTTTCGTGCTTTCTCATCTTCTGGTAAACCTATAACAGTTTGAACACCGACCCCATTATAAAATGCGGTAGCAAGCGAAATACTTTCCAAAAAATCACCTGTTTGGACAAGTGCTAGTATTCGGTCAGCCCAAGACAAAAGTGTACCCACGAAGATTTGATCCGTGCCAAGTAAGAATAGCTTTCCTTTATAACATTTAATTGATCCAAAATAAGCCATTTCAATATTTTTATCATACTTTCTGACACTGTTTTCTTCCTCTTCATTAACGTTGCTATTTTTTATGAGCATCTCCTTCAATGGGTTGTTGAACCAGTCATGATATACCAAATGCTTTGTCCGAATGCTTGTATGTTCGGTAGCGATCATATTTTTTGGATCAAAAAGGATCATCTCTTCATTGGCAGTAAAAAGAACTAGAATCTAGAATATAGTATTATGAAAGTGTTCTGAGCGTTGATGTCAAGCGTATTCGAAATACCTGTCTGTTAATCCATTGAATCCCTACAATTGATTCTGCGCATTCCCAATCGCTTATTTTGACAAAGTCAAGTGCACGGCCTTTTTTGTTATTTGGTCCTGGTATGGACCGCACCTTTCCCTTGGCAGTAGTAGCCTTTCCTTCATTTTCCACAAGTACACGTAAGATGAAGAGTTGTTTTCCCCAAGAAAATGCAAGCATTGGATCGGATGCTCGTATTGATGTATCTTTACCCTTAACCATCTCCTTGTATCCCTTCTCGATGACTTTAGTTGCGGGCAGCCACGATATACATCCCGAAATTGACTCTGCTAGTAAGTGTACGTTATCGCTTTTCAAATCGTCGCTTTGTTCCAAATGCTGCAGTAAAGGTATCTTCGGCTTCAAGAATTTATACATTGTCTGTGGCGTAGGCTTTAATCCGACAATAATCATCTGCATACGTAAACAATAAAGTGTTCAGAATGTAAAGCCCTCAATAAAGGTTAACAGCACGCATGGAGTATTTGGTATTACCTTGTAGGGCGTTAGTAAAGCTACCAGACCAAAGTTTTCTGCAGGATGAGCGATCTGCCCTAATGGTAATGGTTGCATAACAAATACTGTACTAGGTTTTCTGGGCTTAGGTGAAATGGATGGTCGACCACTTGTATTTGAAGTTTTAGCTTGTGCTGATAAGTTTTGAGCCCTTTGAATCTCTGGGGTCAATGACAAATTCTGATAACGTCCCAAAATACGAGTGGTGTCTACTGCATTGACCATGAGAACTTTGTATAATGAGTGATAAAACGCCATACCTTGGTCATCTCCGGATACAATTTCTGATCTCTTGACCCCTACAAATCCAATGTGCAAGATAGATGCGCCTTTTACATGACCTTCTTTGCGTGGCATTTGTTGCTGTGGCGCCAAAGCGGATAGTACACCCGCCACTTGATTGGCAGAAATAGGATCGATGGTACGTATAGGGTTTGCTGGTTTTTTGATATCCCATACAAGAATATACCCCTCAGAATGACCACATGCTATTGTCGTATGATCTGCAGACACAGCTAATGAAGTAACTGAGCCTAATTCTAGTGCTAGATGGTTCAATGATACATACGTGAATAAAGTTGATGCTACACGTACAGAATTTTGATATTTATGGGATCATCTATTTACCACGAGATGTATCACCAAGGATACACTTCAGATTCTGTGAATAATTGTAAACAAACACTAAGCTACGTGTAGTTCCGATTGCTATTAAGCCACTAACTGTTATGACAGTAACTAGCCCATGTTCCCTTTTCACTTCTTCTGAATAAATTTGATCTGAGATTTTGATGAGCGGTGTCCATTTAAACGCTTCCCAAGTCTCAGAGACATTATTGTTGGCTTCTCTCTGAGTTTGCAACTCTTTATCGAGATTCAAATCTGTAAGCGATGACTGGCGTGAAATGGATGGTGATAACTCCATTTTTTGCCTTAGCATCTGATCAGTAAGGGGCGGGCTGCTTAAGAATGTTTGATTTCTTGCTGAAAAGCTTAAATTAAAAGATGGCGTTCTTGTTGAGTATTTCGATAAGTCAGATGAGGTATCCTATTATTCGGCAAAAACAAATCAGTTTTTCTTTTCTATTACATAGATCAATGTCAAAATCATACTAGGTGCCTTACAAAATGAATTAAACTGGAGCCAGTTTCATTAATGGTTTCTGATAAGCTCTCCTTGTCATCATCATCATCATCATCATCATCATTATCAGAGGCCTCATGTAAAATGCTCTCCAAAGATAAATAGTTTGCTATTTTGATACAGTATTAGATTGAACTAGACCATTGCGTTCCTTCTTTCTTCATATTGTTATCCTAACCTTTTTTTAGAAATTCCTCATAAAGGCCGATTTCCTTCGTGGTTTCATCCAGTAAATCCAAAATTTCTTGCTTTTTAAAATCACTAATTGCTCCTATTCCGATTGCGGGTGTTGACGGTGATAAAGAAGACGCGTTAGCAGTGTTATTGCCTAACGGGCCACCATTGAGATGAATAAACAGATCATCCCTGATTTTATAAAGTCCGTTAAGCCTCGTTTGAATCACAGAATCCGACGCGGCAGGCAAATCCAACTCGGGAATTCGAAGTGCATGAAACTTCTGTTCCAAGGTTGTCAATGAAGACACTCCATTGATGAGCCGTGTATGATAAGGTATAGCACTCAAAACTTTCATCAGAGGGTCTAATGGTTGATGCCGAGACTTTTGTATTGGATTATCAGTGATGGAGTGTGGTGATAATAGTGAGTGATTGGAAAATGACGGTTGCATTGGGGTATTGGGACTAAATAGAAAAATGTAGCTTTTCATAAGAATCAAAATAGTCTCTCATGTTTTCCTGTAATATTGCTGCAGTACTATTTTGGATTTACGTGGAATATTCGGAATTGAAAGATTGAGATCTCCTGTGGCTCATAAAGTTTTTCAAGTTGGCTAAATATTTATCTGCTAAAGCGCGATCTTCTAAAGCTGCTCTCAAATCTTCGGGTAATTCAGCTGTTGCTGCATTAACGTCAATGTCGATATTGTCAAAAAATGCATCCTTGTCATTGGCTTGTTCGACATCGTCTTTAGAAGTATCTTCAAGTACTTCCCTCAAGAGTGTATCGTAGTCTCTCCGAAACTTTGATGTGCTAGTACTGACGCTGGGTTCTACTGTAGGCGTCGATAAAATGTTATTGTTATCGACATCGCTCTCGAATAGAGACTTTCTGCTTTCATTCTGTGATGAGGAAGGTTGGTTTTGGTCCATTTTAAAAAATTTCAATTGTACCCCCGTGAAAGCAAGAAAATTACATATATCAATTACAAATTACTCTATATCTTTCTATTTATCCTTCTCTGTAACTGTTTCTTCTCAGTAATGTTGTATGTTTTGCCCCAAAATGTATAATGCAGAAAATTAGTTTAAAGTTTTGGCAGGAAAAAAAAAGAGAAGGAGTTACAAATAAGAAAAGAAGAAGGGGAGGAGAAGAAGACGAGTAAGGAAAGGGGAGATCCATGATTCATAGAGCACCACGGCACTAAAAAATTGCCATATTCTAAATACTTGCCTACAGTAACAGAATTTGAGTCGAAAAGTGCAACGCGGGGCACAATACTATCAACAGAAGCATTCAACATGCTTTGTGTAACTTGCATCATTGAAGCGCACAGTCAACTTTGAAAGCAGCAAAACTTACTGATAAGGTCAGGTTATAAATAGTTTCATCTCCTGTGTCCCTGATCTTTGCAAAGTGTTTCAAAGTTTATTCTAAGGTATAGTCATTAACGAAGCTTTCACAATATTACCAGCATTGGTATTGGAGGTATCATGAGGATTATTGTTAGATGTAGTAGTAGTATCGAATGAAGAGGAATAAATATTACGGTTTAATGTAGGTACGCTTGGTATATCTGACGGAGGGATCCCTGCTGCTTTATTGCGCTTAGATAAGGCCTTTTTTCCAGTAGTGGCAGACCGGCGCAAATTTGTGGGTATCGGACGAAATACATGCTCTGCAGGATCTAAAGAAAGCCAGTCGTGTGAGGGAACGATTGCACTCTTAACAGCAGGAATATAATGATCTACCGCTTCTGGTTGTCTCTTGCTTTTACTTTCTGTAGTATAGGTTGTATCAACCCTTAATCCCTTCAGTTTGAAATGACTTTGATATTTCTTTTTGTCCAAGTTGCTTTTAGCTGCTTTCGATAAAATAGTGTTGTCTGCTAAACTCTTTGCAGGCTTCTGTGGATATTCAGTGTTCATTTTGTTGTCTTCCCAATGGGATTCGTTATCACATTTCTGAATGTTGCCTGTAATCATATCGTTATTAGCGTTGAAGCTGTTCTCTCCCTCTTCTCCCTCTTCGTGAGTAACTAATGAATATTCAGGCTGCTCATCATGCAGGGACGTTATATCTGAAACACTCTCGGGCGACTGTATAGGCAAAGCATAACGATTGGAGTTTCTTCTGTGAGCTTCATTTGTATGACCGTCTTCTTTTGTCGAGCGATATTGCTCGAAGCCGTAATCAATAGCACCTGTAATAGCAGAATTATTATGAAGATCTTTGTTGGCAAATATAACTTGGTAATTATTGATCAAGTCCTCTAAAACGCAGTCTTTGGCCCATTCACCAGGAGAATTCTGTGCGTTATTTAGATCCTGAAAAATAGCAGGTGTGAAGATGAGTGTTAGGTTACTGATAGTCATTTTGTTCTTTTCTACGCAAGCTTGTAGTCTGATAAGAGGTTAGTCACTTCGGTATACTTGTTTAATGAACATAAATTAGTTTACTTACTTTGATAAATGGTATATCAAAGCTTTTAGAGTATCATAGTTGGCATTGGCTAACTTGAGTAGCCTTGTCAATAAATTCATTAACCGTAACTCTTGATCAGGTATCTCTAAGGACGAGAATGAAGATTTAAGTGCAAAGTTACTATGGCATGCGATCTTATTCAAGTGAAAAGTATCTCTTCTATCATACGTGAATAAGCAAGTCGATCGGCCAGCTTGAATGGGAATAAGGGTGTTTTAAGCTCTCTCAAAAATATTTTTATAATGGATGCTATACTGAACACATCCTCAGGCACACCATTATGACCGATCTGGGCTGCTTCTTCATCCATTTCAAATGCATGCTTAATTTTCTCCAGATTGCTATGTTTCCCAGAGACTCTATAAATTCCTTCTTTCTCCATCCCACCCAGACGCTCAATAGCGGTAATGCACTTAGTAATCAATAAAGGTGGAGATATACCTTTCAACTGTGCATAGTCAGTGAGTGATGTGCCAAAAATTAGATCTACGGCGATTATAAACAGGTTTAGAGCTTTTTCCGTACTAGAGTCAAAAGAATAATTTTACCTTTGCAAATGCCTACATGGTGATTTCGGTAATAAATCGTGGGCGGCTTGGGAAGCTTGCTCAAAACGTCAATAGATCGTTTATTGAAGCTTTGAGACTCCTTATCAACATCCACTCGGTAAACTGAATTTTCCAAGAAGGTTAAAATAGATTGCTGTCGTTTCTGTAACTGCTTAGTGTCTGCCTTTATTACATTCTGTAGCATGATCTTTACTCTTTCGGACCGTTCTTTCAAGCCCGATTGCACATTTAGTAAAATATGATAATTGGTAGCATCCAGCTTTAGTGCCATTGTATTTATATCGCGTACAACGTTACGATAATTAGTATCTGTGAAATTTATTGTTGTCGATAAATCAGCATTGAGTGAACTTAAACGTATACACTTAACATTGTCCAAACATTACCTGCTTCGTTTAATTCTACTTTCAATTTCGCTAATTTTAGATTTTGCTTTGCCGGATCTTCGACCTTATTCAGGTGCTTCTTCATGAATCTTTCTATTTTTTTACTACTACTTTGCTCTACATTTTCATCTTTAAAGGTAGAAACGCTGAGAATACTATTATGCGTATTATTGGTGTTTGTGATATTATTGTTATTGTTATTGACCGGTAAAGAATAAAAGTTCGGCATGATTGGAGTTGACAATGTAATCATAGGCGATGATACTGTAGTATTGCTGAGTGCCTCAATTTCATTCCATTTTCGTGTATAAATTTCGTATGCCTGTGCATAAAACAAAACCTTATGAGCTGTTCAAGGTCCAAACAATGCTTTTTTGAGCATTTAGCTTACCTTAGGTAATTTATCTAGTCTTGTCATAATATATTCAGCATTCAGTTGGTTCATCCAAGCTCGATTCTTATCATATAGCCGTTGTTGTTCGTTCTATACAGCATATAAGGAGCCCAAAATATGGAAAAAAGTGAGCTATAGATACGCCGTTATCATTTCCTTATTTTGACTGCATACTCGAAACTTCATCAATATGTCTCTCTGTTCTTTCAATCTCTGAATATATTGCTCTTTATATACTCTATTTTCAGTTTCTAATTCAACAAAATTCATAAAGGTCTGTTGAACCAAATTATGCTCATTCGGCACGCAACAATTCTGTATATTCTTCGTCAATAATGAAACATCATCCACATATTTCTGTTCTAAATTTATTCTTTTCTTAAGCAAGTCAATAATAGGCAAAGAGAACAATCCAGCTTTAAAATTGCAGATGAGTATACCTTTGCTTTAAGTATTCTATGATGTATTCAGTATCTCTGATGATCAAATTTTTTGTAATATCATCGATTTGGCTTGAAGGCGCAATCACTAAGTCATGTAAAGCTTTATCTTGTCCTGTAAGTTCTAACTAAATAAAAATAGGATAGCAGAGTGTGCTTTAACTTATTAAAATCCCCACTTAAGCCAGTCGTTGAAATGTGACCCTACTTCTTCTTTTTCTATTGTATTATTTTTTGTCTTGTAGACTTTTCTAAGGGTAGCTGAAGCCATTGTACATTACGACACTGATAGTCAGCCTGCTGTTACGTAGGAGTATGTTGTATACGAAAAGCAAAAGAAGACGGTTCGAAAATATATTGCATGAACAATGGAGAAAAATTAAAGGGATCGCTCGCTACACCCCTTGTGATAGTAGGACAATGACACACAATGGACGTTACTCAAATTGTACGTGCGACAGCTTGCAACCCATTTTTTACTTTTTATAGGGCTGTATTGCAAAATTAAACCGTTCTGAAGTAACCTTCAAACATGAAAATTGTCGTTTTCTTCTTGACGGATCTCGTTGTAGACCCACCCTTCCATTATTGGTCTCTATTTTGTTTCAAACTAAACATACCTTGGTGATGTAAAACGGTTTATATTGCTCATTTAATACAACCCAAAGGCTCGTTTGATGTTCGTACTGATGATATGTGATCCGAACAGTAACAAGCCTTATTGCATTGTCACAAATTATTTGAAGTTTTTGGCTCTATCAGTACGTATACGCTTAAGCTCAATTCCCTTCACAGGTTTGATTACGTTAGCAGACCTTTCTTTTTTTGACATCAAGTAGCCATTATCTTCTTACAAATTGGTTTCTGCTGCATGCGAATGCTTGAAATGCTTTGAAGCTTTAGAATCTGTAAAGCTGGCTTTTCAACAGCGATATTTTTTCGGGAGACATGTAGAAAAATCTGTTTTACTTTCTTGAAGCCAAGAAATATCGTGTTATAGCACATATATGGATTCAATTTTGCATTGAAAAGCTAATATCTTTTCTTTTAAACTATTATTTGCAGCTGAGGCTTTGCATTATTACGAGCTTTACAAGCGTTTGATTTTTGTGTGCTGTCAGTCTTCGTCTATTTTGACGATAAAATCTATGCCTTTCTTGACCTTCTAACTGCAATTAGATTTCTCTTGAATAGCCACTTAATTGTTACATTATAGTAAGAACGGCACCAAGCTAAAATGACTGTTCCTTTAAGTCTACATATTTGTCCTTTTGAAATAAATTAAATTGGATTGAAAATGATGCTTTTAACTTCAAATTGTTTATTATTGATTTGAGTGTTTTGTCGTTTAGAATAACTAGCAAAGCTGTATTGTGTCAAGTATGGCATTATATGCCTCAGCAATTTATCAGACATTTTCTCTTCATTCATTATATTTGTGGCGCTTTAACTTGCCTTTTAAAATTGCAAAAGTAAACAACTCACAACGTCTCACGAAAATAACGTTGATCTTGGATATGAGCACTGCTCAAATCTTCGTACCCCATCGGTAATCGGTGTATTCGATCGCAAACAATTGGACTTCTGATCAAATTTACAATAAACGATAAGAAAAGTAATACAGAATTAAAGATAATTACTATGCGAGATTAGCTAATTCCAATAAGGATCTAACAGGTTATTACCATGAAATATATCTTACTGATGTTATCTATAGCTATATCACGTTTAGGTATATAGTAGTATTGATATATGTACTCGTAGGATATATTGATTAAACTATCAAAAAATGCTGTTACAATACGACTCCCCTTTTTGGAAAAAGAGCATAGTTGGAAACTAGAAACTCAATAACAACTGTTTATGCTATTAAGAGCACCATGCACGAATAACTCTTCCTAGCTAACATCTATAATCATTCCTACAATATTTGAGCTACACAACTGGTGATCTATAGATATTGGATTGTAGATGTAGCTGCAATCACTATGGATCTGCCAGGATAACATCTTCCCTTGCTTAAGTTCTCGACTAATAATTAAGACTCAAAAAATACAAAAAGTTTGACACTTGTATCACCAGGTTAATGGACCAGTTTCTGTCCAGAAATAAATAAGATGTACCTCTCACTTTTTCATTGTACATACTCTTATAAACCAGATGTATGTCCTAAATCGAGAATGATATAATCTGAAAGGGACAAAGACTAGAAAAATCCTAAGAAGTCCTCATAACTGGCGGTTTTTTGAAAATCACAAAATTCTTGTACTCTTATTAGTCAATACATGGGTTGGTGATGTGCTACGAAAAATCTATGGTGCTTAAGGCTTCTTAACATGACGCTTAGTACAGTGCGGTAGATTTAGACAAATATACAAGTAAAACAAAAGGGAGAATTAATGCATCTATTTTTTATAACAGAAAAGAAATGAAAGACAACGGTTTGGGGTGCGAGTTTACATGGGAAAAAAATAATGAAATTAATGGAAGGATTATAAAAGAAGTACTAAATACAATAAAAGACAACACCATGTATGTATACATGAGTTTTTCTTGCTGAAGATCACGACTAGATTCTGTAAATGTTGCCGTCTTCCTCGTTATAATACACTTGGTTATCAGCTGACATTCTTTTCAAGGCACTAATTGTTTCGGCTCTGGTGAATGCATCTACTCTATTCATTTCTTGATTGACGGCTGGAATAAGTTGGTCAATCTGAATGCTTTCTACATTATTCATGACACGAGCCATTTTTTCTTTGAATATCTCAAATCTGAAAGTGATTCATGAAGCGAGAAGATTAGCTTTTGACTAACAATGATATATTACACGCTTTCAAGTTACCTGCGTGGCAGAATATCTGCGGAATCGTCTTCCGTCATGTCCACATCAATAGGGGCACTAAATCTACTCCATAATGGTAAAATACTTGTGAGAATCTTGCTAACGACACTCGATTAGTTCCTTGTTTATCTTTTTTTTTCTTTCTTACCCTTCGACGTCTTCCATCATATCATCATTATCATCTGCCGCCGCAAGGGCCTCTTCGTCCAAATCGTCATCAGATTCTCCGTCAGTCTCTTCCTCTTCTTCCTCATCTGTATCCATTGCAGCAGTTTTTCTACGTTTGTTATTCTTCTTAACTTTGACAACCTCCTGGAACATAGCATATCGTAATACATCGGCAGCGGCCTTCGCATCTCTATCTTGCACTTCAGTGCTTAGTCTAGCTTTGGCATGAGCTGTGGAAAGACGAATCAGTGTCTCCAGAGTACGAGCTGTAATCGGTGCTGTCTTTTTTCTCATTGGGTCGTCGTCATCTTGATTTCTGAGGGATGCATATTCGTTAATGATTCTATCAGTGGCTCGCTGTGTCAGTACAGGTTTAACAGTATTTTTCACATAGTAAATATATTTCCTCAGGAAGCTGGTCTTCAAGATTTTTGTATCTTTCTTTCTACTAGCCCTCATCTGGCGGCCTGAATTTTTGGATAAGCCAGGATGAGACTTTTCGTATATTTCATCTTCATCGTCAGCAGCGTTTGCTTCATCCTCTTCATCGTCAGCTCCCACCACGTCTATTGTTTCTACTACGGGAGCGCCTTCCTCTGCTCCTGGTGTTACATATCGATGCATTTTCAATACGTGACTAGAAATTTCTCTGTCTCTGATTTCATCCATAGTATCTGTAACAATAAATAGCAAATCAAAACGAGAGAGTAGAGAATCTGGGAGAGCGATGTTTTTGGCAGGATCTTTGGTTAAATCATACATGCCGTAAACGGGATTGGCAGCAGCAAGGACACTGCATCTAGCGTTAAGGGAAGTATGAATACCGGCCTTAGCAATAGTGACAGTTTGTTGTTCCATTACTTCATGAATGGCTACACGATCGTTTTCACCCATCTTATCAAATTCATCAATACAAACAACACCACGATCAGCTAACACCATCGCGCCTGCTTCTAAACGTCTTTCGCCAGTTTCCTTATCACTAGTGACAGCAGCCGTCAGACCGACGCCTGATGATCCACGGCCAGTGGTGGCGATTGCGAGAGGTGCAATATTCAATACATATCTTAGCATTTGGGATTTGGCAGTAGAGGGATCACCAACCATGAGCATATTAATATCACCTCTGATGTGAGTACCATTTTCCAAATTTTTCTCCACACCACCCAATAACATCATCAATACAGCTTGCTTGATGTAATCATGACCCCAAATGGAGGGCGCTAATGATCTTGAAAGTATTTTGAAAGAATCTTTCTTACGTGCTAATGTCGTAATGTTGACAATATCTTTATCAGTGATTTTGGGTGCAGCAATGCCACCGCCAGCTTTGGTACTCAATAGACTGATCTCGTTACAAACTATAACAGTTTTGAATGCAGAGCTGGTTTGTTTAGCGTTACGGTTGCCGAGTGATCTGTAAATACCAACAATAGATACGCGGTCGCCGGGTTTGGCTCGATCAACCAAATCATCGTCTAAAATAACATCCACAGGACGGGGAAGCTGACCAGCTGGTGCACGCTCGGGCATTTCTTGGATGGTCAAAGTTTGGTGATCACGATAGGTACTGTAACCAAACTCTGTAATCAGAGGATTACCGTTAGCATCAGTTGTAGGATAGACGGCTCCTGAGCTGGGTATATAACTGTTGCCAGGCGTTGTAGCGTCGTGATATTCTCGCATGTAGTGGCTGTTGGTCTTTTCGCAGTAATGCACAGATTTTACAAGTTTGGGACGGACTAAAGAGCATCGAGTAACAATACCTTCAATACAGACAAATTTACCCAAATGTGCTGACCTTAAAGTACGTGGATTAACATGGTTATAACCAAAGCTTCCTTTGAAGGCGATGTAGAAAGGTCTGTCTTCATTATAATCTCTCGGGTCTGCGATTGTTTTGACTATTTTGTTCAGTGCTGAATCAAAAGCAGGTAAGCAATCTGCAGGGCTGCTTAAAAGACTATATGAAGCATGAACACAAGTCGATGAATAGTAGAGTATGAGTATGTTGAGTTTCTTTCGTATCATTTGAACAATGGCATACTGTAAACGATTACTTTACGCACTACATAAGTCAGCATTGAATTGACGAAGTGCATCAATACTGACAACCATACGGCGTCGTCCATTTTGTAACATAAGTGGAATTTGATCCTTATAAGAACCCTTTTCATGTTCATGGTCCTGAACAACGTGGAAAAGGAAATACTGATGAGAATAGTGTTCAAGCGAGACATCTTTGAATAATTCAGCTACATACGTCGCGTTCAAGGAATTCTGAAAATAGATTGGCCTTTTCAATGGCAACTGAATCCATTAAAGGATTTTGTGATTGATTGTTATTGCTTTCGGCCATGTCGTGGTTATCTTGCTTTGTAAGATTCTTTTACAAATCACAAAAAAGAAAAAAAGGGGAGAAATTTTTTCAGGAAACACCAAAACGACGCGATTGCTGAAAATGAATTAAATCGCGACTTGATCCAATAACAGCAGCAGGCCTTGAGCATGAGCCGGAAAGATCTCGTTGTGGCTCGCTCATGACAACGACAGCAGGGAATAGGAAAGTTCTGTATACCTGATCCATCTAGAATTTACCTTCTTTTTTTTTATTCGTTTTCATTTTGTTTTCTGCTATGGCACTGTGAAGGGTTGCGAGTTCGTTGAATGGATCAATCTCAATACTATAATTCCCATTTTCCTTCGTGCACCCTTTCTTTGAATAGTACTTCCAAAATGCCCAAATCACACTACTTCAACAATACCGATTACTGGACAATGGATCGTGTGATTCACTGGCTAGAAGTGAATGAGTTTAATAGAAATGTCATTGATGTTTTTAAAGGTAAAGACAGGAATAGAGATTGAATACTTATACGCCCTGAAGTTTTACTTCTTGCTCGAACTTACTTACCTTTGTGGTTGACTCCTTATTTTTACTTGAACTTGGTAGCAAGGAATATCTGCGGAAGGACATTCCTTGATGTAGACATGTCGTATTTGATGACTTTTCAGAATGAGCTGATGCTCTCATATTCTGACAAGCGCAAACTCGCCCATGCTATCAAAGCTTTGAAAGCAGTAAGTCTAGACAACAGGTTTATTAGATAGAAGAGGAAAACTCAACTTTCTTCCATCCCTTAGCCAGAAGAGACTCATAATAACCCACAACAAACAAGAAGCAACTATAATGTCAGTCGCCATAATCTGACTGCGAATTCGTCAAGCAATAATGGACAGAGATATGTTAGTTCACCGGAAAATATTACGCCCTTGATACCAGAAAGAAAATCCTCAAATAATGAGCATGTATTAGATTGGATGAAATCGTTCAATATACCAAAACGACCTTTCGTGTCCACTGCTAATGTCAACAATACCATAGCAGCAACAGGTGCATCAGCGGCGCGTCACCATCACCATCAGCACCATCCAAATTTGCAGCCTACATATTTTAACCATACAATAGCAAATAGCCAGTCTGGAATATATCAACATCATAGCCAGCATTCTAATTTCCCTGTTAGTCCAAAAAGTCCTAGAATTGTACATAGTAATCAATTACCACTTTCCTCTTCAGCAGCATCCACTATGAGCAGCAATACGACCACGTCCTCTTCTACTACTACAGATGGTTCATGGAAACTTGCAAGAAGGCGACCTACGCCAGCCGCTACAAGTTCCACGGTCAATCCTTTGAACAATATGGGTTTAAACACAGCTCTGTCTTATGGTGTAAGTTTTCCAGAAACTGACATATCCCCTTTCTTAATCAAAAAAGTAAAGGGAAGTCTAATTTTAACTTTTATTTTAACTCCCGAATTATTGTTATGCATGTATCAATTGTAGGATCAAACAATTCACATTACCCCTCCTCCTCCTCCTCCTCCACAGGAGCCACAACAATTTATTCATGTCACCACAAACTCAGATACATTCCATAGTTTACAAGTTACAGGCATGCACGACCCACGTTTGATTAAAAACTCAATTATCAGAAAGCTAGGGCTAGAAGGAAAATGTGATAATTATAGATTCTTCCATGAAAATGGAAAAAACACCGATATACCCTTGACTGATAGTGAATTATCGCATATTTGTCAGATGTCTGACCATAGTGCTACGAATAGAATTTTAGTCAGGCCCATCTCGATAATAAGTAAAGATGATCACGGCTATCACAATGCCAATAATTACCACCAGCAATACTCCCCTATTGTGAACAACAATAGCGCAAGGTACTACTTAAGCATAGTGTTGTCGATCGTTTGAGTCAAGAGCACTAATACATTTGTAGATCTTATAGTAGCCACCAAGATAATCAGTACACTCTCAATAATTCATCACAGGATAATGACAGATCAGCAAACACAAATCTTAAAGGCCAAATTGCAGTTGTCGACTCTCTTAATGGTAGCAGAGGCCTAAGCAACGACACTTATAACGAAAAAGCTCCTAATCTCAGTTATATGCGTAAAGCATCTATTGATATTACTGCCAGTAGTAGCACGCTTTCGCCTATAAAAAGTATTTCAAAATCAAATCGTAGTAGTACATCCTCAACGGATAATCGTGATTTTAACCAACTTGCAGCTGATGCAAAGTTGATGGATAGCTCGCAGCATTCATGGGCCGTTCAAGATCCATCTCAAAGTCTTCATTCCCCCTCGTCTCAACATCAGGAGCCGCTGCAAAGATCAAGCCAACCGGATAACTCCTTGTTATGTGCACCCACCAAATCACCAAATGAAACACATCACTCATCAGCAGCACCACTCTTTGTAGCCCCTACATTAAATACAAAGACAGCCATATTATCAGATTCTGTAGCAACAAGGGTAGAATTAGATAAAGATGCGCCTGTTTCGCTTTGGGCTGTACCACCATCAAAACCTGCGGCATCACTTGCTCATTCACCCACTCCGGCTTTGTGGGCTGTTGAACCAAAACCGCAGCAGCAAAAACCATGCTCGTCAGCTGATAATTCTGATAAGAAGCATATAGGGGATGCAAAGCCTGTCTCTCTTTGGACTGTTTCGCCTTCAAATCAACATATGACAACTTCAACTTCTTCCACACTGAAAGATGAAGCAGCTCCAGTTTCTCTATGGGCAGTACCTCCCTCTTCTGCGGGCATTAAGTCAAGTGCAACTCCCTCTACCCCCCAACCTTCATTATGGGCTGTTCCTCCACAAACACAAGGTCACTTTGAAAAGCAGACGCGCGCTGAAAGTAGTAGTAGTAGTAATAGTAGTAAAACGTCGACAGTTTCTTTATGGGCGGTCTCGCCTTCCAAACAGCAGCAACGTGAAACGAAAGAGCATACCAAAGGCGAGGGTTCAGCGGTAAAGGCAACAACCGGCCCTTCAGATACCCCTACGTTAAAATCGGAAACAAGCGACGCTTCTTCAAGCGTTTCTCAAAGCATAGACAGCCTTAGCATGAATCGGAAGAAGGATGATGAAAGTGGCACAGTCAGTAGAAACCGTATTGTGCAATTTGAAACTGATGAAGATGAATCGCATATCTTATCTTCAGCTTCAAGCGTTGCTAGTGCACCTGAATTGAAAGATGGCATTGAGCAGTTGTCTATCTCGTCAACATCAACAACATCAGATGAGGAAGATGAAACGAGAGAACAGCACGAAAAGAAGCAGCCTGCAATTATGCATCGTCATATGCATAGCCGTAGTAACAGTGCTTCCAAACTACATATTGATATTACAAATTCCCTTCCGAACCGCAGCGTAGGAGGAGAAGAGAATAATCAAAATATTCTCGACTCACCCAACCTGTCTTCACCCTCTCATAGTGGCTCTGCCTTGGATCCAATAAATGATGAAGAAAATTGGGCCGAGCGTCCTTCTGTAGATCGTCTATACAAAGACATTGATAAATACTTACCCGGTCATGATTTAGACAAAGAAATTATCATAAATGAATCCTCTACAGCAACATCCCACTCTGATAACAATTCTGGTGGTAATAGCAATAGTAGAGAAGGAGGCGGAAATAATATTTATAATAGTGAGCCTGAAACTCCTACAATAGTCACCAGTTTACCGCCAAATAGAAAGCTGGTAGGCCATAGAAAATCTATTCGTAACGTGGCTCGCGAAGCCCATCGTAATTGGCGCAATGCTGTCAACGTCATACGTGCGAATAACAATTTAATACGACGACGAAGTACAAAAATGTGGCATCGAAATGTTGAACAAGTGAAGCCCGGAGACAAAATTGAGCCTATTATCCCTCAAAATTCTGAAAATGAAACAGCAGCATCCACAACAGTAGCAGAGCTAGAACAAGGACAACAACAAGTACGATCATCACCACTACAACAAAATAGTGGCGGCGTAGTACCACCTAAATCTAAAAAGTTACAATGGATTCGTGGTGAGTTGATTGGTAAAGGCTCTTTTGGACGTGTGTATCACGCTTTAAACGTCGAAGCAGGTGAATGGATTGCAGTAAAACAAGTCGATTTACCGAATACTAAGTCTGATTACGGCAACACTCAATTAAATGATATGAAAGACGCATTGTATCGAGAAATTTCGTTGCTGGAAGATTTGGACAATGAGTATGTGGTGCAATATTTAGGTTATGATGTGGATCACGCAGAGGGATATATCAATATCTTTTTGGAGTACGTGCCGGGCGGTAGCATCGCCTCCTGTTTGGCCAAGACAGGAAAATTTGAAGTGCCTTTGGTCAGGTTCTTCACCCGACAAATCCTAATGGGCGTTGCTTATCTTCACAGCCGCAATGTTTTGCATAGGGTACACTTTTTTTTCCCAATTTCGTAAGATGTAACTAACAGCATAACTTATATAATGAACCTATTATGTTACTTCTATATAGGATATCAAAGCCGGAAATATTCTTTTAGATCAGAATGGTGTTTGTAAAATTACAGATTTTGGATTATCTAAACTAAGTGGGCAAGATAAGGCGTATGATCCTCATTCGAATAACTCTGTGATGAGAGGAACAGTCTTTTGGATGGCGCCTGAAGTTGTGAAAGGAACGAAATACAATGCTAAAGTGGATATTTGGAGCTTAGGGTGTACAGTCATAGAAATGTTGACAGGAAAACATCCATGGCTTGATTTGAATATGTTAGCTGCATTATACAGTCTTGGTAAATACCAAGCGCCTCCTATACCAGAAGGTATTCCTGATGATGTATGCGATTTTCTCGAAAAATGTTTTACTATGTAAGTAGAAGCAAAATAGTCAAGAATGGAAGAGTAACAATGCTAACTGAATTGTTCTACTTTTCAGTAACCCTGAGGAACGGCCTACCGCCGAGCAATTGTTATTACATCCTTTTGTGCAGCCAGATCCAACGTTTGAATTCAAAGTATGTATGCCCGATTTGTTATTTAGTTAAAGCCTTTGATACTAAATTCGCATGGTTATATATAGAAATACATGAAAAAAGTCGAACTTGAACGTAGGCAATCTAGGAAGCTTCAGCAGCATCAGCAACAACATCAGCAATTCCATACAAAGCAACCATCACATACTATTCCCGCTATTATTTAGAGTAATCATTTTGCAAAAATACCACTTGTTTTTTAGAATAATATCTGACATTTCTCTGTCTCCATTTTACTATTCTTTATAACAGTTATTCATATCCTTTAATTCTTGTTTATTGTTGTTAAATTATAATGACATTTTTGTATATCAATTCCATAATTTTTTGATTTGCCAATTGATTAGAATTACACACCATGCAATTTAGCCTGCAAAATTAAATGTGTTGTTTAAATTCAAACACACAGACATCCTGACAGTAGTACAAATGAGCGCATGTTGTGAACGAGGCATTTCGGGCATTTGATCACTTCACAATTACCGTCATTGATTTTTTTTTCATATCATTAACATGTATCTCTATCAACTTAAAAAAAAAAAAAATAGACAGAATTTAATGCCATAATTAATAGTGAACAGTTAGTCAGTGGGAAAAGAGTGACAATACTACGTCATTTTGTGGAGCAATAGTACTCTATTGTTTGGCTGTATCTGATCTAAGTTACGTTTTTCACATGTTTGTCTAAACCTCAACTCTTATATCCTTGTATTGTGGGCTTATTTGTCTGTGTCAATCAATTCGCGTATGATTATACGTCAAAAGCACCATGCAATTCGAGTTGGTAAGCGCCTTGAGGACAGCAATATTGCTTATAATTTCATGTGATATCCCAAGTCCTGACAACACCATATCTTTCAGGTACAGGTAACACGAAAGTGTATATATGGCGATAGCAACGAGGATTATGAATTATATCAGCATGGCAAACCCTATTTAGAAGTTTCAATCTTAGTCAAACTTACCACCATAAAATGCAAATCAGCTATAAATTCAAATTCAAAAATGATATAGATGTCATATTCTTATAAATACTATATCAGAACCCCATCTTTCTCTGTTCTACATCTCTTTTTCTTTTACCCAACTATGTCAACAACCAAGGCTAAAGGAAGAGTTCAAGCTGTTAAGCAACAATTGTCCCCTGAACAAGAATATGCAAATGCTGTAGAGTAAGTTTTGTAAATAAACTTAAACAACCACAGCCTGTTCAACACAAAGAGCATTAAGCAATGAGTCAAAACTGAATCCTTATATGACTGAATTTTCAACTGTCGTCTAGTCCAGTTGCCAGCATGAATGAAGAAAGAGCAAAAGCAGCATTTGATATTCGTGAATTAACGTATTTAATGGATGGAGGTGAAAAGATAACCCAGGTAATTGATTGACAATCGTGTACCTGAATCTGTTCTTGCCATTTCTGAACTCTACACTTCTATATATAGTTAAAAGAAAAGATTATGCTTGAACTTGAGAGGGACCAATTGTTTAGAATGGATGATATTCATGATATATCAAAGGCTGAATTACGTGAGCGTACAATGGAAAAGGTACAGAAAAATGATCACTATTAGCCTTTTGATATTTCTATCAGATTTATTGATTTGATTTATTCAATTGACAGTTCAGTAGTATGCTTCACCATCTCCAGAATGAGTCTGTCGAGACTTTTAAAAAGCGCATGGAAATTGTAAGTCTTGTTGATCCTGGATTTTGGACTCGGTTCGGCGTACACTGTAAGTATATCAATGTTAAATAAGTTATCACGCAAATATGGATTATCTTTCCTAGAATAACCCTTCACAAATCGTTATCAGACGGTTTATTTGTCGGTGCATTACAAAGCAATGCTTCTCCAGGTCAATTAGGTTACTGGTTTGAAAAGGGTGCTCTGTCATTATCAAAATTCGTAGGCTGTTTTGCTATGACAGAGTTAGGTCATGGTTCAAATGTCCCCGGATTGGAAACAACAGCCACTTTTGACGAAGGTGCAGATCAGTTTGTTATTCATACACCTACTTTGACAGCTACAAAGGTATAATAACTTGTTACGAAAAACCATAACTGTGAGAAGTGTGGCAGTGTTTGTTAAAGTAGTATTAACTCTGGTTACACAATGACCTTATTACAAAAATGAAAATAGTGGTGGATTGGTGGTGCTGCCCATTCAGCTACTCATGCTGCAGTTTTTGCTCAATTAATTGTGAAAGGCAAGAGATATGGTACAAAATGCTTTGTTGTACCACTAAGAGACCCCAAAACGTACAACACTTTGCCTGGTATTACCATTGGTGATATTGGTAAAAAGATGGTAAAGTATAGAGATTCCCTCTTCTTTTTCTCAACTCAGCAACCTCAAACTTATGGCCTTTTTCTCATATTTCGTCGTAGGGAAGGGACGGTATTGATAATGGTTGGATCCAATTTACCCATGTCCGTATTCCTCGTGGATATATGCTCCAAAAGCACACAAAAGTTTCAAGAACTGGTTTGGTGAAAGAGCCCAAACTTCAACAATTGGTAAAAAAAAATTCTTAAGGAGAAGATTAACCAATGACGAAACATTAATACTAATGGTAATAATGGTTCATTATTGTAGACATACGGTGCATTATTGCAAGGACGTGTCGCTATGGTAGCAGATAGTGGTCATTTTTCCAAAAAGGCCCTTACTATCGGAATTCGTTACGCGGCTGTTCGTCGTCAATTTGCTAGCGTGAACAGTAACATTGAAACTAAACTCTTGGACTATCCCATCCATCAACGTCGGCTTATGCCCCTATTAGCACAAACTTATGCTATGCTCTTTACTGGTACAGAAATGACAAACATGTATAATTTAATGATGTCCCGTTTAGAATCTGCTAAAGAAGACGACCCTGATTTGGATGAAGTAATGGAAATTTTGAAAGAAACTCACTCCACTAGTGCTGGTCTTAAAGCTTTTTGCACTTGGAACTGTCTAAACACTATTGAAGCCTGTCGTCAAGCTTGTGGTGGCCATGGGTATTCTGCCTATACGGGGTTGGCGCAGATGTATCAAGATTTTGCAGTTCAATGCACTTGGGAGGGAGATAATACTATCTTAACATTACAATTGGGTCGTTATTTGATCAGCAGTTATCGTGAAGCTTTGAAAGGAAAGAAGCTGTCCCCAGGCGTTGGCTATTTGAACAATTTGAAAAATTTGATCGGCAAAAAATGTGAAGCCAGGAACTTGGAAGATCTTTTGTCACCTGAAGTTATCATCGATGGTTGGAACGTTGTTTGCGCAAATGTCGTACGTAACGCTGCTAATGAATTCGAAGCATGCCTGAAGCAAGGTATGGAGCCAGATGATGCCTACGAGCATTGCTCTCAGTCACGTTTGTATGCGGCAAAACTTCACTCTTTCGGCTACTTGGTCAATAGATTTGCGGACGGTGTGTCTAAAGTTACAGGCAATCTTTTTGATATCCTTGAGAAACTTTGCCTCCTTTATGGTCTATACACAATTGAAGAAAATGCTGGCGCTTTCTTACAATATGAATATTTTACACCAGCTCAAATTGAGTTTGTTCGCAGCATTGTGAACAAATTATGTAAAGAAGCGAGAGATCAAGCTATTCCCTTAGTGGACGCTTTTAATTTGAGCGATTACATTATTAACAGCCCTTTGGGGCGTAAGGATGGTAATGTTTATGTCCACTACTTTGATCAAGTCCGTCGGTCAAACCCACAAGGTGAGCATCCTTATTTTGACCGACTCATCAAACCTTTAATACATCGTGATATGGAAACAGTTGAATATGAAGATGAACAGGCAGGTCTGGAATCTGAAGATGAAGATGAATAGTTCTCTTATTTTTGAAAACTATTGATGCTAATTTCCACTCGTATATACTTACTATGCTCCATATAATGTACTTATACAAAAAATGTCTGTTTGAATATGCCCTTCAATTGAAGATCATTGGTTGAAATAGAGAAAGGAAATAAAATTATCCGAGATCAAGGCTAAAGCCTCAGAAACAATCTTTTTTTTTTTTCTTTTTTTTTTTTGCCTTCAACTATCAGTTAGTTGTAATTTAGAAGACAATGTCCAAGTTTGGAACAGACGAAAAGCCTATAGATACCTCATATTATGAATTACTTGGCGTACCGGTGAATGCCGAGCCAATACAGATCAAAAAGGCATATAGGTAATGCCATCAATGGACAGTAATTGGTGACGATCAAGATTTATATCAAGGTCCTCTAATCGATTCTTTTATTTCCTACATTCCACTTTATTTTTATTCTTTAGAAAGCTAGCTATGGTAACTTATTCAGCTGCAATTGATAACTAGTAGAATGCTTTTTATCATTTTTTGGCTAAGCAAATAATTATTTTGTTTAATTTTCTTAGGTTTATCACCCGGATAAAAATAAGGAACCAGGAGCTGAAGAAAAGGTATTCATAAGAAAACGTTACACTTTTGAGTATAAATACACTAAATTCAAAAGATGTGTTCTCCGCTATATGCATAATTAGTTTAAAGAAATATCAGAGGCTTACCAAGTGTTATCAGATCCACAATTACGAGCAGCCTATAACAAATATGGCAAAGACAAAGAATTGGCACCGGAAGGTGGATTCGCTGATCCTCGTGAATATTTTCAACAAATGTTTGGTGGTGATGCCTTTAGAAGTAAGTTGAAATAGTATCTTTTTACCCTGGAAGAGGCGGGTGCTGAGAGAGAGTCATCAAGTGGGATATTTAAAGTCTATTTGCCTACGTATTATCATGTATATTAGGCATTATTGGTGATTTAGCAGTAGGCGAAATGTTTAGTGAAGCACAACAAGAAGAGATGGAGCAAGAGAACCAAGAAAATGGTAGCAATAGCAAAAATAGTGATGCTAAGAAAAATATGGAAAAGGAACAGATGGAGAAGATACAGAAGCAACAGCAAGAAAGAGTAGATAAACTCGCTGAAAATCTCAAGTTAAAGTTGGCTTTATATACTGAAAGCGAAGGAGATCAACAAGCCATTGCAGCTTTTCAAGAACAGATCAAGCATGAGGCTGAAAAGCTAAAGAATGAGAGTTACGGTATTGAATTGCTGCACTCTATTGGGGGCGTTTATTCCTTGAAAGCCAAGCATTACTTGGGTATTAAAGGTGGAGGCATGCCCAGCATTTTTGTAGGATTCAAACAGAAAAAACATATTGTGAAGGAATTATGGACGACAGTGAAAGTGGCGATGGATGTTCAGCAAGCAGCAGAACTGATTTCTAAGGCAGAAGAAAAGGGTATGGAAAATTCTGATAAGATGAAACTAGAAGAAGAAGTGACCAATAAAGTAAGTCCCAATGAAACTTGATCAGCTACTATATCCCTCTGGAAAATCTGACGTTGTTGAGCCTTCCCTTTTTTAGACATACAAAGCTTTGTGGCAAACGTCCAAATTCGAAGTGGAGGCCACGTTGCGTCAGGTGTGTGATAAAGTTTTGCAGGATAAGGTATGTGATGCAGTCCATTCTACTAGCTCTTCCGTATATAGAAAGCATCAAACCAACCCATTATCGATTCCTACCTATAGAGTATTGATAGCAAAGCGCGTATGAAGAGAGCGATGTCTCTGAAATGGATTGGTTATATTTACAAACATACAGAATTAGACAAGTCAACTATGGAGCTGCAAATTAAACAGTAATGCTTCATCGAAGCAATCTATCTCGATTTTTATTTATGTGTAATATCAATATGCCCTTAAATCACCCTCATCACACTTTCAGAGACGCATTTTCTTTTTTACAATATCTATTTATGCTTCTTACATATTTCAAGTATATATAAAATACAACATCATTAGAGATCTATTTATTTCAATATATTTGAAAGCAGTTGGTTTGTCTCATTTTTGAATATGGATGGTATACCAATGGCAGGAGCAGAAAGAGCTTTCCTACCAACATACTCAATTGTCTATGTAATGAGAGACAATAAAATGGTTACAACCCTCACCTTGGAAATCGAATTTAATTACATTTAAAGAAAGATGATAATGAATGTCCTTACCTTATTTTCGGGCAAAAGTTGAGCAATCCTAGGGGCCATAAAGGAATAAGCCCCCGCATTTTGAGGCTCTTCCTGACACCAGACAAAATTTTGAGCTTGCTCATACTTTGCAATTTCCTTTTGTAATTCTTGCTTAGGGAAAGGGCTTAATTCTTCCACTCTTACCAATGCTATTTCATCATCGAAACCCTTGGCAGCTCTTTCTTTGAAAACATCATAATAGAATTTACCAGATATGAAAACGACCTTTTTCACTTTAGAAGTGTCCTTAATAGACGTATCACTCAAAACGGGTTTGAAACGAGTGCCGGGTGAGAAATCATTCCATGAACTAACTGCAAGCTGTAGAAGCGCGTTTTATGTTAGCCAGCTGCTTTCATCATTTCAACAAAACATGTTTAGAAAAGGATACCTACAGGTGACTTTAACAAACTCTTTGGTGATATGACGATTAATGGTTTTCTATAATTTCTAAGCATTTGCCGACGGAGCACATGGAAATATTGCGCAGGTGTCGTACAGTTGACGATATGCCAGTTAGGTGGTTTTTTCTCTTCTGCATGGACATCAAAAGCCTCATTACTCATCTAATATGCATCATAACAACCAAAATATAAGGATCATACACATGTAAGTTCTCCAAACAATTGTACGTATCACACTCTCTTACTTGCAAAAACCTCTCTATGCGACTCGATGAATGTTCGGGACCAGCACCATCTTGGCCATGCGGTAGCAACATAACTAATCCACTTTGCCTTAACCATTTTTCTTCACCACTCGACAAAAATGTGTCGATAATAATTTGTGCGCCATTGAAGAAGTCGCCGAATTGGGCCTCCCACAAGACCAACCGTTTGGGTGTTTCCATCGACATGCCATACTCAAATCCCAGTACAGCAAATTCGGACAAAGGAGAATTTGCCACTTCCAAGAAGTTGCGTTGGTTCGGTTGCATATGATTTAGTGGAATAACGGTCTTTTCTGTATCCTGGCATACCAGCATGGCATGACGTTGAGAAAACGTACCACGACCAACATCTTGACCTGAAATCCGAACATCATGCCCATCTCGCATGAGGGACCCAAATGCAATAGCTTCCGCATTAGACCAGTCAATTATACCACGGTCCTCTTTAACTGATTTTTGAAGACGTTGATCAATGTGGTACTTTTTTAAACGTGGATGTACCTTGAAGTCAGTGTAGGGTGGGCGAACAGAAAGTTCGCTGATCTGTTTCAAAATGTCGATATCATAGCCTGTATCGGGTTGCTCTTGCTCAGCGGCTGAAGTGATATGCTTTATATTCTTCCAATAGCCATCTAAATGCATTTGCGTACTTGGCGTATAAGTCTCAGCTTCTTCAAGTCCTTTCTCTAAAAGCTGGATGTGCTGATCGCGGATATGTTGCGCTTCTGCGTCTGATGATAGCGTTTTTTCTTCCAGGAGCTTCTTTTCATAGAGCTTTGGTACGGAAGTGCGATGACGGATATTGTTATACATCAATGGTTGTGTGAAAGCAGGCTCATCTAATTCATTATGTCCCCATCGACGGTAACACATCAAATCTAAGATAATATCCTGATAACATACAACGAATTTTTCCTTTCGTGTCAAACATTTAAGCTCGAAATCAACCTTTCCAAACGTATATCTTACCTTTCTGAATTTATTACGGTATTCAAATACTAGATCAATGGCCCTTGCAACATCTTCAGGATAGTCGCCATTGACATGAACAACTGGAATGTTGATCATTTTACCGATGTCTGAACAGTAGGCTGAGGAGCGGGCATTTTGAGCAGGCGTAGTATAGCCCAGTTGATTATTGACGACAATATGAATTGATCCACCGGATGAGTAGTGCGGGAGGTTGGACAGACTGAGAGTTTCCATGACAACGCCTTGACCGGTGAAAGCCTGCCCATCGCACGTTGAGTTAGTTTTCTGTTCCGTACGTGTAGCTGCTTAGAGTGAAATGAACTTACCGCATCACCATGAATTTGCACACACATCACTCTATCCCCCAAATTACAGGAGGAATCAGAAGAAGCCAGCAAGTCTGTTTGCTTGGCTCTTGCTTTGCCCATAGCTACAGGATTGATAGCCTCAAGATGGGAAGGATTCGGTAACAACGAGACATGTACCTTTTTACCATTGGCATAGGTCAGATCAGGATTATTGGCCAAGTGAGAAATGACATCGCCTGAAGCAAAAGTGCCTCCAGGTACTTCGGGATGACCCTTCATTTTATGGAACAGAGCAGCGTGAGGGTATTGTAAAAGATCGCAAAGAAGATTGAGACGACCACGATGGGGCATACCAACTACAATATCACGAACATTTTGACGCGCCGAGAGTTCAAAGAGACGATCCAGAGCAACCATCATGCTTTCAGCGCCTTCCAGCCCATACCGTTTGACGTTTGGAAATTTCTTGCCGAGGAATTGATCAAATACCTCTGATTTTGATAAAATTTTATGGATGTTCTTTTTTTGCTCCACTGATAGAGGCGGTTTTTCCCAACTTTCTACAGCATGATACCACCAGCGTCTTTCGCTAGCGGACTACAGCAAACAATACAGATATGGAAGCCGTGAGAAAAATGCAAACAAATACGGCAAATGATGGCCACATCTCGCTAAAGTTAAGGTTTTCTTGTCACTTACCGGCAAATGCATAAATTCGTACGCGATTTTCCCACAATAAACAGACTGCAAATGGTTGAGAATGGTTTCAAAACTGGCCTCATCCTGGCCGATAACATGCTTTTCTTGAACAGCATCATTGACATGAAGAATACCTATGTTTTGATAAGAAAGGTATCATGAACACCTTCGTAACCTATTGCTATTCCATCTTTGTGATTACGTATACATACCGGATAAGTTGTATTTTACTTCCTTATTATTCTCTAAACCTCCTTTCACATATCGCTCCGGTTTTAGAGCCAGTACTTCCCTGACAATGGTCATGGAGTCAGTTATATATTAAGAATAGATTACAAGTATAACATATTAGCTACTTTACTTTCTTTTCATGATGTTCAATGGGTCCAACTGAGCGCCCTCATGTCCATGGGTACGGTAGGCTTGAACCATACGTAACAATGTAGCGTATTTTCTACGGTTCTCTAATTCTTCCGGCGTGTAGTCTGGTAATTTATACTCTCTAGCCACACGATATCCATAAACATCATCATCATGGTAGAATCGTCTTATTGTAGATCTTTTAGTTGCTGTAGAAGTGAGATACTGAAATAGCTGTCTTGGTTTAGCGCTGGATCGTGTTGATATATGTAGCATGGACGACTATAAAGAATAACTTGCGAAGGAAGTGAAAAAGTGGTTTGAAAACAATTTCATTATCAATATTGTGTGAATAGATGGCATTGACGGCACAGGAATCGGATAACTATTTGGCAGAGAAAACCCCACGGTCACCTGATTCAGCCACTCTCATGTAAATCTATTGCAATTGACATTCTTATTCCTTATTACAGACATTTTACATCCGTCATTAACAATGTTAACTGAACCATAAAAGAGTTACCCATACTATCATCCTTTGATGTGAAACTTTTAATTATTACTATGTAACGTTTGTACGTATGTGATAGTTTTTAAGTGATAAAAGAAGGAGAATGATCAGGGCAAAATATACAAAAGAGCGATATGGTAATCTGTGTCTGTCATTCATAACTTTCGCTATACAGTCTCCTCTCATGTTCTGTTTTCAAAAAAAAAAAAAAAAAAAAAAAAAAAAAAACACAGTCTCTCTAAAGCTGATGTTGAGCAAAGTTTACCTGCATCAAGTGTCTGGATATTTAGAATAATCCTGTTTCACTCCAACTCTCTACTTCTCTTAGAGCTATTTCGGCTCTTTATAACTTATGCTTCAATTATGTGATATTCCCTTGGGAGGCATCATTATGCTGAACCAATTGCTCTTTTCGTTTTTTTTTTTTTTTATAACCTTTCATTCTTTGGTTTTCAAAAATACTCGCTCAAATCTGCCTAAAGATGTTTCTTTAATTCATTGATATGAATGACTTTGAATGAGTTCTTTATCATTCGACTCCACACGATAGGCTCTCGGTATGGAGCTTCGACTTTGGCTTAAAAAACTAGCTATTTTCTACACTAACAATGTAAACGGTGGACGACCTTTTTACTTGCTAAGGCTTTCGGTTGAGTTTTCTCTTCTGATTACTTACACTGGATATTCTATCCATTTCTTGAGTTGTGCCACTTGGAAAAAAAAAGCCAACCATGATAGAATGCAAAGAGAAGGATCAAAGAAATTGTACGTTTACTTGGCCAATCATATTGAAGTACCTGGATTTAATCAAAAGCCAATTGTTGACGATGTAAAAGTTTCTTCTGTTTCTTCAATGTCAACTAATGTCAATAGCGATGTATCTGATCGTCTTGCATTGTTACAATCTCTAGAAGAGAAATCATGTAAACTAGCAGAAACATTTCAACAGCAGTTGGACAAGACGCGACAGCAGTTGGAACTGGTATTTCAAAAAGAGACCTTTGCTTTGGGCATAGTCTTGGAGTAACTCATAATGCACAATAGATATCAAACTCGACGGTCGAAGCAAGCTCAGTCTATCGTCTGTCTACAAAAAATTTAGCATACGAACTCGACGAAAGCATTGCAAAAACGCTTGAGCTTATTACTCATTGTGACGAGCTTGATAAGGACTTGTCGCAGCTACAGGACTTATCCAGACAAGTGTAATAAAAAAAAAAGACTTGTTTTCATTGCTCACTTCAGACACTTAATACATTGTTCTTTTATTTCAGAAAAGCGGTGGACAAGGCTTTAAATAAATTACAGAAAGCACTAGGCCCACTCAAGTAGTTCAAGTTTACATTATACAATAATTTTATACCTTTCTCAGTCCCTTTATGCGTACTCAAATTTGTTATTTTTAAAATTGAATGCAAAAAAAAAAAAAAAAAAAAAAAAAAAAAGTAATTAAAGGCATATAAACTCTTCATCCATCGTAAAAACCTCAATGATAGCTACCTTTATTCTTTTATTATATTATAGACTTAATTTTTTTTTCTTTACATAGGTGTATAAGGCTGGTGTTGTCCCTGCCCAGGAAAATGATGACTTTGGTGATGAGGTGGCTGTTGTTGTTGGTTAGGATTAGGTGTATGACAACGGAAGCATACACTACGAGAAGCAAAATTCTGGAAACCACAATTGGCGTTAGGACAGTACCAATCACCAGGTCTGAAAGTAATGTGATGATGACTGCCTCCAGCACCGTAACCTCCATGATAACCGGACGGTCCAGCACTGGGAGGTGCACCACTGGGCGCTCCGTAACCGGAGGGTTGATAGCCTGTAGAAGGTTGATAAGAGGACGAAGGTTGGTAAGAAGGTGATTGCTGCTGATAAGGGGAGGATTGATGATGAGGAGGAACGCCACCAGGTGCACCATAGCCAGGCGGTTGCTGATAGCTAGTAGAAGGTTGATAGGATGAAGAGGGCTGGTAAGAAGGTGGCTGCTGTTGGTAAGGGGATGGCTGATGATGAGGAGGAGGAGCTGATTGGTATGGACCTGATGCTGTTAAAGATTGTCCAGGAGGAGGTGCTTGTTGATGAGGAGCTGGAGGGTATCTTTTCGTACCGCCACCGGGTGTATTGATTAACTTTTTATGTCTGTTTACGGGAGGCACCTGAGGTGGTCTGGGTCCAGAGCACTTTTTACAATGAATACGAGATGAATAATTGTGGTAGTTACATTGAGGACACATCCAATCACCTGGTGTGAAAGGCTGACTATAGGGGACATGACCAGCTGTCGGTCCAGGATTAGGGTTCTCGGTATTACATTTGAAGCAATAGAGTCTTGAAGCAAAATTGTGGAAATTACAGTTGAAGCACATCCAATCTCCTGGACGGAGCTGCCTTGTCTTGGCTTGAACAGGAAAGGCTACCAGCATGTTGCCAGCCTTTTCAATCACGCGAGCTGAACTAGGACACACTTCAATCGGACGATCGCCTAGACAGCGTCCGTTCAATACTAATGCACGCATAGCATCTTGATGATGTGCAAAGACGACAAAACCTGAAATACTTGGCTTGGCATTGTCAGTCAACTGCAGCATCCACATTGTCATAGGACGTAATCCATTAGAAGAGAACCACGCTTCTAATTCACCTTGAGTCACTTCAAAGGGCAAACCCGCTAAATGAATCACTTTGGACTCTTCCTTCTTGAACTGTTTCAAATCGGCCTCAGTATCAATGGGATACACAAACACATCCTCATGTCGAAACTTCAACAAGTAACGCATAATTTCGACATTTGTTAATGCATGATTCAACCCCACCGTATGATCTTTGACACGCTCCAATCCAAATAATTCACATAAATCCCGCACAGAAGTAGATTTGAAACTGAACTCAGGATGATGTACTTGCCAACGCTGAATTTCTTGCTTCAAATCAAACATACGACAATAGGCCAAATAATTGGGTAATGCCAAACCTTTATCCCTTGCTTCCCTTGGTAACTGGATACGCAATGCCCACCCGCCATGAGTCACAAAGCAGAAACTCTTCCTTCCGCCACTACTTCCACCACTACTACCCTTATTCTCTCCAGTTGCTGATGTTCCGTTCCCTTCCGTATCCAAACTATCATTTTGACCATCCGTTCCAATAATTTCCCTTTGTATGTATTCATCCAATTTATTAATGGCATCACTTAAACTCCCGGCTTCTTCCAACATGGAAGATTTAATGCCGGTAATTTCGCTACAGAAGGATGTAAGCGGTGTACGCTCTGGTTTGACAAATATTTGCTGTTTATGTAAGACTTCCATAGTGTGTGCATTAACAACAACAAATGAAAGTTCTATAGCGATTAGAAAATGAATGTTAGTTTCAGTTTTTTTTTTTTTCTTTTCCTAACCATACGTAGTTAAAAGAACATTCAAATGTATGCATGTCTATCTTACCAATGACTTCAGAATTCTCCTTTGTTACTTGAACTGCAGCTGGATTGGTTGGATTTTCGTCACAGGTGGCTTCAAGATGAAGAATAATCAATCTGTCAAAGGGTACAACAGAAGTGAAGGGCTGTTTTGAATTATCGCTTTTTTCTAAAGTTGCTGGGGTCGTTTCTTCATTATCGATAGTAGGTTTTTCCTCAGCGACATCTTCAGTTTTGGCTTCTTCTGCTGGTGCTTCGGTTGATGCGTTCGGTTCGTTGTCTTCGCGAACTTCAGTTGGTGTTTCGATCGCTTGAGCATCTTCTAGTTTAATGTCTGCTTTAACGTCATCCTCAGATTCTTCAGATACCAAAGGCTTCTTTGCCGAATTTTCGAGTTCAGGTTCGGGAGACGCCAATTTACGTTTGCGATTGATATTATCAGCTGCTTCCATATGTGTTTTTTTTTTATTCAATTGGTGGGGGTTTGTTCTATTTAAACAAAGAAGAGTAAAGAAACTAAAAAGAGTCGCAAAATAAAGAATAGGGAGAAATAGAAGCTAAAATTTTTTGAAGCCACTCGAATTGACGTCGATAGTTTCTTTCTGTCCAATGAAAAGTTGTACTAAGCTACCAAGCAAAAATCAGAATAGACCGGTCAATTTAGCTTTTGTTGATAAGTATGCAATGAATATGCTCATACTCGCATCAATTTGCGCTATGTTTTATCTTTTGCAGTACGTTTGTGCAGTTGTATTGAAAGAAGTTCCTTGTTTTAAAAGATACAGTGATAAAACTTACCGTTCTCACTGTATTTGCATGATAATCAAGCAGCACAAAAATGTGTTTGAAGACAGCCAAGGGTATCGCTCAAGTAACGTTATTTTGCGAATTTATCCAAGAGAAACAATAAAGAGGGTGGGGGAACATTATGCTTAAGTTGATATTTGCTTGAATAGTTGAACACGACAGTATCATGTATATACTTTTATTTTCTTTCATAGGCTTATTGCTTTACTTTATAAGAGGTGTTCATATACTTTCAACCTATGCTTTTTGGACCGAATTTACTTTAACTTTAATTGGGTTGTCAGGGCCTACAAGCAAAGTTAGAAGCTTAACCTGATCAATTAATCCTTCTTTCTTATGGAACCCGTTACCAGCAACAGAGCTATCTGCGTGTAGACATTTCGCAATTAATTTACAGCTTTTTTTACTAGTTCTTCATCTAACAACAACGTAATAGCGTTCTGAAGTACTTTTCGACTTGGTGTTCAGTTACCTTATAGAGTCCTTAAGGTTACTGCCAGCTCTCTTCCCATTGAGATAGCTACTACAGCTTTCAGTCCCTAATGATGTTTGAAGAACAACAAGTTAGTATGCCCGAATATATACTTGAATACTTTAAGAAATCAAGCTGTGTGCACATGCTATGAGGGAGTAGGTTCGAAAAGTTTAGACCATTTATAGACAACCAATGAAGAACAATGCTTATTATTGAAAACTAATTGCGTGAGGTTTGCAAGAGAGATTATACCCAACGAACAAATACACGATTTCATAAACGTGTCCACTGTTTTTTTTTTTATTTTTTTTATTTTGGTTTTTTTCTTTAGTAACAAATTGGATCACCAAGAGAAAGAGCCATAGTAATTGGAAAAGAAGTTCCAGGTATACAAAAGCAGTATTACTCTGTCAAGAACTAAATCCGCGTTTCAGCTCCAATAGACTTGTCAAGTCTTGCTTATTACAGTTCGAGAAGGGCTTTTCCTGTCTTCGTTTCAACCGAGATTCTTCGACCTTCTTTAATCGAAGAATTGATAGGGTGATCATTACTATAGTACACGGTTGGTACATTTGTATACGTGTCCAGGAGACACATCATTCTTATGGTTATTGCTGATTATTCATCTTCTTTGTGACCGTCTTAAATCAGAAGTTATTCGACGTAGTTCGTTTAAATCAACAATGATCTCTTCCATTTTCAGACGTTTGTCAATATCAGCCGCTGCAGCTAAAATGATAAAAAATCCGTTGGTTTGGGTTGACTGTGAGGTACTCTATCAATTACTTGGTACCGAAAAGCACTGTTTATTCATGTTTTATCATTGATAGATGACAGGTCTTGACTTGACCAAGGATCACTTGATCGAGATCGCGGTATTAATTACTGACGGCGATCTCAATATTGTAGCCAAGGTTAGAGAACCAAAGATAAAACTGTTTGATAAACAAAAAAGTTGGATAAATTGACGTGAATTTATATCTAATGTCTTATAGGGCCCTGAGATCGTTATTCATCAACCAAAGGAAGTAATGGATGATATGAATGGTAAGAAAATTGCTCTGCGGAGAAACTAATTTCGTTGTTCTGCAGTGGTAATAACCGTTTTTGCCCTCATCGAACGCAACCACTTATTAGAATGGTGTATTGAACATCATGGGAAGGTAAACAAGTTCGCAGATTTCCAAATTCAATAAATTCAAGCTTTGACCAGTTCCATCTTTTTCCGTTTAGTCTGGCTTAACAAAACAAGTATTGGAATCAAAAATCTCAGCGCAAGAAGCTGAAAAGCAAGTATATGACTTTTTGAAAAAGCATGTGCCTGCTGGAGTCGCACCTTTAGCGGGTAACTCAGTGCATGCTGATAAGCAGTTTTTATTGAAGGAAATGCCTAGTGTTGTTGAGCATTTGCATTACCGTATTGTTGGTAAGGCTTTTTTCCTAACATTTATCATTATCTAAACTCCTGAATCCATATTGCGAATTCATTTTTACACTAGATGTCAGCACCATTAAGGAATTATCCAAGAGATGGTATCCTGATATTGCTGCCAGCGTTGTCAAAAAGGGTGGCCACAGAGCTTTGGATGATATTGTTGAAAGTATTGAGGAACTGAAGTACTATAGGGAAAACGTTTTTATCAAAGCATAATTTGTCGGGAAAAGCAAACGTACATTCTGTTAAAATTCCTGGGTCCGTGATACGAGTGTTATTTGCTCTTTTTAGTCTTTTAAACTAAAACTGGCTACGCTAAATATCAGACATAAGATAGGCTTTTAAACAAAAAAAAAAAAAAAAAAAAAAAAAAAAAACTAATTCACACTATTTAGCGCCACTATACTCATATAGTAAAAGTGATTGTTCCAAATGCGATTATCAAAAAAGCTAGTACTTTGCGTTGGGAAAGTGAAGAACGCATGGCTTCATGATTTTCTACTGTACAGTGTATGGTTCTATAAGACGATTTCGAAAATCTCGTTGTTTTCATCCATAGACGATAGACTTTTACCAAGTAGCGTTTTGCTGTACTTGTTTTGAGCAGTTATTCATACTGAACACTATCTACAATATGCTTACATAAAGGCTAATAATATGCTGATAGACGATATTTCTGCTATGGATCTGGAACAAGATTGCTGTCACCTTTGAGCAAATTGAGAAGATTGTTGACTATGATAGAGAACAGCAGCGCCCTGTAATTGATAATGCCATATGGAAGAAACTATCAAGAAAACAACAGCAGAATCAAGTTTTTACTGGTCGCAACAACAGATAGACCAAAGCGTAAGCAATATGATGAGCACAGCATTAGACGCTTGATTCACCCAAATGCAGGAGGCTAGGCTTACAGTTCCTAAAGCTGCGGCTGAGTGTGGCATTTCGAATCCACCGCCTCTCAAGTATATAAATCAATGGGGCGCTAGCTACGGTACAGTCCTACTGGTGCTAGATCATATTTCACCCAAAGAGTCTCTTTGCAGAATATACCGAGTTTCCTATACTGTTGTTCAATGCGAATCCTTTGACAACAATGGAAGCTACAAGGCAACAGCTCCAGGCCATCTATGTAGCTTCAGATTTGAATAGTCAGTCTTTGGACGCATATTATCACCAAGTGTTCACTGTCTCTGAGAAGGGCAAATAACTATACGTTAGAAAGAGACCCGCTTAGGCCAATTGAGCTTATTTTACTATTATGACTCAATGAAAAGCTGCTGGTGTTGACTTTTAAAAAACTGTGCATTTGTAAGCGAAGCAGGCTCCAATACGCAACTAATAAGAAGCTATGCGTGGTCTAAACGTGGTACATATGGTACTGTTGAAGCCATAACGCAAAAGGAGCCATAGTAGTTTGATTGGCTGTCTTTGAGCCCGCAGCATTATTGATGTCTCAAAGATGCAATCACTGAGTATACGTGACGCCACCCAAGTCGAACAGCGATATCAACAAAAGGTGACATTCCAAGCCTTTCAAATAAGCCCATTACAGTACTGCCTATCATTACATGAAATTGATATAGGTTATCATAAATACGTTGGCAGATTGGCAATAGAAAGGTTACTTACCGTAATGGCTAATTGCAGGATTCATCGTGCGCAATTCGTTGTCGATATTATCAACAAAAGCACGGCTTCAAGCGGCTGCTCATGCCCTTTTACTCACCATTTTTTATCGCAATTGAGAATATTTGGAAAACGTGAACCGAGCATTAAAATAAAGCCTCTTCAGAAGGGTGATGAACTCTTCCCTATTATCAATGAAGACCATTGAAACAGTTATACTCGCTAATTGTCTTGGATGATTTCAACACGCTAAAAGCTTTTGAGAAAGATGTTACAGAGGGACACATGCCTATAATAAACAATAGCCTTATTTTTCATCATAATCTCATTCACACATATTGACGTCGATGTAATAAGATCTACAATAAAAGCCTACTTATAAATAATCCCTTATTCATTGAAAATAATTCATCCTAATATCATATTCTTAAACGCAAAACCACTGTAGTCTTCTTATTTCCTAATACAGGAAATCTTTCCGGTAAAAAATCCCACTAAACAAAAGTTGTACAAGAGATTTCACATGGTAACACGAAACGTACTATTCTTCTTCTTTTTTTATAGCGGCGCATGCCGAGGAGATGGATCGCTCTGTGTAATTACTGTTATCTCAGTCTCAACAATGGTTATACAGATTTGTTAAATGATATATTTGGTTAGTTATACAGGTTTTGACAGCGCATTAACAGTATGTCCTTCCTTTGAGCATCAACAGCTAAAAACAACTTATAATCGTTATTTTTGGTCCATTTTCGCTATATATTTTTCGAAGAAAGCTTCTTTGATTCCTTATCAAAAGGATATTGAGTTCAACATCAGTAAGACCGTTCGAAACCTTATTGAAATTGAAATATCACGTCGAATGGTACGCTATTGAGGAGATGAATCAGCGAAATTTACTGGTACAACCACGCTAAAAACCTGATTTGTGAAATTGCATGCTTATACATGTATTACTGCACTATGGAACCAGGGGGGAAAAAAGGTAATACGTTGGAAGACATATACTTTTTAAACAGAATTACGACTCTCAGGATAAAAGTTACTTGATTCTAAATACTTCCTGAGAAGATATTTTATTAAAGATTAAACGGTAATTATAATTAAATTGATAAGATAGGAAGATATAATACAACTAAAATAATTCCTGAAGATGGGGGACTTATTCTAAGGGAAACTAAAGTGATTAATAGGTAGTAAAAAGTGGATGTTGTGCATAAAATGTATAAGAGTCGGATTCTATGTAAAGGAGGCAAGTTGTATGTATGTTTCATTTGCTAGGTATGTAGAGGTTTTTACTGAGCATTTGGCGGCTTCTCGTTTTCGTGCATGTATTCGTATTTGATTTCTGCCGCTCTTGTGTTTTCTGCCGGTCTGTCATTGGCAACTGAGTTGACTGTGCTGTTACGGCCTGTAAAGTTGCTAGGGAAGCGACGAGAAACAGGACGTGAGCCGCGTTCAAGACGCGATTGAGCATCTTGCTTTTCTTCGTAGAGAGAAGTAGAACCGATGTGAGAGGCAATCGATTTGGCGTCCTCTTGGACATCATGCGTAGCAAACAAAACTTCAATTTCTTCCAAGGACTTTCCTTTGGTTTCAGGATACCAAAGGAAAATAGGAACCAAGAAAATAACGTTGAGGATACCGAACAATAAGAAGGTCCAGTACTTGGCATAGGCAAACAAAACTGGGGCAATCATAGCGACGACAAAGTTACCAAGCCAGTTGGCAGCCGTCGACATGGAGTTACCCTTCGCTCTAAGACCGGTAGAGAAAATTTCAGAAGGATATAGCCAAGCTAAACCTAACCAAGCAGCACCAAAGACAAAGTTGTAAAGCATCACGAAAGCAATGACGGTGCTTGAGGCTTGAGCGTTAGCGCCATTGGTACTTTCAACGATATATTGGCAACCACCGACAATGAGCAAAGTGATAGCCTGGCCGATCAAACCAGCATACATGAGCCATCGACGACCTAAGCGTTCAATGGTGAAAATGGGAGTAACGGCACCGATAAAGTAAATGATGGAATCAACACCCGCCATCAACATGGCTTTTTCAGTCGTCATACCAGCTTGCTTGAAGACATCGGTCAAATAGTAACTGATAACGTTGATACCACCAAATTGCTGAATGAGTTGGCCACCCATAGCGAGCAATACACGGTAACGGTTGTTCATTTTTCCCTTCTTGAATAATTCTGCGTAAGAAGAGACACCCTCACGACGTTCCAGTTCGATACCATCACGAATTTCTTGCCACTCAGCAATACAACGGGGGTGAGTCGTATCACAATCTGACCAGAGACGAGCTAACACATCTTTACATGCCTCCTCATGACCATGAGCTTGCAACCAACGAGGTGATTCAGGCAAAATAAAAGAGGCTACGCCCAAAATAATAGCAAAGACCATTTGAAAAGCCAAAGGGAATCGCCAGGCAAAGTCTCCAGAAACAAAGTATAGACCATATTCGAGCCAGTAGGCAATGGCGACACCCACGGTCAAAAGAGAGGCTTCAAAAGCAACATGTGCTCCACGGGACTTTGGCGGTGATAGTTCTGCTTGATAGACAGGAATAGTAGCTGTGTTCATACCGTTACCAACGCCGGTGACAATACGGGCAATAATCATCATAGGCGAATTGATAGCAGCGGTCTGTAAAATAGCACCAATGCATAAAATAAGACAACCAACACGAATAGTTTTACGACGACCCAACCAATCACCCACACGACCCGTGGATAATGCGCCGAACATGCATCCTATTTCGTATAATGCTAAACGCACGACAAGGTATTGTATCAACGGTTAGCTTTATGCTCCCCCATGTGGCTGACCATGAAGAATGCTCTAAAAAAAAGGGGCTTACCGACGATAGCACCCATAAGCACTGGGTCCGGATCATTCATTGTTTTTTTAAAAAGTTCGTTCGCAACGACACCAGACATAACGCCCTATATTATAGAAACGACAAGTTGACAAGTTAGTTCCTGTATCTTTCGATATTTTTGCCGTTGCGGCAAGGCGCTTTTGATGATATACCTGATCGTAACCAAATAGTAAAAAGCCTACAGCGGCTAATAATGTCGAAGCTCTAAAAAGAGCTGCACCTTTTAAAGTATAACAACCCATTTTGAAAATATAACCTTCTCGAGATCAATCAAATGATGCAGATAAAAAGAAAAAAAAGTAAGAAGGAAAGTTGATTTACCCCACATTTTGAAAGAAAACACGGGCCTTTTATATAGTTTTAGATTGACCTCATAATTGTACTAAATTTTTTCTGAAATGCCATTAGTGAGCGATGGTATGCATTTCGGAGTTGATCTGCACATTGTTGGTACCTTTTTTATCTTAGACGAACGAACGAATTAGCTTTATGGATTCAAACGTTAACTGGCTATCCAAGGGTGTTACTAAACATGATAAACCTTACTACTGAGTTTGTTTTGCGTTTGAGTAATGCACAATAGCTTGTTGACTATTTAAGTATAAAATTCTGTTTTCTAAAAAAAAAGGGCAGCAAGCTAAAATCAAAAAATATATCTGGCTTCTTCCATCATTGGCCATAATGCACGTCATGATATAGTAATTTGAAATACAGAAATGAATAGAGAGAAATAAGAGTCAAATGGAAAAGGATCAGGAAAATGGAGGGATTACTGGTCAACAAATAGCGCAGCAACCATGGTCCATTAGAGTTTTTTCTTTATAGATATACACAAATAATGTAAAACGTATGCTCATATTTCCAACCAAAGTAGAAAAAAGCAATAGTTGCACTAGTTAATCATAGCGAAAGCAAATAAAAAAATTAAAAAAAAAGGAAAATAGAATCGCTGCGCAACCTATCAAAGCGTTCATTATTAACCGATATCTCCAGAATTGTAAAACATGGATTACCAAAGCATCTGTAGGCTTTGTAGAACCCAAGACCGATACATTGGGCTTTTCGTATATGGTCAAAATCAAGATTTTGAGCTAAGAGGAGGGTGGTGACACTGCTATCGTTCATTTACGTACATAATAGGGTATGGTCCTCTATGAATAAGAGGCATATCAAATGCTAACAGTGGCCAGTAAAAAGAACGCAGCAACAGCGTTGTCATGTAAAGAAATCAATGGTTGTTATCATGATCGCCTGAAATGGATGTGACTTATCTCGAGCTCTCTGATTTGTGTGACAGGTGCTTGAGTAGGCCATCATTGACAGATAGAGTGTAGCGAGTAAATGAACTCTTATCTGATTTTTCTTTCGGTGATGCGTTTAGACCCATTTCACTGATATAGTTCTGAATATCGTCCTTAAAGACGAGTGTCAAGAAGGTTGTTTATGCCAACTTATTCATTTACAACTGTGAAGAAGCCATTCCAATAAGAGTAGCAAATGAGGAGCCTTAGTATTACACCTCTACAAACCACCCTAAATCCGGATTGGATTATAATAGGACTGCCGATTATCACATAGAATGTAGACTGAATCCGGCAAACAAATTAGCTTTATTATGCTGTTGCTTTCTTCAGTCTCAAGTCACAAATGGATCGTCTTCACCACATTTTAAGCCGCACACTAAATCCTATTACTTTTGAGTACTAGTTATTCGATTAGTTGTTCCTCTCTCAGGATATAAAAAAAAGCAATAGCTAAATTGTTTGAGCCATTTATAATAACATTATCTTAAATGATAGCAGTCGATTGGCCATATGATGGTATTGAGTGAATGACATTCTTCTTTCCGCGTTCACCGTTAACTGCGACGAATGTATTAGGTTAGCTTCTTTGCCCATTGTTCTCCTCCCTTCATCCTTATCTACAACCGCGACAAATTAGTTTTAAACGTTTCTTTCTAAACGACACTTGACAGATAATTTGAAAAAACCAAAATAAATAATTTCATACTCTATAGTAGCCGATTTAACATAACTACTCCGAAGTGACCATGTAGAGACATCGTCCTTTCTTTTATTTAACGCCTTTTACATACTGCCGAGTATGCCTTTTTTTTTTTTTTTCTTTTTTGACACTATGCAGCGGATTGTCAAAACTGGTCTAAGAAATTTGAGTCAGTTCGCATTACGAGGTCTAAAAAAAAAAAAAAGAATTAATGAAAAAAATTAAAAAAAATATGGGCGAATATTTCTTTTTTTTTTTTTTTTCTTCTTTTTTCTTTTGACCTAACCCTTCCGATAACGCTTCCTCTTTTTTTTTCCACTCAACTTCTTTTCAATTCAAAGATCGCATTGCAATGGAGGACCACATGTCAGAGAGAAGAAGAACTTTACCGGTTGTCAAAGTAGAAAATGACAATTTAAATGATAGTTTACCTAAACATGTACTACCTATGCTTGAAGCATCGAAAAGCTCCGCAGAAGGAAAAGACGTAGAAGAAAAAAAGTATGATTCAAATGTGACAGAAGCCAATCAATTTGATAGCAATCAACACGACGATGGAACAAGCAGAAAGCCATCCACTGCTTCAGCAGGGTCTCTCACGTCAAAGCCGCTGCCATCATGGTTGAAATTGAACTCTGGTATTGCAAAATCAAAAGAAAGCTCGAAAGCACCACGACATTCGATAGGTTTGGATGTCCCAGGCGCAGTTCACACAATCACCAAAAGTAAAGAAAAAAAACAAACCAAAAAACACCAACACATGGCTTATTGTATCGTTATGTTCTCAATGTATGCCTTTTGTATTTTTTTTTTTTTATTTTTTCTTGATCATTTAGAGCTTAATTCAGAACGTCCATTAGATAGTAAATTGGTGGTAATCATGGGTATGACAAAAGTACAAGCAGCATAAATTTCTGTGCATAAAAAAAAAAAGCTTGTTAATATTTCCTTTTGAGTACAGTTGGATTACCGGCACGCGGTAAAAGCTATCTCGTTAAAAAGTTAAGAAGATATCTCAATTGGTTACAGTATGAAACAAAAGTCTTTAATGTCGGCAACGTACGACGTGTTTGCGAATCTTCGACGCAAGACCAATCAGCAAGCTTTTTTGATCCTAATAATAAAGATACAAGCCGGATACGAGATGAAATTGCTTTGAGTGTGCTGGAACAATTGATAGGTTGGTTAAAAGAAGGTGGACGTGTGGCTATTCATGATGCTACCAATTCAACTTTAGCGAGGAGGTAAGAATCACCCTTTCCTTGACTTACGGTTCCACAAAGCTTTATGATTGCGGCAGACATATTCAATCAAAAGGATGATGATCATTTTAGAAAACTGCTGGTAGACAGATTAGAAAGAGAGCCCGAGATAAGAGTGCTAATGATCGAATCTGTTTGTAATGACCAAACGGTAAGTCAAAAATGCACAGGACAATTCATTCTAGTACTCGAAAAGAGAAGATGGTGTTTAGCTAATGCTTCACTGACGGTTCTATAGATGCTCGAACGTAATTTTCGTTTAAAACTTTCTGGACCAGACTACAAGAACAAGGACCCTGTGGAGGCTTTGGCCGATTTCAGGTCACGTGTGGCAAATTATGAAAAAGCTTATCAGCCTGTAGGAGAATGGGAAGAAGAGAACGATATCCAATTTTGTAAGCTCATCAATGTAGGGAAGAAAGTAATTGCTTACAATATATCCGGCTACCTCTCCGGCCAATGTATCTTTTATCTCATGAACTTTAATCTAAATGGTAAGCATTGCTAATGAGCTTTGTTTTGCAGACACGAAAACTGCAGAACTTCCCATTGACCTATTCACCCTACTATGTTAGAGCGCCAAATTTTTGTTACTCGCCATGGCGAAAGTGAAGATAATGTCACGGGAAGAATTGGCGGCGATGCTCCCTTGAGTGAAAAAGGAATCAAATTTGCCAAAGCGTTGGCAAAATTTGTTGAAACACAAAGAATCAAATTTGCTTGTGAGATGGCAAGCAAAGCGAATGAACTGGAACCAGAAGAGAACCAAACACCTGCCAACGCCTTGAAAAAGACAGCACAGTATTGTAATCAGCCATTTACAGTTTGGACCAGTATGCTCCAAAGATCCATGAAAACGGCAGAATTCTTTGATCCAGACGATTTTGATGTTAAACATATCAGATTCCTAAACGAAATCAATTCAGGCGTAAGACGCGTCCACTCTAAGATACTAAGATCACTTTCTTCTTTTTGCAAACTACTTACAGGTTACCCATTCTTCAAACATAGATTTGTGAAGGAATGACCTATCAAGAAATTTTACAAAAGTACCCTGAAGAATATAAAGCCAGAAAAGCCAACAAGCTGTTCTATAGATACCCGGGAATGGGTGGAGAGTCTTACATCGATGTCATTCATCGGCTTCAGTCTATGATTGTTGAACTGGAAAGAATGACTCAATCATGTTTGATCATCACCCACAGAGTCGTCATGCGCATTCTGCTAGGTTATCTGCTGGACTGGACAAGAGAAGAAATGCCGCACATGATGGTACCCATACATACGTAAGTACGCGAAATCACCAACCACAGATAGTGATCATGATGCACTAATGTTACGCGCCCTGTCTAGTGTTTATGAGCTACGACCAAAGCCTTACGGAACTGAACTGAAGAAATGGCAATACATAGAAGAAACCGATTGCTTTATTGAGTTTTAACTCCCTTTTTTCTAGTGCCAACATCCTATACATACGCATACACGTACACACACACATCTCGTTTATATCTTTTGTATTTAATTCATGTACATATTTTTTCTACTTTTTTTTTCACTTTGCGTACTCTTACGCTCAACAGACATGCCTCCTTTTCTCTTTTTGACGACATCATAAAATTTTATAAAAAAAAAAAAAAAAAAAAGTCTCCACTGGTTATAAAGTAATTTTAAGAGACTGTATAAGTGATCAACAGCAATTTGTATGTTTGTGTAGGTTCAAAAAGAAAGTCTGAAGCGTCCTTCATGATAGGTCCTTTATTGCTCTCGTACCATATCCAGCTTTGACTGTAATCATCCAAGCTACTTAAGCTTTTATTTCTATTTTTTTTTTTTTTTTTTTTTTTTTTTTCTTGTTATACTGCCAAGAAGGGGCATTTTAGCTTTTCGATCGTGCACCAACAACTCGCTTGAATTCCTTAAAATCATTTAGCGAGAAAGAAAAGAAGGTCTGTGCATGAAGCTTCCATGCATCTGATAAATGTAACACGAAATTATTTTCAAAAACGAGGATGCAGCTTTAACGATTCTTTCATATAGAGACAGATCAAAGTAAAACGTGGCGACTTTGTTCCTCCAAATGCAAGCTTAAATTTTGAATAAGCCATTAGAATTTATAAGCTTATGCTTCCTTTGTGTGTTGTTCGATCTCATACAATCCTATTTCAGATCCTTCCCACAAATTCAGGTACACGCCCTCGATCGGATAGTCGTTTGCACTCCATCAAGGACTGCAACACTAAAGGGCTATATTTTTTTAAAATGATTGTATGGGCCGTCGAATGCATAACTTGTCGATTTGAGTCTTGGAAGCTTATCAAGTCTATAATAGTAAACGCCAACTATCAAGCAGGTTGTATTACCTAATAAGGCGGTTTGCCAAATTCACAGTCATATCGGATCTACCGTTAATGATTGTGAAATAGTGGCTAAGGTTGTTGTAAATGGATAACTGTTATCAGTCAATGACATTAAACTTGGTCTTCAGATAAAGTATATATTGTACATAGATAGATTGGATGCAATGTAGACAGGCCGTGGTAGATTATACTCTCTGCTATTCCAACCATTTAAGAGAACCTTTGCGATTTTATTTGGTTTTTTTTTTTCTTGTAGCACGGGTTCTCCTCTGCAAAAAAAAGTTACATGTAAAAACCATGACGGGCCCAAAAACTCTTGTTGGTCTGTTTAGCTTGTTCCTTAAAAATACATAGCTTCTGTTGCTTTTAACCAATTGTTTTGTTTCGTCATCATCCAACGAGGATTGCTCGTTCGTTACTGTCACTATTATCCTTTTATAAAAGAGATAAGATGACCCCACGTAAGAAAAAAAAAACTATTTTTTTATTTGCGGAAAGATGCAACTAATTGCAATTTTTAAAAGTTAGGGCCTGGGCGTTTTTCATTAGTGCAAATCCCGTAGTTACCCGTGTATGTAATGTAGAAAGCGAGCAAAACCCCGAAAGACAAATAACATAGGTGACAGCCCCTCTTTTCACTGCAAACAAAAAAAAAAAAAAAAAAAAAAAAAAGAAAAAAAATAGTTCTATTTTTCTTTTTTCTCTTCTCTTTTCTTTAAAATCATATATTTATCTACTAATTTAATCATGTTTAAATCTATCCGTGCTGCCACATCACTCACTCAGCGTGCATCTTTGGTAATATGTCGCAAGAGCAGGGCCCTGATTTTATAAAGAGATCAGCTAACCTCCTCCCATCTTATCTATCTTTTCAGGTTGCTCGCAAGCCTCTTGTTCAACAACAAAAGCGTTTCCTCAACATTCATGAATATCTTTCTGTCAAAGTGTTGAGAGAATATGGCATCAACGCACCCAAGGGTGAAGTCGCTAAAACTCCTGAGGAAGCTTACAATATTGCCAAAGACCTCGGTAGGAAATTTTCCCCACAAAAAATTTTGTCCCCCCGTCTTTCGCTTCACCCCACGTTTTCAATGTCTTAATAATGTATAAATTTGTGAATTTGACAGGCAGCGATGACCTTGTCATCAAAGCTCAAGTACTTGCTGGTGGACGTGGTAAAGGTACCTTTGATAATGGTTTCAAGGGCGGTGTCAAGACTTTCAACACGTAAGCTTTCCTTTTTTCCTTTTGAACTGCGTCCCATTCTTTAAGAGAAAAAGATGTACTATTTGTGGGGAAAAAGAGGAGTAACAATGATAAAATTTTTTTTTTAATTTTTTTTTTTTTATTTCCAGACCCGAAGAAGCTAAGGAACTCGCTGAAAAGATGCTTGGTCATAAATTGATCACCAAACAAACCGGTGCTGAGGGCAAGCCTTGTAATGCAGTTTATATCTGTGAACGTAAATATGCCCGTAACGAATATTATTTTGCCATCTTATTGGATCGTAAGTCTGCTGGTCCAGTCATTGTCGCTTCTTCTCAAGGTGGTGTTGATATTGAATCTGTCGCCGCTTCGAATCCTGAAGCCATTATTACATTACCCATTGATCCTAAGGAAGGTTTATCACAAGAAAAGGCTTTAGATCTTGCTAAGAAATTGGGATTCACTCCCCAAGGTGTTGAGCAAGCTGCTGACACTTTCCTCAACCTCTACAAGTTGTTCAATGAAAAGGATGCCACACAAGTTGAAATCAATCCTTTATCTGAATCCAGTGATCACCAAGGTAAAATTATTCTTAAAAGCGTGTATAGACAAATCCATAGCCTTCTCATCCCAACATTCCCTTTCTATAGTTCTTTGCATGGATGCCAAGTTGAACTTTGATGATAACGCCGACTTTAGACAAAAGGAAGTGTTTGAATTACGTGATTTCAGTCAAGAAGATTCCCGTGAAATTGCTGCAGCCAAGCATCATTTGAACTATATTGGTTTAGACGGCAACATTGGTTGTTTGGGTAAGTAATGATCACAATGGGGTAGAAACCCCCAAGTCGAAAAGCAAAAAGGAAAAAGATGGGGAAATCAGAATAACTTATATAGAAACGGGTACATTTTCATTAGTCAATGGTGCCGGTCTTGCTATGGCCACCATGGATATCATTCAACTTCACGGTGGTAAGCCTGCCAACTTTTTAGATGTCGGTGGTGCCGCTACTCCTGAAGCTGTCAAGGCTGCTTTCGAAATCATCACTTCTGATCCTCACGTCTCTTCCGCCTTTGTCAATATCTTTGGTGGTATCATGCGTTGTGATGTGATTGCTGAAGGTATCATTGCCGCTGCCAAAGACTTGGACCTCAAGATCCCTCTTGTTGTTCGTCTTCGCGGTACTAAAGTCGAAGAAGCCAAGAAATTGATTGCTGATTCAGGCCTTCGTATCTTTGCTGTTGAGGAATTAGATAGCGCTGCTCAAAAGGCTGTCAAGTTCTCTCAAATTATATCCTTGGCTAGAGAAGCCAATGTTGATGTCAAGTTTGCTTAAAGGGAACACGCACTTCTTTTATTCAAAATCTGTCATAAAAAAAAAAAAACAAAGAAAAATTGCACCTACATTTTGATATGTCTACATATCATATTCAAATTCCCTGGTAGAAATTTTTCTTTTTCTCGTTTATAGTCAATTGTATTATTTATATTTATTTCTTTCCTTATCAAATATACATGGATGTCCATTTTTCTTTGTGGTTGCACAAATCATATATTTTGTTTGTACCTACAGCATCTACATCTATTGGAATGTCATTCATTTTCATTGGCCTGTTTCAAAATGAAGGGTTTGCATAGCTCTCTATTTGTATGAAGCTGCCTGCTTAACCCAACTTTGACAAGCTTGCTTAGTAATATCGTTACATACTTTAGAAAAGCTGTAGAAAAGGTGGATAGGGTGGCAACAAGAGCGATGTGGAGCCTCGAGCGTGTATGACCTCAACCACCATGAGGGCAAACAGTGTATTTTGCATTTGTCCATTTATCTGTTCCATCTTTTATTTAAAACCCAGCAATTGAAGGAAAAAAGCACCACATCGTTTTGCCTCGCCGAGTCACTTTTCTTTTATACAAGAGAACAAACGACCATGTCAAAGCTCATCAGCACTCTCACAGTGGGAATGGCTGCTGCTGTAGCTACCCTGCTAACCACTGTTTATGCGCAAGAAACAACTAGTACCGATGAAAAGAAGCTACTTGAAGGTGAGACATTCTTCAAAAAAACCATGCATTCATGGCGCACGCGTTGCTCTTTTATCGATACAGTGCTGTTCTAACTTGTCAAACTCTCTCTCTCTTTTGAAATATGAAAGTTCCTGCTAGCAATTTTATGGTGAGACGTAAGTCCGTTTTCATTTCCATTCTTTATAGCTGTATCCATCGGCCTCCACTCAATGCTTTTTTTTCTTTTGAATCATGTTTTATTAATGTACAATAGCCTTCAAAGTGTCCGATTTTCAAATGGAAATTGGGCTTTTGAGCGCCTTTTTCCTGTACTTTCTCTTATGGTCAAGAGGAAAGAGTACCAATATGACTCGTGCCAACCATTGGTAAAAAAAAAACAAAAAAAAAAAACACACACACAAGAAGGGAGCGTTGCTATCATGGTTTCCCACTAAATTGGCTTCTTCTTCTTCTTTCTACAGGTTGCAAGGTCAAATTGAATATTTTCAACAGCAATTTGCCCTTGTTGGAGATAATAAATCCAATAAGCTGGTGAAGGATGGACCTGCCGATTTTCTTTTATATACGACTGGAAGGCGCAATGTCCAATTTGGTCACTGGTGGTTTAAAGTAAATGGATAGATATATGGACGTAGTAAAGAATCAAGTGTCAAAGTTTTCCTTTTAACATGAGGGATTTTTTTTTTTTTTAGATGAAGAAGAGAAATGATATGTTGACACTTTTCACGACGACCGTTTTATCTAAATTTACTTCTACAAAGCCCTCCGTGGATCGCATGGTAAGTGACTTTAGCGTGATGTCTGTTAGTCAGTATCATAACATCAGTAAAAAAAAACTAAAAAGTAAAAACAAAAACCTCTCTCTAGGATGTCACTTTACAATTGGATAAAAATCTACCTGAAAAGTTTGTTTTTGCAGTCATCAGAAAGGACCTAGCTGCGGATTTACACAAAAAACGCTTTGATTTGGTATGTTAAGGACACACAAAGGATAGGCTGAAAAAAATCGTTTCAATCCCATGGCCTGCAGTTGACCGAATTCTCTCTCCCCCCACATAGAATCGTGTTGGTAAGATTGCGTCCAGTAAATTACTCTCTGATGAATACAACGTCTACGCGGAAACACAGAAATTAGCGGATACCATCTTGACGACGACCAAGATGACCGAGTGGTTGAAAAATAAGGCACCTGGACGTCTTGAACATTTGATTCTATCAAGTTTACCTGCTGAAGAACCCATCATGTAGGTTACTTTGACCATGTTTGCCCCTCCAGGGAATACACACACTGACCCCCTCCCCCCCTCCCACTTGTCACATACACACACACCCCCGTTAGGTATGATAATGACAACCACATGTCTCTTTCCCTTTCTTTCTTAATGCCTGAGGGTAAAGACGTCGACACCTTGGATCCCTTTGTCGAACTCGCTTGTCAGATCCCAGACGTTCTCCAGCAACTAAGACTCCCTGCTGATGTCAAAACAAAGATCAACAAGAACCGTGAAGACTTATTGAAAGAGTTTTCAAAGAAAAAGGCAGCTGATCGTGCTGAAGAGCTCGCAAAAAAGAAAGCAGAGGCTAAGCGTGCTGAAGAAGAGCGTATTAAAAAATTGAGTCCTGCTGAACAACGTAAATGGGAGGAAAAGGAACGTGCGCGTACGATGAAGAAGCAAATGAAGAGAAGAAAGGTCTAATGGGAGGGGCGTTTTGCTTCCCACATGAACATTGTAAAAAAAGTAGTATCATTTTAGAAGAAAAATTTATAAACACAAATTGTATAAAACGATGGGGGCTCAGTGACTTTTTTTTTGTTTCTATTTGTTTTGCTCTTTTTGTTGTTCACTGGCTACGATTTCGTTAGCTATTTCCCAAGCAGGCTTATCTGATTCGGCTGCTTGTTGCATAAGGCTTAGGAGATGCTGCTTCTGTTGCCGACTCTTTGATTGCTTTTCTTCGTATTCCTTCAACATTCGAGGGTCAAGACGCTATAGTTAAAACGAGAGATAGAGATAGCAGGAATTGAGAGACTGAAATACAGACACTCTTTCGATGACGAGACTGTCGGGCTGCTTTTTTCCCTCTACCTTTTTTAACGCTTCTTCATCAGGAACTGTTGTCTTCATCAAAGCATACCCTGTAGCTATAATGCCTGTCGTGTACAAAAGCACTTTCAATTCATTCGCCATGGTGGAATCTCTGAAAAAAGAATATTACTGTACAGAGAGAAATGAAAACCCGGGGGTTTAAACCCGCCCATTCTTCTTTTAGAGGCACGCATTATACTTTTTTTTTTTTTTTTTTTTTTTTTTTTTTTTTTTTTAATTATCCCGCAAACTAAAGTAAAGGTGACAAAAGATAGTTTTCATTGAAGCGGTTGTTGCCTTCTATAGTGTGCTTGACTCACCCTCGGCAACAAGACGAGCGAGACATCTGACCAAGTGTGTGTGATATGGCTTTCTATGGTTCTTGTCCCAAATTCAACAGATGGGGATGGGGCCAGTATGAAGGTGTATGCAAACCTTTTTTTTTTTCTCCCAATCTTGCGCTTGGTACAATACTCTAAAAGTCACGCGCTTGTTTTTAGGTTGTTCACCAGAAATATCGTTGCCCAGACACGTACTGTGTGGGTTTGGGATGATTCTTCACTATGGCCAACTCGTAGTATGTCCAATTCGGACGTATCGCTGGAGCTACGGTAAAGATTCAAAGACAAAGCAATCGACACCTGGAAAGATAAATGAATCAGAAAACGCATTGAAAAAAAAAGGGGGTTTATGCCAACGTTATTTCCAAAACCGCTTTGACGATTCTGTTATAACAACGCCCAATCAACAACACTTGATATTCTCTGATGTGTCTTAACTATGTATAGCCTATTTACCAAATGATTCTACAGTATGCATTCAAAAACGGAAAATCTTTTTGTTCCAAAAACGAAAAGTGGCATAAAAGAAATCGAGATAATGCCATTGTCCTCATCAAGACTTGAACAAAAGAACAAATAAGAAATTTATCATCATTTGTTTTCCTGGGCGAATTCTGTTGTTTGATCTGATCAGTATTCATGCTGAGGCCTACTCAAGTCACGCCATCCACCCTTTTTTTTTTTTTTTTTTTCTTTTTATCACTTGATGTTCCTGAAGAGGTTGACGAGGAGAAGCATGCTGCTGCTGGTGGTGGAGCCTCCATTTTGAGGTAAGTACGCTCTATTGCCTGTTTCGTGGGTCTTACCAGTAAGAAATTAAATACATGATGTTCTCATCAGACTGCACCCAGCTGGCCTAGAAATGGATTGACAAATAAGATCGTGCTCACTACCATTACATAAGGTCAAAGGATGGATAATAGGGCTTGGTTGAGGCTTTTTTACTTTTTGTTTGACTGAAAAAGAACAATGAGTTTAATTAAAATTTTTCTCTTTCCTCACTCTCGATGATTCTATTGCTTCTCCAAATATAGCAATTTCTTACACACCTTGTGTCCCCTTCTCCTGGATTTTAATTTTCTTTTCTTTTTTGATCGCCAACTCAAAATTTTGATTTTTGGAACTCTACTTGACGGACTTTGTTTTTTAAGAAACCTGTTTTGTTCCATACCCCGCCCAAAGAAAAAAAAAGTTGTATATCTTTATATAAAAAAAAATGAATCATGAACCTCGCGTTCTTACGTTATGTGTTGAACCTTTGGGGATTTGTGATAGGAATTGCACAGGTAAAAAAAAAGAAACAGAATTGGGTATAAAAAATGATTGCTAAAAGAAGAGGTAAGCAAACGGTCAATGCAAAAAAAAACCAGAAAAAGTAGTCTGTCATTTGTTAATTTTCTGATTTATTACAAATTCAGGTGCCAAATCATTCATTGGAGGATACACAGAAATCCTTTTATGGGAGTTCCGGGCAGGACAATTTTTGGTAAAGAGTTGATATATGTTTATATACATCAACATAGTAACTGTGATGTGTGATGCAATGACTTGTATAAAACATTTCTATTTTTCTTTTACCGCGCTTGGTTCTATTTTAGTAGAAACAGAAAAAAGAGGCAAGGAAAAGGAAAAAGGGTTCTAAAACCTGATTTGCATCTGTACGTCGTTAAGTAGACTTTATGAATGGCAAAACGTTTATTGCTATTCGAGTCAATGAAAGGATAGAGAAATGTGTCATTTCCAGCCTGTTTGCTTGTTGTAAGATCCGTAGCGATATTCAAGTTGTACAAACGGATAATTCGATTTTCTTTTTTTCTAGTTTTGGCGTTAATTAAATTTATTTTTTTATTTATTTTTTTGCAAAACAATGGGTCCATTCACTTGTAATATAATGGGACGCCTTTTTTTGTATCCGATAAAAATGATTTGGAATAACTTTTCTACTTTTCCTTTGGGACAAAGAAATGAGACAAGACGGATAAGGTTTATATCATTACGAATCTACATTTCTGAAAGCCCTCTTTTTTTTTTTTCTTGGTTTTCCTGTTGCTTTTTTAGTATCACTTTTTTTTTTATTTTTTTATTTTTTTTTTAAACCTTCGGCAGTTGATTTCCGATTTAAAATAAAGAACCACCAAATGATGGGATGGCTTCTCTTTAAATATCCTCTTTATCTGGTTTTTCATAACTTTTATCCCTTGTTTTTTAGCCGCTTTTTTTGTTTTTTTTAATAAAAAAAAAGCCCTTTTTTAGATTTTTACCCTACAACAACATGCATACTACTGCAACAAGCATTGCATTGACTACAACAACCATTGAAACAACCCCATGTTTGGATAATAAATCAGTATCGTCTGTCACTACGGCAGCCTCAGAAGACTCCTCGTCTTTTATATCCAAGAACAAAAACAAGACAAAAAAGAGCGGTTCCAAAACAGAAACGAATGAAGGTAAGAGGAAGAGGGTGCATGAATAAAGTATTCTGTCCATCCTAAAATCGAATGTTTCCATACTATGCGTCACTGAAGAAGGAGAATCTGAGAAACCACAAAAGAAAAGGCAAAGAATATCGCCCGAACAATTTAAAGTATTAATGGCCGAATTTGAAAAGACAAATTCACCCAATCTTGAGACAAGAGACCGTTTAGGAGAACAGTTGGGCATGTCAAGCAGGCATATTCAGGTAAGCACATCCCCCCCCACCTCCCCCCGCCCATGAGTAGGATAGGTAAAACAGTGAGTTTTTGGGCAAAAACTGAACAGTCTGACTTTTTTTTTTTCATTAGGTGTGGTTTCAAAACCGAAGATCCAAAATGAGAAGAGAAATGAAAATGAAAGCTATGAAACATAGAGAAGATCCATTTGTCTATCCGTCTATGCCATACAAGCCAAGGAACATGGATTATTCTTACTCTCCACCCACACCACCACCACCACCACCACCAGCACCCTTATCCTCCTCCCCTTCTTCATCGTCATCATTATCATCATCATCACAGCCTACTACGCAACATCACCCTTATCCTACCTACTCTTATCACCATTATTACGCTACTACACAACAACATCAGCAACCACCCTCTCAATCAAGTGCTGCTCTATTCGACTACCCTCCAGAGCAACAACAGCAATATCCTCCTCCTCCTCATCCTCATCATAGTAGTAGTAGTCAATCTAGTGTAACCTCTTCTTCGTCTGAATCATTAACATCACCTACGAGTACCGCTCATCCTCATCATCATACGACTACTCCTACGAGGAGTACTACTGCTACAGCAGCGACAGAAAATAATGCTTATTTCAATACTTATCCGTACAATCCTACCTCCCTTTCATATCCTCCCACACCAGAATTATCGCCTGATATGAGCCCTATTGATGTCTTGGCAGTTGCTGCTGAATACGCCAGAAAATGCGATGAAATAACTTCTGCTCAAGAAAGAGGAGGTACATGGAGACCTTGGGAGTGTCATTAAAACCCAAAAAAAGAAAGAACATCCCATCCTCGTCTATTTTCAACTCCGATTGTGATTTTTAGATATCCTTTATTTGCTGCTCTTCATTTCTATTTAATTGAGCATGTTTACATGATTATTATCTCATCCCTTCTTTAAACATTTTTTTTTTCCTCAATCCATATATATATAACGTTTTATTATTTGCTTTTTTTTATCTCAAAATATTTATTATCTACCTATTTTCCCCTCCCACCCTATTTTTTTTTTTCATCCAATAATAAATCTCACATTCCCCAAAGACAAACGGGGGTTCAACTACAGACAAATAATGTCAACGCGTACATCATAGCGAATACAGAAAATGCAAAGAGAATGTCAGCCATTGTGGTTTTTAAAAAGGTCATCCCAAGTCGAGTCGTACGTTTTTCAACAGGCAGTCAAGGATATCCAACAGTGTCCTGCTCTTCTCTACAGATAACGCACCAAAGACATGAAAAAAGGAAGCGTCATGTCCCAAAAAAGAAACCCCCAAGCTGTAGTATTGTTCATGTTTTGCCATAGACAATTCGAATTCATGCATCGACACAACGGATTCTGGATGCATAAAGAGGATCACCACAGTTTCTTGTATCACTGTATCAAAAAAAAAAGACGATGGTCCTCTCTTGGGTGACGAATGTTGGACTCTTTTTATGTACGCGTAAACATCATGCATGAAATTTGTGGGGTAAGGAATTCACCGAAAATCTTTTGGTGTTCCGCAAAGCCCGATTTTCATACTTTTTTGGTGATCTTTGATCTTTTGGTTCCCTTCTTCCCTTTCTTTGTTCCTTTTTTTTTTTTTTTTTTTTTTTTTTTTTTTTTTTTTACCTTTGAGAGCGTCTCATGGAAGCAACATTCAACAGCACAGAAACACCGCCAACCACCGTTCGGCCTCGTCATTTTCTAATACGAATGATCAGTTTATCGGTAACAGAACAGATATCTATGATGAAAAAGAGAAAAAAAAAAAAAAAAAAAAAAGAGATTTTCTAAAGGTTATTGCATACTATCTTAGAGACGACGCATTTTGGCATCCAAATTCACAAAATTATTTGTTTGTTTACTATGCTTGACAACATTACTCTGCATCGTTTTAGAAGCCAACATTATTCATTCGCATGTCAAAGTCTACCAAGATTTGGTGAACAACAAATCAATACAAGATGTACCAAGCACGTCTGTAGATCCAGATCATCTTTTGTCTTCTTTGTCGGAGCAGCAAGCCAAACAGTTATGGATTGCCTTGGGGCTTCGAAGATTAAAGAATGAAAATGTATTTTTCATCTTATTTTCACTCTTTCAGCTGGTTTTGGGTTTAGATGCAGTAAGATATTTTCATGTGGGAAACACATATAGTGTATCATGTGTCGTCATAGATCTGCATAAAGCTTATCTTTATAGAAACATACTATGGTAGATTGTTCGGCAGAGTGTCATTCAGCTTATTGCTCATACAGTCAATCAAGGCGTGGCCGTCGTCTTTGCAGCCATCCAAGTGGGAGGAACCATATACAAGTGAGTTTTTATGAATGGCCAATGTGGAGAAAAAAAAAAAGAAAAGAGGATTTCGTCACTTATCCCCCCTTCTTCGCCAAGACATTTTGATGTGAGAACAGATATCCCACCACCAGAAGATCCAAAGGTCTCTTGGAGTTTCAATTTTGCTCTGAGGAACGAAATTGCACTCGTTTCCGTCATGGCCTTGTTGACCCTTCTCTTTGTCTATTTCTGTTATCAATTGTTTAAACAATTTGGATGGTCGATTTATAAGCGCATTGGCGCCGATATAGAACAGCAAGGTAGAGAATAGGAAACATTGGTCACCGAGACTCACCCCCTCGATCTCATTGTTCGTACTTTCTTTCTTTTCTTTTTTTTTTTTTTTTTTTTTTTTTAGCCAGATTCAAACTAACGCAAATCTACTTTTTATTCTTGAAACTCGACGCCTTTTTCCATTTTGTGCTATGCGTGTTCTACACTGTGGTCATGACCCAAGAGAAATACTTTGCCTTATTAGGCATTACCAATCGAAAATTCATTGGCTATGTGATCCATATCATCTTGACCGTCCTGTTGATTCCTGGGTTATTTTTAGCAAGATTCGGTGTTATTTCTGAGAATAAGCAGGTCATGCTGTGCTTCTTGTTCACTCAAGTGGTCATGGTCTTGGACTTTCTTTTGATTTTGGTGGACAGCGCAGGCTCATGGGTTTTTTGGAATTTAGCAGGTAAAAAATCAAAGAAAACGTATTTGGATGACAGGGAGATTCATACAAATGACCCCTTTTCCTTTTTCCTAAGTTTGTTTGGCTATTGTATTATGTGTGGTAAGTGGCATTTTATGAACAGCATTGCTTAGAGAAAGCCTATTGATGGAGGGGCCTTTAGGCTACCATTCTCTTGTCTGTCATGGTCTCTCGTAACTTTGGAAAGGGATTGAAACCCTATAGTAAGTTGCCCACACCTCTTGTTCTTCCTTCTTTTAGGATTGGGATTCATAATGGGAATATCTATCTTATCTAGTGCAAAGGCTGTTTATTGATGAGAATGATAAGAAAGGGAGAGCGGATCACAGCAACCATGGAGCCTTACTACACAAGAAAGAGGATTGGTTAATAGATGAAGATGAGGATTATGTCATGACGAGCACGCAAAACGCGACTATCTTTCATAAAGTGTGAATAAGCATGGCCTATTTTTATCACTCTGTGTTTCAAAACCAAGCCTATTTATTTATCACAGTCCTATTTGATTACCCTTTTTACCTTGTCATCTTTTTCTGTTGACGCCATTCAGCAGAATAATGAGACCATGGAATGTAGGCATAGATAGAATATTCATCCGTGTGCCTTGTCTAAAAAGTAATAGGACCCTTATGTCTAGAATGGGGAACTTGTCTATTTGTTTTTTTTGCTGTGAAAAAGAAAAAAGGAATAGGTTCCAGGCATTTTGGTTCATTTTTTATATTTTTTTTTTATTTTTTTTCGGAAGCAACCTCAAGTACCAGATACTTGGGTTTATCATAGCCGAAAAGGTAAACTTATAGATCCCTTATACAACAAAGCTTGATTGATTTAAGCAACCCCTTTGTGTATCTCGAACCACTGCTTTCCAACGTTTTTTTTAAAAAATCATCTCTCTTCATTATGTGCTGAGCTGTAGAGAGAGAGATACTTGCCACTTTTGCATCCTTCTCTTTCTTGCTATTTGTGAGCGATCTCATCGATCGATGCCATGGTTGTCGATAGGGTTGATGAAAGAAACACAGATACTTACACACACACACACACACACACACACACACGTACACATACACATACACAAGAAAAAAAAAAAAAAAAAAAAAAAAAGGTTCAGTAACCTTAAAAAAAAAACGTCATGAGTATGCAGTGAAAGGATGATTTGTTTTTGTCCGATTTGGGAAAGTAAACACTTGCATCAATTCTCTTCCTTTACGGGAAATATAAAAAATTTAAACAAAAAGTTTCTTTATGGCTTTACACCATGCACTTTTTTCAAAAAAGATGGCAGGCCCTTTCACAATTAAACATAGCGTTGCTTTGTGTAATGCAATGACGATCTGTCCAATTGCTTTGTGTCACTTATTTCTATGGTTTTACTTTTTTTTTTTTTTTTCAATTTTTCTGTCGTCATCAAAGAGCCAGAGAAGAAAAGCGAGCGAGGAAAAAAGACAGCAGCATAGGAAAAAAAAAAAAAAAACGAGAGAAAAGTTTAACAGAATCTAGACCCCAATCGGCCCTTCCCCCTTTTTTTTTTCCTCGAAAAAACCCATCATTATTTTGAAAAAAACGTTTTTTTGGATCTGTTTGTTTATGAAATGTGGTTTGTTCTTATGGGATTTCTCATACATGGCGTTTTTCCTTATCAATATCGGAAACTCAAAGAAGTTTTTGTTGTTCTCCCACAAAATGAGGGAACTCGAAATATGTAACTGAGGTCTTTTATCAAAAAGGAAATTAGCGTATGGAGCCAATCATCGTACAATAGCACTTGATTCGTTGTTAGAACTGAGGGGAAAAAAAAAAAAAAGGGCATCCGATTTGTCTTACTAGCGAAAAAGTGTAAGTTCTCGAATTCCACAAAAAGAGTCCAAAAGGCGATAATTATCATCGTTGGCTAATGTGTCATTGTTACATTCTATAAACTTCTTTTTCTTTTTTTTTTCTTCCTTTCGTTTTTTGCACTCACCTGTCTTTTTGCATTTCTTTGCAATCAAGACATTCCATTTCCTAACTCCTCATTGACCCCATTTTCTGAAAAAATCACTTTAAGTTTTTAAAGTAAATATATCAGACAACAGTCCAAACAGAGGATAAACCCTTTTTTTTTGTTAATATAATAAGAATTACTTTTTTTTTCATATATATATACATATGTATTTATATAGATACACACAACATATATAAATACATAGAAAGGGGAAAAAAAAAGAAAGAATTCAGCAAAAACTTTATTCTAGATCATTTTATATACATCAATATTCTGTTTTCGTCTCTTTTCAAAACGCTCCACATTTTAAATAGTTTATTTATTCTCTCTCTCTCTCTCTCACTATTTATATTTATTGGTAATAGTGTTTATAAGTGACAAGTTCTTGTTATTTGTAGTTATATGTTCTCAGCTGTTATTCGATAAATGAAACGTTCCTCAACAAGCGATTTCAAAAAGAATAAGAAACTTTGTCTCTCGTCCTCATCACCACCTACAAATACATTGGATTATACAACGACTACTACTGCTACTGCTATTGCCGCCACTATTCCTACTACCACCACCCAACCTATGAACCCTATCACTACCACTAGGCCTAAAGCAACCACAATACCAATCAGAATGACTGCTTCGAAAACCACAAAAAACCTACTCAACGACATCAAGGTCATGATCCTGCAATTAGAAAAAGGTGACCTGAATTATTGTATTTCTGCGGAACCTTATCCAGTGACCACCACTTTATCACATCAACAAGGAGCAAATACTCAACATCCTTATGACTCGCACCGTCACGACAGCGAAAAAAATAAAAACAAGGCAGAAAAAGAACAAGAAACAAAACAAGACGACCACGACCACGACCACGACAATGATCATGTCAACGATGAGGTGAATGACGATTACAAATACAAATACACACACGATGATTTGAAAACAAATAGCGACTCTGATCGGTTGAACGATGTATCAAACGCAGAAGAGGATGAACGTTACTATCATATCAATTATACAATGTTACATCAAGCACTGAAATGCATCGCCCAAAGACAGTTAAAGCTTGAAATCGAGAATAAGCGATACCAGATTGCTATCAAGCAACAGCATCATTTATTAACTCATCCTGCACCACCAACACCTTCCCCCCCTCACACCACTAGGCCTCCTCTAAGGACATCCTATCTTCCTCAATCTACGTCACCCCCACCGACGGTAACCACCACCACTGCCACCACCATGTTAACGGACCAGCCAATCATACCATCATTAATGACACCCATGACCAATGATAACCATACTTTTGGGAATTTCAATGATAGTACACCTACCACTACTATGACAACTACTACTGCTGCTGCTGCTGCTGCTGCTGCGACTCCTTATGTTTGTACTCCGGAAGATTGTATATCTTCTTTTCGACAATCACCCATGTTGGAAAAATTACGCTTACCTGACAATGTAGATACGGATGCTTCATTAGCAACAACAACAAAAACAAATATCCATGACGATGATACCCTTTTCAATACTATGACTACCACTCCTCCTATGCCTATCCATACCAACTTTACTAATTTAACTTCACCCCCCTCGATGTGTCAAAATTGCGTTCAACAAGCTGTTCAAGTAGCCTTAGCAGTACGACATGGTCAATTAAATCAACGTATCACCTGCAACTGTCATTCTAGAAACACGACGGACGGCCCCAACATCATCAAAGAAGCCATCAATGCCATGGCAGATCAGTTACAACGTATCACCTGTAATGTCATGAAGGTAGCTCATGAAACCGCTGTCGAGGGTAAATTAGGCGTGCAAGCCGACATGGATGATGACATGAAGGGCGTCTGGCGTGATTTTATCATGAATCTAAATAGTATGACCAAGAATCATTTGCAACAGGTTCTCGATATTGCTGACGTCTCTACCGCTATTGCAAAAGGTGATTTGAGTAAAACAATGACTGTGCCTGTGTATGGAGAAACCTTGATGTTGAAAAATACGTTTAATACGATGGGTCAGTTTCCCCTCTTCTCGCATTTTTTTGTTTCCCCCCCCCTCCTCCTCCCCATCATGTACTCACGCATCCCTTTGCACTTTTTCTCTAGTCAATCATTTGAACCTGTTTGCTTCAGAGGTCACTCGTGTGGCACATGAAGTCGGCACAGAAGGAAAATTAGGTGCTCAAGCAAGAGTGGCTGGCATCAGTGGTATTTGGAAAGAATTGACAGACAACGTGAATACAATGGCTACCAACTTGACGAATCAGGTCCGCGATATTGCTCATGTTTCTACAGCCGTTGCATGTGGTGATCTCACCAAAAAAGTCACTGTAGAAGTCAAGGGCGAAATGTTGGATTTGAAGAATACGATTAATACCATGGTGGATCAGGTAAACAGAAAAAACCCCCCTCCCCCAACCCAACCCAACCCAAGCTTCTTGGGAACGTCTTTTATTCACCCTCGCCTTTCTTCTCCCTAGTTATGCACCTTTGCCGGTGAAGTCACCCGTGTCTCCCTGGAAGTCGGTACGGAAGGAAAATTAGGAGGTCAGGCCGTCGTCAGGGAAATAGGCGGTACTTGGAAAGATCTCACGGATAATGTCAATATGATGGCCAACAAAATCACAGATCAAGTACGTGATATTGCCACTGTCGCTAAAGCGGTTGCTGAAGGTGATCTCACCAAAAAAGTAAAAGCCAATGCCCAAGGTGAAGTGTTGGAACTAAAAAACACAATGAATAGAATGGTAAAATGAAAAATAAAAAAAAAGGCCTACTTGAGAATTTGAAACTCATTTTTTTTTAATTTTTCATACTCCTCCCCCGCCCCCGCCCCCCACATTTTCTCTCTTTTCCCCGGGTTTTCAGGTGGATCAATTAACTCAGTTCTCAGCCGAAGTCAGAAGAGTGTCCTTGGAAGTAGGCGTCGAAGGAAAATTAGGTGGACAAGCCATCGTACCCAACATCGGCGGTACATGGAAAGATCTCACGGACAATGTCAATCATATGGCGGCCAACCTCACTACACAAGTGCGTTCCATTGCTGAAGTCACCACCGCTGTAGCCAAAGGCGACCTTTCCAAAAAAATCGCCGTAGAAACACGCGGTGAAATCCTCGATTTGAAAAACACAGTCAACAACATGGTAGATCAGTTACGTGTCTTCTCTACTGAAGTCACACGTGTCGCAAAAGAAGTCGGCACAGAAGGCAAATTGGGTGGCCAGGCCCGCGTTCCCAGCGTGGATGGTACCTGGCGCGTGTTGACCGATAACGTAAATACCATGGCTTCCAACCTCACCACGCAAGTGAGATCCATTGCTGTGGTCACGAAAGCTGTCGCCAATGGCGATCTCTCCAAGAAAATTGAGGTCGAGTCAGGTGGCGAAATCGCAGAATTGAAGAATATTGTCAATGACATGGTGGATCAACTGCGTGTTTTTGCTTCCGAAGTGACGCGTGTCGCCCGTGAAGTCGGCACCGACGGTAAACTGGGCGGTCAGGCCGTCGTCTTGAGCGTCGACGGTACCTGGAAAGATCTGACCGATAATGTCAATCAAATGGCTGCCAATCTCACATCGCAGGTGCGTTCCATTGCGGAAGTCACCAAGGCCGTCGCCCACGGTGACCTCTCGAAAAAGATCACAGTCGAGTCAGGAGGCGAAATCTTGGAACTCAAAAATACCGTCAATGACATGGTGGACCAGCTGAACGTCTTTGCCTCCGAAGTCTCCCGTGTCGCGAGAGAAGTAGGTACCGAAGGCAAGCTCGGTGGCCAGGCTGTCGTCCCTAACGTCGACGGGACCTGGATGGACTTGACAGACAACGTCAATCAAATGGCCGCCAATCTGACCATTCAAGTGCGTTCCATCGCTGAAGTCACCAAAGCGGTCGCCCAGGGTGATCTCTCCAAGAAGATCGCTGTGGAATCCGGCGGCGAGATTTCAGAATTGAAAAACACAGTCAATGACATGGTGGATCGCTTACGTGTCTTTGCTTCGGAAGTGACGCGTGTCTCCAAGGAAGTAGGTACCGAAGGGAAACTCGGTGGCCAAGCCGTCGTCAAGGACGTCGCCGGCACCTGGATGGATCTGACGGACAATGTCAATATGATGGCCGCGAATCTTACCAATCAAGTACGCTCCATTGCTGAAGTCACCAAAGCGGTCGCCCTGGGTGATTTATCCAAAAAAATTGAAGTAGAGTCGGGCGGTGAGATTCTTGAAGTCAAGAACATCGTCAACGACATGGTCGACCAGCTGAACGTCTTTGCCTCCGAAGTGTCCCGTGTCGCCAAAGAGGTCGGTACCGATGGTAAGTTAGGCGGTCAAGCCATTGTCCCCAACGTAGGAGGCACCTGGAAAGATTTGACCGACAATGTGAATCATATGGCCGCGAACCTGACCTCCCAAGTGCGTTCGATCGCTGAAGTCACCAAAGCCGTAGCCATGGGCGACATGAGCAAGAAAATTGAAGTAGAGTCCGGCGGCGAAATCCTCGAGCTCAAGAACACGGTCAATGACATGGTGGATCAACTCAGAGTTTTCGCTTCCGAGGTGACGCGTGTCGCGAAAGAAGTGGGTACGGAGGGTAAATTAGGTGGACAGGCCGTCGTGCAAGGCGTAGCTGGCACGTGGAAGGACCTGACGGATAATGTCAACATGATGGCCGCCAATCTAACGACCCAAGTACGATCCATTGCTGAAGTGACAGAAGCCGTGGCTCTCGGAGACCTGTCAAAAAAGATTGATATCGAGACGCGAGGTGAGATTCTGGATCTCAAAAACATTGTCAATGACATGGTGGATCAGCTGCGTATCTTTGCTTCCGAGGTGACCCGTGTCTCTTTGGAAGTTGGCACCGAGGGTAAACTGGGGGGCCAAGCGGTGGTACAAGACGTGGCTGGTACTTGGTTTGAACTCACGCGAAGCGTCAATATCATGGCAGCCAATTTGACAAATCAAGTGAGGTCCATTGCAGAGGTCACGAAAGCGGTGGCTCTGGGTGACCTGTCCAAGAAGATTGAAGTCGAATCCGGTGGTGAAATTCTTGAACTGAAAAATATTGTAAACAACATGGTCGATCAACTCCGTGTCTTTGCTTCTGAAGTCACCCGTGTAGCCAAAGAAGTAGGTACCGAAGGCAAATTGGGCGGTCAAGCTGTTGTGCCCAACGTCGATGGCACTTGGAAAGACCTCACCGATAATGTCAACCAAATGGCTGCCAATCTCACGTCGCAAGTACGTTCCATTGCAGAAGTCACCAAAGCGGTGGCCCACGGTGACCTGTCCAAAAAGATTACAGTCGAGTCTGGCGGTGAAATTTTAGAATTAAAGAATACAGTGAATGATATGGTGGATCAGTTGAACGTTTTTGCGTCCGAAGTGTCTCGTGTCGCCAGAGAAGTCGGTACAGAAGGCAAATTAGGCGGTCAAGCCGTCGTGCCCAATGTGGGTGGTACTTGGATGGACCTGACAGATAACGTGAACCAAATGGCTGCTAATTTGACCAACCAAGTCAGGTCCATTGCTGAGGTCACAAAGGCAGTTGCCAATGGCGATTTATCCAAGACCATCAATGTCGAATCAGGAGGCGAAATAGCCGAATTGAAGAATACCGTCAATGACATGGTGGGCCAACTCAAAGTGTTTGCCTCAGAAGTTTCTCGGGTGGCCAAGGAAGTTGGTACGGATGGCAAACTAGGCGGTCAAGCGGTGGTACCGAATGTCGGCGGTACGTGGATGGATTTGACGGATAATGTGAACCAAATGGCGGCTAATTTGACGTCGCAGGTACGTTCCATTGCAGAAGTCACCAAAGCGGTGGCCAACGGTGATTTATCAAAAACCATCAACGTCGAGTCTGGCGGCGAGATTGCAGAACTGAAGAATACCGTCAATGACATGGTGGGCCAACTCAAAGTGTTTGCTTCTGAAGTGTCACGTGTAGCCAGAGAAGTAGGCACGGAAGGTAAATTGGGCGGACAGGCCGTTGTCCCCAATGTCGGAGGAACCTGGATGGATCTTACCAATAACGTCAATCAAATGGCTGCTAATTTGACAAGTCAAGTACGTTCTATTGCTGAGGTAACAAAAGCAGTAGCCCTGGGTGATCTGTCAAAGAAGATCATTGTTGAATCCGGTGGCGAAATACTAGAGTTGAAGAATATCGTGAATAGTATGGTCGACCAGCTGAATGTTTTTGCATCGGAGGTATCAAGAGTGGCCCGCGAGGTAGGTACAGATGGTAAACTAGGCGGTCAAGCTGTTGTGCCAAATGTAGATGGTACCTGGAAAGACCTGACAGATAATGTCAACCAAATGGCTGCCAATCTAACGTCGCAGGTGAGATCGATTGCTGAGGTGACAAAAGCGGTTGCTCATGGTGACTTGTCAAAGAAGATTGAAGTTGAATCAGGAGGAGAAATTCTCGAGTTGAAAAACACGGTAAACGATATGGTGGATCAGCTTAACGTTTTTGCATCAGAGGTTTCGCGTGTTGCAAGGGAAGTGGGTACAGAAGGCAAACTAGGTGGTCAAGCTGTAGTACCCAACGTGGATGGAACATGGATGGATCTGACGGATAACGTGAATCAAATGGCTGCTAATCTAACCAACCAAGTCCGTTCGATTGCTGAAGTGACAAAAGCTGTTGCGTTGGGTGACCTTTCCAAGAAAATTGAGGTAGAGTCTGGTGGTGAAATTTCAGAACTCAAGAATACCGTGAATGACATGGTGGATCAACTCCGTGTATTTGCCTCCGAAGTAACTCGTGTCGCTAAGGAAGTAGGTACTGAAGGAAAGCTAGGTGGTCAAGCTGTTGTAAAAGACGTAGCAGGCACATGGAATGAATTAACAGAAAATGTGAATATCATGGCTGCTAACTTGACAACGCAAGTTCGCTCGATTGCTGAAGTGACAAAGGCCGTCGCGAGTGGTGACATGAGCAAGAAGATTCATGTCGAGACTCGTGGTGAAATTCTAGAGCTCAAGATCACAGTGAATAGTATGGTGGATCAGCTAAGAGTTTTCGCTTCCGAAGTGACTCGAGTGGCTCGTGAAGTGGGTACCGAAGGTAAATTGGGAGGTCAAGCTACAATCATCGGTGTTGATGGTACTTGGAAGGATTTAACTGACAATGTCAACTTGATGGCCAGCAATTTAACGGATCAATTGCGATCCATTGCTGCTGTATGTAAAGCAGTTGCTCAAGGCGATCTCTCAAAAAAGATTGAGGTCGAAGTGCACGGTGAAATCGCTGAACTGAAGAACACTATCAATACTATGGTTGATCAATTAAGCTCATTTGCTGCTGAAGTTACGCGTGTTGCTAAAGAAGTTGGTACAGAGGGTAAATTGGGCGTACAAGCTCAAGTTGAAGATATCCAAGGATTGTGGCGTGATATTACTAGCAATGTGAACACCATGGCCTCTAACTTGACTACTCAAGTGCGTGCTTTTGCTCAAATCTCAGCTGCTGCCACAGAAAATGATTTCTCTCGTTTGATCACTGTAGAAGCATCGGGTGAAATGGACTCTTTGAAAACCAAGATCAATCAAATGGTGAACTCTTTACGTGATGCGATCCAAAAGAACCGTCAAGCTAGAGAAGCAGCTGAATTGGCCAATCGGTCAAAGAGTGAATTCCTTGCTAATATGAGTCATGAAATCAGGACGCCTATGAACGGTATCATTGGTATGACGTCGCTAACGCTAGAAACCGAATTGACACGGCAACAGCGCGAAAATTTGATGATAGTGTCCAGTTTGGCCAACAGTTTGCTGAGCATCATTGATGATATACTGGATATTTCCAAGATCGAAGCGGGACGCATGACAATTGAATCTATACCCTTCTCTCTTCGTTCGGCTATTTTCAGTGTGCTCAAGACACTGGCGGTAAAGGCAAACCAAAAGAAACTTGATTTGATTTACAATGTAGACAGTGCTATTCCTGATCAGCTGATCGGTGATCCACTTCGGTTGCGTCAAGTTATTACAAACTTGATAGGTAATGCTGTGAAATTTACTACACAAGGTGAAGTGTCGCTTGAAACTCGGATCGTCAGTATGCAAGGCGATAATGTTATTGTAGAACTGTGTGTTCGTGATACAGGTATTGGTATACAAGAAGATAAGCTCAATGTTATTTTTGATACTTTCTGTCAAGCCGATGGCTCTACTACGTAAGTATTCCTTAGGAGAAATGGTCATTTTATTCCTCTTTATTGGCACTAATGAGTTTTGTTTCTCACATAGACGTGAGTATGGTGGTACTGGTCTAGGTTTATCCATTTCGAAACAATTAGTACAATTGATGGGCGGCGATTTATGGGTCACTTCTATGTATGGGCGAGGATCGCAATTCTTTTTCACACTTACTTTCAAACGGTATCCTAGAGAATTACACGATGCTCTGGAAAAGATGAAGCGATTTAGAAGACGCAATGTCCTCTTCTTGGACAGTTCCGATGACCAAATGGCTATCGAATCCAAACTGAAAGAACTCGGCTTAACTCCTTTCCGCGTCACTGATATGTCAGAGGCAGTGAATATCACTGATATACCATCCTCGAAGTCTGGCAGTACTAGTAGCAGCCAACAAGCACCCATATTTGATACCGTCATCGTTGATAACATAGCTCATGCAGAAAAGATCCGTGAGGCTGTTCATTTGCGTTATACACCTATTGTGCTTATCGCGCCTGAAATTCACCGTTTAAATATGAGATTATGTATTGATCTGGGTATTACCGGATATATCAATTCGCCTGTCAACTTATCCGATCTCGCTTATACACTCCTGCCTGCATTGGAAAGTAATTCATCCTTACCAAACGATTCGGCGATACCTGTTCCTCTCGAAATTTTACTAGCTGAAGACAACATAGTGAACCAGAAATTGGCTGTGCGAATATTAGAAAAGTTTGGACATAAAGTGGAAATTGTTTCCAATGGAAAACTAGCAGTGGATGCTTTCCGGGTGAACAAATATGATTTGATTCTGATGGATGTGCAGATGCCAATAATGGGTGGATTTGAAGCAACACAGAAGATCCGCGAAATAGAAAGCACATCAGGTACTAGATCTCATGTTCCTATTATCGCTCTAACAGCACATGCTATGATTGGTGATCGAGAAAAATGTCTTCAGTCAGGCATGGTAGGTTTTCGACCATTTTGGTGCTTCTATTATATGTGGTTCTTATGCTGTTTTTGTTTGTACTTTTAGGATGAATATGTGACAAAACCTTTAAGGTTCCCTGAACTTATAGCCGCTATAAAAAAGTTTGCGCCTCACTCTGCCCATCCGATCATGACTCAACTGACCAAAAAACGCTAAGCATAACAGTATAGCACGCTTTGACAATTCAATAACCATCTACACTTGTATAGCGTCGCTCTCAGCTCTCTTTTTTACTAGTTTATGGTATCAAACATTATCGCGAACATTTTACCTCTCTTGTATGATAGTGAAGAAAATGAAACACCCTTAATTTTTGTTGTAAATAGTTTGGAACGGTGTAAAATCTCTAGTGTAAAATTAAAAGGAATAACGCATTGTGCATGCCGTAGTAAAAAGCCTCTATGATCATTGAACATTAACTTCAGCATTAATAATACAAATTTCCTGCCAGAATTTGATTGCTACGAAGAAGTTTGGTTGCTTCATTTTCTATACGTTTGGATACCCGAGTACTGTACATTAAAAATGAGGGCTTCTACTATCTAATTTTCCTGAAAGATTGCGCCTTAGTTTACAGTCAGTGCAAAGCACCTGAGGTGCAGTTATTTAATGTTGTGAAATATGACTATATGAGCAACAAAGCTTAATGCGGCAAAAGCAGTTCCAATTTATTTGCTAACAAATAAATTTAATTGTAAATAACTTACTGAAAGTAATGTAATAGTACTGGTTTTTGCTTTGAAGATTGTATGTACGTCGATCTATAATATGTGATGCTTCTAGGCAACGCAGTTCGTTACAATTGAGCTTGTTTAACATCCAAAGGTTGAACTATAATTATGTTAAACACAGCAGTAGATTATGATGTAAAGTGCATTAGTGGCGTCTGAGAGTGAAAGCTTATTTGATGAAGCGGTTAATTCGTAAGTCTTATTGTTTTACCTTCTTAAGCACTGTTTCAGCACTTTATAAAAAGCAATGGCGTCTTTCCCATCAGGTTGGTTTTACATTCAATCGAAATGCTCGCATAAAATGGTGCTTGACGTCAGTTACGATTCTCTAAAGGTAAAATTGAGTCGTTATCAGGTAAATATTTTTTCTATCGTTTAGCCTAAATGTAGAATAATCATATAGGCGGCAGCAAGAGTAGTTGTATGGCCTAGAAAGCCAAAGGATTGCGATAATCAATTATGGATGTATGATAATGGGTACCTCATCAATAAAAACTCAGGAATGGGTAATATATTGACGGAAAGATGAAACTAGCAACGACCAACATACTGAATGCTTCTTCCGTCCATTATCATAGTTTTAGACGTACAAGGAGGTAGGCAAATATGACTTAAGCAATAAGCGAAGTAGCCGAAGACTGAATGTAATTGTTAAAAGGCATATTGGAGAACGATAAACAGATCATACAATATAAAAGGAAAATGATTGAAGATGCACATAATCAGAGATGGTTCTACCGAGAAGATGGATTTATATACCCTCAAACTACACCAAACCTCGTCCTGGATATCCGAGTAGGTACAATTTCTTTTATGCTTGAAAAAAATGTTATTAAATGAATGTGTATGCTGCCTGTAGGGAAATTGGACGAAACCAGGAACTGTCGTATTACTTTACAATAGGAAATATGAAGACAATTTTAATCAGTTGTGGGATCTCATACCCTATGAAACAGTAGATCCCCTTTCTTCACCTTCAGCACATGGTTCAATACATTTAAAAAGTAATGATAGTGACGGCAATGAAGAGGAAGAATATGCGTTTAGTTCAGCAAGCTATGCTTTATAGACACTTAGATATACACTTCTCTGTAAGATATACAGAAATGTACAGAATCCAAGTGTTTCCTCTTATGTCTCAAATATTTACTTGAAGTGTAGCCCTTCTTTTTAGCATAAATATTGTTAACATCGAAGGATCAGTGTTGAAATTGTATATTGCATATACATGAATATAATAATGTTCTTAACAATCAGGCATTCCAACTACCATGTCGAGCTAAATGGTTTAAATTCAGTTGAACAAGCGCAAAAGAGCATTTAAATAAACTATGAATAGCTATATATTTGTTTGTGAAACCAACCGCCTATGACAATACTGCTGCTGCATTAGACTTTTCGTTGCCCGACATTTGTCACTTCGGACGCGGTTAAGCTGAATTGTGGAGTCGCGCGTAAATTTACATTTTCAACTTTTAAACTTTTCCTTGTCTGTTCACATTTTTTTTACAAGATCATAAAGCTGTATCTCAACGATGGGCATTGAAAAGTTTTTTAAACCAATTGAGAAGAAAAGCAAGGTACATCATCAGCACATATATGGGTATTAATGATACAAAAAGTTATTTATCACAGAAAATTCTACAATTGTACAACAGAGCGAAGCGGTGAAGAAAACTGCAGCGAACAGAAGCCAAGCAAAGAGTAATTGACATTAACCATGGCAACCGTTAAATAAAGCTAAAGATACTAAATTTTTTTATCTATATTATTATGCAGACGAGGAAGACGAAGATTTGTACATATCAGTTTTTTGATAATAAGAGTATAACGATATTATTCGAAAGCTAAATTGTCTTTATTCTATCCTTTTACAATATGCATAGCCAAGCAGAGCAGCCTGTACAAAAATCGAGACATTTTTCGTCCACTGATAAACAGAATGGTGATAAAACGTATGGTTACAAAATTCAATGAAAACAGCTTGTTAGCAGCAATTAATACATGCATGTTTAATAGCTCTATAGACCCGAAAGACTTTTTTGAATCCAAACCTTCTTTAACCTCTACAGCAGAGCAAAGGAATGCTTTAAAGCGTACCACAGTAACAAACCCTAACACAAATACGGCCAGCAAACCAAGCTCTTCGAAAGCCAAAGCTTCGTCTACTGGTACTGCATCCCTTAAACGTAAAAAGAGGTCTTCTACCATAGTTAGTGACGACAATAATGACGACGATGACGACTATAAAAATGATAATGCTGAGAGCGACGACGAAGATGAATTTGACGAGGGAATCACTGAGGATGACGACGAAAAAACATCGGTTCAAAAGAAAGCCAAAAAGGCATTGTCGCCCCAACCTGCAGTACATCCACAAAAGAAGACTAAGCGAATCCTTCCTCCTGCTAAGGCTAATACCGCAACAAAAAACTCAACTGCTGAAGTTGAGACAGAAGAAAAAGAAAAAAAGCCGAAATCAGCAAAAAGTAACTATTTTAAAATGATGAATATTGAGCCGCCCAAAGCACTAGGTACTCGTCCTGAACCTGTTGGTGCTCCTGGTTGCCTTACTGGAATGACATTTGTGATAAGTGGACAGTACGAGACTCTCACTAAGGACCAGACGAAAGATATTGTTTTGCGTTATGGTGGACGTGTCACCGGGTCTGTTAGCGGCAAAACAACATATTTACTGAAAGGTCGAGATGCTGGTCTTTCAAAGACATCGAAGGCCGAACAATGTGGAACAAAAATTCTCAATGAAGATGAATTTTATGACCTGATCAATAGTTTCAAAGAAAAACCAGGTGTAAAAGGCGAAAAGAAAAATACTGATGATGTGAAAAAGTCTCCTAATCGTACATCGACTGAGTCGAATCCTTCAGGTGCCTTGAGTGATCGTAAAAGTAAAGGAAAGGCCAGTACAATACCAACATCTGCTATACATGACAGCACTGTTACTGCTGGTGTTAAATCTACAGATACAGCCTCTGCTGCTTTGTGGACAGATAAATACAAACCTAAAAACCTCAATGAATTCATTGGTAACAAGGAAATGGTACGTCGTATTTCTGCATGGTTAGCTAGTTATGAGCAAAACCGTAAGAACGATTTCAAGGCTCGTGGTGATGAAATCAATGGATTCCATGCTATTTTAATCAGTGGTCCGCCTGGTATCGGTAAAACTACTGCGGCTCATTTAATTGCGAAACTTAACGGATACGAAGCTCTAGAATACAATGCAAGTGATGCTCGTAGTAAGTCAATATTGTCTGAGGGTATCACTGAAATGATGGACAATAGATCGATTACGGAATTCTTTCGTGCTCCTTCCTCGTCATCTCTCGCTTCTAAAGAGGTAAAAATGGTATATTGAAGAATTAGGCACTTCATTTTCGAGTTTATTGACAAGCTTTTTCTATAATTTTTTTACAGACAAATCATCGAGATGGTAAAATCGTCCTAATTATGGATGAGGTTGATGGTATGACGGCAGGTGATCGTGGAGGCTCTGCTGAATTAGCCCGCCTCATCAAAATCAGTAAAATTCCTGTAATATGTATTTGCAACGATGTCAGATCACCAAAAGTAGCACCTTTATTGAGAGTATGTTTTGATGCGAGATTCAAAAGGACACCTGCCTCTCAAATTCGATCGCGCATGATGACTATTGCTCACCATGAAAATATGAGATTAGAACCCAACGCCATTGATCAGTTAGTTGAATTAACACATAACGACATACGCCAACTTATCAATATTCTATCTATGTATCGCATTAAGGGATCGAGTATGAGTTATGATCAAGCTAAGAAAGTGTAAGTATAGACAGTAACATAATTGAGTAAAACTCTCACGATCAGCTCTTGATAAAATTTCTTTATCGTACAGTGGAAGCAGTAATCAGAAGAATAGCACCATGAACACATTTCAAATACCTACTGCTCTGTTGCCAAGCAGCGCTTGGAATAGCACATCTTTGAACGAAAAGTACGATGTATACTTCCATGATTACGCTCTCGCAAGCCTGATGATACAAGTATGAATTGTAGTATTATTTTTAAGGAGCGGCATGAATTCAAGTAAAACAACTGTGGTAATATACTCACATTCTGTGGTTGTATAGGAAAACTATCTTAAATCGAAGCCGGGAAAAGCCAAAAATGATTGTCATGCGATGGAATTGATAGCTAAAGCAGCCACCGCTGTTGCCGACGGAGATCTTGTTGATGCAATGATTCACGGGTAAGGACTAAGGTATTAAAAAGTAAATATGCCAGCTGAATGGCATCTAATTATCTTCAATAGTACTGTCCAACATTGGTCCCTTATGCCAGTCCATTCTATTTTCTCTTGTGTACGTCCTGCTGCGTATGTAAACGGTCATTTCTCCGAGAGAATAAACTTCCCCGCGTAAGGATTCTTTTGTTTTTATTTGTTCCTGTAGAAGACAAGATGCCATTACTCACTGCAACCTTCTATATATTGTTAAGTTGGCTTGGTCAGAATTCAAAAGCAATGAAATATCAACGGGCCCTCAGCGATATTCAAACTCGTATGCGTGTGGTATCCTCTGGTGACAAGTATGAAATTCGACAAAATTACGTGCCACTGTTGACCGATAAAATTGTTCATAGTATGGAAGAAAAGAAGTTTGACGAAACCATCGAAATAATGGACACTTATTACTTGGATCGTGACAGTTTGGATACATTAAATGATATAGCCTTTCAAAGAAAGAAGACAGATAAACAACCTTTTGCGGGAATTCCGACTGCGAATAAGACAGCGTTTACAAGAATGTAAGTTGAATACTTCTTAATAACTAAACTGATAATAATATATGAAGAAATTGTAACTTTAATACTTCAATGGTACGGCACATAGGTATAATAGCATGAGTCACCCTGTATTGTTCCAAGCTGCCGGTATTGCTGTTCAAAAATCTGTTTCAGCACCAAAGGAGGATGCTGTTGGTACGCTTGTCGCTGAAGATGAACCTCTTGGAGAAGAGGCACCTCTTGATGAAGAGAGTGATGCTGAAGAGGATCCTGAGGCCGAGATTGAAAAAGATAAATTTATTAAAGGAAAATCAAAAGCTGCTGCAGCAGCTAAAGGAAAGAAGCGAAAAGCAACTACTAGTTCGTCCCAATCAAAGTCAAGGAAACAAGCCAAGACTAAAAAATAAACACGGTCAATACCGAAAGGTTGTAACTAAATTACCATTTTATAATGCTCCCCAACTATACCATGGCTTCATTAATATTAACGTGCCAGATAAATTGGTTCTTCGATTTGAGACGCGGTATTACTATCTTACAGGCGTTACTCTATAAAAGTGGAGGTTGAATAAAGAGTTATCCGTGATTACATTGTAACCTTAGTTTTCATTTCTGAGAAAACTTTAATCTGTCCATTCATGTTCAGTCTCTTTCCTTTAATAACCTTTGGCGGTAAAAGGAAATTGATTCTTTCTTTTGTTACCTCCTGGTAGGCGTAAAAAAAGTTCCATAAAAAGATAATAATATAATAAATACGTGCTCAACAGAATTATATCTGCAGATGTTTTATAGCGTATCTTGTAGAAGTACAAAAGGAACGTCTTTACAATTTGACGGGGCCTGTCACCATTGGAAAAGATTGAAGCGAGACAGTAAGAAGCCATATGAGTAAACTTGTTAAAGAACGAACACTGTTGGATACTGTAGAGCTAGGGAAATTTTGAAGCACACGCATTACCTTCTTCTGGTCTGTAAAATACTATCTTAAGTAATGGGTGAACCACGTGATTGTAATCTTGGCTGACCATTACAAACAATGTTAGGACAGCGGCATGGTATGTCTTCCTTGTTGATGAATTTATACTTCCGTCTTTCCATACACTCATTCCGGATAGAGCACAATGATCCTTGAGCATAAAGTGGTTTATGCTTGGAAAGTTTAATTGTACCTCCTTGATCTTTCTCAAAGTGGACATATCCACACATATACCCGTTCCGTTGTTGAGATTTTCCCTAAAGTTAGATATTATCAAGTTTGGACAAGCTGCAATATGAGCCTAATATATAGTTGATCGTTTCAGATGCGTTATAAAATAAGATGAAGCTGATAGCCACGTACAAATCTCTTATAAGAGACTGTGGTTCTGCTTTTACAAACTTTTCTATGGTCATTCCTTTCTTCGGGGAGAATTTTTTTAGTTTGAACGTCTTTAATCTTAGAGAAGGTTTTTGTAGCACTCAACAAAAATATCGCACTTTACAGTACTGGCTATTGATTCCAAAGTCAAAATTGTTAAACCTACGTTCAGGGTATATTAAATGAAAAATCGTTTTTCATTGTTGTTGATAAAGGGAAATTCGGCAAAAAAGATTAGCTTTTCGATGGTTGTAGATTGTTTGATTGTAATAGAGAGAGTTTTACATGATTCAATAAACCATCGACATCTTTATTTTGTAGGGCCAGTCTGCGTAATTTACATCTGTTGCTGTTTGTTATGCTCAACAAAGACGCTGGTAGAGGAACAGGGTCTATGTCGCGGTCCACAAGCTTAGGCATTGTTGATGAAGCTATTACTGCTGGCTGGCTTAATTCTGATGGTACGCTATATATTGTCATAAAGTGAGGTATAGAAAGATTCTCATATTTTTACGAAACATAGATAAACCACTTGCACATTACATCAATTGTATCGTTTCCTGTATATCTTTTTAACATTACGAGATGTTCAAAGTTTGATTTGCTTTCCGCTAGATAAGCTTACTATCATTTTATCTGACTATGTCTCCTTTTATCGTCAGATAATTCAAATGTTGAGCGATCAGTCTCTGTATCTAATACAAAACTATCAAATACCACTTATTCTAGTAACGGCACACTATCATGCAGCTGTTCTATATGCTTTAAAGATATGGTTGGTGCAACTAGCCTGAGCAATTTTAACAGAGAAATCTTCTTTTGTTGTAGGTGGCTGAAAAAACCGTTCCCAACGTTATGAAAATTCAGCTTAAGTTGCTTGAGATTTTTAGAGCTATGCCACGTTTTGAAAGTAAAGAATAGCATTTTCCGATCAATTATATGTATTTTTTCAAGCTTTATCCATCTGAGCTGTTGTTCATAATTGATACTTATTTTAAAAGGATTTGATCTTCATCCATGTTAGTTAATATAGTAATTTTTTAAACATTTGGAAAGAGCAAAGGTGACGAGATCCAATGAAATAGATCTAATCTGAAAAATTGGCCCAGTAATAAGCTTGTCATATCTTTTCCTAGTTCTTCATTATTTCCAAATAAGCAGAAGGCTTTGTCATAAATAGTCGACGTTGCTGAAGTTATGCTCCAGCTAGTACGACAACCTAAGATCCTGATAGAATACTGTGTTGCTAATTAGTTTATGCATCTTTACAAAGAAGTGACGTCTCTAGTCTCACCTTGAATAATGAATATAATAAATAAGATATATTTGGATGAAAACCTCTCGCGGAATTCTGTTCGAGAAATATAACGCATTTGAAATATATTCCAGTTACAACAATGGGAGAAAAATAATAAAGAGTGCAACCAACACATGCATTGCGCAGTTGAATATTTTGATATAAAGCAAAGGTAATGCTTACATTTTCAGCTTTATTAGCTTCAAAGATGGTATCTATCAAAGGGAGTATGAATAAGGAATGGAAAATTAAAGAAAAGGAAAAATTGTAAAGCGTAAGATTACGTTAAGTATTTAGTTGCTAACTATTTTGTGAACCCGTTTGCTGTTAATTCAGCAGGTGTCGTTAATAGCGGTATAGCCTTCCTAAACCACCTTCTTCGCCGTGTCAGAGTTTTCGTTATATCGTTAACTGCTCGACCTGTGCTCAGATCAGGGCTGCCTCTAGGATTTGACCAATGGTGGTCTGTATATACCCATCCCTGTTCATCACACTCTATCAATTCCTGCCATATTTAACAAATGTTTCAGTACAGCTTATTTTTGACAGGCTACGCCAATATCTCACTTCTCCAGAAAAAAGTTTTCCAAAGATTAAAAAAAAAACTTACCACTTAAAGTGAAAATAGGGAACAGAAATAGCGAGAAGGAGAATTGTTCAATATATGACGTTAAAAAAAGAGACGAAAAGCCATTCAACAACCATGAAAACTTTAATGTACCTATTTCCAGTGCTTCATCTATCCAAGGCCCCGTTGTATCCAACTGCCATCCATTATCATTATGATCCCATTCGTAGTTAGTCGGCGGAGGCATGTCTTCTTTTGTAGGTAAGGGTTCTGTACCTGTAATGTTTGACCAAGCTGACCGTTCTAAACGCAATAGCTACATCACAGTTTTATGCAATTTATTATAGAAGATGTTAATAGTTTCTGTCAACAAATTTGTTTGCTTAAATATTTCCTTTTTACCTGCGATGTATAGCCTACACCTGCCCACCATCTTTGATTTTCGTAGAGCGATACTTCCATTGGTCTTCTCTGAATGCTATTGTTATTTGTTTCCGCTGTCTTTCTGTTTTTAATGTCAACTGTTACGGTTGCTCTAAGTAAGCGCTTTCGCTGAATTTTTTGCATTAAGCCGAATATAAACTGTAACAACCCCATCATTAAAAACTGTATAAAAACCAATTCGAACAGTCTGCCAATGCAAGTCTGATTCAGCATGATTACAAGCCCTATCGTCAGTATAAGCCATCGGCCTAGATAAGCAAATAAGCACGATATGAACAAACTGGATAAGAATAGAATCCTGTAGGTGGCTTTATTCAAGCTGACATGTTGCAAATGATAGGCTAAGTTATCATAGAGTCGAATGAGAAAGAGAAAGGCGTGCTGCATGTGTTCCATATTTCTGTAATACTCAGGTGTATTCTCATCAAATCGAGGTAGTAATACTTGGGCTATGTTTGTATTGCTGGGATTATTGCTGTTGATGCCGGTAAAGCTATGAATAGAATAAATGATCAAGAGTGGTATAATATACAATGTTCTAGTATCCAAGCCTTTACGAAGAGAGAGGATCAACGCTTAATTTGCATATCTTACATATTTAAAGTATAATCATTATTACACTTACAAAGACATATCCATATGATGCAAATAAAAGTTGACTTCTGCTTATTTTTCCACATGTAAATGTCACGTATTGAGTGCATCAGAAAGAAGAAGACCTTTGATCTTGCTACTAATCTTGTGAACAACTTTGCTGTTGCTCGAGGGCTTAAAATCTCTTCTTCTTTATTATTATTGTTATTAGACATAGTACTTCGTAATGCTGAAGATTTCTGCTGTTGCTTTTGTAGTTGCTGTTTCAGCGTTATTCGATATGCTTTATTGACTACTATAGTTGATGACGATGCTGAAGACGGCTTTTTGCCATTGACACTGCCGCTATCGTTTCTCCCTAAAAATGGTTGCTGCTGCTGCTGATTAACGTAATAATTATTGTTGCTGTTGCCTATCAAATTATAATATCCTGTGCTTGTCGTGCTTGAAATTGTAGGTGATTTGAGTGGTTCTTCACTTTTACAATTATTGGTATAAGAAGACGTTCTAGTATGTAGTGCAGGAGGAGGAGTTTCCGTTGAAAAGGTTCTATATTTGCGATTCACCACACCACTACCGCTAGTGGCACTGTGTAAACTGTTCGTTTCGTCAGCTGAATTATATCGGTCGAAAGAACTCCTGCCTCCATAATAATTGCTATACGAATGTTTCGAAACGGATTCAACTTCGGAATCCGTGAAAGAAAGTGAATCTGGACTATAACGCCTCAAAGGTCTACACTGGACTACCATATCACTACAAGTGCTATGGCAATTGTATCCGCATTCTGAGGAAGAGATTCATAATGCTTGAGTAATTCGTTGTTCTGTAAATGATCAAAAGGTAGCAATCGCGTAGTTTAAGAAGAGCCCTCTTTTACCTGTGCATTGAACAGTTTGTATTGCTGATCCCCACAATAGCTTTCCACAATAATCACAGTAGACTAGTCCTTGAAATTCTTTTTCTGTAAATGCATGATATTTTATGGAGGTAAACGTCATGTATAAAATTTCAAATATGTAAATGCCAAAGAAGGGAAAGAAACAACTTAAACCTTACTTTCATCAGGTACAAGAAAATAGTATAGCATAACCTACATCTTTCACGTGTGTTCAACCAACGAATCAAGTCTGGTTTGCGACCGCTTGTGTAATGAGAACGGATACAATCAATGTTCTTAAAGTAAACAGGTGAAATCGAATAGTAGCCTTGTAATCGTAGCAAACAGCTTGTATCTATGAGCATGAGCCGTAAATGCATCGATTTCATTTTTAACTTTGATATATTCGAAGTAACAAAAATTTTGTAGAAGTTTGCGTCTTGAACATAACAAAAATCAGAAGAAAAAACGGAGACTGTGTATATTAAATGTTTATTAAATGGTATGCTCCGAAAGGTAAACCTATTTCGTACAATTAATGGGAAATATTGGGCTAAGGGTATAGTATATGAAATTAGCTAACTAAGTCAAAAAGAAGATACAAAGGAGTATGCATGGCGGATGACAGAGGTGTATAGATAAGAGCCGTAATGAATTGACACGGTGATGCCAAAAGCTGAATTAGGATAATATCAATGGAAGGTATATAATGTAAATCTAAATGACGAAAGCACTGATAGCTGTATAAGTCATGATTAAGAAGCCAAAGATGACCAATACAATGGCAGCTATGTCTAGCCACCATGTTGGGTTTACTGGCACCTTGACCAAATTGACTTCTGTTCCTGAACCCATAATAGAGGAGGATTCATCATTGTTTGGAGGAGCAGCGCCATGGTAATAATTTTTGAAGAGGAAAAACCATTGTGGATGAAATACTGCAATATAGGCCGAGCCTGGAATAATATAGGCCAGGAAAGAAGAAGCAATACCACCAACAACAGAGTACACCTTTCCTAATGAATGGATTTGTACACCCAAAACCAAGAAAATCAAAAAAAGAATGGCAGTAACACCATAATGTTGTAAGGCATTTGGCTGACAATCTTTAGTTTCAAACCCAATAGTCTTTTGAACCGCATCTCTGGCAGGATAGAATGCCATACTATAAGAATGTACAAAAATTACAGGGTTAGTTTAAAGAGTGCAAAAAAAAGAAAGCTTTCAAAAGAGGGAGTTTGATTGCATAATATACATACGGAACAGTCAAAACCATGGAAAGACCAAGAGCCAACCTTCCAATGTTGATGATATGATCATCTTCAGGAAAATTACTAAAGACGTTGGAGTTAACATCTTGACCAAAACTAAGGTAGCCTATAGCAGCAAATGACATGGAGATAGTCCAGCTCATACAAGTGGAAAGAACAGAGGAGATTTTCCAAGACGAGGTTGTTTGATTCTTTTGTGACAAATAGTTTTGGAAGGCAACTTGTGAGCAGACAAATGCAAAAGACATGATACCCATAGCTGCGAATGGATCTTTACCAACCGTCATCAATGGCGCTGTGTGATCTTTGGAATAAACTGGCGCACGAAATAAGACAGAAAAAATCATAATTGGTAGCAATAACACTGAGAAGGCGGACCATTTGGCAAGAGCTCCAATAGATCTGAATAGATTTAAAGGGAAGATCTAAAATCGCATAATATATTTAGCGGATGAGCAAACAAATTGATCTGATTACTAAATGTAAACAACGAACAAAGAACTTACAATAAAGAGAGAGATCAGAATTGTAACGAGTTGTCTATCTGCCAATATTGGGAATTGTGGAATATAGAAGCCTAAAAGTACAGGAATAGTATCACCCACCACTACAAAATACTGTTAGCAATCATATTAACTACATTATTTGTTATGATTGCTATTGTATCTGTGTACTTACAAATAAAGTAACTAATCACGCTTCCGGCACTTTGTACGAATAACATGAAATTCAGCATATGATAACCGAAACGTCCCATGGCTACCTGCGCCAACGATGCAAAATTGAATATCTGACTTCTTTGGCCAGTAACAATCAAAGAATAGATAGCAAAAAAAGTTAAAAAGCTCACAAAGACAGAAATAGCAATGCCCATTGTGAAACCTGATAAATAGAGAGCGAAAGGCAGCCCGATTACACCAGATCCTACGGTAGCATTGACAATATTCAGAGAAACTTCCAATGGAGATCTTGTACCATAACCGGGTTGGCTTGATTGGAGGAGATCAAAGTCGTCAACTGTGATAGTAGCAGTCGCTGGATAAAAAGCTGGTTGTTGTTGTTGTTGTTGTTGTTGGGCCTCAATTGCACCGTATATAAAACGTTGAGAACCCTGTTTATGTGTCATGAATTTATATATTGTTTGAAATATTATCTTTTACTGAGAAAACAAAGATAAAATCAGTAGAAGAAGAAAGGAAAAAGACCACGCCAATATGACTATTTTATACATAAAGTGATTGACACATTTTGAATCCATTTTTTCGGAGAAGGCGATTGGATTGCGTGATCAACGGTTGAATTGGGTTCTTTTCTTTACGTTGTTATGCTGGGTTTCAATCACCTTTTGCACACTGATGGTTTTGTTGTGAGCGACACGGGCACTTATTGTCGAAAAATCTCCAGAACGGGAAAGAGGTTCAATTTTATTAAACTATGATTACCAATAAGATACATGATATTTGAGGGGGTTAATGCATATATACTTTTCATAAGGGGACTCAGTCATTACCTGTTTACATTGGTCATACTTGAATGGCTAAAACTCCTATTACTCCGAGATCACTCACTTTTAACTCAGGTAGACTGAGTATCCCTTCACACTACATCCTTCTTTTTCTGTTGTAGCCTCCTGCTTGATATGAAAAGATAAAATTAGAGGAAAGCCCAGGTCTTGAACGATTCACCTTCACTGACGAACGTGGTAAACTTGTGTTAATACCGACGCACCATCAGTAATCTTGTACTTGTGCGTTGGAAGAATTTCGTGGATTTATATAACCCTACCAATCAAGCAGAACTTTTTATTGTCACCAAAAAGATTCAAATTTTGGACCATCGCCAAATCACTAACACAAAAAAACTGCTTTCTCTTTATACGTTCGTTATGTATCATAAATATAATCTGTTCTTAGTATCGTGCACTATTTAAATGGTCTTCTGCAACTTTATTCAACTCCCTAAGTTCGCCTATACTTGCCACTAGAAAACTCAACATGTCTTCTACTTTCGCTTCCATTAGAGGTACTTTTTCGTATCTTGTCTATGCATGAGAGGACGATTGGAAACGGAAAGGATGGATTATTCTCATGGTCTCTTCTAAGTGAGGTTTTCAAGAACATATAAGACAGCCGACTTCTAAACATTCAAACTTTCAACTAAACTCTTAACTAACTATATGCGGCCTTAACATTTGGTTAGTGATTTGTTTCGCTTAAACTCCCATTCAACCTCCAGATTAGCGCGTCTATCTTTTCCAATCAACCTCATTAAGCGTTTATCTTTCTATCATTGTGCTCTCTGGATTTTAAATAGCATTGTATTATTAGTAAACAAAGTACTGAGGAGAATTCAGAGTAATCTAACTGTTTTTTAATTGGAAACAGCACAAGAATCGTGTCAAAATGCAAGTTTATGGGAAGTAAATAACAAATAACTTATAGTATCAAGATAGGGTATTGTTGGAAAAAACGACTGCAAAGCTTTTAGCATAATCTTTGTCTTAGATGAACGTCCAATGCCTTCCTTTGTCTTCCCAACCAAGACGAAGGTGCGGAACGGAAAATAAGACTGGAAGCATCTCTATCAGCGCGCTTTACCAGATCATACCATGCAGAGACAATAAGCTGCTGTTCAATCTTTGACTGCTGGCGAACATCGTGAATTTGTTTCTAGGATCACACATTATCAATAGACAAAGGTATTGGTGTTAGGCCACTCTTTGTTACTATTGGCATTTCAATTTCATATAAAAATGCTTTACCTTCAGTAGTTCAAACTCTTCTTCTTTGGTACGTGGAATTCTACCAGATAATCCATTGGGTTCGTCTGAACTGCGCAGATTCGAGAATCTAGCTGCCATTTCTTGCAGTAATTGGCCGTAAAGTTTTACCATCTACCATTAAACAAACATATGATAAGCTTTTGAAAAGAACTGATAGAACGTATTTCTTGACTTACGTCTCGCACTTTTTTGCTGGTGCCTTGTGTTTCGTTGATTTCTTCTTGTAAATTAAGCACATGTATTTGCAAGCTTGCATTTTGCTCTTTGATTATCTCCAAATCCTTACTTTGTGTCCCACGAGATTAAAAGATATTTAGAGATAAGTTATTAAGAACTGTCGATAGTTTGCTACTACTTGAGAATACGTACTTGCTTAATCCTGGTCTATCTTCGAATGATTCATTATGGCTTCTGTTATCGTTAATACCATTCAGGTAATTGGCCTCTACAAGCATTCTGTTGATATCGTGTAATTGCATTTTTACCATATCCTCCAACCTGTTTGTCTTATCTTGCAGCTTAGCATGCTCTTTTTCGAACCTGTCTAATGTTGCTTTATCTTTGGCAACATTTCGAGTGCCTTCTGAGACGCTCGTTTCCAAAGTGAACATATTTTGTTTGAGGAGGCTTGACTCCTTTTCAAGGTCAAGGATACGTGCACGGAAGGACATGATGGTTTGCGTTTGGTTCAGAAGTGAGTCAGGAATACCGTTTCTAATGTGCGATAAATCTTCTCGTAGTGCATTTCTCTCTCGAACAACTGCTTCATAATCCTAAATGGGTACGATAGAGTTTATATAAGAGAAAGAAGAGTGTACAACTTGTTTAAAAAACAGTCATTACCTTTTGAAGTTGCTCCTTATATGCTCTTAGGGTTTCCATTTCTTCATTAAGTTGAGTTCCAGTATTATCGGGGAGTTTTTTTTCCATTTCTTTTATCTGTCTCTGTAATCGTCCGATGGTGAGATGCCTACCATTATAAACGACATGAAAAACTGATTCAAACGACAATGGTAGAACTTTTGTCCTTTGCCAACTCATCTTACATTTCAGTTATATTAGTCTTTTTCATATTCTCCTCCATTGTATTTTCATTATCTCGTAATCCTTCATCTTCCTCGTCGCCAATCACAACACTTGGTCTATGGTCAGCAACAATCTTGTCCAATGTTTGCCCGTCGCCCAACTCCAATTCTTTGATATGCTCTTCTAGCAATTGGATCTGCTCCATATGTCTATCACGTTCATCTTGTAAATAATGACAGGTATCCGTCATATTGGCGAGCTCTTCTTCCAGCTTTGTTTTTTCCTTGATTATCTCACGGTTTCCTATTTCCAATTGCTGTACTTGTTCTTTATATGAGTCCATAAGGGTTTTAAAGGCAAGCACTTTCCGATATTCATCCTCTACTTGGTGGCTACGCTCTAATAAATGTGCATTTTGCTCTTCCAGAGCCTATGTAAATTATATAGAACAACAAATAGTGTGAATATCTTTTCGAACGTTGAGGATTCGTTTTCTCTCACCTTGATTTGTCGTTTCAAATCAGAAGATTCCTCCATCTTTCGTTTATACTTTTCGATGATGCTCTCCATTCTCTGCATCTTTTCTAGTGCATGCTTATTTTCTTCGAGTTGATCTTTCAATGTGGCTGCTTCCTCTGCTTGGATTGTCAGTTCCTCTATCTTTTTCTTCAAATCATTGATGGTAGTTAAATGGTTCTCCATCATTATTTCTGTTTCCTGTCGACGATCCTCACTCCTCTCCCTATGAATTAACAATTGATCAGTCAGACACATATGCTTATAGCTATACTATTACTATCATCATGCTATCAACATACAGATCTCGCTTAAGATGGTCTATTTCCGTTTTCATCAACGAATCCGTTTTCCCAGTACTATTTGATTGTGTAATGGCGTCTTCCATATCTTGCAAACGGGTTCGTAGATCCCTTTTTTCCTTCAACATATTTTCCTGCGCATAATATAAGCATGCAATTTGTCAGAAAGGTAATCGGTACCAGAAGACATTAGTTTCCTTCTTCTTCTTTTTTTACTTTACGAATCTTTCTCTTAGATCATCATATTCAGATAATAGTTGATTATGGGACTGTTCGAACTGTTTCCGTTCAAGCATGATTTTCTCAAACTCCAACTGATATCGATATGGCATATCTTCTAATTGTAAATTATTTCTTCCTGCTACCGCTGAAAGACTACCATTTGACGTGCTAGATAAATAAGAGAGTCGTTGCTGACTATGACTTTGACTTTGAGTTCGACTATGGTTCGATGATGATGTCGCTGCATAATCGTTTTCTGTGTTGAAATGATTCATGACTTCTTCGATAGACACCATCAAGGCGTGTTGACTTTTTTGCGATAGACTTTGAATCATTTCAATATAGAGTTTGTTATTATCGGACTGTACAGCAATAGCGATAACAAGCTGACACATAGTAAGCAGTTCGTGTAAATCAGCATCTTTTGCTATGGCGGTTAAGTTGACGGTTGGAAGAAGTTCTGAGTCCTGCCCAATGATGTCTTCAAAGTATCGAGTGATAGATTTATGAAGCTTTTTTTGGCTGTTGAACCGAACGACCCAGTTGGATGCGGTTTCTGTAGGTTTGATTTCTTTAAACCATTTTGGATCTCTAGATAATGTAAGAGTACAGTTGTTTTTAAGAAAAAAAAAAAAGGAAATATTCAATTATTAAATTTAGTTTTACATGTCAAAGAGGATTTGAGATAGTATAACACCGTCCGCCAACTCTATCACTGTATCTATCTCGTATGCTTTACACTCAAAAGTGTTAATCTAAGTTTAATCTTAGCAAAACTACATTCGAATAGAGAACTTCATGCACATCGCTCAGTGTATACTATATATTACCCATTCTACAAATGCATCTTCAATGACTGCTTCCATCCTGTAAAATGACATATGAGACTTGATTAGCAACCTTTCTCGCAGACAAAGCAAGTTATTGACAACACACAGAGATTAAAATGCTTACTCTTGTCTCTTTTTGAACAAGTTCTTTTTCGTTTGTTTAAGTGATGTGGGGGAGAGAGAAAAATATGGCACCCCTTTTTTTGCCGAAAATGGAAATTAGCAATCAAATGAGTTTCTCAAGATCTGCAGAAAATGTCTCAGACGAAATAAACTTAATTTATTGATTTAACACTATGATAAATTATATATGGTCGGAATAGTCGGGGTAAGAGCCACTGCCCTTATTGCACTTCCTGCACTGTTTAATCGATAACAGGCTATACCAGAATCAGCATTAGGTTCGTAATGTCCATCAAATGAGCATTTCTTTACTATATACATTTAAAGCGTCGATCTAATGCTGCAACTGAAAAGGGAGATCTTTTCCGTTCAGACCTGCCACGACGTTGTCTATACACATGTCACCCATGGCCTCACGAGTTTCCTTTGTAGCACTGCCGATATGAGGCAAGATTACACAGTTATCTAATTGGAAAAGTTTATGATCTGTTGGTAATGGTTCAGGCGTCGTTACATCAAGACCAGCTCCTGCAATCAAATTTTCTTCCAATGCTCGGACCAAGTCATCTTGCTTTACGATACCGCCGCGGGCCGTATTCACAAAAACCTAAGGTGCAGTATCAATAGTGAGATGCCATCTTTCTGTGAAGCCAACAAAAATCATCTTTCTTTTATCGCGAGACGGAAGATACTTACTGTATTTTTCTTCATCTTTTGAAAAGCTTCATAGTTGAACATTTCTTTGGTTTCAGGAGTCAAAGCGCAACAAGCGACAATGTAATCAGATTCGCTCAACAGTTTATCAAAGGAGGCGTATTCTGCATTCAAGCTCTCTTTTAGTCCAGGCTTTTCCTTTCTGCCCCAATACAATACGTTATCGATGCCGAAAGCTTTCAAACGCTTAGCAACGGCTTGTCCAATGCGTCCCATGCCTACAACGCCTAGCGTTTTCCCAGTGAATTGATATCCACATAACCAATCAGCTCTCCATTCTTTCCACTATGTAGATATAAAAAAAAATGAGGTTCAATAAATGGTTCCAAAGATGCTCTGATGTTAACTGTTCCTCGCCTTACTTCTCCTGTTTCAGCAGCACGTACGCCACTCTTCATGAATCTGGCAGCAGACAGCGTTAACAAAACAGTGAGATCAGCTGTAGCGTCAGTTAAGATATCGGGTGTATAACCAATCTTGACATTATTTTCCTTGGCTGCTTTGAGATCAATATGGTCATAGCCAACACTCATAGTAGTCACGACTTTTAATTGAGGGCCTTGAAAAATAATTTCAGAAACCTTTATTATTTAGTCACCAATACAAAATAGCAGCAGCCTAGAGATTGAGTAATAGGTGGTTTTCTTTTGTTGTTTTTACCTGCTGCCTTGAATACTTGAGAGTCAATTTTATCAGAAAGCATACAGATCAAACCCTCAGCTCCCTTCACATCTTCTAATAACTTTTCGTAAGGCATAGCGCTGTCGGTTGGCCATTGAACGAGGTCAAAACCCTGTTCTTCAAGTCTCTGTTGACTGTTTTGCAAAAGCCTACGAGTAGCAACAACTTTACGACCGGCGCTGACAGCTGCAGAAGTATGGAGTTGATGAGACGTTATTTTTGTCAAAATAGATGCTGAAGCGTATGGTGCACGCCCTTTTAAAATATTAAGTGTCTTAAGCATTTTGCAAGAGAGTATTCTTGGGATGTTGGCAAAATGGGGGAAAAAAAGATGTGTATTTAGACTTGGTTTGTTTGGTTTTGTCGAATTTAGAGTTTTTTCTTCCAAAGTAGAAATAGAAAACCTTAAAAATCACTTTTTTTATTATTTGACAGTTGCCTGAGATTTGTTGCACAAGAATCTGTGAATAGGCCTTTAAAAGTGCACTCGTTGGGATCAACAGACGTAACGTAGAAAATTAGTACTGTGCTCGCAATGCCAGGTGAACTTTCAATGGAGAAGAGTAATAAAATTACAAAGATAAGGCCATTGAAATAACCAAACGGCAGACCAGGAGAAACCCAAATGGCGATCCCTTGGGTAGTTTGGGTAGCTTCAGTAGCTTTAGTAGCTTCGTAGCTTTAGTAGCTTCAGTAGCTTCAGTATTTTTGGTGACTTGGCTGTCGCTTCTAAAGATGCGGAATGACGGCGCCCGCATGAAATAGGTATGCTGTCGTGATAGAAACCTTCTCAGCCTTTGCAGTACTTATTCAAGCCCTTAGTGTTACAGTTTCATAAAAACCCTTCTATTCTCCCTACTGTTTCCAAGTGCTGGGTACAGTGAACACAATTGTTTTTTCTAACTATAATAAGAACATGAAACAGTAAACACTAGCGGGCTTGGATACGTACTGCAAAATTTGCATGTGAAAAGTCTTCTCCAGGGAAGCTGCAATCTCAATATATGTATCTGTAATTATACAAGTACCTAGTTTTCTTTCTTATCAACAGCAATTACAATAATATGGAAAAGGATTTATCTAAAAAATTGAACGAAGCTTCATCTTCCTACAACGATAATCAGCAACAAATCGCCGACGAGACCGTAAGCGAGGATGGGTTTGATATCCTCTCAATGACACTACCTCTTCGCCCTGGCTCTGATTTATTCAGCAAGAATTTACTGAGAGCTCAAAATATTAAAAATATTATAATAACTGCAGTTATAGGTAATGGGATTACAGGAGAGGCATATACTGTCGGTGCGAATGAGCAGAACGATGGCCGACGAGCGGATATTATATACCTTCCACTCAAAGAGTTTGCACGCGCTCTTCCACCTGTGATTATTGAAATACAGAGCAAAGTAAATCCTGCTTTTGTCACTCGTTCCATTCGATACTGTTTGAATACTTTTGATGACGTTAAGACACTACCTGTATTAGTAGTGATATGCATTGATGGTTTTTCAAGCAGAAAATTTCGTGATTCTGCATTTGAAAAGTTGGACAGCAATCCATTTTATACACATCCGTGCCAGTCGTGGGCGAAAAAAGTTTATATATACGCTGAAGGTTCCATTGAGAACCATATAAAAAGCTCCCCCATTAACCCAATGGTAGCATTGGCGCATGTTCTTATCTCTCAAGAAAAGAACATCATGATGCTTGAAGAATATGATGACCCAACCATTCAAGACATCTATAAGACGGCCTTGCATGTTTTCTCTGATGGTAAAGACAAAACGAATGATTTAAAAAGAAATTGTGAATCATTCTGTGAGGCTATGACTAGCCAATTCACAAAAATTATGAAGTATGAAAAAGATGGCTCAGAGCAATCACGCAAAAGAATTCGACAATACGCGCAAGATGGAATTGACTTCATCAAACAGTTCAATCGTCGAAATCTTAGCGATTCCAGTGCCACACCAATTAGGGCAACCACTCCAGAAGAACCAAGTGATGATCTGATTTTTGTGGAAGAAGAGAGAGCCCAGTCAGCTGGAAGGTTCAATTGGGTCTCATGTTTTGAAAAAGGTTCTGCTGAAGGAAAATTTACACGATATAGCAGCCACCTCACTCTTAAGCAGGCATACTCTAGACAAACTTTGTAGTGTTGTAAAATTTAATAAATGATTCCCACAGTATAATTGACATGATATTTGAAAACAGAGCCTTTAAGTAGTAAAATGATGGTTTGTCGTCAACGCTGTTGCGAAGGCCAAAAAATAGGGGGTTTACATTAGGACTACCTGCTTATTTAGCGGGAGTTATTACTCCACCTATGTAAAGCTGTACCCAAGCTAACGAAGTTACTGATGCTACTCAAACTACTCAGAAAAAAAAAATAAAATTAAAAAACCATACACCAAACTTTATCACCAGATCCGAGTGTATATATTTTTGTTCCGTTTTGGCTCTTGCTGATTTAAGCTTTATTTTAAATGCAGTTCATTAATGCTTATAGGTTACTTGACCCGTTAATTCCAGAGCAGCGTTTAATGAGGGTCGAAGAAACAACGTAGGTTAGGATATTTGCCTTATTGGAATTTTTGAGAATTCCGTAATGAACCAATACAATAAATATTCTTCCTTCGCAAATACGACGTTTTCATGCTTAAAATGCATTGTAAAGAAACCATGGCTGCCGGTAGCATCAGCTTCCAACGACGAAAGCTTGTGTTCTATTAAATATTCTCAAACTCGCAAGTATAGCCTTTAGCACTGTTATAACCTATAATTCTCGTAAAATTTCTACTATTGAAAAAAAAATACCCAAGCTACTAAATTTACTGAGGTTACCGAAGCTACTGAAGCCACTTCTTGATCTTTCTCAGATTAATCATACCCTTACATATACCCGTCCGTTATTGAGGTTTTCTTAAAGTTGGCTATTATCAATTTTGAACAATAATAATTGATCGTTTCAGATGCGTTCTAAAATGAGTTGGAGCTAATATCCACATACAAATCTCTTAGAGGAAACTGTGGAACTGTTTTTACAAACTTTTCTATGGCCGTTCCTTTTCTTTAGGGAGAATATACTTATTTTGAGCGTCTTCAATTTAAGAGAAGGGTTCAGTAGCAATTCAACAAACATATCGCAATCCACAGCGCTGTCTATTAACTCCAAATAAGTCAAATTTGTCAGACTTTCATTCAGTACATTCAGGGTATCCTTAATTACAAACCTTTTTTCATTGTTGTTGATAAAGGCCAAAACGACTAGCTTTTCAATCGTTGCAGGATTGTTGGGTTGTAACAGATTCAATAAACCATCGACTTCTTTATGTTGCAGGGACAATCTGCGTAATTTACTCCCGTTGCTGTTTCTTATGCTCAACGCGTTGAAAAAAGAACAGGGTTTACTTCAGGATTCACAAGCTTAGTCATTATTCATAAAGCTAATGATGCTGCCTGGCTTAAGTCTGACGGTACGCTATGAAGCGTCATATGTAAAGATTATTCAAATTTTGGAGAAACGTACATTACATCGATTGAATCGTTTCCCGTACATAAGCTTACTGTCATTTTCCTCAGACTATAGTCTCATTAATCATCAATTAAGTCAAATACTGAGCGATCAGTTTCTGTATCAAATGCAAAACTATCAGATAATACTAAGCTAGTAAGTTTGAGTAGCTTCGGTAGCTTGAGTAGCTTTGGTAGCTTGAGTAGCTTTGGTAGCTTGATTAGCTTCGGTAGCTTCGGTAGCTTGAGTAGCTTTGGTAGCTTGGGTAGCTTCGGTAGCTTGAGTAGCTTGAGTAGCTTGAGTAGCTTTGGTAGCTTCAGTAGCTTCGGTAGCTTCGGTAGCTTTGGTAGCTTGAGTAGCTTCGGTAGCTTGAGTAGCTTCGGTAGCTTGAGTAGCTTGAGTAGCTTTGGTAGCTTGAGTAGCTTGAGTATTTTGGTAGCTTTGGTAGCTTCGGTAGCTTCAGTAGCTTCGGTAGCTTTGGTAGCTTCGGTAGCTTGAGTAGCTTTGGTAGCTTGAGTATTTTGGTAGCTTCGGTAGCTTGAGTATTTTGGTAGCTTTGGTAGCTTCGGTAGCTTCGGTAGCTTCGGTAGCTTCAGTAGCTTCGGTAGCTTTGGTAGCTTCGGTAGCTTTGGTAGCTTCGGTAGCTTCAGTAGCTTCGGTAGCTTCAGTAGCTTCGGTAGCTTCGGTAGCTTCGGTAGCTTGAGTAGCTTTGGTAGCTTGAGTATTTTGGTAGCTTGAGTAGCTTTGATAGCTTCGGTAGCTTCGGTAGCTTCGGTAGCTTCGGTAGCTTGAGTAGCTTTGGTAGCTTCGGTAGCTTGAGTAGCTTTGGTAGCTTGAGTATTTTGGTAGCTTCGGTAGCTTGAGTATTTTGGTAGCTTCGGTGGCTTTGGTAGCTTTGGTAGCTTCGGTAGCTTGAGTAGCTTGGGTAGCTTCGGTAGCTTGAGTAGCTTGAGTAGCTTGAGTAGCTTTGGTAGCTTCAGTAGCTTCGGTAGCTTCGGTAGCTTTGGTAGCTTGAGTAGCTTCGGTAGCTTGAGTAGCTTCGGTAGCTTGAGTAGCTTGAGTAGCTTTGGTAGCTTGAGTAGCTTGAGTATTTTGGTAGCTTTGGTAGCTTCGGTAGCTTCAGTAGCTTCGGTAGCTTTGGTAGCTTCGGTAGCTTCGGTAGCTTCGGTAGCTTGAGTAGCTTTGGTAGCTTGAGTATTTTGGTAGCTTGAGTAGCTTCGGTAGCTTGAGTAGCTTCGGTAGCTTTGGTAGCTTCAGTAGCTTCGGTAGCTTCGGTAGCTTTGGTAGCTTGAGTAGCTTCGGTAGCTTGAGTAGCTTCGGTAGCTTGAGTAGCTTGAGTAGCTTTGGTAGCTTGAGTAGCTTGAGTATTTTGGTAGCTTTGGTAGCTTCGGTAGCTTCAGTAGCTTCGGTAGCTTTGGTAGCTTCGGTAGCTTGAGTAGCTTTGGTAGCTTGAGTATTTTGGTAGCTTCGGTAGCTTGAGTATTTTGGTAGCTTTGGTAGCTTCGGTAGCTTCGGTAGCTTCGGTAGCTTCAGTAGCTTCGGTAGCTTTGGTAGCTTCGGTAGCTTTGGTAGCTTCGGTAGCTTCAGTAGCTTCGGTAGCTTCAGTAGCTTCGGTAGCTTCGGTAGCTTCGGTAGCTTGAGTAGCTTTGGTAGCTTGAGTATTTTGGTAGCTTGAGTAGCTTTGATAGCTTCGGTAGCTTCGGTAGCTTCGGTAGCTTCGGTAGCTTGAGTAGCTTTGGTAGCTTCGGTAGCTTGAGTAGCTTTGGTAGCTTGAGTATTTTGGTAGCTTCGGTAGCTTGAGTATTTTGGTAGCTTCGGTGGCTTTGGTAGCTTTGGTAGCTTCGGTAGCTTGAGTAGCTTGGGTAGCTTCGGTAGCTTGAGTAGCTTGAGTAGCTTGAGTAGCTTTGGTAGCTTCAGTAGCTTCGGTAGCTTCGGTAGCTTTGGTAGCTTGAGTAGCTTCGGTAGCTTGAGTAGCTTCGGTAGCTTGAGTAGCTTGAGTAGCTTTGGTAGCTTGAGTAGCTTGAGTATTTTGGTAGCTTTGGTAGCTTCGGTAGCTTCAGTAGCTTCGGTAGCTTTGGTAGCTTCGGTAGCTTCGGTAGCTTCGGTAGCTTGAGTAGCTTTGGTAGCTTGAGTATTTTGGTAGCTTGAGTAGCTTCGGTAGCTTGAGTAGCTTCGGTAGCTTTGGTAGCTTCAGTAGCTTCGGTAGCTTCGGTAGCTTGAGTAGCTTTGGTAGCTTGAGTATTTTGGTAGCTTCGGTAGCTTCGGTAGCTTGAGTAGCTTTGGTAGCTTGAGTATTTTGGTAGCTTGAGTATTTTGGTAGCTTGAGTAGCTTCGGTAGCTTCAGTAGCTTCGGTAGCTTCGGTAGCTTGAGTAGCTTTGGTAGCTTCAGTAGCTTTGGTAGCTTCAGTAGCTTCGGTAGCTTGAGTAGCTTCGGTAGCTTCGGTAGCTTTGGTAGCTTTGGTAGCTTGAGTAGCTTCGGTAGCTTGAGTAGCTTTGGTAGCTTGAGTATTTTGGTAGCTGGAGTAGCTTGAGTAGCTTCGGTAGCTTCGGTAGCTTGAGTAGCTTTGGTAGCTTGAGTATTTTGGTAGCTTGAGTAGCTTGAGTAGCTTCGGTAGCTTCGGTAGCTTTGGTAGCTTCAGTAGCTTCGGTAGCTTGAGTAGCTTCAGTAGCTTCGGTAGCTTTGGTAGCTTGGGTAGCTTCGGTAGCTTGAGTAGCTTGAGTAGCTTGAGTAGCTTTGGTAGCTTCAGTAGCTTCGGTAGCTTGAGTAGCTTTGGTAGCTTGGGTAGCTTTGGTAGCTTGGGTAGCTTCAGTAGCTTCGGTGGCTTTGGTAGCTTTGGTAGCTTCGGTAGCTTTGGTAGCTTTGGTAGCTTCAGTAGCTTCGGTGGCTTTGGTAGCTTTGGTAGCTTCGGTAGCTTGAGTAGCTTTGGTAGCTTCGGTAGCTTGAGTAGCTTCGGTAGCTTGAGTAGCTTGAGTAACGGGTTTACTGTTTGTTTGAATGAGTTGAAGAAGGCTACTATAGATATGAGATCAGCTGAAGTTAATGCTATCATAGCTACATACCTCAATGTGACAGTGCAATGATGCCAGGAGGATTGTTACCCAAGCTACCGAAGCTACCAAATCTACTCAAGCTACCAAAGCTACTCAAGCTACTCAAGCTACCGAAGCTACCGAAGCTACCAAAGCTAGCTACCAAAGCTACTCAAGCTACCGAAGCTACTGAAGCTACCAAAGCTACTCAAGCTACCGAAGCTACTGAAGCTACCAAAGCTACTGAAGCTACCAAAGCTACCAAAGCTACTGAAGCTACTCAAGCTACCAAAGCTACCGAAGCTACCGAAGCTACCGAAGCTACCCAAGCTACCAAAGCTACTCAAGCTACTCAAGCTACTGAAGCTACCAAAGCTACCGAAGCTACCGAAGCTACCCAAGCTACCAAAGCTACTCAAGCTACCAAAGCTACTGAAGCTACCAAAGCTACTCAAGCTACCGAAGCTACCAAAGCTACCAAAGCCACCGAAGCTACCAAAATACTCAAGCTACCGAAGCTACCAAAATACTCAAGCTACCAAAGCTACTCAAGCTACCGAAGCTACCGAAGCTACTGAAGCTACCAAAGCTACCGAAGCTACCGAAGCTATCAAAGCTACTCAAGCTACCAAAATACTCAAGCTACCAAAGCTACTCAAGCTACCGAAGCTACCGAAGCTACTGAAGCTACCAAAGCTACCGAAGCTACCGAAGCTATCAAAGCTACTCAAGCTACTCAAGCTACCAAAGCTACTGAAGCTACTCAAGCTACCAAAGCTACCGAAGCTACCGAAGCTACCGAAGCTACCCAAGCTACCAAAGCTACTGAAGCTACTCAAGCTACTGAAGCTACCAAAGCTACCGAAGCTACCGAAGCTACCCAAGCTACCAAAGCTACTCAAGCTACCAAAGCTACTGAAGCTACCAAAGCTACTCAAGCTACCGAAGCTACCAAAGCTACCAAAGCCACCGAAGCTACCAAAATACTCAAGCTACCGAAGCTACCAAAATACTCAAGCTACCAAAGCTACTCAAGCTACCGAAGCTACCGAAGCTACTGAAGCTACCAAAGCTACCGAAGCTACCGAAGCTATCAAAGCTACTCAAGCTACCAAAATACTCAAGCTACCAAAGCTACTCAAGCTACCGAAGCTACCGAAGCTACTGAAGCTACCAAAGCTACCGAAGCTACCGAAGCTATCAAAGCTACTCAAGCTACTCAAGCTACCAAAGCTACTCAAGCTACCGAAGCTACCGAAGCTACCAAAGCTACTCAAGCTACTCAAGCTACCAAAGCTACTCAAGCTACTCAAGCTACCAGCTACCAGCTACCGAAGCCACCGAAGCTACATCTTTATATTTAGGAAAAGAGTAGCCGAACCAACAACGGCTGCTGTTGGTCTACAACAAGGATCTTCAAAGAGGAGGCAGATTGAAGCACCATGCTGCAATTGCAAAAAATTATGAAAAGAGGTAAGAGTCAGTAAGAAGTAGCGATAGGTCACAATATTTGGATCTAATTGACGAGGAGCATAAAAATCGATAGTCAAGAATGAGGAAATAGTATTGATATCAAGTAGACATTGTAAGCGTATCGTTAAGCTGTTTAATGAAATCTACTGTAAAGGGTAGTGACCTAATTGTTGACAGAAGAATCACTCAACGTAATGCGACGGGAGGTTGGTTTTACTTACAACTCTGAACAGCGATAACCACAAGATAATAAAGACTATTTTTATTGATACAAGAGTAAAGTGTAGGGTCTAAGAAAACAGATAAAAATCACAGAGGCAGGTTAGAGAGGCTCACTAATGAGAGGCAACCCTTTATGACAAAAACCTAAAAAATTTGCTCTTCTCCGCTACTATGGCTTTCTTAATATGTTTCGTACTCTTTATTACACTGAAATAGCTATTATTCAGCAGCTATACTTACGAATGAATGAAGGGCATTGCCACAGGTGTGTGTATTCTTGTTTTAACAGAAACATTACGTTACTGATATTGCTTCGTTGAAGTTGACCCATCCCTAGGTTACGATCTGAGAATCAATGTCCGGTCGATCCGGAAATCGCTCAAAAACTCAGTTGCCTTGATTGAATGAAGAGTACAATGTTCTACAACTTGATTAATCTTACTTAAAATTGATGGCAATTATAAGTTTCATAAAATAAAAGGGGAATTTGTTTGTATACAATAATGAAAACGGTAGAAACCCAATCGATGGAAGGGCTTAATGTCAACAAATATCGTTTTTCCCTGCAAAATATTGTGCGTCGGGAAGTGTCTCCGCTGAAATCGTACGATAAAACATCCAACAGTAAAACTCAACGAAAATATTACAAAAAACTTAGGAGATATCCTATAGTTTCTTTGATCAGATGGCTAAGACTTCTATCGCCTGATTCTTAAACTGATTTATCCTATGAAGATAACCGGAAGCTTGCGTCAACTTCATTAACTAAGAAAAGTGAATGTCGGAATTTGAATGAGAGAACAATGAAAAAAAAAAAAAAAAAAACCAGAAAATTAAAGCCATTTGATGGAAAACCCCTTTTGCTGGATTATATATTTCTTACACTAACTTTCAAAGGTTTAAGCGCCTCCCATTCACTCTTGTACTTCCTTTCAATTCAGTAACGGTAAATACAATAATGTCAGCCAAGCTCTATACATACGAAGAAATTGCCCAACATAACAGCAGAGAAGATCTTTGGATGGTCATCGATGGAAAAGTTTACGACATTACCAGTTTTCAAGATGAGGTAAAGCCTTATAAGACGTACGCCTCACATTCAGACGTCTTTTGTTCATTCATGGATGAATTTTTTTGTTCTAATAGCATCCCGGTGGTGAAGAAGTTTTACTCGATGAAGGAGCTAAGGATGGTACTAGTGCTTTTGAAGATGTAGGTCATTCTGATGATGCTCGCGACCTTCTCAAAAAGTACTATGTCGGCGATGTGGATCCCACTGTAAGTATAGGAACGCATTCGAAAAGATTCTCATTATATGATGGATAGTCTGGCCATCAATCCAATGGATTATGAGCTGATCATTTGTTTCGCCCCTGCTACATATAGTCCAAACCTATCAAGGTTGAGAGACCTGTTGAGGCCATTCCTGAAGTACCCAAGGGAAAGTGAGTATCATCGTAAACAATAAGTTATAACCTGGGAAAAAAGTTAGGAAGTGGCAATTCTGAACAAAACGAGTACTTATGATTATTCTTTTTAATCGACTTTTTCATAGTCCTCTTCGTATCCTCATTCCTTTGGTTCTATTCGGTGCTTATGTTTATTATAGCTATTTCTTATAAGCATTCACTATAGAAAAAAAAACCAACACTTTTGGAAGTAAACACAAAACGGCAACATGTTAGACCTCTAATATATAGATGCTGTGATATTTATTCATCTGTTTTTTCAGCCAACCGTTTCAGCAATCGAATATATTCATGTCCACAAATTCTTTTTCGAAAATACTATTTACAATGATTATAGTCAATCTCAACCAGCAAAATCAGCAGTTTCTAAACTCGTACTATGCCTAATAATATGGTTGAGCTGCCTTCAGTCCCGTTTTCATAACGCGCTTCCTCTTTTTGATTGGGCCAGATTTCAAATTAGAATTTTTGAATATGTTTAGGAATATTATGTCAGGAAGCTTGTTTGTTGAATCTTGCGTATGTTCTAATTTGGTGGAACAATCAATGCATAGCGCTGTAGAAAAAGAGGATATTGATCACCATTGAAGCGATATTTTGGCTGCTTTAGAGTTTCACTGAATGTTGAGGTGAATAAATATATCACTGCTCGTATAGCTCCTCCTTTTCTATAAAACCCATTTGCTTATAAAACAAAGAAAACCTTCAGGATTTTTCGAGCGAAGAAAAGGTATATTTTTGAGATAAGAAACTCATCTGATAAAAATGTAGACCAGGCATTGTAGAAAGCTTCATCAGTCTCAAGAAAAAGGCACGTGCGCGTCGGAGTATATTAATCGAGCCTGTTCTGTGTAGCACCCAGATATTTTTCCTTACAACAGATTTTGACACTGTTGCGTTTCCCTTTCTCATCTTTATCCCTCATATACAATCGCTTTAAATAATATGAAGTTGACTGAACATCTCTTAAATATTGACAGAGACATTTATGAGCAAGCTGAACGCAATCAGTTCTTGAAAGAAGTTGGCACTCTTCAAATTAAGCCTGAAAATCTCAAAGCCTGGCTCATCCAAGATAGGTTTTACACAGGTGGTTATATCAAAATGATGGGTCTTATGATCTCTCGTTTATCCCTCTATGAAGATCAGCGTGAGCTAGGCGACAATGATCCTTTTTGGTCACAGGAAAAGGCACAAAATATCCTCAGAACCTTATCCTTTGCGTTATCCAACGTGCATCGCGAAAGCGAATTCTTTACTGATCTTTTAAGCAGGGAGCCATATCGTCACTGCAAAGTTCCCGAGCAACAAAGAGCCTGGACAACTAAATACTTTGAATATGTCAAGCGTATTACTCTAGAAGGTGGACATGACCTTGGTGAGCCTCTTGTTGCCCTTTGGCTTATGGAAATCATGTTCTATGATGCTTGGAGTTTTGCCAAGTCTATCAATAATAGTTTAGGTGAAGGAAAGGATGGAAAGGATTCACAGGACGTTCACATTCAAACATGTCACGAATTGATGGAAAACTGGACTTTAGAGGAATTTAAGGAATTTGTGGATGACTGTGGGAGCCTTGTGGATGCGCTTGACATAAGCGATCCACGTCGTATGGCCAGTTACGAGAAAGTGTATAAGGAAGTTTTGGCTCTTGAAGTTGATTTCTGGAATATGGCTTATAACTTTGATGAAAAATAACGCAAACTACCAATATATCAATATACCTCTCGTAGAATTCATTCCATTTTTGTCTATGCTTTTCTTCTCAGTTTGACAAACTCATGTTTGTTCATGTATAAAGCAAAGCGTTACAATATATCTAATGCATTTTACACAACATTCGAGTTTTCACTATTATAATCTGTATAACCTGGGTGTTATTTTCATCAAGTAAAATATTTGTGTAACAACTTCAGTATTTACTAACATAGGACATGACAGTCTACAACTTCAATGATTTAATTTCTGTTATGGTATCTGAGATTATGACGTGAAAAAATGCAAGTTTTCACAGAAGGCCGTTAACCGTCTTGAGAAAGGAAAAATACTACATGACTTAGAGTGGCTTCTTTTCATGGATGTGCTTCTTGCTACCATAATTGTAACCACAAACTTATGTGCTAAGTACGGAGAATAATATGATGCTGTATGCTTTAAATAAATTAGAGAAAATGCTTATGCATTGATGAGTAACCATTTTTCCGGATCTTCTACACCAACCAGCTTTTCAACGCAGTCGATCACCTCTTCCAACTCTTCTGCAAATTTGAATGAACAGACTGCAAATGCACAGTAACTAGGAAAGGAATCGCTGTCCATATGCTCTGGGCACTCTCTTATGACTGAGCTTAATCTTTCATTGAGCTTTCGCCTCATTTGTCGAGGCCTTATCATGTACGGTGGCAGTGAAATTTTCGAGACCAAAGCCGTTGAGAGTAATTTCAAAGTGGTCAGAACGAAAGCGATCTAATTCACAGTATAGCAGTTGCATGAGAATATATAATAAAAGCGAGGTATTGGAAAGAAAAAGCAACCAAACACTCACATATTGCATTCTTTCTTCGTGGATAACTTTGACGATACTCCTTTTCCAAGCTTTATCTGTATGTCTCGTTGAGAAACCCATGCCTTGAAGTAAATCTGACATATTGTCTATCTTTTCGACTAATGTGGCATAAATTTTATATGGGAATTTACCACGTAATGGTGGTTCCAACCTTGTCAACTTTAAATAGGTTCGCTCGTCCGCAATTTGACGACGGATATCGTAGGCAAGCTTACGGAAAGCTTTTAGTTGGTTTGTTGTAGGTTCACTATCAGTCATTGTATGTAAAATATCACCAACAAGCAAACCATAAAGTTTACTCATATCGTGTAGTGTCTGGGATATGCGTTTTCTCAAAGCCACTCTTCCAGTGATTGACTTTGGTAACCAAGCCAAAACAGCAGCAGCAGCGACGCCAATTACTACTAGTAAAATACGCTAAACATTTGTCATATTTCTCAGTAATTTTCTATTGGAAACATTAATAGATGAGGATACTGATGAAGTTTTCTTGTACCTTTCCTGCAACGGATTCAACTGAGTCAGTAGCTGTACCAGACGCAACACCTTGATATTCGTAACAAGTAACCTAAGTGATATCTGTTAAACAAGTACCTTTAACTAATCGGAAGTGTAATACTGCTTACTAGTACTAAAGTAATCTGCACCATAATGGTGCCCATTCTTAAAACCTCTCTGGTAAAGAAAATATGGTATACAGGTAGCATAACGACGAACGTAAGAATCGTGAGGCCATATGGATTACCTCTAACGATTTCCCATATGACAATACCCATTACTCCACCGATAACAGTTGCAATCACTCTTAAAACAACACTATAAATTACAACCAGTCCGATTGTTAGGTGCAGACTATTTCAAAGCACTATAAAACAATAACTTACGTGAAATAGAATTGTCCTGTCAAAGGAATCGCCCACATCATTAAAGTGATCGTAGCCCACTGTCCCTTCCAGTTAAAGAACCAACCTGCACTTTGTGGTAAGTACGCAGGAAGCGAAAGCAATACAAATCCACCTGCGGTTTTAACAGCGAATATACATTCTTCACTTTCTATCCATTTTACTATCTTGTACAGTCCGTACCAAAACCGCTCTATTAGTGTTGCTGGTGGGTCTACATCAGGATCACGCGAATAGAGTGTCCCAGTTTTGTTTCTTCCTTTAATCCAATCAGAATTATCGACTAAATCTATATCCCTTTTTGTCATAGTGCAACCTAATGTATAATTATTGCCACCTTCCATCTGACTGTTATGGTTATCTGTGGGGTTCGACGCAATGTCTATTTGACCACCCAAGTTGGCATCTGCATTGGAAGATCTGAACCACTTGTAGAATCTAAGACGAGGAAACCATATCTTGCGCTTCTCACGTGTTATCTCGATTTTTTCAATACATAAGGCGAACATTTGCAACTGTTGGGCTAATTGCATCAGATTGAATTGGAATAAATAGATAATTTTCAACATGCCTTCGAAACGTTCTTCAAATTTAACTGAGCCTGACTGGACGAAAATACGCGATTTACAATATCTTTTCTCGTATCGTTGGATGGCGTCTTCTAGCTTTTTACTCAATTTGGGTGGACAGCTGAAGTTTTCTTCACTGTATGGAACTGTAGTAAAGGCTTCAGTAGAGTTGGGTATGTAATCTGTTATAAATATACGTGGAAACGGCCATAAAAACGAATTTAGCGTTGTTCGAGGTTTATTACAGTATTTCATCAGTCGTTCGTTGCATTCGTTTAGAGCGCTAATGCATGCTTGTGTAAGTTCTTGGCTAACCGCTCTTAGTTCATCCAAACTTGCAAAAAACTGGTTTACATTTTCATCTTTCATTGCTTCCGCTTGTACTGAATTTATACTTCGCGTCATTCCCAGGTCAGAATAATATTCATTCTTAGCAATGAGACTGAGGCCTATACCATGTAAAGGGACACGAAAGCCTTTGACAACTCGTGTGATGTCGGCGATGTCCTCGTGAGAAAGACGGTTTATCAGAAGCTCACGTTGAATCTCGCGTTTACTATCGACTAAATTAAGTACAGTATTTTGTAACCGTGTATGAATTGATGGTAAAGTGTACAGTTTGTCGGTTTCCTGAGGTGTAAAAAACGCGTTGACATTTTCATCTAAAAAGCCAGTGTAACTTTTTAATGATCGGTTCAGAACTCCCAAGTATTTTGTAATACTATCTGCCGGCCATAAAAGCACATCCACAACTAACCCAATCGCATTTCCAAGAAGTATGGGTATGGTAAATGTCCACTGTATTGATATGAGAAGGTTTTTAGCAAGTTCCGCAAAAGGCGTATTCTTACGACTTTGAACTTACCACGACGACAGGCGCAAAACCCGGGGTAACAGAGGCTTGTGTCAATGCGAACTACAAGTGTTTTGCTTGTTATTATAAAAAACATTGGAAAGTAATGTACGCTACATTGAACTTACAGCTATAACCATGCTCGAATATACTGTTGCCCAGTATGCTGAAAATAATTCATCAACATCAACATCTGTAAGTCTTATCATGAGAATCTATTAACTTACCTTGCGCAAATTTAACACGAGCATATGTGACAATAAATACACCAATATACATTATAATCGAAAGCACTGCACTTGATTTTGGCTGAACAGGTGAAGAAATGTTTGGATCACGAGCGAGGTTTCCTAAATACATGCCTATTATTTTTATTTTTTTTAGAAGTGGTCAACGAGCTTTTGAAAATGTAGCAGCTGAATTACTTCTATTTACCCAGAAAAGACCACGCTGCACCGCCAATGGCTCCTAAACAACCTGTAACGGTTGCCTATTACGTTTAAAAGAAAGAGTATCTATTATTCTGTTACGCTGTCAGATCAAGTTTTTGAAGACAAACCTCGAACTGTACGCCTAGGAAAGGATACAGAAAAAAGTCCAGTTCGTTAAATCAAATGACACACAAATATGCACGACCATCATACAGAATATACATGTTCAAGGCATTGCTGTCGTTACCTAAAGGTCGAAATGGAAAAGATAAGATAGTCGATGTCACGACCATTGTACTCGCTCGACCTATTTTATTTCGAGGATTATCCACATAAACAAACAGCAATGAAATCAAAAGCGCAATAGAGCCCTTCAGTATCATTCGTATCAAAGGAACCGCTGGAGTTTTGAATTTTAGGCGTTCTCTAAGAGTGTTTCTATTTGGCTTCAAATCGTTTATTTCCTCAAGCTCATTATCATTATTATTGCCATCATCGACTGAGTTACTGCCAGTATAAAACGGTTGACTTTTGAGACTGCTATTGTCATTATCTATTTCTTTGACGTTGACATTTTTCAAACTTGTGGCGGCACGACTTGCGTTCGATCTTCGCTTTGTTAACTCTATTTCTTCCATATCATAGGCTCTATTCAATCCTTTCTGTCCTTACAGAAAACTTCGCTTAAATGGTTGTATCAGAAGGAATTAATAAAGGTGAGGAAAAGATTATCGTTAACATTTGGATCTTAATTGTTTGTTCGCTTCTAAAGTTTTGAATCATTATGTGACTCCATGTTTCATTTCGCATCAAAGGCATTCTCCATCCGCTCCGCTCTTAATACTGAAATACAAAATCATAAAGCGAACGAATATTTCATGAAGTCTTTTCGCTAGCCATTTCATCGGGTTTCTCTAGTATGTCTGTATTTTTCCTAATACTGTCAAGCTAGGCCCAGCAAAATTATTGTGATCACAAATATCGTATGAGCTAACAATTGACCGTGCTAACGTTATGCTGTTCTTCTTCGAAACAGTTCGGTCACCAGGATATTATTCCCAAGGGGCTGAATAAAAAAGCCTTTTTTTAAGCTATGAACACAATCGCAGCATACAAAAAACTAGGTAAGTTTTATTTAAAAGTTGCGATATCTCTGTCAATGGCAAGAGAGATCGAACCAATATCGGGGAGATATTTCCGTTAAACTTATGCGCAGCTGAAGTAGTAGAAGTAGATAGTAGTGGTAGTAATATAATCATGCCATATATTTTCTTTCCAAATCAATTTATTTACAAACGTGCCTTCGTAAACGCAGCTTGTTCCTTTTTAACCCAATCCTTTACTTGCCGACGAAGAATTTTCCCGCTGGGGCTCTTTGGAATAGCATCAACAAACTTGATTCCACCACGAAGTTTTTTGTAATTCGTCACATTCTTTGACACATGTTCATCAATCTGTTTTACAGTATGCTCGTCTTTGCTCACACTAGGTTGAAGAACGATATAAGCTCGAGGAAGTTCAGTAGCCTGATTATCGTCGTACCAGCCTACAACGCAGCAATCAGCGACAATTTCCAGGCCCATGAGAATTGCTTCTAATTCTGCAGGTGCCACTTGATAACCTTTGTATTTGATGAGTTCTTTGATACGATCGAGAATGAAGAACTCTCCAGTTTTGGAGTCAAATTTGCCCACATCACCTGTACGCATCCAACCATCTGCCATGAATGTTTCAGCATTGGCTTTCTCATTATTGTAATAACCCTTCATAATACTAGGCCCACGGAAGAAAAATTCTCCCTCCTGGTCATCGCCTAATTCTTCGCCTTTCTCGTTTACTATCTTCATTTCCATATTTGTACTCAGAACACCGATAGAACCTGTTCGCCGGGTTGTATTCATAACGCGCAGACATGTCAGCGTACTTCTTATTCGTGCCTGGGTTCGATTATGTTCTTTCTTTACCTGGAACACCTCCTTTTTGATTTTGAGAGATTACACCGGACGTTGTTTCTGTCATACCATAACTAAAGTAAAATGCAGAAATTCTTACTATAGATAAAAAGTCGCGTTGCAAGATTATAAGCTTACCCTTGTCTAATATCTGCAGGAACCCGCTTTTTTAATGCTGTAATATGCTCTTTGCTGAGAGGGGCAGCTCCACAGCCCAGTAAACGAATGGTTGTAAGATCATATTTGGTGACAATTGGTGATTTGGCCAATTGAACAGCTAGAAAAAAGAGAAAATTAAGAAAGCAACATTAATATAACTCTTACTGTAACCCAACTGTTAAATCTATATTTCGTTACCAACTGGGGGAACAATAGCGGCAAGAGTGACCTTATACTTCTGTATTAATTGACAAAATAGCTCCAGATCGTACCTGGACATGATAATGACAGGTGTAACTTTGTAGTAGGAGTTTAGAATCAGGCTTGTCAAGCCATAAATGTGATAGAAAGGAAGGAAACCGAGAACTACATCATCATCGTGCTTCTCTTCTTCTTCTGCTTCAGCAGCAAGGGCCTGAATGATTTGAGCAATAAAGTTCTTATGAGTGAGCATCACGCCTTTAGCAAGGCCAGTTGTACCACTGGAGTAGCAAATAAAAGCGGTATCGTTGTAGCCATCGATATCTTGAAGAGGAAGTGAAACTGGCTTTTTTCCCGAGATGGCATTGAACGGACGGCAGCCTTCAACCTCTTTATCACCAAACAGAAAAACACGACTGCGGGGTAATCTGATACTATCTGTAATCTTTAGAAGCATGGGTAATAGCGCAGGAACAGTAACTAATGCAGTAGCTTGGCAATTGGTGATTTGATGTTTGAATTCAGCTAGACAAATGACATTGCTATAAGTCTCAATTCAATATATCCAACTTTTACCGACTACTGTCGGCTCCTAATGTAGCACGCAATATCTTACCTTCTGTATAAGCAGGATTGCCGGGAGATATAGTACATTTGGCGGCAAGAAGTGAAAGATACAGAACGACATGATCAAATTGATTAGGCGCAAATACTGCAACAACATCACCTTTCTTTAGGCCAACGTTTTCATTCCAACCAGTGGCAAGATACCTGGCTTTTTCCCGGATTTGCTTCCAGGAAAGAGTTTTCCCTGATTCACCTTCTACAGCAATTGGTTTATTGATGTCTCTTGTTTGATTATATTCGTTTGTGTTTGTGAGGTATGAGAAGAGATCAATTTTAGGAATAGGAATGTTTGGTCTGTGTGATCTGTAGATAACCATTGTATTGCTGAAAGCTGTTAGATGCTGTTGGTAAGGTCAAAGGTATAAAAAAAAAGTATAGACAAAAAGAAGAAACATTCAAGCGATGGTAATTGTAGCAGAGCCATTTTAAGGAGCCTACACAGTGAAGGGTTAAACTGTTATTCCTTAGTGCTTGAATAGTGGGAAAATTGTTACTAATATGTAGAAAGAATACCCTAATCCCTGCCTTGTGTAAGTGCTAGTGAAATTTGATTTACCGGTTGATGTGGGGTAAGCGGCCTGACCCAACTTTAAATTTTTTCTACAACTTTTTTTTCCCAATCGCAAACTGATTCCATAATGTGAATTTGAAAATCTGCAATGTGCGTTTGCAACGTGATAGCATATAACTTAAGTCATAAAATTAGCAATTCCGTGAATGAGTTCCATATAATACTAAGCGGTAGAATACGCTTTTTACCATTACGTACGTAAGAACCTGTTTGTTTACTTGCGTGCTAAATTCCAATATCAGGAAATGAGTACTAATCGGCTAGATCTAAGCTAAGCTATATTACCAACGATCTATTCGTATAAAGTTTGCTATATCTTTCTTCGTTCCTGAAAGGAAAGCAAAAAATCGTACAGATCGAACCCGCGACTTTTTGCCTTGAGGTTTTCCACGCGGAACACCGAAAATTCGTAAAAACCCAAACCGTTTTATCAACTGATAAAATTCATTCTCAAATTATTCTTCTGATTAACATCGATCTTCTGTGACAACAGTTGTATAATTGCTGATTACTGAGGATGTCAACTGACGATATCTCAGCCATCTTGTCAAAACGGTGTCGCGAACGTAAAAGTATCCGTTTGAGACCTGATTATTTGAAAAGTTGGCTTGAATCACAATCGTCATTCAATCAGAACAGTAATACAGAGCAGCTTTACAATGCTTTAGTAGACGATTTTTTGAAAAAGGACATCGGTTTAACATCCGAGCCAGTTATTCCAAAGAATTTTGGGCACACTGCTGTTACAAGTTTTCCAAACGGTGCTGTACGTCGAGGAGGCGTCGTACTGCAATTGCAGGACACAATGGATATTTCCAACTCGGCTTTCTCATTGCTTAACAAAATAAAGAACACTTCACCTGTTCGACAGGTTTATATTGAACGAAATGAAGTTGATGATGTTGAGTTTCCCAGAGGTATAATGCGCTGGGTATTATCAGATGGAACGACACAGTTGCAGGCTATGGAGATGGAGACTATACCATTATTGGACCTCAAAACACCTTTCGGTTGTAAGGTAAGCGTTGTAATATAATCTTACTGAATAATGTTATCTTAGCTCACATTTACATATAATAAAGATTTTAGTTAAGAGCTGCCAAGTACGCAGAGGAATGTTATTACTAAAAAGAGAAAGTGTAGAAGTCCTCGGAGGGGGTGTTCCTGAAATGTATGGAGAAGACATGATGCGCGAGTTAGAATTGCGCTTAAAGCAGAAGTTAGGTTTAGCGGAAGAACCTACGACACCTGTCCCTGAAGCAACACAGCATCCAAACACTACCAATCTGCATGCAAATGTTGATAACATGGATATATTTGATGATGATATCGATTATTCTCAACTTGACTTGGACAGCGCCTGGTCTAACGTCAATAGATACGTGGATCCAGCAGTAAATAACGCTAATACAGCTTTAACTACCATTAACAGCACTGTTACTCCCAGTAAAAGTATAAGTACGACAATAAATGCGAATACCCAACGGTCGACAGATATACCCCCTTCAGCTTCTAATTTGGAGATGTTCAGCGATGATGATGATTTCATGGCTCCCCCTCCTCCTTCATATTCCCCTGCAAGAACGACACCTATCAAGGTTACCTCAACAAAAAGAAAAGCTTCTTCAAGTACACCTTCCACCTCTAGTGGCTCTATCCAACAAACCGATACGATTATACCATCGCAGAATACCCCTCGAAAACGAATACATAAGGATAAAGCAGCGGAGGAAGGGACACAAACGTTAATAACGGCGAGGAACACTGTTTCCCATATACTTAATCGACGAGACTCTGCATCCACCGAGGAAGGAAGTGCAGACCTTTCGTGGATAGATGCAAGCGTATGGGAGAATATCAATAAAGTTAAAGAAGAGAAAGATCCAGAATTAGGAGAGAAAAACGACCATTACTCTTTTGAAAAGTTAAGTGAAACATTGAAGGCCATGGAAGACAAAAACTTTGCTGGTAATTTACCAGATACAGTTATCATTCGCGCTATGTGCGTAAGATTTGGGAAAATGACTATGTCGACTTCCAAAGGCTTTTATTTGGAAATCGACGTCATTGATCCGGACAGAAGAGACTTGAAGCCCTTATCTGTTATCTTTAATAATGAGGTAAATGGATAAAGATAAAAGCCCCGGATTCACATTTGAATGAAACTAATTTCATTGAAATATGCATATACCAAAGATGATTACTGGACTGGTTGGATATTCTAAAGAGGAAATTAAGGAAATGTATGATAGAGTGGGGACCAAACCCGTAGTAAAGCAGGTATAGTGCTTGATCAACTAAACTTTGTTTACTACTATATTTGAGGAAAGGTTAGCGCTAAGTAACGTTAATTGTTTCGCATACAGATATTCAAACCATTTCAGAACAAGGTTTTGAACACAATAGCGATGTTGAAAGTTGATCTGACAGTGCTGTCAGAAGGTTGTGGACGATCATACAACAAATTATTACCTCTAGCCATTGGCTTCAATGCCTGTGCTTAAATCACCAACTACATTGTACATATATTACCCTTCCAATAAGTTGCTTATTATTTATGATGTATTTTTCATGTCCCTGTCTTCAAACAGTCAGCACATGTAATATACAAAATATCTTTTATTAGTTTTACTTTCAGAACAGCCGTATTTGGATACATTAAAGTTATTCCGATTATGCCATCTTACGTGGCAAATAAGATTAATCGCGTCATCCACCTTACTCCGCAGTTGATTTGTTGCTTTAACTGAAAGCGAGAGACACAGTGCAACAGATTTGTTGAAACAAAAACCTTACAACATGAAAGCTTATATGCCCCACACAACAATTATCACGGGAAAAAGATTAATAGCTTTTTCTTCTGTCACCTTTTTTTTTTGGCTCAAATTTTTGGTTTACCCCAGTTTTTCCTCATTTAACAAAAATTAAAGGTACCTGAAATGAATCGCTTTACTCTACTTGGCCGACGTGCATATACAACTCTTAAACCTGGAGTCAGACCTGGAGTAAATTCTTTAAAGTCTAAACATTGAGCTTTGAGCATTGAGCTTTGTCATTATTTTACTCATTTCAGTTTTTGATGGCTCGAAATTGCTTTTTTAATTATTTCGTAGATAACCAATGGTTTTATTGGCGCTATCGGCAACACTCCGTTGGTACGTTAAAAAAATGAAGTTACTTCCATGACGAAAACTAACGAGCTGATATACCTGTCTCCTATGTACTGGGTTAAAATAGATTCGCTTGAACAAATTAAGTCAAGAAACAGGCTCAGAAATTTTAGCAAAGGCCGAATTTATGAACCCCGGTGGTTCAGTGAAAGATCGTGCGGCATTATACGTGGTGAAGGATGCGGAAGAGAGGGGCTTGATTAAACCTGGAGGAACCGTTGTTGAAGGCACAGCTGGTAATACTGGTATCGGTTTAGCGCATGTTTGTCGTGCTAAAGGATATAAGTGTGTTATTTACATGCCAAACACTCAGGTAAAGAAAAATAGAGAGGAGAGTGCAATGAAATCAAATAGACTGATTGATATTTTGTTGCTTGCAAAACTGTCATATTTCCATCTTCAAATCTTACAAAGTCTCAAGAAAAGATTGATTTATTAAGAATGCTCGGTGCCGAAGTATACCCTGTTCCTGCTGTAGCATTTGACAATCCACAAAATTACAATCATCAAGCTAAACGCCATGCTGATTCACTGGAGAATGCTGTTTGGACTAACCAATTCGATAATACAGCCAATCGTCGTGCGCACATAGAAACCACTGGTCCCGAAATCTATGCTCAAACTAATGGTGAAGTTGATGGCTTCGTATGTGCAACGGGTACTGGCGGTTCTTTGGCTGGTACAGCTCGATTTTTAAAAGATAAGAAGGGCGACAATGTCAAAATATTTTTGGCTGATCCTCCAGGATCCGTGCTTTACAGTTACTTCACTAGCGGTGGAAAGTTGCTAGACAGAACAGGATCATCCATCACAGAAGGTATTGGTCAAGGCCGTATTACCGACAATTTGAATCCTGATAAGGATTTAATAGATGGTGCCGTACATATTGCAGATGAGGAAACAATTGAAATGGTTTACAGATTGCTGGATGAAGAAGGCATATATGTCGGGGCCTCGTCTGCACTTAATGTAGTTGCTGCTGTAAAGATGGCACAGCAACTCGGTCAAGGTAATGTTATGCATCTGAACATAAAATTGCATTTAAGACAGTGATGAAAGGGACAAAAACTAAAATAATCATTTCCATGCGTTTCTGTTTGACAATGAAATAGGCAAGAAGATTGTTACACTCCTATGTGATGGAGCCTACAGATACCAATCTCGCCTTTTCAGTCGTAAATGGCTGGAATCGAAAAATTTATCAAACGCCATTCCTGAACACTTACAAAAATATATAGTTTTGCCTTAAATATGCATTATCGTTTTTACGCGCCTACAAAAGCAAATAGACTTAGTCGCTGATCTCAGCATTCTAGTAAAATTCTATCAGTTATAGCTCGGGACCTTAAGCCTACACTGTAGTTTTCTTGTAGCTTCAACCCACCAGGTAATGAAAAAGCGAGTATTTTTAAAGTCCCAGCGACGTGCCTTTCAGTTTACAATTTCCTTTCAGTCTACTTCAGCGTTATCTTCGGCAAACGTATTCTTTGCTAGCAGCATCTTACGGATGCGTAACATATTTGTATTATGTGACTGAGATGATTCATCCAAAAATCGCATTAAAAAGACTTGTTGGCTTATTGTGTTTTCGCAGACAATTCTTCAAACGCTATGCCAGCATTGTTTATTCATACCTTACTTATTGTAGCAGAATAAAAGTTTTTTCTTTTTCTTTTTTTTTTTCAACTGCAGAGGCACTAAACTGTTCCTCTTTTTTTTTTTTTTTTAGTATGCTTCCAAAAGGGTGCTACAACTTGCTGCGTAAAGCAGCCTGATTAGAAGGATCAACAAGGCGGCTCAGTATCAAGTTAATAAGAGCCACAGATATAATGGATAAACGTGGCCTAGGTGAAAAGCTCTTTACTTGTCAATAACTTTCGGTTCAGCTATATATTTTTTGCTGGGGGATCTATCAAGAAAAAAAGAACGTATGTCGTCTTGATGCATCTAATGAAATATTGAGGCAATTTATGTGAAGAGTTTCATCTGTTAATAATTCAAGAGGATTATGTTTTCGGTTCAAAGGCGGTTATAGCGGTCTTGGAAAAGTGTAAACATTTTGCTGGATGTATTGCTGCTAATTTATCCACTAGGTGTAAACACGTCGAAAATTCATGACAACAATGGTCTCGAGGAAGAACTCTTTTTCGTCGGCTCACCTTTTTCTGCTTCTCATTCAAAACTTTTTTGAAAAGCTTGATATTGGAGATATCTTCGCTTCCTAAGTCTTCTATTGAGGCATAAACATGTGTAACAACCACCTTTACTTTTCATCGAAATCGAGCAATAAAAAGGAATCATTTTACTATAAAATGGAATAGTTTCGCAAATGGTCAAGTTCTGAAGAGTTAAGTTCCGTAAAGTCTAATATTCGGAAACTATATTCTACACGGCGACAAATATACCCAATCTATGATTGATTTGATAACAGCGCACATATTCTTTTGTCAGAACAAGGGCTTTTCAAGTCAATTCCAGAGTTTACAAGTATGGTATGTAACTTTTGTCTGCACAATTTTCTCCTAACATAGTCCAAACAGACTCTTCCATTAGCAACCTATGTAAGGTAAAAGATATACATACAGAGTTAGGATATATTCGTCCTCATTAAGAATCTCCCAAAATCAACAGAGTCTGGACTTCTCATCCAAGATTAATTGCTTTGAATTTAATTAATCTTTCGCCAACTATGCACCTGCCGTACCAACTCAGTTTATTGATGCCGTAATTTGTACCTGGACATCCAAGTATGCAATACGAAAACTCACAAATATCTCGCAATAGCCGTGATTGGTAATGAACCTAGAATAAATTAACTGATGAGTGCATTTAGTGCAGTTTTCTTTTTTCTTTATTCTTTTAACCGGAAAGCATCCGTAATCAAGAAGTATCTTGCCTCATAACGTTTCGCTGCCAAAATATGGTGAAGTTGGTACCGAAAAGGCTTAGCTTCATTTATCTTCTTAGCCTGAGGCAATTTTAGTACTATTTTTTACGCGTATCGTTTCAAAGATTGCAGCAAATTAAGTGTAGCAATTTTCGAGGTACCTTTTGTTATAAAGTCACATGGAGCTTATAGGACAGCAGCAAAACATCAGGCCACACCATTCGATATAGCGAGCCAGATACCTTGGCTGTTGTGTAATGCTGTGGCGTGCCAAATGCGCCTTGTCTTACATTAACTTGACGTCGTTATTGTTATTCTATATGCTGTCGGTTACCTCTGATCCCGTGACTTGCCGCATTGTATATACCAGTCGTTGGAGCTACTAGTCCCAGTTATACCAATAACTAAAGGGAAATTTTAGTACAGAGGCCCTATTTGTAGAAGTGCATAAATAGGATCCTAGGCACGATTTGCAATGAAAAGTCATACGATGAAATGCTCGTAAATAATGATTGTTTCGGCTTCAACACTCTCAGTATCTTCCCACAAACTGTTGAGCATGGGATATAAGTGCCTTATATTGTTCTTCCGTAGACGGAAATAATGTTTACAACATTTCAAGAATAAGATTGACACCGCTTTGTATGCACACAGTAAACATTTCTACTCGAGAAACGTTAACGGGCGTAGTTTCAGCGAACAGTGAGCATGTGTACCCTACCCTAAGGAGTACCATCAATAGCCAACCATCATATAACAATCGATTGAGTCCTTTATGTAAAGAGAGGAGAGTCAACCTTTACTTTTTCCAACTGTCGAAGGATTCTCTGGAAACATATCCTGTTTAATTCTTGTCAAATTTACCATATATGTTTCAAAATGAAAAATTATGATATCATGGGATCTGCGCACCCGCGCTTCGATTGAGAACAGAATGCAAAACCAGCAAACACAGCTAAATATTTTTAGCGGCACCTTAATATAAACAATATCGGCCATTGATAGATCGAGTGCGTCAACGACGCGTGTTAACATCAGAATATTTTAGTGATCGTCGTCCTTCATATTGTGACATGCTGGCTGTAGAATTTGTATAGTGTAACTAAATGGGACAGAAAGAGTAAACAAAAAAAGAAACATTAGAAAAGGATCGCCTTTCCGACTTACTACTAAATAGGGAAGTTTTTGAAAATTGTTCCCTGGAAAGTGGCAATTCAACAACAAGATATAAGACATTAAGGGCCACGGCTTTTCTTAGGAAAAGTTCGAGGGTATAGTGTCAAATGATGCAAACTGCTTAGCCTACGTTAGTTTCGAATGCTTAGAAAATATGTCAATTAAGTCATCGTTCTTTACATCAAATTTTCATGAAGATTTACATTTAGATTTTGTACAATAACTAATGCAATTGCACAGTTTTATGGTAAAGGTAACGACCCCAAAGCTATACCATCAAAAGAAAGGTCGCAACCGAAAAGTTAATGAGAAATAAGGATCGTCGTTGTCATTATACAATTGGCGGACTTTTCTACATTTTGAGGCGCTGTTAAAATTTTCTCGTCGTTAAGTTTTGAAACACAGAAAACATTCAATTTGTCAGCTGCTCAGGCTTAATGCAATCACTGATATAATGATCAAAGCAAAAATTGCATATTATTCATTATTAGAAAAAAAACATGGTTGAAATGTTTATTGCGCTTATTGACGAATAATTGAATGAGTTCATGAGTCTCATCTCTGTTGTCATTTATAAAAGAGTTAAAATAGACTATAAAGCTGTTGCCCTATTACATGTTCTTGTCGCGCCAAGAAAAAAAAAAAAAAAGAAACCAAAAAAAACCCAAAGTGTGAGGAAGGATATGTAATGAGTGAGTGTGAGGATCAGTGAGACAACTCTATTAAATAACGCTTAATTATCTCAGATATGAGCTTGGTCACCCGGGCTTGTTGTATAGGCCCAATATCGAGTTTTCGCGTAACGTTACTGAGAAGATCCCCATTTTTTTTGGTATTTTTTTTTTTTGGTCTTGTTTGAAGGTTAACTCAATTTGGTATGGTTCTCATATTCCAGAGCGAGTTTGTCCATTTAATTCAAAATCAGCAGCAATAAGCGGAAAAGAGGCCCATGGATACGGAGCGATTAACAAATAAACGATAATTGTTAATAAGCTATTAATGCTCTCTGACGATTGCGAGGCGACATTATGAAAACCAGTCAAAGGGTTTTGAAGCATCTACAATTGATATTTGAAATATAAAAAAGCTATGACATCAATAACTTGACTTTTGCAAACATAAGGTACCATTCCTTCGAAAAATTTTATTTGCAATGTTCTAGAATTGTGATTTTTAGAACAGATGCACAAAAGAAAAAAAAAGCCTGATGTCTGTTCCTTTGAATTCATGGATATCTAACATTTGACTTGTGCAACTATCCTGTCTTTTGCCTGCCTCCTACATTATTATACTTGTGGCTCCTTTTCTCTTTTACAGCATAGAATAGTAGCAGAATAGTTATAAATAAACGTTAAAATTGCCAGCGAAATTATATTAACTCCACGTGTTTCCCAACTTAATAATTATGTATCAATTTCTTTTGTACTTTATACATTTGGTGTGGGCGTTGTATAAAACAAATTTTTTGATCTAGAAAAAAGGCCCCGGCCAGAAGATTCTAGTCCTAAAATAGAGAACATAGTAGATAGAAACGTCACGGTTTGGGCTTATCATTAAGTTGAACCTCTCCATCACACAATAACGCAGTTCTCAACCACGGGAATATCAAGAAAATTGAAAATTGTATAAAAAACCTTCTTGTCCCTTTTTTCCAAGTCTATCTTTGTCTTCGTCTTTTCCGCTTTTTTCTTTTCCTAACCATCTTCTTCAAAAATTATGCATTCTCCTGCACCAACACCTCTCTCACCACCTATCACGCCTAAAGTTATGCCTCTACACTATCATCTATCATCGACATTGCCTTCAATCCATGATCATCAAAGTCAACAGCAAGACCCTCAAGAGCTAATCCAATTGCCACCTATTAAAAACTTCTATCAATCACAGTATCAATCAACTCCCCCGCCTTTGCACGAATCGCCCTATTCCCCAACTTCATCCACGAGCGATCTATCGCCCACTGATTTCTTACGCCGTAAATCAACTCATAATGTTTATTTTCAAGAATATGAATCACGAAGTAATGATACCGTGTTTACATTGCCAAGCCCTGTTGAAATCCCCAATCACCCTTCCACTATTGGACCCGCCTTTCATCGTGGTGGCGGTCGTATTAAATCAACACCAAAACGATCCCCTTCACCTTCTACATTCGGCACTTTTACAATGAACATCTTCCATCATAGCGGAGTCCCATCTTATGTTAATGATACGATTACATGCTCTTCATCCTCATTACGTCAGTTGTTAAATACGACGAACCGCAGCGCTGATACCCACACATCTATCTATAATTATTATCATCATCGTCCTCTGTCCCATAAAAAGAAAAAGAGAAGATCTACTGTTTCTTCTTATTCCTTGACTCCTTCTTCTCAAGAATTCCACCCTTATCATCGACATAGTTCACCTCAAACTCATCGACATCATACTCATCAACAACATGACGAGCAACAGGAATCTTCCCAACAGCAGCAACAACCTATCTTTGATACCATATCCATTCTCAATACAGAGCGCCACGTAAAGAAGTCGAAAACAGATGCAGCCGCGGCCTACGACCAAGTTGATATCAACGTTTCAGACGAAGAGGCTTTTAAAGATGATCCACGTTGGATACCCAACATGAATGCCTTTAATCAAGCATCACCGGTTCAAGTCGTATGGAAAGGTAAGAATGATCAATGACAATTGAATACCAAGCCTCCTTCTTTCTTTTTCTGGTAGTTGACTTTATCATCCATTTAGGTACACCTTTGAACATTCAATCTATGCCTTACTACAATTTGTTACATCCCGGTGAAGTAAATATAGCATCTACTTTACGTCTAACCCCAGAACAGTATTTGAAATGTCGACGAGCTCTTATTCTTGCCGCAAGAGAATTCGATAAATTGCATGTCAATTTCAGAAAATCTGACGCACAGAAGTGTGTACGCATTGACGTGAATAAGACAAGTACATTATGGGGCGCATTCAAGAGATTAGGATGGTTCAATCCGCCTCCTGCTACTACCAATCATTGATATTCATTGAAAAGAACCTTTTCCTTCCATTCTCTTTCAGCTTTCTCACCTCGTCTGAACGTCACTCCTCTCCCCTTTGCTTTTTACAAATATCAAAAACATGTAAATGATGAATATTCCCTTAACCTTCTCCCACCTTTCTTGCTTGTCCGTTTATGTAAATAATAAGATTATAAACTATATTCCCCCACATTTTGAAAATGATTAAAACGCTCCTCCTGCCCTTCACTTTTTTTTTTTTTTTTGCCTGTAGCTCAGTGCTACACTCGTACATAAAAAACTCAAAAAAAAAAGATAAATTATTATCACCATTGTAAGGATGGCCATAAAAGTTATACGACGTTCATCTGCTCGGATATAAGCATACGTCTTTTTACCATTTAAATGATTTTCTTTATTACTACTGTGTGTATTGCCCACATAACAATTATCGACACAACTTCTAACAATGAGGATTAACAACCCACTATTTCGCTTTCTGAATTTTCAAGCAATTACTTTAGCCCAAATACTTCTGATGTGTTGTAATTTATGCTCTGATAGAGTTATGACGTATTCCCAACCAAAATGTATGTCAAGTAGAAACTGAAAGACAAGAAAAGAATTATTGTGCAACACTAGCTGTTTAATAATCAATAGAACAGTTCAAGCATGATCGTTCAACTAACGTGGTAGATTTTTCTCAACAACTAAACCGAAAGAAGTTCTAGCGTTTCGGTTTACATTTGATCATGCTATTTTGATTATTCAACTACTAGTAAGGGCATCAATAATTAAGGGTTTGCTATCAAATAAATTATGTAACATTTAACGAAAAGTTATTGACCACATACTGAACACCTGTTACTGTACTAAGAAGCCGCTACTGTTCAATCAATGTCTTTATGGGCTATTACTAACTCTATAATAGTATTTATTTCGTTGAATGAGAAGATATACATCTGAATTAATTTATATGTTCTGTCATTCCTCTGTAGTGCTACTTTATTGTTCTTTCTCATCAGCAACATCAGTTTCCGCCTTAGCATAATTCATTAGTTCGACTTTTGCTTTATCCACATCTATCGACACAATCAATATTATTGCTATCAAGAATAGCATAAACACAAACGGCCATCCCTTCCAAATATTTGACGTCGCATCAGTAATAGCACCAATAACAACAGGTCCGATCCAGCTTGATGCTTTATTCACTATACCAAAGAGGCCAAAAAACAAGTTCTCTTTGCCTTTTGGAATCAGTTCTGCCAACATTGTTTGCTGCCATGCCCAAATAGGTGCTGTAAACAGTCCTTGCCAAACACTTAATAGCCATAGCTCGGCAAGAGAGTGAATTCCAAAGGTCGGGAAATAGATACCAAAGCAGCCCCACAAAGGTATCAGGGCTGTCGTGCCAATGATAATGAGAAGACTTGTTTTGGTTCGTATTTTGAAGATTTTCGATACCCAAAGAAAAATCAAACAGCCTAGGATGGATGTAACGGATTGAACAAAGCCGAACAAAGCATTCTGTTGAGCTGAAAATTGAGTAAGTTCGCCTTGGATGATGGTCAGCATTTGACCAATGGTTGAGACTGCATCGCTGAACATAAAATAGGCGACAAGATAGATGAACAAATATCGAAGCTTTCGTATTTCCCTGCGTTATAAAAAGCCGGTAAAGGTTATTTATCTATCGGCTTAAGTAATGGCTGGTGATATTTCTATATACATGTATTTACCTCAGTGCTACTACAATTGACTTCCATCCAAATGTGAGATAATTTGCTTTGGGAGGTAAAGGGGGTCCCTTTCTACCTCTAGGTGTAAGTACAAAATACGGTATGGCATTAACGGCCCAATAAGCAGCACATGCCACGGTAGCAATCACGTTATAAATAGGCTGATTACCTATTGTATCGTTGTTACCGTAAGGTGCAAAAGCAACGCACGATAAAATGCCTGACATCAACAAAAAGCCAATATTGGAAAAGGTGGTGGAAATAGCTGAAACGTGATTACGCCATCGCTCAATAAATTCCTGTCTCTTTTCTTCTGTAATATTTGGATCGACTCTTGCACGTCTGACAATCGGTAAGTTATCACTGAATCAAGAGAGGTTTAATATTTTTGGCATTTAGTGTAAGTCTCATGCCTATTCGTAAAATAAAGGGAGATCATATGCACATGTATTAAATTTTGGTATTTCACCTTAAATTAGGGAATGCAGCTGCATAAAAGACAAGGGATGAACCATATGATATTAAAGCCAAAATCATAATGCCCATCATCGTACGCCAGTTGTTTTCATTATCGGGATTAATCCATAAAAGAATAGGTAATGCTTGTGTTAAACACCCTATCAAAGTTGATCCCAGCAGGATGTATTTGTTCCATTGTTCATAATCTGCTAGACTACTGAACGTAGTAAATAAAAGAAATTGTATCGAAAAGGCAATGGCTTGAACGTAAAGCAACATGCTCTGAACAGGTTTTGTACCTGATCCCCAGGGTATATGGCAGGGTTGAGACGTATCCACCATATTGCAACCTTTGACTTCGGGCGTTAATGGGTTAAAGCCGTTTTTGTATGCTAAGTATTGTAAAATAATTGGCATGAAGCCATAGATGGTGTATCCGTTATCGCCGTTGTAGTAAAAGTAATAGCTCCATAGCTCTCGACGAGTGGTAGCTGGCTGATCAAACTTTAAGTTATCATCTTCATTTGGGGCGACTTTGAATGGATCTAGTTTCTTGTTGTCGTAGTCGATATCTGACGCTGTAATAACTTTTTCTGCAAGTGAAAGTGAAGGTATAACAAAGGTGTTCTCTGGTGAAGGAGAAGAAGGCATTGGTAGAACAAGTCTTCACTTTTATGAGAAAAGCTAGAATGGTTGCTGTCTCTCTCACGCGGAAAGAAGTTATTGAAAATAAAGTGAAAGAAGAAGATCATAACAAAGCATGAACATTTCAAAAGAATACGATAAATAAAGAACCATTTTTTAAGAATGAGCATTTCCCTCAAAAAAAAGGAGACAGATCATTCTTTGTAAACAAATCAAGTTTATTATTATTGCTCATCAACTTGCTGTTGTGGTTGTATTTGCTCTAACACCGGTAATATATTCTCCCATATTGAGATGCTCTGTTTAATAATAGAAATGGAACGGTTAGAGTTGAACCAGCTTGACAACCACTTCTCACTTTTCTTGTTTTACCTTCAAATAAAAATCGATATGACAGTCAGCATAGGCTGCTAACCCTTGCCTCAGTTCAGAATCTTTAGCTTTTTGGAATACATCATACTCATTCAGCATTTGATCTGAAAAATTGTTGTTCTCATCATTGGCTTTCGAGACATTCTCTTGTAGTTCCTTGATCTTTTTTTCCAAGCGCATCAAACGATCGCTTTTATTATTAGTGAATTTATCTGCCATCAGTTCTGTTATGTTCATACTCGTGCTCGTCGAGGTAATAGCTGCTGCTGCAGTTGCTGAATTTGCTGTACTTGTGATCTGGCCCAGGTTCTTACCCGGGTGTAAAATGCGATCTCTTTCGAATGTTATGGACTGTAAAGCGTTTGATAAATCCTCAAATTGAACTTGTTTCCTGTCTCTTTCGACAAGTTGATCCTTTGCCGCGTGGCAATAGTTCAATAACTCATGTACATCATTTAAAAATGATAGATTTTCTTGCTTCCTCTATTTTAAGCAAAAAAATTGATTACAATGATATTGATTAAACTTTAATGCTGGTGCAGAATCGTTACCATTTCTTTGAGAGCTTCAGCATACATTTCTGTGGCTTCTGCAAACTGTCTTAACGGTTGATCTACAATAGTCTCCAAAGCTGATAATCCACGTATGCTAGTAGCAAAATGATTGTAGTTATTCTCTAGTTCTTGCTGTCGTTTGCCGATTCTTGAGTATATTTTCTCTACTATATTTAAGTTGTCTTCAAATTTATCAATTGTGTCCTTCATTTCTTCAAACTTCTCGTCTGGTTTTTTTACTTTGACGAACGATTTAAATAAAGATCCGAAAATAGATGATGTTGATGCATTGTGAGTCATGTTTTTTAACTTGATATGTTTATCTGTATTCTGAGATAACAAATATTTAACATACTGAGGTTCATAATGATGAACGCATCTTTCGATAATCGACACTTACGAAATCCGTGGATTCTAAGAATATTCGTGTATATTCTGCTCTTTGTAACAGCGGGTGTCTTGCAATTCTATCTACAAACCATTGTAATCTATATGATGCAATAACCATGTCTACTTCAATACATGCTGTACCCTTATTTAGTCTTAGGCATTTTCCTCAACTGACCCTAATCTTCTTTGCTCTATAAACCCTGGATCGAATCGATCTCCTTTCATATACTCTACTAAACCATCAATCTATTAGCTTATGAACTAGCACTGCTTTAGAACTACGCGGTATACATTACTAAAGCGATGCTTTTCAGGCAAGGGTGGTATAACACAAGCAGGAAATGCATTTGTCAAGGCGTTATGTAACCATACAAAGTCCCGGAAACGTCGTCGTACAGGTCTCTTATCCGTTGAGTACATCTCCAAAGCTGTCTAGTTCAACCAAGCGATGAATTTTACATCGATGAATATGCCAACAGGTCTAGTATCTCCTTGATATCCAAGCCTTTTTACTTACCATTGTGAATACTTGATAAATTATGTAAGAACCATCTGAGCTTTTAACAGGATCATCAATCCTTATAGTCATGGGCTCAGCTTTGGGCATTTTTTTTTTCGTTAATGATGTTATTCGCTGCTGTTGTGCTTCTTCCCCATCTTCCTCTTGTTCTGTCTCAGATGTAGCAAATGCAGATGCTATGGTAGCCGAGTTATCATAATCATGGTACTTATAGTTGTTTCGGTTGAAATTATTTACAGGTGCTTTATCACTGTTTCCGTGGAATACATCCTCTTCCTCTTGGAAAGGATCAAAAGCTGCATTACTACTTGACGCATAATTCTAGGGGTCATAATCCATGAGTTTTTATACTTCTAAATCTTAATACCACACATCGATGAGCATTCAAGGTTCGCAGAAAATCTTACTTGGTCAAAAAAAGCAGATGACCGAGATGTGTTGAAGAAGCTGTCTTGGTTCTCATTGGACCAGGAAGGTCCTGCTTCTTGTTGTTGTTCATTACTACCATGAAGTTTATTTGGCATATTTATCAGTCGTTTTGGGTTATAGTAAAAATACAAGCATGAAATACAAAATATAATACAAAGAATGGAAAAAAAAGAATAAGTTCATTTTTTTTTATTTCCATTTTTCCATATTTTGGCAGGAAAAGCAAAAACGGCTTCAACACAACAGGTGTAACTTTCATGCAGTTGCTGTCGATGATTTGTTATTTCCGAAAAATGGGTGCAAATTATAATTTAAAAATTTTTGCTTACTTCATGAGAAGCAAGATATGCCGTAAGGGTCTAACGACAAAGACTTTATGGTAATAAAACTGCTTTATAAGGACATATATGCATCTTAAATAGTCACGTATCAGTGCATGAACCAACATCTAAGCTCAAATTATGTAAAGCAAGAAATAGAGTACGAGGAATAAAAGCCTTGAAAAAGAATAAGGCAATATAGTATACTCAGGAAAAGCGATCTGTCGCTCATTCTCGGTAATAATAAGACAAGAGCCTCTGCTTAATCTTGCAAATTTGCTATTTCTGCATGCCTGCTAATCCACTTGTCAAAGAGGATGCTGTTAGGATTTATAGATTAAAACTTTCCAGTCCTGTTGATTTTACCGAACGTTCCAGTGGTGTCGTCACTGAAGGTGTAGAATATATCGTTGGTAAGAAGTGCCAATGCAATTTATTGCAAAAATAAAACGGGATGCCGGTGCTGCTACAGCTGTAGTAGGGGTGATATTGATTACATTATGTTAGATTGCGAATATTTGATGAAATACAGTATCATCGTGTCGGCCACTGCTCAAGCCCGTATATTAAGCAGTCAGAAAAGAAATTTGATTGTATCAAGCAAAAACCGTTTGGGAGAAGAACGACAACCAAAAAAGACACCTGTGAGCAAAAAAGCTTCACCATCTCCAAGAAAAAGCAATTTATTATGGTTGACATCTACAAATTTCCATCTTGTCGTCCACGTGTGTATCTCCCATATGTTTGTCATTATCATTGTTAGTTGTAGTATTTTTTTCATCAGCTTCTTCTGAATGATTTGCAATATCATTTTTGTCATTGAATAATACATAGTCTGGTTTTTGTGAGGTATATCTTCGCTTGGCAGTACATATTTTGCAGGTTTGAACGGTTGTTGTTACTGGCTTGGCTATAGAAAAGTAATCATATTTTAGCTGTCATAACTCATGCTTCAAGCTTATATTATATGAATCTTTACATTGTATGCGTGTGGAAGAGGTAATTATGGGTATCAGTGGGGTCTCACATCGTTTGCAGACCATTCTTTTTACGTTTGGATCTCTAAAAAACATTCATAATGGCGATTAATACAAGTAAATTTCCCGGAATCAAACACATTTGCAGATCTATCTTTACAGTCGTAACACCATGCGTGCTGTGATTTGTCTCATATTACTAGTTAAGTAGCGAGCCACTGGCAATAAAGTGCCTTCAGAATCTCCTACCCATTTGTCTACAATAACTTCTTTTTCCTTTCTTCTTCTTTTCCCCTTCTTTTTCGACAATCGCTCTGCTTCTGGTAGTTTTTGACGAGAATGAGAGTTTGTTTTGTACTGAATGGTGGACATTAATATGGAGGCTTGATGTAAAAAGCTCAACCGTTCGAATGCTAGAGGATTCTTTAATTGAGGGCTGCTCACTTGTTTATTTTTTGATTTGGCCATTTCAAGTGCGATGATCTAGCTGTTGCAGATTTAATAAGAAAAAAGAGTTAGCAGCAAAATTTATGGCGTCCCAAACTGACAAATATATTCATGTCGGAGGTGCAGTTCTCTCTACTCCTAAAAGGGAGGGACACTACGTTTAAAGAAATCTTTTATGGAGGGTCATTATTATACTGTTTTTTCGCTTGACTAATTTCCTTTTCCAATGAAGCAATGTATGGTGAGTACGGATTGACAAAGCAAGGCAATAGATCTTCTTTCTGCTTATTGAAAATATCTGCTGAAACTATTATCGCAATCTAAGAGTTCAAGGAGCCTTGGACGGACCCAAAAATAGTCTGCTCTATCAAATAAAAGCATGTAACTTTTAATCACTTTTCGAGATAACTGGGTAGCCGAAACCCACCATTGATAGTATCGAGTGATTCAATCAATAAAGCCATAAATTAAAATAGTGGTTATCTTGTTTCTTTCAACAATTACTGAGCAACTCAAATGAGAATTACGATCATGGAAGGGCAACCTGACCAGAGTCTGATGTGTGTACTTAGAGAGGTCCCCTGAATGCCCCACGGATCTGCAATTTTTGTCGTTTAGGTTACATAAGTTTTTCTTCTTTTCATGCACACTGAAAGTTTAAAGTATTCTTGTGTTTCTGAGTTCCTTAAAAGAGCTCTCGTCCACTATCAGATCCTCTTTCACTGTTTTATTTCTACACTCTCAGTGTGCTTTAAAGATGTATACCAAGATCGAGGATATCTCTTCAATTGTCAATTTAACACGCCGCAACTTCCTAACAGGTAAGAGATGACATGGTCTATTTCACCACCTTTAAGAGAAAGTCATAGAGATCAAAACAAAAAATTATCGTAGGGCTTACAAAAGATGTGAGCTTTAGAAGACAACAGCTCAAGAGCCTTAGAAAAATGCTTTTTGATATGCAGAGTGAGATTGCCGATGTTATTCATAAAGACCTTCGAAAACATAAAATGGAGGTTATTGCCTCTGAGATAGCACCAGTTGTGGGTGAAATCGATTATATGCTAAAGGTTAGCCTTGATTCATATTCGTTGCATGAATTATCTTTCTACAGACTTAATCAAACCACATGACTACCACAGAATTTGCTGAAACTTACCAAGACTGTTCAGAAAAAACCCGAGTTTAAGATATGTTCTCTGTATAAATGTACCGTTCGTAAAGAACCTAAGGGTGTGGTTTTGATTATTGGTGCATGGAATTACCCTGTAATGCTAAAATACATAGGACCGAACATAAAGCTATAAATAGCCATTCTAAAGATCTTATGCTGCGTACGTTAGTTACATTTACTTATACTCCCAATGGTAGGCGCCATTGCAGCAGGCAACTGCGTCGTTCTGAAGGTGAGAAATCTCTATATAACGTATAGCAGTCGAAAGCATTATCACTCATTCGATTGTATACAAAAGCCATCTGAAGTCGCCACCCACTCTTCTGAGTTCATCGCTAAGGTCATCCCTCAATATCTCGATAAGCGCGCATACAGTGTTGTACAAGGAGGAGTAGAAGAAACTACAGCATTGTTGAGTAAGTTGTAGTTGTGTCTCCACAAATTGACAAAAAAAATCGTTATCGCCGACAGTTAAGCTTGCATTTTACTCACCTTCTACACTTGCGGGTTTAGACGAGCAATTCGATCATATTTTTTACACAGGTAATGGCCATGTTGGAAGAATAATCATGGCTGCAGCAGCAAAACACCTTACCTCTGTAACACTGGAGCTTGGTGGTAAATCGTAAGTAATACTGCAGGAATTGCAGATATCCACAATGTAGACTATTTCACGTGTCAAAGAATTGTTATACACTAACAGCAATCATAGCCCTGTTGTTGTTGCTCCAGATGCCAATTTAAAGGTAGCAGCTAGCAGAATTGTATGGGCTAAATACTTTAATGCAGGACAGGTAAAGTATGCCGACCTGATGCAATTTCTTCGAGCATTAAAGTCAAAAAAATAAAAAAAATGTTAATGTATTGCCTTGCTATAATACTGAATATAGGTTTGTGTAGCTCCTGATTATGTCCTTATCGCAAAAACGCATGTTGAAGAGTTTATTGATCACTGTCGAAACGTGATTAAAGAACGATTCGGCAACAACCCACAGCTATCTGATTCTTATGGTCGCTTGATCAATGAGCGACGTTTCAATGCTATTCAAAATCTATTGACCGAAACCGATCCCATGAAGATACTAGTAGGCGGGCAGACGGACAAAGAAGACCTATACGTAGCACCTACTATTGTCAGCCCCGTTGAACCAAGCAATTCAACTTTGATGAACGAAGAAATTTTCGGACCTATTCTACCTATTGTACCCGTAGATGATGTAGATGAAGCGATCAATATCATTAACTCAAAGTAAGATTAGCAACTATCGAAGGTGACTCACTTGAAATAATTACTGATACTTATTATTTTGATATCACCTTTTATTTCCAAAAAGGGACACACCTTTAACACTTTATATCTTTACAGAGGATAAGGCAACTGAGCTCAAGAGTAACTTATTCAACAATTTTTTTTTTTTTAAAAGAATGTTCAACCAATGCTGATTCCAACTGCTTCGCATCTACTTCATATATTTTAGTTTTAGAGAACACACAATCAGGTGGTGTTGTCGTCAATGACTTATTAATGCACATTCTTGAACTTTCTATGCCTTTCGGTGGTGCAGGTGCAAGCGGTATGGGTTCTTACCATGGAAGCAAATCATTTGATACTTTCACGCATGAGCGTGCTACTATGATGGCACCAACTGGACTAGAGAGTGCATTGATAGCTCGATATCCACCTTATACTGATAGCAAGAATGCCTTGTTTTCCTTATTGACATTGGGTTTACCCAAAGGCTTCATGCGCAAGGTGAAATCAATGTTTGCTGCCATACAGGCGGCCCGGAATATTTACTGGTCCGAAAACACAAACGATATTGACGATAAGAAGAATAAGCTTTAACTTTTATTACCAAGCAAACATATGTATTTCTGTAAATGCTTTTGCTTTAATTAAAATTAAAAGAAAAGAAGCTTTCTTGATAGTTATTATATACAGTATGAATAAATGGCTAAGCAACGCCACTACCTTTATGAAGTACAGATACTTTTTAAGATTCTTCTGCCTGCTGTTCCTTCTGTTTCTGCCATGCTTGAGCAATTTGTAAAATTTTGAGGGAACGGTTTTGAGCTTCATCATCAGGAAAGATATAATCGAAGTACTCTTCCCAAATAACATTATCATCGGTTGAATCTGCAGCTCGTCTTCTCTTCTTAACAACTTTAGGCATTTTCTTCCTGACGACCTCTTTGGTATCTTCTGTACCATAATTCTCCTCAAAGTCTTTCCATGCCTCAAGTAACAGTACGCGCTATTTTTATTCGATCACAAAAAGTCAGCTTCCCGGTCACTTCTATAATTAAATAATATTTATACTCACCTCTTCCTTCATTTCATTCTTCTTCATCTTATCATATGCCTCCTCAAATATAGTACGCGCACGTCGGACGCCTTCTTCATTACCATCTTCATAAGGTACAGACAATTCGAATTGTGCAAAACTGATATAGACCTTGACATGCTCTGTACGTTCCAATAATCGGTAATAGAGATCCCTTGTTTTTTCGTATTCTTCTTCTCCAATTTCAAAATCAATGTATGCTTTCCATAATAATTCTGGCATGTTGAGATTATCTTGCGCAACAGCGAGCTCGAAGATAGCACGGCATCTTTCTGTTTCATCTAACACATTCTTTTCCAGTTCAGCAAACTGTATCCATGCAGAACAGTTTGTGGGATCATATTCCAAGTATTTTGTGTAAATAGTTCTGCATCTGTCAAACTCCCTCAATTGGAATTCTAAATCAATATAGCCTTTGAACAACTTCTCTTTAGGACATAGACCTATAGCTCTTCCAAGTATCTTTCTCGCTTTCGTCACATTCATCTGCCTAATTTCGAATTGTGCATACAAGAGCCAAATTTTGGCAAAGGTAAACTTCTTATGTGGTATCAGGTTTAAACACTCCTCATATATTTGGCGTGTGCGTTCAATATCTTCAGTTTCGAGTTCTTCAAAAAGTGCATAATAGATCCATAAGTAAATATAACGTCTCCAATATCTCTTCTCCTCAGCTGGTGGCAATTGCGCAATAGCACGCTCATACAGATCTCTTACACGCGCTGGGTCACCTGCTGATTCTTCTAATCGTGCATAATCGAACCAAATATCATAGTTTTTGGGGCTTTCTTCTAGCTCCTGTTCGTATTGAACACGTCTTTTGCCGATGACAACGTCCTCTATGCCTGCTTTATCGCCGTATTGTTTTTCAAAATTGGTGTATTGGTTATATAAGGATTGAGACTTGCTTTTAGGCAAGCGGTCAAGGCCATATTTGAAGATGACACGAGCTCTTTCATACTAAATTGAAACATCAAAAAATGCATTAGATACATTACAAATTGCCTTCAGCATATAAAGTCAACAACTGTAATTCACCTCTTTGCATTTAATCTCGAACTTTGCAAATGCTACTAATAACTTTTGATCCAATTTATCATCACCCAAAAACTCTAAGCCTGCTGTATAGATTTCTCGACATTTGTTCAAATTGTTGTGCTCTTCTTCAAATTTAGCCCATCTAATCCAGTTGGCTGGTTCAGGATGAATACTGACAAAACGTTCATATATAGCACGAGCACGTTGCTTTTCATTATAACGCAATTCCATTTTGATATAAGCCATCCAAGCATTTTCTGAGGGCTCCCACTTCATCCAGCGTTCAAACACATTTCTTGCCTTGGGCACTTCTCCCAATGTTTCTTCCATATAGGTATATTTGTACCAAAACTGATCAACACGAGGCAGGAGGGTAGTGGCACGATCGAGTAAGTTTCTCGCGTGATTGATACTGCGATTCTTCAATTCCATATCGATATAACGTAACCAAATAGCGTTATTTCGCCATTCCACATCCAAGGCACGCTCAAAGACAGAACGAGCACGTTGAAATTCCATTTGACTTTCTTCCCAGTTAGCATATTTGATCCAATTACTGATATTGAGCCGATTTTTACGAATGTTATCTTCAAACTCTTTACGTTTACGTTGACGGAATTCACCAAGTTCTTCTAAATCAGCAATTTTTTGTTGAGGGATGCTGTGCGTTGGTTCGAGTCGACGATCGTGAGCTTCGCGCAGAATCTGCTCAGCTGTGATTTGTACAGGGGCGGCACTCTTGTTCTTGACCTAATGTCAACGGAAAGACAATGATAATAAAACAAAAGTGTTGAACAATGACGGATGCGTTAGTATTCAAAAAAAAAAAAAAAAAAACTGGGGCGAGTGTAATGGATTATACATGTGCTTACCTTTGGCGGTCTGGGATTTTTCCCAAATCCACTTGTTGTTTGCTTTGGATCCATTGATATGAATTAAACGATGAGTGAATGAAAAGAAGGTTAATAACGAACTGTTCAAAGAATTCAATTTTCAAAATTTCGTGCTGCTGCTTTTTCGGAGGAGTAATAAAGATAGCAGTCCTTTTACCATGAATTGCTATTTATATGGAATGCACTGCTAAAAGAGGCTGTCTTAGCTAAATCGCTACGTCAAATGAACAGATACTTTGATATCAGACAATGATAGGGTGCTTTGTCGTTGAAGTTTTCATAAAGATAACGGCTATGGATACTTATGTAGACCTTTCACAAGCGTGCTTTGACTTGAACGGTCATTGCGCTGATCTGATTGGTCGAAAGTGTCAAGCAAGCAACGAGTCATGTTTTTTAAATGCGACCCCCCTACGGTTTTCCACTTACTCCACATTTAACAATCTACTAAATACGATGAGGTGCCGTTTACTTCGAGATTTAAGGAATCGTCAAGCAGTTGCCAACAGTGAGATCACTCGGCAAGCTTTTAAATATATTACTCGCAATGAAACTTTACCGGCTCGTGTCCGTCATCAAGCTCAACTTCAATTGAACGCTATGCCCAAAAACACTTCCCCTGTACATGTTCATAACCGTTGTGTGGCCACCGGTCATGGAAGTGGTATCATTCGTGATTTCAGACTTTGTCGAATTCAATTTCGTCTGAAGGCTCTGAACGGTGAACTTCCGGGCGTCAAAAAGGCATCGTGGTAAAAAGTCGCATGGAAAACGTTCGCCATACCCTCTATTTAATCAACCTACAGCCCGAACTATATATATAACAAACAACAACCAAAACAACAGCAGCTTTCTTTTGTATATTATAATGCCAGATACTCCAATTTGACTAATTAGACAGCCTTGATTTTGTAAAATAAATCTGAATCTAGCCCTGAAATGAATTATTTCTTCGTATGACAGATGGTATAAAGGATATTGTTCCGTTCAGAAAAACGGACCATGATGGTTGTTTATCCTATGTGATTCGTTTTTGGGTGGGTAAGGTATCTAAGTTTCGAGAATGGTCATCGTTTTGGCAATGCTCATACTCACCTTCCAGCCGTAGGGTATAAGAGGTATCGGTGTCAGAGAACCTGGCTTGTGGTATTCCGAAACAAACTGTTGTATATACAAATATGCTTTCCATATTAAACTTGCCGTTATGCGCAAAGGATCCTAATGGCACTTGTAGCAGCTTTGTTATTTCGTACTGAGATACTTATACCAATAAGGACTAAGCAAGCTCTTTTATATCCTGTGTTTATTTCGCTGTTAACATTTCGCTCTTGCATATAGATCACAAACACTACAGGAACATAAAACATATCACATAATTCATATAATATACGTCCAATCACTCACCATTTACCACATTCTATTTTCAAAATGAAGGCCTGTTTACAACATGAAAGCATGTATGTTATCCGAAATGTCTGCATTAGTTACTACGCATATAGATATTAGCCATGTCCAATGTAGGGTGCTTCGACACAAATTCCTATAGATTGGATCCCACTTTGGTCAGCATCTTGTTCGCTGTTACTGCACGAGCAAGACTTGCAGTCCACAAATAGAGATCATTGCGAGGCAGAAAAGCGGTCTATCTTTCTTCGATAAGACAATAGGGCAGTCGGTTAGGTCTTAACAACAATCAGTGGGTGGTGGGAGGATGGGTGCGCAAGTTCTATAGGTACCGGTCCCTGCTAAAACATTCTCTGATGCTCTTTATACGAAAAAAAGTAGTTGAGCAATAAGTTTTTGAATCAGATTTCGATAACGATCGTCTATTCTAGCGTTGTGCCTTTTCACACTTCATTGGATTTGGTGGTTTTCATTCGGTATGATAATAGGCCTGAAAATAACTGATTGTCACCTCTGGCATGTAGCAGTTAAGTAAAGTCAATTCTTGGCATCGCTTACAAAATTGCAAACAGTTTCAGCCCAGTCTTCCGATTCACTCACTCTTCTGCGAGTCAGACCATATAAATTGAATGTGAGCTATTGTTGAGAGACCGATTTGATGTACGTATGGGTATACATAACTCTCGTTCGTTTGGGCACCAGCGGTCTTTATCAACTCAGGTATCACGAAATAGAAAGTGCGGAGTAGAGTGAGGACGGGTTTATAAGGGAGTGATGTATATAGTATGAATTCCCGAGCTGAGCATAATCCCTTACGAAAAGATCCTTCTGATGCGGATACATGATTATACAGACTATACTAAATATTAACAAGCCAATGTGTAAGGCTCGTTTGAACGCTGTTTCTCATGAAACATAAAGTGAAAGATAACACTTTACCCCACCTGCAGATTTTCTTCATTTTCTGCAAAAGAACAAGAAATTTTTTTGTAAGAAAACCGGGACTATAATCAGCAACAGTGATCTGATCCATTATGCTTATCCTTGAACAACAGGCGATGCACATTATAGATGGGTTTATCGTTATATGGAGTGCGGTTACACTGATGTGCAAAACAAGTTACCAATGATACATGCACAGACGCATTCTATAGATCCTTACCGACGGAAGGATGCAAAAGTGGTACGGTGATGAAGAGACATTAACTCTGTTATTTTTTTGTTCCAGACCTTGAATAAACAGAGTTTGCTTTGTTTTGGTTTTAATTTTTTTGTTTTTTGTTTTTCTGTCTTTGCCATACAGAATGATCTGGTGTATTCACTATCAGACCTTATTTCAATAACCACATTCACACTATAAATGAAATGATAACTGGGTTGTGAACTTGCGCGTTCTAAATACACGTGCAACGAATGGTTCGTTAGTAGAGATGATTCAAAGAGAGGGTCTCCTTCTTCTCACTCTCCCCATCCCCAATTTCTAACGTTGCGAAATGATGTCTACAATTTTTTGTATTTGTATTATTGCTGTCATATGTTCATCTCAAGGATTTGTTTGTTGCAGGGCAACTCATCTTTTTTAAGCTTTTTTCGTAATCGAAAAGCATATGTTTCTATAGAAAAAACGCTTCTGAGCGGAGATCAGAATATGACGTATTTTTTGCATAGCTCCAAAAAAAGAAACGCTCGGACCAGCAGCAGCTTTTACAATGGCATAAGAAAATCTTTAGCAAGAGGAAGAGCAAGCAGGCACAAGAGGTCTGCTCGTTTGCTCAGCAAAAATACCAAAAAAAAACACGCTAGAAAAACGCGAAGTTTCATCATTTCTAAAGTGTAAGCTTGAGAATAGTGTTTATACAAGTTCATTAATGATAAAGAATAGTACGACATTACAAGAGTACTCTATGAAAAGAAATTAGCACAAGAGAATGAAAGTATAGAGTTGAATCAAACAGATGTAACAATAGAATAAGAATAGATTAAAGGCAGATAAAGTAAAAACCAAAAAATATCTAGTAAGAGTTGACTAAAGAGATATGTATATGTAAGCTGTATAAGTTAAATAACATGAAAAGAAAGAGAACAGAAAGAAACAAAATTTTAAAAGTATGAAATTAATGATCAACATAGGCTAAGGATAAGCCTCCAGGAACAGATGTACGATGGTTGGTATGGTATGGATTTTGTGGTTCGTCACAGGATGAAGATGGTGAAGATAAAAGGACGCTAGACACAGGGCTTGGTGGAAATGTGTTTTGTGGTTGAGCAAAAGGAAGGGAAAAATTCTGAGACGGTTGATCGGTCGATGTGGAAGGATTGCGGTTTTGATAGGAAGACATCATCATTTGCTGCGAGTGAATGGGTTGTTGTAAAGTGGTCCAGTGCTGCAGCGGTTCACTAACGTTTGTGGACGGCGATGTAATAAAAACACTGGGTTGTGAGTTACTGATTTCGTAATCATTGAGCACTGAATAATGATGGGAAAGAGGAAAATAGACACAGACGTTAGTCTACACATATTCATTACTGTGGATAAAATAAAGCACAAGCCAGCAACTTACAAGGCGATGCGATGGTGATGCCTTGACCCTTTGCTAGTCTTCGGATCATGATCTGTTGTTGTAATTGTACTCTCTTCATTTCTTCAAAGCCTTGTATTAAGTTTGTAAAATTTTCTTGCAAGACACGAAATTGTTGGAGCAGATCAGCTTGCGATAATTGTACCATAGCAAAAGAAGCATGGATATCGCCCGTTTCACGTCGAAGAAGCTCAGAATCCATAGCTTTGCGTTTAATGTCTTCTAATAAGTCGAGACGTCCTCTTTGAAACTTGGGATGCGAGAATTCCCATATTTCATTTTCGTTATTGCCTCTTTGACCACGAGGAGATTTGTTTATCTTGTGGAAGCCGTACATATTTAATTGTCGAACAAAGCTGGAGAAGTTAGAGTGCTTGAAGTGCTCAGGCAACACTTCTTGAGCAAAACGTGTGGCATTGCAGACCAAAAACGACGAACCACTCGGATTCCAAGAGATCAGATGCTGGTTACGACCGTCACCAACCATGCTGTAGACAGGAAGGGGAGAGAATGTGTTAGTACCTACTTGTTCCTGAGTTTGTAAAAGAAAAGAAAAAAAAAAAAAAGGTGGGGGAGGGGGAGAAGAGCAGTAGTCATTTCGTTTACCTAAAGAGTTTGCTAATAAAAGTACTAACGCCACGCTTTGCAGATCGTCGATGGTTTTCTTCAGTAGACCAACTACCATCTCTGGGTGATAGCGGGGAATTTGAGGAGCCAGCAGAAGATATGCTACAGCGGCTGTTACGGTGAGCGTATGGATTATAATGCTCTGAATGAGGTACAGATATATGTAATTGTTCGGGTCCGGACATTGTAAACAATGATTAGGATTTTTAAGTAATAAGTTTAAGCTATTTTATCGGATTTGATTTTATTGATAGAATATAATGAATAGAAGAAACCAGGTTTATCAGAAATCCTTGCTCTTTTTATTTGATTTTTTGGGCCAAGGTAAACCTTAAGCAAGAAAGATAAAAAAGCAGGCTTGTTTCATATTTCGCAGGGTTTGCAATTGAAATGGATTATATTGGTTAAATTTCGTTTGAATCTTCCCGTTCTGCGTACTTTTAATTTCTTACGTATTTTCTCTGTCTCTGCTATACATTAGCCTGCTCTTTCCCCTGTGCGCACATTAACTGTAAACAAAAATTCTGTTTAGTGGCCTGATGCACAGCGCGCGCTGAGGCTATGAAGTTTTGTGTGTAACAATGGTACTCGAATGCACGGTTTCAGTTTTTGTCTTGAAATATCAAATAAAAAATGACCATGAAGTAACTGAAAAAAGAGAGACGTTTTTCGAGTAACAAAACGAATGCAATAGGGAATGCTTTCATTTCTTTTTTTTTTTTGCATAAAATTTGGGGCTTGATTTCGACTCTGAAAATAAGGTACCAAAAAAGAAAACAAAATGGAAAATTTTACAGTTGTCTTTCATTTTTTTCTACTATGATGAAATCCCTTCAGAATACTGTTCCCTTCTTTCGCTTATTTTAATGCAAATCTTAATAAAAAAAAAAAAAAAAAAAAAGTTCAGTTGACGTTCCGGAAAACGGATATGGAAGTTCAAACAATCAAAGTTTTTGCCTATCAAAAATTTACAATTAACGAATAGTTTCTTTTTTCTGTCACTGGTATGTTCTGTTCCGAATTCAGAAACCAGTGACGCATGCGACCCTTAAGGAATCAGCCCTGATCATTATGATAGCTGTCAATTCAATAAAAACCTTTTTGTGTAACGTTTCGCAATCACAGTTTGTGTTCAGTAACAGTTTAGCGACAAAGAGGAGAGATAATCCTAACCCTAATCGCTAGTGAACAAAAAAAAAAAAAAAAACAAAGCTTCTTTACCAAGAAGAGAAAGGTTGAATTACCAGAAAGCTATGCGACAAAGGTTATTATCAAAGGATCTTCTGACACTGATAAAATTAAATCTCGGCACTGTTTTTGTCAACAAAAAAAAAAAAAAAAAAAAAAGAGGGGGCAACCTACCCTTACGTTCATAAAATCCCGAAATTTGGGATCAAAAGACTGATACATGCGGTAAGCATCAAGTAATCTCTACCAAATTGCCTTTTTTTGAGAGATCCTCCGTTAGATGGGATTCTGAGACGCAAAAACAAAAAAAGAACCATTTCAACAGAGACATCTATGACGCGGCTCACCAACCATGCTACTTGCGTCTTGTTGAGGCAGAGCTGATCTCGTTGAGAAAAACTGGTTAAAGACAAGACAAGCCTTATAAATGGCATGAATGAACATTGAAAATGCATACATGTAGCAGGAAAGCTTCATTGTTACATTATTGAAGGAATGTTCTTCATCAAAGTAAACAGTAATTGTTTAATCCATGTAAGCTTGCCTGGAAATGAATTATATAGGAATGTTTCAAAAACCCGTATTGTTCGTGCATTCAATATTGTAACCAACAAAAAAAAAAAGAAAAGAAAATAGCCCTCGTTCATGATGGGGTTTATTTTTTAATAACTTATTACGCTTGCTGAACCTCGCTTTCCCTAATATTAAATGCCTAGGTCTTTTGCATTTTGAAAATTGGATTCTTGGCTTACGTTGTGCGGAAATCAAGCCACTATCATGTTTCGATACAAAAATAGCAACACAAGCAATTGAATGGTTTTAATAAAAGTAAAGTTCTTCTTTTTTCTGATGACGAATGCGCGGATTTCCAAGCGATACAGATTGGAGTATCTGTAGAATGTGCTGGCTATGGTAACTTTGCTTGATGGCTGGCATAAGCAACGTTTCTTCCTCCTCTGTAAATACAGGTCTCATACGCATGACTACACCAAATCCTGTCTTCTTTAGGCTTTTCTTGAACGTGTTATACCTTTCTTTTGGTTGAGTTTGCAGCAGTGACTGAAATTGCTGGCGACTTTGCATATCAACTAATCCATCTAAAATCAACATAATAAATCTAAAAATAGTAGCCTGCTGAGTCTCGCCTTCACTTTCTGCTGTTGTTGCTGCTGTTGATGATGGTATTACTTCAAAAGCATCATTTCTACGGCGCACCTGCGCATCATCGTTGGTTGGCAATGAACACATGTGGAATAAAGTTAAGACGGACAGACTTCTTCTTGAAATCGAATCTTCTGTATTTAAAAGTGGATAATACACTGTTTCAGGCTCCATTGCTACTGCTGCTGCTGTCGCTGCTGCTGCTGTTCCTACTTCTGTAATTTTTGGTGGGGAACTCGGCGACAAAGCGATTTGGGGCTCTTTCTCCTCAGGATTTGACTCCGCCTTACTGATCTTCTTCCTTAGTCTTTCTTTTTTAAACCTTCCTTTTACAATAAGATCCTTTAATGCGGAGTACGAGCGTGGCTGATTTTCTCTCTTACTTATTTCGCCCCAGTGAGTGAGATCCTAATGGAAAAAGACGCGCATAATCATAAGCGCATTTTTTTTTGTTAGTCTACGCTAAAAGAAAGAGCTTGTTCGAACATATTGAACATATTACCTGTAACATCTTGACCAAGTTGGCCACATAATACTTGCCATGCTTGTCAGCCGCATCATTAGTAGAAGACTTCAATTGTACTGATAATAACTGGATAACATGCAATACAATAAAATAGGCTTTGGTATCTAATTTATACGGATAAACATTTGTGAGATATTAGGTTTGTTTGTTAATACATAAGCTCGGATCTTCTGTTATCATCAAAATAATGGTACCTTCATTTCTGAGTTTTTGAACAAAAGGTATAATTGTGTGGTCATCGTGATTGTTCATGATGGTAGAAAATTCGCAAGAATCGTAAAGTCTTCCAAGAAAATACTGTAACAAGTTCTTGTACTCTGCGGGTACGGCCAAAGAATGAGCTGGATATAGGACTCTTCTAAAGCATTCTGAAATAATTTGACATTCAGACGGATGAGTCCATAAGGATACGAGATTATACGACCATTGCGTTGAATATTGAGTGTTCTTTGGGTGAGAAAGAAAGAGAAAAAAAAAAAAAGTTATGCCTATCCCTATGCGACAAAGAATAACAAATCCATAAAATACATTTGGTTTCCCTTTACCTTGAAAAGATCGTCCGTTAAACCAGTGGATAATCCGCAAGTATGAAAAACATCGCACCAACCTGCCAAAAGCGCGTTATCGTAGCTTCCTTTATTCGATACTGATGAGTTTTCGCCATCTTCTTCGTTTGCAAGCGTAAATAACCCATTCAACCCTCCTGTGATATCAATAAATTCACGCGTTACAGGAAGCGGCTTATCAATCAGACTGCGCATTAAAGGATACCATAGAGCTTGTAATCGCCAGTCTATTCGAATAAATGACATCAGTTTTACGAGCTCTATCTCTCTCTCTCTCTCTCGGCTTAAGCTTGTCAATTTGTAAAGAATTTCTCTGTCATTTTACCATGTTGTTTGCGTAAATTTTCAAACACATTGCGCAGCTTCGAGTAGATAGTGGATGATATTGTCAGTTGTTGTAAAGCATGTTGTACTATATGCGTGAACCGTTGGATATATGCGAGCGCTAATTCCCAATCTTGACCACGTATGTCGTAATTTGCATAAGAAGGATCAAGTAACGTTTTGTACCTGAGGTCCATGAATTTGGTCAGCCTTTCTATGAATAATTCAGGCGAACAATAAAGAACAACAGGGAGATCGCGTTCGTTTGGATCACTATCATTCGCCCACATCCAGTTATGATCGCCTTTATTGCACGCTGACTGCAATTGCTTTATTGGCTCAGAAAACGCGTTCAAGAGATGTAGGCCAATCCTAATTCCACTAACTGAACGAAATCGATGTGTTTCCTGGGAGATTTCAGACTCAACAACTAGCGGGTGTGCTAAACTCTGTAAAATCAAGTGTTCCAAAATATCTTTGGGATTCAATATGGACATAGACTGATCGACTAGAGAATTGGGTAGGGAAATAAACGGAACACCCTTGGAAAATTCCTGAAAGAATAAGAAAAAAAAAAAAAAATTAGTGTCAAAAAAAAAGTTTTGCGACAATGACGAAAATGTAAAAGATCAATAACGTACCATCGAACAGCAACTTTTAATGAATCGAATGATATTCTCTCTGTGAATGTCAAGGTCTATCAAATTGTTTTTTGTCGAGAATAATACGTCTCTGATAACTCGTAATAGCAATGTTTCATGGAAATCCACACCTTTACCAAACGTCCTCAAATGTCCAAGCTTATTCAAAATTGGAACTATGGCTTTATATTGATTCTTATTTTCAAAGCTATTCAATACCAATTGACGAATAACCTCGTAAGGCCAAATCAAAGACAGCTATTGATGGAAGGATTTAGATAAGATGAATACAAATATCAGGTGCTTTGTGTATTCAGCACGAACAGCGTATAATATACTTACCACTAACAGTTCTTTAAACACCTTATCTGATAATATCTCAGTCATATTCTCATCATCTTCAACAGATGTGATTTTATTGCATACTTTGGTTAGTTTAGCTTCGAAAGGAATATTCCAAACAGCAATTGTTCCAAAAGTCGGCGACACTGAATCATAAAAAGGGCTATTTTTAAAACACAAGAAGAGTAAAAGGATTAGATGTGGCTATTTCAATTATAACTGCTATACAGCGAGAATAGTTTACCTTTTAGAGAACATATAATCTCTAAGCTGAACTAATTGTATGTCTGATTTGCTATTCTCTAAACACTTTAAAAATAATTTGCAAAGGTTCTTTTCAAACCAAAAAAAAAAAAAGTTCGCAGAAATGGAGAGTCCAGATCTTTGTTAGCATGTGCTACTGTTTGTATTTATGTTTAATTATTAGACATTTGCTAGATTTACCATAAGTGTCATCGATGGATTCTCGTACTTTGACAATTCGTATAGTTGCACATGTTTCAGAATATGATCAAATAGAACAGATAGCATATTTTCTTCAACTGCCAAGACGACAAATATATCTACGCATTTCGCTTCGTCTATATCACTAGTACAAATTAGTTAAGAGGTTGAAATCAGACCATTTTCATACTTTTCGTAAACAATCTGTCAAATAAAGTTTTTTTTTCTGCAGTTGGTACCTGATCCATAGATCAAAGAATTGCATCATCACTTTCAGAACAGATATCCAATTACTCGAGCAATATTTAAGGGTGTAGCAGCACCAAAGTTTACAGTTGAGCAGGTTATCATCGTGGTGACCCTGGAGACGGCTATTTTGGATGTGATTCTCTAAGCAGCCCAGATTCGAAAAGAAAGGCTCTTTTATAGCTTGTTTGCCTAGCATTGTCAATGATCTGCGTTTGAGATGAGAGCAAATCATCATAAACATCCTTTCATGCGAGCTAAGCACTTTACTCAGCTCGTCTCCCAAAGATCTTTCCCAGTCATATTTTAGAGAATCGTGTTTCTCCATTCTATGCCACAAACGAAATATTGGGTTATGCTGACAATCAGTAGAAAAGCAATTGACGGATTCTCGTTCTTTTTTCTTTTTTTTACCTGATATTATTACATAAAAGATAGGGCACTGCGATCTGTTCCTGCTGTTGCAGCTGGACTTCCAATTGCATAAAGCTTTCTGCATTATCTCTAGTGATGGGTACTTCCTCTATTATTAACTTGTAGATGGCGGAATATACAAAGTTAAGCGAGTCGAACTCTGAGCTTTTGTTGCTCTCTACCTCATCTGCGATCTGTGCCGCTACTTTGAACAGCGTTGATGTACTGTATCTCATTATATCTTTCAGTTCTGGTTTATATTTGACTCTCTGTGCATTTTCCTTGAAACACTCATAAAATGTAAACATTATCTTAAAAAGATGTTCTATGATTTGTTTGTTTTTTTTAGAATAAATATTATCCTTCATCTTTAAAAACATAAGCTGTATATTCGCTAATACCTCGATTTAAACCTACGAATCAGTTGTTAGTGGAAGGAGCTTACTGATAATTGATGAATAATTGTGGATATTAGCTTATACTCACACAAATCTTTACGTAGCTCTGTGATTAGCCAACTGCCAGCATCTTCTGTTTCATTACTCTGTGTAGATTTGTGCCATATTTTTATATATATCGTGTGCATATAGTCAACAGGTCGCAAGAACCTCAAGCAAGATTTGATGATGAAGTCCAAAGCAGTCTAAATGAGTAGCAATGCAAAGACATTAAGCATACTGAAATGAACAGCAATACTGAGCAATAACTTACTTGGTAGTCCAGCTTCCATAACTCGCGATATAAGTAATGATACAGGTCAAAATGCTTGATGATGTGATGAAAAACACGAAAATCCACACCAATTTCAAAACGAGGAACATCAAAATCAACCTCAAAATCTATTCAAAGAGCAATACTAATTCAGATTTTCTACTTCATGCTAAACGCTCAAAATGAGTCATAAGCAATATTACCTTCATAATTGAGAACAGCGCGAAACAATACTCTATTCAATGATTCCTTAGCTTCAGCAGTAGAATTGAAATAATCCAAAGTTGATTCTAAACTTTCTATCAAGGATGTCGGCTCTCTATACAAGATAACACAGACGGATCAATTCATTAAACTGTTCTTTCAACCAAGAAAAAAAACAACAACACATTTATATTGATACAATACATGTCGTCTTCAGGAGCAATCTTCTCTTTGCCGAGAAATAGTTTATTATGTATGAGTTTATCCGCACACTCACTTTCAAGCCAACCGTTGATATCAGCCTATCGTGCAGCAAATTGTTACTATATACGAATGACATATTATGCTTAAGATGAATTAGAAGGGGAGACAGCAAAAAAGCATACTTTGAAGGCCAAGTCCAACTCTTCCACGGTACTCATGATGATCGATGAGATTCGCTAACGGATGATCTATGTTGACCCAAGACTTTATGCAAAAAAAAAAAAAGGCTTTCTAAATAAAAGAGAGTTGGCAGTTGTAGATAAACTCCGCGTAGTTTAATATGGTTGTTGATGACAGCTTTATCTGCCAAAATTACATATCCTTTTCATTTCCTAAATTCGAACGGCTCGATTATACGAAATCAAAATGGACGGACCAGCAGAAGAACGAATCATGGCCTATATTGAGAGAAATATGGACATTATTCCTTATAAAACTTTACGCCACGGTGAAGTTGATTTGAGTACAGAAGAAAAGTTGAGTAATATGCGATCGACTCTGCGCAACGATCCTGGACTCTTCCTGAGCAAATGGGGAAAACACTTATCGCAGAATACATTGAAACTATTTGAAATTATGAAAAATGATTATGAAGTAAATTTTTATTTGGATTTACTGCTGTATAACCACAATGACAATAAGGATATTATGGAGGATGTGGAGAGGGATGGTGTATCACGGACACAAATGAAGTTGCCCCGAAAATCTGCTATGCAAGTTCTAGCACATAACAGACGCTATGAATACCTTCAACGCCATTTAAGGCATTCAGATTACTTTTCTGATGAATCTATACAGTTGAGAGAACCGGTGTTATACGAAGAATATATTGGTCAGTATGTGCCGGACAAAGAAAAGTATAAACCATTTGACAAGGAAATGACACTGGTCAGTCGAATATACAATAATATGGATCGAAAATATGTTGACGATCACGTACAAATGCAAAAAGCTATACTAGACGAGCAATTTGAAGAAGAGGAAGAAGATGAATTCGAAGACGAGAAAGAGAAAGAGAACGTGGCTGATGAGTCACTTCGATCAGCCCAATCTTCAGAAAGGTTGAACGAAGCTGAGCCACAAGACTCCATGACGTATAATGCAACGGACAATATGGAGGAGGAACCAATGAATGAAGAAGAGGAAAGGGAAAGACTCGAAAAAGAGATGGAAGAATTGATGCTTTTCAGAGAAGAAAAGAGAAATGAGCTATTACGATTGTTAGAAGAGAAATTTTTAGCAGGCAAAGATAAGGTATGCTGACAATCTTGCGTATTTAATCTTTGGTACATAAGAATTCTCATATCATCTTTTTGCAGGACTTTCGTTATGAGCAAGTGGATTATAACGAGGTAATATGGTTAAACAACTGTTTATGAATTAGGCACTATTTTGCTCAGCGTCATCTTTCCAACATTAGGATTATGACGATCTACGTCAATTAGAAGAAGATATGCAAGATCGCTATTTCGAGGAAGATGATTGAACGAATATCCAAACTATCTCATATACCCACATCCATACGATCTCAGTGAAATAAAGATGAAGCAGTACATGTGATCTGTTATTTGGTCACCCGAATACCTTTTTTCGCGAGGTATTGCAAATATCCATGGCAATAACTTGCTGCTCTAGAGTTTATACATGAACGATACAAACACAGGCTCGTCCTGCCTGCGAAGATGACAGGGTATGCAATGCTACCTCCTATTCATCTTTGGATCAAGTAAATCACTGACGGATTTCCATTGTTATCCTCGTGTAACAAAAATCCTGTATTCAGCACCTACCCATTGTTTCGTTAAGACATAGGCAGAGGAATTTCTTTTGTTTGTTTCTTTTTCCTTTTTCTCTTCCCTTCTTACTTAACTTTACTTACTACACCCTATTTTATACAACCCAAACATGGAGTTTGAAACAGATCAACCGCGAAACAATAAGAGACCGGATCGTTATTATACTCCACCAGCCAAAATTCCAGACAATACATTTGTTCATGCATCGCGTATGAAAGTTAATTTAAAAGAAGAGTAACAAAATTAGAAGCTAAGATCAAAATGGGGACTATGCTCAGGAATAACTTAACAAAAAAGTATAATATCCTACGTGACAATAGTATATGAACCTACTCCACCTCCAGAGACAGTTACATTCAAAAAAGCAAGTGTACCTAAAAAGGAATCTTGCTGTCTTGCATGGTAAACTAAAAATACGCATCAATAACATCATATGATGTGCAAAAACATCATTTAAACGATCCGTTTGTTTCTTCATTTTTGTTGTACATATAGCGTACTGTTTTGCTGCCTTTGCCTTGCAGTTAAAGGAGAAGAAGGATCCCAATCACCTACCAGAACTATCAGTACGTCACAAGATCGGCAAGCAATAGAGACATCAGAAAAATGCTAGTTAATCAAAAATTCATCGTTCATTTCCACTAACAAGCGCTTCACTCACGAATATAAAAATGCCATTAGCGCTGCCCCTTTTTATTGATATTTACAAGAAAAACTATTTGAATATAATCGATTCATTCAAATTGTTTGAATAAAAAAGCAATTCGCCCTTTTTAGAGAATCATACTGTTTAAATTTTGTGCGAGTAAGTCTTCACTTTCGCAGTTTTCATGGTGGTTCAAGCTCTTTAACTCTATGCACTGTCCTTCTAGACTATCATTGTGGTCGTCGCTATCATTGTAGTTTTTAGCATCGGAAATATGAATTTGATCTAGCGCATGGATTAATGCATCTTGTGGTTGTTGTACGGTCATCCTTTTTTTCTTATTGATGTTACTCGTCAACAGTCTAGCAGACAAAACCGGAATACGGGACGCTCGTTTACTATAGCAGAAACGGTGGCTGTTATGACAATGGCGGAGACAGCTACGTCTAACATACGGTGTCCTTTTTAAATTTCTACCACAACTATTATTACGTTGGTTATGATAGCGTGGTATTAACGACGGTGATGGAAAGAGTTTCTCCAAAAGCCGAGTATGTTGCGAAAAATCAAAACCATGACTAGAACTCACTCTGGCATTCATCTTTTGTGCTAAACAGTCTGAAAAAACAGTCTCTAACATAAAGGGGTTACTGTCTCTAGGCGAAGGTGGAGGGGCCTTTAAGAATGTTTCCGTTTCATGAGTAACCGTGCTACTGTTTAGTTCTTGAAAAGTAGGGTTAGGCCATTGACCATCCTCTAATATCCTTATGGAGCTCATGACACTATATAGTAATACTGTGTTTGGGAAAAGGAAAGAGATGAAATCAATTCCATATGTACTGAAAAGAGAAAAAAAAAAAAGGAAAAAAAAAAAAAAAAAGTTGGATTTTGAACAAACTGCAAGAAAAAAAAAAAAAAGTCGAGAACTCCATGTTGCATTTAAAATTTGCTTTTTTGATTGGCGCTTTATTTTATGAGGGCCTATGTCTGTTTTTCTATCCTCATTTATCGGCTCTGTTTCAAGCAAGCGAACATGTATTGAATTTCAGACGGAAAGCAATCGATTAGCTCTTGATGCCTTCTATGTAGACTCTTTTCTAACTATCTCAACTGATCCATCCTAATTTTTAGAAACATTGTTCTATGAAAGGGAGCGAATCCCTAGGTCTTTATTTCGCAATGTCTATCCAATAGAAGGGTTTTTTTAAGAACTAATTGTAATGCTGATTCACGTGATAATTGATAGCTATGTCGTCGCCTTCAAGCATTTTATTGCACACAGGACATTCTACTTTACGAATCTGGTTTCCCTTCAACAAAGTACTCGCATCCACGGGCGCATGTCTCGGCTGCTGCTGCTGTTGCTGAGGTTGAAGCATTCCATTTTGAGCATTGTTTGTCATACCTAAGTGAGGCATAAAATGAAAAGGCTGATTTGGCTGTTGATAGGATGAAGATGGCTGTTGAAACTGATTGTTACTGCTGTTATACATTGAATTTACATTAGATTGAGGTGTTGGCATACTAAAAGGACTAGTTGATGCACTAAAAGCATTAGAATTCATTACTGTAGGCGTATTACTGGTGGGTGACATCATGGATGTTTTGTTACTATTGTTATACAAGAAATCGTTTGAAGAGGGAACTGTTGAAAAACCGTTTGCAAAACTAGTCTGTGGGGCATAACTGTTGAGCGAGTATGGCTGCTGAGAGATGGATGATGTTATACCAAAAGAACTTGTAGGTTGCTGAGGAGACTGAGCCGAAGTGGGTAAAGGAGGAGAGAAGGGTTGTTGTGCTTGGGAATACGTATCTGATATGAACGGTTGATTCTGTGATAAAGAAATTGTACTATGTGCAGGTGTTGGCTGTGTAGAGTTTGAAGAGTTTTGTTGATATTCCCAAGGTTGTTGCTGTTGATTAGGGAAGTTGGACTGTGAAGGGTTTAGAGAACCATATCCAGTGGGGTTGTAATTAGAACTGAATGGTTGTTGAGGGGTGCTGTTTCCCATATTTGATGGCAAGTAGTTGCCATTACTACCAGCAGTATTTTGCTGTTGTTTGCGAAATGGGTTGTTATCCATCGAGGATCCTTTTTAAGCCTTGGTCAGGAAAAAAGAAGGAAAAGGAAGCAGAAGTCGGTAATACGAAAACCTCAATTCTGCTTTCCCTTACGTACAAAAAGTCACAGCGAAGATTTGCATGAAAGAAATATCCTGCGTTTTTTAAAATCACGATCAAAAGGAATCAGTGACAGATACGAATACTGTACATACACCTGGCTTCGAATAAAAAATATCTCTGCTGTGCTTGAGCGTCTTTAATGAAAGGATTTATACACCCTTTATGAACTGCTATTAGATGCATGTAAAAACTTTCACTGATCCTTTTTTTTTTTATAGAAAAAGAAAGCTGACGAAGTTTTGCAGAGGCCCCTAATTCAGATGAACTGGCTAATGGAGTATACTCGTTCATTGTGGTATCAAAGGGACATTGAGAACACTTTTTCTTTGTTTATAATAATGTTATCGAATATCAACAGATAACCATCAGTCCTTTCAAGCTTAATCGCTGTTCAGAAACAGGCACGAAACTGGTGCTACTTTCGAAAGTTATACAACAACAATAATTGGTGAACATTTTCCCGAGACTGGATCAATTTCCACGCTGTAAGATCATTTACCGGCACTTTTGGCCTCTTCAACTTCTCAAGATTAGACGTCGTCATCAAGCCCATAAAGACTCAGTAAAAAGTGCTAAAATCAAAACTACCCAACATTTTATGGGAATACTTTTAGCAATTGGAAAATGAAGTCTTTCCAACAAAACAGGAACAAAAAGACAATTATGATTTGTGTCAATGACGCACAGAAAAGCTCAAACTGGATTAATTGCTCGAAAATGGAAAGATTGAGATTTTTCCTTCCCCGTGAAATCATGATTCAGTGGCAGGCAACCAATAAGTAAATACTATGAATAAATCATACAAAGTATTAAACGAGACCATTTTCTGTGGTCTCGGCATTGTAAAAGGTACTTCCAAGGCAATTTCTATGTACGTGTAAGAGTTTAGAAAATGAAATAGATGTGAATTAGCCTTATCAAATATGTAAATATTTTATGAGTCAGTTGCTTGTATACCTGTAACCGCTTTCACGTAACTTGCAGTCCATATTTATACAGCGGGGAATGGGCCTGCACGACCACTCAGAATTTTTGTTTTTCTTCTTCGAAAACTGGTATAAAAGCGCGCAGCTTGTTTGATCTTTAACAATCTTTCCCCTGTGTATTGTTTCCTTTTTCTACCGATTTTCTGCACCCCTTTGTATATTCCCTTACATAGATATCTACTTTATTTAACTATTTAATTTTTGCATGAAAAGTAAGGACGGTACAACGACAGTCCAAATAGAAAGATCTGCCACCTGGTCCCTTTTTGATAATAAAAATCAGAAAAATGCAAAGAATGACAGCCGTGACAACAGCACAAAGTCGAAAAGAAGCAAACGTCCGAAAACGCCAAAAGTATCAATGCTGAGGTTATTTCGATTCTCCACATTTACTGAACGCATTCTATTATGTTTCGCAACAATCTTTTCAATCGGCGCCGGCGCACTCCAACCAGTGTCTATTTTGATCTACGGTACATTTATCAATAATTTAACATCGAATCTATCTGATCCAAGCAGCTTGCTCGAGTTGACTTTACCGGTAATCCGTATTATGGCTTATATGGGCACAGCCTCGTTGATTGCTGCCTATGCATCCAATTGTTTATGGGTTCTGACAGGTGAAAATCAGACCCGACGCATTCGGTCACTATACTTACACTCAGTTTTGAAGCAAGATATGAGCTGGTTTGATCAAGCCGCCAATGAATCGCTCAATACCAGGCTGGCATCAGACACACAATTGGTGCAGGATGGTATTTCTGAAAAATTTGGACTACTTGTCACCCTCATTGCACAATTCGTTGGAGGATTCGTGGTTGCATTCATCAAAGGTAAAGCAACAGGACTAGAAGTACTTTCATCTGAGCAACATTAACTTGTCTTATTCTGAACAGGTTGGCAAGTAGCCGTCATGATTCTGGCTGTCGTCCCGCTTCTAATTGGACTCGGTAGAACGATGGTCTATTTTATAACAAAGTATGCTATAAGGACACAAACAGCCTATGCTGGGGCTGGCTCTGTTGCAGAGCAAGCTTTTCAAGCAATCAGAACTGTATACGCTTTCACCCTTCAGGATAGGTTCTCGAAGCATTACAGTATTAAACTGGAAGAAGCCTACAAAAACGGTGTTCGTCGCGCTATTAGTATGGGTCTTGGATTTGGTACTTTCATGGCTCTCCTATTCTTCACCTATGGGCTCGCTCTTTGGTATGGCTCGATGAAAGTTGCTCAAGGAGAATTAACAGGTCCTCAAGTATTTGTGGCTTTTCTCGCAATGATGTTGGGATCAATGAGTAACTATCATCAGCAAGTGTTGCTCTAATTATTTCGAATTATGTTTCTGACCGCATCTTCACTTTCACCTGATCTATTAGGTTTAATCAAATTACCTTCAAATCTATCTGCTGTATCAACTGCTTGTGGTGCCGCTTATAAAATTTACGAAATCATAGATCGTATTCCAAAAATAGATGTGGAATCCACTACAGGTCTAGTTCCCAAAAATATAAATGGCTCGATAGAGTTTCGCCATGTTCATTTCAAATATCCTACTCGCCCTGACCTTGTCATACTGGATGATTTCAACCTGAAAATTGAACCTGGCCAGACGGTAGCTTTTGTGGGGCCCTCAGGTTCCGGCAAATCCACTACTGTTCAGCTTGTTCAGCGATTCTACGACACCCTTTCCGGTCAAGTCCTTGTAGATGGCCATGACGTCAAAGATTTGAGTGTAAGATGGCTACGACAACAGATCGGTGCCGTGTCTCAGGAGCCAGTACTATTTAATATGACTATCCGTCAAAATTTACTGATGGGTGTAGAGGGTGAAGTCTCAGAGAAGTCTATCATCGCTGCGTGTGAGGAAGCGAATTGCCATACATTTATTACTCGGCTGCCAAATGGCTATGATACCTTAGTCGGTGATCAAGGTAGTATGCTATCTGGGGGACAGAAACAACGTATTGCTATTGCTCGAGCCATCTTGAAAAACCCAACTATCCTTCTGCTGGATGAGGTAAATGAGCAAAGTCATCTTACTAGTGATCCGGCTCGTTGTATATTCATATGTTATTTTCTCTGTTTTCCTTCATTTATGTTTTGTAGGCAACATCTGCGTTAGACACACAGTCTGAGCGCCTTGTTCAAAACGCATTGGATAAAGCATCTGCTAAACGTACCACAATTGTAGTGGCACACCGTCTGTCAACAATCATGAAAGCTGATCTTATCATAGTATTGGACCACGGTATTATTGTTGAAAAAGGCACACACCAGCAGTTAATTGAATTAAACGGCGTATATGCCGATTTGGTACGAAAACAGGCTATAAACGTTGAAGAAGCGAAACGCACTTCTGATGAGAATGAATACAACGCTGATGAATTGTTACGCCAGGAAGAGTTACAAATAAAGCAACAAATGGATGATGTGGAGATGCAACAGAACCTTAGCAAAATTCGTACAGGTCATTCATATCATAGTAACATGAGGGCCTCCGCTGAAAAATATCCGCGCGAAAGTAATGCTAAAGATATTGATGCTTATGACGTTCAGCATGAAGAAAAGGAACGCTTGAAAAAAATAATGAAAAAACAAAGAGCTCCCGTGTGGAAAGTTTTGAAGTTCATGCGTCCTGAATGGAAACTGTTGGCTGTTGCCCTTTGCGGATCTGCAGTTGCCGGTTGTATTTTCCCATTGTATTCTTTTTGTTTTTCAAGGGTAATCACAATCCTAAGTATTCCAGGCCAGGAAATTCAGCCGGGTCCACTCGAAGGTACCAATTTATATGCATTCATATTCGTTATGCTTGGGATTGTCACGTTCATCGGTAACGCTTCTCAGCTTTCCCTGTACGAGGTTTGCGGCGAACGGTTTACAAAGAGATTTCGTGCTAAAATTTTCTCTGCCTACTTGAAGCAAGAGGTTGGATTTTTTGACATGGAAGAGAATAACAGTGGTGCGCTTACTACAAGATTAGCGGTGGACGCTCGAAACGTTACTGAAATGATAACCAAAACTTGGGGTGATGTAACTCAGCTTTGCGCTACCTGCATCTGTGCGTTAGTTATAGCTTTTAGCCATAGCTGGGCATTAACCTTGGTTGTCCTTTGTATGGCGCCGTTTCTTACCATTGCTACTGCTTATGAATTTCGTATACAGCGAGGATACGAAGATGAAACCAAGAAGGCGAATGCTGACAGCGGTCAGGTTGCCGGTGAAGCGATTAGAGAAGTCAGAACTGTAGCCGCATTAAATAAGCAATCATATTTCGAAGATCGCTATTACCATGGTACTGATCGTTCACACAGCCTTGCTATGAAAAAAGCGTACCTTTCTTCTATTGCTGCCGGTTTTGGGAAAGGTATTAATATATATGCCAATGCATTGGCTTTTTATGCGGGCGCCAGGTTTATCCAAAATGGTATGATTGATTTTCAGCAAATGTTTACCAGTATGACGGTATGTACCCTCTATCTATGAATAAGTTTATTCATAAGTCTGACTTCTTTTTCACTCACTATATTGTAGGTGATAATGACTGCTGCTGAGGCTGCTGGTCGTTGTACAACATTCGCTTCTGCATTTTCAAAAGCTAAAATTGCTGCAATTGCCTCGTTTAATGTTCTCGAACGTGCATCGAAAATCGATCCAGATCTAGAAGGTTTTGAACCAAGCGCGGAATCTTTGAAAGGAGATATTAGCTTCAAGGACATCAAATTTGCATATCCCGCTAGACCCGATATCAATATCTTTGACGGAGAATTCAATCTCCATGGTCCTTCTGGTAAGACCATTGCTTTGGTTGGCCCCTCAGGCTGCGGTAAATCGACAACTATTGGAATGCTTGAACGATGGTACGATCCGTTGAAGGGCAATGTCTCGCTAGATGAAATAAATACACAACATTATTCTTTATATAATTTACGAAGTCATATGGCACTTGTCGGTCAAGAACCAGTTCTGTTCGACATGAGCATCAGTGAAAACATCAAGTTTGGCGTTGATGATACAAAGACCGTCACTGAAAAAGAAATTGAAGCAGCATGCAGTGCAGCAAATATCCATGCATTTATCTCAGGTTTACCTGAAGGTTACAACACTCGTGTTGGAAATAAAGGCTCACAACTCTCAGGAGGACAAAAACAGCGTATTGCTATTGCTCGTGCACTGATACGAAAACCTAGGGTGTTACTTTTGGATGAAGCTACCTCAGCTTTAGATAGTGACAGTGAAAGACTTGTTCAAGAAGCCTTAAATAATATTTTGGAAGAAGGAGGCAGAACTACTATCACTATTGCTCATCGTTTGTCAACCATTCAAAATGCGGATCTCATTTGCGTTGTAAAGGATGGGAAAGTCATTGAACAAGGAACTCATAGTGAACTGCTCGCTCTCCATGGGGTCTACTCAGAATTGGTCCATGAACAATCATTATCGGTGTTGTAATAAGATGAATAGACTGTTTTATACATTTGCATCTATAGTATTCTTCTTTATAGCTAGAACACACTATTTATTTAATTTTGCTTAATGTATCCCAAAATTACTTTATACCCTTCTATTAAATTAGATAATGGCACGGCCAGTAACTACGTAAGTGAGTATCTCGTAGTTTATTTTGGTCGCTGTATCGTTTATTTTATTACTCCTGTAAAAATAGTGGAATGACAGTATAAAAAATTGCTCAGGTTCCTAAGTTTAGGTTCTATGACAAAGTTAAGCTTTCTAAATACTCATGTTAAATCTTAAACAATGCATAGAAGAACTCGCAAAAACTAGATTACATAAAACAACTGACTAGTCAAACATTTTACCAAGTGCTCCAATGATTTGAGAGGGAGGTCTGGAAGCAGGGCTTTCCCATCTTTTTCATAAGTACTTTAGCACAGAATACGATGCTCCATTATAACGAACTGGATAAGTCTTTATTGTTTGGTTCTCTTGCATGATTATGCGCAACTAAAGACCTTTGTTACTCAATTAGGAAACGTGACAATGCCAGCAATAGAAAAAACGTCGATGTTGCTTGCAAAGCGGTTTCTGCAATGCTGTTTGGCACCATGTAGCAAATTTTTGCACAAGCATGGCAAGGATATTCCAAGAGCCACGGTTGTAAGCGCGCGGATGTGAACTTGGACCAAAAGATTCTGGGGGTGTACCTTTGAAAAGCAAAATACCAAAACCACTGGTTTGCTGGAAGGTAGCAGAATGATTTGAAGACAGTAGGAATTAACCCGTCGAATAAGTCCTCGTTTATAATCTTCTGGATTTTAATAAGGAAGGATGGCAGAAAACTCTAAATGGACAACGGGCTTCCGCAAAAGCAAATAAGAAGCTTTAAAATGGTCAACGTTCATGACTTCATCATATCACTTCCGGATGGCTATGTGCACGTGTAGACGATAAAGATTTTTAACTTTCAGAAGATCAGAAGCAACGAATTGCTATTGTTCGAGCACTCTTTCGTATATTGAAAATTTTACTTTAAGATGGGCCATTTCGGCTCTCGATAATGTGAAAGACGGGTATTAAACATTTCGACAATACTGTCCAAGCAGGTGGTAGGACAACAATTACAATTGCTTAACGACTTTCTAGTTTGCAACACGCTTGCGGACGTTATTTGCGCTTTCAATATTAGTAAAATTATTGAGAAAGGTGCACATCAATAACTATTGTACACAAATGGCACTTATGCTAAGTTAGTGCTCTATCAGTCACTCGCACATGTAAACTATTGCCTGATACAGTCAGGCTGGTACAGGCGGCTAAAAAAAGCAATTGACAATCGATTAAACCTAGTGTTATCTTTTCTGTAATCATTTGTATTTGAACAACAATTTTTTCACCATTCACTGACAAAGCGAAAATCTTTCCTCGACAATTGTATTTTTTATATTTTTCTCTTGTAACCGTCAATTATATCTTTTATAATTTCCCATTTTCATTTTTCTGTGATTGTGACCTTAACTACCTTATTGTCCATGGCCATTGATAAGCTATGATTTTTTTGAATAATCGTAATTATTGTTTCAAAGCCTCTCCTGACGAAAATCGACAAATTTTGATCCATGGCATTTTTAAGGCACTACTAGAGGAGTTTCATTGGACGATTGTGTCGGAGACAGAGATTTATTTGAGCACTAAAACTGTTTCAGAAAAGGGAATAAGTACAATAGTTCGATTGTGTAGCAAAAAATTACAGCTTGAACCTACAACAATTCAGCAAAGTCATAAAATGAGCAACAATGATGAGATTAGTAAGAGTAAGCCTAAAGTCGGCCGTCATCGTATATATTCAAACGAACAACGTAAAGACAGAAACCGCCTAGCGCAAGCAGCATTTCGACATCGTCGTAGCAATTATACGAAATTTCTTGAGGAGACTGTTACTGGACATGAAAAACGCATTCACGATGTGGAAGAATTAAGTAGAAAAAGCGAAGAACGAGCGCAACTTGCCGAATTGCGTTGTTTTCATTTAGAGAATGAAGTAGCTCATCTACGGAAGTTATTACAAATTGCTCTAGCGAATAACGGTATACAGCAACAAGCAGCGATAATGAACATTCCCACAGGTAGGGAAATCATTTTTTTCTGTATTCGAGTTTTAAATCTTGTTCGCTTGTCGAGTTTTTTGACAATTTCTTCACAACTAACTCTTCTGAAGACTGCATAGATAATACAGCTGTACCTTCTCCTGTAAGAGACAACGAATCAATATATCGCAGCCCTTCCTCAGACTTCTGCTCCTCTGAATCGAGCGGTTCCATATTCTCCAACCCAGAAGAACTTTTCAACCAACGACCAGATCCATGTGGAGGCGGTACTGTCTCTGACTATCAATTATTCATCCCCGTAGCGACACAAGGTTTCAACAAAATAGCTAGTAGCAATGTGCTGCTAAATGCGGGGGGTGATAATACATGTTCTAAGCAGATCCCTTTGATTACAGGCGAGTCTTGAGAGTTTACACCATATAAAGCTGAGAACTTTGGTCCTAGAGTTTTCACTTGCTTGCATTTTTTTGTTTGTTTTGGCGCAATAGATACAGACGCTTACTCTTACACGTTTACCGATGGGTCGAGTCAATATTATCTGGGCAAGTATTACATAATTCTGTTCAACTAAAATAATGAATCAATTTGATCCTAGTTTTTCTTTTTTTAATCTTTACATAGATCTGTCATAGAGTCGCCTTCCTCTCTTGAGTTTGGTTTTCGCCTATTCCTTTTGTATAGTTTTTCGTTATTTTGTGAACTTATCATTTCACGCTTGTACAAAAATCTCATATTTCCTAGTATAAACATCCTAATAAACAGTTATAAAACAGTTATATTCTTCACTTCTGTTATGTTAGCATATTGTTATCATGTGTAATTTTACGATATTAACTCACTTTCACACTATCCGATAGTATTTTTGATTATTGAATCAAATGGTTAAGTATAGCGATAATGGTGAACGCCATATTCATGACAGTTTTCGCAGTCAGATGTAGTAATGCTATCTTTTGTCAAACAGGGCAATTACTGCATGTAGAACTCACTTTTTGTGAAACTTTTTCCTTAAAAGTCGCGGCTGTTGCTACATGACGAACTGTCTTTGAACAGAAATTTTCAAGGGTTCCTCTCAAATGACAACAAGGACCTGACAGCGCAGAAGATAGGGTGACTTTATTAAGAAACCATAGGTTCCAGGTACAGAAAGACGAGAAATAACCCTTACACTTCGCATAGAACGTAAACTCTGGTCGAAGGTCTACCAATCCTTTGTTATCAATCACTACTGAAATTACCGCGGAAATGAGTCTTCTATATGTTTTAGCATTGTTGGGGTACTATTCGTGCCAATTACTTCCAACAGCTTTTTTTTTGATTTATTTTATTATGGGCTGTTTCAGGGTGTATGATTCAGATAAGGACAGAAACTCGGGACCTTTGCCCCAGGTGAATCACGAATTGTACGAGTAAGCTTTTCGATCTACACATTATCAGCGCTGGATCAATTTTCTACTTCTTCCACAAAGCATCTCAAATAATGGTGCTGCACAAGGCCATGCAGAAAATTAAGTTAGGAATCAGACACATTGCTTCTTTAATTAAATATTTCAAAAAAAAAAAAAGTGAATATATGTACAAATCGTAAGAGAAATGGCTGTCTCCTGTATCTAATGTGTAAATGATGTTGACAGGTATTCTATTCCATTCTAAAATAAAATTGCATTATTAAATAGGAAGAAATATGTATAATACAACAAGAGAATGCAATGACATAGCGTAGGTGTTTTAATTTGAGTAAAATGTGTGTTGTTGTATATTATCAATGTGAGTCGGTAAACTTGAACAGCAAATTGGAGGATTTCTAATGTTATTATTGTTAGCTGTGTTATTATTGTTATGATTGGGATCGAGATTATCTGCACGTGAAAGTGTAGCATTGCTCAGATTTTGCTGTACATTGTGGGTTGAAGAGATTTGCGGTACATAAGTAACAATTCCATTATTGTCTATAACATTCGTAACAGAAGGAGGATAGGGAATAGGCGGAACAATAGAAGTTGGAGAGGCTGCATAGGATATAGGAAGCTGACCGTGAAATTGTTGAGGAGCGGTTGGCTGTTGTTGCTGTAACTGTTCTGATTGCGTTTGCTGTACAGACCGCAATGGTAGCTGTGTCTTTGGAAGGTGTGATGGTAACTGTGGTTGTGATGATTGCTGTTGCTGTTGCTGTTGCTGATATTCAGAGGCAGCATTATGAGTAACAAGATTGTGTGCACGGGAACCTTGCCATTCAGAACGGTTACCGCTTGATGTACCCATATGTTGTGATATACTTTCTTCTGAGGTCTGTTGCTGCTGTTGAGGATTTTCCATGCCGTAGTTCCAATTGTCTTGTTGGTCAGTTCTAATCATACCGAAACTTTCTCCGAAAGCTACAATCGCTCTCTGCAAAGAGCTACCGATAAGATTCGGAAATGACTGATCAGCCTGTGAACTTCCTCTGTAGGGCTCTTCATATCCTTGATGTGTCCTGAATTGAGCAATTGTCTGCTGCTGTTCCAGCCGTAAGTTGTACTCACCGGCATATTGAGGATTATGGTCTTTGAAGGCGAAAGGAGGAGCCACATCATCTAAATTCTGCGTTTGGGTAGACAAATTCCCTGCCGTTTCCTGTTGCTGCTGTTGTTGTTGCTGCCTCTCAGCTCTGGCCTGCTGACTAACAGTAGCAATATGCTGAAGAACAGACGCACATTCAGGAATCATCGCAAGGATTCCTAATTTTTCTAAAACACGAACACATTGGTTGTACAGTTCCCATGATTGACGTGCGATTACAGGGTCTGGACTATCTAAATACATAGCATGCACACGAATAGCGGCTATGATGATATGGCCCAGGAATTCATACCGAAGGACGGCGTGCGAATCATTACATAAATCTTCAACATGTCGAATCAACAGAGCTGCGCAAATCCGATGTTCAAGAGCCATATTTGGGTCGTAAGGAAGACAAGATAGGGTATCACAGAGCATAAAATAATATATCACAAGTAAATAACCAACATGTTGTGGCTTTTTTCTTTCGCTAAAGACTTCTTCAATAGTTTCACAATGCTTGAAATTCCATAGCTCAGGTGTCGGTAAGTTTTCTCGCCATTGAACTAACTTGTTATAATAACCGATGAGCTGTGCATGAAATTGTTCTTCTGTGATGTCTTCGCGTATAGCATAAGAAGCTCGAATTTGTAAACCTTCTTCACCAATCAAACCTATCTTGATCTTTAGTTGAAAGATGAAGAGAACCCATTTGTCATGTTCGTCATCACCTGGAAGTGAATTTGGTAAAGCTGTTGTAGTCAAGGAAGAAGGTAAAGCCCATAATCTTTCTCTTTCAGCAGCTTGTAATTTATCTAGACAGTAACATGACCAAAAAACACGCCGCCGAAGTTCAATACCTTCTTCAGACATATCTTGTCGAGATTGGGCAGAATCCATATTCAGGCCTAGTTCAAGACACATACGGCAGGCCATCCCGTTATACACCCAAGATCGACAATGTTGCTCAGTAGCCGGGTGTGTTTCAAAACTTGCGAGAAGGTACAGAGCAGCCACTGTACTGACTCGTGGCGTATCCAAAAAATCATCCAAAAGTTTTATAGCGCGATTAAAGAACACCACAGGTTTTGGAGCATTTTTCATTGTGCCGAATGAGCTGGATATACAATAAATAGCATTCAATAATAATGGAGTAATTAAAGGCCCCTTAATACGCAATTGTTCATAGAATAAACGTTTTGGTATTACAGGTGAGATCATATATTTGGTTTCAAAAAACTGGTGTATCAAATGCATCTGCATTTCAATGGGAGGCATTTCGATAGGTACAGAATACGTGGAAGGCAAAGGTGGTTCGTGCCTCCAACGAACAAAGCGACCAAAAATAGGATATTCACCTAACTTCTGGTTTTTTCTGTAATTCTCAGAGCAAAACTGACCAGCATTGTGAGTCCACGTGTCCATGTCTTTCAATCGTTTCGTAGCAATGGCAGAAGTTTTCGGTTTTGAGAATAAAATAGATTCATCGTCAGGGCTAATACTGTTATTCTTTGATTCATCTTGACCATTCTCTGATCCTTGTTCGGTTGGAGTGTGTACTGTGTCAGAACTGGAGGGTTGACAGTTTCTACCACGAGCTTCTCCGAAAAAAAAAAAACAAAAAAACATGATTCAGTGAAAACACTTCCAAAACAGTTCAATTATCGATCAGTGTACCTTTGCACTATAGTCCAACAGTGATAACCAATTGATATGCAGGAAAGAAAGGGAAAACAAGACATTTAGTTATACATCGATTTTGAACGAGCATTTGTAGCATGGTGTTGTACCTGCATGCATGGTCTGAGCCCATCACACTGTCAGTAAACGGAAAAATTAGTGATCGAGTCGATCTTTCTACATGTTTTCTCAAAGTTGTACGAACTTTTATCTTTTTGCTTCGACAAACATAACATGCATGTCCAACCTTGAGCCGTTTATATTTTAGCTCTTGTGTAGCCTTCGCCATGATCTGATTCCACAATCAAAACGTCTGCGCAGGAATATGTAACGGGCGAGGCTGGTTAATTTATGTAAGACAAAAAATAAAAAATAAAATAGAAAATCAACAAAAAGAAAAAGAAAAAGTCGAGAAGAAAAGAATGACTAAACTCGACAGTAAAACACCGATCAAAACGGATTCGGCTCTAGAATCCTCACGCGTTTAAACAATTACAGTTGATGCATTTTTTTCTTTTTGAAATCAAGGTTCTCTGAAATAGAGATTGAATAAACATTCTCAGCCAATCAAGTATTCCTTATAATGCCCAAACATTTTCCCGGCCAATCAAATCATCCATCGTTCCTTTTTTTGGAAGAAAACAAACAAATAAAAATTCATATATTTCTGATAACGCTGTAATCCATAAGTAAGGATAAAATTCGTAGTTTATATGTATACCAGTTATGCACTTCTAAAATCTTATTGAATCCATCTAATCCTTAGTGGCATTCGCTTTGCTGGCCTTATCAGCATCTTCTACCTTGTGAACGCTGCAGAAAGTTACATTGAGATAGAGATGCTGACGGCCAAGAAGGGGACTTTGCACATTAGAAATTCTGCGTTGGAATGCAAATTTAGGAATAGCATCCGTCCTTACTAATAGACGATGTCAGAAACAGTCTTTTACAGTCTAGGCGATAAGATAACGAGAAAAATTCTTAATACGTCAAAAAGTTCTCTTCTCTACTAGTAACGGAATCTCTGATAGCACCATATGAATCAAAACGGGCGTTGGCTGTGAGAGAGCTGGCGGTTCAAACATGCCTCTAAACATCTGTACGCACTCTTCATCGATGACAAAGGTATACTTGTCCGTTGTTAACCTCCCAATCCCAACTCACTTTTTGCACAAGGCCACTGATGATAGTTAACTCTTTCGAGCGTAGTAGCACAAATACAAGCAAGGTCTAACAATTTTATCAATAAACATATGATGATATCGCTGGTCAATGACGCGAGTGAATCCCTCTAGTAAGCTCGATGGTATGTAGCGGAGCAGTGTACTATTTGTCTTTACCCTCGTAATATTCCATTCGAGATGGTCTTTGGCAAATGCAACAACACTATAACAACATGTTTCTTTGTGGGTACGACATCTTCATATTAGCAGTCTAAAGTAGATGTGTATCTCTTAGGCGTTGTAGATCATTATAGATCACAATATCTTGTCAATGCTTAGTCAATTCGTATATTGGACAAGAGATTTCATGTAAATACACCAATTGTTCGTATAGACTCTCAGTCCATTGAGATATATTGAATTTCGGGAAATATTGGAATACTCGTCCATCCCTTGTATAATGTTGTGTATATAATGTATGACCTCTTTCAGCCATTCTATGAGGCATTCCTGATTTCATTATTGTATGATTCTCTACTCATCCTGTTTACTGATAGAGAACTAACGCAACTACACCGAGAAAGAAAGCTGTCGTTGCCCCTCTACCACCCCCAATGACACGTTCACTAAACGTTCACGCTTTTCCGTTTTATGCAGTTGTAAATAAACAGAAACTATTGAACAGCAGTTACTCTATTTGATTGACATAATTGATATATGCCAGCTTATAATACAGCTCTATTACAAATTTCTATCCATAGCCGTTTTCTCGATCAGTTGGAATAAATTTTGAAACGTCGATCTACTTGTAGCTTTGCGATCTTCGGAAGCTGTCGGCTTTTCATTCAACTGAGTTTAGAAAAATGCATGAAACTTCTTCAACTGACTCTAATTGCTTAAAAAAATGGATCACATTTCCTGATAAACATATCAGCCGAATTACTGTAAAAATATAGCTTTACAACTTACGTAATGGGTTATTCTGCAAAATTTGTTTTCCACGAAGCCTCCAATGAAAAGAGCCAGAATAAACCATCAAAAACTTATTAGGTAAGTCGAGCTGAATGAAGTTCGCCTCTTTTTTTAGCGTGCAGTTCAAATCAAATTTGTTACGATGCTTTTCCAAATCCAAAATTTGAACCTACAGAACTGTAATATCTGAAGTAGAGTATTGGCTTTTGACCGCTCGGAATAGGATTTAACTTTTCTCACATGTTTATTTCCTGCATCAGCAACTGCTTACATAGTGCCGGCAAAGTTTTTCCAGACAATGGCGTTTGTAACCACTTTCATTTCCCAGTGCTAGATTTGTTTTTCCGTTTTATGTACATTGCTTATCAGTCAACTTTCGCACTCTGACTTTCTTCTACAGGATTGTCAGAACATGTCGTTCGGATAAGCCACTTCTGGTTTACTGTAGAATACGGCTGAAATGTTTGCACAGTAATAGCCATAGGTGCCTTAAATCAATAAATTTATTTGGCATATTCAATCTAAAGTTTTTCAGGCAGTGAAGACTAAAATAAGAATAAACATCATGAAGCCAGTAATATATCCTTCACCTTTTATTTTTGGAGACGCACATTTGATGTGACTTTCGCCCATCTATTCTATATACTTTTTTTGGGTTCTTTTTTCTATGGGCAACTGATACGATAGGTGCATCTATTTGTTACCAGGAAACAGAACTATACTGTCATCTTAACATATGAAACAGGTATGCCAGATTATTCTATAGACAGTATGCCCAACAAAAATATACCACGAATCATGGGGAATCAATGCTTGCGGCAAGGTTAGCAGAGGTTTAAGCTATTATATCAAGTGGGTTTATTAGCTGTCAATCACTAAATAGATAACGTAAGGCATGCAATAAATCGAATAGCTCACTCTGATGAATTTGAAAAATAAGTGAAGGACATACGGAAGGATTTACTTATAAGCGTTTTTTTCTTGAAAAGTTCGCTTTAGAAAGAATTGCGAGCATCACCATTAGATACAAAGAAGTCGATAAGACCCTATTTTTTTTTTTTAAAAAAAAAGGCTTCTGCAATATCGTAATGGCCGATGATGCTTTCAAACCTAATAGCAATCTTAAGACCATTCTGTGCGAACCTTGGCAATGGTGGGCTGACCACAAAGAAGCGTAGGGTCCATGGCTTAATTGGCCTTTTCCCACTCCAGTCACTGTGGGCGAAGCAAAACGGCCGTTTGATATTGTACGTAAACGGACGGTTTTTTTTTTTTTTTTTTTTTTTTTTTTTTTTTTGCTTCAACAGCAGCACTGAACAAAGTGGCCAAAGACCTTGCAGACATATCGATCGAAGGAGTCGACAGCGTCGGCGAAGAAAAAATAATGTCATGGCTGTTATTCGAAATTTGTTCGTCTAACGCCTCCTTCAACTGGACAATCTTGCTTCTATGATAGGAGAAACCTATAGAATGGACACCAGTTGGATTTCGAGAGGAGGGTGCTATCAATTTCCATAACGGTTTCTGTTGGGGCTGGAGGATCGTTGATTGGGTCGTGAATTCTCTTACCGTCTTCTCTTCTGACGGGCAGGACGGACAGTTTGAAGTTGACCACCAACTGGAATGTGCTTCACAATAGTTAGTTCATGCTTTGTGCCAGAAACAGAAACAACGGAAAAGCGAAGATACTGCAATAGGTAGTTGATTAGAAAGTTATATCAAAACTCCAAATTGTGTGACTTTTGTTCCTGGCTCTTTTTCAAAGATACGTTAGACCCTAACTTCCATAGAACGTTAATCGTAGAGCAGAAATTGCTCCCACAAATAATTCACACCATTCATATTGGGTCCGTGCATTCAGCGAACAGTACCTTATTCAGACTGGAAAGGATTGGTACACTAAACATAATGGAAGTACAGTGCAACTTTTCATGTCGGCGGTGTTGATTGGAGTAGATAAGGCCATATTCGTTTGGCGGCCTCACAGAATCTTACTAATGACTCACATATATATTCCCTTTTTAGTGACAGCAAATTTTCCTTAACATTAATATGATAGCAGTAAGTACGGCGATTGCTCAACCCTGGCATTTACTGTGGCTCTGGCTTTGGTTGTTTTGTTTGCTTTATAGCATCGTTTGCTGTAAGACTGGACGCTATCGGAAAGGCTACCATAATAAGCTTTGCCTTTAAAAATAGAGAGATCCTCTTTGATGCTCAATAGCGACAACAAGAACTTATATTGTGCATTCTATAGCAATGTTGAGCCAATATTGTGTCTAAAATAACTGCTGATACTCCAAAGCGCTCTATTCCAACCCTTTGAACAATCGGCCATTTGGCTATAGCCTTGCCATCAATAGATAATACCTTGTCTGGAAAGTTGGCCGGACGACCAGTAGTGAATCCGGGCAGTACATCACCCATTTACTTACGAAACTTCAGCATTAAATAAAAATAAAGAAACCATATTTATATTCAACTATGGTGTTCAGGTGGTATAATTGCTATTTTAAAGCTGTAAATAGCTAAAATGATACTATAAATTGAATGAAGTAAGGTATATACAATAAGGCTATTAACTTGCGAGCTTTGCTTTTTTCATGGGAAACCTCGTTCTAGTTGTTGGTATCTCTCTAATATCTTCGCGGATAATGAAATTGTCTTGTGTGTCTTGGTCTTCTAAAATGAAAGTTTTACGTTTGTGATTTTCGTTTTTGGCGGACGGCTCTTCTATGACGGACGACAAAGATACTGCTTCGGGAGCTACTTCTTCAGAATCTCCTTCAATAATCTCAATTTCATCATCACTAATACATATTAAATCACTGGGGTCAATTTTCTTGGACGTGGTTGCTTTGTGGTTAATATTGCCTTCTACTGTTCTTTTTAGCCGCTCATTCTGCTTCCTTAGTCTAGAGATTTCAAACAACGCATTTTTGTAGTCCAAATTGGCAACCTCTCGCGCTCTAACAGAAAAGCAACATTAGACGTGTAAGAATTAAATTAAGTGGCATATAGGTCTATTTTATCAGCCCGTACCTTTCGGCGTTCGCGTGTATTGCCAGCGCATACACTAACAACTCATCACGAGTGGACTTCTCCAGTTTTTTCCCAAGTTTTCTAGTTCTTTCACTGCTAAGCTCAGCATCTAAATCGGCAACCCTACAACAATATTAACAGCTGTGTGAGCGAAACAAATAAGCAGACAAACGAGGAAAGAAATCAAATAGCTGCTCTCTGTTTTCGAAAAGAGTACTTTACTTTCTGAGCTGCTGTACAAACCGAAGGCTATCTGTTTTATTCTTCAGTTTGATTTGGAGTGCATCAATTTCTTTGTCTTTGGCTAATATGATTTTCGTTTTGGCTGAAATACTTTCTTCTGTTGACTTCTTCAATGCTCGAATATCGTCCATTAACTGTTGAATACTCTTACGAAGTGACAAAATCTCCAATGTAGCCTCATCGGATGTTGTTATTAACGGCAGAGCTACTGAACTGCTCTGTTGGGCATCGTCGGTTGAGGTGAAATAAAGCTGATTAACGTCTTTACGAGGATTCACCGAAGTTCTACAAATCGGGCATTCTTTTTTGCGGTTTAAGCATTCCTTTATACTTAAAAGATGCAATTTTAAAAAGACTGTAAGCTGGAGATGATCTCAAGGGGAACTTGTACTCAGAAACTTTTTATGTTTATTACCAAGTGTTGTGAAAGACATGACCACATGATAGAGCTGCTGATTCAGTTTGTACGTTCAATAACTCATCATAGCAAATAGGACAGGTAATCATATTCAATATTAATTTAAACCTATTTGAAGGAAGAACAGAGGGAAGAGGGGAAGGATTTTTGCACTTTGCTACGAAGAACTTCAAGCTCTCCCATCCAATGGAATGGGATAACCTTAATGCAGTTTCCAAAAGTAGTCCTCATCGTGACTTGTCACAATTTCTACTTTGTCTAATTTGCGATCTCGTCCAAATGCACTTCTCATACTTTTAATGTCCACTTCTAAAGAAACCGATCGAGGTACAAAAGTCATTAAAGGCGAGAAGAGCAAAAGTAGCCAGTTTACTCAGCGTAATACCCTTGCCAGCCTTTTGAATCGTGCCATCAAATTTCGTAAATCACGCTATGTTGATCATAAACTAGAAGCTTTCAAGCAAAAATTCGCACCTGTCAACGGTACCACTGGCATTGTGCATGCTTCTTCCAGTTTTTCTGCTTATGGCAATGACGGTGGTGGTGAAGACTATCTAGGAGAGAAAATAGATGCTAATGGATTCGAACGACCTTCTAAAGTACTTTTTAACAAGAAAAAATTGAACACAGCCTGGAAGGAAATTTATCCTGTAGGATCAGGTCTGAAAGATCTTGGTAATCTGTCAGCACTCAACGCAGTTTTACAAGCCCTTACCTATACGCCGGCCTTAGCGAACTATTTAATGGACAGAACACATAGCTCAAACTGTAAAGTGTTTGCTCGATAATCTGTAATTTTTCGCGGATCTGACAATAATCTTTTTTTTTAAAAGGCACCATGCAGGACTATTGCTTCGTTTGTGCTTTAGAAGATCATGTAAGAGCGGTACTGAAAGGCTCACCGTATGCTATTCAACCGCGCAGCTTTGCAGGAAAATTAAAAAGTATGTTTGAAAGCACATGAGTGGTTTACTGAAGTTATGCTAACCTAATGCAACGCCAAAAATAGAATTGTCCAAAGGTTCACCAAAAGATGCTTTCAACGTTTATCGTTTTTTTGTTGAACAGATTCAAGAATTTTTGTTATCAGAAATGACTTCCAAGGAAAAGCGTGTTAAAGAAACCACAGCTCTATACCAATTATTTGGTGGTTATCTTCAGAAAAAGCTAGACTGCCCAGCTTGTAATCAGCTCGAAAACAATTATGATGCATTGCTCGATCTCAGCCTCAGTATTAATAGGGGAAATTCGGTTGAACAATGTCTCACTCACTACTTCAAACAATTTATATCCGTGTCTGATAAAGAGTGCATACATTGCGGACACAAAGGCTCATTCAAGGGCAAACGGAGTATTTATAGATCACCCATGAATCTAGTCATTCATTTACAACGGTTTGCAAATGATACGGATGTCACAAAGAACAACAAATACATTAGGTTTGAAGAAACTTTGGATATTTCGCGTGTAATAACAGAAACCGAGAAAGAGCATACGAATAGTAAATATCATCTGTATGCAGTAATTACACATACGGGCGAGACTTTCCACGGTGGCCACTACATAGCGTATGTGAAGAGTTCCAATGGTATTTGGCACTGTATGGATAATGAAGTTGTACAAGTTGTGAGTTTGAAAAAACTGCTGGAGCAAAAGCCGTACATGTTATTTTATCATATGCCCTCTGAGGCCAGCAGCAAAAAGTCAAAGATTCCTGTAAAGACTGAAAACAACAACACACCTGATGAAAAGCTAAAGTCTTTGGCCACAAAGGATAATACTTCTGATTTTGAAGAAGAGATTGCACCTATAAATACGCAAGATAACGTAGAGCAACCAAGTGAAATGTATAATGCAACCATTATAGCAGATGATGATACTGACGAAGAGGAAATGGAAGAAAAAGATAGATTACGTCAAGCAATGGAGACTTCTTCGAGGAAGCAAAAGGTTGAAAACTTGAATGCTATTGTGGTTGATCAGCGTGCAGACATGAAAACGAAACGTGAGAAGTTGAATGAACTAATAGAGAAAGAAAATGAACTAAGTAAAAGTGCACAAGTGAAAGAGGCCTTATTAGCAAAAGCCTCTAACATTCAGTTCCAGGATGATGTTGATACTTGGGGAGAAGATATCGGCAGTTCAGTTGAAAAGCGAGATGAAGTCCTTAAGAAGCTAAAGGGTAAGCGCAAGAAAGTTGATACATACAATTTGGAGTACGATCGAGGAAAAGTCAAGAAGGTGAAGAAAAAGCGTGATGAGAAATTCAACCAACCTAATCTATTTCAAATGGCGGCTGATATGAAGGCCCAGCAACAACCCAAGCAGAAACATAAAAAAAAATAGTGTTAAAGTCATTTGTAGTTTATTTTTATAGAAAGAAACCATATTCGCAACCTACATATTTGGTAGATTATTAACCCATCTAGTTGCCGTTGTTGTAAATAGTATAAGAATTAAATGTTTGTATACGGCTTGATCGCTGTTTTGTTTTATTTAACTGCTTTACGCCTTTTTTCCCAGTGTACTGTCTGGTTGGTGGAAATTGGACTACAGTGTTTTCACTCGTGCTGGCGAAGGCAGGATGCTATTAAGCGGTCGATGTGGGCGGCTTCTTGGTTTATAAAAAACTCAGTAGTCATTCAGGCAGCTAACCATGTGGGAGTTCTAGATCGCTTAAGAGTAACAACAACGTCAGGAACAATACTTATCCCTGGACATTCCTAAGCGCTTAAAAATTCACACCTGATATCAAAAAATATGTAAGGAACATGATATCACCTGATGAGTTTAGGGAAGAAGAGTGTTTTTTGGTCAAAAGCCTTTCTCTGCAAAACAAACAGCTGATAACAGAAATGAAGCAGATAGAACATCATCTCTGCTAGCATTTAGACAACCCTTATGGTTTTGATACACAGATTCCCGATGACACCTGGGCAGAGTTACCAGTACGTTGTGTTGTGTATGCATAAGCTGAAGATAATGTAGATACACACAATAAACCAGGTAGAAATAAACACCAACTTTTTCAAGAATACGCTCCTCTAGCATGCTTAGCATATCTTACACTGTATGCATCTACCTTTTCACGGGGCGAAGAGGAAGAGGTGCTCAACCTCTTGCGCATGAAAGGTTAAATCAGATGGTGTTAGATGGAGTGTCAAATGGATAATTCAATTCGAGTATAGATTAATTTTATGTTACTGGCATGAATCGCATTCAATATGGTACCCTTCTTCTGATGAAAAGTTTAGTGGCTCTCATTTAAGGCTTTATTTGTAATACATGGATATTTTCTGATTGCATAACGGGACACGTACGGTCATACTGCTTCAAAGTAAAGATGGCTATAATTTGTGAACAATTTTGACTCTATTCTTAACTATTGTTGAGCATTATTTGTTAGAAAAGTTAGTGGAAAAGGGATCATTCTCAACTATAATATATTTCATTTATAATGTCTTTATCTAAAGAATAGCGCTGCTGAAGGTCAAGCAACAAGGGATAAGCCCATCAAAATTTAGATACGGCATTACGATCCTACTTGATCAAGTTAGAAGTACAGTATTATTTCCAAATTAAACATAAAACAACAGCACCTTCCCTCTCCCACGCAAACACACAAAAACAGTTATTTTCACGTGAAAACATTTGGAAACAGTAGCAGAAATAAGACCATGACAAAAAGGAATATGTAAATGATGCATTGATTAAGCTTATCCCAGGACTCGAACCTGAATAAGAGTAAAATTACTTACTCTTGTTTTAACCATTTAAACTAGATAAGCAAGTATGGGAATCTTGGCCTGAGGTCGCCTCATACTCCTTAAAGAATGTAACACTTGCTCAAAAGAAAGAAAACTATGGAACGTGGAGAGGCTTGGATTATAAAAGTTGAAGTCCTAAGCTAGGTCATAAAAGGTACTCTGCAAAAAAGCAGGTGTTCGGTTTGCTCCCCTCGCCAAGCGCTTCGCGATTATGATTAAAGCTTCAGACAGACAAAACAACTCTTGATAACCAAGTGGTACATGAGGGGAAACATAAAAAAGGGGAAGGTGTGAAGGCAATGACAAACAATCTACCGCCGTCCTTCAGTGTTAGGATCCCAGAACACGACAGATGACCGCTCAACCCCAACACTAGCGACAGAGGGATTTACAAGGCCCAGTGAAACTGTCCTATGGTCTGCCGGTGTCAATTAAGAACAAGATCAATGGGAATAAAGAACAAGGTTTGCAGTAGACTGCCGCCAAAGCCGAGGAGCAAGCGTTACAGAGGATATAAGTAAACGATGGCCATTAATGTATGAAAAAGAAGAGAAAAAAAAGAGACCTCCAAAGAGAAAACATGGGGGCTTTTTATAAGAAAATTTTCTTCTTGTCACGCGACATCCAAACAGTCAACGATACAAGCCTCCCTATTCTTATGTAAGTAGTCTCTTCTTAACTAGTACCTATGCCTACAAATTATCGTGGGATACTTTTGAACTGAAATTCGGTTACAAAATTCTGACTGATATTGGCGCTATTCAACTAACTGACCAGGCTGAATAAGATGTGACGCTATGTAAATATTTATATACTGACCAAAGGTTGCTTGACGTGATGCTATTCAGTCAAGTTCTTCTATCTTTCTATGATGTAAGGCTTTTTTCGATATTGTATCAATAAATTTCTTTATATATGCGTCTTTTCTGAAGATGCTGTGAATTCAAATACGTCTTAACGTATCTATACTGCTCTCTACAACTTAGATATTGTTTCGATTCGTAATGCAAGTTCTAACTTTATTGACCCCAAACTACATACATTCAACACAAAGAACGGCTATGATTCGCATCTGGCTTTGACGGATTTCAATATAATGTTTAAAGAAGAGGTTGATATCCGGTTCTCATATGAATCCAACTTATAACCATCGAGTGTATTCCCAGCAAAAACCAGTATACCAGAAATTTGGTAATTTGGAATCTAGTCAACGCCAGCAAGTAAGTGTAGAATCTTTTAGCAGCGTTGTAGTCCTGGCTGCAAAGTCAAGCAGGTTTTGCAGACAAGGATACTTTGGTCGAAAACAGTTTTTAATGCTTCAACAGTGTTAAAGCGACAATTGTTGCATGTTTTCGGAATTAGGTATCAATCAATAGTCATTACGAGTAAATTGCCAGCAGGCTTTCTTCACTTCAAGGCACACCAAAAAACTCCAACGCCACCAGCTTTGTGGTTCTGCATTTAGAAAATACCATTCTGTCGGCATTTTTCTTTGGCCATTCGCAGCGATTCTGCCCTCGATTCAATTTTTTTGCAAGGTTTTGGCTTTGTACAGGGTAAGTATTAGCTAACAGCGATGAGGGAATAAAGTATGGAAGAGGTCAAAGGGACGACATCGAATTTATTTACTGTGAATGCTTCGAGTTTGGCAAGGTATATTTTTATTACAATAGAAAGCAATCGTCATGAAATCAGTTTAACGCGTAGATCAATTCCTTTGACCCAGTCTCATGAAAGCAAACCCGGTGTCTATTGCTGATATGACCCACTAAAATACTCAGTATATCTCGTAATATTGTAGACGTAGTGTCGCTATCAATTGAAAAAACCCACTGACCTTCAAATATTGTCTCCAATTAAAGTGCGAAGACTATTTTTTAAACAGTTGTGCCTGCGCTGCTTTGCTTGTTTCCAAAATTAATGACAATAGGCATCCTCCGTTGATGATTGTTTTGAAAAAGACGTCATGAAAAGTTCCTGTATCATGCCCAAGATACCCGGCTTTAGTTTATGCACAATACACCTAATTCCCAGTTGTGTTAATCATTGGTGTATGTAGTGTAACTACATCTATAAATAATAGTCTAGCTTCTGCTATCAGATGTTGATTTGCCATATGTTCTTATCTGGGCGAAGCGTTGCTTCTTATAATCGTCGGCAACTCTGTCTATCCAATCAACAGATTGGCTATTATTAACCTATAAGTTATTATATAGTGGTGTGAAAAACAGTTATACTTGCATAATACATTTGACTTACCTTCAAAGGAATTATTTGCCTGTTTCAAGATGAGGATAGTCTGTTAAAATGTTAGATTCAGTCGTAGAAGGACGGAGCAAAAAAGATAATTATATAAAGGCTACGGTACGGTACGCTTTTTTTGAAATAAAAAAAATGCTACTAGGCTTAAGTCATAGCGCTTAACCATACTTTGATTAACAGAATCATATGTTTTGGTTCTCGCAGCACTTCAGTGGATTTGTAGTTAAAAACTAGTAGATACTTACACAATGAGACGCTTAGGATGTTTTATTCGTTTCAAGCATTTTATAATTTGATGATGTTTGGAATGAAGCAGAAGCCATGAACATTGCTAAACCGAACGTCTTTATATGCAATACCAATTCTAGAAGATTTACCAGCAACTATTTTTCTTTATAACCGCTAATTATGTCTTTGTGTAAATTAAGAATTTCATTTCTGTAACCGACAATATCCAACAACCGGACTGTACTTTGTTCATCATGGACAAAATATATGCAGCATCGATAAGCAATGAAGATAGCTTGTTTGAACAAGGTATCGATTTACTTGATGCCGTATATACCGAATTCAGTTGCGAAGAATATGTCGAAATTTTGTTGCATATTGAAAAACAGCTATACCACGAACAATATGCAAACCTACAGTCTTTAAAAAACGATCTGCAACAAATCCCAATACTTACCCCAGAATTTCTTGGGAAAAAGCACAGTTCGTATGTAACTTAAGATGTATGCCATATGAACAATTTCATTTCATTGCTCAAACAAGATTCTTCGTAGGCGTCATCTTAAACATATAGATCTTCAATTACCTATTTACAAGTATATTTCTCTTCGGAAGGAAAGGTACAGTATCTAGTGATACAATTTGAAAATAAATATTTTGGTTGACAACAAGTTATATTAAATGTAGTCATTTGGTTACTGTGTATATTAAGCAACACCTTGAGCTACATATCTCACTAATCAGAGCATTTAACCAAGCATTATCTGCTCAAACGCCACCATCACAGTTACCCCCTTTTCGACTTTTTATAGCCAACCATTATGAACTTTTACTCAATGCCCGAGATACATCACATATTACTCTCGCAGTTTTCATCAATGCCGCATATAAGCAACTGGAAAAAGATCCTGAGATGTGTAATTTAGTTGCTAAAGTAGCGCTCGTTCATCCTTTAGGCGGCTTGCATAAAATAGAAAACAAGAAGGCGACCAATTTACAAGGGTGGATCAAAATCAAAGTAATCGACTTTAGAACCATAAACACAGTGACATCAATGCGTCTTGCGATCAAACTGTTTGAAGGCGACTCTGAAACAGTACGTAATACTTCAATGAGTGAAGATCTAAAAGATTTGATGTCAGCACAAGAAAATGAAATTAGACGACGATTCTTGCGTGTAGTAACGTCTCGAAGCTACCGTAACGCCAATTTTCATCTTATGTTTGACGTGGAACCCAAGTTTCTTTTTGAGAAATATAAGAGTGTTACAGAGCGAGCTAATGAAAGAGCAATTTATGACCAAGAGTGCGTTGTCCCTGAAAATAGTGAAGATATAGATTGTCTGCTGGAAGCCATCACAGATCATTGGACTAAACTCGAACATTGTACACTTCTAATCTAACAATTTTTGTCGTGATACCTGAATACATTATAATGGTTTAATCTTTATTTCTTAATTGACTGCAAACAACGGTGTATGAAAGTGTCAAAGAAACAATGCTACAGGAATGTCCTCTCAAAAACAAAAGATGCTGAAGGCTATTTCAAATCTGTATATTTCCTGAGTAACGAAGTCGTACAGCTATTTCGTAAACCAACTGCTTCACAGCGTATTGTTAAAACTGTGTCCTTACTTCGCTTGAAAGGCAAGCCCTACATTGGACAAATGACCGGCTTAATTCAGGCAGACGACAGCAAAGAAGCGGTTGGCTTAATCATGCGAAGATATTCAATGACGTTGCGTGATTATCCGCACGATTATACACACCGACGTCTAACCAACTACCAATGCATGGATATTATTGTTCATTATTGTTCAACTTTTACGTGCTCTTCAAATTGTCCATAAAGAAGGAATTGCTCATCGTGATTTGTCGACTACCAATTTCGTGATGGATATTCCTGGCGACAGTTCAACCTTGCTTGATGATTCACCACGAACAAAAGTTTATTTGATTGATTTTGGAAAAGCTGTGTTTACAAAACCGAAAGACACTCAATATTGGTGGTTACAGCAAGAGAGCGCATATAACCGAGGATTTGAAATGTATAAAAATGAAGTTCAACCAAGAAATAAGGATGAATTAGCGGTTTGGTGTAAGAATCTGCCATTAACGATGGCGCGGCCGGATCATGGCTATCGATTGTATCGTTCAATACAGACTTTGCCCAAGACGCAGAGGGACCGCAAATTACTGCCTTATCTAATTGATCCTATAGCTGAAGATGTTTATTCAATGGGTGCGCTTATTTGGAAGATAATTTCGGGTATGGAGCCTTGGCCTGGCGTATTCGATATAGACCTAAAAGCGTTGCGTGAAAATGTTTCCAACGACGAGTCTATTGATCGAATAATCCACAGGGAAACACCGGGGCCTACGAGTGCACAGCTTTTGAAGATGTTTTTGCGCGTTAACCCTGAAGATCGTTGCTCTATCACTGAAATCCTCGGCTGGCTCGAGCGACCTGCGATACGCAAGGCGTTGTTATGTGAATGGAATATACAAGCAAATGCAGGAAGCAGAACTCGTCCAAGAGCACTTCCTTGGACATATGTTAGGTCAGACAAAGTAGAGAAGACAAAGAGAAAGGAACGCGAATACGTTGTTATTAATTCAGACGACAGCTATGCAGAACTAGAAAGCAGTAAGAGGCAGAATCGTAGGCATAGATTGTTGCAGAAACAGCCAAACTTTTATAATAATAACAATGATTAATATCAGATGCGAAGCTCATATACTCATTACGATGATATGCTCCAACCTGTGCAATTTATCCAGTCGACTAGCATGAACAATTTATATAACAATGGTACCGCCGCTACCGCTTCTGGTTGTATGCCAGTTACATCTACTTTATTCACCAAAGTTCCGGCCTCGACCACGTACTGGATTTCACGAGAATCAACAATGAAATCGAAAACTTACGGTGCTAATGCTAGCATTCAATACGTACCTACAGAAGTATTTTATTATAGCTCAAAAGGGCAGCTGCAGCAACATCAAGTACGATCCGCAGGCCCTGTACCGCATTATTATAGTTCACAGAACATCCAAAAATATCAATTCCAACAACAAAATCGACAGCAGCATGAAGAGCACTTACAAAGCTTGTCCAGCCCTTACGAAGTTACAGTGTCAAATCGCCAACTAAATAAGATTCCACATGACGCAAATTTCGAGAAAAAAGAAGTCATTTATATCTCTGATTAGCACTTTATTTCGCCATTATAATATGCTACACTTGATTTATCCAGATTCTGAACTTATTATACTATGAAGGATAAAAGGGCACGGTATAAGATTCATTATGATCGAGAAGCTAATTCATCATCTTCAGGGAGACCTTCCTCGCTTTTTAATTTTTTCTTTTACATATAGTAGTGCATTATTCAGAGATCAGGGAACCATGGGCAAATATTAACAAGTGCACATTAATAAATGCACTACCGTTTTCCCTTTGAAAACTGTACTGTTTGACTGTAATATAACGTGATTTGACGACTAAATTGGCGCTCTTGTCTAACTATTTTTTGTACGCAATAACTTTTAACATACTAATTTTACGCTGCCGCTTCAGGGCAGATCATAAAGTGTTGAACCCAAACTATGGCACTTTTTCGCGCACACAGCCCCGAAATCAAAGATATTCACATCGCCATAATTGGAGACAACAGTTTGAGCCCTAGTATTTCTTTTTGATATGACAAGATCCATCAAGAATGTATATGTAGCTCATGAACACACAATTATTCTTGTTATTCCTTTTAGAATCTGCAATCCATTTACAAATTTGACTGAGATGAACTGTTCTATCAGAAGCCTAGAATTTTATCTTTTTGTACAGTCCTTTCAGGTTCAAGCTGCATTTTTAATTAAGCGCCGATGTATCTATACCATGGACACACGAAAACCAAAAACTATGCGCAGATGCATCTCTTGCCTGCCATAAACTACATCAGATTGTTTCCTGCAATAGACAATATAGAAGGCCTTATAGACAGGTTCAACTAACAGCTATCCCCTTCATGTTTCTTCGTGCGGTCAGGTAAGGACTCGAAAATCATACTAATCGTTGTCATTCTTGACATATTTCTCTCCGGTGCACACAGCTGTCTTTCTGATAAACGTTAACTGCCCTTGCTAGCCTTCCAGCCGTCTTAGCGAAGTCTAAGAGTTATTGAATTTGCCATGAGCTGTGTTGTTTGTACATACTTCTTTCCTTTGGCACAGTATCGAATGCGGTTATCTTAACCTACTTTTGTGGTCATTGGTTGCGGTTTCTTAAGATTAAAACTACTGGCTTGCTTTCAGCCGCAATAGAATGCTTCTTTTCTTGAGGTCCATTAAACGCTTAATAGCAGGTTTTTACGAAAAGTACCTGTTCGATTATGCCTAATCTGCATTGGTTTTTCAGGGACTAATTCCATGGTCACTATGTTAATGCTGGCTCATTGTCAACCTCGCTCATATTCACAATCGCACTATAACGTCATCAACAACGTCGAAGCAGTTTAAGAGCTCTTCAGGTACATCTGTCATGATAAGCGTTCTATGAAGAAATGTGATACGAAAACTTTTATTGGACAATGCGCAAAATAAATTTTAAAGTGCGCAAAAGCGAAAGTAAAATACGGTCATTTTTCTTTCTTTCCCTCGTTTATCAAAGGAAAAGAGAAGAGGTACATCTTGATGTCTCATTTAGGAATGAGCAAGCCAAATTTACCCTCGATACATTTTTTGCTACAAGAAGCAGACGGTATGTTGTTGATAATTTAAGTCAATCTATTTTGAACCATCTAAAGCAAGACTGAAATATTCTTATGAGATTCCATACCGAAGTTAATAAAAAATCTCTTTGCACGTCTTAGAAACTGCAACTACCATCTCTCCTGATGCAAATACTTGTAATATTGTCGACGATAATTCAATAGCTCCGCAGCCGTCAAATTCAAAAAGACGTTATGGCCATAGAGTCTCTCGAAGCGTGAGCAGTCTTCCTGTGGATCTGCAAGCATTATCGTTGCAAGGGCCGGAGGATAGGATTGAGCAACAGTCTGTTGAAGCAGTACATCAATCTTTTCTACAACAATCAAAACAGCAGCCGGCATTTCAGCAAATTCAAACCGAACCCTATAATGGTATACCCTCTAATTCGGCAGAAAAACCACCGAGCTGGATGCTGCCCAATGATAGGCCACCTGCAATAATGATGAATTATACTTCGTCATCTTCACCTGCACCTACTAGCATTTCATCATTATCATCTACATCAGTAGCAACAGCACATACTAGAAGAAAAGCGCCATATACGGGTCATGGGAGATCTGTATCAGAAATCACTTTACCACCTATATCCTCTGCATTATCACAACCCTTTCCACAGCCTTTGCCGTATCCTACAACACTAGGAACACCTTCTCGGCCTGCTTCAGCAACATCAATACTACCAGCCAATAACACTTCAATCACGACTACTACTAATAATAACAATAATTTTACTCAACGGACAGCAGCCAATTCAAGCCATAAACAAACGCAAACACATCACACGCATAGAAGAGCAATATCTGCAAATACATTGGATTTCATGTTATCTCCATCATCACATTCGTACAGTAGAGCACAGTCATATAGTCCACAAGAACAATCACTGAATCTCATCAGTCAATATCGTCAACACCCTCCGTCCTCTAACTTTTTCGAGCAACTCGGAACGGGTGCTGATAGAACAATAATCAATCATAATGCCGGTAATAATAATGGAACAGCCAACACTTCTTCCATAGAACCATCATCCTCTGCTGCTGCTGGACGGTATGCATGTCCTTATTGCCAGAAGAAGTTTTCCAGACCTTCCTCATTGAGAATTCATACTTATTCGCATACTGGAGAGAAACCGTTTGTATGTACAGAGCCTGGGTGTGGGCGACATTTCAGTGTGCAAAGTAATATGAGACGACATTTGCGAGTTCATCGATTAGGTCGCAACAATAACGTGAGCAGCGGCAGCAGCAACAACGGCAACACTACTGGAAGTACACCAACTGTTTTAGAAGAGGATATTGATACAGAATAAAGATATGCAGTCGCGGAAAGACACATGTGCGAGTTTACCTTAAGCAAAGCAACTGTTTTGCTGTGATACTATTATTAACTTTTACCGTACAACTTCTGCGAGATCATAACTCTAAACATTTACACGAAAGATGTCTCACCAAGCTGATTTCGAAACTCTTACTGTATACGTATAATACTTTATTATCATAGACTGTACTAGCTCTTTTATGTATCATTTTTATCAATCTGCTCGTTAAATCTAGTAGTAAATGCAATAAAAGAGCGTGTTTACGCTATTTTAGGAGCGCCAACAATGCCTTTTAAGGTAATCACGCTATTTTGCCATTTAGATGAAAATCTTAGTTCGCAGTCTCCACATTGTTTAACAAGTCATTTTATCACGGACTTAGAAATTGTACGCACATAAAATGCAATTTGAGGAAAGCATATGCAGTGCAAACCTCTTACCAAGGGCTGATTTTTATCAACGAGATGGAACGATATACATATAGCGCCACTGAACATTTTCGTGTATTAGCATTGTGAAGATTTAGCACTTTTTTGAGAGTTCTATCAATAGCCATTGATTACACATCTGTCAAAGTGCAAATTTATGCAGCCGTCGTGTATTTAAAGTTTCAAATTGGTAGATGACCTACTTTTTGTAATTTTTTGTATACTGTATAACAAAAAAGTGATATCGATCATTAGGACTGAAAGTACGTGTTGTGTGGCTTCGTTTGGGCGAAGAGGTTTTGTCATTTTTCCATAAACGCCTATTAAGTATGAAACCAAATTATTTCTATTGGACATATGAAGCGATGACATCTTGTTTGTCTAAAAAGCAAGGCATTTTTGCTTTAACCAACCAAAAACATGCCCATTCAAAATACTTATCCATTACAAGACATAAGGAACTCTACAGTGTTTTTTTTTTTTTTGTTGTTCAAAGAGATGTTATATCTTCACAAATGGCAAAAGGATATCAATGACTAGCATGTGTCTGGTTTAAAGAAATATGTTATGCATTCAAACGACCCGTAATGAAGGAGAGCATGAGAAGTGACAAGATAGAATGATATAACATTGGTTGAAGGGAGATTTAGGTTTTGAGGGTTTTCTTCCGATGAATTATGCCCGTTGTGTGCTAATGAAAAAAAATTGGGCTTTTCCTTTTTCTATTTCGACTATTTCGATTTCAAGAAGTTATTGCGTTTTCTTTTTGGTTTATTATTTTTTCTTCCCTCTTTTAAAAACGTTCTTTAAAAAAACCCAAGAAAAAGTTGAATAATCAAAATGGATGATTTACAACATCCTCTCGTCGTATCCACACCACCTTTGCGCGGACCCGTGGATTCACCCGCGCCCATTGATGCAGCTGAAGCAGCTTCAAATTTGAAGGCTCACAGAGGCAGTATGTCACTAGCCACGACTCAGTTCGAACAACAAGCTCCTATTGATAGTCGATTATTACGTGGACGATCGAAATCATTAGCTGTGGGCGCTCAAGCATGGAATCCTCGACTTCCTATGGATTACTTTTCACCTAGTCTAAATAGTCATAGCAGCCATGTAAATACTGGTGTACCTTACAAAGCGAGATCTTGGGAGCCCACACTAGAAAGGGCGATTAGGGCCATCGTGTCTATAAAAGCAAGTCATGTCAGAAGTTTTGATACAGAAACATCAGGTATAGACAGAAAGAAAGAGTGCTCATGGTAGAGTAATATATAGACAGGTTGGACGGGATATTAATAAGTGTTGTGAACATTTTCCGCGCGTCAAATGATACATAGGTGGTTATACAGCTACGGGCTTCATTGTAGATGCTGCTCGAGGCATCATCTTGACAAACCGTCATGTCGTTTCACCCGCTCCCATTGTCGCTCAAGCTGTTTTGACAAATTATGAAGAAGTTGATTTGAAACCAGTGTACAGAGATCCAGTTCATGATTTCGGTTTTATGCAGGTAAACTTCATTATGCCTTAGCGCAGAAAGAAAAAGAATAAGAAAAAACGAAATAGTAAAAATGGTTTGATTGAATCTTAGTTCGATCCCAGTAAAGTTAAATTTATGGAATTGGAAGAAATAAGCCTTAGTCCAGAGAGGGCAAAAGTTGGTTTGGATATTCGGGTTGTTGGGTAAGTTTTTGTATATTGTCATTTGCATGAAGGAAATGGACTTACGGAAATCGAAATATTAATCCGTGATATTTTTGTATGCATCAAGCAATGACGCCGGTGAAAAATTGAGCATTTTAGCTGGTACGCTGGCCCGATTGGATAGAAGAGCACCCGAATATGGTATTGGCGAATACAATGACTTCAACACTTTCTATCTTCAAGCCGCCTCTGGTACTAGTGGAGGTTCATCTGGTAGTCCTGTTCTTGATATTGACGGCCACGCCGTAGCTCTCAATGCCGGTGGTGCCAGTCGCGCTTCTTCCTCCTATTATTTGCCGCTTGACCGTGTTGTGCGTGCTTTGGGTTTTATCCAGCAAGGAAAAACGGTTCCTCGTGGTACTTTGCAAACAGAATTCGAATATTTACCTTACAACGAAGTTCGTCGTCTTGGTTTAAAAGCTCATATTGAAGAAAAGGTACGCCATAAATTTCCTGAAGAAACAGGTATGCTGGTTGTCCGTTCTTTACTACCTAAGGGCCCAGCCGATGGTGTTCTCGTACCAGGCGATATTATCATTGGCTGCAATGGCAAAATGGTTCCTCACTTCATTGCTCTGTTCGGAATTTTGGATGATAAAGTCGGGAAGGAAGTATCGCTTACCATCAGTCGTGGTAAAAAAGTGCAGGAAGTTAAAGTAACCGTACAAGATCTACACTCCATCACGCCTGATCGTTTTGTGGAAATCGGAGGCGGTATTGTTCATGAATTATCCTATCAGTTAGCAAAATCCTACTCACAACCTACTGGAGGAGTATATGTAGCGACATCGGGTCATATGTTGGCTAGCGCCAGTGCTTGGAGAAAGAGCATCATTGTTAGTGTGAACAATGTCCCGACACCCAATTTGGATGCATTCGTGGAAGCTATGAAGCGTCTGCCAGATGGTGCTCGTGTTCCTATCAGGTAGAGAAATTGGTTAGAAATAGTTTACTGATACAATTTTTGAATGTATGGCTTAACATGTTCTCGTTTTCAGATTTTACGCACTACACAAGGCCTACAAAGATAAAGTCATGATTATGCATGTTGACCGACACTGGCATAAATTCAGAATGGCTGTCCGCAATGGTGAGTTAAGCAGTAACACATCTTTCAAGAAGGACAAAAGCTAACGAACGAATATCATTGCTATTTTGTTTCCTCTTGGTTTGGTTAGATATGACCGGCTTGTGGGACTTTACAGAATTGGCTCCACCACCCTCTACCATCCCTTACACTCCTTCAACAGCCACTTTCCCTCCATTAGACCCATCTATGTCGCTCGCTCAGAAGCTTATGCCCTCTTTCGTTGCCATTGACTTTTATTTGCCTTACTTGGTAGATGGTATGAAAGCCACTCAATTTTATGGTACTGGCTTCATAGTTTCTACCAACCCCCCGCTCATTGTATGTGATCGTGATACCGTTCCTATTGGTCTCGGTGATATTTTTATAACATTTGCCAACTCTATCATCATTCCCGGTCGTCTCCTTTTCTTACATCCCTTCTACAATTACGTCCTGTTAACTTATGACCCTAAACTCATTGGCGACACACCTGTCAAACCTATTGAATTTATTGAGACAGAATTGAACCAAGGTGATGAAGTTCATTTTGTTGGTATGGGTACTGACCACTCTGTCATTATGAAAAAGACGACAGTTTCATCCGTTTCCAACATCGGTACGCGTGAATGCTCTCCTCCTCGTTGGCGTGCCATGAACGTAGAAGGAATCAAGATTGATGAAAGTAATTCTCAAGGCGGTCTCATTACAAACGAAGAAGGTCAAGTGCAAGCATTATGGATTAGCTATTCCTCACAAAATGAAAAGGGCAAAGACATTTCATTTATGTCTGGTCTCATGTCATCGTTGATTAAACCCACTATTGACCAATTTTTGGAAAGCGGTGACAAAATTACTTTTAAGGGTTTGGACGTAGAATTATGGACTATGCGAATTGCGGCTGCTCGTACGTTAGGATTAGGCGATAAGTGGGTTAAAAAGATTGAAGAAAGCGGTTCGACACGACATACATTGCTTTATGTATTGAATATTTTGGATGAGCGCAGCCCTTGTGCCAAGGTTCTCCATGTAGGTGATGTCATTTTGAGCGTCAATGATAGACTTGTCACTCGTATGAGTCATATGATGTTTGTCCATCAAGAAGATACAGTAGATATGGTCATCTTACGTGATGGGAAGGAACTGAATGTGACAGTACCGATGAGCAAGTTTAGCGGCTATGAAACAACACGTGTCCTTGGTTGGCAAGGTGCTCTTATTCAACGGCCTTATAAATCAGTTTTGGAACAAGTGCGTAATGTTCCTGCTGGAGTTTATGTTTCCTGTACACTTTATGGTTCACCTGCTTCTAATGTGCTTCGACCTGGTGTTTGGATTGTAGAGGTACAAGGAAAACCTGTAAAGGATTTGGATCAATTTTTGGAAGTTGTACATGACCATGCGAAAGAATTAAGACAGCGTCGTCGATCAAGTTACATACCTCCTGTTCAACGATCTCTTGAAGAGAAGGAAAGACAGGAGAAGGAACAAAGAGATGAAGATGCTTTGATACCGGATAATGCTTCAACAGTAGAAGATGAAGATGACACGAACGACGAAGGATATATTCGAATCAAAACTGTGAGCAGAAATGAGACTGTTCGTGTTGTGGCTCTCAAATTAGACCTGCATTATTGGGATTCATGGCAACTGATCCATGATCCATCTACTCTCTCAGGCTGGATCTCGAAAAGTGCTTAGAACAATTAATGTATACAACTTCTGCCCTTATGTAAACTGATATTATTACAATTGTACAGAGTTTCCAATTTACTATAAATCGAATATATTTTTTTTTCCAATTATGTATCTATTTTTTAAAAAGACTCCTTAAACATGTTGAGGGCTTCTTTATATACATTTGTGTATTTGGCAAGCTTGAAATCAGCAAAACTCGTTCACTGTCATTTTTGAGAGACGCACTTCAATTGCAAAACGCATCTAATTCCTTTTATCTCCTTCCGCAATGTACAGTGGATTTGGCTAACTGAAGCTGCGGCGTTTGAAATTGAGGATTAACAAAAACGATACATTACTGAAGGTATAGTTACAATCTAAAAAACTTATTTTATATACAGGCTTTGTTTAGGCGGATGGATTCAGCTCACTGGAAAAGTTAAAGTCTTCTTCGTCAGCTAACATTTCCTGCCGTAAAATTTCTACATTATCTAAATGCCGTTTGCTATTTTCATGATTCTTGAACTGCTTCTCACTTTTGTACTCCTTGTCGCAGGCAACACAGTAGAATTGATTCACTTCCTCTGCCTCATCATAATAATCATCTTCAAGCCCTAATTCTTCAAATTCCTCTTCGACTTGCGCCCATTCTGGGACTTTGTATTCCGAAATCTTAGCTTGCATTTTCTTCTTTTCCTGTTGCGCTCTAGCTTTTTGTTCTGCAGCAGCAGTCTCTTTCCTCTTTTGCTCTTCTTCTTGATATGCTTTCAATCTTGGATCACGCTTACGTACAAATTCGACGAGATTCTACATTATGCCAGAAGAGTATAAGTAATTTAGAATGCTCCGCTTCTCCTTTGTTCAAATATTGTCTTGATTGATTATGCTTTACCCTCACTGTTTTATTATAATCTTTTCTAGCTCCTTCTCTCAGCTTTTTGTTTTCTTTCTCCATTTGTCTTCGAACTTGCCGCGTCGGTGCATCAGACAATCGCCATTTATCCATCCAACAAAATGACTTTACTGAATTAAAACTTGTCCACGCACTGTAGAAATCCTTGACATATATTTCGTTGTTGCTGCTGTCTCGTTTATCTGATGTGTAAAGTGTATCAGCATCGCCAAAAGATGGATACGAAGCAGCTGCATGAACATCATGATGAGTGTCATCGGTATTAGGATTGTTTCGTAATGCTTCTTCTTCTTCCTCTGCTAATTTTTGGAAAAGACTGCGATATACATTATAGAATCCCTTTTAAAAATGTCGAAAAAGTTTAGTGAACAGCTTACTTCACTGATAGTATAGGTTATGGTTTTACGAATTACCTTGTGTGTATCATTATATCCGCTGAATTCGGATGCACTGAAATATCGCATCAAATCGTCAGAGTTCATACCGGTACTACTGTCTCGTTGTCCAACGTCTTTGCCTCTCAAAATGGCATCTCTATGGCCGTCGTACCTTAAAGAATACACCATATATGCGTTAGGAAAAACAGCTGCAGCTTGATAAATTCGCTTAATCAAAAACGGTACGTTACCAAGATCTTTCATGAGAATCGGATAAGACCTCATATGCCTCTTGAATTAGGGCAAAACGTTCATTTGCTTCTTCTATTCTGTCACTATTCTTGTCTTTACTTGAACATGAAAAAAAAGAATAGAGGTTATTGAGAAATGCGATCGATCTGGAGAATGAATCATTTATTCTTTTTACCTGGATGCCAAATAAGCGCCTGTTGTCTGTATGCTTTTTTGATATCTAGACTGCTTGCTTGACGATCAACGCCGAGTAATTCATAATAGCAAATACGCATCTTCCAATATAAAGAGAATTACTGACAATTAAACGTAGAGACGAATTTAACTGATTGTAACTTTACACTTTTTCTTTTTTTTTTTTTGATTTGAATATTTGTCGGCTCCGGTCACACATACATAACCACGGCTTTCATTTTTCTATCCGAGTAGTACCTGATACTCTTTTCCTCTCTTTATTACGCGAACACTCCTCTCCTCAAATACATTATGCAGGCTCTGAATTACACTAATAAGCTCAAAAAGCTCATTAATGAGGAAAATGGGAAAGCATTGGCTCCCCTTCTTTCACTGCAACATGCGCATACAAAAAATTTATTAGATCACAATATTCAAGTAAAGAGTGAAGAAAATGAATATAATAGATGTCCATGTACATTTTCTTTCTTCACATATTTGATACTGATACTTTTATACTATTCCTTTCGCCTATTTTATGATGGACAACAGCCTAGTGATTACGAAACACTCGTTAAGAATAAAGTGGAAGCACCTTGGAATGATATCATTGTCAACCATATTAAAACGCTAGTACATTTAGATGAGGGGCTATACGATGAAGCCTTTGAGACTCAAAAAGAACTTGTTCAGTAAGTTAATCAATAATAGACTTGCAAAAAAAAAGCCTCGAATATGTTGTAGGAAGGGAACAGCAGATTTAAGGAAAGGTGTTATCATAAATCGTTATTAGAGCTTTTCAAAGAGGAATGTCAAACATGACACGCTGGTGCTTACCAGTATTATACATTATTAACAATGAGCTACGTATCATTGCTACGAAGGCAGATCTGAATTCAACAGTGGCTGTTGAAGGACAACGCAGAAAGCTAGAGGAGGCTGCCAATGTTATCAGTAAATCATTTACTTATTGTATCACGGATCGAGGCATGTTGGCTGTTTCAAAAAAGTATGGTACTTATTGCATGATTGGCATATTGTTCAGAATCTATTTCAAGGTAAACGAAAGATATATGTTGTGGCAATATGGCTATGTTTATTCATTATGTCTTTAGTTGAAGCAACAGAATTTATGTAAAAACATTTTACGTGCTGTCAAAGCAGCAGATATGCCACCATTGCATGAATTTCCAAAGAGCGATAGAGTTACATTCAGATATTACCTTGGAAGGTTATATTTTTTGGAAGAGGATTATGCTAAAGCAGAATATGAGTTGAATTTGGCGTTTTACGAATGTACAAATAGAAGCCTGAAAAACAAAGAGTAAGGCGAATGATATGAGATAGAGATATAGTTAAGGGTAGAGATATAGCAATAGATTAAATTCCTGCTCTGTTTTTATCTTTTAGGCTTATCCTACAAATATTATTACCCGTCAAATTGATGAGAGGCATTTTACCTACAGATAAGCTATTCAGCAAATTCCCCAAAGCGCGACATTTATACGGTGATCTAGCCAATGCTATCCGAAGAGGAGATATCAAGCAGTTCAATACAGCGCTTAATGATGCGGAATCTCAATTAATAAGGCAGGGAACTTACTTTGCCATCGAGAAAGCGGAAAGCATTGCTATTCGGCAATTATTCAGAAAAGTGTAAGCTCGGGATATGTGCCAGACATCATTTCGTTGATTAAACTAATATATCGTTTCATGTAGATTCCTTTTACTAGGAATGAACACACGTATACCAATCGCAACATTCAAGAAAGCGTTGGATTTTGAAGGTTTGAATGTTGAAATCGAAGAGGCTGAGTGGATGTTAGCCAATATGATATTCAAGGTGAGCAAAAACTTCTCGCATTTTCTATGAAACTGTTGTAAAATGGAAGCTTACATTTTTCTCAACTCTATATACATCCTTCTATAGGGATATATGAAAGGTTACTTGTCTCATGAAAAGATGTTTTTGGTGTTGAGTAAAGATAATCCTTTCCCGCGTATATCTCAATTGGTTTAAACTAAATTAAATGATTTGCATGCCATATGCCATTACAGTTGCCCTAAACTTTGATCAGCAATTGTTAAACAATTTCCCGGTGTACTACGTTAGACTGGGATGGTGTTTAGAGCCTTTTTGATAAGATAAGATTAAAGCTTCTTTCTTTCTGTCAATTGTGATTTTCAAATGCGAAACAATAGTTCAGACGTTGTATTGCCATTTTCTGACTCGTTGTTTCGTTTTTCACGGATTTTAAAAATTTTTTTGACTCATACAAAAAAAAAAAAAAAAAAAAAAAGAAACAAAAAAGCTGGATACACCTCTTGTCATTATTGTTTTCATTTTGGATCATTTATTTTTGCTTGATAGTCAAAGCAGATCAATGTAGGCTTTCTTATAGCAAGCATACACTATCACCAAAATTTGAACCAATTAAAAATCTGTCTATCCTTTTGTTTGCAATTGATTTCATAAACAGGGGAACACAATGCCTGAACAGCCGCAACAAACCGATCCTGTCAATAACGAGCAGCAGCAGTTACAGCAGTCTGTGAAACGAAGAAGAAAGAAAGCTTCTAGAGCCTGTTCGCACTGTCAGAAAGTAAGAATTATTCATCTATATCAAGAGCGAGTGAACCAGTATATATTCAAAAGTAGACTTTTTTCTTCTTTTCCCTTTCTTGTAGGCTCATTTAACATGCGATGACTGTAAGTGTTCATTCGCATTGCAACATCTGTACTCTCTTCGACTCCTCTTTCAGTTGCTTACGCATATTTGTGTTTCTCTTCTGTATGTCTTTATAGCCCGTCCCTGTCAAAGATGCATTAAACGTGGACTAGAGGATACTTGTACAGATGGAGTCAGGAAGAAAGCAAAATATTTACAGGAAGATGAAAACGGTAAAGAAATCATTTATCTGTAACTACAGCGAAAAGATGTTTACTGGTTTTTGTTCTCATTTTTTGTTCGACATGTCAAAATTCCCAAATTTCATTTTCAGTTGATCAGCGTTTCCAAACAGCAACAAATAGTGTAACATCCGTAGGGTCAACACCCATAGTGATGAATTACAGTGAGAATGATGGTAATGTCAGCAAAAAATAAACTGAAATAGTGCGGGAATCATCCAATAAAAGACTCTTTCGGCTCTAGGTTTTCGATCTGATACAGTTAGACAGCAATACAATACAATATCCAATTTGATACCCTTCTTAGACAGCAATCGCAATACTACTACTACCACTAATAATACTAATACTGGCAATGACGCCAATAATATATATGAACCACCCACTATGATGGATACTTTTTCTCAGCAATCACAGCCATTAGCCCTGAACTGGGCTTCTCTTATAGATCCCAATGCGTTGATTATGAACAATATACAATCAGCGACTAACTCGCCTATATCAACACCTCCTTTACAGCCTCGTACAATTGTCACATCCGGAGCAAGCACTCCTTCGCAATTATCACAATCATGGCAACCACCACAATCTGCAGCATCGGAAACTGTCAATGATCAGCAACAGCAACAAGTGTTATTGAAACGGAGAAAAGGCGTCGGAAACACACCTCATGAAGTCTATGCCCGTGTTAATAAACCCTATAATTACGCAGAAAGTTATCATCATTTGATCGAGTATGTTCGTCAAAAAATGGGTCGTGACGAACTGATACGCATTAGTCGAGCTTTAGTTCAATTTCGACCTTCTTATATGTCGATTGTTGCCTCGTTGACGGAAGAAGATTTAGTCTATATGGAAAAGTGCGTGCAAAGAACTCTTCTTGAGTTTGAAAAAATGATAAGTTTCTCAGGTACACCTACTGTTGTTTGGCGAAGAACAGGTGAGATTGTGCTTGTTGGCAAAGAGTTTTTACTATTAACGCAATGGAGTAAGGAAATCCTTTTGGGAAAGAAGACATACATCTACGAGGTAAAGAAAAGGTCGAAAGGCATTCTAACAAGTAGAGTCGATAACCGCTATACATTTGTAATAGTTGATGGATAATGGATCAGCCATTGAGTATTGGGAAAAATTCTCTCAACATGCTTTTGACAGCTTAGAATCTGGAGTTTATATGTCTGTCATTTTGATGAGCCCAACATACCGCCCTGTGCCTTGTACATTTTGCTTTACCTTAAAGCGTGATATTTTTGACCTTCCTTGCGTAGTTGTAGGCAATGTAAGTCTTTGAACTCGGAGAAGGATATATGCAGTGCAAAAAGAACTAACAGTGCTACTGTTCTATCATACGTAGTTTTTACCGATCCTTGGGGCGAATCGATAAGGATACTTCATCATAATATAATGTTCTCATCAGTGTTGATGAAAACCTTAATAAAGGGCCCATTATCTTTATTCAAATCGATACACTTAAAATTCGATAATTCTCAATTACGTGCAAAGAAGGACTGCTCTGTTTATAACACCCAAATTATTAAGTTCACTTTCAATATAGACCAACACACTCCAGCTGTTATTCTACTCGAAAAGACTCACAGTATTACTGATATTGTATGCGCTCCGCTAGACACTGAAAATAGTGAATAACAGTGCAAAATCATTTGGGTAGCTTTTTTAAGGGGAGTGAGTAGAATTGATTGGTTCCTGGAAAGTTTTCTTCATTTTTAAAAACAGCATAAAAAAGCAGCAATAAAACCTAGATCAAATTGTTTGACACTGTTTTTTATTTTTCCATTTAATATCTGCTTTAAAATATACATTAAAACTAGAAAAAGGTAAATCTCGTCAAATTGAGCGTTAAACAGAACAACCAAAAACTACATGAATAAATCTATAAAGTGTCGACCCTAGCTTACAGATGAAAGAAAGAAGAATGCAAATGGACTCTACCTTTGCATTCTAAATCCTTCATCAGATGGACTAAATAACCTCCCCCTTCCCCTTATTTTTATGCTACTTTATCAAGTCAGCTCGCGTCTGGTATAAACACGTACTTGCTTATACACACTACACAAACCATTTCTTCTTATTCATGTATTGAATTGTTCGTCATTGACTACAAGAGATCAAATCAGTTACTCATAGCACTTTTTTTTTTAAAAAAAAAAATTGAAATAGTATACGCTACAAGAGAACTTAATACAAAATCAATCTGCTAACCAGTGACAAGACGAAAGACATTCTATATCAATACTTTGATCATCCGCATCAACTCTCTGGCTGGACCAGCAATATATTAACGTTTCTCAGTAGCAGATACTTTTACTATTTACTATGACGACCAATATATCAACAAATTCATTGCAGCGACAACAGCAACAGCAGCCACTAACTGATGATACACATACGATCGCTGATTCAGTAAGTCTGCCTTGTTTTCTGCACGCAGAACATGCAGTGATATCTGACGGTTCTACTATACGCTTTACTTCAATGCAATAAAGGACTTGCAGAAACTGTTAAGAGACAAGGCTGAAGAAGAAAGAAGAAAACGGCAAAAGTAAAATAGAAAAAAGCTCAAACTCTTGCAAAAATTCGCCTTGCCTATTAACTACGCTACTTGATGATTTAGGTTTATTGAGGAACATAGAAGTTTATTGCTACGTGAACTATTCTTGCTGACAAAAGATAGCGATAATATTCTATCCTTTCTCAGTTCAGAAGAGGAGTTTTCTCATTTGGATATTGTACGTGAAAAATGCTTTCTGGATCAATTGGAATTCAGGTACCAAAAAAAAATTAGGCTTTTATTTTTCTTTGGAATAATAATAAGAAAAAATAACATAATTGCAAATAGAAATGGTGCTTTCCCACCATTAAAGGCTGCTATAGAAACAGAAATACCTGTTGAACTTATGGAAACCGAAGGAAGTTCAAAAGAAGACGTTACAATATCGGAAGATCCACAACAGCAAGAACAACAACAGGAGGAGCAGGAGCAGGAGCAGGAGCAGTATCCCATTGGAACTAACACCATTGATGATGTCAAAAATGATGTCTCTTTGGAACATGATAGTAATGTCATTCCGTCAGTCGAAGCAGACTTGAACATACCAGCATCATTATTAACAAGAAGAGGCACTAGTCCTGTAGTTGTCATAGTAAGAACGTTTATTCTGTTGTCTTTGACGTAGAGCTCAAACTGAATTTTTTTACTTAGGAGAGACATCAGCCATCATCACTTATAAACACATCACAAATAGATGGCCTTGAAGGAGAAATGGCACCGTCCTCACCATTAAAACAAGATGAAAATGCAACAGCGATATCTGCAGAAAAAAAACCGATCTTTTCGTACACATCTACCTTAACAGACAACATGGACCATCCACAACACACAGTTCAAATCTACAACGGGCACACATTTATTGATAAACGAAATGATCTTCCGTCCGGATTCGATCTCTATGCATGGCGACTCAAAGCACAAGCACAACCACTTCACGCTCAACTACTAGGCGCTACGAAAGTACTTTCAACGCATGATTGGACACTAGCTACAGATGAGATCAAATCCATCAAAATCATATCACAAATTGAACAGTTGAAACGAAAAAATATGTGGAGTCAAAGACAGCTGAAACGTCACAAGTCTATACCTCGTACAAAGACACACTGGGATTTGTTGCTAGATGAAATGAAATGGATGAGAACGGATTTTAAGGAAGAAAGAAAGTGGAAAATGGCGAATGCCTATTTCATAGCTCAAGCCGTGGTGCAATGGCATCAAACAACTGATAAATCGACTGTTTGCGTAAGAGTGAGTTCATACTTTACTGTGCACATTCCGACCCTGCTCCTTTCATTCAAACCCATCTGTGCTTTTTTATAGACATACGTACCAAGTCATAATATAGCAGCAGCGATACGGAGTGACGACCAGGAAGTCGGTACTCCTGTGGAGGACACGTTTCCCACAGAACCCTCTTTATCTATGGAGGCCATGGAGGCCATGGAGGCCAAAGAGGATGATACAGCAATGAAAGCAGCTTTAAAAAACGATGTTGAGATGACAGAAGCAGCAGCTCTTGTGGATCCGCCTAGCATACTGGAAAATGAAAGAAAGCCATCCTTGATTGAAGATAATGAAGACGACGAAGATGAGGACGAGGATGATTCAGAAAAAGAAAGCGAATCAAAGGCTGTGAGGAGAGGAGAGAGAGATGTGCAAAAGATATCTACTTTGTCTTCGACTGCCTCGACCGATAAAGATAAGCCTAATTCTTTATTGGACAGCTTAAGAGGAAACCAAACCATACTTTCCATAGAGACAGAAGAGAACGATGAAGGGAATCAACAAAGCGTCATCTCGTTATTGTTTCCTGATTTATTATTGTATACCGCGCCTGATACTAATTTTATTGATATGGATCCCTATTTCGATGAAGCAGAATCCAGTAGAATTGTCCCTTTCAAATTGACTGCTCAGCGTATCAGATTCTCATCTAACAAGGGCCATCATCACATGACAAGAAAGAGACGGGCCAACAGATTTCATCATGGCAACATGTATGATGATGATCATGAGGATAGATGGGATACACTGGAAACGGTGGATATTTTGCCATTGCAACAAGATAAGAAAAATGACCGCTCAAGTAAGTACATGCTTTGGGCATTCAGTGCGAAGAGAGACCCATCAGGCGGATTCTGATAATACATCGGGTCGTTGAATGACCCTTTCCTAAAACTCACATTTTTCTAATCCCCTCCCCCCTCCTCTTCCCTCCTTAATCCTATAGCTCTATTTACTTTTGAAATTGTGCAAGATGCTGCAGCACCTCATCACCAACCTCCTACCCCTGTAGCGCCACCTGCTGAAGCATCTTCTACTAAAAAGAGAAGAGCATTAGCACTAGCAGCTACTGCTGCAGCTAATCATACCCATCCTACTTCCAATGCATCGACAAGCACATGGTCGGAAGAGGATGATTTATGCTTGATTCAACTTATTGCGCAATATGCATTTAATTGGAGCCTTATCTGCGATGCATTTAATACTATTCGAGGGGTGAATCATAGTACAGAAGTAACGGGCGGTAACGAAAGGCGTACAGCATGGGACTGTTACGAAAGATGGAAACAGAAGAACTTGACATCGCTTTCAGGACAGATGAACCTCGATTACATGTCTAAATTGGAAAATGATTTGTCAAAGATGCCTGATGTTTTGAAACCGGATAACATCAGAAAACGGCAAAGACATAACCATCTATTGGAGGCAATCAAACAATCACAAAAGAAGCGAGAAGAGTTGGAAAATGTTCGACCTAAACGTAAGTTCAACAGTAGAGCGTGTGTGTGTGTATATATATGTGCGTGAGCTTTTAGTGAATGTGTGTATGAAGGAAGGGGTTTGCTTTCAATTCCATGTCTATTGTATGCAATGTACGAATTAAACCGAAAATTTGATTAATTAATAAAACTTATCCCATTCATTTTATAGGCGCCTCATCGCCTCCTAAAGCAACGATTGAAGAGCACGGTCTAAGCTCGAATGGACAAAGGTTACCTACTGCTATGGAACTTAGCTTGTACAGAATGCAACGAGAACAACAGATAGCTCGTGCAGCAGCGTATGGGCAACGGCAACTATTATCACAAGGTCTTTTGAATAATCAACAACCTCCGTTAAATGTAAGTACTTGGCTTTACACGTTTTTAAAGTATTGCAATATGATTGATCCAAAAAAAAAAAAAAAAAAAAAAAAAATTAACAAAAAAATAATCAAACTTATGGATGCATTAGGGCAATGCATTACCTCAGTCCCATCCACAACAACAAGCCCAAATGCAACAGCAGCAACAGCCGCAACAGTCAGTCAACATGGATGCCCCCACCCCTGTGGGCCCTCCTACCGCCACTCCATCTAAGACTGCGAATATAACTGCCACTACCCAAAATGCTGCTGCATCCGCTGCGATCGCCGCTGCGGCAGCGGCAGCGACTGCCAATAGGGGCTTGAGTAATAGTAACATTGCTTCTACTACGACCCTTCCTATTGCAGGCACAAATATGAATAGGCCTGCCGCAACAGCAAATGCTACTGCTACGACTGCTCAACAGCAATTCTATCAAGCTTTAATAGCTCAACAGCAAGCAGCCCAGTTGCAGCAACAGCAACAACAACAACAGCAGCAGCAGCAACAACAGCAACAGCAGCAACAACCAACACCTCAAACGCATGCTGGCCAACTTCTTCAACAACAGCAATTGCAGCAATTGCAGGTACAGCAAGCTCAAGCACGAGTGCTTGCTCTACAGAGACAGCAGCAGCAGGTACAACTACAACAGCCATCGGTAAACAACAATGCCATGAATACAGGAATAGCAGCATCACCTGTTATTACGAATAACATGTTACCCTCCAACAATAATACTAATATGAATACCATTACTGCTACTACTAATAATACCACAGCTACGGCTAACATAATGAATAATACTAACTTACAAGCACAACAAGCAAGATACCCAACTACCGCACAACAGCTTCAATTGCTTCGTCAGCAACAAATGTTGATGGCGGCCGCGGCCGCAGCACAGCAACAACAACAACAACAAACAGGACAAATCAATCGAGCCATGACTGCTTCGCCTATGCCATCACAACAACAGCAAAGGTTTTTAGCATCTCAGACTTCTCCACAGCAAGTTCAATCTTTAGGTAAAATTAAGTAAAGATGACTTTGCTTTATGCTCTTTTATCCTACTCACTGCCTATCCCTTCATCTTGTATTGGAAAAATAAAAATAGGACTACAATCAACATCCCCCGCTACTACTGCTACAACTCATACTACCACTGGTACTATGACGAATACGAATACAACATCCATGTCTCCACAAATCCAACCGCAACCACAGCAACCTGTCAATGCCTTGGCTTTAGCAGCACAACTAGCACAATTAGGATATCCTATTCAACAATCTATTGGGCATTTACCGGTCAATCAACAAGTGCATTTACAGAGATATCTTTTTCAGATGCAAATGCGTAATAACTTGGTTGCACAACAACAACAACAACAACAACAACAACAACAACAACTCAACCATAATACTACGACAAACACTACTACTACGGCGACACCTCAACAGCAGCAGCAGCAACAACAACAACAACAACAACAACAACAGCAGCAGCAGCAGCAGTTATTGTTACAGCAGCAGCAATTACTACTTCAACAGCAACAACAGCAACAACAATATTTATTACAACAACAAAGACAAAGAGCCTATCAATTACAACAACAGCAACAGCAGCAGCAACAACAAATGCTGGCATCAACAGTAATGAACTCACCTGTGTTGATGTCACAGCAGCAACCACAACCACAACCACAACCACCGCCACCCCTGATGGTAGCACAAACATCGCCTTCTGTTTCTTCTGCTTCTTCTATCAACAATAATGATACAACAATAACAACAATGAATAGTAACAATATTTAAACTTGGTAGCTTTAAAGAAACTTTATATTTCAATACCAGAAAAAAAAAAAAAAAAAAAAAGAAAAAGAAAAAAAGAAAAGCCTGTGATCCTTTGTTTGTGTATATGTAGAATATGATCTGTTTATTATTCAAAGAAAGATGATTCTTGTTAGGACTTTTTTTTTGGTTTTGTTACGTTATTAAATAAGAATTTCAAGCAAAAAGTATGTGCGTGTGTTGTATGAAACGATAAAATGAAAAAATAAAAAAAAAATAAAAAGTAAAGGGTAATTTATATACAATAAAAGCAGTATGTATTGAGCAGAGAAATGGAAGAAACGATAGTAAAACGTGATGATTTTCTACATAGTGATTCTTTCTTTTCTCAAACATGACCTTCTCTTGAAACAACCTTATAATTCGGCGTAGGCTGATGATGATACGTAAAATGTTCTTTTTCTTCTTTGATTTTGAGTGAAGTCAGCAGTAACATATTTTCAGGCTGTTCTACTGTTTGATCTTGTAGTGGTTGTTTATTTTTCATAAGAGTAGCAATAGCTATCATAGTAAAAGATGGAGAAATGATGAGATTGAATATCAAACACGCTGATGATGACCATGATGATGACGATGACGATGGTTAGAGACCATTGCATAATAGCTTACCTTCTCTGATGCCTTGCTCCCCATTTGATAAGGAACCAAGGGGTAATTTGCCATTGGCAGAGAGTGATTTCAATTGTTGTACAAGGTCAGGGTATTCTCTCAAAATGGCATACGATCGAGACATTTTACCAATAGCCAACACCTTTCTTTTGATGATTTGTCTACGATAAGCATCCACGACTCCATTGGCTTCATGTGTCGCTATGGTAGTCATGATACTTGAAGTAGAAGGAGTAGTAGCATGGATGGTGCTTGATCCATTTCCCATAGCAGTAGAAGTATTGATATGAACCGATGATGATGATGCATTGTTATCGCCTCCTTCAACTTGCTTTGTACCATTATCGTTCTTGGTGGTAGTGGCAGTAGTATTGCTGTTGTTGTTATTAAGAATGGCAAGCGACATTTTAAAACAGTTTATATTAGGATATAGGAAAAAAAAGAGATAAGAGGAAAGAAGAAACGATAAAAAATCAAACACATTGTAAAATGTAACAGCCTTTATATAACCATTAAAATAAACAAAAAAAAAAAAAAAATAAAAATAAAAAAATAAGGGGCTGAACCATACTCTGTTGCTCTCTTGTTTTTCGATTCTTTTTTTTTTTTTTTTTTTTTTTTTTTTTTTAAGGGTTTCAATGCATATAAAACTGGGAAGATTGAGAACATTCCTTCATACACTAAAGGTATATCTTTTGCCGAAATTCGCGAACTTTATTTTTCTTTTTTTTTTTTTTTTTTCTTTCTTTTCTTTCTGCACATGTCCATTTTGATTTTTTGTTGGAAATCATTTTGTTTAACAGAAGATTCTTTATCACAAGTCTTGTAACGTGTATAGAGTGTAAATGCGTAAGTGTGTATTTAACTGTGTTTAAGTGTGTTTTAAGTGTGTTTAAGTGTGTGTGTGTGTATGTGTGTGTGTGTGTGTGTGTTTTTGTGTTAAACGTGCAAAAAGAGGTATGGTTGTTCATTATCTACAATATTAATATGCTGCTTTAATCTCCACTTGCACATCCTCTGCATCCACAGTGAACACATTCTACTACTTTTCCTTCTTCCAACTTTTCCTTGGGCACTCTGCAAATGCACGTTGTGCCAAAGTTCGTATCTTTTGGCTGAATACATCTCAAACAACATAGTTTTTCGAAACCAGGCTATTCATTGGAAAACGATTTGTCAGCTTTGTCTCTCACCTCATTCTACTCTTTCTTGGTCAATCCATGGCCATGCATTCTAACCTTTTTCCACTTAGCTATGAGATTGGCATCTGCATATTTGTTCTTTAATAAGTAATCATACAATTCGCGTGAAATGATCTTTCTTCTGTAATATAGATCGTAAACATATCGCGATCGTTGGTGATGTATACGAAATACTGGCCAAGAACTTTCTACAATACGTTTGCCTTCATGCGATTCATTTTCGACTAGGAAGAGAAAAAAAAAAAAAAAAAAAACATCAGCATAAGATCTTACATTGCTTTTCTTTGAACGTCAACATCTTTCATTCAGGAGCGATGAAGAAAAATTTTCGTTACGACAAACCTTCTTTCATTTTTCGAGCAAACTCTTCTAAAGTGGGTTCAATTTCATCAAAGCCTTCTGGAGGCCTTTTTGTTCTTGATGTTCGGATTTTGGGCATTGTGTGCTTTCTACTAAGAATTAGGTTATACTCAATAAAAAAAAAAATAAAAAATAAAAAAAATAAAAAGAAATAGAGTGAAAGTAGAAAAAAAAAATCCATTGGTCGTTGCGCTTTGAGCTTTGAGTTTTCTGCTGAGATTTGCCCATTTCTTGGGCAAACATGACGTACGAACAAGAAAAAGTCAAACGCGACTGCCAAAAGCTTGGAGACAAAAAAAAAGGGACAAAGAAAAGTCATGCATTAGCTTTCTTACCCTTTGTTCTCATTTCATCCGGTCACGTATATCGTTGAATATCACTAAAGAGAAGAGATTTCTAGAAGACGCTACCAAAGAGAACATGCAAAAAGATCATCTTCTTTACTATTTTTATATTCTCCATGCAAGGAACCAGTTTCTTTTTTTCCTGGTTTTTTTTTTTTTTTTTGTCCATACATATAAAGCCTTTGGATAGACTATGAAGGAGAGGAGGAGCCAAAGAATGCACGAAATAGGTTAAAAAACCGCTAACGTAGCGTCCGCTTAAAAATTTCCCTTTTCAATACCCTTCCCCATAACTTCTTGAAAGTTGCTAATGTCAGCAAAGAGTAACAATGTCAAAGTAGATGGTCATTACTTACTTGCATCGAGCACAGCTGGTTTGATTGCTCGTTGTATAACTCATCCAAGTAAAATAACAACTTATAGATTAGTGGGCGATGGAGGGAAAGGGAAAAAGACAACAACAAAAGAAAACTTATCACTTTTGCACACCTCCCCTCTCCTTATGTCTCCCTGAATATATCTATTTATAGTGGATACCATCAAAACTAGACTTCAAACAACAACAACAACAACAGCCACCCGACCACAAAGTATATCTGCCCTCTTCAAATCCATTCATACTGCCATTTTTCAAAATGAACCTACTAGGTCAAAATCTTTTCTATCCTTATACCGCGGCTTACCAGTAACACTTGTCTTCTCAGTACCTGCGCTGACCGTTCATCTGTCCTGTTATGAAATTTCCAAGCAAACGCTCGATCGTTATTCCAGCACGTCCTCACATACCACTAGAACAGCAAGCCGCTATTTTAAGCAAGACACAGCTTTCAATCATCTTTTATCGGGTTGTTTCGCTGAAGTGGCAGCAGGACTTTTGTTTACACCTATGGAAGTAATGAAAAATAGACTGCAAACAGCTCATTATTCCCATCTTCAGAGTACCACCACCACCACCACCACCACCACCACTACGATAAAGGATCTGATGCTCGCAAAGAGCATCTTCAAGAAAGAAGGTATTTTGGGATTTTACAAAGGATATTGGATGGGTCTCGTTGTTTTTGTACCTCATTCCATGGCTTATTTTGCTACCTATGAGAAAATGAAACAATATTGGAGAAGAAACAGGAGTAGTCACCATACCAACCACAATAGCAATGATCCGAAAATGTTTATGGTTTGCTCCAGTATAGCAGGCGTCGTCAGCATTTTGTTATCGACTCCTTTGGATGTCATCAAGACACGATGGCAGATTTCAGCCGCTGAACAAGGCAAAGCCTTTCGTTCCGGACCTGTACAAATTGCAAGAAATATGCTCATGAAAGAAGGATGGTATGCTTTTAAAAAGGGGTTATGGGCTCGAATGGCATGGGGAATACCAACAACGGCCATCAGTATGACTCTGTTCGAGTTATTGAAGTAGAGATTGTGTGTGACGGTCTCGTTTGAGAGGGTGGAAGATGAGTTGATGAACAAGAGGGCAGCTGTTGGAGCCTCACTCCTCGAAAATGAGCGAGAATAAAACCACCATGGGTAAAAAAAGACAAAGTGTCAACATAGTGTGTACATATTCCTTCGGAGTTTTATTTGATTGTCATTGTAAATAGAGGTTTTGATGGGATAGGTAGTGAAGTTTTAAATAGTAAATAATAGTTGTAATAATAATAAGTAATGTCTAAAACAAATCTAAATCGAACTATTCATTGATCACGTTATCAAGACATCTGAATTGAAAACGTTGGGGAGACACTCTTGACTGATTGTCTAAAGCAAAGAGAAAACAGCCGCAACAACAGCAGCGCCCATAGTAGCACCGACACTAGCACGGACAAAGTGGCCATTCGACTTGGCAGCTTGAGCCTTACTGCTTACCTTAGCATCAGTCACGCCAAAAGGAGCTTGGGTGGAGCTGGCGCTGGCAGAAGATGATGAAGCACTGGAAGTGGGCATAGACAAACCAGAGAAGGAGGCCATGCTAGAGAATGTATCGCTCACACTGGCTGATGATGAAGCAGAAGCAGAGGCCGCCGCAGCATCCATATCTTCTTCGTCCATAGCCTCAGCCATTTCAGCTTCCTCTTCTTCCTCTTCTTCTAGTTCTTCACCATTTTCCATTTCCTTTTCAAGAAGAGCATCTTCTTCATTCGTTTCCTCCTCCTCCTCTCCTTCATCTGATCCGGTACCTGATGTAGTGGGTTCTTCTACTGAGTCTTCTGATTCTTCTCCTCCTTCTTCTCCTCCTTCTTCTCCTTCTTCTCCGTCAGTAGCACTCTCACTGGGTTGAGACTCACCTTCTTCTTCACCAGTAGAGGCAGAGGAGGTTTCTTCAGCCATCTCGGGGGCAACAGAGGCTTCAGGTTGTTGTTCATCCATAGAAGCAGAAGCAGCTTCCATGGCTTCCTCATCTTCCTCTTCTTGAGCAGCAGGCCTGACGTTGCTGGCCTGAAGTCCGTCCTCGGCGTCCTGTTCTTCAGCTTCCTCTTCATCAAGGTCTTCAGTGTTTGTGTTCTTCTTAGATGCGACTTCTTCCTCTTCTTCTTCCTCTAATTCCATACCAGATGTAGTAGCTTCGGCCTCTTCTTCGTCTCCTTCAGCAACATCCATGGAAGGAGCGACTTCTGAATTCTCTTCGGCTTCACCAGAGGCTGATGGGGATACTTCGCTTTCTCCTTCAGCCATTGCGTCTGTATTTTGTTCGTTATTATTATCCATCATACTGCTATTTTCTTCTTCACTATTAGTGTTGTTTTCTGTGTTGTTTTCGACTTGTTCGGGTACAGCGGCGACTTGAGTAGCTTCCGGTTGTTCAGGAGCAACAGCAACACCGCCTTCCATGCCTTCTTGAGGAGTAGCTTGTGCTATTATTGAGTAGTTTTTTTCGGGTTTTTTTTTTTTTTTTTGGGTGGTTTTTTTATTTTTTTTTTAAAAAAAAAAGTGATATTTAGTTAGGGTAACCTTTTGTGCTTTATGAATTTTTTCCAAAGTCATCTTTACCATTCACAATAAGGGTGGCAATGGCGAAAGTAATAAGAGCTTTGGTACGCATCTGGTGTCTAATATGTGTGTATGTATGATTATGTGTGTCTTCAATGTATCAAGTATATCGGATGATATAAGAAAGGAGAAGAAAGATAAAAAGTGGTAGTGAAATGTCTTTATTATATGTTCTTTCCTGGCACCGGGAAATATTTCATGAAATTAAAAATGATGCGTTATGGTTGGTATTATGATCTATAATTCCGGTATTAACAAAAGATATGTCGACGAGGCTATGTGGTTTAAAATACATTCGTCAAGTTTGAATTTAAACAGATAGGTGATGGAAGAAAGCTCAAAAAGTTAAATACGTCGATCTCTCTTTAACTTTCGGAAGTTTTTCCTTTAAACTTACTGTCCTTAGCTTGAGGATATCTTGCTGGTTTACGTTTGAAAAGATGGGGGGTAACCCTCCTTCAGTGTATATAGTTTATTAGTATGTCTGTACACTATGGTGTGCACATATTGATTGGCCTCGTTACAGTATAGAGAAAAGAAAGGGCTACAGTTAGAATGAGTTCAATTTTATTTTTTAGTTATTTATTAAAATCAGTTCAAATTAGCATCGTATATTTCAGGAATGAGTTAAAGGCGGAGAAAAGTCTTAAAAGTATGATTGTTGTTTGGCTGTTTACGTGTGTTGTCATTATTCGTTTTGCTTTGACCAAAAAGACACGATGACTCCCGAGAGGATTGTTCAGAAGCTTTTTGACTTTTTTGAGAGCGTAGCTTTTTGAACTATATGATTATACTATATTGCAACTGCCCACTGCCCACTGCTCATTTTTGTGTATTTGGCAAACGGTAGGAGCATTAAGGGTAGCGGGATAACAGAAGAGGATTTTTGCTTTTAGACGCAATGCTTCTCTACAAGTTATGCCAAGAAAAGAGACATGTCCGAGCTCAGTATCTCACACATCATGTATTATCTATTATTAAAAAAATTGGAGAGTCGTCTTTGCTATAGCTCTTTGTTGTACATAGTTTGTAAGTTTGCGATACATAAGGCAGCATACCATCTTCGCATTCCATGGAGTGTTTGTTACGCTTCAAAAAGCTCGTCATCCTGTTAGCCACAACAAAAAATCAAGCTAAAAAATCTATTGACTAGCGCCTTGATATATACACCATCTTGACAAGCATATAGCTTTTTGAACGTTTAGGATCACTGATTGTATCTACAAACGTAGCAAATTACAATAATGGGCATCCAAAAACGTCTGATTCGTTTTTTTTTTCCTACTGCTGAGATTGAAAGAGGCAAATCTTTTGACTAAACATTTTGTTAAGGTTTTTTTCCCCCACATTTTGCCTTTTTCTGTTCACAACGTTTTCAATATAAAGCTTTTTATTGATTGTATTTTTGGCCCTTAACAATGAGTGCACAGGCATTCTACGAAAAAGCACTCCGTTGTTATCTTTTGACAAAATATACTCCGGCAGTGAATAACTGCCTTAAGGCAATCTCCTATTCAAAAAATGAAACAGTAGACAGCAGCCTGTTGTCCAACATTTGGACATTGTACATTAACATTGCAACGACCTTGCTCAGCTTCACCGCGCCAGCAAATGAAACTCTTTTAAAGAAGCTACTACACCTTAAAGAATATCATTCTTCCAAGCAAGAAACTTGCTATTTTATTTGGAAGAATGTGGCTGATGAAGGCTTTCAAGGCGATGTCAGTCAGATCTCATCAACACTTATTTCTGTATGGTAAAACGAGAATTATCAGTAAGAGAGAGCTAGAACATCGACAAAAGTTCAGGAAACTAAAGTAAAATCATTCTATCTAGTCTAGCTATGGCGTTGAATTTGCAGCAACCCTCCTTAGCCAGCAATATCGCTGAAGAATGGTTTTCAGCTTTACCAGATCATGTCTTGCAGGAAATTGCTGAAGGGAATGATAGAGCAGGATACAATGATATTGTTGATCAATACATTGTCAATATTTTGCCCATAATGGATGATTTTGACTCTGCCTTAACATTTCTTGAGTACAATACAATTATACCAGATGCAAGAAAAAAGGTAAACTCTCCTCGCAGATTACATATCGATCGTTCTATTGTTGGATAGCTCTTGAACTAACCCGAGCGATCATTTGGTCTATTCAGGTTTTACAAAAATCAGTACTGGAAAAGAAACAGACAGTGGAGTTTGAAAGAGAAAAGAAGACCAAGTTAGAAGAAGAAGCAAGGAAATTAGCAATAGAAGAAAAGAGAAAAGCGGAAGAAGAAAAACTCAGGAAAGAGGCAGAATCTAAGAGGATGAAAGAAAGAGAAGAAGAAGAAGCACGCTTGAAAGAGCAAGTATCAGTTGAACAAAGACAGAAAGAAATAGCAGCAGAGGAAGAATCTAGCTCAAAAGTGTCTTCACTACATAAATCATTTGATCAACTTCAGCTAAGCAATGACAGGAGCAGTTATACTATCTCTAGTAGTAGCAGTCACCGAAATAATGGTTCCACTTTAGTGCAGAAGTGGATAAAAAGGTTTTCCAATGCGCAAATCTCCAAGACAACGGGTGGTATATTAATATTCATCTTTGCCCTGTTTGCACTGCTGAGCGGACAACGTGGGAGACTGTCTGTAGCTCTACAGCATTTAATGCATAAGCTTTGGGAGACTGTGAAAATGGGAACCAAAGTGACCTATATATAAATCGTTCAAAATTAGAATAAAATACCACAACAGCTATCTGATGCTTTTTGGCTTTTACCCATTTAAATGTATTTGCAAAGCAGTGTTTCCAGCATCAGCCTATTCTTTTTGCCGGCTATAAGGAGTAAAGGACTGAAGTTTCACTAAACATTGCTCTTATAACACGAATGATGCTCACCCCTTACACAACAAGGAGAAGTGAGTGAGAACGATCAAAGAACTAAAAACTGATTTAAAAAGGAAAAATGAGGAGCAAGCAGAGAGTGCTTCCTTTATCTTTTTCTGGAGAATTTACTTACATGTATTTACGTATCATACTATTCATATGCTCATTATCTTTTACTGTTCGTTACGTCCATTCATTAAAAGCTTTGGAAATAACGCAGTGTCCAAAGCTAGCACCCCGAGAACCCGCTAAAAGCGTGTTTGATTTGAGGCCTGATGATATCGAAGTGATAGCTGGAATGGGGGATAGGTATATCGAGCGTTCAAATCTACCGCAGTGATAGCTTGAATACTAAAAAATAAAACAAGTGTTTCAGCGGGCCTCCTTGTAAAGAATATAGAGACGCAGTACATCGACATAAATAGCTCCTTTATAGAATATAGAGGCTTTAGCTTCTCCATGGGTGGCGTGAGTACTATTTTTTTTTTTTTTGCAGTACAATTAATTGAAAACAAAAGCATTATATTTATTATTCTCTTTTTTTTTTTTTTTTTTTTTTTTTTTTGTTTATATTGGTAGGATGCAGATGCTCAATCTTTACCAGCATATATTCGACAATATCAATCTAAATTAATGGGTGCCTCAATAGGAAAAAGACCGGCAGAGATATGTCCAGGTAGAATTGATTTTAGCAAGGAAGACATCTTTGTGCATGTAGCATTCTGATTTTTTTCTTCTCTTCTTCTTCTATTCCACAGATACATTTTTCTGCACGAGTACATTGCACAGGTAAACCAAAAATAAGAGAAAAGCCTATGCATGCAGATAATTCGACAATAAGAAACGTCAATTAGAGAGGCTCTAAATACTTCTTTTTTTAGCCCTAAGGTTGATCAATTGAACGCTGCTCAATCCGGTGCAACTACTCGGGAATTGCCCGAACAAGTTGCCTACTTGAAACAATACATTGGTCAGGGTACAGCACTTGCTAGCAAGTGGAAATTGATCAATTTTTATATGGGATATAATGATGGCTCTGTATCGTGCTTGCCAGGTAGAAACGAAAGAGAATACTGGCTAAACGTAAGAAATGCACTCAACGATCTGATAACTAGTATTGATTACACTTTTATCAATCTCAGTAAGTATTCCTGCTTTAAGGCTACTTACCCCAGATTTATTGCGATGTTATGTTATGTTGACTTTTTTTTCTCCCCGAACCTAGTTGGTCTCACTCATTACAGTGAAGTTGTGGATACTGTCCGTACTACTGCCCCAGCAGGTTATAAGAAAACGTTTCCTGACGGTCGAAATGACTTATCGAGCATCGAATGTTATTGCTGTTCTCAGCCCAATGGTGGTGTAAATTACATTAGTGAACGCGTAACAGGATACAATAAAGCTCTTCAATTGATTGCAGAGGAGATACAGAAAACAACAACAAAGAATGTAACAGCTGTCTATCAACCAACAAGTATAATTTCCTCCTCGGTACCCTATTTTACATTCAGGTAAGCTTGAGTACAACACTATAAACTTATTGCTAACGTGTGCTGATATCGCTGAGTTTCTGTTTACATTATATAGTAATGTTGATGGATATCATCCAAATGCATTAGGTCATAGATTTTTAGCAAGGCGTGTTTGGAACGAAATGTTTCTGAAGAAAGCCGATAAAGTGCATATTATTCCTTACAGTTCCGAGGAGCCTGTGTATTGCCCTTCCAATGAAGATCGAATCCAAGCATTTTAAGAACACATGATACTATATGGTCAATTACATTTTATTTCAAAGACTAGCTGCTTTACTATAATTTATTACTTGTAATGTATAGATTAATAGAACTAAGTTTCAATATCCAAAAGATTGCAAAATTCTATGTGGAAGACGAGAACTATAAGTTAGAACGGTAGGGTAAGAGTATTTAAATGTCATAAATTATGTCGAATTGATAGAATTTTTATTTAAATGGTGAGGAAGCGCCAAGATAATTTGATATCATACTCGGTGGTGTGTCTATCAATTTGGCTCTAATCGTTTCCCTGCCCAACTCCTTGTTCGCTGCCCATCGATGACAGCCACCAAAAGCAAAATAATAGTCTTTTCCTTGATACTGCACATGATGAACATCCTATTTTCGAGTCATTATTATTAGTATCAATGCTGTAGTGCTTGATAGTCGCTTTAGGCATTTCACTTACGATAGGTGTCAATTCCTTCTCTCTATCAGGGATCTGCAGAATGGTCTTCATGTTTTCTACCTTTTCCCTGTCCAATATCGACGGTATAGGTCGATTGATAGCAGACATTGGTACATCATAAACCTGTGGTACAAAGAATTAGATTAATGCCTGTGCTCTCTGTATATCTTCTGCATAAGTCATGCTTGTATCCTTACGTCTTTGACCGCGTTTCCATGTATGGAAAAATTATCCACTTCCTGCTGGCTGTTTTGAGCGTTATTATTGTTAACTTTGGACATAATATCGAGAAAAATGAGTTGGTAACAAGTATCTGATAAAAAGAAAGGAAAGGTTGATATGAAAGGCTTTTTTGTTTCTTTTATATCATTTAAATATGACGTTATTCGCTTGAACCACTGATATCACAGTTCAGATAACCAGTATTTCTTATTAAGCATAGTTGTCCAATTGAATCTAATATTGCAAATCAATCTTTCCCCGCAAATCAAATTTCAAGGAACGGTTCTTGATTCTTGGTGCTGCTGACAAAGAAGGAACTCCGCTTCTGAGCTTCTTTAGCAATGCTACAGCCGTTACGGGCCTTTTAGCAAACATACTTTATCTGATGTGTAAACCGGAAGCAAGAATAGGCAAATAAAAAGTATGCAACATAATGGTTATTAATTAAAAATCTTATTCTCTTCCAACTTATTATCGTAATGTATGCACTAATATCTATCTGGTATATGTAGACAATGTAAGTGTTGAAATATTGATCTTTCATTCTCTTAGCATAAATACGGCAACGCGAGATGGAGTATTGCTTCAAAGATAAGGTTCAAAATGATTATTGATTAACTTCATGTGGTATTGCATGACACACGTAAGAACACTTACCAAGACTTCATCAACGACGAGGGGCAGCGACATGGGAACAATAGCAGTAATACAAAACAACCGTCGAGTAAATAAAGAACGCGAAACTTTGCATCTCGAGCATCATTGCTAAAGAGATATACCTAATATTATATATAACGTTTGTTCTCCAAGGACACAAATATTTATCTTTATTCATTGCTGGGTGGGGGCGGGGGGGGGGCGGTGGAAATTCTGGTTCCCTGATTTCATAAAATTATTCGCAAAGTATGAAAAACTGCTGTATATACACTAGCGCTTAGTTGCTTTAATTTCTTCCGATGGTTAAGTAAAAGCTCGTCTAATTCATCATATAAATGCACCGAAAAAGCGATTAATGATAGAATCTAGTTCATTTGAAGAATAAAATGGACTGAAAAATAAATAAACGGATTGCAACGCTTACAGAGAAAACTCGAATTTAACGTAAAAATGATTTATCAAAAAAAAAAAAAAATTAAAATACGTTTCGAATCAACACTAAATAGCTATTAAAAAAAGTAAGAAGCTAACGTCAATAACTAAAGCTATTTTTTCTACAAATTTTGAGCCTTAGAATAAAGCTGTTCTTCCTATTGTATTTGTAAAGTGTGGATTTCTAATGGTCATGTAAAACTTTCTTCCTATTTTCAAAAAGTTGGAAAACACTGTATACATATTTTTGAAAACATCGCCCACCCCTTCCACTCTCCTTATTTACACCTGAAGTAGCTCTTCCCCTAATAGTACAATAAGACCTTCTATTGCAAGATCTGGTAGTGAAGCACAAGAGCTGTCCCAACTGGCATACCGACGCATTCGCCTGAGGAAAGATTCACTTCAATGCTGCTACCTCTCTGAGCAATAATGAGCGCTCCCGACAGTCACCTGGTAGCATGTAAACACAGGTTCAAGTCAAGATATAAAAGATTAAACACTACAAGAGCAATAAATAGGCCAAGTACTCTGAAGAACAAATGATTATTATCAACGTATCATAGTTTGCTCAACTTGACAAGTTTCATGAGTGACATATATGTCCAACTTTGCAAATAACTCTACATATCGTACTATTGTCCGAATGAGGCAATATAATAATAAGATGAAAAGCTATGGTACTGTGTTATACATGTATGAATTTAGCAAAGATGAGCGTTATGCACTGAACTTCAACATTATAATTACTGTACTATGAGACAACGCCTACCGAAATGCACAAAGGAGTCAGTTTAGCATCAGCCCTTGGATGCATGCACTTTCCTATAAAGTTTATCAAAATCTTATTCAAGACCTGTCGTGTATTGTGATGATGGCTCACTCAAGCCTTTTGTATGCATAAAAGAGGTCTTCTATTGCTACTGCCGTTACACAAACAAACATCTGACAAAAAGTTGGCTTTCTGGAACCTAAGCGGCGACGTAAAAAAAAATCAAAAAATCCAACAACAGCAGAACAATCAAATTTTTCAATTTTGGTGTTTTCTCCTGAATTGATTTTTCCTCATCTTCCTTTCTACTAAGACATCATCTCTTTCACGATGAGAACAGTTACTTGCACCGCACCTGTTAACATTGCTGTAAAATAATTAATGATTTTGTCACAAAAGTATGGAACATGTCAGCTAATTACTGGCTTTAATGACCTCTATTCGAATAGGTTATCAAGTATTGGGGAAAGCGTGATACCGAGCTTATTTTGCCTACCAACAGCTCTTTATCCGTTACTTTATCTCAAGATATTCTTCACAGCAAAACAACCATCTCTGCTGCCAAAGAATTTAGCCACGATCGACTTTGGCTCAATGGCAAAGAAGAAGATATTACCAAGAATAAGCGAATGCACAACTGTTTCCGCGAAACGCGTGCTATTCGTAAGGCTATGGAAGAAAAGGCCGAATCTGAGGGCAACCCAATTGAGCCTCTTTCAACTTATCCTATTCATGTCTGCTCTGAAAATAACTTCCCAACCGCTGCCGGTCTTGCTTCTTCAGCTTCGGGTTTGGCAGCTTTAGTCTACACATTATCCCAACTATTCGAATTGACCATCTCTACCTCTGACATTTCTCGCATTGCTCGTCAAGGTTCTGGATCAGCCTGTCGATCTTTATTTGGCGGCTTCGTGTCTTGGGAAATGGGTGAAAAGGAAGATGGATCCGACTCTTTTGCCGTTCAAGTGGCTCCTGAAACTCATTGGCCTGAATTACAAGCTTTGATCTGTGTTGTATCTGACGCCAAAAAGGGAACATCTTCTACAGCTGGTATGCAACAAACTATTCAATCTAGTCCCTTAATGAAACAACGTATTGAAGAAGTCGTCCCTCAACGCATGGAGGCTATGAAGAAGGCTATTTTGCAAAAGGATTTCCAATCCTTCGCTGAGCTCACTATGCGCGACTCAAATCAATTCCACGCTGTCTGTTTGGATACTTATCCTCCCATCTTCTACATGAACGATACCTCTCGAGCTATCATTCAGCTAATTACTGAATACAATGCTACATCTCCCGATGGTAAACTGAAAGCAGCTTATACTTATGATGCAGGACCAAACGCTGTTATTTATGCACCCAAGGAAAATATGCCAGAAATTATCCGTATGATTGGTCATTACTTCCCTGCAAACAAAGAGCCTAAGGAATTCTTCAATGATCCTTATCAAGTTCTGAAGAACGATGAAAAATTAGGAGCCGAAAATTACATTCCTAAAGACCATGACAAGTTCAATGAAAAGGTTATTCCTGTCCAACCTGCCGGTAGCGTTAGTCGATTATTACATACCAAGGTTGATGATGGACCGCGTGTGTTGGATCCATCAGAATCTCTTTTGAAGGCAGATGGGCTTCCCAAACGTCTCTTTGCATAAGGAAAACCGTAATGCATTATAATTTAACACTCTCTACTATAATTTAATAAATTGCAATTGGTTTAAGAATCGTCATCAAAGAGATTCATTCTCCAGGTCGTATGGCACTCAACCCCGTCTTGATTTCATTTTCTTCTGTAATTATACTATAACAATGTGATTTATTAGCGAGGATGATAAAGCGTGGTGACATAGACTGCTTGAGACAAAACTGTGAAGAAGTAAGACCAAAGGCGATACGGTACTGCAGGCTTCGGACAAACCTTGCCACCGACTGAATCATAAAAATACAAGTGTAATGTAACAATAGAATACACTTTTACTATCTCTATTGAATAACCGCGGTTCACATTTTCCACTTGGGATCACCTCTTCGTTTTTCCTCCTCACGAATTTCAAACATGATTTGTACAGCAATAAAAAGACATATTGCCACAGAAATAAGGAAAGATAAGCCATTGACAGTTCCGAAAATATTACGCAGCAATTCCTTAATACCGTCGAGTCCTACAGCGAAACCCACCAAGTTGGCAATCATCATCATGAGAATATTCACTACAGCACCCATACCACACACAAAACGATAATAAGACCTATCACCATACTATGTGCAAAACAAAAATCAATCTCTCATCTCTATAGAGTACTTTTCTTTCTTTCTTTTTACCTTCTTTTCAGTAAAGATCCTTGATGCAATGATCTCTGGTAATAAAAATAAGCAGATTAACCAGCCCCAGGCTAGCAGCTTCAATTCAATATCATGCCACAACGCAACAAAGGTGAATACAACCCATATACTATAGACAAAATACTTTGATCCACCCAAAGGAATATAAATGTAACGAATCGTCCAGCGGTTGAATGTTCGATGCCAACTTTTCCAGAATCTCTGCGCCGAGAAATTGTTACTCATACATCGTACCATATTTTCTTCAACCCAAATACCATCCATGAGTGACCATAACCTGAAAAATCGCCATGGAATCAACAGTTTCATCCAAATAATCACCAAATTGAAATACCCAATCATGCTTAATTCTAATGGTGTATCATTATTCCATGCTTTGGCTTTGCTGATTGCGACGACATAAAGATAGTGCAATATAACTTCCATCAACAGAATGACAAAGATGAGGCGAATGGTATAAAAGGCAATGTAACGCCTCGTCAAGTTCTTAGAGCGATATTTAAACTATAACATCCCAACGCTCAGATTAGCATTTTTTGGCGCCAAAACTATTTCCAAAACTTCCTGACAGTAAACTCAACAAGCACTCATTTTCTCCCTTCTTACCTGAGATATAAAATCATTGAATGTAATGATAGGGCCACATAATAATAATGGAGTGTACAATACATATGCCAAGAAGTTAAAATAGTTGTAATCTTCATCCAACAAGGGCTTTACAACGCGTTCTTTATCTGTATGAGGCAGTTCGTAAACTTGTTTTTCATGGCCCTTCACTTTTCTGGTTGTCACGGTGGATATATTTGTTCGCTCATTGCATGCCCAGTAATAATCCATATTGAATGAAATCAATCGAAGCATAGCGAAATTAAAGAGAATGTGCCAGCGTGCCTGAAATCCCTCCCATTGATCTAGCCATTGGAACGCACTACCAAACATATGTTCAAATCTATATCCGTCGTAGTATTCATTAATAAAAAGGACGAATAGATTGTAGGCCCAAGTCAAAGCAGGGTTCCATTTTGAGCTCTTGAAACGACGACCAATAATGTAATTGATGCTAACAAGAAAAAAGATTTTGAGCGTGCTGAATCCGTGGAGTAGAAGAATACAGATGATGGAGGATAAAAGAGAGAATTTAAGCTTGGAGGAAAGCCATTGGTAGTGTTGATTGGCTTTGTTGAATATTAAATGGGTAAATACAAGCGGCAGGAGTTTGGGTATATTGTCACGGAACTGGCCGTATTGAGCGTCACTGTTATCCTAAGGTTTTAATCATTGAAGAAATAGTTAATGTTTATGTACTGTTCGACAGTTCATAAAGCATCGACACATTACCACCTGCCGTCCAAAAATCCAACCTTTCGATAATAGCGATTCATATTTCGGATAATTAGGATGTGTCTCTATAAAGTATATTTGTATGTAAATCATTTTGTTGTTTTTGTCTGGAGACTATGAGTCCTTCGTTGAACCTTGTTTCGACATTTACTTTTGCTCAAGTCATGTGTCACTTTGAACATGTACGGAACAACAATGCAGAAACAGAAATAATAAAAGTAAAACTCTACAAAAAATACTCGTCAGTAATGCTGGATGTGACAACATTGCTACCAAGAGATGTCTGCGGATGAGTTTCATTATTACCTTTCGTACGCCAGCGAGAAGGTCTTAATTTTATTTTCGGGCTGTTATTTATTGAGTCATTCATCATGTATTATATATAAAACCGACGTTGTAATAGTGGTATATTGTGAAAAAGCATCTATTACCAGTGGAATAAAGAAAAGAAAAAAAAAACTATTTTGGGACCTAATTTCTGTTGAGTACCTGTTGTGTAATTTAAGCTTTTTTCTTGCGGAACGTAATTTCAAAAAATAGATTGTGCTAGCTTGATGATTAGAATGCGTCGGAAAGATTGCAGGCCGCATTCCGCCTCTTATTGACAGGTAACATCATTTCTGCCTTGAAACAAGCATATCAAATGTCAGCGTTGACTTCCTGATAATCAAGCAAAAGAAACCCCCCCCCGTGAAGCGTAGTAGTTGAACCATCAGTCACACGGATCTTATCCTCTTATTGTGAAGTCTTGCCTGTCGATAAAGTTTACCGCCATTTGATTGTTCAGTTGAACCTGGACAATTGGCAAAGCGGCAAAGTCCTTTTTCTGCCGCAACTTCGTGTTCTCATTACCCAGCAGCAGCAATTAGACGTAAAATATAGAGAAAAAAACTAAGTCTTTAGTTTGCAATTTAATGCTTGTTTCAATATTGCCCCACAGTCATAATTTGAATAACGGAAATCAAACTAAATTGGACATAAGTAATAGACAAATTTGTCATTGTATTCATAGTAAAACGGGAGTTATTTGATTCCAATGCTTCGGGTGAGATAATACTTCAAACTCTTGAGGTGTTAAAATTGGTATCTGTAATGGAGGAACGTACATTCATCACTTATATACAGTAGAATATATCCAAGAATAGACCAGTTGCAGGATCGCGCATTTTCAAAATGCTAATTTGAAACATTCAGTGTTCGTGGCGCGAAATCTTGTATTTATATTTACATTGTTAGATTTATAATAATGTCATAAAGCTACTGTCAGTTGATGGATGAGTAAAAATCACAAGCAGAAGATCAAAATGTCTAATAATTCACAAACAGCTCTTCCCACCTTTGCCTTCTTCTGTTCAGTTTACGCAACAGCCCTCAATTGGTTCCATAAGCAACAAGTGCGCTATTTCATAACCAAACTCAAAGTTGCAAAATTGGAAATGGCATTTAATATATTCAACAATGAAATATTCACAAAGTACAAAAGAGTTTTGGTGTTAGGTCTCATAACCTTCTCGTTAGAGTAGGAATGTTTTAAATCAAGAAACCATCGATTCATACAGAGGTCCAAATTGCTGAACTTAAAAATACCAATAGGAAAGTAATTGTTGTATGAAGGGTATAAATTTTACCCGACTGTTTTTTTGTTTCTTTTTGCCCAGAACCAACGAAACCTAGAAAGCTTCGCTCTCAATCGTTAACCAAACAAAAAAAAAAAACCATTTTGCATAACACTCTCTCTATTTATATAACTATTTATACATCTTATACAATATGTCTTCTAACTATACCCAAATATCGCAGCAGAAACGATCTTACAATATTTCAGAAACAAAACTAAAACGGATTCTGGAGTATAACGAACGACTAAAAGAACAATTAGAATTACAACGAATCCCAGTTTCAGAAGCCTCAAAAAGGTAAACAGTTGTTGATATAGAAATATAATATATGAAGTCTTCATCCGATGTTATTCATGTAGCTCATCGTTTTGTTCCTTTTTTATTTTACGATGCGTAGTCTAGTAGATTATTGCAATTCCACCAAAGATCCTCTCATCCCTTCCATTTGGGGAGCAGTCAGTAAAGAAGACGATCCTTTCGCGCCGGCCGCAGGAAAATCTAGATCAGCAAGTGGATGCTGTATAGTTATGTAGATTGTAGAAATCTTCCACGGTAAAATTGGTTCATCAGTTCGAAATGCAATTGTCTTTTTGTTGACATCCCATTGTATTTCCACAATTTCAACTATTCAACGGCTTCAAACAGTGTATGTCAACAAACGTATTCTATTATGTATAACCTTTACTCTTTACGTACAAACTTAATAACTCTACCAATTTGTGTAAATTCTCAACATACCAACTTTACTCATATCTTACAACTTCATTCAGTTTGCCTTTTTAGTAATACTTTGCTCTTTTTTTCTTAATTGCCTATTTACACCCTCTAGTTTTAAATCAGTTTCGTTTATTATCTACATACATCTTTTCTTTATGTATTTTACAAGTTCTGTAAAATGAGTCAATTGAACTATTAAAGATTGATTATGTATTCTTGTCCCCTTGACGTAGGTATTTTTATTGACAGCTTCTGTTAAAAAACTTACTGTATCATTTAGAGATACAAGGCTGGGAACTAAATTTGGTTTTCGTGCATCACACAATTTCAAGTTTTTTCTTCAACATTTTTGTGGGATATGATTGAAGCATTTGCTGGCTATCTTAAAGAGTTGTTACTCAGTGGTCTTGAATTCCCCAACAGTATAAAAGCAAGAAAGATGTGAGTGAGTTCTGATAATTTAGTTGAGGACGCAATTTTCTTTGATTAATAATTTGTTCAATTTTTTGAGGGAAAAGGTCAACCTATCAGTATCGGAGTTTATAATTTGTTTTACATCATCATCAGCTTTTTCGCCCTTGATAAGATGAGGGGAAAAATGTGGAGCAACAGAAAAAATAAAACGCACTCAATTGTTTTTTTGTATTTTCATTTTATAAACCCACATAAACAGATATGGCTGAAGGAATTAAAATTGATCCAGCTATTGAACGCTGGGCACATATGCGTGAAAATACACACTTATATTTCAAATGGAATAAGAGAACAACACGCAGATCTTTATTATGGGGTGTTGCTGTACCCGTCGCTTTAACAGCATTAGCCTACTCGACTGATGTAAGACGGCAAAGTTGAAGGCTTTTCACATTCCAACTGAGATGCTCATTATTGTTATTAAATTTCATAGCGCAAATGGAATTTTACTGTGGCTCAAACTGCTGAAGACCTCACACCTTCAAAGAAATAGACAAAAGCCTAAATCAACAATAGTATCCATATAATTATATATATCCAAGGACACACTCGAACACACACAAATGCAAAGGTTTCCTGTTTCTGCTTGCGCTCTTATACTGCGAATAAAGAGGATCAATCACAACTATATTGATGTTAACTGTATTAAAGGGCATCAAAATTTATAATATGTAATGCTTTTCGTCTTTCCATCTCATCTTCTTTTTTCTCCATGGATCGCAGAACAACGACAACGACACCCAAAATAACGGATGTTACAACCAGCACTATTAATACCCAAGGAACATATTTAGCAGGCTTGATATATAATTCTACACGCCACGATGAGCTATCTCGAATATGATCAGGCTGATAGGGTAAAAATACCAGTTGCGAGTTGGGTATCACACCTTCGTAAAAAAAATAGTTCTGTTCCTGGTGACGAGTAATTCCCGCGAACAATTCTTCGATATAGTTGTTGGTTCTACCAAGACCAAATAAGCAGTAAGGTGTTTGAAGGGATAGATATGCCGTTTGCGAAAGTTGAGCTACTTGACGGGACTTTTTATGGCCATTGGTATCAAGGACAGTGAACTTGATAGAAGCCCCTGGGTAGTTGACACCATAAGCTTTAAAATCACTAGCTCCATTTGACACTGTTTGAATGAGATATATGAAAAGGGGTTTTAATACATACGTCTTCTATAGAAGAATCAGTGTAAGAGCGAGCTTTACCTAAGCCTTTCAAAAAGAAGGCATCGTTGAAAAAGTTGTTAACAATAAAATTAGGTGTTCTTTTCAGGTCTGATCTTTTTTCAGAATTGTCCAAAAGTAATATATCCAGACTGCCATCTTCATCTATATCAAAAAAGACGGCTTGTGTAGGATTGCCTATTTCGTTCAGTACTTCTGCACCTGTTGTAACTACAGTGAATGTTCGTTTCAGTCTTTCTTCTGCAGCTGTATTGCATAGAGTAGAATCGCATGGAATAGACTGTAATAATAGCACTCTTTCTGTTGTAGTCACCAGCGCATCCGGATACCCATCCAAATTATAATCTCCTACATGCACTTGTACTGACAATTGCCCTCTGAAACTTCCATCCTTCATTCGAACGGCTTCGTTCTGGTCCAGATAAGCATCCAAGTTGAATACAACATAATTTTGTGTATTAGGTCGACTGAAGTCGAACTCAAAATTGGGATCTGCTTGGCATAAATGCTGAGACTGTCGGCAGCTATCACTATTACTGCCCATGTCACTACCACAAAGATGCATTTGTTGATTATATACAATATGTAGGGTACAAACATTATCGATGCAGACGGGGAATACGATATCTATGGAACCATCGCCATCCATATCAGCAAAACTGAGAGGACCTGCGCCTTCTGGTAACTCTGCCTCTTGTGAAATTTGGAATCCTCTTTGACGGTCGTTGGTCCATATCTGGATGAATTGGCGATTGCTGTTTGATTGTGAGCATACAAATAATAAATCTTTGGAAGAATTTGGAATGTTAACTTTTATCCTGGCTGCTTTCTATATCATACGCTCATACCTGCTAAGCAGTCTCCATCGAGATCTATAAAGGCGTTTGAATGTGGGTTGGCCCAGTGACATCGATCGGTATAAGATTTATCAAGCAGTGGATGAGCTGGTGTGAGGTTGAATAGAGAGTCATTTTGTTCAGTCTGGGTATTTGTCGCATTTTCTTCTTCCTGTGCGGTGGAAGTTGTTACTTTTGGTGCAGCTTGATTCAACCATACACTAAGTTCTTTCGTTTCAAAGGCATAACCCAAAATATCTGTTTTCATATCACCATTTACATCCAAAACAATGGGCAAAGAATCATAAGCGGATGGTAAATGTATAGCATTATTCGTTTCAATCGTATCATTGCCATTGCCGAAATAGAGTTGTAGTTTAATTTCTCGACCACTATTGCTCTCAGGATTATCCTCACCCATTAATAACACATCAAGAAAACCGTCATGATTATAGTCGCCAGGCACTACGTTGGTAATGATAAAACCAGGCTGTATGGGCTGCAAATTAGGAAGCGGTTGAAATTGATAGAGTCCTACGTATTCGGAAGAGAATATAGATAGGTGAATCAGTATTCATATGAGGTTCTCTGCATAATAACGACTGCTATTCGAAACGTTACCATGATTCCAACGGTATATAGAAACACTAGTTTGATCTGCACTCAACACAAAAATGTCTGTACTATATATAAAAAGCAAGATGAGTAAAATGTTTGAACTTTCACAATGGAGAAAAGAAGATGAATTTGATCTCACAATTTATCGCCATTAAAATCACCAAATGCTGCAACTGTGCCATCGATATTCTTTAAACCGATAGTTTCGGCCTCTAAGGGATATAATTTGTTTTTGGGATATTTGAGGCCGTGGTAATTGAACAATTGACAGTATGTGAAGGTATTGAATGTCAGGAAAGGTAGCAGAAGATAGAGTAATTTCATGACAGCATAAAGGAAAAAAATATAAAGAGCTTACATAAAGACAGCTTAAATACAAAAACATAATGTTTTTTTAAAAGACAGTAGTATATTTATGCGGGATATCTTTTTCTCTCTGAAAAAGTTAAGTCTACATATAGAAAATATGGTTGTGTACAAGTGAAGTGTAGTATTATAAATAAAACAAAGTATACTCATTGCTTAGTATTTCCTTTAGTATTTCTGTTACTAGTATTCGTATTATTTATGCTTGAATTACTATTGTTACTGCTACTATTTGTCATGACACCATTATTGGCATTACTGCTGTTTCTTCCTCCTCTATTATTTCTATAGCCATGATTAGGATTATATGGATATACTGGTTGTTGATATTGTTGATAATAAGGTGTAGTATTATTGTAATGTTCTTGATCATATAGTTGAGTATAATGTGGCTGCATATTGTAATAAGACTGTTGTTCAGGTGAAAGGTAGTATACAGTCGGAATATAAGGCTGCTGTGCTGCTGCTGCTGCTGCTATTTGCATTTGATACGTAGTATGTGGATCATAGTTATAGATAGCCGTTGGAGTAGGAGTAGTTGCTGGCATACCTGTAGTAGGATCAATTGGGATCATCATATTGTAATCTACGATAGCTGGATGCGGAGGATATACTGAAGTCAGTGAATGATGCTGAGGCTGAGGAGGAGCCGGTTGTTGTTGGGAATAATAATAATCATGTTGTTGCTGTTGCGAATAATAGGGCGCAGATGGTTGTTGTTGCTGTGCATGTGGTGCAGCAGGATGGTAAGGCAGAGGTTGATCATTATATGACAGTGCAGGAGCACTGCTACTTTTATCATGAACCTCAGGCTCAGATTTAGGTTTGTCACTAGCTGCCTCAGGCTTTTCTGATGACTGTGTTTCTGGTTGCTGCACTTCATTATTCACATTAGTTGGGGCTCTACTCAGAGAAGAGGGTTCTGATGTTGAGGTTTCCATAGGAGGCTGTTGATCTCCTTTTCTCTCATCAAGCTTCTCTTCCTTCATTTGCTCGGAACCATTGGCTTCATCCCCCATTCTTCCTGTTGAACTAGGAACAGGTGAAGAGGTTGATAATCTGACAGAGGGTAAAGTCTTGGATTTATACGTCGTTGATATTTTCAGTTCGCGCTGGTTTTTTGTCTTTCTTTTTGGACGTACAGGGAAATTCCTTTCGTCCCTGAGTTTTTCATTTTGAGGCTTCTGGCTTTTAACTGCATCAACATCTGTTGTTTCGTCGCCTTCTGCCTTCTGTCCAGATTCTTCTAAACCATTGCCTTCGTTCTTGGATTGTTCTGATTTAGGCGCTAGCTTATCATTTTTTCGTGATGGAGACTCGAAATTCCTGGGAGGCCTTCTACTGTTATTGAACCCCCCTCTTCTTGGATTACTGGTGTAGTTATTATATCTATTACTTTTTTCATATCTTTGTTGGAAACGAGGTGACGGTCTATCAATAAAAAGTTGCTTGCTGTCTGCTAAGGCTTCCATCACTTCGTTTTTATCGAAGGTATCTTCAGTAAACACTTTTGCATCTTTATTCTCTAGCTTTTGTGCTTCCTTCTCCGGTTTCTCTTCATCCACAGCTTTTCTGTTCTTTATGGATGATGGTTTCTTTTCTCTTATTTGAAGATTTCTAGAAGGTTTATTGCTGGCTTTTTTCGTTGCCTTCCCAGCCGCTGATGATGAAGCGGAGTTATTAGTTAATTCGGGATTAAGTGCTTCATCGTTTGCAACCACTGAGGATTTATCACTGGTCTCTAGAATCTTCTCTTCAGCATGTGTAGGAAGTGTATTTGCCTCATCTGGCTTTTCGATAATGGGGCGTGTCTTATTTTTACTCTTTGATTTTCGTTTTTTTGATGGAATATCTGAAGCGAGTGCAGTGTTGATTTCTTTCTTACCCGACACTGCTTTTCCTTCAATTGCAGTAAGGTCAGTTTCCTTCAGTCCTGTCGTTGTCACTGGGCTAATACGACTTATTGGGGAATACTTCTTTTTCACTTCCCTCGTTTGAGGCTTCTTTTTGTTTCTTCTGCTGTTGATGATTTGATTAATATCGAAATCATCATCTGATTTGTCGGACGATGGCTGTTGTAATTGCTGGTCTTTTGCATCACTACGCGATTGTTTATTATCATCTGTACTAGCTTCCTTGTTGCGTTTGCTGCTATCAGTTTTTTCTTTACGGCTTCTTCTCTTAGCTTTCTTTGGCTTTGATCCGTCATTCTCTTCTTTACTCTTTGCTTCAGTTTTATTATTCTCAGCAACTGCCACCGTCTTCTTTTGATTGTTCTGCTCTACAACAATAGTTTCATCTTTAGTGACAGTATCAGCTTCAAGAGCAACATTCTCGGTGACAGATTGATCATTTTTCTGGTCAGGGTTTTCTTCGATGTTTTCACTCTTGCTAACTTTCGGTGGTTCGACGGCTACTGCTAATGACGCATTTACCTTCTTAACTGCATCTGTCGTCTTTGTCTTTCTTTTAACTTTTTGAGTGCTGCTCTTCACTGTTTTTACATTATCAGCACTATTTTCCTGCTGTTGCTCTTCTGCCGTCTTTTTCATTTCAGGTCTTTTTTCACTTTTGTCTTTATCCATTTCATTTTTGTTTCCATCAACTGTTATTGATGGTTTATCGATCGTTTCTGCATTATCGGGATTACAATCTACTGCTGTAGCAGGCGTAGTGGTAATTTCACCATTCATCTTTCTATTGTCTTCATTCTTTGTCTTTTTTCTATTTACTTTCGGCTTTGCCATTTCTTTATTTTTTGCTACATCCAGCTTATTTGTTTTTTCATTCCCTCTGCTTGGATTAGCCTGTTCAAAGAACATATTAGATCTCTTTTCAGTATCAGTAGCTTCTTGTTTTACTTTTTTACTAACCTTAATTTTAAGTGTTGGAGGGCCATTCAGATCTGATGGTTCCGTTCCAATAGAACCATCTTCTGGCTTTTTTGACTTTCTTGTTCTGTTCCTTTTTGAAGAATTCTATTCGAAGAAGAAACATCAAAAGGACTCAGTCATTTGTTTCCAAAAGCCCAGGTTCTTTTTTGTTCTCTTTCTCACCTTTCCAGCTTTCCAGGCCTGCACCAGTTCTTGCACATTTCCTCCCAACATTTTTAAGGAATCAGGTTCTAATAATAAAACTTCATCTTTGATATCGATAGGCTTGGTTACGAGATACTTAGTACCAGGTGGCGTATGCACTCTAGAATAATGAAGCTAATTAGAATCGACGGAATAACATAGAGTAATACCGAAAAAACAATGAACCGCAATTTACTTTATACCATCTACTTTTCCATTCATTTCTACTGCTTTGAACTTTGCCTTACCATCTGTAAGTAATACAGATAGTTGCCTTGGATGTTGTTCGGCTTGATTGGTGGAAGGTATAGAAATATTACGAACCTCTGTTACTTGTAAGACAACAGGACTAGGTATTTGCGTTAACTTCTCTTCAGTTTTATTGAACCCTTGAGTAGTTAGAGAGCGAATATCCATCTACAGTGACCATAAAAAAATTGTTTATGAAGGTTATTTCGCGCTGTTTATGAGAAAAGAAAAAAGAAAGACAACTTTACGTCTTTAGCACATTGTATGTAGTCGTCAAGGGATTTCGCTTCTGGATGTGTTTCAGCAATCAAGTTAATGCCTTCTTGTGAGATGAACCAACCTTTGGCTTCAAAGTCGGGTATATTTAGAGACATATTAATGTACACTGTTTTATTGTAACAACAATAAAAAAGATTGAAGAATAAAGGGGAGAGAAGAGTAAAGAACAATGCACCCGCGTTTTTTTTTTTCAGTTTTTTTTTTTCCGCTGTTTGCTTTTGCAAGATGCTGCTGCGCGAGAAATTTGGCAGGAACCTGTCACCAACGGGATATCAAATCAAAAATCAGAAGAGAGGTGATTTAGTATTGTAGCGCTGAAAGCATTCCATTCTGGGTAAGTAGAATCCCAATTGCTTAGTGCTGTTTGAGTTCCTTATACATATCTTAACTATGTGGTCATAAGACAACGAGCGCAATGCAAAAACAAATTTGCATTAGGGTTGTTTCTGGGAAGAGTTGTTAACTGCGCGCTATATGTTCTGCACATTGGAAACATTTATGAAAGCCACGTTGGGCAAAAAAATGGATCATATTATTGATCCTAATAGTTTTCTTTCTTCAGGCTCAATTTGGATGGTTATCATATAGATGTTCTTTGCGGTGGATGTGCACAAATGTTAGAGTCGGTGTCCACTTATTCTTGATCACTACTGCCAAAATCGAACTTTGTGCTGATTATGATCATATCGGTATTAATTTCATGGAGGTGATAACCGGTGTTCTAAGAGGGAGTAGCCAGTAACTAAACGATACGTTCACTCTCTATAAAGGGATAACATAAATGCCCAGCCTTTGTTCTCATTCTTGACAAAGCAAAAGTATTTTCGTTTTTTTCACAATTAAAGGAAACCAACTTTGTGATTTACGAAAAGGCAAGTCTTTTGAGACACTTTAATTTCTTTTGATATTATCAATTGTTCAACATTTTTTGTCTGCAGGTTTGGTGTACTAAAAGTGGTTGAGTGGGTTAGACGGATGAAAGAGTGGATAAAATGAAAGTAGCCATCATCTTTCAATGATCGGAACATGTGACAAAAAAATAGTTACAGCCTTTCTTTATGGATCCTTCAAAATAAGTTTCAGATATAGAATTATCAACAAGACATTGCCACTTCTTCCATACTCATCAAACAGTTGAAAACACAGATCATAGCAAGATTCACTAGCTAATGGACCTGTAAATGTTTTGTACAAATCTTTGGTTATCTACTTCTAAGGATTTTGTTATTAAGAAAAATACAGATATACGGAAATTAGATTGTTATATATTATAATATATAATGAAGGAGGTATAATATTAGTATAATTGTTTCAAGATATGAAAAAAAGAGATAAAAGAAGAGTTTTAATGTTTAATAGATATAAGAAGCGTATCTGCCGCCTTTGCGCAAATGCGAAGATGGCATTGCTGTAGAACCTGGTGGTACCTGAACTGCCGCAAGTGGATGCTGCTGTTGCTGTAGCAGATGAGGGGACATCATGGTCATGTGTGGCGACAAAATATTGGTATTATTCCTTTTTATATTGTTCAAATTCATCTCTTCCCTACGCCTCATGTCTGTACTACTATATCTACCGGAGGAATGCCTCTTACTAATGTTGTTTTTCTTGCTACTAGTGTTGTTATGAGACATTCCCGATTTGACTGTGTTTTGAGTAGCATTTGCATACTGAGAGTGTTGACGAGAAGGGGAAGCGGGATACGGAAGCTGCTGACAATAATGAGCATGGGCAGGATGAGGATTTTTCGACATAGAAGAAGGCGCAGAATAGGGCACGGGCATCATCATCATCATCATCATAGGAGAGGGTGGAGCAACAGCGTAAGGTATACACGTTGGATAATATTGCTGTGGCTGATGCTGATGCTGCTGCTGGCTTTGATGGTGTAAAAATTGTTGAAACTGCATTTGCTGCTGTTGATAGTGTAGCTTCTGAAGGTATTGCTGGTAAGATAATTTAGAAGAATGGTGCATGTACAACGTAGCATCATTTGTGTCCATAGATACCGGCCTCTTCATTTTTGGTTGCTGTGGCTGCTGATTTTGTAAAGGATGAAAGGTATTATCGGTAGGGACATCATCTTCTACACCAAACCAATTGTTGTTCAGTTCCTCTTCTTCCGCGTCTGTTAGAGGAGCGGTATAGGTCGATGGACTGTTTGTAAGGCAGTCAGAAGAAGACCCTGTGAGGCTAGGAGGACCGCACTTACTTTTTTGTGATAATGTAGGCGAAGTACTTATTTTAGGTAGAGGAGCAGGGCGCTTCACTATATCACAAAGAAACGTAAAGACGATTAGCTCATTGTTCGTGAACAAAGATACACTTCATTCTCTTTTTGCTTAATGGTAACAACTTACACTTATAAAATGATAGGTCATGATCAGGTTTGTCAGCATCTCCCTCCTCCTGCTCAGAATCATTTGTATCATTATCATCCTCATCTTCATCTTCATCCTCTTCATCATCGCTTGGTAAGCAAGTATGCTGTTTCCATTTAAGGCTACGGGCAGATTCTTTCCCTAAAAGAGAGATGCGCGACCTGTGTCAGAGCTATTATCTCATACCCCGCTCATATCATCGCAGATACTGTACCTGAGACTTGGGAAGACGTTGATGAAGACAGGTTTCGAGCGTGCTGACAACGAGAATGCTGTTGCTTTTTTGAAACTGGATTATCACTCGTTCTCGTCTCATCACAATGGCTTTGATGTTGCTGTGATAGCAGCTGTTGTCTTTGCTTATGTAAGTCCCTGATGAATGGTTGGTTGAAAATAATGCTTTTGTTCCAAGACTCGGCATTTAATTCCCCATCCAACGGCGTTTTAATCGCTTTAGCAATTGCTAAACGAGAAAGACTATGTTCAATTTCTTCCATTGCAATGAGGGCAGTTCTTTAAAGAGGATAATTATGAAAAGACGGGAAAAGAGAAAGTGAAATAGGGGCAGAAATGAAAAGTCAAGAATTTAAACAGAAAAAAAAAAAAAATGTTGGGATAAAAAAGATTCACAATAAATAATGCCGATAAAATTTCTTCCACTACATCCGCGTGTCATCTTTAGGCCGCACGGACCGCAATATGAGTGGATCCAACAATTTAGCAGAAAGCAGTAAATGAAAAAGAAGCATCCAAAATAGTAGCATTCAGTCTCAGTTCCTGTTTTAATTGCATCACTCGTCACCCGATATGTAGAAAGACACTGCAAGATTATAACTTTGCAAGCAGTTAGTAGACTTCTGAAAAAAACATTGATTAGAAAATGCACTACTTACATATAACCTCCTATTCTTTTATGTTATTTCATCAACTGAGGTAGGGCTATCATCATTAACAAGCATTTTTTTTTATTGTTATATCGAAAAGAAGAAAAAAAAAGCGGGGTTCGCTCCGCTCAACCCCATCTTTTTCTATATAACCAAAATAAGAAGGCACGCGTCTTCTAATACTACAATTTTTATAAGTTTAGACGTTGGACTAAACTGGATGAATACTTCTTCGATAAAAACCCACTTCTCTCTTTAGGGCTTTCTGTAATTGCTCAAACAAGATTTGTTGATGGCGTACTCAAAAAAGAAGAAAAGCTTCTATTGATGCTCAGATGAGATAAAGCAACAAATGTTTCAGAGCTTAATTGTCTGTTGTCTCGAGACACACACGCAGCATGTCTGCAACGCATACTACATGAATAAGGGACCAAACCCTTGTATAACTATATAATCAATTACTACTAAATTACGTATCTATGAATTAAAGCTTATTGTACCGCTATTACCAACCGATCCATATGTGATGACCTGATGCAAAATGTTTTCTAAAAGATAATACGGAATTTTAATTAGTAGCGATGCCTCAAAATGTTAGTATTGTGCTTCCAAGATGTCGGCTTCACCGAAATTCCATGAACCTTCCCTTTTTCTTCTAATCTATTGTTTCGCTTGCCGCTCTTGCTTAAATAAGTTGCTTCTTTTCCGTATTTCCGCACTTTCGAACGAGGCACTTTTACATCTTCCGCTAGAACGAAGCAGAGTGAAAGAGTCGTTCGAGGGAAGGCAAGCATTCAGTTTGCACAGATGAATGGTTGTATGTCATTCACAATTAAACAATAATGAGTAGTGCTCCAGAATCATCTGAATTATACGCCCTGAACCTACTACTACTTTTCTAGAATGCATAAAATGTTAACTTTTGTTAAGCAGGTATTTTTTGAAGACCATGTGCCTGAATTTTTCCATATTTTCTGTTGTTCCTTTTTCTTTGCTTTATTAGATGCCATTGCACACATATCCTGCAAACTTGATCAAATCAGTTTGTAACAATCACCGAAAACATTGTCATGTTCTTCGTATCAAACCATCATTGTATTAGTTTGTTCGCAATTTACATGGAATTCTCGTTGATGAGCTTAACAAACGTAAGTCAACTAAGTGTATCATAGTACAGTAAAATAATACAATGCTTCCATGTTCATGCAAAATGCGTTCGACGGGTAAAACCTGTACAAATACAGAAAAGGAAAAACAGCAGATCTTACATACTTTTTAATACTTAACAGAGTGTCAATGAGATCAGGATCATATAATGTGTATGGAAAAAAAAACCAATAAAGAATTATACTCTTGTTATGATTTGTGTAGGAAATAAAATAAAAAAATATGAATGGGTGATGAAGGAACAGGAATTTTTAATCAACATTCTCTGATCCCGTATATTTGCCAACAAAATTCATGCTCAAAATCTTGAAGCCACTTCCACCGTGTTTCAACTTGACAATGCCATCATGGCTATCTACACCAATCAACATGCCTAATTCTCCACGGTGTTCACCCAGCATAATACGTACAGGGTCTTTCTTACCAGGTCGCACAGGTTCTATATCGTCATAAGAAATCTCTGTTTGACTACCGTTTTCATCCATCGCTACCATGCATGTACGACTACTTCTCTTTATGGACGTTATTCTACCCTTCGAGCCATTGTCTTTCAACTGTACTGCAATTTCTTCAATCGGCCAATTGTCTTCACTCTCTTCTTCATGTTGATGGTGATCATCATCCATCATATCACTATTATAATCGCCACCCGTGGGCATAAAAGGCGTGGTAGGAATTACTTTATGGCTAACGTTTGATGGACCTGCTAAAGAAGATGACGTAGATGAGGAAAATGCAGCGGGTGTTGCAGGTATTAAATTAGCGCCAGGAGTAGGAGCAGACAACGCCGCAGGTGTGGCGGGAATACCAAGATTGCCACCGGGAGTAGGGGCTGATGCGTAAGGAGTTGAAGGGATATCTAGATTACTATAAGGTGTTCGTGGTACTGTATGTTGCTCAATGCCTGAAGCAGCGGGTGTAGGAGCTCTGATATCAAATGGAACATTGGATGCAGCTGGAGTGGGTGCTGTATTCCATGATGATTTTGGTGTAGGCGCTGTAAGTGGTATGTTATCAAACCTAGGGTCAGGCTTATTGATATCATCACCGTAAAAACCTGGTGTTAAAGCGCCGCTAAGATTGGTATATCCAAATGGGTTCGCCGATGCACTCCACGTTGCTGTTGATGTTGATGATGTGGGTTCCTTATGTCGACCATGAGCTGGTGTTTTAGAACCTGAATCCCAGGCAGGTGTGCGTCCTCCATCATTATTTCGTGCGTAAGGATTGGGTGTACGTGCACTAGAACTCCATGCAGGTGTTTTGGATCCTGAATTCCAAGCTGGTGTTCTACCACCATCAGCTGCGTATGGGTTCGGTGTTCGAGAACTCGACCACGCTGGTGTCTTGGCTCCAGAATCATTAAACCTACTAGGCGTGCCCATAGGTCTAGCAAATGCACCGTTGTTATTGTTATTGACAGGGAAAGGTTCGGCGAAAGTACCAGATGCGGCTTGTCCAATAGGATTACCTTGTGCATCCAGGATAGTCAAATGAGATTTATCGATACTGAGCACTTTGGAGTTGGTATGAAGTTCCACACGAGCATGCGTATCCGTTGTATCCTTAACAATGCCAATATAACCTTTATGTGGGCCTTGAGAGATACGAACGGTTTTGGCAACCAGATTATCTCTGCCACCACGTCCACGACCCATAAATCCGCCACGCATACCTCCACGGCCACCACGGCCACCACGTGCATCAAAACCTCCACGCCCGTTGAAATCGTTACGTGGTGCTTGCATATTAGGGTTTTGAGTTGTCGTGTTACTTAAGAAATGAGCCTTGGGCGCTGCGCTCACAATAGAACGTGTATTCGTCACCCATACGCCATAATTATCCGTGTGCTCACGGGAGTGCAAAAAGACGAGTTGACGATACAAATGCAAGATTGAGCAGTTTCGTCTACCACCAGGAACTTCCGTTACGGTATCACCATCACGAATACTATTTCCGTTTGCGTCTGTGGCAACTGCTCTTGTACTATCCCGTTTGTTGGTAATTTGATGTGGTTCGACCGTACGCATTTCACCATTTTGAGTCAAAACCTGGAAAGAATCACGGTTGACCTTGACAATTACACCCACAGTATGAAAATCCAGTTGAACAAGATCATGCAGCTCATAATTGCCAATCACAGTCTTACCAAACATAACCTCAACCGCTTCACGTAAATCTTTGGAGAAAACCTTGACTTCTTTTAGTGAGGCATCAGAGAGCAAGGTAACAATATTTCCGTCCACTTTGAGTACGAGACCACTTTCATCCTTGAACCGACCGTTAATAACTTTAACGTGATCACCTTCTTTGAACGTTTTACGAAGCTGTCGAGCGGGTAAAGTAACTTTTTTGTCAGAACCATCTATTTTCAAACTGACAGTAACGGAGGTATCCTTGACATTATCAACGATGCCTGTTGCGTGTATCATATCACCTTCTACAACCGTAACAGCGTCACCCGGTTGAAATAGAGTGGCTTCTTCCTTTGTGTTGTTGATGGCTAAATTGGATAATGAAGCTAAATCAAGCGCTCTCTCGCCATCCTCGCTAGTCAATTCGTTGTTGCCTGCGAACTTTGCAATTTCTTCCAAAGAAGGGTTAACACCTTCTATTTGTAAGGTAGCCATTTTCATGGATTTTTCAAGGTACCCATCACGATAGGAATCGCCATTGTAGACCCAATAAGATCCCTTCTTTTGAAGGCTGGAATAGGCTCGATTTGCTAATTTTTCGGGAACGAAAAATCGAGGAGGTGGGCGTATTTTATTGTTTTTACCGCGTTTGCCATTGGCATTAAACTCATCTTGTTGATGATTTTTGTTCTCAAGATCAAGTCTAGGAACAACTTTAACGACAGTTGAGTCTTGAGCTTCGTTCACTTCAACGACTTGACCTAAATCGCCAGCGTAGGTACCACGCTTGATACGAACCCAAGCACCTACATCGACGGGCGATTCTTTCTTTTGAACCGTGATAGCGCCTATCATATCACTAATAGGTACTAGCATGAGAGTCGTCATATAGATATTGGGAATATTGAGTAAGGCTTCCTGAACATGGGCTTGCTTCTTTGCTTCAATATAAATATAGCCCTTTAGTGTCTCTCTGGCGAACGCTGAAAATGTGTCTAATGGATTGGGTCCATGAAGTCGATCAAAATATCTTTTCATTAGGCCAAATATAATATCTCTTTCTTTTCCCGGCTATAGTTTGCAAAATATCAATTAGCCGCTGAAATTTCTCAACATCCATTTCTGTATGCTACAATATATTTTACTTTGCATTTCACCATCCATAAATTGGGATCATTAACACTTGGATATAATAATTGCTGGGGTACATCTTCTGTTTGTGTATACAACTGTCCCCGACGACGATTACCATACTTTTGTGAATAGAAAGCAGCAATTTGCTCTTCATTCATATTCTCCATTTCTCTTCTTTGTCGATCTACTTCCTGGTGACGTCGTGTTGTTGTCTTGGCCGGAGTCAAATCCTCGTCACCTTCTTCAATAAAGCCATCTATGAGAAGGCCCAATTAAGCTGAACTTGTTAATAAACAAGAACATTCTTATATTGACAATGTCGATAAAGAGCCGTGTAGTAACCCCGTGTCATGTTTACCTTCTTTGCCATACTCCTCTTCTTCTTCTTCTTCGTCTTCATCGTCATCTACGACAGCCATTTCATCGATGAAAGGATTGAATGCTTTTCTTTTTCTAGGACGCTAAAGTCAGGTCATAGGAAGTGTATCGTCGTTAGTGATTGGTTTGGTTCTCAGAGCTCAGCCTTCATTGAAGTTGAGCTACGAAAAACTTACGACATCGTCATCGTCATCGTCATCGTAGTCTTCGTCTTCTTCTTCATCCTCTTCGTCGTCCTCTTCAGCTGCGTCATCAATAAACGGGTCCTTCTCTTCTTTTCTTCTATCAGATCGTTTCAAAGCCATTTTTTCTTCTTTTTGTATTACTGACCAAAGAATTTTATAAGAAATAAAGAAAAAGTGTGAGATTTAGCCTTTTCTTTTTAAAGCAGGCATATTTTTGGTAGACGGAAAGTGACTTTTCATTTACTCTAATTTCTATAGTATTTTTGGTTAAGATTTAGACTTTTTTGTATGCAAAATTGAATATTTTTATTAACTTAATTCAGAAAATTTAAGTTATTATTTTCGGACTAGTTACTTCTTACATTTGGACACTTGTAGTAAACATCTGAGGCCCGCCTCTTTTTGCACGCATTTGTTGCAGTAAGTTTCGTTGTTTGATCGGCCCAGAAGAATTACCTACATTCTCCTTAGCTGCTCTTTTTAAACTGATTGTCCAGTTGTATTCTATGTAAATGACCCACAATCCTGTATTCTTATTGACTGCTCAGCATCTCTCTTGATCTAAAATTGTATCACTTTAGTGTCATTTTTCCCTTAAAGAAAGCAATAACAATAGGTGATTGTATAAATAAACTTAAAAACGCCTGTTTGTTGTCAGTAAGTGATGAAGTGATCAATAAAAGTGTCTTGATTTGGTGTCAAAATTTAGCGCGTCCAAAGAAATCTGTCTAGATTGTTTTTGTTGTCAAAACTTCTTTGTTGTCCAAATAACATTCTAACAAAAAGGTTCAGTTTCGTTGATACCTTTTCCTCTTTTTCATAGAATCTCGTTATTTTATTTAAAGAATAAATCAAAGAAGAGTTAACAGTGGATCATCAGGTAGATTAGAATAAGATCTCATCACGAGCTACTCACAACGACTGTACTGTACATATTTTGTTTGTAACTGAATGTTTGTATCTTTTGAGTAGCTTTTTTAACATGCCGTCAAGAGAAGCAAAAGTTTACCTTGAAGCAAAGTTGAAGAAAAAGCAGCAAGAAAATAAAGAAAGTCAGTTCATTATTGCTGTATTCTGTTTACTATTCGTTTATGTACTCAATTAGAATCGTTGAACCATTAATTTCTAGAAACATGTTTTGATTGCGGACGGGAAGGACATGCCCATAAGGGCTCATACTTGTGTCCAGAATATAATGGTAACAGATAGCTGAAGAGGTAGTATTTCCTGTTCATCTTCACTGATAATCTGTTCATATGCTTTTCTAGCCAAGAAACGAAAGTCCGGAAAAGACGAATACGAAACAAAGCAAGCTAAAGAGAAGGGCAAAAAGAGAAGGCTAGAAGCGAAAAATGCATCGCCATCGAATACTGTCATATGCAAGCACTGTGGTCTAAGTGGTCACTCAACTAAAGCTTCCTTTGCTTGCCAACAATATATTACTACTAAAGCGGAGCTCCTTCGAACAAACTATTCAGATAAGTATGAGCTTTACGCTCGGAAGCTGCCCCTTGTAACCTACGTTACGCGTTTAGGTGAGTTCATCTTGTGAAGTTTCTCACTGTACACTTCTGAGGTTTTATTAACTGCTGCTTGACGTTACTACATACTCAAGCAGGGTAGTTGGCACAGAATACAAACCCTGTTTGAGTAATAGTAGTTCGCACATTTGGCATTGAGCATTTAAGAAAAGGTATTATCCCAAAAACTATACTTTTTATCTAAAACAAATTTTAAATTAGTCTGAATTTTTATTGTAATACAATCTCAATTTGATAGCCATTTGCGAAAGTCAAGCGCAAAAACAGTATAAAATTCATGACAAACTGTATTGATTGGATAATACTTTTTTTTAACTGCGTATAAAAAAAATGAGCTTACGACAGTTGCACTTTAAGAACTGACTGGCTGTTGTTGATAGTAACCGAGTTGCTTTCGGTTTTTGTTTGGAGAGATGGCTTGGATACATAGAAAGGGCCAATGAGTGTTATCTAGATGGCAACACCAATGACATATTTTAAATTCTCAAGAAGATAATACTCAGGCCAATAGCTTTCCCTTGAGTTACTGTTTTGAACGCGATATCTAGTATTCAAGTTCCTGCATATCATACCTTTCATTGTTCTATTCATATGACAAATCATATTTTTACATGGTTTTCATCCGTTTTCTTAATTTTGTTGGCATGCCTCATTTGTTCTTAACAATATTTTACTATAATTATCCTACAAGCTTCTGTATTGCGTGAACTGAGTGTACCAGCTATATACAAAGGATCTCTTCTTACAAACCATTCTTGACCTTTGAAAATGATTACGATAGGGCGAATAGAAGATTTATTGGCTTATGCAATAAGTTAGAACTTGGCATAGTGTTAATATAGCAGGGCGAAAGACGCTATCAACTTGATTTGCCTAACGATACATTGATGCACTTTTATTTTATGTAAGAACGTAGTAATACTTCCTTAAGAAAGCTACATGTTTCGCTCTGTCGGAATAATAGTCGAACAATAGTATCAATAATTTTATCGTTACTTAGAACATACATTCAAGGCATTATTGGTTCACTTTGAAGAATAGTCTTTGAGTGTTTATTAGAAAGACAAGGATTCAACCATTTTTAAACCTAACAAGTGTTACTATTCGGAAGTAGTCAAATGTAATAAAATATACACGTTATAATAGGACGCCTGTGATTTATTATCGTTCTAGATTAATCGCTTACAACAAGCCAATCGAAACATAAGAGACTGGTTATTATGCGCTCAAACCTGGTATTTATAAACCCTGATAGATTTATTTTAATTATTCGTTACGGACGATTTGCACATTTTCTTTCCTTCGTTTCGCTTTACTTCAGAATTGTTTCATGTAACAAGCTCAGGGATTAGCAGAACAGCTGTTAAAAACCAAGCCAGAAGCGAAAATCACAGCCCAACAACAAGAGAGAAGCCAAGACTCACAAAGCGATAAAAGCGGGCCTATTAGACCTTATGTGTGTAACAAAAGTTTGGGCATTATTCTTTGTTTTCTGTGCGACTTAAAAGGCCATAAAGACAAGGAAATGGCCCAGGCTAAATTTATCAAAGTGAATCCAAAAAAAAAGACTTAAAGAACGCTACATGCTGTCGTATCTTGCATACTTCTTTTACAATATACGAATTAGTCCGCACTTGGAGAAGAGAATGTGATCCATTATGATCTATACGGAACAGGAGACATATGCTAAATGCTGCTAAAAGTGTTTTGTAAAAATAATTGCACGTCACTGGTGATTATTGTAAATGTAAACTTGCTTTTTCAATGGCTGCTCCCCTTGGTAAATAATGAACGAAGTACTCCTTGACAGTAGATCAATGGATAGGCTTCGTTCACTCGCATTCAACCCCATTTGTTATATATATGGCTGTAAGGCCATTCTTCAGCAGAAGTCTTGGTTGTCCTGATCATAATCACATACAGGAAGTGATAAACTTTGAAATGAAAGAACGAGCAAAATACAACCGCTGATACCATTGGTGAGTTTGCGAAAAATAGCAGTAATATATAAGCAGCGTTTAATTGAAAAGCCAAGCTTTTGAGAGAAGTTAGCAACAGGTTACAACCTATTATGATAGTTTCGTATATTGAAAAAAAATCATAATTTTACTTATACGGTCTATCTTCATTATTCTTTTAGAATACCAAAAGGAGTTCATAAGAAAATAATCTTCGACCTTATTTTAATAATATTACTCTGTGCTGCTTCCCAGACAAGCTATTTCGAGTCCAACGTGTTTCATAACAACGATATTGGTATCATTTCCATTTTACAGAAAAATGTTCGATAAGAGATAGCATGTTCGGAATAGGTTACAAAGAATTTTACAACAGGCGTGGACAGATCCGTTCATTCCATATCTTTCAGACGGGTGGAACACCAGCTTTCTTTCCTTCTTGAGATATTTGTCGTTGGTTTCCTCAGAATCGAGCTAAGGATGCCTTTCTCAAACATGGCACATATGACTGTTGTATATGTATCACTTTGGTAGTTCGCCGTACTCTTGGCAAGCATAACTTGCAAATGAAAGCCAATTTCGTCAATGGAAACTTGCGTTTTCAGATAGTTTTTAGGTATTTCAGGGCGCCCCCTTCAATATCTTCGCCTTCCTTTCTCGAAAGTTTTGATGTCATTTTAAGCTTCTGGTAACGTCTATAATTTCTTCATCATCAAATTACAGCGCTCTATTAAATGCTTGCATATATAAGGACCCTAATAGTCTAGCAAATCACTCTTGGTATATCGTGATATAACAGGAACGTTTCCAATAAACGAGAGAATTTTGCTTTAATTTTATTGAAAATTTATATCAGAACTTGCAACTGCTAGCGGGCCGGAGTGTATATTAGTTTGAACATATCGAACAATGGCACTTTGAAACTGCCGCCTAGGTCTCTTCCAGACTTACAGTATTAGAACAGGAGGCATTCATGTAATATTTGAGACTTCAATTGGCATTCATGAATAAAACGAATTTGCATTTCAGTTGATTGTGACTTTTCCATGTGTAACTTGTCAGTAATGGCTCTTGCAAATTATTTGTCAATGGCGTAAACCCGAATGCCAGGACGAGAATTTTATTTTAAAGGTTGCGAAGTCATTACGTTTAAACATAGATTTTATTACATAATATTAATTTTTTTTTTTTTATACCGAGGGAAACACTTCTCCTTTAATTGAGTCTTTAAAAAATTATTTTTGTCCTTGATTATATAGCAACAGTAATACGTCTCGTGCAGACCACTAGACAACAACAGTTTGTAGTGGTCCCTGGGATGGTACGGTATATCATGATCGTATTCTTCGCCACTAGAATCACTATCAAGTTCATCTAATGGACTTTCATATTAAGGATTCTTAACAGAAAAAAAAATTCAAAACTTGTTATTAGATGGCCTTGCGCCTGATGGTATTCATGGCATCTGGCCTATTGTTAGATAAAAATACAATCAGAATATGAATAGGCCATAATGAGAGCTATAATAAAAGCCATAATGAAAGCCATAATGAAAGCCATAATGAGAGCTATAATGAAAGCCATAATGAGAGCTTACTCGCTGAGAAAGAAATAAGTAGTGTTTAATATTGTATCTAAGACACATAGCCCAGATGATAGATTGGATATAAATACTTGCAATTGAGCACTGGAGCTTTACTTATTTCTTTCTTCTTTAATATCTTCATTTTTCTAGTACCTTTTGTGTCCAGACTTTCATGAGACGCCCCATATTCCCAGAAGCAGAAGCGCTATTACGCGCAAAAAGAGAAACAAAGCGCACAAGGCTAGAAGCGGCCCATGACGATGATGACATAGAGGGCAATCAACCAGAAACAAGCGCCACTGCAGCACAGAGAAAGAGACCAAGAGGCATCAATAGAATCCGCTTCATCAGTCACTGTAGTAGATGATATACAGTCAAGGTTTTCTAACAATATCATTTGCTTCATATTTAGGCCGAAAAAGGAAAGAAACCGCTGAGGTGAAGGAAACGAAACGCACCGTCAAAAAGAATCGTAAAAAGGAATCAGCGCAACCGCGCACTGCTACTCGACCTTGCCCTTCTTGTGGCCGATACGGGCACTATTCAAGTCGAAGCTTGGATTGTCTAGAGCATGAATTTACCTTAAAGGAGTCTATTAATTACAAGCTTGGGGACAATTATGAAAGATATACTCTATCCATTCCTCTAGAAACCTTCGTAAGGAACACAGAGTACTTGGAAGATACCATAGAGAAAATAACGGAGAAGTCAAGTTTTTTGAGAGAGGTCATAACCAAGGCTCAATACATCGTAAACCACTACATTCTGACGAACCCAGCCAACATCACGCATGCCTTTTTCGAACAGAATTTTTGGTACACAGTATGTCGCTTTGTTTACGGTACTGTGAACAAAAATGAAATTGAAGATCGGTATCCTGCCCTCGTCAATTTTGGCCAAGTCTACAATGAACTTCGACTTCATCCACATGTGACATTAACAGTGGAACAATCCGCTATCAGGTACTATGGCCAGGTCGTTTCTTCAGCATGCGAAACATTAGCAATCAGTTATGAGAATTATTATAGTGGAAACTTCGAAGATCTCATTGCTAAATACTTGCTTTTCTTCATTAAAGCAACCTTTCCTGTAAGTATATGAACTCATTGTGTCTATCACTACCGAACAATCAATCTTAGCCTGACTGCTTATATAGAATATCAAAATGACGCCGATGAAAGCCCTTGTCTATGATCGTCTACTGGACCATTTATTACTCAATGCTGAGTGGGAACGCTTTCAGGTTACTCCAAACATGGTTAACAATGATGATATTATTGTACTTCCTCGACTGCAAGTACTATTCAATACTCATCTAACTCAAATGCGCAATAGTTTGCCTAGAATTCCTTTGACCAAAGCAATTCTGATAGATGCCCCTCAAACAATCATACCTTTGTTCCGTCAACTCCTACAGAATTAACAAGCGTTCGAAACTGCTCAAGCAGACGCTCAAGCAGAGCTTGTTGACCGTATTCCTGTACCACACGATGGAGAAATTAGTACTGAAGATATTGCAGTTCTTCATGATATCTTGGAAACTGTGCGTCACCAGCAGCGAAGCACTCCCCCCAAGTTCTCTATGTTCCCAAATCCCAGTCTTAAATGGAGATTTATCAAAATTGATCCAGAGAACATCCTTCACTTTTTTGGGCATGAACGTCTCACAAGACTTAGAAGTGAGAGCAAGCTCGACTACTTCGCAAGATGCTTTTTCCGCATTTTTGACTTTTCCGCTTTGCTAAGAATCAATGAGTGAGTATATTAATTGCACGTTTAGCCTATCTTTACAAGAATTATTACTCAATAATATGTCATCAGCCCTCAAAATCTGCAGGCTCTTCCCTCGATCAAAGGCAGGATGTTTCTGAACAGCACTTACACTGATGGCTACACCTGTAGGGTTTCTTTCGCCCGAAGAAGACTAGTTTCTACGCCAACGGAACAACTTGAGTTAGCAGATTTCAAAGGTTATGAGATTGATCAATTTTTCCGTCCTGTTACCGTCGACCCCGGCCGTAGAGATGTTTATGTCTCATACCACGGTGGTCAACACATCCGCAAACTCTCTACAAAAGAATATTATCTCAATCTGGCTCTCCTGGAAGGTCTAAATTGGAGGATCAGCGCAAGCAAAGAGTCAGAGTTAAAGAGCTCGAAACAAACATACCGACTACGAAAACTGCTGATGATATGGCTTATCGCAATTATGTTGGGTATATGTGCCAACATATGGATCAGTTCTATAACTTCTACGATTATAGGACGGCGGAAATTAAATGGAAAACTTTCGTGGCTCTCAGGTCGCAAAAGATACTGCTGTGAACATCTTGCTGAACGGCTCGAAGAAGTACAATAAAAGAAAGAGAAATAAAACGAGCCATAACAGAAGGATGCGGGAAAACATGAACAATAGGAGAAACCCTGGAATAGTTTACAGGCCTATGGTTCCAAGAAAAGCAGGGCTATTTATGTCTGTTGAATATAGATGAATTCAAAACTTCAAAAGTAAGATAACATCCCTACTCGTTCACTTGAAATTTGCTTTTTAACTCTAGATTGTAGGTTTGTAATTCATGTAGACAGGAGACTTTGGAAAACTTAACTGCCGCCAACGGACAGACGATCCATGCGATATTGATTTGCAACAATTGTAATATTTATTGGAATCGTGACGTCGACGCGGCGAAGAATATGTTTAGCATCTCTGAAGCCATCTGGGCAGGAGAAAGAAGGCCTGCTGAGTTCACTCGATCTCATACTCAGACCACTGGCTTACCCATCTCCAATATGGTTGTCTCTCCTTGTCGAGAGACAAAAAGATTCTACAGGTAAATTAGTCTACATTTTATCAAAAATATATCCAAAAATATTGTACTCAAATTCCCAATTTTTTCATTCGTTTCATCTGAAAACTAACTCAACGCTGTCTGAATTTAAACCGAAAAGACTGTAAGAAGACCAGCAATTAGCTGCTGGATATGAAAAAGAGCGATTAGAATCCATTTTTACCAAAAATAAAAAAAAAGCATGAAAAAAAAGGGACCTGATCTCCTCTATCTCAGTTACATATTTACCATGTACAAAAATGTGTGGTTTATCATTTGAACAGAAGGATGACAGTTGCACGGCCTTTTTTTTTTTCCACACACACACGCACGCACGCATTTTAACATAAAAAAAAAAAAGAGATCACCTGAGATTTAAAAAAAAAGAATGCTTCTTTGTACAAAATGATAAAGTGATCTCAAAAAGCATTTAGATTATATAAGAAGACAAACAATGTGAAAACCATTATTTTCTTCTCTTTTTCATCTCTTTTTCTGTCTATTCTTGTATTTTTTCTTCCGCCCCCCTTAATCTCCTTATTGTTTGTGTACATGAAAAATGTCTAATTTTCCAACAACAACAACAACGCATCCTGATACTGCTATGTTGAATGAAACCTTCATAAGTAACTATTTGTTGAATGAACAACCACAATCGCAACAGCAACAGCAACAGCACCAACAAGCTCAAATTGCTAGCATGATTGAAAGCTCCAAAGCAACTTTGTGGTAGGATCAAAAATAATCTAAACAGTGGTTTACATAATATGACCTTATATTGTATAATTATATAATCTACAAATAGGATGGGTGATCTTGATCATTGGATGGATGAGGATTATCTTCGACAGCTTTGGCATGTCTTTGGTGAAAATGTTGCTGTAAAATTGATAAGAGATAAACGAACCAATCTCAGCTGCGGCTATGCTTTCATCGAGTTCAGCTCAACTCAAGCAGCTCAGAGGATTCTTGATAGAGTACATAATACAAGAATTCCAAACACATTGAAGATATTCAGATTGAATTGGGCTTCCGGTGGCGGAATATACGATAGAAAGTATGACTATCATCCTTATAAAGTTGTTAAGAGCTATCTGAACTTATTTTGTTTACCAAACACTTTCTTTGTGCAAATAGAGAGGATCGTGCGCCTGAATACAGTTTATTTGTAGGTGACCTGTGTAATGAAATTGACGAAACATATCTTTTAGTAAGTGTTGTTGCTATACATTAGTTGCAAATGCGTACATATATTGACAATCTATATGAAATTCCGGTAGTCATTGTTTCGTCAAAGATATCCTTCTTGCCATTCAGCAAAAATCATGACGGATCCGACTACTGGTTCTTCCAGGGGCTATGGGTTTGTAAGATTCTTAGATCAAGCAGAACAGCAAGGCGCTGTGATTGAAATGAATGGTGTTCTTTGTGGCAATCGACCTATACGTGTCTCGTTTGCAACACCCAAAATCAACCATCATCAACAGCAGCAACAGCAACAACATTATTTTCAACAAAATAATAGCCAGCACTTTGAAAACAACAACAATAATAATCAGCAGCATCAACAGCAACGCTATTTACAATTAGCATTACAAGCTCCTGCTCTAATTAATCAAGTAACGGATCCTAATAATACTACAGTATTTGTCGGCGGTTTATCTTCCCCTGTCACAGAAGAAGAATTAGGACAATTTTTTGCGCCCTTTGGAGATGTGATCTATGTAAAAATACCACCCGGGAAAGGCTGTGGATTTGTACAGTATGCCTCAAGAATATCTGCTGAGCAAGCCATTGAACGAATGAATGGATTTCTAATTGGAAATTCGAGAATTCGATTATCTTGGGGAAGATCTCAAAATGATAAAAATACTCAACAACAGCAGCAGCAGCAGCAACAACAACAACCAGATCACCATTTGTTAAGCCCTTCAACGAATACGACAATCTCAACTTCTACCATAAACACTGTATTCAACCACAATTATCGCTCAATGTCACCTCCTCCCATCACTGCTACTACTACTAATAATAGTTTAGGCCAACGTGATAATGTTATGCATAATAATAACTTGTTATTTCTATCAGCAACATCTCCTCGTCAACCGCCTCTGTTAAACAATAGCACCAACCTTACTGATATGACGCCACTCAAGACGGCCCTGAATATGAACAGTTTAAATTTTACTGACCCAAACGCTACTGTTGCTACTGCAGCTTCTACAGATGATTGGTTGTTTAGAAACCATCCATTCTATAACAGCAATAATAACAATAATAATAATAACAACAGAAATTGGCCAATGATCAATCAAGATAATAGCAACGAACTCCTTTACAATTATCTCACGTAAATTTTTCAAAGACTCGGAATATGTTTCTTTCACTGCCTTTGTCTCTTTCTTCTTTTTGTCTGTCTCTTTATTTAGTATTTATTTATTTCAATAGCAAGCACTATTTTTTATTTTTTTTTATTTTTTTTTTTTTTTTACTATTTATCTCATCTTTAATGATTAGTTTGATATTTTTCTTTCTTTTTTTTCGCTATCAATTTTGATCTTTCATTTCAACACAAACTGCATGTTACTTCTATTCTAATCATAAATCAAAAACTTCAAAGTTACCTCCGCCAAAATAGGCTGTGTTCATTAGTTAGGTGTACGCATGATGGCATTCACGTGCATGAAAAATATTTGCTAGATCGAATTGCCACAGACAAACTGCTTTAATACCAAATTAGGAAATGCATAGTTCTACACTGTTCATATTTCCATATGATCACTAATACTACAGTATTGCATACTTCGGGAGAAATAAGGCAGTTCAAGAGGTATAAAACAGGCTGCAACCATCTTTGAAAATAGCAAACCAGTCTGTTTCAACAAACTTCTCTATGCTCATTAACACGCTCACTGAACGATGCAGCGTAAATTTAAAATTCATCTCTGTTTCTGCCAAAGCATAACATACTCGGCATTATAAATAATTCCAAAGATATTGTATCTAAGCCTGAACCTAGCTGTAACTTTTTGTAAGACTCTTCTTCCTTTTACAGTTTCGAAATGGTGGTTAGTAGTTCTGTAAACTTCCAATTGAAAACGTGGAATAAAGTACCGCAGCTTCGTCTATAGCTCGAGGGACGTCACTATACATTTTCAAGAGAAACTGTTTAGGCATCTTTCAAAATCTTGAACGGCCTACTGTAATACAAAATCATTTTATTGAATCAAGTACTTGACTTTATTAATATATCAATTAAAGACATACTTTTCTTGGCTCTTCAAAAGACAAAAAAATTACTTCGGAACCAACAGAAATTGAATGATGACCGCGCTTTTGTCTACCCTATTCGATTAAAAGTGTCGGTTATTTTGCAAGCGCAACGCTCATGTAACAGCTGATGACATTGGTCTAGCTGGAACCCCTCATGCCATTAAATCAATATACTGAATTGTTCTTTACAGATAACCATTGGGATCAGCCAGCGATAACGCTGTGATAATTAGAAAGCGAGCTCGCCCTATCAGCACTCCAACAATTTGAATCTCCACCATATTGCTGCTTACAAGCCAATATACGTAATTCATTCCTTTAAATGGTAAGTTTTTATTCTCAAATAGGAAATCCGTAGCATTAAAAAAAGCGACAAGAACTCGAAGAACTTTTTCTCCTTCTCCCAGTGCTTTTATTTCAAAAGTAAAGATCTATTTATTTACACACACAGATATACATGTACAAGCGTACATAAAAACAAATTTCAACAATAAATTTCAGGAATGTTCCAATCTGTTGACAGTCGAACTGATTTTTCCATTATCCCTTCATCACTACCTGCAGTGATACCTCCTACCACAAGATTAAATTTCATCAAGAATTGGTGGCAAAGGTCCGAAAAGACATCAAGTATTGCGGAAGCTCGTATTTTACAACGTATTTATCAAGCACTGCCGCAATCATCATTAGTCTCTTCGCATAGCAACAGCAGTAATATTGTCCCTATTTTTGCTCGCATTGGTCGCATCACTATTGATAAAGAGCAAAACACAGCGTTAACAAAAAATAGGGTGGCAAGACAAATCAATACTCTCTATATTTCGCAGCGACAGCAGCAGACAGATTTTCAGGACACTAGTGATACTTCTGCTACTACTCATCCATTTCAGGTTGTCTCAAAAATCGATAATGAACTGTTGGAAGATATACAGAAGGAAAACAGTAACAGTAAGCAGCAACAGCAGCGTAATCTGGTTATTTGTCATGGTTATGGCGCCGGTTTGGGCTTTTTTTATCGTAATTACCATCAATTGTCACAAGAACCAAATTGGAGGATATTTGCGTTGGACTGGCTAGGTATGGGCAACAGTTCTAGACCGAAATGGACCATATCAAAACATTCAAAACAGACTTGGAACGAAATAGTGGATGAGGTAAAGAACAAATATAATAGTCATTCATGTTTCATTGCAATTATTCACTGTCTTTTTTTTTTTTTTTTTTTTTTTTTTCTTCAACATTACTTTGCAGGTAGAAGATCATTTTGTTGAATCATTAGAACAATGGAGACAAAAAGTAGGCATTAAAAAGATGACACTGTTCGGTCATTCGTTGGGTGGTTATTTTGCCGCGTGTTATGCTTTGAAATACCCTGAAAAGGTTGAGAAGCTGATTTTGGTATCTCCTGCCGGAATACCCGAGAACACTCCAGAAGAGCGTGTCAAGTTAGAAAAGGAAAATAGCAAAGCCATCGAAGACAGTAACAGCGATACTACAACACTGCATGAAAGACTTGAAGAGGAAGCAAATCAGATAGGAGCATATTACCAAGCCGAAGCAGCGGCTGCTGAGAATGCCGCAAAAATGCAACAACAACAAGAACAAGTACAGCGGCTAGAAGGTAGTAGCAGTAATAGTAGTAGTCAAAATGATAATAGCACAACATTATCACCGCCACAAAGGCGTAAAATACCTGCATGGGCTACCTATTTGTGGGATCGCAATATCACTCCCATGTCAATTATTCGGATGATCGGTCCATTCGGCCCGAGTTTAGTTCATACGTACACATCAAGGAGATTTGCTCATCTGGAGACAGCCGAACAACATGATTTGTATGATTATATGTAGGTATAAACTCTTATTGTATGCTATGAATCTTATACGGAATACTAAACTCTTGGAACTAGTTACAATATCACTTCTTCCACGGGCTCAGGTGAATACGCTCTAGCGGCCATTTTAGCTCCCGGTGCCTATGCTAGGAAACCATTATTCCATAGGCTGGCTAACTTAAAAATGCCTACAGTTTTCATTTATGGCGAACAGGATTGGATGGATTATAAGGCAGCAGAAAAGGCCAAGAAGTTTATGAAAGTTCCGGTGAAGGTTATACGAATACCTCATGGTGGCCATCATATGTATTTGGACAATCCTGATGATTTCAATGAGGCTGTCAGAGCAGAAATGAAAGATTAATATGAGTAACATAGTCAATTTTGTTTCCCTTGCTTATATAGCAGTACTTATTTATTTGCCTAACCTTAGAACACATATATTCCCATCTCCATACTCTTTTTTTACATTTACCATTACGATACAAATATGTGTCTTCAACGAGGAAATGTAATGATGTCCTATAAACCTTGAATTGAAAATGTGTAAGCAGTAAAGAACATATTATTTTTAATATCGAAATACGCCATAGCAGTTAACCTCCATTTTCTCGTTCGTGTGCCAATGCGTGTATATGAACCTTAGCAATATTTCCATTGCAATATGCATTTGTTAAAATGGTACATCAATTGTTAAAAGCAATAGTAGAGCTCTTGCTTGAAAGTTGAAATTTTATAAAGATAATGGATTGATTGTCTCTTTTGCTCAATTCATTATTGATTGCAATCGCCGAAATTAACGTCATTCACGCAATTAAAGTGTACGTACTTCTGCTCTTGTCATAAGTATGGCTCTTGCCCATCTATCTGTCAGAATTATGAATGATTTCATTTTTTTGCGATAGTGAGAAATAGTTATGAGATTATATCTGAAGTTGACAGGAAAACCATTCAAGAAAAGGGCTTCCTTTGATTAACTCTTGTTGTATTTATATGGATACTTTGTATTGACAACTGTTATAAAACTGATGACTACCAATGTGGAGTGACAGAAAAAGTGTAAAACTCAAACCCCATTCCCCCTTGTAATCCTATTTCATACATAGCGGTTTCTTCCACCTTCTTCTTTTCACTTGCTGTATCTTATCCAAGTCGGTTTTAGCTAAGAAAAAAATTGGTGAACGACAAGACTCGTGAATGAAAAGTGATACTAATAATTGTTGAAATTATCAATTTTTTTAGCGTTGAATATTGTCAAAATTGCAGTAGACATTCAACGTCTTCCTTCAGATAAAGTTGGCGCATAATATGTGGGCAGAACCTACTCGCCAAATAGATATACAAACGTGCCACCGTTAGATGGCCATATTCGGAAGATCTTGACTAAAAGTCAGCACCATGTTAAAATTTTCAATAGTCATGGAATTACTTATAAAGGCCTATCATCCGATACTTCTTGATATAGCATGCATAAACCCGAGATAGGGTTCATATCAGCTTAGCAAAAAAAAAAAGGATCTCTCCCTTGGGGACTACTGAGCCTTTCTCTATGTGTAAACACTTTCTTCTAATCAAATTTCAAATTTCGTGAACATTCCACTAGAGTAATATTGCTGTGATAGATATATTTTTATTGAAGAAGATCTAAATAGGTTTTATCCGTTGTTCTACATCAGCTAACGACCTCGACTATTTTGTTAGCATTAAACGTTGATACTAGAAGAAACGAGCTCCCTTCCGCTTCCAAAGCTGAAGGCATGCTCGAGATAGTATATAAGACATATGTATAGCGGTAGCACAGCTATTGTTTTCTATAAAGCATTGCAAGAGCAGGTGTTGTGAGTCTATGCTGCCTCCGTTGTTCGGCCTTTGCTAAACTGCCAATGAAGCTTTCATACTCTTTTGATACGGTTATACAGTTTGCTGCATGTATTCGTATTGAAAATCATCATTATACATATAATTCTTTTTGGTGCGCTTTCGATGTTTGAAGTAGCATGGTCTATATAATGCCAGGTCATTTTGTAAGATTTCAAAATGACTTTCAAGTTATAACGATTTACAAACAATATTCTTTCTGGTGCCAATTTATCAGTTCTTTCAAATCAGTATGGAAGTATATGCAAATAAATTACTTAATAAATGTAGATTGAACATGCACATGTGGGCGTATACATCCATTATATAGTTATCCATATCTATTTATAGGCCGCTTGTACAATTGTAAGCAAATAACGAAAGATAGAGTCAATGTGACATTATCGTATACTTATCAATCACTTACTTGCTTATACTTGCAAAGGTACTATTCAAAAGGTCAAAGCATGTTGTTGAAGTTGTAAATGATTGTGTAAACACTAACGGTGTCAATAGTTGAGTGGAAGCTAAATCAACGCTTTCAGTATCATTTGTTTCGAAAAAAAAAAGAAGGAGGATGAAGGGAAACTTAAAAACAAAGAATATTCAAAGATTCTAAGGAATTTGGATTCTATTATTTTGGAGTGTAGATGCATGCAGATAATACTATCGTATAAAGGCAATTCTTCCATCTACACTTTTTTCCCTTTTCTTGACAATTTTGCGCATCAAACAAAACTTCTCTCTTGATCAAGTTGATCTAATTTTCTTGACATCTTTTGTTACTTAAAAACACAAATATATGGTTGCACCTGTATCAGCAAACCAGCAGCAAACATCTTATGCATATAGTTGCAACAACAATCATACAGCGGTAGCAAAGCCGGCAGGAATGGCGAAAAATAATAAGACCGCAAAATGCTTAGTCAGAAAGTTATCAACTAAGTTCAAGAAGAAGAGGACCCATATCAATGAAGATGTAAAAAATGACAGCAACATCAGCAGTAGCAGTATTACTAACAGCAGCAGTAGCATGGAGAACGCCACTCTTCCTTCCCCTTCTTGTTCTTCTTGTCCCAACACTTCCAAAAGCTGTGCAACAAGTAGTGTTCCTGTCAATAACGTTGCAGATAAGAATGATGGTCCTGTTGTTCAAATTCGAATTGTTCCTCATTTAGATGATCCCTCCAAGAGTTTTATTTTTCGTATCATTAACTGTAAATTAATATCTGGCAAGCTGTTATGCTTTGGCCGCTACTCTGATATTTACATAAATGAAACAAGGTTGAGTGACAACAATACGACTCTGGTACACTTCCAGTCAAAGGTTGTATCCCGCAACCATTGCGAGATTTATGTTGACAATGATGGGAAGGTAAAGACCAAAAACCTTTTTTTCCTATAATAATTTTGATGGGAATTTTCATAAAAGGAAAAACATTATCTAACTGTATACTTATTTCAGGTGTTCTTGAGGGATACGAAATCGTCTACGGGCACCTTTCTGAATCACATTAAAGTAGGTAGCGAGGACGAGCCTAAAGAGCTTCAACACAACGATATAATTCAGTTAGGTGAAAATTTTCAAAACGGAACAGAAGAACAGTATCGTGCTGTGAAAATGAAGGTAGATTTGAGCATTGTCGATCCTTTCGTACAGCAACAGAAAGCCTTCACTTTTCAAACACAAACATTTGATGCCTTTCGGCGCCAGTTATCACAACACCAAGGTTATATTAAAGAGATTAATGATCTTTTAGCAACTGATGAAAAAAAAGAAGAACCCTCCATTGTTACTAATACTGTTATAAATGCAAATCATAAGCTCAGTAATATAAGCATGACGGATTTAGATGAATGCTGCATTTGTTTAGCAGATATGGTCCCATGTCAGTCCATATTTTTATCACCATGTAGCCACGCTTTTCACTTTAGGTGTATCAGGCCTTTGCTTAAAAGTTACCCAGGCTTTCAGTGTCCATTGTGTAGAACTTACTCTGATTTGGAAGACAGTATGGAAACAGAGGCAATAGAAGAATCTATGAAGGAAGAAGAGCGAAAGCCAACTGAAACCTTATCCACGGCAAACCCATCTTCTTTCTTTTCGTACGAGGGTACCAATAACATAGCGTCTTCAGTATCAATGACTCAGCCGCAACAAAGACAACGATCACAAACAAGAACTCAATCAAATAACAGCAGAAATCCTCTTTTGAACAAAATGAAAAGCATATTTTTTGAAAAGAAAAGAGACGAGCCTATTGTATTATAATTAAATTGACATTATGTCTGTATCAATTAGAACAGACACTGATCGAGGTACTAGGTTCCTTTTTTCTTTTTTTTTTGTTTTTTTTTGAGTTCCGACTTTGAGAAAGTGTTCTAATGCTCGTAGGTATGACTGAGTCTATTCACCCGCTACCCAGCGTATCATCTAGTTACTAAGCCTAGTTTTACTTTGGCTGAGGAGCCAGGAAAGAAATGCACTCATATGGAAATTAGCTGTATGCCACGACAATAGTATGTTTAAAGCTTAAAGCAAAATAGTAACAGTCTATAAATTTTATTCGAAAACTTTTGACACCGAGGTGGATGTCATAGTCATATATAGGGAAGGGGGATCATTTCAATTAGATATAATAAGAAAAAAAATGAAGAGATGCAAAAAGATACATATAGTAGACATAGAAGAATTAATATTGTACAGTTAAATTGCTACAACACATATTATATGCTTTTTGTGTTAAAGATCATGGAAGTCAGTGCCTGTAATAGTCTTCTTAACGTATCCAGCACGAATGACAAAGTCACCAAATGGTTCATCTTGAAGACGCTCCAAAGCATATCGTTTGATGATAGGATTAATCTCCTTTAAGATTTCTTCTTCCTTCAAGCTTTCTTTATATAACTTATTCAAACGCTGACCTTGATGTCCACCACCGAGATAGACATTATATGTATTGGGTGCTTTGCCTACAAAGGCGAGTTCAGCAAGATAAGGGCGAGCACAACCATTAGGACAACCAGTCATACGAATTGTAATAGCATCATCACGGAGACCAGCTTCCTCAATAGCATGTTCAAGATGGCCAACAAGTGTAGGTAAATAACGCTCAGATTCTGCCATAGCCAAACCACAGGTTGGTAAAGCAACACAAGCCATGGCATTCAATCGAAGGCCTGTAAAGGAGAGATTATCCATCTTGTATTTAGCTAAGAGAGCTTTTGTCTTTTCAAGATCTTCTTCAGGTACATTGGCAATGATAAGATGTTGGTTGGGAGATAAGCGGAATTCACCTTTGTGCCATTGTGCTAATTCCTTTAGACCGCTCTTGGGTTGGAAATCAGGCCAGTCCTTGATCTTACCGTTTTCAATAAACATACCGAAATGCCATTTGTCATCCAAGCCCTTAGACCAACCATAACGATCTGCATTATCCTTGAATTCAAAAGGTTTGATTTCTTCGAATTTGGCACCCATACGTTGTTCAATCTCGTTTTTAATAAAGTCTAGGCCGTGGGTATCAATAGTATACTTGAAACGAGCATGCTTACGGTTGGTACGGTCACCATAATCACGCTGTGTTGTCATAACAGCTTCAGCACAAGCAACGCCTAATTCAGCAGGAACGTAACCAATCACGTTGGCAGGACGAGGATATGTCTTCTTGTTACCGTGTGTCATACCCATACCACCACCAATGGTAACGTTGTAACCGGTCACTTTCTTTTGCTCATCAACAATAGCAATAAAGCCCAAATCATGAGCAAAAATATCGACATCGTTATTGGGAGGAACTGCTACGACAATCTTGAATTTACGGGGCAAATAAGTAGGGCCATAAATAGGTTCGAAGTCTTGTACGGCATTACCAGCCACTAGTTCGTTTGATAACCAAATTTCATGATAAGCAGTTGTTTTAGGAGCCAAATGTTCCATCAATTTTATGCTGAATTCTTGAACTTGGGGATGAACTTCAGGAATTTCAGTAACAGGTGTGACCATGATATTACGGTTGACATCACCGCAAGCAGCCAAGGTAGAAAGAAGAGATTTGTTAATACCACGGATGGTGGTACGTAGGTTTTTCTTAAGCACACCATGCAATTGGAAAGCTTGACGCGTCGTCATTTTAATAGCTCCATTAGCGTATTTGTCAGCCAATTCATCCATAGCGAGCCATTGAGCAGGAGTAGCAACACCACCGGGCATACGTACACGGATCATAAAACTATAAGCCTTTTCCAAACCCATCTTCTTACGCTCTTCTCTGACGTCACGATCGTCCTGACCATAAGAACCATGGAACTTGAGCAGTTTACCGTTGATCTCGCCAATAGCTCCTGTTGATTCATCAGCGAGGTCTTCAGCAATGGTGCCACGAAGGTAGTGGGAGTTGATTTTCATTTGATCATCAGTTAACTTGGGTTCATCGTCTTCAGCACCTACGTCTTTCACACCTAAAGCCTTCCAAAATTCTGGTTGCCAGGCAGCTAAACCAGTTTCAAAACCATCGGCATCTTGATCATCACCCAAGCCTAATTCAACAAGACGGATGGCGCCTAAGGTTTCCAACTTTGCATCTATCAATTTACCAGGACGGTTATAGAACATAGCGTCCTCCTCACGAGGCCAGTAATGACTATCACCCATACCAAAGACAGCATAATTGAGCTGGGAGAAGTCAGCGTCTCCCGTAATTAAGTTGTTGAGCGCCTTCCACATATCACGACCATTTGAGGGAAATTCACCTTGACCAGCAGTGGAAACTATAAATACAACGTTTGTTTCGCCACCCAATTCTTTCACATCCTCATAATCATCCATAGCCATAAGCTTTACTTGTAGACCACGGGATTTACCACGATTAGCGATCTTTTTAGCAACGCCTTCGGCATTGCCGTTATCAGAAGCAAATAAGACGGTTAAAGGAGGACCATTAGCCGCGCCTAAACCTGAAAGCAGCTTTACATAATCCTCACGCGCTTTACGTTTCAATTTCTTGTGACGCCTATCAACATCCTAAATACATAAAAAAAAAGAAAAGAAATGCTAAGTTTGGCCGAATAATTACTAATTCCTTTTTTCTTTTAAAAAAAAAGGGGGGGGATGTGGAGGTGGTGGTTGAAGTTGTACATCCTATTTTTGTTGCTTACCTTCTCCAACGAGCTCACAAGTAATTCAGAGATATCAGGATGTTCAGAAACAATTTGAGAGAAATGATTTTCACGCTCCAAGAACTTTTCAAGATCCTTCTTGATACGTTGAGAATCTAAAGCAAACGGTTCCTTATTTTCCAATTCCAAAGCTGGATTCCAGCGATACAAAGGCCAAGCGCCATTATCAACGGAGATCTTGGTCTCCTTCAAAGTATAAATAGGGTCAACATGGTATCCATTTTCAACTTCTTTGTGTTGTTGAGGCAAATAAGCCAAAACAATAGAAGGACCTTGATAAGCATCAGCTTCCATAAGAGCATGCAATACACCGGTATAGGATGAATAAACAGCAACGGAAGCAACGTAAGCAGATCCGAAACTCATAGCATAAAGACCAATGTCTTTCTTACGCTCTTCACGTGAGATCTTTCCATCAGAATAAGGCAAGGTATCAACGATTAACATATTCACATTTTCACCTTGAGCGATGACATGATGAACACCAGATTGGCCAAGATCATAAGCCCACTTATCAGACCCAATCAACCAATTAGACTTTGCAAATAAGTATTCCTTGTTCTTCACAATATACTTCTCTTCATCAATTGTTGCATCGCCTAAAGCTGCAATGACCGCCTTGGCAGCCTTGTTCACAGCATTGACATCTTGTTTGTCAGATTTAACGTACAACAACCATTGAGATAAGGCCTTGTATAAAGTCGACGATACTTTATTCTCCTTGACAATTTGTTCAGCAGCGTCAATGAAACGGGTACGTTCTTGAATACGATTTAACAATTTACCATATCCGAATTCAGGTGCAGCAGCCTCAGGGTTTTGCTCATCACGCGACCAAACAGATGCACTGTTAGTAGCATTGGCAATCTCGAGACGATCTTGGAATACTTGATCGAGCATTTTCAAGTAAGGTGTTTCGATAGGTAAAGGAGCAGGTGCAGGAGTGGCAGGTGGAGGGAAGAAAGGCGTTCTGGGGAATGAGTCCGGGCCCCAGCTTTCAGGAATAGCCCGGTCAACAGCGTTTGATAGCGCAGTGGACAGACCTGAGGAGACAAGGTCCTTGGCATTGTCAATTGCAACCACTCTGGTACTATTTTCATAAATGTAACGCTTAGTGCATTTGGTAAAGCTGTCCAAATTGGCATCAGCAGCGGTACCAGACAGAATGAGGATGCCGTCAGTTGCAAGGCCGCCTTCAAGTGCGGGAGCAGCGTTAATTTTGTTATCTTGTAAAAGTACAGCTTCAGCCGTTGCAATAAGAGAAGGAATAAAGGTATCGAATGAACTGGAAACACGAATATGAGAAACGCCATTAACTGTATAAATTTGAGCATTTTTACCAGTTGAAACAGCAATCTGAGCATAATTTAAAGCAAGAGCTTCATCCTGGACAATAATGAACTCTTCTGTACCAGCGGGAGAGATGGTTTTGATATCATCAATAACAGGTTTCAAGGTAGCCACTTCGAATTTACGTTGGAAATTGAGCTTGCTCAGTTCCGCAAATACAGCTTGAACCTGAGCGGGTGAAAAATCTTGAGACTCTACACCATATTGGCCACTAATAATCTCCACATCATTATCCTCGGCTGTTTGGTATGCAGCAGTGATATCCAAAAATAAAGGGTTCCAGGTGGATGCGTGATCATGAGAGGGTTCCAATACGGCCAAACGTGTGACGGAAGCACTGGGTAAAGCTTGCAAAAAGTCAGTATCTGACCAAGGACGGTACAGTCTCACTTTAAGGACACCAATCTTTGAATTTTTCTTCGTAGATTGAATGGCTTCTACTGTTTTCTCTACGACGGTTGCGCCTGCACCCATCGCTACCACAACATGTTCCGCCTCAGCATGACCCTTATATTCCAATGGTTTATATTGACGACCTGTTATCTCGGCGAATTGTGCCATTACTTGATGAACAGTAGCATAGACGTCCACATCCTTTTGCTCTTCTCCTTCTTGTTGCTCCTGCTCCTTCTTTTGCTTGTATTGAAGATAAGCAGATTGAGGCTGTTGTTGGAGCAGAGTCTCTTGCTGTTGACGATAATTTTCAAGATCCTCGGCTGACACAAGCTGAGTAAGTGTTTTTTGGTCCACGACTTGAATAGTAGCATATTCTTGTGCAATACGTTTGGAATCGAAGAAATGCAACACAGGAGTATTCGTTTTAATAGCGACAACATGAGCTATAATGGCTAAATCGTGAGCTTCTTGTACAGTAGATGAGCTCAAAAGTGTCCAACCACTTTGGCGTACTGCCATCACTTTAGAGAAATCAGCAAATGATGAAGATGGTGAAGACTTTTCAGCAGAAACATGAAGAACAACGCCAGTTTTTTGTGATGCAAGCTTGTAAAGTTGTGGAATGGCTGGAAGAAGTGTATCAGAGGGAATAAGTGCAGAAGCATGAGCGCCTCGTCGTAAATAAGATACAATATCCTGCTGTTTGTAGACTGAATGAGAAACTGCTTTTCCCCAGATGCTGTTTTCTACTTCTTCGACATGATCGATTTTCTTGTAAGTGTAGACGTGCTCACTCAAAAGCTGGGCTGCTTTAAAAGAAGCATTCTCACCAGTTATCAGTTGTACTTTTGGGTGAGTCATAGTATATATTCTCTTATTCTGTTATTGTTAATGTCAGTGCCTGAAATACGAAATTCTGGAAGAGATCTATTTTTATGCAGCGAAAAAAAAAGGTACCAACAGATGTCAAACGAAAAAAGTTAGGTACGAAGACTGATCCATGGATAGATCTTGTCATTATTATCTTACTTACGGTTGAGCGTATGTATATACAGATGTGGAGGAAGGGAAGTTAACAATAATGTAAGAGGTGCTGATAAAAATAAAAAAAAAGAAGAATAGAAGTTGAAATGGTTATGAAAATTAAAGTTGATCAATATAAGCTTTAATGATTAAGCCATTTGCCTTTCCCGGGTTCAGGCTTTCACAGAATAGAAAACTGTCGTGCTCGCGTACAATTGCGACTTCAGCACACAATTTTTCCCTTCCCTAATTGGTTGAATGTGCGTAAACTCAGCATTCATCTCTCTGGGCTTCATCCATCAAAAGTGGGGTTGATTGGACATCTTATCTCTTTAGGAAACTGTCAAAATCTTAAAAATGCAAATCTTTGACTCAATATGAAGCGCCAAATAACCAGCATTTATCAATAATCTCAACTATTGGTCAAAGTCAGCCTTAATAAAGTGCAGATAGTGGTGTTGCTTTGTTGCTGCAATTGACTGTTCGATTACCCTTGAAACAATCTCAGCCTACGTTCAGCTATCAGTAAACAACAGTTTCTTAACCTCATTCAGCATATTCAGTTTCTAGCGCCTGGATTCTTTCACAGCATTCTTCACGCGTTACAAGTTCAATGTCTATTATTTTTCTGCCTGTTCTGCGGAAGACCCGATACACATCCGAGGAACTGAATCTCATCAAATGTGATTTTGTGAATATATGGAACAAACGTTTGAGCTGATGTACTATTGTACTATTATGTACTGCTTTGACCACAATTAAGAGAAATTTTCAAATCAACATGGATGAGTAGGGATCAGTGGCATTTTTATTTTGTACCACGATGATAGCTATTTGATAAAAAGTCAGTCGATCAAATTCTAGATTGCGCGATCAGGGTTTGAGATAAAAAGGATTTGGGAAAAGACCAAGAGCATATATTTGTATAGAGCCCAAAATACATCAGCAAAAGCCAAAATGCTGTGTAGCTTTGAATAATGTTTTCTTTATTATTATTATTATTATTTATTATGATATAGCAGTAAATGTTTACAGATATAGTGATGTATGGAGATAATACAAAAAAGAAAGAATTGGGGTGTGGGGGTATATTCTATTTCTGTGTAATAGGCGAAAGCAGAAAAAAACACCCTTCATACTTGCTTATTTGGACTATAGATGTTCATTAAGAGACATGCGATATGCTTAGAGGCCCAGCATGCTACTACTGCCACTACTACTAGATGTCACATAGCTTCTTCTTCGGTAATCTTCTTTCTGTTGTTGGTCTTTCCTCTCACCATGATTGTTGCCATCATATTGTTTTCGTTGTTGGGAAGAGTGCTGTGCTTGAGATGTGACGCTTCTGTGCTTCTCAGTATCAGCATCATTATTTTTTAAATATAACGATTCCAACAATTTATGGTAAAGAAACTTGAATGCCCATATGTTTCCTCTAGTTCTTTTGATATCCACTACATAAAGTCCTGCCAAATTAGCAATTTTTGATACCTCTACGCTAAATTGCACTTCTTCGCCAGCATCAAACACTCTATCGCCATAAATAGTGTTAGAAAATTGCTGGTGTTGTTGCTGGTGGCTATATCTATTATTGGCGAGTAACTGGTTTTTTGGGATTGGCTGCCCTTTGTCTTGATGATGTGAAAATAAACTAGTCAGTCGTTTTCTCGTTCTCATGGTCGTTGAATTTAAATCTTTTAAAGGGTGAGGTTGGTGATTGCCGTATCGAGCGGGACGAGTGCATTTTAGCTTATAGTCATGGCACTTTTTCATGTCTATACCCATGTTTCTGAGACTATCCTTCACTCTATCGAAAACTTTATACGGAGCAATGGCTGTAAGAGCATCTTGATCGATGGCACCTTTATGAAACTTGAGCCTCGAATCGTCAAAATCTGCCAAGTACGAACCAACAGGCATACCAAAAGGCTTACTGACAGAAGAATCAGGAACGGCATTAAATGGTCTATCAATTCTGATTGTATTCCGCTTTTGTCCATTCGAGGGAGATGTCCCCAAATTGATACGTGTGCCTACAGAAAGGTTGTTTCATAAGTTGGCGAGAACCAACAAAATTATACATAGAATTTTGTACTACGAGCTTACTATGAGAGCTTGGTAATTTCTTGAACCAGTCGACCAGACGTTGCCCTTTCGACTTCATTTGCTGCTCAGTCACATCACTTCTAATAAAGTTAGTACGTTCTGATACAGACGGTTCGATATCATTTGTTCGACGCTGATGCACTGCTGAGACATTCTCTCGTTCACCTACATTTCTCGTAGGAACGCCGATGCTCGCTCTGTATTGATGCTGTTGGCCTAGAGTATTGTTAGCAACAGGCGTACTGTATACACTTTGTGGACGATTAGGTATAACTATTTTGTTGTTTTGCAGGCTTGAAAGTATCGACTGTTGAAATGACTTTCTATAAGAGTTCTTTACAGTTTTATCATCTGTCATTTTGGTTGATTCTTTCTGTAACGCAGAGAGTAATTTTGTTGGAAGCATAGATGACGTGGATGAACTTGTTGTTGTAATCGTTGTTGTTCCTGTTGCAGTTGACTTTGAAGCATTTTGATCCATGGGTGCCAGTAATGGTAATGGTTTGTTAATGTTTACAATTGTCGTCTTCGCGGTGCTATCATTTGAGTGTTTGGGAGGTACAGCGGGTGCAACTACAAGTGTTGCTGATGATGTCGTAGTAATTGACCTTGTAGCTGCTATACCGTTTCCATCCTCATCCTTTGAAAGGTTTTCATTGTGGTTCTCGAGGGCAGTTACTCCTAGAGATTTTACTTCTTCTACAGTAGGTAATAGGGTGGAATTTCGTTGGCACTGGCTGCTGCTATTACGCTTATTAGTTGTTGCTAAATATTTGGCTTCTATACTGCTTCTCTCCTTTGCTGGATCACTGATCTGAGCGGAAGCTGTTTCAGTACAATCGACTCCTTGATATGAAGCCACATTTGTTTCTTTTTCTTCCTCCTTTGGCTGTTCATCAGCCTTAACAGAAAATGTAGGTTTTGCTGGTACCGTGTTTAGTCGCTTTGCTTTATCTATTACTACTGAAGGCTGATCGGCATCGGCACTCTCCTCAAATATATGAGCATGCTCTTGTAACCACGGATGCTTTTTTATTTCATCTATCGTGCATCGTTTAACAGGGTTTGGTACGAGCATCCGACGTAGTAAATGAGTGGCTTCTGCGCTGATCGTCTTAGGAACCTGAACAGGCGTGCTGACTATATATCTGTACAACGCATTAATATTGGCTCCTTGAGGATTTGTAGGATCATCGTCAAACGGTAAATATCCGCAAAGCATGGCAAATAAGATGACACCACATGACCAAATATCAACACCTGTACCAGCATAGGTGCTACTTTCGCTAATGACCAATTCAGGTGCAGCATAGCAAGGGGAACCACAGGAAGTAGCCATCATGTCGTTCATTTCAGTAGTAAAACTGTTGGCAAACCCAAAATCAGTGATTATTATGTTACGCTCTTTACTGAGAAGCAAGTTTTCCTATAAAGAGTGCAATTTATTAGATGATTTATGTACGTATCAGCGCTACAGTATAAATGTATATTTATCTATCTTACCAACTTTAAGTCTCTATGTACAATCTGTTTTTTATGCATATAATCCACTCCACTTATAAGTTGAGCAAATAATCGTTTTGCTTCAGGCTCTTGTAGGAAATGCTGCTTCAAAATATAATCGAATAGTTCACCACCTGCACGGGAAAGAATAATTAAAAGTAGCCAAACATAATGAAAGATAGAAATGTTAGTTTTTTGTCTGTGAGAAGTGAAAAAAGAATTTCAGCAAAAATCAGGAAATTGTATTACCTGCTGCACGTTGCATCACGATCCCAATATAATTCTTTATGGTCAAGACTTCAAAAAGCTTAACGATATGTCGATGATTGACGGACTAAAGAAAATAAGGTTTTTTGTAAGCTTGGTTTTTTTTTTTTTTTTTGTCATGATTGTTATTATTGTACATCTAATATCCTGTTGTATTGGCTACATAATGTTTGTACCGATTACCGGTTCAACAAAAATAAAGCTTACCTTGAGTATAGTGATCTCTCTTTTAAGTTTCGCTTCTAACGCGGCACTTTGAATATGCTCCTTTTTCATCAATTTAATGGCCACCTAATATTTTAATAGATCGCAAAAAAGAAAAAAGGTCAAAAAAGAGCCCGTTACTACCGAGATATATAATATCTCGGCTCTTCCTTTCCTTGTTTGTTTATTTATTCTCTTCTTACTTCTTGATTCAATTGGCCGTGAACACCCGCTTTGACTTTTGCAAATTCACCTTCACCCAAGGTTTGTAGTAGTAAGTAAGGGCCGAAGAACGTAGGCTTACTGTTGTGCTTTGGTTCGTAGCCATACTTTTTGTATATTTCTTGATACCAAACAATCGATTTCGTACCGGTGCTACTACCATTGCTTTTTGAATGTCGTTGTTGCTGATCTTCTTTTCGATGATACGATCGATGCTGCATTAATTCGCTTGGCACTGCCATAACAGAATGAGCGCGTTGATGCGGGGTGCTTATAATAGCAGATGTTTGTCGAGTACATCCATAAGATGACATTCTATAATATTGATAATACTGAGCGCTTTCGAAAATATCAACCTATAGTATGGGCACTTTTGTCTTTCTGGTAATCTTTAGCGATTTAAATAAGAGAAAAGTAGAAAGAAGAAAAGAAAAAGAAGTGTCAGAGATGAAAAATCAATGCAAAAAAAAAAAAAAAAAAAAAAAAGGAATCACCATAATAATAATGCTGGAGCAAATGTAACATTAGAACTAAGGGGTAAAATTGAACTAGGTAACACACAAAAGGCTGTGATATCGTACTGTTTGTAATAAAAGATTTAATGCTGTTGTATATAGGATACAACCCTTTATTAAAAAATAACTTTCTGAACAAATATGAAAATGTCGACTTGAATGGTAATGCGGATCTAAGAGCTATATCACTCTTAGCGATCTTTCTATGTAATGAAAAAGGACGCCAAATTGGTAACAATGAAACCAAGTAACTGAAGTCGAAAGGTTCGATGTTGGCGAAAAGGCCGTTCTGTTTTTCTATGCATGATCCTGCTTCTGAACCCGATTTTCTAAACTGTAGAAACTTATAAATAGAAAATATATGCACTGAATTCTTACAATGTCAACATGTGCTAAGGACAGCAAACATTGAAATTTATAATTCCTTTATTTCTCTAATGCATGTTTGAAAATATCATGATAGTCTGTGATAGAAATAGAAATCCTTTATGTTACGATCCTCACACATAAAATGAGTTCTTACCATAACAACAACTTAGCTTGTCATGCATAAAAGGATATTTGGCTTGGTACGAAAAGGGGCCGACCCACCGTGTAGTAATAGATATCACCATTGTACAAAGCATACTTCATGTGTATATTTAGAATAAATAGAGAACTAACTTTTCTCAAAATACCTTATATTGTTGCAATTGAGCTCGTAATTCATCCTAATATAATAGAAAAAAGAGAGGCGAGACCGCACTCTTACAGTCAATAACATGCTTTTCACAACTTTGTTCTGCTACAGTTAATTTGAAAACTCACCGGCGACATGTCATTATTATTGTAAATCAAAACTACTTTGCTTGCCTTCTTTTTTCCACCTGTGTTATTAGTAGTAGTACTTATAGTAGTAGTGGGAGTAGCGGGCTCATTAGATAACGTACTAGAAGGAGTACTTGGACCTTTATTCAAATCACTGTGTGTACTTGCTGATGGTGGTATCGAAGGTGCGGCTGCTGCTACAGGAGGAGGCGGCGGCGGCGCTGAAACGGGTGCTGATTGTGTAAACTGACCATTGAAGGATGCTGAAGTAGCATTGGCGTAAGGTGCTGTAGGAGACGTCTGTGTTTGTCCTTGCTGTTGTTGCTGCTGAGGAAGAGGATATTGGGATGGCGATGATGCGGGAGGTGGAGGTTGCGCGGCTGCTGGGGCTGCTGTAACTGGAGCAGCGACAGGAGGAGTATTATATGCTGCATAACCGTATTGCCCTTGATACGCTGGCGCACTATATGCGTAAAATGCAAAAAGCAGATATTTAGACAGTATAATTGAAAAATTCGTTCAATCAAAAAACATACCCAGCATTATATCCATAATTATATCCAGGTTGTTGATAATATGAATTAAACCCAGTATAACCACCATAACTGCCATAACCATTGGCATAGTACTGTTGCTGTTGTTGTGGGGCAACACCTACCTGTTGTTGAAAAGGTGCATAAGCAGTAGTGGGTGCGGGAGAAGCCACGGCTGCGACGGGAGAGGCAGAAGTAGCAGCTTCGGCTTTCTTAGCGGCTAACTGTTGCTGGATTTGCTCAATTGTTAATTCTCCATATTGTCCGGATCCAGACGACTTGGATTTCTTTGCTTGACCTCCTCCGCCTCCTCCGGCTATTTTCGCTTCGTGCGCAATCATATCTTCTTCAGGAATACCTTCCATACCAAAAATTTCAATATCAAGGCTGTCTCTTCCAGGCAAAGCATTTGGTACTCTGTTTGTGGAATATATTATCAGAAATTGACCTCATTTCTACACAAGTGATGTACGGAACTTACTTATTGATTTCTATCTTGTGAACTTGTTGACAATGCACTACCATACCACCAGCGGTTGCTTTCAACAGAAAAAAAAATTAGCTTTGAGGTAATAGAGGACTGACAAACATCGATGTGCACTTACTTAGTTTTTTGTTACAAGCTGTACATTTGAAATGCTTCGCCTATAATTATATTTTTTTTTCGTTTTAGTCCAGTAAATGTATGATTGCAAATGCAATAATAAAGAGAGTTACCCTTTGGTGAGTTACTAGAACTTTATCATCTTCAAAATCTTTCTCACAATACCAGCACCATGGTCTCATAGGCTTCGACTTTCTTTTTTTACCCATTTTTGTCTTTGGTAGGTTGAAATTATAAGAGTGAAGAGAAAATGAGAATTTGAAAAAATAGTTTATAAATGTACGTGACTTTTTACGTCACTGGAAGCCTTAATCGGAGCCTTATTTTTCAAAAAAGCGGAGACTACAGTATTTTCGGTTTTGATTTAGACCTTCTTCTATCAAAATTGGATTTTTTCAATAACCTAATTCAGACAATCCAAGTAATTATTTTTCGATAACTTATTTCCAAAATTCGGACACTTTCAGTATATCCACCCATCCCTACCTTCGTCTGAACAGTCTCGATTTTTCACCGTCTGCTTTAATATCCATTGGGAAATATGGACATCGTTTTCTCGAATAATATTGTATGCCATTCCGTTTGACACCCCCCGCCAATCCATCCTTAGTAAAGTTCACAATATTAATTCATTGAGCCTGTCTTCTTCACAGCTCTTGCTGGAAGCGGCTGCCTTAGATTAATTACCCACCACAGAAAGTGTCTTTTTCTTCTCCATGCCCCATCCCTCAGAGATGTTTGACGAATTTATTTATTTTTGAATAAAATAATCTACAAAAAAAAAAAAAAAAAAAAAAAAAAAAAAAAAACTTTCAATAAACTATCTTAGGCCCTCTTCTTTCTGTACGTATATTTCCCTTCAGCATGCCTGATCTAAGGAATAAACGTTTTGCAGGCTTGCACAATACGTGGTGTAAGAGCTTATTGCTGTCTAATGGTGTGCCTTTGGTGTTATTTTTATCCTTAGCCAAGCGCTTACTTATAGGATCAACAACTGGTAAATAAGATGGATGAAAAAGCGGCCTATATCTGCTTTTGTTGATGGCATATTTAATAAGTGAGGTATGGTCATGGTATCCGTTTCTATCTGTTTTTCTACCATTATAAATTCTTTAAATGTTGGAGACCATATATTTTTAGGAAACTTCTTATTCATAAGCTTCTGAACGATAACGTACTATTCGATTGATATAAGCACAGGCTGTGTCGTACTACTCCGTATCTGGTTCAAAACAGGCTGCCTTTTCTCTCAAACAGTCATAGTGTGATCGTCTGTAACTAATTACGTACATTTTTCTTAATTGCCATGACAACTAGGCGACCAGTTGTATTCTATGTAAATGACTCATATTTTTGCATTCTCATTGACTGTTCGGCATCTCTGTTCATCTAAAACTTTATCACTTTTTTTCTTTTTCTACAAGAGAAAGTATTCCTACTCTACTATTGTTTGCCTCTTCTATAAGCTTATGTAATTATGCCTTCTCGAGAAGCTAAGAGGCATCTCAAGCGAAAATTAGAAAGAAAGAAAAGAGAAATTGCTGAAGGTATGTCTTTGCTATCTTATGTTCAGTTACAGAGTTTTACAATTCAATACTCCTTACGAATGTAGAAATTTGTAAGGACTGTGGAGAAGTTGGTCATATCAACAAAAAAAGTTACAAATGCCAGCTTTACGATGCATGTAAGCCGTGTTATCACTTTCCGAATGAAAGGTAAACAGATCTCTTACCATACCCGTTTTAAAGCCAAAAAAAGAAAAGCAGGAGCGAAGGATGATTACGAGACTAAGGCTGCAAAGGCTAGAGGAAAAAAGAAGAAGTTGGAAGACAGCAAGAAACGAGCAGAACAAGACGTTGTTTGTTCCTCTTGCGGTAAAGCAGGCCATAGTAGATCATCTTCACCACTATGCTTGAACTACAAGCCCCCAAAGGATGTCTTGCTCCGCCGGCTGTTCGAAGATGGTCATGAAGTCTACAGCAGGAAACTGCTTCTAACCACACTGATGAGACCAGCGTTTGCTCAAGTCGCTACAGAAAACATCATCAAATTAGCAGAATTTACCCGTCAAGTGGTGTATAGAGCCCAACTATTTGTGAACTACTACATTACTGATAACTACGAAACAACGACTGGTCACCCATACCTTTATGAGCAGAACTTCTGGTACAGCATCTGCAAGCTTATATTAGGGAAGCGGGTCAGAAATCGACAATACATGGACATGTCGGTCACGCTTGCCTTTGATGACTTTAAAAGCAAATTTCCTACAATCGTTTACAGTCTGAAGACACATCCCATGAAAGGATACAGCGATTCGCTGGCAGCGGCCTGCGTGACACTGGCCACTACTTATTCAAACTTTATAGTAGAGAATTTTGAAAATAGGCTCAAGCACTACGCTCGAACATGTTTGAAGCATCTGTTCCCTGTAAGTCATGATCGCATCCATAACAACTGTAGTAGCAGAGTGTCTCACGAAGTTCTGTTTATTTTATGTTCTAGGAACATAAGAAAAGAGAAATCGACAGAATCGTCAACGAATACTGCTTCAAAAAGATAATGAAGGGGGACTACGAATGGCCAAACGGGGTGGCCGGTTTGGAGCGGTTAGAGGAGGCTAATGCCATATGCAAAGCTGTTGAAGACGTACTGCCCGCGATCCCGAACATAGAAAATCTTACTGCCAACGGGTCTATGTTCCTACCAGCGTTAGGCTTGATGCTGCAGAAGGTGTTGTCTATTTCCGAAGCTACTACAGACGAGCAAAAAAAGCCACGACTTTTCTCTTTGTTTCCAATGTCCTCTCTGAAATGGCGCCATATCCATATCAACCACAAAACGCTGTCTATTATAACGAGCCAAAAGTATCCTGGAAACACCTACAGAGAACAGGTTGAGGTTTTTCACCGCATTTTTAACTTGTATACGTTTGGATACAGTTCCGTCGATGATATTGTTAACGATCGTGAAATAAAGCTAAACTGCACTGCCCAAAGCGATGGACATGGTATCACACTACAGTTTGTCAGACGAAAGGCTACTTCCGGTAATACAAAGGCACTACTACAACTAGACGACTTCAATCTCGTGGAAGTGGGTGAGTATTTCCACCCAATTACTGTTGATCCTGGGCGGAATGAAATTTTTACAGCTGCGGTTGGCCTCAACAATATTAATCACGAGATACGCAGTTGCAGCAAAAGTGAAAAAGCCAACTTTGCGGGCTACACGAGGAGAAGCACTTATTCGAAGAAATTAAAAGAAAGGAAAGGAATAACGTCCATTGAGTCGTCGCTGCCTTCACCGAAGGTCGTGTCCAAAGAGGCCTATATTGTGTACTTGGAATACACATTGCAACATCTGCAGACACTATTTGACTTCTACAGCTTCAAATCGGCCCAGTTCAACTTCAACAATTACCAAGGCAAACAACGGGCAGATGCTGAGGTAGCTAATGTGCTAATTGACGGCGGTCGCAAGTATAATAGGAGGAAAAGAAAACATACAAACAGAAACAAGAAAATGAAAAGACGACTGAAGAATGGCCAGAAGAAGACAATTAGAAGCAAAGTTAAAAAGACAAAACGGGAGCGTATGGAGGCTCAAGAAGAAAAAAAGAAAAAAACGATAAAAGAGGAGCCGAAGAGAAAAGAAGACGTTGACTTATGCAGGTAAGCGTTTTTGGTGGTAGATGGCTATTCTTAAGGCACTTAAAGATCTACTTCTGATACAGATTCAAGGAAGATGGACGGAGAATCTGGCGTCAAGAGCAGTTTATGGACAAAAGGCTAGTCATTCCACTTGTCGTGTTCGGGACGGGGATGTCGGGAAAAGACACAGTAAGAATGAAAGGACAAATCTCTGGTGTCACAGGTGTCCTCTATAAAATCTTATTAAAAAGGCAGAAGCAACAACTTGTTGCGGTAGTCGACATTGATGAATATTGCACGTCGCAGGTAATTAACATTTCCCTTATACTGTGCAATATATGCCGTATTTCTATGAGCCGTTTTTCTACATTCCTTACTTATACATGCACAATCAAATATTAGGTCTGCAACAACTGTTTGCTCAAAAATATGGAAAGTGTAAAGATCGGTGCTGGTTCACGTTGTTACAGTACGAAAGTTTGTAAACACTGCCACATACTTTGGCAACGTGATATAAATGCTTCAAAGAATATGATGACTATTGCCACTTCAGTTTGGGCAGGTCATGGAAGACCCTCACAGTTTACCCCCACAGAATCGCCGTAGCGAAGACGGTGCTGTCGGTTCCTCGAACCAGGCGGCTTAAAGATACTTACGCGTTTAGGTGAGTTCATCTTGTGAAATTTCTCACTGTACGTTTCTGAAGCTTTTATTAACTGCTGCTTGACGTTACTACATACTCAAACATGGTAGGTATTCTGTGCTTCGGCACAGTATATTTACCTTGTTTGAGTAAGAGTAGGTCGCACATTTGGCATTGAGTATTTGGACAGAAAAGGTATGATCTGAAAAACTATACATTTCATCTAAATAATTTTTTAAATTAGTCTGAATTTAATTGTAAGATAATCTCAATTTAATAGCCATTTCGTGCGAAAGTCAAGCGAAAAAACAGTAGCACAAATCTGATTTTGAAAAGAAGGCACTCGATGAGAGAAAAAGGTACAATTTGAGCAAAGGTAACACAGCTATGAATGCTAAGAACGTAATGTATATCTCTTATACACTGGTCAGAGCTCCAATACACAGTTTTAAACACACCTATTGAACATGGCCGGATAGTCGAAAACTGTAGCCTATTTCATCTTGGCTTTCCCATATTAATTACATGCATATAACTTTCTTTTAACTGTTAAGCACTATCCTAGCGTTGGCAGGTCGGTTTGATTCGAGGTCAATTCACAAATCTTTGTTCGTGGTGAGAATTAAATGAACTGATGCGAGATGTAATATGAATAAAATTAGTGGTGAATCTTTCTGTTTGATGCAGCTCTGTTGTTCGCAACTAGTTTATACTGTAGACAATGTCATTACTAACACATACGATAGTGCCTTATTGCTTTTCTTGTTACTTTTGTTGAGCTCCTCTAAGAAAGCAGTCTAGCTACAGAATCATCAGTTCTTATAAAAAAAATTCTCCTCTGTTCACGCTTACAAGAGTGCACAATACCTGTGCTACTACCTTTCTTAGCTCTACAGATTTTTGTTCTGCTGTTTCTTGCTAAACTCAAAATGCATAAAGACTGGGTAACTCCATAATTTCCGGGTGTTTGAGCAGTCCAGACGACGCCCTGTCAAAAATATTTAGAAGTGATCTCTTGAAGTGATTGTGCCCTCTGTGTGGACAAGATTACCATATTCATTGCTCCTTTAAATAATGAAAGCTGGAGAAGAGAGAAGGGTAGCATTACTCTCTTACTTTACCTTGTAGAGCCAATAGAGGAGAGTCGGAACTCAATTTTTTGATCTGGTTTCCCCGTAACCCTCTTAAAAATGAGTTACAAGGAAGGAAAAAAAAAAACTTTCTTTTATTGTTTCGTCGACCCATATTCAGTAGATCTTACATTAAAAAACTGGGTTCAACGTCATTCGTATAGGCCTCTTTCTCCACACTCTTTACCTTACAATAGATCTCTATAAAAATGAGCAATTTACTCAATAGTTTGATTTACGGAATGAGTAATATCTTCTCTTCTGTTGGACCTGAAATACCTAGAGAAGATCAGCCAGATCAAGACATCGATGGTGGTTGTTGTCAATCGCTTAACAATAACATGGATGGTTGCTGTCAGCAACAGCAAAAGAAAGCGGCAGTGAGTGATAATAGAGGTTGCTGCTCTACTTCAACGAAGACAGATAAGACGGACAAAACTGAAACCGGACAGAGTAGTGGCTGCTGCCGAGATAACAAGAATGCTAACGGATGTTGTTCTACTTCCTCAAATTCGTGCAAGAAGCCGTTAGTTTCTCAAAGAGATGACGATCACATCACTACTGTTATTCCTCCTGTTACCACAAAATCATCCGAGCAACAAGAACAATTAAAGCCAAGTAAGGAGAATGGCTGCTGTCAACAACAGCAACAATCATCAGAAGGAAAAACAGCCGATGCACATCATAATTGTGGTTGCAAAGATGGTACTGCAGACAGAAGAATCGTCTCCATTGATCAAATCAAAATTATTTATTCTACACTCACCAATACTGCTAAAGTGATGGCAGCAGAATTAAAAGAAAAAATTGAACAATCCAAATCTGTCAAAGTGGAGTCACCAATTGAAGTCATTGATATTACTGAATATGACAATGATAATTTATTGCAAGAAACAGCTGTTTGTATCTTTGTTTTATCAACCTACAATGTAGAAGGGCCATTGGACTGGTAAAAAAAAAAAAAAAAAAAAAAAAAAAAATTGATGAAACCAGGAATGGTCGAGTGCCTTTACTCACATATATTTGTTCCTTTCCTGTCACTTTAATTAGGTTCACTAACTGGCTCCATGACCTTCGTTATGATTTCCGAGTAGATCGTGACGTTTTGAAGAAATTGAGATATGCCGTATGTGGTTTGGGTGATTCAGTTTACAATGAAGAATTCAACGTTGCTGCAGCCAATATCGATAAATGGTTAGGACGTTTAGGTGCCACACGTATTTTTCCTCTGGGTGCATGTGACAAAAGTCATGATCAAAAGGCACAGTTTGACCTTTGGTCCAATCGATTTGTATCTGAATTAGTCGAGGATGAGCATATATTGGAATTTACACCTGTCACTATGGCATTCCAATCGGACGACGAAGATAATGATGAAGATGATGATAGTAATAGTGATGACGGGAAACAAGCTGATGCCGGTATCAATGACTATAGTGGAGATGAAATGATGGATGTTGAAGACATTGGTAAAATGGCCAATAAACTGAAAGAGGCGAAAATTCGACGTGCTGAAGAGGAAGAAGTATTTGAAAATAGTAAAGCGAGAGCAAAGCGTCTTATTGGCAGTGAATTTGAAGAAGACAAGAGTATCAACGGCATGAAGAAATCATCATCCATTGCACAACAGCCACGTGAAATGGTATCACCTATCATTCGTAAAAATTTGACCAAACAGGGATATAAAGTAGTGGGTACTCATTCCGGTGTCAAAATCTGTCGTTGGACAAAATCCGCTTTGCGTGGTCGTGGTTTCTGTTACAAACATGCTTTTTATGGCATTCAAAGTCATTTATGTATGGAAACGACACCTTCTCTTGCTTGCGCCAATAAATGTGTGTTTTGCTGGCGTCACCATACCAATCCTGTAGGTACCACCTGGCGTTGGAAAATAGATGATCCCAAGTTTATTTTGGATGGCGCTATGGAAAATCATTACAAAATGATCAAACAATTGAAAGGCGTGCCGGGTGTGAAAGCGGATCGTTTTGAAGAAGCTTTCACTATCCGTCATTGTGCTCTTTCACTTGTTGGTGAACCTATCTTCTATCCTCACATCAATGAATTTGTCGAAATGTTGCATGAAAAAAATATATCTTCATTTTTGGTCACCAATGCTCAATTCCCTGAAAAAATTGCTGACATGGTACCTGTCACCCAACTTTATGTCAGTGTTGATGCCGCTACAAAAGAATCCTTGCGAAAGATTGATCGACCCCTCTTTAGAGATTTCTGGGAACGTTTTATTGGTTCTCTGGAGCAACTCGCTAAAAAAGGTCAACGTACTGTCTACCGTATGACATTGGTGAAAGGTCAAAATACGGCTGAAATCAACGAATACGTTGAGCTAATACGTCGTGGCAAACCTTCTTTTATTGAAGTAAAAGGTGTAACGTATTGTGGTTATAGTGGTGCCAGCAACTTGACCATGGCTAATGTGCCCTTCCATGTGGAGGTCATTGATTTTTGCCAGCAAATTGTTGATAAACTTGGCGGTGAATATGAAATATCAGCGGAACATGCCCATTCTTGTTCTATTCTCATTGCTCATAAGAGCTTCAAAATTAACGGTGAATGGTATACACATATCGATTATCCTAAGTTCTTCGAATTGGTCAAGAGTGGGAAGCCATTTGGTAGTTTGGATTATGTTGCAAAGACGCCAGAATGGGCAGTGCATGGACATGAAGCAGCAGGTTTCGATCCAAATGAAACTCGCCATTACCGTAAGAATAGAAAAGTTGTAGAGCCACCCAAGATTGCATCCATCAATGGGACTGTTACGACAGCTTCCTCTTCATAGAGAATCAACTTTTTTAGTCTTACCTTGTTCTGAATAAAATGCCTCTTTTTTTAATATTTATTTGTTGTGGGGGTTTATATGAATTGACAAAATTCTGATCTTATGACAATCGTTCATGCATTCAAAGGGGTGAGGTTCAAAACCACTCTACTACCAAGTGGTCAACTTAGGACGTTCCTCATGTAGTTATAAAATGCAATCATATGCATACATTCTTGGACTTGCTGAATGCCAAGAAAACTTAACTTTGGTAACAATTATATTATTATGAGGCCGATCATACGGCAAGTAAGTGAGTAATTTTAATCGAGCATAGGTAAAGGGCTATGAATTCAATAACATGTGTGGAATGTCACTATGCCAATAAATAAAGTGGTTCTATATGTACAAGAGTTAATTTGAATATAATTATGTCAATCATTATGTTTTGTATGTATAAAAGTAGACGATAAAGAAAGGAGAAGGACAGGGTATATCAAAAAAAAAAGAAAAATAACAATAAAAAAAAAGATGTATAATTATGCATGGCCAACGGCCGCTGTAAGAGACACAGAATGATGTTGATGGTAATGAAGTGGATAATGGTCATTGTTGTAATATTGCTGTTGGTTGTAATAATATTGAGACTGAGAATCGGAAATGGCATATAAAAATGCGTCCAATTGCATAGAAGCGGCTTGAATTGAAAGGGCATGATTATCATTTTTACTGAGGGGTGCTGTTTGTAAGCCCAGAGCTGCCGAAGAGGTACGTCGATGATGACGAAGTAAACTTTGTGCAGAGGGTGCCAAGACCATACGGTTGGGATAACGCTCCCTGAAAGAAATATCACGGTCTAAAGCTAAGTAAATAGTAGAACCTAGACCTTCAACCGTCATGGCGTCTAAGTGGCCTCCAAAATGGCTGGCTAGAGCTTGTGCAGGCCGCCACCCGCGTAAAGACTCCCATGCAACATTTTCAACTGTGAAAGATGGTATACAAGTATTCTTTTCGATGGTTGTGTTGCTAGTACTCGATAGAATGGAGCTGCAGGTAGGTATGCCAATGGGGTCTTTGGGGACGCCTGGTAATAAATCTGACTCTATTAAAGGAGCTGGTGTATCTAATCGAAAACCTATGCTTGTGGGACCACCAAAAACTTTCAAGGTCGTGGCCCTTTGTTGATAATGCTTGTTTTTCTTCCACCATAACCAATTTGTTAATATTGATGATGATGACAATGATAGTTGGTTTTCTTGATCGAAATTGATTTTAGCTCGTAAAGAAAGTAGTGTTGATTCATATAAAATGCGGTGCAAAACAGAGGGTACGTAATAAAAAGCATCGTCTTTAGCAGGCTGATGTCGTTTTTTTATAGCTGCATTGACAGTATCTGTTTTGTTAATAATGCTGATGGACGGTATGTTACGATCATCACCTAATATATCGGCAAAGGTTTTTCGTGCATCTGCTACTGCTTGATGCGCAATTTCTTCTGGGCAAATTTTTTGAGCGTGATTATTATGTTTTAAGCCCCAAGAAATATGTTGATCTACAATCCGAAAGAGGAAAAAAAAAAAAAAAAAAAAAAAAAGACATTAAAAAACATATAACAGGGGCATAAAAGACACAAATAAGAAAAAAGTCTTGGCTTGCGTCCTTTTAAGGGGTAGAATTGGTAGCTTTACCTAGTAAAAGATGTATTCCTAAACTTATGGTACTGATGTTTTCCATTAAAGCAACGGAAGCAGCAGTCGGATTAGATTGTAATAAAGCATATTTTAGTCGGATTAAGTTGGTAGCTTGATTCGATTGTAATTTTTCAATCACTTTTGAAAAGGCTTTTGGAGACGTCTCTTGTAAAGAAGGATGCAGCAGAGTACAAATATCTCGTAAATAACTATGTGACACATTTTTTATAATGGGAGACTGTAAAGCAGTTGGTGATAGCGTTGATAATAATCGTAAAATATGAGTGAATCGGATGGGTAGTTCGTTACTGAGAAATTTGGAAGAGATGGCTGGTGGGGGAGGTTGAGTATCATCTTTTTTACCAACATGGTGAGTCGTTGTGGTGGTAGCAGTTGGTGAAGTGTTAGGAATAAGATGAGAAAGCTATATGAACATTGACATGTAATTGGGCGATCGGAATCAATAAGGGTTCTCTTATCTCTGTTTTTTCTTCTTTTAGTAAAGAAAAATTACCGAAATACGGGTCTCCTGTGTCGCCCACAAAGAAGCTATAACTCTACGTGGAAGAGCATTTATAATCTGTGATTGTAACATGATTGAGCTGGATGAAGAAATACCGATCAATAAGTAAAAGTAAAGAAGTTAGAAGTAACAAAGAAACGAAGAAAATGAGGGGAAGGATTTAATAGAATGACATCTTTTTATATGTTCAGTCCACAGTACAGTAACATAAGCTTTATTATCATTTAGGAGACAAGATTTCTTTGATTTCTATAAAGAAGAAGATGTTTACAGCTTTCACTACCTGCCGCCCCCTTACATTTTGGAGCCTTATAATATCCCCTAAGTTTTCTTTCCTTTTACATAAAACTAACAAAGGGACTTTTTGACAAGCTGCAGTTTTGTTGCTGCTTGTCTGCATCTACATAGTCTCTCGCTTGATCTGGAGAGATGTACATCTTTTTTCTTTCTTTGAATACATGTACAATGAGCAAAATGGTACAGATTGGCCAAGCTTATTGCATCAATTTCATATTGGTAAGAGATAATTAAAAATATTAGTACATGTTAACCCTTCAACTTATAAAGAGACTATGTGGTTATCGTTTGGTTTGTTGAAAATTATAAACACAGCAGCTTCGTTCTGGGCATATTATTTAATTTCCGTTTCATTGTAACGTAATGTAAACAAAAGAGAATTAAGTGATGTGCATAGAGCCTTTTATATAATAATCTTTATTTCAGCTCTTATGGGCTGTATAAGTAGATGCTTGTCATTTTTTAATAGAACTTTAGCTGCCAAAGGGGTACCTTACGAATTATTCCTATACCACTTTTGCGGTTAGACATTGTAAAAGAGGTAAAGTATCTTTTTCTTGCAATCAACTAGGCTTGAGTCGTTTGTAAAATCGAGAATTTATTATGCAAGAAATGGAATATTTGTCAATTGTTCGGGAAAACGTCAGAGTATCTTATGAGCACTAACGCTAATATCTCAAAATTCAATAAGGTGCAATTTGGAATTGATGCAGTTAAATTTTGTTAGGACAACAAGTAAGGCGGTTCTATATGAAATATGATCGTGTCCGATTTCTTGGCGTTTTCTTGTAAATCTATACATATCATGCTTGTACATACTATATATTTTATTATACATTTTACCCAGAGCAAATTGGTAAATGCTCAAAGTACCATTTAACCCGTTTTTATTCAATTTAGGTAGTCGATCACCTTGTCTATCACTACATAAGCTCTCTTTCACGGTTTTTAAGATAAATACATATTTAAAACTGAAATCCCTTCAAATAACTTTAGCTTACAGGCATTGCTTCAACTACACCCTCAGAATCAGTAAAGCAGCTTTATTGGATGGAAGTAAAATAAGCTAATAAAGATGGACGAAAGCAAGCCGTGTAATAAGCATAGAAGAAAATAAAAAGAATTCTGGCATAACATACATAACTGTTTTGCTAAACTGATACTGACATGCCCAAGTTGATGAATGTAAGTATTTTAAGCGCAAGGTTATTATCTATAAGCGGGTTTAGAGACACAGCAAAAGAAATGTTACAGCAAGAACATATTCTAAGAAACTATAAAAAGCAGTAGTGGGTTCATAAAGACAACAATAGGTATAAAGGATTAAAAAGAAAAAAAAATGGAAAGGTGCGTATTCGTAGTTGCAGTAGGCGTATTTTGCTTAGAAGAAGTTTGAATTTGCAGAGGGATTATTAGTAGTAATAGTAGTATGATAAAGTGCTGCTGCCGCTGCTGTTGTGGCTGAAGTTTGTAATAGGTTTTCATAATTGACTGGGATCGCTTTCGTTTTCGATCCTGCTGCTTTCATGACAGTGAAATGATGAGGATAATATGCTGTTGCTGAGTTGTTGTAGTTCGGGCAATCTTTGTGTGTTACCAGTAAAGTCTTCAAATCCATGATCTCTTTACGTAAAGCTTCCGCTTCCAACTGTAGTTGTTCATTATCGTTTGTTAGAAATTCAACCCTTGCTTGTAAATTTAAGAGCCATTGCTTCTTTCTCTGTCTACACTTCAATGCAGCTATGAAAATGTATAAATGTTATAATTTCTGTATGACAGTAGATGTTGAAAATTCTATCAAGCATGGAATGAATCTTTACCTAGGCGGTTTCTTTCCAGAAAATTTTTTCGTTTTTCTTCGTCCTTAGGCACTTTTACTTTACGCGTTCTCTTTTTAGTAGCAGTAATGGTAGTAATATTGGTACTGGATGATTGTTGAATTGATTGCTGTGGTGTTATTCGCTGCTATTATGATGCGTTTTTTACGATTTTGATTTTGGTTTGGTTTTTTTTTTTTTTTTTTTGTGGGTTTAAAAAGAGGAAGAAGTAAAGAAAGAATCCAATTTTTTAAGATTTTGAAACAAAAGCCAGGTTCATTTTCAATCAAAATACCTTACCACAGATTGATATTGTGCGTTAAATTGTAGAGACTCTTCACTGGAGCCATTAGTATAATCAGATAAGATCGGATTATCAGATACGTATGAGATGATAGAAGAGTCTAGATCATTGTTCAATATACAGTTTTGGAATCGTCGTGTGTTATATATTATATCAAACATCAGCCATAATAATCAATGGGTGATGAATTTAAAGAAAATCAACATTAATGAAACTCATCAAAAGATACAAAATGGCTGAATGCTATATGCATTATTACTAGTGTAATATCCATTACCTAAACCCTTCAAGGGCATTGAAGTAGTTGTTATTGTTGAAGAGAAACTCTCTTCAAATGGATTTGGCTCTTGAGCTACCATATGTGTTTATGAATTTCAATATTAACCTAGTGAGTTGTTAACTTTTTTCATCAAGAAATCCTTACCTCGGTTGGTAATGTTTAGCGTATCCATATCGTAGACAACTGTATGTATATGTGTACTGGAGATTCAAAGTGAAGAGTTATATATGTAACGCTTTACTGATAGATGAGTACTATGAGTAGATGATATTACCAAGTCGGCAAAAAAAAAAAAAAAAAAAATATTAAAAGTAAATGACTAAACAAAATGAAAAGAAGGAGAGATAGCAGATCAGAAAAGATGGCAGAATGGAAGAAAAATGGGGCTTCAATAGAACAAAATAGAAGAAAATGAAAATTCAATTAAAAAAAACCAACGCAACAAAAGGAAAAGAAAAAGAAGAAAAAGAAAGTCTACTACTGCCACGTTCGTATCCAAAACTTGCGTGCTGCTGCGTGTATATTTTTGACATTATAATAAACATTGCTATTATATACATTTTGTGCGAAACATCATGATTTTCATTACATCATCGGAAAGAGATCGAGAAATGGCCATATTTAACCTTTCCTGTCTGTGTACACATAAACAGCCATTTTGTGTCCCTGAATCTCTTTTGCAGTCTGATATGGTAATAAACAGGAACAATTGTGACAGAATGACGATGCTTGTAAGACCCTTCTTTCCAGCTTTTGATTCCGAATTTCTGGCGGAAAACCTGTTCAACAAACAATAATGCTGCTAAAATAGATCCCTTGACCAAATGCACATGAACAATCACAGTCAGTGGGAATTTATACCTACTGCGATCGAATGGCCGTATGGACTATGTTGACGGTATTGCTTATTGTATAAGTTTATGACACTTCATAATAACTATTGGCAGTTGAATAGATGATATACATGATTTTTAATTGTTACACTAGCTGCACCACCAGCAGAAAGTGCTTTATTTTGCCAATATATCTTTAGCGCATCTATGCTACACTTCAATGAACTTGATACAATGCATTTGAACAACTTTAGTCAGCAGTTGTCCCAGACCCGATTAAATATAATGAATGAACGAGATTTTAATAAGGATTTTTTAAAGAAACATTCTTTAATCGAACCGATAACCCTTATTGATACTTTTCAAGCTTTGTTGGTTTTTTTGTAATATCTCATGCCTGCCAAATTCTATTCCTTTGTTGCCTTTCTTGTGTTACTGTATGGACATTCATAAATAGACCTGATCACCTAAATCATGCAAACTTTTGTAATGCATTTTTTTATGGAAAATGTAAAAGATTCGAATTCGTCATTCCATATCCTTGTACACGGAAAATCTTATCGTTAATAGAGCTTTATATAACTGTGTATACTGTTAAATTGTACATCCTTAAAAATACAAATATATTTTTCTTAATGGTGTATAGTCATCATTTTGATTTATTGCTAAAGAAAACAACTGTGATTTTCTTCCTCTTTTTTGGACTCTGGCAAGTCTATATGTCGTAAATAACGATTCTTACAAGAAAGGTCATAATAGTAAATCAGTTCCTATGGTCGAAGATATGTTGTTTTGTGGATAGACCTTCTGTAGTTCATATACGCACAGTTTCTTTACACTGTCTTTGGCGTTTGAATATTGGCCGAAATCAGAATGACAACTCAGATGTTCAAAGACCTGGAAAAAATAACCGTTGGGCAACAGCGTGCTTAAGGTGCTCAATAATTGGCTTGGCTATAACTCTTACTCTGTGACAATACTAGATGGAAGAGAATACAAATGTCCTTTACATCCGGGATATACTTTTATACATGGCTAAAATGAAAACAGTTGGCCTCCTCTCGACAGATGACCAAAAAGAAAAAGGCTTCGAATGAGCCATTCAATTGTGCACTGAATAGTGATCCACTAAGAAATTTAATTCCATTGACTGTGATTTATAGCATATTTACCTCACTAATAGCTGTCTTTAATCTAATGAAAGATGCACCATTACTGCAATATTTAATAGGACATAATTATAGAACAATTTACCCCAAGCTTATTCAGCAAAATGATATACTACTAAGCAAATAATTTGAAACAATCTATCTCCATAACTTATATGCCACTATCACACTACCAATGTTATTGTTTTCGTTAAGCTTATAATATTACACGATGTCCATTGATTCTGCATAGTCGTCGAGACTGTCATGTTGAGCTTTTTTTTTCTTTTTTTTTTTTTGGTTGAAAAGTTAGAGAAATTATATGTGGAATAGCTGTACTGCTGCTGCTCCCGTTCCTGAACGTTTATTTTTGGCCTGAAAATACTTTAAATAAAAATTGAAATCAAAAACTGATCTTTAAAACGAAAATTTTTGCCGTTTTTACTATCAAGAAGGAGATGTGTTTGCTTTTGCTTATAGAAGTGCCATTGGTTCAGTTGTTTGTATTGCATGAATAAAGAAAAGGGAGAGGTTATATTTACATAAAGTACAAAGGCGATGACTATGATACACTTTTCCCTGTAGGGTATGCTTTTCAAAATGATTTAAATAGACTATTTTCAGCGGTTACTACCGCCTGTTACTGAGAAAGGTTGTTTATAACAGGTACTATTATTACTATTACTACAACTAATACGATCCAGAAAATCCGTGCTACTGTTTCCAGAGGTCAGCATTGACAAACGCTTTTTGTTTTCCCCTACCACGTCTTTTCCCTTGACCTCTTCATCGTCTTCCTCTGCGGCCAAAGAAGGATAAGAGCGTATAATTAATTTCTGTAACGGTTCTTCCAGACCATTACCGTTTGGGTGCTCCATCCATAATAACGTCTCGTCCAATAATTCATCATCCATTATTGCTTGCTGCTGCGGTGGGTTATCTTGGCGATGGCCCAGAACCAATGTTTGACGGATCTCATTCTTTTTATCTTGCTGTAGTGATGGTGTTTTTTGACACTGGATAGGTGGATGGTTGTACATCAGAGCCGATGGAGGCCTTGGCTTCATTTTTTGGGCAATTTCCAGAGGTACCGTTTCAATGTTATTTGATGAGACGACGGGAACACATAGGTCACGCTTAATGGTAGATTTCAGCAATACTTGAACCCATTTTCTCATCTCATTGGCGTCGCTTGTGTAAAAGTAAAATGTTCTTTCGTGGTCGTGATGTAACTTGAAGTAATTTCGTTTACTGTTGTATTTGGAGCTTCTGTGGCTAGTGTTACTATTATGGCTGTTAACGCCATTAGATGATGACATATGATGAAATGTTTTCTTTTCTTCGACTATAACGCGATAACCATGTAAATGAATGATCCCTTTCATACGCATATCCTAAATGAGTAGTAGGTAAATATATCAGTCGAATAAAAGGGACTATGAAAAGCGTGTATATTTTACCTTTGGATTCTTGAAATAAAATAGATTGGTGCCGTAAAGCACGAACCAGCGTTTATTCCACGTTTTGTAACGATCACTTTGCTTATACAGCCAACCTTCGAATTCAGGAAAGTGGTTAGCATTCTTGGATATGGTATTGCAAAGAGCAAGATTGTAATCCTGATGATGAGGTTGTTGAGGTAATGGTTGTTGTGGTGGAGGCAGTAATGGCTCCTGCAGTTGCTGCTGAGGGGATGAGGATTGTGATTGACTATTAAAACGATGATGGGTATCTAAAACGGATGGTCGGTGTGAGGAAGCTGTATTGGAATGAACTAAGGAGGATGAGCTCGAGGATATAGTAGTGGAAGAAGAAGATAGAGTGGCTGAATTATTGCTATTATAATAGAGCAACATCATGCTTCTTCGTTGATGCTGCTGCTGCTGTGGTATCGACGCTGGTGTCGTCTCTATAGCATTTTGGAAGATAGAACGTTCAGGTGTATTTGGGGCAGCAGCAGCAGCATTGGTAGTTGAGTGCATCATGGATGATCTTATAGGAGAAGGAGATTCTGCTATGCCATAAGCGTTATAAGGATAGCGAGCATCGTCGAGGTTAGGCGTCGTCGCTCCAGAAGATATAATCGAGTTCCTATTGAAATAGCCATCTGCTGCAAAAGAACTATGTCCTATGGAGCATAGACAAGTAAGTACATAAATCGGAGTGATAATAAGAGAGCATGGGAAAAAATCTAATTCTTTTTTACCTGTTCTTTGATGAGCAGCAGTAGGGGCAGAAGCAGTGGGTGAAACCACAGGTGTATTTAAAGAGGAGATAGCATTACTGCATCTGACATTTGGCAGTTGATGTTCGGTGACGGAACCATACCGAATAACGTTATTGTTTGAGGTTTGGTGCAACGAAGACTGTTGGCCGCCACCAGAGTAGTTTTGAGTCTGTCGTTGACTTTGGTTATACGTGTCCGCGTTAGATATAGTTGATGAGTAGGAAGATTGTGATGATTGATTGTTGGTATCTTCTATCGAGGCTTTCAGGGCTTTGATAGCGTTCATAACTTTATAACGACGCCCATAAGCAGTAATTCCCAATTCTTTCAAGGCTTCATGATCGAGACATAGTAAGACATCTCCAGTAATTTCTTGATCTGCATTGGTATGATCATTAGTATAGAGATTTCACGTAACACTGGTACAAAAGTTATTTTTTGACATTACCGATGAAATTATCTATGACAGATTGTAACCCAACCGATTGTAACCAATGCACAACATCATCCATATTCCAGTTTTCTGGCGAGCTTTTAATTGTATCGGTGAGATTGTGGTCGCTGTTTGTATTAATTTTTGACCAAGCTATGGAAGAAGAATTTGCCGTTAAGGAAGGAGCAGTGGCAAACGTTGAATGCTTGTATATAACTTGAGGATTATCTACCGGTGTAGGTAGATTGGTGGAGCTACTCGTAGTACTACTGCTTGTGCCAGAGGAGACGCGATGAGTTGGCTGATACACCGCGTCATCTTCGCCCTTGCTGTACGATGCTAATCGTTCAATACGTAGCTGTCGTTGTTCAGATCCTTGTTGGCTGTTGGAAGACATTGAAGATACAGTCGATGCCGATGACTTTGTTGCAGTAGGTTTCTCTGGTGATGTGTAATTAATCGGAAAAAGACCAGTCTCATCCCTTATATTTCGACCATACCACCAACCATCCATATATTGATCGTCATTCTGTAATATAACAATAGGCTCGCCGCATTTGAAGGTTATCTCGTCTTCATTTTCTGCTTCGAAATCATGTGTAGCATAAACGATGTTAGGAGAACTCATTTCCCAATTAGAATATAACAAGCGTTTTGTCAAGACAAAGGATTGAAAACGGAAAGAGAAGAATGACGTTTAAAAAAGAGAAGTGGCAGAAAGAATAGTGATAATGGTAGAAGGTAAAGGAACGTCTTAGTGTAAATCCGAGAAAAAAAAGAAAAAAAAGAATGGCTTTTTGCTTCTTTCCCATCTTTATTGTTCAGACGATCACAACCATCTTCAGTAATTAGTTATAAAAAGAAAAAAAAAAAAAAAAAAAAAAAAAAAAAAAAAAGTTTCATATAAGAATAACGGTGGGTCTTTGGTAAAATATGCACGTATGTATAACAATATGTACGAACGTAAAAGCGGAATTTTGTTAAGCTGTGCGTTTTGCCATATTTCCTAAAAGAATAAAGAAAGAAAAATTTAGCAAACCCTTACCATTTTCGGGCGAAAAAAAAAGACGACTTTCCCCGTTTTAAAAAAAAGAGAGTCTAGTAGAAAGGTGGAAGGGAAGTATATAATTAAATTATATCACTCTTACTAATGACAATTATTTGGTGTAGTTATCAATTGATATTATCATAAGTTCCTGTAAAACAGAAAAACTCCAAGGAATACGAAAGAAGTTTCTGGTCTTCTCCCATACAAGGTATATCAAAGTTATAAGTTAAGCAGGAGAATGGATTCCAACGCGATGATTCTGTGGATGAGTCTATGGCTAAACAGGTCGTTTCAAATGTATGTGTGTAATGGAAACCGTGGGCAGCTTATAAAATGCATCTTGATTCATTTTAGGTTAAGCTTGCTTATCCAATACTAGCCTAATTTGTGTTGTGCCTGACGGATTTTATTACTCAGAAGAAGAAGTCCGTGCGGCCATCACACTGTCCCACTCTGATTGAATTTAATTCTTTTTTTGTGCTGGGAAGAGCTGCTTCTGAAACAAATTATGATTACGAGAAGGGCAAGGCTGGAGGCAAATTTTTTGTTTCAACCCCTTGACCCTTGATAGTCAAACTGTCATTTCCTGGTAATAACGCGTGTATATGCTTTTCGTGCTCTTTGTTTCAGACAGTAAAAATTACCCTCAGTAGCAAGGAACCCTCTAATAGTTCATTATTGCATACCATAGATCATTCTGCATCGGTGCTCTATAGGATAGAGGTATAAAAGATGCAGCTCTTTACTGCATCTATTGAGTAATAGAGGCTTCAAAAGTTCTTCAATAATCAATATGTTGCTGGTCTGGGTAAACCAGACTGCGAGGTTTTCGCCAGTAGGTACAAGAGCATTATTAGGCTACCCTTTAGCATTAAATGATGTTCACGATAAACGAATGAGTAGAGTTTGGTATCTTATTGATCCAGCATAATGTTACTGTCAAAACTGGTGGAATACCTTTCGAAGATTTATAGCGTGGTTAATAGTGTAATGGAAAAAGTGAAAAGAAATCAAAGTTTACTGAAATGAGTGCTTTATCGATGCTTTGAAAACACCATCTGATGAAAACTAAGGATAGTTCCACGGATCCTCAGAAATTATAGCATGAAAAAAAAAAGCGAGAAAATATATGTATCCAGCTATCGAGCAGTTCAGTGTATCTCTTTAATGTCAAAATAGGCTAAGGGGTGTTTTAAAAACATTATAATTACAAATTGCCTCGATGATAAGCAAACATATGATACAACTGAATATTCAATATTTGGAACTGTTGTTCCGTTGATTTGATTTGAGTATTTATTTATCTTCAAGCTTTATGGCAATTATACAAGCGATTGACATATAACTTTTTGAAAATCATTTTGTAGTATTTTGATCAACATGCAACCATTTAAAATGGAGGCTAGAACAAATTATACTATTAAAAAAAAAAAAAAGAACACCACGAACCGGTGATATTGAATGATATTGTAAGCACGTATGTATCCACAGTATGTATCAATACACAAGCTATACTCACAAAATAGTCAAGACCCTGACCTACTTCCCATAAAGCAAGTCCAACTATGTGAAGGACAGTAATGACGCATTAATCTCTCTTTTTATGGACTTAATACTCACATACTTAGCTGCAACCTACCCCCATAATCCTCAGCAAAACGTACTCGGTTTTTGATTGACTAATGAAATTACTTACTTAGTCAGTCGAAGTAATTCTTTTGTATATTGTTTATAGTGCTGCCACGTTCAAGAAGACATATACTTACGCGCAAAGTAGGTAACCAAACAGTACCTCGTCTGCTACCTCCTTCGTCCATGTCAATAAACCATGCCTCTTGAGATTCCTTATCCCAGTTCAAGTCTTCGTCATCGGTAAGCAAATGGTGATGATGATGAACGTCTTCGTCATTGGAACGGTGTCCTTGTCTTTCAGATAAGTGTTCTACAACTGTTCTAAGTACCAGAGCTTCTGGAGCACGGGTTTGCAAATACGACATGGCGTACATATTGAGGCCAACCAATAATTTGTGCTTATTTTCAGTCCCTAGCAAGGATGTGATAAATTCAGTGTTATCCATAATCCATTCAATAGGTGCAGATGGACCTCCGTTTCTAAAGAGCAGAATTAATAAAAGTGTAATTGTCTCTGTACACTTCGATATAAGAAGACTTACGGATTATGACTCGAAAAATCGTAAGACATTAGACTAAATCTATCTACATATTGCGCCATAGCATGGAGGAAATCTGGTTGCATATATTTCTTATGCTCTTCTGTCATAATAGCCGGAAGTACTACAATCAATTGTTGCCCATGGTGGTGCAGTAATTGAGATAGTCTTGAAAGTAATAGTGGAAAAAATGCTGGAAATCCACATTCAATAACTACTCCATCAAATTTGTGCTTCCTGCATGGGAAGGAAAAGGAAAGAATAATTACGTGAATAAGAAGACCTATGTTGAACCAATAATCAACCCATCACTTTACTGGACTTGTTGATGAATCATTGACGCTAACGCAAATGACTCTGCTTTACTTGATATGAACGTCTGCAGATCCTCGCTCGTCCAACCACGGCACTGAAATCTAGGGAGGATTTTTCCTTTGCTTTTTACTTGATCTCGGGTTTCCTTCATCCACTATATTTATAATTGACACCGGTGGTGAACTTTGTTTTATTTGGATACGGGCTAATTTTTGTTGGTTTTTTTTTTTTTTTTTTTTTTTTTTTTTTTTTTTTTTTTTTTTTTTGCTTACACCCTGGTCAACATCATGTTCACCAAGTATATCAAATTGCATTGAAGCTCTACCGGTAAATATTGATTATTTCACTGCAGGACCGTGTAAACCAGCTCTAGTATGGTTTTACCTTCTTTCAATGTAGAACCACACTGGAGATACACTAACAATAGGATAAATCATTCAGTTTCAACATAATGCTGGCACTAATATGCTGTTAACGCAAATACTTTGTTTGAAACAATACGCTACTAGTCAAACTTTCCTTTAAACTCTTTCACAATATCGTATCCTATTTACCAATAAATGAGGGAAGAGAGACATTGGGAGAAGAAAAAAAGAAGGCTGGTAAAAAAGAGAAAGCTGACTCATGCCGGGCAACTGCCAAATACTGCTAAGCGCGTGTGTCTTATGATATACCATATACCTCTACTATTCCAAGGAGTAACGTAAGCCAGAGTTTCTCCTTTGAACTTTTTGACATGTGCCTCTGAATGATTCAGCTTGTCATGGTGATCAAGCATGTACTTTATGTTCAAATTGTTATTATGATGTCGATGTTGCTGTTGCTGTTGTTGTTGCGCTTGAAGCACTACTTGAGGCTCTTGTGCTAAAACGTGCCAGCAATTACATAGCATAAGCACTGTTAGCACTAGTAGTAGTGTTATTTTTGGTATACTTCTACTACTGCTATTTGACACCATAGTGAACAATTTCAGCTGCATAATATTACAAAAGAAGGTAACAAAAAGGATTCTGTCAGTTGGCGAAAAGCTAGAAAAAAAAAAGGTGAGGAGGCAAATTAGATGAATATCAAAAGAATTAACAAAGATATCACGTTATCACATAATCCAAATCGATTGAATAACTCAACAAGGCGATTTAAACAAACTTTGAACAAATGAAGTTTACAGAGTAAAACTATAGATAGAACATTGAATTTTATAAACAAACAGAAAATTTCAAAGAAGTTAACGCACATATTCTCAATTCTTTGAAACATCCCTCGTCTTTTAACAGACTTGAACAATATTTGACTCCAAATAGAATACTACTTTAAGTATTAGCCGCTTTTTCTCTTGCTTTTATAACAAAAAAATTGCCCGGCAAAGTCAAAAGTTAGCTTGATGGATGGTAACATATGAATACCCATTACTGTATACTATTCCTACTTTTTTAAGAAAGTTTCTTTTTTTAATGCTTGGTATAGATATGTCTTCAGAGAAAGAACAAATAGCATCAGTTGAGTCTACAGCATCGTCGTCACTTTCATCATCCATAGGGCGAAATCTGTTTCTACCGTTGTTGGAAGACAAGCGTAATATGGATAGCACTCTCACTAACACTGCACCCAACATGAAGAACTATGCAACACATCCCGCAACGACATCCACTGCAGTGAATTTAACCCCACCCTATCGAGGGAAAGGTCAGAAAGTAGGCTTAGTTCTAGGCTGCTTGATGGCTGTCGTATCAGCCGCTGTCATTATCCCCATTGTCATGCTCACTCTTGCTTCGGGAAACCATTCGAGTCAAATGAATGTCGACAACAAAAGCACCAATAGCACCAGCCCAAACTCAACCTTGCCCGCTCTAGATATACCAGACAATATGAACCAAAATCCATATAACGACACGGCACAAGCGAATCCGTTTACCCCACCCTTGAATGAAAAATTCAAATACAATACACACCATCATATCCGAGGTGTCAATTTGGGCGGCTGGCTTGTCCTTGAGCCCTTCATTACACCAAAAATTTTTGAACAAAAAATCCCCTATATGTCCGAACCTATTGTCGATGAATGGACGCTGTGTAAAGTCTTGGGGCCAGAGGAAGCCAAACGACAACTGCAACATCATTATGAGACATTCATTACAGAAGAGGATTTCCAAAAAATAGCACAGATGGGGTTCAATCACGTCCGAATTCCTGTGGGCCATTGGGCTATTAATGTGACACACGAAGAGCCTTATGTTGCCCACCTGTCTTGGGATTACCTTCTTCGAGGTATTCAATGGGCACGAAAATATGGGCTGCGCGTGATGGTGGAGCTGCACACGGCCCCGGGTTCTCAAAACGGCTGGAATCACTCTGGTAAAGCAGGCAGTGTCTCCTTTCTGAATGGTCCTGATGGTGACAAAAATGCAGACAGAACGCTTCAAATTGCGACAGAAATGATTCAATTCTTCAATAAACCAGAATGGGCGAACGTAGTGACTTTATTTGGCGTTTTGAACGAACCTGCTATGTTCAGGATACCAAATAACGCGGTTGAAGGCTGGTACCGAAAGAGTTATAGCGCTATCCGTAGTATTCTGGGATTGGGTGGTGGACCTTTATTAACGTATCATGATGCTTTCTATCCTCTCAAGTTTTGGCATGGTTTTTTCAATCAAAATTATGAAAGGGTGGTTCTAGGTAAAGGACGGAAGAGCTTCATTTCACTCGCATCCCTCTTCCTAACATAAAAATCTGCTTCTTTATAGAAACACATTTGTATATTGTTTTCAATAACGATTTAGTTGCCATGCCATGGGAGAAGCAACTTGAATTTCCTTGCTGGGCATGGAAGAAAGAACTCGGTGAATCCCACGTGAAAACAGGTCCAACGATGGTAGGTGAATTCTCCGTGGCCATTAATGATTGTGCCAAATATTTGAACGGCGTGGGGCAAGGGGCACGTTATGACGGTACGCTTCAAGAGCCAGGTGCTCCGAAACCTGCACCGATTTGTCCTACTTGCAATTGCAAGGATGCCAACAATTGGCCCTTGTTTTCTACGGGCTATAAACAATTTCTACTCCAGTTTATGGAAAAGCAAATGGATGCTTACGAAGCGAGTATTGGTTGGTTCTACTGGACTTACAAAACGGAAGATCACGTCAATCCCCACTGGGATTACTTATTGGCTTGGGAACAAGGCTTTGCTCCAAAGGATGTAAATCTTCGTAATTTTACCTGTCCTTTGAATTCCCCGGGTTTTCCTTAGGCATCAGTTTATGACGCACTATATCCCCGGAACAAATAAAGAACCGGATGTTTTATCCAATTGTTTTGAAACCCGTGCTCGTTGTCGGCATAAATTTTGTATTTTTCGCTTTCATTTCGGATAAGCCAATGAAGTTGGATCGAAACTTGAAAGATTATAAATTAAAAAGGTAGAAAAAGCCCAAAATTCTTTTTAAAACTTGAAACTAATTTAGTTTTGCAACTGCAGAATCTTTTCTTTTAAAAAGCTTAAATTTGGTAGCGTAACTATAATTCAACGCTTAAGGTTGTGTGTTACTATTTAACAACGACCATGTATTACGACCTTGCAACCAAACCCCCAAACCCATCTCCCATTACGGCAACATCGCCATCGCCATCACCCAACTTGACAACACTATTTATTGAACCCAGCGGAACCCCACCTACACAACCGCAGATTGACATTGTCCGGTACACATGGGAACGTATAGCAGAAACGCGGCTAGAAACAGATGATCCAAATATATCCCCGGTGCATGCATTTTCATTAGAGTTCTATGATGCGCTCTTTCAGGTAAAGCCGTCTTTGCGAGAATTGTTCCCAAATATATTCCAGCAAGCCAAAGCCTTAGCTGGTATGATTTCCTTTATTACCAGAGCTCCTAGTGTCGTTTGCGATTCCAAAAAAAACACTCGACGTTCAAGTGATTCTGAACACTTTTGCAGTATCGGTAGTGCGTACATTAAAAAAGACAACAATGACAACGACAAAACTCTGTCCAATATGTGTCCAGCAATGAATTCAAAGAACATCATGTCCTTGCGTGAATTAAATGCGCTGAAACGTCAGAAAAATACCGCATCCAATTTCGCCGAATTAGTCACTAACACTGCAGCAGCAGATAAACAGAAGAACTGTTCATCAACATCGTTGCCTAATTCGCTTCTCTATGTGAATGATATTGAAAGCAGTGCTGAATATCATGACACGTTTCTACAAAAGATAAGGGAACTGGGAGCAAGACATTATTTTTATCATACAGATCCAAAAGACCTGCCATTAGTGGTACCTGCTGTGCTTCATGCTCTAAGAACTCGATTAGGAAGAGAGTATTTACCGGAAGTTGAAGAAGCGTGGATTAAGGTAATATTCAATTTCGAATCTGTTGATGTGCGAGTATATTGACAAGTATTTGTTCCTTACCATAGGCACAAGCATACCTTATATACCATATGAAAGTTGGCCTAGCCGAAGAAACTGCACTACAGCACGGAGGAAAGAAAAAGTCGGCTTTTGCACAATTCAAATCCAGTGTACATCATCATCAATATGATACCAAGACCAACTGTACAATTCAATAGCATGGGATAGTTATGTATATAAATTTGAAATTTAAAATTTTTCCCTATGTTAGTAGACCATTTTATTATCACTTGTAAATGACTCGCTTTAAATGATGGTATATATTTCTATAAAATTTTGTTAACTAACAAAAGCACGCATTGAGTATGAGTAAACGAGTGGATGTAAAAGTTTTAGGAAAGTGCTGGTATCGAGGTATCTTGTGGTATACAAAAATCAAAGATTTGTTAGGGCAATAAGGAGGCTGAAGAGCGCTAATAAAAGGACTGGACTATACGCTGAAAAGCCAGAGGAGCTACCAATGTGATTTAGTCATGCTTGGTTAGTTGTGATTTGCCGCTTCCTCTTTAGTTATGGAAAATAAAAGGGGGTTGGTCGCCGCAGCTTAGAAATAAAGCTCGCTCCGCAGCAATTGCCATTGAATAAGGTTACTTATAGCGCTTTTGTCTGTAACAGGAATGCGTTTGAAATAAGCGTTCGTACAGAGTAACTCTGAGTGCAGAGTGGAAAAGACAGGTACTGTGTTCCAATCAAAATCAAATGAGATCTGACTTTAGAAAAGGGGCCATTTATGCAACTTTAAAGAGGATTGGAGCAGCTGCGGTTACCTTAACCGCAGTAGTGAGTCCAAGTCGTTTTACAAATTCTATATAAAAAGGAGCTAGCAAGGACAAAAACAGATTCCCTTTTCTTCCAGTGATTAGCAAAATAAAAATTAATCTCAACATTATGACTGTATCCTTCCAGCAAGATTTTCCTATCAGTTTCGCCGAGGAAATGGCTACGAAAACTGACAGCGCTCCCAACAAGTTCTATGTTGAATGGTTTGACAACTCGAATGAGTTCCCTACATTGACCTCTTCTGGTTCTAACCATCTTGGCAAGATGACTGTTCCTTCCAAAGTGGGTACATGGGAGCTTTTGCAGAAAACTGACCTCAAGATTGACGATCATCAGCAAGAACAAGGTCCTCAGCAACTCTATTCTCAAATGGTTGAAAAAAATGCGACAGAGTTGCAGCCTTCTTTTCGAACTGTACAGTCACTTCACTCAAATCCGAAGCAAAAGAAAAAGTCCCAGCAAGATAATGATGTAGTCGTTGAAGAAGACCCATCACTCAATGTTGATTTATATGATATCCACAAGTCCCAATCAAGGAGAGCGAATAGACCGAAGCATATGAAGGCGGGTAGAAAAGTCGATGTTCATATCGAGGGCACCTTGAGATTGGCTACTTCGCGCCATGGCAAGACGCATTTTATTTGGATTCCTAATGATAACAACTCAACATTAATAGGCCAACCAGATAGTATCCAGCTTCAAGACAATGCTCAAGCTCTTCTTGCTTTCTCAGCGAAAAGCTTCGCACCTTCTTCTCCAGCCCACAAGAAACAGAAGGATGTGAACCATGCTGCGGCCTGTTACAAGTATTCACCGTTGCTTGATAATAGTGATTATTCTGTACTTTCTACCAAAATCAAGTGTTAAATCATTTACTTTTAATGTATACTACCAATCAATTTACACATTTATACAAGCATTCGTTGTTCCAGATGATACCTTTTAGCATGCATTTCCTTAATGAAAAACTCAAAATAAAACTATAAAGTCATTCAATATTTTACTCGTAATTACCTCAGTATTTCTTTTGAATGTCATGTTGTGTTTTGTTTTTTTTGCACAATTCTAATCTTTGTCGTGCTAGGGGTCTCAGATATCACAGGTTTTTTATAAATGATAAAAAGTCATAGACATTGCACACCATTCTCTACAAGGTGGTTTACATTCATTCTTTCTTTTATTACTTTACAAAGTGCACTCATGAACGCAATGAACTCATCAGCGAATAATGAGGTATTAGAACAATCGAGTTGATGCTATAGGGTTTTGTGATATGTGTTTTTCGAGGTTCGACCTCTATGAAATAAAGTGTGGTAAAATATGACGCTGCCAAAAAATAGTAAAGCGTTTTTACTCTTAGATAGAAGTAATACAACTGCCGAAGAAACGTCGGATCAATTCACGTCCGTAGGGTATGTAGCTTGCCGAATACCATATCAATGCACCAAATTGTACAATGACCAAAACCAACGATAGAGGAAAATTATGTAGCCAGATGGACAATGCCAATGTCAGAATCAATAGAATAATGTAGACGACTGTAGCCCAGAACCGCACGGGTGCAAACATCGTTTTGAATTGTTTTGTGATACCGATAATAAATGTTAAACTGAAGAGAGAGATAATGTTGCCACAGCTGTAAAGGATGGCAAATGGAGCTACGTTACCAGTGATCAAGATGATTGAAGAGATAATAGACAGTATAGCGCCTGCGACAAAACAGCAACCGAAGGCAAGCATACGTTGAGATCGGCTGAGACCACAGAATTTCCAGCTGCCATCATCAGCCAAACCTTGATCGCTGAAATCGCCTGAAAAGAAACCGAACTTCATACTATGTTATAGTGTACTGTTTAGTCTGTTAGTCTATAACTGTCTTTTTTGCTGCGTTCGACAGAAAGAGTTGTAATCGAAAGTGAGAGCTGTCAGTGAAAACAGAAAGAAGGATAAAATGGAACTCATATCTTCTTTTCTAAATTTATTCAGAAGTGACCTGAATGTAAAAAAAAAAAAAAAAAAAAAAAAAAAAGAACAATGACTCTCTTTATTCGCGCTCTCATGCAAAACAATGACCTTTGCTTCTTTTTGATATGGAGACAATAAAATCGTAAAAACATCCTACTTTAAACAGAACTAGATCTTTTGACATATCGCTCGTTTGGTTAAAAAAAAGCCCATAGCGCTTCCTCTTATCAGCAAATTGACACTGATAATTGTTTCAAAGACATAATACTTTTCTTCTTTCTTTTTTGTAACGTCAAACACACACACACATGCAAAAAGTAGAGCTAAGTTGTGCCTAAAGGAACAAAAGGGTCAATAATTTGATGCAGCAATTTCAAACAATGTTTATTGGTGTGCACAAAAAAAAAAAAAAAATACATTCCTGCCATACAAAAGGAGCAAACAATGATAATGAGAGCCCTTTTAAGATGAAGTAAAACATTTACAAAAATTACTGAATAAAGAATAGTATTATTACAGAAAAATTACGTTAAAAAGATTAAATATTACAATGATGATTTACAATAAGAAAAAGGGAAAATACACGCTTAAACAAAAGTAGCACTTCGTTGGGAATCAATACTTAAAGCATCTTGCTTCTTCTTACGAGCAAAGAGCTTTTTGATGCTACCCCAACCACGTAAAATCTGGTATAACAAAATAGCAACATAGGTAGGCAAGCCAATACCATCCAATTGGAAATTACCCCACTGTAAAGTATTCTGCATAGCAGCACCTATAACGACCGGAATACCTGCCACCAGCATGTTTCTGGAATCCTTGAAATCTACTTCATTTTCAACCCAAATTCTTGCTCCAGAGACAGTAATGAGACCGAACAAAACGATCGACAAACCACCAAAAACGCCTTGAGGAATTGTGTGTATGGCTGCCCCAAACTTTTGAATAAATCCCAAAATGATAGCAATGATGGCAGCCACCAAGAAGATCAGAGTGGAGAAGATTTGAGTGACAGCCATCACACCAATGTTTTCAGAGTAGGTGGTGGTACCAGGTCCACCTCCTGCGGCAGAAACAATCGAAGCGACTGCATCACCCAAGACTGCTCTTGCTAGATACTTATCTAAAGGTTGCTGCGCCATTGCACCTACTGCCTTGATATGACCCAAATTCTCTGCCAACAACACCACACAAACAGGAACAATGATACTGATAGCTTGACCTTCGAATTTAGGCTTGACAAAAGTGGGAGCAGCGAACCAAGAGGCATTGTACACTTCAGTGTAATCGATGGCTGGACCATGACCCGAATAACCAACACCGAAGTAGATCAAATACCCGATGACCATGCCTACTAAGATAGGGATACGTTTCAACATACCAGGAGCGTAAATACTGACAAGGGCGATCAACATAATGGTAGTGAACGCCATCCAACCGTCAAAGGAGGTTCGGGTAGCATTTTGAAAGGCAGAAGTAGACAAGTGAATACCGATCGTCATAACAACACTGCCTGTTACGACAGGAGGCATCACATATTCAATCCATGCATGACCTGCGAAAAAAATAATAATACCAATGGCACCGTAGACAAGTCCGCACACCAGCACACCACCCGCTGCCACATCGGTACGAGGATTAAAACCAGCACCAGGTGTGTAGGAATAGCCTGTAGCGGAAACAACCACACCAATGAAACCAAAGGATGACCCCACATAAGACGGAACTCTGCCACCCGTAAAGATATAGAAAATGATGGTACCAACGCCAGAGAAAAATAAAGCAGTATTGGTGTCAAAGCCCATCAAAAGGGGAGCAAGTACAGTGGACCCAAACATAGCCAAAACATGCTGAATACCCATCAGGGCACATTGGAATACAGGCGGCCTTTCATCAATATAGATAACACCTGTTTACGGAAAGGAAAATGAAAAGGATGAGATAACGATGTTGAATGAAAGCCCGCAAACAAATAGGGTTTCCTTCTGCCACATTGCACTCAGAAAGATAAAGGGAAAATTTTTTCATTTTTGGGAATTTTTTGATCCAGAGCGATGATGCCCGGTCCTCCCGTCCGCTACCACCACCGCTACCACCACCCTCCTTTAAATTGATATAGACGATATATACCTGATCGCTTCAATTTGTACTTGGGGAAGTAATTTAAGAAGGTCTCCTTAGAGAATAGCTTGTGACTGGTAGCCAAATCTCGTCTACTTGACGATTCCGAAGTATAGGTTTCAAGCAAAGTAGGGTCAAAAGCATTGGGTATGTGCTTTTCCTCGTAAGGAGTAGTTGAATTGGTGATAGCAGGATTCATTTTTCGTTTGTCTTTGGTATTGAATTAATAAAGAGTTCTTTTTCTGTTTTAATTGTGTAAAAAAAACCAAAAAGAATCCTGCTGCTTGTACCAAACTATGCAGGAAAGAAAAAGAAAAAAGAGAAAAAAGAAGAGAAAAGGAGAAAGAGAAAACGGAAAAGAGACAGGGCCAATACTAAACTAGGCTTTATAGGAATAAAATGGGCTCTCATTCGAAAATGTACAATTTTGGTGAAAACCCGACGAACCTCTTTCAGTTTGTTGAGCCAATGATAAAGATTGCAAGAAAATTTTTCGTGCAAAAAAAAAAAAACCAATGGATGTTGCTCAAATGCACCCAATGATATTGCACCTGTTCTTAAATGGGGAGAAAGGAAAAGATATTTATTTCATATTTGATCGTGTAAAGAGAGACTGTGCAAATTTAGGAGAAAGCACACCAGGGAAAAAAGGTTCAAAGTTTTCGGAAAGAAGGAATGACTGCCAAATGTTCTTTATAAGGCATCAGACTGTTGTTGAATCTGGTTTTGCTGTTGTTGCTGGAAGCCTCTCCTGTTATTGTTGTAACCGTAGCTATTGTTATTATTACGGTTGTTATATTGACGGTTGTATCCACCACGGTTGTTATTAGGGCGATATCCACCGCGGTTGTTAGTTCTATTATAATTATTATGACGATATCTTGAATTGTCCACTGTAGCTTGACCAAATGTTTCCATGTTCAATTTGCGTTCTTCGTGATAACGGCTGCGACGTTGAGGTATGGCTCCTTCTTGTTCCTGCTGTTGTTGCTGTTGTTGCTCACTACGCTCCTTGGATTCACAAGAAATATTATCAAAGAAGCTGGAAGATTTATCGTAAAAATCATCAGGCTTGGGAATCTCAATGTCGCCCTCTTTGTCGTCGTGTTCCGGTTGATCCTCGGAAGTAGCTGCCTGAGCCTCATTCGTTTCACCCACGTCACCAAGGATATCCTTTTTGATCACTTCATTTTTATCAAACTTAGCATTAGCAGCTTCAAAATCAAATTCTGAGTTAGGGATGACCAATTCGGTCTTCTTCATTTGATTATTGTTATTGTTGTAACGTCTATGGTAATTGTTATTACGTTGATTCTGTTGGTTACTGTTATTGTTGTAATATTGGTTAAATTGTTGGCGTCGGTTTTGATGCTGTCTGTGCTGCTGTTGTTGGTATTGTTGGTCCTCGTCACTAGTTGCCAAAGATGTCTTTTCACCCTTAGAAACCACATTGTTGGCATTGTCATTCGACAAAGCGTTGTTATTCAACAATTCATTTGACACAACAAAGTCGTCGTTGGAACCCATTTCGCTCACTTTCTTTGCCAACCGCTCAATTGCTGCTTCATTAATACTGTTCGGTTGTAAAGCATCAGAAGCTTCCAATTCAGCCTTCAACTCATCCAAAGGATCCTTTTCCGCTACTGCAGCATTATCTTTATCACCACCAGCAGAAATCTTTGCTTCCGGCATCTTGTTGTTGTCATTGCTGCCCAAGTTATCAAAAGAGGATTGTTGCTGTTCCATACCAAAACCTGTTGTGGGGGGTTGCCAGTAATTTTGGTTGTTCAAACCTGCATTACCCACTGGTGTCGTAGTAGCTGCTGCTGCTGGTTGAGAACCAGGCAGGCCGGTGGCTGAGGGAGGTTGTTGTTGCGATGGAGGTTGGGGTGGTTGCATGTACATAGGAGGGTTGTTCATGTAAGGATTCATAGGTGGATATCCACTCATACTCTACAATGCAATCCATAACGAGACGATGAACAACAATTGTACAACATACAGAATAGGGTTAAGATAGCAGCCAACTTACCATTATCGCAGGATCTTGAGGTAAAGTAGGAGGCTGAGCAGGTGGAGGTGGTGGGGGTTCAAATACTTGAAGATCCTTGATATCCTTTCCACGGAACACAACATAATCGAAAACATTATCAGAAGGAAGAATTTCCTCTTCTGGTTTACCACGACGACCTTCTGTACCATAAGAGCGTACTAGAGGTTATAGAAAAAACGTAAAATACAACTTATGTCAGTCTGCTAATGACCACTAACGCACGCGTTGATATATTCAAATTCATGAATCTCTCGGAAATGGCAATGAATTACCTTGCTTTAAACCAACGGTAGAGTCCTGTGCATTGATACTATGTAGAATACCAACATAACGAATATCACTCAAGCTGATGAGCTGTTTAAAGGCGAAAGTAAATAGAAACGTTAGTAATTGTTTCCTTGAAGTTCCTGGATCAATGTGACGTGCGCAGCCTGTCTGATTCTTTCAACAGCTGTGGTTGTTCGAGGCTTACCGAAATTTTGGAGCCTATATAGTTTTCTCCTGCCATAGTTGTAACTTGTTAAAATGCTGTCTTTTCAACAAAAAACGATTGACGATGGCTGATTCCAAACGAGAAAAGAAGGGAGGGAAAAAATTAAAAAACTTATTTTCCGAGTTTGCTTTTGCTGTGTGCGTGCGCCTATTTTTCTGCCTCCTTCCACGTCACCCAGAGAAAAAAAACCCTCGCTTACATAAGCAATAGAAATGCATGATACTCGATTTATGCGCACTCACGTCCTATGTTCCTCTATCAATGCAGTCTTTTGCATGCTTCGCATTCTTTAAAGACGTTTGAATCTCGCACAGATATTTTCTGATAAATTTGGTTGTTTTATTAGAAATATTACAATTTTGAGTAAGTACGTATATGCTAAACGAGTGTTTCCTTTTGAAGAATAGAGCGTGCCAGAATGATAACCTTTTTACTGCAGCAACATTATGATATAATTATTACACTGATTTGAAAAAAGGGCCAAATAATATATAATGCAAGCTCTATGGTAGTATGACAATTTTCTTTTTTTTTTTTTTTTTTACTTGCGATTCTATATTGGATTTTTAAAAATATGTCACCTCTTCAAGTTATAAGTGCTTCATTTTTGTCCCCAGAGTCCAAAAATCTCCAAAAGGCGCTCGACATTTTAGGGTAAGCAAATAATATCGTCGCTAACGATGAATTATGGAATACTTACTGACAAGAATTTCTTTCTATTCAGCTATAACTGCCACGACATTAATCATCTGCATCAACATCCAGAAAATTGTGAAGCTTTCTATAAAGTTCATACGAATAGAGAGGAAGCTGACTGGGACAATTTATATGACGGATTCGATGCTGCTGTAGACTGGCCTGCCTCTTACTTTTACAAAGAATTACTTTTTCGTTATCCTACCACAGCCAAAGTCATTATCATTGAGAAAGAGCCAGATGAATGGTATGAATCTGTCAAGGACATTTTACCCAGGATCAAGGAAAAAATTCAACAACATAACAACGCATCTTCCGTGAGCAATGATCATAAAAATACCTTTCATCAATTAATGAAGGCAGTTATTTTGAATGGCTATTTCAATGATCAAAAGGAAGCAGGAGACAATAGAAGTGAAGAAGAAAGGATAAAACAGGTGTATCAAGATCACTTAGTCGAACTAAAGAAGGTTATACCTGTTGAACATTTACATATCATGAGAACAGATGACGGCTGGGAGGAGTTATGTAAATTTCTAGGCAAAGAAATTCCTGATATACCTTATCCAAATACTTTCACCAAAACAGATGATTTTTTAGCTAAACTTGATTTATTGACAAAGTAGTTATTATGTCATGTCTTGACTAAAATAAACGCATTTTAAATCTGTCATACATGAATGTGGATTACCTTAAGGTTTACAGCAATATTTCAGCCTTCCCCCGAGAGAGAGAAATATGACAGAAGTGATAACAACTTTGATTTTATTATATATTTACAATTTTTTAGCATTGATAGTGATAATTACGAATTAATCTCCATGTTCCACTAAAATCTCTTGAAGTCCATTTTTAACGGTTTCGTAAATCATATATGCTTTTTGTTCATATGGAAGGTCAAGCTCCTCATCTTGGGACACTACCCATTCTTTGGTCCATTCGGGGCGGTTCTCATCCATATTATAGTTTATTTCCTGTAGAGCCTGTATGAAACGACGGAGATCTACAATAACTTTGTTATAGCATGCGTACATTTCCTCCAAGGAATCTTTAACTTCAATATCTGCACTGAAATCAATTATCCGCTCCTCTTCTGTTACATCAATCGTATCAGATTCTTTAGGCGCAAGGTCAAAAATCCGAATATTGTTCAAAGTACAGAGAAGCCATTCAAATCGCTGGTCAATCATTGAGTATACATAATCTTCATCATCATCCTCAGTGTCAGAGATAATTACATTGTCCATCCTTCGTCGCTGATACTCGGACAATGTTATAGATAACTGTTTTCTGAAGGAACAAAAGTCATCCACCTTTGATTCAAAATCCCTTGCCCATTGCTTGATGTTATCGTAAAACTCATCTTTTACTTTTTGATTGCTTTGTCTATCCAACGATAGGAGCGAGATAGCTGTGTCTTGTGCGCTGCATATGAATTTATCTGCGAGTTCTTCTGCTTCGGAGAATATTTTATCAGAGGTAAGGAACTCCATCTTTGGTTTTCTAATGCCACTCTACAATCAAGAAAGGAGAAATGTTTGAAAGCGAGAAAACCAAAGAAGGGCTCAAGTAGACTAAAAGATAATCTATAATATATCAACGATATTACGAAAAGCGATTAATATCTGTTTTGGTGGAATATTTCAAACTTGTTTGCCGCGCGAGATGTTGGTAACATTATTTGAAACTTAGATAGATCAAGAAAGATTGTCTTTACATGATGAATGGTATATCTTAATTTAGATTGTAGGGAGAACAGATATTTCACATAGTTGAAACTGGGGTATGCTTTATTAATAGTTACAAAAAATTCAATGAAATACGAAAAGAGATATGAGCTTATAAATTAATCAACGATAAAGCTTCGAATTTTGCCTTGTCGCATTTTGGAATGATCGCTGTTAGTTATTGATTTTGTTACTTTAGAGGAATATAGATCATATACACTTAAAAGAGCAATCTTTGCGCGGTCCATTTTTTTGATATGAGCACGAGTAGGATAACGAGACTTTTGTTCTTTGAGAGCAGTTCCAATAGCAGCATACACATTACAGGCAGCACGAACCCCCCCTTTACAATTATTTGGTAATTTGACAATACCTCTGCTGGCCTGTACTTTCAATTTGCTTGCTTTGTCTACTAAATTATGACATAGCTCCAATAAACGTTTCTCACTCAACTTACGAGCCTTCCCGACTTGAATGAGGTTCAATTCATCCTTGCTTAGCCAGTCAGTTGGCAGGTAACAGCGGCCTAATTCTTGACTATCTGTCACTATATCACGCGCAATATTTGTGTATTGAAGCACCAAGCCCATATCACGAGCACGTTCCAAAGTCCACTTGAACTCCTTGTTATCTATTTTTTGATCAGAATGCCAAAGAATAATACGCGTGCACATTTCACCAACAGTGCTCGCTACACAGGCAGAATAACGACGCAAATCTTCTTCAGTTGTCACTGGGCGACGACTCAAATCCCAATCATAACCTTCCAACAGTTCTTCAATAGCATCCGTTTCCAACATATGACGAAGACGCGTAAATGATTTGAAGGCAGAAATGCAACTAGGAGGTAATTGAGCACAATAAGTTTCCCAATCAATAGCGCTTGCATCGTTGGTCTTCTGACTGAAGAGATCTTTGACAAACTGTTTAGTCACTTTCAATTGCTGTTCACGATCTTCGACAGGAACATCTTCGTTATCGCATAGGTCATCCGTAGCGCGACAGAAACCATAAAGGATGCCCAGATCTTGACGGATATGACAAGGGAAAACAGCAGAAGCAGTATAGAAGGATTTAGAGGCATCACGAAGAATATTCCAACTGACGGCTAAGTCTTGAGTAGCACCACTGTTGAGCATTTGGTCCAGAAGGCAGAACGCTTTTGTCATTTCTGATATTTGTTGGAAAAAGGCTTTGGAAGTTCTTTTTTCTGATACTTGATCCCGATGCTGATGTTGATAACGATCCACTTTGTAAAGGTGGATGATGGCTTGAGTACGATCAATAGCACAAGTAGCAAAAACAAGAACAGTATTGATGAGAAGGAAGAACATGAATTCTTCAACTGGCAAGTGGGGAAGAACCATCTTTCCAGTACTTGTACGCAATGAAATGTCCCAAGTTCCAGCCCCAATAGCAACAGTATCGACCCAACATAAAAAGACAGTAGGAACAATGATGGAAGTAAGTACAGCTATAGGTCTTCTTAACATGTATTCACCAGCACCAAACCAAAGTAAAGCAAGGACAGGGCAAGCATACCATAAGATGCATGAACCATAGAAGAGCGATTTACCAGGTACAGCCGTAATCTAATGGATGGGGGTAATAAAAACTCTACTAGTTACTATCACTGCTCTCAATGGCACGATATAAAAATGCGCTAACTATCTTACCCAAGCTTTATAGGAAATAGCCAACAGACCAGCAATTGGAATTAAACGAATCATTAAACTTTGAATAAGAGGTGTATCTGGCTTGATGAAAAAGCTGTGCAAATGCCATCGCATAACGAGATTGGTGAAAGCTACTGTCATTAAGGTCATGATGATAAAAAACATGTACTCCTCTAGAGGTACATATCCTATAACAGCTGTGACGCATGATGGGCAATACGACCACGCACGATGATAGACAATGTAGTTGTCCCAAAGAGAAGCAGTAGAGAAAGCCACTAACGTCAGGAACTTATATTTGAGATTGTCTTCGGTTGAATGGAACGGCTTCAGTAGCCATAGTAATAACCCCAGAACTGGTAGGGTATAGTAAAGGTGTACTTCCATGTATGTAAGCATCTTTTAATCTAAGATATCTTTTTGTGTTCTATGCTGTGATTGAAAGTAAGATAGAGATGTATAAGAGATATTAAGAATATGATAGAAAGATGATGATGATAAAACGGAAGATAACTAAAATCGTTGATTTTATTTATATTTTACGAAAACGACCACTTCACTCTTGCAGACTTCCTATGTACAGAAAACTATCCCATAGAAACGCCATTAAAAATGAATAATGAAAGTGAGCTTTCTTCTACCTTTCCTTTCACGACTGAGCAAAAGGTTTAGATTCATTTTAGAGTTTCCAAAAAAGCCTAATTTTCTAACAAGACCTATTTTAATTTCTTTGTTCTTCTTATACCGCTAGGAGCAAAAAATTAGCAAGGAAACCTTTTTAAGTTGATCTGTGCCTTTTCTATGTTACACCTTGATGGCCAGATCAGATAGAACAAAGAAATTTGCATAAAACCTGTAACAACAAAGAAATGAAAATAAGTCCGGAAGCTAGTGGAGCTAACTATCTCCTTAGAGCTTGCTCCTTCTTCATTTTTCCCTTCAAAATCGTGATGGGCGCTTTAGATTTTCTCGGTGTTTCGATTTGCTGGAAAATCGACCTTTACACTATTCTTTGCAACACCTCCTGAAAACACATTATGATGCTGCTTTTTTCGAACGTTTTGACAGTAACACATAGTATGTGTCCGACTTTTTTTGACAATTCAATTATAAGCTTTATTTCAGTAATTAGGAGTATATAAATCCATTAAGCAATGCGTATTCTGCTATTCTTCCATTTCTTATATCTCTCTATCATCTCTTTTTCACATTCCCAACTTGCTCAATAACTCTCATAAAAACAATGCCTAACAGCGATCGTCAACAAAAGCATATTATCGTTATTGGCGCTGGAGCCGGCGGAACAGCTACTGCTGCTCGTCTTGCGCGAGAAGGTTTTAAAGTCACTGTGGTAGAAAAAAACGATTTTGGTGGTGGACGATGTTCTCTCATTCATCATAATGGGCACCGTTTTGATCAAGGTCCTTCTCTTTACTTAATGCCTAAACTATTTGAAGACACATTTGCCGATTTAGACGAACGTGTTGAAGATCATATTGAACTACTGAGATGTGAAAACAACTATAAGGTGCATTTTGATGATGGCGACTCTATCCACCTCTCGTCTGATTTAACTCGTATGAAAGATGAATTGGATCGTGTAGAAGGCCCTCTAGGGTTTGGCCGGTTTTTAGATTTCTTAAAAGAAACGCATATACACTATGAAAACGGTACTATGATTGCTATTAAACGCAACTTTGAATCAATTTGGGATATGATTCGTATCAAATATGCTCCAGAAATCTTCAAACTGCACTTATTCAACAAAATTTATGACCGCGCTTCTCAATACTTCCAAACAAAGAAAATGCGTATGGCATTTACTTTCCAAACAATGTATATGGGGTAGGTTCGATTCAAAGAAGGGGACAAAAGTGCAATAGGTGTTAATCTGTTTCCATGTATATTTATTCCAATATTTACAACTTTAATATTTAACACTTAATCAACCTTTTTTGTTTCAAATTACAGTATGTCTCCTTATGATGCACCTGCTGTTTATAGTCTACTACAGTATACAGAATTTGCCGAAGGCATTTGGTATCCTCGTGGTGGCTTTAATATGGTAGTTCAGAAATTAGAAGCTATTGCCACGAAGAAATATGGGGCTAAATTTATCTACAACGCACCTGTCGCTAAAATAAACACTGACGATTCAAGTAAAAAAGTAACTGGTATTACATTAGAAAATGGTGACGTGATCCATGCCGATGCTGTTGTCTGTAATGCTGATCTCGTGTATGCTTATCACAAACTGCTTCCACCTTGCTCTTGGACAAAGAATACTTTAGCTGCCAAGAAGTTGACTTCTTCATCGATCTCTTTCTACTGGTCCCTTTCCGAAAAAGTCGACAAGTTAGATGTCCATAATATTTTTCTTGCCGAAGCTTACAAAGAGAGTTTCGATGAAATCTTCAAAGATTACAGCCTTCCTTCTGAACCTTCTTTCTATGTCAATGTACCTTCGCGTATTGATCCTTCTGCCGCTCCACCAAATAAGGACTCTGTTATTGTTTTGGTTCCTATTGGCCACATGAGGAATAAGACTGGTGATGTACATGATGAAAATTATCCGGAGCTTGTGAAACGCGCTCGTCAAATGGTTTTGGAAGTCATTCAACGTCGACTTGGTATGAGCAACTTTGCTGATTTAATCGAAAATGAAATTGTTAACGATCCCAGTATATGGCAAAAGAAGTTCAATTTATGGAGAGGCTCTATTCTTGGTTTATCTCATGATGTTATGCAAGTTCTTTGGTTCCGCCCCAGCACAAAGGATTCCACCGGTAGATATGATAACCTGTACTTTGTTGGAGCTAGTACCCATCCAGGAACTGGTGTACCTATTGTCCTCGCTGGCAGTAAGCTTACGAATGATCAAGTATGTAAGGGTTTTGGCAAGAAACCTTTACCTCGAAAGATCGAAGATGATCGTAAAGTTTACGCACCCGAATTTGCTAAGACAACTGATCAAATCGAATGGGCTCAATACTGTGTTGGTATATTTATTGTTATGTTTTTGTTCTTTTTCCTATTTCCTCAGAATGAAGCAACCGGATTGACACCTGCATCTTTCATAAACAACCTACTTCCTCGCGTTTTCCAAGTACAAAAGGAAGAGGCCTAAGCAAGCGCAATATTTAAACATATTCTTTTTTATATCTCTAACAGCTCCATTATAGTCATATAATATCGTCATCACTGCACATATACAGTTCACCGTAATTTTAGCAATAAAAAATTAAATTTCATGAGCAATGTATATCTTATTTTTGCTTAGTTTACTGATACAGCTAAGCTTACCTTCCTATAAATTTATGTAATCCTATCGCTCTGGTAGATGCTAGATTAAAAAGTCAGTTGCTGATCAATAAATATGTGACATCTACCGCCTTAAAAGTGCAGCAAGTCAATACTTGGACAATGGATCACATGCCTTTAATCTAACTTTTAAAATACGATATATTCCTGCGTAACAAAATGATTTTGGCGGGCTTTCTTCCCTTTGGAATTTTTGAATTTAGACTTCAAGCATCAGGAAACTCTTCACTTCGCCTAGAATCACTTACACTAATTAAAGGAGATGAGCAGCTGCGAAGATGATAGTAAAATTAGCAGACCCAGAAGCATACTAAAATATAAGCCAGAAGTAAATAGCATATACTATACCTCAACAGGGGTAACAGCGACGTTGCCAGATTCTTCAAGACCACAGACACATTCGTGGTTAACCCGATTACAGAAAAAGATAAACCCCAATTCTTTTGGACGTAACGATGACAATGAAAGAGACAGCAATAGCAGTAGCCCATCATTAATACCGAAGCAAAAACTGAAAAGAGTATCATTTTCAGTCAGTCAGCTTGTGACCGAACATACCTTTTCTTCAACTGATTATAATGATATACCAGCAACAATAGATACAGATATTGAAGAAGATAAAGATAACGTCGAAAAAGATGATACTAATAGAAATACCATCATTGCCCCTGGTAACAAGAAGAAGAAACATATGCCAGTATCCAGCAAAACAAAAGCGAAAGGCACCCAAGTGTTAAAAGCAACTGAATTAGCAACCTACTACGAACAAGCTTGCATACAGCAAGAGGAAAGTTGCATTGATCGGTTTCGCAACATTTTGAAAGCAAGCCGGTGAGTAATTAGCATTTTGTTTGATTTAAGTTCTTTCGTTTGATAGTCGATAAACCTTACAATCTCTGAAGAACAGAAGAGTTACCCATAATAGATTTGTCTAGACAACTAATTACACGAGGACAAACTGGACCAATATCTGATGTCTTATTATTGAACTTTGGATTGACATGTTTAAATCTATCCAGCTGTGGACTGAGTGCCGAGGTAATGAAGCTGAAAATTTTGAGAGTCATTAGTTATTCTTTGACTGATCCGGCAATTTAAAAGTCTTTACATAGTATATTATGTAGCTTATTAGTTAGTAATACTATTAAGAAATTGAACCTTTCGAAGAATAATTTCAAATCAAAAGGCTTGAAGTTTATTGCAATATTCATCAAGGAGGTATGATTTATTGTATGAATAATCAATCGAAAAGCTTTCGACTTAACTATGATAATAATTCAGTCAAAAACGATAGAAGATTTAGATCTTTCACAGTGTCCAATTGACAAGAGAGGGATGGAATATCTTGGACAGGGATTGAAACACGCCACTTCATTGTCAGTATTAGCTTTAAACATGTGCATTTTGAAATTACCGCAAGAAACGTATGCAGTCCTCTCAGAAGCAGTTTATAATGCCAAATCATTGCAATATCTTTCAGTACAGGATCATCATTTTGTATTTGTCCAATATAGCTGGATAGCCAATCTCATTGCCAATAAGGATAATTTCAAGGGTCTTAAAGAGTTGGATCTTTCAGGCAGTGTAATTGAAGCTATGATGGCTCCGTTTGCTTCAAAGTTACGGCATAATAAGGAATTACGAAGCTTAAAGTTGTCTCGCTGTAAAATCACATTCAAGGGTCTATCCGTCCTCTCTGAAGCAATAGCAGATAATGCTTGTTTAGAAGAACTTGACTTATCAAAGAATCCACTAGGTGAAGGAACAGATGAAGGTGTAAAGTCACTCATACGAGAAATCGCGACGGTTAAAATAGATTGATTGATGAAATTGATGTTGTTCTCCTTTTATCCTTAGTTATTGGCTTTAAAGACGGCCTTAGCGCAAAACAGATCTCTACAGGATTTAAACTTATCAGAAACTAATTTGGATTCTACTTCGGCCATTGCACTTGCTGAAGCATTGCCCGAAAACACAACGCTGTCTAGACTCGATTTATCAAAAAATCCCATTGAGATGGCGGGTATTTTAGCTTTGTCCATATCAATCAAATTGAATCATAGTTTGACCTTTCTTGATATCAATATTCCGGTAAGACTCGATCGGTATCCTTTTTTTCGGTTTTTAGCATCTCACACTTTCGATTATTGTAGCCTTTAGATGAGGATCTGGCAAATTTGCAGAACGATATAGTGGCAGTCTGCACCACAAACATACTTAAGAAAGTAGAAGCACAAAATCGGCTTGAAAAGCAGGCATATGCAGACGTTGAAGCGTCGACAGCAGGACGTGAACCCATACGAAGGGTAGATGGATTTGCAGAATCGAATACTACAATTTCAACTTCTTCATCATTGTCATCGTCATCTACATCGACAACAGCTTCTGCTTTGAATAATACACCTGTAAACCATGTACTACAAAAATTGCATACCTCCTCCTCATTAACGAAAGCGCCGCATACAAACAAAATCGTCACTGCACCAGCAGCAGTAGCAGCAGCAGCAGCACCTACATCACAACATGAACGGCAACCCGATGCCATCGATACCGATGACTCTTCTATCACTGTTAATACAATCACAATTACAAATGTCGCATCAGCCAGTTCGTCTAATAATAATAATAAATCTTCTACTTTTATCGTTTCTGCATAATTATTATTTGTATTCATTAATTCTGCTCATTATAATAAATAATACCTTTTGATACGGCAAACCGTCTCTGGTAGCACTTGCAGATAATTGATCTCTGCTTTTCCCAAGTTGGCCTTGAACGGAAATAATAGAGATTGGTGACCACTCTACCATCATCTGTTTATGTATGCCTGTTGATGAGCTGTATATAAAAATACATTACAATTGCATACCAACATACAATAATTGACATCAACAACCGGAAGGAGACTGAAAGTTAGTGAACAAAGGATACAGATATTTTATAAAGAACTCTTTATCATAATAGTTTCCCTGTTAAGCTTAAAAACAGTGATCTGGATGAGGCAATTACGACGCATCACTTATACTTATTGCTATGTAAATAGCTCGATGAATCTGAGATTATTGAAATTACGAATATTTTTTTTCTTTCAATTCAGATGCTCAGATTGATCTTTGTATAATAAATGTATGTAATATGAATGGGTTGTATTAGACTTAAATAGAATTTAAAAATACAAAGTATAATTAGACATGAAGGCAATATACAGTACTAACGCTTTTTTCTTTGCAAATTTATTTTGTATGGAGGCGCCTTCAGCGTATCAATCAATCTAGATATTGAACTCAAAAGTGATGATAGACGACAGAATATATAAGGGGGAGGGGGGTTTGTTCAAAATTCAAGTGCTTTATTGTGATTCCTGGATTGATAAGGGGAGGGTTTTTTTTTTTTTTTTTTTTTTTTTTTTTTGTTTAAATTCAGGTACGATTTATTCAACAATAAAAATTAAAGATATAGAAATATTAAAAAGTGAGGAAAAGAGCATCTATGATTTACAACAGAACGAATGTGGGAGGGGGAGTTTGTGTTCAAACTCTTTGAGTTAGAGATACGACTACACGCACTATATAAATATAAAATAAAAAAGAGAAGAATCCGTGGATTGAACACGGGACCTAAAGATTTGCAATCTTTCGCTCTACCACTGAGCTAATCCTTCTCTGTTAGCTTCGAGAAGTGAAATTTCTATGAGATCGGCTCGACGAAGCGGAGTTCAACTATTTCCATTTTTAGTATATGAGAGATTTGGTCGCTCTCACTTTACGTAAGCAAGTAGCTCTCTTTCCTCGTCGGAGATTACACCTCTTAGAAATTCCATTCCTTTTTATTTTCTCCAAATTTACAAATTTTATACGCGATCAAATTTTAAACAACGTATTTGATCTATCTATGTTTCTATGTCACACCCCATTATGTTAGTACCCCCATATACACTATAACCTATATTTAATTTAAAGATCAGTACTTATAGATGAGTTAACAAAAAGTATGTTGTATCCAACAGCATATTACTCTTGGATTATTACATAATACCGAAATAAGAGATTGCGGATCCTTATGAAGGTTAGAATTGTCGTATTTGAGGGTAGATGATATACAAATATTAAAGATATAATTCACTTTATGAAGGATAAAGATGAATTATACAATATTGCAAACCAGAAATAATTAGAAACTACATAAACTCTAATATATGAGTACCGTGAATTAAGTGTTGTGTTTAGTTGACAGCATCATATGAGATGTGGAGACCTCGTATACAAATTATACAAGATCCTCACACCTCATTACTGCTGAAATAATATAAAGTAGAGTAGGAAACAAATATAGAATAAGTGATGATTCTTATACGAGATTAGCTACCTCGTATAAGGCTGAACAGGTTGTCATTTAGGATATATAGTTTACTTATTTTGCTATAATACGTTACTATATGACATGGGATAGATAGTAGAATTAATATATGGACATGCAGGATATATTGATTCAACACCAAGGCATAATAGGTTATAAGTACTATTCTCTGCCTTCGGCATAAAGAATGATTACAAGATAATAGTTTGTGATCATCCTTTACAGTAACTGTTCACTCAACTCAAACACCACGCACGAATACTATTTTCCTAATTAATTCTAATTTCCTGCAAGCAGTGCTACATAATGGTTAGCACGGGAAAATAGGTTAGTTGCATGATCATTAGACCAAGCCATGGATACGTTTACAAGTCCACCCGCTCCGGGTAGATGCGTAATCTCCTCAAGGGAGAATTCTATTCTTTTACGGTTCAGAAGACGTACGTCTTCTTTGAGTAGAATAACTCAGCTGCCAGTTTCTAGGTTCCGCAATATGAAGAAGATATTTAAATTTTTGCAGCAGATATTTTTCTTCTCTTGGAACTTAACTTGATTCAAAATAAAGACCTACTAGTTTGATCTCGTTAACTTTTTATTGTTTTAACTAAGTGATATTTAACTCTACAAGTCGTCAAATACCACACCATTATCGAACAAATGGTGAACAACCTATGTCTTTGGTCCGAGAAACGTGATGAAAGTGAAGCAACATTCTACCGGCGGTTCGCTTCAATTCTAGATACTTTGCTGGCGGATACTGGAGTGATCCTTGCTGACGGTGAAACAAGTTTGCAGTCATCGAAGGTGGCTATCGCAATGAATAAGGCAATATTCCACACCAGTGATATGTCCCAAGCTTATGGCCGAAAGATTGATATGATCTTGAAATGCTCATCTAATGTCAAGGTGGATATTTCTAGCAATGAATGGAAAAGAGCCATGATCAGCAAATCGATCAAACTTCACCAGCAATCGAAAAATCTACGCTTGAACACTTCTAACCTATTCAGCCTCAACACCAAGTTTGGAATTAAAATCACCGATGCCATGGATTTTGTGGGAAATTCTGGATACCTGTACGTTCTGCGACTCGTTGAACATGGTCTTGGTCCTGATGATTATATCACTGTCGCTCATTTGGTCACTGATTTAGTCATCCCTACAACCATTGAATCGTTAGGCACAGTGAAAGATACTCTGTGTGGTCTGCTTACTCTCAAGGTAAGATTTTATTTAACAAAAGGAAAAAAAAATGCTAAAGACTGATATGGATTGCGCGAATTTTCCCCCATAGGATCATCTTGTGAGCATTGCTTGGAAAGTCAGATCAGAACTCCATAAAGTTGAACATGCTTCTGTTTTGGAGGACATTTGCCCAACGCCACTGACCGATTTATCCCATCCTAAGTCACCATTTATATTTTTCACACCAAGGAACAACCGTGTACAAAAACGCAAGCTTTTGGAATCAGATGATAATGATGGGAACGACTGTGAACAATTTGTAAAAACTTTTATCTCTTGAATGCAAGGCTAATCGTTTAGTTCTATATTTGACCGTTGCTATTATTCTCTAATTTTTATGAATATCTATCAAGGTTTATCTTATTCGTTGCCTTAAGAAGGATTGTTGTATTTATTAATAGCCATTACCTAAAGCAATAAACCTCGAACTGTTGGATAAACCTATTGTATAATTTATCAATAAGCTCTATCAACAATTAGACAGAATCTCATTGGATGTATGCTTATCCGTTGCGTTACGAAATAAAATGTCATTGTGCGTTGCCTTGAAGCAGGTGTTGTACGCACAGATGTTAAAATGGCCTTGGATCATCAGAACTTTCAGGTTCTATTTCAAAGTCAATTTCATCTGAGTCCTCTTCGAAAGCAATAGGTGAATTATCATTCTGAAGATAATCAAAATACGAGTTGGAAGGAGATATTGGCTGAGGGGAGCTCAAATCATCCTCATATAACGCATTTCTGAATTGCTCTGTTTCTTCTGTTTCTGATTCTTCTCTTGTTAAACCAAGTGATGCATGAAGGTCATTGTCCATAAAATCGTCCATATCAATGTCTTCTGCAGCTGCAACATCGTCACCATTGCTCTGCTGTTGTTCGAAACCTTCATCGTTAGTCACATGCATTGAATCTGATCCTTTTTCTAAAACAACAGACTCAGGTTCTATAGCAATGCCTCTGACGGTAATGTGCTTTCCTATTTGTACTCCATCAATTTGTTTTGCCTGGTAATGTTCCTCCCAAGCTTTTAGATAAGCTGCTATGTCTTTCTGCGAACCTTTCTTGTATTGGGACTTTCTTACAGGACGTAGTAATGGAAGCATAATCCCAAGAGTTGAGGAAGAGGCTAAGAGAGAGCCAAAAGATAGAAAATAATTATAAAAGTCCTCAAAGCAACAAAGAAGTGCTCATCTACACTAGAATGAGTAGAAAGTCATACATATAATTTATACAATGAATTCTTACAAAGAAGGAACTGTGACAGTCTATAAGAGGGGATTTATTTGTCTACATTTTAAACTACAGCAGCTTTTTACATTCGAGAGCGATGAAGTTTACAAGGCTTCACAAACAATCTATTTCAGAAAGTCAGTGACCAACCTCAAAACTACTTCGGGCTTTTCAGCATGCACTATAAGTTGAAAAAAATCATATGTTGCTCTATCAACGCTTTGCCACTGTATACATTTAGGCTCTATACCACTTACCCCAATGGCCTGCACCTTCCACTATTTCTATACTTGAACAAGGAAAGATTGATTCGATTTTTTCTCTACTTTCTAAGAATGGTATACGGTACGGGCTCTTACCACCCGCAATAAATAGTGTTGGCTTGTCATATTTTACTCCATCAGGCACGTCGAAACCTCCAACATCTTTCAGGGATTTACGAAGAGTCTCATAAGGTACACGGAACCTGTATTTGTGGCCGCCGTTTTCTTCAATTCTTTTCAAGTTCGTCAGTAAGAACATGCGCACACCTACATCTGCTTCATATTTGGACAGGATCTTATCTGCTTCACTCTGCTTACTGGGGTTGCTTTCTTCAATCTCCCTCATAGCATCACAATAGGAAGCAAAATTATTGGCCAAATTCATGGACACGGGGGGCATATCTACTACAACTAATTTAGAGATTATATCAGGGTATTTTAATGCAGTTGCCATAACTGCTTTGCCGCCCATTGAATGACCGAGTAGAACAGGCTTCTTCAACTCATGTTCGTTGATGAATTGGTAGAGATCTTCTGACATGAGCTCGTAATTGTGCTCATCGGTGTGTAAGCTGTCACCGTGATTTCGAAGGTCCTATGATTATCTTACTTACGGTTACTATGGATGGTGTAGTGTGTATAAGTCCTGATGCTATGCGTAATTTTTTTTTATTCTACTAACAATAGTGTATATATCTCGAGAAAGTCTTCCGTTTAAAGCTTTTCCCAAGGAAGACCAGTTTTGTTTTGATCCAAACAATCCGTGGCATATAAGTAAAGGGGACGCTGTGCTAGTGCCTTTCGAGAATTTATCGTAAGCTAAGCTTATTGCAGAACTCTTCGCTGTGAATAGTCTTGACTGTAGTAGAACGGGTCCACAAGTCGTTCCCTTCCTAACTGAAGCTTTTAAATGATTCAAAAACATCCTTTTGCTTTTTAGAAAAAATGATCCTTTTGGCGATATTTTGAATAAAATCCGGGGTTAAAAAGTCTCTGAGCGTTGTTGGGAACTGTTGCACATAATTTCCCAAGTTTTAATGTCAAATCCAATACCTTAACACTTTACTTTAGTATTAAGCTTAGTAGAGAGAGAGAGAGTAGGTAAGATATACAGTAGCAAACCCCCACCACCATATACCAAATGTTGATCAGGATCTGAATCTACCTTGAGGTCTATAAAACTTTGTGCTAATACTCTTTCTTGGCTCTAATAAATACTCGAAAACAGGAAAATTCATTTTTCCAAGCTAACGTAGTGGGGAAGGCACTTTCTGATTTTCAAAAGGTGAACAAAGTTAGGTACTTAAACCAATAAAGTGAAAGGGATATGGGTGGTTCAAAGAAATAGCTACGCTTTTATCAAGCAATAACTATTTTAAACTTTTATGGTTTCCCATTAACTCTCAAACGTCTCCCAGACACCATCCAAATAAGGCGACAATATCTTTTGATGGAAAAAGCAGCCAAACTGATTCTATTCAGATTTCTTACAGAGCGAAGACGTAAATAAGGAGCAGTCAAATCCTTTGAATTTCCAAAGGAACATGTCTAGATAAATTTATTACAGCAGCAGATTAACAGAAATGTAAACATCAGTAGGAGGCTAATTTGCTCGTTCATCATAGGAACATACACGAAAGAAAGCCGGGTTTCACCTTCTCACTTCATGCAGCCAAACAAGCAATAACGTGAAATCGTACCTGATTGGAAGTTTTTACCATAAAATTCCGTTGATAGTTACCAAATCAGTCAATAATGCAATAAATTTGGTTCGTTCATTCTTATCATCAGCTGGTTTTGTTCAAAAAAGAAGGGAGAACGAATAAAAAAAGAAAGCAGAGGGTTAGGCAAACTTATATAAACAAGGTCAAAATATTGTTTGGATTTCTCAGTATTTCTTTTCCTTCATTCTTTTGTATTCTTACAATTCGATACAAATACAATTCTCAATACAATTCCAATACAATTCTTAAATAGTTCTATCAAGCCGATTTCTTACTTGGTTTTTATGCCCTTCTTCAATTTCGTAGTTAAATCAAATCATTATTTGCATTTTATCGGTTGAACCCGAACTCTTGATTGGTATACAATTTCACGAATGAATTGATCAAGTCGCTCTCGGTATACACTTCACCCGCACAATTACCTTGTTGCTCGGTTTTGTAATAGTTAGACAAGTCTAGGGCGCTATTGCTCGCCGGTATTGCGTGGTTTTATGGTACTTTGTTAACTTTCAACAAAATGTCTGGAATATCATGGACCTTCATCTAAACCAATGAAAATGTAGAAAGATATCATAATCTCAATGAATATCAAATGATTTGGTACTATCAAAACATACATTGCGACTACGTTAACTTTATATACACTACACACCATTTTCGTCATTCAGGCATTTCTATCTAGCAGCTGTTTACAAGCAACTAACAGCTAGCTTCCTGGGATCTTATCCAACATTGGTAGTCGACATTCTATACCTTGAACAACTGTTAAGTCCCAATTTCGAAATCTTTGAAACACATTGACGAGTTTTTGCTTGCGGCTTTGTATGAGCGCAAGATGATTGGTTTACGCATGTTCTCAAGACGTTTAGGTTACTCCCGTATGGAATATTCATCCGCTCGTAGTCCAAGGTTGCTCTGAATTTCAGAATTTCACTTACGGTATGGTTCGTTGGAAGACGAATACGATTGCAACTGCTTGACTAATACAACTTACTCAACGCTCAATCCTATTGAAGATTGCAACCTTCGCTGTATGGAACACTGGTCAACTCATTGGTGCTTGAACGATTCGACTTCAACTCATCGTCGAATATTGTTTGATAGGGGGTTTACATTATTGATGTACCTTTTGCAAGCATCTGACGTTTCCATTTCTTTACATAGGTTCCTTTTGACTCTTTGGCTAAGGAACTATTGTCTTTCCCAACTCGCAGTCTCTCATCGTACATCATTCCCTTCTTTTTCTGTTCAGACACTTTCACTTTTCGACTTCCATTTCCAGTTCCCCATCTTAATCCCTCAGCTTTTTTGTTGGGTTTGGTTATGCTGTCCTAATGATTGGTGTTTGTGTGACTTTGGGGTCCTCTAAGAGGACATGGTGTGTTAATTTCAGTATTTCTTACAGTTATTTCAACTTTTGGAAAATTATTGGATTGTTATTCTTTTTTGGATTGGTTCACCACAGGAAAAATATTCGACTCCTACTATGTTTGAAATTTTGTATGCTTTTTTTTCTAAGTTGGATACAAGAATGGTTCTTGCAGAATCTTAGAATTCTAAGTTTGGAATTTAACTGGGGCTGAGATGATTTGAGATACCTTTTTTAGCAAATCACATCAAGAAGCAAGTCAACGTATCAAGCTCCATCAAAAGACAAATTCAAGGGAACCAAGATCATTTTTAATCATAAACAAGTAGATAGTTGTCTATTTTTATATAGATAGTTGTCTAGTCCAGTAATTGTCTAGTAATTGTTTATTGGTGTTAATTGTAATTCGAATGTTCTAATAAAGTTACATTGTTTGCCGCCTGCCTTAATTACCTTTACTATTCGTTCTTGAAAGGAAAAAACATAATGTTTAGTTTTGAGCTCTAATCAGTTGGCTTTTCTAATGCACGTATACTCGAAAGGAACACGATACTACCATTGTTTGTAAAAAGTAGTATGTTGATGTGTAATATTATGGCACACAGTTACACTTGAATCATGTCAACCTTTCTGTGTATGGTTGTCAACTTGTAGAATATAATGGAGACAAAATACCGCCACTATATGGATGTTCACCATTACTGTCAGTTATAGGCAGTGAATATATAACCGATTTTATTCATTAAACTCATGTTCAAAATATTTGTCTTTGTGCTTTTCTGCATCATCGCAAAATTACATTTGTTGCCATTATCACACAGCCTTTTTATTACCACCCTGTCCATAAGAAAGATTTCTCTGCGTCAGATAGAAAAACATTGCAGCGATATTCCTCTATCTCACGCATTCAATTGCCATATATTGACTACGTATTCTAAGCGGCTTAAGCATTATCGACATCTACTGCAGCAACTGAAAACAATTAACGCAAAAACAATGACAAGCTATGCTGTTATTCAAAATGAAAGCCCTTAACGTGAATAAAGTTCCTTTGATGGTTGCATTTATGAACTTTAGCATAGGTGTGGCATTGCAGATGCCTCAGAAAAAAAATGTAGTTCTTGCTTTTGCATGAATGCAATCCATATCCGCAAGAAATTCAAAAGCCAAGTTAAGTGATAGCGTTTGCCTTGTTTTGGGATATATTGCTTACATAAAGCGATCCCTTCTTTTTTTGGTATGTATCAAACGAACATTACGGAAATCGTATGAAAACTTATTTATTACGATATGGAAGAAAGACAAAAAGGTATTTTAATAGCAAAATGTATATCATCTCCAGAAGAGTAACAGGAAGGGCTACCAGATGGAATACAAAGGTCATCGAAGGGTTTCAATGGATATTCTGACAGCAAATGAAATTACAGCCATTTCTGTAATCAGGACAGCATGTAAACCCTTCCGGGCAACGGCGGACACCAGAACAAGGATCGCGGAAGCATGATACATTCAATAAATTGGGACATTGCTGCCCATGAGAAGTGCCACATAAGCTATTGTTCTCTAAAGTGTTCGCTTTTACAGATAGGCCCATGATATTGAGAACAAGGAGAGCAATATTAAATCTTGATAAAAGCTTCATTTGGTGGTTAAGAAAAGGAAGAGTTTGAAAAAGAATCAAATATCTTCTATTAATTTGAATTTTTTAGTTGATAAATTGAGAGAAACCGATCATTTGCAATTTTGTTCATAATGCAATGCGTGGTTTGTGTGACTATTGATTCAAAAGACGAGACGTGCATGGATTGCACAAATTAAGGGGTTTAATGACATACTATGGATTGACATGGTTAGAAATTGCCTACTGCCAAAGTAACTCCCTGTCCAAATTGTTGCCTTGGCTATTTTATGTGTTCTGCCCCGTTAAGCTGAAACTCATAGCTGGAATCAAATGCTATTTTTTTCTGATCTGTCAATCACTTCAGTAGGTGAGCTTAATTTAGCAATAAAGTGTCGGTAAGTTGTTCCCTATTTCTATAGAAACATACGATGTCTGATACAAGACTTGACATGATTTATTTCCAATGAACTCTAGAGCCAAGCTCATCGTACACATGTTTTTATTGCCGACGGTCTGTCTATAGCTGTCTTCTATCCTATGTAAACTATCAGCATCAGAATGAAGGGCTGCCAACATTTTCAATTATTGATTTGGTTTTTCTTCATTGTTCAATTGAGTCAAGCTATGTGCTTTTGGCCAGTAATTATTGTAGCAGCTAAGCAAATCCAGTAAAACCTTCATCAAAATAGAAAGCATTACAACTCTCGTCTAAAGTTTGAGCAGACGAGGTTTCTGATGTCTTGTATACACATCTACATCTATCATTCGAAAATTGCAGTCCGCTCCTTCTTGAACAAAAACATTGGGGGTTTTGATAGACTACAAAATGGAGCAATTGATAATATATCTTTAGATCTTCGATATACTTTAAAAGTAAATTTTTATTGCTGAAACATCGCGTCATCTGCCCTTCATCTATGATTCTGATTTCACTTGTATGTGATGCTTCCCTATCCAGCTGAAGTGTTATACTCTCCCTTTTAATCACAGGTATCAAAAAAAAGGAAGGAAAAGCGTGCCGGTACCATTGATTTATTAATTTCTTATATTCATGTCGGCTCGTCAGGTAAAAAAAACAACCCAAAAACGTAACAGCAAAAAGCAAAGATAGAATGACTTTTTCCTGAATGAGTCTGAAACAAATACAGGTGTATTTTGGATTTTCATATGATTCTTAACCAAGTACTTGCTACCATTTATGGACGGGAGCGGGGGTCAAAAAATAAATAAATGGTTTATCGTACGGTTTTTTCTTTTCATTTGCCATTTATGCCAATGCACTTCAGGATAACTACATAGGTAAAATAGTAGGATGGCGATACACAGTTTCTTACCATTCTAATAAAACTGAGATTGAACTAATGCATGGTTAGTTCATGGATTTCTTACTCATTTTCAAGCGTCGTAGATCACTTCTCTCCATTGACAAAACGATTAAATAGATGGAATAAGATATTTATTAGGCACTTTTAGGTACATGATATAAAGTAAAAGAGGCAAAACATGGTACAGGAAATTAAATTTTTTTACAGTAGCGCTTGAGTTGTGAGATGTATGTTTTCTTTGAAAGCAAAGAAATGCTATGAAAAAGTTAATGTATATATAACAGTATGTATGTATAAGGTGTGTATAGCTTGATATAAAGGGAAAAAAAGTTCGTCAATTTTCTTCTGTTTAACCCTTGAGTTCACCCCAAAGGAAAGGGAAGATAGTGGAACAGGAGGTAATGAAGACAGTCAAAGCTCTGTATAAGTTAAAAGGAAGACTGATGATTCCTCCTTCAGTTACCATGAGATAGATGGAGTACATTGCAACCATAAAGAAGTGATAAATAAGAACAACAGGGTTTTGAGTCATACCAGCGAGCAGGTTCATGGGTCCTTCCGAGCAATAACCACCCTTCTTGAGATATTCGAAACAGCCTCTTTGCATGACCATCATATCAGAAGATTGAGCAGCAAAAACTGAATAAAGAGACATAGCCAAACAATTGATACAAGCAGAGTAACGCTTACGCTTCCAGTGGAAAGCATCCATGGCTTGGATGATCAATTCACTTTCAGTAAAGGAAGGAATGTTTTCTTTGGAAAGAAGGTCACGAACCGTCAATACATCTTCAAGAGCAACGGTCATACCTCCACCAGTCAAGGGAGAACGGACGTTAAGAGCGTCACCTAAAAGGATAGTACCATCACGCTGATTGATGGAAGGAGGAAGAAAACCGCTGGGCATAGGTCTTAAGCGTTCAGTTTGGAGAGCTTCCATGAATTTAGCTTGCATATTTTGAGGTAATTGAGGACAGACGACATCCTCCATATATTTCTTGAGTTCACCATTAGAGACCTTGGGCAATTCACCAGGAACGTCCACAAGGACACGGACATCATTAGGAGCAATTTGGTACATCAAAATAGGAGAAGGCTTAGCCATAGCAATGAAACCCTTTTGTGGAAAAGGCAGTTCAAAGTCGTGGAGTAAGAAACCGACAAAGTGTGAGATTACGTTGGTTTGACGTGTGGTGAAATCTCGTCTGAATTTGGAAAAAATACCATCGCACACAAGAGTCAAAGGGGCGTAAATCTTTTGTTCAGGTCCCTCCTTTTCAGAAGCAACAACGCCAATAACCTTATCGCCGATGTCTTCTGTCAAAAGACGCAAAACAGTCATTTCTTTTACTGTAACATTTTCGGTATTGGCAGCAGATTTTCTCAAATTTTGAATAAAACGACCGTGATGGAAAGCAATGCCGCGTTGTTGTTTTCCAGTATAAGGGTCTTTGTTGTAAGGAAGTTCGACCAATTGACCTTGACGATATACACTGTAACCAGTACAAGTAATACCATCAATACCTTCAGTGCATTCTAGATGTTGAAATTATAAATGATCAGCTTTTTGACTCTTTATCTGTTTAACAGTCCTCCTTCTTTCAAACCCATTGTCCCAGTATGCTATTTATCTCATTTTTCCTTTTCAAACGACTACACATCCTTGTGTTTCCCAGACTCTCACAAACACTCGCCACAAAATCGGCTTCCCTTTCAGATATTTATCGTGTTACTTACGTTCCATGCCAAGTTTTCTTAAAGCGTGCATACCACCAGGTTGCATCAATTCGCCAACAATTCTATCAGGTTCACTTAAATCACGTTCAAGCAATAAGACCTTACGACCATCTTCACCAAAGGCCTTAGCAGCGGCAGCGCCGACGACACCAGCACCGACAATGATCATGTCGTATTCAGTTGAGGGATTCGTGGTAGGAGTAGGGGTGATAGGAGTAGACATGTTGAAATGAATTTAAAAGTGATAGTTCTGCCCAAAAAACTTTAAGAATATATATGTTGAATATGTTTGTAACGTATATTATCAATATACTCTTTGGTAATTACAATCTATAAAATACTATTGTAAGGGAAAAAAGAAAAATGAACACGAAAAAAAAAAAATAAGATAAAATAAAGCTTTTGGCGGGACTTCGTGGTATTTATATCCAATTTTAGGCTTCACAATTGAAGTGAAACAAAGCGAAACAACATGCGATTTTTGCATCCGCAATAAACGAACAAACAGGTCCAAGCCCGGGTGCACAGACAATCTTGAGAAAAATTTATTCTGCAAGTGATCTACGGATACTGTTACAGCAGGAAGAAGTCGTTAATTCTCGTACCATACTTTGTCCCTTACTTCATATTCATAATTCTCGTATCATAAGTAGCCGCCCAAAAGCATTATGTCAAGTATTTTATACAGCATATCAGTAGCTGATTTATTTCAGTAACTCTTTCGTATACACTAATTCATTTTATAAATATGAAGACGACATGATTTGATGGGGCTATACGAAGGGTTATTCTGCATATATTACCATATATGAGCTAAAAATATTCAGTATGGAACCTTTTTCTTACAATTCTCCCGATTTTGAACTAACGTATGGATTTGCAAAACTAATTGTGCAAATTGCTCAAGAATCCTTTGAACTGCACTGCAACCAAGAATAATGATTTTTTGTTGTTGACGATGCAGATCAAATATTTGAAAATAACGACAAACTGTTCGACAATCTGTATTCAAACAGTCGCTCTAATTTTTACAGATTCGTAAGAGTATAAAAGCAATAAACTGCTCTAATTTGCAGTTACTGGTATTTCAAGTTATTTTATTGCTGTAGCATCTATACTGTAGCTGTCCTCGTGTTATGGCTATTGATGAGCTCCGAGATTAACTCAGTTTGCCAGGCATAAAAAAACCTTATGACTTGCTACTTACCAAAGAAGCATACTGTGCGATATCAATGGCATTTCAGAAGTACGTAAACTAATGAAGATAATAGTACAAAATTCTCTCGACGTTTTGGTTAAGCAAATTATGTTTATGAGTAAAGTATTGACCTTGTTAAGATATATATTTGTTGAACAAAAAAACAAAAAAAAAAAAGACAAAAGAAAAATCCTGGCGTGCTGTCGAAAATATTCCTCGTAAAAATCACGATAGCAATTGGAACTCTTGGGCATTCGCCTTGTTACTCCTTAGTGAACAATGAATGCGACGCTTCAGACACATACGCTCAAATTACCAGAGCAAAACCTTTTCAAAAAGCATCTCCATACAGTATTCGATCTATTCGCTATACATGTCTAAAATTGTACACTTTGAACTATGCCGTCTTTAGTAAAGACACGCTGTTTACAACGATCCATTTTCAAATAATAGTTTAGACAATTGGACTTTCATCGCTGAAGATGGCAATACCAGTTATTTTATAGAATTGTTCTTGAAGCTCTTATTATGCAAAAGTCTTAGAAAAAGCGAAGATCTTTCATTCCAAAGTATTATTGTTCATAATGAACAGTGAAAGAGCGTGTACATGCTCCTTAAAGAGAAAAATTTGCAATAACATGGCTTGTTAGAATTGATCAAATACTATAAAGCCTTATAGCTGTTATTACAGTTTTTTATGGTTTAGTGAGAGTATAACAGTCTACATTAAGCCGTAGTAACCATAATTTCCTACTTATTAATAGTAACTCTGAGATATACCCTAGAGACATAGGGTGCTCGTTGGCTGTTGCTAAATACTTCATTGTTGAAGTGTCCATGTAATGGAAAATCGAACGCTACACAATAAATATCTGCTTTTACTTTTCTTAAAGCTAACTCAACTCAATTAATCGAGTTCGTTAACCTTCATTGCTGAGATAAATTGCTCAATACTCTCATCAAGCCTAAATTTTCAGCAAATCTCTTATGCACATACAAGCAGATATGTGTATAAATATCTAGAGCCAGACATAATGTACGTCTTTAATAGCTATGTTTACTTCATACAGTTTTCTCTTAATTCTCGAAATAGTGGGTGAGACAATTTCCAACTTCCTTTAGAGTAAGACTTAATGCCTCAAGCAAATGCTTGTAAAGGCGCTATATACACAATTTGACCGACTATATATCACAAACCCATCCATATTGATTCACTTTCGTTGCAGCAATTTACTTTGGAATTACGTGGAACAGATGCTAATTTCACTTTATAGTTCCTTCCTCTCTTACCAGACAACTGAAATGGAGGATTTATTTAGGGAGAAATTCCAAAACTCAAGGCTTCAGACTATAGCCAGCATCATTAAAGCTTGATAACTGAAACCATTACGAAACAGAAGACAAGACATGTCATAAACCTCCTGCTATCAAAGAACAAGAATCAGACGAAACCGATAGATGAATGCCTCTTTTCAGAAGGTGAAACCGCGCGGTCGTTTGTCTACGTTAAATATTTCCTTTGATTGCATTACCTAGCTTTCCTTCTTTGCATTTATAATTCGTACAAACTCATAAAAACAACAAGTAATAGTTCTTATTGCATACTTTCATCGTCGAAAGGATATTTATCAAAAAAATGAAGATAGCAATCGGTAATGTCTTTTAAGTGTTTAATATTGAAGTTGATCATTAATTTCCGTTTCTCTATCTCCTGCTGCCAGCGTCAATCCTAAGCCAGCTTGTGCTCTTTGCAGCTGGCCGCATGGACAGCCTTTCTACTCCATTGTCATTACCAGCTATTACCTACAACGTCATCTCTCTCGTACCACAGAATCAAAGTATGGGTGTAATTGTGGATGGTCAGTTTTATCCTTTAGATACGGTTAATGAGGCCTCCTTTTTATTGCATTCCGGTCAAGCACCCAGGGCTGAGAAAGGCTATAGTTATGCCATTGTTGAAAAGGAAAGTCCCAGCAATATTGTCGATCAAGAGTCGTTTTTGCGTGATCCAATGACTATTGGGGATGCAACTTTGAACGAATACTATAATCGATCCTGGAATTCAATGAAACTTGCTCAAATACCTCAGATTATGGAGCCTTTGCCGATAATACACCGACTGAACAACAACTTGCATATTGATGGTGAAATTCCTACTATTCACATTGTTGGTAACCAATCTGCCATTGACTACCTCCATCAAAATTCAGTTGAAGACATCAATATTAATGGCATAAATGTTACATACATCAGGTCAGTACAGCTTGTCTTTTTAATGAACTGCTTTGCTTGCAGTTAGCTAACCTTCTATATTTCTCCATGAAAAAAAAAAATGAAACAAAAACCCCACATCTGATCGCTTAATATTAGTCCAAATGACATAAAGACATTTTATAATGTCTCTTTTGCCATTGCTGGTCATAGTACTCGCAGTAGGCCTAAATTATCTTACAAAATTGAGATCGGTAAAGAGAATACCAATCAAGACAAAGATCTATACGGTCATCGACAGTTCAAACTTAGAGCCATGTATGCAGATGCATCCTACATGCGTGACGAGCTAGCTTATAAAATTACAGAATCAATCGGTCTTCCTTCATCTCAGCACTCTTACGCCCGGGTTTATATCAACGGCCAAGCCGTAGGTTTATTTGGTGTAGCAGAAATATTCAAAACACAATGGATTAAAAATGTGTTCAATAACGGAGAAGAGTTTGAGAATGGCGCACTGTACGAAGCAACTCTAGGCGCCTTTAGGAGAGAACGTCGTCCTGGAGAACCACCTCGTAAGCGTCCTGGAGGCCGTGAACCAAGAGAGGCTCCTTCAGACCTGTCTTACCTGGGTCCTAACTTAACAGTCTACAAGGGCTACTATCCTGATAAAGGCCATGCTTCGAAGGTGGTCGGCGCCAACTATACTAAAATCATGGAATTCACGAAATTTATTTCTGAGCAACCCAACATGACAGCAACTGTCGATGACTCATTTGCTCCTCTTTGGGAAGAAAAAATCGATGTTACGAGTTTCTTACGTGCTCTAGCACTTGAAATTGTTATCTCAAACTGTGATGCTTATTTGACGATGGCGACCAATTATGTCTTATACGACGATAGGACCACCGGACGTTTAGTGATGACGGAACAAGATTTCGATTTAACTATGGGAAATACTTTTTATGAACCTGAACTCATGTACAATGGAAACTACTCTTTGTTTCCTGGAATGGTTCAGCGACCTTTGTCTTCACGGCTATTAAAGGTGCCAAAATTTCGGCAAGAATTCGAAAGACTGATACTGAATATGACGGAATTTTTGGTGAACCCCACCGTTTTGGGGCCACGTATTAATGATCTCTACAATTTTTTGAAAGAGGATGTTGCTTGGGATAAATCTTTACCTCGCTTGGGCCCCAAAAAGCCAAGTAGTGGTCCTAGACTTAGACCTGACATTCCATTTGACACGGCTGTTAATGGAAACACTGGCGACATGAGGCATCTCGCTTTAAAGGAATGGGTCGAACTACGAAGCAAAAATACGTTGGATTTTTTTAAACAATCAGCTACTTGATTTGACTTAACATTCGGTGAATAATTACATATAAAATTTCGCCGCTTTTTATAGTCATGAATTAGTCTTTACTTTTTTATTTTCTTTTCTTATTGTATACTTTCATAAAATAAAGCTTCATTTCGGAAAGGTTGGATGATGGAGCTTCCTCTTCCCGGGTTGGTTTTCTTTTTATTTTAAGGTAGAGCTTCTTTTCGTTCCTGAGATTGAATGCGTTCCTTTTTCACGCGTGCGTGATTGAGAGACTGTATTTAAATACGCGGCATTTGTGGCGACACAAAAGTAGCATTTCTAGATTTTCCTTGTCATTGTTTTCTGCTGTCAACTCTGTTCTGTTACCTTCTCTGTTTGAATAGAAAGCTGGAGACTAAACTAAATGGATCTTGACGACTACTATAATCTCGACTTTATATTAGCAGAACAAACGGTAAAGCAAGATGTCATGAGAAAAACAAATCAAGCAGATCTAATCGATGAAGAAATGGAAACAGCGATCAACTAACTATTCCTGGGCTTATATAACAAAGAGAATACCATGTATAGCGCTTCAGGATTTTGACGAGAGAGCAAACCTCACAGGCGATAAAACAAAAGTAATTAAAGAAACAACCCTTCATGATAATACCTTCACATTTTAGATTGTTCGAGCAATAACTTTTTTATTTTGTAGGTGAAGAAAAACTCAAAGATAGAAATGCCGTTTTGGATGGCCAAGCCGTTAGGCATATTTGTGTAATATTCATATAATGTTTTTTTCTTACCAAAATTTTGAGATCAAGATTTGAGATGATTAATATTCCTATCAATTCTTTTACCACTGCAATTAGAGCTCGAGAGCATGAGTAAGTGCAATGACAAATCTCTTAAAGTAAAAAAAAAAGAGACACCAAGCTGATTTTCTACCTCTATTCCACCCAATTAAAGGACGCTTCTCACTATGTTATTACCACGGATGTACGGCACAAAAATGCGGAATGCGCTAGCAGCGGGTGCTTCAAGTGTAGATCTCAGATCGATCTGTCCTTACTATTATATTTTTGCCTGCCAAGTGTTAGGTGCTCTTGAGGATGAACAATTGCCGGACATTTTAGAAAAGGTACAAACACGTCGACTGTTCATTGAATATCTCCTCTGATTAACTCAAACTGCTAACAATACCAAAATAAGGCTTTTCTAATTAGATTGCGTGATATCATGGATTTTTCAAAAACGGAGGGTTCTACCTTAGGTCATGAGTTTGTACGAAAATTGGATGAAACCGAAATGGGATGTAAGTAGAAACACTGAGGCAACGAAATAGAAATAACAATAGTTACTGGAGTACGCGCTTTTTTGAAGAGTCCCTTATACTTCACTATTTCATTACATAATAGTATTCAGAGTGGGGAAAGCTAGCGCTGCTCAAGCGCGTCGTTGGGAAGAGAGAAATATCAATTCTATCAATGCTTTTGATCTGAAAGCAAGAAGGCAATAATTTTTTTTAGATTAAATTTGACCAAAAGGAATTACTGTTTTACCGTTTTCCTAAAGATACCGGATAATTTATATATCAACACAACCAATAAAAATGTGATGCAGTTACAAATGTGAATACACTTTCTAGAGCTGCGGCCATTTCACTTCCGTCCTTTTTTCCTTTCCCTTTCCTCGTGAAGTTCTCTTTCTTTCACGTTTATCGATTTTCTTTCTATTTCTCTTTCTTTTTCGCTATACAGTATGTCGAACTCTGCTTCAACAGCGGCGTCAAACACACCGTCAGAGAAAGCTAATTTACCACGTCTTACACTCCGTACTTACAAATCCAGCGATCATGACCAAGTAGATCATCTATTCTACAGTACCTATTTTGCTTTAGTGCCAGAAGGTGTCAAAAGCAAAATCAAAAGCTTTACATTTTGGGTGCTGTGGTTCATGTTCTACAGTTATCTATTATCGCTTATTCCAGTGGTTTTAGCTGGCATGAATTGGCCACAGTGGGCTAGCACCGTGTTGAATATATTTATTTCTTTTGCTTGGTTTGTGGTGTCGTTTGCTGGAGTCTTTATTTATACAGACAGATTTGAAGTAGTTGATAAAGTAGAGAAGGCGCGTCAGAATGACCTTAGCGATCCCGAAATTTATTATCTGAACTGGACAAAAGAAGAAGTTGTCTGCCAAGACGATGATGGCGATTATGAAGATAACAAGGATAGCAGCAATAATGATAGGGTCCATTTGGTGGAAACCGATAGCAGCCATAATAAGTCAGCATCCTCCAAAAAGAAGAAACGAGTTACGTTTGATAAAGATGCTAAACCAGCCACGGAAGTTGTTCGTGTACAGAAACCGATTGATCAGCAAGCGCCTTCTCATTTTTGGGTTTTATGTCTGGACAATCGACCTTGCGGTATCGTCGGTTTGGCTCATTATAAGCAACGTGTTTATTCCAACAGTCCAGTACAACCAGCTGCTTGGAAGCTTATGCTCGCAGCTTTTTTTGAACGCTATCACATACCTACACCAGCTTTCTTGTCGAACATTCACAACAGTATGCCCATGCCTATTTTTGCCGAAGCACATGAACCAGGTGTAGCCACACTACAACGATTGGCGGTGAAATCGGACTATCAGAATTGTGGATTGTCTACTATTTTGATCGACCGTGCTATTTCGTATGCGTATGAGAAGGGATTGGAGCGTGTAGAAGCCACGACAAACGAGTTGGAAACTAAAGCAGCGAGCATCCTAGAACAACATCATGGATTCAAACTCGTTAAGAAGGTACAAAAAGGTCGCTTTGGGCAATATGAAAAGCTGTGGTCTTGCGATGTAAAGCAATGGATGGAAACTCACGAGGAAAATGCAAAGACTTATATGAAGAGCAACGCTAAGAATTAGTCTTTCCGGACGAGTATAACAAGATGAACCTCCATAAAAAGTAAAGGCTTTGTATATATGTTTTCTTCTACTCCATTTGTATAAAATATTTGCATCCAATAACAGGGACAATAAAAAAGTACAGCATTGATTTTCATGAGGCGTGCCAAATGCACATATTGTAGCTGGCTTGAAACAGAGAAGGAACTTTGGACCTCACAGCTTTTTTTTCTTCACATTGTTAAAGAGGACATCAAGCTCATCATTAGGCGGAATTATACGTTAGAACGCTTCGAAAAGCAATAAAAGAATGTTTTATAAAGGTGAAAAAAAAAAAGTTATTTAAAAAAAAAACAACGGAAGAACCGTCAAACCACATATAGCCAAGGTATTATGGTTCAATCTGTTTTCTGCTATAAAAATATAATTTTTCGTATATTCGACAAAGTGAAATGTGGGTCTAATGATACAGTAAGAAAAATAACTCCGTAAATGCTTTCTTTTTTTTAATGTGCCACAAAATCAAAAGCCTATGTTAAGATAGCTCTGTTATAAAAAACAGATACTTGGGGCGGCAAAATTATCTAACCGTCTCTAACTGTTTGAATGAGACGTTTCGATGAAAACTTTCTAATATAAACTTTTGAGCTGTCATCTTTATATACAGCAAGTCAAACAAATACACGCTTTTCTGTAGTTTAAGCCTCCAATTCAGACAGACTATATTCATGTGTTTATGTAATCAGTGGCGCTAAAAACCGTCATTTTCAAAATGTATGGAAGGATGGAACCAGCTTTTACTACTCCGCATTTTATTATCGAAAACCAACAGCAGCAGCATCTTTCTGGCTTAGCAAAACTTTGATTGTTGACAGTTTCAATGTATGTGATACAAACGATCTCTTAAGAAACTCGCCATATGCTCCCTTCCACTTTTTCAACGCAATTTTCTGTTGTTATTATAGCAAGGATAAAGAAAAAAGATCCGTTTGCAGCGTTCTTTTCCCTTTTTTTCTCAAATGAAGAGTTTTCCGCGGTTCAAATAAGAGCCAAATGATAAACTGAGCAAAAGATGAAATTTGTTAATACCTTACGCATGCAATGGCTTCTTCTTTTCTCTTTTGTTGTTATCGTCAATATTTACTACAACTAGAGTTTTATTGTCATCTGCTGTAGTCATCTATTAAGTCGAAATTTTAGCGCACATGTTAAGTGAAAGGATCCGCTGAAAAAGAATAAAGGAAGGGACGAACTTATCCATAAACATACGTATCGAATTTATAGACCGAACCAAATTTTATAGATCAGAAAAAAGATACGTAGCGCATTATAAGAATGCACTATAACGCAAGTCAAAAGATTTATATTTGTAAACAGATGAAGTGGTATATTATTACATCAATAAAGTCTAGTGGTTAATATTGACTGTTGAGACATGGATAAGTATAATATGCACGAGTTGCTATTAAATTGAACGGAGCAAATTTTGATATTAAAAACGGAAAGTGATATATGTATTCAAAACATAAAAGGGAAGGCACAGCCTATGTCCATAGTTATATTATTTTTTTTTACACAATAAACGGTATTATATGTTATCGCCTTTTTGAGCCATGCCACTCAGGGCACGCTCTAATGTTCTTCGAGCTTTTTCTTCTACAAGCTCATGTAACATTCGATCACTATCTATGATCTTTACTCCAGGGGTCGTTTTGGTCAGTTCTTCAAGATAAGAATGTCGATCATCTTCGTCCAATTCCTCAGGCTCACCAACAAATGTATCTTCATTGCACATAAAAGCTCCATTAGATCCATTAGTAGTAGCAGCAGTGTAATCGTTATTATTCTCGCCAATGTTACTGTTATATTCTTGAGAAATTGAAGATGGCATGAATGGAGAACTGGGTTCTAGCAAGCTCATGGTGGCAGACGGAAGGTAGTCGAGCTTTTGAGTGGGCGTTGGTGAGTAGTAGTCGATCTCTACAGAAGAAACAGTGTGATGTCTTTTACTGTTTTGCGATGGATGTGGATGGAAATGAAACAAGTTGGAAGAGTCAATAAATTTATTGTTGTTCATCAGCTTCGCTTCTCGTTCTTGGTGGTAGTTTTTGAAGGATACAATTTCGTTGATGATCATGTCTTTGAGCTCATCGTCATCTTGGCAGAGCTCAAAGTCGTAGTGGCTACGAGGGTAACAAGGTGGTATCAGTGATTCTTCAGCAGGATCGGAAAAAGGCTGCACAAATGGATGAGATAACGCTTTTTCCACTGTGAGCCGTTTTGATGGGTCTAATTCTAATAGATGTTTGAGGAGATGACCTGCATCTGAACTGGCGTTAGGAAAAAGGGTATGGAAGTCAATGGTTTCTGTAGGCGGAGGCGAGCCATTGATGGTGCGAAGCTGCTGAATATGGTTCACAATGTATTCTGAAGGATTCCAAAAGGATATATCTGATGGTACACCTAAAACTCCCAAAATCTTATAAAGTTGGTCAACATGATCTTTTCCTTGAAACAATACTTTTCGTCCCAAGATTTCGGCCAATATACAGCCTACCGACCAGATGTCAACTAGGCGAAACGAATGAAACGTTAGCGTGTAACAGCAGTAGGACAAACATATGAAAGGGATACACAAAAAAGACATACTGGCTTTGCTGTAGTTTTTCAGGCTGATCATGACTTCAGGAGCGCGATACCAACGCGTCGTAACATATTGAGTAAGGTAAGACAAATTGTCGGCTTCATCAAAGCACCTTGCCATGCCAAAGTCACATATTCGAATGTCGCAATCTTTATTGACCAAGATATTTGCTAAGAGGAGTACAAGTTATTAGAGACAATCTGTCAAAAGTAGACGTGTGGTACAAATGACGACTACCTGGTTTGAGGTCCCTATGTATTACATTGGCATTATGGATGTACTTTAAACCAGAGAGCATCTGATATAGAAACCATTGAGCATGTATGGCATCCAAAGGCTGTTGGGAGTGAATGACATCATGCAAACTGGCGTCCATACATCCAAATATAAAATATATCTCCTCTGTCCCAGGAACCATATCCAAATCTAGAAGCTCAATGATCCTCCTGTGGTTGTTGAATAGACGGAGAAGTTTTATTTCGCGTAAGGTTCTCTTGGCAAATAGCCTTTTATCAAATACTCCATAGACTTTCTTAATGGCACAAAATCTTTGGTATTGTAGATCCAAGGCGGAACAAACAGTTCCATACGCCCCTGAGCCTACTTTACGAATAATTCTATACTTGGACTTGACTGTAAATGTCTCTTTGATGTTGTCTTTAGATACAGGAAACGTAACATAATTCGTCAGTGTCATATAATGGATCTATGGGAGAAAGGAAGAGAGAGGCTATGATAAAAGTGCCTTAAAAATAGCGTGATTAAAGTAACACTATGAAAATGGAAAAAAACCAGAAGAGCTTATACGGAATAAATTTTTTTACGATCCTTTTTCTTTCCTAAGGAACTCAGTTTTGGGGGTTTTCATTTTTCCCTTTTCTTCTTCTAGCTGCTAAGCCCAAGCCACGGCTAGCGGTTTAAAACCCCGGTTATATAGTGTGCGGCATATGCGCCACTCAAGGGAGAAACTAATTTAGAACCTAAAACAAGAAAAGTGGCGCATGCAAAAGAGAAATAGAATTACATAAGCGTCCATGAAAATGGATACACAGTGTAGTCTAAAAGAGGGAAAATAAACCTCAGAGTAAGCTTATTCTACGTTGTCCAAAAGGGAGGGCTATAAACCTTGAATCTGCATATCATTAAAAAAGGGGTCTTTACTATATATATTGTTGACTTACCGACCATTACAATGTCCGTACGCATACAACCTTGCCATATGAAGACAAGGAAGTTTCTAATCTCATCTAGTGTCTCTTTGCAGCCTTACAGTCATCTTGGGCTTCTAATTACTATTGTTCTCATGCAATGTACAACACTGTTACTTTCTAGTAGAAACTCCTTACTCCATAAAGTGTACTGTTCAATCGATCTTGTACTGGCAGAAGACGCTCATACCCTACATATTAATACTGTTTCGCTGACGCGATTTGAATAACTAGTTGACCGCAAAATGATGCTGGAGACAATCTATAGATCTGTAATATCCTCTAGCCCTTAATACAGCAAAAAATTGCTTAGACAGAAAAAAATTAAAAAAAAACCAGAAGTCGCATGTAAGTACTGTTGAATAATAGTTTATTCACTTAATTTGTTACAAATCCTTTGGATTTATGAAGGGTCTATGTGGGTGTACAATGTGAAAGGAAATTGAAAGGGGTGGGGGGGATGGGGAGCGGGTTTATTTCTTTCTTTCTCTTACAAACAAGGTATTAAGGTAGGATGGTTTCAATACACTATGGCTAGTATTCTTTTGGACACTGTTTGTAAATTGACTTAACTTTTTTGTTTTGTTGGAGTCTTTCGGTTTGCATTGCCCATAATTTCAAGGTTTCCTCTTTTCTTCTGAGCAGCGGCCATAACACCTTTGGCGGCTTTGGGTTCCATTTCTTCAAAAGATTGCCAAAGATAGTTAGGTAGCTTTTTGGCGCCTGGCAAATCCTGAATCATTTTAGCAATGGTAGGATGTTTGAAACCATAGTAATCAGGACCACTCGCCGAGTTAGAATGATCACGCTTCCTTATTTCATTCGCTTTACGGACGACCGCTGTCCATGCACCTGTAGCGGAATTAGCAACGATGGGTTCTTCAGGTTGATCAGCAGCAGAAATGTGAAATAGAGGGCCTTCTCCACCATCCAGAATAGTAGAGGTGACGATGGTATTGGCATCAGGGTGAATCATGCTGGGGTAAGTTCTGAGACATCAAAACAAGAATTCGAAGAGGTTAAGATGGGTTAAGAGAAATCAAATTGGGGTTGAAAGCATTTGGCTTACCTTTGGACTTTATAGCCGACGGGGAAAATATATCTTTCATTATGGAATGTCTTTCTATCAGTGACGATTTCTCCAAGACAAAGAATAGTAGATACGCCAATGTTTTGAGGTAGTTTGGGATTGCCATTTTCATCCTTTTCAATGGGCTGCACACGGCGGGTTTTCAAGTTGACAGGGTTCACTTTGGATCGTTTGGGAGGGGCAGAGGCGACGGTAGTCGTTGCAGCGTCAGCGGCAGTCGCTTTCTGCTGCTTTTCAGTAGACGCTTTACCCTTGGGCTGTTTCTTCGGACGTTTGGGAGCTTTCGGACGTGGTGCTTGTTCTTCTTGGTCCCTTTGCCTTTTTGGTACTCTTGCATGCGGAGGTGACAGTTGCATTTGCTTGTTTCTCTCGTTACGTCGGTGAGCCAACAAAGATGACAGTATTTCCGCTTGGGTTGCAGCAGAAACTATAATTTTTAGACAGAATCAATGGTACAGGGTCAGATCAAAGTTTTCATTGATGCACAGAAAAAGTTTAATTTCTTTATTAAAAGTTATTGCTACCTTCCGTATCAGAGTCAGAATCACTGGATGAAGATAAAAGATCATCTATATCATCCAGTAGACCATTATCACTGTGGACATCACCATGGTTAGACGCTTTGGTTTCGTGTTGACGACACTGAGCGGATTGCGGTCCACGATGGGTCTTCTTGTGGCTGCGTGAAAAAGGTAATTTTTCAGCTTCCTCAGCTAGAATACTGTGGGGGGTAACACAAATATGCATGAGGCAAACAAAAGTGAGAAAATTTTCATCTTTTTAAGCTTTAGCCAAAAATAGTCTTTTATACTTACAACCTTTCGTACTGGAGATAGCGGATTCTCTTGGCTGCACGAGCGTTCTCGCGCAAAAGTTGCTCCTTTCTCTACAGACAAAATGTGCAAATATGAGCAATGTAAAGTGCACACTTTTCTAACTCTACTCACGCTATTTTCTATACGTACGTTTAATGCTTCATCCAGCTTTCTCTTCATATTAGCGATACTGTTCTTCGTGGCAGTGTTTTTGCGTTGGGCTTGTGATTGGGTACTGCTCGTCTTAGTAAGACCGATAGTAGAGCCGGATGCATCGGAACCTGATGCGGAAGACGAAGGGAGAGCGAGCGCGTCAAGAGGTGCAGTCATTTCAAGTGCTTGAAAATAGTCGATTTTTTTGTTTATTTCGTTCTTGAGACAAAGTAGAAAAATATAGTTGCTTATTTACGATTAATTAAATGTGAGTTATACGCGAAAAAAGAAAGAAAAGCAAAAGGCAAAATCCTTTCTTAAATAATCAAAAAGTGGAAGGAAAGGGAGGGAACTTTTCATATGCATGTAGCGGTTCTTCAATTAAACTTGGCTACTGAAATCACAAGTAACAAACATACAACAACAGTTTACAACCCCTTAAGGGCTGCTGTGGTTGGGAAAAAATAGACAGTCTCAAGCACATGAATGCCATTTTGTCAAGGGCAGTGTCTACATGCTATGGGCGAAACAGGTGGGCTCTTTTTCGTTCCGCTCGTAAACGGGGCCGTTAATAGTAGATTATCTTGAGTTATGCAAGAATACTGTTCGTGTTTACTTTCCATAGAGAAGGCGTTGTCAATCGTATTCAACTTGCTGAGAAAGAGATGATAAGGGAAATACTCTACAGGATACTAACAGGATGGTGGGTGCGTGAACCTAGGCAACCGTTTACAAATGATAGACTCATTTACCAGTACCATCAGTATCTTCATAATTGTTTGTTTGTGATCGTAGGACGGCTGTGACTCCAACGTCCTTTATAGTGTACCTAAGCCAACAATCGAACTCACACTGAGCGCAAAGCGAAAGGTTTTGATGGTAGGTTGATCCAGTTAGAATGTCGGGATGGCACAGAGCCATTCGGACCATGCTTCAAAAACGAATCTCTATCCTATCACTTCACTTCGTGAAGGCTTTTCATGGTCTACTACATACGATCGACAAAACGAAAACCCTGTTTGCATGCTTATGTGTTGTTGGAGGAAATTTTCATGGGGACTTATCGTTACAAAGACAGACAGTTGGCTTTTTTGAAGACATACTACAAAATTATGTGTTACCAACACGTACGGACTTGTTTCCGAGCTAAAAATGAGCACAAACGAAATAAGCTTTCGACATGTTATAAAGAGTGCTCCTGGTTTTATTGTTGCTTTTGCTCTGACGAGAAAAAATAAAATAAAAAATCATTTTGTTTTTCTGAGACGTTTCCATATGACACTCTCTGATCGACTTCCTTGGGATAGCGATAAGCCGTTAAGCTTATCTCAGTTACTAAAGCAGGTATAGAAAACATAAACGAAAGGCAATGCCAGAGTGTCTTTCCTTTTTTTATATATACATATATATATATCTCATGTAACTTTTTTTATTATTATTCTGGCCTATTGGTAAATGCTCGTTCTCCAGTCCATGAAGGCTGTAGACACCATTGTTTCCGATCCTTCCGTGCTCGATAAAATGGCTACTCATCTCAATGGTCTTTTACGAGAAACGGAGCAGGAATCGACACGGCAAATCGATCAAGCGTTGGATTTATTTGATAAATTGTTCCTGAATGCAGAAAAAGCCATGTCATCTAACGCAGATAAACATGTGGTGTCCGTATTAAGACAGCAGATGTGTAGCTTTATTGGGATTACGCTTGGTGTAAAAGAATTCTTGGACCATCAACAGGAGCAACAGCAAGCTCCCAATGTAGAAATGAATAGTGACGATGAGGATGAAGGAGTCAAAAAACTTTCTTTGAATGCGGCTTATGAGAGTCATCAGAACAGAGCTTGGGGCGAAAACAAATCTTATTACGAGCAGAATAACGTAGATATCTACGCTGCTGAAAAGGCCGAACATGAAAAATTGAAACAGCAGTTGGAAGAAGATGAGAGATACTACGAACGTAAACTTGCTGCCGAAGAAGAAGAAGAAGAAGAAGAAGAAGAAGAAGATGATGACGATGAAGGCGACAACGACAACGAAGAAGATGAATATGAAGACGAGGAGGTGGTTGTGGATGAAGTTCAAATCAGTTCCCGTGAGATCGGTTCCCGGGAGATAGTTTCGCGCGGCCTCGGTGACGATGATGGCTTCAAAGTTGTTACGCATCGTCAAAAGAAAAAGAAGAAAGGCACAGTCATTAGCACCAACTTTACTTACAGCAACTATAGGAACAGAAATGACAGAGACGACAATAGCAGAAGACCGCCACCTCGTCACCGTATACGCGTTCGAGAATTCTGCCCTGACTATTTGGAGCGCTTGCCAAGCGAAACATTTTGCATCCCTGTCTTTTTCCCTTCTGAAGAAAGTTATGCTGTAAGTAGTCATTTCTGAATTCACTTTTTTCTATGTGTATGTATCGATGGGATAAGGTTAACCAATGACACTTTCTTTCTCTGTTTATAGCTGTTCCAATCTGCTTTGTCAACTGCTAAAGAAACTCTTTATATATGCGTCTATTCAATGACTGACAATGATACCGCTGATATATTGGTAGATGCCAAAAAACGCGGAGTAGACGTCAGAGTGATCACGGACAATGACCAAATGGATGTAGCCAAAGGCTCAGATGTAGTACGACTAAACGAGCAATTCAATATCCCCTTCAAGCACGACAATAGGTATTTCTTTTTTCCAGAATAAATTAGTGGTGGCGCTGAATATAGCCTTCTCAGACTCAACTCTATTGCTTTTACATAGTGAACAATTCATGCACAACAAATTTGCTGTGATAGATAATAAAACGATCATCACAGGCAGTTTCAATTGGTCCATAGGGTAACTGCATTGCAGCTTTTACTATAATACTGTTACACACCTTTCTATTACGAGTACTAACATATTACTGTCTCTATCAGTGCACGTTACAGGAATAGAGAAAACATCGTTGTTACAAACATTCCATCTGTGGTTCGAGCTTTCGCCGACGAATTTCACAGGCTCTGGCAAATCTATTAGAAGTGTAGTCGCTCATGTATTTAACAATTTTTGTTATACCTAAATTTTTAAAATATTTGCGATGTTTCGACATGTATGTATCTACATAGTCATGGATAAAGCTATAACAGAAATGGTGTAGATGAATAAACTTTTTTTTTTTCGAACAAGCACACTTTCTCATCCAATGATGACGAACAGCGAGCAATAATGAAAAAAATCCATAGTCCAAAAAAGTTAAATTATACGCCAATATTAATATAGTAGTGTTTAATGATCCACCATTGTCGCTAAAGTTTTTGTCAATATAGACCCGAATGTACGAAATGAAAGAAAGGTGAGCGCTTGTAAATAAATGTAGGACTGACGAGAAGTAGTCATCATTAGTGGTAGCCTTAGCAATCATGACAAAATAGACTTGTCAATAGATGGCCTCAAGTTATCTATTCCATTCTTTGCTCTATCCATCGACAGCCCGTGGGCTAATATTTAGATACGTCTCGGAAAAATAACTGTGCCATGAGACTCCGATGATGAATGCTAAACCTTTGGGTAGTAATAAGGAATATCTTTTTTTCATGAAAAATGCCCCATCAATTAGAGGGGACGAGAAAAAAGTTTTGTATCGATAATGATGACGAATTTAAACTATCTAAATGTTGAATTGAAATATGCTTGATGGCTGCTGCAAAATCATGTTGACCGTACAGCTTATAACATCTATGCATCAACTACCCATACTTTCGTACCTTAGCGTCAGTGATTAATTAGAACGAAGCCTTCGCCTTAAGCGGTGTTCAGTTTCTCGAAGTTTCCGGATCTCACAATTACGTAGGATAACCCAAGTTACGTCGTAAACACAGCAAATGAAACGATTCCCTTTGTTGGAAGCCCCAAATTTCCAGTAATTGCTCGAAACGAGAATGGGCTGCATAAATTTAGGCCACGACTTCCCAAAATGGCATGATAAGAGTTCTCGAAGGCACATGGAACTTCTCCGATTTTCCAGAAGTTTATGCGTGATAAATGAGAGAAGAATATAAATATCCAAGCAAGCTGCTAGCAGTTGCTTCTTCATCAATTCATTCAAACACAGTAATTCTAGCAACAAAAGTAATTCAACAAAATGGCTCTTTCTCAACGTGTATTCTCTGAAGCTCTCCGTGATATGCAACGTGCAATGGCCGTCTTTGACCATCCCTTCTTTAACGGTGTCCGAGGTTCCTGGCTTTCAAATCGCCCAGGTGGTTTTAGTTCCAATGTAGGTGACGACCTCATGTCCTCTTCTCGTTTCCCCGTTACTGATCTCAAAGAAACACCAACCAACTACGAGTTGGTCGCTGAATTGCCGGGCTATGAGAAGAAGGATGTCAAGATTGAATTGACGGATAGCCGTACTCTGCTTTTGAAGGCTTCCAAGAACGAAGAACATGAAAGCAGATCTACTCCAATGGAGGATGTTACTCCTCAAGCAGAAGAAGAAAACAAGAAGACCGAATCTGTCAACGACGAGCAACAATTAACCAAGAAGGAAGAAGCTGGTGAACTTGCTCAAAGGAATGAAGACGGTCATACTTGGTGGGTAAAGGAACGTGTTTCTGGTTCAATCACAAGGTCCTTTGTTTTCCCTACACCCATTCCTGCTGAAGGCATCAAGGCTTCCTTTGAGAATGGTCTTCTTAAAGTAACCATTCCCAAGGCAACAGAGCAACAAGCCAAGCAAATCAACATTGATTAAAGAATATCAAGCTCTTGATTATTATTTAGTCGATTCGTTTCATTCTCTATTTATTGAATTAGCTTCATTCTCTATTTATTGAACTAGCTTCATTCTCTATTTATCTTTTCAACTTCTCAGTGACCATACCCTAAGACTCAAATAAAAATTTAAATAAACATTGATTCGTTTCTATGTATTTATTATAGAATCTCTCTCCAGTATTCATTCATTTATTTCTCATTGAAATGAATTCAATTAGACGCGCAGTGTAATACGAAAGCATCATAAGAAAGGCATTTATAAAAAAGTTCAATTGTGTAACTTCTTTGTTCTGACGGTCGTTTTTGGACCTCACAACCCAAAATGATGCTTGAGCAGAGATGTTTCTCATTGAGTAAGAAGGCATATGTCTCGATGCTTCTTTTCCGTTTTATTGCCCTCCCTATATTACGCCGCCGCCGTGAAGAATAGAACCGTGCCCAGGTTAAAAGTGTGATCGTCACGACTTTCCTCCTCCTATTTCCCTCCACTTCTCCATTGTTCAGGTTTTTTTTTTTTTTTTTTTTTTTTTTTTGGGCTTTTTTTACCATTTCTTTTCTTTTTTGTTGGTTTATTCAAAAACTCTTGCCTTCTTTTTTCTTATTGTCAACAATTAAACCAATATGTTTTGGAGATTTGGATTCAATAATTCAACTTTGGAAACTTTATTAGAAAAGGACAATGTCACTTTAGAAGAAGTTTTAGAAGAAGATGATATTCTTCAAGAAGCAAAATCCCAAAATCCCAAACTTGTTGATTTGTAAATATTTGTTGTAGTTGACGGATGGACACGCGAAATGGGTCGAATCTTACACTACTTTTTCTCTTTTTTTAACTTTATCCGTTAGCCTTTCCAAAACGGAGCGTATTGAAAGCTTATTGAATTACATTACGGCAACTGATTTAGACGAGAGCAAAAAGTTCAAGTATGTTGTTTGTGTATAATATATATATATATATATATATGTGTGTGTGTATGTGCGTGCATATATATTTATATCGAAAAGAATGGGAAAAGCATGACGTTTGTCAATGATGTGCTTTGGTGTTGTTGTTGTTAACAGTACGTGTTCTCATGTTGTTTACATGTATGTAGATACCCTTTCATTGCCAGTGAGATTATTGCATGTGAAATACAACCTCTTATCGATGCTATTGTCATTGATCATAAGGATGAATTATTGACACCTTTTTGGTCCTATTTGAATACACCTGCTTTACCAAGACAGCGTGCTTCTCCTACCGACGACAGGACCAGCAACAGCCATAAAAATCAGCCTGACACTAAAACGGAACAAGACAGAGAAGAGTCAACAGAGAAGGAAGCCCAGGAAGCCGTCAAAGAGCATAAGGGGCAAGTGTTAGATAAAGAGACACGATTAGAGGAGCAGCAGAGTACACAAAATACCGATATCAGTGAACTAAAACAGGAGAGAAAAGACGAATTGGAAGAGGAACAACACACACAGCAACAAAAGCTTGACCATGGATTAGACTCTTTACAAGCATCTTATTTCTGTAAAACAATAGGTGTTCTATTGTCAAAATATCCTGTTGAGGTAATGTCTCTGCTAGGCAAAGATCTTTCTTTTGTATAACAAAGATGTTGAAACTTTTTCTCTCTATTCATAGATGATGGCATTTATACAATCAGATGCCAAGAACTTGGATAAAATACTAGGACATTTACACACTTCTGCTATTATGGATTTATTGCTGACGTTGGTCAGAATGGAAGAATTACCAGAGGGAAAAGGAGTAGTAAAGGTAGGAAGGAGCCTTGGACATGTTTGCGTAATGTAGGGAATGGTTGACCTGGAGTTTCACCATAAATTATCCATTACAGTGGTTAAGTGATCATAAGCTGCTCGAAAACTTAATTGAACGATTAGATCCATACCTTGATACTGAAGTAAACAAAGATTTTATACTGAACTCAAAAGATATGCATGCAAAAAACGACTTACCTCAGAGTATCATTCTAGGAACATTCCATTGCACAACAATGTATTTGTGAAATTATTCGTATGTCACAGACCAGTTTACCAGACTCGCCTAGCATAGGCATGAATGACTTGATCATGAATTTGAAAAGGTTTGTATATATCTATATATATATATATAAACTAAGTACGAGCAACATGGGTTTCAAGTAACACTCACCTACTTGACACATGACAGTGAGGCGACCATGAGAAAACTCGTCAAGTACATGTTGGATCCTGAGGCACCGAATGCTACATCTACACTGATCAATGGTGTGTCGATTATTATTGATATGATTCGACATAACAATAGTGATTTAGAAAATGACCCAGCCGTTATTGCACTTTATGAATATCAACAACAACAACAACAACATCAACAGCAGCAGTCAATGAACAATGAGACTGACGCACCGCTTACCTCATCTTCACTCATGCCCACCCTCAACAATGAATCATCTTCAGTTTCTTTAGCTGAAATGTTGAAAGTCATGGGAGATCATGTGCCTGAATTAACCCACTTATTACTCAAACCAAGATCTGTCAAGGGGCCTATTCGCATGACATTGGGTGAAGTGGAACCTTTAGGATTTGAGCGATTAAAGATTTGTGAATTATTTGCTGAACTATTACATTGTTCCAATATGTCTAATTTGAACAATTTCAATCAACAAATACAAAATCAGCATCAGCAGCAGTCCAGGAAACAGGATGAAGAGGAAGAAACTACGGCTACGACAACAACTGATACTACACCACCCCCATTATCCAATGTGACAAAGCAAGAAGAAGAGTTGTCAGTGGGCGATTATCTCAAGTCTAAATTTGTTGAGAATCGTACGATGCCCATTTGCGTTGATTTATTCTTTGCTTTCCCTTGGAACAACTTTTTACATTATGTCATTTATGATATGCTTCATCAAGTGTTTAATGGTCGAATGGATGTTGGGTTGAATAGAAATCTGGCTATTTCTATTCTAAAAGATGGCCAATTGACGGATAAAATTGTGATTGCACAAAAAGCGAATGACGAAGAATGGTAAGAAAATCTTGGGAAGAAAAGGAGAGACAGATTTTTATTGACACCCCCCCCACTATGTCTGTCATCTAGTGCTAAACCAAAGGGTATGCGCGCTGGTTATATGGGGCATTTAACCTTCATTTCCGATGAGATTATGAAGTTATTCGAAGGATATCCTGAAACCATTGTTGTGAATATCAAAGATGATATTGATATGGAAGGCTGGAACCATTACTGTCATCATGAATTGAAACAAACGAAAGAAAGAGATCAGTTACCCTTAGGCGGTTTGAGACCGAATGATGACGATGAATTGGATTTACCTCAAACGGATGATGATGAAGAACTGGACGATGACGATGATGATGATGACGTCGATGACGATGATGAAGAAGACGAAGAGGAGAAGGAAGAGGATGAAGACGACGAAGATGTGTTGAGCGGAATATCTGATGGCAGAAGACAATACTCACGTTTCTTGAGTCGAAACAATAATGAAGCATTTGATGATGACGAAGAAGAAGCCGAGCATTGGATAAGCGGCCGTGATGATTTCAATAAAGAATACACATACAATGTTACAAGCTACGGTATGAATGGTCATGGTGGCAGTAGCAGTAGCAGTAGCAGTAGTAGAAGTAGTAACGCGGGCAATATTCACCATGAGAATGAAGAAGAATACGATAGTGACCCTGAAGAAGCGGAGGATGATAGTATCACGCCAGATTGGACTAGAAACTTCAATAAATATACACCACCCAATACACTTCGACGTATCGTCAGTTATAATATAGACCGTCAAGCTGATTTAGAAGACGAAGAAGATTACGATGATGAATTCGATCATTTAGCAGATGCAGAAGAATTGGAAAGAAGAGCGGCTCTTCGAAATGCTACTTACAAAATCGCTTCTTCTCTTAATAACGAAGGCGAAAAGGAGAATATTTACGAGGATGATAGTGACGGTGAGGACCGTGTATCTGTTATGCACAATCTGCAGCAAACTGCAGACGATGACGATGATGAGTTTGGTGAATTTGAAAGTGCTGATGACCAATCTCAGCATTGGGACGATTTAACCAGTAACATGAACAGTATGGATTTACAGAGAGAAACTATAGTCGTCGCTTCAGCGCCTCCTCCTTCCGTAATAGCTACTACAACTACTACGCAGAATGAAGCTAAGCCTGTTGTCGAAGATCACTTCGTTCGTGCCGTCAAAACGAAAGAAGAGCGTATAAACCAACCGTATCCTTCCCAATCAAAACAAAGCCTTGATGAAGAAAGTGAACAAGAAGGAGAAGTTTAAGACAGCAGTACTATATATATGAGACTTTTATTCCATTGTTTTAACCGGTACATACAGGCCTCTTGGATCTGGTTATTTTATTTTTTTTTTATTTCTGTTATTCGTCGTGCTTATCCTCTTACCCCTTCGCTTACCATCTTATAATAATTTATATACTAATCTGGTTTTTTGTTATGCTGCTTTCTTACAAGTATTCATATGATATAATAAACTTTTTCTTTTTGATTTGTTAGTATATAGTAATATAATGGACAATGTCCATGGTGAGTTGATGGCGAAAGGGCCCCCCACCTTCCTTTCTGAAACAACGCTGTGTAGGAAGCCTAATCTATTGTATTACCGTATATGGTTAATTTATTCCAAAAATGGCTAATTTTTTGCACTTTCCTTCTTAACCAATCGGTTAATCTGTTGCCTTTTCCGGAAAATTATCGAAATGAGTTTATTTTTGATTACTTTTTTTTCGCTTCAGATTCGAACTGTTTTTAAACAAAATAAGACTTCTTCATTATATAAAATTGGACAAACTTGGCGATCCGTTTTAAACACTTCCTAGAATAAAACGGGACTGATGGCAGCTGTTCAGCCTAAAGCACCTTTAGGAGTGAGAGCATAGCAGCCTAAATAACCCTTCTTTTACATATTTTCGTCTTAGAGCCCCTTTTGAAGAGCTAAAATATAGACCTTATTGAATGTAAAGCTCTGCTAGCAGATTCTGTTAAGCATACGGAAATAACTTTTACGCCATTCCAATACATCAAAGAGTAATAGAGTGATAATTGTTGTCATCTATACTACTCTCACTTTTACCTCTTTTTTTTTGTTTATTCATCTTTTTCTTTTTTCTTAAAAGTTACTTAGATTCGTATACTCTTATGACACGGCATAAGCTCTATGCCGAAGCTGAGTCTCTTATAAATGAAAAGAAGAAAGCAAAATTAGCTGCTCCCGATGATGAAACTGCCGAAAGTTGAAAGAAGATTGAGAAGTATGAATTCCTAGTATTGCTTATGTCTACTGAAAACTTACAATATACTGTAAATATTGTATCAAGCCAAAAAACCCAAAGTTTCCAAGAGTGTTTTTAAAGGTAAGAAACGTGCAAAACAGACATTCTTTTTTTTCTGAAATCTACCACGCTTCCAATACAAAGTTCCGATAATGTATCGGATCTAAGTAGTATACCGAGATTTTGTCCCATATGTACAAAGGGTAATCAGCAGGAAGCCAAATATCATTAATAAATGATAGAGTAGGATCTTCAGAGACTAAACGCGAGTATACATTTTATCAATAATATATCCAAAAATATTGTACTCAGAATCCCAATTTTTTGTTCTTTAATCTGAAAAACACCTCAATGCTGTCCAAAACTGAACCGAAACGACTGTACATAGCTACCATAACAATACAAAAGAAGGAAAATGAAGCAGCAGTCCTTGTTTCCCCACGAATAGGTGGTATCTGAAATACATGCTCTCTGTATCAAAGGCTTTGATGACACACGCTTATGGGATGAAAAAAAAGCAAACAAAAAATAAATAAAAATAACTCAGTATGCTTTGTATAACTGCGCTCGTATTCCGTGCTATATCATCACATGCAAATTGACAACGCACAATCATGTGTTCGCATGTTTCCAATTTCTCAGCTTTTGGGTGAGCTTTTTCACGCTTATTACCGCGCGCCTTAAATACCAAAGCTTTGAAGTAGACACGTCTATGTTATGCTTGAGCAGAATCATACTGAAAAGTGGGGTGCGGGTGGGGTTTAGCTCGTCGGAATTCCGCAGTAAAATCATATGAAAACCTTTTTTTGACTCATTCGGGAAAAAGCGCATTTGCACATCACTATATCATCTCAGCCTCATGTAGTGCCTCTTTATGTAACTATAGTTTAAAAGTTGAAACCAATGCTCATATTATACGCTTGACTCTTGATGTGAGAAAAAAAAAAGATATTAGTATATTGCTTTTCCACAGAGTAGATTTTGTTATCTGTAAACGATGCCTAACAGTTATTCTTTCGCATTCTTTATCACAAGATGTAATCGCCTAAACAGCTATTTGGCCCCACACATATACAGCCGCAGACTCAGTTAAATCAACATTTTAGACCAACACATGTGTAACTAAATGAGCAGATTGAAACCGTCGCTTCGTAGTTGGGATATTGTATATTACTTTATACGGTAAAAACTAAGCCGCAGAACAAATGCACAAAGAAGGTTTTTGAAAACGTTTAACAAGCCCACGTTCCGAAGCATGTTGTCATAGTACAAGTTTCTTAATAAAGACGTGGCTGTATTAGGCAAGGTTGGGCTTATTATGTATACTGTTATTGCACGAAACACGACGAAGATGTCGCGTACCTGTTCTCCATTTGATCTTCTGCAAAATACTGAGTTTCTTCTTACGAATACAGTCAAGCCAAAAGGAAGGAAGAAGGATATAACAATTAGGCTTAAAGCACTCTGCCCTGATCTGATCTTTAAAATTATGAAACCTGTTTGTAAGAAACAAGAAAGTGAAACTTTAAAAAACCAGATATGACTAAGATGCAATTCATTCGTTATCTTGTCATTATTATCAACCATCTGTTATAATGTTTATTGCTTGTCAAAACAAGGCTTTATGCGCGTATCCAAACGAACAAGTCAAGAGATGACATACACATACATACATACATGCATATTAAGAATAAGCAACATGAAGAATAAAAACTTTGCTAACCCCAGGTTGGGCTGATTTCAATTCGTTCGTTATCCTGGTTTAAAATTCCAGTCTGAATTTCACAGATTTTGATTGGCTTACATAAGGAACAATTATTTGAGCCAATTGACATCTGCTTCTGTTGGGAAAACAGAGGCGACAAACCAGGTAATAAAGAAAAAAAAAAAAAATTGACAATTTGACATTTTTTTCAATGTTCTATTTCTTTCCCTTTTCTTTTCCCTTTTATTTTGACATAACACACCCTTTCCTATCCCTCTTTCCTTTTAACCTTCCTTCATAACTGTTATTAAGCTTATTTTATTTTTTGTTCTTTTATTACATTAATTGTCAACATTTTGCAGGGATTTGACTTGCTGGAAACGAAAAGAAAAGAAAGAGAATGCAGTCCGTAGCACTCAAAAAGGAGAATAAGAGAGGAATGAGTAGTGATAGTAGTATTAGACATCATGGTGCAAAAGTAGCACCCAATCGACCGAATTTGTCCATAAATACCAATCTGACCTCTTCCAAAAAATCCTGGAACCATTTCTTTCCTTCTTGTTCACGAGCTACTAAGCTTGCTTCTACAATCACTACAGATACTACTAATACTAATACTAATACTACTACTACTACTACTTCCGATACAACTGTCATCAATGCTAGAACAACTTCGTTAGCAGCATCAGTTTCTACATCAACCTCAACAAAATCTTCGCCATCTGAAAATCCGAAAAATATATCGAAGCGCAATAATAGTTTACCCATTCTCACCGAACAAAAACAACCGCCACTCTCAACTTTAACCCACGGTTATTCATCAAGTGAATTAAAAAAACCTACAACTTATTCATCCCATAATGATATATCCTCTACTCAAAGTCTTACTACTCATTACTCTAATGAATCTCTGACTTCACTTTCCGCTGGTGCACCCTCATCTAGTTCCCAGTATACTCGTCAATTAAGCAATTACAATGCCAGTCCAGCAACTGCTCCCATCTTGACGACAGATTCAAATAGCAGCTTACATACTCCCAATACGGCTTCTTCTCATAGTATATCGTCCGCTATCATGAAGAAGTTCCATTTCCCATTTTTCTTTCATAAACGTCAAAACTCATTTGCTTCGAATGATCAGAGGGAAGCAGTTCTCAAACATCTCTATACTCCACCTGCTCCAGAACCAGTCCTTCCCTCTTTATGTGAATACTTGTCATCAGCGGATTCACCTGAATCTCCTCCACCTTGGGAACTAACAGACATCGAACGTCTGAATAAGAAGAAGCATCATTCTTTTGGCCATCAATTTGAATCTGTTTTAGAATTTAATGATGATGACGCAGAAGAAGAAGAAGAATCCAAAAAATTACGACACTCCCATTACGTTAGAAATAGCTATTATTCCGATTCAGATTTCGGCAAAATGCACGATCTGAGTAGCAGTAGTAGCAGTAGTTCCGTCACCACAAAAGCATCAGCCACACCTAGCTGTAGCGCCACTCAACTCAACCGCACATCAAGTATCACGTTACACGGATCTGCCAACGCATCCACCGACAACCACCTACGTCGTCGATCCAGTTGTCCCACCTCCGACGTCATGTCCATGACGAGTAGTGCATCCTCCACGAGTTCTTCAGTGAGGACACTCGTTGACAATGATATCGTGTCCATCACCGAGAAACATACGCGAGACGCATATTTCTTCAAGAAATCACACACATTTACACCTACTTCTACTACTACCTCATCGTCATCACCATCATCCACAGCAACAGCAGCAGGTTATTCTGCTACACCCATGGCAAAATCTTCCAGCAGTAACAGCAGTTGTTGTAAAAAGCTAGCCAATAAGCTCTCTCGCGACAATAGTAGCAGCAGCAATGATACACCCACTTCAGACGCCCATCATCATCATCATCACCATCATCATCATCATCATCATCATCTACATCACTCGTCTTCCTCTATATCTCTAAGTGATTCGGATCAATTGAAATACATGTATATACCAGCCGTGTTTGACCCAGTTACGCGATGTCCCGTATTACGATTTGATATCATCAAACCGAGAAAATATCAATTGCATCGAAAAGTCAGTTGGAAGAAAGAAGCAAAAGCGTTGATGACATGGCATCATTGTTTGGAAGAAAAGTTGCATAGTGCACAATCAGCGCCTTGTTTACCGAACCATTTGGTGAGTACCTTTACCTCTTGATTATTATCCAACAGATAGGTGAAGCTAACAACTCCTATTCTTCTACTCATAGTCGCCTGAAAAATTGGAAAAAAGCTTATTGACAAGACGCTTTATTCTACGAGAGTTCTTCACTACAGAAGTCAATTTTTGGAATCAACTCTATTATACCAAAATTGTAGGTGTATTCTATCTTTTTGTTTTCGCTATGGTTAAAAATTGATTGCTAACTATCTATTATTGCATCTAGGTATTTTATGATGCTCTTGTCTTTACTTTACAAAAAGAATACACATTAATGAGAGAAGAAGATTTGGATATCTTTTCCAACTTATTTGATCTTATGCAATCCTCAGCCAAATTAATCGATCATTTACGTCATTTTCAAAGTCGTTACCATCGACGTTACCATTGTCAACAACTGCATATGAGCAGCCCTACCAGTTTGAATGCAGAGGAAGATGTTTCAAAAGAACAAGCTACTCAGCATTCAACGCTTGCAGATGCTGCTGGTGGTAAAACGAATTACATGGATGAAAACAACGTGTATCTTGGTAGTTCATTTTTGGAAATGGCTGAAGATTTAGTCATCTTTTTACGTTGTGCCATTGATTATAAAGCCAATCGCAAACTTCTTGAACGAGCACTTAATAATGAGTTAGTCGCCAAGTACCGACAATCCCTCATGTTGCGTAAAGAAACACGGCAATTTGCCATGGACGATTACTTGATTATTCCTATTCAACGTGTCGCCCGTTATGGTTTATTATTCGCAGACCTTTTGAAGCATACACAAAAGTCGCATCCCGATTATGATAATCTGGTGAAATGTCTGCATATTGTGACAAGTCTGGCTTATGCCATGGATTCTGTTCAAAAGAAGAAAAAGAAGACTTAGTCTTGCCCAACATTATTCTGTATCTACGTCTGTGTACATATATCATTCTTTACCTTATTTATTTATCTACACCTTTGCATTTTTGTTTTATAAAGTTAATCTACGTTTAATAAAAGCACCTCGCATTCATGAATAGCATTAGGATTGAGTAAAGACGTATTCTCTGGGTTCTTTCTCACTTGGCAAATGGATATTAGATGGGATATATACACTGCTTGACTTTATGATAGCTTCAAGAGGCTTATCAAAGGGAGCAGTTGCTGACCTTAACAAACCTTTAGCTATTATAACTATACACAACAAACATGATTGACTTTTTCACTATTGGCACATAAGAGTGAAAGTATCTTTAACAAAAGATAGTAAGCATTTTGTGTTACCTTACCAAATTGGAAGTGAGAATGCTCTATAATGCAAGAAGTCTTGAACACTAGCTTCTCCAAAGGAAAAGGTTTAAGAACCTGTATGTAAATGCTATAACCAGGTCCAATTGCTTCTGGGAGACGATCCATAAAATAGAAAAAAAGCAGCAATGAGGGCTTTGTTACAAGGCATAATTAGGTGTATATATCGCTATTGCCTTACATTACCAACCTGGGTTAAATGCAAACCAACGTGTATACTGTATATTTACATTTTTTTGTAATGAATGGCTAGCTATAAAATAGAACAAAGAATTAGTTGCTCCGTTACATTTCGTAATGTAACGTTGTACGCCTTCCCGCCTTTTTGATTTGTTGCCGAATGAGACACCATTTAGACGTGATTTTCAGTAATCACGACAGTTTCCGAAAGACGCGTTTTACGCTTTAGTAAAAATAAAACCGCGATAGACGGTCACCTCCACAGGAGGTACAGACGAAACCCATTCTTGTCTCCCCTTTCTCTGCCTGCTCTGCAGCTTGTACTTGAATATATCCCTCACATACTTCACTTTCAATCTAAAGTTGAAATTATTCTACATTCCCCCAATTCTACAAAATGGATACCCATCAGATTAGAGTGTTACAAGGCAACGTCAATAAAGCAAAGATTGAACTGAATAAGTGGGAGAGAGAGTTTCAGGAAAAGCACGGTCGTAAAGTAACAACTGAAGATGTAAAAGAAAACAATATGGGTAAATTGCACTCAGAAAGTTGAAAATGATAAGAAACAGCAAACAACACAGCAGAACAACATTTAATTGACGCTTCTGCTTTCCTTCTTTTTTGAACAAACTGTTAGTCTCTAAATACAAAGATTATAACAAGTTGAAGAAATCTTTAGCAAAAGCCAAAGCTGAGCTCCAGATGAGCGATAGCCAAATGTCTCAAAGCTCTCAACCTCTTGTTGCGTCACAAACTGCCGCTTCGCAGGAAAATCATAAACAGTCTTCAACTTTTGACAAGGAGAATGTTCATCCTGAGCACTCATATCAACAAGTGGCTGCAACCTCACTATCATCCTCTAAAAAGTCAATCATTGCACATACCACAACCCATAATAAAACTCGTAAAGCTTTATCCAGTATAGATACCCATTTCCCTGCAATATCCTCAACATCATCCACGCATAAGACACATTCATCACATCATACAAACGAAAAAGATACTTTAAATACCAGCACCACTGTAGCCTCAAAAGTAGAAAATTCTATCACTAATTCTACTACCATCACTACGACTACGACTACTACTATTAGTACTATCAGCATGAAAGGAAACAATGACAATAGGGACGAGCATGGCGGTGGTAACAAGAAAGCCAGAACTTTAATATTGAATGGTTACAATAAAGAAAAGGCTGCCCAAAGAAAAAGACGACAACCACAAATAGTCCGAGAGATGGAAGAAAGGAAAAGAAAGATTCAGCGAACTCTTTCTGACTATATGATCCAAATGAAAGAACAAGAGGAGCAGCGGCAACAGTCTTCACAGACATTATCACAATTACGATCGACACCCGAATATCAAGCAGAGCAGCAATTCCATCGTCAGCGCTCTCAATTATTAAATACCCTTCCTCCTTTGCCACAAGACCTCTTTGATAGCGAAGATTCCGATGAAGAGTTGCCCTTCAGCATTGTGGAGGATAACCCTGCAGAACGCATCCAAGGATGGAGCAATAGCCTGGAATTATCAGATATTGTCAAGTTAAAGATTGAGAAGGGTACGCTGGGCGAAGTCTGCGAATTTAACAAGAAACTAGAAGAAGATGTGAGTGAAGATTTACGCAGATTTATACAAGAAAATACCCTGCCCAAGATCGCTTCTGAACAGGTAGCTTTTTTTTAAAAAATTTTGAATAATTATGTGCTAAACTAATGTCGATAAACTTTATCAGAGCACTTATAGTAGCCAACCATCGGAAGATGGGCTCAAGGGTGAATCTGCAATGCCTGTTTATAAAAGGCGTCCTCCAAGAAGACAAACACGTCTTCGTAAAAGTAAGTATTGTGCCAAGAAAGAATAACTGCATTGATTATGGTACCGTTTTCTAACGTTTTATTTATAGTGAAATTTGTGGAGACTTCCTAATTCATACTTATTATTTCTTTACTTGCATTGACATCAATTAATTATATCTCGAGTAATTCAATAAAGGACCTCATTGTTACATATTGTTCTTGAAATTACGTCTCCTTTCGAAGAACGTGAGTCATACAAATCTCAGGGAAGCCATGGCATTCGCTCTTTCTTTTTTGCCCGCTTACTTTATACTAACGTCATTGTGTGCCTCTACAACAAATGGAAAGAGTGCAAATCGGCCCTGCAGATGAGTTACCGGTAGTAGTGAGCAGCAAGGAAAATATATGCTATACTCAGGTTAACGCCTTATACACTTTCGCGTCATGTGATTGGTTTTCATGTACGATCTTTTAACGCACGTTTAAGACACTTTCACGACTATGGGGGATCAATCGAGACGTGAAAGGTGCAGATAAGCTTATTTGAGATAGTGGCGTGAGACTAACTGATTGCAAATACCATGTAGTCAGATGTGCAGTAACTTTTGCTAGCCTTTTGATCGTGCGTACGTATTCATCGTCTACCTTATCTTTATTCTACAGTAGATTTGCACAATTCTGATATGGGTATTCCAGATCCGGACCTTCTGCGGCTGCACTTTATTGCATAAACGCTGCAAATACGGCAAGCCTAAACGGTGTCATAGCAATGAAGGTCATTACGTAGCAAGTCTATACAATTTGGCAACGACAGCGTATACAAATATATCAAACTGATTGACGCATTTTCGTAGAGGCTCCTCACAAACTACTAAACAAAGGCGAGTTCTGTTTGCCTTGTAAAGTAAATGGAAACAGTCTCTATCATGATGTATTGGACTGCTGCAGTAGCTATAGCATTTGGGTTCGTTCAGTTCTATTGTGTTGCTTTGCCTTTGTGAAGAGATTGAATAGATTATGATTGGTAAATTGCGTCAAACCTTCAAATGTCAGACGCTCGAGCAAATCAGGACTGGTACAAAAAATTCTGGAAAGTTGTAAGCTTTGAAATTTGGGTTGGTTTTTAGTCTCTCCTTGTTCTGTTTCTTTAAGTTTCGTTCACTGTGTATTCTTCTTTCCTTTTTTTCTCTCTCTCTCTACGCTTTTTACCGAAATTAAACTACTTTACTACCAATGGCCACAAAAGGAGCTTATAAAAGACTGACAAAAGAATACATTGCTATTCAGAAGAAGTAAGTGCCAATTGGGTTCATCTCACTAGTTATATTCGAGGCTAATCTATTTTTCCAACATTAGTCCTCCACCATTCATCACTGCTAAACCGCTTGAAAGTAATATTCTAGAGTGGTAAAGTTCAAACAACATAATACTTGAGAATAGGAAGCTTTAGTAGCTGTTTAACTAAAAAGCAATCTGTTGCTTCAGGCATTATGTAATTAGAGGACCACCTGATACACCTTACGAAGGAGGGGAATATTATGGTAGAATTACCTTCCCTTCAGAATATCCTTTTAAACCACCTGCAATTCGTATGACAACTCCTTCTGGAAGATTTCAACCAGATACCCGACTTTGTTTAAGTATGAGTGATTTCCATCCGAGTACTTGGAATCCAAGTTGGTCCATTGCTACTATTTTAAACGGATTACTAAGTTTCATGGTAATGGAAGATCTGCAAAAGTTTAAAATCACTCTATCATTGACTGTATTTACGTCATGATTCAATTAGGTTGGCGACGAAGCAACAACTGGTAGTATCAAGACAAGTAATAATGAAAAGAAACTATATGCTGCTCGATCCCATTTATGGAACATTCGACATTCAAAATTTAGAGGTATTTTGACCATTTCAATCTTTATTGGGTTAGCACTATGTTACTTGACTCGCACTAACTTTGGTTTTGATTAGAGGTATTCCCTGAATTATGTACAGTAAATATGAATGACCTTCAGAACTTAGATCAGCATGGTTTAACAAAGCGTAATGTTAACAAATCGTCTTCAACAAATACCAATACCAATATTAAACAAGGTAACTCCAATAACGTTGGATCACGACAAACTTCTTCACTAGTACATCAACAACAAATACAACAGACAGCAGCAGTAGACGCAGGAACGGCACAACAGCAACAACAAGGTCAGCAACAAAGTCAACTGATAAGCAAAGGGAAACGATGGATATTTGTGTTTGTTGTGTTCATGTACTTGATCTTATCAAAATTGATAGCACGCTCAACGTCAACCGCTTAAAAGTCAATTGTTATTGTAGTATTCCCCCCCCCTTTTTTCATCATTTTTTTCTATCTTTATCATGAGTTTTCATATGTCTTGTCCTTTGGTCAGGCCGTGCAAATGCTATATCACATATTGTACATTTGAAAGGCTTTTCCCCTGTATGAACTCTCATCTAATTCGTTTTTATACATTAAAAAGATACAAAAAATAAGCATTCAAAAAGTAAAGTTGATCATTTTCGTATTCAATTAGCAATAAACATTTCTTACGTGTTTTGTCAGATTGCTACTCTCTGGGAACTTTTTCTTACAATACTTGCATATGAATGGTTTCTCCCCGGAATGTAATGTTCTTTTATGTATTGTTAGAGCGGAGGCAACACTGAATTTCTTATCACATTGATCACATGAGAATGGCTTCTCTCCTGTATGTACTCGTTTATGTTGCATTAATAGACGAGCTTCCGAGAATCCCTTTTGGCATATATCACACTGAAAAGGTTTAAAGCCAAGGTGCGTTGTTTGTAAATGACGAATTAGTTTTTGCCGTTGTGTAAAAGGTCTCCCAATCCTATCGCATGATGACCATCGACAGTAGTATTCATTTTTCTGGCCTAAAATGTGTACTTCTAATACGTGATTTAAGAGGCTTTCCAAATGATTCAAGGTCTGCTGGCAGTTGATCCAATGGCATTGATATTGTTTTTCCTTCACTGAAGTTGGCATTAGAGTCTGCACTTGTATTTGCTGTTGCTGTTGCTGTTGCTGCTGCTGCCGTAAAGAATGTAAATGTTGCTTATATAGGTGATCAATAAAAGATTCTGTTACGTTGAATTTTTCCGTACAAGAAGCCCAAGAGCAATTCAATAAATACTCCTCTTCAGCTGCTGTTAACGATAGCGAAGAAGTCTCACTGCCACTACTACTACTGTTACTACTATGGCTACTGATAGTTGTTGCTGGCGCTGTGGTGGTCGCTGCTGTTGTGGGTGTATTTGAAGCTACGTACTTTCCATTCGGTAAATTGTTTAAATGCTCATTGAATAAGTGCACCGGTAGGTCTTCCAAAGAATCAAAACTAGCTAAACAACTCGACCACTGACATCGAGCACTGTGATCGTTATTGGCAGCATTCCATTTTTTATTGGATCCCGTAACAGTGACACTTGTTGGTTTCGCAACTTGTTGATCTTTTCTTCCATTCCCTTTCTTATTGTCAGGATCGACTTTTCTCCATTTCTTATTCGATAAAGACAACGCATCCGTTGAATCAGGAAGAGAGCGTTTACGCCCTTTGATTGATGGTAGTACAATAGACTCTTCTATCGGTTCCTCATCATGATTTAAGGTGCAAGGTATCAGAGTGGCAGTCGTGGCAGTTGCAGGCTGAGGGTATCTCTTACGGTTGGCCTCCTCGGGATGTATAGCAGGACAACATTCATTACAGCAATCATCTACTGCAGCTACAGCAATAGGTTGATGAGTTATTAATGGCTGCGGCGGGGGCAATAACGGCTGTGGAACAGAGTTATTCAGGAAATTGCTGGTTTGACTGCCGTGAGTTTGTGTATTTATACCGCTATTGTAATGTTGGTTGAGATGCATATTTGCTGAAGTAGCTGTTAAGGAAGACGGATTATAGTAGTTATTGTATAGCTGTTGTTGATGTAATTGTTTGCTAGTATAATCATTCCTTGAAGCTGATGGATTCATCGCTGTTGATGTGATTTTGGCAGGAGAAAGCTTTGCCTCTATGGAAGCCATATGACTCATGTCAGCAGTTGGGGAAGAAGCCATAGAAAAAGCTTTGTACCCACCAGTATCATTACTAGTGCTACTACCGGTATTCATAAATAGGGAATTGTAAGAGGGCGCTATTGGCGGTTGAAATAGTGCTCCAGTTGCTGTTGTTATTGGTGTCGTTGAGAGAACAGTGCTGTACCTCTGTAAGAAAGAAGGATCTGTTAGGAAGTAGAGTAATCGACTGTGGTGATGATGAGTCGTTGATCGACAGGAATTGATGGTTTCCAAAAGCTGGGTATCATTGGTAATATTGTGATAATGTACATTAAAATTAGATAGGGTATTGATTGAAGGTAGTTGATCGGGAAGATCTTTGCTCGAGGACGTTGACATTGCCTGAAACGCAAATTAAGTTGGTTGTTTTAAAAAGAGCAGAGAAAAAGCACGCTGTAATAAAAAGTTCGACCGATGACCAACGTTTCATTTTAGAGTCGGACTCCTATTGTTTCAATTTCAGATGTTCCAATTGACATCCACCAAAAGCACAGTAATCGTGAAATCTACACTTGATATCAAAAGCGAGCTTTCTTTCAGTTGGGTACTTAATTGCTCTTTCTCAACGAAAGGTGATTTCTCTTGTATACGCATATATGCTCAACAAAACCGCTTTCTTCTCAGCTACTTCCATGGCTCTCCTCAATTTGGTATGTGCATGGATTCTCAACGCAAAGTTTAACAATCTCAACGAGTGAAAGGCTCAGAAAATGGCCATTTAAGCTCACGTATAGTCAACTCCAGTGCGTGATAAAAGGGCACCAACATGCAGTCATTTTCCAAAAATATTTGAGCGAGCTTTGATATAAGAAAAGAAGGTGTTACTTGTGTTAAGCAATTCCCATTGATACTTTCTTTCTACCAGCAGTAAATATCTCCTTTCTGAATCAATGTTTTAACAGTGAGGAGCCTGACGACAGAAAGGATTTGAACATTTGTAATGGGTTAAAAATATGACTTTCAATATTGAAGAGAACGCTCATATGTATCTCATTTGGTTTAAGGAAAAAGAGCCTCTACCTGAACTTTTGCATTGCATTAAAAGTGCTATCTGGACTTTTTATGATGTATGTTATGCTTGCAAAAGTAAAAGTATCAACATTTTTTTACTTAAAATCTAAGTTTATAGTATATGTGAGAATAAGAGAAACTTCTATAGCCACTTCGGTAAGCCCACTGTTCTGCGAGCACCTTTGTATCAAAGTCACTATTCAGACATTATGACGAGCAGAAGAATCGTAGAATATATTACCTAATCATCCGGCAAAGCGTTTTCAACCCGAACACGAACTTAAAGAAGGGCGACAAATATAGTGGCTCGCCTTTGAAAAGAAATACAAAAGCTTTGGATATTTAGTTTGGAAGGCTTCGTTCAGGGTGCACCGAAATGAGATATCGTAAATGATTGCTTGTCTATTTGAGGCTACTATTCATCAGTACCAAATATATACACTTTTCTTTTCTCCCACTTCAAATGAACTCTTCATTGTTCAAAACCATAAATGCGTATCATCTAATACTGTTAATTCACGCTAGTTGAAGTATAAGTCAAAGCTTAAGTTAAGTTTGATGACAGTTGTGCAGACAGATGCCAATCACTTTTCACTTTTTTTTTTTTTTTTTTTGTTTGTTCCTGATATGCCAATGGCAGATTTATAAGTTTATAATAACGTTTAAGAAGAAAGCTATCATTTTTTATTTGTTGACGTAATTGTGAACATTTTGTAGTGTATCATTAATATTGAACTAGCTGTTATGGATGATCGAATAGTGTTTGTTAGTAGTAATCTTAGGGCTGCCATTGGCAGGTGTCAACATTGTGGGGAAACAATATCAAAGCTTTTATTATGCAAAAAGGGTAAAGACTCTTTCAGTCAAGCCAATTATATCACTGCAATAAAAACATTCGTTTCTCAGGTAAACTCAGAAAACTGAAAATTATCTCGTTTTTTTCAAAACAGTTATTGACCAATTTTTTCCCGTTCTTACATTAACCGTTTATATTTTCCTATGTCTGATAAGAACAGCGCTAACAATCGAAAGTTTATAGGGGCTGTTGATCAAGGTACTACATCCTCACGGTTCTTGATTTTCGACAATCAAGGAACTATAGTGACATATCATCAACAGGAACTGCCTCAGTCTCAACCACAACAAGGGTACGGAAGAGAAATAAACCTTTTAGACAATATTTTATTTGCTCTGATAGTATTATTCTCATATTCACATTAGCTGGCTGGAACATGATCCTATGGACATTTTCAATTCAGTGATTGAATGTATCAACAAAGCTATCAGACGCTTCGAACTCATGGGTTATGATATGAAAGACATCATCACTATTGGTATCACAAATCAACGAGAATCTGCAGTTGTATGGGACAATAAAACAGGCGAACCGCTACGACCGACCATTGTATGGAGTGATGTACGTACAGACGAGCTTGTGCACGAGTTGCAGAAAAAAGAGGGATCTGAAAAAGTTAAAGAGCGGTCCGGATTAGATATAACTTCGTATTTCACAGCTGTCAAATACCGTTGGATGTTAAATAATGATGATGCTGTACAACGGGCTGTAAAAGAGCGGCGAGCAAGCTTTGGAACAGTTGATAGCTGGTTAATTTACAAATTGACAGGCGGCAAAACACACGTAACAGATGTTACCAATGCCAGTCGTACTCTCTTGATGAATTTGAAAAATTTGCAATGGGACGAGGAGTTATTAAAATTCTTTGATATACCAGAAGAAACATTACCTGAAATTCGGTCCTGTTCAGAGGTGTATGGGCAACTTCAAGTAGATGATTGTTTATTAAAGGACATACCAATTGCTGGCTGTTTGGGCGATCAACAAGCAGCGTTGGTAGGACAGAAATGTTTTAGAAAAGGTCAAGCAAAATGTACATTTGGCACAGGTGCTTTTATGCTGTTCAATACGGGAGAAGAGTTGGTAAAGTCAAAGCATGGGCTCATTACCACCGTGGGCTTTAAATTGGGCGAGAAGGCAAAGGCAATTTACGCTTTGGAGGGTTCAATGGCTGTAGCAGGGTCCTCATTGAGATGGTTAAGAGACAATTTACGATTGATTGATTCAATGGAAGAAGTCAGCGGCTTGGGTAAGTTCGTCTATCAAGGGAAATTGAGGAAAGGCATGGAACCTAAATTATTGACATTTTTTAACTGCATATTTTGCCAAAAGCGGCCCATGTTCCTGATACAGGCGGCGTTTACTTTGTCACAGCATTTTCTGGCCTATTCGCTCCGTACTGGCGCGATGATGCTCGAGGAACAATGATCGGCCTTACCACGTTCACCAACAAATATCATTTAGCTCGTGCTACACTTGAAGCCATGTCCTTTCAGACGTATGCTATTTTGGAAGCTATGAACAAAGATGCTACAGATGCCAAAAATGATGACGGTGATAGTGACGACTTTTCACTTCATACACTCAAAGTCGACGGTGGCGTATCTAATTCAGATATTGCTATGCAAATTCAGGCAGATATTTTAGGCATACAAGTGGACCGGCCTTCGATGAGAGAGACAACAGCATTTGGAGCAGCTATTGCAGCAGGGTTAGCAGCAGGTGTTTGGAATGATATAGACGATTTAGAAGAATGTATCCGGAACAATTCAGATAACGATACGACTACCTTTCAAAGTAAGTTGTCGAAGGAAGAACGGGAAAAGAAACATAAAATGTGGCAAAAAGCCGTAGAAGCATCACTGCACTATAAAGATATTGATGAAGATGAAGATGAAGAAGAAGGTGAAAACGATGATGAAGACAAAGATGAACTACATCAGAAAGACGGTGATAATGAATCTCATAAGGAAACAAATTCAAATACAAAACTGGATTTCCAAGAATTATCTATATCAAATAGAAAGGAATAGTAATTGCGGTAGTAGATCGTATACAAAGACTCCAATCCAGATAATAGACTCTTCCTTTACTTGTAGATAATTCGCAACTATTATTTTGTAATTAATTTGTTACCACAAGCAGAATATTGTCATAGATATAACTTTTCTTTGATAACCCTTGTTTTTTCAATAAGATATCTTCCTTCTTTGTATTTTTGCTGCAGAGTAGGTGACTTGATATAACGCCAGCCTATCCGCATTTGGCATATGCTGCAGAATAAATCCGCTACCGTATGGATACCCGTCATCAACATACGCTGTTCCAAATGCCCCACGGTAATGTTCAGAACTTTATTGACTAAATAAGCGGGCCCATGCTGGGATATTCAGTAACAATAGATGTGATAATCAATGAGTACCCATAAACTCATAATTCCTTCACAATTAAGCATGCTGCAGAAGCAAATACTTATACTTACTCTTCCTAGATATGCTCCTGAAATAATCTCCTCTTGACTTGCAATATGAGTTTGGCAGGTACAACAGCAATAAATGCTACTTGATCGCTTGTGACCATCAAGGTCTTTTTGGTAAAAGGGGAAATATTCTGGATGAATTTTTAAACCCATTACTTTAGTATAAGAAGCAACAACAACTAAAAAAAAAAAAAAAAAAAAAAAGAAAAAAAAAGGCCTGAAGAATGCATTTAAACTTGACAGGTGTTATATCTGATTGTAATATTTGAATGATCAACGAACAACAACAACAACAAAATTGACAATGAACTCCTGAAAGAATGAGTTTGTATCCCGTGAATTATAATTTACTACTCATATTGCTTTTAAATCATTCACATGGAAATCAAGCACAACAGATATCTTTTATTACATGGTTTTATAGTGCAAGAATTGTATTTACAAACTTATCCACTTTATCCTCATCTTGTCTTGCCATTTCAATAATCATCAATAGCTTCTTGATACCAATCGTCAACTTTTGATCCATATTAGCTTGTCGTAAGTAACTCAAAGCTCTTTCTCTTTCTACATCTGCAAACAACTCTAACTGTTGTAACACCATATCCACGCTGTCTAAGGAAGTAATTGTAGGTACATAAATTTCTGCAGAGAATTCGTTAATCATATCCATTTGCTCCAAAAGACCTCGATTTGTCGTAGTCGCCAAAATCAATAAACGACGGTCTTTTGGTGGTTTTTTCTTTAGCAAAACGAGCAGAGCTTGTAATACAGCATTAGAGAAGCGAGGGCCAATAGGGACGTAATCCAGCAGACGCTCAATACCATCTACCACAATCACACTGATGGGTGACTTATACGAGTCGTTGAAAATCTTGTTGATTTCATTCACTTTGGCTGATTCAGTCATGCCGACCATGGTTTCAGGGGAAATCAATTTGATATACGGGAACTCACTTTGCATTGCTATGGTAGCCGCCAGAGCAGTCTTACCACTTCCTGCTGGACCGTGGAGCAACACGCTGACCAAAGGCGTACGACTTGACTGTCTGACTTGATCTACATACAGTTTGCCATCAGCAAGTATTTGCTTAATATGGGGACTAAAGGGAATAATATGGTTTTGAACACACTGCTGTAATTCTACTTCAGAAACACCGAACGCTGGTTGTACTTCTTTAAGCGCATTCAAGAAATCATCCATACACACTTTCATATCACTCACGTCAGCAGAAATACCTGCCAGTGTACCCACTTTGATATGGCGACTGAAAGCGTAAGAAGAAGCCGCTTTCACTACACCAGATATTTCTGCACCACTGTAATTCTTGGTGAGGTCAGCCAGTTCGTCCAGATTGACATCATCATCTAAGACCTCGTTAGAGCGCATTTTACTCGTATGAATTTTGAGGATTTGCAGTCGGCCTTTCTCATCAGGCAAACCGATTTCCATGTGCACCTCCAAACGGCCGGGACGTAACAATGCTTCATCGATCATGTCCTTGCGATTTGTCATACCAATGATTAAAATATTGTTGAGTTGTTCGACGCCATCCATCTTGGCGAGCAATTGGTTAACAACGGAATCGCCCACACCAGTATCGCCGCTACGACTACCACGAGCTTTACAAATAGCATCTAATTCATCTAAAATAATGATGTGGAGACCAGACTCTTCTCCTTTGGCACGGTATTCCTCTTCGGCATCGGCGAACAATTTACGCACATTCTCTTCGGATTGACCAACGAATTTAGAGAGTACTTCGGGACCGCTAACGACTTTGGGTTCTTTGGCGTTGAGCATTTTACCGATTTGGCGTGCCATAAGAGTTTTACCGGTACCTGGGGGACCATATAAAAGTAAACCCTTGACGTGTTGTACCCCAAGCTTTTCAACGAGAGCAGGTGGGAATATACGAGAAGCAAAGGCACGTCTAAAAATAGCATTGAATTCATCATCTAAACCACCAATACCAAGATCTTCAAATTGGAAATCAGGCTTGATCAAAGCCTTTGCCTTCATACTTAATCCGAAGAAGTAGTTTTGGATAAGTATATAGCATTAGTACAGACTAGATATGATGATAACTCATCACACAAACTTACGCTCTCTTTTTAGATTGCTTCAAATTTAAGTTTGAGTTTTCAATTTTGTTGAATTCGACATTGGTTTCACGCATTAAAAGACCACGAATAGCGTCAGTATTCTTTTCTTGATGTGCATCCACTTCGCCTCTCTTTAACACGCTCAAATCGACGACATCCAGATCAGTAACAGTGGCTCTGAATTTGACACCTGTATATTCAAAAGCAAAAGTTTGGCCCTTCGTAAACATCTGACTGTGGAAGTTCTATAAGCAAGTAATGATCTTTCAACAGTAAGTATTTTACATCTTGTTTGACAATATTCGTAGCAGTTGAAAAAGGGATGGGAGCAATACTTCACTGTGGCAAAAGCATGGGCAATCTCATCTTCTTTGAACTCATCAGGTAATCGCATACTCCGTTGAAAGAAATCTATATCCAGTTTCATATTACCGAGGTAAATATCCATACCTTCTGAATAGATATCATAAGGCAGAACAGATACTCGCTGATTCAAAGAGAAAGAAGCCCAACGACGGTGTGGACCATTGATACCTATTTGACCTTTCTGAATATTTCTGTCGGTTCTATTATCCAGGCATCGAAAGAATATATGGTATATTTTACTAATAGTTAACACTTTGTAACTTGCATTATGACTGTTACCTGCAAGAGAATACATATTCGTGATCTATAATGACATAATGAACTTTAGGGTCAATGAATCCAGGCGCAATATATACAAGATTGGTTAATGCGGCTGAATCAGAGGGACATTGTACAACTTCACAAAACCCGCCGTCTCCTTCTCTCTTTTCATCAAAACGAGAATAATTCATTTTCTCCTGTTCCGCGTGTAGTAAGTAAAAAAGAGAAAGGATGAAAGTGTCAGTTGCGAACCTGAGAAGAAAGAGAAGAGAAGCTAAATAAGTTTTCACAGCATAACAGTGCTGACATAGAGCCAATCAGCAGAGGACACTGTATTCAGGGCGGAATTACAATAAAAGTTTATAAAACAATATAATGCAGCAGAAAGATGTCAGATCAACAAGTATTCTTCTTTCCTTCCATCGTACAACTAATAATAGTCTGTCTTTTCATTCTCAAAAGATTTAGAATATGAATAAGAGTAATAACAGTACTCTTGAGTACATGAACGAAGAGAACGGCAATATTATGTGCCTTAATCAGAAAGGAAACTGGCTTGGTTGCAGTTATTACGCGACTTCCAGTTTAGAATTGTTCTTAATGGAGGACACAACGGAATCAACTTTCTCAACATTCACTCAATCCTATGAATTGATTTCTACACGTAATGTGTTTCAAAAGGCTTTTCTTTGTTACTTTATGTATGGACTCAACGCCTTTTACCATATAGTCATCACTCAAATTGCTCCTAAATTGATCATTGTGCCTGATTCGGCAGCTGATACTCTATACTCATTCCTGAGAAATGATTATGGTACAAACGAACATACATCTGTACATATTTATGAATATATATATATATATATATATGCAGTAACTGAATAAATCATTTGTAGGCACCACTATTGATGTCAAGCAAATAATGCTAAATAATTTTTCGTTTGAAAAAGGCCGTGATATGTTACTGAATTGGTACATGCACCAAATGGATGGAGTGAAAACCAATAGCACTGGCATGTATACTCCTCAACAAGAATATCTTAGTGCGTTTGGTACAACTTCCGCAATGGACCCAGAAGAAGCATTGCCCTTTGAACATCCAATTTTTTTAAGAGATCCAGAACAGGGCAATAAAACACAGGCCTATTTACAACTAGAAGGATTACTCCAGCTCGATCGTAGCCATTTAACTGTACGTATCAACCCAAATAAAATCAGAATTCATTATGACATTTTTTTTAACTTTAATTACTGTTGTTGTAAGGTTGGTTGCGCTGGTGTCTTATTGAAACATTTAGAAATGATTGAACAAGAGCAGACATTATTTAATCGTCAAGAAAACAACGAACAAGCTCAACAGTATGAGATATCTGTATGGCCAACAAATATAAGGGTCTTTTCCAGGTATTTATACAAATGAAACTCATACGCTTTGCAGTGAGTAAACATTAAAATCCGGGATTATAGTGAATGGAGTGTTCAGATCAGTTCAGATACAATAAACTCTTTACGTATCTTTGCAACTGAAACGCACCCAAATATGCACCAACAGCAGCAAAGTAATAAGAAAGAGGGCCTATCTCTTTTTGGTCTCTTGGACAAGACACATAGTGTATTAGGAAAACAGTTGTTGAGGGAATGGATTGCTCGACCCACGCGGAACACAACTACTTTGTCTCAACGTCAATCGACTATTCATATGCTATTGGAAGAAGCCAGGTCGTCAAAAACAAATGTGAACCATCATATATCAGATTTGGGACAATGCTTAAAGCATATCAAGAATATCTATCGGCTCTTGGCCAAACTAAGAGAATCAAAAAGGACAACTTCAAATGAGTGGCATTATATTCTAAAGGTATGGAGTTAAAGTAATACGTCACTAGCGAAATGGTGCTTCGTTTAGTGTATGCTTCTCTTGGAACTCATATTGTATGTATCTAATGACAAAACGCAATAGTTTGCTTATTATAGTATATGCATATTTGGAATTTTGAATCAGCAATTCTGTACAAAAGCAAAATATCAACAAATCCCTTTGATACAGAAAGTGAACGAAACCATGTCTACAGCAACGGAGGTTATGACTGAGATTGGATCTTGTATAGAAAACATAGTAAGCGACCAAAATTACGTTTGATGTTGATCTATACATACTAATTGTGGGACAATATTCTAATAGATTGACTTTGAAGAAAGCAAAATTGAAGGAAGAATCATCGTTAGGGAAGGTGTAAATGCTGTAAGATTGACCACCCGTGTCATATAAAGTATTTTGTGTTTAGAATTTTCGTCAATGGTATTAGGAGCTGGATAATTTACATGAAACTTATGAGCAATTGGACGATTATCTATTACAAGTATCTCAAGAAATAAGTGCTAGTTTGCCCGTCGCCCTAGGAGCAACCCTGAATGTGGTTTATTTCCCACAATTAGGTTATTTAATCACAATACCACAGTATCATTTACAGCAGAAATTCCAGCACTGTGAGAATAGCAGTATTTCCACTAGTGGCACCTGTAAGAGAGATAGTACAATGCCTAGATATTACGAACAAGCTTTAGAAGGATATGAACTACAGGTAAAATTGTATGGCATAATAGTGAGTAAGTACGTTACCGTATATTGATATTGATCTCCATGAAATACCAACTTCTTTAGTTTACCACGGCAGATAACCTATATTATAAAAATAAACGAACCAGAGAATTAGATGAAAACCTTGGAGATGTACATGCGCTGATAGCAGACAAAGAAATCGAGATTATTCACGAGTTATCTCAAAAAGTCTTGGGTTGTACGCAACAGTTCTTTGCTGTAGCCCAAGTACTTGCTGAGTTAGACTGGTAAGAAAGAACAATTCTACATCTTTTATACATGACTGACTCATCAATGAATGTCAGAAATACTAACTGAAGGTCTATAAACTATAGCTTAATGTCATTAAGCCTTGTTGCCTTAAAGTATAATTACGTCCAGCCTGTTATGACTAATGATGACTCTCTCATCATTTCGAAAGGAAGGCATCCGTTGCAAGAACGCAGCGTCAATATATTCATTCCAAACGACACTTGTGTAAAGGGTGGTCAAGGCTTTCAAGGTCAAAGAGAACAGCCAATCAAACAACGTAGCAAGCAAAGTGAGCAGAAACAGTGCAGTTTATCACGGATTTGCAGCAGTACGCGATCTTCGTCTTCTTCCGTTACCAGACCATTAGATGGAGGCATAGCAAGCTTAAAAAGCGACTTACAGATGAATAGTGTCCAAATAGTAACGGGTGCCAATTTCTCTGGAAAAAGTGTTTATCTGAAACAAATTGCTTTGATCGCTTATATGGCACATATTGGAAGGTGATATTACATCTGTTCTCTTTCTGGTACAAGCACTTTGTACTCATATTGTCATCCCCCCCCCCTCCTCCCTTAAGTTTTGTACCAGCCGAAAAAGCTATTGTAGGTATTGTCGACAAATTCTATACTAGAATTCAGACTTCAGAAACGGTTTCGAAGGTAACAAACACTTTATCAAACTTTCTTTCTACCTCGAACAGTAACTAAAAGCATATAAACTAGCCTCAAAGCGCATTTGGTTACGACGTACAGCAACTCAATCGAGCATTACATAATGCCACAGAACATAGTCTTGTCATTATAGACGAATTTGGAAAGGTATTTATATCTCTGATGGTATAATTAAACGAGCAAATATGAATATCATACATCTACTAAGAACTGGATTGATGTATAATAGGGTACAGACAGTTCTGACGGAGCTGCTTTGTTCTGTACAGTCATAGGCTATTTCTTATCTAAAAGAAATCAGTGTCCAAGAGTAATAGCAAGTACTCACTTTCATGGTAAAAATTCTCATCTACACAGTAAAATGGACGAGATGTACGAATATCACACACGACTCATCACTGTCGAACATACTTTTAAACAGATCTCATTAGCAAAGACTATTTATCTGCAGAAGATGGAATAACCCTTTCACATACAAAGATTATTGTTCATAATAAGTACTCAACGACAAACAATGCTGCCGTTAACATCAGATCAGAAATTTTTTGTTTGCATCAAACTACTCAAGATATGAACGGAAAAGAGAAAGAGAGTATTGGTAGAAGTAACTTTTTATCACGTAGTTTCGTCGATGTTGACAGTAGTAATAGGAGAGAAAACATGACGACAATTCCTGAAAATCCAAAGACACCTAGCGGAAATGAAGTCGTTTTTTTATACAAGATTATCCCCAGCGAAAGAAACCAACGACAACCACCGGAAGAAATCAGCAGGAATAACGAGTCGCATGGAATGTGGTGCGCTTCTATTGCTGGTTTACCAATTCATACTATTCAGAGAGGTATGTTGAGCCCATGTATATAAGCAAAATTAATCGACACTTATTGCTTTTTCTTCACATTTCAAAGCTGTTGAATTGTCTGAAAAGTACAAGCAAGGCACTAGCATCAATCGAATTCGAACCCAGCAAGACGAAGATTACTATAAAGCAATTGAGGCCATCCAAAATAAATTCCTGGAAACAGATATAAATGAAATCAATCCTTCAAAGCTTATTGCTTCTATTGAAGCATTATTGCAAGGATAAAAGTAAAAAATGATAATAAATTAGTAATTAAGACGATCGAGATCGCTTACTATGTAATTACTGACATTATTGCAATAAGCTTATTTAACATAACAATGAATACTGTCCAAAAAGCTAATAAAGTTGGGAGCCCCCGAACAACTGTTACACGGATAGAGTCTGAACGTGCTGTTGCAACGAAATCTATGACCTAACTTGGGAGTTGACTTTATTTTAGTAAACGCTCGCTTGTTCTAGATCATTTTCGATGTTCATCGTAAATTGCATTTTAAAAGGGTCTTTCTACAGCGCATTAGTGTATTAACTGTAGTAAACAAAAACCCTGTAAGTACATAATGAATGGTGTAACGATATTCGTCATTAATATTATTATACTTTTATTCATTTAGTATCCCATAATTTTTTCAAATCGTTCCAGCGATTTCTGTAGATTAATTATATTGAAACATAGGACATGTGGGCTTATATAGGGTTAAACGGGTTGTAGAGGAGATGCCGGCGCAAAAGCCATTAAGCCTGTAACTTTAAATCCGGGTTCTCGCTTCTCACCCCACAAGCAACACTATGAATATGGTCATTAATTAAATTACTAGCAAATATATTGTAAGGTTCCAAGCGGAATATCATCGTCATCATCATCAACATTGTCAATAGGAGTCGATCCAGTAGTTGTCCTAGGGAAAAGCAAACCTCGCTTGCAATGCATGTTCTTATAATATTGCTGAATATAGCTATCATGTCGTTGTGATGAGTAATTTTTCATTGTACTAATCGCTGGTAATATTCTTACAATCTCGAGCGTTATATCATTTTGATGTGTCGCCGTGGTATAAACCAGAGTAGATAGAGCAAAAGATGCACGAATTTTCTGCTTTGTTGAAACTGCTGTTGCTGTTATAGATGAGGATGAAACTGACAGTTTTTTATGGGTCAGAAGGTAGACTTTATCAGTATACATTGGAAATCGTTTAGCTGGTGAAAGATATGGTATATTAGACGTAGCTGACTCATCATTTGTATTTGATTTGGAGATTATTAGCCGCTCTATTTGATCCCAAACGTGCCTAATATGGATCAGGTTACTTAATGTTGGTCTAGCTGATTTATATTGCCGCTTTCTCTGTTGTGCTTGAAGCTTCTGGATTGTGCAATTATATACTCTCAACATGTCAGATTTGTTATAAGCTGTATTATTGGTATTAGGCACCTGTGTTCGATGTTGCCGATGCATCGTTGTTGCATGATAGTAGTTTGTTCTGGTGCGGACATCAGTTTCTCTACTAACGTCAATATCAATATTATGGTTGATTTTTCTTTTACGAGGTATAATAACAGAGTACTGTTTTCTAGTGCTGTAGATATCGGGATCTCTCACTTTCAGTTGATGATTCGCTGTAGAAGCCGATGATGAGACCCACATATTAGCCCAATTGGATAATTGATCAAATAAACCATGTGACGTCAATGCAGTACTTTTGTAATTGTTATGGCCGTTGGATTGAGACTCTAAATGATGGCGAAAACGAATAGATGTGGTTGACATTTACAGTAAAATAGAGGGTATAAAAAGCTGCAAAAGAAAAGACGAGGTAAAGAGAATGTTTTGTTGATCTTGCATTTATATATTTGGGAGGTATGGTGCCTTGACAATAATTCGCTGCAAAAAATTAAAAAAATCTGTTAAAAATAGCCACAACTGTTTTTCTTTTTTGGTGAAACGCCTGTTCCATATAGCTGATGCTGCTTCCATTACTAAAAATAGCTTCCTGGGCCTGAAATAGCATCAAAATCAATCATGATCGTTTAAGTCAGGCTCAGTTCAAGTTTGCTTGAAAGGAAATCATTCGACTCAAGCATTTATCATAGTATGCAAAGACGAGCTTTCAGATTGCACAAAAAAAAAAAGGAAGTCATTTAACATTGTCAAAGTGACAGGTAGGTGATCGCTGCTATAATACGGAAAGATAGGATTTGTACACGCTTACTTGCACTTTTCAGCTATATGACAGCTACTACATGAACTGGTAATATATTACATAGAGTCCAAAGAGATTTAACATGTTGCTTCATGTAAATCATGTTATCGACCTGTTGCACGTAGAAAGTTCGACTTTCCGACGTTTAAATATTTCGTGCATTTCTACGAACAATTCATCACTCACAACGATCTGATTAACCGGTTCGCTTTAGGACGCGAGCGACAAAGCGTCAAACTGCTTTATAAAAAACGACACTGTGTGGATATTTTTTAAACAGATATTGTGCGCAGAGAGAGATTGTGCGTGCCTAGAAGGCAAGAAATACTTACAAAAAACGAAAAAAAAAAAGAAAATACCCAACTAGAGTGTATCTTTTGTAAGCAATGGATGATTCAATTTTCCTCCTGAAATATCTAAAATTTCAATGAAAAAGCTTTTGCTTTAATATGATAATAAATGACTCGTTTATTGATGGATAAAATTCTCAGCTGGACTCTCTGAAAATGCAGACGCACAGGCAGTGCCACAGCACAGCGTGGAAAAAGAACTGTTACGCATTACCTCGTTTTATTTAAAAAATTTAACTCGAATTCAAAAGACATGGGACTCATGGAAACTTTGTGATACGCTTCATTGCAAGGACTATTATCGTTGAACAAGTCCACTTGTAAAAATTAATACATACTATAGTTCGTTATAAACTCTTGAATACCGAGTTTCATAGTTCAATACTATAACAGTAGTGGAGATCAATAATAGCAAAAGCCTGACTAGGAAAAGGATGTTATTAAAAACGCGCAAGTATCTTGACGAACAAAAAATGCACGCATATACTGCTTTTGGGGTGATAAGATCAATGGCAATATTTGACTAAAAATACTGGTACACTTCCAATTGATAAACTATTATATCTCAAGTGCCTCGAGTTGTCATTATCGATAAAGCAGTAGCCAATTTTCTGAGGCCTTTACTTCGGTAATAAGACCCAAAATGAGGGTACGTTGTAATCATCGACATGAACGCTGTTAACTTTCTAGAGGTCACTTTATGTATAGAGAGTTGGGAAAAAGAAAATTTAGAACTCTGTCTCATACACGTATAGTTTAAGAGCGTCTAAGTGTAAGAGGGTGCCTTGGGAATGTACCTTACAGTTTAGATTTGAAACAGCTATGCAATATCGGTACCAATAAAGCAATGTCTATTTACTTCAACAAAGCAACTCCATACGTGACAGACACTATACATAGTTTAAAAATATGAATAATTCAGTCATGAACAGCCTTCATGCAAGTATTTTAATACACCCGAAAAATTTCAGATTATTGCTCACTCCACGATTTTGAAGCACCGTATCACGGGTAGACTAAGAAAAATTACCCTGGTGTTGCTTATTTCCATGTGGTTCGGTTTCTTTTAAGAAAAGGCAAGGGATTATGTCAAAAGCAGCAAAAGCAACATTATTGGCATCTGTATTATTTTGTGGTGCTTCCGTAGTGGGCGTACATTACATTCAAAATACAGAAAAGGAGGTTGGGAATCGGGAAAAAACCTGGATGAACACTTCGAGCACATGTAGACTCGAGATTTACTGACAACTTTACGATCTAGAATCTTAGAGCAGGTGTACTGCGCGATGAAGAGAGAAGACAGAAAAAAGAACAGCAGCGCAACAATATGAAGGAGCTGAAAGAACAGCGAGAATTACACGAGGCATTGTTGAAAACACAGGAAGTGTCAAAAATACCATCGAATGAAGCGACGACAGAAGACGTCGACTGACGTAGATGAGCCTTATATAATGAATATGAGGGAAAAAGCATCCAAATAAATGAATGAATCTTTTTTATTATAGAAAGTGGGATACATCTTTGCAGGAGTTGTGAAAATAGAGCTAACTACTTACTCCATGCACCAAAGATATGCTAAAACATATCTAAGCACTTTCGCCCTTTTGGAAGACATAGGTCAAGTGGCACTTGCCACAGTATTGACGATCCTGGTGCTTAGCCATAAAGACACCGGCTCCACAGGTGGCATTAGGACACTCACGGCGAAGACGGGTAATCTTACCAGATTCATCGACCTTATAGTACTTGAGAATGGCCAACTTAACCTTGGTACGCTTATGCTTGATCTTCTTGGGAGTAGTGTAAGTCTTCTTCTTTCTCTTCTTACCACCACCGAGAAGCTCGATGTTCAAGTGAAGAGTGGAGTTATCTTGGACACCATAGAGACCAAGTTCACCTTCAGAAAGAGACTTACCACCGAAAGACAAGCGTTGAGCGTCAACAGGGAGACTTTCACGTTGCTCGATCAAAGACTTGACAGAAGAAACGGGAGTGTTGGCATTAACATCAACGACGAGAGTGTTGCCTTGGAGAGATTTGACGAAGACTTGCATTTTTTTTCCAGATAACTCGATTATTTTTCAACAAGATTTAAATGTAGTGATGAAAAAGAATCTATAAATATTGTGCAATAATGATTTTAAGCTTAGTATACCAAACCAATGACAAGATCGTAAAGAAGCAATGAGAACGCAGTTGTAATGAAACTGACGCTTAATTGTACATACCTTCCTCACTATCTGTTCGAAGCGTAAAAAAACTGGGAAAGAAGCTTTGAAAGTGTTCGCTCCTACCAAATCTTATTAACGAGCCTACAAAAAATTTTCAGTCCTGTTTATTGGTCAACTTTTTGTGACGCTCGAAATTTGCCGCTGTCATTGTCTTGTCTTAAATTGAGTACTTCCATTTCTGCTTAATTGCAGGCTTTACCAGTGTGGAGAAATAGTAGTGTCATGCCAGGTATTTCCCGCATTTGCCATTTACTCGCTTCTTTTGTAGTGCGCACTTGCTAGCTACAAAAAATGACAATCATCTTATTGATTTTATCTTTGTGAAATTCTTAAAAGGTTACGCGAATAACTTTTCAAAACAACCTAAACGGAAAAGGTCAAGAAGTAGAAGTGGCGGTTTTGACAGTAAACAGGACGACCTGAATTACGTGGATGAAGAAAGTGACTTATCTTCTGTTGATGAACATTTAAATACAAATGATTTTGGTAGCCATAATGTGTCCTCACCGCGACATTCGCTTGCATCACAACAAAATGAAACTGGTGCTCATACCTCACACCCAAGGAAAAGGGGTAGACCAAAGGTGAACCACTCTTCCGCAAGCCCTGCTCATGTCAAAGAAGAGTCAACTAGCAGCGATAAGCCAAGCCAACAACATGCTTATGGGTCACCTTCAGCTTCAACAGCAACGACAACTGGAACAAACGGTTATGAGAGTGATAAAGATGAGATAGGTGAAACTAAAGTGGATAAATTTGGCCGACTACAAGGAGGTATGCACTGAAAATGAGTGCATTTGATTTCACCAACATCTTATGCTCATACTGTTGAATTCAACTGTTTTTAGGACGTGAATACAGAGTACCTACTTTTACTCTACCAACAAGGGATGACACATTGTTTATGTTCTCTAAAGATCCAGCAGCGCTATTAGGGTTTCGTGATAGTTTTGTGTTCTTGAAAAAGAATGTAAAATTACAAAAAGTGCACATTGACAACAATGAGAAGGGCCACCTTGTCGATTCAAATCTATTAAGATCAACTTTTCGCACAAGGGAAATTTCGGTTGTTACTGCACGGTCGGTTTTTAAGCAATTTGGACATAGAATTGTAAAGAGAGGACGAAAGGGAAGAGACGATTATTATTACACTGATGAAGTAGATGATGGTGATGACATTCCTTCAGAAGATGAATATTACGCCAATAACTTCTTTGATAGTCAAAGTGGCATCAATAGACCTATACCAGCCTCATCTTTTATACAACCAAATCATCATTATCATCATTCAAGCCATCATTACAATTCGTCTATAGCCTTAAGTGCTGGGGGACCCAATAGCCTCATTGGCAACAGTACTAATCATGATTATGGACGTAATAATTTAACTCACAAGTTATCCTTATATGACACTCAAACAAATGAGCTGAACTGGTTACATAATGCAGCTTTATCAACCAGACAATTTAATACGTCATTATTCTCTTATCGCAAAAATAATCCTACAACTTACGATTTGTTAACGAATGTTTATCAGATACCTGCAAATAAGCAAACACTAAAGGATACAACAGCTTTCAATGGAAAAGATGTTGATCCTACTTCTAAAACGGTGACAAATGACATTGATACAAACGAAGACACTATTGATAATGCAAATATCCTTTCATCCTCCGCAGATCCGCAGCTACAACAGAATCCAAGAAATGCTACCTTTACAGCTAATGCCACGACTAGTAACAATGCCTCAATGAATATGAATCCTATGACAGTTGCCCCTGATATGCGCACAGTGCCAAATATCCAACAGTAAAAGAATAGTATTTCCTTTCATTTTTTTTTATTCTATCACAACCCTAAAGTCTTTCTAGCATTTTCACGTACGATTTCATTATATCTTTCTCTGTTTTCCCTCCACATTTTCTAGAAGTGAATAAATAATTGATGAATAAAAAATTCGAAGCCAAGAGTCTGCTTATAAAAGTTACACTTACAGAAGCATCAATATTAGCTCCACTTTCATCATTGGGTTCTGCTAACATACTAACGACGCTTAACAAGATTTTTTCCACGCTTTGTACAGGACTCCATCTCTCTGAGCTACTCTCGTACATATTCGGATCATCACCTGGAGGATGTAAAATGGAAATACACACAGTGCCATTCGGATATACATTAGGATGGAAGAAATCACAAGTGAAGCGCATTGTGGGTGGGCTTAAGGGATAATCTTTGGGGAATGTTAAAGTAGCAGGAAATAAGCCGCCTTCGAAAGGTGTTCCTTCAGGTCCACTATGAAGAGATGCAATTTCATATTAAAGCGGTTCCTCTTCAAAACAGTTTCCTTCCTCAGGTTAAAACAAATCTATACTTACGCAATAAGCGCTTCCCACTCAAAAAAATTATTTTCATCAATAGGGCCTAGATTTATATTGTTCCGTGAGCTAATTTCATCTATACTTTTTTGTTTTAAAAGTTGCTTAGCGCAGTTTTCAATCTTCAACCATACCTGCAGTAATTCCTTCAGGTGCATTTAACGTTAGCTCTACAAATATGTTGTTTGTTGAGTAAGATATAGTTTCATTGCGTCAAAACTATCTGGATTTCAGCTGCTCACCTCGGTACTCTGTCATTAAACGCTTCAGGGCGGTTGATCCCATGGTTCGGTTATTATACATCTGGCTCGATTAATTTATAGTTTCTGTTTACGCGATTTATACTATTTGAAATGACAATCTGATGACAGGTTCTCAAGTTTAACTATATATAGTATTATTGAGCGAACTGGTGAAACTCGTTGTTCAAGCAAGATAAAAAGGAAATTATTAAGGTAGGCTGAATTTAAGGATCATCCACGATCGAGCACTCTTAAGGACCCAAATGGGAAAGCAGAAATTCCGACGGACTTTTAAACAAGCCACACACTAAACCAGTTGAATACTCCAAGCGAAATGCCGAAAGTGAAGGGGTACTTGTCTTTTGAACTTTTCTTTTTTTCTCTTTGTTTTACACTATCTTCAATAAAAGAACATCATATATACTCTACATATCTTCTAGAAAATGGGTTTGTTTAGTGGACTTACTGGAAACAAAAGCAATGACAGCTACGACAAGAATTTAAGTGATACCAATACCACTGACACTAGCTCCTTGGACGACATATATTCATCTGGAGGTATAACTACTTCAGAAACAAGTTTTGGTGATATGGGATCAGATAATAGCTTCGAAAAGTTGCCCGACTTTATGACCGGTTTGAACAGTTACGATACAAGTCGATTGCAACCTGTTGCTTTAACTGGTGGTCTTGATTTCTTACAAATTGAAGGTGAATCCACCGGCACCAGCGTTCATGGTTCTTCTTTAACTCCTTCCCGTGGATGGTCAGACGATTTGTGTTATGGTACAGGCACTTCTTACTTAGCAGGGCTCACTTTAGGTGGTGCATTCGGCTTAGCTGAAGGTTTAAAAAAGAGCAGTGGATCGCCTAATATGAGAGTGCGTTTAAATACAACCCTTAACTCTATTACACGTCGTGGACCAGGGCTTGGTAATTCCATCGGCGTGATCGCGATGATCTACAATGGCGCTACAGCTGTCATTGATGCTTCAAGAGGAAAGCATGATATATTTAATAGTGTTGCAGGAGGTGCTTTAGCTGGTGGTTTGTTCAAGTCAACTGCAGGTCCTCGTGCAGCTGCCGTTTCCGCTGGTGTTTGTGCTGGTGTTGCTGGTGCATGGTCAGTTTTGGTATCGAACTTTTCCGACAAATAAAGCAAATTATACAAATAATACAACTGTAGTATAGATTCCCCTCCACCACATATGGAAAAAGCACCGAGTGAAAGGAATTATTTATAGTATATAGGAACAATTACATCCACCTACAAAAATGAAACACATACACACGCACATCCATATGCATACGACCTTCCCTGTACAACCATTATATGGAGGATACAATTTAAACGATATCAAGATTATCTTACTTGTACACACAGACTATTGTACCATATATATGGGTCCTTCCTTCTTTTCTCTTTGTAATTCGAAATAAACTAAGTCTGATAGAAATCTATAACTTCCGCTAAGAGATGATGTACATGCGAACCAAATGCAAGTGTGAAGAAGCAACTTCGTTGGTTACGAAGCAGGTTTGGCTTTAAGGCTGCTGTCAGTAGACAGGTTTTCATTCGATGTTTTGGTAGCAGGTCTGTCCATCGATACTACTGCGTAATATTCGGTATGGCCACAATTTTTTCATCTATTTGTTCAATGCATTTTGACAAATACGATACAAGTCATAATCATTCTTACGCTGTAGCTATTTTTATATATATATCACGGCTACGTAATAAGGACGAACAATCTTTTATAGTGGTATCCGCGAAACAGATATTGACAGACAGAAAATCCGATTTTTTTTTTCTTCTTTGGAGGAGCTTCTGATGGGTTTAATTCAAAGTCCTGCTACACATTAAACATTGCTGTCAATGCTTTTTTTTTTTCAGCCTCCCGTCAGTAACGTACATCATTAGTTAAGATGGGTATTCTCGAGAAGATCCAAGATATTGAAAATGAAATCAAGCGTACTCAAAAGAACAAAGGTTAGATTATAAAAAAAGTAGATCGCAGATCTATGTTTTCTTAATTGTGCATTTAAGTAACAAGAAAACTTTATCTATATAGCTACCGAGTATCATCTTGGTTTGTTGAAAGCCAAGTTGGCCAAATATCGTGTCCAACTGTTGGAAGGCGCAAAGACGAAATCTGAAAAGGTAGGAAAATGCTTTCTGAATCCTCGTTGTAAATACATGTTTTAATTGATAAACTTCTCTTCTTTTTTTTAAAAAACATAGGGTGAAGGTTTCGATGTTATGAAATCAGGCGATGCTCGTGTCGTAATGATCGGTTTTCCTTCCGTTGGTAAATCAACGTTGTTATCCAAGCTCACCCCTCAAGAATCTATTGCAGCGGCCTACGAGTTTACAACTTTAACATGTGTTCCTGGTAAATTTACGTATAAGGGCGCAAATATTCAATTACTTGATTTGCCCGGTATTATCGAAGGAGCTTCTCAAGGTAAAGGTCGTGGTCGTCAAGTTATTGCTGTTGCAAGAACGGCTGACGTAGTATTAATGATGCTGGATGCTACGAAATCAGCTCAACAAAGGTAAAAACTGTTCTATCATTGATGATCTGATGATATGCAGACGTTCCTCTAACAAATTCTATTCTACATAGACCTCTATTGGAAGCTGAATTGGAAGCTGTGGGCATTCGTCTTAATCAAAGTTTTCCCAACGTATCATTCAAAGTTAAGAAGGCTGGTGGCATTAGTTTTAATGCAACTGTCAAGTTAACAAAATTAGATCAGAAAATGGTTCATAACATCTTACACGATTATAGTAAGTTTGCTGATCTCTTAAAAAGAATGAAGTAATATAAAGTCAACTCAACGTTAAATTTGCTAACTCTTGATTATCTTTGACAGAAATTTTCAATGCTGACATCGTTGTACGTGAGGATATCAGTGTAGAGCAATTTATAGATGTTGTACTGGGAAACAGAAGGTATATCAAATGTATTTATGTAGGTATTCCTGAAAGATATTTCTGTGTCTCGTCTATTGTTCATTGTTTACTTACTCCATTCTTTCCAATGAAGTGTTATAATAAAATCGATCAAATCAGTTTAGAGGAAGTGGATCGATTAGCCCATCAGCCTGATACAGTAGTAGTTTCTTGTGAAGATGATCTTAACTTAGACTATCTAGTGGAGTGTATATGGAGGAAGTTGAATTTGATGCGTGTATATACAAAGAAGAGAGGAGAGTTTCCTGACTTTGATGATGGGCTTATCGTTAGAAGTGGAGCTACAATTGAACATGTATGCCATGCCATTCACAGAACTCTGGCAGATAATTTCAGATACGCATTAGTTTGGGTAAATAATATCAACGCACGAAGTCATTCTTTTGCTATTGCAAGTGATAACCGAAAAACGTTACTTTTATAGGGAACTTCTACGAAACACAATCCCCAACGCGTGGGTATAAATCATTCAGTCCATGATGAAGATGTTGTACAGGTTGTAAAGAAATAAATCAGTTTGAGTGTATTTTATGTTGATTTTTTAGCAACTTGATTTAGCTGTTGAATGATTGGATGTTTTTTGATTGTTTGAGTTTCTTCAGCAAACTGTCTATAAAAAGACATTATAGTGAAAGGGACCCCCCACCTGATTCACAGTCTGCTGCTATTAGACTGCTGTTCTATGCAAAGCTTTACACTGTTTATAACATTTTTTTGCTTTGCGTTTGCGAATGCTGTAGATTACTTTGATCAATTACAAAATGAATTGAATCAGAGCCCAACAGGTCAAGTGCGTCGATTCTACATAACGGCTGAGGAAACGATATGGGATTATACCGCTGAAAGTTCACAAATGGACGAAGGTACCCATCAATAAATGTTTCAAATACTGTGTTGGGCATATTTATTAAAAAATATACATCAGACAATTGCACCAATATTATCGGTACAAGATACTATAAGGCAATATATCAAGAATATGAGGATCTCACCTATACAAGGAAGAAGGAGCGTTATCATTGGCAAGGGAACATGGGACCTATTTTGAGAGCAGAAGTAGGCGATATTATACAGGTTTTTTTCTGGAACAGGGCCTCAAGAAACTACACGATCCATCCGCATGTAAGTTAGATTAATCATTGTACGATAGAGCGAGATGGGATTGAGAAGGCTCCAAATTAAAAATATAGGGTATATTCTATGAATTTGAAATGGAAGGGGCTGTTTTCAAAGGGGCCTATGAAGGAAGCAGTGTTACGCCTAATCACAACTACACTTACACTTGGAACGTTCTACCAAGAGCTGGACCAGGTCCGAAAGATGGGAATTCTATTGTCTGGGGCTATCATTCACACGTAACAGAAAATGACATGTAAAATTTATCTTGATTTGACGCCACTATTACTTAAAATGCATTATTTTCAATGCAGGCTAACAAAAGCATACCACTTCGTTTGCTATGAATTTAGTTATGCAGGGCTATACGGTGCTATCGTAATTTACAAGCCTGGTACTCTGAATACGGAAGACCTAGTCAGTTCTGTTTTCAGTAAGTGTTTTCCTTCTGTCGTGTTTAATATTTTCCCTTTGTTTGTCAGCGTTTAGTAACAAAAGCGTAATATTTTATTTCACATCAACCATACATAGTTATGGATGAGAATCTCTCCCCTTACCTTGCCAAAACAATGGCAAAATTGTATCCTGATTTTAATGACGCCAAGTATGATAAAAAAACGATTTACAACGCTAGAACTTTTCCTAGCATCAACGGGCTATCGATGGCAAGTCCGAAAGACTTGGTTTTAAAAGGAGGAAAAGAGCTGGTGTGGCATTTATTGGGTTGGGGGACATATTGGGATGTTCAGTACTTAAAATGGCAAAATGCAGAGGTGATATTAGATGAACAAAAGGTCGATTATGTGCGGTTGATGCCAGCCTCCTTTTACACTGTAACTGTTATTTCGCAAGATGTAGGCGTGTATAAGTTTGGTTATTTGGAAAACAGTGACAGAAAATGTATGGCGATGAATTATCGAATTGTTTAAATATGCTTGAATAGTAGTTACGATATACTTGGATATGCGAAAAATCAATTTCACTTTGTACAAAATAGCGTAGAGCCAATATTTCCTCAATCCTTTTTCAGTTCGGTTTTACCGTCAAAATAATAAAATAACACACAGATAGACTTCGTATCAGAAATTGCCCTAGGCAGATCAAAAAGATATAATGGTAACTAAAAAACCCTTAAAAAAACAAAGGAAAGAAGGTAGTGATTATGAAGCTGATTTGGTTAAAGGGGATACCGAGTCCTGTTGGTTGGACGCCAAAGTTTGATCAGTTTTGTAAGAGGCGCTGATTATAGGGCATTCAAGTTCCCTTGAAGATATGCTTTGATGATCTTATGCAGCGTTTAGCGGTCGTGGATGGACGGAGTACTTTTCCAGGTGACATTCGATCTTGATGTTTGGTACCAGTGAGATCGACTGTCGGCTTGAGTGATATGAAGAAGCGAGAGGAACCACCGAAGATACGAAGAAATTTCCATAAACTGGCGAAAATCCCATGGTTATATACCTTTATTATAAGTTAACGAAGAAAAGGTGAAGTGTTAAAAGGATTAAAAAGACTGTAACTATAGAATTTGAATCGCCCAATCGCACTAATTTTGCCAAACGTCTTCCTTGGACCACTGCAACCCGTACAATTATGATTAAAGTCTTTCCGCGGTGCCGCAAAATAAATAATGAACCGCCGGTGCCTTAACGATAAAGAAAAGGAAGACAAGATTGCGGTTTGCATAAGCTTTTATGGTAGTTGCTTAAGAGCGCTCATCAAAAATTTTGTAACCCTAATACTTTTTTTTTATGAGAGAGTAGCTCTGGTTTTATTTAAAGTCCTCTTATTGTCGGTATGAGGGAAGAAGAAGACTAGGTATAAGTTTAGATGGGAGATTATTAAAAATGTAACAGGCTAAGAGTGATTGTCGAATAAAGACACTGAGATATAATCTCATACTGGAAACTAGCTCACTGTTCAAAGAGTGAGATCGTGTTCGAGGCGAGAGAGTAACCGAGACACAGACGCGAAAACACAAAAATGAACCCGGGGGGGAGTGTTTCTAAATATAAAGGCTCAATGGGCATGTCAAAGGCCAAGCAAAGTACAGGCGAATATTTGGGAAACAGAGAGACCGGAAAATGGGAGAGATGGGGGTACGGCGAAGATTGGACTGGTCAAGTTGGCTAATACGACGGAGCAATTGAAGAAGATCATCCGTAAAGTATTTGTACATTGGATTGATGAAGGCAGATAATACCAATATCCAGACTTGGAATTTGCTGGGACAAGTGTAGAGAAAGTGAATAGAATTCTCAATTGGCGACACTTCAGTCGTATGGCAGATGTGACAATCCACAGAATCAAATTGTTAGAGAGGAAACGTTGCATCAATTTGCGGTAAAGAACTTTGTTTAACAATAGTCAGTACCATACTGTACGGGCAGATAACGGAATCGAAAATTGCCAAAAGGCAGACCATTGTGAGGGACAGTAAAGCGCATCGGAACGGTAGGTAGACGACGAAGCAAGGACCGATAATGCTGTGGGCTATAGATTTCAGCATCTGGAGTAGAACTTTTTGTGGAGAAACAGAAGGCCACAATAGGTTGCAGATCATCAGCAGGGATAGTATAGGCGATTCGATGCGTGGCGCTGGTAAGTATTGTTGGTGCAGAAAAGGTCGTAGTTGTATTTGACCGGACCATATCAAGCTACGTAGAAGGTAGGTAAGGTTGCGATAACCAATAACCTCATTGACATTCCGTAGACGGAGTCCTAGTTGGGCAAAATCATAGGTTGGTCATTTGGGAGCAATCAAAGGCGCGATGCCCTGAATCATGACCAATGGAACAGTGATTGCGGCTTTGAAATTTTGCAAATAAACTTGAAAAGCCCTATTTTCATGACAATAACGGCACTAAGTGGAATGTTATTTCAGGTGCTGTGAAGAATGTCATCTATCTCCTGCCTCTACAGCGTTTGAGAGAGAAACTATATTATGATCAGTGGGATCCAAGTAAGGGCTGCATATCCTGATCACATAAAGATTCCTGCAATAGGCTCAGTTACAGTGCCTACATCGACCAAATTACCGAAAGGTTGGAACCTCTTTGTAGGCCGCTCAGTACTTTATATAGGGTAACTTGGGGAGATTTATAAGTTTAAATTTAGTGATCGTCTTACTGACGTCTGTGGCTTTACAAAGAAACACCTTTAATTCACGTTTGAAGAACTGTACTCCATTATGGATAAAGTCGTTGCTGTCGTGACCGATGTATAATTCGAGGTAACGGTTGCCACCATCTATGTAAATTGCATCCGAAAATATTAGGGTACTGATTTTGATAAGTTGCATGCATTCAAGATTGATGTAATATGTGCGCAGCGCCATGATGCCCAATAGAGGTGTTTGGGAAAGCGGAGGAGCGATAGACGCGAGAATGAAAGGTACTATAGGCAGAATCTGCATTCAATTCGGGGGATTCAAAATCTCTATCGATAAAATCATTTGGGCATATGAACAAAGTGTTTGGCCTTCGAATTCATTTCTGACTCCGCTAGGAACAAAAAGTGTTGGGAATATGGAAGAGCCATGTACCCTTTCAGGAAAACACTGGCCGCCTTTCAGTATTCTGCTAACTGTATTTTTTAATCTGTCTTGAACGAAAAAGAACTCTCAATCAAAATCGTCTGAATTTCCTTCTGTGAACATCTGCAATTGAAATAGAAATATAGTGTTTTAACTGCTATTTCAGACTTTTCACAAATTTTATTGCACACTATTAAATCTTAATTTAGACAACTTTCAATTATTTTACGATGAAGCGGTATATCATTCTTGGACGATTTCGCTGATAATCAATTATCCAATATCATCCAAGCAGCATTAAGGATGGCGTACAAGCTAGTCCTAAAAATGAGTCTTCATAGTAAGGAAGTCGCTAAGAAAACTCTTATTGGCGTGACTTTGCAATAGGACGAGCTACAAAAAGCTTGACAACTTTTTCGTCAAATGACGATGTGTTATAAGACCCAACCAGATGTTCGTCAGTGCCTTTTCCGGAACTTTGCCCAATGATAAAGACGTGTCTTTCTTTTCTCGCGTTTTGTTGTCAAAGTTAAATTATAATGAAGAGGTTCTTTTAAACGAGAATAAGATCCCTTCTTTTCCGTATTTCGCTTTTTTTGTAACTTACAGCTCTATTCATGTACAAAAGTTTCTTTATACAGAAGATTAGATCTATTAAAGAAAAGCATAAGAAACAGGTTAAAAGGAACCCATTTGGTAAAATGCTTGATAATTGTAGGAGAACCGTCAGATCAAGATATAAGGATTCTGATATTTGTTGCAACTTTTTAGAACATACCAAGTGTCGAGACTGCTATGAACCAGGTCATTTTGACAAGCGTTATTACAAATGCAAGTATTACAAAGCCGTAAAAGCTGATGATGGTAAGCAATAAACCTAAATCTATCTTACACACAGCACTTAATTGCTTGTGAGTAACCTCCTTAAAGTTGGTAGCAGTGGCAAAAAGAGAAAACAGAGTGACCAAGTGAAAGAGAAGAAGAAAGCAGTTAAACGGAAAAAGACCACCGCACAAGCTGCAAAGTGCCTCAGCTGTGGACAAGATGGCCATACCACTGCTCGTTCGCCGCAATGCCTCAAACACACGCCTTCGAAAGAAGAACTCATTTCATCTGTTCTTAGTGATGATGCTACTGTATTCACAAGAAAGCTTCCCATCGACAGTGCGGTGTTACCAACCTTCCGCGAGAAATTCAGAGAAAGAGTCATTTCGTGCTGCAATGACATTAGGGCTATTGTGTTTCGTTCGCAACTATTTGTTAACGCTTATCTCATCCATAATAAGAAAGACACACCAAAAGAAATTTTCACCCAACAGTTCTGGTATTCGGTTGGACAACTTGTAACAGGTAAAACAGTAACCAACAAGAAAGCAATAAATGATTCCATGAAAAACTTCTATAAGCAGTTCAAAGAGAAGCATCCAGCTGTCGAAGTAAGTTATAGCTTCACCAAAGGCTATAGCCAATGCTTGACAGAAGCTTGTAAAGAGCTCAGTACCACATATACAAACAGCATTGTTGAGCTTTTTGAGCAGCGAATGCTCAAATATCTATACTATACCTTGCAGAATATGTTCCCGGTAAGGAATAACTTTACATTAAACCAAACAGCAGCAAACTCAATATTCTTTTCTCTTTAGAGCATGGTAAAGCGCGATGTTGACGAAATCGCAACAAAATACTGCTATCAAGTGATTTGCAAAGGCGAACCCGAATGGAAAGTCAAGTTAAGCAGTGATGACAAATTAAGAATAGATAATTTGTGCAAGAACTTTGCAGACCTTGTGGAGGAAAAGGTTACACTTTTATCATTGGCGGCCGATCCTGTCAAATTTGTCAAGCCCTTGTGGTTTATCCAAGACTACTACGAAGAAGAGCATTCTAATCATCTTGCCTACGATGTTCGTAGGTTACCATTACCTCATCGCTTCTTCCCTTTTCCAACACCCTCAGTATCATGGCGCTTCATTACCATCAGCATAAATGCCCTTGCTCCTTTTTTATTTCCTGGAAGACTTGTAAAGGGTTATTGGAATCAACTTGAACAATTTTGGAAAGTGTTCAACTTCAAAAAGTTAGGCTTCAGAAGGTAAAGTAAATAGCACTCTGCTAAAAGACTCTGTTCTCAAGATTATTCTTTCACTTATATCATAGTATTGCTGAGTTAAAGACAAACACAAGTATGCTCTTCAGGAATCTCATTCGATCTGATAGCTTCACTGTAGACTTCCTATTTAGTCGTAAGAAGAAACCAAAAGAAGACGCCATCATTGATCATCATGACTTGACGTTGGAAGACTTCTCCTATGAAGAAATCACGACAAACTACAGACCCACATTTGTTGATCCTGGCCGAAAGACCGTATTTACAGCAGCAATCGGGTTAGAAACAAACAGACATGAGATACGGCGCTGCTCGACAAAAGAATATTATCACATGACGGGTAGTACTCGTGTCAATGCAGAATTAGAAAGGAAAAAGGCCGGTTGTATGATAAAAGCGATAGAAAGCAATATACCAAGTAGTAAAACAGGCTCGCCTGAACAGTATAAGAGATATATTATTTACATACTACAACATTTAGAGATCCTGTTCTCATTCTATGGGCCAGGTATGGGTGAAACAAGGTTCCGTCTGCATCAAGGCAGACAGCGTGCTGCAGACATGATGGTGAACATGCTTGTCGATGGAGGGATCAAATACGACAAAGAATTACGGAAGAAAAGAAAGGAAGAACAGATGAAATGGCCAAAGAAGAAGGGCAAAATTAAGCATAAAAAAAGAAGAAAGAAGACGAAACAGAAAGTGAAAGTAAAACAGGAAGAAGAGAAGGAGAAGGAGAGCCGGGAAGAAGAAGAGACAAAGAGCGATAACCACGTTCGGTAGGTCTGTAGCGATTAACTGTCCACTGAATTTGTGATACTCAATCTTCTACTGTCTTCCTTCAACAGACGATGGGCCCCTGAGAAATTCAGGCTGAGTGATCGCAAAAAAGTTCCTCTGCTTGTATTTGGTGACGGCATGTTCAATAAATCCGCCGTTCATCTAAAAGGCCTTAGAACTGGTGTCGTTGGTGTTCTGTGGCGTGCATTGAAGCGAAGAGAGGCTGCTGGTGATCTCCTTGCCGTTACAATTGATGAATACTTGACATCACGCATATGCAATTGTTGTCGCTCAGACACATTGAAAGCATTAGACACCGTGCGTGGCTGTAGTATCCTTGTTTGCAAAACCTGTAAGATACTATGGAACCGCGATGTCAATGCAGCAAAAAACATGATGGCCATCAGCATTTCGGTATGGAAAGACAAGGAACGTCCTACGGAGTTCAGCCGGAAGACAACTTCTTAGTCTTTTGATATTTATTATCGCCAGAACGAAACTGGCTTGATATTTACAGGTAAACGTCTCCATTTTAGTGTAGTTCGATCTTCAAACTCTAACTCAATCGTCTCAAAATTTTGGTCATTCCATCCAGTTATTTTTAAGCTGCGTCTAAACCCGCAGTTAAAAAACTGTATAAGGGTTTGTCTTTTTTAGAAAGCTCCGAAAACCAGATAGAAACTACAGCGTTATACCAAGAAAACATCTGTGAACGGATAATTTCATGGCCAAAGGTGTTTAGGTTTTCTTGAAAGAACAGTTGACCAATCGCTGTTGCTGGCTCAAAAAGCACCTAATAATTTTATCTTGCTTATAAAACAGCATGTTTAATAAAAAGCGTTAATTGTTTAATAAGTCGATCTGCGCTTGATCTTGACTTTTAGCCTTTCCAATTGAACAAAATTTTGAACTCCTCGTTTCAAATTGTCAGAAAGGACAGAAAGAAGCGTATTGAAAATTTGATCCACATGTCAACAGATTCCTATTTATAAAGTAAATAAATCTCTGAATAAAGAAGTTGTTGTGAGTGAAATTTCCATCGTACACTGAGACAGGGCGTAAAAAAATGGATGTAAGAATATCCTTTATTTTTCCTTGCTTGACTATTCGTTTGTCGATTAGTTAACCGCGTATCATACTCTTCCATTAACTCTGATTTATGAGTTTATATTAGACGTCTTTAGTTTAATAAACCAAAATAATGATTTTTTTTATTTTATTTGTTATCCCTGTTCTTTCCATCTTACTCTTTCTGCTGTATTTCTTTATCGTTTTCTCTTCTTATTTTTCTTACTTTCTTACATTGAATATGATGGGCATCCCTTTACACGTCAACAGAAATGAGAATGATAGTAGCATCAATAGAAAGCCTACGCAAATAAATCAGACGAGATTGGCCGCTGTTTCTAATTACAAATTGGCACAACTGACATTTTCACCGCCCAAAGATTTTACACTAAGAAAAACAGCATTGGTTAAGAATTTGGTGGAAATTGTCTATCAACATACATTAAATGATTATCTGACAAAGCCTATGACGCGATGGACTTTTTTCACACCAGAATCTTTAGAAGACATGACTCAAAAAGATGTGGAGAAAGTCATTTACCGTTATACACAAATCATTCACAATACAGCTGTAGCTTTTGAAAAGAAGCACATAAAAAAAGAGCAGCAATTTTTATTAACAGACTTTCCGGAGAAACAACAACTGTTGCTGGAACAGCAAGTACACGAACAGGAGCAGCTCGTAAATGCACTTATGGAGGCTAACGGCAACGATGACGAAGAAAAGGTTTTGCAATCCTATTATTCAACTCTGTTTCTACAGCCAAATTCTATATTTTCGAACGAATCGCTTGAGCAGGATTGCTCGCTCCACAGTTTACAACAAGGCGACTATGACGACGAAACAGACTCCTCATTTGATAGTGAAAAAGAATCAGCCACCAGTGATGTTAAAAAAGAATCTCGAACAACTCTGAGTGAGGCGTTTAAAGAAGATAACAAGCATAATATTAATGAAATGTTTACTTCTCCCACACATAATTTTGGAAGTTTGATTATTACGTCCACCAACCCCAGCAGTATTGAAACGAACACGACTTCTAACAACACATCTGCAACCGGTAACAGACTGAGCTGGCTTAGTGATACCGGTGTACCTACAACAAGCTTAGCTTTGAATTTAGCAAGCGAGCTAATGTCACTCTTTGACATGGAGTTTAATGTAGATTTGACCATACCCGACCTGAGGCGATTTGAAGGCAACAACAGCAGTACAACAAGCTTAAATCAAGTCTATAATATGAATGATTTCAGTGATGATATTGAAGGTGAAGAAGACACCGACGATCAGTTTGCTCAGCAAATAATACAAGGAAGTGAACATGTCCCTTTGTTTGAGCAGCAGCCACTACATAATACTGAATATATGCCGGATCAAGAAAGAGATCGCAAGAGCCCTGAAAAGAGTAGAGCATCAATTTTACGGGAACTATTTGAGGATAGTCCCATAACACATCATTATATTGCTGAAAATGAGAAGAAGAAGCAACAGCAACAGCAACAGCAATCATCAAAGAAAGTCGTTGCAGTGCCAACTTTAAAACATTTGGCACAAAAGCCACAACAGCGACAGGCTGATCTTTGTAAAGGTGACAGTTTTGATGAAATTGAGAATAACAGTAGTAATCATGCCAATTCCAGCACAGATAACATCTCATTCTCATCGTCTTCTGTCCTGGGAACACCTTCACCGGGCTATAGCAGTCAGCAAAAGCACATTCTAACGGGAACCCCTTCCTTATCACCATCCACCTTCACAACAAGTAGTCAAACAAGTCGATACTATTCGTCGTCGTTGTCTTCTGAAAGTGAAAATGAAGAAGAAATAATAAGAGATATTGACTTGCATCATGAGGGCAAAGCAATAAATGAAGACAATGAAGACGGCTCAGGACTGCAGCGACGCAATAAAAATTATTCTAAAAATATTATACCACCAAATAGAATTAGCTCACTCGAATATCGCCGTTCTTTGGCAGGCATTTTTGACCTGTCTGATGATGAGTCAGAAAGCACAGCCAGCTATCTCAATGACTCCACCGACGGATTACGTACGGGTATTTATGCGGCTCGAGAAGGTAGTACACCTGTCCATAAGGGCTTCAATGTAACCAAGAATAGCTGCCGTAAAAGTAGTAGTGTCAGCAGAACAAGTGCAACATATGGTAGTGACGGTCTTCATCAGCAGAGAAGCAGTAGCAGTCTCAGTCAGCAAATTACCTTTGAACACTCAGCTTTAGAAGACAATGATGCCAGCCACCATTTTTCTTTTGGCGCTGACTATACGCAAAGCCTCATATCTCCGTCCGACGAATGGAGCTCGGCATTTGATACAACCAGCATGATGTCTACAGATAGTAAACGGAAAACATTCCCAAAAAAGATGGCGCAGTTTTTTAGACACGCATCTGGTAGAAGAAGAGGCTCTTCGTCCCTATCTACGATATCCTACAATCCATCAATTCGCAGTTTACCATTAACAAACCCACCACCGCAAGCGCATCATTATGATTCTTCCGTACCAGCAGTAAGAGAGTCTTCCTCAATTCCATCACCTTCCGCTAATAGCGCAGAAGGCTTCTTTCCTGAAGACGACAATATTAGTATTACTCGTCAACAATATAAATACCGACACTCACCTCCTCACTCTTCACCTAATGATTCAAAATACCTTGATGTTATGCCTACAGAGAACAAAGGCAAACGAACAGCTTATTCATCCATTATATCCGATAGTAGCAGCACCATTAATTGGGTTCATGAGGCAATGCATAAACCAAGGTCTCCATCCGAGAGTCTAGGTCATCATCATTTCCCACATTATAATTCAAGTAGTGACACAAGTTTTAACACAACAAACAGCAGCAAATCAACATTCGTGGTGATGAGTAGGGATTCTTCGAGGCTCTCACAATCTTCTAAGTCATCCTCATCAAGTGCGATGAATTTTCTAAAAAGATTATCCTTTCATAAGAAGGATAAAAAGCTACAACGTGCTTAATCCGATATCGATGGAATTATATTTAAAGATGGAACCCAATAGCTACAATTTGTCTCCTTCATACAGTTTTAATTAATATATACATATCACCAATACACTTTTAAAAAAAACGTTTTCATAACGTATCATATCAATACATTTACATTAAGCAATCTTTGATATATTTGTGTACATTTAAGAAAGCTTTCAAGTTATTATTCGAAAAGATCAACATCAGTGGGCATTTCGAATGCTGGTTCTTCAAGACTTTGCCAGTTACCCGCTCTTAAATTAGAGAAGCGAATAGTCTCTTTTACAAAACTTTGGTATAAAGATGACACGAACGCCTGTTGTTTATGCACATATATCAACTCTGACCACATGCAAAATTTGGTAAAAGTTTCATGGTCTTGCTGCAAAGAAATCTCCAGTTCATCCTAAATAAAATCTCGATATAAGCATGTCGACTCTTGAAACGTCATTAAAAAAAAGCGGCCGTTACTTACTGCTCGTATAGCTTCTTCTAACTTCTCAACCTCTGCTTCCATGCCTGGTACACCTTTATTCTGATTAACCTTAGCGCGATTAGCAGACACACGTTTGGAAATAGTATCGGATTGATTGACAGACAATCTTGTCCTTCTTTCGTCCAAATCCTGCGTTTGTGACGATTCAAGAAATGGCAGGTTAGCGACAATAACCATTATTCAGGAATTTGGTTCACTCCTTACCCTATAAGCGACCAATAGATCACGAACTCTTTTCAGATTCTCTAAGATATCATCAGTTGCGTTTCCTACATTCTCTTCTAATATATTGCTTTCAACTTGCATGTGCTTGGCTACTGTTTCATATCCTCTCACTACACGTTGGCAATTTCTACATTCGCCTGCATGATACCTTAGTTCAGCTTCGGCTAATGAGCTGTCAGGTGGGGCTTAGCAAATTTGTCTTTTCCCACAGAAGAGATTTAAAATCTTTTGTACTTACTTTAACGCAATTGAAAATCTTGAAAAGTCGCTCGCTTGGCCGTGCATTCGACGAATCATCCTTTCCATTATATTGCATAGGTTTACATAATGCTTGATGCCCGCGCTTATTCTCTTTTTCGCCTGCTGGAGCTGCTCTTCTACATTGAGTGGTGTCATATCATCCAACTCCCTAATAGGTTGCGTATTTCTTTTAAATTCCTCATCCAAACTTGGGGGATTCTGCTTCCGCCAAGCTGCCAATTCTGAGGGTTCCGTTAAGAATTTCGCCACGACATCATCTTGCTTTAATACAGGGTGGCGGATAATAGCATTTATAAACCTAGATAGACCTTTTCTTCTCTTTTCTAAAAAAGCATCATCTCCTAATAACAATTAAACAATAAATATCTTATACTACTCATATACTTTTGCTACAGCAACTTTACTTCCTCCCAGCTTTTTCGGCGGTAAATTCGGTATAGCCCGGAAGGGATATCGTTTGAGCAGAACTTCCAGTAACCACCAGAAATCGCTGTATCTTCTCAATACAATCGATGATCTTTTTTCATTCGTGACAATATAATTGACATGCTTAAATATGAACCCCTCTCTTTCCGGAGCTACGGTGACAGCGACCTCCTCGAGATTCTGGAACCATTGTTGTGTGTTAATAAATGCGGGATTGTTATTCAAAGACAATTTTTGACGAGGAGTAGCAGCTGCAGTTGTTGAATCCTCATAAATTGAGGTAATCGATGACATTGACTCTTCTTTGGGTATTGATTTTGTGGCTGGATAACTTTTATGATTGCTAATAGTTGTTGTTGCGGTAGTTGATGATGATGACTGGTGATGGTAATCATTTTTATTTGTGGGCTCGGGAGCAATGGAGTTATTGTTATTGGCATGCTTTAAAGGTGATTTGAATGATTCAAGTACTGAATTCGTATGATAATTCTGTTCATAAAAATGATCGTTGAGAGGTTGGATACTTACTTCAGGTAAATCTTGACGAATGAGCGTTAGCTATTTTGCTTTATAATTGCTAGCTTCTTCAATAATTCTCACTTACAATCTCTATGATGGTATAGACTTTCAAGCGAGATATCTATTTCGGAAACTGTAAGTTGACTATCGAAACTGCATTGGTTTCGCAAAGACTGACTACCCACCTATTTTATTCTGTGCACATCCAACTAATGCGATTGCTGTGTTAAATTCAGACTGAGTTACATAAGAAGCGCCGTTCGGAACCACGATTTGCATAATCTAAAAAGCAGTAGTTGTTTACAAAAAACACACAGAAATAAAACGTCAGAAATTCAGTTCTTGGTATCAATTGCATAAGAATCATACTCTTTCAATTTGCGAGGCTGAAATATCCGCTTTAGATAGTATGTTATTGAGAACTGTCAGTGAGACTCTGCCAGATCGCTGATATTGAGAAAATAGCGCTTCATAAAGTTCTGGTAAACGAATCCCAGCTATTGAATAATAGTAGTGAGTTATTATAAGTTTCCAACGTCTATTTCATACTAGATAAATTTACTTAATACAGTTGCGGAATTAAGTTGTGAGCCGTTTGCCTGAGCAGCATTGTTTAAGTGGGTTGGGTATGACTGAGGTATTGTATACGCACTACTCGTTCCATTCATGGATGCTGATCCCCAAGGATCTTCATCATAATCAGCAGAAGAAAACACAGAGGTTGTCATAGGGTTTCCCAATATTGAATTTGAAGTGCTTATATCAAACATGGAACTTCCAAGCGGATCATCTTCTTCTTGCAACATGCTATTTTTTATTGCAATGATAACTCAGTTATATCAACAGTTATACAGAAGTGAAAGAAAGGCTTGGGATCGAAAAGTGTCGCACACAGCTTTTGTAAAAGGAAAAGAAGAAAAGAAAAAGCCCGGAGATAAAATTAAAAAACGAAAAAACCAAAAGAAAAAGCGTACAACAATGTATTATAACGAACCTTCCAAGATTTTCTGATATCATTGATTACATTCTCTCTTTGTCTATTAGGCATTTCCTTATTTCTGACATGTGCATAGGAATAAAATTCCTGATCACATAGCCATGAGAGAAAGTGCATTCATTCTATAGGGTGGAAAAGCAGATGTAAATCCTTTCACATAAGCACCCAATGCCCTGATACCAAATAACCAGCTATTCAGGAAATCAATGATCATAGCAATGCCTTTACATTTAAGGTCCAGTGTCATTTATAAGGGAGGTGTTAGGACGATAGTCACGGACGACGCGGTTTTGATCAAAAGCAAGAGATAGAGGAGAACCATTTCTATTTACTCAGACCAGCGTCCTTACGGTCCCCTTTCATCTCCTTTTTTCTTTCTTTCAGTCATATTTAGTAGCTTTTTTTTTTTTTCTTCCAACAAACTACAGTCTATAAAATAAAGCGTAAAAATCAAGAAAAGGGAGACCAGAAAAAGAAGTTTTAGAGAAAAAAGGAACACCAAGTTTAATTTCAATCGAAAGGTAAGCTTTAAAATTGAACACTTGTACCCGCTTCTTACATTTTTTCTCATTATTATATAAAAGCTATGTCAGAACAAAAAAATGAAGAGTCAGAAAGCAAAATTCTCAAATTAATATTAGAAACTGGTTATGAAGGATGTAGTTCAGTAGATTCAGTAAGAGAATTGCTTGCCGTCAACGCCATTGAAGAACGAGACATTGCAGAAGTGCTGGGCTGCATGGCTCGATCTTATGTTAACATGACAGGCGTTGGCCCTACAGCAGACACAGCTGAAGCAGCAACTTGGAATGTAGAAAATTTTGTCACAGTTGTTCAAGAAAAGGTACGATAAACATTACATATGCTTTGCAGAAACTGTTCGTCTACGTCTTATTGCTTACACAACCTTTTCAGGCCCCTAACATAGATTGGCTTCAAGTATTTAGAGAGCTAGACTTTCCTCATTTCTTCTTATTTGATGAAAATGGGCTTAGAATCCTTGTTCGAGCTTGGAAAGCATGTCCCAAACATGATATGACTTTTCCTGCTAATGTTTTCTTTGAAAAACAGTGGGAAAATGTAAAAGGTCAATTGACAGCACTTTATCAGATAGCCATAGCACCTACTGAATTAATTGATACTGTCAAATGTTCAAGCAGAACGGTTATTCAAATAGAAGATTTTGCTCAATCAAGTGTGCATGTCCGTTCAACTGCCTCGCAACTTCTTCATGCTCAACTTAACTCTCTTGACCTTATTGAACGTATATTCAGACTGGCAAATGCTGGTATCAAAGATGACGTGAAAAGTCTAATAGATAAGGTATTGATTAAGAAGGCACCTGAATTGTTATTGTTAGGTGTAGCTCAAATTAATGTAAGTATAAGCGAATTATACAAGGTCAAATTCAGATATGGAAAGATGTACTAAACATAACGTAAAGCCCATCACAAACGATGTTCAACAAAATGTATTGAATCGATTAATAGCGTTTTATCTGGAGGGAAATGCAAATAGTGTCCTTGTGATGACGAAATTCTGGAAAGTTAAACCTGAACTCTTCATCAAAAAAATGATAGAGCTGTACAATAAAGATCCTACCTCTCTCACATGCGTTTTAGCATTTGTGCACGAACTGAAGGTAAAACTCTTAAAGCAAAGATAAGTTAGAATGTTTGAATTACTTATATCTTTCTTTGGAGTAGATTCTTCCCACAATTCTTGACGCGAAATCCTTCACATTTACAATCGACCTGGCAGCTTTGGCAACAAGACGCGAATACTTAAACCTTGAGAAATGGTTATTGGATAAAATCAAAGAATATGGACATAAATTCATTCAAGCTTGTCTAAACTTTCTCGTCATTAAGTTACGAGCAGAATCAACTCGGCAAGAAACCAACTGTAATCCCACCACTATGCCACTTTCATTGGATGCCATTAATGTATTTATAAAAGTTCTAATGGATAAAGTTAGTAGGAACCAGCAGGAGTTCCTAAATGAATTGCATACAAAATACTCAATCTTTGCAAAAAATGCCAAGACCCCAAGCGGTACACCAGCAGACCAACAAAAGCAACTGACCTTGGAGAAGGTAACTGCGAACACGATTACCTCGACATCATCCCCTTCTTCAATAACGTCAACAACTACAGGAGGAGCGAATATGACCTTTAGGCAAGAAATTGAAAACGAAGCCAATTCCTACTACGAACGTATTTACAGCGGTGAGATAACCATTACCGACATGATAGATCGACTACGAAAATTCAATATATCGAACGATCCACGGGAGCAAGAACTTTATGCTTGCATGATCCACAATTTAATTGATGAATATACATTTTTTCCCAAATACCCGGAAAAAGAACTTACTCTTACCAGCGTTTTATTCGGTCAAATTCTGCAAAACCAGCTGTTATCGAACACTTATTTGGGCGTAGCATTACAATGCATTTTGGATGCAGTATCTAGCAATGCATCAGGTACGAAACTGTATAATTTCGGTGTGCAGGCTTTGACTCAATGTCAGTCGAGGTTAATAGAGTGGCCACTATTTTGTGCTCATCTTGTGCAGGTTCCGCAGCTTCAGCAAACGAACCCTGAATTAGTACAGGTCGCTTTACAAGCTATTCAAGCAGCGAAAGCTCAGCAGTCTCAACAAATACAGCAAAAGAATGAATACTCTACCGACGAATCACCATTTATTAGCGCAAACATTGAAGAAACGAAAGAAGCTACTACTTTCTTGAGCAAACCAACTTTTACTGCCATACATGTTCCTGAAATAGTAGAAAAGTCAAGTGAGGACGAAAATACCCCAATTGTTTACCAGAATCCAGTTGAAAGTACGCAGGATAAAATTTTGTTCATCATTAACAATGTCGCCCTGAACAACCTGGAGAAAAAATCCGAGGAGTTGAAAAAGAATCTGAAAGAATCTGCCTATCAATGGTTCAGCAAGTACCTCGTTGTTAAAAGAACTAGTATCGAACCAAACTATCATGAATTGTATTTATTGTTATTGAAATCAATCGACAACCGTTTACTTTATCAGCACGTATTGCGCGAGACCATTGCCAATATCAAGCTTCTCTTGAACTCTGAAAATACTGTATCATCTTCCAATGAACGGACTTTGTTGAAAAACTTGGGTAGTTGGTTAGGCGGCTTGACTATAGCGCGAAATTATCCAATTAAGCAGAAATATATCTCGTTTAAGGATCTGCTACTGGAAGGATTTGATAGTAACAAATTGATTGTTGTGATTCCCTTTGTTTGTAAAGTATTGGAGCAAGGCTCGAAGAATACCGTATTTATCCCTCCTAACCCATGGGTCATGGCTATACTTAAATTGCTGGTTGAACTCTACGAACATGCAAACCTTAGGCTTAATCTCAAATTTGAAATTGAAGTCCTCTGCAAAACACTGTCGATTGAGTTAACTTCTATAGAGCCCACGACAGTGCTTGAAAACAGAAAACTTAGGGATAAGCAGCGTCGACAACCATCGTTAACCACAGCTGTCGTGGCCAAACATGGTGATACTGTTCCTAGTACTATACCCTTTGCTGGTTCACCCTTTGCTATGCCTATGTCGGCTGTCGCTAACCCTACTGTTGCTGCCGCTGCTGCTATTCCAAATAGACTTCCACTTAACAATTTGTCATCACCGACCTTGACAACAGAGGATAGAGCTATTGAAGCTATCAATACGCTTAGCATAGCTAACCATATCATATTCGACCCTCAGCTTGCGTTGTATATAGCAGCCGAGCCTCAGTTCAAACGTTGGGCAATTGCGGGCATAACGCAAGCCATCCAAGAAATAGTGGGGCCTACTGTTAAACGTGCCGTGGGTATAGCTACCGTTTCTACTCGTGAACTGGTCACCAAAGATTTTTGCATGGAAGGCGATGAGCTTAAACTTAGAAGAGCCGCACAAACAATGGCCCAGTCATTAGCAGGCAGATTAGCCATGGTTTACTGCCAAGAACATTTGCATTCTAGTATGCTTCACCATTTAGTTTCTATTTTCACAGCTCATGGTATTACTGATGCTGTGGCAGAACAAATCAGTTTGATATTGATTGCGGATAATTTAGAGCTAGGTACTGCTACTATTGAAAAGGTGACTGTAGATAGAGTATCCATAAAAGTCGACGATGCTCTTATGGTTGCCTATTCCAATCGTAGAAGGCATAGAGAACAACAACAAAAACGTGGCGTACTACAACCTTATTATGATATGAATGTCTTGTCTACGTCCTCTTATCCTACTACTTTACCTGAGCCATTACGTCCCAGTCCGCTTGGTTTGCAGCCAAGTCAAATTCGCATATATGAGGATTTCAATAGGATTGCTCGTGGAAGCTCATCTTCTGCTGCTTCATCTGTGGGTCATATGTTTGAACAACAGCAGCAACAGTTATCACCTACTCATCGCTCACAACAACAACGGTTTAACAGAACGCCTGGAATGGAGTACAATAATAGCCAACAATCAAACGGTTATGGCAACTTTAATGATCAATTTGCTGAGCAGAGTTATGATATAGCACAGCAGCAATCATTCGACGCCGCGGTCACAGCTCAACAGTTATTAGAAAGATTTGCTCAATACATTACCGAATTAGAAAATATTCTGAATGTTATTAACGTATCAAGTCTCGCGGTTGTTCCAATGAATCATAGTATCTTCAATATTATTCGCCAAATACCTATGTTGATTATAGCCAGTCCTGAGAAAGTCGAACTTGCCAAAGGATTTGCTCAAAGGGTTATTCAACTACTTTACAAGAGTGGTACGACCATTAGCCAAGAAGTGTATGTCTATTTGTTAGAGAATATATGCAATACCTGTCCTGAAATAGGCGCTCTTGTCACTCCTTGGCTGAGTCGTGCCAATGATGAACGCAAATATAATGTTGCTGTGACCATTGCCTTAATCAAAAGCAACCTTATCAATCTTCCTGAACACGATCAAGAGCTTGCTTTAATGATTGATGCTGGTCGTTTAACTGCAATTGATTTTGCGGCCCGTTTGATTCGTGCTTGCCTCTTTGGCTCAATGCCTCCTGTACGTACTCGGTACGATTTTAGGGCTTCATTAGAGGCTCTCAACCGGCTACGAGGAAATGTACCTGACAGCGTGTTACTATTGATGGATGATATCGGAAGGTCAGCTATGATGACAAACACACCAGTCAATGCTCAGCAAAATTTACCGGTACTACAACAACTGACACCTGGTACGCTTAATTCCAACGATGATGACAGCACTGTTCGTGAGCATATGCGGATCTTATTTTCAGAATGGGTTAGAATATACCCTACAGCTACAGAAAAAGTGCTAAATGCTTTTACTACGCAATTATCTCAACAGAGTATTTTCAAATCAACCAGTCTGTCGTGTATGTTTTATCGTGTATGTATTGAAGAAAGCATAAATTACTCACTTAACCACCTGCAGTTATCTGCCGAAACAGCTCTGATTGCTTATCAGCCCATTGATGCCTTCACCAAGTTGGTAGTAAACTTATTGACATTGCAGCGTCCTCCAGTAGTCGATGATGATCAAGCAACTGATACGATTAGTCTTGCTCGACATAGTTTCTTTGAAAGAATAGTGGCTATTATAGTGTTGGTTTTATCTAAGCACCATGAACAATTATCGGAGCGATTTGATCAGCGTCCCTTCTTACGATTATTTGCTAGTCTTTTCAGTGATCTTCATGCCGTAGAGCAACAATTACAGTCTGACTATATCTCTATCCTCATAATCATCAGTAGTGCATTATACACACTTCGACCTGAACAATACCCTGGATTTACATTTGGCTGGGTACAATTGATACTCCATAGATTATTCATGCCTAAATTATTGCTGTCTGAAAATCAGCAGGTAAGAATTGAATTTTAAAGAAAGCTCGGTATTGACGGTAAACTCAACAATTATTCCTTCTTTCTCACTTGTGTCTCTTTCCATATATATGATTTGTTTGAAATGTAGGGATGGCCGGCCTTCCATTATTTATGCATCAGCTTGTTCAGTTTCCAACAGCCCTATTTGAATCAAAAGAGTCTTTCCAACACAGCACATGCCATTTATCGTGGTACTTTGAGGGTACTACTTGTTCTGTTGCATGATTTCCCTGAATTCCTTTGTGACTACCATTATAGTCTCTGCGATGTGATACCCATATCTTGCGTACAGATGCGTAATCTTGTGCTGAGTGCCTTCCCGAGAAATATGCGCCTTCCTGATCCTTTTACACCCAATCTCAAAGTTGACCTTCTTCCTGAAATCAATCATTCACCCACTATTTTATCCGATTACACAGCTTCGCTGAAGACAGATGATTACGATTTGAAAAAAGAAATTGATGACTACTTTGAAAAAGCCTCGGATGGTAATACTGCAGGCTTTACCACTCTTGTGAGTCAATTAAGAACCTGTCTCCTTCAAAAGAACAATACGAACGTCAACAATGGAGAGTACAATATACCATTGATAAATGCTATGATATTCTATATTGGTTTGAAAGGCGTAACAAATGGCATTCCTGTTAGTCAAGGACCCCCTGTACAGATTTATCAATATCTTTTGTGCGAACTGGATTCGGAAGGACGTTATTTGTTATTAAGTGCCATTGCCAACCAACTACGATACCCTAATAGCCATACACATTATTTTAGTTGTGTGGTGCTCTATTTGTTTGCGGAAAGCAAGAAGGATATTGTAAAAGAGCAGATAACAAGAATACTGTTAGAACGTTTGATAGTCAATCGTCCTCATCCTTGGGGTCTTTTGATCACCTTTATTGAATTGATCAAAAATCCGAGATATAGTTTTTGGAACCATTCTTTTACTCGTTGTGCTACCGATATTGAACGCTTGTTTGAAAGTGTATCCAGGTAAACTAACGGTCCAAAATTGTAAAGCAATTCTTTTAGCTAGAAAAGCAGCATACTAACTAATGTGTAAACTGTAGGTCCATTAGTCAAATATAAAAGACCCCTTGGCGGAAAACAGATTCCAAAAAGAAAGTGTACTTATAGTCCATTTGCATGTATTAACCATTATATTCTCTTTGTACATCTAATACCTCAAGATCACCAACCACCACTGTGTTAAGCAAATAAAATACTTGGTTTCCTCTCCAGATATTTTTGTCACTTAAGAGCAGGGTAGGATTGGTATTGCCATCATCAAATTTTACCTCTAAAAACAACAAGTCATGGCGAATCATCGGCTGCCCTTTTAGAACATGGCCCAGCTTTTGAATAGGAAACAACGCGCATGTTTGATCAATGTTTTCTTTTGTGCTACAATCCTGATATGTATATTCTTAACATTTAATATATCTTTAAGGCCATAGCTTCGAGAGGAGCAAAAATAATAATGAGGAAAAATTGTGTTTCAATTGGCCGTTCAACAGTGCCTTTGTCACAAAAAGCACGGACATACCTTCTGTATTTCAAATAAAACCAGAAAAAAAAAAACAACCTCGAGCTCATGTTTCTATCACTCCTGTCTTTTTGCTTTTACTGAACGCCCTAAGAACAGTTATTCAAAATGAGCTATAAACTGGCAATTATATTGCTGATAGTGTATTGTGGGCTTACAATAGCTGCGCCGCAAACATATCAACAGATATTTAAAACACCTTTAGGTGTTCCTTATCAGGGTATATATTCCAAATCCTGTGTCAGATAGCAACCAAAGCTATTCTATCACTATTATTTCTGTTCAAAATACAAATTGTTTGAGCTTCTATCTTAGGGAAACCTATCGACATCAATCGTAAGATTTTATCAACGGAAAAAGTGCCTTTCGTGGAGCATATTGCTGGTAATACTTTGCTAATTATTTGCACTGATAATGACAGCAATTTCATAAGTATCATCGATCAATAGGCAAGGCATCCTGGCTTGGCATGAACTTTGACTATCAGTATGTCAAACCAATCTTCGATTCTGTGAACTCCACAGAGGTACCTTTGCTCACTCGTGGTAAGTATATGCCGTTCTTTCACTGTGTGTTTAAGAGTAGACATTATAGCCAACAAAAGATTAACCATTCGCAATCCTTCTTTTGAAAGGTGAAGCACATATAACTGTCATATCGCCACCCGAGTTCGCTCTCCTTGATACTATCGGAATCAGTATTGAAGAGATCAATCATATTGCATTGAAACTTAATATTCAATCGAGCAAAGTGAAGTTGGTCTGTCTTGGAAAAGAAGATGTTATAGTTGGAGGCCTTCGACAAGTTGTATATCAACTTATTGCTGAGTCATCCGATCTTGTTGAAATTCGAAGAAAAATTTTCCAATTGTATGTTACTAAAGGTGGAAATACAGCGCTATTTGATCCGGAAGTAAGTAAAAAGAATAATAGAGGCAATTGTAGATTTTCGATTTTGAAACAAACTGTTATGTATCTTACAGTCATTCTGGCCACACATCACTGTTGGTTATATGTCAAAGGACGTATTTATTGAACAAGGAATTTACAAAGGCTCCAATGTTTGCTATAGTCGTATCAGAATGAAAAACTAAGAATTTTAAGTTAACATTTGTACATCTTCTACGAAACGAGCTTTTGCGTTGATCAATTTGTTCATTTGATAGATTTTGCCTACTCTTTTGTCGTAATTAGCCCTCCAATTTAGTGTAGAGCTCGTGCGATTATGAGATACTACGTACATCATAAGTGTGATACAGTATAATAAATGGCTTCTTCTTTCCAGTGTTTAATTCGATACTTTATTTCCATTATCAATGATATGGTCGTATACAGCTAATGTTCAATTATTTTTAGAAAGCGCAGTACGCGAGATGAAACACGAAATTTTCCTTTTTTGAAATTCATAATAGAAGAGCAGATCTAACTAACAGATACAGTACAAAGAATTATTAAGCAGATTTTGCAACTCTTACAAGCGCATAACCTGCGACGTTTGAGACTGCCGAGTATTTGTATTATATGTCGTACTGGTAGTTATTGTTAAAATTTTGCTCATATCGTTTTTCGTCTGAAGCTTCCGTTTGGTGAACGAATATTTGATTCAGGTACAATCAGAAAAGGAAATGTTTCATAATTCACTTCCAGGAGTTCGTAGGATGCATTTTGCTAAGACACACATGTATATGATATAACGTAGCCTTTCTTTATCTTGATTGACTTAAACTATACTTTGTACCACTACTAATTGTTTTTTGTGACGTCAAAAGCAGAATCGCGTCGCGTTCATTTCTTGGATTGTTTACTTTTTCTGCTTGTTCGCGACCTTAAATTGATTTAATTTAACTGTCCCCGTTCACTCCCTCTTTTCTTCTTCTCTTGAGTGCTCTTTTCTTATTGATCCGATTGAACTTCAAATTATCAAGTTAAATATACAATGTTTGTCATAAAGAGAGGTACGAGCTTGTCATTATCTTCCTTACTTTGAATGTACTATATCTTAACAGTGTTTCTGTCTTTTTTGGGACAAAAGACGGCAGAGAGGAGACTGTTCAGTTTGATAAGATCACTTCACGTATAGCCAAACTATGTTACGGATTGAACGAAAAGTTTATCGTTCCTGCCGAAATTTCTCAAAAAGTAGTAACAGGAGTTTATCAAGGCATAACAACTGCTGAACTCGACAATCTTGCAGCAGAAACCGCAGCTTATATGACAACACACCATCCAGATTTTGCCATTCTAGCTGCTCGCATTGCTGTATCTAACCTACAAAAAGAAACAGATGACAGGTTCAGTACCGTTGTGAGCAAGCTTTATCATCATGTTCACCCGAAACTTAAACAGCCCAACCCTTTAGTTTCAACAGAGCTGTATAAAATTGTCATGGCCAACGCAGATCAAATTGATGGAACCATTATGCATGAGCGTGATTTCAATTACACCTTTTTCGGTTTCAAGACGTTAGAACGCAGTTATCTTATGAAAATAGACGGCAGAATAGTTGAAAGGCCACAATACATGATCATGCGCGTTGCCTTGGGTATCCATGGTAATAATCTGGAACGCGCGTTTGAAACTTATCATTTGATGTCGTCGAAATATTTCACTCATGCTACTCCTACCTTGTTCAACGCGGGTACTCCACGGCCGCAGTTATCAAGTTGCTTTTTGGTGCAGATGCGAGAGGACAGCATTGAGGGTATTTACGACACACTAAGTACATGTGCTCGCATATCCAAGGCAGCTGGTGGTGTTGGTATCTCTTTTCAAAAGATTCGCGGCACCGGATCTTATATTTCTGGAACAAATGGTACTTCTAATGGTGTCGTCCCTATGTTACGAGTGTTCAATGACACAGCTCGTTTTGTGACTCAAGGAGGTGGCAAACGCAATGGTAACTTTGCCATGTATATGGAGCCTTGGCATGTCGATATCTTCGATTTCTTAGAGCTGAGAAAAAATCATGGCGCGGAAGAAATGCGTGCTCGCGATTTATTCTTAGGTTTATGGATTCCAGACTTATTCATGCAACGTAAGTGAGAAAGACAATTAATGAGTTTATGAAACGAATGAAGAATTGACTTTAGCGCGATTATCGTATTTGAAACTGTACATTTATAGGTGTGGAAAGCAACGGGGACTGGTCACTATTTTGTCCCAATGAAGCACCTGGCCTAGATACAGTTCACAATGAGAAATTTGAAGCTCTTTACAACAAATATGAGAACGAAGGTAGAGCTAGACGAATTGTTAGTGCACAAAAGCTTTGGTTTGCCATCCTTGAAGCTCAAATTGAAACAGGCATGCCTTATATGCTATATAAAGGTATGGACCACATCCAAAAAGCGCTCAGATTACTTTTTTTTTTTTTTTCTTTAAAATTAATTGAATTGTACACTCAGATGCATGTAATAGCAAATCGAATCAGAAAAATCTCGGTACAATCACCTCTTCAAATTTGTGTACAGGTAAGATGAAGCCGTCTATACGTAATGTATGAGCGTACATGGTTCTCAGCATACAAAGCACAATATTTTAGAAATAATTGAGTATACATCCCCAGATGAAGTCGCTGTCTGTAACTTAGCATCACTAGCCTTACCAAAGTTTGTTGATATCAATACGAGAACGTTCGATTTTATAAAACTTCATCAAGTAACAAAAGTAGTCACTCGCAACCTTGATAAAGTGATTGATGTGAACTATTATCCTGTTGAAGAAGCAAGAGCTAGCAATACACGTCATCGTCCGTGAGTTTCTTTATATCAGTTGTACTCAAACTAAGCTTTAGGTATCACTCAGTAACCAACAAACTGTACAATTTTAATTTTATAATATAGTATTGGCCTTGGCGTACAAGGGCTCGCGGATGCTTTTATTCTTATGGGCTACCCATTTGATTCCGCCGAAGCTAGGCAGTTAAACAGGGATATTTTTGAGAGCATGTATTTTGCCGCACTAGAAGCTTCGTGTGAGCTTGCCCAAGAATTTGGAACTTATGAAAGCTATAGTGGATCGCCTATCAGTCAAGGCTTACTTCAACATGATCTATGGGGCATCCATGGGTCAGACCATCGCCTTGATTGGAACACTCTTCGTAATAACATTCGTCAATATGGCGTACGTAATTCCTTGCTCCTCGCTCCAATGCCTACTGCAAGTACTAGTCAAATTCTCGGCAACAATGAATGCTTTGAACCCTATACTAGCAATATTTACACGCGGCGTGTTCAAAGCGGTGAATTCCAAGTTGTCAACGAGCATCTTCTAAGAGATTTAGTAAGATTAGGACTATGGAATGATAATGTAAAAAACATGATGATTGCTCACAGTGGCAGTATTCAGCAAATCCCTCAAATACCAAATCATTTGAAAGAACTTTATAAAACTGTGTGGGAGATTTCCCAACGAACGATCATTGATATGGCAGCGGATAGAGGCGCTTTCATCGATCAGTCGCAATCAATGAATTTGTTTATTGCTGAACCAAATTATGGCAAGCTAACGTCTATGCACTTCTACGCTTGGAAAAAAGGCTTAAAAACTGGCATGTATTACTTAAGGTCGAGACCGGCTGCAAACGCTATTCAGGTAAATTTTAAATCCTTATTGTCAGGGTAAAAACAGTACCTCGAAATACGTTTATAACAGACGCTTTGAATACCTTTCGTAGTTTACAGTGGATCAATCAGCGCTAAAAGAAATGGCTGTAGGCAAATCTGTGAAAAATGAAAATGATCACAGTAACGATAAGAAGATCGAAGATGTTGAAAAAAAAATAGCTCAACTTCAATGCTCAATAGACAACAAAGACGCCTGCCTAATGTGCAGCGGCTAAGTTAAGCTGCTTTTTCTTTGTTCAATATTATCCGTAAGGAAGATATTGAGTTGACCATAAAACCCTTCTGCTTTTGGCGAACAGTATTTATCTGCTTGTTACATTACTATGCCAGTCTTCTTTATTCTGTTATGCCCAGATAAGGAAAACTCTATCCTTCAAACATAACAATAAATCTTTTACGTTTTCAGCTCAATGCTTGCTAATTTTTATGAAAATTAAATGATGGGAATGGGGGGAATAATTTTATAAAAGAGCCTGTTGGTGTTAATAAGAAGTTCATTGGCAGTTAATAATGATGTTTGTGATTCGTTCGCACAGGGATTCACTTAAATTTGAATTTGCGTTAAGGCAGTACTGGAAGAAAACGACTATGGACTGTCTGATGCGTCTTGTGGACTCGCGATTATCAATGAGAGGCTCGATGATTGCTACCATACTTTCAATGAACTCTGCGCGGTAAGGAGGTCTTACCATTTCAAGAACCTATTAAATGGACAATTGTCAGTCTAATAGAAGTTATAAGTTGGAGGGCTGCCCAATAAACCACTTACTCTTTGAACAAAGTGGACCACCAAACTGTTGTCCAACTCTCTGCCAGCGCTTTGGAAATAATTCAGGACGGGTTTGCAATAGTGGGATCGAAGTAAGAACAATAAACGGTCAATCCACATTGCTTGCAAATTCGACTACATCGATAATTAAGTTAGCTTCGCTTCTATACTACAAAGCATATTAAAGCAATCATACCCAAGTTTCAGGAGCGAAATTAACTGGTTTATGCTTTATACATTCTGTGACAATGTTGAATACAAACGGTTGCTGCAATGGATGAAGCTCAGCTATTTCGTCCAAGAATAACAACAGATCCGGGGTTTGCTGGGATCGGTAATATGTATCGAAATACGAAGTGTTAGTTGCCATATGTTGTGCCCACAAAAGCACCGCCATTGCTCCAATTGGGAGTTTGATAGCTTCGATGATGCATTTAGCCGCACCTGTTATGCTGCCGGCCCTCGTTGCAGCTGTCAGTTTTACGTGTAATGTTGCCAAAAGCGTTTTGACTTTGTTTACAACATCTTGTTGCCCCTTTACAAAAAAAAACAAAAAAAAAAAAAAAAACAAAAAAAACGGACAATCGTTAGACCGAAGTGAAAGTACCCCTAAAGCATAAAATCTACACCTACAACGTGTGGTTTTGTATCGTTGATAGTAGTGGCATAAGCTATTATATGAATTATTGGATAGACTAAATCTTCCCTTGCTGGCGTTCCATCTTTTGGAGCATAGATTGTTTCCAATAACTTTATCAAAAAATCATATTCACATAAATGAGCTGCTAATGGTGGGTTAGCAGAACTGTACAATCGTTGCAGCTAGTGATATAAACGTTATTGGTATAAGTCTTCTAATTAGGCCAGTCTATTTTTGACTCTTACTTCAGAAAGATCTCCTAATGCAATCATGGAAGAGCTTAAAATGCTTTTGACGAGCTTTCTGACTTCGACAGATGAAGGATCCGCGTCAACTAAAAGATGCATTGCATCCAGCATAGGCAAATTACCATGCTTTCTAGCGACACGTTCCAATTCTTGACGAACACGAATAAATGATGTAGCATTATATTGATGATAAAGTTTTCGAAGTAGAATGATCGCTGACAAATACGTATCCTCTCGTTCACAACAGATGCGCTAAGAATTTAAGGCAGTAGCGAATATGTTGTTAAAGATACTAATAGTATCGGACAGACTCTATTACATAGAATCCCATACTTACAATTACTTCTGGCAATTTTTCTTCAAATTCCACGTCGTCTTTATCTACAATATCTGACAATCTGTTCGCAAGAATCAAATTATAGACTTTTAGGCATGTCGTAGAAGTTTTCAATCTTGATACTTCGGCATCATGACCAGCATTAACAATTCGCTAGTTAACAGCATAAAAGCAGATGGGATAATTAGTATATTGACTTCTTACTTGCATGCGAATTTGTCGAGCTGTTATTTGATACTTCTTCTCATTACAATTATGGCATAGTTGAGAAACTCGCAGGTAGGATACTTCTCAATAAGCTCATATATCTTTTTTCTCCAATCAATATCCTCCAACAAATGATCGAGCCATCCTAGTGCTGATGGTTCGCTATCTTGCATGAGCATTTTGTCGCAACGTTGTGGATCGAATCGGCTGAGCAAAAGTCGCTCAAATGCTGCTTTTAAGCAATTGGAACTATCCAATCCATTAATATTCACTGCTTCGGCTGTTACGTTGATCATAGAAGGATAGCCCACATAAGATTCTGAGAGCATGTTGATAGCTTCTATGGGCGAACCGCCATTATTTCTGTATCCTTCAAAGGCCAACTTGTAAATATTTGGCTCTAAAATAGAATCTTTTTGTTCCGTTGACGTTATGTAAGAAAGGTGTAAGCGCGTTATTTATGGTTTTGTTACGTTTTAGTAACGCAGCGATTTTGTACCTTTTTGCAAGAATGTTTTCTGCAGTTCATCGACGATCAAACTTTTTGAATTCAAATGATGAGCCTATGTAAAAAGTCAAATCCTCTCCTCTTCTAGAACTTAATGTCAAATGCCACAAATACCATTTCAACTGTATTCTTTCAAAAATAATCAAGAAAGGAGAAGCGCTTAAAAAAATATAGGGAAAGACGTTGTTATTTTCCAGCCGTAGGAACTGTTTCAAAAGTCAAAAAAAAAAAACCTAAACTCGTGACTGAATTCATGCGAATGAGCAAACAATTGGCGTGCCTAGGCTGATAGAGCCTAGCAATTTACAATAGTGGTAACTGATCAATGAGCATAATACGAGCTTAAAACAATGGACACGTATAAGCCGGGCAGAAAAAACTCAAATAAAAATACTAATCTCTTTCCATTTCTTTTTCAAGTTTTACAGAATTCTATTCTCAAGAGCAAAATAAAAATACTGATATGCGACTATATGAACCACCACCTTCAGCTCCGTAATGTTGGATCCTTAGAAACAGCATACAATTGAAACACTTTCTCCTTTTGTATACTCACTTTTTTTCTAAAGATTCACCGAACAGCGATGCACCAACGAGCTCGAGAGCATACTGAACAATTCCACAAGAGTCAAGATGTTGCTCAAAGGAATTCAAACTTTAAATAGGAACGCACTCAAAAGAGGCATCACTTGTCGACCATGTATGGGAACGATGCAGGAGGTATATAGTTTCACCGATTAGTCTTAACCATCGTCTCATTTGAATTTTCCATTGACAATGAGTAAGTTAGGCCCACATGGGATATTATGATAGTGCATATAAAAGAATTGTTATCTGCTGTGACCATATTCGCTCCAAGAAGGAACTCGAACAGACACTTATACACGAGCTAACACATGCTTTCGACTCATTAAGAAAAGGACAATTCGACAGTATTTGTCATTTGATAGCTTGTGGTGAGATAAGAGCTAGTGCACTAGGTAAAGAAACCAATGAATGATATACTATACTTTACCCGATCAAGCCATTGATCTTCCTGAACCCTTAAACCGTTAGGTCAATGTGCGTTCATATCGCCTGAAAAAAAAAGGGCTGAATGTATCTTAAAAGACGCCATAAACTCAACTCAAATTCACTGTGGTTTAGAGCGAACGTTAAAAATAGTAAAAGAGGTTTACAGTAATTGCGTTAATGATGAGGCACCTTTTCGATAGTATTGGCGTACAGGAAGTTTTGTTTTGCATCGCTTTGCAAAAAGCGAACAACGTTACCAATAAATTATGTTGATCTAGAAACCTTCAGTATACGAATAAGGTTGTGCTAAGTCTAGCCGGCCAACTTATTTCAATATATGACATGGTTTTTTTTTTTTCTTTTTTTTTTGGTACAATTTACCGAAACATCTGCAATATCAAAAAAGTTAACGATAAGAGACAGCCTTTATTCAGACAAACGATTATTGTTTAGTATTTTGTCAGTCTCATAGTCAGAAGTAATATTGAATTTAAAACATTTTTTCAGCAAATGCGCGCAGAATGCTAGGTTTTGCTGTTAGAGACCTGATTAGTGATAATACATGACTGTTGAAAATTGTCGTCTTAAGGTTCTGCCTGTTGGTAAAAGAAAAAAAGCGTATAAACTGTATTTCAAGCTTAATAAAAAACATATTGAAGTATTTACATTTTAATTTCTTAATTACAATATTTGAGCCAGCACTACGATATCCCCGAAAATAGAACTCAAAACACCTAGAGACCAGAAGCACTTACCATATGCATGAATGGTTAAACACATAAGTTAATTGAAGATTCTGGAAGAGTCGCCTTTCGCTACGTACACAAATATCGCTTGTACTTCAAGCTCTAGTGGCTTGTGCATTACACGAAAGGCAGAAGTTAAAATCTAAGCATTGATCAAATATTTAAGAGTAGCCATTAATAGATGGTTCTCTTTTAATATTTGCAAAAATGACCATAAGATTGATCAGTTTCAAAAGTGCACATTGATAAGGTAGTATCACCAAATTGTCTTAAAGTTTGATAACTTGATGGCACAAAAATCAGCAGCATCATTAATAAAGCATATTCTGCATCCTTGTTTGTGCACCCAAATGGAACTAGTACACTTATGAATTTTGAGATTGCTTACATAATGTATTTCAGGTGCAGTAAGCTCGGTTTTTTCGTCCTGAAAGATTCAAAATTACCTCTGCTGTCCTTTCTGACCTTCCGACCTTCTTCGTCAAGATGAGCGAGAGACAATCTAAAGCTACCCAAGTCAAAAATGAACGAATCTTGAACGATCTTGCTAAATACCCTGGCAACGATCGGTGTGCTGATTGCAATTCTAAAAGTAAAATAGCTCGTTAAAGATGTTGACCGATTCAGGCAACAAATTATTAACACTGAAAAACTGATTAATTGGCTGCCGCATATCAACGAACAGATCCTCGATGGGCGTCGTATTCATTGGGAATTTTTCTTTGTATTCGCTGTGCGGGTATTCACCGTAAATTGGGAACACATTTATCAAAAGTCAAGTCTATTACTATGGATCAATGGTCCTCTGCTCAAATTGAAGTAAAAAACTATTTCTTTTCAAACATTGCAGTATATTAAGAATATGTATCAACTCGTGACAGTATGTCAATTTTATTGTAGATGATGCGTGAATCAGGAGGCAATATTGTTGTTAATAGTAGGATTAATCCTAACCCTGACAAACATCCACTTCCTTTGGCTACGGACGACGAGCAGTAATTATTTCTGAGCATTAGTTTGGATTATACTATGTAAAAGCTTCGAACTGATTTTCGCTTATGCTAAATAGTGCTATGGAAAAATACATTCGGGCAAAATGGGAGAAGCGTGCATTTTTGACAGACAACAGAATTGTAAGTTACAAATTTAATTCATAATTTAATCTTGTGATCAAGTATTAAAAGACGTTCTAAGTAATTCTTATATTTAGCTGTTACCACCAAATGCATCAACCGTTAACCCTATCACAAGACTTCAAACACTTCCTAAAAGGACATCTTCAGTTCCTCCTATCAATGATAATAACGATGTACTCACAACAAAAATAAAGCAATTACATGAAATGGACTTCAAAGACGAAAAGAAGAACCGACAGCTTCTGATCCAGACTCAGGGTAATTTAGAAGCTACCGTAGAAATACTATCACGCTCTATACCACAACATTTCAACTTTTCGTTACAACAGCAGACTATGTCTGATGAGCAGAAAGCCATTCAGCTGTACAAGATGGGTTTTACAGATGAAAATGCGAATATAGATGCGCTTCGCCGTGGAGGAGGAAATATAGATATCGCTATCACTATTTTAAAAGAAGCTAAAGATGCTAATCCCCAACATCCTAAAAAGCAATTTGCACAAAACAATTTATTTTCGCTACCGAATGCAAGTACGAATAGCACTAACAGTAGTTTGATCGATACAAGTTCGTTTTCAGCTGCTACCACAGTATCCTACAATAATAATACTACCAATCCTTTTGCAAATGTACAACAGCCATTAGGATTACAACAGCAGCAACAGCAACTATCAACTACTGATATACTCGATGACCCATTCAATTTAAATCGTATGAAAGAATGCATGACAATTAACAATAGCAGTAAGTTCTCTTTTGTCACATGAACTTCTTGACATAATATAAAAACTTGATAGTCTGATAAGAATGTTACTTTCCTGCAGCGTTTACAGGTAATCCACAAATATCTTTTCAAGGATCCTTTTCACAACAGCAGCAGCAACAATCTGTAAGAAACTCCTCAAATCCTTTTTCGCAAATGACAAACACATCATTTTTTACAAATCACGTCAATAATGTAGATGTGAATGCTTTCTACCATTATCCGGCAATAAATAGCAACGGTTACATCACTGAACAACCTTTTCTTGCACAACAGCAACAGCAACAGCAACAGCAACAGCAGCCCTCCCAATCTTTCCAGTTGATGAATACCTGGCCTTTGAATGGCCCGCAATAAACATTAGTCTTTGCATCCTTTCCTTTATATTGATTCTGTTTTTCTTTCAGGGAAGATAACGAGATTTTATGTGAATTTGTCATACTAGATAAACGCAAAGATTTTGAATCCCCAAGAGAACATAATTGCTCAGCTGCTTTTTCAGCTGCCAATGTAACAAGGAGAGTTTGTAAAATGCAACGTCTTTTTTATCTGTAATGATTCTCTACCTTGAACAATTCATTGATTTGCGTAATTCACACTGTATGATTACCACATACAATGACCACACAAGTTCGAGTATAAGTGTGTATGATTAATTGTAGTATTACCTTGTTGAAGCAAATTATTAACAATTTATATGACCTGGAAGGTTTTTAATATGTCTTATCCATAGCTGAATTTTTTACCCGAATAGCAGTGCCAACTGACCATTTTAATATATAACAGCTAGTAACATATTAGCTGCTAAACCATGTCGGCTGTCTCAAAAATAGGAATATTGTTAGCCTGATCATAATACGTGCCTACAAATGTTTATCATTGCGTTGAAGTATAAAGCTGTTTGCAACTCAATCTCGTCTAAACTTGACAAAAAGCACAGTGGCAACCTGAGTTTGACAGTGCACTGAATGGTCGTACAATTTCTTTGTAACTCCCTTTTTTTTTTCTTTTTTTTTTATTTTTAAACACTGAACATTATATTCATGTACAGTATAAAAGAGGGTAACACCTCGTGTTTGAGAGTTTTCGCTTCCCCTTTTTCCCAGTTGATACCTTTCTTTCTGTTATACTTAAATCTACATTCAAATGTCCAATCCGATTGCAGATACAGCCGACTATTTTGCTCGCTCAAACCATTATAATGCTAAACCAGATCAGCAGCATAATAAAAATGTACCCGTATACAATGCCGCATCTTATGATAACAATATTGCGTCGGAACCCTATAATCAGAATAATACTATAAACAACATAACTGGATCAGAAGAGGCTCATCCTCAATGGTTCAAAGTTTTCAATCGACTTTCATTTCTAAAACCACTTGATATGAGTCCTTTTACCTCAGAACGCCATGAACAGCAAGAATTCTCAGACGATGAAGAGTCGGTGCTAATAAACGATACATTTGAATTAATTCGAAATGTTGTTGCTAAAGATGATCCTAGCAACAGACAACGCCAATCAACCCCGTCTCCTCGCCGGCAAAATTCAAACGTGCTGTTTACACCGAGGAGCAGCTTCCGTTTTCATCAAAGAGAAGGACGCAATCCAACCGACGATCCAATAAAAGACGAAGAGGAAGAGGAAAAATTGCCCTCCATTTACGATATAGAGCATGCTCATAGTCATACAGTTTTTGACGATACCCAACCTAATCATAACGTTGCAACACAGTATTACGGCCGTAGTACTAATTTCTTTACCCAGCCCTTTCAAAAAGACCAACAGATTCATCCAGCAACAGTCCGTTATCGTACTACTGATGCTAATACCATTGCTATATCTGATACGCTTAAGCCTCCCCAGCCCATTCAGTCGCCATCTGTACATTCGACAAGGAGACACCATTACGATATTACTGCAACTTTGTCCCCATCTTCAATACAACAAGTACCTTTAACAGGTGATATTCACGAATTTGAAGATGCTCGAACAATTAAAGACAAATGGGAGAAAACTTTGGAAAGAATAAAATTCATCACTAACAATTTACAGTCATCGAGTCCTGCCGTACCAGGTATAGATGCAGCAGTTTTTCCTGCTCAATATGATTTATTACCTACATTAGCACCTTATTATCAACCAATATTTGACCCTTTATATATGGCGTTCACAAAAGATGAATATGGGAAGAAACCGGTAAGGAAAAAAGAAAGAAAGGAATGTTTAACATTGATCAACAGTCCACACATTCGAACTTACTTTTTCTTACAAATTTTTTTGAATCAAATGTGTTGTGCTTCGCAAGTATAGCCGCCAATTTTATTACAATGCATTTATGTGAGTTTTTCACAGAGTATATATGCCTGTTCATGTTATTTATATACATTTTATGCCACGCAGGTCACCGTAACGGATTCGGAATACCTCATTAGTAGTAGTCAGTGGGTCTTCCGTGTAGAGTTACAGTATGGCGATGTCCAATGGGTTATCCGACGCAGCATTGCTGACTTTGTGTCTTTGCACATCAAACTCAAAGTTAAATCCAACTTGTACGACTATGTACCTGATCCACCAGCCTTTCCAGACCAATTGGCTAATTTTTTGGACACAGCCAAAAATACAATAGGAAGCATTTATAGAAGCTTTGACGAAGAGCCAGTAGCAGGACCAACATTTCAACAAAGATTATCCATGTATAATACTCATCGTCAAGGCCAAAATGGAGACCAACAATATTTCACCAATAGTAATAATGGTAGAGAAAAAGCAGCAGCAGTAAATCGAAGAAAAGCACTTACCAAATATTTGCGCGCTCTGTTATTTCGGGCACATGTAACAGCAAGCTATGATATTTGTGAGTTTTTAGAACTTTCGGCTTTAAGTATTGTTAAAGATATGGGATGGAAAGGCAAAGAGGGTTATATGAGTAGCAGAATTAATTATGTCTCGCCCAGATGCTGCCAGCTTTGGAGAACACAACGATGGAAGACGGAATGGATAATTCTGAGAGATTCGTAAGGCTCCTTCCTCAATTATTCATTTTGCAAAGCCGTTAAACATTGTGAGTTGTTTAACTTAGCTTACTTTTCTTTGTAAATAAGCTATTTAGCATTTTGTGCAGATACTGCGTCACCTTCGCTGACTGATGTTCTACTATTCGATAAAGGTTTTAGAATTGATATTCAAGAACCACGTGTCTATCTTGGCAGCTACCACGTTACTATCGGCAATACATCACGCAAAATCGAGATTAAAATTACAAAGCGTGAGGTTGAAGAATGGTTAGACAGTCTTGAAAAGGTACAGGCAGAAAGCCCTTGGACACATAATCATCGCTTTGGCTCATTTGCACCTGTTCGTTTGAACGCGAAAGTGAAATGGTTTGTTGATGCAGAAAGTAAGCCCCTGTCTTTGTTTGTTACAAGCGTCTGTAGTTACAGTTGGGTCGTGGGCCAGTTGAGTTAACAATTTCTGTTTGAATTGAAATAGATCATTTTAATGCAGTAGCAGAAGCGATATTGTCGGCTAAAGAAGAAATATATATAGCAGATTGGTGGCTTACTCCTGAACTTGTGAGTTCAAGATCGTGTTGCAGCAGTTATAAAACGGCTAATCTCTTTTCTCTTTTGGACATTAAAAACTGTGTAGTATCTCAGACGTCCACCTGAAAAAAACGAAGAATTTAGATTAGATAGACTCTTGAAGCGTAAAGCTTCTGAAGGTGTTAAGATTTACATCATTGTTTATAAGGAGATGTCTCTTGCTTTAACTATCAATTCAGTGCATACTAAACAATGGTTACAGAGCCTTCATCCTAACATTCAAGGTTTGTACGCATACTCTCTGAATATCTAGCCCTGGTACAGCTCGAGTGTTTTAAACAGCCTTAATATAACTTTTATATGCTACAGTTCAACGTCATCCGGATCATAGATTACCTAAGGATAATTCGGTCCTATTTTGGTCACATCACGAGGCAGGATTACAAAAAATTTGCATTCAACTCAATCAGTGATCATTGTTAAGTTAACGTTTATCTGAAACTTAATAGAAAATCGTAGTTATAGATAATAGGTTAGCCTTCATCGGAGGACTCGACTTGTGTTTCGGGTAATATAAGCTTTGTGAAATGAAGCTGTTACTCGATAGATAGATTAACATAAGAAACGGTATAAATCTAATAGTCGGTATGATACACACAACCACTCATTGTCAGATTATCCCGCTGAAGGTCATGAATTGGAGCACTTTCCTGGTCAAGACTACTCTAATCCTCGTGTAAAAGATTTTGTGGATGGTATGTGCCAGATCAAGGAGCTTATTGCTATTGTAAGATGACATTGCTCACTCATTTTCACTTTGTAATAATTTGTCGTATCTATAGTTGCTCAGTTCAATAAAACCTTAATAGACAGAAGCAGTGTTCCAAGAATGCCTTGGCATGATGTCACTTTAGGCGCCGTAAGTTGAAGTGATATTCATTAACAGAGCCAAAATATCTCATATTGATATCATTACCAAACAGGTGGGCCCTATTGCAAGAGACATTGCACGACATTTTATTCAACGATGGAATTTTTTGAAGTCAACAAAAAGTATGCACAGACGTAATCTGCCCTTTTTAAGGCCAAAGGGAGAATATATTGCAGCTCGCGATGAAAACAACTTCAGTGGCACATGTAGGGTGCAACTATTGAGGAGTTCTTCAAGATGGAGCTCAGACGTGGAGCGCGAGGTACAGTATTTATTTCAAGTATTCATTTCAAATGATCGTATTAAAAGACTTACATTATACCAACATGTATCATCAGCATTCAATATATAACGCGTATATGGAATGCATAACACATTCTAAACATTACGTTTATATTGAAAATCAATTTTTCAGTAAGTGCCATTACTTGATATCAGCTTGTACGTACGTAATTATGTTAACAATTTTCTTTAAATTCTTGTTGCTCAGTTAGTACCACCCAAGATGACAAGCTATTGAGAAACAAAATTGCCCAGGCTATTGTTGAAAGGATCAAAAAGGCAGATGAAAAGAAAGAGACATTCCGAGTTTTTGTAATATTACCACTTGTACCAGCATTTGAAGGGGACCTATCATCCAATGATGCTTCATCGGCTAGAACAGTGATGCATTTTCAGTATGCAACCATATGCCGTGGTGAGAACTCAATTGTCGAGAAACTGGCAAAACAAGGAATTGATGCTGATAAATACATTTCATGGTTCAGTTTGAGGAAGCATGGCAAAATCAAAACACCAAAATGTGACAGCAATAGCGATAACAAGCGCAACAAATCAAATTCTGCGGCGCAACAATCTTTCCCTTCAACCACAGCGATCACTACTGCCAAACAGGTTGACATTATTACTAAAAACGAAAATGCGGCTGCTGCTACAGATACCAATATCGAAACAATAGAGCTACTATCTGATAACAAAAATCCCTTTAATGATCAGCAGAATTTGGGCCTCTCTCGATTACATACAAATATTTCAGCAGCAAGTGAAAACTCCACAATGACCGCGCCATATTACACGCCCAAGAGGAGAGGGTCTTCCCAAACGGCATCTTCCAGCTTGACATTTGATGACGATCGACTTTCTTACGTTACTGAACTTTTGTACATTCATGATAAATTGATGATTGTCGATGATCGTATAGTTTTGATGGGTTCAGCTAATATCAACGATAGATCCCAGTTGGGCAACCGTGATTCTGAAATTGCCATGATTGTGGAAGATACAGAGATGATAACAACTGTTATGGATGGGAAGGAGGTAAGGATCGAATAGGAATGTCTATTTTCTAAAGCGATATCCAAATTAAAAAATACATTTCAAACTTGCGAAATCTGTAGTACAAAGCTGCCAAATTTGCGTACACTCTACGAATGCAACTGTGGAGAGAACACTTGGGTTTATTAGATACAAAAAAGTGGTCAGACTTTTTGGAATTAAATGCTACTGTTGATGAGCCGTTATTACATAATGAGAATACAACAGATGACACAATATATAATAGCCATATTGTAGTAGAAGATCCCTCAGCCAATCATAGAAGAACAGCAGCTGTAAACATAGACGACATCGCTGTAATCGAGGCTGCAGAACCTGTTAAAATGCTTGACCGAAATAGTCGAATACCCAGTTATAATGACACTTTCAAAAAGCAAAAAGAACACACAAAACCTTCACTAGATGCTGTCGCGCTTGATCCTGTATCAGATCGTACTTACTATCAGACTTGGTTAAATCGAGCGTCTTCAAACACATTGATTTATCGTCGACTTTTTCAGTGTGTTCCCGACGATACTGTTCAAACTTATGAGCAGCACCGCAGATTTATGCTGGGGCCCAATGATACGAGGATAAAATACGGCCATGTTGCTGACACAAATTTAGCAGAAGAAGAGATATGTCAACAGCTTGCCAAAATTGAGGGGCATGTAGTTTTATTTCCCAAGAATTATCTAAAAGAAGAAAATCTGTTGGCAGGTACCATTATAGATACAATGACTCCATTAGTAATTTTTACATAGCTGAATCACAGGATATCATGGTAGAAGAATCAAAAAGACATTATAATATTCGCTTCTTTATTTTATATTATTGTACAGATCTGTCGCTGTTAGGCCCTTCAGACTAAAACCATGTATATCATTTTTGCCTTCCATTTTTTGTAATTCCATAGCATTTTCCTTCATTACACTTCGCGCTTTATCTACCTTTTCATCCAATAATTCTTGATCTGATCAATGGTAGAAAGTTGTTTAATCAATGATATTGCTTTGCTTTCTTTATATTGTATTTCATTGATTGGTACCTTTTTGAATAAGAGTTCTTGTTTTTTCACTTGGTAATTTGATGAACATATCGCCAAAAAAGGTCCACACTTTCTTTTCTTCTACAAATTTTGCAAGCTCAGACGCAAATTCATAACAGAGGCTTCCATTTTTACTCAATCACCTTACCTGGAATCCTTTTCAATTGTGTCAAAGCTTCTCTATTTGAGTTTCGTTTTCTGTCAAAGTCAATGATCTATACCGAGAATACCAAGACTGTCGTTGTCAGTGATCCCGACTTATTTTCCAAAAAACTGCCGAAGCTTTACAGCTTGCTTATTGATCAAAATCTCTTCAGCTAAATGTTCTTTTAATGCAAGTGCTATACAAAATTGTCAATGCCGTTCAGGTCTTGAAGCATATAGAGGCTTCGGATTATTCACCTTGCTCTATTTGCGCTGCTACCGATGCCATTTTAGTAGTAATTATTAAAGCAATACGATTGCTTGAAAATGAATAATGCTTCATTTATTCAAAAGTCACGAACCTCCGGCACTTCAAAAAAATTGGGTGGATAACACTCATTCTCCATTCATTTAATGTTTCTGTTTTTAAACATTAGTGAACTCTCTTACAACAATAGTGCCGATGAGTGTTTTTCCAAAGGATACAATTAAGGTAAATATAATTGTTGTATAAAGTTTCATTGTTCATGTAGAACTAATGCGACTCTTAGAACATTGGAGAATCGTTGGGGATCAGCAACCTGAAAGATGAAGTAGCAACAGCTTTAGCGCAAGATGTTGAATATAGAATTCACGAACTCATTCAAGTAAGGTTCAACGCTTAATACATTGTGTTCTGTCAATAAACATTAAAATTTGTTTCTGTTGTTCAAACAGGAAGCAGCCAAATTTATGCGACACTCCAAAAGAACAAAGTTATCTGTTGAAGACATTAATTCAGCTTTACGAGTGAAAAATGTGGAGGTAAAGGAAATATTGAGTATTGATAGTATTGAAATGATCTAAATCCATAATTTTGCAACGTTTAAGCCTCTTTATGGATATACTTGCGGCGAAACACCAAAATTTAAAAAAACAGTAGTGAACAATAACGACATTTACTTTGATGACGATGAGGAAGTTGATTTCGACACAATTTTGAACAGGCCTTTGCCAAAAATTCCTTTGGATGTCACATTTACAGCACATTGGCTTGCCATTGAAGGCGTTCAACCTGCCATTCCTCAAAACCCCACACCAAGTGGTATGTTTTTTACATAGTGTTGCTTCACTCATTTTATCATACAAAACTGACTGAATTATTGGAACATCAATAGATGCGAAGGCAGAACTTCTATCCAAACGCAACAAAAGTCATAGCACATCAAACGGTATTACAAGTGATCAAGTTAATGTTAAACCACTTGTTAAACATGTCTTATCCAAAGAATTACAAATGTATTTCGAAAGAATTACTGAAGCAGTACTGAGCGAAGATGAGCGTTTACGATCCCAAGCGTTCGAAAGTTTGCGATTAGATCCAGGCCTTCATCAACTTTTACCGTATTTTGTTCAGCATATTCATAAAAAGGTCACTCAAAATCACAAGAATTTGGACGTCTTGGAAGCAATGTTGTCCATGTCACATTCATTATTGCACAATAAGCATCTGTTTATCGAACCTTATGTAAGTATTGCCTTTGATCCCTTTTACTCAAATTGTAAGAGAAATTGCTAAAGTTTTTTTTTTTTTTTTTTTTTTTTTTTTTTTTTTTTTTTAGCTACACCAACTGATACCACCTATTCTATCATGTCTTGTCGGTCGTGTAATATGCGAAGATCCACAAAGTCAAAATCACTGGTCTACCAGACAACGGGCCGCCCGTCTAATTGCTCATATTTGTCGTCAATATGGTAAAGCCTATCATACACTACAGCCTCGTATCACAAAGACACTTTTACGCGCCTTTTTAGATCCTGCACGACCACTTACCACGCAATATGGATCCATCATTGGCCTTGATAACATCGGACCAGAAGTTACGCGTGTCCTCATTGTGCCCAACATTAAATTTTATACAGAAAATTGTTTACAATTAGGGTTAGAGAGTAAAAACCCATTACGTGTACAAGAAGCTAATAGATGCAAGAACGCATTAGTGGTGAGTTTTGTTAGCCATTACCGCTTGATTTACTACGAGAACGAGCATATTCACTCTGAATTTTATTTGTACTTCTAGACTGTATTGGATCATATTGCGGAAAACGATCAAAAAGATAATAATAGTACAATGGGGGATGCTATGGAGGAGGATGAACCTGACGTTGCAGAAGATAAAAAGCAAAAATTATTAGACTTTATTGGAACAGAAATTGGGAATGCTTATTTGGAAAAGATGCCTACTAATGCAAAAGTTAAAATCATTCTTGATTTAGCTGCTTGATAAAATGTTATAGCATTTGATATTGATGTTTATCGCAGAATTTAATATTTGAATAAATTCATTTGTAAATACTTCTTTAAAAACATTTGGTTATGACAAAATGGATTGAACAAGCAGGACGGGTAATTATAAATACCGCCATGTACATTTATGGTATTCCTGCAAGATCCGACCATGACTTGAACGGATCTGAAACCAAATTAAGACGAACAATGGCGATGGCCGATAGTAATGAGGTCAACAAAAATCTTTATTTCTTCTAACTTCTTGGGTCTATTTTGTAAATAGCCAAGCTCAAAAATAATGATGAAGAAAGCACCTAGTATCCTAAAGACTATTAATTCACCGTTGCCAACAAGCTTAGTAGGTATGCACCGAAAGACTCCAAAAAAAAAGTTTGTTAATCACGATCGAGATCTAACTTTAAGCATCGTAATTTTTATATTTTTTTGAAAGGTGAATGCAAAAAGGCGGCAAAAATCCTGAACTCCTTTATTGGTAAATATAGCTCGAGTTCCTAATTTGATGTTTAATCCTGGTTTTAAACCAATACAATTATATGGGTATGTTTAGATCCTGGACAAGGATTGGATAAGATTATACCTAATTCTATTCTGGAAAAAGCACAAGGTCTAGCTATTTTTACAGTCTTGAAAGCAGGCTTTCTGTTTTCAGGGAGAGTTGGTAGTGGTTTAGTTGTTGCAAGGTAGCAAACACTAGTTAACCTTGCATTAATACGATGAAAGTATGTTACTGAAACCCTTTCGCCTTTGAAATTGTGATAGACTTCCAGATAATTGTAAGCTGCAATGAAAATCTTAATTACTGCACAGATACGCTTTTTGACAGATGAGTCTCCTTCTTCTTTTAGCGTGGTCAGCTCCGTCGGCTATAGTAACAGGCGGCATGGGTGCAGGCGGTCAAATTGGTAATGTAATCATATTGTCTGCTGTGTGAATTTAAATGCTTGCTCACATTTTCCTTATACATCTTACCTTAAATTCAACCAAAAGGTGCTGAATTGACCGACTTCATCCTTGTTTTGAATAATAAGGAAGCTGTCAAGACGTTTAGCCATTTTGGAAATATTACACTAGGGACCAATGTGTCCAGTAAGTATCTGTTTGAGTAAAAGTAATTTGATTTTCTAAGAGATAAATAGCAGTTTAGAGAAATATTAATTATGAACAATATGATATTAGTCGCTGCTGGGCCCATTGGAAGAAACGCAGAGGCATCGGGTTCGGCCACACTGAAGCACATTGCAGCCATTTACTCATATAGCAAAACGCGTGGACTATTTGCAGGAGTTTCGTTAGAGGGTTCTGTTATTATTACGCGAAATGATGCGAATGAAAAATTGTACGGAGAACGATATACAGCTAAAGAACTTCTAAACGGTACAGTGCCACCACCGCGTGAAGCCGATGTTTTGTATCGTGCTTTGAATGCCAAATTCCGTACGTTTGGAAATACAGGAGCTATGTATCAACGTCGTATTGAGTATGAGGAAAGTAAAGGAACATTACATCGAAATACAACAATTTCCGCTCCAGGTACTCTGCGTATACCAGGTGTACGTCAACAATTAGCAGGTGGATATGGTGCACCAAATATAGCGACTGCACCACCACCTACTTCGACACTGCATTCATACCAGCAACCGTCAAGTCCTATACCTTCTTCGACAAAGGCACAAGAGGCGGGATTCGACGCACCTCATAATGCTTTACACTTCAATAATGATAATAAGAATACCACTTACAGTACAAATACTTACAATAACGATACAGTTACAAATGTTGCTAATACTAATAGTACGTACAATCACTACAATTCCCATTCATCACCGCACGGTCTTCCCCCAGCATACGACGGCCAGCAGATAAACTTTGCGCAGGAAATCAAAAGAACAGTCCCTCCACCACCTCCCAGTCAAACTTTAAAACCTATCAGGGCAAGAACTTTATACGATTATACCAGTGAGCAACCAGGTGATTTAAGTTTTAAAGCTGGAGATATTATCATTGTGGTTGAGAAAACAGATAGTCAGAATGACTGGTGGACGGGCAAATTAAATGGGAGAACAGGAGCCGTAAGTTGTCAATTACTCATACGTATTCCAATCATAACTGTTGGGTCTGACATATTGTATCCATTTATATGCATGTAGTTTCCGTCCAATTATGTAGAGTTGATGAATTAGATCTGACTGTTGGTTTTTGGTGTGTTCTTGTTTTTGTTCGTTTCCTTTTTAAACACTTGGTCATTATCAATCATCATTTATTATTATAAAACTTAGGGAGTTCTTGACATGTTCAGCATTATTTTGATGGTCTTTTAAGATAACGAACAGTAGCAAAAGATTTCTAAGAAAAGCTAGGCCCTGAAAATAGCCTTATAAAACTGTAACTTATCAGTTCATATATATAGCAATGGAATGTTCAGTAATACTCAGCACAGCGATATAGCAGCAGAGTAATGACCAATCTTGATCAAAATTTTGTTCCTGTCCAGACTTTGACAAATTTTTGGCTCAATGATGGGCATCATTGAAGCTTACTAGAAAAAGTGTTATAATTAACAAAATAAAGAATAAAAATCACTAGATTAATTTTCAGGCCCTTTGGTCAATGTTTGTAATCATTGATGCTCAAGTTAGCTTCAAGTGTCTCTATAGCCCTGTGCTTATCCAGCTTTATGATGATTTTCAATAAGTTTCAAACGATACAGCATTTTTGATAGGAGGAAATATTGTTATGACAGGTCTATGTGCAAAGTAAAGACAATTATTGTGAATTAAGAATTTGGAACTTTTATCACAGAAAATGATTTGTGTATGAATGCTGCTCGTTTTCATTTTTTTCACAAGACCCAAAAATGATGAACAAAAGATGTACAATAGGTGACTTCCAAATATATTAACTTGATTATTAACAAAGTTCGGGTTGAATTGAACTGTCCTTGTGAACGCCGGACTCACTATATTTCGCTTACTACGACACCAATTGAACATCAGCTATAGTGGCTATCAAAGTGTGAGATTACCTATAATGACAACACTTCTATCACTTATACAACAATCATGCTCTACCAAATAGTAAAAGGGAGCGGCCTTTCGTCTGCTCCATTTCAAATTTTTGCCCTACTACTTCCTTTTGGTTAGGGTTAGGCTTGGAAAAAAGAAAGAATTAAAGCAGAATAGCTTTGACAAAGGATGTGATATGAGATTGAAGCTCGCGCCGTCTGCTTTCAAATGTAAGAAATTGGTAACTGAGCCTATTCTCGACTTTTTATTTTGATGAATGTCTACTCGACTTAAACCCCAACAAGTAATTACGTTAGAATTGTATTGTGTTGATTGTATTAGACAGCAATAAATCTAATTCAATCTTTGTTTCTTCTCAGCACCATTGGCGCCTTCGTCCGCTTTTTGTACAGCTTTACGCTTTACTAATGATGTCAGGTCGTTTACTGGTGTTGAAGCAGAGATCTCTTTTACTTTTTCAGTACTTTGATTTCTATTTAATACTGCCTTTAACAATTCCGCCGCTTCTTTTTCAGTTGCTTGTCTTGTCGAAAGTTCCTCAATCTTACAGGTGAAAAAAAACAAAAAAAAAAACCCCCAAAGAACAATTAAAATGGCGTTACAATGCTTTGCTTTCTTTGATGTTTACCTTCAATTTCATATCTGGTATCAATTCTCTAATTTCCGAAATCTCTTTGACTACGCTTTCATCAGTTTCCGTTGCCTTCTCTTTACCCTTTCCTTCATCATTGCTATTCTTCGCTTTTTCTAAGGCTTCAAGTCGCTTATTCAAGACGTCAATTACTTTTTGTAGTTCCGGAATGGCTTGGTCTGATTTTTCAGTCGAGAATTCTAATGCTAACGCGTACTTATAGTGTGCTTCGGCTAATTCTCGGTTATCATTCTTTAATAATCGTTCTTTAATCTCAATTGCCTTTTCGTAATCTGCAAGCGCTTCATTGAATTTCTCTTTTGATTTGCTTAGATTGTTAGTCTGGATAATTGGTAAGACTGCACCTTTCTCGCGTTAACATGGCTTACCAGTTTCGAGAGAAATATCGCCTAAGCATAAATGAACATCAGCTAATTTTAATCGAGTCTCGTTATCTTCACTCTTTTCGAATATGACACGAGCAACATCGAGAATATCCCAAGCTGCCTCAAAATCCTCTTCCGCATTATTGGTTTCTCCATCTCCTTCTCCTTCTTCGTCTTGCTCGTTATCCTCTTCCACTTCCTCTTTGTCCTCTTCAGAAACGAACTCTGGAACGTCGCTTAACTGGAGAAGTGGATTCTTAACTTCTTCATCTGTATAAGAATGTGTATTATTTGTCAGCTTTATAACGTTTTCTCTTCTACATGATAACTCTCAGCTTACTTGTTTCTTTTCTCTTTGCCTCTTCTTGTTGAGCTTCCACCTCAGAAGCCGATTCTTGTGCAGAAAGACCAAGAACTGTATTTTGTTGGATAGCTAGTTGGAGTAAAGCTTTACCATATAAAAAGTAGGCGTCGCCATTTTCTGGTGCAAGAACACCATTAACCTGGTCTCTACAAAAGGTATAGAGCGTTTTGCGTGGAAGGTAAATTAGAAAGTGGTCTCACTGCATTTGTCACTGGCATAACAAAACATTACAGTAATTGACAGGCCTCGCCAAGTTTGTTGACACTTGCTTCAAATTCTTTTTTTGCAAAGGCAAGTTTGCCTTCTTCAAAGAGCGTATTGCATTTCAATACCTGCTGTTCGTGTTGTTCTTGATCTACTTGAACCGACATGAAAAGAAAACAAGCCTTTTTTATTTTTGTTTTAGGTTGGCGTGTTTTTTTCAATTTTTTTCGTTTTTATTTTTCTTTTGAATAAAAATCACGTAATTTACCGACGTGAGACTACTATGGAAATGATATGAGAGCAAAAATAACTTGCACAGGACGTGCACATTTTTCTAACGAAGAATGTTGGTCAAAAATTAGAAGTAATATCTAGAGCGTTTGAAAGAAAGGGAGAATTTTAGCATCACATGATTACCATTGAACCGGTTGATAGCACTATTTTAGAAGATAGATTTATCAAACGCTTTTCCAGAGGACGATACGTATATTTACGCAGCTTTTATCAGATATTAACAATACGGCTGAAAGCTTGTCTGATAGCAATTGGTGAATTAATGGAACTACCTTATTGAAGTAGATATTGAGCAGCTTTATAAATTTCTTGATATTTGTATTGCTTATAGACAACATTGACCAATTTGATACCAGTTCATGATTGTTTTATTGGAGCATCATAGCATATAACTCTGCTTTTATATTGTTGAAAAAGTACCATTCAAGTCTTCCAAATTGATCAAAAACCAGGAGACAATTGAAATTAGAGAGATAATATACATGTGAAGTTCTTCAATAATCTTTCAATTCAAGCCATTTCCTTTTTAGTGTCATATTGGTAGGGCAATATGATATATCTAGTCATTGAGTTAGAGAGTACATCAGCCCTATTTTTGAAGGGCAATAAAGAAATGGTATAGTACTATTGGGCAGCAGGGGGATGCGCTTTCTGCTGATAATAAGTTGTTGCATAATCCATCAATCTGTTCAGCAAGCTATCATCATCTCTTGGCTCTTTAATAAATATAGCAGGTTGCCCAATAGGTGCATCAATTGTTTGATAAGAGCCATCACCAGGATAATACTTGCCTGTCCAGATATGTCGCCAACTGATTTTTTGAGCATCCTTCGGGAAATAGACCTTGACGTAGGCAGTTGCTGGAGCAAGTACTGGAGCTATCATAACGGAGCTGCCCATGAAAAATTGTTGATAACTCAATTCACGTACTGTTTTGTCATTTGGATAATAGAGAACAGGATGACGCAAAAGCGGCCAACCTCTCTCATAAGCCTCACGTAAAGCGACTCTTCGATAGTCTGAGAAAGCGATAAACAGCTTGGCGCAATGCGAAAGTTGTGCAAACGAATCTGTGATTGAAGATACGTAAGAGAAGATTAGCTATCTATTGTTGACCTGTGGGTCTTTTTAGAACTCTTTTACCATCATCGTCATAAAATTGTGCGTTTACTGAAGGGATGATGCCTTCAGAAGTTCTAAAGGCGGCTGTACAAGAAGCTAATTCCATCCATCTAAAGAGTAACTCTTTATTACGTACCATTTTGATACCAGGGATATTACTAGAAGCAGTATTGTATCCACCTGCATCACAGTGTGTGACAGAAAAGCCGGAGAAACCACCTGAGAGCATACCAATTACCTAATGCAGATGACCATTTTCAAGATAGAGCAACTTAGTATATATGTTTGGTACGTTTGCTTCCCCTCCCCCCTTTCTTTCAAATGGACACTCACTGCACTTTTGATACCATGATATTGATCCCAAGTAACGTTCTGGTCACCGGTACAGAATAAATTCATATAACTAGGAGAATGCGTGTATCCAGAACGGAAGAAGCAAACTGCTTCACTTTCTTTGCCGAGCTCACTTACAACCTCCTGAATCAATTTAGCCCATTCTTCAGGATAACGGTTATGATAAGTTGCTACTGATTCTCCAGAATGTAAAGTGACCCTGTCTGTATCGCAAGGTAAATGTTCTCCTAAATCTGCCATTAAACCTATTAGATAGTAGGGTGAGTTACTTTACATGCTCTTTCGTTTTTATGATCCTCATCAATTTTTTGCTTTACCGGAAATGCCGTGACTGAAAACTTGCTCCTTCAAAATACCTTTGAACCATTCGCGTGCTTCTGGATTAGTCAAATCGATCAAACCTGCCAACATGTCATTTCCTAATCTGATGGTAAGAGCTTTATCTCCTGTCTGTCGCCCCTTCACCAAATACCCGCTTTGCTGGGCTTCTAAGAACAGATTTCTACGATAACGAGGCTTCCTGGCTGTGTCCACCAACATGGGATTAACGTAAGAAATAACACGGATCTTTCCCTTATCATTGTCAGCTAATTCTTGTATAAAGTTGTCCAATTCAGGGTAAAAGTCTTCATCACTCTCCCAGTTATACCAATGACGGGTGAAGCGGACTCCACGACCTGCATCTGTCAAGCGCTCGCCAGTCCAATCTTGAAGGAAAAGTGCACTGGTTGGAACATCGTGAAGACGAAGATTTTGAACCAAATCACGGGCTCTATCTTTGCCACCATGGATACCAGCGATAACGCCTTGAGAGACCCAGTCAGGTAAGGTCTTCATTCTGCCTGCAAAGGAAGTGTATTCAGTCAAAAGATCCAACATGGTTCTACCGTCCAATATCCGACCTAATTTCCAATAACGTTGGATGTAAAAAAACAACATTAATCTTCAATCCCAGTTTTATCTCACGGTTGGTTTAGGTGCAGTGACACTCATACTCGTCATTACCCTTCATTTTGTCTGATTCCAAACGAATGGTGACGCGTTCCGGTTGGGTCATATCGAAGCTCATGTATTCAGTATTTTCGAGGAACAGCGAACGAACGTCGCTAGAAATATACTGTGGAACAGAGGCATAAGTCGCGTACAAATCTGCTGTGCCATATCCTCCAAGCATACTCATAGCAGATTCCTTCAACAATGCACTCTGAATAAATTTCACAGGTGGTTAACTATTCTACTTGAAGCGTTTCATAGGTTTAGTAAGAACTTACTGAATGAGCGCCTCTTCCAGCTCCTTGCTCTCTGCAGAAACGAATGAGTGACATCAGTAGAACCTAACGAAGCAATGCTACTGCCACGAAAGACTTTATCATTTGTATTCTACCTGACTAAAATGGGCACTTTATGTCCTTTGAGTGAGGTATTGGAAAACTGTTCACCAAAACCATAAAAGTGTTCCTCTGCTCTCGTTTCGTATGTCAAAAATAATCGAGCATAATCTTGCATAACAGGATCGCGTTGCGTAACTTCAATTGAAAACTCTAACTGGCGGTGTGACACTTCTCTGAACGTCATCACATAGTCCATGTGAGTGGGTACAACAAGCTTTGGTCCAAGCCCACCATAAATCTTGACAGTCGACTCGTCTGCTTTTTCGATTTTTGTAATTGTTTGAATACATGTAGGCTTTTCATCGTGCTCAGTTACTCTAAACACGCCGTTGTCGCCGGGACTGATGGTATCTTTACCAACTGAAGAGGAAAGGAAAGGAATATTATGCAACGCTGTTCAAAGCACATTTCAAAGCAAAAAAAAAACGTTTATTAGGGTACGATTGAAAGATTTTGTCCATACGAAAATGTTTGTTTAGTTTACATTTCCAAATGATGCGTCCATGACCGTTTTTTATCATTAAGCACATCTTTTCACTGTCAATTTGTATGGTGAAGTGACCTGTAGAGAACTCATTACTCGCTACAGCATTTCCAATGGATAAACGTGGTTGAATGTAATCTCCAACCGGTGCGAGACCAATACTCTTCAATACTGACTGTAACATTTTTTCAATTGTTGGGAAAAAGAAGGGAGTAGTGGGGCATAGCAAAGTAGCAAAAGACACCTAAAACCTTCCTTTTTGTTGAGTTTGAATTTCTAACCAAATTCATTTTTTTTTTCATGCCGATAACTTCTGATACCATTACCCGGCTTCAGACAAAAGAAACTTTGCCTTGGTAAGAGCAAACTTCTTTTTCTTTGGATTTTTTAAAATCAAATGTCGTTGGTGTTAAAAAAAAAAGTGATCTAGGATATACAGAATATAAAGCAGATATAAAAGAATACATTATTACATTAAAAATGAAGCTTCCATCATGAGTGCTTTTAAAAGGAAGTAATTCTATGTACGAAAAAATCTAAAAAATGGGGGTCTGCAAGGATATATCAACAATTTGATTTACTGGCTTTCAGTGAATAAAGCATCATTACTGAGTTCATTGTAGGCCTTCCTTTGCAGTGAAGATTTTGCGACTTCAATATCGGTTTTAATGTCTCGAATCAAATCATCTACCACGTCAATGCGTTTGAGCCATCAATATCACACGTTGTCATGTTTAATTGTTTCTGTATCATTGATCCTTGCTAAAAAACTTACCTAATGAAGGATAATTTTGCTCTGGACGAATGTAACCTGCGACAATAACTCTGATGGCTTCACCGTAAAAATCTTCTGCAAACTCGTGCAAAATGTGCACCTCCTAATGACATTGAATTATCAACCCAGCCCCCCCCAGAAAGATAAAAGAAGAAAAAGCCTATTAACCCTTCTGTTTTCTCATCATCAACTGCTGCTGCTGCTCTGCCTAACAGATACTAATAACTTACCGCGGATTTCTTTTCATTTTTATAATAGGGGTTCCAACCTAGACTCATTACCATAGGGTAGACTGTGGTACCTTTTGAACCGACCTGGGACCAGCCATAGTAAACACCAGTATCACATTCATTGAACATTTCCTCAAGAGCGTCGTCACTCAAGTTGGCTAGAGAAGAACAAAATGACGTGTCCATCAAAAGTTAGTACGCTTTCTAATACCTGTAACTCTCGCGCGATTCGGTTCTACTATTGAAACCTATTGTAAAAGCTGCCATACCTGTAGGAATGCCTAATTCTCGAGAACCGCGACCAAATCCTTTTACAACTGTGCCGGAAACGGCAATAGGGAATGGTTTTTCGAGATTCTCGGGTCCAACAATCAAAGGACGATCAGGATTAATATTGCACTTGCTCATAGTAGTAGAGATTATGATACGAGATCGACTGATTTGATACTGAAAAGGGAAAAATGGTAAAGTAAAAAAGGTTAAAAAAGCAGAACAAGGGAAGTACTTTTTTTTTAACTTTTATTTCTCATCATTATTAATTTAATTGCAGACGATCTGAATTCTGACAAATCCAGATTGTCGACCGATCGTAGTGAATACAGTACTTTAGTGGACCCATCATTACCCGGTCCGGACAGATCTGTTGCTTTATCGGAACGCTTAACTGATATCGATGGTTGCTGCATTAGGTTTCCCCTCACAGGAACGAAATGCCGTCCAATCAGAAACCTGCCATAAGAATGAAATTCTTATTCAGGAACCATTCGTTCTGTGTCACGTAATCCTACCTACCACAGCGACAAACGTCTATTTCAACAGGTAGCTTAAAGACATCATACAATGTAAAATTTACTGCACTTGCTTTATATTACAGCTACTTTCAATTATTTTGTCGAACAGGCTTGCAGAAACATCAAGATGAATTCAAAATACATTTAAATGTGGCAACTGCAATCCTCAATCAAACATTTACAATGATCGCTTTACAGATAATACTATGGAGCAACGAAACATTGTACAAGTGAGTTAAATTCCAGGACAGACCTCACAATGTACATGCATGGCTATCTAGGTTGTTAAAGTTGCAACATGACTCTACTTTTATAAAGCCAAAAAGCGGGTTTTTTGAGCTTTTCAGAACAAATTCTCCTTCTCTCCATGGGACAGATCAGAAACTCAAGGCTGTAGAATCAAACTATCGTACTGCTGATACATTTGCTCAAACCATAAAGTCTTTATGCTCCTTTATTATTGTGGCAAAAGCTCAACATCAAAGTCAGTCAAAGAGAAGTCGACCCAACGACTTTCACTCATTGCTTCAAAGCAAATAACCATAACGAGCCTATACATACTAGCGTTCAATTAGAGTGCCATTCATTATGTAACGGCGATGTAATAATTTTGTGTTTTAAAATCATTTGTATAACTTTTTTTTTTTTTTTTTTTTTTTTTTTTTTTTCATTCGTCACAGTTATATATGTGAAAGCATAATATACAAGAACTACTATGGTGAACATTAGTTGCTTCTCTGTAATCTTCTCTTGACAAAGCTTTTTACACTATCATGGCCACTGTTTGAAGACAAAGTATAAAGGAAGAAAAAGACCGTCAGCTTTCTACCCTCTTTCCAGATAGGCATAGAAGACACTCAATATTTACCTTTCTGATAAGATCATGGTACGTTTTTGAGAGTTTGACCATAACAAAACACCCAAATCTTTTGCATACTTTTCAGCAGCATCGAAATCCGCTTGAACATTAAACTCGTGATATAAATAAGCTAAACAAAAAAAAGAGGGAAAAAGTGTGAGGGGGGATATGTCTAGAAGCATGCAGAGAGACGTTGTATATCTTACATGCTGTAGGCTTTAATCTGTTTCGTTCCATTTCCCATAGTCTGATTTGATCTATGACTGTCAATGGTAAAACGGGTATCTTTTTTCTCATTTGTGCGTGTGCATGGGATTGCATGTAATAGATAATCTGTTCTGCCGTGATGCCTTTCATTAACGCATTTCGTATACTGTCTCTTGTGATGACACCTGTGACCATATTTCTGAACCGAGATTGGAGTTGTACAAACAGATTCAAAACGGCAATTTGGAGTGGAGAATCTACAGATGTTGAGAAAAAGAAAAATTGTTCAATACACTCACTCTGGGGGGCCTGAGGGATGGATGGGAAACGTTGGTTCACTTTACCTGTATACGCGTAAAGCTTGTAATTTGTTTCTAAAATGACAAAACCTTGATCTATCTGTTCTGCATCTGCAATAGCTGATGCTGAAGATTCATTGGCGGCGGCGGCAGTGGCGGAATTAGTTGTAATGGAAGATCCTGTCTTTACTGTCGTGCTTGTTAACGCTGCATTTCCAGAAGTGAGAGTTGTAGCAAGACGCGTTGGATAGTATCGTTTTGATGTTTTCTACAAATCACACAGAACCGTCGTCAGTCAGGTTTTCTCTATGAATAACGTGATCCTCTTTCCTAGCTGCTTACTTTCCGCTGATATACAATGCCATAATCACGTAAATCTTCCAGCATTTGTATTTGAGTTTGAGTGAGTGTCTCTACTGAATAGCTCTAGAGTGATAATGAAAGCATCAGATGCTCTGTCTTTGTCGGATTTGAAAAAGTGTATCGACAGATTACCTCTCCCAGTTCTAATGATCCCAGCTGAAATAGGAAATTCAGCACTTCGACCAAATCCATTTGCAATACCTATCCATTGTTTACATGTTTTTACCACCATTGAGTTACTCATTCAGGCTGGTCTCAGTTGATTATCCTTCCTTACCTCTGCCATTTCCAGATATTGCAGTAGAAATGCCCAAACTTGTGTATTCACATCTTGTAGTAAAAACTGAAAGCCCTTGTTTGTAATCTGCAATTGTCCTGTTTCCGGACTATGAAAGCATACAATAGATTTACAGAAGAAAAAAAAAAAAAAAAATCAGTCTCTGTCCTTTCTAGCTCGCCCACTACAGGCATTCTTTCTATCACAACTTACCTGTTTTGCATCAGCCTGCTTCTTTCTAACAAATTCAAAACACCTCGACTAGGCTTTTTCGTCAGCGATGTACCGACCATGTAATGTAGAATAGCTTCCCATTGTGTTGTTGCATATTGGTCTAAATAGGGTATATCAACAGCATGTTTATCTGGCGTTGAGAATGGAAGGCCAAATGATTGTTGTGAGCCACTATGGGATCAATGCCATGAGAAAAGTAATGGCAAAAGGGAGGGGGACGAATTGGCAAATGATGAGAAGGAAAGGTCCGATTCTTTTTCATTCACTCAGAAAACATGGCGAATGGCTTTACCCTCCTGTCAATGCGTTCTGAAATTCTCTTCTGAAAGTGCTGTTTAATATGAGTACTTGATCCTTCTCTTCTAGAATTCGTAGACGAGACAGTTTCATTACGGATTCTTCCAACTTTCTGTTGTGAGTAAAAGTTCAAATGATGAGTTCAAGTACTTGTTTATAGTGTAGCGTTTTGCTTTGCTCATTGAAAATAAAGTAATGAAAAAGAGAGACTCACTTTTGTCCATCTCTGTTGACCCAAGAATGTAGATCGGACACGGTGATAGGTTGTTCAACATGTAATAGAGACATGACAAACTGCCTTCCTAAACTTGGTAATAGTCTATAACATGCAACTGGTATATTTTAGTACTCTTTTACTATTCTCCAAAAAAAAGAAATCTCTCATGGGTACGATGGCGAAAACCTAAAGATGGCGAGACATGTGGAAGGTTTTTCAAATAACCGCATAAAAGTGAATGTCGGTAATGTCTCAAGATATTCATAGATGTTTGTTTTGAAATTATCAACCGACATATTCCTCCTTTTATCTGCTTCCAATGATTCCACCAAGCAATTGAACGGAAGAAAAAAAAAAAGAGTTGTATCTTTTACAGAACAATCCCATTTCGCATAAAGGCATCCTGACCTGTCATTGCTTACGTAAAGTAATGTCACAAAGGGTGTGCGTTTATTTCGGAAATGAAAATGTAAAAGTGGCGCAAAAAAGTCAAAAGTAAAAAGAAATAATTGCATGTTCTGGTAAAAAGCAGAAAAAAACAGAAAAAAAAAAAAAAAGATGGAAACGGGAAACAAAGTAACGTCATTCCCTTCTTTTTATACATTTGTATATGAATTAGCCTGTATGGTTTGTAAGGCGAAAGACGTTTCTATAATATGACAGAGTGTTGCTATTCTATGTCTTTTGACAACATTTGTCTACCGCCCTATGTGCTCGATGTCAAATAAAAAATTAGGACCGATCAAATGTTGTAGTGGAACGCTTCAAACCTTGTTTCGAATAAAATGCAAGGTCTTTTGCTTTTTTGTAAGACGTAAAAAGCTTTCTACTATAGAATTTTTGAAAATTTTCCTTTTCTTTTTTTTTTTTTCGCTCGTTTGGTCTCAAAATTAAAAAAACCAAGATTTGGGACGGAAAAAGATTGTTTCTTTGATATAAGGTTGCATGCTTTATGGAATGCACGTCGATAACTTGTCTCAGTACAGCAATTTATTTAATTTTCTCTCTTTTTATGAGGGCTGTCAACAGTGAGCATTTTTTTATGATGCGATTGACGTAAGGAAGAACGTACGACTGACATTGGTTTTTTAAATGGTGCTTGCTTTAAAATGACAAAGGGAACACAAAGCTAGGAAATGTGGGGTAAAGGGAAAAAATAAGGGTAAGTCTGTATTACACAAATGTTTGAGTGGGTACAGTTTACAAATCAGGGTTTTTTACCCAGTTTTAGTTGCCCTGGGAAAATTGTGAATTTCTGCTGTTGTCCCAGTTTTCAAAGTCAGAAATGAGAAGGGGATTGTTGGTAAATGAAGGACATTCAACATTCCATTCCATCCACAGTATAAATATAACAAAAAAAGATGAAGCTGAAAGATTTCTTGAAGGCTGTTTCTCTTTTTTTGTTTCTATTTATTTTTTATTTTTTTTGGTTATTTTCCTTTCGTTAATACAACTGTGCTTAAATCATGAATATTCAGACATTGACATCACCCGAACCCTACCATTTAAAAACAACTGCGACTGCTGCTCCTTCTACCTATAGAAAGACGACCAGTCATCATGAACATACACGTAACCATCTATCCAATGACACAGCATTGGGACCGTTACTGTCACCCATACATCAGCCAATAACGGCAAAAGCACAACAGCTGCCTGCTATTAGCACTACAACATCCATGAGTACAGCCACAGCTTATGGGAGCCCTTCGAATCAGCCACATTACACGACGAATAGTCATCATAGCAGTAGTAGTAACACTGCGCCCACCACAACAACCACAACAACCAATAGCAGTGCAATGGATGATTTGCAGAGTGTCGTCTCTAAATACCAAGCCAATCCTGAATTATTAAGACTTCTTTTAGCGAGTAAGGTGGAAGAGGATAAAAGAAGAACTGAAGAGGCAAAGTTAAAAACCAAAGAACTTGACCTGTATATTCAACAGCAACAGCAACAGCAACAGCAGCAACAACTTCCATCTCCTTCTAATGCAAACAGTAGCCATCATAGTAATAGCGTGATGAATCCTATCAACAGTACTACCAACTCCAACTTTATGATGACAGCCATGCCCTATCCAATACCTGTTTCCAGCAACAGAAATAACAACGCATCCCCCATGGCTACAAGTTCATCCTTTCTCTCTACTTCATTATTCTCTTCCCGACGAGAGTCCGTCAGTGATATCAAGTTCAAGAATAGAAGTCAAAGTATTAGCTCTATAGGCCATGTACTTAGTGGAAGTGGTGGTGGTGGTGGTAGTAGTAGTAGTAGTAGTAGTAATAATAGTCATAGTAATAACAACAACTCTACTGTTATTACTACTACTACTACTACTACTCCTACTCCTACTACGGCGACTTCTACAAATGATAATAACAAAAGTAACTCCTCCTTCGCATCAGAAGTACAGCTGAACAGGTAAAAAATGACGGAGGATATGGATTGGTAACATACTACTAACAAGAACCTTATTTAAACTTTTTGACGCAATCCTAGACCTTTGGATTATTCATCTGCCTGTCAACCCTCTCATTCTACATTACCTTTACCCTTACCCTTACCTCAACCGTCATCCTGGTCAAACTCATCAGCATCGTTACTACCGCCTCCTCCTTCTTTATCCATTCATACGGATACTGCGGGTACGGGTACGGGTATGGGTACAGGTACGGATACGAATACGAATACTGTACGAAGAAGAAGATCGATTCAAGCCATCACAAAAATAATAGAGACAACCGAGTTTCCTTACAATGATCATTATTTCTGGAAAAACAATGGCAACACGATACAAAAGAAGACAGGTTTAAAGAGCACCTATTATAAATGTGCCAATAGCATCAAGGTAACTTAGTAATTGTTATGTGGGCGCAAAATAAAGTTCGGATAATTCCGGATTCTGCCCGATCAGGAAGCATATGAAATTCATGCTTTTTTTTCTCATTTTCTTTTGAATAGGGATGTCCTGTCAATAAGACTGTCGTTGAGCAACCCAATGGCATCTATTTAATCAAATATAGAGGCGAACATATTGATGAATGCTCCAAATTCGAGCATATCAGAGATTTCTGAATAATAAAAAAAAAAAAAAAAGAAAAAAGACACAAAAAGGGACACCTATTTTATTTTATTTTTTCTTTTAAATTGATTTGTCAGAGTAAAGAATGCAACACATTTAGGAAAAAAAAAAAAAAAAAAAAAAAAAAAAAAAAAACGGGTTATGAGAAGTGAACATCACTTTGTCGTATTTATATTTTGCGCGTTCGGCTTTTCTTTTCTCTTCTTTCCTCCCTCTTTCTTTTTACTTTTCAAGTCTTTTTTCCTCTCAGCAGCAAATCATGGCATTTGAGCTTGTCCGTTTCTCGGGTTCTACTCTGGAGCCCAGTTCAGAACCCATCATGTTGTATGAGCCCCACTTTTATGAAAAGGGAGCAGGAAGATCGTTACATATCGAATTGGTACCAACAAGACCTACACCGCCTTTGAACCGAAAAGACAAACCACCACCTATTATTATACCCCAATTCAATGCCGAAGACCCTCTACTGTGCCGTAACGAGGATGACTATTCAGCGTGGTCATGCCATCCACAAGACGATCCGTTACTACTCGAAAAGACCGGGAAAAACAACGTCATCCTAGACGCACCAGAAGAAGACGATTCCTCCACCACAGCCGGTGCTGGTACATCGAATCATGAAATGTTTTGGGATACTCCCACCTCTATCACCACTTTGAATCAAACATCATAATGCATGGAATACAAAAGAAAAGAAAAACCGGCTTGCTTTCATACTGTAAATAAGATTCTATATTTCAGCATTTATACCCCCTCCATTGACTCTCGTTGCCAAGTTGCCACTAGAACAACAACAACAACAACAACAACAACAATAACAGCCAAATACTATTACTACTACTACTACTACTACGAGAACGATGTTTATGGTTGTTTTTTTTTTTTTATCTATGTTATGCATTCTAAAGGATGTCATGGTCCCCTTTCATCATTCATCTTTTTTCCTTTGGCGTAGTCGACTTTTCGAAATAAGGACTTTTTTCTAGTATTTCAATACTTTTATCCAATACATATTCTCCAGCATCCAGATATTTGCCAACATATTTACGCACTTCTTCACTTTCAATGTCCTGTAATTTTGGTCTAGATAGCATACCATTTGTTATTTTCACAAGGGTTCTGTCATTCTAATATAATTTCTCTCTGATACTATACTTTACTGTATACCAGATTCTCTTCGCACCGCTGCTAAAGCTGTCGAAATAAGTACTGCATCGGCTGCCGCATGAAATAAGCGTCCCCACATGGTTGGTTGTTTTTTTTGGTTGCCTTTTAGACAGAGAAAAAAAAAAAAAAAAAAAAAAAAGTGAAAAAGGCCAACATCAAGTTACTTTACCTGCTGCTCCCACCCCCCCACTTTTGAGAGCGTGTGACTTTTATTTGCACTGGATGTGTTTGCGTGTGTGTGCGTGTGCATGTGTATCTATAACAAACCACAGTATTGTGTGAAATAAAGATTCTGAATAGAAAAAAAAAAGGGGGGGATGACGGAAGTTGAACACAGAGAGCTATTCGTGCAATTTCATTCGTGGCTTTTTTTTTTCGGCTTGAAATGATTCATTTGCAACAGTTTATGCTGCCCTTTCTTTCTTTTTTTTTTTCGTCCATTGAGTTGCCATCATGGTGATCAGAAGAAAAGAAGAATTGAGTGATTTCGAATCGGAAGAAGAGGAGGAGCTCGTCTATCATAGTAGTGATCAAGAAGACAATAGCGATGAAGAAGATGAGGTAACGAGATCCATCCTTTACTTTTTTTGGACGATCGATCCAGTTTCTTTTTATTCACTTGCCTTGATTCACCTTTTTGCAGGCATCTGATCCTGATGATCAATATGAACAAAGTGTAGACGACGATGATGAAGAGGAGAATACGCAAATGAAAGCAGCTGAACTTGCTAAACTCAAGAGAGGTACATCTTTCTTAACCCTTCCACTATCTCGATGACATTACTGATCAGTCGATCTCGCATGTTGTTTCTTATTTTCAGATCTAGCTCATGTGTCTTTTGAACAACTTGCCGATGTGAAAGGAAAGATGGGCGAGAAAGAGTTTAGTGATAATAGCAAAGTAAAGAAAATATCAAAGGATCAGATTCTGAAAGATTTGGAAGGTGCAGTCAAAAAGATCAAAAAGACAAATAAAGTCAAGTTATCCAAAGAGGAAATGAAAAGAAAAGATAAGCACAGACCCATGGAGGTGTCATCGAAAAGGGCCGTCAGCCGTTTCAGAGAAGTGGTGCCGTTACAAGCAGAGGTATTCAAGTTCTTTTTTGTTATTTTTTTCCAATGATGCGCACGAGAAGCTTACATTGAGAGCACACTGTTTGTTGATAGAAACGTCGCGATCCAAGATTTGATAAGCTCTCAGGTCATTTTAACAAAGATCTGTTTGAAAAGTCGTATGGTTTTTTGAAGGACTACAAAAACTCTGAAATGGAAATGTTGAAGCAGCGTCTCAAGAAGGAAAAGAACCCTGAAAAGCAAGAGGAAATGAAGCATCTTTTACAAAAAATGGTACAGAAAAACGAAAATAGATAAAAAAAAAAAATGAAGCGTCCGTACTGAACCTTACCTACTCTCACAGATGACAACTGAGAGACAAGAAGAAGAAAAGAAAAGAAAGGAAGCCTTGTTCCGTCAGCGCAAGAAGCAAGAAGCTGAGCTCGTCAAGCAAGGAAAGAAACCCTATTTCCTTAAACGATGTAAGTATTTGACTCTCTCATGACAAGTCCATGTTGATAACTAACTTGGCTTGTATTTCTTCTTTTCTTATTAAAGCTGAGAAACGTAAACTTGATTTGATGGACAGATATGAAAAGTTGGGTGAAAAGAAAGTGGATCGCATTCTGGAAAAACGTCGCAAAAGGAACGCTGCCAAAGACAAGAAACATTTGCCGTTCAAGAGAAGATCTGCAGCAGATGCTTAAATTTGTATTTTATACAATTTTCTCTGTGCACGACTATTTAAAGTCATATGCCTAGTTTGTACCATAGATCAAAAATATACCTGTCTATTTTGCGTTTTCAAAAAAAAAAAAAAAAAAAAAAAAAAAGATTGTTTTGGTTCTTAAGGATGCTGGCCTTTTTTTCTCTAAGCAGTAGACTATTACCTCTAGGGGTCACATTCGTTATGACCTCCATAGACAAAGGAATTCCACAAGAGGGCGTTTGGTTGTTGCGGAATCACGGAACATTGTTTTTATCTCCACTAAACATTCTCAAGCAACCTAGACAAGGTTTATCATCCTCGAGATGCCTATGTACAGTAGTTCAAAAGTAGGCAAAGGCCATCTTCCTCTGATCCATCTTGACATTTTGTTTCGCTTATTTGAACAAACCAACCTCGTAACAAAAGGTGTTTGGTGTGACATAAGTACAGTATTGCTTGATCCGTATGTGTGTCTTTCTTTGTGTAAAGAAAGCTCAAAATGGAAGTCGTAATGAACCAGGGAAAGCAAAGTGCTCATTGAGAGTGTGTAAACCATCTACTCTGGGTTGAAACTACAGTCCCTATTTTCCAGCGTCCTATCTTTGGTCTTCAGAAGAAGGAAGAGGGTAATAGTGAGTAAAAAAGTTACAGCAACACCAAAGAAGTATATAGTATGTGTCATAAAAGATAAAGCATCGCGAACGACATGAAGATGCTACAATTCAAACCCAAAGCCGTAGCAGTGACCATGGCATGTATCCGTAGAGGGGATGTTTACGTGTCTGTGGATGCTCAGAATGTATCGTGATTTGAAAAATAGAAGGAATGGGCAAGTCCTTATGAACAAGCTGGAAAGATAAGCAAGGCAGAATCAATAAAAGCCTAGTTTTAACGTTTCCCTACTCTTCTTGTCCCTATGTTTTTTTGGAACCATTCTGACATGTTGCAGCATAATGTAACAAATAACGAAAAACTTATCTCTTCACCCGTTATACCTTGATTTATTGTTCACTTATTAATAACTTTCAGACTATCTTGTTACTGTCTGTTGAATTAACAGACCAAATTTTTCAGCTCTTATGCAGTTGTTTAGTTTTGGATTCATCAAAGACAAGTACGGTTTTTATCATCTGCACCCCCTACTGAACATATTGTGTATCCCATCACGAAAGGCAATAGACACAAAAGCGATCTCTTCATGGACCATAGGCTGTACTTTAAAGACTACATGCTTTTTCTTTTTCGGCAAACACCAAAAGCGAGTAGTTTTTCCAACAGTAGAAGTGGAATTCAAAGGACAGCAAGCGCACTTTTAGACTATTTCTGTCGCCTTGTCAGCTTTATTAATCTGCGTACGCGCTACATAATCAATGAAAACTCCTTTCCTATCGTCATCTTCTTACTGACCCTGTTATTCCTATTAACGCTCACCCGGTATGCGTCGAAGCTTACTAATCTTTTATTGATAAACATTTGTTGTGGCGTCGAGCAAAAATGCCCCCCTCCCCCAGAATTGCTTGCTAGTACCAAATTTGGGAAGTTTTGTTTGAAAAGCTAGCCTTTCTGGTTACCGACCTCATCCTTCCAATGATTTACGTGAATTTGACGGAGTAAGCGCACGTGCCCTGAATCTCCAAATTCATTGTTTGAAAACTTTTGCATTTTTGCAGATCAGTTTTATCTTTGTGGAGTGTAAAATTGAGAGCAAAAAAGTAAACTAAAAGCGGCAATCGAAGCGGCGCAAAAGGGGGACACACGTTTGTGCATACATACTTTACTTGTAAAAATTCCAAAAACAGATATTGTTGTGGGTGTTGTTGCACTTCAGGCTCAAAATAGAATGACACCTTAAAAAAGTAGTTACAACGACATCTAAAATGCGGATACCATTTAACACAAATCTACCTTACATACTGTTTACCTTGGGCAAAATTTTGGTGCTTTACAAAAAACCATGTTTAGTATTGCGAAAAATTGTAATAAAGAAATTATTTGCCATAGCCATCGTCGTTCATTAGAGTCAGAATGATCGAAATAACAGTGTAGTAGGACGTGGATGAGCCTATGCGTAAGAGTTATATCAAAACCTCCCAACGGATCAGTAGCCTCAACATTAAAACACCCCCCACCCATCTATTCAATATTATTGTTAAAAAAAGGCTTATCTTAGGTTTGGAACGCGTGTAGACAACCCATCTCCTCCCCAAACTTATTCAGGGACCAGAGTTTATTGTTTTCATCAAAGACGAATTAGAATGTTGAAAAAGCTTGCATGGTCTGTCGCGGTTTTTTTTTTATGATTATATATATAATCTACGTTGTCATAGCCCTAACGAGTAATAAAGCTACTATTTATATAAGCAACATGATACATAACATTCATTTTAAAGATGAGGGTGGTCAATTTCTTGTTTATTCAAAAAAAAATTTAAAATTTGGATGTCCCTAATGACACTAACAACCACAACCACAACAGAAAAACAGCCAAACCAAAAAGAAACAGAGCACAAAAACTCATAAGGCTACAATCGAGAGGCAGCAGTGGAGAGATCAAGAACACTGTAAATCTGAAAGAAATACGGGGCAACTTACCTGTACCTACAAAAAAGTAAAAAGTACTTTTTTCTATCTGAGGCATGTATAACTTAGGGAACTCATCGCGACGCATGCATTACCATGGTCCGCTAATAAGGGTGTAATCTCAGCCAACCATGAATGGTTTAGGCACCCCTCGATTGCCCTGAGTATACATGAACATTCCGAAGAATAAAAACGCCAAAGCTTCGACCACATAGTCTACCAAGCGAATAAAGATAGGACGCGTAACGCCAATACAAAGGAAGGGGTTACATGGCTTGTCGAGTGCTTGCAATAAGACCAGAGGTGGCGAGCGGCCCGGGCGGATATCTATGTTGATTTATTACGTAGAAAGTAGATGAAAAAAAGAGGTAAATAAGTTAACAAAACAGAGTGTAGTGGGTTAGTCAGATCATCATGAAGCATGTGACATGAGCAGTGCAGTGATATACTTCTGGTATACGTATATAAATTATTCAGGGTTGAACATGCGATCGATTTCTTCAAGCGTCTTGCCCTTGGTTTCAGGAAGGAACATACTGCCGATGAAAAGAACGGTACAACAAGCGGCAAAGAAGTAGTAACCACCGTAGATTGTTCTGTCCATCAAAATGGGTGTGACAAAAGTAAAGAAAATACCAACGGCCCAGTTGACGCCAAAAGCCAAAGCACAGACTTTGGCACGAGTACGGGTATTAGCAATTTCTGCTGGGTAAATGAAGGCAACGGGACCCCAACTATAAGCGTAGGTCGCTTGGAAAACGAAAATTAAAGCAATGCATACACCGCGAGCGCCAGCGTTCGTCAAGCCAACATTTCCTTCTGCGTCAGTATAACAATAGGCTTGGAATAGGGCAGCAACAATGTACATTGAGACGCCACAAATGGCTGCACCAGATCCAAAGATACCGCGACGGGTCAACCTATCTACAATACCCAGGGTAATAACGCTTACAATCAGCGTAAGAATATTACTGGCCCCCGTAGTAGCTAACGAAAGCGATACACCGCCAACACCGGCTTGAAGGAAGATTTGAGGGGCATAGTAATTGATGGAGTATGTGCCGGTGAAAGCAGCACCCCAACCGATGAAAAGAGCGAAAAGCGTGCGCTTCAGGTTGGTGCCACGGAAACATTCAATGAAGGAACGGGCACCAAAGGCATGTTCTTGCTCAATTTCATCACAGAGGCAAAGGAATTCATTACGTACTTCAGGATCGTCCACGGAAGATTCATGAAGCTTGGCGAGAACTTCCAAGGCTTCTTCTCTTCTACCTTTATCAATAAGCCAACGAGGAGAATATGGTAGCCAGTAAGCACCCAATAGCAAAATGCATGCAAAGAGCTGAATCAAAAAGCATGTACGCCAACTCCAATCATTGGTAAGATAAGAAGTTCCAAAATTGACAAAATAACCGATAATTGTACCAAAGGCAGACATCGTACTATACAATGTAATCAAACGACCACGGATATCTGGAGGTGCTATTTCACTGTGATAAAGTGGAATACCATTGCAAAGAAAGCCTTCGCCAAAACCCACAATAAGACGACCCGTCAAGAAGAGGCCAAAATTATGACCGATCGTTTCAAACAATGCACCAATAGCGAAAAGCACTGTACCCAGGAGGATTGTATTCTTACGGCCAATACTATCTATAGACGAAGAAAGCAGAAACAAAGTTATGAAAAATGGTAAGGCTTTATTCATTCGAGGGGTATTGCTATGAAGAAGCCTACCACAAATATAACCAGAGGACACACCAGCAATAGTAGCAGTAAGCAACATCATAGCCGTAATCAAAGATTCACGATAGGTGCCATCCACACTCAAAAACCGATCAATGAAAGGCTGCAGAATCATCGTGCCTGAGACAGCACCAGTATCAAAGCCTGAAGAAAGGTAAAGAGAAGAAACGCGAATAGATAGCGTTCATAGAGCACGATAAGCATTTTGTATCATAGCATAAACAGAATTGCATGCTGACCTGTAACAAAACCACCACCGGCAGCAATAACAGCAGCCATGTAAAGTGATTTACGACCATTACGACGAACTGGCCTTCTGGTTTCCAGTGCCTCATCACCACTGAAAACTATTAGTCCATCATCATCTTTTATCACTTTTTCAGCCATTTTTAGATTGGATTAAAAAAGTAAAACAAGATCTTGGTGTGTAACTCAAAGAATTAGTTAATTTTTGGGCCAAGAAATGTAATAAAAAAAATTGAAATAGAACAGGCATTTTATACCACGGACACAAGTGAGGAAAAAAAAAAATTGAGGTTTCGTAATTTCAAAAATCTTTATTATCCGATCACATATGGGCTGATGTGATACATTATGACTAGCGAGGCCCATTAAATGGGTCGTCCAAAGTTCGTATCTTGAGTGCTTCGTGAATATATACACTCAATCGCTTCAATTTACACTTAAAAGTAGAAGATCAGTAAGTAAGGCATAGATTACCAAAGAAACTTGCTGATGGAAGCAGAGAGAACAAAATTATCTGAAATCAATTGGAGTCGACGACAGCTTATACAGAGTCATCTAGCCAGTTGCTAGACTCTGTGTCATTGATCAAGGTTGTGTCTTTCTCAATGTAAATTTGCACAAAGTACTTCCTTCTGCAGGAATCAACATAATTGCTGATGTTGAGCATTATGCCATTTTATTCTCTTCAGACGAGCGCGCTATATAAGGACGTCTTTCCACCTCATCTCCATTTGTCTTTAATCACATTAAAATCGATTCAAATGTTTCAATGATACCAACCTTTTTCCGTAATCACACAACATATGGTCCATTAGGGGTTTCGTCATTGCGTGGCTCAATGTTGAGATAGCACAGAAACTTGATTTGGGTGGATAGTATTTCCCGCTTGTCCTCTGTGTTCGCAGTTAAATGTTTTTCTAACTTTTCTCCACAGCAATTTTTCAGCGGAGTTAAGTTCTTGAAAAAAAAAAAACTTGCATACCCATTTGACACTTTGTGGAAAGATGTTGAGCTTGTCAAATTAACTGAAGGCACCCATTCCTTCTCCTTCATTGTTGGATAATTATTGCAGGCCTACAGTAACCGCTAAACACCATCAACCTATTTGGAAGGGCTATTCGGATTATTGCTTGCATGAAAGAAGTATGCAGGTTCGATGCCAGCCGTCATAACTACGATAACAGACTTCAACACTTCGAGCGGAGTATGCCCACGTGCCCACGTTAGATAAATCTTACTGTATCTAAAAAACTAATTCATTCCTTGGTTTCACCAAGAAATCTGATCCGGCAGAACAGTAAAAGTCTTGAACTACAGTCGCCTATACGGAAGACGCTCCAGAATTACTGTTAAAACTAAGTTCTCTTCTTTTTTTTTTTTTGAGGATGAGCGTTATCGAGTTTTGTTTGCATTGTATTCTAGGTCGTTTGTAATGCAACACTCTTAGCCAAATTTTGCAAAATATTTCTTTCCCTAAGGCATAGAAAAGGTCGAATGCTAATCCAACAGTAACATCCAAAAGAGTGTTACAAACCTGGAATCGAAATCGTTTTGAGCCACATGATTTACAATGGATGCAAGTTTGACAACGACCCTGCATTTGCAATTTTATCCTTGCCATCTCAAAGTAAATCAGAGGACATTCGCATTATCTATCGTCCTCTTTGCACTAATCTGTAAGACTTACAAAAATGCAAACAGTCCGATTCATGCCTCCTAATGAATTGCATTTATTATTTCAAATACTTAGTAAGGTACAGAGGCATTTGAAAAAGTATATTCTTAAACTTTGCTTTATTGATTATCTAAGTTAATCCCGATCGTAAAGCATGAGAAGCTATCAAATAATTTTGCTTTCATTATCTTTGTTTAAAGCGATTGTTAAAAGCTTCAATAGCACACATATTGGTTCGGCCTCGAAAGTGGCATTACAAAATCATTTAAACTGTGAAAATAATGTCATATTGACTGGCAAAAAGCGTCGTTTAGAAGGGAACAGTTTTCGGAGTTTTCTTTAACTCAAAGCATGAAGGTAGACGCATGTATTTATCAAGCATATAGACTCTCCAAATTCCAAAAATGCTACGTTGAACAAAAAAAAAACACGTACGAAGGAAGGGGCAACCTTAAAGAAGCTGTACGGAGCATTACTACTAGGTGTAAAGAATCACTAGTTGACGAATAGTAGGATTGGGCTGTCGAAAAGAATGTAACTGGGAAGTTAAATTTATCCACGCCTATCTGTAAGTTAAAACTGGAAGAGAAAGTAAGAGCTATTTGATAAAAAGATACAAACATTATTAAAAACATGTGACAAAAGAACCCCCCCACCCCTACTAAGACATGCCTGTAATGCAGATATCCCTTAATCCTGCGGTTATAAGCAAATTATAAGCACGTAAAGACAGCAATTTCAAGTTAAGCATAATTTTAAGAGTGATTACTTCATATGGGTTTGTAGCACAATGTAAACTATTCATGGTATATTTAAATAATGAATGTTATGAAGACACAAGTCTTTCGGAATTACACATAGTATGCGATACCCTAAATCGATAAACTGGCTTTTTCGCAAATGCACAGATTTCGAATGGCATTTTACAAAATTAGCCAAGAAAGCATGACACTAATCTAATTCAGTCTGGCAAATGCACTTTATTTAACAGAACTGTTGCCTTTTAAACACCTCAGCAGCGGCTTTAATAAAATGGAAGGTCACTGCTTGTACTGGTGAACTGAAAGATGTCAGAACATAAACAATTCAAACCACTCAATTGTCGTAGCAGTCGATACAAATGGTTAGAAGAAGGGTATGGATGTACGACAAAATTTAAGAATTTTCAAAATGACATCATTATCAGTCGATCAGAATCATCTTTTCATTTATGAGTAGGTTAAATACTGATAAAGGTTTGCTTATTGATTCATTTTTACTTTAAAATAGGAACAGTTACTAGTAAAACTATTTCGTCATGGGAACAATGAATATGTTGTTTTAGGGGCGGCCATCATAGTCTTTAATCTTTCTTGCACTTGCAGATTTCTTCATCCTTCAAACCAGCCAAAGCTTGTTCGATATGCTTGCCACAACCTGTCATAGTCATCAAAAACATAGAAAATGTTCAGTACATAGGATAAATTTAGAGCAATTCATTTAGGAAGTAACTAATTACCGGTCCAGGTGTATTTGCCACATTCGCTACAGGTGATACGCTTACACATTTTATCTTTCAGATTTTTGAGTTATAAACAGAAGTAAAGAGAGGGAATATGCCCAGCCCCTTCTTTTATAATCTCGACCCCATTTTTTTGAATGGCGAAAAGGAAATGAATTTTCCAAATCTTCAAGCGGTTTTAAGAATTCAGATTCAGCATAGCCGCACTCATTGAGAGCACACGTAAGACCACGTAAGCTGCTAAGGCCCAATAGACGAAGATCGTTTTGTACAATGCAAGTTGGTGTATCATCAAAACCTGATCGTTCATCGTTTGATTGAGTATGATACATGGAAATATGTAAGCTTAAGCATTGTTTCCTGGACATAAATTCGGACTTGCATGGATGCATAGATGGTGATGTACTGCTCCATCAAAACCGAAAAAAAAACCCCAAGATAAGGACAAAATAAGTAGCGGCAATTTCAGAAGTAAAGCTAAGCAGAGGCTGAAGAAGAACGATAATTGAATGTAAAACAGTAGCCAAATTTCTAGCAGACAAGACTTGGCGTTGACAGCTTACCTATCACATCCATATTACATATTTCGAGATCATTTATACTACGGTAGTAGATGGGCTAGCAACTGCATCTTCAATTACCCGCAGTTTCTTTCCTAACTCTTTTGTATGTCTTTCCCGCTCAGATTAATAATTATTGATCATCATCCTCTCTGAATCATTAAGATCACGTTGCCATGGACTTATTAGCAGGGTAATTCTTGTGAATACAAGAGATGAAGCTATTTGTATGCTGTATCTGAAGGGAAACTTCCGATGTAGTTCAATTTCGTATCATGCGGGTTCAAACAGAACAATAGCCCTAATTGCATTGAACACGATGACAGGTTACACAGTTTTACAGTTAGGGCGTTCAAGGAACAAGCAGTAATTGATGCTGTCTTCTCATTATAGTAGTAGCTTTTCCTCAATTGATTAAGGTTGGTTTTCTAGATGAAAAATCACTGGAACTACCAAGACGGTCCAGAATAATCTAGATTCTGACAAGCTGTAAAAGAGAATTTCGACGCTTTTCAACAGCAGAAGAATGTACCTTATGGTACGTATACTACTCATGGGAATTCTTCTCTAGCATGAATATTGCTCGTTGGGATAACAGTGTATGGTCTTTGATACCCGGTAGCGGATATTATTCAGCTTTTTGAGTTTTATACGTGTAAATGTGCGTAATCAGTGCTAAACTCGGTATGCATCACTTGTCCGCGGAATGAGTCTTACTGCTTCACTGCGAATGAGGTGATCAGACCCCATTGTAGCAGAAACTTATTACTTATCAGTATAGTTATTTCATACGCAACCTTTTTCTGCTTTCCATCACTTTCTATAAGTTTTTGCCTTTTCTTGGAAAGCGTTTCGTTACAATCTTCACTCATTATCCACATTGACTTTAACAGTCCAAACCCCCCTAAGCTTAAACTGTCGCCTATGGCATCTACCAGAGGTAGAAAGCCGCTTCAAAATCTGTCACAAGGACAGATCCAGCAACTGCTTGCAGAGTTCGCCATTGCTCGTCACTTCTGTACTGAGGGTTGGATCTGTGGTTTTTGACGACTTGTAGAGTTAAATATCACTTAATTAAAAACAGTAAAAAGCTTAACGAGATCAAACTAGTAGGTCTTTATTTTGAATCAAGTAAGTTCCAAGAGAAGAAAAATATCTGCTGCAAAATTTTAAATATCTTCTTCATATTGCGGAACCTAGAAACTGACAGCTGAGTTATTCTACTCAAAGAAGACGTACGTCTTCTGAACCGTAAAAGGATAGAATTCTCCCTTGAGGAGATTACGCATCTACCCGGAGCGGGTGGACTTGTAAACGTATCCATGGCTTGGTCTAATGATCATGCAACTAACCTATTTTCCCGTGCTAACCATTATGTAGCACTGCTTGCAGGAAATTAGAATTAATTAGGAAAATAGTATTCGTGCGTGGTGTTTGAGTTGAGTGAACAGTTACTGTAAAGGATGATCACAAACTATTATCTTGTAATCATTTTTTACGCCGAAGGCAGAGAATAGTACTTATAACCTATTATGCCTTGGTGTTGAATCAATATATCCTGCATGTCCATATATTAATTCTACTATATATCCTATGTCATATAGTAACGTATTATAGCAAAATAAGTAAACTATATATCCTAAATGACAACCTGTTCAGCCTTATACGAGGTAGATAATCTCGTATAAGAATCATCACTTATTCTATATTCGTTTCCTACTCTACTTTATATATTATTTCAGCAGTAATGAGGTGTGAGGATCTTGTATAATTTGTATACGAGTTCTCCACATCTCATATGATGCTGTCAACTAAACACAACACTTAATTCACGGTACTCATATATAAGAGTTTATGTAGTTTCTAATTATTTCTGGTTTGCAATATTGTATAATTCATCTTTATCCTTCATAAAGTGAATTATATCAACTACCCTCAAATACGACATCCCCACCAGACATTACTTAAACACTGTGATGAGTACTGTTCATAATGTGCCGCCCATGTGCCCCTTTTAGCCCCCCTTCTTCTCCTCTTATACCATTTGTCTTCAACTTTACTTTCATCTTCTGTCTCTTATCCAAATAAAAGGCGCATGAATTTAAACAGAAAAAAATAAAAAAAAATACGACAACTGCCTCACATTGCGTCCCCTCACAACCGCTCCCAATGGCAACTACTTAAGCAAGGTCCATTCTGCAAAGACAAATGTAGCACTGTCGCCACTTTGACGCGAGCAATGTTCAAGCAATTGCAGCGATCCTACCTGAGCGAAAACTTCCACCAACATCGTCTCAACACAACATTACTCAAACAATGTCGTCCCTTTCTGGGCGTGGACCCTATCCTCTACCTGCCTATGACCGCCGCTGAACGTAGTCGATGCATTCGCTGGAGGTTGGGTTGGCTACCCAATGGCTACTCTGCTGCTTGCCCACGCCACCCGCATGCGCCTCTTACAAAAACTCACGCTCTTTGGTACCTCAATGTTTACAACCGCTTATGCCTCCCAAACACGATTGATGGTCCTCTGTCCCTCCTTCTGGACCGTCTACCCACTACCCGACCACGCTCACCAGTTACCACCTCCTCCTGGCATTTTCACTGGCCCATCATTTGCCAGATACTGTTCGAACTCGATCACCCAACATGTCAAGCCAATCTCACTCCACGAACCTTGTCATGGAACTTGCTTGCTCCTCCTACTAGCTAGCAATTGTATGCTTTCTATGTATGACCTCCTTTTTTCCAACCTTTTTTTACCCTTTCGCCCACAAGGGATTATTTAGAGCTATTGACCTTTCTACTTTGCGCCGGCTAGGGCGATATATGATGATTTTTTTTCACGCGCTCACTGAAGCCATTTATTTAAATAAAATCTCATTTCATCAGTAGTTATTTCATACAGAATCTCAGAATGAAAAACTCAAAACAATGCTAGGAAAGTTATGTAGTGCTTAAAATCCAAAAGCAACACTCTGAAACTACTGGTTTGTACAGCATTACAGCATTTGGCATCTGCTTTGCGTCTTTTGAAATGCAAGCTTTGTTCTTTACTCTTCAGCTTTACAGTCATTAACAAGTACTTTGCAATAGAGTTACAAGCACAATGAAAGTGTTATCGAAGAGATACATATTCATATGCCGACATAACAATAAAGGCACAAGAAGAATCCTCGAATCTGTATTGGTTCTCACAGCAATGTAGCTTAAATACTAACATATTTCTTTCTGTTAAACTCTTATCTTTTACAACAAATATAATTTATCTTTTATTGCTTTTGCATTCATGATCTTCAGTTTAGGGGCGATTAGTTGCTTGTACAATGAAATATAGTCGGCATGTTTCACATTCTCATTTCGATGCAAAGCGAGAGTTACTTCGATCAAAAGCTTCTTTGCTGTTGAGAGATCTCTGATTTTATTTGACAGTTTTCTCCTATTTTGCCCTGCTAGGATTGAGCTAGTTATGAGGCCCGTTTCAACCATCAAGTTCGTTATTCGTCGCACATCTTCTCCATCAATTGGGCCAATGGTTCTACATTTAGCCATAAAACTTGCTATAGTGCAACAGTCTTTATTTCCCCTTTCAATTATATTAATTATTGAGGCTGTGTGGAAACCGTTGTTCACGAAAGTCAATGATTTGAAGCACCATAAGAATTTTGATGCTCTTTTGCAAAAATTTCTCAACAGACGTAGTTCTTTAATGACTTTTGTAGTATGGGAGGGGAGATATAGTGACTATTGTAGGTCCATCGTGGAGCAGGCACTAGGGAAAGACGATCCAAGAAAGCCATGGATATTATTGTCTAAATAGGATCCATATAAACCACCTGTTATCAGAAATTCAAATTTTTTCCAAAACACCTTTATCTCACACCATTCTCTACCGTGCTCAGTTTTCCTTTCACCTTTGAAGAGAGGATCTTGTGGATACTTGTCAGTTAGAGTTGTATGTGCACAGTCATCGATATGCGGGCAGTTTCGTACGTATGCCTCAATTTGAGTAATGTAGATCCATTGTCCACAAATAGACGTGATCAATCCTCCTATTAAATAGGGAACTACCTCATTAATGGCACGATCAGCCAGCTGCTCCGTCAAAATATTCTCGCTCAAATCTTTCGCTACTTTTATGAAGGCGTTGTATTTCTTTTCATAATCCATATCATGTTGCAACACGTCTGAAAGTGATTTTGGTAGTTTGGTTTGTGTGGTATTACCACCACTAAACCTAGACTGTATTCTCGATTTGTACTGAGCTAAATGATTTTCAAAGGGTTCCATATGTCTGATAATCGGAGATGGAGTGTTTCTTCTTTTTGTAGGTCTATCTTTATCCAAAATATCAATTTGCTTTCTTTTGGATACGGCTGTATTCTCCATAATTAAAATTCTTCTTTCACTATCTTGGTTGCTCGCCAGTCTCTCCCACAGAGAAATTGTTCCCTGGTTTACATATACTTTCAAGGGACCATGATAGAGTTTATCGGGCAAACATCCGAGTAGTTTTTCGGCTACAGACATATTACTGTTGTATTTGCTTATTAAAAAATTGATAACAGTTGTAAGTCGATGACTATGAACTTAGGTGTCTTTATTATTCTTCAGATGAAGTAGAAGGATTATTTACTTTGTGAGGTTTAAATGGGAATTATATTATTTGAGGACGCGTATGCTAGTCACTAATTTCAGGTTCAGATGCTTATTGGGTGATTATTATATTTAGGCCTGTATCTTGTTCTATGTTGTACATAACCTATATTAGATGCAATATAGATAGACCGTGGTAGAATGTATTCTCTACCTGGTTGTACGTACTCGAGTATTGTAGTTATTATCTCACCAAACACGTCAGTGTAGCCTATACTAAATGATCAAGATTTATATATATTTATTGACGACTCAATTGAGCAAAAAATGAGACACTCATTTAAAATTGTCCGAAGCAATTTTCTATGCAGGTCGAGGTACTGGGGTAGATGAAAAAGCTTAATGTCTAGATGGGGGTAGGTGGCCGCAGGCGAAAGGAGCAAATAACTAAGATTCGGAGAACAGTGAGGGGATCATGCTTATCAAAGCCTGGGGTGGGGAACTCAATCATTCATAACTAGTTTGGGTACCAACACTAACGGAGAACCATTGACGGTGGCAGAGAAAGGGGGACAAGCTGAAAATACCAGTGGCAAATATAGGGATGGACCCTACAGCCGATAACCTGGAAGACGCATGCGCAGACCAAACCTTCTACGAAGTACGCTCATTCTCCATGCATTGCTTTGTTACAAGCTTCTGCATAGAATAGCATCATGATTGAGCTGCAAGGTCGCCGGTCGTTTTGAGCTAAATCATATAATTAAAACTGGAAAGAGGCAATTATTCGTTTGTCATAACAAAAGAAATTGCTAAACTCAAGATTGCACATGGTAGTATACTTGATGCTGTTATTATTATTGTTGTTGTTGTTGTCATTGTTAAGTCATTTTTTCCACTTGCATTATATGCGGTATGCTCTGTAGCCATCCCTACAATATTTAGGCCAGGTTTATAAAGACTGCCAGCTTCTTAGAAAAGTTTCGCTTTTATCATAACTCATTCACTTTCTTTATTCCTTCTCAATAGAGCCCGAAAAAAAAAAAAAAAAAAAAAGAGGAGAAGGCAAGAGCTATCATAAGTCTTTTTTTCTCTAGGTTTGTGGCCTTTAAAAATAAACTTCCTATCGTGAGGGTACCCAGATTCTCAGATGCCGCGAATTTGATCATGAATCTGTTTGTCAGTGGTTCAAAATGTTGAAGAATATCAATTCTCCTTCAGGCGATGCCAAAGGCCGCAAAGTATTACTCCTAAGATAAATACAGTTGCACAATAAATCCTGCTCACAAGACTCAATGGTTTGGATTACAAAAGAGATCGACACCGATCTCTTTTTCTTGCTTATCTTCACGTCTAAAGGAATTAAAATCCAATTTTCAAACCAGTGAGCAACTGCCCAGGGAAGTTCTAGATATATGAAGGGAATCAAATTCCAAAAGTTTGAATGGAAATAAAGGAATAGAAGGGTGATATAAGTGAAGACCAGGTAATAAGGGAGCTACTTATGAAGTTGTTCAGGGCGTGTACTGCCAAACCAGAAGCTATTGGCCATGGGGGTCTGGCAATGGTGGTAGTTCTTTTTTATGCTTAAGACAATCCACTATGTAAAATAAATACTGGAGTACTGGCCATCATTTAGTCCTTAACTTGTTAAAATGCTGATGCTTTGGCTGTCGAGCATTTGATAGAATAGTTAGTCGGCAGCCAACCAAGTCGCCAACAATGACATCTATTACGTTCTAAAGTGCCGTTAGTAGCCACTGATAAGGTCAAATGAAATGTTGGATGACATAAATACATCAGCTTGGAGTTCTGAGGGGTCGATCTCAGTTGTTGAAGTTGTCTTTGACTTTTACGGTCTGTAATTTCAGTCTGTAGCGGCAACGGTATCAAAGGGAGTCCGTATCGTCGGCACGTAAATATGGTAGATGATGGATCAATAATATACGGGACAAACAATAAATGAGCGAATCTGTGAAAACTCAAGAAAGGATAAGAGTTTATTTTTGAAGAAACAAATGAAAGTCAGAAGTAAGAATTCTTCAAAGATTGCTATAATCGAGAAGAATATATCATCGTTATTGTTCAGGAAATTTTGATTAGGTAATGAGACGCCACCCAACGAAAAAATAAAATTAAGGTATTAAGTTTCAGCGAGTTTTTGATTGTCATAATTAGAATTGTAAACAAACAAGAGTCAAATAATACGAAAAGCAATTTTAAGAAATATTAATAAACGATCATGCGCACAAAAACAAATTTAGATCATATTGTGGAATTCCGTGTTGCAATTGTAGGCTTTTAATTTTAATGAGAATATGTGATATCTATCAATGAAAATGAAAATCCTATTTAAAAAATGGTGCGCGTAACATCAACTTTTAGCATTTTTCTAATCGTTCTCCAAGAGCCAGACGCCAACAGACATTGATACAACAGTTGAACGATACGTTGGAGAAGGAAGCAAAGGACGAAATGGAAAACGTGTTACTTCGATCCGCTACCAGGTGGCATGAGAAAGGAGAACGAAATACTAAGTATTTCTATCGGGTTATCAAGAAGCGACAAATGCAGCAGACTATTCATGCCTTACGATGCAGCGTCGATGGTAGACTATTAGAAACGACCCCAGAGATTTTGCAGGAGTCCCATCGATTCTATAGTCATCTATATACACCGGAGGACATTGACCTTGGAGCAGTTGACTCACTTTTGGCAAACCTTCCAGACGATGCGGTTTTATCAGCGCAAGCTTCTACTGCCGTAGGAGCTGACTTTTCTTCCGCCGACGTGATCGATGTCGTGAACCACACTCCCAATGACAAGAGTCCTGGATTGGATGGGTTGCCCTTTGAAGTATACAAATTTTTATTCCACAAGTTCCCTAAGGCTAAACTCTTATTTTTGACGGTGTTGAACGAGGCACTACATGGCAATATCCCGTTGTCGTGGAAGCAAACCAGGATGGTATTGTTGTTTAAGAAAGGAGACCCCACATGGCAATATCCCGTTGTCGTGGAAGCAAACCAGGATGGTATTGTTGTTTAAGAAAGGAGACCCCACGTTATTGAGTAACTGGCGGCCTTTGTCACTTATCAATTCCGATGCAAAAATCTTCACCAAACTGCTTGCGAACCGCTTCAATCTTGTACTGCCAAACCTGATCAACCCGTACCAGACAGGCTTTATGCCACATCGCCTGATTTCGGATAATGGCTGGGTTAATTTGACATTAATGGACAACTACCGGCGTAGTAAAGCTGCACCTGCTTCTACTGCTGTGGCCGTCATGCTGGATCAAGAAAAAGCCTATGATCGGGTTCATCCAGAATATTTCCGTCTTGTCTTGAGACGATTCAGCTTTCCAGCTCATCTAGTTTCCGCTTTGTCGTCTTTGTTTTTCTCGACCGCCATTTCTGTGTCTATCAACGGTTTCTTGGGACAGCCTCTGCGACAAGGTCGTGGGTTACGCCAAGGGGATCCTTTGTCCCCTTTGCTATTCAATCTTATGTTCGAGCCTTTCTTGCGTACCATTCTGGCTTCTGCTCTAAAGGGCGTTTCAATGCTACCTCTTACAACGCCAGTCTTCTCAAGGGCTAAGACACCCACCATTCGGCATCCGTTAACTGGGGCAGACGACAGTTTAATACCGTGGTCTCAACCACCGTCCTTTAAGTTGCTTAGTTATGCTGATGATCTGGAAGTGTTTTTGGAATCCCCTGACGAGTGGCCTCTTTTATGCCAACTTCTGTCATTGTATGGGTCAGCCAGTAATGCCAAAGTCAATCTTCGCAAGACTGAAATTGTTTCTCTATCAGGTGAGAGCTGTCCATCTTGGTTCAATATTGCCAACTCTGAGGGTATCGACTACCATACCAAGCATAGTGGTACAATTGTACGTTATTTAGGGTATCCGCTCCATTCAACGTCCCAACAATTACATCGGTACTTGAACCGTATAACGAACATCATCAAAATCCATTGCAGTAAGATGAAGGAGCGAGGTCTTTCCGTCCGCGGTTTGTCATTGTTGGTCAACTCACAAGTTCTCAGCAAGATCTGGCATCTACTACGGGTGGTACCAGTTCCCAAGACGTGGCTGAATGAGATCCGTACTATCGCTCGAACGTTTGTATTACCTTTCCGTCCAGCTCCATCCTGGCGTTCTATCTGCCTGCCCAAGCGTAGCGGCGGTTTAGGTGTCATTGATCTGCATCAGCAACATTTGGCCCTTCAACTTATCTTCATTCAACGTATTCTTCGGCCAAAAAGCATCTATGATTTCGTTACTCCATTGATTGGCTATTGCATTTATCTTTGTACTGGTCACCACTCTTTTGTCCCTTGGCTGCAGCATCCTCGATCCTTTTTGCCTCTCTTTAAGCAGCTCCCGACGTTATCTATTCTAACACGGCTTTTGATTGAACTTCCAGCTCTACAGGATCATTCCAGTTGGCCAGGGCGCTGGTATGCGGACACACCGTTACGCTTTGCTCTCAAATCTGTCGCTTCACCATCGGACGCTGAGTATTTTGACCTGACTCAGATACCTTTGGGTTATACGGTAGCGAATGCGTTCTCTTGGTCCTATACATATGATATGTTCACCAATTTTCTTAGAGCTGATCATACCCACTCCAACAAGGTCGACGAAGTGCTCCGGTTGCTGCGTACTGACAATCCTCCCATCGTTTGGCGCCCCAGCATTAAGAAGTTTCTGCCGCGTGATTTTTGCCAGGATGTTCCACCACCTGAGAAGCGAATTCATAGTGCTGATCAGCGATTATCCCTGATAGTTACTCTCGATCCCTCTTTCTGGGTCCCCCTTTGCAATCACTGGGTATTTCGAATCGGTGATATTAGAAAGGTTCCATTTTATAAATTGACTCCGGGACTATTGAGACAGTTCTGGTCGCAGAGATATCTTCAGGAAAAGCTACCGGGTCAATTATCATTGCTTGGTATTCCACAGGTCCCCTATATATGCCCTCCAGGTTTCTGTCATCCACGGATTTGGAAGACTTTCTGGTCTTTGCGCTTATCCCACCAAGTCTGTACTTATTGGTGGCGCTTGCTACGTGCTTCTCTAAGCACCCAGTTATCGTTACATCGTCTTCGACCTCGGCGATGGCCTTCACCAGCATGTCAATTCTGTCCAGCATCAATTGAAGACGACTATCATTTTGTTGTTGGTTGCCCTGTAAAATGGTCCTATTGGGCAGCAGCTCTGGCTCATTTGTCTCTCACGGATGTATTGAGGTCTCCTGCAGATGTCTGGCATATTTTGCTCAATCTGAAGCTGCCAACAGCTATCGTATATACTGAGAATTACACTTTGGAACTAGTGGGAAACATTTTGGAAACACTTTGGAAATACCATTGGCATACGATTATCACTAGAGAAAGTTGGTCCACCGATAATGCCTTACAAAGGCTTAAGTCCTCAGTCAACTTGACGATTACTTTAAGCAGTGCTGCACCCTTATCCCCGCAAGCCGCAGACTAACTGCCTTGCTGGGTTTGGTGGTAACATTCGTTCTGTTGTACATCATAGATGCTCTTTTCCTCACTTTTTAATAATTCTATATCTTTATTTTTTATTGTTGAATAAATCGTACCTGAATTTAAACAAAAAAAAAAAAAAAAAAAAAAAGAGCCAGATTTGTGTGGTAGTTTCAGGATAAGATCATGACCGTTGTAGAGGGGGTCATACGGTAACAGTTTTCGAAATGGTACGTGAAAACTGGTTACCCTGACCAGGAATATCCACTCATTGAGATTTGAAGAGCAGCAGCCAAAGAATAACGAAGAACTCTAACCTGAGGAATCGGGGATCCTGATGACTGACCAGCATCTATAACACGTTTCAAATGAGCCTATCGGTGTACATTTTGCACTAATGGCTTGCTATTCATTTATTGAGAGGGCAATGAAGAAAATCATATGGTGATTGGTTTGGCTGAAGGAAAGCACTTCAAAGCACTGAGAGTTTTTTACGATAGTCTTGAAAGGATGACGGGTATTGGTTGCCTTCTACACAATTTTTACTTACTTCGACAATAAACAGTTGATTAAAACTACCTACCTATTACCATCCTGTTTCTTGCTGATAATTAAAGGATTGTTGAAACTTGTAAATGTGTCAGTCTTGACAGTTGTACAGCAGTCAATCATTTCTCTACAGCTCCATCCCACGGCAGACATGAGTCTGTCTGCATACTGTAATATCTTTCTTTAAGCCAAGCATATCAACGTATAATTTCATACATCGTCATTATTCAAATTATCAGTTTTCGGCTCAGTGCAATATTTTAATAGCATAGTACTCTTAACGACAATATCATTTAGAAGCTTGCTTTTAAAATTGACACCACAGGTCTGCGCCAGTAGCTAGAAGAGCTCGAATTCTGACCTATTTTTTAAGGCGACCAAGACAGGTATTAATGTGCTTTAGATCACTTTTAATTCTATGATTTAACATAGCTTACTATCTTGTACTAATTACTATTACATTCATAATTTATGATTCCGTTTTAGAAACCATTTTCAAATTATCACCGTCTTCTTCAGGTAATGGTTTGAGAGGTTAAAGGGGTCTGTACCAGTACTTTACCAAACACTAGGTATTATATAGCAGATTCAGGCAAAGAAGTCTAAAATGTACTGTATCTTTCAACCTGTTCACATTTGGATTCACCGTTATTTGTATCGCAAGACCCACACGTGTTTTTGCATAACAATCCAAATCAGTATACCATACTGCTGCAGTTTTTTGTCTATTTAGTGTACTCATTTTACTCAATTTGAAAAACATTTTTAGTACTAGTAAGACTCTTATTCTCGTTGTTGTTGCTGTTCAGATACTTGTCAACAGCATTGGGGTTACTGGAAATGTTTGCTTCGATGAAAAGTTGTTGTCTCAATGCGACTTCGATCTTTTTTTAAGGAGCTATTCTATTGTTACTAAAACTTTTGAACCGGTAACTGTGATGATAATAAAATATGAGTGCTATGTGCTCTCGAATAAATAGTTAAGAAAGGCATACAAGAATATATTACATCTGTAAATAACAGTATAGACTTTCCGTAGTTAATAGCATAGTATATTAGCTTCTTTCAGTTACCTTTGTTTCACATTTTTTTATTCGTACTCTTCAAACACGTACACCTGCCTATATTATATGCATTGACATGCTAAACAGCAGGATCTGTCCTTTCACTGAGGCAGTATGTACAGTTCCTGAAGATCATAAAAGTTTGTAGCTGCCATGCCTCTTTATGAAAAGCACGACATGTTAACGCTTTCGAAACGTTGTGACCTCCTGTTAAAATAAAAAAGTTTCTCAGAAACGCCCCCTTTTTTTAGATGAAAGGATTGTTTATTGTTCGTTCTGGCATGTGCGCCAACGGATTAAGACTATTTTGTTTATATACAGCTCAAATAGAGTAATGCACAGTGGAATCTTTGTGTTGCTTGTATCAGAATGTAAAAGTCAACAATTCTAACGTTACTGCGTCAACTTAAAGAGTCAAGAAGAAAGTAAAAAAAGCAGAAATGGAGAATACGTTAACATTGCTATCAAACTCTGTTGAATTATAGCAAGCCATATTTGTTCCAACAATAATGTGGATACATGGAATATTCCAGCTACAAATATGCTCTCTGTCATTTCTTCCTTCCTCCACGCTTTGTCCCCCGAAGGATAATCATGGGCTCTGCTTTTTTTCTTTTTTTTTTGTTGAGTCTTCCTAAACGTGTAAAAAATGTTTCTGATGTAGAACATATAGTTATCATGAATAACTGAGAACGTAAATCCTTAGTTCGCTTCTGCGGAATGCACACGTCACCGTATGCAAGAACCGCGTTTATGAATAAATTTTTGCTCCAAGGGAGATCTTCCATTCGATTAAGTTATCTCTGTTATCTAGACTACTAGATTAAAATGGATTGGCGTTTAAAACTTCTTTTTTTAGAAAGTCTGACTAGTTGATATTATGAAAGTTATATGCTATGCATAATCAAGTTGTTGCTATTATTTCAATAGGAGGGATTATGAACGAAGGATGACTGATATAATAAATGAAGGAGGCTTCGCTTGATGATGATGTATAGCTATATATATACATATGCATGTATAAGAACGAACCACAATAGTCTTAGGAAATAAGCAAAATGATATAAAAGATGTGATTGGAGATGATTCAAAGTTTCTAACATTGCTTCCCTGTAATTTTTGAACTGCAAGTAATAGAATTTTTTTTCTAAAATCTACGATAAGGATAATGCCTATCATGGAAAAAAGTCGATGTCATACAGATAATACAGGAGCCTTTTTCAATTATACAAAAAGGAAATAAGAAGGGTCAGAGAAAGAAAAAGCTAAGAAGTATGATACTGTCTTATTGACACTATTGTACGATGAACCCCTCCTCCTTCGTTTTTTTACCGATAGAAGCCATCACATTAGCTTGGAATGTTATACAACAATGACACGATACTACATCATTTTGAAATAAGACTTCCGATCGAGATCTCAGTTGTGTTTGTACGCAGATCGTATCAACAGAATCGATTTATATCGTGTAGTACAAAAATAAATCATGTAGAGTTCAACCACAGAACGGCTTTTACGGTTGGTGGTAACAGAAGCAAGATTACTTAAAAGGAGGTAAATGAATGAAAAGGGGAGGATGAAAGGGCGTATTTTTTTTGTCCAGCTGGTGTACAACAGGCCAAAACTGAGTTGAAGAAGGGAAGATCAAATCTTAAATCGATTTGGTTTTATACTCTAAATTATTCATCAAATGCTATAAAAGTCAACCGGCCACAAGAAATATATACATATCCATGTTTATTATTCACATTGTGGAGAAGAGAGAGAGAAGAGAAAAAGAAGGACACAGTTGTATATATGGTTGCAGATCCACAGCCCATTAGAGTTGCAGTCTGTAGGTATGAGAAATAGAGATTACGACGACAAGAAAAAGATAACCACTCACACTTCTGTGTGTAGGCACAATGTTTTTAATCCTCTTCCACATCTTTCAGTTCGACTATTCGCGTATTTGACGGCATGAAGTGCATTGGCCGTGATGTATTTGGTATTGATGCGGCTGTTGCGCAAGGTGCGCCATCTTCTGCCATTGGTTCTGAAGTTGTATTTGTCGATCCTGAAACTTGAATAATGGGATATTCTACCGCTGCTCTTGAGGAAGTACGCTGATCATTACTCAAAGCGGGCGGATGTGGTTGCTGTGATTGTGGTTGTGCTGGTAGAGGTAGGGGAGGTGATGATGAGCAATGCGGCGGTGCTGAAGATGATGGTTCAATCATGAAATTATGTGTTTGGACAGTTAAAGAGCCTTTTCGTAATAATTTAGAATAGTCTAATTATTTAAATGAAATGGTTAGTTCTAAAAACGATTGAAAGAGTAGCATGTGAAATCATATATACTTTACGTAGGCCACAGGCATTACATAGGGTTCGAGCTCCGTCAGGACCTCTTCTCCATTCCGGAGTGTCTGTTGTATTACAAGAGTGACATCTATGACCCAGCATATTCGTTCTCTGTTATTTTTTTTTTTTTTCGCAGATCGGTTAGTATCAAAAATGAGCTAAAAAGGCATATGCGAATGGCATGTATTTTTTCCACACTTACACTTCTCCTGCGATATTTACTTCTGGAATTCTTTTGTAGATTCCTCGCTTGTCTGATCAACTCGTAGTCGTCATTTACAGCAGTTTCATTATTACCGCTGTAAAATTTGTTGTTATTGTTGTTATTTACATGCTTTAGCAATTCACTCGTGGTGGATGATGTTGCCGTAGTAGACTGTAGTTCATTCAAAAGCTTCAACATTCGTTCTGTAGTACTAAAGACATCATCTATAATTTTATTTCGTTCTGTTTCTGTTAAAGGATCTACACGATATTTGCCAATTTTTTGATAAACTGAAGTACATTGCTCTACAATTGTTTTTAATGCATGATCATCATCGTCTATTGTACTATCATCTGGAGAAGGTCTTTTAAGACTAATGCTACTGCTGCCAATGCTTTCATGACTACTATTTGTTTCAGAGTAAGTTGCTGGTAAACTAACTGCAGTTACTGTCGATGACGGTGTAGGGTGTGGAGCGATGGGCCTTTGATGAACATGCTTTGTGAATAACTGTTGCTGTGTTTGATTTTGTGGAGGATAAGAATGAAATGGTTGTTGCTGTGAATAATAGCCTGGTGGCGGTGGCGGAGAAGAATTATTAGTGCTGCTAGATTTATGGTTGTTGATTGTATTATCAGCAGAAGCAGAGTTGACTAACGCTGGGGGTAAAGGTAGATTCAGAAATGGTTTTAAATGCTGATGTTGTAATTGATATTGAATTCGATAATCATGTTTATCTTTTAAGACTGATTGGCTTGTTTGTGATACTGCTACATGATGCTGATTATTCACGTTGTGCGCATTCTTATCAGTGTTTGCTGTTGCAGAGAAAAGTTGTTTACTTAATGAAGGTAAAGCTGCTTTTCCACTTTGGCAAGATCAACAGAGAGAGATAGTTAGGTTAGTGCCAACATAGAAACTTCATCAACTTCAAATCTTGATAGCCAACCTTTCTTTAAAGCTTGCCAGTGGCATTGATGAAGTGTCTTTTATACTCTCATCATTACTGGCGCCACCGTGATTGAAGGACATTGGGGAATCTGTAGTGGTAGCACTGGTAGTGCTGGTAGTTGGGGTAGAATCATGACATAACTCAGAGACTTCCATCTCTGTTGTTCGCAAAAGCAAAATAAAAGTGAAGAAAAAAATTGTCTTTCCGATTCAATAATGGATATAGATTCTGAAAAGGCAGGTTGTAAAACCAAAATAAAAAAAAAAAAAAAAAATTCTAAGTAGTTTGGATCCCCTTTTTTCCCAATCTAAGTAACTAAGTGTGTTGATTTTGCGGCTGCGTTTTCGTTGTAGTCTTAGAAGAAAAAAAAAGTGAGCTTTATATCTTCTTCCCTACTTATTTAGTCATAAGTTAAATGTGATAAAGTAAAAAATAATTAGGAGAAACTAGAAAATAAATGGAAAATAAAAAGAAGAAAAAGAGAAGTGGTTCGAACGGAAATGACGGGACCAAAATAGGCGCAGTGGGGATAGACACTTAGTTGCCGCACTCACACGCACACGCACACACATATATACACACACACACGCACAACAGCAAAACCCGTCCAACGTCACGAGACTGGATTATTGACTGGCCAATGATGGACCTTGATTATAAAAAGGGAAGGGGCACAGGGTGTTTTTACCCGCAAATCGATTTAATCTACACAGAGCTAATCTAGATATCATCAATTAGTGCAAAAGTCATTGGTTCGACTTCAAAAACAGTCATTTCATAATTGTATCCAAAACGGCGATTGTGGCTCACTCTATACTTTCGATTTTTTATTTTTTTTTTTCCCTCAAAAAAAAAGAAAAAAAGGAAAGATTGGTTTTAGATGTAATATCCCTCGCCTGATTCAAATATGCACAGAGGCCACACACACATTTAAATGATCGGTTACGTATCTGATAAACATGTTTAAATTAGTCCAGTTTGAAATTAGATATTCAAAAGATTATAATTCTTTAGCCCATTCAATATCAAAGGAGAGATGTGTTGTATGCACAACATCTTCTATTTATTTCTAGAAAACTACTACTATGAACCTTTTCTTTTGTTCAAAAGGCATTTTGACACTTGCTATGATAAAATTTTTGTTTTAAGGGTCACCAATGTATTTTATATGCATGTTCTGCAAGCTTTTTTATCCATCAAATAAAAAAAGTTGAGCCATTTAAGCCGTTAAGTACATATTTGATTTTCTTATACATATAAATAGATATTCCCTTTTTTTCCGTTTTTAAAAAGAAAAAAAAAAAAAAAGATAAGTCATAAGTCTTGTGTTTGAATACATGGCTAGATGTCTTTTGTCATTAATGATTTATGTAGTAGCAATGTTCGCTTGAGCAAGCTTAAATGCACCCACAAGCGCGCTTAATTGAATTTGCTCACTTCCTCCTTCACCTAACCGATATTCTATCTCTGCTAGATTTTTCAGCAAAAGTATGCGGGATTCTGTTGGATACTCAATCAAACGAACAAAACCATAGATTTCCGCCACAATATCCGATAAAGCTAAACCAGATTCCTTTCTCAATTTTTCAATGTCTAACGGAAATAACAGAAGAGAAAAAAAAAAGAGGTTAGATCACCTCTTTACATAAAGTTATATGCCTCCCTTCCTCCTGTCTTTCAGCATACTTGAAAAAGCTGTTGTAAACTCTTCAGACATCATCCATTTCGCCATTCTTTCAATGTCTTGTGGTTGAGGGTGTCCTGTCGTATGATAAATTGCCTGTTCGTCAATTCGATCATAAGCTGCGTGACAAGCTTGCAAAATATTCAATGCTCTTCGCATATCTCCCTTTGACAATTGCAAAAGTGCTTTTTTGCCGTCTTCTGTAATATGTACATTCTCTTGATCAATAATCCTCTGTAACCTTGAGTCCACTTGTTCGATCGTCAAGGGGCTGAATCGAAAACGGGTACAACGCGATTGTACAGCTGGAATGATTTTACTGATGTAATTACATAAAATACAAAATCGTACATTTTTCGTGTACTTTTCGATAATGCGACGTAACGCTGCTTGAGCCACAGTGGTCATAGAATCGGCTTCATCGAGGATAATCAGTTTGTAAAAATTGCCTTGTGCGCTGCTATAAATATTGCGAGTACTGGCGAAGTTCTTGATTTGCTGACGAACGACATCAATACCACGATCGTCTGAGGCGTTGAGCTCCAAGATCATGGACTTGAATCGGTCACCATAAAGTTTGCGTGCACATGCCAGAATTGTAGTCGTTTTACCTGTACCGGGTGGACCGTAAAATAATAAATGGGGTAACCGTTTTTGATCGATGAATGTCTCGACTAAAATGACGGAATAGTAAATGAAAGGAAGAAATGTGAGTAAGAATAACGTCAATTTTTCTTTCTAAATCTGAAAAAAAAGCTACTTACGAGTTGTTGTAACGTCCTCATGAGATACTAACTCATCCAAAGTTTGCGGTCTGTATTTTTCCACCCAAGGTAGATTGTCTAATTCAGATGTAACGTCTAGCATTTTCATCTTGCCCTTGTTTAGTGTTTTTGGCGTTGCATCAATATCCATCTGGCTCATCCTGTTATTAGTTTGCTGGAAAGGTTTAAGTTCGTATTGTTTATGGCGTTGGAATCGAAGTAAGTAGAGAAACTTTACCTTTACAGAATCTATCACTGTTATGCCAGCGCGTATTGAAACGCGCTTTTGGAAAGAATATTGTGACTGGAGCATTTTTGCATTAGGTCAGAGGGCTTTAAATCAATTGTACCTTTTCTTTTCACTGCTAAACAATTCTGAAAAACTTGCTGTCCATTACCTTTTCGAACAGCGAAGGGTATTTTTGGACATTGAAAACCTAACGTTTATAGACGTTACTGAAGGATTGAAACAAGACTTCAATTTGTCTTTTCCAAGAAACGTCCATTCTATTTCATACTAAGCCTTGCTTCTCATCCAATGAACAACCTTAAGAACTCTCTCTTCATCATCTAAATTCAATTACTTTATCATTACTAGCGAGAGAAAATGTATCAGATACAAGTCTGACGTCTTAAGAATGTCCGAACGATGAAAGGATTGCTCAACAGAAATTTCAGTATACAGTAAGGAGATAGGAGATAGGTCAAAGATACTGCAGAGAATCTGCGAGAAATAAAATGGGTAATCAACACACTATACAATGACATGAGAAAATTCTTAAAGCAACTTGCTTCGAGAAATAAAAGATTACATACAATAATGACAACTTAATATATTTCTTAGTTGAAAGAATTCTTCAGTAGCAATAAGTGTGACTGAAAGAGTTCGTACACTTGCTATGAAAAGAGCAGTAATGGGAACGATAAAAACTCTCAAGAGTCATCAGAGTATATAATAAGCATAATGGTGGCCTATTTTTATGAAGCAGTAGGCCTTTTCTTAAAATGATGGCTTGGCAGTGCCTTCAACAGGCATAACTTATAAAAGGTTGGATTTTTCAGAGTAAAGTAGTGCAAACCAAATTTTAACTTTCACAAATGACTCTTTTTATTTGCTATAGTATTATCTCACATTGAATGCACTATTAGCGAGTATCACTATTTGACTATTTGTTGGTGAACTGTTACAAAATGTTCTTATTATCCATGTATTCATTTCCCACTACAACTGTACGCATCTCTATATTTCTAAGCATTGTTGATATTGAATACTTCAATTTATATATGAGAGGACATAGCTTTTGATGTAAAAATAGTAAGAAAACAAATCAGTATCAATAATGGTGCATACAGCAGTGCTGATTCGGACCATATAGTGTTGATGCCAAGCTAGTAGCACTTTGATCGGTCTTCGCTGCTCCTTGTGCAGTAGTAATGTTGGACTGAATACTGTTTTCATCTGTAGCGTGACCCACCACGCATCTTGCTGCAATTTTTGTAACTGATGTTGCTCCTGATGCTGTTACTGACGAAGTATTATTACCACCGCCTGCTTGTATTTGGTTAACATATAGAAGGACGGAAAGACAATTTTTAAAATTGTTACAGGACAATGAATAACTGCTAATATCCGGGCATGCATCAAAATTTGTTAATGTCTTGTTCCGTTTAGAATCCACGGAGGTGGTGTATTGGCATACTGTATATGTAAAATTTGAATTGGCACAATAAGTATCAGGACACATTAGTGTCGGGTTCTGAGGATCACAGTACATTTTGTTTTGTTTCTGAATTCTATCTTTTCTTTTTTCCTTTTTGTTGTTTTTTCTGCGTGTTTGATGTTGTAGTCGATTTGTTTCTTTTGCTTGGTTGATAAGAATTGATTATATATTCCAGTGTACAGAAACAACGCACGGATTAAAGAAGAAGAAAAGCTATCATAGATTGATGATCAGGTGTAATTGATTATTAGTTGCAATGGATACATTATTATTACCGTATACAGAACGGATCAAACTATAAATTATTGCTCGACATAACAACCACTACCGCAAAGGGGCTTAATTTGTAACAGGGAATTACCGTACACTGCTTATTGTAGCAATAGTATGTACTTATTAATGGGAAAAAAAAAAGAAGAAAGGAGCGTGAAATCGTATTAATGTGTTGGAAGACTTCAGATGGCTATTACAGTATCAATGTGTCTGTCGAGAAGCGTAAATTTTTTCCTATTCAACTCATAATGTTCTGAAAATGCTATAGACTCAATTTTCATTGTAACTATCTTGAGTTCTCAATCATATAGGTTAGAGCACATGTTTCTTACAACAGAAGTTACAATTAATTAGGCTGTTGAAGAAAGATAATTAAAGGAAGTTATAGCTGCTCCTTTGTTTGCTTTTTACAAAACTGTTGGTATAGCAAGAAAGTTGACGACTCAATACATGTGATTTTTTGTAAACCTTTTTTTTTTTTTTTTTTTGTTCTGCTGCCTCTTTCAATTCTCGCTGCAGTTAGTTGAACGAAACACCGCCCGTGACAGCGCTTATGAAGTAATGACAACTGGTGTAAGAAATAAAGGCAATTTTCTTTGATTTTTTCTTAATAGCAACATGTCGAACATTTATGCACTTGAACCACACACAAAGTAACTAACATATCTTTTAACAATACAATTTGTCTACAATTAATTTACTTAACCTTTTATTGTACAAATAATATCAGTGCAAAAGTCATTCTTCATACAACCTCCGGCGACATTGAAGTAGAATTATGGGGAAAAGAAGCCCCTCGAGCAACACGAAATTTTATCCAACTCTGTTTAGAAGGTTACTACGATAATACCATCTTTCACCGCGTTGTCCCTGGTTTTCTAGTTCAGGGTGGTGATCCTACAGGCACCGGTCATGGTAAAGTTTTAAAACGATTTGGAAAAGGAAATTTATGCGTTTTTGGCGATGCTAACAATGATTTACTATTCCGATGAAGGTGGTGAGTCTATATATGACGATGGATTCCCTGATGAATTTCACTCTCGTCTACGTTTTAACCGTCGAGGTTTGGTTGGCGTTGCTAATACCGGTCAAAACGATAACGGATCGCAATTTTTCATTACGCTGGATCGTGCTGATGAACTCACGAAAAGACACACATTATTCGGTCGAGTAGCAGGTGATACACTTTTCAACGTCATGAAAATGACAGAATTGGAACTTGATGAGAATGAACGACCCTTATACCCACCTCGCATTAGGAGTGCAGAAGTTATTTTGAATCCATTCGACGATATCATTCCTCGCATCACGGCTGAAGAGAAAAAGAAACAAAGACAGTTAGAGAAAAAGAAACGACAAGAGGAAAAGGAGGCACAAGAAAAAAAGAAAAAGAAAGGGCAAAAAAAGTAAGCAAATGGGGAAATAATAAAAAAAATGTAAAATTAACTGTGTGAAGGAGAGAGAGAGAGCTAAGTTACTTATTTCTTATTATATAGACAACTTAATCTATTATCATTCGGTGAAGAAGCCAAAGAATTAGAGCCAGCGTCAGAGATGAATAAGAAGATAAAAAGTGTCTACGATCTCATGCCTGACGCTCAAAATCAAACGCCAACCGAAACATTCAATAATAACGAAGAAATGACCATAGAGGCTGAGCCTATCATTCAGAAAAATGAAAGAAGAGAAACTGAAAATGAGATAGACAACGATTTAAAGACAAAAGTGAAAGATGATAAGAAAAAGAAGAAAAAGACAGTAGTGGATGATATCAATCGAAAAGGAGATGGCGCCTCGGAAAGTGCAGCAGAGACAATCGAAAAATTGAAGCATGAAATTCGTAATATTTCAAAAGTACATGATGAGGAAGCCAAAAGAGAGGAACAAGAAAGGTTAGCAGCAGATACCAAAAAGAAAGGGAAGAAAATATCTCTAGTAGCATTGGAAAGAGAAAAATATGTTACGAACAAGTCAAAAAAGTCAAAATGGAAAGCCAGTAAAGAAGATGATGAAGATGTGTTAGGTAAATTGACAGCTTTCAGAAAGAAAATTTCTTCTGCGATAACTGTGGACGACGAGGAAGAAGAGGCGAGAAAAAAGCAACAAAAAGTTTGTGATTTGCATGGTATTCCCAACTGTGAATCCTGTTTTGATCCAAGCAAGCTAGCAGAGGATGATGTTACAGACGAAGGCTGGTTGTCTCATAAACTAGTTTTTGATAAGGATTTGAAAGGGAAAGATTTGATGCAACGGAAAGAAAATGTTGATGATTACGTTGTGATTGATCCCAGAGATAGGGAGGCTAAGGCTAAGCAAGAAGAATATGAAAAAAGGAAAGGTTTTAAAACTGGCGCTTTGTTGTCGTCATCGATGTCAAGTAGAAAGGAAAAAGGTGACTACCACTCTGATCAAAGGAGAAAGCGTGATGGTCATGCAGACCCTTATGAACAACCAAATACAAGACGTTACGAAAGCGACGATAGAGATAGCAAAAGGTCTAGATATGATAGAAGATATAACAATGATTCGAGAAGATAATGAAATAAAGAGAACAAACCTTATTCGTAGTTTTATAAATGGTATTGTTTATTCATTATGTAAGGTAAAAGAATGATTGTTATGAGTGAGAGTCATTGGCTTAAACAAACAATATAGAAATTTAAGAACATTGAACTAGAAGGGTATATTATCAGAACATACACTGTTTGTTCATATATGTGCTATGTACTCAAAACGAGACATATGAATAAAAATGGCATTTGTGAACGATTAACGTACTATACCGTGAACATATATATATTTGTAAGATTATTGACTAGCGTTGACACTTACACTATGGCTTCAAATTTAAAGGCCTCTGCCATAACTATCACCCTTGCTGCTGTGGTCTTTGGAGCGTTGAGTGCTTTTTCCTTTCATATATTTCTTCCTTTCATGCTTGGCTTTTTTAGATGCGTTTCTGCTACTTGTGCTACCGCTATCACTACTGTTTCCATACCGCGATGGATTTGTACCCTGATGGCTGCGTTTCAAGCCAGTGTTTCTACCAGACGCAGTAGTCGATATGGCTGAGGATGAAGAGTCTTCTTCATGTCGCGATTTTCGCCGGAAATCTGTATTCCTGTTTTGTTTCTTCTTTGTTTTATCTTTATTACTTGTTGTTGCTATCAGTATGTCTATCGCTAGGAATAGGGCTATTGTCCATATTATGAAAGCCAGATTCAATGGGAGAGGTTCCCCTGGTAATGGCTGTAATAGGGTTATTCGAGTTCCGTCTAATATCTAAAAACTGTAGGACGCAAAGTAGCATCAATAATAATAGTTGGGGCATTCAAACCTGAGCCAGCTTGCGGAGTAGCTGCATGTTGGGATTGTGCATCGGCTTCGATACTTGATATTACTGAACTGGTGTAGTGACTTATCAAATTAAGCCCTCGAACAAATCGTGTCGTATTTTGGTGTTGATACTGAGCTGTCGGCGGCCGAGGTATTGTTATATGTTGACTCTCACTTCTCAACTCCTGAGCTACTTGTATTAAGCGCGGTCCGACGTTCAGAAGTACGCGAGCCAAATGCTTTAGGACAAGCGCCATTCTCTCATCAATTGAATCCCCCACTATTTCTTATTCTGGATAGAAAGGGTTGCTACTGATCAGGATAAAGAGGAGTTACTGGTGGCAAATTTATATTCTGATCAAAGTTCGGCTCCTCTAATAAGCTCTCGATGTTTTAAATGGCGGCTAACGTTCTAGCGAGCCTAATATCAAGACTTATCGTGTACTCTGAATTGTTTTCGAACGGTGTTGTTTGAGGAAAGTTCAATATCCGGTCAACCACGACACTGAGACTTTCTGAAGGAGGGTAATCTTCATGGACTTCACTATCTAATTGCTCCTGCTCTATATCAGATTCTCCTGGATCATTAAAACCGTACGAGTTGGGCTCATCTGCAAACATCCTAATTAGTACCAAATACAAAAAGCCGACAGCAAAAATTCTCAAGCTTATTATTGTATGTCCATACTATTCAGTGGATTGCGAGGATCATCGGCAGGACGGATAACCACATGGATTACTTAGCCTAGTTCATCCCTGGGCTAATTTGATCGATCCTTAACTTGTCATCAAAGGAGTTTCCTTAAGTGTAACCAAATCACATGTACGAGCTGATTACGAACAAAATTGGTAGATCATTTGCAGTCGCGAAAATACTAATACTTACTCGTTTGGTACGGGTTCTTGTAACCATAAGTTGTGGATTCTCCGGTCAAGACGTTGAACCACGTGGTTTTACAGAAGATATTTAAGTTCACAAATGCTTCTGTCTTAATGTAAATCAAAGGCTTAATGCCCTTTGTTGTGTATATAGACATGGATTGCTTTCATGGAATGTCTCGCAGTCAGTTAGGGTTCGACTGCTATATGTTAAAATTGATGTTCTTTGCCCTCCTCGTGACACATTATTGCAAATGACGATCGTTACATTCATTGTCAACATAATATCCCACTGTTTGTTGGGCTTACTTGAAAATCTCCTCTGCCATTCAATCATCAAGAACATACAAGCAGTTATAAGAAAGACTGTCTACATTTTCACCTCATTAGAATCAGGTGGTTCGCTGTTGCTATAAGTTTGTATGTGTCAAAAACCATGATATCTTCTTTTCTCATGCGTAAGGAAAAGTTAAAAGAATATTTTCCAACATTAGTGATAGTAATCATAACTTTTAAATTGTGTATTATGCAAAAAAGCTAAACTAGCAGATACAGATGTTTGAAAAGTGAAACGTGCCACGTTAAAACCCGTTTATTTCGACAATGGTTGACAAATAACACTATCTGATCGTTTTCGTCTCCATTTTGAATGGGGTGGGGGGAAAGAAGCTTGCTTAAGTTGACTGATTAATTAATATTGATGAAAGCAACGTGTACTGTTCACTCAACACGAGGCCAAACCTCAAAAGTTAACGATTGGGTGTTGTCAATTTCACTATCACTAAAGGACAACAGCTTTAGCCCAATGACAATATGTGTTTCGGTCAGGCATAATAGTTTCTGTGAACAATAGACGTCAGGAAAATCTATTGCAAATCTTTAGGCAGCGTTCATTCCACTTTTGGCGTCTTTCCGATGTATGTACGACCTTTGAAACAATATATGATGTTTCAATTAGATTTGATGAAATACAAATTAATCAGCCTCTCGACATTCAGTTGATGTATGCACGCTTGCTCTTGATTCAACTCACTTCAAAACGAAAAGTTGTTATAAGGGGTTCTGCAAAAAGAAGAAAATACACATAAACGCATTCAAATACGACGACAAGCCTCAATGCTATTACCATTAGTTATTGCAGACGAAAACTTCTTCGAGCTAATATCGGCAGTGGGCAAATGATCCCTGCGAATTTGTTATTTCAAGCACCCCTTGGGCAGCTTTCTTTTACTAGCATTAGCTACCCACAACGTTTCTTTTAGTGATTTGATGAGCTACAGTAATCCCCTCCAGATCTGGAAGAATGGCAGATTTAATCGAGCAATGTTCCCCGCCATACTGTTGCATTTTTAGAATCACTTATTATAGAATTTTGAGGACCTGATTTATATCAATCTCAACTTGAAATATAAGCGCATCCTGTGTGTATATATAGGCACATACACATGATCATTCTGAATGTAATAGGCGTATGTTCTATTTCTGCCCTTAGGTTTAGCGGCGGTTTATTTTTAGGGACTTTAGCGTATAATTTTTAGCTGTTCTGAGAGATTAGTTGGTTTTTTTTTTTCCTTTGTATGAAAATAGAAACTGAGGTGCAATAGGCATCAGTGACACTTCCAGGAGTTTAGCCTCCTGTTAACTGCAATAGCATTATAAGCAAAACGGTTCTGAAGGGAGCCTTGGACTGTTTTCAATAATACGCAGTGATAACATGTGAACTAATTTTGAAAGCAATAACTCCAGATATGAGAAAAGAGAGACTAGCTAGACAACAACATATATTGTCTGTTTAAACAGATATATATGTAAACCCATCACATAGTACTTCTGACGCGCTTATAGTAATATTATGTGCTTAAATGATGCTGTCGTCACGTACCTTTTTAATATAGTAAACCGTGTTTATTATACACATGTGGAAAACCGGCCCTGTTGTAATGGCGAAAAGCCTTTGTAAATGGCCCTGACTTTCATCGAGAGGATTACGGATGTCTTAATCATTTAAAATAAAATCTTAAAAAGCCATTTAGGGTTTGCATGCCCTGAAGCAAGCACATATATATATATATATATGACATACATTCGGTCTATTACTTTGTATTGTCGATTTTGAACGCTATTTTTGCTCCTTTTCTAATATAACAAAGATTATGGTGTTTCATCGTGTTTTGGCACGATTTTTTTTCCCAATAATATGGTGTGCTTGGAATACTGTATGGCTGAATTCATATCCTCAATCCAAAGGTTGGCTCCGATACAAAAAGCTTACCTCTATTTTGTTCGCTTCTTCATTTTCTTTCCCACCTTTTCCACATGAAATGATGTAATGTTTGTGGTGCGGGGTGGCAGAAGGAACAAAAACAGCTATTTGAAGCAGAACCATTCAGCGTGTATGCTTCAATGAAGAGTATGAAGCTAAGACGAGACTCCCAAATATTTATCCTTGACATTTGAGAGAACAATAAAGACGAATATACATAAGCATCTCTTTGTAAAAGAGAATATTTTTTATTGTTCACATTTTGATGAGTTTATGGATGACTTATTACGATACCTTTCGGTCCAGATTTTTCTACTTGCACACTTCAAGTGAAGAGTCTGAAGGAGTAAACATCATGTAAATGTATCAAAGGTTCTTTTCCGCCTCATGGTAAATGTAGATAAAACGACAAGAGAACATAGGCTTTATTAGTTATATATTATCAAGTATGAAGGTTTGTAGATGAACTCCAAAATACCTTAAATACTGATAGAAAGTCATATGGTTTCTACGGTTTCTGCGAGCTAATATCTTACAGCAACAGTGTTAAAAAAACCTGTTGCGTATCTTTGAATTGTTAGCTATGAAGGTTCCTCTCTCGGCCTAGAGCTACAGTCGTTAAAGTGCTCAACACCATCTGAAGTTTTGGTAATATCGTCATTCCAAACAAAACGTTTTATCCTTTTCATTTCAAGTTTGGTAATATCGTGTTTCTCTTGAGACACAAAACATCTAAAGTTCTTCATTGCGACTTTTACAAATTTAGGTAGAAGATGCGGAATAAGATCGTCAAAAATAAGCAAAGTAAAAGTCCTACTATTACGGATATCTAGATACTATGTAAAATGGGAGTGCTATGGCAGTCTTACTATATCTGGCTTACCTATGAGTTTTATCAAAGACTTTTGATGCATCATTCTTCTGTTATTTTCTGGCTCCTTTTTGCGTGGGCGCATGATTTTTTCTCGGTTGTATCTCGGACTATTATGTCTTATTGTTCTTTAACGGACTGAAATCTTATATCGCTGTGGGAAGCACATGCGTTCCTGCACTGAAATAAAGTAAAACACATATACGAATTGACAATTTTTTCTATCAGTCAGCATGTAGTAAATTGAGAAGACAATGTTTTGTGGAAATCTGAGTCCAGTAATATAAATGTTCTTTAAGAGAACCAGCCATGCTATTTGAATCATAGGAAAAGAACAGTTGAACTGTCATGTCTGCTCAACCTGTGTCGCTTTGTCGTTCATTGCATAAGTGACAATGGGGAGAGGTCATTTCTTTTCACAGTGCAGATCATCTTCCTTTTTTGTAAGTAAGTTCCACGGGAGATGGGCATAAGAACATGTTTTTGAAACATGCGACAACGAATTTTTACTTCATACAACTAAGCAATAACTTATCATAGCCTCTTCAGTAGACATAATAGAAAATGCCTGCTTTCATAGTCTATTATGTTGAACATTCTTCACTAAAAATGCCTTTCGACTGAGAGAAGAAGCTTAGTTTAACATGGAATGGTCATGGGAGGATAGTTGACGCTAGCATGATTAAGATTTAGGAACTTCTAAAATTGCTTTTTTTGTATATCAATCGGCGTTGATTATCATAGGAACAGAGCGACTATATGAAACAATTATATACTGTTTTTGAAAGGCCAAGACACGAACAAAAAGCTTACCAACCACCCAAAAACAAACGCAATCCAAAAAAAAAAGCTCCTCATGTCTTTTGCACGATGATGCTCAACTATTCTTTATACTTATCTTGTTAAATTCGATTGTTGCGTGCAAAAATTGTTGACATAGGTTAAGTTAAAACTGCACACGCGTTTGAGATTTGTACAACGATAGCACCATCATCCAAAATTTCTGAAAAACAATTGGCTGCTTCAATCATCCCTTGCATAATGAGTGCATTAATACAAGTTGAAAATTTTTTGAGTCCTGTTGTAAACAGAAACTGTTCAATATTTACAAGTGCTACCATACTATTGCGTTCTTTGTCAGTTGTATGCCATCAAGTTGCTATTTTCAGAGCAATTTTATTGAAATCCATTGGATCTATTTTTTTTTTTTGTTTTTTGCCAAGAGACGTTCTGTTATTATTTTGAAAGGCAGCTGCTGGTCTGTCAAAGCCCGTCAGAAACAGATTATGAAGGAACGGTGAAAGAAACTTTTGCGTACGCGCATGCACGCATCAACCCCAAAGTCGCTTCAACTTTTCCCGTTTTTGATAAATATCTGATTCTATGTTTGAAGGGACAAGCGTGCGTATATTACTAACCTTCTACTTACAAATCCTTTAGGTCCATTAAACGGCTATTTAGGCTTCAGGAAAAACATGGTGATGGCTACTGGTTTTGTTTGTAAGCGGGATTGAATTGTCATAGAGGAATTGAAAACTAAATTTGTCAATCGGGGAAAAAATATTCAAAATTGTAAGTGGTTCGTGCGCTTCTTTTGTCGGTGTGCATGCAAATTTGAAATGTTCTAGAAGCTCACAAAAAAAAAATTGAAGAATCTTCACAAACTAGTGGGTTTGTACCTTGCCTTCTTTGAAGCACATATCTAAACTTGATCGATCAATTGGAGATATGTAGCCAATATGGTGCTGCAGCGGAAAGTATGTTATTGGTTACCCTCACTCTATGCTTCTGGCGCTCTCGCTCATCTACGAATATTTTTGTTTTGATCTCAATTTGAAAAAAGGGCAAAAAGAACAGCTAAAAAAAGACCGAGTAATGTTTGTTCAGTTGTTTTCTTTTCATTCCACGGCTATATAAAGATCAAGCCTCAAACAGCATAGTAACACTCCTGATCATGGGATACTATTTTAAGATATTTTTAGTTGCTGTATTTATTTCAGTAACAGTTAAAAAAAAAAGAAAGAAAAAGAAGAAGAGGACCACGCGGACGCGTCGTCTGTCGATCTATATTTCAAATGCTATGTTTAAATTTAGGCATCTAAACACATCATCTTGTAGCGTTTTAGGGCCATTGCGAGACGTTAGTTGCTTCGCTTGAGCCGTTGCAAAAGAGAACTCTTTTTTCTTCCCTTTGGATATACCTAGAGATTTTCTGATTTATTCCATGCTCATAACGTTACTATAGAGCTAATGTGCGTATGAAGCGAGATAGATAGTTTAGAAATGTTCTAAGTACTCTTTAGAAACAGGTGTACAACCATCTGTTTTGCATGGAAGTCTAAAGGTCCGTGCCAAATTTTAAGTACTACTGTAAGTCGTCCATGTACAAGACAGTTCTATTCATCCCTCTTTTTTTTATTTGTTTCAGATGGAAAGCATGGCGACCCTCGTTGTTGTTTCCATTATTATCATAGCCTTTTTCGAAACTCAGTTTTGCTTTCAAGTTCAACTTTTTTTTTTGCTGATATTGAAACTGTCATTCAATGATTAAAAAGAAAAAAAAATATTGCAAAATAAATGCCTATGGATCGAAAAAAAATTGGGTATATATAAGAGGCCATCATCAATCCTCTTCGATCCAGTTTTCTTTCTTTATCTCATTATCATTTTATCTTTGATTTTGCCACTTATTTTCTAAAGCACATTCTTATCTATAAACAATAATAACAATGTATCTCGCCAAGCTTTCTTTATGTGCTGCTGTTATCTTAGGTGCCAGTGCCGCTTCTACTTCTTCAGGCGGCAAGAATAAGTGTCAAAACTTAAAGACCGACTTCAGCAACGGTCTTGGCGAGTGGTTTGACATTTCCGGCAAGGGAAAGGGCTACAAGGTCACTTCTGAAGGCCTTGAATTGACTCTTGAGCCTCCCAAACAATTTGTTAGAATGACCAACCCTGATGATAATGGTAAGTTTCTAGTTCATCCGATTACTGCGTTGAAAACTTTTGATGCACATCATCAATTTGCGTTTTATGTGCGTATATCTTATTTATCTAACGTCTTTTTGCTTTTTTATAGACAATCCTTACAATAAATATGAATCAGACACTTCTGCTGATATCCAAGCCCCTCAAAAATTGCACTACGGTAAGGTCACCTATGTCATGAAGTCTGCTGGTGTTAAGGGTGCTATTACCGATGCTATCTTGATCTCTGATGAAGGTGATGAAATTGACTTCGAAATGCTCGGTGCTGAACGCAACAGAGTTCAAACCAACTTCTTCTATGGTAAGAATCCTGTTTATGGTGTCAACGGTGGTAATAGCAAGGTTGATTTGGATACTGCTGATGATTTCCATACCTATGTCATTGAATGGTCTCCTGAAAAGATTGTCTGGTCCGTCGATGGCAAGGTCATCCGTACCAAGAACAACGACGACGATTGCTCAGACGATGACAAATGTACCTTCCCTACTCACCCCACTAATGTGCAATTCGGTCTTTGGGATGCTTCTAACCCCTCTGATACTGCTGAATGGGCTGGTGGACCTATTGATTGGGACAAGACTGATAAGGTTTCCGCTGTTGTCAAATCTGTCCAAATCGAATGTGATCCTGAATACAACGAACTTATCTAAGCTTCTCTTTCCGCAACAACATTATTTCCGCTCTCACGCTTCCTGAACATCTATAGCGCATCATAATATCCTTCAATTGTTTTATTGTCATTTGTCATCCTCACTTTCTCGCCTAATCAATCTCACTCACTCACTCACTCATCATTACCAAATCACTCACCTCGGTCTTGCCATCCATTTAATTTATATCATTTGTAATTTGTTTCTTCTTTGATTACTTGCTTTTTTTGAATAAATCGCTCTACATTGTATACTAGAACTCACTCTTGTTCACCAGACATCCTTTTTAAAGAAGGAAGATCTTTGCTTTCAGTGTGATTACAAATACATAGTTTTTCATAGGTTTTATCTTTTTCATTTTTGCTGGTTTGAGGTTCGTCGTAAAGCGCCGTTCAAAAGTCTTATATTAGACCTTTAGAACATACTGTAAGGCGTGCGCTTTTGGAAATTATGCCATGCTCTAGGCTGACACGCAATATATCTTTGCTGCTGCAAATTACAAAATTCATCTTTTCCTTTTTTCCAAAAGGATGATTGCTACCAAAGTTAAAAAATCTAAGCCAAGTTAAATTACTAACGGTTAATGACTTTACTTTCTTATACAATTGCATAATCAATATGATTCTCAGTAATTTCTCTTAAATCTAACTCTCCATCAGCAAGAAGAGAAGTTTCAGTAAGCCGAAAAAAAACCATTCATCTTTTAAAAGGAAGAGGCTTTTTTTTTGGCCGTGTTGGGATTCGTAATAAGAGTTCTAGGACGTCTAATCCGTCAATGAAGCCCAACCTCTAGATATAGCTGTTATTGTTCCTCAATTACTACAAAAGAACAAAGCTGAAAATGCAATCTCCTTCCTTAAATTCGTTTGCTTCGTCGATAATTGATTTGCTCGCGTCAATACTGAGCTATGTCAATTATGTCTACTGAATTATTCCTTCAAACGCTTTGAGACTCTCCTGTGTTCATCGTCATACCGACCTTTTTTTCTGTGTACTAAACACAATTAAAGATCAATGTTTATTGCAACAAAAGACTAAATTACCCTCCTAGCGCTAATCCAACGACCAAAAAGAAACTGAAGACACCGCCCACCAAGGACTTTTCTGCCGCCGACAATATATTATTTTTCCCTTTTGAACCGTCATGTACACTACACTGATGAGCCAGTGATTACTGACGGCAGAAGAGATAAACGGAAAATAAAAAGCTGCTATTTGTCAATATTGTGCTTAACAGAACTGAGGAAAAGCAGGATGAATGATGCACATGCGTGCAAAGGCGATACCGAAGAGTAGCTTTTTGTTGCTACTCTTATTGCTGATGCTGCTGCTGCTGCGTTTGAATGCATCGATTTGCCAAGACGGGTAGATAGGTAAACTTCGGTCCAACCAATCTTCCAAACTGAATAAAAGAAATCGCGATAAAGATAGATGGAGCGACGTCGCTTCCGTTACTAACAGAAACAGTGATAGAACGGAAAAGAGATCAGGCAGTATAATAGATGTAGACGATAGTACAGATGCCTAAAGTTGAGTTTTGCGTAATGATGGTCCATAATAAAACTTTTTTTTCAAAATAAAACCATCGTTATCGTTTTCCTCCGCGTTATCCTCCTTTACCCACTCGCTGTTTTGGTTACGACAAACGGAAGAGAGTGTCTGTATTGTCGTATTAACTAACAGCGATTACACCGGGCACGAAAGGTGGATTAGATGGTGACATATGAGAAAAGAGCCACCGACCCGTCGTAGCTATAAAGTAATGTATATAGCAGTGAAAAAATAATAAAAGTTTGCAATAGCCGATAACTGTTGTGTCTTAAGAGTGATGTGTTGAATTATGAGACAGCAGTTCTTGTCCGCTATCGATTTTGCACACATAACGGTCGCTCTGTACTTATCTAGTTGGAAAAAAAATAAATTTTGTTACCTCTTCACAGTTCGAGTATATCTTGAAAGAATTCGGTTCGTTTCTGCAATAGCACTAATTTACAAAATACTGGTACTAAACCTGCTTCTATCATACAGATCATGATCACTCAAAAAAATTACCGTTGGCTCTGTTGTTGGGAATAAAGCAGAGACAGCCAAATATGAAAAAAAAAATAAGTATGTTGACACAGAAGGGAGGGACAATTTCCAAAGGCTTCAAGTTTATCTGTAAAGATAGAAAATAATGTGAGTAGAATATCTAACAGGTTTGCGCGCCTAACGTATCTCAACCGCTTTGTATTGAATACCTTTTTACGTTTTATTCATAATAAGTGGCTGAACAGACCCAATTCGAGTTGTTGAAATAAGCTGAAAAGTAATAGTGGAACGTTTTCATATAATTTGATGCCGTAATAAAGACTTTTGTGCAAGTAAACAGAAAATAGAATGTGAGTTTTTTTATGGACGTCAATAAATGTTATGCCTGAAATCATCATGTCCTGGTATTTTCTGTTTTTCACCATTCCAAGGAAAAAACATAGTAAGCCCAAACCTGTGATATATCTCCAAATTTACCGTCAAAGAGATTAGCATTACGAACGACTTGTAAAAATATGTCAATGCACGAATCGCGCTTATTTGTTCACAATTCGCGTATCGCTTTAGCCAGTAGAAGTAAGTAGGAACGGAGCAGTTTTGCGTCATTTAAGACGTTCATGCTGATCGTCATATTGCTCATGCTGTTGTTGCAGTTCAAGCAGCCTAATACTGTTATAAAATACATTGTTCTTCCATCATTGATATACCGTTCTGCCAACAAGTTTTTGAAAAATAATTGAATTATTAAGATCTAAATCAAAGAAAGAGAGAAAGCAGTGTTTCGAAATAGAGTAAATATCAAATATGAACGGTGCTATCTATTATTGATTAATATGAACGTAGAGTACCATGCGACTGATTAAATTATTCAGGATAGAGAATGGAAGAGAGAGTTAGGATTCAATAAAATAAATAATATAAACTATACGTTATCAATGGACAAAAAACATATCGGGCCAGCATCTTCTGTTGTTCTCCATTACTAGATCTTTAAAGCAACATATATTCGTAAAGAAGATGTTTCAAAAGCGGTTTGCTTTCAATCTGATAATAGATTCTAACAAAGGCCAGGGATATGGTATGGCTCTTGTACATACATGTATATGCATGAGGATCGAAAATGGTCTCTTCGAGTCAACGATAAATGTTAGTATTTGAAGGTTCTCCATGCGATTGGGCTCGTAAAAAAGCTCATTGAAGCTTCAACCGCTTCAATTATGCCAAGCTAAATAGCTGTAGAATCATATAGTGACAGCGACCGGTTAATTTAAGGTGGCATTGTATATGATAATTGCTTGCGGGTCTCCTTTGAAAGGATGCCTTCTTATTTCAGTGGATGCTTCATATTTATCCATCACATTTTCAATACATTATCATTATAATATGAAAAGCTGCTAATGGGCTTTGTTTTCCTCAAAGTCTTAATGTCTGTAATTCTTAAATTTGACCAGGAGCTATCGTTTTTACCGTATAATTGCGGTCTTCCAGTCTAAAAAAAAGGAAACACGTGTTACTTGTATTTTAAAAGAAATAAGAAAGGGAAAGGAAATCAGAAACCTCTTAGTCAAATTAATAAGTTTGCATGATTAGTATTTTGTAGTTCTGTAGAGCTTTGATTCGCAATAAAACTCTTTACGTCAGTTTGATCAAAGCCTCTTGATTGATACTTTGCGATTTAAACGGCTGATACCTTTCTTTTAACGAATAGTGTATATCTTTCTTTTACTATTTCAAAAGTTCCCAACTTCACTTGGTCCTTCGAACCATGTAGCGTAGTACAAAAGCGTAAAATCTTGTTTTTTGCGTCACGTTGATAAAGCTCACAGGGTTTGCAAAAAACATGTATTCACTACATTTGCATTTGAGCCCTGATGAATGTTTTCTTTGTAGAGGAAGAGAGAAGGCAATAAGGCCTTTTCAACTGTCTCTTATTGATTAGTGCATCCATAAATGCTTTACGTTGCGGACATTGCTGGCGTGGTTGAAGGCGAAGGCATCAATGCTAGATGTGTTCCACTTTTGAAAGATTTAGTTAAGCAGAGTTACAATGAAAATCAATCGAGTCCAATCAGCGTCGATCCAAGGACCCTACACTACATAGTCCTTTCGTATTTCCATTGAATACAAGATAAAAACAACTTTAAAACCCTTTTACTATTTTTGATTTCTTATATGTTTGCATCAAGTTGGTGTCCTTCATTTCAGAAAAGATGTAAACACTTTTACGCTGAAAACTTACGTGTATTGGATACTTTGATAATTACTTGGAGTTGTACAAAAATAAAAAAAATCTCTCTTATTCTGCTTTGAAAAAAAAAGAAGAAAAAAAAAAAAAAAAAAAAAAAAAAAAAAAACTAAAGAAAGAACAATGAGAGCACAGCCAGAAAAAGCAAAGTAAATTAGAAATAAGGCGCTCTCTTTGTTACCCTTTTCAAGTTTCTTTCTTTGATTTTCATTTTTTTTTTTCTTTGTATTATCGTTGTACCTGAAAAATATGCAACAAGAAAATAAGTGGACTTCACCACCAGACACACCGCGTAATTATATGTCACTTCAATCAAGCTACCCTTACAGCAATAACAGCAATGACTTCTCAACACATCCTGCCACTGCTTCTAACGCATCTAATGTACTACCTGGAATGTCAAGTCAACCAGCAATCCCAGGGTAAGAAAACGGTTCGCTGTTTAGTCATATTATAAACACATAACGGGATAAGGAAACATATTCAACATCCTTCTTTTTTTATGACAATATTAAGATTGATTTCAGGCTCACAGCCTAGCACACCTAGACCAGATATAATCAGTCCACCTCCAGATAACAATAAGATAGCTACGCCTGACCTTATAAGAAGAAGGCCACCGCTTCCTTCCAAGCCAGCTAGTTTTACAACAACTACATTTCATTCCAATCCTTATCCATCAGGTGTAGCATTAAGGAGACGCAGAACTGAATCATCTATGTTTTCTTTCGAAACAGGACCAGCATTCAGTCCAACTAAGCAGACACTAGACTTATGGAATATTGATCAGTCGAATGGGTGAGTTAAGAAAAACTTTGGAACCAACTATAAAAACGCCTTAAAAAAAGCTTATAATTCTCACTGTGTAATACAAAATCTTCTTTGTGTAATATTGTATTCTTCTCTTAAAAAATCCACCGATTATCAGGTACCAAGTTCAGCTACAGGCCAAGATGGATCGTGGATTTTTCCGAGCGGATCAAGATTGGACCTGTTATCGCCGTAACTACTTCCAAGTGAGTTCAGTCTTCGAGCTTCATGGTATGAATTACATGTTTCAAGGTCCCGAGGTACCTTGCCTTGTGAAAACAGAAAATCAAGAGCTCTATCAAGTGGATTATTTCAGCATTGGGGTGACAGCTCGTGTTTCAGGCAGTGATAAAAAAATTGAACTTGTGCAGCATACACCTAAACGAGACAAAGGCCCACAAATGATACCTGAACCCCGAGTTGTCAGTGTAGGTGGCAATCTTCATTTAGCTTCTGTTGGATCCAATCACAACATTGTGACATTTGAGAGATTACAGTTCAAGACAGCCACTGCCAATAATGGTAAACGAAGAGCTGCACAGCAGTATTACGAGATCGTAATTTCTCTTTATGCAAATAGTTCCACCACGGGTAAACAATTTAAAGTTGCAACTACTGTATCTGCTCCTTTGGTAGTTCGTGGTAGAAGTCCCGGCCATTATGCTGATTCTCATACTCGATATAGAAGCCTAGATGCTGGCACTCCCTCTGGGGTGGGTGCAGTTGCTAATGTTGCTGCCGTGAATGCAGCAGCTGCAGCAGTGGGTCATCATCCACCACCACCACCTCCGCCTTTTAGCATGGTTGGCCCAGGCGGTCCTTCCGGTAACACATCTACAAATACTCCTCCTCTGCCGCCATTAAATGGTGTTGCCACAGCTTCAGCCATCGGCATTGCTCCATCTGGAAGTGACCCCTATTTGCATCAACAACAGCAATCACGATATGCTGGTTTAAATGCTGCTTCAGTAGCTGGACCTAATGATTTCCACGCTTACCCTTATCATCATCCTCAAACTCCTACCTATCCCTACCCACTAGGCTATGCTTCCTCAGTATTAAATACTCCACCTCTTGGGCTAGCAACAGCTGGTAACCGGCATGATGAACAACAAGACCCACACCAACATGCTCATCATCAGCAACAACAAGCTCGTGAAAATAGTTATATGGTTCACCCGTATGCTTCTCAACAGCATCATCAACATAACAGCGGGCATTTCTATACGGCAGATAACAGTAATAGCAACCACCATAGCGGATTGGAATCTAACCAGCCTCCTTCTGGTGATTATTATGGCCACCAACAGCAACATCCTTCTTCAACAGAGCACCACCGTCATCACCAGCAACATCCTTATTGGACGACTCAGCATGGTGATAATCGTGATACGAACACTGGTTCTACAACTAATGCTGCTGCTGCTGCTGCTACTAATGCCGCTAATACAGCAGCATCCTCAGAACATAATGCCCGGTTTGCTCCTCAACAAAACAGTAATGGAAATACTTATTTGAGTTCGGATTTTCATAACAGTTATGGAGTACGGCCGCAGCAGCATGATGCTAATAACACAAATCCCTCCTCTACTTTAGGAGAAGCAACAAATCCCCTTGATGCTGATCGTTCGATGGTGAATACCACTAACAATAACAATACCACTATCAATAATAACAATGGCTCAAATAGACATTATATGCATCACTCGTCGACAGTCTCTCATTAACATTATTTTTACTATTTACTTTAATACTACTTTTTTTATTCTAATTTCAAGTACGTCTTTTTTATGGTTTTTTCACGTATAATATTATCTCTTCCTGGTATAAGTTCTACAACTTCTATTATACTACTACAAATTACTACTCTCTTATTGTTCTATACATATTCTAACTTACATCCTATTGATTATCCACCCTATTAAAAAAGAAAAGACAATTTTCCCATCCTAATTACTATGTTTAAAACTAAATAAAATCATTCTAGTATTTTGTCATATCAACTCACCGAAAATCATATATTATGAATATATGTGTCCCAAAACCTCATATATAATCGCATAATACACAAGATTACCCTAATACAGATCATGCAAGTGTTCAGGGTTAGAATGCGTGCTACGGTTACCTAATTTGACATTTGAGCTCGTTTATAGTACACTAATACCATTCTGTCTAAGCAACTACTACCATGAAAAAAAAAAAAATATGTGGCACGAACAAGTAAGCAGCTGTCGCCAAAATATCACAAAAAATGAAGCTCTTGAACATTCCTAAAAGCCTTTATTTTAAAACAGTTCATTGAAGCCCAATAGTTAACGCAGACTGCCGATACTGCTACAATTTATCACAAGCTAAGCGCTCATGTTTATGCAGCTCTGCGTTTCTGTTTTTTTCCAGGCCTTCCTTAGCTTTATAATTACAGCTACTATAGAAACAATGTTGCCCTTTTACGTTCCGAGAATCCTTCTATGAAGCTTGTAGACAATAGACACAGCAAAACATTGAGGATTGTGTTTCACCGTTGTGCGCGGCTATCCGCGTGATAGTTAGCATCTTTTCATCAGAATATGGGATAAACTGCTATATTGAAAGGAAAACAGCAGGAGAGAAGACAGTATTACTTTCATAAAATGTCTAATAAACACTCGCTTCTGCAACATTTCATTTCTTAAATAAATACGTTTCCTTCTCCAGAGCGTTTAATGCACTCAACGAATAACCTTGAAGCAGTTTACCTAGAGCTTTTTCGTATTCATCGTAAAAACTCCTTTACCTCTTCTAAGGCATGTTTGTATCCACTTCTTCTTCGTTTCTCAATTGTCAATAAGATAAAAGACCTCGCTTTCAGCAAGCGAAAGGAGAGTTTGATTCATCGTTATTGACGTAAGTGGTCATTAGAGTGCCTACAAGCATTTTGTTCGGTGTGAAAATCTTACACGAAAACAATATTTATTCGGAGTCTTAACGCTAGTTTCCGATGCCGCAAGCTTAACTGTGGTGACTGTCCTTTCACAACGTATTAGTGAAAAAGACTTTGCACAACTTATGAATGATCTTGTACAGCATTACTTTCACGATCTATAAAAGCATTCAATATGGCAAAAGCTAAAAAAACGAAGAGCGAACGGCCTAGCATTGAAACTGATACTCTTGATCAAGTGAAACAGAATAAACAGTTAGAAGAGTTCCAAGGTTTTAAAGTTCTCCCTGTCATAATGAGCGAAAGTGATAAGAGCATACGACATTATTTTTATATGAAAAAGCACGAAAGCAAATCATTAGTCGATGAAGACATCAGAGATCGTACTCTTTTTCTACTAAATTTGCCAGCAGATACAACTGATCGTCATTTAAGAAAGTTGTTCAAAGGACATAGCATTGACCAGATCACCTACAGCGACTCCGGCTCTTCAGTTTCTGAAGAGTACTGGAAAATACAAGAAAAGGTAGAACAAGCCAAGCAAGAACAACTAAAGATTACTGCTGAAAACAATAAGAATAAGAAGAGGAAACGTAACGAAAAGCAAGAGGAATTGGATCAAGTCGTAGAAAGCCAGAAAATTGAATTAAGAAAATTATTTACTGGTGGATCGTCTGCGCATATTGTCTTTACCACAGATCAAGATCTTGAGGATGTTCTAAATATGCGCAGAGTGGAAAAAAAATGGGCAAAAGAAGATGAGGAAACAGACCAACCTTTAGGACTTCAACGTAAATTCTTATTGTAGACTAATCAAATTCAACGTAACACTAAGAGAGTTTGCCTTTTTTTTTCTAATGTAGGTTATGTGCTGGCATACAATTTATCTCGACCGAATGCTAAGGATCTACAACATGAAGTAGACTCTTTCATGATGAAGTTCAAGGCAGACGAATATCGAAAGGAACGTGAAAGATTGGAGCGTATGAACAAAATGGATGAAGATGGCTTTACATTGGTTGTTAATCATAAAAAGGCAAAGACAACAGATGGTACAATTCATGTAGGCGCTATTAGTGCTGAGGCAGCTGAAGCGCAGAAGGAATACTACGCGCAAAAGCAAAAGAAGAAGGAATTAGTCAACTTTTATAGATTCCAAATGCGTGAACAGAAGCAAAAAGAATTGAAGGATTTGAGACGAAAGTTTGAAGAAGATAAAGAAAAGATTGCCCGTTTGAAGCAAAGTAGAAAATTCAAGCCTTATTAGCTGCACTGTTTTATGAGAAATTTGTTATAGCCTTTTTATTGCTAAAAACTTTTTATGTACTATAGAAATACAATTTATGAATAATACCAGCTAGAGGAATAAATATCTATGCTTACATTCGCAACGCACTATCAATTCCTTTGTCAGCACAGACTTGAAACTCTTTCCTTTTTACTGGCTGTGAATCTCACTGTCATCAGTCGCAGATGATCCACATAGGCGTCTGCATATTTGCAATCATGCTGACTTCTGATATATTGAGTAGTTTATATATAGACCTTGTATATTGTATATGACATGCTTTTACCGGGTGTATATGATAATGCTTACTGTGTTATTTGTGCCATTAAATGTTAATTTTTGAAAGGCCAAGCATCCTTTCCAATTGGTTTCCACCGTTTTTTGGTACCTGATTCAAACCTTAAATATCTGGTACTTTGAAGTAAATCTTGTGATCAGAAACCCTAAATAACAATGAACTTATTTGTCAGAGGAAAAATTACATACATGAGTTCCGTGCTGTCTTTATTCTTTTCTTCTTTCTCTTCTTTTTGCTTAAGTTTCTTCCCTATCGTATTTTAACTGTGTATCTGTGTTTGTCTGGCTCAAAGGCTTGCCTATATCAACTTAACTTAGAGATACTCGATTTTTAAACTGGACAGGCGGAACTTCCGATTTTGAAAAAAAAAGGCGAAAGTTTATTGACGTGAAACAAATTGAAATTTTTGCCATGACAGTTAATAACGCTCATCAGGCAATTGAGGTATATACTCAAGGAACGAAAGCCTGGTTTGAAGATGTTAGAGAAGCTTGGATCTCGGCAACCTGCATCTCCAACACCGTTGCAGAAGGCAAAGTCCGCCTTGTATTTCAAAGCGACAATGACGATGAAAAAGTATGGCTGCAAATCAGTGAAAAGAGCAAAAAATTACCCGTAACTGTACTTGAACATGAAATTAAAGGAAATTGAAATGTTTTAGGAATATGTGTTTGAGACAACTTTGGAAGAGGTGGAGAAAACCGATGGATCGAAATTGCCGCCACTAAGAAACCCGCCTAAAATGGAATACACTGATGATCTAACAAACCTGAGTTATTTGAACGAGCCTTCAGGTACAACAAGCATATATAGAACTTACTTAAAATGAGTCAATGATTAATGGGGAGGTTTTTTTTGTAGTTTTAAACACTATTCGTACAAGATATCTGCAACGGCTAATTTATACGTACTCCGGTATTGTATTAATCGCTGTCAATCCATTTGATCGCGTTGCTTTATACGACCCGGATATTGTTCAGCAGTATTCTGGCAGGAGAAGAGGCGAGCTGGAGCCTCATTTGTTTGCTATTGCTGAAGATGCATATCGGTGTATGATACGTGAACAGATGAATCAAACTATTGTAGTATCCGGTGAATCTGGTGCGGGTAAAACTGTCAGTGCCAAATACATTATGCGTTATTTTGCAACGGCAGATGATCAAGAAGCAGCAGCAGGCCCTGGACGAAGAGAAAAATCGAATACTGGAATGACAGAAGTAGAAGAACAAATCTTAGGTTTGAAAAAAAAGAAAACAAATAACATGGAATACTTACACGGGGCTGTATTAACTGGATATGCCAATAAATCTGCATTTTAGCTACCAACCCCATCATGGAAGCCTTTGGTAATGCAAAAACTACACGAAACGACAACTCCTCAAGATTCGGTAAATACATTGAGATTCAATTCGACGATAATGCCAACATTGTGGGCGCAAAGATCAGAACCTATCTTTTGGAAAGGTCCCGTTTGATTTTTCAACTTGAAACGGAAAGAAACTACCATATCTTCTATCAGGTATTGTGCGTTATCGAGGAAGGAAAGCTAACTATCACATTTTTATTTTCTCACAAACATTGATCATAAACTGCTTTTACATAGTTATGTGCTGGTATACCTTTGTCTGAAAGAAAAGAATTTGACCTTACGAGTGATTATACTCAATTTCATTATCTGAATCAAAGTGGTACAGGCACGATTCCGGGAGTAGATGATGCTAATGAATTTGACATAACTCAACGTGCTCTTTCCACCATTGGCTTATCTGTACAACTCCAATGGAAGATCTTTCGACTACTGGCTGCTCTCTTACATATCGGTAATATCAAAATCACCGGTCGCGGCGATGCCATGCTGTCCGATACCGATCCAGCACTTCTGACTTCCACCCGTTTACTCGGCATTAGCACAAACGAATTTAGAAAGTGGATTGTGCGTAAACAAATTATCACCAGATCTGAGAAAATTGTGACCAATCTTTCTCCTACCCAAGCTCAGGTGGTCAAAGACTCAGTAGCAAAATATATTTATGCTAATTTGTTCGAATGGCTTGTTTATGTCATTAACGAAAGCTTGTCCTGCCCTTCTAAGGAACAAGTGAGCAATTTCATCGGTGTGTTGGATATTTACGGTTTTGAGCATTTCAAAAAAAATTCCTTTGAACAGTTTTGTATCAATTATGCCAATGAAAAACTTCAACAACAGGTATGCAAAGTGTCTGTATACACCAATAGAGAGAGATCTTGCCATAATGGATTTTATTTTCTATATATGATCTTGTTCTAATTTTCACTTTTGCTCTAGTTTAATCAACATGTATTTAAATTAGAACAAGAGGAGTATGTTAGAGAAAAAATCAATTGGACCTTTATTGAATTCAGTGATAATCAGAAGTGCATAGAATTGATTGAAGGCAAATTGGGCATTCTGTCACTTTTGGATGAGGTAATTATATTCTGCCAAGGCAAAGAAGCTCACACAAAGAAAACAGAATGAAGAAAAATAGTCTTTGTTGAATAATTTTATTACTACATTTTAAAAAGGAATCACGTTTACCTTCAGGCTCAGACCAAGGCTTCGTGCAAAAACTGTATTCTAACTTTGATGGTCCCAACTTCAAACAATATTTTAAAAAGCCAAGGTTCTCTAATAATGCATTTACTATCGCTCATTATGCTTTGGATGTTCAGTATGAAGCAGAGAACTTCATTGACAAAAACAAGGATACTGTTCCTGACGAACATTTGAGCCTATTACAGAGCTCTGAATTCGACTTTTTGGTAGATGTTTTGGAAAAAGCTGTTGCTAATAATCCTACTTCTGCAGTAAGTATTGAAGTGGCCAAATTTAGTAATGTGCATGTTATATCTGATATATATTTCGTTAGCCTGAAAGCAATAAGAGAATGAGCATGGTAGCTAGGAAGCCTACTCTTGGTTCCATATTTAAACTTTCTTTGATCAATTTAATGGACACCATCGGCAGCACAAATGTTCATTATATTCGTTGTATTAAACCTAATGAAGCAAAGGTTGCTTGGGAGTTCGATCCCGGTATGGTTTTATCTCAGCTACGTGCCTGTGGTGTTTTGGAAACGATTCGTATCAGTTGTGCGGGTTATCCTTCACGTTGGTCATTCGAAGAGTTTGCGGATCGCTACTATGCTCTTGTATCTTCGCAACATTGGGACCCCCGAATAAAAGAAAAGCCAGATGTGAAAGAGTTGTGTTCTGTAATATTAAAAAAGTCTATCAAGGATGACGATAAATTTCAAGCAGGCACTACAAAAATATTCTTCAGAGCTGGCCAGGTATATATAAAGCATCCGGAATAATGATCCGTGATAGCTTAAGTGATTAAGGATGAAAATTAACTGATCTTCATTATTCATTTTAAATGTGTAGCTAGCATATCTGGAAAAACTAAGATCAGACCGATATAATGAATGCGCGATTCTCCTACAAAAGAATATGCGACGTTTTATTTATCGTACACGCTATGTACGTACGAAGGAGTTGACCGTTCAACTTCAGTGCCTGGCTCGTAAGAAAGCGGCTCAAAACAAGATGCAGTTGCTTCGAAAAGAAAAGGCAGCAATTATCATCCAAAAGAATTGGCGTACTTATTTAGCACGTCGAGCATTTCTCTCCAAACTAGCATTTATACTCAAACTTCAAACGGGTATTGTCTTATTTTAAACGGAGTAAAAAGTTCTGAGAGATTAAAGTACTAACTTGTCATATATTTTTTTTTTCGCTTAGCTATTCGAGCGAAATTGGGTAGAAGTCAATATATATCTCTAAGAGAAAATCATGCAGCTGTTCAAATTCAAAGGCTTGCTCGTGGATGGTAAGTGGAGTGAGAGAAGAAAACTTGGAGCCTCAGTAAAAATTGTTTAATTCATGTTTATTCTGATTCAGGTTTGCAAGAAAGAAATACAGTGCCCAACGAAAATCTATCATACATATTCAAGCATGTGTTCGTCGAATTATGGCACGTAAACAATTGTATGCCTTACGTGCTGAGGCTCGGTCCGTGAATCACTTCAAAGAGGTTTCTTACGCTCTCGAAAATAAGGTTGTTGAACTGACGCAAACTCTTACGGCTGTCAGAGAGGAAAAAAAAGTGGCCACTGATCGCGCAGTCCAATTGGAAGCTCAAATTCGCACTTGGCAGGAGAAATATGAAAAAGCGGAACGACGTGCCAAACAGCTTGATGAGCAGTTGCAACTTCCTACTGTACCCAAGGAAGAATATGATACAATTCAAAAAGAATTGTCACGCATTACAAGCGAACACCGCACAATGTGTGAGATGTTTAAGCAACAAGAGAATGAGCGGACTACTTTGAGAGCACAACTCGAGGCTGAAAAAGCTGAGAAAGAAAGGATAAATAAAGAATTACAAGAGGCAAATGAGCGAGCTGAAAAGCAGGCTGCTGATGAGTTAGAGATATCGGAATTACGCAGCCAAATCACGGCCCTTAAAACTCAATTATCACAAGCCTTAAATGCTCCTCGTCGACAGAATTCAACTAATAATGTAAATGGTTTACGAGGTCTTTCACCAGCGCCGAACAGTATGCGAGATTTTTCTCCTTCTCCCAACCGTAACGTTTTAGACTCGACAGAATCACGTCATAAAAGTAGATCACCCATTCCGAGTAACAGCAATAAGGGAACAATCAATAATGCTACACCGATATCCACGCCACCTCTGGCCACTGTCTCTCATAAACTTCGTCGTAACAGTTCAAGCGACATGGTCAACGACAATCGTCTCAAAACGTCGTTGGATACCATTCGACAGGCTGAAAATTTTGGTAAAAATCCTCGTCCTACATCGATCGATCATATTGGTGCTCTTTTGGGCGCTGCGTCGAAAACAGCTGCAGCAGCATCAGGTGCGGGAGGCTTGGTTTTTCCTGGTTTGGATGATGAAACGAATCCCGTGGAGGAGATTCATGCCCTTCTCCGTCAAACAGATGCCTTGGAAGAAGAAATTCTTCAAGGTTTGATTCGTACGGTTAGGATGCCTCTGCCCGCTTTACAAAATCCTCCCTCTCACAAAGAAATAATGTTCCCAGCACATGCGATCGGTGTGTGCGTTCATGAAATGTGGCGTTTGGGTTATGTAGGCGAATCAGAACGTTTACTATTCAATATCATGGATACAATTCAAAAGCAACTCTTGGCTTTTAATGATGAAGATGCGGTGGTCCCTTGTACTTTCTGGTTAACTAATGTGCATGAGTTAGTATCACTGATATGCACTTCTCATACAGAGATTGACAAACAACTATATCAGACTCAGCAAAGTAAGGCAGCCGCAGCAGTTCATAGACAGGACTTTAATAAGTTGGTAGAAACGATCAAGTTTGAGATGCAATGCTTGGAAGATAATATTTATCATGCATGGATGAAAGAGATTAAAAAGCATTTGAGTAAGATGATTATATCCGCTGTTGTGGAAGGACAATCGCTTCCTGGTTTTGTCACCAACGAAGGAACTAGATTCTTTAACAAGCTGCTGATTGGATCCTCTCAACCTCAGTATTCTATGGATGACATTTTGAATTTCTTGAACAAAATTTGGCGTACTATGAAACTTTACTATGTTGAACAAACAGTTATGACACAAGTATTAACAGAATTACTGAAAATGATCGGCGTGACGGCATTCAATGATCTGCTCATGCGAAAGAACTTTTCCTCATGGAAAAGAGGTAAAAAGTGATGAATTCAGTGCTGTATATTGATAATGACGTATATTTAACCAATGCAGTCATTTTTATCTGATAGCCATGCAAATTCAGTACAATATCACACGTATAGAAGAATGGTGCAAAAGTCATAATATTCCTGAAGGTTCCCTTCAGTTAGAACATTTGATGCAAGCAACTAAACTACTTCAATTTAAAAAAGCTACTCCCGAGGATATTGAGAATATTTACGATGTCTGTTGGATTCTGTCACCAACTCAGGTGCAAAAGTTGATATCACAATATCATATAGCTGATTATGAGAATCCCATCAGACCAGAAATTCTAAAGGCAGTAGCATCGCATGTAGTAAGCGGCGATAAATCCGATATTCTACTATTAGACTCAGTACCTATCGAAATCACTACCAACCCCTTCGAGGTTCCTGTGCCAAGAGATACTAAACCAGATATGTACCTACCTTCTTTTGTAAGTTGATAAGCACATGGAATAACAGTATAGATACCACAATTTAGATAAGAGAAAAAATGTTAACTCGTATCTTGTTTAGCTTGGTTTGAAACGTCTTCGTCGTTTAACAGCATTGATTCCATATGCCCATGAGAAGGAAGTAGAGTCAACAGCAGTTAAGTCGTAAACAAAAGTGTTAATCTATGTTATGTCACAGCAACCACCTCTGAAAATACAAGATATACCACTAAGCTACAATTATAATTGTTTTGATGTTAACAAATCATCAGTAGCCCCTATATTAAAATTAATCAATTAATCTGTATGAATTTACCAATATATTGTCCGATTCAAAGTACGAAATGCTTTCAATCGAGACATTTCTATTTTGTTCATAAGGCGAATTGATACTTTACCCTTAGTTTGTAGTTGGGTAAGAGGCATGAAGGCAATAGGAAAAGCTAAGCGCCCTTTTCGAGAAACAGAGACTCTAAGCAGAAAAAATTGGCAGTATAACTATTGATTGCGCTACTTGCTCCGTTGCTATGCTAAAAAATGATAGAAAGGGGAATGGAACCGAATTGAACCATCACGGCTCCATAAATGTATTTTGTATTTTTCTTATCTTGTCAAAGTGACAATGAAAGAGTAGTAATATGTGGAAGAAGCCCACATTCTTCGCTATCCAAGCATAAATCAAGTCAGTTCGTCCAAATGAGCAAGATTTTGCTTAAAATGATCTGTCACTATCTTCTCCTCTTTCGTTCCAACTGAGTTAATCGGGCATTAAGAATAATGATTGTTGATTGGATATTCATCAGCTCTCCATCATATAAAAATAAACAGTTAGAGACCTGTGAAATCAACCTTCCTCTTGCACTGTACTTTATTTTTCTTGGCTTTTTTATAGACAAAATCTGAAGCAACTATTTAGATTTCATATTTCCATTATTCAAATTAGACTGAATAATCAATTCCTTATTTGATCGATCATGTCGCTTAGTGGTGACGAGGCTTCTGTTAAAAGACAACGTGTAAGCCGTGCTTGGTAATATACCCTTTATGGTTATATTTTTAACTACCCCACAATTTTGAGATGAAACATCACTGTTTATACCTTTTTACCTTCCCCTTCCCCCGCAGAGACAGAAACTTATTAAATTCAGGATATGAGTTAATCGAAGACTAATGGTTAAACCATCTTTAAATTTTTTAATTGGGTCAGTGACTTATGTCGAAAGAAGAAAATAAAGTGTGATGGTGCGATGCCCATGTGTGGCAATTGTCAAATACTTAACTTAACTTGCACTTTTCGAGATGCAACCAAAAAGGTGAGTCAGGCAAAATTTCAGACTAAGGTTAAACTACTCCAAACTTTATCCAACAACTGAATGTTATTTTAGAGAGGCCCGCCTAAGGGTTATATTGAAGCAATAGAGAATAGATTACACACTTTAGAGGCTTACTTGAATACGATCCTTAACGACAAGGGCAAACAAACTAAGGATGCTCGCACGTTGGAAATAATCAAAGAATTACAATCACCACTGGAAACTCCCTCTGGAGAAAAAATCAATCAAAGACCCCAACGAAGACGACGAAAAAATGGACAAAAGAGTGAACAGAGGAATGATGACTCATTAACTAAACATCAAATACATTCACCTCTATCCCCGCTCATGGATAGTCCAACTTTGAGTGCTAGCGAGCTTCCTGATCAACAGCAAAACTCTTCTACTCCAACAACTTCAGCAACTACTGTTGTGGGTTCACCTGCTATCACCGCAGCAGCTGTAGCAGAGGATGACAGTAACGACTCCACAGGCCAGCTTTCTGTGGATGATAATGGGCATGTTCGCTATTTAGGTAGGTCTTCTGGGTTTTACCTTTTAGCAGACAGTCGAACATATCAGAATGGCGCATTTCACTTTTCCGGCTATGCCCACAAATTGAAGATCAACAGTCCTCAAAATTCATACCCTCAAGAACAACGACAGAAAAGCTCACTAAGCTCAGCCAAAAAAGAAATACCCATCGATCCTTTTGAACTGCCACCTAAAGATTTGTCTGAACATCTTATCAATCTTTACTTCACTCACTTTTATCCTGTCCTACCAATGTTCTACAAAAAGAGATTAGTATGTTCTTTATCACCTTTAGAGACGGTTTCACCTTTATTGTTGAATGCAGTTTACGCTTTGGCATCACGGGTTTCTTCGGATGAACGAGTCCGTTCAGATCCTTCATCACCTGACACAGCAGGTGACATTTTCTTTGAGCGGGCTCGATGTTTACTGGATGATTATTATGATACCCCAAAAATATCGACAGTACAAGCTTTATTGCTCATGACAAGTCATCAAATGGGTACTATGAAGTCGCCGCGTGCTTGGTTGTATAGTGGAATGGCATTTCGAATGGCGCAAGATTTGGGTCTCAACCGAAATTGTGACAATTGGAGCAATATCACACCTGAAGAAAGAGAACGGAGAAAACGTGTCTTTTGGTGCTGTTACATGGTGGACCGCATCATCAGCGCTATTTATGGACGCTCTTCCAATTTTGAAGAAAGAGATTGTGATGTGCCATTCCCCTCTGTAGATGATGATGAGCCAATTACCTGCAAAAATGGTTCTCGACCACCTGCTAGTCTTTTGGAGTTATTTATACAACATATCAAAGTCTGTGATATTTTAGGTCACGTCCTAAAAAATATTTATTATGCTCGGGCCAAGCAACATCAGCATCACCGTCATAGCTCAGATACTCATTCAATGGATCATATTTTGAGGACTTTACATCGACATTTGATACAATGGCATAGTAATCTACCTGCATCACTTCAGTATGAACTGCCGAACACTCAAAATGGAGAAGTGGCTCCTGACCCGCCTTCTGCTATTTGCCAACTTCATCTCATGTATTATACAACATTGATTTTACTTCACCGTTCCTTTATACCGGGTCCATCACAGAAGCAGCTACCTATTACTCTTCCCTCATATAAGATTTGCGAGTCAGCAGCCACATCAGTACTCGACATTGTGCAAATTATGCTTGCAGAAGACCATCTCAGATATGTGTACAACTTTGCTGTATTTTACGTCTTTACGGCTGGTATTATATTCATCAAATTAGCATCATCTCTCGATCCCGATCGTGCTTTTGATGCCAAAATCAATATCAATCGAATAATGAGAGCATTGGATGAGCTGGAAAAGTCATGGATGAACGCAGCCCGTTGTAGCAATATATTAGGTGAATTGGCAGGCTTACGAGATATTCGGTTAGAATGCAATAAGTATGTACCAGATAAGGAAACGAAACCCAGTACACCACCGCCTTTTATCGGCGTACCTAATTCACCAGAGCCTGTAAAAGATGAAGATATTGAAGATGAACAACTACAAATTGCATATAGTGTCTCAAACGTTCAAAGACCGCCTTCTTCTTGGGTGACGGAATCAGTGTCGCCATCATCATTTTTGGGCAATTCATCGTCCAATGCAGCCCTTTCCGCAACACAAATTCCTATATCATCTGTTCGTCAGTCCATTCAAAACCACCAAAGGACTCCCTCTTCGGATATGTTGCCACCTCGGACTCCAGAGGTCACGTCCAATTTTGATTCTGGGACACCACAGTACTACGCTCCTCCAGCACAGCAAGCAGGAATCACGCCCGCCATGGATCCATTTGCTGCACCTGGAATTATCCCAGGACCGAATAATCAATCTGAAGAATTTGACCCTCTAGCAACAGCATTTTGGGGTATGCCTTCTTCACTCAATACAGATGAGTGGAATACTTATTTCGACACGCTACAACAGCAACAGCAACAACAACAACAGCAGCAACAGCTGAAAGATGTCGCGTCACAAAAAGAGGTCAATCCAGGGTTTCAGTTGGCCAATTTATTATTAGCAGCTACTAGTAGCACAACATCATCACCATCACCTGCTACTGCATCTGCATTTGCATTCTCTAATATCAACAACACTGCCGCCTCTATTTCAGACCCCATAACTACGTCATTAACCATTAACAATGACCGTAGTAATACTAGACATCATCATATTCCCTCTATAGATCTACCAATATCACCGACACAGAGTACCTTATTAGGTTTAATGGATATTAACAATAATAATCAGGCAGGACAACAAAAAAATCAATGGTAGAAAAATATTCTTTATGTAGACATCCTAATTTTTTTTCATGTTTCTCACTATCTATTATTGAATAATTGAAAGTCTCCCCCTAATAAAAGACTTCTACTATCAATTTTTAATAGCGCGTAGAGTTCTGCCGTATAAGTGTTAGTGATGGTCATTAAGGTGTTGGCTTTTTTATTGCAGATAGTAATAGCCGCTAGTTACGTCATGTCAATTGTAAGCATATTTTTGTATGGTTATTCCACGAAGTTATTTTGCAGATGTTGCTCAGATCTGACGAATACGAGTCTTCAAAAGAAACAATGTAACACGCTAGCTGTTTACCACCAATCAAAGAATTATCTTTTCTTTAGGACAAGAAAACTTTTTATACTAATCGATAAACCGTACTTGAGTTTTGTTCGAAGCAATATGTTTACGTATATAGCCTGTTTCATCCTAAAAAAGATAGTATATAGATCAGTTGTGCCTTAAACCCTTCTTTCTAACATTCATGTTGAGCTTATGTAGCGTACCTCATTCCTCCCCCATTGAGTGGTATAGCTACAAGCATCATCGTATATTAGTGCCTTGCATACCGCCTATGTGATTTTGACACTATGTACTGATTCTTACTGGTGCTCTACCGTTGTCTGCTATACAATACACACCAATTGCTGTCTAGTTATCCTTGGTTCTTCTAACGATCAACACCTAATGGCTTTAGGATTGCTAAGACCACCATCTACAAAATAATTATCATTAACTTTCGAGATCTTTTGCATCATATTTAGCATCTGTATCTTTTATTCCTTCTTCATTTGTCGTTGAAGACGACAATAAATGTGACATATTCTTATCAAATCAGGGACATTCTCCTGTTAAAGAATATACATACTTGGGTAAACTCTTCCGTTGGTGGGTCCAATAGTAATATATTTCTGATTTGTGTTAAATGACTTTATTACTTGCCATGAAGAGGTACTATAAGAATAAAAGAATTGTAGGTATAATTCAAGGTCGATATTGTATGCAAAATATGAGGAAAATCAGAAGAAGAAAAGTGCCATAAATAAGAATTGGAAAATAAGGTGGTTGAGATTGTTGCTGTGCACTTTGTTAAAGAGATGATTAATTAATAGAAGCCTGTAACTATGATGCCAGAAAAGTTGTCATTCGTCTGCACCATTATTGCTGCTGTAAAGTGCTTTTGCTTTAAATTTTTCTGCGCTTGTGGGTGTGTCGATTGCCATTATCATCCTTTTCTCTTCCGAAAAGTATGGCAGGACTAAAAGTCACCGATTGTTATCGTTAACTTTCTATAATACAGTCATATTGATTTGATATGGTACTTACTAAGGCTGAGCGTAGACTTTGAGTTGACGCAAATGAGTATCTCTTCCGTTTTGTTGTGTGCTTAAAATAGCAACCCGTAATGCAAATGCTCGAAAAGGCTTATTATCACTGGGAGAAAGTAAACAAATATAAGTAAGGTCAATAACGGTATAGAGGGGCCTTTTTTTTTCTCAGTTTTATAGCCCTACTTGTCCTTTGTCATGTCGACATTCACCCAGCCAACTGTTGGCTCACATGTAACCTGGGCCATTTCCTAAACAATTTCACGTTAGTTTTGTAGGGTGAGCAAGCATAAATTAAGTATTTTAGACCTTACAACTAAATCTCTTTCTGTTAATCCTGCATAAATGGCAATTGTTTTTGGGGTATAACTCTCGTCTTGATTGTAGTCGATAAATAAAGAAACTTGCGTCAAATATACAGCGCGAAAAAAGCTAAGGTCAATCGTATGATGATAACCTGGGCCTGCACAGCTAGATCTACAGAAATCAGAGGAATGCAAGGTGAATGATATATCCTATAGACTTTATGAACATGAAAAGATTCTTACTGCCAGTAGGTTAATGGATTATCATCTGTCAAATTCTTAGGGCCCCAAAGCTGTCTATAAGAGGACACTAACCAAAGTGCCTCGTTTTCTTTTACTTCATAAGCTCCTTTCGCTCGTTGTTCGTCATTCGGATGGGTAGTAAAATATATACGACGTGTTTCTTTATCTTTTATAATATCTGCAATTCTTGACGCTTCTTCTTCTGTGTTAATATTGCTATCGTCGTCGTTTTCCTCTGTACTGTCAATTATATCATTTTCGTTATGCGCAAAGTTGTTTAACTCCTTTGGTGAAGAGTCTAGCTGTTGGTTACTGGATTGAGATGGTCGTTTGAGCAGCCAAGGACGTCCCATGAAACGATTGATTGCATCGTCTTCATCTCCTGAAGGTTCTGAAACGTTATCCCCTATATTAATTTGAAAAATAGGATCTTCCTCTTCTGATTCACAGCCTGGCCATCGTTCATAGACGTAAGATCTCAACGTTTTAGCGTCGATTGACTCGTCATCGTTGGCCATTGTTACGATGGTAATGATTTGATCGCAGGATCAATAGTTAGGTCGATCAATGTTGGCCTTTAAATTGCCACTCAGACACAAATCGAATAGTGGTTATGCAGCTTTCCGCTTTTCCACAAAAAATAACAACAGTGTTAACAGGTACAGTTTAAGCGTGAATTTACGGTATCGATTTTTTTTAGATAAGTAAGATTTATTATATTCATTTCTACCATGTTTTTTATGAACGAGAATACAATGTAATAATCTAAATAATTCTGCATTTAGTTTTTATTCTATAGGTATAATTATTTCTTCGAGGAACTAGTTCCAACTTGAATAGGAGTGAAAGCGCGCTTATTACTGATCTCTACGTTATTGGGATTTTCTTCCTCATCCCTTTTTCTCTTGTTGTTACGGTCTCCGCCACGTTTACCGCCACGACCACCGCGTCCACCGCGTCCACCGCGTCCACCTTTATTGAAGCCATCCTTTACAATCTTATTGAAATGAGTACGAGCTTCTGCAGTGCACAATGCAAACTTGATATCGTTGATGGTTTTATCTGCTGATAATTTGTCCAAAAATTCTTCCGGTGTTAGCTTATACAGTTCAATTACGCCACAGCCCTTCATTTTCAACGGTTCGAGACGCCCAACGTTGGGATGAACCTCTTTGACTAGTTCTTTAATATCTTTGTAGCCATAATCTTGTGCATTTGAATATTCTATCAAATGACGATGGGTTTTGTTATTGGAAAGTTGGAATTCTTCTCCAGCATATTTTTCTTCCTTTTTCATTTGTACATAGTCAGCTTTAATCATATTGGTTAACGGTAGATCCTCGTAAGTAGTTGCTTCCTCGACAACCTTTTGCGCAATTTCAGGTGTCTCAAATTCGACAAAGATGCTGCCCTTGAATGCACCAGAACGATTGTTATTTCCACCTTCACGACGTAAACGGACGGAGAGAACACGGCCGTAATCACTGTAGAAGCGTTTCAATTCTGCCTCGTTGGGTTCTGGGTCGACCTTAAATCCTTTCTATACGATAACAAAAGCGAAAACAAGTTTGATTAACTTATTGAAATTGAAAACAGCTAACAAATATACAAAACTAGCTTACAGAATAAATAGAACGCTTATTTTGCGCTTCAATGTGGTCCAGCACTTTCTTTTCATTCTCTGCTTTCCTTCTTTCATCTCGAAGCTCTTTCACTGTCTTTCCACCTTCATTTTCTTTTTCGTCACCATTATCAGCCCCTTCTTCGGTGGGTTTTGCGAGAGAACGTAAATGTGTCTTGGCCTCATTCAATTCGAACAAATCGGGTGCAAGATTGACAGCTTGTTCAAATATAGATAAATCGCCGGCAATGATTTCTTTGAATCGCTTGATAATACTTAATTTCTTTAGAGGAACCCCTATTTTGGTAACAGCACTCATATTAGAAACCATGCGTAAGGTAACTACGTGTGAGTCCACTATTGCTCTTACAGTGTTCAGGATCCTTTTCAACGAGTTCTCTAAAGAAGTCATTCTTCTTAAGATTTTCCGCATCATAAATGTCAATCAATTGTTGACGAACTTTATGAGCATGTGTTTCCTCCTCGACATTTAAACTTGTTGTATTTTCAGCTGTAGGCTCAGTACCGCTGATGACAGGATCGGACATGTTGCAAAGAATCGTATTTCCTGATCAAGATCTGATCTAGCTTCTTGATCGGAAGTTTTTTTCTTTTCTTTTTGTGTTTGAAAGAAAATATTTTTTTAAATTTCACTCCGAGCATTTTCGTTGATCTCTCTTACTGCAACATAGGCAACTGAAAGTACGTTTATTTTCCATCAACTACTCTCATTAAGCATCCGAAAGGATATATTTTGTATAAATACGGAATAACAATAATAATAACAAAGTATTACTGATGTTTCACCTACAATTGGCGAAATGTTTTGCTCAAGAACGACTGTGGAAGAATTCATTTCTCCAAGTTTGACTTAAATTCATCGAAGCTTCCGAAGAACAAGTGTATATGATAGTGCTGATAAGACTTAGATGCAAAATAGTAGATAACATTTGTTGAAGATACTACAGTATGGCTAACCATAATGACTAAACAATACAAGTGTAACGGTGGCATGTCTGAACACTTTCTCATGGTGGTAGATCGATTTCTAAACCATATCTGATTGACCACAACGCGAGATCCGCTCATATATAAAATATGTACTTTTGCTCAGTAATGATCCTGCAGTGCAATTAGTTTGTTATAAACCTTTACTTATCCACACTTGTACGTGCCGTCTTATTATACAAAAACGCGCATATATAATGACACATTCTTATTGGCCGAGAGTTTAAGGAACGAGTAATTTCTTTTTTAAATCAAAACTTTCACGCTTCCCCTCTGATTTTTAGTGCACGATAAAAGGACCGAAGGGGGCCCATTTTCACCTTGGAATTCATACAAACTAATTGAGTAGCTTTCATTGAAACAACAACAATCCACAAGTGTCACAGTTCAATAGTCACTCTGTGTATGAAATGCTCTTTCCTTTGTAAAAAAGAATCTAAAAACTAGAAGAAGTACCAAAATCTACATATAAATGGCAACAGTATTACTGATGATATAAAAGCTGAGTAGGTTTGTAGCCTAGTAACTATCGCATGAATAATGGTTTTGTATGCCTTCATTATATGGATCTCTTGAACTTAAAAAAATGGAATCATAATTCCAACCGTTGATTATGACTTAAAAGAGAACGACATTTAGGAGAAGTAGCATCCATTGTGTATAAGCACAAGAATGCTGGTAGGCTTCACTGATTTCTAATGGGATTAGTGTCATCAAATTTGCGTGGATTCAAACATCTATTGCTGTGTATAAATACTTTAGCTACAAAAGAGCAGTATTTTAATAGGCGATACAAATACTATGGCTTCTATTGGTTTAAATAGCAGTCATTCAAAAGGAGTTACAATTGTTTTTAAAAAGTATATAAAGGCGCTCATTTTTCTGATTTCCGCTTTTTTTTTTCTTCACTCAGAAATCAGCTCAGCACAAATATTGCAGTAGCTTTTGATTTCTAAACTGGTTTCCTCTGTGTAGATGGGCCTAGTACTCCTATTGTATCATAATGGTCCTTCTATTCATGTGTAATGCTGGTTGTTGCCACTTGCCTGAAATAGGTGTCTGTCGGTTCCTCGTGAGCCGGTAGCATAAGGTTAATGTCAACCAGTCCCATGGGCAGCCATGTTGATGTCTCTCCTCGTGGGGGCTGCCTGGGCAACTACTCTTCTAGAGAGTAGGCTAGAACATCAACACCTTTTTTTTTATATTATAATTCAAATAGTAAATGAAAAAAAAAAAAATTAAAAATAGAAAATAAAGCGGTATATTTATACTGAGTTTTGCTAATGGATAACGAAGCAATATGGTTGATGTTGGTTTACACCTTGGACAAATGGTTTGGGTTAAAAATGGACAGTAACGACAACTATTATCAGTTTGTAATATAGCAGAACGTCCTATAACTAAAGCTCCCACAACTTTGACCTGAAGCTTGTTTATCATCTCAGCTTAAAAGATTATAAACTTAGACATAAACCATTTATCAGCAGCGAACCGGGGCTGATTTTCATCTTTTTACTCACTGTCTACGTTCATGGATCAAATTACTTGAACAAGTTTAGAACTGTAAGTGGGCTTAATCTAGCAGATGGAGAAAGAGGTGAGGAGGGAATATTTGATAATAGAAACCCTATACCTAAATATCTTGCTTTGGAGATCAAAAATCACGCCATTTACTCTAAATGAAAAGTATAACGAAGGATTTTTTTACCTGGAAAATGTAGAATAGTAGCGCGGGAAGAAGAATAGCCACTCGTGTAGTATTGAAGGGAAGAGGGAGCATGCGGTTTGCAAACGCAATTACTCCTCGACTACAATAAATTATAATGATAGAGACATGGCAATCAATAAAGAAGTTCTTCGCGTCTTTCTATCCCAGATAAGCAGATTACCGATACTTCTTCAGAAGCAAGAATGAGTTACATATAGGTTTCAATATGGTAGTTGTTCAGCACTGCTTTCATTGTATACAATGGTTTCTTCATGATGACAACCTTATGCTTATGACAATTGACTACTGCAGGTCTGTCAATTTTGTACAGTCTTTTATTGTTATACTTCCAAAGTGTTCATAACTCAAGTTTGCACCACGCTGATTCGCGATACGGGCTAATGGTGTTTTCTTCGGTCTTTAATTCCTTTTACCTTCCGAAAATATGCAGAAAATCATAAAAACTCATTACAACTCCTGTTCTTTCCTTCACCGTACAACCAAAGAGTGTAATTGTCATGCCCTCAGTTGAGCAATGGTATACTGATTTAGTACATGTAAATTAATAAATAATGTGGTCATGCGATGTATTTTCATGCCAATCTCTATGTCTGACTTTCCAAATACTTATTACTTAAAATAAAAGAGATCTGACCAATATACGCTGAGAGAATTGGGAGAGATGTCAAAAGGCACAATGGTGTCAGCTTTCGCAGTTATCACCGATACTAAAACAATAAAGCAAACAAACGGTAGAAGCCAACAATGTAAGTATGCTCTTTCGAACTCATATTCATGTATACGTTTTACATTATCAGATTCGATCTAATGATCGATCGTCGCACTAAAACTTAATTAGGGTACCAAACAATTCTAATTACTGATCCCACTGTTACAGAAGGCAGTGTTATAAACATTGGCTTTCACCAAAACCGAGAATCACTTCCTAAAAATGAACCAGGTCGCATTCTTGTATTAAAGCATGCATTTGTAGATTTTTTCAACGGTCATTGTCAGTTAGTTGCGAGAGGATCTGGTAACGCCCTCCAACCCACAAGGACTGTCTACGTAACATTAAACATGGAAACGCTTGAAAAATATCCATCGGAGGATGTGGACTGTCAACTGTCAAAATCAGATATGAAAGTTATCAAAGCATTAAGGAAATGGTACAGAGCGAGTGATAACCAGAACGATACTACTACTACTGCTGCTGCCAACACATCAATAGCATCCATGCCAGTATCTACTGATGCCCGCGTAAAAACAGCTAAACGAAGCAATCGACCTTTGCTGACAACTGAGGCCTTGGCATCTCATCCAGCATTCTATTTCGATTACGTTGGGATGGTAGTTAAATATATACCTAATGAGGAACGTCATAGAGTCGATTTAGTTTTGACAGATTTCACTCAGAATCAATACCCCATTGGACAGAATGTAGCACTCTATGATATTGACCCTTCACTGTTATTACAATGTACGTTATGGGATAATCACGCAGATAGATGCCCCTCACTTGAATTGGGTAACTATATTTATCTGTCTAACTGTACAAGAAACAAAAAGCGTCAGGATGGATTAGAAATTCACGTCAAGGGAAATCGCGACACAAAACAACATGTTAACATCTTACAACCTGATCAGAATATATTGGAAGCACTGTTGCAGAGACAACAGCATTACTTTGCTGACTTTCCGATATCAAGAGAGGCGAAAAGTGAGAAAAGGAAAAAATTTACAACAACAACAACAACTAATACGAAAACTGGAACAACTCACAAAAGAACGAATGACATTGATCACTCTGTTGATGATGAAAGCAGTGGGAGTAGTAGTAATAATCCGGCTTTAAAAAAGATGAAGATGGATCGACTGTACCATGCAAGTGGTTCAGTGGATGATGATAATGAAGAACCTGTAGTAGATACATATATGAAAGAGACGTTTCCTTTGAAAACAGGTAGCAGAATACTGTAGTATGCTTTGATTTAGTTGGACAAACTAACCATACACTGTAATTCTCATTTTTTATGCCTTTAGTTACTGACCTTAATGTCAATACCCATACTTCGTTTGAGGATTTAATTCTGTTCGAAAGCGAGGAAAATGTATGACAAAGTACAAAAGGACAAAGGATAAAGACGATATGAAGGATATTAAAATAGTCATGTTTATTAAAATTAGATACCCGTTGAGTTTTTGACGAAAGCAATTATCAAGAACGTCGAACCAACAGATATAAGGCAGTGGGTTAAGACCCTCTGTCAGAAATGCAATCAAATGTAAATAGCATCCATGTTCATCAAGCAAAATGTGAAACTAACGTATTGACTCCTTCTATCAGTTATGAATTGTTGGATGAGAAGTGTGACCATGAAGAAGCCGAGCTTGTTTACCAATTCGAATTATTATTGGAAGAACACGAAACAGGGCGTAATTTGACACTACGTTGCTTCGGAGAGGAAGCTGTAAGTTCTTCTCAGGAAAAAGAAAAAACGGGGGATGGAGGCAAGATACTTACAAAGCTTACAATTTTTCTGCTGTCATGTTCAAACAGGAGCAGTTTTTTCCTGAAGTCCGTCCAGCCGAGTAAGTTGACAAATTGATTTCTTTACCTGAATGCTGAATTATACTTAGCGTGCTTTCGTCTTCTTTCAGCATTCTTCTTGATTTCACAGCTCTCGGGCAGGTTGAAAAGATGATTAGGTTAGCTTGTAGTGACGACGTTGGTGTCCTGGAATTTGGAATAACAGCTTTTCGTAAAGCAGGAAAACCCTTATTTTACATAACTGGTACTCAGTTAATAAGTAGTAAATGAAGACTGGATGCATTCTGTCGACCGTATAAGAAAACATAATCATCTCTCAAGAACCTTAAAGATGCAAATAGTAGCGCCCACCAATAAAAGGCATTTATTCCATCCTCTTGTTCGCAGCAACTAATGATTGTGCACCATCAACTTGTAAGACCTCATTCCCGTGTAAGAAAAGAAAATCATTTGGTTGTGTAGCCTATTTTCGCTATCTCAAAAGGTTAGAAGTAGAAGATGATGATTAGCTATATTCTCTGGAAATCCTCAAGAGTACCTACCATTTATTCTTGGTTAAAAGCCCTCCGCTACTTTCTGTATAAAATTAATCAGTCCAGACATACAAGGCTGCTGGCAGTGGTTCAGATCTTTAAGTGTAACCACGATGTAATTTTTTAGATTTAGTGTTTGTGCGCCCATTACCCCACATTTTTACAGTATTGCGCAGTCCTAATTTTAGTGGTCTCCATTAAGCGCTTGGAAGGGCATTTGTTTCTTCTAGCCTCACCAATGAGTTTCGGCTAAATTTCAGTTGGCGCACCAAAAATATTGTATTTCTTTGCCTTTCTGTTGGAAAGAAAGAAAAGTAATTCTACATAGATTGCGTCATGGAGCGTCATCCAATCGCCATGTACTCGAATATCATCGGTATATCAATAAATATGCAGACTGGAGAGAACTGTAGACTTCATTATAAGCTTGAGCATCGTTTCTATCAACTGCATGTCTCATCAACACATGAGTATCGATAAAGAATTTCAAAGGCTCACAACATCCAAAGAAATTGTTGATAGACTTGCTTTAAGAACATTGAAGGGTCGGGATGAAAAGTGGGTATGAATACTTGTTAAGGTTTTTCTAACTACTTTCCAAGGACTCCTACATGTACTACAGAACTAAACGGTGAGTTCTGTATAAAATTAGCATGGTTGGAGAGAGATATATATTACGACTGGTAACTCTAGTGACCATAAGAAAAGCTTTATAAGATATAACGCTTGTTTGAAAGCACTGTTAAAGCTGCCTTCTGGATCTGACCAGCAATTAGACGTGTAAGAATTGTATTGTATAATACCGAAAAAAAAAAAAAAACTGCGAACCATCTCAAGGTCCCACTTGAAGAAACTGACCTATCCGGTGTAGCAAATCTCGACGCACCTTCTACACTTGATTAAAGGAAACGCAACGAGTCGCGCCCGGCAGCATATATTCTCTATTATCGAAACTAGGTGAAGTTTCAACAATAAGTGGTCGATAAGGTATAGATTAACCAGCGTCTAATTTTTATATTTCTTTTTGTTTTCATTTGCTTGGTGCTGTATTGGCCTTTACAGTTGTTGTGTGTAATTAATTCGAGATACAGAACCTGTTTCATCAAACCATCTGTTGTTTCAGTGATAGATGTAAACTATTAACTCGTCTATCTCTAATCTTGTGACACCAACCCGCTCTCTAATTAGTACCAGTATATACATATATGGTAACCTTTCCACTCCCCTATGTTCACATTTCTTTTTTTCTTTTTTTTTACTTTCTGACCTCCAAAGTCATACACCTTTTGTTATAGTTAGATGAATACCACATCCAAAAATTAGTCACGCGCGCGTTGATTATAGCGCACGGATATATCACTCTACATCATTGTACTTAAGGACGACTGAAATTAGACTATAATTCGTAACCATCGTCGACACGGACTAAATGTTTCTTTTGTTTTGGAACACATAGTTTTATAGGGAAATTAGACATTCCAGATTGGGAAGTCAAGCCGATTTGAATGCTGTAGACATACAGTTATTGTGGGGTAAACGAGACCCTTTGGAATATATTTATTAAATATAGAGAAGGCTTTTGTTACACAATATAAAAAGTAGAGTAGGTATATTTTAGATTTACAAAGTACAAAAAGAACAGGAGGCATAAAGTATGTTACACGAGAGCAATAACTATAATTCTACAGAAATGGCATTTTACAATAGAGATTTATGAACTAGAAGTGGTAGTAGTAGTGGTAGTAGTGGTGCAGCTATTAGGAATATTTATATAGCTATCTAACATTAAGCTGGGTAATGCTGCTGTTGTTGTGATAGCTGCTGTCGGCGACTGCAAGAATTCATATAGGGACAAGAATGATAGAGGATCAGGCTGTTGATCATATAAGAAATGATTAAGTAAGGATTCGTTATGAGTTGTTGTTGGAGCTGTTGTCGGCAAGGCCATGTTGTCGAAGTTGTCCAGAAGCTGAACGGCATCCATTGCACTTAAGTTGTTATTCGTTGTTTTATTATGGTTGATATTGTCGTTATAGCCTTCCACCTTGATAACATCAGTTAACGAGTGGAAATAGTCGTCAAGGCTGTTTTCAGTAAATTCATCTTCATCCATTGAGGACAAGCCAGAGGAGACTGTGGAAGGTGATTGTAAAGGTGACTGAATATCGGAAGGTATCACGATAGCATTTGAGATGGGTGATGCTGCAGCATTGGAATTGGTATGGCTTACAGAAGACATTTGTTCATTCAGAAGAATGTAAGGCGTAGCTGATAATTGAATGGGCTTGATAAGTTGTTCTTCCATGCTACCTTTGCATGTTGAATAAGTCTTCCATTGTAATATTTCTTGACTATGTTCAGACTTCTTCTTGTGCTGGATGGGTTTTGGTTGTTCAGTTTTCACTGCTAATTTCTTGGTACTAGTATGTTGCTGCTGTATCGCCAATACAGTAGGCGTTGTTGCCGTAGCATTTATAGTACTCTTCTTTTGTCGTTTTGATTGAATTTGATTCCATCTTGTTCGACATTGCCTTTGTGTTCTTCCAGGAATAAAACCTGCTACGCGAATCCAACAGCAACCATAACGTTCAACGCCAATTTTCAACAAGTCATCTTCTTCTTTCTTCCAGCGACCTTTTCTAACAGATGGATCCAATGCTTCAGTCCAGCGTGCTTGGCATTGAATACCGGTGCGGTTAGGGATATGCAGGGCGATTTTGCTCCAAGGTAGGTTATCTTCTTCGGTTTCTGATGCAGATGTGACTGATGATGCTGACAATGATGAATTCGATGATAAAGGTAATGATGATGATTTGTTATTGTTGTTATTAAGATAAGGTCTAACAGCGGCGGTAAGTGCTTCATCCTCTTCTTTCGACCAGCGACCTTTATGCACATGAGGACTATTGAAAAAATAATGGATGTAGGGTTAGCTAAGTGATACAGGTGGGCAAATAGGATATATGTCCAAAACTTACTTTAAAGCACCTAACCAACGTGTGGAGCATTGGACGGGAGTTCTACCAGGAACGTGTCTAGCAATCAGGGACCACTTGTGTGGACCATGTAACTGAACTGCATCGTATAATAGCTTATCTTCATCTTCTGTCCAACGACAATAGAAGGGTGCTTGTCGTTGGTTTCCCTCCTGTTTGAATACGGAAAAGACTCCTTTTTTAGATTGACTCATATGAATAGATTAATGAAAGGAAATGAAAGCTTGAAGAAAGAATAAGTGTAAAAGAAAAAAAAAAAAAAGGAAGAGACCTTTTATTTATACTGACGGGGTCAAAAAAAAAAAAAAAGGATTCATTTCATTTATAGCCCATCAAACTATAAAAACCTAAAATTGTAGTCGAGGCGCTATATTCGTTTTATGATGGCAACGCAAAACTCAACCCTCCCATGGGAAGCGACGGTCGCCCAAACCTACTAAAAGAGGGAAAGATGGACCACAAGGCCTTGCTGGCGGTGGGTGAAGTCGGATTTTGGCCTCTTGATTGGTTTATGATCAAGAGGGAAAAAAACCGACATTGCCTTTGATTTGAGTAAACGTTGTTGTACCAGGCACCACAAATCCAAAGCTTAGGATTTGCTTGCGCTTCGGATGTTAAAATAAGAAGGAAGGTATATTTAGAGGGAACTCTTCGACATGATTGGATTTGGCAAATAACGTGTATTTATTATACAGGTATAAAGCTATATGTGTACGTACAAATAAATGACCACAGACTTTTTTACACACGTTTTTCTTCCACCATATCGTAAAAGGAATATGAACATCCTTCCTTTGGAAAAGATAATTGGGGTTATATATTTCCGGAGTATGACTATCTATGGAGATATAGAAAGCCAAAAATGTGATCGATTATACCAGCCTGTAAATCAGAGATTTTTCTTTTTCTAGTAGTCATTTCTGATCTATCTCCTTTCCGTTTGTCGTCCTAGTATTGGATAAGAAACTAAGCTTCTCGCTCAAGATCGCCAGCACCGCTAGAACCATTACATAATAAATGTCATGGCATGCAAAAATACTAGACGACTCATCCAATGTTAAAAAAGTCTCTTAAAATCGTTTGCTTTAACTTCATTTCAACCGTACATATAGTCTTTTACGAGATAGTATTTGAGCAATCCAAACGGATAGCATATGCGTTTTGAGGGAGGCTGTGCAAATGCTTGTCAACAAGATGGTTAAAGTGCTCTCGCTCCAATCAGTGACCCCTTGATCTCCGCTTATCGTTCATTCAAAGGGAAAAAAAAAATCACGCTCGCACAACGAGTTTCGGGTCGCGTTTTTTCTTTTTTTTTCAATTCTCTGTGCAGTCCTTGATTTAGCGACTGTCGGATCCGAGAATTCTTGATCAGAAGCAAAGCAAGCAATTCCAAAAAATAAGTCCCTCCTTCATCCTGTCTAATAAATTTTCGGAATAACACTTTGTCTGAACCATGGCCGAAACAAAGGTAGACAAACATACGTTCTTCTAAAGCTCAACTACGGAAGTCAGGATTCTTTAATAACTGAATATTTGAACCTGCTTTTTTCTTTTCTTTTTTTTGGGTTTTTGTCACTCAAAACACTAGATTATGGATATTGATCAAAAAGCTGATCAAGATGTTCATCAAACTGTAAATGTTCACCAAATACTTCATCCCAAGAGTTGCAAAATTTTCTTCCATACTCATTTTTTTTTGTTTCTTAATTCAATTAGGCTTCTCCTGCTGTTGTAGAAGATAGTAACAGTGTATCTCAAGTCGACTCTGTAAGCTTTCATACCGCGTTTCGCTATTCACTTGATAGGTTAACAGCCGAACCAACATTACCCTTTTTCGGACGAAAAAAAATAAATATATTAGGATATGGACTCTTCTAGAGTTACTTCAAAGGAATCAACACCTATGCGAACTTTTAAAGAACCCTCACTAGTAAATGCCTTACTCTTCTTTTGCTGTCACGTCAATTCAACTGACCCCTTTTTCCAAAACTTCTTTTTTACACGGATATAGTATGAGACTCGGGTCAAACGATATAGATATCTTTTAGGTCAAACTGAGTTATTTGCTCACTTTTTAAACTTGACTGAAGTCAAGGATGACGCAATGAAAACCGTTTTGAAAGAGCAAGAAATGCAAAAGAACAACGCCGAGGAAGGGTAAGGCTGAATTGAGTACAAAGTCAGATACAGAACATACATAATCAATTCTATTTCTCCTTATCTTTCAATAGATCAAGGCGTAGAAGAAAGACTGAGAAAGAGGAAGACGAAGAAATTTTGAAGGATGAGCAAGAAGAGAACGAAGAAGACATGACTGTATTCACTCAATCACCTTCTTGTAAATTGAAAATTTGTTTCTCGATCATTTTGTTTACAACAGCAAATACTCAACTTTTTCTTTGTTACAATATAGACGTCACAGGAGGTACGCTGAGAGAATATCAAATTCAAGGTCTCAATTGGATGATTTCTTTGTTTGAAAATGGTATAAACGGTATTCTGGCTGATGAAATGGTACAGACAAAACAAAAATTACTTTTGAGCTTAATGAAGATCCTCTCTTGTTCATCTTTTTGTTGTATTTTTCTGTAGGGTTTGGGTAAAACATTGCAGACTATTTCATTCTTAGGCTACTTGAAGCATTTACGCGGTGTTAATGGTCCACATTTGGTTGTGGTTCCCAAATCTACACTACATAATTGGTATAATGAATTCAGAAAATGGATCCCTGATTTTGATATTTTTGTATTTCATGGTGATAAAGACGAAAGAGTAAGAATGAGTTTTTCGAAAATAAAGGCCGTGCGGCGAAATAGACTGACCCTCAACGACTTTTTGCCGTATCTATTCAATAGAAAAAATTGATCAACGAAAGGATTCTCCCTGGAAAGTTTGAAGTATGCATCACCTCTTACGAAATTTGTCTCATGGAAAAAGCCCAATTCAAAAAGGTCAAATGGCAATACATCATCATTGATGAAGCTCACCGTATCAAAAACGAAAACTCGATGCTTTCTCAGCTTGTCCGTATTTTAGATTCTCGCAACCGCATGCTCATCACGGGTACACCTCTTCAAAATAATTTGCACGAATTATGGGCTTTATTGAACTTTTTATTACCTGACGTCTTCAGCTCTTCCGAAGTGTTTGACGAATGGTTCGAAAAGCAAGGAGGCGATCAAAAGAAAGTCATCGAACAGCTGCACAAAGTACTACGACCTTTCTTGTTGAGACGTATCAAATCTGACGTGGAAAAATCACTGTTGCCCAAGAAGGAAATGAACGTGTATGTACGGATGTCACCTATGCAGCGTCAATGGTACCAAAAGATTTTAGAAAAAGATATTGATGCGATCAACGGCGTCGGACTGAATAAGCGAGAAGGCAAAACGCGTTTGCTGAACATCGTCATGCAGTTGAGAAAGTGCTGTAATCATCCTTATTTATTCGACGGCGCCGAACCAGGACCTCCTTACACCACAGACCAACATTTAGTGGACAATTCTGGTAAAATGATTGTGCTGGATAAACTGCTTAAGAAATGCAAAGCACAAGGATCTCGTGTGCTATTGTTTAGCCAAATGAGCCGTGTCCTGGATATTCTGGAAGATTACTGCTGGTGGAAGGAGTATGCTTATTGTCGTATTGATGGACAAACGAGTCAAGAGGACCGTATTGATGCTATAGATGAATACAACAAGCCCGACAGTGACAAGTTCATTTTCTTGCTCACGACGCGTGCTGGTGGTTTAGGTATTAATCTGACAACGGCTGATATTGTTATTCTCTACGACAGCGATTGGAACCCTCAAGTTGATTTACAAGCGATGGATCGTGCGCATCGTATCGGTCAGACAAAGCAAGTTTATGTGTTTAGATTTGTGACCGAAAATGCGATCGAAGAAAAAGTGCTCGAACGTGCGGCCCAAAAGTTACGTCTTGATCAGTTAGTCATCCAGCAAGGACGTGTTCAATCTGGCCCCAAAACAAAGACGGCTTCCAAGGAGGACTTGTTGGAAATGATTCAGCATGGCGCTCAGAATATTTTCAAAGACGGTGACAGCGACAATAGCAGCACTACCATGGATGATATTGATGAAATCTTGCGCCGTGGTGAACAAAAGACGGCTGAGCTAAATGAAAAATATGCTGAACTCAATTTAGATGATTTGAAGAATTTCTCTTCAGAGAGTGCTTACAAGTGGGATGGTGAAGACTGGAGCCACAAACGTAAGGCCGAAAATGTCGGACTGTCTTGGCTTGGACCTGCCAAGAGAGAAAGAAAGGCGAACTATGCCGTGGATGACTATTATAAGGAAGCTTTACGTACGACTACTCGCACACCTTCAACAAAAGCGCCGCGACCCAAGAAATACAATATCGAAGACTTTCAATTCTTCCCTCCTCGTCTTGCAGAGTTGAACGAACGCGATACACTCTATTTACGAAAGTCGTTAGGCTATAAAATACCACCTATCAGTCCTGAAGAAGGCGCGACAGAAGAAGAAATAAAGAAACTCGAAGAGGAGAGGAAGGAGGAGCAAAAGAAGATTGACAATGCAGAGCCTCTTACAGAAGAGGAAGAAGAGGAACGCAAAGAATTATATAGTAAAGGCTTTTCCACGTGGAGCAAGAAAGATTTTGCTATTTTCATCAATGCTTGCGCCAAATACGGTCGTAAAGATTTAGAAGCTGTTACTGGTGAATTAGAAGGCTCCAAGACACTTGAGGAAGTTAAAAAATACTCCAAGGTCTTCTGGTCGCGTTATAAAGAAATTGCTGATTACGAGCGACATATTTCCAAGATTGAACGTGGTGAAAACGAATTAGAAAAGCAAGCTGAAATTCAGCAAGCCCTGACTGATAAGGTGCAGCAGTACCGTGTTCCACTTCAGCAAATCAAAATTCATTATACTCAACCTACCAAGGGTAAGAACTACACGGAAGAAGAAGATCGCTTCCTTATCGTTATGCTTGAAAAGTATGGTTACGGTACAGAAAATGTATATGATAACATTCGTCGCGAAATCAAGCAATCACCACTGTTCAGATTCGATTGGTTCTTGAAGTCAAGAACCTCGCAGGAGATCGCCAGACGTTGTAATACGTTGATTAGTTTGATTCAAAAAGAAAATGCCGAGTTTGAGGAGGTTGAAGAGAAAAAGGTAAAACTGCACAAGTAGATAGAAACAAAAAAAGAGGGGATCAATAACCTGATGGTCTGTCTTTCTTTAGCCACAAGCCAAAAATAATAGAGGAGGCAGCAGATCAAGAACCGGAACACCAGTCCCTCCTTCAAGCTCAACTCCCGCTTCTAAATCAAGACGCCGTTAAAAAGAACGCATCTTCCTTTGAAATTTTCGATCATCATTTGTAACAGCCAATAGAAACCTTCTTTTACTATTCAAAAAGAAGTTCAACAATTTGTTTCATTCCAGGATGTACATGATACATTCTTTCATACACAATCCTCGCGCACATATAATTATAGATTTTTTATCTACACCTTTATACTCTTGGACTTCCTGTCCGTTTTTTTTTTTCCCTTTGTTTGGGTTTACTTTAACTAAATTCACACCTATATTGAATAAAGATTTTTTTAATTTATACTTCTACTGACTATTCAAGAATAGACTACAAAAGCTGCGCAAAGGAAGATTATTTTTTTTGAAGAAAAAAAATGAATAAGCAAAAGGAAGAGCAAAATTGAATTAACAAAAATGTCGATAGTAAAGTGAGCAAACATTTTAGATAGAAGGAGATCATTTTCAATATTAGATATAATTCGAGTATATTCCGTTTGCTTGCTTTTGTTTCTATGATACTCTTCTTAATAGTTATATCGCTCGTACACAATAAATCATTCTGTTATGTATCGTTCTTTGACGGCACCGAGAGAACAGCAGCAAGAGTGGTAAAAGTAGTAGTAGTAAGATTTTGAATGCATACTTCACGTAGGACTTTAGCCTGAACGACGGTATATCGTCCATCTGCTGAGTGGTCTATATGCTCCAATTTTAGTAGGAATCCGTCTTTACTGTATTTAAAGTTATTTTCATTTTCAGGAGAGAGGAAAGCACCTAAAGCATAGTGTTTCCGAAGAGGCTGATTTAATATGGTCGAGAGTATTCGTGTACTTTGGTGATTTAAGTGAATATGGAAGAGGCAACGTGATTGTGGCCTTAGTGGAGACAGTACCCTTTTGTACATGGGGTGTTCACTCGCTTTTGTTATGATTCGAAAGAAAGGTATGACAGCTTTTGTATTTTTTGCTTCCATCAGTAGTTTGAATGGCTTCTGATGGTGAGAGATATATTCTACCCAATAAGATAGTAGTTGATCTATTTTATGGCCGTTGCGATGATATAGAAACTTTCGTCGACATAGTGGGCAGTAGTCATGCTCATTTAAATATAGGCAATCTTTACAAAAAGTATGTCCACACGACGGCAGTGTCACTGGCTGGACGAATGTCGAAAGACATATCGTGCACTCTAAAAGGTTACAAACGATTTCTAGACTTTTTTGTTCTATTCCGGTATTGTTGTTGCTACAGACTGCTAAAATTTGACTCAACAATATATTGCGCTTGAATGCTTGTTTCTCTCTTTCGTGAGATCTTAGACAGGTAAACGACAAGCATTGTTGTTTATTGGTACCCATAGTGTTGCTGCTGTGATAACATGAGTAACATAGAGTAAATCCGCAGAACATTGTGATTGGTTCCTTCAGCTGCAAACGGCATTTAGGGCAAATAGTAAGCCTCTCGATTGAGAATTCTTGTTGTTGTGTGGAAAGTAAAGCAATAAAGTCTGAACTGCCTTTAAATTGAACTTCATCAAGAAGGGTTCTCGCAATGTTCATAGAAATGATAAAGGGGCAGGATAAGTGAATGCCAGGTTGTATCAAAAGCATGAATTCCTTTTTTTTTTTGGCTTCTTTTTGTACTAACAAGATGTATGCAAAAGGTAAAAGCCTAACTCATTTTCGATCGATGTTTGCAATTTAAAAAAAAAAGAGAGGATATCGCAATTCTTTATTTTATTTTTTCTTGATTGGGCATGGTATTCTGTGGTTATCAAATTATTATGCTGCTTCTTTAGCAGCCTGGATCTCTAGAAATTCTTCTAAGCCAATCACCTTGACTTCTTGACCAGTATAAATAGGATTCAATTGCTTTTCAATATAACCTGTAAAAGTACTGTGCGGAGTGCCGAAGAAAGTATGACCATGGGCTGAGACCATCGCATCAATCATTGGTATCAGATAAGATTCCAGTTTCACTCTTTCTTCTACAACTTCCAATCGCTTTACATCTTCAATATCGTCCACGAAATCATTTAGGATGAATGTACAAGGGAATACTGTGAATAATTTACGCAATAAGGGATGATTTCTTGGATCAGGTGCGTCTGTTGCAATATAGAGTACTGTGTTCCTGAATCGGTGTGTTACCTTATCGCCTTTAGCACATGTTAATCTTCGGGAAATATGTGGATCTGTATTAAAGTGCTCTGTTGAATAGATAAAGTTATCGGTGCTTTCATGATGAACTTCAATCGGCTTTGTATAGTTGACTCCTTCCCCATTTTCACCCATGCCGGGATGAAAGGCTCTCAACTTGATTTCGTATTCCGAGGATTCTGTTCTGTCCAGATTATGCTGTTCTACACCGCCTTCATAATCCGCTACTTGTTCCACTGTCAAATCTGTGTATTTATCGACCAGTTCATGAAAAATATCATCGACCAAAATAGAGGCTCGTAATTTGAAAATGCCATCCCCTACACGTAAATGCATGCCAATAAAATTGTTGGTGCCGCCTAATTTCTCAACAATTCTTGCTGTCACGGCTGACAAAATAGGTTGTTGTAGAATCATCTTGGACCGAATATTCTTCAACTTAAGCGCATGATCATTGGTTTCTGCCAACACGCGATAGGAACCAAACATAGATCCAAAGTGAAGGACACGATGTTCAATCTCCTGTAACTTTTCGACGTCGATACGATAGTTGAAACGAGTCATGGGTAAATCATCCAAACGCTTATTATCCAAAATTTGATATTCATAGGGTGACATGTCTTTAAAAAAGTAGATATCTTCAGGTTGAATGTCAAGGTTTTCATACATCCATTCATAACTGAGTTCGTTCCGGAAAATGAGTGGGATATCTTCGCCAATAGCGGACATATTGTAGAAGACTGTCCAAGGTATATTGGTCCAACGAAAGCTGTTTAGGCACTCGCTGGGCAAAGGTAGACCGTATTTGTCCAAATCGACACAATGATCGAGTCCATTTTTTGTTTGGAAAATGAGACGTTCATACAGTTTTTCATATCGCAACCAAGGCATGGCGGGATTGGATAGAAGGACCATAGGAACGAGTAAAGTTCTCTTAAGGTAGCTGGCGAGCAGAAGGGCATTTTCTAATTCGATACGTTGGTTGTGAAAACCAGAATGCGGTAAATAAGCTAGATACTTTTCGTCGACTCTTGGTATATGTAAATCGAAAGGTCCAGGAAAGGTGACTGGAATAGCCTCTAGTTCTTGACTTTTACTGTTCGTTGATAGATAGAATATAAAGATTAACAAACAGCTTATGCTGACGAGTATGATACTGGATGAAAGCGTAGTGATTTTCCTTTTCATTTTGATGGTTATTTTATTGATATGATATTATGTACAAAGAAAATATAAAGAGAGACAGAAGAAAAGCACCAACAAAAAAAAAGGGAAAAAACAATAAGACTAAAATAAATTGCTTGCTGTTGCACACATTCACGAAGATCACCCTTTATTTTTATTTTTTTTTGACCCAATAAAAAAAAAAAGAAAAAATTTTATTTGTTGATTGAATTATACTATCCAAGAGTGCAGTCTTAACTTCTAATGGATCCTGTTAGCCAATCTTTCAATGGCCTTTTCCAAAGCCATTTTTTTGTTTGATTTTCCCTCTATGTTTCCCCCAACAAAATCCTTTGACATTGTGAATCTTTTGTCTCAACAATCAAAGAAAGAGAAACAAAGCAAAGGTCAAGGATTGACTGCCAAGATAGAGGGTTTGGTATGTGCAAGAAGAGTCAGACTCTTCAATGACAATTAAAGAAAGAAAAAGAGATGAAAAAATGACAGCTGCAATCATGGCTTTTATTTTATTTTATTTTTTTTTTCCTCTCTCAATGTCCCTTACTTATGCCCAACCTATGCCCAAAAACAGTCATACTATTTCCATCATTTTAACATTTCTACATATTATTTTCTGGTTACACCTCTCAAACCAAGATAACCTGGATTGGAACCCAAGCTTTTACTAGTCGTCCCTTTCACCTTGCCTTGTTTGCCCGAGCTTCGTTTCATAATACTAGAAACCGGGGTTTGAACATAAGTTGAAGAAGAAAAAACAATTAAAAACACGATAGAATCCTCAAGTTGGTTTCAAAAAATCAGCTCTGGCCTTTTTAATATCTTCATGGTCATAGACTGCTTGTATGAACACAAGTAAAATTTGGTGTATATACTAGTCAAAACACGTTACAAGCAAAGTCGATTTTATAATGATGTGAATGTACACTTATTGTCATAATTGAACGATTGCATATATCAATTGTTTTGTTCGACGAAACGATATGTAGCGGCCTATCGGGAGCTACTTATGGTGTGTCTATTGTTATAAACTTGTATCGGAAGAAGTCAACGCCTTTATAAATAGAGGAGATGGCGCTACTCTCCTTCCATGTTTTCTTATTGGGCAAATTTTTGTTTAAATATATCCCGCACGAGTAATGTGTGTCGTGGTAGCTACTTTAAAGACAAAAAAAAAAAAAATGAATGATTATAATACAACACCTATAGTGATGATATCTTGTTCTAAAGTAAAAGAAGGGCATTCCCAATTCATCTCTTTTCCAAATTTTCCTTTTTTTTTCTTACTTCTTTACGGCTTTTTATTTCTTTTTCTTTTCATCACTATCCGCTCACGTTTGCTATTTTCCTTACTTACTCTACATTCAAGCAATTCTTCATCATTTGTTAGTCTGTTAAAAAACAGCAATATTACACGAACCCATGATTCATTATAATGAAAACGAACACGCAGAAGAAGAAGAAGCTTCATCACATGCTTCTTCTCCATCCTTTCCAACAGATAACTACAATACCAACACTACGCCTTCTTTGATGACCAATAAGATTTATAAACAATGGAAAAGGAAACTAAAAGCAATGGTCGAAGTAAGCTAACCTTCTCTAATCATCTCTTACATGCAAGACCACACTAGTCGATTAACTTATTCATTACCAGCTTAATATGGCTCTAAATAAAGATTACATTCATGCAAAAAAGGAGATCCATGCATTGAGACATGAAAAAAAGTATGCTGTTATTAAAAAAGCAAAAGAAAAAAAAAAGTTTAAATGGTAATTTACCGACTCACTCATCTGCTATGTTTGTTTGGACCGAAAAGTACTTTGCTAGACAATATTGACCGTTTAGAAAGTGTCGACAGACTTACAGATGATAGCAGTGATAGTGATAACTTGGTCGATAGTGATTTATCAGACTCAAGTGAAGAGGATTATGATTTGAAAACCAGTAAGTGATCAAGGCCTTTATCCGGTTATAAACGAGTATCAAGCTTGTAGTTGACGCTGGTTTATATGTTGAATTTGTTCGTTGTAGTACTGGAAAACAAGGCAAAACAGAAAACAGCATCCCCTACTTTCCCTCCGCCACGCACAGTTCATAAGAGCAATTACACCTCTATATCCACGCCTACTATTATTAATAAGCTTAATACTACTCATACTACGTCTAAAACTACGACTAATGATGAATCCCCATCCTCCTTAAGGCTAATTACAACTATACCATCCGCTCCACCCAAACGATCCAAAATAAATACATTAAAAATCCAGAAAGTACGACGAGTACAGCCTATTGAAAGAGATGAACATGGAAAGCCTAAGCTACCCCAAGAGATAGGCGTACTTACCGTTCATAGTTTAGGAAAAATTATCAATGATCGACCGGCGTATCATAACGAGAGATACATCTTCCCTGTCGGCTACACTGTAAGCAGGTAGGCTTTGGGTTTTACTGGTTAGTGGCCCAAAAACGTAGATCCCTCTCACCACTTTATATTTTTCTTTTAGAACTTATCCCAGTATGATTGATCCTGATAAAAACACAATTGTTACTTCGACTATTTTGGATGGCGGGGACGCACCTCGTTTTCATGTCGTGGCTGCTGATTTACCTAACGAACCTATCATTGCCAATTCAGCTACGGGCGCTTGGACCGTCATTGTCCGTCGCGCTAACGACATCCGTCACCGCGACCACTCTAATTCTGCCAGCGGACCAGATTATTACGGTTTTAAGCATCCCACTATTGCGAACTTAATACAAGAACTACCGGGTGCAAAAGAGTTGCCGAGTTACATTTGGCAAGAGTTTGAAGAGATGGAGCCAAGAGCAGCGAAAGGTGTAATGGCAGCAGCTGAAAAGAAGAGAGGTAATTTAGAGCAGATGGGCAATGCTAATCGAAAAATACCCAAGACGACGACCTCTTCCGCCGCCAAAGAAGAGGCCGATCCAGCAATAACTCAAAAACAGCAAGAAGATAACAGTACAAATCCCTCAGTATTTGCTAATGAACCCGTAGACCAAGGTGGAATGAATGATGATGCTGAGGCAGAGATATATGAACTCATAGCTACTGACGATGAACAATAATAACAAAGCAACATCAAAAATTGACAGTACAGGGAGATCATAACATTTACAATAAAGCATAGCTTGGGTTTGTTATTTCATACAGGGACCGGTGATTTTACTTGTATAAATATTTATACATCAAATGCAACCTCTATATCTGCATTACTTGTTTGAGCAGTGAGGTCGCCCTTGTTACCTTTTCCCCGTCTGAATCCTCTCTTCAGATGATCCAATTTATCTTGATAAGTAATGCCTTCATCACTTTCAATCCGCACATCTCCAAAAGAGGTACTCAAGGCGAAAGCTCCTTCAAATTCATATGGCTATTGTGTTATTCGGTTTAAAGAGGGGAAAGTCAGAAGATTTTGCAGTGAATGCTTTCTGTCTTTCCATCACTTACCATGTGAAGGCTTGCTTTAGCATTACTGGTGATCACGGTGACTCTGTTATTTTTGGTCCCATAGACTGAAAGCGAAATAGGCCCGTTAGAATTTGTTACCACAATCTCTTGTTTCGCTTCTGCATGAACAATTGAGACAATTCCGTTAGCATTTTCAGTAATGACTCTATCAGCCATAACACGAGAAAGTTTTGTAGCAGCGTTGCTCGTTTTAAGCAATACTTCGGAGTCTGCCTGTATCAGATTAGGTAAGGCTTCTATCTCCCCATTGCTATTCGTAATCTGAACACGTCGTTTAGCTATTACATCCTGAGTAAATCGAATTTTTCCATTGCTCGTCTCAATATACACTTCGTCGTCTGAGATAACCTTATCACCATTGATTTCTATATTTCCATTGCTCGTAATAAGGTTGAGTTTGCGCTTGCCAGCCCATCCTTCATTTAATATGATATGTCCATTGGAGGATTGTAAATCCAATACTTCCATGTTATCCGTAACAAAAGGCCCAACCACATCAATATTCATATTGGTCAATTGAACGTGTACGTTATCCAAGTCATAAGGTAATTTGATTTCAATTTGGGCATTCACACACGGTCGTCGCTGCTGTCGTTCATTTCCTCTCATTTTAAAATACATAGGTACTTCAACCAAGAGCCTTAAAGTATCATCCTCCGGATACGTCAAATCGTAGGATAAATCTAAATCAGTAGGATAGATTTTTATGTCACTGAGAATGGTTCCACGATGTCGATCTTCTGTAGGTGTGATAATTAGCTGGCCTTGTTGTATAACATAATAATAGTCATCCTCTTCTCCTTCTTCATGTAACTGCTGCCCCTGTGAATATTGCTGGTCGTTGTCGTTCGTATGCTTGACAATAAGTTCAAGGTTCTTAATACTGTCAAAATCAATGGTGCTTGGCATGCCTTGCCAAGTAACACAATCTCCTACGTTGCTGCTGCTACAATAATTTGGCTGTTGTGGCGGTAGTGATGGTGAAGGTTTCGGCTTGGCTGGTGTAACGCCCGAAAACAATTTATCACTGTATTCGTAAATGACAAGTGACAACAGGATAGCAGCAAAAATATATTTGCACCAAACACGACAGTGACCTACATCGTGTTCATCACCACTATTATGGCTAGCAGCATGAAAAAGGCTTTTGCGGTTTTTTTTGTTAAACAAAGCCAATCCTGGTGAAAAAGATGTAGAAGGTGTTGCCTGCTGTGCCTGCTGTTCAACTTCAAAAAATAGTGTTAAGATTTAATACGCTTATTTGTTTGTTTTATGCTTTCTTATTGTATAAATAAAAGAAAGGTTCATACGTGGATCAATGGATGAGGATACCCAAACCGCTGGCTTTGGGCTAATATTACTTAATAACGGTTGCTGTTGCTGTTGTTGCTGGTTTTCCAAATCCAAGCTTCCTCTATTGTTATGGACGGAACCGTAGGAAGACGAAGAATTACGTCCAACAGTAGCAGCAGAAGGGTTGGGCGAATAAGGTGGTGGTGGCAGCAAGTCACTTGTCGAAATGGAGCTTATTTCATCTGGTTTATAGACAACTTTTGGTTGATGTTGACTGGAAGAGCTACTAGCAGCCCCATCATAATCTATATGTACCAAAGAAGTAGTGATTCATGAGGGCGGAGTGCCTTTTTAATTTACAAATATGTCTCAGTGATTAGTTACTTGGAGTATTATAGTATGACTTTGGGTTGTTACTATTCGACGACGAAGACATTAGCAAGATGTTTTAGACAAACAGAAGAAAAAAGAAAGGAAATAGTACGATGCAAACGTTACTTAAAATACTTGCCAAAATCCCAAGTTATATATCACTTGAGTGTTACACCTTTTTTCTTACTCCTTTTCTTCATTTTGTAGCAAGGGCTGAGCGTTGTTTTCATGCAAAATCAAAGGCTAATTCTATTTTATTGCCATACTATTCAAGAACTCTTAAACCTGATGACACTATCACCGTTTATATCTGACTGTAAATGTTCAACATACCCGTGAGCAGCACTGCCACAAGAATTGCCCTCCTATCATTCATCAGTTGCATCTGTTGACCGAGATTTATCCAAGCGATTTATATTAATATAAGTGTTTTAACAAAACCATGGTTTGAAAGAAGCTTCATGCTAGTAATGGAGCTGCATCATTCCATCTCATGGTGCATTGTCTTTATAAAAAAGAAGGTCTCTCGCGTACGATGTGTGTTACCTATTTTATTGTAGTGTATGCTTGAATTATTATTGTATGTTTGAGTAATAGTAACGATTCAGTGATATCTGCGTAGTTCGATTAATTCTTTCGTACTAGCAACGTCTTTTTGTTCTGTCTAAACTGTGCATTGATACAACCACAACAATATTTTCTGTGAAGTCTTTCCGTTTTCGACAATAATTCAAATCATTCTAATCCTTATGCAGTTCTTTTTTGAAACTGTACAACAAGCCATTCATGAGAGACACGAGTTGTTTTTGTCTTTCTTTTGCGGTTTTCTCTCTTATTTCGAAACAGCTGATTCTTTTACATCAACGTGCTGTGAACTATATATCTAAAAAATCAAACCTAGAATGTGTGCAGACTATCTTAACAAAGAATGATGGTGGCATGCGGTACCACAGTTGTAGACCTTTGTCTGTTTTGTTATTGCTGATACTAACAGGTATCTCAGCCTACTGGAAATACAAAAGAATCGCTTTCACCAGTCCATAATGCTTTTATTCATGAGTTTCCTTACTACCCCTCATCCTATCATATACAATGCTATGTATGAGAATACATTTGGATATCAAGGTTTTTATTTATAAGCGAGGTCTAACCACGATCGCGAAGGCCTACCTAAAGTTGACGGCCCAATGAAAGCGCGTGTCTGTCTTCTTAAGGAGTATAGACGGGACCATAGAATGATATTATGTTGATTTTACACTTGACTGATAGTCCACAGTAGGCGGTTACATTTCTTGTGGTTTATGTTAAAAATACCCTACGGATCTCAAGATAGTCAAAGCTGGACCTCGCAATTATTATGGTTATCAAAAATCGAGTATATTCAATTCAAATTGTCAAGATTCAAAAGCAGGCTTGGCATTTAGTGATGTAGCCTTTATATCAATCGGATAAGGTGACCCTGCACACATTTCGTGCCTGAGAACGAGCTGCAGGATTAGACTTTTCAAATTGATAACCTTCTATACAATATAACTGTTAAGGGGATTGTTCCTTTTTATGTCGTTGCGCGTTGCTTTCATTTTTCTCCACTACACAAGAAATTAGCCGTAACATCAATACGCAAATGCCATTCAAACTGGAGTATGACTGTTTTGCAAAACAGCATTAACTAGTCTTCTAGTAAAGTTCTCTTTTAATAGCAGAATCATGCTATCTCTGAATGTTCAACCATTTGTAGCTCTTAACAGCAAGAATTTCCATTTGCGTTTAATGGAATACAGCTATAAATCTTTGCGCTTGACGAGCTGGAGCAAATGTTCAAGTTGAATATGAATTTCACAATCCCTAATCTTTATTAAACCTTTTTTTTTTTTTTTTTGGTTCGAATAATTGGAATACCATAATCGAGACTACTGTTGCGGTTTAACAGAAAGACAGAGATAATGCCCGATTGTTGTCTATCTTTTTCATGCAACTGTGCCACGAAATAGGATCGCATCGATTTTCGTGATATGTGTTTTAAGATACGACTTCAAGCCCGACTGTCTGCTCAGATGTTTCTATGCCAAGCAACACAGAACACGATATTTTACAAGCCAATGAAGTTGTTCAATGACATTTTTACGTTTCAAATTGGCGAAAGCATCGAAAATCCTTTTTGCTGGAACAAAGATTAGAAAATGACCAAATAAAAGAGATCGTGAATACGTTCCTCTTATATCATCGTTTAGTTTAAGTTGAATATTCATACAATAAAGCGAATAACCGCTTGAACCCTTGTTCCACAACTTTCAAAATGGAAACAGAGACAACACTTTCTTCTCCCATTTGCTGTTTTGGACACGAAAGAACGACATTGGAGTTTTCCTTTTTCTTCTTACTAGACTATTTCGGCTTTTTCGCTGTAACTCCGCATACGTCTCGAGTGCGACATTACACAACATAAACGTAGATCAGAGCTGATGACAAATACATTGCTTGAGGGAATACAACGTTAATGCAAAATACAAATCACTAGAAAATAAAGCTCTTTGAAACTAATTCTGTATGTAGTATGAAAACAATTCAAAAGCATATATAACAGTAAACAGTTACAATTGTTCTTGTGAAAATGTGTTTGCAGCCTTCCATTCGGAGCTCAAGCGTTTTAGATTATAGAAGCAGCCTTAGTAGATCTGAGCATTTAATTTTATTTATTTTTTTTATTTTTTTTCTTGCGAAAAAAAACTAACTTACATAAATAAACAAATGGGAGGTCGCCACAGAAAAGTGTCCGTCCGTTGTTTAACTTCGCCTTCCATAATTTCTTGGTTTCTTACGCTCATCCGAATCACTTATTGCGTCGTAAAGCCTAAGTCATTCATGCCTTTATTGTCCAGTGCAATTTTAAGAAATGAGGCATATTGAAAGTATCACATGGAATGGATTAGCTGTAAATAACAGCGCATTATTTAACATATTCTACGGCTGAAACCCCTTTTTTTTTATTCAATTCCAGGAAGCAATGCAATGACACTAGCTCATACAATAAGGCTCAAATTCAGCCATATTTCGTGATTGATGATAATCGTAGATTACCTGGACCTTTCTGAGAGGCTGATGAGAATTATAGGAACAGATGATTGGCTCATTTGGTTTGCACTGTTTCTTCTTTTAAAGTTGATCGGGTAAAAAAAATGTTGAGCTCTCAGGAAGTGTTTCAATTTTTAAAGGGGACTAGAGCGAAAAAAGGCCACTATTGATACCTGTCCAATGGATTAAACAAATGTATTTTCGCGTATTTCAAGTAACAATTACTTTCCCCAAATGAATGGTTGATGGTAGTAGCTAAAGGTACCGTGCTGTCGACGTGTTCAGGAAGCATTATAGCTTATATATAGGATATAAGTTCTGATATTCAAAATTTTATTAAATTTCAGTTGGAGAATTATAATGCTTGTATTGATTTGGTTAGTAAAACACGAGGGTTGAAGGGCAAAGGAAACAGATAGGATTCAATTTACCCGTCTGAAAATAGAAATTTGAATAGAACTTATTTTTTTGGGTGGCATAACGACGCTCTTTCTATTAGGAAACTATATAAATACCTTACCCAAAACCTTGGAAACATTTTTTTTTTCCCTGTTTTTCTCTTTACATTTTCTTCAATCTTTCCTAATATAAGTAAAATGAAGGTCACCACTATTTCAGCCGCTCTCGTAGCTACTGTTGCCTCTGTTTCTGCTGCTGGCAATTTCACCGTACGTTACCATGAGTTATATAGTTATAAATGGCAATATTGTAGAGCAGTTTAAATGCTAATTGCAAATTGACGCGTTCCGTTTTTAAAATAATTGTGTAGATCACTGAACCCTGGGGAAACACCACTTGGGTAAGTAGATAGCTAATTGCATTTATCAAATCAAACACATGCCACTAATAATAATTATCTCAAAACTTATAGCAAGCTGGTCAAACTGGTACCGTTGCTTGGAAGTCTGACCGTGCTGTCGCTAAGGAAAAGTGTGAAATTCACTTGTTGACTGGTTCTGCTACCGATGCTACGTATGTTTACTATAATAGTATCAAGCACTCATATTTAGAGCACGCACTAATCATATGTCACTTTGCGTATATAGTTTCGTTACCAACTTCACTGCTAATGGAAACTTAGTTCCGTGTAACTTCACTAAAGCTAATGTAAGTTTAAAGCATTATATTGCTATAAATGAGGAAGAATCTGTCATAAACTACTTTCTAAAATGCGGAATTTCATTATCGTTTATTTTAATAGCTCCACCCTCTTCCTGACTATCCTTCTGGAGATTACTTTGTTCGTATCGGTCCTAATGGTGGTAATACTGACTATTACGGTTACTCTGGCACCTTCAAGTTCATTGGTAATGGTACTGTACCCATTGGTGCCACCACTGATCTTCCTGCCCAAACCACTGTTCCCATCCAAACTGCTGCTCCCACTGGTTGCGCAGTCACCGCAGCTCAACCTACTTCTGCCGCTTCTCAAACCGATGCCCCCTCTGCCGTCGATCAATCCTCTGAAGCCCAACCTACCGAGACACAAACCGCTACTGAAGCCCAACCTACTGAAGCTCAGCCCTCTGACGCTCAATCTACCGAGACTCAAACTGCTACTGAGACTCAAACCGCCACTGAACAAGCTCAGCCTACTGATGCTCAATCTACTGACGCTCAATCTACCGAGACTCAAACTGCTACTGAGACTCAAACCGCTACTGAACAAGCTCAGCCTACTGATGCTCAATCTACTGACGCTCAATCTACCGAGACTCAAACTGCTACTGAGACTCAAACCGCTACTGAACAAGCTCAGCCTACTGATGCTCAATCTTCCTCTCAACCTGTTGAGACACAAGTTGTGACCGAGACTCAAACCGCCACTGAACAAGCTCAGCCCACCGAAGGTCAAGATCAAAACCAACAACAACCTCAAGATCAAAACCAACAACAACCTCAAGATCAAAACCAACAACAACCTCAAGATCAAAACCAACAGCAGCCTCAAGATCAAAACCAACAGCAGCCTCAAGATCAAAACCAACAGCAGCCTCAAGATCAAAACCAACAGCAGCCTCAAGATCAAAACCAACAACAACCTCAAGATCAACAAAACCAACAACAACAGCAATAAATTGATTGCTACTCAATAAATATTCTTTGAATATATAAAACCGTACATAAATATATTTAATTACATATAATTATTAGTCTTACTCCCGTGTAGTTATCTTCATTACTATTGGTCAAAATAATAAAAATATAATCCTTTCACCCCCTCATGTTTTCTAATATGCACATTAACGTGAAATGCAGGGTGACTCTCAATGTATTTACCAAGTTAACTTTTACTCTTCGGGGCAAACCTGTAGTAAGGTTATTGCAAAATGATATTATAATTGCTTTTTGGTAGCATTTTTTTTTTGGCAATTGCATGACGTCAAATTTATTACATGTTTTAAGAACTTGAACGACTAACGATAATGTATGGCAAAAACGTATATTTCAAAGAGAAGGAAGGAAAACAAAATAAGAGAGAGAAAACCTATTCGAAATGTATCTCCTCTCCTTCTGATATAGTTTCTTTAAATGGAGATGTCAAAGAAACTCTTTCCAGCTCTTTTGTTATACTAGCCAAATATCTAGACTTCATGATCTCCTCATCTGTCCACCCAACAAAACCATCATTGTTAGTGATATAGCCTTCAATTTCTTCGTCGTCTTCATCTGTTTCGAGCTCATCCACTGAATCGTACCCGAGACTCGATGCACTGGATCCTACTTCAGCACAACTGTCATGACGGTGACGGTCACTCATACGTTGACCACTACCGCGCATGTGATAACGGTCGCTTCCTGAGTCATCGTCATAAAACATACCAAAAACCTCATCTTGACCTGCATCAGATGATGAAGAGGTAATGGAAGACGAAGAAGACGACTTTCTGTTATCGTTTTGGCCCTGCTTTGGAGACCACTGTTGTTGTTGCTGTTGCTGTTGTGGCATGGATGACACTGGTGGTGTAGCCAATGGATGAGCAGGTGGTGGAGATGGGTACTCTAGTGGTCGTATAGAAGGGGTATAATTTGGTGTTGAAGCCTTAGGCAATTGGGGTAAATGGGATAATGCTTGAGGATGGTTCTGAATCTTTGTCAACAAGGTCTCCCTTCTCGGATGACGGGTTGCATTAGACTCCACAACTGCAAATGATTTTTGGCGTTCTCTCTTATTCCAATGCAAACAATTTTGAAGTGAATTGAACCAATCTGTAGCTTGATCTTCTTTACATACTGTAGGGAAAGGATATCTCGAGGCTGTTACCTTAATATGATCACCTTCTAAAAAAATGGCAAGCACAAAATAATGTTAGTTTGCAGTTCACTAATTCTTAGCCAAAACTTCAAACATTGTATACATACGCTTCAACTCTACTCTGCCACGTCCGTCGAAGCTTGCCCAAGCAGTATTTCTGGAATTGTAGGGTACGCAAATACGCAATTCCATTGAGTCAGGAACAAGCGTTGGACGGAATGATAACGTGTGAGGACAAATGGGTGTTATAAGAATTGCATGAATGTCAGGGTGTGTAAGAGAACCGCCAGCTGATAGCTATTATTATACATGACGCTGTTTTTCAGCAACCAAAGCTGCATGATTTGTTCTACGTTCATTTGCTTACCGAATATGCTGTGCTTCCCGTGGGCGTAGAGATAGCCAAACCATCTGCTTGTACGGTTGTTAAATGTTTATCGTCTCCAAAAAGTTCAAGTAAGCTCACATAAGGACTAGGTCCGCGATCCACGACTAAATCGTTGATAACGTGGTATTTCTCAACGGGTACCGTCGTGAAACAGGGTACTTGTCGCCGCTCGCCTACGGGAGCTGGCGGCATAGCTGTAGCTGCAATTTCCTGACACGTTTCACTCCAAACAGCCGCGTCTTCTTCTTCAATATCGTCCCCATCCACTTCGCCAAATTTTTTCTGTTTATTGCTAATTTTCATTGCCTCCTGGGTTCGCTGACATTGCTGGTTTTTCATTTCCTGACACCAATTGCCAACAGTAAATTTACCTGTAACAGGATCGCGTACCACATTACGAAGTTGAATTGTCTTAGCTTCTTCAGGTGATTTACAATCAGGATGAGGGACTCGACGGTATACAGTACATGTCAATCGACCCCGTAAATTGATACGAACACCAGATTCCATTGCGTTATGCAAGTGTTGTCGATAACGATCAAAATCAAACGGTGTTAAAAATCCCAAGGAGCCCAAATGAAAAGGTATAACAGGAGGAATATAGTTTTGAAATAACCAAGATGAGAATAATACTGTTCCATCGCCGCCAAGCTGAACATGCGTTCAGGAAGGAAGAAAATGATATGATCAGTTGTTTGTATTCTAATGGAAATATCTCTAAGCAGAAAAGAAAGCAACTGTTGTGGGCATACCGTTATAATAAAGTCAAATGATTTGGGTTTTGCAGCGCACAACTCGGGAGTCCAAAACTTCAATTTAGTTTTTGCAACTGGATGCTTATTAATTATCTTCTCGTAGTTGAACCGTTTTGAGCACTTTAACTTCTCATCGACATAGCTGAATTTAAGTCCGAATTTAGAGATGCGGTTAAAAAATTAAGCCTGCATAAAAAGAGAAATTCTGTCTTGAATGTCTTACCATGTTATACCACTGTCTGAACCATAACGAGGCGTCTCGATTAGATACAAAGCCATTTCTCGAGTCATTTTTATGAGTGAACAATCGCCTGGTTTTGTGATAATCATGACAGACTTTGGATTTTCCCACTTCACTCGTGTTTTGCCTTGATTTTTGCATTATAATTGACATAGTCATTAGTAGGCGAGGAAGTTGATAATAAAAGTAATCTTATTGATGCACTTGTTTCTTTTTTACCTAATTTTTTGCCGACCTCTCTAACAGCATCGGCTGTATCTGTCAAATACGAAGTGTCTTGCGATCGGGGTATTGTCTTCACAGCAGACGATCTCCTTCCTTGTGAGCAGTTCTGCGCCAAAGCTGTTAGTGCGTCGACTAGCGCACTGCAAGAAATATTGACGGGTTCCATTACAGCCTAAGTATATTGTGTTATGTACGATATAAATAAAATATAACAAAGAATTATGCAATAAGTAAAGAAGAAAAACAAAAATGAAGAGGTAGTTGCCTTGAGGAAGCTTTGACGAATTAAATTGTCGAAACGTCACACTCAGGTTTTGAGTTCAAAAAATTGGAGAAGAAAAAAAATGGAGCGGGGAAATTACCTTCAGTTGTATCCCTGGGCATTCTAAGTCGTACAGGGCATTCAACCCACCACTCAGACATGTCAACCATCCAAGGTCGCGATAGTCAAGAAAGAAGAAAAGCTCACTCATCAGGTATTTATTGTGACCCCATGCATAATGACGATATTTATTACACTACTTGATATCACTTCAAAAGTTGTAGTTCGTTATTTTATCATTGCTAGTGAGCTGGAAGCACTTTCAACTAGACTCATTATATCACTCTGCCTCATTTAACCTCAGTACGCGAGGCTCAATGAAGGCTCATATTAAAGAAGCGGCAAGCTTGTTCACAGTAACCACTTAGAATTGTTTATCCATTGGATTTATCCTTGATATACTTATTGATATTACTGCTTAAAATCATTGTAATTGGCTAAGGCATAATCAGTCGTCGGTTTTTTACCCATCAGCTAATGGTTTTATGCATTCTACACAACTATATAGTTGTATTATAATGAACACTAGTACTAGCTTCAAATATTCAATTGCCAAACCATTTCAGCCAGAAGCCACGGTGAAACAGCCTTAGAAGAAAGACAGTAATATCAGTATATAGTAATTTATGAAAACTGATGAGTCAATCATTATGCAATTGCTATTTTTTTAACTGTTTATTCCAAGTTATCAATTTTTGCATCCCAGTTTAATCATACAATCTGTCTTTTTTTGTCTACTCCATGCTTCCAGTTTGGAGGAGGAAGAAAAAGACCTCATTATCACACCAAAAGCAAGGGCGTTTTTTAGTTTTAATGTTAAAAGGTATATTTTATTATGAACGGTTTTATTAATTGACCACTCGTAAACACAAGCTGTTCATCCACGGTAAAATGAACGACACTAGGACGATATTATTTCATTGAATAATAGTGGTATTGTAAGTTTATGTAATTAATCGCTTTAGATAGATTGACAAGGGCTAAAAGGCCAACTCTGTTAACAAATCATTGGCTATTGCATCTTCAAGCTGTTCTCATTGCTGATCAAAAAAGACCACCTGCCAATATAAAATTGATGAACGGACCCTTTTGTTTTTAGAAGAAACAGTTTGGGTTGTTTGAAATTAAAAAGTTGAATTAAGATTATCTCCTTTTACGGTAAATTCGTTTAGTCGATGATTTTTCTCCCGAGCTGTGATTGCCAACTTTGCGTACCAGCCAGTAAATTTCGTATAGCAATTTTTTAATTCTTTGTATGGGTCTTGTGAACTGTGCTTGATACATCTAACACAAGCTATCAACATCTAATATTGGCCAGATTAGCGTATCTGCCTCAGTTGTTTATGTACAAAAACCATTCAATACGCAGACCTCATTCTGAGTTTGTACCTAAACTACTCTTTATAGACCTTTTCGTAGACAATCATCCATATTATTACTAGCTGATTAAGAGCTAAACATAGTAGCAGATTCATTAAACGAGCAAGGACTGCTGGTTTGTTCAAATGGTCAATGTGTTTGAAAAAAAATTCTTTTTAATGAATTTTTATCCCATCAAAAGATTGTTGCAAGCATAAGTGAAAGAGACTTACTGCCTCGTACAGTTTGTCCCTCATTTTCTTTGACGCAGAAGCTTTGAAAATTTCTATACATTGCTTGGATTGTATGCAGCCGTTGTTCTGGACCTCTATCATATGCATACGTATACAATTGAAGCCACTCACGTCCACTGTCTTCGTTACGCTTACAAACTTCAACGGTAAGCATTACATTACCATTCTGTTTCACTGCTATTTTTGGATGATGCGCATTTTCAAATGAATGGAACATGGAAGAGATAATCTGTTTGCAGCTATATGCGTAATTAAGAAACGGACATCTTAAGACAGCTGTAAAAGCTAGACGTAGTCGTGGCGATGGTTCGTCGAGAGGTGATATGATATTGCTTTAGTTTGCGTACAACGGAATAGGAAAGAAGAACTGTGAATTGTAACGGTCAATTTAAGACTGCTAGGATAAGTGAACCATTTAAGAATTGGCAGCAAGGCGAAAACCTTTCTGAGGCTTCCCTTTTTCTAATTTCTATGTGTAGTCCCGCGGTTGGTTGTTGCTATAATGAATGTTCAATTTTACAAATTTGAACAAAGTTGGGTCAACGCGTTCAGGTTTTGCAAGCATGTATATTTGCCGACATAATACAACGGAGAAAAAAGAGTCTAGAACCCAACCAACAGTTTCCAATCAAAGTGCGTCTTTTGGTTATAAGCATTTGGAGATCCTGTAGCTGAATGGAGTTATGTAGTAAATGGACACGTTATTGATCACAAAATTTGGAAGATATCAAAGGCATTTAGAATGATTCTTCAGTCTTGCAAGCGCCTTGAAATTCTCAATGTTATTCAAAGGAGCGCACCTGTTTTAGTAATCATGATAGCACACAGTGGCAGCGTTTAAATAGGTTTTTTAAAATTACACAACTACCGTTGCCTCGGAGAGCTGCGATAAGCTACGAACGTCGTGATTAACTGATTGCAATGCCGAATAAAAACATACCTGCCTAATTATCTGCTGCAGCTAATCCAAGAAAATGGATATCAGGGTCATATTTCAAAAGTTTTTGCAATATTGGTGCCTGGGAGTTTGCTCTTCCAAAGTAGCTTTTATCTTTAGTTTTCAACGCATATTTTATCTTCTAAGCTATTTTGACGAAAGCGGTCCACGAAAGCGGTTCACAAAAGCGTCCGACTCGACAATAAAGTTTTATATAAAAACAGATTGCACGCTACGATGAGTAAACGATGTATGGAAGCAAAAACTACATGTGTTATCCTTATATCATCTTCACACCCGAGAAAAGGAAACGGAGGGGGATTGAAGATTTTTTTACGTCATTGTTTTTAACTTGCATTAGAGATAGAGTCATTTTAGTGACAAGAATACATCGTTTTGATTTCTGAAATAGTTCAGATAGTTACTGCATTAGAAGTTTGTGTAATAAGCAATCGCGTGTTTTTTGTTTTTTTTTGGGGCGGGGGGTGGGGGGGGTGGGGGTTACTACGATTAAACATGATTTTTATTATACAATTTTAAAGCCAATGGGCACACAGATGAACTACTTATCAGAAAAATGCCCTGGGCAGGTCAAATACGTGAGGAATTAAAAAACCCTAAAAGGGACTAGGGAAAAAAAAGGATAAGGGATCACAATGCAGACTAGGTAAAAACGGGACAGCCAAGAAATGATGGGAGTGGACGCATAAAGCCAGTCTAGCAAGGGTTGTCCTAAAGTTTCTGACGGGTAGGGGGCATTTTCTCGTGCTGAAGAAAATCGATTTCATAAAGAAGCATTTAGACAATTGGCCAAGATATACTCCAGTTGACTGGGGCATTGGCACGCTGTTTTATGGGTCGAGTAGAGTTGGTTCAGCAAATGAAAAATGGGGTCAACGACGGTTGTCGGAAGTTGCAGACGGTTATGCATTTGTAGGCATTCAATGGCGTGGGCTTTAGTGAGAAAACTGGATATTTTTATTGACTTAATTCAAATAACCTGAATCATTATTTTCGGACTACTTACTTTTTACATTTGGACACTTGTAGTAAACATCTGAGGCCCGCCTCTTTTTGCACGCATTTGTTGCAGTAAGTTTCGTTGTTTGATCGGCCCAGAAGAATTACCTACATTCTCCTTAGCTGCCATTTGAACTGGTTGTCCAGTTGTATTCTATGTAAATGGCTCACAATCCTGTATTCTCATTGACTGCTCAGCATCTCTTTTGATCTAAAATCGTGTCACTTTAGTGTCATTTTTCCCTTAAAGAAAGCAATAACAATAGGTGATTGTATAAATTAAGTTAAACGCCTGTTTCTTGTCAATAACTGATGAAGTGATAAATAAGCGTGTCTCGATTAATAAACGTGTTTCGATTTGATGTCAAAATTTAGCGCGTCTAGATTGTTTTTGTTGTCAAAACTGCTTTGTTGTCCAAATAACATTCTAACAAAAAGTTTGAGTTTCGTTGATACCTTTTCCTCTTTTTCATAGAATCTCGTTATTTTATTTAAAGAATAAATCAAAGAAGAGTTAACAGTGGGCCATCAGGTAGATTAAAATAAGATCTCATCACGAGCTACTCACAACGACTGTACTGTACATATTTTGTTTGTAACTGAGTGTTTGTATCTTTTGAGTAGCTTTTTTATCATGCCGTCAAGAGAAGCAAAAGTTTACCTTGAAGCAAAGTTGAAGAAAAAGCATCAAGAAAATAAAGAAAGTCAGTTCATTATTGCTGTATTTTGTTTACTATTCGTTTATGTACTCAAACAGAATCGTTGAACCATTGATTTCTAGAAACACGTTTTGATTGCGGACAGGAAGGACATGCCCATAAGGGCTCATACTTGTGTCCAGAATATAATGGTAGCAGATAGCTGAAGAGCTAATATTTCCTGTTCATTTTCACTGATATTCTGTTCATACGCTTTTCTAGCCAAGAAGCGAAAGTTCGGAAAAGACAGCTACGAAACAAAGCAATTGCTAAAGAGAAGGGCAAAAAGAGAAGGCTAGAAGCGAAAAAAGCATCGCCATTGAATACTGTCATATGCAAGCACTGTGGTCTAAGTGGTCACTCAACCAAAGCTTTCCTTTGCTTGCCAACAACATATCACTACTAAATCGAAGCTCCTTCGAACAAACTATTCAGATAAGTATGAGCTTTACGCTCGGAAACTGCCCCTTGTAACCTACGTTACGCGTTTAGGTGAAGTTGTTATTAACTGCTGCTTGACGGTGCTACATACTCAAACAAGGTAAAAATACTGTGCCAAAGCACAGAATAGCTAACCTGTTTGAGTAAGAGTAAGTCGCACAATTTGGCATTGAGCATTTTGACAGAAAAGGTACGATCCGGAAAACTATACTTTTCATCCAAAATAATTCTTAAAATAGTCTGAATTCTAATTGTAAGATAGTCTCAATTTGATAGCCATTTCGTGCGAAAGTCAAGCGAGAAAACAGTATCGTTAGGAAATCTTTCCTTTTTCCTTTGTCCCGTTAAAGGTTTTTTAATTCCCTCACACTTTCCTTGAACCTCCCCGGGCAATTTTGATAAGTATTTATCTGTGTGCTCATTGGGTAAAGTTTAATTGTTATAAAATATCTCTTTAAACGTATCGTTAGGAAACCCCACGCACTATCAAGAAACTTGAAGCCTGCCAAAATAATTGTATTCGTCGAATATATGGAGGGCCCACCAGGTTCGCTGTTAATGTGATGCTCCACCTGACTAATCTACGCACAATGCAGGAACGTGTTGCTACCCTACAAGCTCAATTTATATTTCGAGCCCGCTACCTCCCCTCATCCACTTTATTAAGCACTCTCATGCCCCATCTACAATATTCCCGTTTCAAAACCCATTGGCGCAAATTCCTGAAGACACCTTTATATAACAATGCACTTCGACCAGTTCAGAACCAACAACAATCAGTGAATTTCGCAAGCTAAGATCTGAGTATTTCCAAAACAATATGGAACAACGTCAATTGGGAACTAAACTACTATCTACATGTCGCAATAAATGCCAGATTGATCCAATCCTATGGCTACCCATGTCCTTTAGTGAGCGTAGCCGGATGATTCGATGACGCCTTGGTTGGCTACCTGGTGGCCTTCCACAATCCTGCCCACGACATCCGTCCTACACCCTCTCACGATCCCATGCTATAACTTGTCTCAACATGCACGACCGTCTGTTCGTCCCTACCACCATCCCTGATCGTATGTCATTCTTACTAAATATGCCCACTACAAGTAAGCCCGTCGTACCCACATAATTGCTACTTGGAGTAGATGATGGCCTGTAAGGTGCTCGATTCTTATTGAATTAGATCACTTACAACATCGTCTTGACCCCCCACTACTTTTAGATCATTTCCCCGGTCAACAATTTATAGACTGGTTGTTATCATAGCTGTTATTTATTTGACTGTTACCTTCTCCCTCTTCCTTTTCCTTTTCTTTTTACCCTTTTGTCTCTTAAAAGGGTTTTTAGTTCTATACAACCACTGGAACTGGCCAGAGCAGACCCAATGTGCTAAAGGCATTACGAGCTCACAGGTCATTAAATATTTTATCCAATAAAATGAATTATTTAACCGTACCGTTAGGAAGAACATATTATGTTGAAAAAAGCGTTTCTGATACAAATAACAATTGATATTATGTTGAGGAAGACGTTGAAGCATAACGTTTATAAATAATGTGGCAAAAACTGAAAATAAAGAATCCAAGTATTTGTCTACTTTAGTAATTAAAGAAATTAAATAAATATTAAAGCTAATGATGTAATTATGTTCTTTTTGTAATTGATAAAATAAAATAGTGTGTATATACATAGCTTGCAATGCTTTAAATAGCCGAGTGGAGGGTAAGTATGTAAGAAGTATTAAATAGTGATCGCTATTACTGATGAAATAGATATGAGGAAAGATACGACGACTTAAAAAGGGCTCTGTGGTTATGTATGAACGGTCTTCAACTTAGTGAAGCTGCTGCCGGTGTACGAGGTGTAATGGGGAGAAGGAAATCATTGCTATTGTCCTCATCTTCCTGGTCTTTACCGTACTGGGATAAATCAATTCTGTGCTTGAAATGGTTTGTTGACAATTTCGTTAAAAATAGAGGACCGCCAGGGCAGAGACTTGTATCCACGGTAAGTTTGGGCTTTTTCTTTCTATGGTTGTTGGTGTTGAGAGATAAAGAATGTGCAGGTGTCGGCGCTTCTTCTGTATCTGGGCTGCTCGCTTCGGAATCACAAGGTGAAGAGGGAATCTCTACTGAAAGCAGTGTTGTTTTGGGTATCAAAGTAGTATTTTTCGATGCTCTTTCTGCTGCTGCAAGAATGGCAGGATTGATTCTATATTGTATTGGTGTTGTAAACAATGAGCCACGATCATAATCTGACGGTGAATAGGTGTCTATTATGACTGTATGTTCGATATCGAATCTGACAGTTTTCTCAGTTCTCTTTCTTTTACGAAGTAAGACGGTTGTTTGTTGCAGTAAGCATGATTGAATAGCATTGGCTGTATCATCCTTTTGAGTCATAGTGGTGGTATGATAACTGTTGAGGAAGAAATATTTCATAAAATAGAATGATAAAAAGAGGAAGCTATTTCTATTTTGATAGCACAGAAGAAAAAAATCGTTGTATATTTATATGAGTTTTTCAATTTTCATAGTCAGTTAAAACAGCTTTATTGACACAGTTTAAAAATAGTAGCAAAAGCGCTTATTTTTGTACCAGACATGCAATTCAAAAAGGAAGATACAAGATATCTTGTGTGCTTGTCTCACGTGCTTTTTCTTTTTTTAAGAAAAGGGTTACCCCTTTTAAGCATTCAATTTTTTTTTGAATGCCCGTTTTAAGGTTCGTTTTTCGAGTGCAAGAAGTCTGGACCGCTTATGTTCGAAAAGCCTTACAGTACTTCCAAAATTAAGGTATCGCATTATTTTTCTACTGCAGTCAAGTACAATAGAGCATCTTGTTGAATAATCTGCAATTGATAGATTGAATTATATAAGATGTAATTGAATTGGAAATTGTACTCGCATGTCATATTTGCAATATACCATGTAAGCATCATTGTTGGTAAAAAGGCATGAAAACGCGTAAAAGCAGACTTTGAAATCCTAAGTAGAATTGTTGGGAATCAATTCATTTACCATCTATCAGCGTTTTTCTCTTCTTATTATGGGGTTACTATTCCCCGTACAACTATGGTTCACAGAAAGACCATCTATGTTTTGCATAAAAGAGTTAACAAGTAATCGAAAGGATTCCAATTTTTGTAAATCAACGTGTCTAATCAGATAAGCGGACTTGCTATCTTTTCTCTCTTTTAAACAAGTCTCAAATGTCTTCGTTCTTTTTATGTTAACTGTCAAAATAAAAAGAAAAGCAAGCAAGTGAGTCTCGTACAGTTGATATCGTACTAGTTTATACTGTGGTTAACACCATCCGGTCGATCTCATTAGTGTAATAGACGGTTTTTTGGATTTCCTATTATCCATTAGTAATGATACGCATCTAACGTTATATTGCGTAAGGAGCCTTCGTAACTGTTGTATCAGAGATTAAAAAAGTATAGCGGCGCCTGTATATCCGACACTGTTAAAAGTTTGAGGTTAATCTGCGCATTACTATTTGAGGATTTAGTAGAATACTCAGTTTGCAGCAAGCTGAAAGAAATCCGAACATAAACACTCTCTTTGCTGAGCAATTGCTGAATATTCATACAGCATAAACGGGAAAAATAAATGATCGATGATAAGGAATGTATACGGTAGATATAGTCAAATTTTATTGTCACTCTGAAAGATTTATGAAGTAATGTGTTGTTCACAAAGAAAGATATAGAACTATTAAGTATTTTTATCCGTATTTTCTTGTTCCTCAAAATGCACCAAAGAAGTTTAAAAGGCTTTTTTTCTTAAAATAGAATAGGCATACAGCTACATGGTCGGCCCTGCCCTCTGGCTGTTGTGCTACCTCTAAAAGCATCATTCACTTGATTGCAGCATTCCGTTATCGAGGAAAAACATGGATTGTCCATTTCTACTGGAAAAATGTGATATGTTGTAGACTATTTTTTTTTTCGACAAAAAACCCAAGCATGTTCTCCTTTTGACATGACTGAAAAACTCATTGAGAAGGATCGTGAAGCAATCTTCCTCAATTTGGTGCGGAGCTCTATAGAATTTTGGTGGGGTAAAGAGTATATACTTATCAGAGAATTGGTCAAAGCGCCAGTAAATTGCCATCCACTCTCCTACAATATGGATTTGATAAGCTAACTATGTAATGCAACATTATCACATCTTTTACATGGTTTTGGTAGTGGTTGCTTTATTATGCTGAATAAAAAGTACTATTACACGATAGATGGGTAAGAAAATTGGAAAAAAGTAATCGTTCTGATGAACAAATTAAATATTTAGTTGGTTCATCATAAAGCAATAGAAGTTATTTAGAATTCATCATGTCGTCGGTAACCGCCAACACCAGGCATAGGTGGTTGACCAAAACCTTCACCATGACCATGTTCATGAGAGTTAATGTGTGGGTGACCGAATCCTTGTCCAACGGGACCATTGGGATTGCCATTATAAGCTGTTGTGTCAGCATAAATTTGAGGTTGTTGAGGTTGAGGTTGATGTTGTTGTTGTTGTTGATTACCGTACATAGGATATTGGTGTTCTTCGCCGTTGCCGCGAAGAGGAGGACCATAAGGCTCAACAATCCACTGTTGGTTCTCATTGTCATCGGAATCCTTACGAGTGTATAAACAAATTCTGGTACCTTCCTTATGTCCACCACCTCTTATATCCAAAACGAGACGGGGATCGGCTAAACAGTAAATGTACCCATCACGATAGCCCCATCTTTGGTTGTGAGCTCTATCAAATTAAGAATTGAAATTTGTTCGTTTTATTTTGGTCAGTTATCTTTTTTTGAAAGCGAAACGACTGATAACCCCTTTTATATTCATTCCTATATACTTACTGAGTCATTTTGCGGTCATACTGGACAATATAACTATCGGACAAAAGATTACCACCACGAATATCCATAACTATTTGACAGCAGCGTTAAGAATTGCCTTATTTAACCTTTTACACATTCTTCCTGCAATTTCTTCTGCTTTAATACTAATATTAAGAATATTAACCTACCCAACCCAGACTTCTTGTTGATCAAGTAGCCATTTTCCCAGCGCCAAAGCTAACAATTTCAGAATAACCCAGAAAATTTGTTGGGAAACATTTACGAAACACGTCAACAAAGGTGATAGTAGCTTTATAATTGCTTACCTGATTGTCGTTATCATCACCACCTTTCTAATGACGTTCCAAGGAATAGAATGATATCAATTTTGATACCGTGATTCAATGACTGCATAGCGTCACTCTTATCTATCTTACCTTGGGCCAAATGATAATGTTAGAGTCGGCCTAAATATGAAAAAGAGATTATGCAACATTAAAGGTTTATTCAAATAGGTTGAAAGACTCTCTGTTGACCGGTTACAGTTGTTTCGCCCATATAAACGTCAATACAAGCATTGCCACTCTTGGACTTAATATAGAAGAATTGATTTGTAGGGAAGCCAGTCATCTTTTTACCAGTTGTAGATTGAAAGTAACGGAAAAGAAAAAAGAAATAAACACTAATAGACCTCAGCAATTTTTTTTATTAGTATCATGCGGACTATTTTACTGGGTGTCTTCTGTCATGAAGGGCGGTGCTCCCATCTGAATGCGAACTTTATCCAAAAACTCAACAAAAATTAAACTTTTCCAAGCCTGCAAGGAAGATAGAGAAGCCTGAACTGATGATTAATGTGTGTGTGTATAGCTGAGAGCAATTATCTATAAGATGTTTAGTTTCAGTTTCATCGAGTTGTAGAAGTTTGACCAAGATAGGAATCATGATCTAACCATGATACAATTATTTCAGTAACGGTTCCTTTATAAACGTCTTATCTCCATATAAAATTTACCTGCTTATTTTCAGTGACCAAAACTTGATCAAGACATTTTTCAGATACTAACATTCACATTTTGTCCTTTGTCAAAAGCATCGAGGTTTCTTCAAATAATATTAGTGTTAAATGTCAAAAAAGAATTAATAAGGTCAGTTCCTACTTCATTTCACTTTTGAGGGCCTGCAAACAACGAACTTGATATTTGGCTTTTCATCTGACATTAAAATTGAAGGATTTCCATTTCACTTTCTCTCTGTAGATATTGGAAGTTATCATCCGTAGCTAGTTTTTGTCGTGAAAAGGCAGGTGAGAGTAACGACTTCACAGAAGCTAAGTGGTAGGAGCGAAGTATCAATTGCTGTTGTCTCTAAAATTTATCTGCAAAAAGCTTTGTTCGTTTCAACTTTACCATAAATATCCGTATCATTACTTTTTATTGCAGTAGCTGTCAGCGGGTATACTTTTTTTCCCTGCCACGACGATGATAGAGCTGACAACGGAACGTCGGTTCCTCATTGAAGTTATTGGGAACCTTCATGAATATGTATTTCTCTGGAAAAGACACTGCTAGTCTCTCAATATCACTTATCTTACTGTTGACTAACTGTTTCTTAAGCTCAGACTTTTCTGTTTCCAACTCCTCATTCCTCACCGTTGCACCATCCAATTCTTCTACTGTACCATACATTTGATAAGTAATGCAAGTAATAGATTCATTTCTCTGATCAGCAACGTCAAGATTATTTTCCAGCAATTTGCCGTATTTAGCCTTTAGAGCATCGTACTTTTGTGATACTTTATCCATTGACTCTACCATTGATTGTAGCCCTGAAATAAATGTATAATAAGTTTTAGTACTTAAATGAAATTAGATATGTATATAAATACTTTACTCTTATTGAAGTCTTCATTGTTTTTCAGCTGCATAATTGATGATGCCTCCTTTTCACGCAAGCCGTTCGTTAATAAACTCTGTGTTGCTTCCAGTTCATAAATACGGTTTAAAGCTCGTTCCAGATCATTCTATGTAAATGTAAGTTGTTCCATACTCGTTTTTTCTCATGGATATAGGTATTTAAATTGCACAAAACTGTTCAGGAGAGCTTGTCCTTGTAGAGTTCACTAAAATATGTTTTACCTCTTCTCTGATTGCATTAGCTGCACAAGTGTTTCTAGCTCATCTGTTCTTTCTGAATTAGCTGGCTTCTTTTGTTCATTCTCATTCATCTCTAACAGCATATGTGCACGCTTCTTATATCGTCCAAAAATTTCTTCTACTTGCTCTAACTGTCCAGCTAATTGCCTTTTTTTCGTTTCAAGCTGCCGTATCTGTGATATATTTCGACTTTCTATGCTTTATTTTTCGACGTTCATTTTATCGATAATTACTATTTGAATTAAGCATGATTAGCAATTTTCGAATAATTAGGTATAGTGGAAAGTTTGGTTTATCCTTTATTCTTATTTTATTTTTTTACATTGCTGTGATTCTACATTCTGCTGAGCTACTTTTCCTCTTGTTTGACATTCCTCTAAGTTAGCTCTCAATTTTTCCAATTCTGTTTGGTTTGGGGTGATAGTAGTACGATATTAGTCAATATTTTTTGAAGCCTGACCAAACACCTCTAGAGAGATCAGATACTATCTTAATTAGATAAATCGTATATATCTGTGTTATGGAATTGCACAAGAAATGTGTTACCCCTCATTCGCTTTACTTTATCTTCATATTCAGCTATAAATAAAGTAATCTAAGAAACTACTCTTTTGGTCCCTTTATCTATCCATAGCAATAATGTATATTGCTTTACTTGTTTTTCAAGTATAATGTTTTTGTGACTGGTTACAGTTCGCTTGTTGATGTTTCAGCTGATATCTGAGATCTTTAATCTGTTCCTGTAACTGATAAGTTCAGTTTATCTCGCTCACCAAACAGTGAGGAAGCTGAGTCTGCAAGAGAAATTATCTATAATCTATTAGATTGATGACTGATGCTATACAATGAGATTGCTAGACAATAAGTTTACTTTTGCGCGAGTTCGAATTAATAATAATTCTCGTTCTAGACTTTCCACTTGTTTTTCAGCCCTTAAGGCTCGTTCTTTATTGAACTCTGTCATTGTCTGTTAGAGATGTCGATCGATCAATACTTAGGAAGCGACGCAAGAACTATTCAGGAACACAGAACATCCAAAAACTTAAAAACTTCACTTTTCCCCTACTTTATTAATTATGCAGGACTAAAATTGATTTTATACAGTAACAAGGCAGCTTTACTCTAACATCTCTCAAGAATGCTGTTTCCATAAGCACTAAAAAACAGATCATTCTATTGTGTACCTTTACTATGTTACAAATCTATCTCCTCAATACTAGCTGCTAGCGCATATATATATGGAGAGAACCTGAAGCAAAATTCTCATTTAATTACCTGTTCTCTGAACTGGTTAAGTTTGTGTGATCTTTTTGATCAATGCTCGTTTCATAAACTGCTCTCTAGAAAGCGTTCGCGTATACTATCAGCATTATTTGAACAAGTAAATAATGAAGTCAGTAAAAAAGAATATAGTCCGTTATTTCGATGAAAGCTTACCTTCATAAATGTAGCCAAGTTTATTCTTTCAGAATTAAGTGCTTTTCCCAAAAAGTAAACAGTATCTGATATTGCATTATCATCCGCTACCAATTCAAGCAACCTAAGTCATTTATTTCAATTCCTGTTAATTGGTGCCTTTTAACAATTACTATATAACTCAATTATGAACTTACTGATTTGCTACAACTGTTGTACCGCATATAGCTTCATCTATTTGCACATCTGGCATCGCATTCACTTTAGCTATCACGTCATCTATTTCTTTTGATCTCGCTTCCAACACCATATTGTTATACTTTAGTCGTTCCCTTAAATCACACAGAGTTCGATATTCTTGCTCAATGCTTATCTCGCCTTCATTCAACTGTCGATTTTCTGCTAATAACTTGTCCATTTCTCCAGAAATTGACACACCGTATTGTTGTAATCTTTCTGTTACTTTTCTATATAAAGCTTCTTGGCTACTGATACTTTTAGTGTTACTGTTATTGATTAAGAATGTTCCTGTCCTTCCAGATGAATATGTTGGTAGGTTCGAGTAAGGAGCGGCTGCTATGATAGGAAGTGAGGCGGATTTTGATATGTTGTTTTGCGAATTATCAAGATTTAATGACTAGCAACCAACAAAATTATTATTAGAATGATGTGTAAACACTCCCTAATGCGAAAAAGTCAAAAAAAAAGACTATCCGCATTGCCATTGATTCACTTACAGCTAACCCTTGATTTATATTGTACAATGTTGTACTATCCATCATTCCATTATCCGGCGAGGCATGTGCTGTTGCTGGACTACTGCCATTCACAGATGGTGAAGGCATTGATAGTCGCTGTGACGCCAGCCGATCTAATTGCCCATCATATTGTAATATTGGTTGTATTTGCGTCAATCTGTTGGCTCCTGCTCCTGCGCCCGTTACTGCTGATGATGTGCTTATCGGTTTAGCATATACTGGCGGTTCTTGAGCGAATACTTGTTGTAATATAGCTACAAGTTCCAATAGTGTATGCTTCTGTCGTAAAATTACACAGAAAACATCAATATAATTAAAAAAGAAAAGCTATGAAGATTATCTGTTTTATCTTACCTGATCGTCCGACCAGGTTGATCTATAATGGTGATAACACATGCCGCTTTTGTCCACATGTCTACCTTCTCTTATTAACATATTGGCTGTCGGTTTTACGTATGGTATAGGTGCAATTTTAGGATATTCTTTAGGAATCCAAAATGCAACGGGGATATTGTACGGTATGGATCGGTATGTTATAGGAACAGTACCATGCAAACATAGCAGGAGCTGTGTATGGCCTTCATTTGAGGCTTGTTTCATAATATTTAGAGGTGAGGTAAGTGTTAAAGTGTTTGTTCTTTTTCCTCAGTTCTAATGCGAATATATGAACATATACGTACTGTAAGTGTCCATTTTGGGCTTTAATGACAAATACATTTGAAGCACTGCATCAACATCTCGAAAAGTTCGTTCTGGGTTTTGATACTATTATTGAAGGGAAGAAATGTCCAACAATTTGCTAAATATGAATGCTTAGAATAACCAAAATGTTGAGCGTCCAGACTCACATGTTGGAGAACAGTTCTTAACCAGCTTTTTATATCCATACAAAGAAATGTTATCAATGACAATTGTAGAAAAAGAAAATCGTATAGTTCATTTCTAGCCTTTTCTGTAAGCCCTTTTTTCCCAGTGAAAGTGTGGTTGAAGAGGCACACGAAATGTAGTATGATGCGGAATATGAAACGCGGAGAGGATGGAAGAGAAAGTGCCCTGCGCTGTTTTGAAAGAGCAGGTTTGCATGAATCTCGCTTTCAAGCACTTTTAAATTGAATCAAACTGCAAGGACTTTGCGAAGTATTTAAGGAATACACTTAATAGTTTATCTACTTATAGCTATTTTGAGTAAATATTATACGCTGAAAGATCTTAAATCCTTTCAACAAGCTGAGGGCTTTGAAGGCATCAATTTTCACTGTATATTGATGGAAATAGCCTACAATTCAACTAAAGTTCAGTGAAATATGATTCAATATAAAAAATATCAACTGAATTATCGTATTTCATAGTGAAAAAAAGATAATAAGTTATACTGTCAATGAAGGTTAGCATATATAATGTTTCCTCCACTTTTGAAATTGTACACTTTTCTGAATTACCAATGGATTCAGAAGTCAACAGGATAAATTAAGAGCAGAATTGAACTTTTTTTTTTTTTTTTGTTTTTTTTGTGCTAAACACAAAGGTTTCTAAACATATATAAACTGGCTATTACTTAATCGATGATATCTATTCACTCATTGAAGTACCGCGTTTCCTGGCAATCAACGACTATGACGGTGAATCAACTGCAGACATTTTTTGATGTATGCCTATGAGCCAATGTCAATCCTAAGATTATTATAAACATTAAAGAAAAGAGGATCGATTTTGTAAATTACAAGCTTTGCTATTTGATGATCTGTTGGGTCGAAGAATGTGAAGAATAGTGGTAAAAACCAAATGCATCCTTATAGTTTCCTTTTGAGAAAGCGCAAATCATAGTCTTACAACGGATCTAAGTTTCGGCATTAGAAAGCATCGTTCCTGCCGATGACTTAAAAGGGAAAGAGAATGATATTTAGGAGAAGTAGTACCCATTGTGTATAGCATTTAAGCACAAAAATGCTGGTAGGCTTCACTGATTTCTAGTGGGATTAGTGCTTCCAGTTTGCCATCAACTTGCGTGGAATCAAACATCTATTGCTGTGTATGAATACTTTAGCTGCGAAAGAGCAGTCTTTCAATAGGAGATAGATTTTCATAACTTCTAGATTGCAAGTACACCAAAAGTACACCGAAAGTACAGCGAAAGTACACCTAGAGTACACTTTTAAAAGTATATAAGGACGTTCATTTTTCTGACTTTCCGCTTCTTTTTTTCTTCACTTAGAAATCAGCTCAATACAGATATTGCAGTAGCTTTGATTCGTAACTGGTATCCTCTGTTTAGATGGCCTAGCAGTCCTATCGTTCGATGATGACCGTTCTATTCATGTGTAATTCTGGTTGTCACCGCGCTAGCCGAACGGGTACGTATCGAGTCTCGAGGTTGGTATGCGATGGCTATCGCGCCAATCAGCCCCATGGACGGCCATGTTGATGTCTCTCCTCGTGTGGCTGCCTGGGCAATTACTCTCCGAGAGTAGGCTAGAACATCAACAATTTTTTTCTTAGCTAATGGATAACGAAACAATTCGGTTACGTTAATTTACTATACGTCGACTTTTTTGAAATAGTTAAAAGGACAGTAACAATAACTGTCAGTATGTAGATATAGCAGAAAACCCTAAAGCTAAAACTCACATAAACTTGATCAGCTTGCGTGTGATTTTAGTTTGTTGAAAACAATTCTGCAAAGCACTAATAATCTGTCCAATTTCACTCTGTATCATCCTCTATAAATTGAACAAATTACTTTTTTTTTATCGCATTTTACAAAATACACAGATAAAAGGATTTAGCATCCGTATAACTCGCGAGGGGTTTGCCATCTACACCTCGCTGGGGTATTTTTCTCAAAGTAAGTTAAGCCGGATCTACAGCGCTAAAAGCGAATAATCGTTTTCAATGTCAGTTTTACTATATTATGATAGTGACAGGAAATCAGAGATCATCAGGTATCATCAATTAAACTATCTGTATTGCTTTCATTCATCGCTATTATGACTACCGTGTCGTTGTTCTTTCCATCTCTTTCTACCTCACCCGCTGCTCCTTCCACAATAATTTACTGTCGCTTTGCGCATGCATGTTCTGAAACATTCTATATGACAGGTTAAAGTATAGAAGACAGTACAAAGTAGTAAGAAAAATCTAAAAGATGCCTGGTAATCTCTTTAAATAGTTGAGGAGTCCGTCTAAGTATACACAGGGGTATTTTTTGGCTGATTTTAACGACCTATCAAAGCTGGGTCTTGGACTTTTTGCTGATAAGGATGGACGGTATTTCTGTTTACTTGTTCTGCCGTTTTGAGAAGTGTGGCATTACAAAAATTTGACTTTGCTGTCAACCTTTGATAACTAAACAAACGTGAATAATATGATACCTTTATGATTGGTAAGTGTCACACTGCAACTTCCGAAAACTAAAAGAAAAAAAAAATACCAAGAGAGGCCTCCCAAATGATATTTTTCTGTAGAAATAACATCTGCTCTTAGGAGAATTTATATGATATCTTTTATTATGCTGATTTACTATTATCTCATTTAGTGACCTACGTGAAGTATAATTGAAGAATGTTAAGTAAAGATCAAGCCTTTTGGCGCGAAAAACTTGCCAACTAAAATCAAAATACTTATTGACAAAGTCGATGAAGGAAGACACTGCATGCAAAATAAAATGTCAAGAACGGACACATTTGTTTAGAGAAACTTTATTAAAATCCACTAACATGGGAAGAAATAACATTAAAACTGATTTAACTTTACAGCCATAAGAAGCCATTTTCTTTTATCTCGTAAAAACTCGTGATTCAAGAGAAGATAACTAACCTATTAAATGTCTCATATCCATAAAATATTATTACTTTAGTTGTCCAATATCAGATTACTACTACATGGAGAGAGATAAAGAATGACAATTGGTGTAAATATTCTAAAAAATGTATAAGAAAATAGCAATGGCAATAAGCGGATTATTTGTAAACATCTTAGATAGCTCAAGGCTAACAAGTCAAAGTGGAAAAAGTTCACAAGTTGATCCAATGGATGGTCGTTCTTTACAAGCTTTTTCTGTACTTCTTGAACCTCTAGTAGGCTTTTTAATGAAAGAGAAAAAAATAAAATAAAAAATTGGAACGGTTACGGTACGGTTCTGCAGGCAAAAATAAATAATACACTCTTGGTTGAATAAAACTCTTTACTTCCATGTCATTCGTCTTGAGATCAACGACTCCTTGGGAGTATTGGGAGTATTGCCAACTTCAATCAAATCACTTATGATTACTGCAAAAGTTCAGAAGTTGAATCGGAACAACCTTTGAGTTGTAATAACAGAGGGCATTCACTGTGTTCCCATAATTTACAGATGATCAAATAGTTTGAAAATCTTTCATTGGAAGGCAACTGTTTAATGTAACATATTTAACATTTGCAAAGCAAGAACGAAGCTACAGAAAAGTCAGCCGCAGGTATAAAACAGTTGCGAAATCGAACAATCAAAAGAACAGCAACTGTCATATACTGTTTCGCTACACAAAAAACCGTAGAATTTCAGTATCTTAAACACTCCTATTTTGATATAATTATTCTAAACATGCGCGGATTGCACATCTGCGGAGGTCGTATACCTATATTATATGGTGCTTTTGTTAGTAATGTTGATAATGCTCAAATAGTACACATTTATTTACCCACATTAGGATAAATAGTAAAAAATGAAAGAGCATGCTATACTAATAGTGGTCTTCCTAAGGGGATGTCAAACTTGGACTTGGTGAAAGTAAAAGCGACAGTATGCTTCCCTCTACAGAATCTTTTAAACTTGATCATCCATACGTGAAAAACAATATAAGCTGATTTCATGCATTCATTGTCAGCAATCTATCACAATCCCTTTTTTTGTACCTGGGTTCTTATTTATGCAGACAGTAATATCGTCACGGTGGCTTGTGAGTGCCAAATTCTAAAAGTTCAAAAAATGTTCTTCCCTTTTATTTGTGTGTAATTCATTTCATTTTTAGACAACCATGCGTCCTTTAACAGCAGAAGAAACAACTACACTTTTCGAAAAACTCGCCAAATAGTAAGTCAATTGACAGTTTTGAGAGCCAAAGCAATTTGTAAACATTTACCTTCTTTATACAGTATCGGTGCCAACATTAAGCATTTAATCGAGCGTCCAGATGAGACATACTGTTTTCGTCTCCATAAAAACAAAGTATATTATCTCAGGTAAAGTGAAGATATTGTTATTGCGTAACTGGGACGATTGTTAACTTTAAGCAATTGCCTTTCATTTTTGTGTATAGTGAAGCCGTGATGAGAAAAGCAGTGAGTGTTGGCCGCGATCAGCTCGGTTCTGTGGGTGTATGTTTTGGTAAATTCACAAAAACTGGCAAATTCAAGCTTCATATTACAGCCTTAGATCACTTAGCACAATACGCAAAGGTTAGGGTTTGCTAAAATTGAATTAGACTATTTTATATAAACGGGACCAGCATTTTAACCATCACTTCTTGCAATTTGACAGCATAAAATTTGGATCAAACCTAATGGTGAAATGCCTTTCTTATACGGAAATCATATTGTGAAAGCACATTTGGGTAGAATAACAGATGATACACCAGAGCATACTGGTGTCGTGATTTTCTCTATGACAGATACACCATTGGTAAGTTTCAGCATTATTGAAGTATCACTATCAATGAAGCTGGCTAGACTAATTGTCGGTTGTTATAGGGGTTCGGTGTTACAGCGCGATCAACGATGGAAATGAAGAAGCTTCAGCCTACAGATATTATCGTATTCCATCAAGCCGATGTTGGTGAATATTTACGTGAAGAAGATACTCTCTTTTAAGTTAGCACTAATTTATTGACAGTTTAGATTTCCCGCATCATTGTATTATATATTATCAAATCCACAGCTGTAATAAACAACCAATCTTACAAATGTACAAAAAAGAGCAGGATACGACAGAATTGATTGGCCGTGATAGAATTGTTATTCGAATTTTACTTTTTTTTTCTACAATGCAGCCAACAATAAGCGCTGATGGCGAATATCAAATGAGTTTCAATCATCTTGAAAGCATTAAATATAAATAGAAGTTTTATTATAAACAAAAAGTACATGTAAACAAAAAGTACGAGTGCAAAATAATTAAGAAGTAAGTATGGGGATCAATGTAAAGGCTTCTATACAAGAGATCTAAGGGCGGAGAAATGATAGTATGTGTATAATAATGGAAGCAGCAGCGCGATCAAGAATCGAGGGATAACAGATAAGGATATTGGCTATGATCAACCTTGCAGACTAGAATTTACATGGGAGCAATGGTATTTGCGGGCGTGCTGGCAGTAGCATTAACGTTATTGCTGCCTTGCTCTACATTCTCTGTTTGTTCATTGCTTTCGTTGTTGCTAAAGTTGGGCTGATGCTCTTCTTCAGCGTTAACTTCTTTCATTTCAATATCCTCGCTGTCCAATGTCTTTACTTCAGGTGCATCGGATACGCTAGGCGATACATCCTGTGTCAACGACTTGACCTGTTCGATATTTTCCGTCTTCACACTGTTATTCTCAGCATTACCAACAACATCAGTAGTTTCAGTTTCTTCCTTCTCCATTTCGGATTGATTTTGATTTGGTTTGCTATCAACGTCCACGGCTCCTTTTACTTCTGTAAGTTCAGGCATCCCTTCTTTCGCTTCTTCCATCAGGTGATCTTCGCCTTTAACATTTTCAGTCTGCTGTTCTTCCGTTCTCTTTTCAGCTTCAGCAGCAGTAGGTAAGATAAAGCTTTCTTCGTCCGCCGTCTCAGTTTCATCGTCATTATTTTCATCGTCTTCTTCACTTTCGATAGCATCTTTGTCAACAATAGCATTGCTGTCCAAACTTTTCATTTTCTTTCTCTGTTCATCGGTTTCACCAGTAGCAGCAGCGTGTCTACGTTTTCTTGTTTGACGGATGGTTAATGGTTTAGGATTAAGAACCAAATCACAAAGGGAATCTACACGACGAGCAATAACGAGATCCCTTGGCCAGACAAATGCACTGTTGCTGATATTGTTGCCTGTTGCAATGGTCGACGTCGATTCTGCATCATCTTTCTCTGCACCATTTTCTTTCTTATCGCTCTCTGCATTTTCCTCTTGTTGAGCTTCGCCATCCAAACGTTGCTTAACATGATAAAATGGGAGTTCAGGATCTTCAATAATCAAATCGTTACGTCCAATACCGTGCTTACAAATACCCTCTAGTAAAGCTTTATCGTGTTTAGGTACCTCCCACCAATTTGGAAGACCGGATGTCTTTCTGGCTTTACTGAGGACGCTATCCAAATCTTCATGGGTTATCACTTTTTCACGAATAGTATTCATTTGTTCTACACGCTTTATAGAACGTCTTGCTTTGTCAAAAGGCACCAAGTCACCAGTTTCATTGGCATCATTATCGTCGTTGGGTTCTAAACTAGCTTCACGGCTAGTGGCTTCCTCTGCATTCTCTTTAGGAGAAGAAACTGGGGTGTCTTCAGCACCTGCTCCTTCACTGACATTGACCTCATTTGTGGATGACAAAGCTGTAGCATTATTAGCGTTTTCGGCAGAATGACGCTTGACTGATTCTTCACAAGAGGCCATAATCTCTCTATAATGGTTTGTCAATGCTTCATCCGACTTCTTGTCTAATCCTGCGATTTCTCTAAATCGGTCCCATTTGAGACCATCCTCACCATCCCGCTCTACTCCAAAAGACATGAGCGTTTTGAGGAAATCACTCTTGTTCTTCTTTGTCCAGCGATTGGACCAATCACCGCGTCTACCTCCTCGTTCTTTTTGTGCCATTCTTGTTTCACGTTGGCGTTGACGTGTTTGTCGTTCATTTTCCTTCTTCAGTCTGTTTTCCTGCATGCGACGTTTACGTGAATCGCTTGCCTTTTCCCTCAAAAATGCTGCGATAATACGACGCAAACGCATACCAATATCTGCTTTGGAAGGCCACACATAAACCTTCGGTTGTCTGTTGACTTTTCTGCGTCTTCTGCGTTTCTTGCCTTCAAACTCTTCTTCTTCCATATCCTCTTCGTACTCTTCATCTTCTGACTCGTAATCGCGATCTTTTTTATCTTCGTAATCACTGTCATCATCATCCTGCTTTACACCGTATACTTTCTTGGTGGTGGCGGGTCGTTTACTAACAGCTTCGACAGAGCCTTGTCGACTATTATCAGCAGTAGGACCGTCATCGTCTTCTAGACCACCTGACTGGCTGTCATCGTACTTTCGACCGTAGAAGCAGAATTCAGGGTCATTACGCATAGCCAAATATTGTTGATAGCCATGTTTACATATACCCAATAAGAGATCACGATCTTCTTTAGAGCCCCACCAGCTAGCAGGGGGCGACCCAGTCACTTTAGGAATTTCCAAAGCCTTTGCTTCTTCCCAATCCTGAGGCACAATTTTATCACGGATGAGGTGAAGCATTTGGATACGCAGGAGAAGGTTTCGGCCCTTACGCTCAATGTGATCAATGTATTCAGGCGGTGCCTGGATCAAAAATGATTTGAACTCCGCGATCTGTTTCTTGGTGGCACCAGCATAAGGGACGGAATCACTGCTTCGTTTCTCCTCATCATCAGCATCATTTTCCAAAATACCTTCGATATCATCAATCAATTTGCGGTCTTCCTCACTGATCTTTTTCGCATTCTCTAACGTAGGCAATACTTTACGCATGAGCGCTCGGGTCACAGCCTTCAAATCTTTTTCAGAACGACGAGAGAAATGAACCGTCATCTGATCCCAGGCACCATAACCGTAGATCATCAGTTTACGCTCATATTTTGTCTTTTCAGACAAAGTCCAAGGGCGAACTTGGTCACTGTTACGGCCCCGACGAGAGGATCGACCCGTGGTGCTATCCTCATCCTCGTAGGCAGCGTCGGAATCATCCGAGTTGTCCGAGTAAGAACCATCGTGCTGACGCGATCCAAAACGTTGTACTTGACGCCTACGACGTGGTACGGATACAATCAGAGGATTTTCTTCAGGAGTTTCTGTGGTGTCAATTTGAGCTTTGGCTGCCCATTTCTCCCAGAAATCAGGATCATCCAGATCTACACCGGCTGTATCGTTATCAGCAGCCGAGAAAGTAGCTTTAGAGAAAACGGAGCCCTTTTCGTTGCCTTCATGCTTGATAATCTTTGTGCGACGTTCAAGAATTTGGTCAATGTCTTCTTCGCAAAACTTGGTACTCTCTTCCTCGTCCAGCATAGCACCGTAAGCACCTTTTTTAAGCAGATCTTCAATTTCTTTTCGATTGAGTTCTGCTGTCTTGTTGGTAGAGCCGTCATCATGAGTGCCCATGACAGCTTTATCAAGGCCAAGTTTCATACCGGCACGATCAAACATGTCCTTTTCGTAGGTGTTGGCACAGATCAGTCGATATATTTGAACTGGTTTGGTTTGACCGATACGGTGACAACGGGCTTGAGCTTGCAAATCATTTTGAGGGTTCCAATCACTGTCAAAGATAATACAGGTGTCAGCAGCTGTCAAGTTGATACCTACACCACCAGCACGGGTACAAAGTAAAAAGACAAAAGATTCTTCAATAGGCAAGGTCGAGAATCGATCAATAGCAGCTTGACGTTGTTCACCAGGGATACTGCCATCAATACGTTCATACGCATATTTTCGGCCTCGTAGATAGTCAGAAAGAATATCCAAACAACTACCATGAGAGGTGGGAAGAGAACTGTTAGCATTGGATAGGATCAACACATAGATGTGAATGGGATGAGTTACCTAGTGAACTGAGAAAAGATGAGGACTTTATGGTTGCCCTGAATCAACTTTCTCAAGAGCTTATCAATCAATACCAATTTACCGGATGATTGCACAAGGCAGTTAAATTGCTCAGCAGGTGTATGAGCGTTACTTTCGCCAGCAATGACATCTTCAGCGCCTTCTAACAGATAAGGATGAATACAACATTTACGCAGTTGCATCATAATATTACGAAGGTGAGGCATGTCCTTATTCGCTGTATAGGATGAAAAGTTTTGAAAAAAAAGGGGGAGGGGAGGGGTGAATCAATGGTTCGGGCATGTTGTTTCCATCATCAAGAGCTCATCCTACTTACATTTGGATCCTTTCCTTAAGAAGCTAAAGTTCTTTTCTAAAATAGCACGATACCATTTCTTTTGAGGATTTGTCAATTCAACTTCAATAACAGTTTCTTCCTTAACAGGGATGGTCTTTTCTACGTCTTCTTTGAAACGCCTCAACATGATGGGCTTCAACAAATATTGCAGCTTTTCCACTTCTTGAGCTGTATTCAGTGAACCGTATTCAGCAAAGAAGCGTGCTTCATCATTGAAAATTTCCGGTTGCATGAAGTTAAGTAAGCTGTATAATTCACCCAGATTGTTTTGAAGAGGTGTGCCTGTCAACAATAACTTGTGATCCATGTAAAATGTTCTCAAAATTTCGAGTACTTTAGAATTTTTGTTTTTGAGACGATGCGCTTCATCGAAAACGCCACAACGCCAAGGAATGTCTTTCAGGGTCATGGCTCCGGCAGATGCCATTTCATATGTGGTAATAAGCACATCAAACTTGTACTTGTTGGGAATATTTTTACCTTCCATGTCCTGATAAAAGAATTCGGTCTCGACAATGAGGCTACGAGCGAGAGTACTACCGCGAAAATCAATGACATTGAGATCAGTCCATGCTTTAAAAGCACGAGTCCAATGAGGGATAGCTATGGAGGAGAGACAAAGGTAAAAAAAATCAATAAAAAGGGCCGTTTGACAATAGATCAGCGGGGGGGGGTGGGATTGCTATCCGTGATGAATACACTTACTGGACAATGGAGCGATGATAAGGAAAGGTCCACGAATTTGAATGGCATTGTATATATCGTTCAAAAGGGCAACAGATTGTACGGTTTTTCCCAAGCCCATTTCATCAGCCAAAATACACGATCTGAAAGTATAGTAACAAAATCTCAACCAATTCAGACCTTCTAACTGATAGGGTCGTAGCTTGTTGTCATATTTGTAAGGTGGTGAGTCAGCATATTCAATAAATCGACTCGGATCAGGGCGTGCAGGTGGTGGTGCGAGTTTTTCGGGAGAAATCACCTTCCGTGACAAGAATTCATCGAGCAAAACACTATCTATTCTACGTACATCTTCCTCTGTTTCCCAAGTACATTGATCGTAAAACAAGCCATTCCACTTCACAAGGTAGTAGATTCGACTTTCTCCAGTGGTAGGATCTTCCAATTCGCCATCATCAATGACTCTATCGATCTTCAAGTGTTCTGAAAAATCTTCACCTTTTTCTCCTTCTTGGTGGTACTTTTGCAAGAACTTTTTAACACGATGTTTGCCTAAATGCTCGCCTTCAATCTGTTTCAGAGGCACCCATTCGACATGCAGAAAACTGGTGTTTTTGTATTTGATCAATAACTCTTCCTTATTTGTCTCTTCGTTTCTTCGATAATCTAAAATACGCTCAAACACTTTCGTGCCCATAGGAATCATGACACCATCTTCTTCTGCATCTCCAGTCGCTGGTGTTCCAGCCGACTTCTTTTTGGAATGGCCTTCGTCGTCACTATCATTGAACTCACTCGATTCCGATTCTTCATCCTCTTCAAGATCAAAATCGTCTTCCTCATCAGATGACATTTCGTAACGTTTCTTCTTTGAAGCATTTCGGACGGGTCGTTTAGGACGTTCAGCGACAGGCTGAGTATGTATCTGTTGAGGATAATGTTGACGATATTGTTGCATTTGCTGCAAGTGCTGCATTTGTTGCAACTGCTGTGGATGCATGGGACGCATCATGATTTGCTGATGAGGATGATGAGGATGAGCGGGAAGCGGTTGCTGTTGTTGTTGTGCTGGTGGTGGTGGTGGCATTCCTTGCATTTGATACTGTTGTTGGTAGCGAGGATCAAAGCCTTGTTGTTGCATCATCATTTGCTGCTGTTGTTGTTGACGCTGGATATGCTGTTGCATTTGTTGTTGATAGGCCTGAAGTTGCTGTGGCGACAGTTGCTGCAATTGGTGAGGCGCTAGCATAGGAAAACCATTGGGCTGTAGTGGCTGTTGAGGTTGCTGTGGTTGTTGGTTCACATAAGGATTCATATAACCATTATTTCTCATGGCTTGCTGCTGAGGGGGCAGTTGTTGCTGCTGCATTCCTGGGTGGGACATGATCGTATTAGAATACATCATATTGGGATGATTACCCAAATGAGAGGGTGGTGGTGGTTGCTGCTGCTGCGGCTGCGGCTGCTGTAAAGGAAGTTTATTCGCTAATGGAGTCGTAGATGGAGTGGTATTCATAGACATAGGTGACGATCCCTGGGTGGTAGGTGTTCGCCGTTGCTGAGGGGATGGTTGTGCTTGAGGTGAGTAATTAGCATAGTCACCCATATTATTGTAGTTCATGCCTTGTGGATGCTGTTGTTGTTGTTGTACTCTCATATAGTTCATTTGCTGCTGCTGCTGCTGCTGCTGTTGCTGTTGCTGCAATAAATGCGGAGAAGGTTGATGCTGTTGCTGATAATAATAGTTTGCATCCACAGGCTGCGGCATGTATCCTTGGTTGGGTTGTAAATTCCTTCGATTATCTTGTAGCGGTGGTTGGTTAGGATTGTTAAAGGCTGAATTTGTAGCCATATAGTTTTGATACACATCTCTCTGTTGCGCCATATTCTAGATGTAGGATCAACTAGTGATGGTTTTTTTTTTTTTCCTGTTACTTTTTCAGGTCGTAGATAAAAAGAAAACAGAACACTGTAAAAAAAAAAAAAAAAAACACACTCTGGTTCTGATGGGCGATTCTCTTTAATCCTTCTTCCAGAGCTTTTTCGTTCTGTGAGTTAATGTATTCTTGAGAAAGATTTGAAAAAGGAAAAGGAGGCAAGATGAGGAAAATCGTCTAAGAATTGAACAAGAATCTGAAATGGAGAGGAATTAGTGGTGAAGTATAAAAAACTTTTATAGTTCATAATCTCTCCCGTTGGTTTATTATATTTCGAATGTCTGGCTTTATTTTCCATCTCTTTTTCAACCGGCGTTTTTTAATGGTCGATTCGTGTTTCCTATCGCGTTTGGAGGAGAGGGTTGACGTGTTGCAAAAGCACCCTTCATCTTTTCTCTTTTTTTTTTGTGTTTTTCTTCCTCCTTCATCGTATCAACATCATGACTCCCACACACACATACACATACACATAGTTTCTCTCCATCCACGAATCAACCCGCCATTTTTATATCCCTCAGGTCCAAGAGGACAAGTTGATCAGCTCATCTGATCTGCCAAATAGTTTTTGCAACTTACCCTTTTTGTCCTTTTGTATAGCTGGGTTACAGAAGACCTTTTTTTAAGAGAAGCCTTTTATACGTTGACGAAAAAGGATGGGTGAAAACAAAAAAAAAGAATTCTTCTTTTCTCTTACAAAGAAACTGAAAAATTTTTTAAAACAAGGAAAAAAGATAAAAAAAAATATTTTCTAAACAAATAATAATAATGTCCATTATTTATTTTTTTGAGCTTTTTATTGTTCAAATAACCCCAGTCCAGCCAAATCACTTTTTTTTTTCCTTGGTGGCGGTAGATCCTGCTCTATTTTTTTTATTTTTTTTTTTGGTTGGGATATTTGTGTGTGTGTGTGTGTGTGTGTGTGTGTGTGTATGTGAGGCATTTTTTGTTTTTAACCCTGAACTCTGCTGTTTTCAAAGGGAAATTTTACCCCTTAAATTTCCTCCCTGTTGCTATGTTACAGACAAAATAAATTCCATCTCATTTGTCTGCCAAAAGTCAATTGAAACTGTTGCTTAGCAACCAGATAAGGCAACATATATCTTTTTGCAATCAAACAAGAGTAGGCTTTTGTTGAACGATATGTGGTTGCGATAGTAAAACTCTTTTTATTTACTTGTAAAGAAAAAAAAACTTTTTTTGGGAGTGACAGATCCACAAAGCAATTTTTTCTGATTCCGTCCACAGCGAGAAAAAGTCCAGATGCCCCTTTTTAATTTGCAAATTTGCAGCCCAGCAGTCTAAATCTCTTCCATTCCACATATTTATGAAGAAACATTTGCAGTTCTATTTGATAAACCATCGTCGCAATGATGACAAATCCATGAGAATCAAAGAAGAGTCTTTTTACATAATCGTCGTTCAAGAGCAAAGCGCAGCAGCTGACACTGTTATGTTTATTGACAATAGTGGGGACTGCGTTTCTTACACGCTTCAGAGTAACTAAGCAAGTATTCTGCATGCACATTCATCACTGTTTGCAACAACAACAAAAAGAAAAAAAAGAAAAAAAAAAAAGGGAAAGAAAAGTACATGCTCTTGCTCTTGTCATGATGGATCCCTATCTCCATGACTGTTTTGATCCACGTCACCTAATAATAGTTGAATGGTGGCGCATTCGTTCACACATGAGCATTGGGTAATATAGTTCAAAAGGCTTGACGTAGCGTTGAGTGTACTAAAAATTGCTCACGAGTCCATTTTGTCCTATCCTACATTTTACAGAAATACTGATCGGACTGATGTGCCACTGTGTGTAAACTATAAAGATAGAATTGGGGAGACGAGCCTCTTTAGGTATATCTATTAAGGGTTCGATTCCATTAAGGGTTCGATTCTGTCATGGTTATATTAAATGCCTTTAGAAACATAATTGTGCTACTTTACGCACAGAAGTCGTTTTTGTCATATTATATAAGCAGGATGTGAAGCATGCTTGTTGCCGTTATGTTAGGCTGGTCATGAGCGATGGTAGAAAGCGAGAAAAAGAGAGTAAGAATTATAGACAAGCTACGCTAATAGGGTTCGACAAAAAGGTATATCTCGTCTTCTTTCAACCCATATCTTTCACCGCAGAGAAAACTCCCACACAACAAAGAAGATGTACGCGACGTGCAAAAAAAAAAAAAAAAATACTAAGTAACAGTAATATCGACCAAATCATAGACTAGTTTCTTATCTACAGTTATCACGAGCTGAGAAACGTCTTTTTTCTTTTTTCTTTTTTTTTTGCAAAAATAGACTTTTATATTGCAGTAAGCTATAAAAGCCCTTTTCATCGTATTCAGCTTGTTTACAGCAAGTTTTAATTTTTTCCGTTTATAGACTGACATTTGTAACCACAGATGATGAACGAGGGGCCCAATCTAGCAGAAATTGCAGCTAATTCGGGAGAATTCAAGTTCACTTTTCCTATTTTGGAAAGTCATTTAAATCACAGGAACTTCTTGCACTCCACATTTTTTTAGTCAAGGCTTTTTAAACAATTTTTATAATTCTCCACTTTTTTCCCTTAAACTCTCTCCTCTTTCCCTTCTTTCTCTCCCTCTCTCTCACTTGGGCTGTCATTGAGCCTCTCATTTACGCTATTACTAATCAAACCATGACAGCAGTGACAAAGAAAAATTATCCATTCTACTTTGGTGGTGCAGCATCCTGCGTGGCTGCTGTTGTCGTCCACCCGTTTGATTTGACAAAAGTTCGACTTCAAAACACAAAAGGAAATGCCCGACATGGCATGTTCACCACAATGCTGAAGATTGCCAACAATGAAGGCTTTTTCAGGCTTTATGCTGGTCTGTCAGCTTCTATTCTGCGACAAGCCACTTACTCAACCGTCAGATTCGGTGTTTATGAAAAGTTGAAAGATTTCATTTCTAAAGGCTCGAATAAAAGTAAGTCTAGACTAAGGGGGAAAAGGAGATCGAAAATGGAAATGAAATCACACCCATTCAAGATGACTCATGTATCAACCTACTCTTGATATAAACAGAGGCAAATGTGGGAGAACTTCTGATTTGCTCGAGTATTGCCGGTGCATTGGGAGGCGCATGTGGTAATCCAGGAGATGTCATTAATGTTCGTATGCAGAACGATGGACAACTGCCACCTCAACAAAGACGCAATTATAAACATGCCATTGACGGTATCATTCGTATTACTAAAGAAGAAGGTACTTCCGCGTTGTTTCGTGGTGTTGGCCCAAACATTAACAGAGCCATCTTGATGACTTCGTCACAATGTGTCTCATATGATATATTCAAGTCTCTTTTCCTGAATCACACTTCTCTAAAAGATGGTATTTTCCTTCATTTAACATCAAGTGTGCTTGCAGTAAGTACCTTCATCTACATATACCTATAGTTACGAACAGCAGAAAGAAGCTGACTATCTTTTTATGTTGAAACAGGGCTTAGTGGCAACGACAGTCTGCTCTCCTGTCGACGTTATCAAAACTCGAATCATGTCTGCTAGCACGAACGATCATAGAATGTCAGCCACTGCAATTACAAAGCAAATGTTCAAGACCGAAGGCATAGCCTCATTTTTCAAAGGATGGACACCTGCCTTTATCCGTTTAGGCCCTCAAACCATTATTACTTTTGTCGTGTTGGAACAGTTCAAATCATGGTATGATATTCTTCAGGATAAGAAACAATCAAAGAATAACAGCAACACGGCAACAACTACATCTCTTACTACCTCTAAAGCAACCAGCAAGGTCGCTGCTGCTCATTAATAACCTTTTGTTTTTTCTTTTTCTGGAAGCATACATATTATTCAACATTTTCCCGACCTTGCCCGTCTCTTCTTTGTATATTCTACCGAGCTTTTTTTTTTTTTTTTTTTTTTTTTACTTGAATCAAAAATTTTCAAATCTATTATTACAGCTTGCATCTCTAGTTAACACCTATTTATTAGATATCAAGAAAGACCTCGAGATTGTAGAACGCACCTATTTATTATATTCACTCCTAGACATACCTTTAACTTATTATTTCACTCCATAAAGAATAATACTCCAACAAGTGTTGTTTTCTGTACATTGGGGACATGCTTTTTGGAAAAGAGGTCTAAATTACTTTTAGGCTTGCGTAACCTTCCCCACAAACTACACAAACGTTAAAAATGAAACTTAAATGGTGATATCACCATAACTGTATTTTTCCCGTAAATTATGCTTTGTGTACTGCGATACACAGAACTAAAATTTGGCCGTGACCTTTGAAGTGCTGATGCTCCTGTTCTAGTGCTCTTTCGGGTGATTGCTTGCCCGAAGCCGGCAGTCGCTCATTCGTAGACGTCTCTTTACAAATTTTTCTTCCGTTACAAAATAGATCCCTCTTAGTATTCGGTCAACTCAAGGAAAGACTGGATTCATTGTTATTACACAGCTCGATTATTTCCGACCTTAGAAAGAGCTTGAGTTTGCCAGCAGGTGAAAGGGGAGCGGGGGAGGGGGGGGGGGCTTTCAATTATTGTTGAAGGCAGCGGTAATACAAGCTGTTATACATAACAATGGAGTCCAAAAAGTCAACACGTGCTTTTGAAAGAAAAAAGTTCCTGTTAGCAATATACCTAAGCTACTTTTAAACCAATGTTTTGCGTACCACCTGTATTTGAATATTGTGGTCCAAGCCTTCCATGTCAAACACTCAAACAAAGACTTTTCCTCAAGCGTCTGCATCGTTTTCGAACGACACGCTGTGTTTTATCTTCAGGCATATGCATGTTCAGAGTTTTGCCCTCTTAATATGAATTGCAATGGCCCCCACCGCTCAAAAAAAAAAAATAAACCAAACTTTTTTGTCATAAAAAACCATAAAGCTTTATTTCAAACATACGATGCCTAAAGTTATCAAAGAAAACCAACGATTCATTTACCGCCCCATGTTCCTATAATTGATCATTGTTGCTGATCTACAAAAAGTCTAACGCTTTTTACATCTTTGAAAGCTGTGTGTGTCTTTCTTTAGTTGTGGTTTGTCTTTGCGTTTCATTGCTGCTTAAATTGTGCATTTATTATTTTAAAAGAAAAACCAGATTGTAGATATTATGTTCTGATTCTGATCTGAAGTCAAGCTCTAACCCAAAATACCGATCTACTCACAGAGTCAATCATTGCCGTATTGGACGAGAAGAAAATTGGATGAATGACGATGAAAAGCTTATATGTTTGGATGCTAATGATTGCCTATCTTTTAAATTCGTTGCCCTTTTTTTTTCTTTTTTTTTTTTTCGTTCCAAAAGTTTTATATCCATCGGCTATGCTACGCTATGTTGCATTTTCCTTCTTTTGAGCGAGTTGTATTTTCAAGCGTTCCTGCTCTAGTACTCTTATTTCTTCTCTTATCTTTTCTATATCCTCATCTAAATTCGTGCTAGTATTACTTGGACTAGGATCCGCAAACATGGCTCGTCGTTTATCCGTATCATCGCGTAATTTGGTACCAAATTTATAACCACCATAGGCTACACCTACAGCTGCACTAAAGTAGAAGGCTTTCACCACCACTGGCTTCATTTTGAAATGCCTTAGAGACTAAGGTTATACTATGAAGTAGAAAGGGTAGAAAAAAAAAATAAAAAAAGAAGGGCAGCTTGGTCCAATTTTTGTCAAGCCAAATAGCAAAGATCTATTTTTTTTTTTATTGCACCGACGTCATTTTATTCGTCCATTGTTCCCTGCAAGCAAGCCAAAAAGAAAAAAGAGGGGTAGTGTAAAAAATACCCAAAAAAGCTGGTATTGCCTGTAATTTTTTGATCCCCCGCGATTGACGTTTGTTCAGTCAAAGGATGCTAGACCACCCCCTTACGTCCATTCAACTTTGAGTTGTTGTTTTGTTTTTTTCTGCTTTCTTTTTCTGAACTTTTTGCTTACAAGAACTATTTATTATTCAGCATTGAGAATGGCTACTAAATATCTTTCTTGTGCTCAACACTATCTCAATAAGCTTATTGGTAAAAGAAAAGGCCTCGGGTGAGGATAAGGATCGAATGACACCAGTCACTAACACGTATCTGTACCTTTCTCCAACATGTCAATGTATACGGCTTTCATAGCTTTAAAGCAACCCGTTTGCTATAACGCTAAAGTAGCTGCTGAAATTGTGAAACAAGTATATACAAAGGAAGGCATGGCCTTCCCTACTGGAGCTCAATTAGCCGAAGCACAAAAGACCATTGAGCAAACTTTGAAGATTCAAAATCTCAGAAACCTCACCTTCAAAGATGCTGCTAAGGGTGGTGTTCTTTTCGCTGAAATCTACACTTTCTTTCTTATCGGTGAAATTGTAGGTCGCAGAAATTTAGTTGGTTATAATGTGAAGACTTCTACAGAAGACGCAGCCCATGCACACTAAAAGTCATAATAAAAAGAGAATAAAGCCCAGCCCTAGAATCTATCCACCTTCACTGACAGACAGAAAAAAAGAACACTCACTGATATTACCACGTTAACGATTCACTGCTCGTCTCTACGTACACACAAAATGAATAGGGTCGTCGATTATTTATGCATTTGTTACAAAAAAAAAAAATGGGTGCTGTCTATGCACATTTAAGCTAATTCACAAAACAATAAAATAAGAAATCTGATTTCGTTTACAAAGCGATGTAGGAAACATTTGAAGTAGTCGGATTTAACGTCTGAAGGAGCCCAGGAAGACTCAAACTTACAATCTCGCATAAGTGGAAATCTATATATGAATAATATATGTATAGGGGGGGGTATCTTTGTCATGCAAAAGATGTAACTGCCTCAATATTATTGTGAAGGAAGAGTTGCCTATGTTATCATGTAAAGATCCGTTCAATATCAAATTCAGACGCTTTCCTCCGGTTGATGATTCAATTGTATGTTACCTCTTTCTGCTCTGCTTGGTGATCAGAATAAATTTGATATTCTAATAAAATAGGTAGAAAACGCCATAAAGAAAACTCTGGCCAATAGCAATTGACAAATTGTATTTGGCAATGGTCAGCGGCTTGCCATAGTAGAAAATCACTTAAACGTATTTCTCCAGATGTCCTCACTAATATATCTAAGGGTGGGCAATCTGCTGTGAAGAGATGGTCTTTGATGGTTTGGTCTGTTATGTCACTAATAGTGTACAAATAACAAAAGAGAGTACTGTGAGTGACCACGTCAAATACGTTCATCGAAATGATCAAGATAGGTTATATTCAACGTTACTCCACTGCTAATTTTCCTTCCTTCACCAATTCGATCGTCTCTTTTAAGGCTGTAGTCATCTCGTCTCTTGATCCATAAGGACAGCATACATTGAAAATACGCTTTTTATATTTTCTTGTTTGCTCTGTTACTTTACGACTGGCTTCTTGAACCTTCTGTGGTAATAGGGAAATGTTGCCCAAAAATCGAACACCAACTTCATATTTATCAACAAGTGCACTGAAGAAGAGTGAAGCGGTTTCATTATTAAATATTATTTCCAAACAAGTGCATTCTTCTTCTCATAAACCTTACTTCTTTTCGCAAAACCCTTCAAACGCATCGCAAAAGAGCTGCATTAGGTATTCAACTTCATCCTTTGATCGATTAAAATTTTCCAAACTGAAAGCATACACTGTTACAGCTTCAATTCCAAGCTGCATACATAAATCGAGCACCTTCAAACAAAAACAAATACAACGGTTATTTCAAAAGAGATGTCAGGGTCTCTTCATCTGTGTGGTAATTGAATACCTTTTCCAGCTGTCTGAATCCTTCATAGTGACCGAATTTTGTGGAACTAGCACCCGCCTTTCGAGCATATCTCCTATTGCCGTCCAAAATGAAACCAACATGGCGTGGTATTTTTCCTCTTCGCAAAACGGATATGGTTAATTGTTCTACGAAATTGTTGACAGTTGTCAAAATAGATGTCATCGATGGTTGAGGAAAGTGATTGAAACAAAGTATGTTGAGTTGAAATCAAAAAAATATAAAAAAAAAAAGCCAAAGCATATTATTTGGGGGCATTATTGTTCACCAATCAAACATTTCCGTATGCCCTAAAATTCCAAGGGCAAAGAAAAAGGGAGTTAGTTGCTTTTTTTTGGGCGCAACCGGATAACATCTTGTATGAGTAATTTCATTGGTGACGAAGAATCTTGCTATTGCGTACCGGCCTTTATGGCAAATATTCATGGTTGCAGAGCCTTAGTCAATCTGGAATTATACTGGTGAAGTCTTATGATTTTTACGCAGCTTCAGAAACGCGGCTGAGAGTTCGGGACATCTACTTTTTTCCCACATTAATGCAAACCACTAACACTAACAGAGCGGCCTATAAGGACCGTGGAATTCACTAAGAATTTATGCTGTTTCTCCCAATCGCTCAAAAATGCACCAGACTCGCTTGTCCAACTGATGTCGCTTGAATGGTGGATACCAACTCTTCCGAGAAAAAAGGACACTTTAAAAAATATCAGTGCTTATTAAGCTTGAAACATATCCTACGCGTATTTGTTTTTGGCTGATAGTATTTAACGCAAACCCTCATTGCATTAACTATAAAACGAGATTAATAATCAATTTCATAGGATTTCTTCCTGTTCTTGTTATCTTTCAATCTGAATAACAGCAACATCTGAACAAATGCTCTCGTGGGTCTCCTTCGTCACACTAGTCATACCTATTACATCTTATATTCTTTACCAAGCTGTCAATAAAGCGCCCTTCTTGAGCCTTTCTTGTGCTATTACTGGTTTCGTCAATTGTCCACCTTCGAATATTCCTATTCATGGCTTTATTGCTGACGAATATGAACCTGTCAAGGATATATTCATCAATAACTTTCGAAAAGGATTAGATGTAGGTGCAGGCTTATCTGTCTATGTAGACGGCCAGCAAGTTATTGATCTTTATGGTGGCTGGCGAGATCGAGAAAAGGGAATCGAATATACCAATGAGACCATACAAATGGTTTTCTCAAGCACAAAAGCCTTGGTAGGTGCATTGATAAAAACTTTAGATATGAAATGTGTGTTTTATAAAATCACTTAATTTGCCCAATGGATTATTGCATAGAGTGCCATCATTATTGCACAAATGGTCGATCAAGGTATTTTAGATTACGACGAAAAGATCTCAACCTACTGGCCTGAATTTGCTCAAGGCAATAAAGAGAATGTTACTTTAATGGATTTGGTATGTAACGGGGGTGAATACGTTTTGTGAGTTATTGCTGTCGAATGGCATAATTAACCGAATGATAATTATAGATGCGACATACAGCTGGCGTTGGCGGTTTCGATCTTCCTTTAAATTACTCAGTCGCCACCGACCCAGAACGCTTTGCCCAATTCTTGGCTGCTCAACCTCACAATTTCAACGGCACCCCTATTCACTCTTACCATGCCATCTCACAAGGCTGGTATCAAAACGAAATCCTCAAGCGTGTTGATCCAACAGCTTCAACACCCAAGCAGGGTCGAACCATTGATGATTATGCACATGCATTCAATGACATTTATCACATCGAATGGTACCTTAAGCCCGATGCCACCGAGGGCCCTGAGGTAATTCAGCGCATTGCTCCCTATTATGAGATGTCCTACGTTCAAAAAATGTGGCCTACACTGCGAACCTATCTTGATCCGCGCATCAAGGATAAAAGCTTCGTGAAGTCATTGTTTGATAAAGACAGTATGTACACAAAGACGCTTATTCACCCGAAGGTGGATCAATATGAAGGTGTCATCAATAATAAAAAGCCAAAGTACCGTGTTATTGAAGGGCCTTCTTACTCAGGCCATTCCAATGCACGTTCCATGGCAAAGTTGGGAGCCATGATGGCCAATAAGGGTAAGGCGATCGTAAACGGCGAGCCTGATTTATTCAAGAACCCATCGACCTTCGAAGAGGCTACAAAGCTTTTAACCGAATTCGAAATTGATTCTACCTTGCCCAATATCCCTATGGTCAATGAAAGGGGAGGATTTCTGATGTTTACTAGAGATTCATTTAACCTATCAGATCCAGAAGCTTATTTTGAAGGTGGATGTGGAGCAGGTGGATCTCTTTTCTTCTACAATCAAAAGTACAAGATAGCTCTCGGATATACAACGAACGCCTACTATCCTGGTGGGGAAGCAGATGTAAGAACTATTCCTATCGTCGAAGCCATTTTTGAGATTGTAAAAAAAAACAAAAAGGACATGAATGCTTAATTTAAGCGATGTAATAAAAATCATCAATTAAATATTATCATTTATTTATTTATTTTCGCTCAAGTTGCATAATAAAACAATTCAAAAAGCCGATATTTTTTTGGTACATAAAGAATGTTGACTAAATACATAGTAGGTATCATTGATATACAAGGGGGGAAAAAAGTGAAAAGATATGAGTCCTATTTCTAAGCACTTTCCATCACCCACCTTTCCCGTTTTAAAAAAGGAATTTGGGGAAGTTGTTGTTGCTGTTGCTGTTGCTGCTGAGACTGATTTAAAGTAGAAGACGATGGTTGCTTTAGCACCTGTGATGTATGAGCTTCGGTCGATTTCTGATGATTGTTCTTATTATGACCGTTCACTTGATGATATTTTAATCCGCTAGCAGTACGGTAAGCTTTATTGCAATTATCAATTTTACATCGGTAAGGTCTTTCGTCTTCTTCTATTTCCTCAGCAAAGTGATTCTCATTTTCAAACTTGATATTACTATTTTCGCTATTGTCTTTGCTGTTCGATGAATATGTAGGATCATTCTTGTTACTGCTGCTGGTATATTGTTTACTATTTACAAATTGATGCATTGATTGGCTGCTGTTGTTATCGTTACTGTTGTTGTTGTTGTTGACCGCCGTTGTAAAAAGGAAAAACCCATGATGACCTTTCAGCCCTTTCGCGTCCTTGATATGGTACTGAAGCCCATTTATATTCTTGTATTTTTTATTACAATTCAACATAGCACAACGGTAAGGTTTTTCAACGCCTTGTAATGATTGATGCTGCTTTATATGTGAATACAAAAGATGTGAACTTGAAAAGACGGCTTGACATTCAGCAACGTTACAACCATACGGTTTGATCAGGTTACCGAACTCGCCATGATTTTTTTCCGATACAGCAGCTGTGGCTGCTAATGAGGCATCTGCGCAAGTGTTAGAAGAATTATTACTGATATTCTGAGTAATGGATAATGAATTAAACAAGGGATTCGGTTGTTGAGAACTGGACTGTGATTGAGTTAAGAGTGCTGTTAACTGTTGGAAAGACTCTGTTAAATTACTTGAGCCAATGTTGGTAGAATTGTTATTGCTATTGTTCCCTGTAGCTGCATGCAAAAATCGAAATGTATCTGTTGACAGTGTATTGAAGAATGGCAGGGAATCATTATTGTTGCCTTGACTTCCAATTTTATTATTATTGTTGTTGTTGTTATTACGATCCAGCGCAATTCTCTTCTTTGCTGGTTGCATGGTATTATTGTTATTATTACTTTCTTTTTCCTTCTTTACTTGCATCAGCCTTTGTAACTTCCTCCATCTATTTCTGCAATGCAATCCTGGTCTTCCGTCAAAGAAATAAGCAATCTTTTGCCATTGTGATCCATACTCTTCAAATTTTTCCATCAACAATTGATCTTCTGCAGCTGTCCACTCTGATCGATCAATTGTTGGATCCAAACTCTCTCGCCACCGCTTCGCACATTGATCATCGGTACGTCCAGGTAAAAGCTCGGCGATTTTGCTCCATTGATTAGGAAACTTACTGACGCCTTCACGCAACAATTGGTCCTCCTCTTCCGTCCATGTACCTTTACGAAGAGAAGGGTCGAGTGAATGAAACCAGCGCTTTCGACAGTTTTTGTTGGTGCGGCCAGGAACACATGCTGCAATTTTTGACCATTTTTCTGTTTTATCGCCATAGAGCTGGACAGCTAACTTGAGTAAGTTGTCTTCTTCTGGCGTCCATGGTGCTCGTTCTCGGAAAGGGCGAGGAGAGCCTTTCAAGGGTTTTTTGGTGGCTAGCAGATAAGTTTGGTTTTTGGAGGACGTATTTAACAAAGGTGTGATTACAATAGGTGTTGTGTTTAATGGAGGCAACGACGATGTAGTGGATGAAAATGAGGATGAGGAGGATGGAGTTGTTGCAGTATTGTGGTTTTTGTGATTGTTATCAGTTGCCATCGTAGTTTCGGGTGATGCTGTCAAAATGGAATTAAACGTAGTGGGAGTTGCATTGCCATTTGCAGCTGTTGTGTTATTAATAAAACTTAGAAGAGATGTGATAGTATTCGAATGGGTTATCCCTGTCGGTATTGTTGTTGCTGATGTAGATGCTGTTGACGGAATTGTCGTGGTAGTGTTCAAATTTGGGTTTAATTGTTCATGTTGCTGCTGCTGATTGCTCGTATTACTGCTATCTGTTTGCTGATTGAAATTGCAAATTTCATTGAATATAGGTACATTTGCTAAGCTAGCAATGATATCTTGAGGTGAACTCAACTGTGCAGAAATAAAAAAATGTGGGATTAGTCAGAGCTAACTCTCCTTCTATAAAAAGAACAAAAGAGATACTGTACATGAAATCCAGAAAACAATCTGTTTGAATCTTCGTTATACCGATAAAATGAGAGTGAGTTGTTTGATTGAAAGGTTGGGTTGATAGCACAGCTGGAAGCGTTATTATTTGTTGTATTTGTGGGGTATCTAACATCGAATGAATTTGCGGCAGTGACACTGACATCAGTATGATGGCTGGTATCTTCCGTCGGACTATTGAAAAAGATGGATTCCAATCTCAATGAATTTAGATTATCGTTTTTATGATTTTCAATAGTATAACTATTGCTAGTAGCTTTATCAACATGATTAGCTGCAGAACTTGTAGTGGATGAGGTGCTATCTGTAGTATTCGTTGGACTACTGTGATGACTTATGTAAGAGTAACTCATGCTTTCATCGTTGGGTTTTTCCTCAACAGCTTTCTTCTGTGGCTGTTCTAGTTTTATTGAATAAGATTGCTGCTGTGAGGGCTGCCCGAAACTACCATACATTGACTGATACTGCATAGTTCGAGAGAAAAAAGTAGGGTTGTAAATGAATATTGTTCTTTATTAAAATAAATAAATAAAGAGGATTCCAGAAAAGAATAGAAAGTGCGATGGTCAGTTTGTTACCATTACAAAAAGTAAGATCTTGGGAATTTAGAATGAAAAGAGAGACTAAGAGTTTGAAAAGGGAAGTATTTAAGATTGTTCTTTCCATCTCAAAAGAAGGCAAAATTAAAAGGGGCAAGACATTTTGCGCCCCCATTTTCCGTCCCCAACCAATAGAATTCAGTGATGTCACGTACGCTGATGTTGATCACGCTTTTAACAACCGGAGGGCTATCGTTGCATATGATTGATACAGTTATATGTCATAGATACAATGATTGTAATACAGTAACGATTCGACAACGTTAGTAAGTATCTGAGCTAGGTACACCATTGGTACACTTTAGTGATTCGCCTGTTAGAAATCAAAGGCTGCATCTGACGCACATAAGTGATGATGTTATGTTATACTACAGAAGATACTATCTGCCATATATCATCCTTCAAAATACAATATAGATTTTAGGCGTTTAAAAGTTTTGAAAACTTGATAGCAATCACATGAAAAGCTGCAGAAGATGAATTGTCTCGGACTCAAATAAGGACAGGTTAACATAAATCTTTATGTTCCAGATTATACAGATGCGGTAAGTATCAAATTCATGAATAGTTATTAAAAGTAGCCACTTATGCCTTGGTAAAATGTAAAATGTTGATGTATGAATCCCTTGAAGAACAAGGTGGGCTTCGAGATAGCAGTATATTTCTGTGCTTACCATACGCTATTTCAGGAATTATGGGAAATATAAACAACTTTCTGTCTTTCATAGTGAATTTGAAAATAGTTGGACATTTACACACTCATAGGGCGAGTTCTTGATAGCTACGCTCAGTTGTATTTGGGTTTCTTTCTTTTCTTTTTTTTTTTATTTTCACTTATTTATACTAACATGAATTTGTATACTATTAAGGGTATCTTATAGTCGTTCAACGACAATGCATTGCTTTTTGTGTATTGAGGCTATCTATACACGTAATGTGCGCAATACAACGAATGGGTTTAACAAATTTGCTGCATTCCAATATATAAATCCTTGCCTATGAATATTTCTTGGTCCTTTGTTATGAGATGTATTATATAAGGAAAATCTATTTGGCAATTCGAAGATTCCTTAAGAAGTGTGGCATTACTTAAAATAACGCAGTGCGAGTAGACATGAGGGCTGCTTTTTAATTTTATTTAATCGAAGACTTCTACCTTCTTTTTCAATTTTGACAACCTGTTTCTAATTTTTTCCGTTTCTTAATCTACCTCCAGCTATTACGCAGAGCACGATCTTATATCGAAGCCATCAAAACAAAATGTCAGATCCTTTACCGCAGCATCAAAACCGAAAACAGCATAGACGACAACCGCGCATTACCGGCCCACGATTTACTGACGAGGAAAAGTTTAACTTTAGTATTATGCGTTATTTTAGAGAAGAATTAGAGAATGTCAAAGACGAAATCGTAAGTTATACTTTCTGCCAACTCTGTTGATCTCGCATATACTTGTTGTAGTCAGTCGAATACTTATACTGCCATAGCGTTCTGCAGTAGTACTTGAAGTAAAGAGGGCAGAGGGCGAGATCTTGAACGAAGCCGATATTAAGGCAATCGATGAGAAACAACTTAATATGAAAGTGCTTGATAGACTGGAAGCAGTATATGATAAATTTGATAGAGTAGGTTCAGTAATTGTAACAACTGCTGTTCATTGTATTTCATCACTTATTGATTGATTTTATAGAAATTCAAAACAAAACAAAGATTCCAATTCTTGTCTGATAGTGATATATGGCACTTGCTTCACTTTTTTTATATTGTCCGTTTATCTCAACAAGGCTTCTTTCATATTGTATCAGCAAAATTTCCCTACATCGAGCCTCAAGCAATTACCTATTTAGCAGATCAGCTTATTAGCGATTCACTGTATGCGCGACAAAGTGTCCATATTCAGACACGTGTAGAACATAAAGACCGTACTAGAATCATTATCAAAAAGCTGCGTGATCGCTTAGAAGAGCCAGTTGGAGAAGGGTTCAAAACAACCTACAAGCAAATTATGGAAGTGGTAGAACAATTAACGGATATGGCGTTTAACGAAGAAGAAGATCGTCGCAAGACAGAGCACAACAGTAATGACGAGAATAATACAGATGACAGCCATTTCAATACATCTAATATCAATGCAGACTCTACCTCTGTTACACAACCAGCGACTCAAGTTTGGGTATTGATGCCTTACACAAATATGACAGATGGAAATAGTGTTGCTTTACCTGGAATGAAACCCTCTACGCTACCTTTCCCAACTGAATTATTACAGCAAATGCCGTTCAGAAACTTACCTCAGTTGTATCCATTTAAGGCCGTACCACTTCCTTCACAACAGGAACCATCTAATTCCACCCCCACAACTGCAAATTCAACAACTGCTGAGCCAAGCCAACAAACACAAGAAGAAACTGTATCCTCAATTGAGCGTGATGAAATTGAAGTCAATAATAACAAGATAAGCAGTAGTGTTAGTGTCATCTCGAACGGTACCTCTTCCGAAAAACCACACACCGCTGAACAGAAACACCAGCATGAACTGCAAAGCCATTTATCTCCATCTGCATCATTTACAAGCAGCATGTATAATAAAGCAGCATTACCTAGTGTTGCTGGTAATCCCGCTACCAACACAATCGAAAACACAGCGTTTGAATACTCACGACCTGAAGAATTCGAGGACATTGATGCGGATGATAGCCAATACGACGATGACCAGTTTGCAGATCCGGATGACGAGGAACAATTTGCAGACCCGGATGACGATAACAAGCAAGCTGCAATCGATAATAATAGTAACTGGGATCAGGACGCAAAGAGTGACAACATCAATAATTGGGAAACTGAGTCGAAGAGCAGTAACGTTAGTAATTGGGAACAGAAATCAAAAGGTTATTATAGGAATTGGAAGCAAGATGTTAAAGCTAATGCAACAACACGCAGTTATATAGAAGGTAATTAAAATTTGAACCTTAATTTTTTTCATCATTGGTCTAATACTTTCAAATGGATTGTTATAGGCAATCGAAACAGACGTGCTAGTAATAATAATGATCGTCGCGGTGAGGGTAAATTGAACCAATGGAAGAATTTTGCTGCCAATCATGGGCAGTGAATAAATCTTTGAAATATGGTTGGCTAAGCGGCCTGGTTTTACAGATGTATACATATATTTATCAATGATTTACGTAGATTATATATACAGTTTATATATCGCGCATTACGTTCCAATAGTAATAGTGATAATATTATACAGTAGTATGAAGTGAAAAGCGTTGACTAATTATCTGACTCTTTAAGAGTTACACTAAACCCGACCCATTTTATGACGAGAAATTGATAGCATTTAATTTGATGGAATGACATAGTCATCGAACCTGTAACAATATATTATAGGTCTATTATTAGAACTCTATCGCCACAATTTATTTGATTCATTGTTGATAAATGAGAGCAAAAAAAGTAAAAAAAATACGCCATTGAGCTAAGTCTGAATAAATCGTAAAAACCACTTCGAAACAAAGGCTTTGACTGCAGAGTGGTGATCATGCATGTTTGATTTTCCGACAGTAAAAGCTGAGTACCCACAATATTGTTCTCTATTCATATGCTGTTACAGCTTAGATTAGCTCTTGTTTTCTTCGCCAGTTTGCGTCTCCCACAAAAATGTTTCGGCCAACATTAAGTAATATATCCTCATCATCCTCGTCCACGTCTCACTTCACGGCTAAATCCACAAGCATAACTGACAGCAATGCAGTTACTTTATCTAATAAAGAAACGATGGCGAACTTACCTTCAATGACCAACATGTTAGCTTGTCAGCCAAAGAAAACTGAACGAATCGCTTGGACACCTTATCTAAGAGACTATATTTCTAACGGCTATGCCGAGCATCCTGATTTATATACCGATGACTTCCGAATATTGGATGAATTGAGAAATGATTGCTTATTTATGAGGTCAGACGAAAGAGATTTGAACAGACTGATAAAGTAAGGATGGTTATTCACTCAATCTCGCTATTTTCAATTCCTGATACTTATACTGACAAGCCTGTATTTGAATTACACGATAGATATTACGCCCAACTTACGTTTATAAGCAGCAAATTTCCTATTGATGTTTGTATCTTTATAGATGAATCTGTATTGCCCAAGCCCACTAATATCTATTGCTCGTAGGTAGGAATTGAATTTCCTTGGTATTTAATTATTGCAGGAGAGCAATCAGAAAAGCCAGGTAAGAAACCAAATAGATCTAATTAGGTAAACAACAAAGCTTTTACTAATAGAGCACTTCGTAAAATATTACTACCAGTGGCTTATAGGAATATGAATTACGAAAAAGCAGGGATATTGTACTCTATTGGGGCTATTTACAGTCAACTCGGCAATAATGAAAATAAATCCACCACAGAAGGTGTCAAAAGAGCGTGCAACTACTTCCAACATGCTGCTGGTTGTTTCAAATTGTTACTTGACACAGTTGTGCCTGAAATGCGTATCTCACCAACTGTTGATCTATCACCCTCTGCTCTCCAAACTTTAATCCACTTAATGTTGGCCCAAGCACAAGAATGCGTGTGGCAAAAAGCTGCTATGGATGGTCTTCGAGACGGAACTATTGCTCGCCTCGCTCTCAAAATTGCTGAATACTATAATACAGCTGTTGAGTTTGCTTCAAATTCTTCTTTGCAGGCACTTTATTCTCGTCACTGGATCATACATATGCAGATCAAATCAAATCATTTCACGGCTGCTGCACAATTCCGAAAAGCTAGTGAATGCATTTCTCAGGATAAGTACGGAGAAGAAATAGCTCGGTTGCAATTAGCATCTGATGTAGTGAAGAAGGCCTTTCACCTTATATCATCATCATCTGCTGCTGCAAAAGAAATACCTAAGCCTGTGATTAACGATTTAAAGAGTCTACAGCAAATCATTGCGACCAATTTAGCGAGAGCAGAAAAGGACAATGATGTGATATATTTAGAAAAGATACCATCTGTTTCTGCTTTACCCAAGATTTTAAAAACGGAAATGGTAAAACCGGTTCCACCTGCTGAGGTCGCAGATCCAGTCTTAATTATTCATCAACAGCAACAGCAAGAGCAATCGCAAATAACAAAAGCACCACATCCAGTAATAGGATTGCCGTTGTTCCGAAAACTTGTTCCGTTCGCTGTTCATCAAGCAGCGAGTGTGTATATAGATCGGAAAGAAAGACTAATTAAAGAAGATATTATTGCCAAACTAGAAGAGTTGACTATTGTATACCATAGGTATGCTTAAAAATGCAGTTCACTGTAGTTCAAAAAAGGAAGCGTCGACTTTAATACTTCCTTTTTCCGTTCTTTCTTTTTAGCTCCATAGAATCACTGGGGTTACCAGCATTATTAAGGTCTGCTACCGAAAAAAATGCATCGAAACCATCTACTTTGCCAGATTACATTTTGCAACAAGCAGCTGAAGTCAGAAGTGAAGGAGGTTCGCAAATATTATACGAAATGTGGGATCACGTTCAAGCTGCTGCTTCCAAGAACTCCGATATACTAGAGGAGGCTTTTAATGCATTGGATGAAGAATACGAGGTCGATGAGAGTTATCGATCTAAATATACGAATGGTAAGAGAAGGATGCAATAGTTAGGACTATCAGAAAAGATGTCAGTTCTGATCTTCCAGATATGCATGTTTTTTATGATAGAGTGGAAACGCCCTGAATCACTTGTACTCACACAACAATTAACAACGCAAGGTCAAAAGCATCGTGAAACAATAACAGCTGCTCAGAAAGCTGACCTAATTGTGAGGAATAAATTGGACACATGGGCTAATATTATTGATGTCCTCACACTACCGCTTGAAGATTTGGAAAATTCAATACCCAGTGCTTCCCCATCCATAAGAGTCGAAACTGCACAAGAAGATTCTCAGAAACTCGCCCTAGCACGGATCAAGACATTGACAGACAATATGAACCAACATATTAGATTACGGAAAAATACCATTGAACAAGCTAAGAAAGCTTCCAACGCTGATGATATTTCAACTTCATTAATAAAGAAAGCAGATGAACTCACAGCTCAATCTCCTCTCATTAAAATTGAAGCAGCACAATTTGAGGAATTATTCATTGAAGAGTTGCGTAAATACGACAAGTTTTTATTGACAGTTGATGAAGAAGATGAAGCACAAAGCGAAATAATAAAGCAATTGAATGAAGCTTATAAGCAATTTCAAACAGCAGCAAGTAATGGTAAAAATTTTGCTGTTGGCAGCGCAGAAAGTATCCCTATCGACAGCAATTTACCGATGGCTAAACGAGAGAAGGCATTGCAAAATCTAAGCCAAGCTTACTTAAAGTTTAAAGAAATCAAAACAAATTTGTCAGAAGGTTTGAAGGTAACCTTATAACTTGAAACGAGCTCTAAACGTAATTTGGATGGGTTATTGAGCTTCTTTAATTTTTTCAATAGTTTTATGCTGAGCATTCTAAAGGACTAATAGTATTTTGTAATATATGTAAAGATTACTGCTACAGACGACAGACGGAATCAGAACAAATTATAAGGTACGACCGCAACCGAATTTGTTTATTGTAATTTTGATATCTAGAATTCTATATAAATACGTACTGTAAATATAGGAAGCTAAGTCTCAGGCTAGAAAGCTTATCCTTTCAGCAAGAAAAAAATACATGATGGCTGCCATTTTCGCACCATAATATACCTCTTTCTTTTTAACTATTTTGCCAGCGTTCCCAAGCTTCGTAATAGGCCTAAATCAGAAATATCCGTGAATAACCAAAACGAGATGTCTTGAGTTCAAACGTTCTGTCCATTACCTTATATTCATCGGTTGTCATATTCCTTTGATCTTCTTCTTGCACCTCATTCAACGGTATCATTTTGCCATTTACTATTAAAAGAAAAAAAAAAAGAAAACCATTGATATTGTATATGCCAAACATTCAACGTTATCAGAAAAAAAAAAAAATTACCAGAAACCATTGGTATATCATCTTCGTCAAAGTCCTCTTCCTCATCCTCACCTGTTCCCGCTATTGAATCATTATTACCAATTTCATATGCATCATAAGCTGTTGGTGTCTGTTGTTGACTACTGCTATCATATTCCTCGAAAGTGTCTACTGCACCACCAGCAACGTTTTCCATCGCGATATCTATCGAATCAAATCCATTTGTCTGTGCATTATTGACTATGTTGTCTTCTGTATCTCTCACCAAACCACCACTAGTGCTTGTCGGCTCACCGTTACTAAGATTTTCATAATATTTTGCATAATAATCTTCTGTGTCTGCATCTATTTCTGGTGCAATATCTTCAAATGTCGCGCCTGCATCTTCGTCCTCTATATCTTCAGTGTCATCTGGCTTATCAGAAGCATCGGGCACCAAACGCGTACCGGAAATAGTAGATTGCTGATGCCAAATCGGTAGAGCATTTTGTTGTCTTTTTTGTTCAGCTTCTTCCATTTTTGCACGCCGAGCTGCCTCATTATCCATTTGTAAGTCAACGATAATATCACCTTGACCAGCTCCGGTATCCTGAGCAATGGCCAATTCATAATCATCTATTGTTGTATGGTTGGTATGAGTGATTTGTTACAATTGATTGCCTTCTTGAGCGCTCTATTTCTTTTCCCTTTTTTTTTTTTTTTCTTTTTACCTTTATTATGTTTATGCTTGCCAGTCATGGAAGCTTTGTAGATGTAGCTCGATGGAATAACAATATTATCTGTCTGTTTTAATAAGGTGATTATGGGCTGTGATTGCTCCCGAAGCTTTGTCAATACTTGTTGACTGTTTTTCATGGTTTCTGCATTATCGTTCTGCTCAAGGGAAGTTTCACACTGATCGCAGTGGAACGCTTGATCTGTTGGGTCGAATAGTGACAATACAGCAAAAGGATCGAACTGCTTTTCACATTGAGGGCAAACGTATCCTCTATTATCAGACTGTGTTTTTAGATTCTCGTGAACATTGGTTTGCATTTTGAACATCTTCCATTTTACGACGTCGACAAATTCTTTATAGTCGAGATAATAGTAGGTTTTTGGGACAAGCCTTTGATCTTGTTTTCGAGGCTCCATGCGAGTAGCCCTATTGATGATTTGAAATGCATTGTTATGTGAAACAACTCAAACTCTTCTGTGCACATAAGACTCTACATACATCTTTAACAGACGATCTTCTTTCAGTTTACCACAAATTCTATGAATATCTCTAGGAGTCATTTTCAATTGCATCACTAAGTCATCCTCACGAACGCTATTAGAAAGTATACATCGTTTTTAGCTTTTTTTTATTGACTGAAAAGAAAAATAAAAGAAGGTGAGCACTTTTCTTTACCCGTTGGAATTGGGCGGTGCATTGTTTAAAGCATCTAGAATAACAATATATTTTGGGTCATAGAAGGCTCTCGCAATTCGGGCAACGAGTGTTCTGAGAACTTCCATGATCTACAGAAAAGATCGATACCAAGAAAAAAAAAAAGCGATCCATACTAAGGGAGGAAAAAGAAAGAAACACATAATCATTTAGCCGCCGCCGCCGAGGAATCTAGCTAAATTACGGGTCCGGCGTCACTTTTTGCATTAATTGCAATGGAAAGTGTTACATTATCGAAGTTCGAGCCATTCGTTGCTAGTACAATTAAGTTGATATCAATTAAATGAACACTCTCTGATATTAACATCTAAATTTTTTTATTAGTTTAAGGTAAAAGAATGGGATTGAAAGTTGAACGATAAATTCGTACTGCTAATAAACATCTATTGTATCTGTAGCTATTTTAATCGTTAATATTGATGAATCTGTTACTCATTCCCTATCATAATCAGTGCGCTTCCTGCTACAGATTACTCAAGAGCCAGTCAAACATTGTTACTATTTGCATTTGTCATGCACACCTTTTATGCGTGAACTTGTTGAGTTTTTAACCTTTTCTTTAATACACAGTAACTTCACTTGAAAAACGGATATTAAAATATCAAACGCTGGAAAGCATCAATTACCAATGTCTATACTAGTGTATTAATATTGATGTTTATGCATCAATTAGCAAGCTTTCCTTTTTTGACTGTGAAGTCAAACTTTACAGAGACCAATTCGTTTAAAAGAGGACATGACAGCCCCATTAATTGCTAAAGACGTACTAAGATATAATGCAGCATCTCCTACGACCACAGCAACGAGGGTAAGAATTATCTGTCATGGGCATAAGTCAAAGACAACTTTATGTATAAGTAGAACAAAAATTATTATTTAAACTGAAGATAAGGCAACGCCATTGATACTGCAACAATAACGATGAAAAATAAATAGTGACTGAATTGCTATAGATGTGAATGCCGCAGCTATTGGCAATAATAACGAACAAGAAGAAGGAAATATAGGAGCGACATCGAAGGAAATAGAAACGAAATACTTGGGCGTACATTTTTTACCAGCGTTGATAAACAGGAATTCTCTCAAAATGATAATTTATAAGGAGCAAGTGATAGACAGACATAAAATCCATGCAGAATACCATTGATATGCTGCAATTTCTATAACAGTTAGAGTTGCATTCCTATGATATTTTCCGTCTACGATGAACTAAATTGAAGTCTTCATTATGCCGTATTTATCTTAATAATGCTTGGGTCATATCGGGATTGTATTGAACAAACAAACAGTGGATTTTTTCCCCTTCGATTTTACCTTATAGTCGACATCAATGACTAAGCACCAGTCTCATTAATCGATTCTCTATCTTCAACAACAGAAATCGGGCTTTAGTTACAGAATGTCTTTAATAATACGTCGTATTTCTATAGCGTTTAGATGGAAGAAGCAAAGAAGCTGCTTATAAATCTCGGCGGTTTGTGTGCCAACAATATGCCTTAAAGAATCTCAGTCAATAAGTCATATCGAAGGGTTCAATTTGATTATTTCAAATGACAAGAGATTAAAATTGTTTAATCATGATTCTTCTTGAATTGGGTTCTCTATTGGTCATTCACAACAATACTCAACTTTTACGAGGTTTATTGGAACTATTATAACGGCTCTGTTTGCATGATGCAGCATTTGTACTTGTGCAAGCATCGAGGTGAGTGACAGGCATACCGCAATCACTAGTCGCAATGTAAACCTTAAAAATATGATGAATAGTGATCTCTAATATCATTATATCAAGGTTGATATACGGTTGTAAATATACAGCTAGAATACAGTAAACGGTCTAGGCAGATCAATCCGAACTAAAAGTACTGACCCTGTCACGAAGGCTGTCGCGTCCAATGGTTTCGCGTAGCTTATCAGACGAATCATAAGGACAACTGTCCAGAATTGCTGCAATGTCAATTGCATATACGTATTATGTAATCCAGCATTATAAAAGAACTTTACTATTCATGGCTTAACGGTAAAAAAAATGAGTACAAGTTCGGTTAATTGCTGCAATATTATGTAAAGAGTAGTATTATTGCATCTGAATATGTCTCGCCAGTGAGCTTCCCTCTTGGTTAAAGCTCAATTTATGATCTTTTCCATTTGCTATTGTTGTTTGCCTTTTTTTATAGCATTGAGTGCTTCTCGGAGCTTTCGAAGTATTTGAGTCTAACTGATGTATAAAAATATTATCAGACGAAGTGCTGACGGAGTGCCGACTTCCTTATATCGCAAAGCAAGTGGATTTATTCGCTCAGGTTATTTTAAAATGTAAGCCTTGTAATATTTATCGATTCAACAGGAATAAGTTACACAATCTTATGCTGACATTTTACTTTTACCTCTGTGAAAAATAGTAGTAACAGTCTTCCGTCTATTACAGCATTATTATTACTTCAAATGCAGGTTTGTATTACACAGTGTTTAGCCAGATTTACTATGGATAGTTGTCAAACCTATTGCAAAACAGCAAAAGAGCGGCAGCAGCAAGAACAGCAACCCGCCCGTCCTGTTCATTCCTTAAATCCATTTGAGATAACGAAAAGAATAGTCAAAAAATGCTTATATTGGCTTCTTTCATTTGTTGTTGTCCTTGTGGATTGTATCGCTAAATTTCTGAATGTCTACCAAGAAATGCAGGAGTTTGTCAACGGCGAACGAGTAATTCGTCACATTTCTAAAGATGAACAAGATCATCACAATGATTATCATTCTGATAGCAAAAATATCATAAAGGAAGCTAAAAATAAAGGCCCCTACCTCAACACTCCACTTCCTGAAGAGGTTACAATGCGAAAAAAGGGACATTCTCACATAACCATATCGAAGCAGCAACAGCAATATAGCGGCCCCACTGGGCTACGCGGTTCGAATTCGCAAGAACCACAATATAATCAGCCACATCATCGACATAGGTTACGCCATATTATGACTCGACACAATCTTAACATTCGCAATGAGAAAGATAATCATTATTACGTTACAAACATTTTGAAAGACCGGAACGAAGAGGCAACAACAACTTCTATAAACCATGCAGCTAGTTGTTGTGCGGCGTGCACGGGAGCTCAGAAAAGCGATAACGACAACCCTTATCCAGAGGGACCTCCCACCGCACCTATCAAATATCCACAGTCAGATGAGGCTCAAGCATCTGTAGGTCATGTTCGAGTTGGCCTAAAAAATGATTATGCTGCATCAACGTCTATATCACCTTTGTCTTTTCCATGTCCATGCTGTAATAAGAGTAATAATGAAGGCCTTGCCTCAAGAGACAAAGCAGAAACTTGCAATTTCTGGAAATATAAAAATGGCTGCTGCTGTGGTAAGAAAGTGAGTTTAGTTACAGTACTTTGTTCTCTCGATATATAGTATACTAACAGCTTTATAATCCAATTACTATCAACCACATTTATTGTAGGACTGGTTGCGCCACTTACTAGGTCTATTTCAGAAGAAGAAAATCTATAGTACTACCGCCTACTCTAGTTAGACCTTTTCAACTATTGGAAGATTTACTTCTATAGTTATATGTAGTCATTCTTAGTCAGCTATGAATATGAATTTATTTGATATATAGATCGTTTGATGCATACATTATAGAGCAGTTGTAACCTTTACTGTTGAATGATTCTCAACATTATTCTTTTTCAATTTGCTTCAATACCTTTTTCGTTAACGCTGCAGATTGAAAAAACAGATTTCGCTTAATTCAGAATACTAGTCATCTTTGTAAATATTCTTCAAATGTAAAATAATAAGTTGCTGTTGTAGTTGTTATCGTCAAAGTTGTCAATTATATTAACTGACATTAATGTCTTATACTTCACAAAAGGTAATGACGATTGATATACTGTGCTGTCTGGCCATCATCTTTGATCAATCATGCAGGCAGCGCAATAAACATTATTATTCTTTTTTTTCAAAAAAAAAACTCTCTAAACGTGAATACTTTGCTTGGAAAAAAAAAAAAAAAAAAAAGAGAATGCCAAATTTTAAATAGATGAGAAATTATCATTATTAAGAGACTCTATGTGCTGTTACTTACAATACTCGGTACCTTCAGTTTTAGCACAAGATTATTATAGTCTACAATTTAAATTATCTATATGCGCAGGTCGCTTGTTTTCGAGAGAAAGACGATCATTATAAAGGTTTCATTTAATGAATTCATCAGCAGTGAAAATTGATTCAATGTGTTTTTCTTTACTCTAGCTACAGCTTTAATCTTCATTCGATTCTGTATAGCCGGCATTCTGAATACTATACAACTTTTACTCATCGAGAAACCAATAACTCGCAACACCATCATAGCAGAACGTTACAAGATTTTATATCTTCGTTGAATTATTGGCCTTATTACAAAGACTACCCGCTCCTCGAGCAAATTCAAACTTTTCAGACATCTTTTGCGATGTTATTGTAATAGGAATGCACAGTAGAACGGATACTCAGCACTTCATATTCAACATCGTTGGGCACGTTTAAACTTAGTGAATCAATTTTTATACTCCTTCATTGAAAGTGGCGAGTTTATTGCTATTATTGACTGCTATTATTATTGTTACTACTACCAGCACTTGGTTCTGTCGTTAATAGGATTTCAGCTGCCCTGTTTAAATTAGAATTAGACTGAATCAGGGCGTTTTTTATATCCTCTCTAGAATAATTAGGAAACATAGCGAACATGGTGTTAATATCTTCCTCTTTTAAGGAACGTGATGACCTGGGTGCTGTAGGCGATCGAGCCAAAGAAGATGACTGAACATTTGGCATTGTCGTGGCAGTTGACGCAGACAGTGGCCGGACTGAATTCGATACATTATTGAGAGATGTTCCAGAACTTGGCTTATTTGTACCAAGCACAGGGACTATATATTTTGAAGTTAATCTTCTAAGCCATCGTGGGAAGCGCCATCGCTTTAAAATGTTAGAATTGTCATATACTGCTCCAATAGCCAATCCACATAAGCAAGGTATAATTGATGAATTATGGTTGGACAAGAAGAGCTATTATAATACAATAATAAGTTAGGCTATCTTTTCATTTCAGATAATTTCATTGTGTCAAAAGTACCTGCGTCGCGGCAAAATATACATAAGTTTTATCACTTAACGATGTTCCGAGCATTTTTACTTGATAGCTGGGTGGCACCAAAGTTTTGTATTGGTATATGATCGAAAATAGGATGGCATAACTAGAAATAGAAAGGTTCAAAGCAAATTGCCTGGTTAAACAGATATCTGCCGATGTTGTTCAGGAAGAAATGCATTTCACTTACGGTCCACTTGAAATAGATTTAAGCCATGTAAATCTGGTGCCTAACATCAGAACACCTGTTTGAAGTAAAGTTGATGCCACGAACGATATGAAGACCAAAGCCTATTGATGCATTCGTCGGAAAATCGAAAATTAGAAAGCTTCATCATCATACGTCAGTAACCCTACAATAATATACTTTACGGCATATTTGGCACTTCCATATCTTCTTTCCACCACTTTCATTTTGTAAGCTATCCAAGTGCCTGCTACTGTTGTACTTATACCATTGAAAGCCCAATGTGTAGTAAACAGCCTCCAAAACTGTCATAACAATTTGAGAAAATGACTTGCAAGTTAGTTTGTTTAATGTATGTCTGTCAAATTCTCTCCATCTGCAGGAAAGTTCGCAATGTACCTCTTTGTCATTAACCAATCGAAACAGTTGTAAAGGCAGTAGCTCCTGTAGTTCCAAAACAGTACTCACTAGAGAGCAACCACCTATGAGGGGCACTAATAGCTTTGTCACAGGCGCGTAACGAAAACCTAAAGGCACATTCATCAATTGAAACATTGCGCATGATTATGATTGAACTTTAACATTACACATGCATCTTTTGTGACAGAACAATACCTGAAGGACCGTCAGCATCCATTCTTCTTCTTGTATAGTCACACTTAGCAACAGTCTATGAGCTTAAGAAGCAGTGACAATATTCCAACTACAGAAGTCTCAATTGGAATTTTTTTGTCAGCTATCATTTTGATTCGAAAGCTCAGCGCTGACCACGTTTATTACCCTACTGCTACAACTTACCTTTCCGTTGTTGAATAGATGCAACTCAGCTAAACGTAGATATAAATTGTGTGTGTATATTCTTTGCTTCTAGATTGTATGGTACTTAATTCACTTCTTTTGCAACCACAATAATATCAGAAAGATTGTCTTAACCAGCAATGAATGGACGTTGAATAACTCAGAACATCCATCGTCACCCTTATCGTTCCAACAACAACAGCAGTAGACCTACGCAGTGTTAATTAAAGAATGAATTCATACAGAATTATAAGAATTACGTCAGCGACACATTTCTACGGAATGTTTTACTGCTGACTACACCACCTATAATTGCATAATGTGAATAGTAGTACATCGAACGAAATTAAAGGTACGAGTTCAAAAAGCAAATACAGAGTTTTGGAGGCCAAAGTCTCCTTCCAATACTTCAATAAAGTTATATACCTTACTAATGGGAGAAATATTACTCTCAACTGAAGTTTTTGGTACTAATGCACAATTTATTCTTTATTACATAGTGGACCGAAAACCCACTCTGTATCATCAACAACATGATTTAATACTCCCCTTAATCTGTCAAATATCGATAATGTTAAATTATGGACCAGCTCATACGAAAAATAGATGACGGACTATGCAGACGCTCAGAGAGCTTCAGAACTGTAGAATCTCATAAGAAAAGTAATTAAACTATTGAACTAGTTTTTGCCTTGTCTTCACGCAGTCATTGAAATCACTATTTGTAAGCACCAGGGATAAACTCTTATCCTCCGGGCAACATAAGTGGGCTCCTGCCATCGCTTTTCGAGAATTGAAATATACGCTCCGAATTGCCATTACTCTAGCTTCGTTAAGGGCATGATTATTCTTACCTAACAATGTGAACACCATAGTTAACGGATTGTCATATGACCATACCATTTTCGACAATATTTGCGCTGACTAGATAGTAAAAATGGTGCTACTGCTATAAAACACATTACATACTTTTTTGCTGCCTATTATCCCTTTCTGATAAAGGTTTTTTCAAGGATCTGATTGCTGCAGACTTATTGCTTGGTTGATATGCATCTCTTCGATGATGATCGAAGAGTATTATAAATGGAGGTCATCATAATCGATAAAGAATCAAGTTTCAGATCTCAAATGAACTTCGCTTAGTCAATCACATCTGCGATCCTTCTTTAGAGCAAAGATGTTACACTGTTTCTTGAACTTTCCATTTTCAGAAATTTGACCCTGAAATGACGTTTCCTGTAACAGAAAATTTATGCAATGACGACTGTGGTTTAGCTTTTCGAAAAAGTGTTTTTCTTTTCTCTTTCCTTTTTCAGATTTTTTTTTTTTTTTTTTACTTTCAATTGATTACTTTAAAGTATTACCATCATTATGCTTGAGCAAATTATTAATTGCCAAAACGTAAGTATCTGCTCTCGAATAACAAGATAACCATTTGCAAGAGGTACTGCATACGAAGTAACAGTCCATCTATTTTAGAAGAGAACTCCATCGCCTCAATGCCAGAGACCCATTTTATATACCAACTACGCCTCAGAGTCTTCCTGGAGAGTAAGAATTGCTTTGGAATGGAAAGGAATTGATTATGAAACCCGTTACATTAATTTGGCCACTGGAGAGCATGTAAACGTTATTTATATTGAAAGATCCCATTACTCTACAACATCATTGTATTAAGGCACGTCTCTTATATACTATTAGTTGACTGAAGCCTACTCTGAGATAAACCCATGCAGGCAATTACCCTGCCTCATCACCAAAACTGGTAAAATCATAACTCAAAGTATAGCTATAATTGAATACCTTGAGGCGACGTATCCAGGTAATACATTTAGAGCTGGGTTGAGTTGTAAGATACACCATTAAACAGAGGCAAATTGTCAACATAATAGAAAGACCTATATTTCCAAAGAGTCCATTGTTGAAAGCCGAAGTATGATCCTTTGAATTCAAAAAAACGGTCGTAGACAGATATTCATATGTATCTATTTTTTTTTTTTTTTTTTTTTTTTTTGGTGGCATTAGGCATTATCAGTCGCATTGAATATAGCATGCGATATTCAGCCGTTGCAGGCAGAACGTGTGTTGAACTGTCTGGAAATAGGAGGCGAGTTGAGGCAGCAGTTTTGTCGAAGAATGCTTGAAATAGGACTACAGGGTATGTTTATTTGAGAAGATATAATAGGCGAGAAATGTGGTTGTGTTAAAACGTTGCATTAGGCTTAGAAAGCAGGCTGGAAAAGATATCTGGCACCTACTGTATTGGTGAGCATATCACCATTGCTGATTTTTGCTTGGTCCCGATGGTGTTCACAGCAAGAAAGAAGCATAATATCGACCTGAAACCATACCCGTACATCACAAAGATACGCAATACTTTAATGACCTTACCAGAATTCAGAAAATCACATCCTTTCAATCAGCCTGACTGTCCACAAGACAAGAAGGAACCTGTGAGCTAAAATGTTTTGTCTATTACTCGCGCTCAGACGATGTACAATTTACACCATCTTTTCGTTCTTCAAGTTACGAACATTATATCTATCTGTACAGTTTATTACCATCAAAGAAAGAGAAAAGTTTATATTTACAGCTACATATATTACATTTACTCGAATACACACTGAGGGAGTATTTTGACGTATCACAATAAAAGATTAATTAGCATTTCGATAATGCAGGTATCAGTTTTGTCCGAACATCCTTTTCGGTAGCAATCGTTTCCGCTAAGCGCCCTTGAGCTAATTCTTTTTGGCCGCCACCGCCACCCCTGATGTGCTTGAATAATTGTTTCATGATCTAGGAAAATAATCAGAAGATATGGATGAACACAATTGCCCTAAGCTTTAATAAAAAATTGTAGCTTATGCTTATCTCTTACCGAATTGGCTGTTTCCGTTCGAACATTCGCACTATTTACAGAAACCATTATGTTTTTGCCATTTACTAAAACATGTGCCGTCTCCGGCTGCGTTTCTTTTAATACATTAGCGCGTTTCTGCATGAATGCTACATCCAGATCAGCATCGATTAGATGTACTTTCACGTCAATATCTTTAAGTGTTCGAGTAAAGTTCTGATGAGCGCCTCATACAAACAGTTGAACAAATCCCTAATGGTGATTCTTACCTTTCACTTTGCCTATGACTGGCTTCATTTCTTTTCCGACTTCAGTTGCGAGTTTCTCGTTCATAAATTCCACACGCTTTTGTAGGTCTTTTGTTTGTTGCAGAACTTTTTGTAGCTTGTCAATGAGTTCATGTGGTCCATTGGCACGTAGTAGTTTAAGGGCTTCCGGCACAGGTTCGTAAGATTTTTTATACCATTTGATACAAGATAAACCAGCCACTGCTTCAATTCGGCGCGTGCCTTTGTATGAATCGCATGTCATCAGTTCAAAGAAATGTTTAGGTTAGGATATTTTGATACATTTTTTTTTTCTAGCTTTGTTACCTGCAGCTACTGAAGTTTCATTCAAAATTTTGAAAGGATACAATTTACGAATGTTATCGACATGTGTTCCGCCACATAGCTCTTTACTAATACCAGGTACTTCCACAACTCTCACATTTTCACCGTACTTTTCTGTAAAAGCAGCAATAGCTCCTGAGTCAACAGCATCCTTTAGCTTCATGTGCTTCACGATTGTTCCGGCGCCTTTCAATGCTGCTTCATTCACCCAATTCTCAATTTTTTTCAATTCCTCCTCCTTCAATGGTTTGCCATAAGTAAAATCAAACCTCAACTTTTCAGGCTCAACTGTAGATCCTGCTTGAACTATGTCTTGTGTGTTCAAAACCTTTCTTAAACCAGCGTTTAATAGATGTGTGGCCGTGTGATGAATTTCTGTGTTCTCGCGTCGGACAGTTTCCACTTTTGCTCGTACCACTGCTCGTTTTTGCAAAAATTCCTTGTCTGCTTCTAAGCGCTGACGAAGATCCAACTCTTTCCCAGTGTCAGCTACTGGTTCAATACGTAAGGCAATACCACCTTCATAGGGTTGCGTTACATCTACGACCTTCCACTGACTGCCGTTGCCTAATTCAATTATACCTTGATCAGGTACTTGACCACCCCCAAATCCATAGAATGGACATGGATCAATAGCAATATTCACTTCTAATTTCTTGTTGTTGGGCTGTTGTACGGCGTCGAATGCTAAAATTTCAGCTTCTTGTGGTTGAAGTAAAGCATCCCGTAGATAACCGGTAAATTGCGGGCGTATGTTCTGCTTTCTCCATTCTGACAGTCTTGATTTATTAGCGATGCTATCCGATTTCCATGTTTCTCTACCCTCCATTCGCTGCTTTTCTCTAAGTTTCTCGACGGCTACGGTTTATGAACGGGTTCGTTGAATTCCTCTCTACACTCAAACAACTTTGAAATGCTCAATATCAAGTGAATTCTTTTTGACTTACGTACCATTGATGTCGACTTTCCATCCCTTTTCTTTAGCGATAATGAATGTTAAATCAAATGGAAAGCCATAAGTATCATATAATTGAAATACAATTTCCGGGGCAATGACTTTGGAATCTTGCAAGTCAGGTCGATTAAAAACGTTCTCCAAAAGAGCCATGCCTCTATCGAGGGTTGCTAAAAAGGCTGTTTCTTCATTGTTAATGATGGTACAGATGGATGATGCTCGTGTTTGTAGTTCGGGATAGGAACCGTCAGTGAACCCGCTCAGCAGCGAGGGATATAAATCAGTTAGGAATGGCTCTGGATAATTATATACAGATGAGTGTCTTTTAAGCCTTCACTTTAACATAATCGCCTGAATGCCTATCTGTTTCATTATGCCAGCGTATTACCTTTAATTCCCAATTGCTTTGCCGATCTGAGTGCTCTTCGAATGATACGCCTTAACACATACCCGCGTCCTATATTACTTGGGACAACACCATCACCTATCAAGAAACACATTGCTCTAAAATGATCTGCTATGATCTTTTCATGGGCACTCGGATCTATGTTTATAGAGCTCTGATAGAAGATACGACATAAAATAGTTAAACTTCAACGACTATTATGCTGTGAGCTGATATACTCTCCATCTTACTTGAATTCCTCTCTTAGCCATCACATCTCTTAGTCCATCGATAAGTGTTTGAAACTGATCGATTTGAAAATTATTCTGTTTGCCTTGCAAAACAGAGATCATGCGCTCTAACCCCATTCCTGTGTCGATGCATGGCGTAGGCAACTCTGTCAATTGACCTTTTGCATTGCGATACTTTTCCATAAATACAAGGTTCCAAATCTCTAACCATGGGTCGTCTAATGATGCATCCTGTGTATCCCAAAATATCTCTGTACATGAACCACAGGGGCCCTCTCCATCACCCATGGACCAAAAATTATCCTCTGGCCCACAGCTTACTATCTTGTCATCCGATAATCCTTGCTGTTTCCATAAATCGTATGCCTCCGTATCGCCTTCCAATACACTAACAAAGTTTTACCAAAAAAAAAAAAAAAAAAAAAAAAACTTATTTTGTTGAGAATCATCCGATTCGCTTATACATATATCATCCGCAAGTTCTAACTTTTGAGAAGATATGCTTCATATAAATATGGAATGCTTACTTACGTGACGCGCAGTCTGTTCACTGGCAATTCCAATTCTTCCAATAGAAACTTCCAAGCATATCGTATCGCTTCAGCTTTTGAATATTTACCAAAAGAGAAATTACCAAGCATCTCAAAGAAAGTGTGATGGCGAGGAGTAAACCCTACATTGTCCAAATCGTTATGTTTACCGCCAGCACGCATACACTTTTGAATACTGGTTGCACATTTAAAAGGTGCATCAGCAGGCTTGAGGAAATATTCTTTAAAAGGAACCATGCCTATTTCAGGTGAAGAAAAGATATTCCCAATAAGATGCTGTTTTATTTCAAAAGCTGTTTTTCTGTCATCGTATATTGCATTTGCTTTAAGATACCCGCGTTAGTGAACAGTAAACTTTTATCATTATGAGGTATGAGGCTGGAACTTTTGACAGGTGTATGATTCAAGCTTTCAAAATATTGGATGAACTTTGATCGTAATTCAGGTGATGTGAGTTGTTTGATGAAGCGCGCTTGGCACACTGTAATGTTCGAGGCTGTTGACCATTTTCTGACAAACAGAGACCGTGATTGAACAAACATGTTTTTTTTAGAAGGATTCTGTCAGCTGTTTATGTTTGTGGGGTCAGAGACGAGGGTCGTCCGCTTGAAGCTTTCTCTGTTCAAAATTTTCAGTTCCCTAATTTGGAAGAGAGTAGGTCTCGGGATTTCAGAAATTTTTTCATTTGCAGCTTCCGCGGATGAGGGAACAGGGTCAGAAACAGGGACCGTTCAACACTGTTCCAATTGTGTGATTTCCCGTTTTCCAAATGCTATTTTAAGAGTTTGGAAAACAAAATGAGCATGAATTTTGTCACTGAAAAGCATACGCTTAAAACCTCATGACCCGTCGGTAAACCACATATAGACTGCTTAGAGTGGGATACGTCGATAGTTGTTTCCTGTCCCTTGATATCAATAGAGTGTTTCACCTTTGCGTCAGTTAAATGACAAATATCATGCATTGCTTTTGTACTGTACCGTTTAGTAGAATCAAAAATGCACATGTACAGACTGTAATACTTATAACAAATTTATTATGAGAGATGTACAAAACTAAAAGTAAAAACGTAAAATGATAATAGGGTAACAAAAGAATTGAATGTGACTAATCAAGATTTAACCAAAAGTACTGACGATATGCGCTAGTTGTAGTAGACTTGTTTTTGATGAGGAAGAAGATGACGACACCGGGGTATTATTCTTATCATTTTTTTCTTCTATTACTGTTGCTGCGGCGGATGTGTTAGATATAGACTCTGTTGATGAGACAGATGCTGTTGTTAAAGAAGGTGTACGTTGTGGCTCTGGGCGTGCTTTCGGCTTAGGAGAAGGATGTAGCAAAGTAAATGGGTAGGATTCCGAATTCATTTGTGTGAATTGTTTGCCCTCGTTATATGTAAGAGGCTGGTATTGGTAAAATGCAATTTCTGGTTTGTTTATTGGTGTCACCATATTAGAGCTATTACTGGAAATGCCTTTTATTGGTACATGTTGATCTTCGTTACTAGTAGCAGTAGCATTTGCGGGCGTTGAAGAAGTGGAGGCGGCGGCTGTCGTTGAAATGTAACCTATTGACATATTAAGCTCTCCATTCGTCCTAGCGTAACCATTCTGAGGTGGCAATGGATAGTCTCGTTGCTGTTGTTGCTGTTTTTGTATATATGACGCTGCTACTGCACCCAGAGGAGTGGGCATCTGAAACCGCAGTGGTGAAGGAGATACGTCCACCTCCATAGGTTGTCTCTGACTTATTCCACTATTGCTACTACTACTGGCTGGTGATATTGGAGGATGAGACAATAATGACCTACGATAATTGTTCAAATGCTGATCAATCGTTAAAGGTCTTTCTGATTGATAAGGATCGGATCGAATTCTATGATGAGCATGTAGCTTTGGCCTGGGGTGCAGCATATCTTCAGCAATAAGTCTTTTTTGATACGGCTGATGTGTTCGTTTGGATTTAGGTGACATATGAGTACGATAATGCTGCATCATATTGTCTTGACGGGAAAATCTAGACGAGCAGCCAGGAAATAAACAAGGAAAATTCTTTTCTCCAGTGTGAATACGGTTATGCCTTGCTAAATGGCCACTATGTACGAAAACGAACATCCATTGCTATAAGAATGCCTATTTCCTACTCTTACAATAGAGGATAGTATTCTTACCTAGTAGTAAAACTTTTGGTACAGCCTGGTTCTGTACAGTGATACTTTCTTTTACTATTCAATGTAGAGCCTTTATTATCATTGTTGGCATCAACCGGCAATGGCTGTATCAGCAATGCTTGTGGTTGTTGCTGTGGTGAAATTATAGTAGAGGTAGCGGAAATAGATGTGAGGGGACTGATACTATTGTAATCTACCCCGCCCACATTTTCAGGTGCTGCTGAAGCATTTCCACTCTTCATTGTGATATTTGAAGAAGACACCGAGGTGATGTCACTATTATCATCATTCAGAAGATTGATATGTCGCCCTGAAGCATTTGTTACAAGAAATGCAGATTCTGCCTTATAATCATTCAACATAGTTGTATTTGCTTTGAATACCAGGCCCTAAAAAGGCTACAGAAGCAAAATAAATTGAATAAGGGAAATTAAGGAAAGAAGGGAAAAAAGGATCCTTTTTTTTTTGTGTAAAACTGAGAAATCAAAAAAAAAGAAAACCAAGTCCAATTGAGCTTAAGAAAGTATGAGTGGTGGTTTCAAATGAAAGTCAGCTATTCCGATTGTTGGTTTGCTTAAGTAAGATGGACTCAGCTTCCCTTTATCAAGACCCTTCTTGATCAGAAAAGATGGGCCCTTAATTGCCCTGCTTTGTACCTTTATCTATGATATCGTAATCGGAATATGACGTAAATTCAGAACATATCCGTTCTTCAACCCTGGAGCAAGCAATCACCGAACATAATTGTAAAGAGAAGGGGAGGAGAGGAAGTTGACCAAATTATTCAATAGCGGTTTTTTACGTAATTGATGGCATCGCTTAATGTTATACCCGGCATAAAAAGAAAACTGTCTTGATTTAAAGAGTGTGGGGTGCAATAGAAGGCAGACAAGCCTGAACGCACAATTTTCTTTGTATGCACATTTTGGGTGTTGCATGCAATTGTATTGATTGAATATAATTAAACAGTCAGTATGCCAGTATAATTCAGTCTTGTTCCAAGATTTAGGGTTTAATGATAACTATTACAAAAAAAGGAATTTTCTAGGGTCCTTTACAATTCTAAAATAGCAATATCGATTTACCCATTCGCGTAATACTGACTAATGAGGAAAGAGAAAAGAATGGCTGTGTAAATTCATGCTTAAATGCTGGTACTGATATCATCAGTATTAATCGGTTGAATGAAAGTCCTTCGCTTAGGCATGAACGCTTTAAAATGCTCGCACCTCATAGCAGTCTACAATATTGTGCCGACTCTAAATTGCATTTGTTGAATGTTTTCAAAGCAATCAGGCGACGATCCAGGCTGTAGATACCATTAAAAGAAATCTATTAACAGATGATGCTAATATATAATGCAAGGACAACTATTAGAGCAACTACGAATGTTTGATCAAAGCATACAGTATCTACCTGCATTATATAAGGTATTCATATTGAAGTGAGCATGAACTACCGTTTTATTGTTGATAAGAACGACTGTTTCTAAATCCTGTCATTGTCAGAGCGGCTGATGTTTCAAGTAAAAAAATAATTGATTGCAGCCTGATAGGCTTGTTTGGCTCTGAACATTCTTCAACCCGGGCATGTGTGGCGCGGGCAATACACAATTTGAAATGTGAGGATACAAACAAAATAGTCAAAGAAAAACCCCATTTCTGTTACTGTTCAGATTTTATTAAGTGAAATGTCTGTTAGATCAAATTATCACCAATCATTACACTTAAGTGGTGCAAACTTACAGTATCCTTGAAAGATTAAAGGTTGCTTTTTTAATAAAGGCATAGACGCGATATAACAAGTTATGCTTATAAACCTTCGTACTAGCATATTCTCGACTTTAAAATAGTATGCACTCCGATGTAATGTTTTCAACGAACTGTGTATGTTTTAAAATAATGAAAACATTACACATATTGTTCGAGGAAATGTACAACACGTCCATGTAAGGCTGGATCGCGTAAATATGAAAATACGCCACTAGCATATGCTTTTAGGTTAATCTCTCAAGTAAAACAAAACTCATAAAAATAAAATGAAAGATTCTCTACATGCTACCTCTACTTGCGTATGATATACCATTAAGAACAACAGTTGCCTGTCATCAAAAGCTAACGGATATTAAATTGATCATATTTATCTACCTAAGATATTGTATGTTTTTCCCTCTATATTCTTGGTAATATGAAATCTTAAGGTTGATATTATTGAGGAACTTATGAAATACAGCTTCAATACTTAACGGTTCAGCTAGCAGAAAGAGGACCAAGCCTTTCGAAAAAGAAGAAATTCTTTCGAAAAAAAGCATACAGCAAAGTTTAGGAAGCCAAATTTTTCTTTTGCGTTATCTTGCACTATATCTGTCAGCCAATGCGATTAGTATTTTTTCTCAATTAATTCTACTATTAAAGCATGAATGAAATTTGCAGGAGGCTTTACGACAATAGTTCTCTACCAAGAACTTTTAAATAAATGGTATGATTGAAAGTGTCAATCACAAACACTTCGATCAATGACGTCAGCTTTTTTTTTTCATGGACAGGATCTGAGTTTTCTTTTTTTTTTCCATTGTACTTTTTTTTTTTTACGCACTTGTCAAAAAGGAAAATCTGCCCCCGCAATTTCAGAACATTAAAATGGGGGAAAACAATGAGTGCGAGCCCAATTTAATTCTTACATTTTTTTTTCCCTTTAATTGTACATATACGTCAAACAAATGTCTCTCGTCACAAAACCTAACAAAGTTCAAGCTCACCAACGCTTCTTCCAAGTAAAGTAGCAAAAGCAACACGCTATTATTCAGACGTTTAATAAACCAGCATACTGATCCAAAGTTCAACATTCTAACAATGTCTATATAGAGTCCTGCTAATGCCAACACTCTCTTATTCCTTCGTGGTCCCAGAGATAAGCTCTTTGTCTACACTACTTTCTTAGTCCTCGGTACTGGTCTTGTTGGCTCCCTTTATGGTGCTGTCAAGATGGCTCGTGTAAGAATAGCATCGGTCGATTTTTCTTCTGAAACTCATAGGGTACTAAAACTTTTTTTTTTTTTTGTCGTTACAGGGCCAAAAGAATTAAATGACACAATTGAAGAGATGCACTTTATGTTGCAAAAACACTTTTAGATACTAATAGAAGTTGATTATACAATTATTTTGACAATTCAAACGCAGAAACAGAAACACACAAACACATTGACAAAAAATCGCACATCACGCAGACCCACAAACCATACAATCATCAATTTTGGTTTTTTGTTTAACACAGAAATACACATTTTTGCAACGATAACTTGCTGAAAAGATAATAAACCTTTTCCTTTTTTACGAAATAAAAAAGTATATTGATACACACTACTATATCGTGTTTGTATCCGTGTTGGATAGGCTCAGTAAATAATGGGCATCGAAGATTTATTAGGATATTTAAAAGGGGATATAATAGGTTTGATAATATTTCCTATGATTACCATAAAGGAAATTGATCCTTGGGCCATTGACCGGACTCTCTCGTGGGCCAATATTCTCCAGCGTATGACCATTCTTGTTCGTTGTCTGTAAGTGTGAACCATCTTGGTTTCCATTGTTGACCTGCCATTTCGAATTTCTTGCGTCGTTCTCTCTGTTGTTGCTCGATCCGTAACTTTTCATTATCAGCTTCATCGACTAACCCTATATGAAGATGTCTTAGTTTACAAATCATTTTAACGCAAAAAAAAAACAAAAAAAAGAAAAAAGAAAGAAATGATTGAATCCACTAACCTTCTTCGTAAAGCCGTTGATCAGGTCTCAATCGGGTATCAGTAATAGGCAATTTTCCTTGTTCTATTTCAGTTATTTCATTCAGTTCAGTTGCGAACTTTGTAAATCCAAAGAATTTGTCATAATTCGCCACTTGAGGTGGTTTCGCCGTCCACAACACATTCAGTTTATTCTTATCCATGCCTACTTCCTCTGCAATTGCTTCGCTCCATTTACCGGTTAATCTCTTTACTTTTCCCCCTGCTTTGTTATACAATGTGGCTATCACATCATTTCGCTTCGTTGGGGCACCAAACAGTCCGCCGCCCGATCCTTCTTTAAACACAATAACAGCTGTATCACCCGTCGTATGATTCATTACCTTACATTCACCCGAATGCTCCAAGTATTTCTCACCAGCAATCATATTCTTCATCCAACTAGAAGGTTTGAAAAAAGTGTAGTGATCATCGTGGTTTTTCAATGTGATATGGAAAGTACCCTCTGTCATGAACTCCATGGATTTACCCCAGAATTTACTTTTGATTTGTGTAGACTGCCAATATGTATAGTTCCTGGATTCAGCATGGGCAGCAATGATAAGAGGATTATGCGACACTTTTTCAGAGACGAAGCGGAATCCTTTGTCTGGACGAATATTTTCATACGTTTCGGTCATCATTGGATTGAAGGGTTTGCGACCTGTACGATATTGACTAGAAGCATATGTAGAAATAACATAGACAGTAATATACATGAGGCGGTCCAAAGGGTTGCTGAATGTAGCAGCTTTATCAATCAATTCACAGTATTCAAGCTCTTCGCAGGCTTTTTGTAACATGTTGAGTGGTTCATTCATACTGACAGGCATGGCAATCGTCGATAGATCTTTACCAATGTTCTTTCTGAAAACAGAAAGAGTGGATTCTGGATCAGCCATAGCAGGCGAAGGTAATTTGGCCCGACGGGTCACAAATTGTTGAGATGATAGATGGCTCAAACCACCATCACTTGTAGTAGTAAGGCTTGAGGAAACGGTATCATCATCTTCGTCGTCATCGTCATCGTCATCGTCACCATACTCATCATCATCGCGACTGATACCACACATATCCTCGTTCGTGTTTACTGCTGAAGGTTGCGTTGGTGTTGACATACTTTCTTCATCCATATCGGATAAAATAATATCTTCCGCATCGTAATATTGTTGGTCTGAAGAATAAAGACTGGATGATCGATTCATAGCGGAGCGCTCGTATAGCAGATCATCCTCCCTTGAGTCAAGAATAGGTGTCCTTGAACCGGAAGACGATAAAGATCGATGCTGGGTATAATAATTTTGAACGTTCTTCCATTGCGACAGTTGCTCGCTCATCGTTGAGGATAACTGAAGTTTCTGCCTATCAAACTGGTCTATGATGCCTTGTATTGATTTCAAATCATTACTGATCAATACTTGTTTTAGCTGTTCAATAGTATTGACAAGTGCCTCCATGTTACTTTTGTTAGCTTGTGATGTTTCAACGCCTTGTTCTATTTCTGCTCTCAATAGTAAATGCTGATTATGACTTAGGGAGGATGAAATACGTTGCTGCAATATTCGAGTGGGGTGTTGATCGTTATGCAATCCCTCATAAGGACTGCTAACCGATGCACCATTCGATCCTCCTACTGCTGAATTGAATCCATGAGTTTTACGTACATTTGTAAAGGCTCTTTGCCATTCATGATAGTCTGTTTCTGTCATTGCTTTTAGATGGTAGATCATAGTACCCGAATCAATGTTGATTTGTCGAAGATTGGGTGTGTAAGATATTGTTGAAACCAAAATTTGAATTGATCCCCTACTGACGGAATTCACGGCAGTGGAGTAAGATAATGCGCCTGTGTGTGATAGACTAAACCATCTTTTGGCATAGCCTTGCATTTTCTTCCGTCTTTTTTTCAGTAACCATCCCGAAATTACACTATTACTATTACAACTATTAGTGAGGTTACTGTTATTATTGCCAGCGGCAGCGGTAGTGGTTGCTGCTGTTAAGGAAACAATCGAACTCTTTCTTCTTTCAGTTACCGCTGCTATCACTTCAGGTGGCGGTGGATCGCATAAAGTTACAGCGAATGTTAGCTTTTTCGGTGTATTTCTAGAAAATGTGTTGTCAAAAACAAGGACATAGTTGCCAGGCTCCTCTACTATATAGCAACCTTCTACTTTTTGATCAGCTGATTGACTATGCTCAATAGGAATGATCTCGTCCATGCCACTCTTTTCCTTAAGTAAGGTGACAACAGATTTGGAACGTTGGCGATGGTTACTGTTACCCTGGTTACCGTTCATACCATTTGGTTGATGATGGTTGCTATGGTTACTATGAACAGATTGATTTGAAGAAAAGATATTGTAATTGGCCTCTATTGTGTCGTCATCCTTTACTGCTATTGTACAAAGCATACAAATAAAAAAGTTACAATGGATAAAGGACATGAAAATTTAGAACCCCACCCGCATCTTTACTGTTTATTTATTTTTTTGTTTTTGTTTTTTTTTTTTGCTGATTTCTCTACCTTTGACAGAATTATCACTATTACTATTATAATTTCCGTTCGTGCTGGAGCTGGTTGTTGAACTGAATGACATTTGTTGACGTGGAGGTGCGGGTGGAGTTGTGGCAGTTGGATGTATCTGTAACAATTCTGTAGCACTGTTGCTTCTTAAAATAGGATCAGAAGGCAAGGGTTCTTTCTCTTTTCTACGAAATAAACCAAAGCCAATGTTGTTTCGTTTGGTCATGAAAGACCATTGAATAACACTTCCTTTTGTCGATACATAAACATTGTGTAGATAAGAATCTCTTGGTTGAACTTGTACTACTTCCATGTGATTAAAAAAAAAAATAATTAGCCTAGTTCACTGGGATATATGAGTGTTCAATAAATGAAAACCCAGCAAGTTGATTGCAGTAATAGAAAAGAACAGAAAGTAAAAAGGAAGAGAAAGGAGAAGGGTGAGGAAGAAAAAAGGAAGGAAAATGAACAAACAAAAAATAGCTCGGCTTTTTTTTTTCAACTTTTTTAACGATCAGCAATAAAATACACAACTCTTTTTTTTTCTTTTGCTTGTCATCTTCAACCGACCAAAAATAGTGATTTTCTTCTTTCCGTAAATGGCCATTTTATTTTTTTTTATATCTCCCTTCTGATAATAATGATGATGGTGTGTACATGAATTTATATGTCTTCAAAACGGGTTACTTATTAGTAATTGTATCCATCTGCGTTCAATCATCTTAAGCACGTTGACGGATGACGAGTTCAAGGAACTTGTTTAACGAAAAGAACAAAAAGTTATATCAGCCATTTGGATTCAAAACTTAGTATCTGTATCTTTCCCTCTTACCTGTTCATAGTTGATTTGAATCCAACCATCTTGGTCGTTATCGAATTGTCGGAAAGAATCAGTCAAAGTCTTGACTGTAACACATGCTTGAACAAAGTTATCAAAAGAGACATCACCTTTACCTGTGGTGTGAACAGAGGCTTTGATTTAATAAGAATAAGTTCCCAATAGCTCAACTTACTCACGATAACCATGCTGATAACACTTTACCATATCGATCATACTTTTGTATTAAAATACTAACAAATTTGGGTGATACGTTGAAACCGAAAGATCTTAAAGCGTTGGTCATTTCTGATTGATTGATGCTACCAGAACGGTCAGAGTCAAAAGCTTGGAAACATCGTTTCCAGTCTTCAATATATCTCCATAATCCAGCAAATTCATTAAAGTTAATAGTTCCGCTATTATCTACAATTTCATGATAAAATATAAAATATAATTCATATTGGGACTTTTTGCAAACATATCTCCCTTGAACTATTATCGCTCTTTCTTTTTGCTTTTTACCTGTATCAAACATATTTACCATCAGACGGACAGTTTCGATATTGAAAGGACTCCAATCGCCATTAATTAGAGCCTTTTGAAGTTCGTCAGCTGTAAGTTGACCTGAACCGTCAGTATCTACGGCTTTGAACCAAGCATATAGTTGTTGGTCAACACCAGGTGGAGGGCCAGCAGGTGGGGGAGCTATATATGAAGGTTTATCAGCTGAACGGCTCTCTTTTTCTGTCTCTTTTACTATATAAAAAAGTCTCATCCCCTGATATCGCATTTTATATTGACAGTACCATTGCCATAAGGTCTTTGTTGTTGACCATATCCTCCTGCTCCTTGTTGATGTTGAGGAGGGGCTTGACCATATTGAGGTGGAGGTGGTTGATATGACATTTTTAAGTATATTGATGAATTAGAGTGAAAACAGAAAACAAAAAAGAAAAAGGGAAAGGATTTCTAGTTCAACGCGCCTTTTTTTTTTTGCAATTTTTATTTATAGAAAAGATGAATGATTCTCAAAAATGTTGTGTGCCCTCAATCGAAAGGTCATTTCATCAGTGTGAAGAAAACTCCGTTTTAAACCGACATGATTAAACAAACAGGCTTTAAAGAAAAAATGCAGGTTCACTCATTTCTTTACATTTTGGCATTGACCGGTACAGCTTTCGTTTGCCATTTTTTATCATGAATCCAAGAAGCCACCAATGTATGAGCTAAAGAGCCTTCTGATGCCATAGCAAAAGGTGCGTTGGGATCGCGAGGAGTGGACTCCATAATATCTTCTTTTAATGCAGCAGCAACTTCAGTACGTGAAAACCAACCTGCTTTTTCTAGTTCATCATCCGAGTAATGAATATCTGTAGACGTAGCTTCCGCCATGAAGCCAAGCATCAAAGAATTTGGAAATGGCTAAATAAAGCATGGTTGCAGAAATGTGTCAGCTGCTAAGCATGAAATGTATTTTTTCAGCCACTTGAACTCAAACACTCTTTACCCATGGTTGACTACTGTGATAGGCCACGCGATCTACAACAATACCCGTCTCTTCAAATGCTTCACGACGTACAGCTTCTTCTAAAGTTTCGCCTGCTTCAGCAAAGCCTGCTATACAAGAATACATTCTCTTGGGCCATCGTTTTTGTCTACCTAATAAAATCTTGTCACCATCAGGATGAATAATGCACATAATGACAACAGGATCTAAATAGAGTCATTTGTAATAGTCATAGTTCCTATGTAAGCAACGTAATGCCAATTTATCACACGCCACTGATTGTTTGCTGTCTAACTATACCTGTTCTGGGATAGTTGAAATTTTGAACACTATTGTGGCTAATGCATGCATTACCAGCAGGACAACTGCGCTTATACCCACCTTCTAACAAGACAGTACGCTCACCGCACGCTACACAGAATTTATTACGAGCATTCCAATCAACTATTCATCCAAAAATTGTCCAACTTTAGCTTGACTATACTTAATGCCAAATTTGGGGTAAAAGAGACTTACTCATGGAAGCTGCTTGTGCAATAATGGCTGTTTCGGATTTTTCCATTCCATAAGCGTGGGGCAATGTAGATGTAAATGCCCAACCTTTAGCTTCAAAGCCTAGAAAGAAGAGCTCACTTCAGCAGGTCTTTTTCTCTTTTTTTTCTTTTTTTTCTGGTTCCTGAAAGGAAATTTTACCGAATTTTCGGTTCAATGCATATGTACGTACCTTTAATAAGAGACCTGAATAAAGCTTCAGTTTCACCTTTTTTGGGTGTCAAATCAAGTGCCCAATATGCAATACCACCTTCTTCACCTGTCCCTTCACTTTCGTCCAAACCCAAAAATACCAAAATGACTTCTGTAACATTCTCTAAAGCAGTATCATCTTCATTCTTGTAAACGCGATCCACAACAGAAGCGACATCGTCGTACTCTACATATTGAATATTGCCTTTTTCGGTATAAATGGTCTGTTGATTGTTAAAGATCATGTATTTGGCTCTTTTGGAGTGTGCTAAACGTGACAAAAATCCGTTATCTGTTCTCTTCCAACCAAACCTATCATAAAAAACCTTATTGTCAGTATCTATTCAACAAAGGCATCTATATTACACGTCCGAACTTCTCTTTCACCTGTTGAGTGGATTGCCAGAAAATACAGCTACGTAATTATCAGGAAAAGGAAAGGTTGTTGGTGCTTTGTCCTCTACAGACGTTAAAGAGGTAGCAGGTACTGATAATAATTGAGCAATGGGTTCTTGGCCCCATAGAGTAGCCAACTGGCTAGCAGTTTTGCCATCATCCGTTTCAATGGTGAGATCAGCTTTGTTCTGCTTCAAGAGTTGAGCTACTTCTAACTGGCCGAAACGGGCAGCAAAGTGCAAAGGAGTCCAGCCACGTTCATTTTTATTATGGATTGACTTTATATTCTTTTTGATATATTCTAGATCGCCAGAAGCGGCTGCTTCGAAGATGTCATTACTGTTGTTGCTCATTCAACAATATCAATAAATTCTCTCTTCTTTGTTTCAGTTCCCAAAGGAAATTTTATCTTGCTTATAAATTAAGAAATTGAGATGACCACACTTTGAAGTAAAATTGAAAGACAGCAAAAGCACCATGCTGCCTATGGAAGGAAGAAGAGCACAGTAGAAGACATCAGGCTTCTATCATCAGCTTTTGTCCCATCTATGAACCGCAATGCAAAATTCAATTGTCAAACTTGTACCTGAATGTTTGTTGCCTTCCACCAATAATGGCGATGAAATTTTCAAGATATGCATGTGATAAAAAGGGACGGAAATGCAAGTTAAAAAGATCCCTCATAGAAAAAACACACATGCATAAGCTTTATTAGTATTGTGAATGGTCTGTCTGCCTTCTGTACTGATTGTTCATGAAGGAATGTTACTGCATTTTTTGATTGAATGAAATCGTCGTAGCCTGGCGCGACGCGAATCACAGCATATCTTAAGAGTGTACACCTTGGTGGGTACGGCGGTGTAGGTTATTGGACGGGCTAACCTTACAAAGTAAAGTCAATGGTTCTAAAACAAAAATTCGATGGTGGAACATCAACCTTGACAAAGGCTTTTGCTTTTGTCAATTTGGGAAAAAACAAATTGATATCTCTCTTTGAGTATCCGTGAGGTTGGATACAGTTGGTTTGCTCCCTCCAATTATAGTAAAATAACTAATCCTTTTTTATTATACAATCTAATTTTCATAATCTGCCATCACTTCAACAAGTTCCAGAAGCCATTCGCTATACTTGTTATGATTCGCTTTTCGAACTTCGTCATAGGTAGTCGTATTACTATCAGCAGCAGTACAACTATTATGCTTAATTTGCTGTTGTTCATCATCCTGATCCAAATTAATGTCATGGATCAAGCCAAGTAATATACGGTATTCGTCAAAGCTGAACTTAGGTCCGTTTTCTTGGATAGACTTGATAATTCCTTCACTTCCCAGCTGAAATATTTGGTAATATTCTTTAGCCCTTTCCATGATACTACACTGCGAGGTAGGGACAAGGTTATTCATATTTTGTTGTAATGCCAGAATATTACGAAGCATTTTTTGTATGCCATTTTTGTTCAGACGTTTTATATAAGATGCTTCCGATATAAGAAGATGGACAATGAGGCGTGGTAAGCCATCAAATACGAATCTATAATATTATTAATCGATTATCAGTAAATAACAGATAGTGCACTGTAATTACTTTAAACTTACTCTTCATCGCGAGGCGGTAGTGATGCGTTGACACTTTCACTCAGTTCCATCAAATCTGCATTCAGTGTAATGATATATGGATCAGGTTCAAAGGTTTCATCCTCCAGATAATAATTGCCATCACGAATGGCTAACTCCAGATAATACATCGTATGATTACGTGCTTCTATTCTTAATGTAAACAGACACGTCTCAGCAAGTTGCTGATATGTCGTAAGTAGAGCATCAAACCGCCTTGATAGATTATGCACATTTTAGTTTTCAATTTCTTCCAAAAGCAAGTCATACATTGTCAGTTATCTTACTTTGCTATATCTTCCGTTAAAGCTAGAGAAACCTGCAGCGTGTTATATTGACTTTCGTCTACAGTAGGAGATGACCCTTCCTCCACCGGCTGTGGTGGCATATCCTGTGTTGACCACCGTTTCGTATTTTTTAGTCCATTCGTAGGATGATATTGCTGTTGTTCCTGGTTGCTGGCTTTTACGGCAGTAGCCTCCTTCACTGAAGGCGAGCGCAGTGTCCATATTTCTCTAACGAACCATTTTATCGTATGATAAAGTCGTCCCAAAGCAATATGCTTTTTGGGCTCAAACATTAATTCGTTTGTTTCTAATACTCTATCATTTTTTAACTTCAATTCCATGTTTATTTCCTAATGTAACGCAAAATATTAACGTTAATAACGAATAAATTTTGGTCAACAAAGTATCTATTTCCTTCTACTTTACTGCTTGATGTAGCGCTTTAATGAACTCTGGATCGGACGCCTAAATTGATAGAAAGAGGTATGTGTTTGAGCCTCATTCTGCGACGTATACTTCACCAACTGATAGTAAATACTATGAACACTTACCGTATCTTCGTCAAAAAGAGAGTTTTGACATAGTAAGCCTACTAAACTCTCATCTTGGGCCCAGTCACCACTTGTACTGATAGTAACATCCGTAACATTGTTGTTAGTGGAGCTATCAATAATAGAGGAGGCTCCTTTGGCCACAGTGGCTATACAAAAAAAAGTTAAAAAAGAAAACAACCAAAATAAAATAAAGCTGTTGTTGAAGATAGCCTCAATCGTATTAAAATCTAACATATTAACTTACAATAAAACCTTTGGTAACATTTTTCATAAAATTTGAGAAGAACAACTTCAATCAACCGAACATATTCATCTGTATGAAAGGGCATAATATGCATAGTACGGCAGAGACTTTGAATAACTGATATCAGGGCAACAGCACTCTAAAGGAGAATATAGATTGAGAAAAAATTGTATGAAGAGACATCAACTCTTAATTGTAGAAGTATATAAAATACCTTGGTAATAGGGTATTTGGAATAATTGTGATAATCACGGGCGTCTTGGAAAGCATCGATACCAACAGTAGCATGTTGTATCAATTGCATGACCTTCTCTTCAATTTGAGGCAAGAAAACATTAACAGCAAAGTCATCCAAAAAGCTACCAAATGCTTCTTCATTGCGGTCATCGCTTAAACAAGAAGGTTTAGTATTTTTGTAAAGCCATGCGTGTGTGAATAAATCTATATTAACTACACTTACTAATCTGGAAACACTTCTTTTACATGGCTCAAGAACGACATTGTTGGCTTTAACAGAATACTGACATTATAGGCATCGGGCTTGATTAGTACTTTGTGGCCTTTTGAGGACATATTATTGATGGCGTATTTATCTATGATAGTGGAGTGTGTATGGATAGTTGACGGATCAAATCCTGGTATCTGTTTTCTCTTGAATGTGAGGAAGAGTTTTTGTTTCAAATCATCATAGGTCGCTTCCGTGTCCTCGTCATTTCTATCATTGGTGTATGAATCATCATACGCTGTTTCTGCTGCAAAGCTGAAAAATTTATTTTGAGAAATGTTATTACTGGCATTCGTGTTAACAACAGGGTCATTCACGGAAACAATGTTTTGGTAAGAGTTCGTTAAATAATCTTGCAAAAGGGATTTAATCTATTCAAAGAGCATTTTCAGTGTGTCTATATAAGCAGGCTCGTTTGTTCAGTTGATAATGCATTTTTATGTTTACCTCTGACTGAATAGGTTTCCAAATTTCGTGGAAATGATAAATATTGATACTGGAACCTGAACCTGTAACAAATCCATGAGCTTATCTGCTCTTTGAAGATACCATCCAGCACCAGATGTGCTTACCTTCTTCTAAATCAATCATAGTACCAGATAATAGCCTCTATACAAGACAAATACCATTAAGTTACCACTACTCTGCAAAATTTAGGATAAAGCACCTTAGAAATTACCTGTTTAATATGTCTAGCACATGTCTCTACAAATCGATGGCCTGTTAATACTGATTTCAATTTTGAGAACAAGGTCCATAAGAGGTCTTTCAAAATTTCATTTTTCGCTTCTGAATTGGCTTTGTCCAAGCAATATATATCATATTCGTCACTGTTATTCTTATCGATCATTGAATAGCCGCTATGGTTATCCTTATTATGGTAGCTTTGTATTTGATGTGTGTAATGACTCCATTGGTTAGAATGTCTTTGTTCTACTTCAGCAATTGTCTTGTCGACGAGTGTATGAACCTCAACAGGCAGTCTCTCTTGGATGGTCTATGGGTTATTACAATTTTTAGTATACTTGTTCCTCTTGCTATACGTTTTTCTGTTTTATTACCTGCAAAGCAGATGAAATCTCGCCCAATACAAGTAACGATTCCATGATAAGTTCCATGTAATAGTAGGAGTCGGTATCTGGGTTTTTATCAGGATCTTCTGCTAACTACCGTAAGAGAATCACACTGGATTAATATGGATACAAAAGCTACGATACAAGCACTTTTAGAAAAACATACAATATCGTTTTCCTCAACAAGCACCTCCTGAACCGTACGAGCATCTGAATATGATATTAGATTAAAAAGAAATTCAAGACTTGAAGGTTCAAAAGTATATCTTTACCTTTCGTTTGGTTTTGATCCATTTGTCTTGGCTTAACTGAAATTTCAGGCACTGATTAAGAAGCCAAAATATACATGACGTTATGTAGTTGTCCCATTAGCGAAAAAAAACAAAACATCAACCTACGATCTTGTTGTCCTGGGGTGTAAGCTGTCCATCTTGAATCGCAATATGGATTCTTCAAATACAAATGGTTGTGAAGCTCTTCAATTAAAGTATCATATAACAACTATTTGTATAAAAAATTTAAGCATTAGACTTTCTATCTTCCATCCTTAGCTATCAACCAATTTTTGTGGGTTATTCTCACATTTTTTTGGGACTTCAAGTTTCTTCTAATATCGTCCAAAGCACCAATCTGCATCATATCCTTATTCATAGCTTGCTTCAACGAACGGCTAACTAATTTTGAAGCGCTTAATACCTGCTTGTTCTCCATGAGCGCATCTATCTTTTCCGGAGTCGTTCGTAATTCCTCACTACGATTTATTGCACATATTACCAATTTTTTTTAGATCGCTCTATCCTTTTTTCTCAGCTGAGAAGAAATTCTCTTACATTGTCTCTAATATGCTTAGCATTTCTTTGTATTGTTGAGATTTATACCAGAGGTTCAACAGATCGTTTCTTTTCAACAACAAATCTTCTTTACAACGCTTTAAATTATTTTTAATATGTACAACTCTGTTGGAAGAATCTTTCTCAATTTGCTTTAGTTATTTTCTTTTTTTTTTATAACGATCACAATTGATGATAAGTATGCTTACCATTAATATACTGTAAAACACCCCCAAAGGTACCGATAGAATTGTTGAATCCGCGATAATAATCTAAAAAATGTTTATATGTCAAATGGCAATTTATAGTAAACCATCGAGTAGGAGCGTTGCTGAAAGATAATAATTACCATTGACAATTGTTTTTAAGGCCATATCTAGATTGTACAAAATACGCTGAAAGGCCTTATAATCTTTCTTTTTACCAACTGAGCTATCATCCATAAGCTTTAAAGTAAGCGACACTGGGTCAAACTAAGAAGGATACGTGTGTCATTCAATCACGTTAGCCAATGACTAAAGTTGCTGGTGGTTCAATTATATATATTACTGTACGTCATCTTCCAACATGAACTGCCACCCTTCGTGAATTTCTCTCAAGACAGCTGGTTAAAAGGTGAAACGTTGAGTATCGTTTGACAACTCATTTATTCAGTTAAGGTTTTCGATGTCAAGTTGCATCTACCTTCGAATTGGGAGAAATCGCTTTCATAATTATTGTCATCCATCTGGTCTGCTTGTTGTTCAACGTCCTCTTCGTAAAGTTGTTGAGGTGGTATATATTTCTGCCGAACAACGGTTTTACTTCGTGAAGCAGTGGACCCAATCGTGCTGGGAGATGTTGGATAAGTAGAGTTGCTCATGTTTCTTAATTAGTTGTGTGCCACTGTCAAACCAAAAAGAAATAGCAGTAGTATGTATTAAATAACAGCAGTGAACAAAAAGTTTATGGAGAGGCAAATCCCAATTTTACTGCTTTATTTCAGCAAACACAAAAGGCACATTTCAGCCCAAGTCCGCCTGTTATTCTTGTAATAGATGCTTCGTCTACTGTCACAAAGCAATGACTCGAACCTTAAGTCTAATTGAAGGTAGTTTTATTGTGAATGATAATCTATGTGTGAATAAGATTCAGAGATATTAAATATGTGGGTTGAGAATAGACGTTTCTATTCTCAAATCTCATCCATTGATTCGACTGCTTGATTTTTCTGTTCCTGATTTCTTCCTTCCTCGCCTCTTGCAATTCGACGTAAAGATATGAAATCAGCCATCAAAGCTGTTTCTTCTTCAATTATCTTGAACACATCTAGCATAGACTGTCCTTTTCGTTTCATTAACAATAAAGCCTTTTCACGAACTCCCTTATCCTCCTCACTCAAAGCAGCAATCAATAAACAAACACGTTGCAATGTGAAGAGGCCTGCATCCAATCGACGTACATATAAATCTGCTTCAAAATCTTCTAACTCTTCTTCGACTCCCACGTCTTTCTTTAACTCTTCCAGATCTTGCTTCACCATTTCATCCTTATTTTCGTATTTTTCTTTTAGCTCAATAAGTCGATCCACCTTCTCATAATCATCTTCTGTAAATTTGAGTATTACTCTCATTCTTTGTACGTCGTCTTGTCGTAAGTTTCGTAGCAAAGAAAGAATAATGCATGAGATATGTTCTACCCACAACAAAGAATAGAAACTTTTAGATAAGTTGTATTTTGTCGATTGCTCCAAATCATTGCTTTACCCTCGTCTTCTGACTCGTTAAATGCTGATTTGTGTGATTTAGATAATTTTTTATTATTCTAAAATCGACAGAAAAGGTTAGGGTTAATCCGCTTTCTTCTTCTTTCATACCAATAATGGTTGGATATAATTTACCTTTCCCATGAAGAGTGGAAAAAGTACTTTCAGTCCGGAGACATCAACGAAGCGTATACATCTATCTCGGCTAGATCCATTCAGCGCATAATTCAATACTTTGACAGCTCTAATTCTGGCAAGTGTTCTTTCTCTAAAATTTCAAGACATTGAAACATACAGAAATCAGAGGCTAATTGTAAGAATAAGCGGCAGTAGTAATTCCTTACTTTAACATAATAACCATCAGTTCAATGCCTTCACAATCTAAAAAGCGTTTCTTGTTTTCCTCCTCGTTCAGCAATAAACAGAGGCCATTGAAAAGGTTCTCCACCATTTCTGATTCATCTTCGGTTTCTGCATCTTTACGTCTGTAGCCCTAATGAAAATGTGCTGAATTATTATCTCGCCTATTTGTACTCACACGGTAAAAAATAGCTTACAGCTAATAAAGTTAGTAATGTATCTATGCCATCCAGTTCACCGACTTTCAGACGAATGTCTCTGTTATCTTGCAATAAAATGGATAGTATTTCGCTTGCATATTCAATGTTGGCATCAAATTCTTTCTTTTGTAGTCTCTTTAGCAACCAAGGTAAAATGTCTGTTTTTAGAGCTATATCCTCTGCATATTTAGGTTCCAAAGAGATAATGTTTTCGAAAATCCCCATTGTTTTGAAAACACCTTGTCGGTCGGCTTCTTCGTCTTCATTTAAGCGGCCCAAATTTTGCACAAGCAATGGCAAGAGTTCATTTTCCAGCTAGAAAGACAGTCAACATTAGTGAAAAACATGAATGTTCTGTTTGCTGTTGGATTGATCGTACCATGGCTTCTACAAATGATTTGATACCCTGTTGAACTTCTTCCGTTCTTTCTAATTCTTCGTCTGAAGATCCAACGCCGACATCTTCATCAATCAATTCATTGATCAAATCAATTGTGTCAATAGCAATATCTGTATTCTCGTGGCTCAATAATGATAGAAGAGAAGCCACGCTGCCCAGCTTGACAAATTCTGGATAAAGGTGAGGGGCTTCTGTCAAGGCTAAAAGATTTTTGATTTCTTCATCTAAATCCGCTTCTGATTCCATGAATTTTTCAGGCTGATCAGCATAACGAACTCTCATTTCTTGGTTCTTATTGATGGCTTTTTCAAACTTGAGTATCATTTTTTTGACATTATTCGCGGTGAGTGCTTCTGTCTGTATGATGCGGTTTTATAGAGAAAAAAATTTTAAGTTTTTCGTGACATATTTCAATGTCGAGTTAATTGAGTGAACGAACCTCCTCCGCGTCGTATTCGTCAACCAAATCCAAAATATTACTTTGCTCTTCTGTTAATCCACCACCAAAAAAGCGACCTTCCTCATCCTCTAAGTCAACATCGACGTCGTCTTTGTACTTTTCTCCGCCATATACATCATCTTCATCCTCATCACTGAGTTTACTGCGTTTACTCGAAGGCTCTCCCGCTATAGTACTCGTTACTGTGGCAGCGTCTGGAAGCTCCGAAGCATCTTTATACTTATCAAAGAACTGAATATCAGGTGTAGCTGGCATTTTTCTCTTGTTACGTCCTGCAGGAATTGCAGGGATCTTTTTATTTTTCACCGAAAGTTTGAATGACACCAAGGGAAAAGTGAGATAAGTATAGATCTTATGAAGTATAATAGAAGCAGTAGATTACTCTGAAGTTTCTTTTTCTTTACCTTGAAGATGTCATCGATGTTCATACTGATGTGCAAGCTTTTTCAAAAAAAAAAGGGAGCCAGAGAAAAATGAAAATCTGACGAAGACAATGGTGCCTTCATCTACACTTCTTTTGGAATTAAAAGCCCGCTTAATGTTGCATAAAATCCAAGAGTAGGTTAGAGCATGCTTCAACTATCTCTTCGGCCCATGATGCAGAACATAACTGCACTAGTTATTTCTCAAAGTCACTCAGAATGTTATATTGAGCATAAGAAAACACAATTAAATATATACTGACGTTCATAACATTGTGGAAATACGCGTTTTGTTCGTTTACTAATGCAAGAAAAAGATCGTCTAAAACTAAGTCGTTTAGGTCTAATTTAATACGGGTTGGTTTTATTCAATCTGCAAAAGAAAGAAAAAAAAAATATGATATGTATTCTAAAGGATTCAAATTTTCTAATTGTTCATTCTTAATTAAACGTGTTATTGGGATAGATTTTCATTATTGTTGTTGAAAGCTACTGATGGATAAGATGTCATATTACCATTGATGGAAGGCTCTGCTATTGCTGTATTTTCCTGAGGAGTAGACGCTAACTGCTGCTGGGAAGGTAGAGAAGAGGAAGGTGTAGGAAGCTTCGGTGGCGATGCAGTGGTAGTGACAGTTGATGGAGGATGGAAACTATAATTTGTTTGCCCAGAAGAAACCAATGAAGAGCTGCTTTGCACGGGTAGTTTATTGTTATTTGCTGGTGCAGGTGGTGGCTGAGGACGTATAGGGTGGTAAAGTGGATTGCTCAATGAAGGTTGAGCAGGATTTGAGGCATTAGAAAAATGAGACTGTGGCTGTTGTCGCTGTGGATATGTTTGCTGAGTTTGAGACTGAGAGATTTGATAAGGTACAAATTGTCTGGAAGGTAAAGAGTTATTATGATGATGTTGCTGCTGCTGCTGCTGCTGGTACGATTGATGAACATAAGGCTGTGGCGAAGTCTGCTGTGATAGATTAGCAGTACCATTGTAATAGTCTTTAGTGGCAGTAGAGGCTACATTATCAGTGTAGGAATAAGCGTGCGGTTGCTGCTGGGTAGATCTTATAGAAGGTGAATTATTAGATGAGTAGTACGATCCCTGATGTTGTGATTCCGTTGAAGAGTTTATAGGCGCAGAAGGGTAAATTCGAACTGAAGACGACGATATTTGATGCTGTGGCTGGGGGCGCCAGGTCATCTGCATGGAATCAATTGAAGTTTTTTGTTGTTGTTGTTGTTGTTGTTGTCGAGGTAACTGTGAACGGTAATAACCTGTTGCCATCGTGGGCACTGCATTGGATACAGGGTAACCAGCATCATAATAGTTCATTCTTTGTCTCTTGTGACTATATGATTGCTGCTCATCACCGATGTCCACTTCCACTTCCTGCTCTTTTCTCTCACAACTCGAACAGATAAAGCTAATATTATCCAAACTCTTTGACTTGTCTACATATCCTGATTTCTGTAAGCACTTGATATGTTGCCAGACTCCACATTTCTCGCATGCAACCATAGGTTTTCCATCATCCTACAGATGTTTTAAAGATCAGCTCATTGTATCTGGTCACGAGTAGTATTCAACTGAGGTCTTACCAAGTTCTGTCCAGAGACACCGCATACACAAGCGAACATCCAACTTTCGTCGTCAGGATTTCTGTTTTTTGGCTTCCTACCTCTTTTCTTTGGTGGGATAGGATTACCATCTTTATCCAACCTTGGCTTTCTTGGAATAGGATTGCCATTTTCGTCCAGCTTTCGAACATATTTACGTTTAGGTTTCTGATCCTTTCCTTCCTGAGCGGTGGTTTGCTTTGTCTTTTTCCCTTTCATCTCAGTTGTAGTTGGCGTTTTGGCATCATTATTGACATCGTTCGCCACCTTATGCTGTGGTTGTTGCTGCTCAACAATAGTTGTGCCTCCGGCAGTATCTTGCCCTTCTTGCTGACTATCATTTTCTTCTTGCTGTTGTTGACGCTTCTCACGTTGTAATGCTCTATATTCACGTTCTTGAATGCGTCTCTCACGTTCTAATAAACGCTGTTCTCTTGCATTAGCAAGCATTTCCTTCTCTTTTTCCTCCTTTTCTTTAGCTTTCTGTTCGATACGGTTCGATGTTCGACCACTACGACGATGGCCATGAGCACTTGCGGTTGCTGCTATGGCCTTGTCTTCCAATTCGGCTGAAGCAGCACGCTCTAATGCCTCCAACTCTTTGATCATAATACGTGAACTGCGTTTACGGTTGAGTAGTGCTTCTTGCTTCCTCAATTCTTTTTCATGCTCCTCAATGACGGGTAATACTTTTGGTAAAAGATCATCCACTAAGAGTTGATAAAATCTCTGTTCATCGACATTTTTGCTGTGCTCATATTTTGCTGGAAATTGTTCCCATTCTAGCTTAGAAGAGCAAACCTTTATAATAAAAATAAATGTCAATTTATTCAGCTTCTATGTCCATCCAAGGATCTATGTGAAACATTATGAAATTTTACCAGCTTCCAAGGCACCCATTCACCTTCATCCTCACTCTCATCTTCTTCCTCAGCTGTATTGCCAGCTGTACTTCTACGAGAGCTTCTACGCACAGGTGTTAAACGCTTTCTTTTTCTACTGTTGGCTGTTGATTTCTTTGCTGCTGGCTTTTTCTTTGGTTTCGGTGTTTCTTTGTATAATCGGTTGTCATCGAATAACCAAAATGTGCTACCTTTTTTATCAAAGCCAATAGGATCTACCCTCTTTAATAATTATCTGTGAGGTGAGCATTTCAAAGACGAGAGAAAAGCATCATTACAAACACTGTGATGAATGTCATTTGACTTACCCATTGAGCAGCATCGTCCTCTGATTCTAGATGTTCTCTAAACCTTTCGGGATCATCTAATTGCCACTGAAAGGTATTAAGTATAAGGGTAAAGACAATTGAGTAAAGCTGCGCATCTCTTTAAGATATATGTTTTGAGACGAAAAAAATAGCTATATACCTCACAAAGCATATATAGCAAATAAACTTTGGTATCCAAAGGTAAGGTAAAATAGTTGATCAGTTCTGGTTTTACGTTACGAGTGGATGCAGTTGAAAGATTTTCTTTATCAGTGTTCTCCACGGGTTCCTCTTTTACTTCATCCGTCTTCTCTTCCGTTTCTTCTTGCTGCTGCTGTGTTGTATCATTGCCGGAAGTTGTTGGTAGGAAAGGGTTGGTCTGATCGAATTCTCGTTTATCAAACTCTTTCGAAAAGTACGTTTGCCAGTTTTGCACGCTAAGTGTTATGTAAGTAGCAATATTGATGTGTCAAAATCAACGGTATAGACAATATCGGTCCAAAATTAACAAGACGTTACTTTATGAATCTATTACGTGTTAGCACACGTAACATTCGGATCAGTAAATCTTCAAAGCGTACTCTCTCTGCAGTGTCTAACATCATACGCTCAAGGTCCTGTCAAATAAGAATTTTAATTCGTGAATTTCATGCAAATAATGCAGTTGCACAACTGTTCCCCTTCCTTTTCATTTATGCCCTTCCAAACCACTAATATGGATATATGAAAAATAGTGCATTACCTCTGTTTCAAAGACGTATTCGTCTTTATGACTATTCGAATGTATTGATGTATGTGACTGACGCGCATACAGTACATCTTGCACGGAGGCTGGCCAAGGGCGAAATGCCGATTGAAAAGTATGTAGAAATTGGGCGGTGGAAGCAAAGTTAAGATTGTTCCGTAATTTGCTGATCTGCGGAAGTGAAGTATTCATTCGACAACAGCTGTTTTCAGTAAATCAAGAAAAAAAAACCGGTTATCTAATGTGTAATTTTGAAAAATATTGAAGGATAGAAGAAGCCAGGTGGGTTAATAAAGGGAAAGGAGATATCTTCTTCAGTTGTACGTTTCAATAAAAGAAAAAATAAAACAATTCGGCAATTTTTTTTTTTTTTTTTTCGGTCCACCCACTTCCCTTGTTGGGCTGTTACCACGAAATATAATTGATTTACCGCAGATGAGCGAATGGCAAGAGCCATGGTAAAAAATTAGACCTTAACTCTTTGGTTGACTTTGAGTCCTCACTTAAAAGAATGGGATAATTCTGGATTCTATACATCTAATAGAAGTGTGCGTTCAGCTCAGAGCAAAGTATTTTGGCCATACTTCATCACTAATTTAGATAAAGGCGATGTATCGTATAGTTTAGTATTTAAAAGAGCATGTTAATCGTAGATTTAGAAATACAGCGACTTACGTATGTCTATCACGCACGGCTTTCGCAATACTTAAAATCATTGTAGAATATCGGTTTCCATTGTTGCAGTGTAAAAGGCTCAATTTTACTTTTAGTGGTGCAAAATATAATTCATGTGGTAGAAAACGGTGTATATCCCTGCCGCTAGTTTGCTTCCAGCCTGATTTTGTTCATAGCAAAACGTCTTTATAGAGGACTTCATCGCAAAATATTGGAAATTCAGAGTAATCTACTTCATGTATTACGAAGCTTTGCCTTACTTGTTTTTTGAACTATTTGGCTTACCAGAACGACATACTATTGAAAGGCTTCTATGCCTGATCTTTCCAGTATAAGCATTTGAATAGTAACGTCCTCTTTGTGTGCAGAATTTTGTGCTTTTCTATTCTGGTGAAACATCCGCTGGTATACTGAACTATTTCAGCTTGCTTTTCAACCAAAAACACATGCAAACTATTACAGTAACTATTTTGGTCGTGGCTCACCAAGACCACAATAGAAACCCGTCGTGTTCAAGGACTCATTTTTAGCAATTCGCACAAGAAGTGGCCTAACTCGCCAATCATCGCTCTCGTAGACATATGACAAAGTTTACAACTATGTGGAATAAGATCAAATGCCAATCATTAATTTGGACTAGCACTTCTGCGAGGTCATACGGCTTAAACGAGACATATACAATTAGAAGAAGCGAATTTTTAAAGAGAACATAAGGAATAGCAGAAGATGAAGTAAAAGAGCATGTCAGACCACAAACCGAAAATATCATTATTTGTAAAAAAGAATGTAGACGGTTTGAGAGGCAACGGAAGGAAGCGAGACGAACTGATAGTATAGCTTGAGATGAAAGGTGAATAGTACATATAAGCTATATTCAAGCGAATAAAGGAAGAAAAAAGTATACAAGTATTGTAGACGCCTATAGAATGGTGTATGCTTCGCTTGGTATTCCTTTCCTATGTTTACTACAACTAAACTAGCGTCACCAAGGGAAGGGCCGAAGTAAGTCGGTGCAGCAAATGAGGAAACGTATTTTGCGTCGACAAGACAAAGTCAGAAACAACGAATTCATAGAAGGCAACACACATGAAAACATGTTATATAAATGTGCGCATTACTACTATGAAGGGTTATTGCGCTTTCTTATGCACTATAAAAATCTCTCCTATTGTCTGTAATCATTTTCCATAATACCGCTGCATATCAACAAGACTTTTGATGTTGTATGTGTATTATGTGTAAGCAAATCAAGGTAGCAAATAGGTCAAGGTGTAAACATTTACTGCCGCCATTTGAGAGTAAAAATATACAGACCCTTCTTCAAATGCAACTAGAATCTTTGTTACAATTATGATAACTTTGGCAGAAAAGGTGACCTTCCACGTGATTGTTGTTACTATTGTTGTTTCTAAATCTGTCTTTGCGTGTTTTTTTTTTTTGTTTTTTTTTGTTGGTTGTTTCTCCACTTTTTTTTTTCATTCTTTTCTTGTCTTTTTTGATTATTCTCGATTTTTTTTACAATAAATAGACAGGAATAGAAAGCAATCTTTTTTATACCGGCCTTGTTTCTTTTACTGTATTTCTTTCATTCTTTACCATTGTTTAACTTTTAACGCACGTTTTCAATCAATAATACAAAGGAAAACTACAGATAATTCAAGTAGAGAAAAAGGAACAGCAACAGTCTTTCTTTTCCGCAACTACTTGTTTACCTGCTTTTTTATTCATTCCATCAAAGATCGCTTCTTTTCATTAACCCTTCAATGCCAATGTCGCAAACGGACACAGCGTCTACCATTCAGCCAAGTTTAGATGAAACAAAAACTGGCAATTCAACTCTCATTACCAACAGCACAACAAATAACCCGGCCGATTCTATTTTGAAACAATCTCAACCACCATCAGTAATAAAGAAAAAAGAAGACATCACAACTCGTAGCAGCTCAAGCAATAACAACTCAAAAATGAAGAAAGGTACGTAATTATCGTACACATTTCTTTCTTTTTTTTTTTTTTTCTTTTTTTGTATGATGTTCGCTCAGAAAATGTATGACAAAATAAATAACCCAACACTACGATTTTCTTTATGACAGAAAAAGGGAAGAAGCAAATCGATTCAGAACGTGAAAAATCTACTCGTTCATCTACTAAAGCAGGTGCAGGTAACCATAATGCGAACAAAAAACAAAAGGCAGCTTCAACCACGTCAACTCCCAGCAGTAAGCGCTCATTAAAGCAATTTACAAGGAAAAGTGGAGGCTTTCTATCGTTACTACTGTGCTGCACCGTGGGTGGAGCAAGCCATTTTTTGGACAACAGTGATAAATCATCAATGAATCACCATAAGAACACCAATAAATCATCGTCGTCCCTCACTTCTTCTATTACTTCCTCTATAACAAAACGAAAGAATAACAATCAACAACAACAACAAGTGATACCAGTACAGATTGAAAAACAGCAGCAACAAGGACAATCAGTTCATGCCACCAACAACGAAGAACCCATTGAAGAAAAAGAAGAAAAAGTCAAAGAGCAACCTTCGCCTCAAGACGATCAAATTATACCTCCACCGCCCATTATCACCAGCCCCGCAGAACTGAATAAATTGAATACAGCTAATCAGCAAGCTCAATCTACGGCAGAAGAAAGTCAGGTATCAACGTCTTCATCCACGAATAGCCCTTCAAGCCCTCCTCTTCCACAATCTTCTACTTCACCCGTAAGTAAGTTTTTTCTCATCTTTGTTATAATGAAATTCTATGTTTCTTAATTAGATTTGCTTTTTTTTTTCCCTTTCTTTTGGGGTTTTGATGTATCAAGGGACCGGTTGTTTGGCTACTACCTCCATTAGCTAATGAAGACAAGGAAAGGAAATGTCTCGTGCTTGACTTGGACGAAACGCTCGTCCATAGCTCTTTTAAAGTAAGGATTAGTATGCTACTTTATGTACGTTTAAGTGTTTATTCACTGACGTCCTTTTCTCTGTTAGATCATCCCAAATCCCGATTTTATTGTACCAGTAGAGATTGATAATCAATATCATAATGTTTATGTATTAAAACGCCCTGGCGTGGATGAATTTATGCGCAAAATGGGCGAGAAGTACGAAATCGTTGTATTCACTGCCAGTCTCGCTAAAGTGAGTGAATCTTGGAGAATCTGTCCTTTTGATTTTTCATTTTACTAAATATTTGAGCATATTTCTAGTACGCCGATCCTGTCCTCGATATGTTAGATATTCATCGAGTTGTAAAACATCGGTTATTTAGAGAATCGTGTTTCAATCACAAAGGAACCTACGTTAAGGTAAAGTAATGAAATAGAATCAGGGGGAGGGGAGAAAAGCGTAGGAGCAGGAATGAGAGACAGTAGTGGTAATGAAACTCCTATTAACAAAAATGCATCATTATTATAGGATCTTTCACAATTGGGAAGAGATCTGGCTTCGACTTTAATCTTGGATAATTCACCTGCAAGCTATATATTCCACACATCAAATGCTGTGCCAGTGTCAACCTGGTTCAATGATCCACATGACACCGAATTAACTGATCTGGTTGCCTTTTTAGAAGATTTAACAGTCGTAGAGAACGTGCAACTTGTATTGGACAACTCCATTGATCCCACCGCCACATCCACGAGCAGTAGTGGCAACCTTGTGCCCTCTACTGCTTAAGAATAAGTTATTTCCCCTCGTTAAATTATTACCATTTAATACTCTTTATTATACTTCTTAAAATAATTCCACAGCAACAAACAACATTACTATCTTTGTTTCCACCCAATTACATGCTCAAATTACCAGAATTTATGCCTTTGAAATAGCCATTCCTTCGTCATATCATTCATTCTTGTTCGAATACAACTCAAAATAGATAGTAGCATACCCCACCCCTCGCACTTAATGATTGCCTTTCTACCACCTATCATCTCTTTTTTTACAAGTTTGATTTTTTTTTTCTTTTTTGTATTTAATGATATTATTCAATAAAAAGAAAACCTTTAATCACTCAAAACATGGCCAATAAAACAATTATACCATGTTGTGCTGTCTTTTTATCGAAAATCGCTATGGTCGCACAGCTATTTTAAAGATCTCGGAAACAACGCTTTTCCTCAATTGGTACCTGGATAAAAATTTAAGATTTCTTGTTCACATCAAAAAAGAAAAAAAAATAAATCCTAAATTTACCAGTACTCACTAGTATATGGGTTTGCTCTTCTATTTTCTTTTTCAATTCTTACACTTTTATCATTCCTTCTTCAATACAGCTTCATCTAAAACACCTTACTCTTCTATATTCTGAATAAAATGGCGGTTATATCACCACAAGAAGTCGCAAAACATGATAAAAAAGGTAGCTTTGAAATAAAAAAAATCGAAAAACTCAAGCTATTTATCCTTTTTGTTTTTTCCGATATAAGATATCTAAATGTAATACTACACTATCTTTTTTTGAAACAGACGATGTTTGGGTTATCATTCATGGCAAAGTCTATGATCTAACTCAATTTCTTCCAGAGCACCCTGGAGGGCAAAAAATCATTATGAAGTATGCGGGCAAAGACGCTACAAAAGCTTTTGAACCTATCCATCCCCCAGATATCATCGAACGCTTTTTGTCACCAGAAGTGTGTAAAGGCTCGATTGATGAAGGTGCATTAGCTACTCAACCTGTTGAAGAAAGTGAAGAGGACAAACGTATTCGTTTAGCCCGAGAAAAAATGCCTCGTTTAGAAGAAATGTATAACTCGTTCGATTTTGAAAGTAAGCACTCTCTTACTGATACACTATTACAGATTCAGCTACATATATTTGGTATTGCATAATGCTGAATTGGAACGTTGCCCTTTTTTTTAATGCTTTTTTTTTTGGTTTTGCTTGAATGTGAAGCTGTGGCCAAAAGTATTCTTAAAGCCGATGCTTGGGCCTATTATTCATCAGGTGCTGATGATGAAATTGCCATGCGTGAAAACCATAACGCTTTCCACCGTATTTGGTTACGTCCCCGTGTCATGATAAATGTAAAAGACGTCAATAGTTCTACCACAATGTTGGGCAGTCGCGTTTCTATGCCATTTTATGTTACAGCCACAGCATTAGGTAAATTGGGACATCCAGAAGGTGAAGTGGTTTTGACAAGAGCGGCCTACAAAAAGAAGGTGATACAAATGATCCCCACACTAGCTTCTTGTTCCTTCGATGAAATTGTGGATGCCGCTCAACAACCTGAGCAAGTACAATGGCTTCAGCTGTACGTCAATAGTGACCGTGCTGTGACAGAAAAGTTTGTTCGACATGCTGAAGCGAGAGGCATGAAGGGACTGTTCATTACTGCTGATGCTCCTCAGTTGGGTAAAGTGCACCTATACGCAATAAGCTAATTTAACAAATGTTGAGGGGAAACGTCTACTGAAAAAAAAAAAACAAAAAAACTACATCGTCAATAACATTGCGGAACGTTCAAATTCACGGATGCTGTGTACTCGTGTGTGTGTGTGTGTGTGTGTGTGTCTGACATATGTATATAACGAACCTCTGCTAATCAGTTGAATTGTGGGTTATGATAGGTCGTCGTGAGAAAGATATGAGACAGAAATATTCTCAAGAAGAACCTGATGAAATTGCCAAAAGTGATACAGAATTCAACCGTGATGAAGGAGCTGCTAGAGCTATTAGTGCCTTTATTGACCCTGCCCTTTGCTGGAATGACATTGCTTGGTTCAAGTCCATAACAAAAATGCCGATACTGATCAAGGGTATTCAGACTCCTGAAGATGCTGTATTGGCTGCTAAACATGGATGTCAAGGTGTCGTGCTATCGAATCACGGCGGCCGGCAATTGGATTTCGCCCCTTCGTCTATTGAGATTTTAGCAGAAACAATGGAGGCCTTGAAAAAAGAAAATTTGGATAAGAATTTTGAAGTTTATATTGATGGTGGCATTCGACGTGGTAGTGATATATTCAAAGCCATTGCGTTGGGAGCGAAAGGTGTTGGAATTGGTAGACCCTTTTTGGTAAGCCTTCTTTTCACAGATCGTTTTGAATTATATCTCAGAGAAGAAACAGTAGACTAACAGACATTTCCTTTTCTAAGTACGCTATGTCAGCTTATGGTGAGGATGGTGTTGTCAAGCTCATGCAATTACTACAGGTAGGAGAGACTGAATATCTGAAAATAATGTTTAAACCCGTATATTTAAAATAAGCTCGTCGTTTTACTTGTAGGATGAGTTCGAAATGGTAATGCGTTTAATGGGTGTCACGTCAATTGAAGAAATCAAGCCAGAAATGGTTGACATACGTAATATCAAGGATCATTTTGTAGCCAGTCCTATTGATTATTTGGCTCATAAATCTTACGAAGCCATACAACCAAGGGGAAAACTAGCCAAACTGTAAATAGTTTAATGGTATTCTTTTGTGATAAAGTCTCGGTTTACCATATGTCATATGTCAATGCTTTGAATAACAAAGATGTGGGCATATCAAAGCAATAAAAACAACTCAATGCAAATGAATAAAAGTTCTCAAAGCCTATTGTCGAATTTATTGAACTTCTGCCATTATCATCATCTAATAAGCATAGTTGCTGCTTAACAATGACATTGTGCTAAATGAATTTGAAGAATTATTGGAAGCTGTCAGTTGTTATAAAAGACAGTCGATATGTAGAAAACTTTTATCTATGAGTACTAGTATCGAGCCTTTGTTTCCATTTCGATATGCGTTGCCCACAACATGGAAAGCAGGCTGCCCTACCCTTAGATACCATAAATTTGACATTGGCAGAGTGCTTCATCATTAAATGTCGAGCACGTATTCAAAAACATCAATAAATTAGCGGCTGGAAACTGTGAACCTTAAAAATATCAGAAGCTTTTTCAATAATGCATATTGTTGCAATCAAGTTTGAACTTGCAATATGAATTATTCGAGTATTTAACCTATTACCAGAATTAAACTCGATTTGTCTTGAACTGAATGCAGCCCCGTATGACCAGATGATGAAAGATACATGATAGTAGTTGTCTATGATATACCTGCTTAAATGCATTTATGTTAGAAGGAGGATATTTTCCAAGGTTCGATTGTTCCTTAGTGTGAACCAATTTGAATCGCTAGTGAAATTGTCGTATCAGTCCCATACTGTGTACAATTAGTAAAGCGCTGTAAATTGAGTATACAGGGAAGAATTCGAACCATTTCTGCACAGAAGCAAGAACTATAGCTTTGCTTTTTCAGATGTACGAGCGAAAGGCTATGGAAAACACCTACCTCTCTTTGGGTTAGCTAGCTGAACAGCAGAAAGACCGAGAAACATCTTGATCTGTATATTTTCTTTATGTGCCATAATGTATGGACAATGACGCTGCTTTTTTACAAAATTGTATTTTTAGATATGCACGCAAAAGATGATCTTATCACACAGTAATGAACAGTGATTACGGTTGTCCATAGACATCCTCAATATTTGATTTCTGCACGAGTTATATAGCTTTCAAGGTGCTATCGATGTTGTGAGAGAAATGCCACGTTGGGCTGTCTGTAGGGAGATCAATAGCATTTTCCATAAGTGATTAACAATGAGCAGTGACAGGTACATTATCAACTTATTTCAGTCTCCCATTTGTTAAATATTGATAATTGCTTAATTGGTGGCATCAAGAAAAGCAAAGAACAATAGTAGCCATAAACTATGGAAGTACCACATAGAACGGACACGATAGCAAAATGATAGATGTGCTAGATTTATGTCAGTAAATGCTGGTAGCCGACAACAATGTTCAAACTAAGACCGTCGTCGCCAATTTTCGTCATACTGAGCATTCACTCACAATAATCAGAAACACTGTGTAATTCTTGTAAATTCGCTTAAAGTAGGATGAAATGGCAAATCTCACTGCATCAGGCTGAGAGGCAAAGAAAAAGGCGTTTGAAATTTATGCTGGATTGATCGGGCCCCTTTTTCCTTTTTAGGAACATACGTTTAATTTCTTTTGTTATCGACAAAGTTCTTTTTTTTACTTCTTCAACCTTTGTTATTCGCTTTAAAATCTGAAGGGCCGAACGCGATCACCATTTTATCGATGACAGTCAAAAAGCCAACAATAAAATTGACTGTAGACGAGGGTGATTTGGGAGATTATACTGATCCCACAGTAAAATATGTTCCTCCTGTGCCCAAAGTAAATGACATGAACGACATCGATCCTGCCATTTTGTCAAAATACCTCGAACTAGATCTGCTTGAAGCAACGCCTGATAGTAAGGCGATAGATCCCAGTCAACTCGAGTTGGAAGAAAAAGAAAGGTTGGAGTTAGATACCCTTGCATTGGAAGCGGATCTTGACGAAAAACTATATGAGCAAAAAGTGAGAGAGGCTATTCTAAAACCTCGTGAATACCAATATGAATTATATCAAAAAGCATTAGAAGAAAATGTGATTGCTGTACTGGATACAGGCTCAGGAAAAACATTAATATCGATTCTGCTATTGAAGCAAATGGCTCTGCAGGAGAGAAATGCGCGTTTAAAGAGACCAGAGGTAAAAATGATACGCTTCATTCATGTTATATACAAACTTACTGAATTTCTGAGATCCACTGTGCTACTCTAGACAAAACTTGCTTTTTTCTTAGTAGACAGAGTACCGCTCGTATTTCAGCAAGCAAGCGTTATAAGAGCCAACTGTGATCTAAAAGTAGAGGAAATGTGTGGCGAAATGAATGTCGATAACTGGTCTGAAAAGCAATGGAAATTGATATTTGAGGAGAACGATGTTTGCGTGATGACAGCGCAAATTTTTTTGGATACTTTGCGGCATGGATTTATCAGCCTTGAAAGAGTATGGAGATCAGAGCTTTAGGGATTGGGGAATTGTTTATTGATAAACCTTTGCAAATAACAATAGGTACATCTTCTTATTTTTGATGAGTGTCACCATGCAACAAAAAAACATCCTTTCAACTTGATCATGCGTGAATTTTACGACCGATGTCCAATTGAAAATAGACCGAAAATTTTTGGTATGACTGCCTCGCCAATGCATGCCAGATCAAGTGTCAAGTACAGTGTGAGGTAAAAAAGGAAACATATAACCAAATGTATTATAATGAGTACGTGAAAAGATATAGGTATGCGCTAACTTACTGGTATCGTATATAAACATATTATAGTCAACTGGAAAGTAATTTGAACGCGTGCGTATACACAGCGACAAATCTTGAAACTTTGAATGAACTCGCTAAGCCGAGAGAGATGACTGTTGATTATCGAGCTACACCTTTTTATAATGAAACGGAGATAACTCATAGAGTAAGGGAACAGTTAGGTTCAGTAAGTCGTTATAGTCGTTGTTTCACTATTGTTGGCGATATTCTACGTGCGTTGGGCCCTTGGTGTTGTGATCACATGTGGAAAATTATGTTAAGCGATCTTGAAAGAAGGATGACAATGGCAACTCAAGGATTAGATACAGACGCCCTAATTGATGAAGACAAAGCCCTTCGAGAAACTCACGCTATTGTCGATCCTATCGAATTGGAACGCAATCCAAACGTCCAAAATGAGACTCTTTTCTCACCTAAGATTGCAAAACTAATAGTTATATTGAAAGGCGCCCTGAATGCTTTAAAAAATTTCTGCGGCATTGTATTTGTGGAAAGAAGGCATACGGCTTTAGCCATTAAAACTTTGATTGATGCATTAGATGACCTATCAGCAATACGCTGCGAAGTTTTGATTGGTCATGGTACAACAGACGAAGGGGATATACAAATGACTTTTAAAGAACAGAACAAAGTGATCAATAAGTTTAGGGATGGTGAAATAAATCTGCTTATTGCCACTAACGTGGCCGAAGAGGGCCTCGACATTCAGCCATGTAATATTGTCATCCGCTTCGATTTTTTTCACACTTTAATCGCCTATATTCAATCGCGTGGTAGAGCTCGTAGAAAGGACTCAGTATACTTTGTCATGGTTGAACAGAATAATACGAGTCATAAAGGGATGCTTAAGGATTTCCAGAGGCTAGAAGATGAAATGAAAGAATACTGTCAGACGTTGCCAGAGGATCGTAACGTCGCTAACAAATATATCGTAGGCATGGGAGAGGTTGAATACGAATCGGATGAGGATGAAGATTTGGATGAGGATTTCAACGCCAATGCATTTATTGTAACAGAAACTGGTGCTATGGTGACAAAACAAAACTCGGTTCCTCTATTACATCGTTATTGTAGTACTTTACCTTCTGATAGTTTTTGTGTTCTCAAACCTATCTTTCAAATCCAACAAACTGCCGGTGGCTTTATATGTAAGCTTATGTTACCCCCTAATGCTCCTTTTCAAGAAATGGAGTCCCCTGTTTGTCGATCAAAAGAGCATGCCAGAGCGATTGTAGCCCTAGAAGCATGTGTTGAACTACGCAAATTAAATGCCTTGGATGAACATTTACTACCTAGGAATTTGAAAAAGGAAATACTCGGTGAAATGGCAGCACACTATGATGAGAATGGTTTGATGATTGGTAGTAGACGGCGTCACGGCCTATATGAAAAACGAACACCAGCTTTTTGGAAAAGACAAGTCGAGGAGGAGGAAGAGATTGCTGTTGAGGATAATGAAGATCTGCTGAAAGCTACCATACATACGACAGAAGAACTGACATCAGATATTAAGGAAGGAAATGATTCTTCAATCGTTGTGAAGGAAGTGGCCGTCAATGGTTCAGTGAAGGTAGTCGATACTGTTGTTGGCAATGAAGGCAAATCATCAATGCCAGAAGCCCTACAACCTACTAAGCTAGATATAAATCCAACTCAGTTGGCAACTAACGGTGGTGCACGTATTGATGGGATTTTGCCTGGCACTCTCCTAAATGAAGCACAAACCGATGAAACTGTTGGGCAAGTGCAAGAAAACACAGAAAAAGGAACAATGGCAGAAGTACTCCAAAAGGAGGAAGAGGAGTTAGGTGCCGGACCATTTAAATGCTGGTTTACAGTGCTCGAGGTTAACATGGAAGATGGTAAGCTGGGAGGTATTCCTTACCGTCGCGTTTGCTTGATTACAAAAAAGCCATTCCCAACTTTACCGAAACTCAAACTTTTTCATAAAACTGTACCCTTTACTGTCAATGTCCGTAACGTGGAAACTGAAATTGTTTTTGATCGACCTAGAATAATTCTTTTGTCTGAGTACATGAAAAAGCTACTATTAGCTCTGCTAAACAAAGAGTTCCACTGCCCTATTGTCGAAATTCCTTATTATATTGTTCCCATGATCAAGAATTGCGAAAACACTCCTTTTGAACAAATATCTGCTGATGAGTTTACTTCCTTAATAGACTGGCAGGAGGTTGACAGCATTCTCCATTCGCAAAACGAAGCTTTCTCTTTGAACAGTGGAAAAGATCCTTTAGATAGTATTGTTATTGATCGAACGGATATGTTTCGACGTTATTATGTTACAAGTGTACGTTCAGATTTGAGTTGCTTCAGTCCTGTACCTGAGGATTGCCATGAGAAGACACGTGAAAAAGGTTATGCCACGTTTGCTGACTATTACAAGGAAAAGGAACTATTGAAGGAAGGACAAGAGTTTGATACATCTCAACCTATGCTAGAATTAAAGCGAGTCAGAAAAATGATGAACTTCCTTTATCCTGGACAGATCGAACAGGGCCAAATGAAAGGCCAAATCAAAGCATGGACATTACCATCCTTCTGTGATAGATTTTTTATCAGCGCTAGTGTATACCAAGCAATTATGATGATACCCTCGATAATGACCCGAATAGATTCTCTATTGTTGATAAGACAAGCTCGTGAACGTTATGATTTGAAAATTGACGATGAAAATATGCTATCAGCTTATACCACACCCTCGGCTAGTATGGAAATGAATTATGAACGGTTGGAAACCTTGGGCGGTATGCAACAATTAACTTCTTTGTCTTGCCTCATTGACCTGAATTAATCAAACCTTTTACATAATAGATTCCTTATTGAAATTTATTGCAACTATTCGCTTATACATCAATTTTCCGTTCAGTAACGAAGGCGAACTTCACCATCTGCGTATCCGTGTCATCTGTAACAGAGCGTTATATCGTGCTGCAAAACGCTTAAAATTCTACCGCTATATCACGAGTCACGCCTTTAACCGACGTTACTGGCGCCCACCAGGTTTCTTGAGTTCAGCCGATAATGCAGAGGCGATGGAACAACTGCAATATCACCGTCTTTCTGATAAAACATTGGCTGATATAGTAGAAGCTTCTTTAGGGGGCGCTTATCTCACTGGCGGATTAAGAGCTGGTCTCCATACCGCTATTCAATTACAAATTCCATTTGATGAAATCAAGTCTTGGGATGACTTTAAGCCTGCATTCGAAGAATCAAGAAAACAAGTGCCTCCTCGTGCTGAAGCCAAGGCTTTACGAAGCCTCAATATACCTGCCCTTGAAGAAATTCTGGGGCGCCAGTTCAATAACAAACTACTTTTAGTTGAAGCACTGACCCACGCTAGTTTACCAAACTCTACTGCGCCCTGTTATCAGCGTCTAGAGTTTTTGGGCGATGCTATCCTAGATTTTCTGGTTATCCGATACCTTTTTGAGAAATACCCAAATGCAACTCCTGGTGATATTACTGATCTCAAAGATTCATGTGTAAATAACCATGTTCTGGGTATTGTTTGCATTGAAAATGGATTGCATAAGCATATTATTCATTATTCAGGAAAACTGGTACATGCTATCGAAGAATTCTGTGGATCAATTCAGGAAGCTAAAGACAAGGGGGAAGCCGTTGGTGAATATTGGAGAGAATACAACATCCCTAAGGTTCTATCCGACGTAGTAGAAAGTATTCTGGGAGCAAACTTTGTTGATGCAGGTTTTCAACTCGAACCTTGTGAAGCTTTGTTCAATAAATGGTTCCGACCACTTTTTGATAAGCATGTTATAAAGGGCCAAATGAAGGTTCATCCCATGAAACGACTAATAACATGGCTACAACAAAATGGCTGCGATGGTTTTATGCTAAGGTACGATAACACTTACTATCACAAGGAACATCGTCCATCAGCTATTGACTGATATTCATTTTACTTTAATTCAACTTGTAGAAATCATAGTACTGGTGAAACCGGCCCCAACAGCCAGAAGTGTGTCATTTTCCTCCATGGTAAACCTTTGGCGTGTGGATCAGATTGGAATATCAAAATTGCTCGTCGTTTCGCAGCTGCCAAAGGTTATCAAAGACTAATGGATGATCCTACACTGCTTGATAGAGTGTGTGATTGTAGGGTTCACTTAAATAAGCAGAACAAATATTATGACGACGAAGACGACGAAGATGATGGGTATTAAGCGTGTAATAATTTATTTTTTTTTATGGGAGAATCACTCCGGTTTTATTTAAAGTCCTCTTATTGTCGTTATAAGGGAAGGAGAAGACTAGGTATAATTGTGGATGAGAGATTTTTGAAACTCTAACAGGCTAAGAGTGATCGAATAAAGACTATAAGATTTATCCAATAAAGGAAACTAGCTCACTTTGTTGGTCAAAGAGTGAGATCGCGTTCGAGACGAGAGAGTACCCGAGACACAGACGCAAAAACCCGAGAAGGGACGAGAGAGATGTCTCTAAATACAAAGGCCCAATGGGCCTGCCAAAGGCCGAGCAAAGTACAGGCGAATATTTGGGAAACGGAGAGGTGGGAGGTGGCTAATACGATGGAGCAATTGAAGGAGATCGTCCGTTGAGTATTTGTACATTGGATTGATGAAGGTGGAGAATACCAGTATCCAAACTTGAAATTTGCTGGGACAAGTGTAGAGAAAGTGAATAGAAGACTCAATCAGTGACCCTTCAGGCGTATGACAAATGTGACAATCCGCAGAATCAAATTGTTGAGGGAGGAGACGTTATATTATTTCGCGGTAAGGAACTTTGTTTAACAGTAGTCGGTACCATACTGTACGAGCAGTTAATGGAATCGAAAATTTCCAAAAGGTAGACCACTGTAAGGGACAGTAAAGCGCATCGGAATGGTGGGGGGGGGCGGTGGAAGCAAGGAACGGTAATGCTGTGGGCTATAAATTGCAGTATCTGGGATAGAACTTTTCGTGGAGAAAAATAAGGTCAGAATCGGTTGCAGGTCAATATAGTCATCAGCAGTGGATAGAGTAGACTGTTCGATGCGTGGGGCGGATAGACATTGATGATGCAGAAAAGGGCGTATTTGCATTTGACCGGACCATATCAAGCTACGTAGAAGGTAGGTGAGGTTTCGATGACCGATAACCTCATCGGCATTCCGTAGTCGAAGTCGTAGTTGGGCAAAATCGTAGGTAAAAACATCTGTAGTACGGATATCTCTCACGCCAGGATGCTGACCCACTAATCGAGATAACAGGTGGGGGTCCGTCTCCGGGGATTGAAGAACGTCTAGAATGGATAAGGAGAGGGCTGTAAAAGGATTAAGAGAACTAGGTTGAATAGAAAAGGAAGTGGAGTCAATCGCGTGTATGAATATTTTAAATATATTAATAAACGACAGATGAGAGCCCTGAATCATACGAGGAAACCACTAAGCTCTATGATAGTTGGGAAATAACAGATAGTAATGAAAAGAAGGTAGTATTGTGGATTTACAAAACCATTGGAATGTATAAAGCAAATATGTCATGGCTACAGTTAGTCGAGAGGAGTCGGTCGTAAACAGTAATGGGCCTAACCAACGCCATACAAGCACAGATTGTTGAAGGTTAGGATCGAGTTTAGCGAGACCCCCTTGAGAGCGAGGGGAAGTTAGTTGTTCCAAGGAGAGCTTTGGGAAAATTCCGCGGTTGATGAAGGCGGTACCAACCTGGCGAAGTTTGTGGATCTGATTTTGGGTGAAGGGATGGGGGGGTGTGACGCAAAACATGCCACAATTTAGAATGTAATAAGCTATTGACAATGGTGGCACGTCCTCGAACTGATAGCTGACGTTGTGAGTTTGATATGGTCTGTAAAGAGGTGTGAAGCTGAGAAAAGGCAACATTACGTTGTGTGATGCTTGAGCATATAGGGAAGCCTAAATACGTTAAGGGATTTGGATTAGACCTATCATACCATTGAATAATATTCTTGTCTTGTAGGAAATTTTGCCATGTCGGTAAAGATGTACCAGACAAGGAGAAAGCCTGTATTGTATGAAAGTTAAGGTGGGCATTAGATGCCCTGCTGTATGTATGCCCTGCTGTATGTATGCCCTGCTGTATGTATGAAGAGATTGTTGGAGCTGATGAAAATCTGACTCATCACGAAGAAAAACTAATGTATCGTCCGCATAGGCCAAAATCTTGACAGCAGAAATGGAATCCACGGGGGTAACCGTTTGATAGGGTGGAGTAGCGGGGTAATCGACGGTATCCTACGAAGAGGGTGAAATATCGAGGTTAGCAAAAACCTCAACTTGAAAGAGCGGGGCGCTGCGAGCTGTTGTCAGCCTCCTGAGACATGAGGGATGTCTTTGTGGTCTCTTGATTGAAGAGGGAGGCCCATGATCCTTTTGACAGGAGAGTAGTGGGGTTGCCTTATTTGGCAGGTTGTGAGGTTTAGTGGAAGAAGCCATGTAAGCGTGTGATAAAGTATTTTACCTTATATTTTAGACGATTTACAATTTTTAATGGGCAATATACATTTTAAATTTAGATTTACCAAAATAGAAATATTTTTAGAAAAGTTCATAGTATTTTGGATGTCGAATTTGGATACTATTCAGTGATATCCAAGCAGCATTAAAGATGACATACAATCGAACCCTAGAAATGAGTCTCTATCAGTAAGAAAGTCGCCAACAATGGTTTTATTGATGTTATCTTGCAATAGGACAGACTACAAAAAGCTTGACAACTTTTTTATCAAATGACGATGTGTTCCGAGACCAACCAGATATTCGTCGGTGCCTTTTTGGGACAGAGTTCCAAAAAAGGTCAACTTTGAATTGATTGACATCAAACCATTGATAGAGGGCTGAGGGTCATAGTATAACAGATACCATAGCGGAACGGGATGGCTATATTATCTGTTGTCAATGTTTTTTGTATGCGTTCATGGGTGACTTTCAAAAATAGGCACTATAAAATATATTGTTCTCTTATAGTCAAATGTTGTCTCTTTCACTTTTATTTCACGTTTTATGATACATACTATGACCCATGTTCAAAACAATAATTTATGAGAAGAAAAAGCAAATCTTTGGAAAAGATGTAGTCAAGTTGAAATGTCAAATATGTGGTGTTGTCGGTAAACTTTTTGCAACTCTGAAGAAACGTGAAGCTAAAGGTCAATTGATTGTTGTCACAATCGATGAATTCATAACCTCTAAAACATGCAGCCTCTGTTTCTATGATGATATGCAAATTGTTGATACTCCTGGGCTCAAGGGTATCGGCGTTCTTTCATTGCAAGCACTGTCTAAAGCTATGGCAGAGAGACATTAACGCCGCTATCAATATGATGACTATATCTCAAGCAGTTTGGTCTGGAGCGGGAAGACCCGATGTTTTCAAGTCAGCGAAGAAGAAGAAAGTATCGCCGTAATAAACACGGTTTTCTTATATTCTAAGGATTTAGATCATTACAGGTGAGGAATAGTACGGTTTTTTATTCTTTTTTTTTTTTTTTTTTGTTTCGCACCACTGACTGGAATTTGAATCATTGTTTAAATGGTTTATATTTTCGTCTACAACACAATTGCAACTCATCTAAAATAAAATATTTATCGTCCAAAAAAAATGCATTTCATCTAAAATATTGGTTAAAATATTGTAAAATGTGCATTAAAGAACAATAACCCGTTGTTATCCAATGAAAACGTTACCTGACTTTTTCAATAGCCGCGCCCTGTACTTTATTTTATCTTTCATTCAAAGCATTTGGCTTCAATCTGTTTTCTTTTCTTCAGAGCCAAATAAATAAATATCCTCTCTACTCGCATTTATTTATAAACAGAATCACATAAATTTAAAATGCTTCGTGCTGCTTTCACCCGTAATATTTCTCGTGTTGCTGTCCGTTCAGCTCTTCCTGCTACTCGTCCTATGGTCATGGGTAAATGAGAATGCTCAACTTAACAAAAACTAAAAAATGAGGGTTCAGAAGTTAAGATTGGTAGGGAACTGACTAAATGTCGATTATAGGCATGGGCAAGCGTTTCTACTCTGCTGGACATGAAGATGAGAGCTACGAATCCTTTACCGATCGTTATGTCAAATTCTTCGATGGTGTGGATGATCTTTTCGAGTTACAACGTGGTTTGAACAATGCTTTTGCTTACGATCTCGTTCCTGCTCCTTCTGTTATTGAAGCTGCCCTCAAGGCTTCTCGCCGTGTTAACGACTTCGCTACAGCTGTTCGTGTTTTCGAAGGTTTAAAGAATAAAGTAGAAAACGAAAGCCAGTATAAGCAATACCTTGAAGAATTAGCGCCTCTCAGAAACGAATTAGGCATTCTGACTAAGGAAGAATTAGACCAACAACAATAAATTCAATAAAAGAAGGAGAGGGAAAGTTTTAAAATTGGAACAGTAACTTAGAGTCAAATGTCTTACTCATGCAGAGAAGCTGTGCAATCAATTCCATATTACAGATTGCTTTTTTGAGACGAAAATTATGTTCAAAAATACTATAAATTAACACAGATACGCCAAAATAATCCATTAAGAGGATGTACACATATTTATAACTTAATAAATCAGAAGATATACATGTATATACATACTAGGTTCATGCCTATGTTTAGCATAAGTGCATCCTCAAACCAAAATAGTGTTATAACCTATCATCTGGCTATAATGCCATTAATTTTGCTATTCCGAAATTATGGGGTGAGTCTTTTGTGTTCCTCTTTTCCGGGGTAAAGTCCGCCTTTTGAAAGTGACGTGGTTAAACCCAGGACACTAGCTGTTGAAAATACGTAGCATTTCTGAGTACCATTCGTGGTTTAACTTCTTCATTTTCCTTTTAACATACCTTTTACTCGATTGCATCAGCAGACATTAATCATGTTATCGCGGTTAACACGGATCTATGCACGATCCACCGTTGCTGACTCAACAACGGCTTTGCGAGGACAACAACTCAAACGGCTAACCGGTACCAGAACTACTACTATATTACGACGCCGTTATGCAACTGAAAAAGAATCACCAAAGAAGAAGGAGGGTGTCAGTAGCAACAGCAATAATGAAGAGGCTTACAATATTCCAAAAGGATTTGAGAGTTTCTTCGGCCAAAAACCTGTGAAGAAACCTCTAGACAAAAGAACAGTTGAAGAGGCCGCTTCGAAGCATACACAAAAATCGACTGAGCAAATTCCACGACCACCACCTAGAGCGAATAATGATGGTGCTAAAGGCTCAGCTAATAAAGCAGGAGGAGGAGGATTTAAGCCGCCAAACAATAATAGCTTGAATGCTCTTTTAGGTGCTGCTCTTGGTACCTACATGTTTTATAAAATGACTGCACCTGACGATACTTCTCGAGAAATTACTTGGCAAGGATTCCGTACACAATTATTAGATAAAGGATTGGTTGATAAACTTGTTGTTGTAAATCGTAATCGTGTGCGCGTTTATTTACGACATGAGGCTGGTTCCATGGGTATCTCCCCTCGTCAAACTTTTGTCTTCACGATTGGATCTCCTGAAAGCTTTGAGAGTAAATTGGACCAAGCTCAAAACGAATTAGGTATACCCTCCAATGAACGTATTCCGGTTGCATATCGCGATGAAATTAGTGTTGCACAAACTTTGCTGCATTTCGCACCTACCATTTTATTGATTGGTGTTCTGGTATACATGACTAAGCGAGGTGCTGGTGGCGCTGGTCAAGGTGGTATTTTTGGTATTGGTAAGAGTCGAGCCAAGATGTTCAATCAAGAAACCGACATTCGTGTCAAGTTTAAGGATGTAGCTGGTGCCGATGAAGCTAAGGAAGAAATTATGGAATTTGTAAAGTTCTTAAAGAACCCTGCCGCTTATGAACGTTTGGGTGCTACTATTCCTAAGGGCGCTATTTTGTCTGGCCCTCCTGGTACTGGTAAAACTCTTTTAGCTAAGGCTACAGCTGGTGAAGCAGGTGTTCCCTTCCTTAGTGTCTCTGGTTCCGAATTCGTTGAAATGTTTGTGGGTGTAGGCTCCTCTCGTGTCCGAGACTTATTCGCCACTGCTAAAAAGAATGCTCCATGTATCATTTTTGTTGATGAAATTGATGCCATCGGTAAAGCTAGAGGTAAAGGTGGTCAATTTGGTGGTAATGATGAACGAGAGACAACGCTGAATCAATTGTTGGTTGAGATGGATGGCTTCGATTCAAGTCAACATGTTGTTGTGTTGGCTGGTACCAATCGTCCCGATGTTTTAGATCCTGCTTTGATGCGTCCTGGCCGTTTCGATCGTCATATTGTGCTTGATCGTCCCGATATTGGCGGCCGTGCTCAAATCTTCAAGGTTCACTTGAAGCCTATCAAGACTAGTGTTGACATGGAGCATCTTTCTCGTAAATTAGCTGCGCTCACACCAGGTTTCTCCGGTGCTGATATTCACAACGTATGTAACGAGGCTGCTTTGATTGCTGCACGTAAAATGAAGGATGAAGTTGACGACAAGGACTTTGAGGATGCCATCGAGCGTGTCATTGCTGGTTTAGAAAAGAAGTCCCGTGTTTTGTCACCAGAGGAAAAGAAGACCGTAGCTTATCACGAAGCAGGTCATGCTGTAGCTGGTTGGTATCTCAAATATGCTGATCCTCTATTGAAGGTTTCTGTCATTCCTCGTGGTTCGGCTGCTCTTGGTTATGCTCAGTATTTACCTAAGGATCAATATCTATACTCCAAATCGCAATTATTGGATCGTATGTGTATGACCCTGGGCGGCCGTGTATCTGAGCAGATATTCTTTGATTCTATCACTACTGGTGCTCATGATGATTTGCAGAAGGTTACAAAGATGGCTTATGCTCAAATAACAACTTATGGTATGAATGAGAAGGTCGGACCTCTATCCTTCGAGGATCAGAACGAACAACGATTCCAAAAACCTTTCTCTGAGCAAACTGGCACACTTATTGATAATGAAGCAAGAAAGTTGGTTATGGATGCTTATGATCGTACTTTGAAGTTACTTACTGAAAAGAAAGAAGACATTGAAAAGGTCGCTAAATTGTTATTGGATAAGGAAGTTCTTACTAGAGAAGATATGGAAAACTTATTGGGCAAGCGCCCTTTTGAAGAAGTGACAATTTACGATGAGTATGTAAGAAAGAAGACGCATTCTCCCCCTCCATTTCCTGAAGATAATCCATCTGGACAAGTCGATAGTGCAAAATAAGTCATGATAACATATTTCGTGCGCTCTCATTGTGTAAATTTTTCAATTATTACTTTTTTCTCTTTTTTTATTATATTTCTTTGCCTTTGAATATCCCTTTTCTGTACCACTCTCAATCTAGATCGAATATAAACAACACACTATGTATGTGTTAATAAAGTCATGTATATTATCCATTGTAAAATTTTTGGCTTTGGTGAAAACGAATCACGTATTATGTAAGAATGAACTTTGATCACCGAAGAAAAAAAAAAAAAAAAGGAAATGCAAGTTAACGAATTCCAGTGGACTTTGCGTTTCATTTAGACAAGTTCCAAACAATTGTCAACCAAGATGTCGACAGAAGAGCCAATTAGTGTTTTGTTTGTGTGTCTTGGTAAGAAAACCACATATATTATTGAGATTAATTTATAGTACTCATAGATTGATAAAAAAAAAAGGCAATATCTGTCGTTCACCTATGGCAGAAGCTGTTTTTGCGCACACAGTGAAAAAGCACAATCTTCAAAGCAAGATTCCCAAGATTGACTCTGCAGGCACTGCTTCATACCACGTTAGTAGATTTCTGTTCTCTTCATATTGATATTTAGTCAAGATGATAGTTGACTTTTTTCCATTTTTCTTCGCTGAACAAAATAGGTTGGAAGCGCACCCGATAGTCGTAGTGTATCCACTTGCAAAGCACATGGAGTGCCAGTAAAACATCATGCCAGAAAGGTACATGACATTATATTATATGGCCGATTACTTCTTTTACGACTGTCATGCTTATATGAATCAATCGCAGGTTTCCAAAAATGACTTTGAAGAATTTGATTATGTTCTTTGTATGGATGAATCTAACCTTAGTGATCTAAAGGTGAGAGCAATACCACCGGAAATAAAGCAAAATTCAGGATATTTTTAATCATAAATTGCTCCAACAATAGAGTATCAAACCCGCTAATTCAAAGGCTGTTTTAAAACTATTCGGTGAATTTGATCCAGAGGGAGAGCGTATAATCGAAGATCCTTATTATGGTGGCACTCAAGGCTTCGAGCACAACTTCAACCAGATCACAAGAGCAAGCGAGGGTTTACTAAAGCATCTGAAATTACTTTAAATTAATAAGCGAATGAATAACATTCGATTGATGACAATGTATAATAAAAATAGTGAGCATATCGCACATTGAAGCGATCAATCGAATTTAAGGGTAAGCTAAAATGTCAATTATCCTGTTTTGGATGAAATGCTGAAACCTTAGCATATCATTACTCGAACAAAGTTCTATACCGTCTAAGCCAATTAAAAGGCCAAGGCCACTGTACAGAAGGACAGACCTCTGTATTACGTATATAGTATAAAAGTTAAATACAATACCTTCATACCTTTTTATTACGTACAAAAAGCTAAATAGTTAATTCCAAATCAAAATCGAAGCGAGCTCTCTATTTGAAGCCTTCAAAGACGATAGAATAGATGAAATGCAAAAGTTGATAAATTCATGGCAATGCCGATGCTGCAAACTGTTGCAGTACTTATTGTGCTTTGCTTTAAAGATTTGAGATCTGATGATATAACAAAGGCTACGGCAGTATCAGTAATGAGCAATATATAAAAAATTATCACTAACAGGTCTTATTGCCACAAGATTCCCTTTCGTAGATGCCTTTTCGTTGATAAGTTGGCAATGAAAATGCAAAAGAACATCTTTTCTTCTATACTTTTTCTATAATGCAAAAATTTTAACGATATGCTAGAGCATAGCTTCTTTAAGCGATAAAAGTTTATAAACTTTTTCACTATTTCAAAGGCGTTTTAGACATCAAGTTGACTTTATATTTTGCAGCATTGATTCTTTTGAAGTCGTAAAGCATTATATCAACGATTACGGAGCTCTAATGCATGCTAATAACCCAACGCCTTTGATTGAAGAAGTCAGTGACTGAAATTATTAAAGAGTTGTTTTATATTATAGGAGAAGATTATCTTTATTTCTGTCTCAGCCCTTCTGAAGTAAATAATCAGGTCTGTATGTTAATAACTGCTGGCATCTTACCGCGGTATAACACTTTAGACAGCAACTAATCTTTTGTATTAACGATTATCTTGCGCGAGTTGCAAAATCGCTAAAGATCAGGAAGATGTGATACCTAAGCGTTAAGCGTGCTAAAACTCATCATACTATTGCTGATCGAAATAAAGCGATACGTACTATTATTTTTGCTTGAATAAGTATGGTTTACATTGCAGCTACAGATATAGTTTCAGATCTCATACAGCACATGACTATTGATAGTTTTATAGCTTTGTTTAAAAATTGAACGTTGCGTCAAGTTGCTGCGATGCATGCAGAGCCAATTTATACGGTCTCGTTTAATTGTAAAATTAAGTAAATTGCATAACAATACTTCCAATATTATACTATTGAATTATTGTAAATATACTGTCATGATAGTGAGACACAAAGTAATTGAAGTATATGCAAAACGCAAAGTTAACAGAAATGATGGTGCTACTTGGTTTACTCAAAAATGGTTTAATAGTTTAAAAATGGAAATTACGTGCTCAACCAAGTCAAACAGTCTAGCCAGGAGATTCCTCTGATATCAAAAGACTTCTCCTTATATCTATATGTATATTTATAGTATGGGAAGGTTCTTTGTATGACATATATGCAAAATGTCAATCATGCGATAATTCATACACTGAGATTTACCGCTTTTCTTCCTTCGAAAGTGTAATTATTGTACGATCAGGTTGAAATTCAATAAACAGGCTGATTACTTTCATCGGATTTTAAGTCAGTAATACATTATATTGTACTGATATAAGTCCCATGAAACACTTCTATATTGTAAAATTACTCTTTTGAGGCTAGTTTCCGTAGTTTCAAGCTTACATATGACTAAAGATGACTAGAACTGTTCTTCCCGATAGTCCCTTGATTCGTCGATCATTGATCCGTACTATGGCTTCCGTATGGCAAAACGGCTTTATCAAAACTCATTGAATATCGATCATCCAAACAGCGTTATGCAAATAGTTACTTATAGTACAATGCTCTAGCGTAGACACTCACGTAAGTATAATTAGCAAAATTTGTTTAGATCGACAACTTATATCATCATATTCAGCACAAGCAGGTAATTGAACGCAAAAATAACCCATCTCAGCAAATTACTACTGTTCTACTTTCAAGTGATAAGTGGAGATTTATTTGGATATACATAGTGCGAGAAAACAAAAGATTATTTACAATATTTTAGCAGAATGCCATAGAAGGTATATAGGTGTTTCATTCACCATGCTTCAGTATTCGCACAAACTCCCTGTAATTGAAATTCCCATCCTCATCTATAACCGACCCTTTGAATAGAATATCAATCTAGCGACATCGTTTAGAGTATAATATCAGATACACGAAGTCATACAGTTTCAGTAGGGGCTTTTGTTTACCTCATCATCCGTAAATCGGTCGCCCATTGTCGTTAAGCACTCCCTTAAGTATTTCGCGTCTATTTTCCCATTTCTATTATCGTCAAAGGCCGAAAATGCCTTTAATATAACGTTTTCTGTATCTGTTTCTGCTAGTTTATCTGCCATCAAAGTTAAGAAAACTGTGAAGTTGATAGGGCCTGACACATCACCCATCATGGATTCAATTTCTTCAGTTGTTGCATGTTGACCTAGAGTTATGGTGATACAAAATTTTTTTTATATACCATTTAGAAGATAGCTTTCTGAAGTAGCAATGTAGATCAATGAAAAGCTTCTTTTACCTAGTCTTTCAAATGTCACTTTTAAATCATCTATGTCTACAAGGCCATCGCCATTGGTGTCCATAATACTGAACGCGTCCTTAAATTCCATCACCTGTGCTTTGTCAAAGATAGCGAATACGTTTGAGTTCTGACGTCTTCTACTCTAAGGACATGTCGGCAAAGTTCAAAAGTATGAGAACATTCTATACTTTAAATGGCATGATTTACAAAAGCATAACCTGTGAGTGCAACATGTGCATCTTTTCTGACTTACTATAGGTGCCATTTTATATGCTAAGCAATATGTTGATATCAGAAGAAAAATTGGGCCTAAAGGGTATTAATAAAATCTCGAGTCAAGAAGTGCAGAAGAAGAGTCTAAAATGGGTATGCCTGTTGACTTCCAGAGAAGAAGAGGCATGAGAACAATAAATTATGAAATAGTAAAATACTTTAAATGAACAGTGATAACAACAATTTTCCCATTATAGAAAGTAATTGTGCTCTTTTACTGCGAACAATCTCCGCTGATCAGTCGAAAATGTCAGTTGGTAGAACTGGCATAGACTGAATGTATTCACAAGCTTTTCAGAACAACTTGATACTGAATTATAGCTCTGTTCACTATTCTATGTATACTACTTGTTTGATTTACATAATCATGCTTTTTGTCACTTTTCTGCATCTCTTACTTGCATCAAGGAGTTTCCTAACAAGAAAGGGGGTTACATAGAATCGTTGCTTTTATGTGCGAACGTGATAGTCGCCATCTCCGCCTCATCACGACGTTGAGGAAGCTGTATGAGTGATGATGGCTAATAATAATGAAATCCAGAGTAAAAAAGCTGCATAGAATGGATCAAAAATATGCAAATAGTTACTGATTTCCACAGCCGTTTCAATTTTCTTTATTCTTGTTTATATTCCAATCTGTAAGATGTTTTCTCTCTCAATGCTGAGCGTAATATTGGAAACACTACCAATATTTTCTTGGCCAGCATTTCAATTCTTTTACAACACATTTGACAATAGATTCATAGGAGAGGAAAGGACGAATGTTGAAGATCATCAGTCTGCGGCTATGCAATCATATAAACAAAAGAAGTCTTAATCTGCAGGAAAGTTCTACATAGATTTGCTGTTCATCTCAGGAAAAGAAAACCCCACGGCTCTTCACATCTGTACGGTAGAAGCGTACGTTTTATGACTATATTTTCCACTTCTTCTTATCCCCTTTCTACGTAGCCCCGTTATATATATAAACTAAATAGAAAAAATAGGACCTCCTTGATTATTCTTAACTCTTAACGGAAAGAAAAAAAAGGAATATATTTCGACAGATGACATACATTTCTTCTTCTTCTTCCGTTTCCTTCATTTCTTCATCTCTATTTCTTTTTTATCTTGATCTCCCTTTCTTTATACCTACTTCCTTCAAAAAGATCTGATCACTAAAAAACAGCTAAATTGATTGTAAATTAGTGTACAAATTTGCTTTATTTTCTTTTCGTTTGTTCTTTCAACTAGTACTATCTGTTCGAATCGTTTGTTTAAAAGATAAATAATACATAGGAGAGGAACACTTAGTAAGAGCTTTAAAACGCCATATCGCCTCAAAACAAAAAAGCAATATCAATGTCCAGTCACCAGCATGAGAAAATTAATCTTGCTAGTGAGGATCCGACAGTAATAGCAACACCTGATCAATCAACTGTACTGGTTGAAAAACTAGCAGCAGCAGAAGCAGGAAAAGCTCAGAAAGATGTTAAGATTGATCTTCGCGATAATCTCACACCTCATAATGACCCCAACAATCATTTCGCCTTCACGCCTGACCAACTTTCAGCATTGATAGACCCCAAGAATCTGCCACTATTACGCTCTTATGGAGGTCTTGCAGGTGTTGCACGTGGGTTGCATGTTGATCTTCAGCAAGGCTTAACGCCTAATGCTCCAAATCATCCGCGTATCACCTTAAACCAGATATTAAATGAAAAGGATGAGTCTGCTTCAGTGGAAGAGGTTGAGTTTAAGAGAACCTCGACGGTTCACTCATTGGGTAGGCAATTGACCCACAGAACTGACGTTACAGCCACACCAGACATCAATGCCTTCCCTCAAAGAAAATCTGTATTCGGGACCAACATACTTCCAGAAACGGAATCGAAGAACTTATTACAACTCATGTGGATTGCTTTCCAGGACAAAACTTTGGTAGATGAAATGAAATAACTCTTTAAAGAAAAGCCAAAGACTAGATCTATATTTATGCATGCTTACATCATTCGCTTTCTTATCCCAAAGATCCTGTTAGCAATTGCAGCAGTTGTTTCTTTAGGTGTAGGACTATATGAAGATATTGCAGTACCAGAATATGATACCTTCGGAAATCGAATACCCGGTGTCAAATGGGTTGAAGGTGTCGCTATTATCGTAGCCATTTTGATCGTGGTACTTGTAGGCAGCGCTAACGATTACCAAAAGGAGAAGCAATTTCGTAAATTGAATGCAAAAAAAGAAGATCGTGCCGTCAAGGTAAAATTAAAAGAAAAAGCAATATAAACAAATAGGCACTATTTTTTGGCCTCTCCTCAAAACCAGAAAAAAAAAAGAAGAAAATTTAGAAGCCAAAGACTTAATGCCATCATAAAAATTTATTTGTAGGCGACACGTGAATCTACTGTTATCATGATTTCCGTTCACGATATACAAGTAGGTGATATCCTTCATTTAGAACCGGGTGATATAGTTCCTGTTGATGGTATCTTCATTGAAGGCCACAATTTGAAGTGTGATGAATCTGCTGCCACTGGTGAATCTGATGCTGTTCGTAAACAAAATTGGCAGCTGTGTGAGAGGCTGGCTCAACAGCAACCTGATAATTATATTGAACCCCGTTCTCTGACTGATTCACCTTCATCGTCAGAATCTGCAATAAAAACTCAAACATTCAAGGCTGTCACTACGGAACATCGAAGTACTCCAGACCCTTTCATCATTTCTGGTTCTAAAGTTTTGGAAGGGGTCTGCACTTATTTAGTCACAGCTGTTGGTGAAAACTCTTACTTTGGACGTACAATGATGGCTTTACGTACTGAACCCGAAAGCACTCCTTTACAAGAAAAGTTAAATGCTTTAGCTGAGCTAATCGCTAAATTAGGTTCAGCCGCTGGTTTATTGATGTTGATTGTCCTATTGATTCGCTATTTTGTCAGCTGGAAAGATGGCATCCCTGATCAACCCACAACTATTGTCTTGGACATAATGAAGATATTGATTGTTGTTGTTACTATCGTTGTTGTTGCTGTGCCTGAAGGTTTACCGTTGGCTGTTACTCTAGGTAAATTAGTGGCAAACCTACTGCTTGACATTTGAGAGAATTCAATAGCTAACCATCCTTTATCCTCTTTGACAAAATAGCACTTGCATACGCAACTCAACGCATGCTTAAAGATAACAATTTGGTTCGTGTCTTAGCTGCATGCGAAACGATGGGCAATGCTACTACCGTATGTTCTGATAAGACCGGTACTTTGACTCAGAATAAAATGTCTGTCGTTGCTGGTACTTTTGGTTCATCCTTCCGTTTCATAAAGAATCCACCAGCTTCCCGCTCTGACCTGATTGACATCAAGAACATCCCAGACAAAGCCTCTAAAGGAGCTCTTAACATTATCAACCAATCCATTGCTGTCAATTCTTCTGCTTTCGAGGGTGAAAATGAAAATGGTGAACCCTGCTTTATCGGTAACAAAACTGAAACCGCTTTACTGCAATTTTCTCGCGACATCAAAGCTGAACATTACAACACGCTTCGTACCCGATGGACTATTGAACAAGTTTTCCCCTTCAGTTCTGAACGTAAAGCAATGGCTACTGTTATGCAGATACCGCATCCTACGAACCCTGACCAGGTGATATACCGAGTGCATGTAAAAGGTGCATCTGAAATCATTTTGGGACTCTGCTCTCGCGTACTCACTCTTCAGAAGGGTGCTGATAATTCCGTTACCGATTCCTATGAAGGGGGTCAATCTCGTGAACTCAATGCTGATGACTACAGTCGAATTGAGCGCATAATACAAAGCTATGCTACAAGAAGTCTCAGGACAATCGGTATTGCTTACCGTGACTTTGAACAATGGCCTCCCAAAGGCCCCCGTGAAAACATGGACGATGAGGTTCCCTACGAAGACATTGTCCAAAATAAAGATCTCACTTTCCTTGGTGTTGTCGGTATCGAAGATCCTCTTCGTGAAGGAGTACCCGAAGCTGTTCAAGCTTGTCAACGTGCTGGTGTATTTGTTCGTATGGTGACAGGTGACAATTTGGTCACTGCCAAATCGATTGCGAAACAATGTGGTATTTACACTCCTGGTGGCATTGTCATGGAAGGTCCTACTTTCCGTAAACTCCCTACTTCTGAGATGGATGCAATTTTGCCACGCCTACAGGTTTTAGCCCGTTCTAGCCCTGAAGATAAACGTATTTTGGTCAGCAGACTCCGAGAATTAGGTGATATTGTTGCAGTTACAGGTGATGGCACAAACGATGGTCCAGCTCTAAAAATGGCAGATGTCGGCTTTTCTATGGGCATTGCTGGTACTGAGGTTGCCAAAGAAGCTTCCAGTATTATATTGATGGACGATAACTTTTCCAGTATTGTGAAAGCCATTATGTGGGGTCGCTGCGTCAACGATGCAGTAAAGAAATTCTTGGAATTCCAAATTACGGTTAATATCGTCGCCGTCATCCTAACTTTCATTTCTGCAGTTGCAAGCAGCGAACAAAAATCTGTATTAACAGCTGTACAACTTTTGTGGGTTAACCTAATTATGGATACTTTTGCTGCTCTTGCCTTAGCCACGGATCCTCCTACAGAAGAATTATTGAACCGACAACCCGAATCCCGTACTGCCCCTCTTATCACATTCAAAATGTGGAAGATGATCATCGGTCAAGCTATCTTCCAATTGGTGGTCACTCTCATTCTACTTTACAGCAAAGTGCTCAACTACCCTACTGAAAGCGCTACATTACAAACAATTGTCTTTAATACTTTTGTATTCTGTCAAATCTTCAATGAAATCAAGTAAGTGAAAGAGATGTCATCGGTTTATTTTGCCAGTAGTTCTCGTTACTAACGATATGATTTCAAAATTTCAAATAGTTGTCGAAAAATTGATAACAACCTCAACATCTTCTCTAACATCCTCGCCAACAAGTTCTTCCTTGTCATTTTCTTTATTTGCGTTGTTGGACAAGTTGTTATTGTTCAATTCGCTGGGCCAGCCTTCCAAGTTGTGCCTCTCAATGGTGTACAATGGAGCATCGCCATTGTTATTGGCTTATTATCCCTACCTATTGGTGTGATTATTCGACTTATTCCTGATAGTGCATTTGGTTTCTTATTCTTCAATCCTGCCACTCGTGACAAGTATTTGGGAGGAAGTCAAAATGCTGTGCCTTCTGTCTACGTTGCTGGAAACGAAAGATTACCGTACAATTCAAGATCAAACACCATGCGGTCTCGAACATCAAAGCATAATGATAATCATTCTTTTACATCAGGATCCGTTCATAGTTTTGATTAAAATAACCTCCAAATGACGATCATCATTTCCATCTCATATAAAGCAACCTTATATACATACTTCCCTTTTGTTATCTCCGAGGTTGATCAGTTGTGGGAGTGTAGAAAAACTTTAATACTAACTATTTCTCTATATTTAAAAAAACTTGGTATAATTCCTTTCATTCGAAAGTCATGTACAGTGCTTATCCTTCTCGTTCCTCACTATAATTTTATTATTACCATTTTGCTGTCGAACAAATAAAACCTAAAGGTCTTTTTTTATCTTTTTTGTCAAAAGTTGTCTCTCATCTCGTTCAAGGAACGCTAAAAATGATTTTGTTATTACGTCTTTCTCTGAGCTGAGAATTTAGCATTTTATGCAGCGCTTTTTCGTTTTCCCCACAGTGTTAGATCCAATTTCCGGTTTGTTTTTTTTTTTGTTTCTTTGATCTTCAACGCACAACTACCTAGATCCATGAACTTTTACAAAATGGCATTCCGATCGTTAGAGTCACTACCAGTAAAGCCAAGTAAATTCACAACATCATTACCATGTGATATATACACGGCCAGTATAACAGAAACCACGCAAAATAATTTGATGAGAACGCCTCGACCTGTCCATAAAGCAGTTTATTCGCATGTTTACCCTGAAAAGGCACCTGATCCAGTATTACTAGCGATCTCGACACCAGCTTGTGAAAAACTGGAGCTAAATCCAGTTGACATTAAGGCGGATCGCCAGAAGGAAGAAGAATTTGTTTCTATTTTTTCAGGGAATAAAATACTTCCAGACACACGGCCTTGGTCACTCAACTACGCAGGCCATCAATTTGGGTAAATGAAAAGAAAGTTACAAATCGAGCACGTTTCAGCTAACCAAGTAAAACTTACTCAAATGTAATGGGAAAAAAAAAGTTTCTTTGCGGGTCAGTTGGGAGATGGAAGAGCCGTTTCTTTGTTTGAGACGATGAATTCTAAAGGAGAGTCCTGGGAAGTGCAATTGAAAGGTGCTGGACGTACACCCTACTCTCGTTTTGGAGATGGTTATGCTGTATTGAGATCTAGCATCAGAGAGTTCTTGATGTCGGAGCATATGAATGCTTTGGGTGTTCCTACAACACGAGCACTAGCATTGATCGCAACGAGCAGAGAAGTCATAAGAGAAGATGGCCCAAGAGGACGTAAGTTGTAAATAGAATAGAGATACAATATCTTATTTGAGCCTAGCCTCTACGATAGCCGCAGCTACTGAGATAATTCATTCTGGGGATATTAGTGGAGCCTGAAAGGGGAGCAGTTGTAACTCGTATGGCACCTTCGTGGCTTCGATTTGGTAATTTCGAGCTTTTTTATTCAAGAGATGATATGGACAATGTACGTAGATTGGCAGACTATGCCAGTGAAAACGTAGTAAAGGACGAGGCGAAGGGTAGTGGAAATAAGTACACAAGACTTTTTCGTAATGTTACCAAGCGCACGGCGGAAATGGTAGCAGAATGGCAAGCTATTGGGTTTAATCATGGCGTGATGAATACGGATAATATGTCAGTTCTCGGATTGACCATGGATTATGGACCCTTTCAGATTATGGATTACTACGATACGAATTATGTTTGTAATCATTCGGATGACATAGGGCGTAAGTCATTTTATATTTCCAACAGATTGCTTTCATGTCCGAATGAAGGATGATTAACCTCTGACATGTATGGGATACGTGTGAAACGTAGGTTATGCTTTTCAGCGCCAACCTTCAGTTTGCCTTTTCAATTTGGTCAAGTTAGCAGTACCTTTATTTGAACTTATCGGGGCCGAGGGAGAAGTTGATCAGCTTGTTTTCCCCGACAAAGATAATGAAACAAAAGAAGGAGTGACAGATGAGGAAACTTTAACGAAATATCGCCAAAATGGAAAAGAGATTGTTCAGCAACTGCTGAATGAGGAATTCAAGGACTATTTTATGGAGCACTATGTCGAAAAAATGAGGCAAAAGCTTGGATTAAAAGATAGCGTTGCCTCTGAGACTGATTTCAAAGATGTCATTGTTCCATTGCTAGCGTGGATGACGGACTATCATGTCGATTATCATCGCTTTTACAGATCACTGAGTAACTACCGAATAACAGCCGAGGGCGAGGAAGTAGATGGCGATAGGGCCATTGGCGAATGGATTGATATTGTAACTGAGCTTGGTGAGAATACCGAAGCATGCGCTAATGCTTTGAAGCCCTGGTTATCCATTTATCGACATCGTTTGTTAAAAGAAAGATCAGATGACAAAGAACGTAAACAGAGAATGGATGCAGTGAATCCTCGCTTCGTGCTAAGGAATTTTATAGTCGACAGGGTCATTGAGAGCTTCGACAACGATGATGAGCACGGAAAAGAATGCTTAGAGGCATGCCTTGAAGCTTGCATCCATCCTTACAGAGACCATTATGAAGATCAGAGGGTTGAAGAATGGATCAACGCAGCAGTGCCAGTAAGTAACCTTTCTTTCTTGTAAATGCTCAACCATCGTACGTTCCAAATTGATATCTTTGTTTCTTTTTTTTTTTGTTTTTGTTTTTTAGGCGGAAGATTATAGATGCTCCTGCAGTTCCTAAACTGACGCGAAAATGTTGTCATTTTTTTCAATATCACTCGATACGATGAATGTATGATTGTATGTACTTTTATTGCACAATAATGCTAATGTAAATATGGATAAAAATCTTGTCTATGAGGTGATTACTGAATTTATTCAGATGTGTATAAAGTGGATGTACATATACAAACAACACAAGGATAGAGCTTGTTGCATTAGTAAGAAATACGAATGACAGCCTTATAATGTCGCACTCTATCTAGAAAGTTGCGCATGTTCGCCTTGTCTTGGTCGTAAGAAATTCTTTGGCGTTTCGGCCTAAGCTTTGTGGTAACTGAAGATCTTTCCACAACCCTCGTCGATCTTCTCACAGCGATGTATTCATCATCCTCGTCATAGGACTTATCTGTCTCATCTTCACTATTGTCATCTCCATATTCATAATCTTCGTCTTGCTCTTTCCTTTTCTTTGTATTTTCAGCGTTTTTTAGGGAAGATTCTTCTTCGTCAGTGGTTTCGTCCTCATGTGCACTGTGTTCATCATCGTTGCCGTGTAGGTCTTTGTCCTCATCCGCCGCCGGAGAGCTGGTCTCATTCTTAAGTTTGTTGGTCATATACATGCTATCCTTCTGCAAGTCATTCTTCTGAGGAGTGTCCCCATGTACGCTATCACCCTTATCACTGTCATGAAGCACTTCTTCGGCGTCTTTATATTCACCCTTTTCTTTGTACGAATGACGGTGATCATTGTCCTTTCTTTGCTCTTCATCGTCCATAAATGATACGCAATCGACGACTTCATTTGACTTGTTGGACGCTGGATGGAAACTCAAAAACTTTGCGCCTTCTTTATCCAGATGGATTGATTTTATCTTTTTTAATATAATATGTAGTTGGTTCTCGGTTTCTGCAAGTTTGCTTCCATTGACGGTATTGCTAATTAGGTTCTTCATGCCCTCTATTAAACCCTTCTTTGCATGTTGGTTGTCATCCAGGTGGACATGCTTATTTTTCACTTTTGCGTCAAATACAGAATGAGTATCTGTTATAGTCACTTTAAATTTGGTCAGTTCCTTCAAATCAGGGTAGAACACGCAGTTTTGCAAGGTGAGTGTTTCTAATTCGCAAGCTTCTAACGATAAAGTCGAGGTAGTTCGATCGATTTGGCAACGGATGAGAGTGATATCCGTGAGGTTGGGGCAGTGCTTTTGACAGGTATTCAGTTCGTCACCTTTTAGAATGGCGTTGGTGATAGTAAGATGCTTCAAGCGAGGGTATAATTCGTTGCTGGGTAAGTTGTAGCTGATACTCGACGGATTATCTTTTCCGTAACCGATGGTCAACGACGATAGCCTTTCGAGAATAGGCTTAAAATACTCAACATCAATCAGCTGTGTTTCATTCAGAGATATAAGCGTCAACGATTGTAGTTGTGTAAAGGTTAGTAAGTCCTGCATTTGTGGAAAGGCTGTTGTTGTAAGAGATAGCGATTCCATACGATCAGGACCCAGTAGATTTAGATAAGTGAAGCCCTTTTCCGGCTGTTTTGTTATTTGTAAAGCGAGATGTTTGGGAAGACAGTTAGAGATATACAAAGCCTTTAAGAATCGGGTCACACTTATGGGATATTCACTGATTTCAATGGTTTCCAATTGTTGAAGATGATAGGTATACTTGTATAGCTTTTCTCTGTTGACAGCTTTATGGGCATTGGGATCACCCATAATTTTCAGAGATTTAAGGTTCTTATTGTAAGCGTTGAGAACGAATCCGAGGAGTCCAAAGTCATCCAAATCACCAGCGAGTTTTATCTGGACGTGGCTTACATTATTCGGATGAGGGATAAGTTCATTGTTGGATGACTTTGCAATGCTCACCGTGTCCAGTTTTATGCATCGTAAGCTGGGGAATATTTCTGGGAAAGAATTTATATCGTCAAGCGTCAACGTCGGCAATTTGTTGTTGGTAGTGATGATAGTGATACAGAATTTACTGGCATCCATGGTGGATGCTGTCGCCAACACGATATGAGGAAGACGTGTCGTGCCATCGATGAAGCTGTCCGTTTGTAGTGTTTTGGCAAAAAAGTTGCGTAGTACGTCTAATTGTTCTGTTCTCAGCTGCTCGAGAAACTGCAGATGCTTCAGTTCGGTCATACATAATGTCTTGTCATTTTGGCTCGTCAATCTCTCGAGTTCTGCATGCTGAACCACTTCTAGCGAGTCGACTGCGTTTTCTAGGCCGTCCGCTGCGACATTCATAAAGAGTCTGCTAATATCGTTGGAATAAACAAATTTTGCAGGAATGTCGACATCTTGGAAGCACTTTTGCAAAATGTTTTGCATCATCGTTAGAGGATTTTTGTAAGAACTGCTCGTCAAATCAAAAAAAGAGTCTCTATGTTGGTTGGTGGTTTTTTTTTTCGTTCTTCAAAGGAATGCTCCTTGCGGAATTGCAAAAAAAAAGAAAATTCATTGGCTAAAACTGCATATGCAAACTTTGAATTGTTGCCATTGTTTGATTAACGGCACCTCCACGTTGGCAGGAGGGCTAGTGGGTTATTGAGTGAGCCATTTATTTCACATCTTGCGGGTCTTTGCTACAGTAGAAAGTGATGTATTCCAAAAACTTTTGGTTTTTCCAGCTTCATATCTCATTCTTATGATCGCTTCACATTCTAATTAGTGGATGCAACTATATCTTTTGATGAATTGCCCAGTCAAGCTCCCTCCTACGGTCTAAGAAGAAAAGGAAAAGAACGTAGAGAGACTGCTTTTTTTGGAAGAGGCCAGACAAGCAAAACTGAAACAAAGTATATCGGGAAATAACGTTTCTTGTATGTGATCCATCCCTTCATCAACCTATTGTTTCCGAATGGGACGGGCATCTATTCTTGAAAATGATGATATACGGTAACCAAGACTGTTTCTCATTTGGTTGAGATGTGCTTAGGAGTTTTTCTTGGGAAGCGGGAGGTTTTTTGAACGGTCATGAGACACGTTTTTTATTTTTAGACAATTTGCAGACGCGTCTTTCTTTTGAACCCAATGACGTTTTATAAATTGAATTTTGTATAGTCCTTTAGCTTTTTTTCACACATTCATTATCTGTACACCGAGAAAGGGTATAGGCAATTGACTGATTCTTAAGGCTGCATAACAACACAAAAAGACTGATGAAACTCCGCGTTAGCCTCTTTAAACCATTCTATAACAAAACAAAGAATAAAGGAAATGAAAACGCGTTTCTAGCGTCGCTTTCAAAAGTAGCATAGAGAACAGCAAATTTGTCAAGAGTTTTTATGGGTTGTTTTCTTTTGAGTGATTTTTCGATACGTCTAAATAAAAACTGGCAAACTTAATCGCTTTGTGAGCTCAACTGTGAATAGGAAGGCTCCTAATAGTGATAAGCAATACCTCACATACGAGCAAGTCATCCATCTATAAGGGTTTATCTCAAAAGAAAAGAAGAATAGCCAATCGTCTATGTACATGTTTACAATTCGATTTAGTTTTTTTTTTTTTTGCCAAGCAAGTTAATCACTATTGAGGTATGGAGCAAACGTAAAGGTTTCTCTCGCACTGTTCCTTCATTAACAACGTACAACAAACGAAGTGTGACATCAATCTGAGCTTTTTTTTTTATTTTCTTCTGTTTTTTCTTTTTTGTCTCTTATAAAATTCCAGATAAGCGATGAGTTGTCCATCATGGTTGTACGGGATCAACAGGCTTACTGTCTTTTTCTATGTAAAATGAACAAGTAGAATCTGTTGTATAAAAAGGCGCACGTAGAGAAGCTCTCCTGAAGATCACTTATCCACCTTTATCCGTTAGCAAACAGCCTCAAGTAAAAAAAGTGATAAGCACCAATAGATGACTGTTTTCTGTTTTTGGTCTGGTCGAGATGGAAACGAATGATGGTTTCCTTTATAAAGTACAAGTGTGGAAGTACTACGGGCTCTTTTTATTCTCCGTCTCATTAAACTTTTTTTTTTTTTTTCTTTTTGTATGCTTATCTTATTGAACTCCGGTGCACTAATGAGAAACGCTCTTTGTGCACTTGAGTCATCTCATGCTCATCCAATGGAGATAAACAGCAAATCCCTTTATTTGCTGTCCCACGCCAAACCCCTCTGGATGACAGTAAAGGTTCAAAGAAGCTGCTGCATGGGATGGGTTTGGTTCAATAGGTTAAAGTCCATTGCTGTCGTGAGAAAACTCAATCTTAATTTGAATGGCTCTCAACAGAGATCGAATGAATACAGATTGGAAAGTGGTTGTACTATGTGAATTCTTGATGAAAGCCTCCAGAGTATCCTTTTTAGTAATGCCTTATTTGTCTCTCGTTCTCTCACTTCTCTCTCGCTCTCAGAGATGCCCTTTCTCTCGCCCAAGCGTATGCGAAGGTTCGTTCATTAACATGCATTACAAAAATCCGGGGAAGCCAAAAACAACGCTCAGGTCATACAAAATAACAATTTCTTTGGTTTGACATAATTGAATTATCCAATCAAATGCATCGGTCTCTTACCCCAGGCATATGACATGAAAAGTGAGCATGGATGCCCAAATATGGAAACCAAACATTTGATTGGAACAAAAAAGAAATTCCTTTTGACATAAGCGCCAAAGAAAGAAAAAAAAAAAAAAAAAAAAAAAAATAGAAACAGCTTTGGAATAGGTTAGATTTTTTCGATCTAAATCACTTTCTTCTGAATTTGTCGGTGGCATATAAAAAGAGCCTTCTTATTTCTTAGTGTTTCCCTTTTTTTTTTTTTTTTATTTCCCTCACTTACTTTTCGTGATACTTTTCTATTTTTTATACTTTATACTTTTATCTTTCTTTTTGTCAATTTTTGACTATTTTATAGTTTATTTATTCCCCTTTTCATAAATTCTTGGCACGTCAACATTCTTTTCTGTCCATGTCTTCCATAAACGAAAAGAAGGCCGATCTTCACGAAACAGAAATCAAGAGTGGTAAGTGTAGCTCTATGGATGGGTTTTGAATTATTTCTGTTGTTATTGATACCACCGATGGCTCCATGCAATAGTTTCAGAAGTCGATTACGAATATGGCAACGAAGGTGGTCTCATCGATATTAACCGTGACCATGCCGGTTCCTCTTGGATGGCCTATTTCAACGTTGTGTGTGTTGTAGCAGGCACTGGTACACTGGGTCTTCCTGTGGCACTCAAGCAAGGAGGCTGGCTTGGCGTGTTCATTCTTTTCCTCTCGTGGGGCATGTCCATCTACACAGGTATCATTCTCGTGCGGTGTCTCTACGCGAACGGCAAAACACGACTTCACACTTACAAAGAAATTGCTACGACCGCGTACGGCTGGATAGGTGGCTGGGTCACCTTTTTCTTCAACGCCTGGATTGTGTTGGGTGCTCCTGTGCTGTATATGGTCTTGGCCGGTCAAAACTTGAATCAATTATGCAAAGGCACGGCGGGTGAGCTTGGCAATACGCCGTGGATCATTATTTCGTGTGCGATCATTGCTGTTCCGTTTGTGCTTGTCAAGACATTGAAAGAAGTGGCGTGGATGTCCGCGTTTGGTGCGCTTGCCACCGTGGTCGTGGTCTTGATCTGTCTCGTGATGTCGGCGATCGACAAACCCAACCAAGTGAATATCCAGCACAACGCTGTTATCTGGAACATGTTTCCTATTGCTCTCAGTACCATCTCTTTCAGTTTCGGCGGTAATGTGGTCTATCCACACGTCGAGGCCTCGATGAAGAACCCGCGCGACTGGCCCAAGGTCGTAGCGGGTGGCTTGAGCACCTGTGCTGCCATGTATCTTGTCACGGCTATCTCTGGTTATTTGATCTATGGCACGACGGTCAAATCACCTATCTACGACTCGATTCCTGCGGGCGTCCCTCAAATCATTGCTGTGGTCGTCATTACCATCCACGTCTTGATGGCCGCGCCTATTCTCCTCACCTCCTTCTCTCTCGACATTGAAGAAATGGCCAATATCAGCGTAGAGCGCTTTGGAAAAGTCAAAGAATTCTTGCTCCGTGCTTCGATCCGTTTGGCCACCATGGTGGTCGTCGGTGTCATCTCCTGCATAGTGCCGCATTTCGGTGAATTGATGTCGTTGATTGGTGCCTTTGCCAACTGTGCTCTCATCTTTATCTTTCCCGTGTTGTTCTACCTCAAATTGACAGGTTTCCGTAACAAGTCCATTTTCGAGTTGTTTTGGTGTTTCTTGGTCGTTTTACTTGGTCTTGTCGGTCTTATTTTTGGTACCATCGAAGCCATCAAAGAATTGATTGCTGCTTTTCATTAAGCTTTTCTGTGTCTCTTTTACAATCTATATCCTCATAGATTCCTCTCTTTTTTTTTTTTTTTTTTCTTTTTTTTTATCAACTATCTAATAATTTTATCTATTTTATCTATTTTATTTTTTTAAAAAAAAAACCAAAAGTTGACTACACTGTATGTATTAATAAAAATGATATACCCACCACCATTGAATCATCGATACAGTTTGTTTATAATAGGATGTAGAAAGCATGATTCATCTTTTTGTGATGGAAAACAGTTACGCCCATGATCAGAGCGGGACAAGATGTAACCTGTTCATTTCAACACGTTCATGGGAGGTTATACACAACTCTATTGAATGAATAAAATGGAAAAGGGCTGAGCCCTCAAAGTGGAAAGACTTGATTTATGAAAAATTCAATGTTTCCCATGCAGGATACAGTGGCTCACATCGAGGCTTGTAGGTTGAGTCATGGGTCGCTCTCTTGGCAATCCTTGCTCCACAGCAATAAAAGGGACTACGTCAACATGACAACGACTCCTACCTACTACATCTGCAGAGAACACACGTTTTTCGTTCTTTTATGACAACCAAGCTTTCAAGGATGGGTTAAGGTTTTGTTTTTGTCCCACCTTGCCACCTCGTGAGTGTGAATGGTTATTTTACAAAAGTATGTCACTTGGAACAGATCTATGTCCACTTCCCCACCATGAGGGATAAGGAAGGGAGTTGGTACACATAGATCCATCCATGAAATGAAGGGCTTGAGGACACTTTTACGGTGAACACTGTCAACAAAGTGGTGGGGGAAGAGAGATGGACACGGATGCGATGCATAGTGCTAAATTACAAGAGTTCATGTGTACAACTTTATGCGTACGTTTCACCACCACACCACTTTTAAACATTTCATTTTCCTTCTTATGGTTAAAGGCAAGGCTGATAACAACAACTGACTTGTATTTATTGGTATCCTTTTTTTCTACGAACGACCAAAAAAAAAGAAAAAAAAAAAAAAAAAAAAAAAAAGAAAAAGAAAAGGAAAAAAAAGCAGGCCCGGAAATCCATAGGGTGATCTATATTACAAAATGTATACGTGTGGTTTGTTCCGAATGGTATGTGTGTGTATGTGTGACGGGATAGACAAAAGGAAAATGTGAAAAGGAGTAGGCCATGGAGAAACCAAAAACAGAACCAAAAAGACATTGGGGTTATTATACAATATAGTGTGGTTGTTCTTGTTGTTGTTGTTGTTGGTGGTGGCGGTGGTGGTAGTGGTAATAATCCTGAGGAGGGTATAAGTAGGGATATGAATAGTGTTGGAGTGGCTGTTGTAGTGGTTGCTGTTGTTGTTGTTGTTGTTGTTGTTGTTGTTGTTGTTGTAATAGTAGTAGGTGTAGTAATTGTTGTTGCTGCTGTTGGTCTATCGCACTTGGTACTACCATCATCGTAGGCGGTGTAATGATCTCCTCTTCCACAATTTCTTCTTCTTCAACATCATTTGACTGGTTGAAATAAGCCTCTTCAAAAAGACAATCCTTTTGAATCATGTGTGTAAAAGTAGCGGGTGGTTGTGGTGCTAGTGCTGGTTCTGGGACCGATATTGAATAATCATAGGGTTGGAGAAGTAGATCGTGAAAGAAGGGTAAACAGGCGGTTGAAGTGTTGTAGGAACAAGAAGGTTCCATGATGGGTTGAAAAGGAGGATGATAGTCGTCATAGTAACCATGGTATTCTTGTTGTTGTTGTTGTTGTTGTTGTTGTTGCAGTTGTTGCAGCAGTAATGGTTGCTGTGGTAACAAGAAATCGAGATTACAGAATGTTTGTTGATCTACCGTTGTGATGGGGTGTGTATAAACAGTTTCCAACAATAGAACGGGTAACAAAATAGGGAATCCAAGAAGTGAGCTTGTCCTATGTAGATCAAATAATTGATTTAATTGATCTAAACTATTTACGCCCGTCGGCGTGGTTTCAGAAGCCGTAAGATGATGATTATTATTAGTTGTCGTTGCAGAAGAAGAAGCCGAATGTAACATATTGCATTGTTCAACCCAGTCATTCAGAGTTTCATTCGAGATATTTAAAGAATAATCCAACTTTTCGAATAGTTTTGATTCGAGCAAGGTCAATTCTTTGAGTGGTATCATAGAGATATAAGCCCATTGTTTCTGTAAAAAATGAACAAGTACTTTAGTTTGTTAGTCTTTTCTTTTTCTTTTTTCTTTTTTTTTCCCATTCTACTGAAATAGAAAATAAAAAAGCCCTTTCAATTACCATATATGGTGGATTATCTTCGAGAAATTTGTACGCCAATAAAAGTGACACAGTGAACAATGAGTATTCATGTGCCATATCAGATAAATCAATAATATGATACTCGTTGATACTATTTGCCAAGATACGTTGAAGATACTTTAAGCTATTGATCAAAATGGATAACCATGCAAAAAATGAATAAACTAGGAATGAAAGCGGGGTTGTTGGGTTTTTTTTCCTTTTGTTTCCTTACCTTGTGCATACCACGGGCGCAGATATGTCAAGCTGGATGAGCAAGCGATTACAAAACAATGTGAAATTGCTTACTCTATCCGCAGTCCATGACGCTAAATTTCCTCCACACAGCAGCAGTCTAACAACAGATACGCATACAGAAGCTAGCTCAGCCCCTGATTTATAACGAGTGGAGGAGATAGTGGTAGCTGGTATGAATGGCGGCTGCAGTAGATGCGTAGAAGATAAGGTGGATGTTTGTGGGTCGTGGTGATCATAAAGAAAATGCGACTGTAGTGGTTCTATCGTGGCACTTAGATGGTGCTGTAGTAAGACAGTAGTGGACATTCTGGTATGCGAAAATGATAAAAGAGAGAGAAACGTACTAACAGTGGAAAAAAGCAAGGGATGAAAGAGAAAAATAAAAAGTTGAAACCGTTTCTTTTTTTTTAAAAGTCATTTAAAAATGGGTTTCGCCCTTTTGTGTGTGTGTGTGTGTGTGTGTGTGCGTGCGTGCTTTTGTGTGCCGTATATGTGTGTTATGTCAAATAAATATGAAATATAAAAAATTAAGGTTTGAAAATATTTGTTACGCATAGCCAAATTGGGGAACCGTTTTTTTTTTTTTTTTTTTACTAGGAACAGGCGGCGGGTTCACATAAAAAAAAAATGCACCCATCATGTCTCTCCTAAAATAACCAATTTTCCATGGTCTGTCTCTCTTTATACAACGACACTCACACTCACACAACACATTCATATATATACACACCCACATACATATACGCACATACACCACGTACCTTCATCATCAAGTTCAAAGCAGGGGCTAAAACAAAAATCATTCTCCCTTGTCACTATTTTCTCATTTATCAAGCAAGATCTACAGACAAGTAGGCGATGAATATGTGATTTAAAGGGAATTCTTTTTTGTTTTAGTTTATCATCAATTAAAAACAGAAAACACCTTTTAGGCGATTTTTTTTTAGCTGGACATCCCAAACAACTCCGCAAAAAAGGATGATAACTGATTCACTCAATGGTAACACGGTCAATGAATACGCGATGGTTCTCTTTTCCCGATAAAAGCTTACAAATGTCTTTTTTGTATTGAAAAACACAATGGAGATAGAATAAACAAAAAGGATATAAGGTTTCCAGGTGTGTTTTTGTCATAGTAAAGCAAACGTAAATAATTCCAAAAGCTTCTTTGTATGTCACCGTATTGGATTTATAATAGGATTAGCCGGAAACCCAAGCATCCAGAACAAGTAGTAACAGTAACAGCAGCACAGTCTCAGTAGATAGACATTCACTTGCAATGGAATGGATTCTCCTTCTACTTTTACATTAAAAAAAAAGGTAAAAAAGATTCCATCGACCTCCTCTTCTTCCATAGATCTCCTCTTTCTATCTTTACTATAGCCGCCTTTCGTTCATAAAGACAACGGACATCAAAAAACGCAAATCGACCATTTTCAAGGCTCCTTATGCTTAACAGAATATAAGGGTCTAAACAAGCTCCCTTAATATTCCACATCGCATTTATTTATAAAAGTTGTAGTATCAACTGATAAATCATCAAATCATTCTTTTTTGCAGTCTTCGGTAAAGATCAACATTTTACATACACACATACATACATACACACATACATACATACTACCCATTATCATGGAAAGGGAGCTCTCTTTATTTCTCTCCCTTGATTCTTCCTTTTCCTGCTATATATCTGTATAAGACGTGTCATGACTATGTGTGGCTGGTGATTCGCAATACTCTTTGTTTTTTTGTTTTTTTTGGGGCTATTTTTGGGTTGCAATTTCACATTACTTAGTGCCCCCGAATTATTGAATATCAATTTGTAATTGTTCAAAAAGATAACACCACGGTTCAAAAATGTGTGCACATGTTTGGCCACTTTCATAAAAGATTGCGTTCTTAAACCTATCAAAACAATCCTACGTGATGTCTTCTTTTTTTCCTCCCTCGTTTTTCTGTTTTTTCACGCTTTTTTTGTTTGCTTACAATGATAGTAGAGATAAACGAGACCAAGCTTTTGTGAGAAAAGGTACAGCATCGGGCCGCGTCCTTCCTCTTGCACTTTTTGCGTACAGAACCCACCGTTCTGTTTGTATCACAACGTGTGCCCATGTTATGAAGTTTAATTCACGCTCACACATAAACTGCCTGTACAACATTGTTAGCATGATGGATGAATACAAATAAGAAAAAGCTTATGTTTATGGGTTTTTCTTCAAGCGACATCTACATCACATCTTGTTTCTCCCGGCGTCAGGTTCATTTACTAGCTTGCTGTGTTCGTATCACACACACACATGTATGCAGACGTATACATCTCGTCTAAAACGATTGTAAGCGAGCACAACACGGCATCCAGCAAGGGCTCCTACTCGCCATCCATCCCCCTTCTCAACAGAATTTCCAGTCTTTCGTATCCGGAGAATATAACCTCCTGTCTTTTCAACAGAAAAAAAGGATAGACATGAACGTTAGCTACCATTTTCCGTACCACCCTGCACTATCTGAGTAGCGCTTCTTTGTATCGAGTCACTGATCGCGTATCCCGAGACACGAAACAAAATAAACTCATGGAAAAATCCAGTTTTAAATCTTGTGCCGTCTGTTTGTCTGTCTGTTCGTTTGTCCAGTCGGGTTAGTCATATAAATTTACCAGGAACCAATGATAGTTTTTTGGAAAACTATCTTTGCAAAAAAAAGCAACGCTTGATTTGTTGGTTTTTTAGTTTTTTTTTCTTTTTATTTGAAAAAATGACCCATGTATGAAGACATGCCCGCACGCTTACAAGTTTCTTTGTAAAAATCGGACCTATTCAATTGCGTTCTTAGAAGAAAAAGACAAGGGCGTACCAGCGGTTCATAAAGCGTGTTAGAAAAAAAAAAACAAAACAGAAAGACACCAGCACTGTTGGGTTCACCGGAAAGTCATAGTATTCGATGGTGTATGTCCATTGTAATCCCTTTCTCGGCTTCTGAAATTGTTGGTGGATGGAGAGTAGCAATACATTTCTATACTATGACTGACACAAGCCTTTGAAGGTCGATCATGCTCACCAAGTCAGCACTCCACTCGTACTCAATAGCTCTTCTTCACCTATATAAAGTGGACGCGGTTTTCTCGAAATGCTTCAGAATAGCCGTTGTATTGCTGGTCTTACATAAGCAGTGCCAGCTGGGTTCCTTTTTCATGGTTGCACCGAAAAAGACCTTTATGATCTGCGACAATGGAGCGGTCTATTCTTGTGACTGTATATTTGTAATACAATGTTGAAAAGAGAAAAAAAAAAAAAATGCACAAAGCATAAAGACAAAGGGTCTTTTTTTTTTTTTTTTTGTTCTTCACTATTGACTATCATCATTCTTCAAAAATGTAAGTTGAAATTTAGACTTTGGATGTTTTGAAAAAAAAGAGTGTGCTCCAAGTTGTTTGATATGAAACGTCCCTTTTTTCTTCCTTGTAGGGGACGCCATTGTCAATTAGTTATGGGACCTGCAGGAAGTGGCAAGGTAAAAAACCAAAACCAAATGTCGATCCGATCGAGGGAAGCATTCCTTTTAATCATTTCTCTTTAGTCCACTTATTGCGCAACCATTATGACACATTGTCAAACAGCAGGTCGTAAAGTACATTTGGTCAACCTTGATCCAGCTGCAGAACACTTTGAGTACGAACCCACCATTGACATTCGCGATCTCATCACTTTGGAGGATGTCATGGAAGAATTGGGTTATGGCCCTAATGGTGGACTTATTTATTGTTTAGAGTAAATACAAATGTCCGATTTCTACAAGAGTAGTATCCCAGCCCCCCTCTTACTTTTACGAATCAGCGCACACTTATCCATCCTATTCTATCTTGTACTAGATTCTTGTTGAATAATATCGATTGGCTAGAAGAGGAAATCGGCTCTTATGATGACGATTATTTAATATTTGATTGCCCTGGACAGATTGAACTTTACACACATTTTCCTATCATGAAACGACTTTGCGAAACGCTCAGCCGACTCAACATGGCCATTTGCGGTGTCTATTGTTTAGAATCTCAATTTATCGAAGATAAAAGTAAATATTTCTCTGGCGTCTTGAGCGCCATGAGTGCCATGGTGAATTTGGAGATACCTCACGTCAACGTGATGACGAAAATGGATTTGATTGAAGGTGACTATGGCAACCGACCTATCGATGCAGACGGAGCAGATGCAGACGCGGATGAGGATGATTCAATAAGCGACGCAGAAAAGAAGAGGCGCAGACAAAGAAGAAGAAGAAGACTCATGGAAAAAGCAATGACAGAACGCGAGTTGGACAGATATCTCGATCCGGATCCATTGTTGATGATAGAAGAGTTAGATACAGTCCTAAAACAACAAGAGGAAGAGGAAGAGCCAAGCCCCTGGACATTGAAGTTTCAGGCGCTGAATCAAGCCATCGTGCAACTCATTGATGATTATAGCATGGTTCGCTTTATACCTTTGAACATTACAGATGAGGGCTCTGTAGAATATGTTCTTTCCAGTGTAGATAACTCGATGCAGTATGGCGAAGATTTAGAACCCAAGGTGTGTAGAATCTCATTTCGACAAATTTGCATATCATCTGAAATCATTGCCTTCCTTCTTATCTTCTTGTTTGTATGAATAGGAACCTCAAGATATGCCCGAATATGATTAAAATTCTTATTTACAACAGAATCATCCTTTGATGTGTTTGTAAGCTACTAGTTTGATATTTTGACAGCAATAAAAAGGGAAACAAAATAGAAAAGGAGCAACCTAATATATGATGGAAGGGGGGCAAACAAGAAATATGACCAAAGGAGATGCGAAAGAAGGAGCGGCAGAGAGGCAAAAAAAAAAAAAAAAAAAAAAAAAAAAATTTCATAAAAGCAAACAGAGATTGGATTGTCAATCAATACAAGAACGATTATATTTGATTTAGAGGAGGACGACAATAAAAAAGTGGGGTTCATTTCTTGGATGTGTATGTGTCTCTTAACCAGTAAGCTTGGTTTTTTTTTTTTTCGAAAATCAACGTTAACGAAGAATACTTGCACGTTTTTTCTAATTACAAAGTGTAGAAAAGTATAGATAACTTTATAATTTTGATACGATTTGAGTAAAGTTGGTCTTGTTCCTTTTCTTTCTCTCGTTTTACATTTTACTTTATGCTCTTTTACTATTTTTTTTTTTAAAAAACCACAGTTGCAAATTCTCTAAATCCTTCTCAATCATATACATATCCAATATTTAAACTTGTATTTAACCATCTATAATACCTATAATTCTTTTTCTTTCTGCTATCATCACCAACAAAACGTTCAACAGCAATTCCTCAACAAAAAATTATAAATCATGTCAACCGATAACCATAGCACTTATTATGCTCCTATAGCACCTAATAAACAACCATTAACAACAGCTGAAGAGGAAGACGATCTATCCTTGGCTGAAATCATGTCATTAAAGGTTTCTATCTCTTCAGCAAACGTAGTAAAGGTAAAAAAACAAGGAACCCAAGTAAACTACTTTTCTAGCAGTGATTCCTTAAACAGAATAATTCTTACTATTTTTATACCATCATGGCGTTCCTTTTTCTTTTTTTTTTTTTTTTTTGGTTACATTTCTAAAAGGGAAAGGAGGGAGGCGCTAAAAAACAAGTAAATTCAAGGGGCTACACGTATTATCAAAAGGATGAAGGCAATTTAGCAATAGTAGAGTACTAATATCATTCGCCTCTTTTTTTCTTTCAACAAAAAAAAAAAAAAAAAAAAAAAAACCAAAAAACTATAGAGTAAACTCATGTCCATGTCCAAAAATAACCATAGTCCATCAAAGCAGCCTCAACATCTACCACTAATGCATACAGTAACAAACCAGCCACTACCACCACCTTCCAAATATCATGACTGGATACATCATCAACAACAAAACGAGCTCATTTATCAGCAACACATGCAATCTACTTATTACCAGTTGCAATATCTGCAGCAGCAACAAATGTTGGCAATGATGGCCATGCGCCATAGTAGTTCTTCCTCTTTGAGTAGCAGTAGTAGCAGCAGTAGCAGTGGCAGGTCGTCGCTGTCTTCCATTGGTAGTATGAGATCTAGTATCAGTAATAGCAACCAACAACGAAGCAAACATTCTGCTCATTTACCTCAGCAACAGTATGCCTCTCGGGAATGGCAGCCTTCTCCTTCGTCTTCTTCAACCTCGTTCACCTCAAGAAACAGTAGACACTCTAGAAGAAATAGTAATAGTAGTACTACCAGCAGCTGTAGCAGAGCATCCACTAGTACTTTGGCCATGGCCCTACCGTCGCATCCACTACAAACATCGCCTCCTCCTCCCAAGAGACGGCAGTCTCTAAGTAAGCGTATTAAAAAGGTTTTTGGTATGACAGATCATTCTTCTTCTTCATCTGCATCCACTTGCTCCCCTATACCCGAAATGAAAGAAGAAATGACGGCTACAACGGATGATGCCACAGCAACCCAAGAGGAGAGCTTGTCAGCATTGAAAAAATCCACACTATGTAAAAGTCACACTGCCCCCACAACGCTAAGCTTATTAGAATCTACACCGATCTCTTCAAAGCAAAACGGTTCTCAACGTCGCAACCGCATTTCTACAACGCATAGCACGTTACTGTCTTCTTCCTCGACATCCTCGTCCTCGTCCTCGTCTTCGTCCTCCTCATCCTCCTCTGTTTTCTCTAGTTCTCCCTCTATGACCAGTGCTATCACTACGGCAACATCGGCTTCTACTGTAGCGAGTACTCAAACAACGAGTCACTCCATGAGCAGTAGTAAAAGTAAAAAGTCGCTGTCGTTTGATCCCATCCTTCAATTACACGAAACATTTTCGGCAGCTGAATATGATCGTCGATGTGATACCAATGCTACCTGTCAAAAATTGACGCCTGCGTTGGCTTTGAAAATCAAAGAGGAACTCAATTTATTCAAGCTGAATGATATGACGGTCCATAAGGATAGTAAACAATTCACTCATTTCTTTATGTAAGAATGATAACTTTATAATGCTCATTAAAGGAAAATATCTTCCCGCTTGTTCGATGCACACAATGGATGTTATCCCTCTTTTTCCCCGCTTTTTTTCTTTCACGGATACACCCTACTAAACAGCCATAGCAGGGATGAGATGGCTTGATATTTCTCCTCCTGATAAAGGATGGCTTTGAGAGCTAACTTTGATAACTGTGCATTTCGTCATGTAAAAAATTGCCTGATAAAGCGCTTTGCCACGTCAGGCATTCAAATCCACTTTTATTAAGCGACCTTATGGTTGTCATTGTCTGTCTGAGAATAATCCAAACAAGCAACAAAAGGCAGTTTTTCCAGAAAATAGCTGCTCAAGAAATGGTCGCCCTGGAGATCTTGATTCGATGTATTACCGCATATAGACAAACACAATGATTGAAAAAATTTACCGAAAAAAAAAAAAAAAAAATTTCTATTGTTCCCGTCGTTGTCAATTTTTTGACAGTTATAGAAAACGCGCGCCCAATCACATGCTGCAAAAAATATGTATTTATTTTTTTTTTTCTGCCTGTTCTCCAGGCCCAATTTAACCCAATTCTCTCTTTGTCCTTTCTTAACCTTTTTCTTTCATTGATATACATTCTATTTGTGTGTGTGCGAAAAAATGTTAAAGTTTGCCAAATCAGTCATAGACAGCTTTTTAGGCAAAAAGCGTAGGTTGGATGAAGTTGATGAGGACGATCATTCTAACGACGATCAACATGATTCAGGAATTGATGCCAAAAAGCCCAAAGTTAACCTAGTTCATCGAGTCAAAGTTTTCCATTTGCCTGAAAGAGAAGTGGGTCCCGTCAGAAAATACTTTCAAAAATTGGGATACAACCGTGTCAAGAAAGCACCTCAATGGAATTTCTGTTATATCACTGTGGACGTAAATAGAGATAGATCTTATTAGAAAAATGGCTTTTCCAGTAAGAGGGGAGCTGTTTTTGAAAAAGAACGTTGTGAGTAATTTGTCCCGTCTTTTTTTTTTTTTTTTTTTTTTTTTTTTAGTCTGAAGAAGAAGCCAGAAAATGTCTGGAGGTTGTAAAAAGTTGTGTTTTTAAGAAGAAACAATTGACAGCCGAATACGTTGTTGAGAGTGAACAAAGTCACCGAGAACGATTCCAACGCCAAGAGAATAAAAAAAAGGGCAAAAAGGACAATGACACTCCTCAAGGGGATGAGAACGATACTCGTACACCTGCCGAAAAGTTAGCAGATCAAGTAACTCCTTTGTGGAGGGAACCTTATGAAGTGCAGCTCAAGAAGAAGAACAGAAAGGGCCTTCAGCAATTGATGTCGCTCAAGAAAGATATTGCCCGTCTTCGCGATGTACGTCAAGAATATCAACGTGCCTGGGCTTTTGACAAGGGCGCTTTACCCTGTGAAGTGTTGGACCCCATTGGCTCTCCCCTCCTTGAAGGCTATCGTACCAAATGCGAATTCACCATCGGTAAGAATTTGGATGGCGAGCCCTCTGTAGGCTTCTTGTTGGGTCTGTATCGTAATGGCATCACCACTGTCTTGGAACCTGACCAGACACTGAATGTGCCCGAAACAGCCAAAAAGATCGCCAAGGCGATGAACGATTATGTGAAGAGATCTGATCTGCCTGTCTATGATCGCGTCGAGAAAACTGGCTGCTGGCGTACGGTCATGTGCAAGACCCAAAGTACAGGCGACGTATTGGTGCTAATCCAATTGCGTGATACTGACATTTCAAAAGAACGTTTGGCTGAAGAAAAGCAAAACTTGGTTCGCTTTTGGCAGGAAGAAAGCGGTATTCCTATAACTACCTTGGTCTTTCAAGTATGGAATGACGTTTTCAATGGAGTTACTGATAGAGCACCGCTGGAAAACCTCATTGGTGATGGTTATATCTATGAAAACTTGCTGGGTTGTCGCTTCCGTCTCTCAGCCCTTTCTTTCTTCCAGGTCAATACAGCTGCTACAGAATTATTGTACGCTAAATGTGCTGAATGGTGCAACATCGACCCAACAAAGAAAACAACCTTGCTCGATCTTTGTTGTGGTACGGGTACCATTGGTATAACAATGGCAAAATCAGTAGATCGTGTTGTTGGTATTGAACTCATTCCCGAAGCCATTGTGGATGCCAAAGAAAACGCTAAATTAAACAGTGAGTATATTTGAATCAATGATTTCTTATCAGTGAAAATGTACTCAACCTTCTTTTTCTTTATTTGATGCACAAGACCTTGAGAATGTGACATATTACGCTGCCAAGGTTGAAGATAAAATTGATGTTGTGAGAGGTGAAAGAAATGAAGATGTTGTAGCTGTATTGGACCCACCAAGGTAAAAGAAAAAAAAAAGCTTATCTGTAAATACAGTAAACTTGTTATTGGGTTGAATCTTACCTTTTTATCAACATCCATGTCATACAAAATAGAAATGGTGTTCATGCAAACGTTATTCGTGCTATTCGTGAAGCTGAACATATCAATCGTGTAGTTTACATCAGTTGTGATGCCGAACAAGCCTATAACAATTTCCTTGGGTAAGCATCAGCACCACTGATTGAAAAATGTCGAATTTCATGAGAAAGATATCATACTAATCTTGGGTTTTTTTCCCGTTGCATCAGCTTGTGTCGCCCTGAATCCAACCGTTTCAAGGGTTTGCCCTTCAAGCCTAACCGTGCTGTTTCTATTGATCTCTTCCCTCATACCAAGCATTGTGAATTGATGATTGAATTTGTTCGTATACATCCTGAAGAAGCAGGCAAAACTAATGAATCAGCAGAGCAATCGACGACTACAAAAACAGAAGAACAGTCCACAACTACTGAATAAATAGCTCTCATAGGCCTGTTTTGCCTAAAATACGCATTTTAGAAATTGATATTGATGAGAAATGATGGAACTGTCAATCTATCATGAACGAATATCCATACTCTTCCCCCCCCCTTTTTTTTTTCACCCTTCAGCTCACCGTATACTTTTTATATGTAAATAAAATTTTCTTTTTTTTTTGGCTTTACTCTTTAGTCCAACCTTTTCCTTAAAGCGATCTTCGCAGGGCGAGTAATTTATCTCAAAATCAACGCATTGGAAGATCATTCTATTTTTGAGTTATCATCAGAAAAATCGTTCTATTCTGTATCCTTTCAACAAAAATATATTTAAGCGTTCTATTATATAGAGCATCCAAAAAAAAAAGAGAGAGAACGTTGCAAACCTTTTTTCTCCTTCAAAAATTGGCTACTAAATGATGTTTTATTACCATTTTATCTTAGTATTCTTATGTTTAACATCAGGGCTCAACGCGCAACAGTCCTCTTCTACTGATATCGAACGGCAATCAGATTCATCCATTGAGAACAAACCTGGTAAATTGCCTCATTATTGTATTTGCTCAGAAACAATGGATAAATTTATTTGTTTTTCTTTGTCTTGAATTATCTAAAGAAAATCTTCCTAACGTCACTTGGACCATTCTGGACATGGATACAAGTTCGCGTGAAAACTTATGTCAACGTCAGATAGCGTACTGCCTTGTAAGTGTTGCAATGGTTGGTAGTGTTTTTCTCCTCTAACTCATAGACATTACCCGTCGAGTAGAATAATTGTGGCGGCACTAATGCCGCACCTAAAAAGTGAGTTTATTAAGAGTTCAAAGTGCGATAATGTCGTCGTAATAGACACTGTATACAAAATAATTTTGCTCTATAGCTTCTGCAACTCCTCCACTATGGCTTGGAACTGTGGTTGCGCCCTCAAAGTGCCAGACCTTACCCCTTATTTATGGCCAGTTGTTCAGGCTGAATGTATCGGTAAAGCACAAGATTGCTTGTCCATCTGTAACAAGAAACCGGCCGCTTCTGCAGGTCCTTGTTCACATGCTTGTCAGACGTACTATCAGTGCAATACAGAAATGGCCCCTCCTAGCTATTTGAGAACAGACAGTCCAGATGAAACGCCTGCTTCCTATAATGGGCCACCCACACCTAAACAAAGTATCAACAATAATAGTACTACTGACAGCAATAGTACAACAGCAGGAAACAATAGCACCAGTAGCCATGGTTCAAACCAGCAGTCATCTTTGGCATCCACTATATTCAATGCAACTTTCAAAGAGGCTATTATGTTTGCTTTATTGTTTATTGCTGTTTCTGTTATAGTTTAATCATTTTGTAACTTTTTTAACACAAGTATAATCATACCAACGTTGTATACGAAACAGACACTACTACTATTACTATTACTATTACTATTACTATTACTATTACTATTACTACTACTACTACTATTATTATATCGTACTCTACTTATTAGCCATCCATAAAAATAACATCCAATTCTTCTTAATGCCATTGTTTGAGTGATTTCCAAATTAAGCCCAGCATGAATGCGGGCCGGAACCTTACTTTTTAGTACAAGCTTTTTTATCGGGAAAACAAAAAAAAATGTAAAAAATAAGGGCCAGTAATGGTAGAAATCCATATCAAAAGAAGTGGTAAAGCCTGCCATACGTGAAATCCTTCTCTTTTCTCACCTATAGACAGGATGAAGTTCTCCGCTGGTAATGATCAATTCAACAACAGGATCAGTGAAAAAGTGTATAGAAAACGGATGGATTGAATACTACGTTTGCGATGCATGGATTGGAAATGATGGACAGTTGAAAAGGAATGGATGGATAATATACAATTTACGACAGCATCTATTTTTATAATGTCATTGAGGAGCATTTGGTTTAGCACCCTCCATTTCAGTATACTACCGCCAAAACTTGTAAAAGTTGACGCCTCAACACAGGTGCCTAATTCCAATATTCGAAACAGCTTTTTTGCAACTCACCGAATACCCAGTGCACTTCATTAGATACTGATGGCATACGCTGATTTCTCATTTCATCGCTTTACACTGATTCTGTTGCTCGTTACACTGATGCATCATCTGTCAACATTTATATTAACCTTTTCATATCTCTACCTTCTTGTCAATCTTCTTTAAACCTTAGACGTCAGTTCCTCTCGCCGTAAGAGCAGAAAGGCTCATTTCACCGCCACCTCTGATGTTCGTCGTAAGATCATGAGTGCTCCTTTGTCCAAGGAACTCCGTGAAAAGTACGGTGTCCGTTCTATTCCCGTCCGCAAGGATGATGAAGTTCAAATTGTTCGTGGTACTTACAAGGGCCGTGAAGGTAAAATCACTCAAGTCTACCGTAAGAAGTGGGTTATCCACGTTGACCGTGTCGTCCGTGAGAAGGTCAACGGTGCCACCGTCCCCATTGGTCTCTCCGCCTCTAAGGTTGTCATTACTAACCTCAAGTTAGACAAGTCTCGTCTTGCCATTCTTGAACGTAAGGGTAAGAAGGATGCTATGAAGCAGGTAGGGTTTTTTTTCTTTCTCTGATTTGTTACCATTAGAAGCCTTTAACTAATATCATCTTTTTTTTTTCTTTTATTGCTTTTATCACTATAGTAATTACTCTTATACTCTCCTTTATACTCATAAAATAAACTAACATGGGAAAATAAAAGAACTCTTCTTGACTCCTTGTTTTGTACATTTTTCTCAAAGCCTACGACTATACCAATCTAACATTGATTTTAAGAATCCTACCATCAATACAAAGGCTCGGCGATAGAGGTTAGCATCAGCATAGATGCAACGTATTGTTCAAAAACAAAAAATAGTTTAATGGGAAGAGAGGCTTGTATTAAAAGAAGGGCTCGAATAGATTCAGCAATTGAATGTTGATTTTGATTCATCGAACAAAGAGAGTATCAAGTGTTAATAGACGATGTTGATAGCTCGCAGGAGTCTGCTTTATTATAGATTGAATGTCTAGCTTTTCATTAAACATCTGTCGAAATGAAGATACCGTATAAATACAGGGTTTCGAAAAGCAATATGTCGCCTTCGCCAAAGTTAACAGTTACATCAAAAGAAATTTGTAATTCTTTCGCTAGGTCAAAGCCGAAATTATTCCCTTTACGTTTATATTTTTATATTGACTGACAGTAAAGCCGCAATCAGCTGAATAGTAAGCTCAATAGGTGTACTATTGTTGCTATCATCGCAATTAATGTCCTTTTCGTTCTTTTAACGCTTCCAGACGAGTTTATTTAGATGAGCATCTAGAACTTAGTATATGTATATTGTTTAATTGGTAGTCAAATGCACACTTACTAAGAGGCTTGAAGAAAGGTTAAACTGTTTTTCAGGAGCCACCTTTTATCATTGGCCAATCTCATTTAGTCTTACTCATCGAATTACATACTTCTTTTGCTTCTACCCCGCATGAAAAAAAACGGAAATTCAAAGATATAGAAGATATGAGTTGGCAGACATATCGTTATTTCCTTTAACTGGATGGTGTCATGGGTTATATAGGTCAATGTCTAGGAACTCTTGTAGTATCATTGTCTTCCATAGCTTCCAAAAAAAAACGATCACAGCAGTCATATGAAAACCGATGCATGTTTGTTCGCACGTTCTAAACGAAGCGGCCCCGCAAAACCTCTTTTTGTGCTGACTGAGCTTATTTTTCTTTTCAGTTACACTGTTGATTTCAGATTCCTGATTTAATTTGTTTCCTTCATCGCTTATTCTTCAAGCAGTTTGTTTTCTCACTTCCCTTTTCTCCCTTTTTTTGCACCTTACCTTCTCACATTTTCCTCAACTCATTTAAAATATACCTTTCAGTACGCCAACATTAATGAAACATGGCCAAATTTACCTTAGAAAAACAATCATATGAAGTACCTAATACAAGAGCGCCTGGACAGACAGGTAAACTATTCGAACATTCAATGGTCTTCTATCCAGAAGGGGGATTCATAAGCTAGAAGATCGATCTGTTAACGTGTGTTATGGATATACTTTGCTGACGTATCTTCTTCATGCAGGAATCTATCGCAATGCCAGACGTCCAGTTATCGAAGATTCCTTCTCTCCTAAAGTCAAAACAATGATCGACATTTTCAACCATGGTAAAAGATGAAAAGGGAGCTTTGGGATGTTCTATTAGGAAGGTATACTGGTTCTCGCTGATACAACCCGTTTTATGCACATCTAGGTTTGAAAATTTCAAAGGATCGTCCTTGTATCGGTACCCGTTCCATCAAAAACCGGCAAACTGGCGAGAGAGGACCTTATGTATGGCAAACCTACCGCCAAGTCAATCATCGATTGACCAACTTTGGTTCAGGTCTCCTCAACTACTTGAATCATCAACTTGGGGACACTCGCACCGAAAGATTGCCCATCGGCATCTGGTCAGTCAACCGTGCCGAATGGACTATCGCTGATTTGGCCTGTACAGCCTATTCATTTTATACTGTTGCTCTTTACGACACGTTGGGTCCTGATACCGTCGAATTTGTTATTAATCACGCCGAAATCGAAACTGTCATATGTTCGGGGGACCATATTGCTGATCTTTTAAAGTTGAGACACAAGATTCCCAATTTGAAGACTATCATTTCTATGGATTCAATTGGGGAAGAAGGACCTGCAAGACCAGGCATGGCTTCAAAAAGTGCTATTATAAAAGCTTGGGCAGCTGAGAAAGAAATCAATTTGATAGATTTCAACTATGTAGAAGGTTTGGGCAAGAAGAATAGACGTTCTTATAACTATCCTAAACCTGATGATTTGGCATGCATCATGTACACCAGTGGTACTACTGGAATGCCAAAGGTAATATTGAAATCCTAGTACTAAGCATTATCAACTGAGCACTTGCAAATGAATAATCTGCTTGGAAAATCAATGTATTATTTATAATACTTTTATTGATATGTATTTCCTATTTTCGTAGGGTGCCTTATTAACTCATCGTAACTTTGTTGCTGCATTATCTGCCAGTTATAAAGCTCTTGGAGGAACTGAAGATGACAGCAGTATTTCCTATTTACCACTAGCTCATATTTTTGGTCGTGTTTGCGATATGAATTGTTTCAGCATTGGTGGCCGTTTGGGCTATTTCAGCGGTGATATCAATATGTTGGTTGAAGATATTCAAGAATTGAAGCCTACCATATTTGCTTCTGTACCTCGTCTTTTGAACCGTGTTTATGGCAAAATTGTCGCCTCCACGATCAATGCTCCCGGTGCTACTGGTGCTCTTGCTCGACGCGGTGTCGCTACAAAATTGGCTAATTTGGAAGCTGGTAAAGGTTACACTCATCCCTTCTGGGATCGCTTGATCTTCAACAAGGTTAAGAAAGCCTTGGGCGGTAATGTGCGTATCCTTATCACGGGCTCCGCTCCTATCGGTAAAGACGTTATGCAATTTTTGAGAATTGCCCTTTGTTGCGATATCCGTGAGGGTTATGGTGCTACTGAAACTTGCGCCGCTTCAACCATTCATTACGAAAATGAATATAAGGCAGGCCATATTGGTGCTCCTTTTACTTGTAACGAACTCAAATTGGTTGATGTACCTGAAATGGATTATCTCTCGACTGATCCATACCCACGTGGTGAAATTTGTATTCGTGGTCCCAACGTTTTCAAGGGCTACTACAAAGACGAGGAAAAGACAAAGGAGGCACTTGATGACGAAGGGTGGTATCACACTGGTGATATAGGTATGATTGATGAACGCGGCTGCTTTGTTATTATTGACCGCAAGAAGAATATCTTCAAATTGGCACAGGGAGAATACATTGCCCCCGAAAAGATTGAGAATATTTACGCCAAGGACCCTATCATCGCTCAAATCTACTTGCATGGAGACTCTTTGCAAAATAGTCTGGTTGCTATAGTGGTTCCTGAACCCGAAACTTTGTCCGCTCTCGTGGCAGCGAAGTTGCCTCAAGTGCATGCTAGGAAATTAAGCTTCTCTGAATTGTGCAAGCTTCCTGAGGTTATTGAACTCGTTCTCGATAAGATGACTTTAACTGGTAAGAAGGCTGATTTGCGTGGTTTTGAACATGTCAAGGCTATCTATCTAGAAGCGGAGCCATTCACAATTGAAAATGAACTCTTGACACCCACTTTCAAAGTGAAGCGTCCTCAAGCACAGAAGTATTATGCAGCTCAAATCGCTACCCTGTATGAAGAATTAAGCAATAAGGTTGAACCTGTCAAAGCTAAGCTATAAATAATGCTTCTTGCAACTGACATAACCCCATTATATCAATTCAAACATTTTTTATTTATTCTATCATCTTTGATGATGTGCAATAAAAGTTAAGCTTTCTCTTTTTTTTTCATTTCTTTGAGATAAAATGCAACACAAGTGTTTAAACGTGTTTATTAAGATTAGAATTGAGATTAAAATGAGTCAACAATTTGGCTACAGTATTTGACATAATAATGGTAAGAGAAGAATTGTCGAAAAGGAAGTAATAAGATCGTATGGAAGATACAACAAAGACTGCGTATATTACAATGGTTTTAAGATAAATCAAGTCATAAAATGTTTTCTGCTTTTACGAGCACAAGGTTTGCATATTAGTTCACCACCTTCTGCTTCTTGATAAAGTCCAGTCAATCTTGGTGATAATAACTTATCACATTGGGAACATTGAAAATGTGCTGGATGATAATCGAAACCAAACGCAGTATGGCATCTTCCTTGAATCGGCTCGCGACATCGGTGACACTTCTTCTTTTCACTTTGCGCTTGCTTATGATTGTCCTCATCATTTACAGATAACGATTTGAGTGAATTCAGCAAGTCGATATCCGGCAAGTTTCGTAGAGTTCCTTTCGTCGTCGATCTATTACTAATAGATGGGAGACTACTCTTCTTTTTCAAACGTAGTGTTGTATTTTCTTGCTGATGATAGTGTTCTTCGCAATAAGGCTTCCCTCCTCTCATCAAAAACGTGGATGAAGTGAATGTACTACCACAGTCTGCACAAACGAAGCATTCTTTGTGCCAATCACCACCTAATGCCACTAAGAAATCGCCTGTGATAATTTCCTCACAACCCTTACATCGTTTACCAAATCGTCTAAAGTAATCTTTTTCACAATAAGCATGACCTTCGTGTTCCAAGAAATTTGTGTCTTCATCAAAAGGTTTTCCGCATTCTCTACAGAAAAAATGTCCTGCATGATATGTTTTGCCCAATGCTGAAATCAAATGTTCCTCAATAGGTGTTTTACAATAATCACAGCGTGGACTGAACAATTCATGGTAATCTAGCGCGCAATAAGGTAATCCATCCTTCTCATAAAATGCTATATGTTCCAAATTTTGATGACAAGCTTGACACTTGAAGCAGCGTGGGTGCCAGTGCTTTCCCGAAGTAGTAATAGCTTGACCACTCAAAAGCTTGTCGCAGCCTCCACAACGTACACCGTAAAAAATGGAATCCAAGATAGAGTTCGATGTCGTTGTCTTTTGCTGCTCTTTGCCGCCGCTACGCTTATTTCCTTCTTCCTCATCAGAGCTGTACCCAGGGGCACAAATTGCTGGAATAGGCGGCATAGGCTCATTTTCTTCATGATCGGTCACCTCATCGTCCGAATATCCAGGCGCTGAAATGATGGGTATAGGAGGTAAATCATTTTTCATGGTGGTCGCTGTATTGTTGTTTGCAGTTCTAGAACAGCCATGTCTTTGTTGGGAGAGGTTTATATTGCCATCTGTATCATCGTCCGTATCGTATTCGTCGTCGTCTGAGAGAGTTATATCATCAATATCAATTCTCTTTGATGCATTCAAGTCTCTGAGGATGGCTTCATCATCAAATTTATACTCATCATCTTCATCTTCGTCAGACGAGTAGTAAGTAGGCTGCTTGTTCTTTCCAACCTCTTCATGATTTACTGGATATGGCGGTAAATCTTTGTTTATGTTCGGAATAGATGCATTTTGTGGGGTCATCTCGAGAGTCGTATTGATATCGTCATCTTCCAATGTCGTAGGTGACGAGCGACCCGTTGAGCAAGACAATAGACCAAAGCTCTCAACTTCATCGTTTCCTTCAGACACTTCAATTTTTGAAGGTCGACGCTCCATTAAAGGTTTTGTAGGAGGAGGATAGTCGTAAGTCTTGGGCTCGGGCACAAACGGTTGTCTAGGTCGAGGTACGGTAATTTCGATAGGTTTGCGTACATTTCTATTTGGTGCGGTATATGCTGAGGAAACAAAAGGTGCTGAGTAAACTATAGGCGCTGGAGTAACAGGTTGAGGAAGTTGTGTTAGTGGCGTTCCTCTCAAATTACAAGTTGTAGTGGCAGCGTTAGTATTGCTACGGAAAGTGTCGTAATAATTGTAGTTTATATAAGATTGCATAATGTATGATTTTGCGGGTAAAGAAAAAGTTAAATAAGTAAAGGAGAGACAAATAAAAAGTCTAAGAACAGTTTCTTGGGTGATCAAGATATCGATGAAGTACAAGAGACAAGAGCTTGAGTTTATGATTAAAAATTCAGCTTTTGAAAAACATTTGCCTTCTTTGGGTAAGATGCAATTGTTTTCTTTTTACCCCTTTTTTTTGCCATAAATAAAATTATTTAAAAGCCTAATCGGGGCATAACGTTGTTGCTTTTTTTTCTCGAGACTTCGTCGTACGTTGTATAAATTACTTGACAGCTTGAATCGCTAAGCTGCTCATTAACTGAACAGATTTAAACGGATGACCACGACCAACTGGTTTATTCCACACGCGAAAGTATAGGAAAATGCTTATACTTCATTGTTGACATTGACAACATCCATATGAGAGATAGTTGTTTGATAAGTACCTAGTCGAAGTCAATTATGACGAAAGAATGGTGATAATTTGTGGGAAGCAACCAAGAAGGCCAAAATTCAAAGAAAACAAATGAAGTAAATTCAATTTTTTCAACGTTCTACTTATCGCCTAAATATCTTTAATTCGCTTAACCGCAGCAGTTGGACTGGCAATACTGCCTTCACTACGTCGATTTCTGTGAAAAAGTGTTCGTTTCTTTTCTTGTTTTGAATTGATATGGCAACGGTTATCGTATTATTTTACAAGTTACGTTACTTTGGCCATATTTGAAATGTTGAAGTCTTTACTTATCATGCTCTAAAATGAAATGAAATTAAACAACTTTTATATGTTCTTATAACGCCTTATCAGATACAAGAACGTTTCTTGCGCGATATCAAATAAAGATATTTTCAGTGCAGTGCCTTTACCTCACGTTATAATATCCAATTTTGAGGGCTTATGACGACCCAATCAAAACGATTATACAGCTTTGTTTGGTCACATGAAAAGTCAAAACGGTCACAAAATTTACTTCTACATAAATTAATCAGCATGATTTCCAAATTGTCAAGTGAGGGGGCCCTATTGTGTCAGAATTATCGGTTAGATAATTGGGAACCATTTGAGTGTGTATCCCTCCCCCTTAAGCGAACCTTAAGAAATAGAAAAATAGTCTAAGTAAAAAAAATTTAAGAAAAAAACTTTTGCGGTCGAAGAGCCTATTTTATTATATTAAAAATCCTAAGTCCTTTTATATCGTGCAAATTGCCCTAAGTTAACATAAACATAAAAAAAATATATATAAATAGTCATTTGTGTAATTTGATCTTGAATTCATAGTTAAACATTTTCATAAGCATAGAGGTAAATACCATAAATAGCAAAAGGGAAGAAAGACAAAGGAAAGGGTGCATGCCCGGATGGCTTGGACCGAAGGCACAAATGCCCGAGGGTTTTGACATCTGACCTACTAAATTGGGCAAGAATTTGAAGCCCGCTGTAGTGAGCCGATAAATTAGCTACGGGACTTGTCAAATTTTCATTCTCGTTAAAGTGAAGCGACTTTTCGCGCGAGAAAACTATTCAATTTAGCTGCTGAATCTAAAGATGAAGCGGTGATTGTGTAGCTTTACAAAGGTGGTGATGTCCTTATAACATGGTCCGTGTTGCTGAAACGGAAGTAAGACCCCGTAAAATGCAGATAACACATGTTTCTGAACCTTTTGCTTTCCACTTTTGTTTTCACTTTTTATTCCATTCAAGTTCATATTCATTTTACCGAGTTTGCCCTGGAACTGATCAATTTTGGCGTTAAGGGTTTTATGGCGACTTATCGATGAATCTTCCTCAAATAGTGTTCCTTACCTCAATTACTATAGTATTAGTACTCGGGTATCCAAAAGAAAATTTTAAGATGTGAGAGTGTACGTATCTGTACAGCCTTCAAGAAAAGAAGTGTATCTTTTGTATTATAAATGACATCGTTTATTTACGTTTTAAAGTCTTCCTTTTAGCGAGTCAATTTGAATAAATGATTTTCATAATGGTTATATCACCAGCACATAAAAAACGATATCGTTGCAGAATTTATTATTTGCAACGTTCAAGTCAATCAGTCTTTATACAGCCGAAAAATATTGAAGCAGCATATTCTTTATCATTTTTAATTTATACAATGAACTTCAGGTACTGTTGATCGAAGGAGTTTCAAATATTGATATAGCAAGAGAGGCCACCTGAATTTGTATCTTTTTTGTGTTCTGTTTGGTCTTACACTATCTCGCTTGCATAATTTTTTATCATTTCTTATACCCTTAATTAGCAGTCGAGATGTTGATAAATCAGAAGAAGAAAGTAGGTTACTATACGTTGTTAGATCAAACCAGCTCGATAACCTGATTTCATATTCTTTTTATAGTCATCGATCGAAAATCAGTCTCAAGAGAATACCCGACATCATTCAGACATCAAATACACAGCTGCTTGTTTTCAGAGCATTAATAAAAACTCATGTTTTAAGAATACACCAAAAGTCATCACTAAACGTAAATTTGGGCCAGCCGGGAAGCCTACAACAAGTAACAGCAATAACTCCCATGGGCGAGGCAACCTCTTAGCAACCTTAGCTAAAGTGAAACCTTCCCAGCAACAAAAGCAACCTGCATTAGAGGTGATAAAAGTGCCAATGTAAATGTTGAAAATGAAAAAAGAAAAAATGCTCTTGTCTGTGGATTACGGCTCATATTAGCTAATACTGTTTAATAGACCGGTCAAAAACTGGACGTTGGATAACTTTGAGATTGGTAAACCTCTAGGGCAAGGAAATTTCGGCCATGTATATCTAGCAAGGGAGAAAAAGAGTGGATTCATAGTAGCGCTGAAAGTGATGTATAAAGAACATATGCAAGATTCACGTATCCAAAAGCAGCTGAGAAGAGAAATAGATATTCAAGGACATTTAAGGTATGCGCTGTTTAACATATGTCAGACTTGTAATTAGAATGATACTTACTCAAGTGCTTTTGCGATAGACACCCAAATATTCTTCGTCTCCATGGTTACTTTCATGATGAGACCAGAGTATTTCTTATATTAGAATATGCTGCACAAGGAGAGTTATATACAGAGCTTAAAAGACGAATACGATTCTCAGAAGCAGAGGTAGCCAATGTAAGGAATTTTGATCAAAAAGCCATTCTATCATCGTGAATGATACTGACAGCTATTTTTTTGGATTGGATCAGTATGCAATACAATTAGTTAATGCTCTATCTTATCTGCATCAAAAGCGAATCATACACAGAGATATCAAACCTGAAAATTTAATGCTGGGCCTTAATGGCGAAATCAAAATAGGCGATTTTGGCTGGTCCGTTAGGACGAACAAACTGGAGTAAGTATTACATTTCTAATTCAAGAAATACAAAGTTATATTACTGAAATGTTTTACTTGCAAATCATTAAGTGGCAGGAGAAGTACTTTATGCGGAACTCTAGATTATCTGCCGCCGGAAATGGTAGAAGGAAGAGTTCATGATGAAAATGCCGATATCTGGTCGCTAGGAATCTTGCTATATGAGTTATTAGTTGGCCATCCGCCTTTTGATGATAAAAAGGATGAAGAAGAGACTCGTTATGAAGAAACTTATGAACGCATCCTCCATGTCGATCTGCATTTTCCAAAGTTTGTGAGTAGAGAGGCAGCTGATTTGATTGTCAAGGTATTTTGTAGAGCCTTCAGACTCTGATGCATTTAAAAAAAACTGTTACTGATGACATTTTTTCTAATAGCTGTTACGATATAGATCGGTGGACAGATTACCGCTAAGAGAAGTTATGTACCACCCCTTTATCACTAAGCATGTTCAAAGAAATAAATAAATCATTTTGCCTTGCGTTCCATTTCAACAAAGGGATAATTTCAAATGCGGTATAGGCCTAAACGATAGTCTTTTTAGCGCAGTTCTGAATCAGTAACAAAAATCGCAATTTTAGGGACAACAGCTGGTTTTAATTTTTTATTTTAGTTTTTCTCTTTTCCTTATTAAATTGTTTTCTTTTTTATTCACTAACCCTTTTGAGTAAGAATGTCTTCTTATCATCGTTCAAAAAGTAGACATAGATCGCCTTCCCCACGCACTTCAAGCAGTAGTAAACGGTCAAGACACTCTTACGGAGAAGGTAGTCGTCCTCGAAGTCGTTCTCGGGATAGATATGGCAGTAGTACTAGCCGATCTTCTCACCGTCATCATCACTCTTCTCATCGTTCCTCAAAGTATGACGACAGTAGATATTACTATGATGATCGTCATCATCACCATTCTTCTTCGTCTCGACATAGCCACCGTCATCACAGCAACGATAATGTAAGTGCTAATGATAAAAGAACTCATTCACGTGATGAGCCAACGATGTCCACAAGAAAAGATGCTGTAGGCACTAATACACCTACTACCGCTACTACTTCACAAGAACCTCAAGCTGTAAGTTTACGTCCATAAAGTTTTGTTTTTTCTAAGCCGAAATTGAGTTTCACTAATGCAGTCTCATTTCTATTTGCATACTCATTACAAATTTAGTCAAGTACTCCGGATTCAGCAACTGTGAGTGCAACAAATACTTCAACCACTGTTGACGCAGAAGAAGCATTACGTAAGAAGCAGGAACGTGTTCGCAAATGGAAGGAAGCAAAACGCTTAAAAGAAGAAGAAGAAAAGAGAAAAGCTGCCGAGGCTAAAGAAGAAGAAGAAAAGAAAAAACAAGCCATTGCAGCTGCTGAAAAGGAAGCAGAAGAGCTTCGTTTAAAGCAAGAGGAGAAAAAGAAGGCTGAAGAAGAAGCTGAAAAGCAAAAACTGCAGCAAGAACAGAACGAGGAGCCTCAGTTGTTGAAACAGTTTGCAGAAATAAGAAAAGCTGCTGCTGAAGCTGCCGCTAAAGAAGATAACAAAGATACGAAAAATGATGCAGAAACTGAAATGCAAGTAGAGGATAAACAATGGAACCTTGAAAATGATTTTGATTCCGATGATGATAATATGGATATCGATGATGACGACGACGATCAGCACAGTGCTCAGCAAAAGGAAAAGGATGAAGCAGAAGCGGAAAGAACGTTTAAACCATTGCAGAAGAGCAGCGACCGCCATAAAGAAGACGAAAACTTTCTGAATAAACCAAAAAAGGCCGCCTTTTTACTGTCAAATAAATCTACGAAACCAAAAAATACAATGAAGTTTGGATTTGGCTTAGGCAAAAATGCCACGACACTAAAATCTTCTGCTACCACGAAAAAGAAAGAAGAGGAGAAAAAGTCTGCAGCAGCCACAGCGGAGCCATCAGATACTACCATGAAAGAAGCAACGGCAGAAAATGAGGATATTGATCCCCTAGAAGCTTATATGATGGATGTTGAAGCTGAAACTCAAAAGATCAATGAAGAGGATCAAAAGAGGCTAGCTGAGCTTGACAATGCCAGTGCAAAGAAACGAGGCACCATTGCGGACAATGACGATGATGAAAATCAGGACAACGAAAATAAAGCACAAGAAGACGAGGATGATATCGGTAGCGATCCTGAAGATATTTTAGCGTAAGTCTGGTTCAAAAATGTTTATTGACTAAAATATTTCGTTAATAACCTTCCTTTGATTTTTTTTCTTTCATTTTATTCATTGGACTTCTTATAGACTTGCAGCTAAAAGAGTTAAGAGAAAAGACATTGCACCTGTTGATCATAGTAAAATGAATTACGAAGAATTCCGAAAAGACTTTTACATTGAACCTCCTGAGCTCAAGGAGATGACACCAGATCAAGTTGACTTATTACGTATTGAATTGGATGGCATTAAGATACGTGGTGTCAATTGCCCAAAACCGATCACTAAATGGACTCATTGTGGTCTACCAGCTGGTTGTTTGGAAGTGATACGCAAGCTTAAATATGAAAAGCCCACTTCTATCCAAGCTCAAGCTATCCCCGCTATTATGAATGGCCGTGATGTGATAGGCGTTGCTAAGACAGGTTCTGGTAAGACTATTGCATTTCTGTTACCCATGTTTAGACATATCAAAGATCAAAGACCATTGGAAGCTGGTGAAGGTCCCGTTGCGGTGATTATGACACCCACCCGTGAATTAGCAACTCAAATTCATAGAGAATGCAAGCCTTTCCTAAAAGTATTAAATTTGAGAGTAAGTTCTTGCCTTATATATCTTTTCAATCGGAAACACTGATAATAATCAATGCTAATGAATGGTTATTCCTTGCAGGCCGTGTGCGCCTACGGTGGTAGTCCTATCAAAGATCAGATTGCTGATCTTAAGCGAGGTGCAGAAATTATCGTTTGTACTCCCGGCCGTATGATTGACCTTCTCTGTGCCAATTCGGGTCGTGTCACGAATCTTAAACGAGTAACTTATCTTGTGATGGATGAAGCTGATCGTATGTTTGATATGGGCTTTGAACCACAAGTAATGAAAATCGTCAATAACGTTCGCCCCAGTCGACAAACTGTGCTTTTCTCTGCCACCTTTCCTCGTCAAATGGAAGCGCTTGCTCGTAAAGTACTGAAGAAACCCCTCGAAATCACCGTAGGTGGTCGCAGTGTGGTATGTGATGATGTCCATCAAATTGTCGAGGTTCGCGAGGAGGATACCAAATTTGTCCGTTTGTTGGAAATTTTAGGTCAATTGTTCCATGAGGAAGGCGAAGAAAATGCCAGTGCCATTATTTTTGTCGACCGCCATGAGGCAGCTGATAATTTATTGAGAGATTTAATGCGTCGTGGCTACCTATGCCAGTCCCTTCATGGCGGTAAAGACCAAGCAGATCGTGATAGTACCATTTCTGACTTCAAGAATGGCGTTTGTAACGTATTGATTGCTACTTCTGTGGCGGCGCGTGGTTTGGACGTCAAAAATCTGAAGATGGTCATTAATTACGAGTGTCCTAACCATATGGAAGACTACGTGCATCGCGTCGGCCGTACAGGTAGAGCTGGTAACAAGGGTACAGCTTATACATTTATTACTCCTGATCAAGATCGTTATGCTATGGATATCTGTAAAGCCTTGAGATTATCTGGTCAAGAAATCCCCAATGATCTCCAAGCGCTGGCTGATGAGTTCCAGAGTAAAGTCAAAGAAGGTAAAGAACGTGCTGCTGGTTCAGGTTTTGGTGGTAAAGGTTTGGAACGGTTGGATAAAGATCGTGATCTGGTTAAGAAGTTGCAAAAGAAAGCATACGGTGGCGGCGAGGATGATTCAGACGAAGAGGAAACAACGACAGCCACTATTGAATTAGAAAGTAAGGTGGTAACACCCTCAACAACAGCAGGTGCTTCACCCGCAACGAAAGCTGCATCGCCAGCCACAGCAGCAACACCTAAACCTGCCACTCCCGAAATTGAAGTAAAGGTTGATCTTAGTGATGAGACATTATCTCCTGCTGCTCGAGCTGCTAAAAAGGCTGCTGCGGAAGTGGCTGCTCGTATTATTGCTAAAGGTAATCAAAATGCACAACTCCTCCATCATCAACAACAGCTACTGCAGCAACAGCAAGCAGCTAAAGAAAGTGCAGCAGCGGAAACTCCACCTGTCTATGCAGAAGAAATCGTCATCAATGACTATCCTCAAAATGCTCGTTGGAAGGTGACGAATAAAGAACAAATTTCTCAGATTACCGAAGTGTCTGGTGCTGCCATCACAACTCGTGGTACATACTTTCCACCCGGTAAACAACCTCAGGGTAACGAGCGTAAGCTATACCTATTTATTGAGGGCGACTCTGAAATGGTTGTCGAAAAGGCGAAGAATGAGATTAAAAGAATTTTGGTGGAAGCAACAGCAGCGTCTATGGAAGCTGAAGCAAGAGGTGGTATGGGTGCTGGTCGTTACTCAGTTGTATAATAAAACGGTAGAAATTGTTTATCCTTTCGTAAAAACACGTAAATATTATTCTTGTACGTGGGCTATTGCACGTATAACTTCTAGGTTATGATGTTTGTTGTCTTTCTCAATTTATAGATAAATGTCTTACTAGTGCTATGTTTTGTCAAATCATCAATACTTTCTTTTCTTTCCACAACAATCAAACCATCGTCATACAATTTCTGCACTAGCAGTAATTGTTTGCCCTGAAATTCTATATCTATTCGGAAGAAAATCGTGGTCATTTTTATAATGTCATAAAATATTGATGCATTCTTTGATGATCCCATTCTTTTGTTTTGAATTCCCTATAACATTATATTGGCTTTCATCCGGAATATGGATTTTAGTAATAACGGTATTGTTGCTCCTCACCGTAAGCGAGGAACTCATAAAATAAGCAGAAGGAAGATAAGAAACAAAAATGTGGTTATGCCTGAAGGGAAACTTACTATTGCAGTAAAGCCGCCTCTTTTTGAGAATTTCAAAAGCGATGATGAAATGCTACAAGAAATTGTTTTGACTGATACCGAGCTTGACAACCACAAGGCCAATAATGATAAAAGATCCAAAATATTCAGGGAATATATGCCTTATCTCCCTGTTAATTATAGCATACATAACATCAGGAAAGAAGAAAAATCGCAAGCTGAATTTACAGCAGAAGTCCGCACTGATTTATTTGCCTTACAACACAATGCCAAAGTAAAAGAGAATATGAAGACACATGTGAAATTTGCAATTGATGAACACTATAAGCGTTTCGGATCCTTAAAGGATATAATGATACCCGCATCTCGATTGTCAATGACACCTATATTATCCAGTTCGATCTTTCCAACCATCAAAAGGTCCAATACTTCTTGTAATATCGCATCCCTGCTGAGAAATGGTAACAGTAATAGAGCAGACAAAGAGCTTCATAATATCAATGCAGTAGGATTACAAACTCAAAAGTCTTCAGCAGCTGTTCCCCGGTCGAATACAGCTTCAAAGCTACATATTGCTACTTCAGCCATATACGATGATGTGCTCGACAATACCTCAATAACGGAGACTAGTGGCGATTCGGCAGGAATGACTACGTGGTTTAACAGTGTAGTAAACCATTGGACTCATTATATAGCAGCAGGAGATAAGAAGAAGGCTCTAACAAGAAACTTAATAACAATGGATTACGATACACGGATCAACTTAGTGAATAATGATATTGAAGAGGAGGGAGAAGCAGCGGATAACGTAGAGGAATTCTTTTACGGTAGTGGCGAAGAAGAGAAAGGAGAGAAACTAGTCAAAGTGAGGCCAGATGAGAAGTGGAAAATAGCAAAAGGAAACATACAACAACGGGAACCATTAGAATTCGCAGGTGTAGCTGTACCAGATTACATTACAATAGCAAACGATACTTCTCAGCCGAGAGTCTTACTACATTGCATCAGTAAGTGTTGGACTATCAATACGCGTTCGACTCCAAACTTTTATGGGTTAGCTTACCAGCATTCAATTGTTAGTTCTACAGATTACTACTACTGGATCCAGCAAAGGTATTTTAAAGAAGTTCTCAGTTACGTCAACTATGGTAACACTCACAGTAAAATTTACTTTGTAGGTTACAAGTATAGCTTAAAATTCTCCGTAACAAACAATCCTACTACAACACAAGTAGGCGTAATGAAGAATATAGGGAAAGGAATGAGTGCAGCGCATCCTCGAAAAGTACTTACATTGTAAATACTCCTTTTGTTTTTGATCTCGTATATTCTCTAAAAGATTGCTGAGATTTCATAAACATCTATAGTGAGGTTCAAGACAGCTTCCAATTTATTTGTGACGCAACCCTAGACCCTTATAATTTGAAGGATCTTTTATGGGATCGCTTCCGGCTTTTCAAGAAGGATAACAAGACAATATTTGATAAAGGAGAAGCAAAGATATCTGATAAAACAGCAAAGGGCCAACTTGTATTAGACAGCGGATCGGACCCGTTAGAAAACTTCGCTACAAATGAAGTTGAACGTTATACTCTTCAAATTTCATCAGGACATTCACTTGATATAACCATTGCATTCTGGTTGGAGGATAGGGCCGGAGAGGTTAGCGTTCAGAAGCGACCGCTCAGATACCATGATGTCAATGAGGAGATAGTGATGAATGAATTTGAGGATAAAGTTTCACATTTTTGCCGTATAGGAGATTATTTGTATTTCTACACAAAGGGCATTGAGAAACCGGTAACATACATCATCTATTAAGAATAAGCTTTTGCTGTTTATAGCTTAGATCGAGTAAACGAAACAAATACCAACTAACGGATTCTTCTTGTATGCTATGATCCGGGTCATATAGGAATGGATCAAATATTGGGCTACATATGAAGGCGGTTCTCTTCTGATCAAGCTTGCCGAGAATTCTCGCAAAGACATAAACGACTGTGTTAAATCTATACCTTTGGAATATCTAACTGACATTAACACCAACCCACCAAAAGATATGAAGGATACCATTTACTATGGCCATGCATTTACTATCACATTGACCTTTGGGCATGAACAGATGTATATTACTTGTGATAATGAACATAGCTTTTTGATGTGGAAGACTTTATTAGGGCGTCACTAATCCTAAAACTTAAGTATGGTTTTGCTTTCTAATAACAAATGACCACTTAATCGGCTTGTGGCGCAGTGAAGTGTTTTCATTCGCTAATAAAAATTTTATTACAGCTATTTTTTCTACGCTTTTGTGGTCAAAAGGCAAAAGAGTCCTCGCTGGAGAAAAATAACCAAAAAAAACAAAAAAAAAAAACTAAATTCTGAGAGTCTACTGCGAACGGAGTAAAGCGGGAAAAAAAAAAAAAAATACTTTTGGTCTATTTTTGAGTTGTATCCTATTCTCTTTCCCAACTTCTTTCTCTTTTCTTTTCTAAAGAAACACACCCCTTTTTTACTTTTTTTTTAATTATCTATTTAAAAAAAGTATCTCTATTTTTTTCATTCATTAGACTATGAACAATGGTACAGCAAACAATAATAGCTTAGATCAGCAATTTGGTAAATGTCGTAGCAACAAAAATTGCAAATTTTCTTTTACTAAGTATAGTTAGTCGAAGACCCTCGGTTTATTAACTCTGCTTTTTTATCCTTTCTCGTTGTCGTCTTTGTATTTTATCATCTACGTTTCAACAGCTGGTATGAGCCTTAACAATAACAGTGGAAGTAATCCTCCTCAATCTCGTTATGTTCCTCCTCACTTGAGAAATCAAGCTAATCGTATAGATCGATCCGCCCAACAACCCTCTGACGGACCATCTTACACTCCTAAAAACAACGGTTGGAGTGATTGGAATGGAGGTAACCGCAGTCGTGGCGGTTGGAATTCCTCCTACTCTGATATGCCTCGTGGCGGTGGCCGTTATGGCGGTGGAGGTCGTTCTGATTTTTATGAACGCGGATCTTATGGTGGTTATCGTCGTCATCAACAAGACGGCGGATATCAACGTCGTGACGAAACTCAAGGTTACTGGAAAGATGGTGTTCATCACATCGGTAACCGTAATCCTCGTACGGAAAGGGATCTGTTCGGTACTCAAGATGATACCTTAACTCAACACACCGGTATCAACTTCGAAAAGTACGATGATATTCCTGTCGAAGCTAGTGGTCATGATTGTCCCGAATGTATCAACACTTTCACTTCGCCTCCTATTGATCCTCATCTTTTGAGTAACATCGAATTAGCCCGATACACCACCCCCACACCTGTTCAAAAATATTCTATTCCTATCGTTAACGCCGGTAGAGATTTAATGGCCTGTGCTCAAACCGGTTCTGGTAAGACCGGTGGTTTCCTTTTCCCTGTTCTTTCTGAACTTTTCACAAAGGGTCCAAAGACCCCTGCTGTAGATGAAGATCAACCACAGCGCGGTTACCGCCCTCGTAAGGCACACCCTCAAGTTTTAATCTTGGCTCCTACTCGTGAATTGGTGTCTCAAATTTATGATGAAGCTAAGAAATTTGCTTATCGTTCTTGGGTCAAGCCTGCAGTTGTTTACGGTGGTGCTGACATTGGTGCTCAGATCCGCAACATTGAACATGGTTGTGATTTGCTTGTTGCCACTCCTGGTCGTTTGGTCGACTTACTTGAACGTGCTCGTATTTCTCTTTCTCTTGTTCGTTACCTCGTTTTGGATGAAGCTGACCGTATGTTGGATATGGGTTTCGAGCCTCAAATTAGACGTATCGTTGAAAAGGAAGATATGCCTCGTGTCGATGATCGTCTCACTCTTATGTTCTCTGCCACCTTCCCTCGTGATATCCAATACTTGGCTCGTGATTTCTTGAAAGATTACATTTTCTTGTCCGTCGGTCGTGTTGGTTCAACTTCTGAAAATATTACTCAAAAGGTCGAATATGTTGAAGATGAAGACAAGCGCTCTGTCTTGCTTGACATTCTTCACTCCAGCGATAACAATGGTCTTTGCTTGATCTTTGTCGAAACCAAGCGCATGGCTGATTCTCTTTCTGATTTCTTGTTGGATCATAACTTCCCCGCCACCGCTATCCATGGTGATCGTACACAGCGTGAACGTGAACGTGCCTTAGATTCCTTCAGAACAGGTCGTACCCCTATTATGGTTGCTACTGCTGTTGCCGCTCGTGGCTTGGATATTGCCAACGTTTCTCACGTCATTTCTTACGATTTGCCTACTGATATTGACGATTATGTCCATCGTATTGGTCGTACTGGTCGTGCCGGTAACACCGGTTTGGCCACTGCTTTCTTCAATCGCAATAACAAGAATATTGTCAATGATTTAATCAACATTTTAGAAGAAGCCAATCAAGAAATTCCTACCTTCTTAGAATCCATTGCCAGAGAAACCCGTTCTTTCAGTGGCCGTGGCCGTGGCCGTGGTCGTGGTGGTGCTACTTTCGGTGGCAGAGATTACAGAAAGTCTAACAACAATGATTGGGGATACAATAATAACAGCCGTGATTCTGGATTCCCTGCCTTGGGCGGTGGACGTCCCTCTTACAATAGTGGTGGTTATAACAATAACAGCAGTAATGTTCCTTTACAATATCAAACTAAGACCAGCTGGTTCTAAAAAAGACACAAGTAACAGTACGTGTGCAGGAAAGTAAAAGAAATTGATTTCTGGAAGAGAAGAATCAAAGCAAGAAACGATAGCTGTATACCTCTCTTACTTAATCATTTACAAATCACTTCACATTCTCAAAATTCAGTCTTTTTTAATATGAAAACAAAAATTAAGAAAACACATCATAATCTAGCTCTTATTAGTTTTTAATGCATTACTTCTTCCTCAATAAAACTTAGAATTATTTAACCGATATCCACTCTTATTGCCTCTTTTACTGTGCAATGTCTGGGTTGTTCTTTAGAAATGTAAACGCATACATTAACAAGAAAACAGCGCAACTGGCTAACAAAATCTGTTCAGTATTTACAATGATGCTGCTTTATTATTACTATTTACATTTGACTTAATCTATCGATTATTTCGCATTTGTTGCTTTTTATTCTTATCCACTCGAGCTTTCTTTTCTTCTCTCTTCTTTTCATATTGATCTTCTAAAGGATCAACATGATCCGGCACAGGAATGAGCCAATCTTGATCCAATTCTCCCTTCTCCTTTGGCTTGTAGCCCCAACGAGGTACATATTTGCCTGTTGCTTCATCGTAAACCATTCTGTCCTTCTTTCTTTTCTGAATGCCCTTTGTCTTAGCAAACTTCTCCCATTTGGAAAGAGGTTTATCTTTAGGTAAAGGTTTCTCACGAGGCAAGGTGAAAGTGCGCGGTGGTAATTCAGCAAGAACACCTGTATCGGCGCTGGTAACAGGTAATTTGAATAACTCATTTACAATAAGTTGTGTATTATCTCTGGTCAAGTCGAGTAAATATTTTTCCTTATTGTTTTTGCTTCTATTTTGTTTGGATATTCAAATTAAATAAGTAACAATTAAACAGCAAAGTTAAACTAATGCGTTTCAGCTAAGTCCTACTTTAAGATCTTTTCGTCTAAAGCATTGCTATCAAAACCAGTCAACAAGTTGACGTCAAAGTCAAGAGGTACAGGTTTTTCAACAGTGATTGGTTTGCTAAAGAGATGGGTGATAGAAAGTTAGCTCAACATCATACTAGATAACACCAAACGCTAACAAAATGCCATAGTTATGACAAGAAATTGCTTACTATTGAGCTTCATGTGCTTGTAAAATCTCGGTGACATCCATTTTAGATTTCGATTGGTATAAAGTGCTTTTACAATCAAAGAGATCTAGTTTTTTCACGTTTGAAAGAAGGCTTTGAAACTGAGATTCTGTGACGGTTTGTGATTTTACTGCACTCCAATTGTTCCTGATTTCTGACTTCCAGCAGACTCATTCGACTCGGCTGGACAAGAACTTGTTTTAAATCACGGTACATTTGCGACTGATAGATCTCTCCCCTTTTTACTCACAAAGCGGCTATATGTAATTGCCTGTATTCTAGAAACTATAGTGCTGTTTCTTTGCTGGAATTAGGCATAATAAATTTTTTCCTCGTTATGCACGACATAAGTTGGAGGTTCTTTTCTGCTTCTTTTTGGATAGTCAACTAAGTACAATTAGGGCCTAAAGCAATTGGTCTTTGTGATTTGTTCGCATCGTAGTATGTTCTTTTGTTGTAAGCAACTCGCAAAGGAGCAATAAGTCTCAAAAATAATTTTTTATAAGCAATCGTAGATTATGTCCTTTTGCCAGTTTTTCGACCACACTTCGTCTTCTTATTTAGCTGTTCAAGTTACGTATTATTCAGAAATCAGTAATAATGCGAAGTCGGCTTATATTTCTGATTGTGTGTTTTGCTGTAAATTATATCGTTCATGCTCTTTTTTTTTTTTTTTTTTTTTTTTTTTTTTTTTTTTTTTTTTGTTCTTCTCCCTTTAAAATCCCCTTTTGAAGTATAACCTCTACTTCGCTAAGCAATCGGTTGCAAGTGTACGTCATTGAAATGACAGGAACAAATCTTGACGAATGTTTAGAAAAGCTTTACAAAAAACAACTACTAGCGGAATGTGTTTTGAAAGATATATGCGAAAAGACGAAAGAATTGCTAATGTCAGAAAGCAATGTTGTTCATATAAAAGCTCCAGTAACGGTTGTAGGCGATATCCATGGGTAGAGTAACAATAGCCTTCCCCTTTTGTATATCGTTTATTACAATACTTACTGTGAACTATTGAAAATAATGCAATATAGTCAATATTACGATTTAATTGAAATATTTCGAATTGGTGGTTATTGCCCAGACACAAATTACTTATTTCTTGGTAAAACTGTTAAACAGAAAGAATAGTAATCTTATTTTGTGTGCTTATAAGTATTCGTTAAAAATTTCTGCTTTCTAGGCGACTATGTTGATAGAGGATTATTTAGTATCGAAACAATATCATTATTAACATGCTTAAAATTGAGATACCCAGATCGTGTGCAACTTGTAAGAGGAAATCATGAGTCGAGGGCAGTGACTCAGGTACGAGTTAGATTACTTGTCTCGAGCGAAATATTGTGAAATGACCATGCTAATGACCTCCTACTTATAGACATATGGATTCTATGCGGAATGTATGAGGAAATATGGCTCCATGCAGGTGTGGAAGTACTTTACAGATATGTTCGATTACTTGACACTATCAGTCGTTATTGATAATAGCATTTTTTGTGTACATGGAGGTATTTCTTGTTGAATAAGTTATTGAAGTTTAGTGCTTCATTATATAAGGTCAACTAAAAATTCTTGCATCTAGGTCTATCGCCAACCATACACGTTGTAAATCAGATTAAGGTGATAGACAGATTTAAAGGTAAAATGAGAGATACAATTGAAGTATAGTTCCAGTGATGTAACAGGAACTTTCTTAGAAATACCACATGAAGGCGCAATGGCAGATCTTGTTTGGTCTGATCCGGACCCAGATAAAGAAGATTTTGCTATATCAGCTAGGTAACAATTTAGTTAAACGAAATTCTCCTATACAATTAACACAATTGCTAACTGGTATAAAAAAATCAACAGAGGAGCAGGCTATACGTTCGGAAAAGCAGTGGTGAATCGTTTCTTGCATTTAAATAGTATGGATCATATATTGAGAGCACATCAATTATGTAATGCGGGATATCAAGTTCTATTTGATGACAAACTATCTACGGTTTGGTCAGCGCCTAACTATTGTTACCGTTGTGGCAATCTGGCGTCAATATTAGAGGTGAGCGCGAATGGTGAAAGGTATTTCAATGTATTTGATGCTGCGCCCGAAAATGATAGAGTATTAGACAATTCAGCATTATCTGGAAAGGTACGAAAACCAACGTTAGCATGACATTTTCATTACTATCTGATTAACATTTGTTTTATACTTAGGATGCAAAACTCGAGTACTTCTTGTAGTTTCAGCGACACTTCGAAAATTAATTGCTCTCTCTGTATATCAATTTCCAGCGATTATCAAACTGTGAACAATATTTTATACCCCTAACGCTAATCGCAGAAGGCAACAATGGTTGCTTCGTAATAAACGATAGTTTGGTCAATATGGCTATAACCCATAGCCTTTAGACTTTATCATTGGCTGGGCAAGGCAACATTGTGGACGCTTATCAAGTGGATGATTGGAGACGCTGTTAAGTGTTAGCCTCTGAATTAAAGAACCGCTAAGAAGCTTAATTAAGTGCAAAACAGCTTTCCCCCTTTTTATTGTTTTACAATTTCAAGAACACTAGCAGATAATACATTAGATGCTACGATGTTCAGCTCAACTCCTTTAGATTTACCTACGCATAGCCTAAACACACACTATGGTAAATCACCAGCGACAGCTTACGCCATAAGCAGTGGGAAAAGAATCTCGACTCTAAGAATCGTTAAACAGTCTCTGGAAATCATTCTAAGCAACCAGGACTCAAAGCAGATATTCTATTTCCTGTTATTGAATCTGTCATATATGTTTGTACAATTGGCATATGGTGTTTGGACTAATTCCTTAGGTCTAATTTCAGATGGTAGTGATAGAGCTGATCAGCTTGTTATTATAGCAAAGGACGCGTATAAATGATAATGGATATACTGACCCCTTTTATTTTTTATTTTTGCTCAAACTTAGCTATCCACATGTTTTTTGATTGTTTAGCTTTGGGTATTGGTTTATTTGCCGCTGTCATGAGTAAATGGCCTTCTAATTCAGAATATTCATACGGGTAAAAGTTCAAGAGGGTTGCTTGCGAATATACACATCAAATTCCCGTTTTAACGTTTATCACCATAGCTATAATCGTATCGAAACTGTAGCAGCTTACTTCAATGGTGTGTTTTTGGTCCTTATATCATTGTCTATTGTAGGCGAGGCTATACAAAGATTGATCAATCCTCCCATGATGAACACGCATCGTCTATTATTTATCAGTTTCATTGGGTTGGTTGTCAATTTAGTGGGTATCTTTGCATTTAATCATGGACATGCACATGGACATAGTCATGGTCACGACCACGGTCACGGACATGGACACGGCCATCACCATCATCACGGCCATAACCACGGACATAGTGCCAATATGCAAGGTAAATTAATCAAGGGAAAGCATGCAAGAAATTTTACTAATGGTTATCGATACATAGGTGTTTTTTTACACATCATGGCAGATACTCTAGGCTCCGTTGGTGTCATTGTGTCTACATTACTCATCAAATGGTTTGGTTGGACAGGCTTTGACCCCATTGCTTCTCTTTTCATTGCTACTCTTATTATTTTATCTGTAATACCCTTAATCAAGCAATCTGCCGCTGTTCTTATGTTGGAGCTCAATGACGATACGGTCACTGTTGTCGAAGGCACTCTAGAAGAGATTAAAAGCAATATTGACGGCATTATAAACTTTGATCAAGTGCGATTCTGGCCTTATGAGGCAGAAACAATGATAGGATCTCTTCATGTCCACGTCAAGGATGATGTTAAAGATACCCAAGCCATTCGACAGCAAGTTACAGAATGGCTTATGAGCCATATTGAGGGTTTAAGAGAAGTGTGTGTTCAAGTAGAATACCAAACTGCTGTGTTGGAGAGAAAAAATCAACGTTTTACAGTTCCTCAAGGGGGCTTTTTCCATACACCAGTGTATTCGAGTATTTCATCAATGAATAATGCGTATGTGAATCACAGAACAGCTATTATGGCAGATAATACGCCTAATTTCCACTCTCATCATTCCCACTCCCAGTATCATTTATCAAGTTCGTCTCCCAACACAACAGCAATGGATGCAATCAATCAGAATACACCTATACCACCTAATCCTACTTCTGCTGCTTTTACCAATCAATCTCACCTACCGTCTGCTGCATCTGGCGCTGCTTCCACTGTGATGGCTGCTCTTCAAAAGCAAACCAAAAAAGAGTAAGCAATACAAACTTCGCTTTTTTTTCCCATTGTTATTCTCGTTTCGTTTTCTCTCTTGATATTCGTATAGAAATGATACATAAAAATGTTTCAGTTTAAGGATTTTATAAAGGAATTATATGTGTAATAATAGTTGAAGGAAAAGCAGTGTCTTTGAAGATAGATTAAAGAAAGTTTTCATTATGGCTTGTACTAAAAATAATGTGACAGACAAGGAAGAAAAACCATGTCTGCCTTGACTTGATAATGAGAAATTATCTTTTTTAAGTTGCATTAATATGGTCTTACAGTCTCTGATCGGTAATCTTTCTGCGTAAATTTTAAAGAGAGCTGTAGCAGAAGGAAGAAAAAGTCCATGGTTGATTATTCGAGTTCTGAAAGAGTTTATATGCTGAGACTAAACCGCTTGTTTCATTAACGCATGGTTATCTATGAACTATGGATTACAAACTGTACTTTAAGGAAGCTGAAAACTATCCAAAAGACTACAGTTGATATAGAAAAGGGAATTGAACCTGTATGCTTAAATTATTAAGATGAAGCACAAGTGGCGCATAATCAATGGACACTAGCAAACTCAATATTCGGTGAACATGATAAATCTCATTATGTTATATTGATCATTCGACCAAAAATCCCTAACACATGTACTTTAATTATGTAGAAGAATGTATGTTATGGTAAATTGAGGGCCAAAGCATAGTATGTAGAAAGCTATATAATAAACTACATTCCTGGAATTTTACAGCAATGCATACAACACATGAGCTATATATTTATGCTGTAACTAACGTACGTGGTTGTGTAGAATAATTACGAATAATCAATGAATCAGAAAGGATAACATAGTTCCAACCTGCGGATTGAGCTCGTGATCCAGGTGTAGAAGGCGCTACTAAAAATGAGCGATCGAATGACAAAGGTGTGCCCATTGGTGCTTCAGTGAAACAACCATGAACGGTCAAAAACAAAACTACCGGATGCTTTGATGAACCAGGCGTTTGCCATGCATCCGTGATAAAGTTCATGTTACTAGAAAGATCGTGCACTGTGGCCGGTAATTGATTAATACGCTTGATAATATTTTCGTTCCCTATTACCATACGTTGACCAGGTCGCATTTGGCTATTTCCCCAAGCTGTTTGCTGTTGAACAGTGCCTTGATTACTGAACACTACTGAGAATATGGCATCTGTATCGTATAAATCCAATAACGATGGACGCTGGGTGTCGAATAATGGAAAGTATTTGGATAAAAGGTCTTGTGTAGCAATACGTGAATTATCCTGATCGAAAAATTCAGCACGTACAGGCAATGGTAAGTCATTTGTTGCAGGCGATACTATTAGATTGTTGGGTATGCTAGGTGAGGCTGCGGGCGTGAAATTGACTGATCCCGGCGTATCAGTCACTGGTTGCATATCTAATGTATGGATGGTTGGAAATCGTTTCAATACCTCTTTTCGATATTGATCTAAAGTGTTGTTGATTTGAATAGGATTTCCAGATAGAAGTAGTTCCTGCAAGTTGTGTAATCTATTTCTTAATTTATCTAAACTACGGAATTCGGCTATATCATTATCGGCAACGGAGAGGTTTTGGAGGTTGGGAAATAAGTCTGCTAGTTTTTGAAGAGGTGCAACTGACCATAATTTGTTTCGCGCAAAAGAAATAGTTTGCAACTGTAATGAAGAAATGAGTAAATTACTGTAACTCTACGTTCTGGTAGTAAGATGTCTCATTTTTCGCTTACTTGATCACCATATAATGATTTAGCTGCCTGTACTAATTTAGAGATGACGACGCTGATGCTATGCTGTGTTTCTGGTAGTTCATCTAAATCGAGATATCCAGCTTGTGGGTTCCACCTTTCATTCAAAAACCCTTCTAACAAGGCTGATACTTTGGAAGGTCTTCGATCACCTTGTTGTTTATTGAAATTATTGTTCTTATTCATACCACCACCGGCATTGCTACCATTACTGCCGCCACGGCTGATCTGTAGTAACTGTTCCAATATAAAGATTAGATTATGTCAAAATAACATTTTCTGAATCAGTACTTTACGTTGTGGGCGCCAAACTGATAGTTATTCATTCTACAAAGATTATCTGCTGTTGCCTCATCAGTTACTGTTATATACAAAAATCCATCATGTTCTTGTACCTAAAGGATAAGTATTCTCTCAGTTTTTTTGACGTTATTCTCTCACTTTATAATCCAGTACTTACATCCAATGCTTCCCATGGAGCCTTTGACTTTCGTGTTAAAAATCCGAGCACTTTTTGTTCAGCTCCTGGGGGAAATCCCGTGACCTATTAAGAGACAAAAACCATACAGTTAGTTTTACAGTTTTCTCAGAAACATTGAAATTCGATTGAAAATACTTTACTGTCACTACATTGCCTGCAGAGGTATCACTGTTTAAGAATACAAAAGTATTGAGAAAGAGAAATTGATCAGCTATCGAATATGCGAAATTCATTCCGGATTTTTTGTACAGTTGGCGCTGTTTTCACAAATAAAAAGCTATAGCTATACTTTACGGCCTCATGTCGATGTCTTCGTCTACAAACTCATTTTTGAATCGATCATCGCCACTGTATCGATTTCTTCGCCCGCGATTACCATTATTATTGTTATTACTAGAAAAAGCGCCTCCGCCTCTATAGCTTCCTCGGCCTCGCTGTTGTGGTGGTGGTTGATTGTGTTGTTGATGATGATACTGGCCTTGAGGCTGATTTTGATAATAACCACCCGAATTGCTGTTTCTTTGATTGGAAGCATTTGACTGCCCTAATCTGTCATTTATAGGAATATTGGTTGGACCTAAACGTGCTGTAATGGAAAGGCCACCGCCGCTGCTGCTGTTATTATTATACGCGTTGTTGGTGGTGTATCCCCCACCGCGGCCACTATGACCACCACCACCTCTTCCGCCTCCACGTCTGGGTTGTCGATCGCTGTACATTATTAATTGAAATGACTTATTTACAATTACAATTAGAAAGGAAAGGAAAAAGAAAGCTACAGTCAGGAGAGAAGTAGTAAAGAAGAATAAGCCTATTAGAAATGCAGTGTCTTTTCGCTTATAGCTATGACTTCACGGCCTTGAAGCTAATTGGCGATCTTGCGGCCTCGAACAAAAATACCCTTCTGGGCGGAAAAGATCTGCCGGACTGGCCTGTGCTCCCACGACACCTCGGTTAATTCATGGTTTCCCATCATCTACGGCTGTCTTTCAATTTTTGTAACTGTTTGTTGCCAGTGTTGTTCTTTTTACCACAATTGAGCGAGAACCTGACAACAACATGGAGGGGCTTAACGTTGATACTATACCAACCAACCTACTAGGTCGAATCCTCTTACAGTTACATACCCTACCTAGATCGGAAAACATCAATCTATTATCGATTATGCAAGATGCCTTACAACAGTATGGTTATACAAACGATCTGAACGCGTTCCTCGATTACTGCCAAAAGTTAGTAGTGCCAACAGTGGCCACTTCTACTGACAATGGCTATGGGGTGGGAAGTCAGCAGCAGTCAACCTGGTTATGGGAAACCTACGAAATAAAATCAGATGATGATTGGGATCTTGCCAACTATAAAAAAGCAGAGCAACTGGTTGGCGTGAGATTTGTCTTGACTTCCACTACAGTAACGTGGGGAATGAAATTATTCGGGCTCACGTATAATACTATGCTAATGAGAAGAAGTTTTTCTTCCGGTATTTAGGCACGAAAGGGCATAGAATTAACAAGGTTCTCACAAGTCCAACGTACTGACGATAGTCTCTTCTATTCATTTCAGGGACGCATGTTCCCGATCGAAGATCTGATCAATGATACACTCTATTACTTTCAACAAAAGTGCTCCTTGAACGATCAGCATGATGCTTACGACGACGATAAGGAAGGCTCAGATGGCATGACTGGAAGTGAAATCGAGAAATCAGGGTTATTAAATATTTTACAAGAAAGATCAGATAAATGTCGCCAGGATAGACTAGCGTTTCAGAAACGATCAAATGCCTTAGATCATGCAAATTACCATCTTATGGGAGTTCTCTTAGTAAGGCTGGAAGATGTGGCTCTTAGCAAGCCCACTGCCAACACGTGGTGCCTGTATCTTAGAGACTACCGAGGAAATAATGCAGATGGATCACTATGGCGTGTGATATCAAAAGACAAAGAAGAACAGGCAACTGTAAGACTGAATCGTTTGAGAATGTATGGATCTATTAAAACTTACCTCAAGTGTTCTCTCTGTAGATCTCTTCAGACCAAGCTTTGGCGGATATTACAGGACAGATTTATGGTTACTGTAATCCTACAGTCTTCTCGCGCGATTACAGACCCGCTTATTTATTCTATGGAAATATTGACATGCTAGATCAGTCGTCTTATAGTCCTGTTGCTCAAGTTGACTCAATTAAACAGCAACAAGCTGAAGAACATTGTAACAATCAGGATACGCGTAATAACGGTGGCACAATCACGTTTGCAGATTATACCTTCGATGATGACGGGTATGACCCAAATGACTTTGGTGTGGACTATGCATATTCAGCCACGGAAGCACCCATAGAGGACGATACAGCATGTTATCATTGTGGGAAAAAAGATGAATTTCCGAATAACGATATTTTTCTTTGTGACCTTTGTAACCAAGGCTTTCATCAGCTGTGCGAAGATCCACCCATAGACAATTCCGAAATACAATTGGATCCTTGGTACTGTAGAACATGTAGTAAAGCACAAAATATACCCTTACCAAACCTCCCAAGCTCATCTACAAGATCGCCTTGTTATGAGACGACAACAACGTCTACAAATATTACAGAACAAAAAGCAAGTATACCCTCAATAGAACATACCAACACTACTGCTGCTGCTCATAACACAGCGATTTCTTATACATCACCGTTACCATCAAATAATATGAGTGAAACTACTTCGAAATACTTTTCAGTGGAAAACACAGAAGCAAGTAAAGCAGAAGTAGATGATAATGGCGATGATAGCCTTTACAACAACCTTACAAAGCGTAAGCGAAATGATGAAGCTATAGTGAATAACCATCCAAATAATAATAGCCGTGGTAGAAATAACACAGCACGCCGATCGAGGCCATTTCAAAGAAAATTGGATCACTTTTAAATTGTCGTACCGCCTAATAAATAAAGAAAAAACCTCGAAAATAAATTGCTTTTTCATTTTATAGGATACATTCATTACCGAGCACAAAGCTTTTGTCCCTATAGTTTCATCCAACCATGGCAAATCTCTAGCTTAACTTTGGGTTTGATGTTCTGAATCCATTGCAACATTTGCTTTTGCTCGTCTATAAATTTTGCAAAGATATCGGTCCTACGTTCGATCATCACCGCTTGAAAAGACACAATACGTTTTGAGCTAACCGCTCCCAAGATTGAAATAATCCTTGTCTTCATAAAACATTAAGGTCTTCTTTTCGTTTCTTGAACTTTCTCTATGTGAATCATACATGCTCTAAATTCGACTTCTTCAAAACCAATTTGCAACTGTTCAAATAGACAATCCCATCTTGCATTGTATTTTCATCGAGAAGAACCACGTTCCTCCTGTACACCGTCCTTCAATCGAGCTTCTTCCATGGCGATGATCTTCTCAACGTGAGCCGTAAGTCGTTGTCAAAGTACACTCAAATGGCCTACAAATTGATTGAATTTTCGTTGAGGAAACCGCCAAAGATTTATTCGAGAAACTCATTTGTAACCGTAGCAAATTTGTTTGATTGACATGAATTTATTGAAATAGTCTATACAAAGTACACATTGAGCTTCCTCTGTAGTTTTAATGGGTGCTTTCCTGTAGACTTTGTTATTGAAAATAGGTAGCTCAAACAGACATTTATACGATAAAATCAAAAGATAAAGAGATATGTAAATTGTTATACCTTTTGTTTTTTATGAACTCATACATATTTCTGTAAATGCATTTTCTCTCACATCGATAGCATAATTATATTATAAATTTTTACGATTATATGACTTGAAAATCAACAGAAAGTAGTATAACTTACAAACGGACGATTTACCAGACTAACTATTGTCAACAAATTTTCAGGATGAGCTGCATTTTCCCAAAACTGAATGTGGGGTAATCGTCTGTCTGTACAAATAAGGAAGTCTGACTCATCGTTTATCACAGAAGCGAGCATTGAAAGAATTAAACTAAGTCCGACGAAAAACTGTACAAACTTGGACTTTGACTGTTGTCATTTGAACTTGTCAAAATTCAAGGTGCAACACTGTATATCTAACGTTACAAAAAAGCAAGATTTTTGCATTAAGGACAGTTATGAATGTGCATAGAATTTTCTAACTGTCTTTCAACAGGCCTATGTTGTAACTGATATAGGTGCAAATGCGAGAAGAAAGGGAACGAAGAATACAAACCGGATTTTTCGGAATTTAGAACTTCTGATCCTCACTATGAATCAGTAGTTTAAGGTTTTTAGAGTGATTGAGTATATAAAAGCTAAAGTTAACATAAAAATTGTCTTTCTTCTCTCCTCTCTCTGTTTTTTCTGCGATTCTCTATCTAGATTTCTCTTTTCGAATCACAAGAATACTTCAAATATCAAACGATGGTCGATAATAAAGGAAAGGTCCTCCTCGCTTATTCTGGTGGTTTAGACACCTCAGTCATTTTGGCTTGGTTGATTGAACAAGGATACGAAACATTAGCTTATATTGCTGATGTTGGTCAAGAAGAAGATTTCGAAGCTATTAAGGCTAAGGCTTTGTCTGTTGGTGCTGCTAAAGTCTTTGTCGAGGTAAGTTCTCTTAATTGTATTCGAATCAGCGTAATACTGTTCTATCGAACAAATTGAACGAGCATTACTATTAATCTACTCGATAGGATCTCAAAGAAGAATTCGTCAAAGAACAAATCTTCCCTGCTATTCAAGCTAATGCTATCTATGAATCTGTCTACCTCCTTGGTACTTCTTTAGCACGTCCTGTCATTGCTCGTAAACAAATTGAAATTGCTGCTCGTGAAGGTTGTCAATATGTTTCTCATGGTTGTACTGGTAAGGGTAATGATCAAGTTCGTTTCGAATTGGCCTATTATGCCTTAAATCCTGATATTCAAGTCATTGCTCCTTGGAGATTGCCCAGTAAGTATTTTTTTAAGACCGCTTTTACATGTCAAAGGGATATTGGGTTAGTGTTTCTTCTTTCTTTTTCTTACTTACAACCATTTTTACAGTCTTCTTTGAACGTTTCGCTGGCCGTAGCGCTCTTTTGGATTTTGCTGCTGAAAAGGGTATTCCCGTTGCCCAAACCAAAGCAAAGCCTTGGTCCACTGATGAAAACTTGTTCCATATTTCATACGAAGCCGGTATTCTTGAAGATCCCAATGTTACTCCTCCCAAAGAAATGTGGAAGCTTACCGTTGATCCCGAAGATGCTCCCAACACCCCCGAACGTATTACTATCAGTTTTGAAAAGGGTATTCCTGTCAAGGTTGTCAACCACAACGATGGCTATGAGGTCACCGAGCCAGTTGCTCTTTTCACTTACCTCAACACTGTGGCTCGTCGTAATGGTATTGGCCGTATCGATATCGTAGAATCTCGTTTCATTGGTGTCAAATCCCGTGGTTGCTATGAAACTCCTGGAGGCACCATTTTAAGAACTGCTCATAAGGATTTGGAAGGTTTGACATTAGATGGACAATTGCGTGCTTTACGTGATCAAAACATTACCGTACCTTATGGCCGTGCTCTTTACAACGGCCAATACTATTCTCCTGAATGTGAGTATTTAGCCAAGTCTATTGAGTTCACACAACGTAATGTGACAGGCGATGTCAAGTTGAAGTTGTATAAGGGTAATACTGTTATTGAAGGTCGTGTCGCTCGCGGCAATGGTGCCAAATTATACGACATGCAAGAATCTTCAATGGATGAGCAAGGTGGCTATAATCCTCAAGATGCTGATGGTTTCATCAAGGTTCATTCTATTCGTCTCAAAAAATGGACTCCTGCTGATAAGCAATAAAGAGGTCAGCAAAGCTACTTGTGTCGTGATGTATTTTTGAAGTATATCTTTTTCTGTAAAAAACAAAAATTAATTTAGACTATTCTGCAAAACAATGAGCTCTCGCACACTTTCTATATTATATATATATCCTTCCTTTCCTTTGACTCTGTATCATCCTGTTTCATGTACAAAAAATTTGAATAAAATGAAAACGATAAAAATGTCGTTTTTGTCTATATGACTTACTATATTTTGAACAAGAGTAAAGAAAATTTTATATGTGAAGTTTGACGTGTTTGTGAGATACACTACTCGAGTGCGTACAAATCAGATAGATTATTTATTTACCGCAGTCTATCTACTGTATATCACGTCTAATATAGGCTATGTACAATATAGAACAAGATAGAGGCACACGAACCATCTGAACCTGAAGCATAATATGGTATTAATCAAGCGGATAAAATCTTGTCCTAGGTTTGCACTACGTCGAAAATAGTTTAAGAGTCTGTTTTGGCGGCAAAACGAAATCTCTAAATGAGAGTCTATCTACAATACCGGAGTTTTGGTGACATAATGTGTTCTCCACACAATATAGCTAATTCTTTTTTTCGGCCTTCAATTTCCCCAGGAAAAAAAAAATCAATTTATAGCCGCCACATTTGTTATGCATTAGATCAGTATATTAGGAGCCCCTCTGTTTCTTCAAACAAACACCAAACTTGCTAAGTATAAAACGTTGCTTACATTTGTGGCTTGCATAAACTATCGTCTTCCTACCTTTATTGCTTATCGATGTCTACCACAGACCTTCCCCATTTTTGCCTGACTTTTTTCTTATGGTGGACAAGATTCAATAACGATTGGCTCGGCCCTGGATAACCAAACTCCACATCAACCCACCCCCCCCGCGTTTTTACCTTCCTTATCTAAACTTTTTCTTATAACTCAAATGATCATTCATTAAAAACATCCTACTTCAGTTATTCAAACTCCCACTTTTTAGTTGTCCCTCTTCTTCTCTTTATTTACCCTACCTTTTATTTTCTCTTTTCTAACATCAAGTACTATACACTCAACATGTTCTTATCCCGTACAACTACTACTGCTTTAAAAGCCAGTGCATTGGCTTCTGCTAAAGTAAGATATATACAGACAACGGTTGACGCTAAAAAAAGTTAATGATATAACTCATGATATCATTTCAATAGTGGAATTCAGCTCGTGCTATCACCACTGCTACTCCCAGCATTACACAAGCTTTCAATGCTCAAAAGAATGAAAACGTAAGCAATAAAGCACAAGACAAAATGATGCAAAAGCGAAAAATAAAAAGGGAGAGAGAGATGTTTGTGCTCATACTAACTTAATCAACGCATGTTCATTCCTGCCTTTTTGGCATTTCAAAAAAAAGGGTAACTACATGGTCACCTTGATCCCTGGTGATGGCATTGGTCCCGAGATTTCACGTTCTGTCAAAGAAATCTTTGCTGCTGCAAAGACGCCTATTGAATGGGAAGAAGTTGATGTCACACCTGTACTTAGAGAAGGCAAAACTGTCATTCCTGACGAAGCCCTCCACAGTGTGCGTAAAAATACAGTTGCCTTGAAGGGTCCTTTGGCCACCCCCATTGGTAAAGGTCACGTCTCTCTCAACTTGACTCTCCGTCGTACTTTCAACCTTTATGCCAATGTTCGTCCTTGTCGTTCCGTTGCTGGCTATAAAACTCCTTATGAAAATGTCGATACTGTGCTTATTCGTGAAAATACTGAAGGTGAATACTCTGGTATTGAGCATGAGGTAAGAAGAATGATAAGTTTAATAATAAGAAAATTCCATCATAAAGATGGAGGAGTAAAAGGGGGACGTGAAGAAATAAGACAGATACCAATGATGTTTCGACCATCTTAGGTAGTTGATGGCGTCGTACAATCTATCAAATTAATTACAAGAGAGGCTTCTGAGCGAGTTGCTCGTTATGCTTTCACTTACGCCGAAAGTGTTGGCCGTGACCGTGTCACTGCTGTTCATAAAGCCAACATCATGTAAGTTCAGTGGTTTATGCTTAAATCAAAACCCAGTCGTATTAATAGAGCGATTCTTGACTAGGAAATTGGCTGATGGTCTTTTCTTGGATGTCTGTAAACAAGTATCGAAAGATTTCCCTAATATTAAGTTCGATGATGTTCTTTTAGATCGTGCTTGTCTGCATGTAAGTGGATTCTTCTTCAAGATTGAATTGAAGGAGAACTTCTTTTGTTGGTCTGACATAATGCCTTTTTTTATTTGTTTTTAGATCACCTCTGATCCTTCTATTTATGCTGATACTGTCATGGTCATGCCTAACTTATATGGTGATATCTTATCTGATATGAGTGCAGGTTTGATTGGTGGTCTCGGTTTGACACCTTCTGGTAATATCGGCCGTGATGCCTCCATCTTTGAAGCCGTTCACGGTACTGCTCCTGATATTGCTGTAAGGTTTAAAAAAAAAAAAAAAAAAAAAAAAAAACTATATCAATGACAGTGTCTAAACATTCTTGGATTACGTTCAATAATAGGGTCAAGACAAGGCTAATCCTACTGCTTTACTTTTATCTGGTATCATGATGTTGAAGCATATGCGTTTAACAAACCAAGCCGCTAATATCGAACAAGCCGTCTTCAAGACCATCGCAGAAGGCAAGCATTTGACAGCTGATTTGGGTGGTAAATCCAGCAACTCTGATTATACTCGCGCCATCATTGATGTAAGTATCCATTGAGATAAGAAAAAAAAAGGTTGTGATAATATAGCTAATCATTTTTAATTGATTCTTATAAAAAAAAACAAACCAGAATTTGCAATAAACTTGCTGACTTGGTAAAATGTTAGAGAAGGGTACTATATATCTAATACTCCCAAAAATATTACCATGAAGGATAGGAAAGGAAATACTTAGACAATTTTTCTAACTCCCAATACTTCTGTACTAAATCCTTATATAAAATAAACATGTTCATTCCTTGTATTGTATATTTTAGACACATTTGGAGAAAAGCAGAGACTTTGAATTAGTGATCCTAAAATGGTATCGATTTTGATCACGTCATTCAGGCGTTCCTAGGATACCTATCTCAAAAAGTTCTTTCTGTAACAAAAAAAAAAAAAAAAAAAAAAAAAAAAAAAAAAAAAAAAAAAACTAGTAATAGAATTATCGTTCTTTGAAATCAGATGATGGACACTCTATTCCTTTGCTGTGTGTAAGCCACTAAATAGTACCAAGTCATTGTCAGTAATGGAATTGCAACCTTCTACTAAAAGTTTAGAAAAGCTGGAAAGTTGGACTTCATTTGAAAAAGTCCAAATTTGCAATTTGTAGAACGTTAAACAGAAGCCTCTATCTTTCTTTACTTTATGATATTATATTAAACATGCTCGGTTGTGGCCCTGTAACTGGTTTTAATGTAACACTATGTTAATGGCAGAATCAAAGAAAATTCTTCTTCTATCACTCATCAGCAAGAAAAAGACCCAGAATTTAGGCAAGTATGTTATGGATTCTTCAAACAATTTATACAAATAGAATAGACTTTTTGATAAAACCAAGATAGATTTTTGATAATGTCCTAACAATTTAATAAAGTTGATGATCTGCCAACAGATGTTTGCAACTATAACTTTTCCCTGTAGCTTGGCTACTTTCACATGTCCATTTTTATCCTTTGCAGCTCTTTCGTTATCTTATATTTCTTGCTTTCCATAGCTAGCAGGATCATTTAATCAATAATGGAAATTGGAATACGCAGATTCAGGAAAAAGCTCTGCAGTAGTATTTTCTGGTTTTTTACCTGTTTATTTACCTTTTTAAAGGCTAGTTGAGCCCAACTATCATTTTTTCTGCTGTTTGAGTTGCTTGTTCTCCCTCATTGCCTCCTTTTGTGAGTTTTTTTTTTTTCTCTTTTGAATATTCCTACATTTAGTTTTAGTGCAATTAGTTACTGGAACTTCCATTCATGAGTCGGTCTCATTCTAGACACTCTCCTTTGCCAACTGGTATAAAAATTTCATCTCAAATTAGAGATTATTCATCCCAAAATTATTAATCTTTTTAGGAAATCACTGGATCAAGAATTGTCAATTCTTTTTTTAGAGTATTTTTGGGTTGAAAAAAAAGCGGTTCTTCAAAGCACTAAATGTATTTAATGGAAATGCAGCAGACAAAGAAAGAAACAAACAGAAGAAGGATATCTTGTTCTTCTTCTTTTTAACTTTTTGGTTGCTTTGCTTGCTTATTTGCTGTAGTGTGATTTTATCTTTTATTTTAGCCAAAAAAGGTTTTGCTCGACTACCACACGTACATACTTCCATCACATGAGATATTCTAGCTGCACCTTTTTATTAGGATTGCTATGGTTACTCTTGCCAAATGATAACTATGCGGTTCCCACTGCATCACCATCGGCTGAAATAATATACCAGTTAAAACAGAACTTTTATGTGGATATCCATCAGTTTTCTCAGTCGTTATCGCATTACTTGTTGTTCAACCAAGTTGATCCGATTTTATCCATCATGTCCAAAAATATATCCAAACATTTTCAAAATTTGATCCACGTCAAATTTCAACACCAGACCCTGGATGATGATTTTGTAGTTGATATTGATCTTTTAAAAGGACAACTTCAGGGTGCTGTAGGCTGTAAGTACAATATTCATAAGTATATGCCAAAGGGAAACGAGGCTAAAAAAAGGAATAATACTTTTGTAGCCTTTGTTGAGGATTCATTACCAGCACTTTGGAATAAACGATTGACTACTATTGACAAAATCTCTCTGGCTCAATATATTGAGGATGAAACCACTCGTACCTGTCAGGTTTTGCCAAATTACAACAACTACAGCGTTGATCAAAACACCCAAATGGTTTCTAATCAATGCCTTGTTCGGCACGCTGATCAACTTATCTTCCTCATTGACAATCACATACAAAATCAACTTAAGCTTATTCTAAAAACAGTAGTGAAGGATGATCTACCAAAGATTTTTGAAACAATACAAACGCATGTCAACGGTATTTTAGATCATTTCAATCGCTACCTTATGCAACACAACAACAGAATGATCAATTCAAGCTCAGGAAAAAACGCAGCAACAATTATTTACAAAAATGTCAAGGAAAGCTCAACAAACGACCTCCTTGTGAAAAGCTTGGAAAAATCGATCCAATCTCATTTCGAGGCATTTGAACATCAATTGTACTTCCAAAAGTTGATTGTGTATGCCAAAACTGAATTGGATCAATAGCTATAAAAACACGTACACACTATTATATTAATGATATACACACAACATCTGTTTATACAAGTATATATATATACATACATGATGTCTTTTACCTTTAGAAAAATCCCATTTACCTTACATAGGATATCCCTTCATGTATCATCAATAGGTAATATAACCTGCCCGTTCACAACCCCACACACACATACACACACACATACACATATAACAGCATTATCAGCATTATTTATTCTTCTTTTTGTATAAAGATATCTTATCATCACTTAAGTTGTAGAACAGTACAAAAGAAAACCAAAAATAAATCACTTCAACTTTGCAAATGTTCAGAATTTAGCTGTTTCAGCTATTATATCTGACGCGTTTACATTTCTTTCAAGCATATATTCTTCCATTCGACCCTTGACATAGACACGGTGTCTGTTGCCCTTTTGCTTTTTGTACTCATTGCTGTCACTTTGATATATTTCATCGCCAGGGTAAGCCAGGTAGAATTTGAAACCTTGCTTGGCTTCAGCAGAATCTGAATCAGTTGTATTCGCTTGGGGCAAAATCTTGAGTAATTCGCCGTTTTTGGCCTTAAAGATATCAACGCCCGCTCTTAGTCGTAAGTCGTGATGGTCGAATATGGCACTTAGAACCGTCAAAGAATACCATTGAGGCGGTATGGTGATGATCTTCTTCAGACACTGTTGTTGAAGGGCTTCTTCAGGTGTGAACCAGTCAAATAATACAGTTTCTTTTCCATCGGCTGATACGAGATTCAAATGCTTCGCCTCCTCTTCTGCTGATGTGTATTGGTCCAATACTGTCAGAAAGAACATTGTATCGTATCTTTTCTTTTCAATGACAGGCGTGATCCAGTTGGAAAAGGGTATCAAGCTATCCACAGCAGGTCTAATATTAAAGGTTTCGCACATCACTTTGAACTGACTAGCATCATGATGCACTTTTTGTCGCCAGGTAGGTAAACTGTTCAAAAACGATGCTTTGCTGCTGCCTGTCAGCTGAGTTAATGGTGGATCAGATAACAGTAAACCCGACTCTTCAAATGTTTCTCGGATGGCACAAATTTTATTTGTCAGAAAATGGCCCCTTTTTGTTTGTTTATTTTTTAGCAAAAAAGGTTTCATTCCTATTCTTTGCAATAAAAAGTCAAATGTGCATGATAGACTCACTCTTTAACTGAGATAGCTTGCTTGCCGAAATGATCCAACCAATGGCTATAATGGTCGGCTCTGTCAATCACACCACCAGGATAAACATGGGCATTAATGAAACTGCTTGCATTTCTAACAATAATGATTGAACGAATGTATAAGCTTTCTTTTTCTTTCTCATATAGAAGCGGCGACAGGTATGCAACCCTTTGTTGTCTCTTTGAAACCTTTTCATCATCAATATACGGTAATTGCATCCTGCTGATCCTTGTTCGTGCTTACTATTACTGGTAGTAAAACTTGAAACTGAGTTATTGACGGTGATAGGTGATGCTATGATTAGAGAAGCTGCTGGTCTTATTGTCGTTGCTGTTGTAGCCTTTGACATTGATCGCAGTACTTGAATATAATTGGTTTAGGGAGAAAATAAGGCAACAGAGTAGTTGTTGAGGGTTTTTTTCAAAAGAAATAAACAAAATGTATTGGGAAGCCTGATAACAATTCTGGTTGGTTTTTTCTTACTTACACGACATTTTTCAATTGAAAAATTGTTCCTTAGTCAAGTGAATTTATCCCAACTGAGGGAAACAAGAAAAAAGGAAAGCTTCTATTCAATTTTTTTTTTTTTTTTTGACTCAGCAGGTTTCTTTTTGCCCAGAAAGGTGATGATTTGAGTGGAGGAAGGGACCTGATTTTTTTGGTAATGTCGATCACTTGTTTATCAGACCTTCTTCTCTCCGTCATCAATGACGTGCATTCTGCATAAACTTTGCAACGTGCTTTCCTAGTAACATAACTCATTTCAATTTTTGAAGAAGCAAAAAAAAAAGGCCTTGTGGATATGCTTGACTTATCATACTGAAATCACTCAATTGGCAATGCAGTTTCTGTAGCTTAAGATCTTATATAGTTCAGTTTGGTTTAATTTTACAAATATTCAAAGAAAAAACGAAAACAAAAAAAAAAAAAAACGCTGTATAATTTAAGGTTAAGCTGCGACTTATTCATTTGTTTACTTTTTACAAACATAAGCGCTATTACGGAATTGAGCAAATCCTTTGATCGCCTGGTATTCATCTTCTGTTAATTGAACAGTCTCTTCTTCATTTTCTTCTTGTACGGCGGTTGTTGTTGGCGATTTATTACTGTTCTTTCCGTCTGAAGTATTGTCACCACTATGACCCACACCATAGCCATTTTGTTCATCATTTAAACTATCAATGGGATTGGATAAATCATGAATCGACAAGCGACGGGTAGGTGTGTTTGCTGTTGAGCTTTGAGCAGAAGAAGACGGTGAAGACGATGATGGTTGTTGTTGTTGTTGTTGTGCATGTTCAGCAAGATAACTCTCAGGAGTTCTGTCAGGATTGTTTACTAAATAAGTTGCCAATTGGGATAAAACTGAATTTCGTCTCGGAATGGCAGGCAGGGCTTCTTTCGCCTCCTGCTGATGATGATAATGTCTGTCAAAAGATTGATAACGAATTTGTGGAGCAGAACGACGACGATACGGTGCAGGTAAAAAATCGTTTAGATTAGGCGCGGTCGCAGACGAAGAATCAGATGATGCGGGGGAATCTGGGAATCGCGAAAAAGACAGATTATTATAGGGAGGTGGTGGTGGTGGTGGTGGCGGCAATGGGTGCTGATAATAATCCATAGGAGGGTTCATTATCCGTTGTTGGCTGTAAGGATTGGAGGGCGGAAGGGGAGGGTATGATTGCTGATGACGATGGTGATGTTGTTTATAGTAGCCAGGAGGCCGGTAAGTAGGGTCTTCATCAGCACTGCTCGCAGCATCCATATCATCATCATCATATTCGAATTGGGACGATCGTACATTGCGATATTGCCGCTGCTGCTGTTCATCCATTATATTTCCCATCGAGCTTTTGCGTGAAGGCGGTGGTGACGGTAAGCCGCCATAGTCTTCTTCATATTCATCAGAGGAATGTCCATGCCGAGCAGATGCAGCGGACTTCTTGCCACCTCGTTTCAATCGGCCTGTCTTGGTACGTTTTGGACGGCTCTTATTATGTGTTTGAGTATGCTGCATCATGTTATCAAATCTACTAAACATACGGTCACATCCTGGTACGATACACTGGAACGGCTTCTCCCCCGTATGTTTTCTATGGGCATATGGTTAAAGGTCTTTTTTAAGTCTTACTCTTTTTCTTTTTTCAACAGAATAATCTATGCTATAAGTCATATACCTCATATGCCGAGCCAAGTGCTCACTTCTGGTAAAAACCATTTTGCAGTCGCCAAAGCCTGTACATTGAAACACCTTTGACTTGCTGGCACGCTGTGAACTCATTGATTTTTTATCTCGAAGTCCACCGCTGCTAATCGCTGCTGTTGATATTGAGGTAGATAGACTCGACTTAGGGTCGATAGTGCGTTCAAATAGTTGGGGCTGGCTACCTGAATGATTCATCATAGTTTAGTCGTAAGTGGAGGAAAGTCTAGTAAAGTCAGAAGTACAGTATAGAAATGAAAAGAAAAAAAAGTGCTTTTATTTGCTATGAAAGAAGAAAGAAAAGGAAAAGCATTAAACAGACATAAAATAGCCCGTTCCTTCAGGGTTTTACCACACTTTCTAGGGCCAAATCAGGTCTTGATATATACCCGAGATTCATGTTTAAGTAACTCGTCTCGTCCTGTTCGTTCAATTCATTTTAAGTAACTTTTACTGCCCGTATACTTTAACAGCATCATCACCATAACTCCCGATGAATGAAGCAGTGAAAATAAGACTTAAATTGGATGCTCTATTCATTCGACCAATTTGACGATAAAGCATTGCTATGCTCAGCAAAAAATGGTGATACATCAGTTCTCATGCTTCTCATTAGACGTACTGTTAAGCATAAATGCAACTCTGACATAACTGTAGACAATGTCAAACTTGTCGCATAAAATAACTTGAATGCTTCAGATGGTAAGTGTAAAACCCATCGCTTAATGGGTTAAACCAAAGTCGGAACTTTTTTAATTCCTCATATACACCTCATAGTTGGTTGAATTTTATCCTAAAGGCATCAATATCAGGTCGTAGGGCTTTGAGAGATCTCAACCGGAGACTTCTTGGGAGATTTATCCATTTATGTCAGTCAATTACTACCTCTCAGGCAACTTTTGGTAAATCAGCTCGGCCTCTTTATGCAGACCTGTGAAACCTATCGTTCTCACAGTACGATTCAACGATGAGCGAATTTGTGAAGACTAAACAGTACATTATATAGAAAAAGTATCTCACTCTTTGACACTTTTGGTGTTTACATGATATGACAGTTTTCGGAAGCATGTATGCATAGGTAGTCTTTTGAAAAAAAAAAGCGATATTTCTCATGAGGAGATATTTGCAATTATTTGAATTTGCAACATGAAAAAAAAGGTGACTCTGCCTTGACTCAAGCTTACATCATAGCTTGACGAAGTGAAGGGGTTCAATTCTCAACTTTCATCAAAAAATTGTTGTGAGCTAATGCTACCATATCATTAATCGACGAGTCAAATGCTTACAGGAGCTATTTAATTATAATTGGTATCTTTGCGCCCTGGTGGCCAAAATTTTTGATAATAAAAACAGTAAGTGTACGAAAATATAGTGAGTATCCAAATTAAACATTGAGCAAACTACCGGTGGTGAATATAGAGTTTATGTATATGTATATGGCTGCTATTCATCATCTTCATCATCTTCATCGTCCTCAGCATCCTCAGCAACTTCTTCATTGCCTTCCCTTTCTTCTTCAGCAGAGCTGCTGTCGTTGTTTTCTACATCATCATCATCAAATAGTTCCATTTCTTCATCTTCCTCTTCAGTATCGCTTTCTATAATTCTCTTTCTTTTACGCGTCGATCTTCTGGGAGGCGCTGCTGTTTCTTTTTCTTTACTCTTGTCTACCTTTGGTTTCTTTCCTTTCGCTTTAGCAGATTTTCCGCCTAAACCAATGCGATATCAGTTTGGAAGCCTTATTTCTCCTCACTCTTCCCTACCTCTCCCCTTTTGTGATAAAAGATGTTAAATTTACCTTTCTTTGTTAATGTTACAGTCGTCTTCTCACCGCCTACACCATCTTCTTCGTTCTCACTTACTGCAGCGCCACGTTGTTTCTCAACCCTTCGATCTAGCTCATCTATGAGTGTTTTCAATTCTGGTCGTTGATTCTTATTCAAGCGACCCTTTTGAATAATCTCCAAAAATGATTTATGAACAGCATCTTCATGTAGCTTGTCTTGGTAAGTGGGCCAGCCCTCCAGTAACTTTTTAAAAGGCTTTTCCGTCTTGAACGGTAATAGAGATAAACAATAAGCAATATCTCGCCAGCTTCTTTCATCCTCTGCTGTTAAAAATCGCTGGCACAGTTTATCCACAATATTTTCAGCTTGCTTTTCCTTTTCAGTGAAATCGAAGCTAAAGATAAACTTCATTATCTTGCGGAATGATTCCTCATCTAAGCGGCTGTTTTTCACGTTATCATTGTTCGCAAGAGTGGTAGCGGTGGCGCTAGTGGTAGTAGCATCAGTTATAGCATGTGTTGTGGACGTATTAACATGACTGGGAGTGGTGAGACTACTGATGATATCGGGCAGATTGTTATAGATAGCATTATCTTTCGAAGCCAATTCGGTGAAAAAGAGTTTAGCCAGATCAGAAATACGTGGGTCTTCGTCTTCAAGACACTTTGCCATTTCGCTGATTTGCCCCTTCACTTTGACCATACCGTTCAAAATCAAGTGTGTCAGTACCATGACAGCATTTTTGCGAACGACAGTATCAGCGTCAGATAAACGATTATATAAGAAAGTAATATTATCATCAATCAGAGTATTGAAACATACGGCCATGTCACCAAGGCCAATGACAATGTTACTACGGATGCTGGGGTCTCTTGATTTTTCCAAAATGGTAAACAAGAGCTGAAGCTTTTGTTCACAAAAATCAGAGCTAACACACATCAATTTGGTTAATGCTAAAGTAGCATTAATCTGCAATGTGCGGTCGGTATAGATTTTGTTACGCACACAGACTTCTGTGATTAAAGGACCAAAGACACCCAGCAAAGAGTTGGGACCAAACAGGATTTCTCGTTCACGTATTCTAGTCATAGCGTCACCAATGTCGTCTTCAGCTGTACCGCCGCCTACTTGGTCAAGTTCATCCTCCATAGCAGCATCATTGTTATCTTCCTCGTCGTCCTCCTCCTCCTCCTCTTTCACCTCTTCCTCTCGGTCAATAGGTTCGACTTCATCATCCGTTGTAATGTCGTTATCTGTATCCTTCTTCTTCTTGCTCTTCTTGTTTTTCTTTTTCTTATTCTTTTTCAAATCTGTTACCTTTTCTGACTTTTTGCGTTTCCACGCAGCCTCAACAATTTCCAAGTGAACAATTTCTTTCAAAGCTACATGGCCCACTAAGAAAAAGAGTTGTGACAGCTCCATTGGGCTCTGGTATAGAGGATGTTGGGGGAAGGGTAGTACTTGTTGTGTCATACTCAAATCATAGTCCAGCAAAGTGGAGTCCATATGTTGCTGAAAGTTCGAGGTATCTGTTCCTGCAGGGGAAGGGCTCATTGAGAAACAATTATTCTTCGGAAGCGAGCCAAAGACTTTGTTCGTTTTATTCCTAATCAACTCTTCACAGATGGCCTCCGGGTCCTTGCATAGTAAGTAAATTGTATTAATCGCTTGTTCTGCCATGCTAAACCACAAATGACTTTCTGTTGGTTGCTCTATAATGTCTTTCAATCTTGTAAACATTGCGTGATGTAAAAGGAAACGTACACCTTCTTGCACACTACGGCTTCTCTCTTTAGCACCCTCTAATCGCTGTAAAGCAATACAGGTATATTTTGCAAGTTCGAGATCAGCTTTGCCAAGGAAGCCTAACCCAATTTTTAACATGACATCGATTTTATCGGCAACAATCGAGGTCTTCGCCTTTGCTAGCATGCCTAGAATAATAATAGCTCCCCGACGTTGCGATTTTTGAATTCGACCTTGAGTAAATCCATAGACGGACCATAGCTTTTGAATGACTTCGTTAGAAATTTTCCCTTCTGCCATCATGACACTTAGCAACTGTTCCAACGATGTGAGCTCAGCGAGTGTTGTGTTGTAAGTAAGTTGTATAAGATTTTTCGCAATTCGGTTGATATTTTGCTTGCGATCCAGGTTTGAATCCATGGCAATATACAAATTTTCATAAGAAGATAATAGTCTCATTTTAATACCCTTGCCTTCGTCACTGGTATCCTTAGTCCAAATCAAATGAAGCATCTTTTTGATGCCATCCTATTGAAAATCAAATAAGCTTGTTCAGTACTGCTGTCTTTAAACAACCTTGCTATCATGTACTGATCTTTTTTCCCTTTTTTTTTTTTCTTACAGCTGCAAGATCCACTTTATAATTATAACAAGTGACTAAGAAATCCATGGATTCCAAAACTTCAGCCTTGGATTTGGAGGATAAAAGCTGGGTTGTAATGGGTATAGCCTTCTGCAGTAACTCTATAAACTGAACAGCGTCCACATGAAACTGACGCATAAGTATGAGTTGTTGAAGTTTCTCAGCAGAAACGATGGTTTTGCCTTGAAAAGAGTTATTATTTGGCATATCTTCCTCATGCGCGTTGACTGACTCATTTGATTCGTTATTTTCTCCAGTGTCATTCTGTTGTTCTTCATTCTCCACTGCAAGATTACTTTCTTTATCAGCTTTGGCAAGGTGACCACTCGCATCAGCCATGTCCAAATCCTCATCAGCATTATCAACTTTTGCCGTATCGTCGTCTACCTCTTCGGATTTATTTTGTGAACTTTGTGAGGAAGCAGTCGCATTAGCTGCCTCAGCTACTATAACTGCACGAACATCCTCCTCAGTTGTAACATACTACAGCCAACAAACAGTATAGAGTTTTGCGTTGAATGTTACTACTTTTAAGTCAAGCTTGAGATTCGGGAAGAACCAAAACTCACCTCGATCTCCTTCTTCAACTTTTCAAGGCGAGTCTTCCACTCTTTCGAATCCAACTCACCGCCGTACATGCTAAAAGGATGGGTTGATACGAGAGCTGTCAATGCACGGATAGCATACTTACGCACAAGGCTACTTTTATCCTGTAAATGTCGAACGCAAAGAACAGCAGCAGCATAACGCCTTTTTGGGAATTTGGTTTTCAAGCTATCATTTGATGAAATGGTGGACTTATGAATCAACAAGTATTGCAAGGTAGTCCAGACTTTAATCGCAACTTACCTGAACAACCGTAGATATGCTTGCAAAACTTTTTGTCGACAGTAAGAAGAGGTATCAAGCATACGCTCCTCCAATAAATCAAAGAATCCATTGATCTGCTCGATATTATTCGGGTTGTCTTCGATTCCTTTCGATAACTCGATAATCAACAATATCAAAATCTCAATTAAGGTGACTCGCATTTGATACGACTTCAGTACAATGGATAAAAGAAAAAAAGGTCAATTGCTCATGTGAATGGTTATACTTCTGCTAAAAGCTTTATACTTGAATCCTTACCTCGCTGTCCAACAGACTGATGAGAACGGTCAAATTCTTCAAAATAGTCTTTGGTGCTAACTCTGCTAGTTTTTGTAAAAATGCGCCAAAAGTTTTTGGATTCGGCGAATCCTTCAACTCTTTGTTTGTTACATCCTTAAATTCACGATTACCGATTTCGCGCAATATTTCGTCGGCCAGTTGAGTATAGTTGAGTTTATCAATCATATAAACGAGTAATTCAGCCATAGATTCAGCTGAGTGCTCCCAATATTGTAAGTTCTGCATAATGGTGGTTTGTGCGACTTTATAAAAAAAAAAAAAAAAAAAGAAGATAAGTATTTGGTTGGATTATAATGATGGGTGTTCGTTATATAAATTGTGCATTTTACCAGGCATATGATCATAATGCTTAATACAAAGGCCTAGAATGCGGAACACTCTTTCTTTCATCGAAGCTGACTTCACGTTGGCAGGGTTTTCAAACACTTGATACGCAGGTTTGGTGAATAAAGTAACAAAAGCCAAACGTTCAGGTGTCATAGTCCAAAGCTTTGTGATTTTCAATCCTAACAACCAACTGGCCAAATCAAAGGCTTTTGATTTTTGTGGATTCCAATCATATGTTTTTAAATTGTTATTATTGCTACTGGCTGATTTTGATTTTCTAGAAGAGGAAGATGCGGAAAGAGTCGCAACTGATGTATGTTCCTCGGTCAGCATAATAAACCAATGTACTAAAAATCCATAAAGTTCCAAATTGAAACGATGGGTGCTGAAGGTTTGCTTATCATTGTTATCAAGATCTTCTGCCGTTGATTTGACTTCCACGCGAAAGGCTATGAATTCAACTATTGAGTCTAGAATCTTTCATATAATTAAATATTCATCCAAACTACCTGAGAGAATGATATCAAACAATCGAGATAATATACGAGGTTGAACATTGGGAAAATACCTTTTTAGGGTACACAATAAATGATTGTTAATCCTATTTCATCATTAATTTTTTGAAATCACAACACTCTTGAGATATTTACTTTAAAAAGCTGCGAATTTTGTCAAATATAAGAGGATCAGAAATATTTTCAGAAGAGACTTGAATGCCATCCGTAATTTCTATAATTGGAGATCAGCGATGCGATCGAGATGATTAAGGCAGACAAAAAAAAAGTTACCATTTAAATATCTTGCAAGATCGTGATCGCTTTTTCCTGCAATTTCTGTTTCATTGGGTATATAATAGGTTGTAATGTCTTGAATTTTTACCAATTCTTCTGTTAAGAGGAACTGATCTCTCATTTTCGATTGTTAAAAATAAAAAGGAAAAAAGTCAAAGCATGGATAAAATGCCAAAAGACGGCCTCGCCAAAATGAATTTCATTACAGAAAAAAAAAATCCAGCAGAAAGGAACAAAAGGCGCGGTTATTAAATATTCGCGTTTTTTATTTGTTTTGTAACAGGAAGTATTCTAGATTGGGTTTTGGTTACGTGCTCTACTTGTTGATACCAGATTATATCTCTTGGAAGTCTTTTGCTTCTGATCGTGCTGTTGTCTGACAATTGCTGGTAATCTACTGAGAAGATCAAGATTTTCTGATCCATTCGAACCGTCAGTAATCAGTAAGGTATTTTGATGTCTACGCTCTCTTCTATTACGGGGTTCAGCAACTACTGCAGCTGCCGCAACAGTTGTTTCGCCTTCGCTATTTGTAATAGCCAATGGATTCGATGGATCGGCAGTAGTACTATTAGATAATCTTCTGGCATGATTTTGCCTATAATATCTCATGAACCGGCGGTGCCCCAACCTCTCTCCTGACTCTAATACAAGCTCATCATTTGTATTGGTAGCTATATCTGCTGTGGCTGCTTCAAAATCTTCTACTGACATACTGCCAAAGTTATAATAGCGAAGTAAGTCTTCAGGATTCTCTGATTCATCGTATGCCATTTTGCAGTGCCCCTTGTCCAACATGTGCTTTCGAACAGCTTGAGGAGATTTCCATACTTTTCCTCTTCCATTACAATACAAGCAGATCGAATCTTCTATTTTTTCCGCTAAATAGAGTACCAAGCCAGGAGCGTTTTCTAAATATTCAACGTCTGGTAAGAAGAAACCATGAACTCTATTCATATGGTAGAGATTCGTGTCGAAGTCGCCATTGTTAATGTTACAAAATAGACAACGCACTTGACTGACAGGATGATGATCAACACTCATATATGAGGCTACTGAATCTGTATCGGTGATTTCCTCTTCAGTATCAGAAAAGAGAGTTGCCTCCTTTTTAGTATGTGTCACTACAGTCGCCGATTTTGTTATTGATTCTGTTGCTGTTGAACCATGCTGCTTAGTGGCATTGAATTCGAGGTCCTTATGTTTTTTAGAAAGTAGATGATTGGAAAAAGCATTTTCGGAAAAATAGGATTTCCTATTGACCCATGGTCATATATCGAGCATTCATAAATCTCTGTTACATTAAAAAGAAAACAAACACAACCCAGAATAGCTTACTTGCATAGCACACATTCGTACACTAGACCTTGTTTTTCCGCTTCTTCTCGACCTTTGGTTTGTTGCGCTGATAATTGTGATTAAAGTTTCCAATAAGTCAACATTCAATAGCTGCAGAGGAGATAAACGTATCAGTAACACATACCTAAGACCTTCTGTGCAAATTGCTCGGCAGTAACTGGGGCAAGTTGAGCGATTTTTCTCTTCAAATTATATTTATGCCAACTATCAAATGAAATTCATGTCAACTATTTTGCGATGAATAGCTCCTGTAGACAGTGCCGCAGTAAAAGAAAAAGAGCATTTACTCTGTGCGATAGTGGGCACGTTGACGATCCGCAGTCGGAAAGGCTACTTGACAAGCAAGGCAGGTAAAAAGTTGGTTTCGAGGCCTTAGTGGATTTGATAACTGAGCGGCATGCACTTGCTCGGATCGTAAGGTGTTCATCTTTTTTTCAGAAAATCTGTGTTGTGCGCAATTAAAGAATCAACTGGAAAGGCGATCTGACTTCAGTTTTTTTCCCTTTTTCAAAGCGATTGACGGAGTTGATCCCTCTCTTTTGACTACAGCCAGCAAATAGCTGAGGTTTGATACGATTTAGTATACTTTTATCTCATATTTGAATGCCAATGGAACAGAACAGTTTTCTTAGGTTCTATCAGCTCTACATACTCATTACTAAGTGGGTTTGAAGATTTCAAACCTGTTGCAACCAATCATTACTACAATAAAACTGGGAGAACGTAAGCAAAACACACTGTTAGGCTAATTCATTGAGGTAAGACCTGTGTTGTAAAACTGCGGTGAAATAAGCTTCCTTTTAAAAAAATAAATTGTATATTTTTGGGCCAAAGTCAAAACGTGACAGAGCAGTAAATTCAAGGCTCGCTGCTGGTTTTCGACAATCAAAAAGCGGTGTTTAAGGCGGATCATACATATCCTTCGGTACTATAAAGCTACACTTACATTCCACTCATCTACATTGGCATATTATTATACTTGGGAATCAGTTCTGTCAGGGAAACCGTGAACTGAACCGATTTCTGCTTGCTTTCATACTGTGCGTCCGATGACATATGAGTTCAACAATCAGATCGAATCTCTTATGTAATCCAGAACTATATTTAACCCAAAATAAACAAATCATTACTGTTCACATTGAGGCGTACATCTATCATGTTTCATCATTTTTTGAACATCAAAAACTTATTGCCATATCAAAGGACAAAAAATCAAGACAGTAAGCTGAAACAATCTTACTCCATATCATTTGATCAATTTAGGTTCACTTTTTCCCAAACAGATTAATTGCAATAAAACAGTGGATCAACTAGCGATTTCCTAATATTTCCCTTTTTCCCCACTTTTTCTACCGGTTTCTTGTATTTATTTATTTTATTTTCGTTGTTCAAGCCTATGGATAAAAAATGAAGTCGAACAGCTTCTTTGACTTATTTCAGGATGTCTTTTCTGAAACGGACGCTCCGACTACAACTACTTCCACTCCTCCACTTTACCTTCATACTGATCAAGGAAATGATTTTAGGAAGCTTTTACATAAAAACAGAAAGACCAGACCGCTCGAACAATCACAGTATAACAGAATGAAGGTCAGCGCTACTACACAATGCCTTGTGAATCATCAAAGCCCTTCAACTGCCACTCGTAGCAGCAAGAAGACTTATAGCGCTAACTCCCCTGACTTCAATCCCGTAATTTACTTGAATCAAAAACAGCACAATACTGGTAGTGGAGGATTTCTAAGCTCTGTATATAACTATTTATTCCTGCATGAAGATCGTTATTTCAATCAAAGTCGAAAAGAATTGAGTAAGGACATATTTCCAGTCGGTTACCAACAGCAGTAGCAATCTGGATTTGCCCATATATTGCCGAAGAATTTTTAAATAGTCTAGTCGATAACGCTGTATATATTTTTGCTGCTTGCTATGTATTTTCCAGCATTGTCTATCACTAAATCATAACTCTCTCCTTGGCTCTTCTTCGTGTACAATAGAATACATCAATAAAATAACTGTAACATATTTATACACATTCAACTTTACAGTTTATTAACTTTAGATTTGGACAACACACACAAAATTTTTAGACGATAAAGAAATTAAGTTTAAGCAGATGTCAGATAATAGTAGACCGTTAAGAATATAATGTTAGACAGTTTGCACAACACTAGAAAGTATAAGGTTTTCATTCTTTTTACCTGTAATCATCAAACTGGGTTCGTTCCAGCGATGTTGTGGGAGAGGGTGTCTTATGATTTTGTCCGTGTAAATTCTTTCGGCCTTCCTAGAGCCTTCCAAATAGCACAACTGATTTTCATCATGTTCTTGGCAGCATTGACGTCTCGATTCCACAGTATATGGCAAGTTTTACATACAAGTATACTGCAGGTCTTAACACCTTTCAACCTCTCCAAAGTGTCGTTCGAACAGCAGGGGCATATTCTGGATGTCTTGTATTCATCAATTTCAAGTACTACCAAGTCTCCGCTTGCTTCACGTCGCTTGAGTGCACGCCACAAAACACCCACCGTTCCACATCGGTGACCCTTGAATGCGACATTGTCTTTAGCGAACATACCATTGCCAAATACAATGAGAGGTACTTTTTTGACATCACCGACACTGAAGGTTGGGGCCTCCATTTGGCATTTGAACTACTATTACAAAAAACATGTTACTTTCTATAAGTTGATGATGATGATTGCTTATGAACTTACCTATCTTTCTTCTCCAATTCCACTTTAACTTTTGATGTCCCTTCTTCTATACTCTTTTTCTCTGGTGCTCCTTTCTTCTTTTTTTTTTCGTCTTTTCTGAGAAGCCGCCTTGCCATTGTTCTTCTTCTTTGAGCCCTTCTTTTCTTTTTCTTCTCTCTTCTTCAATCTGAGATCCTCGTTATACTTTGTACTTCCATTAACAAGCATATTTACCATTTTTTCTGCTGCACGTTTCCGTCCTTGGTATAAATGAAAGCGATCTTTGGCAGTGCCATGACTATAGAACGAAAACAAGTCCTCCAAGTGCTGCAGGATGTACGATGCATAACAACGATATCTATCATTAGAGCCAGTCTTGGCAGTTGGTATATCACTTTCGATGTTCTTTATGGTACCAGCTTTCTTCTGTTCCAGCCTTGCTGAATACCTAGTGCTACCAGTCATATGGTAGTACTCTTCGGTAGAACAGCTTCGCACCTGGTGCTTCGTTACGTCTATCCCAATTGCTGCTGTGAAAACGTCTCTTCTACCAGGATCAATGAAGCAAGGTCTATAACCAGACTTCGACTTCGGCATAAATCAATATCTTCCAAAGTCAACCGATGGTCTTCGATGGTTTTCTTTTCTTTTTTTACCTATCAACTCCCATCTTCTTAAAGCTGAACAATTGATAAAACTTTTCGAGTTGATTTGTATAGCCTTTCGGAGGTGTACCGGGAAACATGAATGGGAGGAGCGAGTTGATGCTTATGAAGATGAAACGCCAATGGAGCGAAGGCAGAGGGAAAGGGAAGAAGCGCTTGGGTAACGGTAATCTACGGACATCGTAAGCTGCATGTTCGTCACGTTCCTTTTCATACGAGGATAGGATGTGCCATAAGGCTTTGGTAAACTTGGCGAAATCGGATGATAAGGAAAGCAGCGTCACCTTTTCCGTTATAAGTTTCTCAAAGCTTTTGCATAGCATCTCTATCTTGCTTTTGTCTTCTTTACTAAGCATGATTTTATCAGGCCAGTTGGGTTCGCCTTTGCATATTACTTGGTAGCAGTATGTTTTTGATATTTCCACTGCGTCGGCCTTCTTCATGCTCTGATTATAATAAAGCAAATACAAATGGTTAGAAACTAAGAAATCGAAATTATAGTAGTGATAACAACACGCACAACAAACATGTTTTGCAGCTTATAGGTTAGATATTTAAGCACTCGTTGTTCAAAAAGCTCAACAATAGACTTAGTATACGAAACGCTTATCTCCTTGGCGGCTTCTGTGAGACAGTGGCTGTAACCTTTAGTGAAGCTCTGACTGATTACTATTATCGGATGCTTTTCGTTAAAGTCATCAAAATAATTTTTGATGTCGTCGTTCAGCGCCTTCTTATGAGTAACCTTTTTGCCCGTAACGAGTTGTCCAACAGAATACCAAAATTGCTGTGCGAAGACTTCTGAAGGAATGGCATTCTTATTATGCACGAGGTAGGCATTAACAAATAGCTGGCAGCGAAACACTATAGCTCTGATGTCCTTGTAGCAGGAGATGACCTTTTCCTTGAACTTTCACGAAACTGTGGTAAAACGGCACTGTCGATAGGAAGCTTCCTCGCAAAAACAGTAGAATCATGGCCAAGGACAGATGAAATGGCCTCGTCCTTTGATTGTATGTGATTAGGACAAAGAGGCGAACGAGGAGAAGCATGGTCATCATTCCCACAACTGGAACACTCTACAGCTTGTCATGCTGTTCTCTTCTTTTTCGCTGCTTTCTTCTCTGCTTCAACACTGGCGCTCTGATTTCTCATCTTATTTCGAGCCCCAACTATATGTGGAAGAGATGGTCTATTACTTTCTCTTTCTTTTCCGACATTATCAGTTTTGTGTTGGGTTAATCGGTTTTTATTTAAGCATTTTTGTTATCTTCTGCCAAAACAAGCTACCATTATAGCAAGCAATAAAATGCGTTTTACTGTCATATTTTGCCCTTGAAAAAGCAAGCCTTGAACTGAAGATCATAGACATCATAGACATCACTTTCTTATTTAGTTTGGTTCACAAGGACATTCATAAAAGTCCACCCTTAGTGCTTGTTCCATCAACTATTAAAGCCGACGAGTGTGGAAATGTTTCCACAACTGCCCCTTTATCGCTATTCACAGAGTCTTTTGGCGGTAACATTTCCAACTGGAATTTTTCTTCTCCTAGATTTTCAACAGCTAATAGAGCAGGTAAACTTACTACTCCATTCCCTGAACTTGGTGCGGCCGTTGTCGAGACTACAATGTCTACATCGTTTACGTTTGAGGTAGATATATTGCTGCTGCTACTATCTTGTCGCTGTGTTGCCTTTGAATGTCTTCTAGATCCTACTTTTGGCTTTATATCCTTCAATTTTGCTGTTAGCGTCTTATCGTTATAAATTTTGATATCACCACCTGCCGGTTTATGCTTCACGTTTTCTAAAGAGCCCACTTTTGACTTGGCTGTCTCCTTGCTAAATTTTGTGTATACGCTCTTGTCTTCGTAGATCTTCACATCGCCACCTTTTGGCTTATGCTTAACGTTTTCTAAAGAACCAATCTTTGACTTGACTTCTTTGCTTTTAATAAACGCCGCTTTATCATCATAGATCGTAACATGGCCTCCTCCTTGTTTATGTTTGATGTTCTCTTTGGATCCTACTTTAGAGCTGACATGAGCTGACATACGCTCTTTAAGGCTTTGAAGATTCTCATTGAATATCTTTTTCGTGCTACTATTGGGTTTATGCTTTATATTGTCCAGCGAACCGATTTTGGACTTCACATGGCTGTATTTTATAGGTATTAATTAATTGAAAGGTAGCGACGTATGAATTGAGAACAAAAGTTATATATTAGTTTGTGGGACTTTTACCACTGTACCTGAAGTCAGGTAAAGGAGCTGTAGGTGCTGGAGAGACCATCATGGCTCTACGCGTAGCATAACCATTAGAGGTACGGCTATTGCTACTGCTACTTCTACTTTCACTACCAAAACTATGATTGGTTTGTGCTGAGGAAGGCCGTAGCTGTCGTTTGTCAAGTAGATTGTTTGTCGACATACTTCTTGATCCTGCGATGCCTGGAGTCAATCCTATCCAGTAAGAGTTAGTTCATTGTCAACAGTGTTTTAACATAGCGTCTTCTCTCTTCAAGAAAAAAATTGTCCATTATAGTTTACTTTGATTTGTTTCTGGTGTATTGGCTCTGTTCGTACTATTACTACTTGAGCTGATAGAACGTTTTCTATTATTATTTGAAATTTTTTTGTTGCTATCATTGTTCGCTTTTGGAGTATCCGCATTATTGCATATTGTTGATGCATGATTGGGCTTTTTGCTCGTTGCTGAATTAGGCGGGGTCGGAAGTGCGGCAGCAGTAGTAGCATTATCAGCTAACGAACTAATTCGTATAGTTGTAGCAGTCATTTTTGACATAATTGCTTTACGGTGATGATTGGTAGGTCTGGAACTACCCATTTTACTGAACGATTATACTTAATTGAAGGGGAAAAAAGAAAGAAAGAGCAATAAGAAAAGAAAAGAAAAATATAGGAAAATAAAAATGGTAACTGGAGATTGCCTCTAACATTTTCAATTGTAACTATCTCGTTCTTGGGTTGTTCTTGAATTGCTCTTGAATTTCCCTTTTATGACCCACGTGAGACATTGACCGGTCGAAATACCAAACGTTTTGCTTTTCCATAGGAGAAAAGTACTTCCAAAACTGTCTGCAGCTAAAATACCGTTTGAGAAACGGAATAAACGGAAAACAGTGTGCTTCAATCGGATCCGGTGAGCATTGCGAAGTTCGGCCATGTTATTTGATTTCCAAGCCTATTCCATTCATGTTACAGTTAATTCTTCGTGACAGTCTGTATAATAACGACTAATTAACGAGTCTAATTCAAGGCCTTTTCTCTTATCATTAGCCTATACATTGTCAGGTTTATTAGTAGTAGGAGAACAATAAAGAATAGTTATTATTATAATCGTGTAGATCACTTGCTCCTAGTTACACCAATAATTTACAAAACAGAAAAAAACGTATTTCACTTTTCGTTTATTAAGGCTTTATCATTGGTATGGTTTAGAAGGCTTTATATAAGAACGGGGATTTTTGTCGTCATCTTCAGCAAAGGTTTGTTGTAATGGCGATATAAAAATATCCTATTTGCTACTGCTTGCGATGGGTAAAAAGGCGATGAGATACATTTATTATTGTTCCTCTTCATCATTGGTATCGAAGACACCCTTTGATCGTTTACTACGTTCACGTTGATAGAATTCAGCCAAAATCTTTTGAGGAATACGATTCAAAAGCTCCTTAGGGAAGATACGAAGAAGAGACCAAGCGAGGTCAAGGGATTCATAAATGGTTCTGTTCTCATAGGCGCCTTGAGCAATAAATGTCTTTTCGAATTTCTCCAAAAATTCTAAAGATAATTTATCTTCTTGGTTCAAAGCTTCTTCACCAACAACTGCTTTCATAGCAGCAGCATCACGACCGATAGCATATTTAGCGTACTAAGTTAAAAATTGATCAACATGTGAGTGATGATATTCTCATATTTAGTCTACACTTAGCTTTGTAACCTTTGTACTCTGCCACACTTACCAATTGATTGGAAACATCACCATGATCCTTTCTAGTCATGCCTTCACCGATGGCTGATTTCATCAGACGTGAAAGTGATGGTAGAACATTGATAGGGGGATAGATTTGTCGATTATCGAGTTGACGATCGACAAAAATTTGTCCTTCTGTGATGTAGCCTGTTAAATCAGGAATAGGATGGGTAATATCTTTAATGTAGACAAATTTCAGTACGCGTTAGTCAAACCTGTCAAAATTGTAAAACTGAGCTTCTACAATAGCTTACCATCGTTAGGCATGGTCAAAATAGGAATTTGAGTGATGGAACCATTACGGCCTTCAACACGGCCAGCACGTTCGTAAATGGTAGACAAATCGGTATACATGTAACCAGGGTAACCACGACGACCAGGCACTTCTTCACGAGCAGCTGAGACTTCACGCAAAGCATCAGCATAAGAACTCATATCAGTCAAAATAACTAAAACATGCTTTTCAAGCTGATAAGCGTAGTATTCAGCTGTGGTCAAGGCAAGACGAGGAGTGATGATACGTTCAATTCTAAACATATAACAACAAAGCTTTTGAACATCTATATCATTCCTTTTGGGCTCAATGAAATCTATTACTTACGTAGGATCATTAGCTAAATTGAGGAAGAGCGTAACACGTTCCATAGAACCATTTTCTTCGAAATCTTGCTTGAAGAAACGAGCTGTTTCCATGTTGACACCCATAGCACCAAAGACGATGGAGAAGTTTTCTTCATGACCATCGTGAACACCCTTCGTAGGTGCTAGCTTTTTGACCAAACCTGATTGACGACAGATCTGAGCAGCAATTTCATTGTGAGGAAGACCAGCAGCTGAGAAGATTGGAATCTTCTGGCCACGAGCAATAGAATTCATAGTATCAATGGCAGATATACCAGTTTGAATCATTTCTTCAGGATAAATACGAGAGTAAGGATTGATGGGTGAACCTAGCAACAGTCGCAAGTAGTATTAGTACAATACAAACATCAATAGGGTTAATGTTCTCTCGTCTTATCTGTCGTTTATACCATTGACGTCTAGGTAATCTTCAGCAAAAATCTTTGGGCCCTTATCGATAGGTTTACCAGAACCGTTGAATACACGGCCTAACATATCCTCTGACACAGGAATACGTTGTGTTTCACCAGTGAATGTAACATGTGTTTTTTTGGCGTCGATACCCGAAGTACCTTCAAAAACCTGTTCAAATGTTTAACATTTTAAAACGATAAAGGGGTTGAAGAAACAAAGTCAGTGATACAGCAAGTAGCATGAATACATTTATCAGAAACCGTTATGTTACCTGAACGACGGCTTTCTTTCCTTGAACTTCAAGAACTTGGCCTGCACGGACTGAGCCATCTGGTAGAGTTAAGTTGACGATTTCCGAAAACTTGGGGAACTATGAAAAATACGACATTTGTACGAAATTTAGTGTTTCATAATTGCCAACGACCCTGTACGGCCTTGTTCTATCGTCAGTTTCGAATAGTCTGCGCTGTTATCTTACTTTAACATTGTCTAAAATGACAAGTGGACCATTAACACCAGTGACAGTACGGTAATCTTAGTTGTTTTATAAAAGAGAAGTGAAACAAGGTTCGTTTTAGCAATGTGGAATAAACTGCTGAAACAAAGGGGTTTACGCCAAGTTCTTTGGTTACCTAAACGAGGTTTGGCAATAAAATCTCTGGTAACAGCAGCCTTATGAAGTTCGAATGCTTCACGTGCACTAATCGGTTTAGCCATACTGTGAATATTATTTTTGAGAAGAAACAACGAGAAGTTGGAAATATCAGAAAAGAGCAACAATCATCTCTCACTAAAATTCAATTTCAGAATCGTCGAAAAGGTGGTTAGGCTCAATCCATCATATAAAACAATTTGGAATACCGAAAGCATTTGTATAATCTCAAAGTTGCCGAGTGCAAAAGCTTGCTGTTGCCTACTCCAACTGCAACCCTCGCTTTTGGAGAAAATTCATGGAATAGATAATGTCAATAAATTAGTAGCTGTATTTCACAATTCATATGAAAAAGTTATGCCGACAGTGCTGAAAATAATGGTAGATGATGTTTGATTAGTTAAAGGCATTGGTGAACCACAGCTGCATTTGTTCTATTCTGCCTTACCCTAGGAGTTATTGTTACGTGAAGTATCAATTCTGTAACTAAAAGGCTTTGTACCAATCTTTCACAATTAAGTCTCAGTATAATGATTGCTTGTATTTTACTTTCCAGAACAGAATCGATACCACTGAAATCATTGCACCGTATGATAAACGAAAATGTCGACTTCACTTCTTAACAAATTTAAGGTGTATATTTTACGTGGAAGACAAGTTGAATGACATTTATTATATTATTCTTTATCAGGAAGCACGCGGCAACGACGCTGAGTATGACCAGTACATCCACAACGAAAACAAACAATTTTTTGCAACGAAGGGCAATCCTTCTTTATATGACCAGCCTCCCGATAATAATAGCAGATGGGTTTTGCCCCCTTGTAGCTAGCCGGAACAGTAATATCCCAAGCTTCCAAATACAACATTCGTTGTAACTCTTGGTATTGAGGGAATCTTCGGTTTCCCGACGATCCAAAAGCACTGAAACATCACCTTGGAAGAAAGCATGATTAAGTCTTTGCTTAATCTGAAGAACCCTTCAGTAATGAGACATGGATTCTTTCAGTTTAGCTTGCAACTCGTCTTGCTCGGCACCGACAGGCAAAGTTGATGTCACTCTACAATGATCATTCGCTTCGCATTTATCCTTATATGGAACAGCTTTATACTGCACCCCATTGTAAATAAGGCCCTCTTCAATAGCAACTCCAGTGAGGCTATCGTCACGGAAGCGGGTGTAAAAAACCAGATCTCCTCTAGAACGGTTACCCCGAAGTGAAACTGGATTGAAGTAGTTACCTACTACAGGACCAATTCGGTCAACGACCAACTTAAATGCTTCAGATTGATGTGAAAACAGACGACTGGGAAGAGAAAAAATGATAGCCCCAGGCTGAATCGCCGTTTGGACAATCGAATGGATACGCTGTGACCTGAGGTATAGGGCCACTTCAAGTTCTTCAAATATTGTTTCCACTCTGTATGATTCTTTATTTCCAGAAAAGTCGAAACGGCTTCTGGGAGGGGAACTTTGGTTTTCAGACCATTAGCAACGATGGTCGACCAGTTAACCCCATGTTTAGTTTGGGATTCGATCGTCATGAGTTGAGCGATGACTAGAGATCTTAGTGGAGAAGTATTTGTTGTTTGTAAATTCTGCAATCTGATTCGTCCGTTCAATAAAAGTACTGAATAGACGAAAGCCAAAGTCACAACCTTTTTTTTTTTTTCAAAATAAGGCCAAAATGACTACTAAACGCACCACATTTATTGTGTGGTAAAAAATTCCCCAACGGGGAATCGAACCCCGGCCATGTCGGTGAAAGCGACAGATCCTAGCCACTGGACCATTGAGGATACTTAATTTATCAAATTATTTTATAATCCAAGATTGTTTAATTAAATGGTCGACGCGGACAAGCAAAAGTTCGATCCGGACAACCATATGATGTTATAAAACAATTATCTGACCTTCAATGGCGCGCAAAGGTTTCAGAATCAAAACCAACAGGAACTTCTCATTTTTGGTAGGTGTTCTACTATTCTTATCCTCCTTGTGCGATTTTCTGTTTTCTGCTCTGGTTTTTTTTGTTCAGTCCCTCATTCATAATATCACATCACTAAAGGACGCACAACTTTCTCTTCAGTATATATTCTCTTTTCTATTTGTAGAGGTCTTTCTTTCTTGATCTTGCCGCTCAATATGCATTTGGGGCTACTTTCTCATGGTCATTTGGCTTTTGACCCATTGAAACCTGTCATCCTTAGAGGTGGTCCTAATGAAGATGCTTCCACTTTATTTGCCGGTAATCTCGTACTCACACTATCAAAACCGACAAAGATCTCCAATGTTACCGTCACCCTGAGAGGTCAAGTTGTTACGTACTGGCCGGAAGGTAAGAAGTAGAACCACAAGAAGGAAGGAAAATTGACAGTTCACATTTTTAATATCTTTTTGTGCCTCTCTTATTATATTGCTTGCTGAAGGTATTGGAGCACGTGGTACCAAGTTGACAGCAGAAAAATCCTTGGGAGAACAGACGTTACAGATTCTCACCTCAAATGACGATACCTCAGTGCTTTTGTTGCCTGCTGGAACGCATCGCTTTTCATTTGCATTTGTTATACCTAATGTAAGATTTATTTTCTCTCAGAAGCTTGATTGGGATTCAATAAAGAAAATTACTCTAATTCTGTAAATTGCCCTTTTATGATTTAGTCTACTGTAGCTACAATCGAGGATACTTTCGGTAGAGTTCGTCATACAATTGAAGCTGAAGTACAACGCCCTGGTATCGTCATGCTTTCTAGTTGGCGTATCACCAAAAATGTGATGATACTGCGAACATATATGTCAAATTCACTTCTGACCAACAACTCACTCACTACTCTTTCCAGAACCTTTGAGAAACATATGGCTTTTGGAGATATTGAAATTGTGATTGAAGCAGCAGCTTTTTCGTCTGGGGATTTATTTTATATCCGCATGATTGTTCAACCTCATGTCAAACATACTCGCATAGAACATATGGAAGTAAATGTCACAGAAACAAGAAAATATAGCGTACCTGAAATGCGGGCGTGGCGACATGACTCAACTACCTATTCGATGCCATTTGCAGGATCTGTTCGTTTAGCCGAATTCGGTGAAGTGGATAATACAACAGAACAGTTAAAGCCCATTTTTTGTGATAATCCAACATCTACAGATTCAAAAACAGTCAACAAAAAACAGGGTATCGAACTGATGCATGATTTTGCCCATCGCTTGGCGTTTTTCGCACCAACCTGCCAACAGAATATTCGTCATACGACGTATATTAGAGAAATTCAGTTCAAACACCACATCGAAATCAATCTTACTTTTTCATATGTGACTGAAGAGGGTAATCGACAATTTTTTAATAACCTACACAGTAGTACGACGGATGATATTGTCAATATGACAGAAATAGCTGATCAGGTTGCTGATATTCCTGGGAGCGCTACCGCCAGCACTACTAGTAGTATTACGCCAGCTATTGAAGATCTGAACCTGCACTCACCAGTAATGGCAAGCGGCACCTTAACTCCACCGCCTGCTGCTTATGTACAAGGTCATTCTCGCAATGCGATCGATTCACCGCCCGCTTTCGAGAATAAAAACAGTGTTGGCCTCATTTCCCCTGATATGAGTAACGGCAGTTATAGTAGAAGCGTCAGAAATAGCTCAATTTCACAGCCAACTGCTGGAGCAGTTGCTTCTGATCCACCTTTAATTACTTTGAGAACAAATACCGATCGTACGAGTAACTCTAGCGCATCCAATAGTTCTCGAGATCCGCATTTACAAAGCCGCTTTTCTTTTCAGCAACCAAATCAACAAAGCCGACAAAGCCAACAACATCTACCGCAAGAACATCTTCAAACCTATCACAATACAAGCAGTTGGTCTGATTTATTATTACGGCTCAATAAAACGAAAATTGAGCAAGATGCAAGCAATAGTCATCGTCGTAAAGAAACTATAACACTAGACACTCCCATTACGGTATTCGATTGCCGATTAAAAGAAGATTATGGTAGATTACCCTCCTACTTTGAATTAGGTGTGAAGCCTTCAGTTCAGCAGCAACAAGCCCTTAATGCTAATAATAAAAAGAAGAGTAAACTCTATTACAGCCAGAATAATAACAGTGGTCATCGACAGCAGCAACTCAGTGCGGCTACGATGGATAAACCTGATAGTCGACCTCATCCTTTTCTTTGTGATTGTTATTATGCTTTTTGTAAAGAAATGGAAATGGCCTCACAAGCCTTATATTTGTCTACAGAAAACGCACCTGCAATGCCTCTTTTGGACCGTATACCATCAATTCCTCCACCTGACTATGCAGCTTAGAAACATCATTTTTTACTATGCTATCAATTATTTAAAGATTACATATACCCCCTTTCTTTATTGTAAAATATTATAAAAAACCGTGTTTATTGTTAATATCTTTATGCATTTTTGTCAATTCATATAATCGTTATTTCCAGATCGGTCTTCTGAGTCAAAAACTTAATGACAAGTTGTTTTAATTTGGAATAAAGTTGTTTATTCGCGTAATATTGCTTGTATTTCATTGAAATAAATATTACTTGTGTACATCCCCATATATATTTTTGTTTTCTCGCTCCGTAATCCTTCTCTGTCCACACTTTCTACCAAATAAGCTTTTGCTAAAAAGAGAATTAAAAAAGAACACGTTGTTATAGGTCGAGACAATGTCAGGCCATACCATGTCACTCAGGTGTATCAATATTTAGTACGCATTCGAAAACTGCTTGTATAAAAAAAGTATAGCATGTGTGCGATCTGAATTAGCTCGTTTGTTCTACAATGAGTGTAACAAAGATGAAGGGCGTTTATATATTGTTGGTCACCGGATCTACTGCTACTTAAACAACGTTGGAACGGGAGAAACCATACATGCTGTCACTTCTCTACCTTTACTGTCGTTGTGCTGCTGCAATAAAACTACATTCAGTAAATAGCTTTATAAGGAAGCTCTAGTGGGCATTGAAAAAGGGCAGTTTGCAGAGCAGAGACAAGCCATCGATATTAAATCTGTCGACTTTTAAGCGTCTTCGCCTTCATAGGAGCTTCCATTCACAGTTATTGAAGCAACAACGATTTCTAGACTTTTAACTTGCGTAATGGCATGATGTAGATAAGTTGTAATACGGGGCTTCAACAGACATACACAGACACATACACGCGGCTTCCTGCATTTGTATTAAAGCGTGCATGTAATATAGAATATAAAAGGAAAAGTCCATTTCAGAAAATATCAAATACGGCAACCTGTCAAATTAATGAAGTACAGAAAACCTTGTATCTTGGAAAGGATCGCCTCCTTTTTCTAGCAAATAGCTAGAAGAGACCGAGTCGGTATAAGCCAAAACTTCTATTCCTTCTTGTGTCTTTTCCTTTCTTTAATCTTTGTATCTAGTTTCCATCCCTTTTTGTCTATACCATCATTTGTACACACCTCTTCGACTGATAAACTTTGAAATAGTCATTCATGAATGCTATGACTGTCTTACCAAACGATACTATATTCACATCAGAGTTTGTTACGCCAATCAGTGATGATAGTTACTTCTCATCAAATTCTAATACCATATCAATGATGGCAGCCAACAATACCGGTACTTCCTCGAATAATACTACATCCAGTATAACACTCGATAATAAAGATATGTCCAATGCCGCTCATTTAACTAGCACTATTAACACCACCACCATGTCTAATAAAGGTACCATTACCGCGAACACTACAGCCAACAATATGACTCCTGCTCCTGCTACTGTTAATGAAAATAAACTACGTAAAAGAACAAGAGCTTCGCCTGAACAGCTCGCTATACTCGAACGAACATTCGCCGTTAATCCAAGCCCAAACCATCGTATTAGAGAACAATTATCACATGAATTAGGCATGTCTGAACGCTCCATTCAAATATGGTTCCAAAATAGAAGAGCTAAAGTGAAAACCGCCATTAAACGATCGAATATGATGCAAGACGAGGCCTTAAAAATTCAATACTACGCATCGCAAGCAGCTACGGCGGCGTGTCAGGCGGCTATATACTATGAACATCAAAGAAACCATAGCACGAACGCTGCATCTATGACAATTTTAGAAAACCCTATTAAAACACACCCCGAATTGTATTATTATTACTACTACTATTACTTCAATCAACAACAGCAACAACAAAAATATCATTACAATAATTATGCTTATCATCCTTATACCCAGCAATACAACCAGTGCCAACGCTCATCTTATCCTGGGAACCCAGATAACAGTCAGTCTATGCTCCCCTCGTTCTCTTCTTGTACGACTTCTCCGCCGCCTGCTACGTTTTTGGAATCAATATTTCCCCTTCCTCTTCAGTCATTTACGCCAATGCCTACTAATGATAATCACGTTGACAATAGTTCTTCAGAGACAACCAAATCAGTTCCCCGGCAATTCTTCAACTGGCCATCGTTTTTACAATCTCAGCTTCCTTCCGTAAAATCGCAAATAGCTCCTTCAGCAAGAGCAAGAGCACATACGGTCGAGCCATATGTATCAAACAGTAGCAATAATCAAAAGCTTATTTACGATAGAGGCATGTCTGCCAACCCGACTGCAACGGCCGTTAAGCAACTGCAGCAGTCTGCAGGGTGTAATATAGAAACTACCACTAATACAGTCAACGTAACATCAGGTATACACGCTCTTTATGCATCTAGTGAACAACAACAACATGACGAGAATTTTACAGATTTATTGTTGACCCAAAAACTTTCTTCTGTGTCACCTACATCGCCTTTCTCCATTGCATTAATTCAGCAACAACAACAGTTTGATACATTATCAGTCTATAATAATGAAGGCAACAATAATAGTAAAGCTTTAGATACCCTGCTTCATTATTCTGATCTGCAAAGGGAGTCTCAGCCATTAAGTTGCTGGTCTAATCTATCATTCTGTGAGTATACCGTTTAATATTGGAGTTTATGGTCTATAAGTTTCTAGGAACTTACAAGAGAACACTTGCTAGATAACGACGAATATAGCAACCTTACATTGACTCCTACCACACCACCCTTTGGAAATAATGATAGCAAACTCGCCATGTCCAAGTCCGCATTCACTTATCCTTTTGATAAATTGGCAGAGCTTCAATATTCTTCTTTTTCGGCCGAAATACTTCATATTGGTACATGGAAAAGGATGACCTTCCAAACAGGGGATCTTCTTTGCCAGTTTAATAAAAAAACAGAACTTTTCACCTGGCGTATTCGAGATGGTCCGTGCTACTTCAAAATGGAATTCCCACAAAGCATTTTGCAATCTATTTCCTTACAATTGTTGAACGAAAGAGCAGGGTGGGCTCGGCTTGAAGTGACTTTAACATCAACTGATAGCATCTCTTTCTATATGGAAAAAAAAGTAGCAACTGGCGGCGTCAGTAATAATCCTGCCGACGCAAATGAAGATAGTACCAGTGTTGACCAGAGCGCTACCGCTACTGCAACAAACATTTGGGTTCAATGCATAGATTATACGGAAGATAAACAAGCTTCCCTAATTAATATACATCAATTAGACGGTCCTGCGCTCGCATTGAAAAGTGAACTCGCTTTATTAGCGGAAGAAAGTGAATATGTCGCTTCACTTCTAATCAAAGAATAAACTGTTATTGTAATTGATTGGTTCTCTTCAAAATATCTGCATTTATATAGTAAAAGCGCTATAGTTATGTTTACTATCGACAAACTTGTAGCAGAACGATGACGAGCCTTTAATCGCGCCAAGTGTATCGTTCGCCATGCTAAAATCTGCTGTTGTTGAATCTAATTCAACATCAGCAAAAAGTTCAAAGGTTTTAGGGAAGGGCATCAATTAAAGATCAACCTTTTGATCGATCGTCAAATTACACCCTTTAAAAGCATTCAACTACTGATCTCTTCATCTACTGATCTCACATAGTATGGGCAATATACTTTCAAGAGCATCAATTTCAGAAAGAAATAGCAACAACAAAAGGACGCATAATGATGTTGAGATAGAACCTTATACTCGTCTGAAGCGAGCACGACGCCCGGGTAGCTCTGAAGGTGAAAAACGAGAAGCCATTAACGTTAAGGAGAGTGATGTTGGCATTGTCGCATATGTGAATCCCAACCTCAAAGGATTTCATAGTATTTTGAAATACATGTAAATAGGACAAGGCAGATTTGATTTTTATAGAGGATATACTTCGCATTCTGCATATGTGAAGGCGTTCTAAATGTTTAGAAACGCTCATAAAACTTTACTCAATTTGTTTATAGGCCAGAGGATTTTCTGGTGAACGAAGTAGATATGGATAATAATATCGTTTATTTGACGTCTGTAGCTCCACCTGACATCAAGAAGAAAGAGGTAGGAAATACGGGATCTTTGTATATAGGCATGCTTTTTACCTTAGTTGGGACAGATGCTTATTGACATATGCTATAGCCAATAGAAAAAACTGAAATATTTTCAGCAAAGAAGTTTGACAAAGAGGTCAGCAGAATAATTGACGAAGACTTTGCAATCCAATTACGCAAGTTTTTGAACAATCCAAAACAGATTGATGCAACAATAAGTTATCCGGTGCGTACACTTTTTATGAAGTTTATATATTTGCATATTTGCTGACGTGATTTGAAAGACGGATAAACATAAGCGCTTAGAATTTTACAAACTTGTTGAGGAACACTCGGATGCAAATATAACATATCACGCCAGAGAAGGAAAGCTTATTGTAGGATGGCTCGATTCCAGAGATGCAGATGGTAAAGAAAAACATTAGACTGTTATGGTCGTAACCCTACACTAGCAGGAGTATTGACGTAGTTGTTACATAGAATTTATTGATTGGAAAAATGTGGGTGGAGATTATCTGCAAATGACCATGCACAAGGCTGGTTGGGATACGATGAACGCAATCAGTCTTATATCCAAGAGAACAGGGTGATAATTATAAGCGGTGTTTGTTGATGCATAATGGTGAATATACTCATGGTTCGATTGTGTTTCTTTAGTATACCTAACAAGACATTCTGTTTTGCCGGTACAAAGGATGCTCGTGCCATTACAACTCAAACTCTCACCTTGAAGAATGTCAAACCAAAGCGTGTGCTTAATGCTCAAAAGGAGCTACAAGAATATGATATATATATTGGTGATTTTAAGTAAGCCTGATTTTTGAAACAGCGATGTACTATATCTTGCTTTACTTATAACTTTACCACCAGATACGTACCTAAAGGTTTGACTTTAGGTGATTTGAAAGGCAACCACTTTACGATAGTTCTTCGCGACGTGAAAGGGGCAAATGAAAACGAGTTGGATATTGCCCTACAATCTTTACGCGACAATGGCTATTTAAACTATTTTGGTATGCAACGATTTGGAACAAGTAGCGTATTAACACATACAGTAGGCTGTGCAATTATGAAGAAACAATTTGAATTAGCTTCAAATTTAATCCTTAATCCTCGAGATGGTGGTAGGGCACCATTTTTTGTTCACTTTGAATTTCTGTGATTTTCTAAAATGAATTTCTGTTTTCAGATAGCGAAAGATACAATGTGGCTAGGCAAATATGGAAAGACACTCATGATGCCAAAGCTGCTCTTGAGGCCTTTCCAAGAAAAGCTTTCGCCGAACATAAGTTACTTCGTAGTTATACTAAGTTTCCTGATAATCATGAAAAGGCAATTAAAAGTGTAAGTGCTTATTATGAAATACAGAGATCTTCAATCGCTAATTTCTCCACGGTAATATGAATATCAATATTTAGTTGCCAAAGCATATGCTTTCGCTTTATTCCCATGCTTACCAATCGTATATTTGGAACCGAGTTGTTTCAGAAAGAGTTCGTCTATTTGGAAGCGATAAACCTCTCGCAGGCGATTTAGTGATGATTGATAACCCTCATATTTTGGAAAGATATTGTATCGACGACAACAGAGGTAGACGTAATTTTGCTGAGGTAAAATTGGGTTATACTTATACTAGGCTTATTTGATGTTTGTAGCCTCAAATTGTTAATGTCCATTGATAAATATATTTAGCGTAAAATCCCGAAAGTACTAACTGAAGACGATATACAGCTATATACCATTCAAGATGTGGTCTATCCTCTGCCAGGAAGATCCACCGTATATCCTGAGAATCAGATGAAAGACATTTATATAAAATTCATGGGTAGGTGCTGCTGTAAACAGTATGCTAATCGTAAGCATTCAACGATCAATAACTTTGCTCCGATATTATAGCGGAAGATGGTATTTCTATCGATAGACAACATAAGCATTTCCAGTATGATCTAAAAGCGTAAGAAAAGAATAAGAGGCGCATATCTGACCTTATTTTCATTTCACATCAGGGATTTGAGCGGTGACTACAGACTGATGCTATCAAAGCCTGAGCAAATGAGTTGGTAAATATTTTCAAAAAATCTGTCTACATTGATTTCACCTAAACCTTTTCTGCGCGATTATAGGTGCTTTCTCAAATATGATGATCCTTCTGAAAAGCTTTGTAATACCGATATCGATCGTCTCAACAAAAAGACAGAACCTTCAGGTGTACCTGGTAACCTATACTTTACATCTGTTTCCTGATTTAAACTTGGAAGCAGCGTAATGTTGATATTTTTGGTTTTCTTTTTGTTATATAGACGGCAAGCACTTGGCTTTAAAGGTTGAATTTACATTGGGTACATCCTCCTATGCAACCATGGCCTTGCGAGAAATCATGCGAGCGGAAACATCTTCGCAAGCTCAATCCCTTATCTCTCACGAATAGCATTTACAAGTTTATAATATCTGCAAAAGGATTGTGACTAATAAATGATTCGATTAGTTATTTTAACGTATCTTTTGTGATCTTTTTTCTGAAGGACACATCTTTTTTCTGAGGGACATGTCTTTTTTCTGAAGGATATATCTTTTTCTGCCTACGTAAAAAAGTTATTGCTCGTTCAATAGAATTATATGTATTCATACCTTAAATAATCTATTAGAGCATTTGACAGAGATTCTGCATCTTTAAAGCCTAAACTTAAGCCAGATAGCGTGTTTTGAGCCAGGGTGATATGCTATGTCTACGCGAAACTTAACGGTTTTCTGACTTTGCATAAAATCCCACACATGGAACAAATACATTGAAACAACGTTTACAATCAAACTCCACTGTTTCTTCTCTTCACTCAATTATATTATGAACATCAACCATCGTCTTCAGGAGTGCATCACAATTCCACAACAGCAAGAAAAGCTTAATGCTTTTCGTTCAATTCTAAAGGATGTACTTTCAGCACCAAACCAAGAACAGCAGCTTGAAGCATACATTAGAGCTGTCTTAAACGAGCAAGTTGGTTTGGTTAATTCACGTCAGCTACTTTCTGAATTCATCAGTCTATTCAACGAAAAGATCACCGATCGCAGTATGCAAAAAGCAGTTTTGCTCTTCGCGATTGAACAAGCACATCCGCGTGCTGTTAGTTTCGAAGAATCGGTAAGGCTAATAACATCAAAGGTTGAATGTCTCCGAAATGTATGAGGATCTCACTTTGCTGCCATAAATACAGTTATCACACTTGAGAGAAAAATTGGCTGATGTGTATGAACAAGAGGATGATTTTTTAGAAGCAGCGAAAATACTACAGGGCATATCCTTAGATTCTGGGCATCGGTAAGCAATGCTAAAGTGTAAAGTTATATGCCCTGCGCTTGACAAATGCTTAATGCACCTACCAACCTCGTTTATGCTTAAAGGGCTATCTCAGACGATTATAAACTTCAGGTTTATGTGCGTATTGTCAGACTGTTGCTGGAAGAAGATGAAGCAGTACAAGCTGAATCTTATTTGAACCGAGCTGCCTTGTTGTTACCGTCATCTAATGATCCTTTACTCAATTTAACATTCAAATTATCTCACGCTCGCATTTTAGACGCCAAAAGACGATTCCTTGAGGCATGTTCGAAATATCATGAACTGAGCTACGTCAGCCAAGTTCCAGAAGATGAAAGAATTCTTTGCCTGTAATTATTATTGCGCATAGTTGGCGATGTGTAAGATGCATACTAATTTTTATTGGAACTTGTTCACCCATTTTATATAGTACAGCAGCTGTTCAATGTGCTGTATTGGCAGGTGCAGGGCCTCAGCGGTCAAGAATCTTAGCAACGCTTTATAAAGACGAGCGAACACATCATCTACCATCTTTTTCCATTTTAGAAAAGACATATCTTGAAAGGGTGATTCGACCAAACGAAGTGTCAGACTTTGCAGCATCGCTAAAACCTCATCATTTAGCTCGTCTGGCCGACAACACTACTGTTTTTGATCGTGCTATTATTGAACATAATCTATTGTCAGCCTCTAAAATATATAACAATATTTTTTTTGATGAACTGGCAGTGCTGCTTAATGTAACACCGGAGCAAGCAGAACAAGTAGCGGCCCGTATGATATCAGAAAACAGAATGATAGGAAGTATAGATCAAGTAGACAGGTCAATATCCTTTGAATCGGGTGGAGCAGCGCGTGAAGAACGAGGGGCTGACTATAATGTAATCAGTGCAGCCGCAGCTGCAGCGAACGGTACAACTCAACAAAATGCCCGTGTTGAACAGAGTATGTTACAGATCATGAAATGGGATACAGCAATTCAAGCACTCTGCTATGATCTTGATGCAATCATTGGTAGTATCCAGTTGAAGCATCCAAACTACGTAGCAACAAAGTTTGTTGCAATGAAGTAATAGGAGACATTGGCTGTACGAAGAAGAAAGCTTTTTTCAACGCTTAATTGATCAGGCCTTTCAATGAGAAGCCAATAATTGCATTAATAGGAACATATTATTGTGTAGGGGTATGATTGAGAGTAGACAAAAAAGTGCTAATGGTTGTAAAGACAAGATTAAAACAAATGCTATAGTAACAATTAGAATACAACGGAAAAACTACTCACAATAAAGAAGTTAAGTGCTGCTATTATTTTGCAATATAGCCTCAATACAAAAATTTATATAATCCTTTCGAGCATTCATGGGAACACCAAAAGTTGCCTGTAGTTCTTCTCGAACTTGCTTTTTGGTAATCTTTGTCAGATCTGCTGTAGTAAGGATCCTTTGTACCTCCTCAAAAATCTCTCCGTTTTTTGGATTGTCCTCAATAGTAGTTGGAGCATTTGGCGCATTGGAATCCGTAATGAAGGAATTTGTTCTGCTATTCCCAAACTGAGACGAATGCTGCAAAGGTATATATTGCTGGCCACCATGTAAATTTTGATATGATTGTGGCGGCGCAAAGGATGTAATAGATCGACTCGATGCCTTGGACGTCAACGGCAAAATACTCGTGCTATTACTGTAAGCCACCATCATAGGTAAAGAAGTTGAGGAAGGCATACTGATACTTTGTTGATCGAAGACACTGCTCATTCGCTGCTGTTGAGGTATGTACTGCATCATACTAGATGTGTAAGCTGTCATATTCTCAGTGTTTCCCAAGATGCCGCCTTGATTATATGTTGCTGATCCTGCTGGAGTAATTATCATGCGATTTACATTGTTGCTGCTACTATAATTGCTTGGCCGGCTTGTCTGAGTATAAGCACTACTACTGCCTTGAGATAAATTGTCACTCCAGTGTTCTTCTGACAGAATTGCTTGTTCGTATTGTGACCATTTCATTGTAGGAATGGATTTTGGATCGAAATTTCCTTCGTCGGCAGCTACAGCTAATTTCTTTCCTTTTTCACCTACAACGATACGTGTGTTTCCCCAAGAAAAGTCGTCAAAGTGCCAATAGGCGTAAATAGGAATGTAAAAAGAGAAAATAGGAATGGCCAGAATCGAAACGAGCATCCAGATAATAAACTCCCAGCGTCCCATTATGATGAATAATAAAGCTTGTAAACCGTAAGTGCCAGCAACTGTAGCAATGGTGATTATAGGGATTATGCCATCAGAGGTAGCTAATGTATAAATCAAATAGCCAAGGTAGCCTAAAATGGCAGGCATTACCAAAGTACTGATAAGGTCCAACATAACGACGAATCGCATGGAAAAACAGCAGAAACCGCATAGACGAGGTAAAAACACAAGTTCCCCGAGGTTATGAATGGTTGAGTTGATCCACCTACGACGCTGAGAGATTAAAACACTCCAAATATCTGGTGCATTAGTCTTACAATGTGCATCAGGATTAAACTTTGTTTTAAAACTGGGGAAGTGCTTAAGTAAAAGTGTAGTTAAATAGCGATCCTCTCCAAGATGCAAAAGATTCTTCTTATGTAACGTATCCACCACATTAATAGAATAATCATCAATAATTTCATTGCTTACAAATAGGGCACGCTTGCTGTCTGCGGTTCTCACGCGGTACATAGTGAAACAGCCTGGCAAACAACTGACAGTCGAAAACAAGGATTCGAAGGACTTTATCATATGGTGAGAAATGAAATATTCATATACTTGAATCATTGTAATCCACGTATCCTTTTCGTTTGAGAGTGTCGTCTCACCGCATACGCCTATAATTTTGGAGTCTTGAACAGCACTTGATACTAAATGATTCAACCCTTCTCTCTCCACTTCCGTATCTGCATCCACCATTAAAACAAATTCATAAAAGCTTGGATTTACACCAATAATGTTCTTCATTTGATGATAGATCTCCAGCTGCAACGGGTTCATAGGTGCATCATAATGAACGTGGTTTAAGAATTGCATCAATATCAGTTGTGAATCACGTTTACCACGGTTACCCGGTTTTTGGCGCTCACGAGGGTTACCACATTTTACTACGACGATATAAGGTACAACATGTCCTGCTACTTCGTATAAACCAGAATAGATTTTACCCATATTGTGTTGTTTGGAACCTTCTCCAACTGACACAAAAGAGAGGGGTTCTGGATCTACCTGTGGATCAACACCAAGGATATTCAGGGCTATACGCGGCGTTGGTAAGTCATTGCCGCTCCCGACAATCATACCATCGCAAATAACAAAAAGGAGTTTGCGCTTGTCATCATAATCCAACTTAGATATAGAATCTATAGTTTTCCGTAGTGATTCTTCATCTTCAGTATAACAAGTGATTTGGCAAATTACAAATTTATCGTGTTCTTCAGGAGCTCTTTTACCACCGAGACGGATAGCTGCAATAAACTTGAATGCAATTACAGCACAGAGTAGAATTGTGACGATTAAGAGCAAATAAGTAGAGAACTGACATTTAGTCGAGTTTCTGCTATCCACAAAGCCAACAAAAAATAAATTTCTCAAACACACCAACTGACGCTGTTTGGTGGCGGCATCCAGTGGTAACTTGTTGAATTCATTTGTAATATCAGATCCTGCTTTTTGTTGGAATAGATCAACCACAGGTTGGGACATGAAATTGGTATCAATTCCTGAAGGTACCTCTTCGCTGGGCGGACCACGAGCATATCGTCCGCCCATCATATATGAAGTCAAATCATATATTCTGTTGTCAATAACGGCCCAAGTTCGCAGTGTATTAATACCGTTTATTATTGTAGGAGTTTTTGCCTGATCAGATATAGCCTTGTATTCATAACCCATGTGTCCCACTTTATAGTTCTGCCGTAACATAGTCATCTGATCATAGTACCAATTAGGGTTATAGTTCTCAGAAGAGTATCTAAAATCGTGATATTGCGCGTTTGAATCGGACAAATTCAAATTATAGTCGAACGAAACGTAAGGTGATATCGGTGTGCCATCAGCGCCTTGACATAAAGCTGAGACTTGAACCGGAAATAGATCGGTGGCATCTTTTCCAGCATATTCCATTAAGGACGACTGAGGCACAAGATTAGCAGGATAATGATGAGAAACGAAGTTCGTCAGATCAAACACTTCACCACGAATAGAAACGTAAGAGTTTTTATCGTTTTTGTCATGATTCTGTAATTCAGCTGGCGAAAAGACATGCTGTTTCGGGCATACAAGATCACCAAAAAAAATCAAGAACCAAAGTATAAAAGCGCACAATAGAAAGATAAGCATACAAAGAGTTACTTTCTCGCGCCAAGCAACACGGATATCTTTCCTTTTCATGCGACCACAGCATATCAGAAATTTTGATGGGATCCACCATGTTGCAAAATAAACGAAAAATAACCAGCGTTTTCGTGCAGGTGTCATTTTTGCCTGGTCTTCTTCAGTTTCCTCTAAATTTTCAATCACAGGCTGATTATAAGGAGTCAATCCAAATTGATTAGCTTTTTTGTCATTGCTGTTCAGAGAATGAACATAGGATTCTGAGCCACCATAGCAAGAACCTTCATTATCTATATATTGTCGGGAATCTTCTGTTTCTGAGATATAAGAAGCTTGGTCATTGAGCATAAACCTTTGTGAAGGGAGAGGTGACCCTACAGCAACAGCCACAGCAGCAGCAGCGGATGCTTCAATGCCGGCGCTTTCTTGTACAAGTACACTCTCTTTGATGCAATTTGCATTTAATACATCGTTGCGCTGCTGCTGCTCCGCTTTCTCAAAGTGTCGTAATTGGTTCTCCAATTCTTGCCAAGCACTAGCGCTCAAGAATACCTAGAAAGCAATATAACGTTTTCATATCAACATCGCAACTCATATGACGATGCCATATTTTTTGTCTAGTTACCTTGTTCTGCGTGATATCCATTTGATCTGAAGACCAATTCTTCGATAGCGCAATTGTTTCGCATTGAGAACGTACTAGGCGTGCTGTATCTAACTCTTGAAATAAAAAGGAGTAACGTTCTATAAATTCTTGATGAGAGTAGCACTCTAGATATCGCGTGCTAGGCAGTTGAATAATAGGTACAATTTTAAACTGTTCAAGCTGTTCGGATACATATTTTACGTCAAAGCTATTTTTTATGGAAGGTTTAAATGGATCGATGATACTTTTTGGTGTTATGCACGATACAGTCCATAACTTGACTTCATTCAAAGATACAATAAGCTCATCCATCGAGGCTTGGAGTTGTTGCAATACAGTTGTTGTGGTAGTATTGGAGCACGTATTTATAACGGTTACTGTGTCTTTCTCATCATTCTTACGAACATGGCGAGTTGATCGACGCTGAGATGGTGCTCGCTGTGGTTTCGTTGACTGGCGTCCACCAATTATTGCTGAGGTAATTTTGGGTTGACTTTCAATTGACACGTTTGCGAATAATTCTACGATAAATGCATTCCATGATGGCTGTACATCTAATCCACCTTTAAACAAGGACAGAAAATCAACAGAAATTTGATTACTATTTTCATTAATGAATCCTGTTGTGCTATAGGCAACAGGTTTTGATCCGCCAAAATGATTGATGATAAAATGCCGGGCATTGGTGTCAGCCACTTTAATGTCAAAGGAAGGATGGCTACTATTAAACTTTATCAGAGAATCCATAATATTGTCATCGGTATAAGTCCGCTTAGAAGTATCAGCCATACTGTTGATCAGATTGCAAAGGCCTTTTCGACGATTAAACAGATCGATACAATTGCCGTCTATAGTATATTCAGGTGTAGGCACGAGTTCCTGTTGAAAGATTTCCAGTTCATTTCGGAACAAGGCTGTATCAAGATAATGTTGAACACGTTCATTACCGTAATTGATGCAAAGTTGCTCAAAACATGCTGCACTTGATGACTTTTGTTGCTGTAATCCTGGAAAATCAAGGAGACTGACAAAACTAGTAAATTCTTCAGTACATGTTTTACTGTTGATACGCTCAATGAGCCATAAGAATAGAAGTGAATATAAGGTTTGACAGAGACTGTCTCGTTGCAGAGCAGCTTGTTCTGCATTCAAAATAAGCGTTGTGAAATCCTTTCGTATCATTGTTGTTCGGAAGGTTAGAACGTTTTCAAGCGCTTGAGGATCCAATCCTAAAAAGTCAGCTACAAGCTCTAATAACTCTGTGTTTTTGACATAAGATGCTTCTTGTGTGCCTGTACCGACGGGGTCCACAAATTGTAAATTACCCAAGTGAAGAATACTGGCAATCAGTTGAAATATTCGCCCAATCTGTTCTCGTTGAAAACCGCAAACCTTTAAAGCTAGTTTCAAATCTTTAAACTCTTCTGCATCCTTCGAGGTTTGTTCAGCACGCCTTTTGCTGTGATTTGCCAATAAATTGTAATAATCAGGGTTTGTAGCGGGCAACTGCAGTATTGCCTTTTCCTCTGCAGATATACCAGCCAACAGATAGTAGAAGATATTGAAGTTACTATTTTCAGCTGCTTTTGAAGATGCACTGACAGTGACACATGACTTTTCCAAGAAATAACATAGTATCTTTGAACCTATCATACGACCTCTTTCGTTAAATTGAATTTCACCATAGTAGCCATAGCGAGAAGCTGCACATATTTCGTTGTTCGACAAAAACTTTAGGCATTCACCAAATGCTTGCAAGATTCTTTGTGATTCCTTAATTTGTGTTTGAAGTTTGGATTCCTTACGGTGGCTACTCAGTTGCACAAGATGTCGGATGGCCAATCTGCGGATGTTTGACTTTCCACTGCCAGATTCTCCCCTAACAGTTGTTGAAATATGCCGGTAATAAAGTTGATCAACACTTATTGTATCTATGCTGTATTATTAGAAATCGTTGTATCATACCTTATGAATACAGTTTCATCAAAACCAGTTCGTCTCATGTGGAAGTATACGCGGTTGACAAAATCAAATAAATGCGGATCCATCAGCGAATCAGGTGTCGATTGATTTTTGGCTCCTACTGCAGCTGTTGCTTTAGATGCTTCCTTGTATGATGCCGCATATTCTAAGCTTGTTTGGTGATCATTAATGGCAAGCTCCTTGAATGGGTTTACAGTAATCAGATGATGTGAACCGAGGTTTACATATATTTTGAGCTCGTCGTAACGGATTTTGAGGAACGAAGCAAGATTATCATTTGTTGCGTTCGGTATGAGCGCTATGTCCGTAATATTGTGATTTACTGTTGCTCCATTATTCCATTGCGACTTTTTTGTTTTTAGCATTCTTTTAAAAGTCCACAATATTATAAAGGAAAGCTATGAGACTTGCTTTTGATAATACTACGGATATGAAGAAGGATAAGAGAAAGGAAAGAGAGGAAGACTGGAAAAAAGACGAACAAAACTTATGAAATAGAGATAAGTAAGTGTGTAACATGAAGAAAATATGAAGATGCCAAATTTTGAACAATTCAACATGAATTCGTCACACAGCAGCCGTAAAAATAGAAACTCTTCAACCATTTTCATATTCTTTAAAAAGGCATATAGTGTTTTCATAACAAATTGTCATCCTTCCGAATTAAACTAGTCATGATAAAAAATTTGGCTTAATGCTTTGCACTGGGCGCACTTTGCTTATGCATATATTCTTAAACATTCTTAAGACATTTTTTGCTTGTCGTATTGCTCAGTGGTAGTCATGGTAGCTAACAACAGTCCGTCTATATATTTATAAATTGTTATGAAATAAGAATTACTCGAAGTCTTGAACTCTACGCAGGATATGGCAGGATACCAAAGTTGATGAACTACTAGTGGCAATAACTAAACTCGTGACAAAATATGCGGCTAGGCATTGAATGTACATTATAAGTTTCAAACAGTATATCTAATCAAAATTTTCTCTCTTTTATGATACTAACTTATATCTTGAAATTACAACAAAACTATTACAGCTTCCTAATCAATATGTTACTTTTTATATATGACGATGACATCGGTGGTTTTGTTGATGTGCTATATGTCTGTGTAGCTTTTTACATGAATATTGATGACCCTCAAGTTGCGACCGAGTGTAGGCTGCAGTTAAAGATGACGCATTATTCAAAGCGAAAGCGGATAAAGTTCTCCTCGGAGCTGCAGTATTTTTGCAATTATGATGTCTTTTGGACCAATTCTTAGATACAGCAACAGATGAGCAGTGGTGAGGGTGATGCGTATGGTGGTGATGCTTCTTACAGTTATGGCTTTTTTGATGATGATGGCGATGATAATAATCTGATGATGGACAGCATTGAAAGTTGAACTCTAAGGAAGAGTAACGTTTACTCATATTGGATAAATTGGTATCCATATCATTATTGTGGTTGGACGATGGTTTCGTCCCCTCGCTATACTTGTTGCTGACGGCCGGCTCAAATTCTTTATCAGTATCAGATAATCGATTTAAATGTACGTTTGGCATAAGGGCGTCGGTCTGCGGCTTATGTTCATTTAGAACCTCACTCTCTTTGTGCTCGCTCAATTCAGCGAAAACGTCGCTTAATCGATAGTTGCTCCAATCCTTCAATTGAACATTCGATTGCTGTGCATTTTCATTTTCAACGCCTTCACCATGAAGTAAAGATACAAGACTAGGGACAGAATAATGAGAACGTTGCATCTGCATATTTTCGAGCTCTCGCTTTAGCATTTTAGGGACTCTGATGTACTCCGCATCCTTTTCCTTTAAGTCACTCACTATTTTGGTTATAGTCGCGGGCTCTCCTTTCATAGTGATTTCAGTAATATCTACTTTTCTGTTGTTCCCTTCTGTCAGAGTAGTCGTTGATGAATTAGACAGTAATGCATTCTGAACGCTATTGCTGTTCTCAATCATTCCATTCATAGGTTTCGCTTTTAACCCCTCTGCCTCTTTAAGAGCAGCCTTATCCTTTGTGATGGATGTATCAGCAGAAATGTTGACTGTTGACTGATTCTCTTCTTCCTTACTCACTTCAGCTTGAACAATATCGATCGACGTTCCTTTCCGCAACGAGGTTGCTGATACAAGACAATTCTCGATTCCAGAATCAACATAAGTAGGGCATAAATTGTCTTCTTTAGCAAGAGTTTCTGTATGATGGTGGCTAATATTTTTCTTAACATAAGAGCAACGCTTGTGTCTCTTAACTCTATTGCAGCAGTTACATCGGCTTATAGTTGCAGAAGATTCGCGCTCATAAAGTGGCCTTATTGCTGCTGCAGCTGAGCAGGGCAGAGTAGTAGCAATTTCTGCATGATGATCCTTTATCTTACTAGCCATCAGTAGTTGACTTTTTGTTTCCATATACATTTCCCTTAAAACATCACGTTGGGCAGCTTTTAAGGATGAATTTTTCATAATAGCTTCATTGATGATTTGTAGTTGCTGCTCCTGGTCTATCTGCAACTGCTGAAGTTTCTGTTGTTGCAATTGCTGTTGCTGTCGAATTTGATGCTGTTGGAAGTCCAACTGTTGTTGTATCTGTTGTTGTAGAAGCATGTTTTGCTGATGTTGTTGCTGTTGCACAAGTTGTTGTTGAAATTGGTCATGGAAGATTTGCGACTGGTGTTTTTGTGGAAAACTTGGATATGCAGATACCGATCTATTAAGCTGATGCTGATTCACAGATGAAGAAGCTTCGACTATATCATTGGAAGAAACTTTTATGATGATGTTCTTATTGCCGGTTTTTTTTGTACTTGATTGTTGTTGCATACCCTGAACATACAGCCCGCAATTTTTATTTTGTGCATTAGATGTAAAGTACGGCCCATTATTGTCAACTTTCAACGGCATAGCTTGTCCGTAGAATGAAAGGCGGTGGGATATTGGCCGTGCTGTAATAATGCCAGATTGTACCTGTTGTTCAAACAAAAAAGGAAAAAAAAAAAAAAAAAAAAGAAAAGAAAAAACATGTAAACCATTAATAATAAGAACAATACTCATTAAGGCTTTTGCACTGTGACTAACCTGAATTGTATTATCTGCATTTATAAAATTATGTTTGTCAATCGACGGTATCTCTTTAGTAATATTAGTCGCCAACTTGCTATTTATGGCGGAAGTACTTCGGGTAAGTGGACCATCAGGGCGCTTGTTGGGTATGAATGTGTTATTGAATGACTTTGAGAATGTAGTAAAGGAATGAGATTGAACTAGCGAGCCACTGGGACGAGGGTTACTTGCAGATGCAGATGCATCTTGTAGCAGCGGCATTTGTTGATCGGTAGCCATGGTTTTGTTATACAGGGAGAGCATAGATGGCGAGGTAAGGTTCTTGAGAGTAGTAAGCTCAACGTTTTCTGCATTTGCATTTGATTGTTGTTGAAGAGAGTGGCGAGTTTCTTGTCTGTGTCTTTCTTTCATTCGATCCATTAGGCTTTTCGATGAAGAGGAATTACCTTGATTAGTGGCAGTATTGAGATTAGAAACAGGAGCTGTAGTTCTATTAATCAAATAAGAGGGAGTTGTGGTCCTCAAAAAGGTAGAATTTCTGTGAGGTCTCTCAAGATGGTGTAGGTCTGTTGAGCTGCTTATTCGAGGAGGAAGAGACAATCTGTTATTGCTCGATACTGTCTGAGGTGGTGTTCTTGATATTGTAGCAATAAATTCGTCATCTGTGTCAGATTGCTCGTTGGATGTAGCACTAAGGGTGTCATTAAGTGGAGTGCTATAATAGGTGATATTCATACTATTATCAATAGTATTTGCAACTTTGCCATCCCTAACATCCATGACGTTCACGCTGTTACCGTTAACAGGACACAGGGATTGTGATTTCTGTTGGCCTCTAAAGGAAAATGACTGTTTACTGTGCATTTCAAAATTTCCTTTGTTATTGTTACTCTGTGCCTGTTGTCCTGAAATGTGTAATGCAGGGTTTTTTCGTCCTACTGCAGTTGATGAATGTGTAGGTGGTATTCCAACTTGATTTTCTTCAGCTACTGCTGATGGGGGCTCGTCGTCAAAACTCAAAAGTGGCGGCAATCTCTTACCTAACGATTTTTTTTCCCAATGATTTATGGTTACCAAACATTGACTGAACAATATCATTTGTCAGATATCCAATTAGGGGGTCATTTACCTCTTTGAATGCTTGCGGTAGGCTTGCCTTCTGTTATTTCTGAATTCTTGATCGTTGCATGATTTGTCGTACTAAGCTCATTCATGATGTCGTCCATCAGACTTGTAGTTAACTCTTCTTGAACTGAAATACTTCCTAAATCAAAGTTAGTGCTACTGGACAAAGTCAACGTGAAGCGATCATTATCATTTTCCTGCGCTGGAATATGTGGTTTGATGGCGAAGGATTGTTCGTGTGTTGAGGCACTCGATGTGGGTAAAGCTTGGCGGGATTTCCTTGTGAATTTTAGTAGACCCATCGCAACAGATACTCTCGTAATTGTTTGCTGGAAGAAACAGTTATCTTATCAGGAAAAAGAAGCGCTATCGAGAAAATTGAACCGTATAGCGAACCGTATTGAATAAGAAAATTAAAAGTAATAAGTAAAAGGGATTTAAAGAGGAAGGGAAAAAAAAGGAACTTTTTCTTCTTTGCGTCTTTGTAATATCTGTTTTCCTATATAAAAATACCCATCGTTATGCACGCGTTACTAGTTGATAGAGATGCGTTGCCTTTTTCTATAAAAAGGCGTGTAGTTTTCCTGTTTCTTTTTTAACAAGGAAGCCAACTATCTCCTGACTTCTTAACTGAGCCAGTCAGCTTTAAGAAAGAGCTATAACATATTATCGTCTTACTACTAGCAACAATAGTTGACCATTTAGATCTGGTTAGGGTGGTAAATAGATTTCCTAGATTTCTGTACTATAAAGCTCTTATCTGCATATGCAGGTTCATGTAAATAATAGTTTGCAAGATTATTGCCAAAGTATGAGCACGACATTGCAAATACGCTATCAATAAGATCATTCTATGCCTGTAGGTTCCTCATCGCATCCTATCAGTTTCTCCCATCTTCTACTTTTTGCCCCTGTTGCCTCCCTCTTTTATCACTTTTTTTTAAAGTATTTTTATTTCTCCTGATAAATATAAACGACGTTTATTAAGTCATATTATTGCCACATTAAGCTAGAAAAATGGCACATGTAATTACGCAGAGAAAACCATCCTTTATCCATAAATTTAAGTAGTTGCAACAAAAAAGGACATAGGGAATTTCTTGACATAACTTATTGCCAAATAACATAGCTTTTTCGACAGAAGAGCTACATTGCAATAAACATTGCAGGAAATCTACAAAGCACCTTTCAGGAACATTACTATTGTCTCAATCTTACTTTCAAGCCTTCATAAACAGATATCTCATTATCAGTACTTAAATGGACAAATTTTGAAAAAGTACTGTTACCGTAAAACCAATGAAATAAGGCTGTTATCTCATCTTCCAAAAACTCTAATTGATTCAACAACGCCTTACTTCTTCTTCTGTAGGGATCTCCGACATGAAAACTTTCTAATATGACTATTTACCCTGGATCAGAGAAAGTACACTTTCTTTCTTGTTCTTTGCCCGAAATCATGTCAGAAGCATCAAACAAACCAAAATATGAAAAAATCTTAGGAGGTGGTTCACTTGTCGTGGCCTATCAAATTGCGAACAAGAAAGTTCTTCTTGTGGGTGGAGGCAACGTTGCCGCTCAACGTATCGTTTCGCTAAAAATAGCCGATGCGAGAGTCCTTGTCGTTTCCCCTGAAAAAGGATTGAACGAGGAAGTCAAATTTCGAATCGACAATGGCGAAGTCGAATGGATCAATCGCCAATTTATAGACAGCGATCTCGACAACATAGATATGGTTTTGACAGCCATGGATGACTACGATGAATCCTTTCGTATTGGACAACTGTGCAGAGACAGACGTATTCCTGTCAACGTAGCGGACGTCCCACCTTTATGTGATTTCTATTTTATGTCCCAACATCGTGATGGGCCTTTACAAATTGCTGTTTCAACAAACGGAAAGGGTCCCAAAATGGCCAATATGATACGTGTCGCTGCTGCGAAAGCTTTACCAGAGAATATGGGTAATGCAACTGAAATGATGGGAAAACTACGTGCCAAAGTGAGGGAATGGGAACCTTCTATGAAGAACTCAGGAAAGAGGATGACATGGATTACAAGTATATGTGAAAAATGGGGTATTGAAGGCATAGGCCGACTTAATGAAATCAAAACGAAGAAAGAAGAGGAAGCCTTCTTTGACAAGATTAGAGAATGCTTCATTATTGGCGCAATACCTGATATCGATTCTGTTTTACCAATTCCTTAAAGAGCTGTTACCTCAAGAAGATCTATTTGTATCTAAAAAAAGCTTTTTTTTACCCCAGTTTTTTTGGTTCCTTTTTTTGGAAAGTTGGTATTTAGATATACAAATTTACAGTGCTTATCGTTTTCTTCTTTATTCTTTACCCTTCCAAAGTAATATAACAAACTCAATATTTCCAATGGCAACAATAAATAAAGAGCCTCGTATTACACTAATAGGTGGTGGACCTGGTGATCCCGAACTGATCACTGTCAAAGCGCATCGCTTACTGCAAGAAGCAGATCTAGTTGTCAGCGATCGCTTAATCCCACAACAGATTCTTGACTTAGTGACAGGTGAACTACGAATTGCTCGTAAGACGACAGGGAAGTCCGATGAAGCCCAAGAAGAATTGATGCAGTGGTGTTTACAAGGCTTAAAGCAGGGATTACATGTAGTAAGGTTGAAAATTGGCGATCCTTTACTTTTTGGAAGAGGTGGTGAAGAAATAATTTGGTTCCGGGAGCATGGATTTGAGCCTGAATTGGTTCCTGGAATATCCAGCGCCTTTTCAGCACCGATGGCCGCAAAAATACCAGTTACATTTCGAGGTGTTTCGGATCAAGTGATCATCACCACGGGAAGAGGAACAAAAGGTGCAATGCCTGATTTACCGGATTTCAAAAGATCACAGACTTTGGTAGTCCTTATGGCAGTCGGCAGAGCTCCAGAGTTGAAACAACTCCTTTTAGATCGACACTACCCAAGAACACTTCCGGTTTGTTGGATAGAAAACTCTAATTGCCCAGAGGAGAGAATTGTTTTCGGACAGCTGCAAGATGTGGATACTCTAGTGACTGATCATAATATCAAGGCACCTGCTGTGCTTGTTACTGGCAATGCTGTTGAAAGTATTCCAGCAAAGTAACAGTATATTCTCAGAAGTACATTGATATATCATAATTGCTTTCAGTTGTTTGTTTGTTTTTGAGTTTAGCTGCAGATGGGGGCGTAATTCTTTCTTCAATAATCCTAGATATTGATAGTCCAAATACCCTTTACCTAAAATATTTTGATCATTGAACTGTTATAGCCCACTATTCAAGGGCAATAATTACTACTGTTACTGCTCGTTTATTGGGCAAAATTTAATTTGTATACTATTAATACATAAAAATGTGGGGTAGTTATTGCTTTCTTTCCCCTAAGATTTCAATAGTAGGATAGATATTGAACTATTCTAAGTGTGTACAAATGCTACTATCTTTTTTAACAGTATTTTGCTAGACTTTTTTCTCATCAAAAAGCGTTGCAGCTGATTCTGACCGTTCGGATTTTTCTTGTTGTTGCAATGCTTCCGACCGTGCCATACGTCCATTGAAGATGAGCGCAAAGGCCATACATAGTCCTGCAATTATAGCCTGAAAAACTAGTGCTTTGTACATATTACCTTTAGGCGTACCGTATGGGTCACGGAATAAATCCATTATAATCACCAGTACGAAACCTATAAATTGAGCTCCTTGCCATAGAAGTGAAGTTGACAGTGATGGAGTCACAGGATAAGTACCTGTTTGTTGGAAGAATAAGCTTAATGTAATTATACTCTCTAAGAACTACAACAAGTAAGACGTACATTCAACCCCTAATTCCACACAAATGGGTAGTATAAAACTGAGAAAGAATTGACTCAGCATGTTTGTGTACAAAATCGCCGCAAAAGAATCTTGCTTCACTACAATGATAAAATTTGATATGCTGTTAGAAGATAGTGTAAAGAACAGATGGGAAAAAGTTAGACTTACCGACAAAAACGAATGCAACGTAAGTTGTGAACATCAGTGGTGTCATAATTTTCAACAAAACCTTGTGTTGTTTAGTACGATCTATCACAGGACCAGAAACAACTGTAGTTTGACAGAAATTGAGTCAAACGATTTCAAGAATGTTACGCAACCATCATTCTACTTACGGCAACCGAATGAGCCGCCCACAACGCCTAAAGCGGCAATCATGCCGACATCTCCATCTGAATATCCATAAGGAGAGATAGCCTGATTCATTAAACCATTCCATGCTATAGATAGCCCAATATTGAAACCGTGCACAAAAAATAATATGATGAATTGGGGATTCTTCAGTAACAAGAGAGCTTCCTGCATGAGAGACATCTGCGGTTTTGCAGGTACATTGTTATCTACATTATTGGCCTCTCTCAATGCTTCGTATGAAGCAGGAGTCTTTGGTTTTCGAGGAAAGAACAAAAATGGTATTGTACAAACAGTACTGATAGCGGCAACAACAATAACCTACAAATTATTAGCAGCAAAATCAAATCATTACGCTAATTCAGGAAACGAAAAAGATCAAGACTTTAAAATATATCTTTACTGTCAGTTCAATTTTGTCTTTTCCAGTTGCAATTGCTGGTATTAGAAACATAGCAATAATTGTGCCATAATTGGATGCTGAGCAAAATCGCGCGGAAGGTTAGTTCTACTTTAAATAGTCTGGCTGTTCTTTAATGCACCTACCAATGAACATTCCAGCAGTTGCTCTTCTATTCTCTGTAAACCAAAGTACAGTGAACTACAACAGGAAGTGTCAATAGTTGAAATCACGTCTAGTTTCTTGTCTTTTCATTTTGAGTGATTACGAATTGTTTACCATGGTCATGATATTAAGACTAATTGGTGAGCTTAGGGAAGCAATTGTTTGGCCTATCATCATGACAATAAACGATGGTGGGCTTATTTTAACTGCAATCCATCGAATCCAACATCCAACTGAAAGCAAGACGCCGGAAATAAATAGCTAAGGTAGGAAAGGAAATACTGTTAAAAGGGCTAAGAAACTACATTATGCGTTCTGTTTTAGCATAATTTTTTTGAGAATTTCATACATACCGACCATTTGACACCTGTTTTTTTATATAAGTAACTTGTAAAGAAGCTTACAAAAATGTAAGCTATTGCCATTATGTTGTATAGCCAGTTAATGCTTGATAAAGAAACGCCCATGAATTCCGCTGTTACTGAGGGAATAGGGCTAAAGGTATTGGAAAAAATAGCAACGGCAGCTCGAATGCATACAATACAGAATAGTAATAGCCAAGCGATAGGATAAGTTCTTAATTCTGGAAGTGGTGAAGGAGCAGTCGTAGATCCCGGAATACCATCGGCAAAATGATGGCTAGTGGCCCCTGTACCTTTTTCGACATCGAGGTTGTTGCCTTCAAATTCTAAGTCATGTATTGTTCGAGTAGGTATTAAATCGCTGTTGTTGGTAGCTGTATGGTTAGATACTCTACCCTCATCAGTTTCAGATGAATTTGAAGATTCTTCTGCTTTGTCTGTTGTTGATAGAGGTATCAATGGGTCTACTATTATAGGATGATGGAGCGAACTTCGGGAATGCGATGAAGGGGCTCTTTCTATACGCAAAGAATTCATTGTATCTTGAGAGGCTTTTGATGTGAAGTATCTAGTTGATGTTGAAGAGGAATGATATTGATGGTCTTTATGCCGTTGTATATGTTGTTGATGCGCCATTATGATCGAAATGTATATCACGAGAAATTCAAGTAGGAGAGTCCTGCTCTACCGTAAGGATGGTAATCGTTCAAAGGAAATGCTCTTTTTCTTTCGTGAAATGATATTCTTTATATATGAAAGAGCCACTTATTGTAAGTTAAACGAATGAAATACTAGGAAGAAAGCGAAACGAAAAGGGATGGATTTAATGGTTTAGTTGAGAATTCTCGTATTTGTTAACTGAAAAAAATCATGCTTCTTCCTTACATATGTGAGATGAAATAATGTGAACTAAGTGACAGAACGAAATGCAAGAGCTCATAATGGCATATTGTTGAAGCGGGTTTACTGCTCGGATTATTCCTTTAGCTTGTTTTCTATTCTCCTTAATATCAATTAAGGCACAAGTTTCTCTATTCTAACTTCGCTAGTGGGCATTTTACAATAAACATACCTGGAAGAGTTTGTCCATTACGTTGGATCTCCACCATTTTTGATTAACATTAATCAATAAACCTAGCTCAATTTTACGAGATATTTCTCAAAATATATCTTAAGATATTCATCTGAACTAGTGTCTGGTCATATAAGTCGCGAATACGATACAAAAAAATTTACTGGGACTATAGATAATTGGTCATACTAGAAAAGCACCATACGTAAAAGCATGATACTTATTATGTATAAGTCCGGCAAATAGAAAAATGTCGGGTAAAGAGTTCGTACATAAAGTAGGCTTGATTCTACGCCTTCTATATATAGAGTAATTTGTAGGTATAACGTGTGGAAGTTGCAAATAAATCTTTAAACCCCATGATTTCATATTTCTCAAGATAACGAACTACATCATATCAAACACGGTAATACGCGATCCAAGAGCTTTTGATGTACACCACCCTGTACCTATGTTGATCCTTGCTATTAAATGAAAGGCTTTGCTAAGGCTTTTGTCCTAAATGTAATTAGATATTGAGAGATTCAAAACTAGCAAAAAGACAATAGATGCTTACGCAACAGTATGTAAATACTATTTTTGATATTAATCTCGATAAAGATAATGACATTCGAACAAAAAAAGAAAAAAAATTGTTAAATGAACCAACCGGGTTGGCCATTATAATGTTGTGCTGTAATCTGAATTTCTGTAAAAAGTCCCTTAATGAAAAGCTATAGCATAATTTAAGGAGAAAGCGAATGTTTTATAGCAATTATTCTGCGAATTAGCTAGTGCCTTACGTATAACTGTGGTTGTGAGAGAAATTCGTGGAATATGCTTCATACGATCAGATACTGCTTAGGATTTCAATAAAACTAGTGAAATCGTCAGCACTGTCTACATAATGTGTGTATACTTGAAGATGCTCGGATCCGTGCTACAGCGTTATCTGGCACAAGCGTCTTATGTAGTTCACTAGCTCATGATCTATTGGTTTGGGCAAATGTATTTGCATTTGTTCTAGAAGAAAAAGCTTCCTTTTTGAGAACGTCAGAGCTTTGAGAATCTCAATCAGTCAATTTTTACCGCTATCATCATATTGCCTTGTGAGGTTAAGACAAGGAGTAGGTTAAACTGAATCTTTGAAAGATGTGATTTAGCAAAATTCAGACTTTTTAAGTCTTTGGATACACTTCTACTTCCACGGCCTACAATACAGCAAACAAATGAGGGCTCTAGTGTCCGGCGAAGAATTCAATCTCAATAAACGTCGCTGAGTTGGTCTGTAATAACTTCATTTGGAAATCGCTACAAAAGCAAGTCCTCGAATCTAACTTTCTCTGTTAAAAGCTCAACATGACACCGGAAGAGCAAGCTGCTAAAATAAAACAATTAAGGGAGGAAATTAGCAATCTGAATAAATCAGTACCTGATCAGGTAACTAATAATTTTGGGAAGCGTCAATTCGTCACTCAAATGACAAAAATATTAAAAAGAAAAATCGAAAATTTATGCTTAGTATCTTGAACAATTTTTAATTGCTCGTAGCTGGAATGTTGTAAGTTACTCTTCCAATTGGAAAAATGTTGCTATTCCTGCATATGCGATGAGAAGAGAAAACATTATTAATGAGAGTACTCGTACTCTATATTTTCTCGGATTTAGGCAGCTGCAAAAGACCAACTCTTGAAAATGTATGAGTGGCGAGATAAAAACCAAATCGACTATCATCCAGTGGCCACAGATGAAAATAAACTTCCTGTTCTCTATGCTGTTCGGGGCTTTCATAGTATTCCTGATAGTAATTTGGAAGCACAGCCGGGTATATCCGAAGCAGTCCTTAGAATCAACAAGTATATGGGTGGTGCCTGTTTGCATAAAACGGATAGAGAGGGATGTCCTGTTTACATTGAAAGATTGGTAATTTAGATACGGTCAATAAATTATTGCTCGACTAACAAATCAGCTAATTTTTTGCTTTTTCTGACATTAATATGTAGGGTTACCATAAGGCAAAAGAACTGGCGAAATATACAAAAGTTGAGGAGGTGCAAGGATATCATATCGGTTGTAATGAATTTTTGCACAGAGTTGTCATGAAAGATTGTTCAATTGCAGCTGGAAGGCACATCAATAGGGAGACCGTCATTTTTGACTGTACTGGCATGAACTGGGGCCGTAAGTGACATAAATATGCTTGGCAAAGCTATGTTTTATCTATCAATAGCTCTGTTACTGATGGGGTCATGTTTCTTAATATTGTTTGAACAATAGAGCTGCATATGCCAGCTTTGAATTTTATTAGAGCAATTGCAGACTGTGATCAGAAGTACTATCCAGAAACTCTCAACAAATTCTTTTTGGTAAATGCTCCCAGTGCCTTCGTATATGTTTGGAAGATTGTTAAAGCGTGGCTTGATCCTGGTGTAAGTAGAATAAGTGGAGGCATAATAATAAAATACGAGTTTTTCATAAATTTAAGTTCCTTCGCTAAACAATATTGACATAGACTATTGCCAAGATACAAATTATTGGATCTGATTACAAAAAAGCACTGTTAGAACAAATTGCACCAGAGAATCTACCCAAGTTTTTAGGGGGCGAATGCGACTGTGATCATATGGATGGTGGTTGTGTACCTTCCCAAGTGTTAAAAAATGCGAAACCGCTGAACGCTACCGACGCTAACCAAAAAGTAGCTACTGCTTATAACGATGACATTATGAAACAAGGCAAAACGTCTGATACCATTCGGGGACCTGCATTTCACTAGAATGACGTTTCTTTGTTTCCCGTTATAATTCTACACTCTTGACTCAACAAGTTTTAGAGAACAATACATTGTTCAAATTGTATAGACAGTTCCCAATTTTTGAAGATTAAAGTAACACATCCGTGCACCACAGAAACAACTAATAAAATTTAATCATTGTGATCAAAAATACAGACATACTGTTGTTAGATACGTAATTGTAGATATAAGGTGCTGTTGCTGGGTGATTAATGATAATTCAATACTATTAAAGAGCTGTAATCATTCCTTTAATCGAAGAGACCTATAGTACAATTTTTTAAGAAGGATATTTAGCAAAAAGGTTTTAAACCTAAAGAATATGCACTCTATATAAACTTACCGAAACCCATATCGTCATCAGATTCTTCCTTTTCCTCAGCCTTTTCTTCTTCAGCGGGAGCATCACCACCGGCAGCAGCACCACCAGCAGCAGCAGCGCCACCAGCAGGAGCAGCACCAGGAGCACCGACATTCATGAGGAGAGACTTGAGGTCTTGACCAGCGAGGGCCTTAGCATAGAGAGAGAACCAGATAGGTTCAACTTCGACACCAGCAGCAGAGACAAGGGTTTGGAGCTTGTCAGCCTATCAACAAAAACTACTGAGCAATCTGAACGTGCTTCGTGCATAAATCGAGCTACATGTAACTACATGTCCAAACTTACGGTGATTTCAATGTTGTCATCTTCGAGGATGAGAGCAGCGTAAACGACGGCGAGTTCGGCAGACATGCTAAATTATTCAAATTAAAAAATAGTTGGCAAAATGTTAATACATATAGCTGTTCTGCGTTAAAGCTGAAATTATGAGATGACAAGAGGTATCGCTCTAATCCATCACAACAATGATATTGTAGCCATCGATTAGATTGATTTCATCAAGGTTCGATTAAATGGATATAGAATGACTCTTCTCGGCTCATATATATTTCGTTCTCTATATGCGAGTACATACGCGTTACGGATGGATGGAAGGAGGATATAACTATTGTGGCATCACTGCTTTTGGTTTTGGTGAAGCTGTCAAACAGAGCTTGTTGCTGTATCCGAAAATTGTCCCCCGCGCAAATGCTCAATTGGAGCCGCAATCGGGAAAAATAAAAAAACCAGACCTTTTGCTTCATGAGGACAGAAATAAATAAAATGATCTGTTCTTTATTGCTTTTTTTGTTCAGTATGCATACATATTTACATCAACAAAATCAAGCAGGTTGAAATAATAAAAGGAAGGAAAAACTAGTAATGAAAAAGATTATTTGAAATGTCTTATTGTACCGTTTTCGAGAAAATCAACCAGGTCTACTTCTTCACGTCGTTTCTTCATTCTTACTTTTATCTGTTGACGCTCCCTTTCGAGCATGGTGAGAATTACAAATTGCTCAGATCGCTCTTGCTCTAATTCAGACAATTTTACCTTTTGCCAATCAGCATGCTTGTTACATTTCTTCGTCTGTTGACATATATGGTACGCCTTGTTGGTATAGACAGGATTGCCTTGATCGTCTTTGAAAATATAGTGACGGAACCGAAATTCACCATTACTATTACTACTATTGCTACCTAGTACTTCTTCATCTTCACCCTGATCTCCACCATCTTCGACTGCAATATCGTGGATTTTTTCCCATGTGGAATCAGGCCAGGATAATCTTGAGTCAAACCCGCATACACCTTTTTCTTTGAAATGTTGACGATGATATTGTAATACTAAATTTAAAAACTTTGATTTTTTTTCCACTAATCGGACAACATATTTAGCATGCGCTTTCTCATCTTTAACTCTCATTAGCCTTGCTCTGTCATCGAGATCGGCAAAACTGCTTAGTTTCAATCTTGAAAGTGGATTATATATTTGTTGCTCTTCAGAGTTACTATGGGGTATAGATTCTGTTGCGGTAGTTGTAGTAATGGAGGTATTGGTCGCAGCAGAGGGGGATTGGGCGACAGTTGTAGTAGTGATGTTGACTCCTGCACCGTTAGTGGAGGCACCTAAAGCGTTTCTTTTCTTTATTTCAGCCAATTCAATTCGAGCACGTGCTACTTGCATACCACAGTTGTCCGTACAATATTTACTAAGATGACCTTGGTTTGTACCAATTCGAGCAGGTTTTGAACAAGCAGGATTAGCACATTTTGGTTTCCATGAAGTCTTTTTACCTGTCACTAGAAAGAGAGACAAAATCATAAAGTCAAAATTTTCTTGCTGCGTAAAAATTTCCTACACCGTGTCCCAATTGCAACTTACATTTAGAACAGTTATCACAATAATAAAGATCAATAAATTCGCTCTGCTTTTCGTCAATCTCAATACATTCGCCATGGAACCATTCGTTACATTTGTCACAAGCAATCATAAATCGTGGTGCGTCATAAGGCCTCTTACAGATACAGTACAAAACGGTATTATCTACAGTTGAGGGTTTCGTCTGTTGTTGTTGTAGTCCTGTGGCCGCTGTTATTGACATAGCCGGTGACGAACCAGGAGTAAGAGGCGCTGTTGAGTGTTGATTACTGCTTGGATTTTTATTCAGTGGAGGCCGACCTCTTTTCAGTTTTTTCGCTGGCTAGAGGGGAGGATGGAGGATTGAAGGTTAGTAAGTAACTTGGAGAACGATTAAGTATAGGGCTTACTTTTACTGTTTGAGGCGAGCTTTCTTTTATTCTTTTGTTACTGTTTGTAGAAGGAGGAGGAGCGGTACTGGCATGGTTATAATGGTTAAATTCTTCTCTTTTTAACTGCTTTTCTTCATCAGTTTCTGTGGTATCGCCTCCGCCGTCAGAATCAATTGAGGAGGTTGGGTATTGTGAATAAAGTGGGTATTTAGTCAAAGGTGTGGTGTAGGTAGCAGTTGTTGTCGATGTAGGAAAAGAAGTAGGAGTAATTGTAGTCGTTGTGGTGTCAGTGGTATTATTGTTGCTAGTTATAAAGGTGGTAGATATAGGTTTTGAATCGATGGCATGCTGAGATTGCTCTTCAGGTGTTTCAACCGGCTGCCATTTCAAGACAGCTGGACCCACTCGTTTCCGTAAGGGCAAATGCTGTGCAGTATTGTTTGTATTACTGTTATTCACACTAGTAGCAGCATTTTCTGTTGTTGTTATTAACGACCCATTATTGTAACTATCACTATTACTCTCCAGATTGGACATTTACGATTTTAGAATAGTGGTGACGGGAAAGTAGCAGTTGAGACTTTTGTTTGAAAATACAAATAGAGGGACGGTAGATGAAAATGACAAAAGGCAGATCAATGGAAACAGATTGATTAGGTATAGTCAAATGCTAATGTTACTTTCACAAAGAGAGATCTTTTTAACGAAGAATAAATACTCGAGCTAATAATATGATGATGTCGTTGAAGGGATAGAAGAGGGCACAAAAAAAAGGGACACTTTGGATTGAAAAATAATATTTTGGAATTTGGAAAAAACTGATTATTTTTAAGGGAAAACGGGTCGCTTCTTACTTCGAGTTGATTTTTCGACCTGTGACGTCTTCGTTGGTTTGGGTTGAACTTGGACGTACTTTCTAATATGCTAAGTATGCAGACTAAACCGATAGCCAAATGTACTAAGATATATCTATACTTCATAATGTGTTACAAGCTAGCAGGAAACAAGCTATGAACCTTAAAAACCGTCTCTGTTTAGAAATTGTTTGATCTAAACAAAAAATACTGCATGTGAGTGGAACAAAAAAAGAAAAAAAAAGTCGAAATTGAAAAAAAAAAGGAAAAAGTCTCCCTCTTCTTCTTTATATATTTTCATACGACCTACAGAACAAAAAGAAAAAAAAAGCAAAAAAAAGAAAAAAGATATACTACAAGATGATATCAACATTCACATCCCTGATTGAACGGTCTTCGATAAGAACAACGAGTACAGTCGGGCTATGTATCGGCGTTGTATTTGGAACAGCTGCGTCTTTCTTTAGGTATAGCATACAGCGATATTATTTGTATTCAAGTAATACAGCATACTGATATACAATACTATTTACAATCACAGAAACAATCATGGTAGATTCACAAGTGGTTCCACATCGTCTATTACGGTATCTTATATGACGGGTTCCGCTGTGTCTTTGATGGCAATTCTAAGCATCCGTAACCTACTATTGAACGCACCTGCAGCTAGAAGTAGCACTACTACAGCAACGACAAGGTTGACTCCGTTACAGCATTTAAGGGTACTCAACTATCAAACACGGTCTATCTCCTCCTCTATTTCTACGGAAAAAGTACCACTGTATGTTCACAATAGATATGCTTGAAAGTAGTACGTTAGCCAACTTTTCTACCTTGGCAAAAATAGCGTCAGAATTGATCAAAAGATCATATTTTATCATACCTCTCCTACTTACTTTCCACTTTTTTAACTATGGTGTACATGTGTGGAACTGTAAATAATTAGTCAACCCACTATACTTCCGTTTTGTTTATATTGTATTTATTTATTAACATGATATCCATAACTTTTCTGGTTTCATCTCCAAAAATAAAGTTACCCTTATAAATCCAAATACTTAAAGTGGTTTCTTGAACTAGTATAATAAAAAGTTTATAAATAGATACTAAAAGATGTCCAACTGCAGCAACGAATATACGAAGGGGTTGTGCATGTTGTTTACTATAAGTATGACAGCCGTTAAAATTTATTATAAGCTCCTGTTTCTTCATTTTCAATGGTTATATTGGATGATAACATAATAGATGACGGGCAATTATAGTCAGTTTGGTGGCGGTCATGGTGCTGCTGCGGCGATTGTTGCTGACTTGCCGATCTGTTGTAGACATCATTACCATTTTCATCAACAGTACTTTTAGGGTGAAAAATTAATATAACAATAACCCAGATGACAATAGACATAATATTAACTTTTGATAAAAGCAGTTGGTCAGTGCATGATAATTACATCGTTAGTGTTTTTATCGAATAACGGGCAGTACTTACTGTTACAAATGAAGACATCCGACGCGAACTTAGAACGACTGATTGTTTTTCTTCGACTTAATCCGTCTGCGCTCAAGATGACAAAACACAGAGAGAAGATGAATACAGATACAGAAAGTATTAGATTCAAGTCTTGAAAATATCGAATTCTGTGTGTAATGAATTGAGCATTGTTTCGATCTTTGCTGTTGCTCAATAACTTTTTGAATCGAAAATGAGATACGGCACCGAGAAATGAGATAAGTAATAACTCTAATGGAAAATCGGACAAGAGTTAAGAACGTGTCTTTTGCTTCAAAAACAAATTCCCTTATCTACGCCCTTACCGCAACCGTAAACGAGCTGTGGCATAATTTCTTTGTATGTATACTCATAAATCGCACGAGAAAAATTGTATTGAAGAATCGGAAACAACATCATATTTATCAGTGTCCTACGATAAAGTGTTAGTACTGTTAACGGATGAGTCTCAATGACCTTATATTGAAGGTAATAAATTACATGCATTACATAATGATGTAAAACTTGAATTCTTTGCTGCTCATAAATCGTGCTTTTGCCACTAGCTTTGCAAGATAATTCCAAAAGCATTGTAATAACAATAAGGTTCCACTGCATTTGAGTCAATCCGTCAGTGATCAACAATGCTAATTTTGATTAATGTAAAGTACTGTACCTTTGAAGCGAAAATCCAATACACAAACTATAGTCCGTCGGTATAACAAGGTCTCTGTCTGCTTGATTCCACAGAAATTCAGGCTTTGTGATAATTTTACCTGTCGGTAATCTGACGAAGCCTTCTTCATACTTAATTTTACTCGATACAATATCTATTGAGTATTAAAAGAAGCATTAAAAAGACATCAATTTCGCATTGGGAATGTAGGCTAAGTATTTACCATAATACAATTGAAATGGCAACATGAATAAAACAGCTACTGTAACTATACTCTTTAATTCACCTTGCTTAATTTTTGAGAAACGGAGACATGCAAATCCACCAGTAGTATGTAAGCGATAAATAAACCAGATCAATACATAGCTTGAGCCAATTGCTCGTTCTATTTAAACCATGTTTTTTTGTTTTCATATGAAAGGAAGACATGAGTTTACGAGAGGATTACTGTTATAATACTATCACATTACGCAGAAAACTGAAATCGCTAAGATGTGTCATTCTTGCAAAAGATATAAAGGAAAGGCAAAAATGAGAAGAAAAAGGAATAAAGCATTAATTGTTTCAAGAAGCTTAACCCTGCCAATTTGTCTAATAGCTATAACATTTGGATACCCTGTAAGTCTCCCTGACAAAATTTATGTTTGTTGGATAAAAAAGTTAGCTTTCTTCTTCATGCATTCGCAGTTCACATTTTAAAAGGAGAAAAATGGTCTGTGTATGCTAAGTAGCGCAAAGGCGAAAAAAAGAAAAAAAAAACACTCATCCGGACCTTGTCAGTCGTAAGGAGTCGTTTGGTTTTTTAATAACCTACTGCTTTGGAAAGTCAGGTGTGGGGCCGCTTCTACTCCTCTTTATCCTTACCACAGAAGTCAAGTAAATAAAAGCGTCAATATGCACAAGCCCATTAATGAAAGTTACACAACCCATAATGATCCCTTTTCTCTTCTGTTATACTTCACTTGATCTGTTAATGACAAAACCTTATCTACAGACATGCTTTTACCAGTCTTAAATTTTTTGCCCGGTGAATTGGCTGTGGTTTTAACTTGCTTTCGCAGACAAGAGAGACTGGAGGACATTCAGGCTTATTAACACTGCTAACTGCTCTGCAGTTGAGAAAGTATTATGCGCTATTGTACAAGACCAGTACCAATATAAAAAATACATGAAGCACGTCCTCTTAAACACTATCAGTTTTCCCATCATAACACTTGTGAGATAATTGCTTCAGTAATAAACGGATAACTGTAGAGTAGACAATGACTATAAACTTAGTGTGTTTATTATTATTAGATGAAGTAGAAAGATTAATTACTGTATGAGGTCTGACAAGAACTACATTAATTGAAGGCGCGTATGCTAGTCACTAATCTCAGATTCAAATGCTTCACGTATAATTACTTGACATTTCGACCTTTCTCTATTGAATACATTATACTTAAACTCTATTAGATGCAATATACATAAACCGTAGTAGAATGCATTCCCTTGGTGGAAAACAATTGAAACTCGATAATATCTTGCCAACAAAGAAACCATAGTCATGGAAGGTAACCCCAGCCGTATGATAACTTCTCCTATCAGCCGATTCTTCAACTCCAAAGAATATCGCGTCTGGAATTCGACGTTGGCAACAATTTGTTAATGGTGACGGACCCAACCTTATAAAAACAGCTGTTATATAGAAAGATCATTCGTTTTCCATAGCTAGCTTTCCTTGTTTACAAAACACAACCAAATCGATGTGCCGGCCTATCAAAGATAGGACAATAAGAAGAAATCCGTGACTTTATCAGAAGAAAGACAATATTTAGAAAAGACTACATTGAAATGACTTACAGATTTTGGTATGTTGAATTGCTCGCAACGAGTGGATTCACTGACTCAGGGGATAGTCCGTTTTGTCCCTTTCCCTGAGTCGTCAGTCCAAGCTTTCAACCATTATCTCAACAAGCTTTTTAAGCTATCTTAACCAATATAATTTTCATTGCCGTCGAACAAAAAAACAAAAAGAAAACAATACATTTGTAACAACACGATAATGAACCAATACTATATGCTAAATGCAAAAACAACTGGGGTTTCTTTAACAAGAGCTATGAGGGCAATGGTTACTTTGCCAACAAATTGATTACTATTTGAAACTCGGCATAACATGCATTCAGCTGCAGCGCTTGTAATCAAGTTCATTGCATACCAAGGAGCACAGCTAAAACATATGAACGAATGCTACTAAAAGTTATAGTTCAAAATGACTTATCTTTCAACTATTAGTAAGTCATTAAAGATATCTAGTCTTTCTAAACCAGCATCGAGACTCATCTTTTTTATTGTCTAAATCCAAAAAAACCAAAAAGGAGCCGATTGGAATTTATAATGACCGTTTGTTAGTGCCTTAAAACCCTCTAAAGATCAAGCAATTGAATTAGCCAAAAACGACAATCAATGCGATAGGCCTTTATGTAAATCAAAATCAAATCCTGAAAATGTTGAGTACCTGTTTAAATCATGTGCACACATTCTTTTAAAAGTCAGTGCAAATCAATTCTTACCTTTACAAAGAGTAATTTGATTTCCCCACATTGTCAATTCTTCTTACATGATCAAAAAAGCGTCTGAAGTGGAACTCAATTTTAAATAAATCTCGCCGTTCTTTTCAATTTTAACGTCTCTTCTACCGTCTGCATTACGTATATCAGCAATCCAGAGTACTTAACAATGGTAATTGATAATCGTCCGAACACCTCTGCTATTCGTCCAGGGTAAGATGATGTCTCTAGTTTATAAATTAAAAAGAGACTATATCTATTTAAGTTTCCTGATGATATTGATGACTTACGTACAAATCTTGCCCAACAGCCACGAATTGGACGAGAGAAAGCTCGAAACATATTTAATCAATCATATTGAAGGATTCAAAGCTCCTTTGTTTGTCAGCCAATTTTCATTTGGACAATCGAATCCCACATATCTTTTAAAAGATGGAAAGTAAGTTATCACATATACAGCGTATTCGGAAGAAAGCGATGAGAACGAGACTTTTTTTTTTTTCTCCTAACCATCGCGCTGCAATTATCTACAGTCAACAACAATATGTACTTCGCAAGAAGCCACCAGGAACTTTACTATCAAGCACAGCTCATGCTGTCGAACGAGAATATCGCATCCTTCAAGCGCTAGGAACCAAGACCAACGTTCCTGTACCGAAAGTTTATATGCTTTGTGAAGACAAAAATGTGATAGGCACACCATTCTACGTCATGGAATTTTTGTCAGGTCGTATCTATGAAGATTGCCGCATGCTGTCTATTCCTTTTGAAGAGCGCAAACAACTGTAAGATCGCTATTACATCACAAAGCTCAATAAGCTATCGATAATAACAAACCACTCAATGTCTAATGCCTTTACACGATACACATAACAGATGGTACTCAGCTATTGAAACTTTAGCAAAATTACACCGTGTTGATTTTAAGGCGATTGGTTTAGACAATTACGGTAAAAACTCTGGCTTCTACGATCGACAGATGAAATCCCTCGGTAAAGTTTCTCAAACTCAAGCAAAGGTCAAGGATGAAGAGACAGGCCAAGTGGTGGGCCCTATCCCTCGTTTAGATGAGATGTTTGCTTGGTTCAAAAGAAACCAAGTACCGGATAAAGCTACCATCATACACGGTGATTTCAAAATTGATAATATGATATTCCATCCTACCGAGCCTCGCGTAATTGGTGTATTGGATTGGGAACTTTCAACCGTTGGTCATCCTCTCTCTGATCTATCAAACTTATTACAGTCTTTCTACGTGCCTGCTACTGCTTCTGATAGTAATAGTAATATGTTAGGATTTAAAGATAGCAAGGAGCCTCTTCCTATACCTGAAGCCGCTGAGTTAATGGAACATTATTGCTCCATCTTGGAAGAACCTTTTCCTATTCCTCGTTGGAAATTTGCAGTTGCTTTCTCATTCTTCAGATTAGCAGTCATCATTCAGGGTATTGCAGCACGTGTAGCTCGTAAGCAAGCAAGCTCGGCTCAAGCAAAAAGCTATGCTTCTCGCTTCAAGCCTGTAGCACAGATGTGTTTAAATATCGTGGATGAGGGAGATATAGACAACTTGAGTAAACTTTAATTGAGTCAGAGAATAAAATTAATGAATGGATAAAATGTTATTGCGACTTTCTCCCATCAACAATATCTTGTGTATGCTACTCGCAACGTATGCAATGAACAGTTGGCTATCAATCGGACATCCCTTTCTAAAAGCCTCTCAAAGCCATGCCACCAGCGACTAATGACATAATTCTTTGAGGATCTTGATTCAGATTCCCAAGCTGATATACCTGCAGACAACACTAGAGGTTAGCAACTTTGAAATAATAATTTTTGTAGAAGTTTCACACTCTGTACCTGTTCAATGGCTTGTAAATCTGTCACATTGGCTAATTCTTGTAACGGTACAAGCTCTCCTTTCACGCAGTCTTTCATAAAAGATTCAGCCTGAGCATTACATGATGCAAAGTTTAAGAGTGAGTATCTATTGAAAAAATGCCTTGCTTATGTCATTTTTACCTCGTCTGCTTCACAGCCAACTTTGACAGCAATTACATCTGCTGTATCATCGGAAATGCCGAAATTTTGGAAAGTTTTTCCAATCTTGCAACATAAACATTGATGTTTTGGACAAAATGGAACTTCTCATTAGTATGCTTGTTGTCAAATTCACTCGTTAGTTTACGTACATTATTCGTTAAACCGAAGTTGTAGAGAATTTCAGAGTGAATGTTGTGCGTCTTCAACTTTCCCTTAGCAATTTCGTCAGAAATCGCTCTATTGACAGCTAATAATACATGGAATGGGTTAACTACCTACGGTACATTGTTTGTTTACGAGTAAGCATGGCGAGACTAGCATAAATATCAAAGGTAGTAGAAGATGGGTCTACTCGTACCATTTTGGCGTTCAACAAGCAGCATGTCAGAGTCTGATCTTGACTCGATAGTCTGTGTCTTAACTCTGGGCTGTTGGCCACATTTTTGAAAAGAGCAATGTGAACTTGCTTATCAGGTTGTGTGTCAAGTTTGAAAGATTCCATTAAAAGAAAAGGCGTAACAATTCTCAAAATGAACAACGTCGAGGCTTTGAGTAAGAATGGGTCAATCCGGAAATGATCGAAAGGAACCAGCGCAATTTTGAAATCTGATCTAGTGGACGCCAAAGATAAAACCCACAATGAAGAAACAATTGTCTGAGTTTCCTGTGCTGTCAAAAACTTCGATATCTCCACAACTCTACCTGCAATGCTTCAACAGCTGCTCATCATGAAAATATGCTGGAAAAATGTTTCTAACAGAAATAGAAGGACCATGTCAATAATAAAGGCTTCCAAAGAAATCTAAAGACGATATTTTGATTAAGTACAATTTGAAGATCAATTTTCTTCGCGTATTCACCAGGTCTGATCTGTTTTGTTCATAAATTAATATTCATGAATTGTTTCACATATGGAATATGTTGAATCAAAGAAGGATAATGTATAGCACCGAGCTAATAAGAAGATGACAACTCAAAAAGGTTTGTCTGAGAAAACTAGCTGGAAAATTGAAGCACTAGCCGAACGGTAATCATTGAGTAAACGATAATCTATTCGATGGCGATAGAAGAAAGTGTACTACTCTGAAAGTAATTTTTGGTCAGGCAATACCATACCTTATTAAGTTATTCTTTTATATACTTACCACCACACATTAATATTATCACGGCTAGTAATAGCTGATAGCCACTATGTGATCTGATTCTATTTCTTGGTCCTAGCCCACTTTCTCATGGTCAGTCTCTAGTTCTGGAGTTAACACCGCGTATTTGCAGTAGATCGCGCTGGAATATGTGAAAAAGTTCAAAAATTCAAGTCCCACAGATAAAATATGGGATTCTCTAAGGGTCAATATTTTTTGCATATGGTGTGAATGCCCGATTTAACAATTGCTAAAAGCTGAAATATGCTTAGAGTTTCTTTTATTTAAGGAAACTAAACGTTATCTAAGGGGCGAAGCATTCACATTAAATATTCGAGAAGACACTATAAAGAAGTATTGCTTAGTACAAAAACTCTATAACTATAAAGAAAAACTTATACGATACTTTACTTATAGTGGTGCGCTTTCATTCGGAAACCGTTATAATAGGAGATCTTTCGAAAGAAAGCGTCCTTTGCAATTTTTAGCGATTTTATCAGTTCCTGCAGCCAGTACTAACTTTTCTCACCGTATACATACAATCAATTGATGATCTCGCAAAAAGTCAGAAGACCTTATTTATTTAAGTCTACCTGATAAACTTGTGGTAATGGCTGAACAACTTAAATGGTACGTAATATACCCCTGGCTAGATGGGCGTAGACATTACTGCCTTTCCACTGAAGTCTTCCTTTTTCACAAAAAATAAAGAACCCCGTTTAAAAAAACTTTATTGACCAAACAATGTCATTAAAAAAGAATAAAAGCTATGAAAAGAAGGCCCCGACCATGTGTAAAGATAGGCTTCAGCGACATCTTACAAATGAGAGAAGTCTATTAATCTGTTGACTTCCTCTATAAATGATATCATGCTTTACTCAACTTTAAAAATGAATAAGTTAAATGAATTGTAATTGAATATACATCTACATCGATAATAGTGCGACTACAGTTCGATGGCTCTTCTTCAAGAAATGCTGACGGATGATTTGAAGGCGGGGCTTGCCTCAATGAGATAATCTGTGTGATCTAGAAACATTTGTAACTGTTTGAAATATTCAGGACCAACAAGTGTATCAGATTCCAACGCAGGTGCTTTGGTAGAAAAGCAGTGATTCAAATCCCGTGGTTGTTCTTCAAACCTTTTCATAAACTGACATTCTTCTGCTACGACTGTGAAATACTTTAATTTTTCATAGGTAACCATATTAATCGCATTAACAGAGCATAAATAGTCTATAACGTCTTTCTTCGAAGAAAACGACTGCTGTTGATCTTTCAGTGGTTCAGTTGGAAAATAGATGCGTAATTCTTTTCCTCCGTTTTGCCTGATTATACGGAACTGGTGGTAATATTCACCTTCTCTAACACGCCCATTAGTGTTGTCGAACGAGGAGAAGGAGGCCAGTTGAGAAAGTTTATCAAGTAGCTGCAGCACGTAACTCACATGTACTTGATACCTATAAGCCATGGACTCTATCGAATCAATAAATGAAGGGATTAGCCGCTGAGTGTGCCACTGCTGATACTTCGTATCGAGTGAGCTGGCGTCTATATCAACTGCTAGTGAGCTGTTATCACCATGATAGAACTGCAGGGGATCAAGGTTGATAGATATATAAAAGAAATGACTGGAAGTAACACAGCTGCTGTTTTTTGGTGTTAAACTATCCAAATTCTCTTTGAATTCTTCCTGTTCATCATGAGTGGAAGTTGCTAAAGACATTCTTTGAACATTCCGAATGGCTCCTTTTTTAGCTCTCAACTGTGGTCTTTCATTCAGTTCTTGAGTCGCTCTTTTCATAGAAGGGTTGATACCATCATCAAGTATCAAAACTTCATTGGATCTTCCAAACTCAGAAAAGGTTTGCTTGTGAATAAAAATTGATTCCGAATGACATGTAGGTGCATGCTCTACAGCGATTGAATGATTTCCGTCTGTTTCTATTCTTATAACATTATCCGAAATAGGCACGTTGTTGTCGTTCAATTGGTAAGGTAGTGTAGCAATTTTGCAATTTAAAAGTTGGTTTTTGTTAGCTCTTGCATCAATTAGTGGAGACTCTTTTCCTAAGTGACCGCTTCTTGGTCGTACCCGTGCGTCTTCGTTAATAGTGTCACCATCCTTTTGAGTCATATATTTCTTTGGATTTACTACAGGAGAAAAAATACGGGATGTAACATGTCCAAAAATACTTGATTGCTGACTAGCTGCTGCATTATTTTGGAAAAGATTTGCCATAAATGAAGATCTGACGGTTGTTGTAGAGAAGTTTCGGGCGTATACCGGTCCATAATGGCTCATCATGCCAAGCTTTGTTGTTGTATTATTTCGAGCAAAAATACCATAGCCACTAAGAAACGGAGAAGGCGCTGTAAAAGTCATTATCTTTCGCTGCTGTTGTTTGACATAAGCTGACATAGCAGGTTGATATAACTTAGGTGCTGCGAATGTTTTGAACATATGAAAATGTTGCTGAATGGCTGTCAACAAATTTTTGCAGTTGACGAAGTAACGGCTGCCTTTTTGGACTCCAGTAAGACTGTTACTGTGAATGAATGCTGTTTGTTGCTGTAGACACCCATTCCGAATCAATGAGTGACTTAAATGTGCAGGCTGTTGTTTAGATTTAATAGGTTTCTTTCTTGATGGTTGAGACAATGATGCTGTTGCTATAGAATTAGAATTGTGGGGTTGACGAGATAATACCACCAGCTCCGATATTTTCGTCTCAAAATATTGCCGGAGCTGGCATACCGATATAAAAACTTTTGAAGGTTTTAGAATCATCAATTGTAAAAGGCCATGGAGCCTTTAGTGGTTGTATGAAGCAAAGATGGCTTTAAAAGAATTAAAAAATACACAAAAAGAGGGAGACTTCCTCTGTGAGACTTTTTATAGTCATCAAATGTGTATCTTGTTCTACTTCTGTCCGTTGCTCAGCGGCCAATAACAAATCTGCATATGACCCAACCAATGAAGTACTTTTTAACGGGAGCCAATTATTTGAATGTGAGTGTCTGCTTCGTTACGGTATATGGAGCTGCTGAATGTAACATACTTGACGTTATTAGCAATCGCCGCTGTGTTATGGTTAATTCGAGATGAATATTCTTTTCTAAAAGCTGACATAACAGGCCCTTTGATTGACCAAGTCTCCAGGAAATAGTACAGCAGGCTAAGCTGAGTTTTCCTCGTATCCATCTCTTATGAATATTACTCGCCTATGAAACATTGCCGTTGCTGTTTGTTTAAGCGAACAGGGTTTAAAAGACTGAGCACTTTCTAGGAAACACAGTGTCAAAAAAAAGAAAAACCATTGATGAAAGGCTGCTTTCTTCCAAATGGGATACATAATTGTTGAAAAGTGTCATGCAAAAATAACCACTCACTATTACTGTAGTCTCCTGATGCCGTTAGGCATTTGAATGACCGCCGTGGACAAATGCCTAAATGCTGTATTCGAACAAAGAGGGGAGAACAAAAAGTTTCCAACTTCTAATTCTGGGGATTGCGATTACACTCATTCCTGCATAAAAAAAGCTGTCAAAACAGTAATGGTGAAATTCCAGAACAAGCCATATGGAAAAGAAAATCCTTTAGGACCTCTGGCAGCACACGTTAAGAAAAAACCATTCCTTTATTTCGGTTTACCTTTTGTAGGTATTATAGTGGCAGGCTCATTTGGTTTGGCACAATTGACGCAAACCAAGTACGATCACCGTGACAGACGACATACACAGGCATGTAATCTAAGAAACTGCAATCTGAAATGATGTCTAATTAATGCCACTTTTTGATATAGGTTGCAAAAGAAGAGGCATTAGGTATGGATAAAAATCGAAGGAAACTGAGTTTGCAGGAGGAGTACTTTGTAAGTAAGAAAAAATTCAAGTTTGCAGGGCCATTCAAAAGGTATCAACTTACATTGACTTTTATTTGTTGTAGCGTTTACAAGCAAAGACAGAGGATGAATGGGAACAAGTGCGAATCAGTAGGCCTCCAGGATCTGAGGAAAAATAGTCCAACCCACTATCAATACGCCGTATATAGATACCTCTGTTCAATCCCCATAAATAAATCAATACTCTGATGTGCATTTGATGTAGCCGAAGACTGCTCAATAATCAAAGATATACTTTAAAAGCTTGTGCAGTTATTTGCATTGAATTGTACAGCTCCTTGAAATAGCAAATTATCCCTTGTCTGTCTCTATCCTTGTCTCTGTTTAGTAAGTTGGAAAGTTTGTTACACATGGATTGACACACTGAAACGCAGATCTACAGACGCTCAAAAGCTCGAATCCACTATAGAAATATTACATATTTTGTGTAACTGAATCATTAGTGGACCTTGGCAACAGCCTATAACTTAATGCAATAAAGGCTCGAACGATCCATGATTAATTATACAGATTAGGTGAATACAATTGTAAAAGCAGAACCTCAGCATTTGTCTTCCTTTCTTTCGTTTTTCTCTTTTAATTCCTACAACAATGCTTTTCTATAATCTGGGAGATGACATCCCAAAAAAATACTTCTTCAGTATAGTGCTACTTCTATCTCTGCTGACATACGTTGTCTTGTTTCTACAAAGAACCTCAGATAACGACAGAAAATTGTTTAGCAGTAGAGAACCCTACAGATACCCATATTTTGTCAAATATAGTTATCGGTGGCCCCAAAGACCTTCCGCGTCCATTATAGACGGCACCACTGCTGTTGGCAATAGCTTCAACATTAGCAATAGCCTCTTCACTGCAAATGAGAAGATAAGACAGGAGATTGACAAAAAATATTGTGGCAACAAAAGATGTAGGTTTTTGTTGCCTGTCGCCATCACAGAACAAGGTTCGTCTTTTTTTTTTTGAGTATGCTGCGGTATCCAAGTAAGAGGATAATCTCGTATACTGATTGACATTTTCAAATAGAATCGAAAGCACAGTTTCATTTCCGCCAGCTTGCTTTCTTAGCAGGAAAGATAGATCGAACGATTGTACTACCGAATACATACAATTCACATCTTGGATCATGTCTACATCATCCTTTTCACTTCTATTACGAACAGAGCTGGCTTGACAGAAATAGGAAGCATTTCAACTATATCACAATGGAAGACTTCAAAGCGTGGCTCCTTGAAAGACAGATGAAGGATGTTGTTCCAACAGCGCAAGAGCTGTATATTCAGCGCTCTCGTCGATCACTATTGCTTGAGAAGGTTGATAATTGCTTCAGTAATTCGTTCGACTTCTCAGGTCGCCCTTCAGTTTATTATCGATTTCCCGATTCTCACAAACAGAGCAAAATCAATGTGACGGATGTAATGATGCGGTTACTGAGTGATGAAACAAGAGAGCACGAATATCTCCTTACGGACTCCTACTCTAATGAAATTGTGGATCGTGCGTCTACTCCTCCTCCGGTGGATGTTATCAACCTGTTTTATGACAGAAGGTTCGTACATAATGAACTGATGAATACGTGCTATTCCCAACTGAAAGTAATACGTACATCGTCCACAATAGGTACAAAATTCTTAATGAAAAGGATGCTGACGTTCCTTTACCTTTCAGTCAACATTGGGTTGATATCGCAAACAATATATCGGCTCAGTTATTTCCTTATATTGCTATTCATTGGAGAATGGAACGATTGGAGCCCATTCCCAATCTTTTGCCCTGTGCAGAGAATTTGGTAGACAGTATACACGCATTAGAAAATGAGCAGTATACCAACAATCAAGAGACGATACCGAGAAAACTTCGAAAGCCTTTACCGAATGTATTCCTTCTCACCGATTACCCTCATTTGCTCAATGCTACCGGAGCAAAACCAGAGTCCGTGTCTTTCCAGACAAAACAGCTGAGAAATGAACACCATGAGGCAATACAGTATCTTTATCAACATCTCAATATTACCCTTATTTCTGCTGACAACGGAAGAATCCCGTATGATGAATTGCCCAGTGATAGTTGGCATATTTTACCCGTCAATGTTTCATCCAGTAGTCAAAAAGATCGCTACCCCGATAGAAGCGTCCTTGGCATCATTGACAAATTAGTAGCCATCAATGCCCAATGGTTTTTCGCCGGCCGACCAGGTGTTTGTGCTAAATCCAGCAGCTTCACTTCACATATTTCGGGTAAACGTCTCAAGAAATTCAAACATCAACAGTTGGAAGAAAGTAATGAAAGTAATGGAGATGTCACCAATAAGATTATCGTACCTCTAAAAACTTTCGATTTAAAAAAGAGGCTCTCTTAGACAATTCAATTCCAGCATTACTCCGGATATATCTTATACGAACCTCCTCAATCCTTTTCTTAAGGAATCATATACCTAGTTTCTCTATGCTTGTTTTTGTTGAATATCTGATGGTTTGTTTTGGTTGTTCCATATTCTATAGTTGTACATAACAGAAAAGCATACAAATTATCTTCATCTAATTTCGGAGAATCAAATATAATCACTATCGAACTTTAAAAAGGTACCACTTAAAAAAAACTCTGAAAACATACAAAGCCTACGAATAAGATTGGGTCTTTTTGTGAGTTTTTTTTTTTTATTCAAATGCACGTTGCGGCGTCTAATTGTAGTACAATTATGATCTGTATACATAATGAGCTTCAAAGAGTTTAGGTTGATAAAACCACGGAGAATATACGAAAATCGAGAGAATGAAGTGTGTTTAGCAGACACCCGGAACATCGTGTTTCTTGGGATCTTTCTTGTCAGATTTGTGACCCTTGAAATTGGCGTGGTGATGATGTCTAGCACTACCCTTACGGTTCTCACTAGATATTGGTTGGATTGCAGAGGATAATTAGTTAGAGTGATTTATTTCTCTGTTATCCCAGGTCCAAAGTAATAACTTACCGATGAAGATCAAGTTGATCTTTGTTCACCTTATCCAAAGCATCAATAGTCGACTTGAGGTCACGCAGAAGCAATTCACAACGATTACGAGAGAAATCTTCGCGAATAACGACGCGAAGTAGCTTGATGTGTTCACATTCATGAGCCATAGTGTAAGCAGGAATAATCCAGCCGTGTTCACGAAGCTTGGCAGAAACGTCGAACTGAATATGAAAATATACCAATCAGTAATTCATATCTTGCAAAAAAACTACGTCTCTTGCTTATCTCAAAAAATTGCCTCCACACGCTGCTTACCTCATTGTATAGCTTATCACCCTTTAATCTAAAAGCAACCAAAGGTAAACCTTTTCCAGCCCTTGCACTTAAAATTTTAAATTGGCCAGAAGCTTCCAGTTTCTCGCTCAGGTAATCCGCCGTGCTAACCAAGTTGCGCATAATATGTGTAAATCCAATCTTGCCCAAACGAATCAGAACGTAGTACTGAGCAATAACATTGGCAGCACCTTTACTGAAGTTAAGTGTGAATGTGGCTTGTTCTGAACCGAGGTAGTTGACGGTGAAAACAAGATCTTCAGGTAAGTATTCTTTGCTTCTCCAGATAGCCCAGCCGATACCAGGATATGTAAGTCCATATTTGTGACCAGATACATTGATAGAGAAGACACGGTTTAATCGGAAATCCCTATCAAATTTATATCGAATGGTTGAGACGTTAGATTTATAATTGACGCCTTGGATAAAAACAATATCATATATGGATCCTTACCAAACCATTTCAGGAGCTACAAATGGGGCGACGAAACCACCACTACATGCATAAGAGAAAAATGAATATAGACCCTCGCAGTCAGCACAAGACTGAAATGAGTGAACTTTACCTAGCACCATCAACATGAATACCAATATCCCAATCGTTCTTTTTACATTTTTCGTCTAAAAGCTTATTCAAAGTTTCTACATCCTCAAAATGTCCAGTATACTAGAATTATGACACCTTAGTACGTATGATGATCGTCTTTTGTATAAGTATTAATACTTGTCGATGTGAAAACTTACCGTTGAACCGAGAATGGAGACAACACCGATGGTATTTTCGTCTACCCAATCAACGGCTGTTTTAGGGTTCATATATAGACAATCTTCAGTAACAGGAACTGCGCGAGGTTCAATATCCAAATATCTAGTGAATAGCACAAATGAAAACGATCATTATTAGTTGCCTTTCAGAATTATTTTTACATTAAAAATATAAACAGTACTTTGCTGCCTTATAGACTGCAATCTGATAGTTAGCACCCATAATTAAATTAGGTTTACTTGTAGGCAGACCCTTTGCCTCTCTTGCATGTTGCCATCTACGCTTCATTGCCAAGACGGATAAAATAATGGCTTCAGAGGAGCCCACAGTGGATGTACCAATAGCTTCTGCTTCGGGATTATCCATGGGTGCATGGAAAAGTCGGGCAATGATATTAACACAACGATTCTATTGGCATTACATGAAACAAATTGGGTTAACGCATAGCTCCTTTCCCTTCTTACGTCATGCGTCATATTGAAGGTTAGCATTTTACCGAAATTTCTGCAGTCTGAGGATACTCTTCGAAATCAATAAAGTTCTTTGAAAGATTCTCCGTCATTAATTTTTCAGCTTCATCTTCCATAAAAGTTGTAACAAAAGTGGCCAAGTTGAGAGCAGGTGTGCCATCAAGCTTTTTAATATGCAAAATATTCAAGTTAGACGATACTTCCTAGGCTGCCATAGTATATCAAAAAAATGAAAAGCATGTACTTACAGCAAGCTCATCCTTAATCATGCGATAAGCAACATCTGGCGTTTTCCGTTAAAAAGAAAGTTATGAGATCATCGTTTGGCAATGCAACTTAAAAGTTTAATTAGTGTAACAATCCACCTACTTCCTGGCATCTCCTCCTGCATTGATTAAAGTCCCAAAGTTAAAGCACAGGGTTTTAATGAATAAGGTAATCAGTTAAACGTAAAAAATTCACGTTTAAGCTTACATCAGGCATTTCATATCTGTAGTGTTGTATTCTGTGAGTTATCGTTTGCCAATGCACGTCACGAATTAAGACGTTATAATTTACCTCGGGATATCCTTGGAAGCCCAACGGGTTCCATAAATAGTAGTTTCGTGAAATTCATCTGAAGGGGGTTGGTTACTGGTGTCTTCTTTGGGATCTAAAGCACAGCGCAAATGCAGTGTCAAACAAGTGAAAATTGAACGGAAACAATGGCAGCTTTTTCAACTTACCAGCAGCAATTGCGCGAGATAGGAAGACCATGGTTGTTCAAGTTAATGTAAAGAGTGAAGAAGAAAGAAAAAAAAACTTACTTACTATTCGACATTTGTTGGAAAAAAAAAGTATTTATACTAGTTGGGGTAAAAAAAAAGTTATTCTATGCATGAAACGTCATCGTCATTCTTGGGTAATTTACTGTGCCAGCCACTTTATGGTAAAATTCATTTTGAACACGGTAAAATAAATAAAGACAACAGGGTCTTAAGTCAGTTTTGATCTTCGTAATTCATTTCGTTTCAGCAGCTCAAGAGTTATAGTCTTTATCAACGGCGTCACTCTCAAATTTCTACAGAGACGATGCATAGGTGATCTTCCAATCCTTTACGCGTACAAGATGATTATATGAATAACTGCTACTATACCAGTGAAACCTTCAATAAAAATGTTTTTGGTGCCATCACTTCTTTTTGCCTATTGGTATAAGTAAAGCTAAAACCTCTAGAAATCTTTTTTTTTCTTAACCTTGTTTTCCTCAATTGTTCCGTTCGGAATGGACTAGTTTAATTCTCAAAATCGCTGTTCGACGGGGGCCAATAAGTTATATAATAGCGCTTGAAACAAGGTAAGCAATAATGCTTTCATCGAAAAGGCTAGCGCTATTCTAGATTTGCATTCTTTGTCTTCAAAGCACCCATAACAATCCGAGGAATTGTCTTATCACCTTATCTTCCGTTTAGTTTTGTCAGATTGCTCATACGTAATTCATGGATAAAGTCCTTTTCACAATCCCAAGTGCATGCAAAGCTTGAATATTTGAGTACAAAAAGAAAAAAGAGAGTTCGGCTTGTAGCGAACAGTTAGTACTGCTGCATACTTGCTATTTCCCTGCTTAAGTTCCACAAACCCATGGTTCATCTGTAACAGTATTTTCATGTTCAATGCATTCAAAGAAATTAAACACGGTTTTCAATGTTAGATAAGGATTACAAACAGTCGTAGTAATGGTAGTGATGCAAGGTTTGTCAAAATTGTTCCAATATCTTCTTCCTACTTCTTTGAGTGTTAGAAACGTGCCTGTATCTCCCGCTAATGCGTCACTATTTTATTTGGACAGCTTACAGACAATACTGTTTTTATATTCCTTAAGCCTGTGTAAGCTGTCTTGCTTCCTAAACCATCAACAACCATTAGCTTCTTACTTGCATTTGGGTGTATTAATGGGAGTGGTGCTTTTAATATCGTGTATTATTGCACTATTTATTGTTACCATCATATAATTTTATTGTATGCATCCCGTAATAGATTGTAAACAGTGTTATAATCTGATCAGCAAAAAGGCCGTTTCAAATTGTATATGCATTCCTTGAGCATTGAAGAGTGGTTTCCACATATAAATTCATTGATATTGCGTCTCAAACACTAATTTCGTTCAATTCAAGACCATAGCAATCACAGGTTATCATCAATTGCCTCCAAATATTTCGTAAGATACTTCTGCCTACAATTAGTATTAAATGATGGATCAGTATTCATTATTTGGTTCTAAACAATAATGAAATTCACGAAGCAAGTCATAACGGTGCCTCCTTTGCCAAATGTGGGTAGGAAAAGAAAACAATAGGAAGCAAATCGCAAATTAAGCAAACATTTTATTGTTTCTGAAGTAGTAAAAACGCAACCGAGTACATATTGTAAGTGTTAATCAGAGGAAAATAAAAAATATATAAAAAGATGCTCAACATTTGAGAACCGGTGACGGATATACTTTTTCTTTTCACAACTTCACTTATAAGTCAAACCATATTATTTATTCTGGTCTCATGGATTCTAGAACTTCTGTCTATCTTGAGTATCCATGTGTCATTTGCAATGATGTGCTCAGCCGTCCGCCTGTCCTCCTGAGCCATATGCAGCGCAAACATAACATAAACCTACCTGCTCGACCATTCCGTTCCAGGCGTCCCAAGTCAAATACTTATCGTTATGAGTTAGTTAAACCTCCTGCTGCATCTCCATGTCTTACTCATGTTGCTTGCCCCTCTTGTTGGGAACATACTGACAACCGTCAGCAGCTATTACAACATATTATGCAAGAACATCTAGATTCTGCTAATTATTATGAATTTAGTCGCCAAATTCAAATGACAAAAGGAGATCCTTTTAGCCAACCAATACCACAACCAAATCAACAAGAACACGCCGTTGGTACCCAGGATCACAGTTTAAATAGTCAACCTTCTTACGAGCAACAGCAACGGCCAGGGCTTGACGCTCAAAACGAGCAACAACCTCGACAGTCAGGAAATCAACCCTCCGGTAGTCAGGATAATAATGCTACTGCTAATGCTTTAATCTGCGCGTTCGATGAGTTGGTAAGGGATCTCAAAAGACTCGTGTTTTCGGCTCCTGCTCCCACTGTCACGGCTTCGACTACTCTTAGCACACTTGCTAGCCGTAAAAAAAGACCATCTGTTCGTCAAAAGCGTCGTGACTCGTTTGTTAGCTATGATACTGATGGGATTGACAGTACTGCAGATTATTTTCCTACTGCAAGCAGTGTTTCGAGCAGTTCTTCGAATCTAAGCTTTCGATGATTGTTACAAGAAGGGATCATTGCTTCTAACCGTGGGATCTTAGCCCAATATGTAAAGTTCTGTTTCTCTTTGAAATTGAAGAGAATAGTGCCTTTTTTTTTTACATTCCCTTTCTTCAAATAGATAAATAAATCAATTAAAATGAATGACTTTTGATAAGGATTCAAAGTCCATGCTTGCATTTGCGTTCGTTTGAGAAAGAAGGTTATCTCGATATCAAGTAATTTCTCTACGCATAATACTAAATATATTTTCTACTGTATATTCAAATGTTATTGTCGTGCTTTCTAGTGATACTCTTCGGTCCGCTGGAACCATTTTTTGTATTTGTATTTGTATTTCGCACTAGTAAACTGGAACAATTCAGTGTGCTAAACAGAAAGTCTTCTAACTCACGCTTTTTGATTTATTATTTCTAAAGACATGTTTAATAAGTCAAAAAATCAGTAGTCAATTGATGATCTATGTTGAATGTAGGCTACGAACAAAGATTAGAATGGGCAGGGGTAATTATTAGAGAAACGGGGAAAAGGGAGGTGTATGTGTATCATTTCTATTGACACTTCATTTATGCGTTTTATTGTTACGCAACACCATTATAAGCCAATGGTTTGGGTGATCGATTATCGTCTTCTGAAGCCGCTTCTAAAGCGCCTGGAGTCGCTAATGCTACAATGGCATTATAAAGTTCGTGCGGGGAACGGAAAGTATGCTGACTCATAAGCAAAGCAGCAATACCAGTAACATGTGGGTTAGCCATACTATGAAATTGCGCCCGAAAAAAAAAGGCAAAAAAAATGTGATTAAAATGCTTTGATATATACAAAATGCCTTTTCTTTTTCATTCTGCATCTATACCTTGTTCCGTCCATTGTTTGAACATTTGCCTCCAACCAGCTACTTGTAATATTAGTTCCTGGAGCATATACACGAACGCAATCACCGTAAGAAGAGAAACTAGGAATTTTATCACGGTCATTAGAAGCCCCAACTGCAAAGACATCAGGGTTTGCTGAAGGTGAATATTCACATGCATCGTCACCAGTGTTGCCAGCTGAGACAAATACAGGAATGCCATGTTCCCGAACAGCCATAGAAAGGACTTCATCAATCATTTTTGAGCGAGGCCCAGTGAGTGAAATATTAATCAGGCTACGTCCTGGTTTCGCCACTTCCGTGATATGAGATACAGCCTCTATGAGACTGGTAGTGAGCCCATCTCCCTTACTGTCAAGAATTTTAACACTGTGCAAAATAACGTTCTTTGCTACACCGTACAAGCTGCCTCCAATCGTTCCAGCGACATGCGTTCCTATTTAATAACTTGTGTCAACCCTGAACCTTGCATACTGAACTTACTTATTTCCTTACCGTGTCCCGCATAATCGCCATCTCCTTCATAATCAACGTAATTAGCTTCTATAAAAGCACGACCTTTGATATCAGGGTGGTCTATATTTATACCAGAGTCAACGACATAAACATGAATTCCAGCACTAGTTATAGAAATAATAGGTACAAGTGAATAATAGGTAATAGTTAGCGTCTTTATTACCATCTTTTGTCTCATACCCTGCTGCTTCATCTGCAGAGTAAGAATCCAAGTTTTTCAAATCACGATGACTAACACGTGCTATTCCCCAGCTTGGCACTTTGGTTTGAGTGACAACATTACGCCTTTGAAGTAACTGTTTCTGTGATGTATCGTTGCTGTTCGATAGTGGCATGCTATTGCTATCTGCTTCGTATGGCTTAGGCGCGGTAGCCGGTGGAAAAATAGCTGCTTTATACACTTGATTTGGTTCTACATATTCCACATACTCCGATTGACTCAAATAAGTAGCGAAAGCAGAATCGAAAGAGCCCACGATCGTTTTGAAATCTTGGTTAATATCCAAGTTTCTTAAAAATAAGGCGGGTGACGGAGTGGATACTGCCGATAACAAAGCGCTGTCATCAGTTGTATCTATAGCCAAAGGTTTGGAATCAAAATTTCCTTGTATTATTTTCCTGTTGCCGTTTTGGAAGGTGGTATAATGGTTCCTAATGAATGCTGTTGGTTCAAAAGCTTTGCAATAAATACAGTAGATAAGAAAGCACATTCTTTTATAGTTAGTTTGTATTTTTGATTACTCACTAGAGGCATTTACTATACTGGCTGATTTCAATTTGATAATATGTGTAGAAGGCTTGCCGTTAACTGTGTGAGAATTGACCACGAATGCGTAGGTATAGTTAATAGTCAAAGCGACAGATAAGGTCGAAGATATTTTCAATTTCATTCTAAACAGAAGGTAAAAAGAAAAGAAAACAATTGCAAAATGCAAAATCATCGATATGCTTTATATGTCGTCCATAGTGTGAGACATCAACATATGAATAACTTCAACTTTCCCACTTCCTGTTGCTTTTTCCTTTAATGTCAGGCTGGAAAAATCCATTTCAATACCAAATGCCTCGGATTTTGATCGGTAATCAACAAATAATCAACTTGCCCAACTAACTTTAAACCTCGATGTGCTTAACAAACAAATCTCTTTGACGGTGCATCTCAATTATCAAATATAAAAATTTTGTCCTATTCTCATCACAAACTTGAATACAATAACTCCTTGTAGATTGACAGTTAGCCACTTAATAACTGGGAGCTTTAATTACGTCGACCACAGTAGGTATTTATTAATGTTTGACTGGCAAACAGTCTTTTTTTTTTTTTTTTTTTGTAGATGACGTTTGGACATCAGTGAACGTTAATGCCCGAACCAGAATTTATCATATTTTTGGAGTATTCCTTCGTTGACGCGTGCCTTATCTTCTTCCTCCAATTTCAATCCTCTATTTGATGCCAAAGGTAATTGTTGGTATTTTGCGAAACAATGAAAATGTGACGAACAAATACGTATAGAAGTGGTATAAATTTTCAGAGCATCACTTTAATGACCGACTCTCATGATGGGCTTTGTTAAGCTCCATTATGATGAAATAAGGTGGTTATCTTTTCGAAGCGTGTACCATGGCAAGATCAAGAATGAAAAAATATGAATTCTTTGTCATATTCGATCTAAGGTAATATAATAAGATAGCTATAAAATTACTTCAAATCCTTTTAAATCCCTTTCCTCGTGACTCAGAAATGATTTACACGCTGAAACAAACTTTTATTAGAACTCGTGAATACCATATCTGATCTATCCATCAAGTGTTGTGCTAAATTGTACGCCGTATTAACTGTGATGTTTTGATTTAGCCTTCTTCTGATTGCTCTTCATATCATTGACGCAAATTTTTGATAAGGATCCTCAAGTGACATTAGCTACCTCATACGAGAATTTAACAGGTTGCCATCATAGGATATTGGTTACTTGGATCATCTCAATAACTAAAATAGCCTTAACCTATTATCAAATTTCAAGAATTTGTGACCAAGATAACAAATCATGAATTATTTACTGAACAAGGTGATGATGATCAAAGTTCACTTGACCTCCCAAAGGGAAGCTGCTCGTCGTGTTTACGTTGATCACAAAAGGAAGAAGCCTACGAAGAAATATAGAAGAGAAGATCATACTGCTGTAACCCTTTGATTTCTGAAAGATGCTCTCCGGTCTGACTACGAAAAGAAATTAACTATGGAGTGACTACCCCACAGTTGAAGACAGACAAAGTTGACTGAGAAAATTGAAAAATTTGAACGAGAAAACGCATTGTTACAGAGACAACTTTAACAGTCAAAAAAAATAAAAAAAATAACAGCGGTTGATGTAGGTTTACGCGTCATCGTGTACTTGATACGAATTACTCATACATTAATGGGGAATAGGCTGAAAAACCAACTGCTGAACAATTTGAGATGAGCATAAATGTTTTAGTCATGATTGAGAACACGACCTTCCAAACCGGCATTTTTGCTGCTCAATCTTAAGCTACCTATACAAGTGCTACCATTGATGATAGATAGAAAAGAAAGATGTTGAAGGTTCCTTCATCTGCCGTAAGCCAGATAGCGTCTCTGTTAGATACGGCAAAGCTATCAAGTCTCTTGCTGTCCTGGCTGCCTTAACAATCGGTACATCAGGACTCTCACACACTTTATTTGACTCAACTTTTCCTGCCTTCGCCACCTTTAGAATCAGTCGGTCCAGTATTGAGCGCTTTACAACCTCTCAGCTGAATTCCTCAAAACGAAGAGATGCACTGACATGGGCGAAGCTACCACAGGACGTAAGTTGATTTGATTTCGTGACTGACTTTAATTTTCGGGATTTAATGTTGCCCCTGATAACTTTGGGCATCCCCGCCTTTTTTATTCTTTTCTTCAGTTACTTACTTTACTCTTACTCATTTTTCGACCCAAGCAATACAGTACAATGCTCTTTGTACGGTCCTTTCTTGGAGCAGCTCCAGGAAGGGTGACACTTAAAGCTGTCACTTCCTCTCTATTGGAGTTAACACCAAAGCATACTTTCTCTTTATTGCCTATCGCCGCAGGACGTCGTTGGCAATCTACCGAAGCCGATGACAAAGATCTTGTAAGTTACAGCCTCAAGTTCAAAGAGATATACCTATTGAAGATAGAGAGCAGCAGTAGCATTTTCAAAAGGGTGTCGTTTATTCCTAATTTGCATAATCTCAATTATTTTGACAGGAACGTTTGAAAAAACTTCGTAATATTGGTATTTCAGCACATATTGACTCTGGTAAAACGACATGTACAGAACGTATTCTTTATTATACTGGACGTATCAAAGAAATTCATGACGTTCGCGGCCGTGATGGTGTGGGGGCGAAAATGGATTCCATGGACTTGGAAAGAGAAAAAGGTATCACTATTCAATCTGCCGCAACCTATGCAAGCTGGGGAGAGAACAACATCAATATTATTGACACGCCAGGTAAAATATACGAATAATAGAAATTGATAAACTACATTTGCATATTGTAAATTCTGCCCCTTCATGTGACACTTACTTATCTGTTAACCTGCAAACGTCATTTAGGCCACGTCGATTTTACTATTGAAGTTGAGCGTGCTTTGCGTGTATTAGATGGTGCTGTGCTAATTTTGTGTTCTGTTGCTGGCGTACAATCTCAAACAATCACTGTGGATCGTCAAATGCGTCGTTATAATGTTCCTCGTATTTCTTTTATTAACAAAATGGATCGAGCTGGTGCAAATCCTTTCCGTATCATTGATCAACTCCGACAAAAGCTTAAATTGACAGCTGCTGCTGTACAGATTCCCATTGGCGCAGAAGATCAATTTAGAGGTGTTGTGGATTTGATTAAATGGAAGGCTTACTACAACGAAGGCGAGAACGGCGAAATTTTAACTGAAACGGATATCCCTGAAGAATTAATGCCATTGGCTACTGAAAAACGTACTGAATTAATTGAACAATTGGCTAACGTGGACGATGAAATTGCGGATCTTTATTTGTGTGAAGAAATACCCACTGCTGAGCAGCTCACTGCTGCTATTCGTCGCGCTACTATTGACTTGAAATTCACTCCTGTATTGATGGGTTCTGCATTCAAAAATACAGCAGTTCAACACCTCTTAGATGCTGTCGTTAAGTTCTTACCCAATCCTACCGAAGTTACAAATACAGCTTTGGATATTACTAATGGTGAACAAAAGGTGAATCTTGCTTCTACTTCTTCGAACCCGTTCGTTGGTCTTGCTTTCAAATTGGAAGAAGGCCGTTATGGACAATTGACGTACATGCGCATTTATCAAGGATCTTTGAAGAAGGGCTCCTTTATCACTAATGTAAAGACTGGTAAGAAGATTAAGGTTCCTCGTCTAGTGCGTATGCATGCCGCTGATATGGAAGATGTGGATGAACTCGGCGCTGGTGAAATTGGTGCTATGTTCGGTGTTGATTGCTCAAGTGGCGACACTTTCACCGACGGTACTCTTCAATACACTATGACGTCTATGTATGTTCCCGAACCTGTAATTTCACTTTCTCTTACTCCTAAAGGTCGTGAAACTGGTAACTTTTCGAAAGCTTTGAACCGTTTCCAAAAGGAAGACCCTACATTCCGTGTCCATGTTGACGCCGAGTCGAAGGAAACCATTATCTCCGGTATGGGCGAACTTCATTTGCAAATTTATGTCGAACGTATGAAGCGTGAATATAATGTTGATTGTGTTACCGGTAAGCCACGTGTGGCTTTCCGTGAAACTATTACTGCACCTGCCAAATTTAACTATACGCACAAGAAGCAATCTGGTGGTGCTGGTCAATTTGGTCGTGTTATGGGTACTATTGAGCCTATGACACGTGATGAGGAAACTGGAAAGGATATTGACTTTGAGAACCGTGTGGTAGGTGGTAACATTCCTACCAACTTTATACCCGCTTGTGAAAAGGGCTTCTTGGATGCACTAGAAAAAGGTCCTTTAATTGGTCATCCTGTCAATGGTGTACGCATGATTTTAGAAGACGGTGCTGCTCACGCTGTTGATTCCAGTGAATTGGCTTTCCGTACCGCTACAAAGAATGCTTTCATCGAAGCTTTCAACAAGGGCCGACCTACTATCTTGGAACCTATCATGAACGTTTCCATCACTGCGCCTACTGAATTCCAAGGTTCTGTTATTGGTGGTATCAACAAGCGTAAGGGTACTATTGTGGATACAGACGTTCGCGAAGAATATTTCAATGTTACAGCAGACGTTCCTCTCAATGACATGTTCGGTTACTCAACTGAATTAAGATCTGCCACTCAAGGCAAGGGTGAATTCTCTATGGAATATAAGGAACATCTTCCTGTACCTACCCACGTTCAAGAAACACTTGTCCAAGAATACAAGAAGGAAATGGCCAAGAAAAACAAATAGATCGAGATATGAAACCTGTATGTACTATTATAACCTCTATAATTTTATTGGGCAAACCTGTTATAACCAAATCCCGTTTCCATAATGAAGAAAAAAATCAGATGGAACTGATGATAACTGTATAAAATTAGATATGTATTCAATCGTTATATGTTTTTGCTTATGTAACTCCTTAAAAGTAAAAAAAATTTTAAAATTGATCCTTTACATAGTATGTCGAGAACTATTTCTGTAGTCATTCATCAGCTTGATTCATGGATTAAGGGTCCTTAGCCGAACATTTTTGTCCAAGAAGGACTTGTAAGCATTTTTTAACGCGAGGACACATCTTTTCGACGGGGACACTTTTAATTTTATATTTTTTTTACCATAGTAATGTCTTGTTCTGTCCTTTAATAAACAATGTCAATATTGGTGCAGCATCATGAAAATTTTATCACTTAGAACGTTGCACTGGAGCGGGATGACAGTTAAACTTTCCGACTTCATTGTTTTTCAAAAGCTGATGTCGAAGAACAATCTCTATATTGCTATCGTGATCAATTGCAATTTCACAAATGTTGGGGTATGTTGTCAAAAATCGTTGATGTCTTCAGGGTATGTTGGTAGACCAGCATAGTCAATTATGCCAAGCCGTACATCTTGTTGTAAGTAATATAGACAACTAGTGAGATCGGCGATGTCTCCTTGACAGTCTTTTAGCGATGCGAGTATGGTTTGGATTGATGGCGAATCTCGGGTTCAAGATTGGAGCCTTCGCTGCACAGCATTGGCTTACATAAACTTCCTGACATTTCAGCCGAAAATGCAACTTGTCGACCATTAGCTGCAGCAAGTGTGAACGAGACATGTCAGTCTCCTTAGTTGTTGACTTTCGTGCATAGCCAATGTTAAGGACGTCGGGACTTGCTCGAACATGCTGCCAATATGATGACATGGAATCGTTTAATTCGATTAGATGTTCCCGCGTTTCTTTTCGCAGAATCCAAAGATTTCGCCCGTATTTGACTTTTCCATTCAGCCTGGCTTTTTCTAAAGGTCCCCAAACTATAGACTGACCAACCCAATACTGTAACTGCACTTTATTGCATTTTCGACTGAGGCTTGGAAATATGTCAATCATTAATTCATACTGCATTGCTGCAGTAACAAACCGATGCTCGAAGAAACTGCCAATGGCGGGATCGACAGTTGAGCCAATAGTTTTCATTATGTGCAAAACTCTCTGTTTGCAATAAGGTATAATAGGTCCGTCAAACTTGCGTTTTTGGCCTGACCCTTATTATTGTCTTGAGGTTTGTGGGCGGCATCCTTCTTGCGTGTTAAATTGTCGACGTCGTCTTCACTATCAGTTGTATTGCCATCACCGCTGTCAATGATATCGTCCTTTGATACCTCGGTGGGCGAAGAAGGGGTGATGGAGGATATGTTAAAAATGTGTATGGATGTCGTTCATGGACATCCAACCCAATTGCTGCCGGTCACATAGGGTCTTGACCACGAAAATAGAAGAATAAGCCGTGTTTCTTGAGATGCTTCTTTGCTATCTTCGGATTTTGATATGTTTACATCTCATATGAGTATTTATAAAGCTTCTGTCACACTTTATAGTACAAAGTTTAAGGATGGAAGAGGCTATTGAATGTACCCCTTAATGAGCAAGACACTGTTATAAGTTTAAGGACGACAATTTTCACAAGTGTATCAGTCTGAGATAGAAAAGTTTAAGAAATCTTTATTTGTTAGGAACGAACTGTTAATTTACGGCCTGAGCACGCACAGAACAGAATGACCCACAGGAAAAAATAAAAATCATACATTTTAACAAACTTGTACACAAAAAAAAAAAACCACAATTAAACCTTCTTTTCTTTTCTTTCTTCTATTCTTTTTTTCGTTCGTTTGGTTCCCGCAATCACGGCATCTCGAAGCATCAACACATTAGCACACTATTGCTAAATCAATACACTCATTCAAAAGCGGTGACGCATAAACCAGATTTATGAATTCAACAACAACCTTGGGCAACGATTCACTAAGTATAGTCGAACCTCATGGCGCACTATATAAAATTATTGGCGTATCGTTAGCAATAGCGAGTGGTAAAGTTAACGGATGTTTCAATAACGGTTTTATCGTATTAATTATGTTTTTCACATGACTTTTTCTTAACTCTTCTGCTTTATTCCTAATATGCATAGGTGTCTTTATTGGTAGTAGTTTTGTATTCAAAAAGAAAGGATTATTACAATCAACCGAGAAATCAGGTATTTGAAAAAAAAAAAACCAAAAACAAACAAAACTATGCGACTATGCTATACAGGATAAACGCAATGACAAATGTCAGACACCATTTTATTTATTTTATTCATTTCTAAATTTGATAAATAAAGGTCGAAATGCTGGCGAAGGATATGGATATTTGAAATCGACGATGTGGTGGACAGGAATGATATTAAGTAAAGTGTAAAGAGGCTTTTTATGTATCGTTTATTATGTTAACATACACCCTTTTTGTTATCCAGTGGTTGTTGGGGAAGCCTGTAATTTTGTTGCATATGCATTTACACAAGCAATATTAGTGACACCCTTAGGAGCATTAAGTGTTGTGTTAAGGTATATATAGAAAGAAAGAATCATATGAAATTGATATAAAATCAAGGCACTAAGATGACGACAAAATACAGCGCTGTCCTTTCCTCTGTTTTTTTGAAAGAAAGACTGTCGTTTCAGGGAAAAGTAGGTTGTTTACAATGTGTCCTCGGTGCAATCATTATTGTCATGCATGCACCAGAACAAGGTGCAGCTGATAATTCCATTGACACTTTCAAGTCCCTTATGTTTTCTGTGGGATTTTTGGTTTACGCCTGCTTAGCTGTCGGCATCTCTCTCTTCTTGGTGTTTTATTGTGGGCCACGTTGGGGATCCAGCAACATGTTGGTCTACATCTGTATTTGTTCTTTGATTGGCTCTCTCTCCGTTGTCTTTACTCAGGGCATTGGAGGTGCCATTGTTCACTCTCTTACTATCCAGAATCAATTCACCAACTGGTTCGTGTATTTAGTCCTGATTTTAACGTTGGTAACATTGGCAGTAGAGATCATCTATCTCAACAAAGCGCTGAATATTTTCAATACAGCCGTCGTCACACCTACTTATTATGTCATTTTCACCACTCTCACAATTGTCAGTTCTATTACCTTTTACCGAGGATTCGATGCTTCGCCAGTCAATGTTGTTACTTGTGTATTTGGATTTTTGATTATCTGTTCAGGAGTGGCTTTATTACAGCGTTCAAGAAGTGAAAAGTCAGCAAATGGGACCGGTGATGATATGGATGACGAAGCTTTTTTGATGGATGATCATCGTGAACGATATCTACCCTCTGTTGGAAGTGAAAAGTTCTTATCATCGGAGGAAGATGAAGGAGAAGATGGAACAGAACATGTAGAAGTATCCACCTCGGCAAGAAGAAATTCTTTATTATGGCATCGATCAAAACCATCTATGGAGGAATACAATAATGTTGAATTGGCTGCTTACTCGAACGGTGTTTCCGAACTTACAGAGAACATTGGGCTATCAACGCTGAAAAAACCAAACATGACAACGACATCAGCATTATCGAACAATAATAAGGATTCAGGTAATTTGTCAACAATAGAACCGGTTTAGGGTGATGTGGTAGTCATGCATTGTCGTTTTGATTCTTTACTCTACATCCTATAGTGAACATATCCGTGAATAATAGCTATGAAGAAACGAGCAGTCATAATTCAAGAAGTAATGTTAGAAGAGCGCAGGATTCGCTTGATACAATTACGACTAAGAGACTAGGGCTTAACAGGGATCATGACAACGATACAAAAGGTCTAATAAGTAATGGTAACGAACATGGAGACGATGACTATTTACTATAAAGCACACTCTTGATTTCGATCAGATTTGTATAGTACTCTTTCTTATTTTTTGTATATTAAATTCTTTTTTGTGTTTATAGTTCAATAGACAGTTACCCCTTTCTACTTTTTAGTTTGCATATTTATTCTATAATATACACGCATACACTCATAATATATCGTTTTTATGTTGATCTTTGAATAGAGTGAAGAAATACATATACAATGAACTTAAGATAGAAGTTCGAGCTGGTTCTTTCTAACTATTGGATCTAAAAAATTGGCACCTTTGACCTTTTATTATACAGCCTTTATTATGTACTAATAACAGCTTACCCATTATGGCGCTCTTACCATTGACGGGCATTCAAATGCTTAATGCGTTGTTCAATTTGATCAACGACTTTCGTTAAAGGAGCAAAAAATGAATATTTCTACTTCCGTACGAGACACTTTCGAATTTTTTAGTGGACAATTTGAGCTTTATTAGGAGACGTTTCTAGGTTAAACAGGATACGAATTGAAATACCTGTAAGATCTTTACACTTTAATTGGAGACATTACTTTGAAGGTTATTAGATACTCTTCAATTGATAGCGGCACTACGTCTAAAGCACTATGAGATGTACTAAAATTTTAGCGCGACACAGGTTTTATTAGTAATAGACATAGGGTTGTGGTATACGAGACGTTCTTTATGGATCAGATAAATTGATCTACGGGTTCTTTTGCCACATACGTACATAACAATTGTTGTTGTCAATCGTAATAAACAATAAATATTGTCAAACTCGAAGCATTTACAGAAAGTTGCCTTTCCTTTGATTTCCATCTTCTTCTTCTTATTCTTCTTTCATACTTTCTTTCCTCATCCTGATAGCTACTACTCACCATGTACAAAGCCAAAATCTTGCAAAAAATCAAATCGGTGACAGAAGCCCATAAGAATAAAGCCAAAAACGAGTCCTTCGGTAAGTAACACATGAGCGCGCTGCCACAAATAAGTTATAGTGGTAATCCTCTGATCATGTTTCGTATGACTAGTGAACGTCGAGTGCAAGGATTGCAAAACACGCGGACATTTCAACAAGGCATACCATGAATGCAAGTTTTACAAAGCAGTTTCTGCGCGTGATGGTAAGTATCATGCTCTCGCTACAGGATGATTTTATGTTTGCTTAACGCAAATTTAGTTGGAAGTAGCGGCAAGAAACGTAAGCAATTAGCTACAGTCAAGGAAGGAAAGAAGCAAACAACTGAAAGATATCAAGTGCATCAGTTGTGACTTAAAGGGTCATTCTACTTCTCGTTCCCTCTGTATCAAGGCAGCAAGCGTGCTGCAGATACGATGGTGAACATGCTTGTTGATGGAGGTATCAGATACGACGAAGAATTACGGAAAAAAAGAAGGGAAGAACAGATGAAATAGCCAAAGAAGAAGGGCAAACCTAACTTAGTAAAACAAGAAACAAAAAGAAACCGAAAGAGAAAGAGAAGCAGGGAGAAGAAGAGAAAGAGGAAGATAACCACGTTCGGTAAGTCTTGTAGCGATTAACTGTCAACTGAATTTGCGTATACTCACTCTATTATCTTTCTTCTAGAAGACGATGGATTCCTGAGAAATTCAGGTTGAGTGATAGCAAAAAAGTTCCTCTGATTGTATTTGGTGACGGCATGTTCAACAAATCCGCCGTTCATCTAAAAGGCCTTAGAACTGGTGTCGTTGGTGTTCTTTCGCGTGTCTTGAAGCGAAGAGAGGCTGCCGGCGAATTACTAGTGATAAGTATTGATGAATATCTGACCCCTCGAACATGCAACAATTGCCGCTCCAACACCGTTGAACCATTGAAGACTGTTCCAGGCCAAAGCATCCTTGCCTGCAAAACTTGTTCGATACTTTGGAACCGGGACGTCAACGCTGCAAAAAACATGTTGGCAATTAGCGTGTCGATATGGAAGTTAACATAAAGACCTACTGAGTTTTGTAGAAAACCAAGGCGGTCACTCCTCCAAACGCCAGAACGAAACTGGTTCGATTTTTACAGGTAGACCCTTTATCCAGAAAATTGTAGTGGCGGCTCGTGAATTTTCTGCGGAATTCTACACTTCGAGTGAATAAAGTATTCAACAAAAATATAATAAAGCCTGAGAAAAATACCTTTTATCTAATAAATCACTGAAGGCAATTTTCTAAAAGAATACTTTACTTTTATATATCTTAAAGAAAACTAAGGAAAGAACAAAGATGCGACAATATTGTCGATTAATCTTTTGAATAGACTTTGAGCATCAGTATAAGTTCTGAAGTAGCCGATTCTACGTCCTTTCTTGGAAAACTCTTGACAGTTTATTCTTTTCTCGGTGCCTTGTATTTTCACAAAACCCTTACCCAATCCATGTCTACTTTTCTTTCATTCAGAGTCGATGTTTTTTAAAAGCTTTTGAATGGTGTCCTGCTGCTACTGGATTAAGCTCTTTGAAGTAGGCTTCCGGCAAAGAAGTGGATAGTTACTACATGTGTTTACACGTCTCAGAATTGAAATTCATGGTTTGGATACATTCTTATACACTTTGTATTGATATAAACCTCTTCAATCAGCCTCAAGTATTCTTCCGTACTGAGCGTTATCATATGTTCGGTCATCCCAACAACGCCAAAAACCACAATTTTTATTAGTACATAATAAAGGCTGCATTACTAAGATCAAAGGTGCCCATTTAGTCTTAGTGGTCGTCTGAAAATTGTAAAAGTGAGTAGTTCATGCAAAGTTTATATTGAGGAGTGGAATCACTACGGCTGTTTCATTCGCTGTTGTTGTAGGTTGGTAAAGACTGTATAAAATTGCTTACCGAACTGCTTATCATCAGCAATGAATTGAAATGAATCTTGCTGTCTCTTTGTTCGAATGAAATAAGAATGAGGGACATAGATATCCTCATCTTCATCTTCATTCAAGGGTTTGATCGGTTGAATTAAATCTTGGTAGTGGATGAGGTCTAAAGCTTCTTTACACTATTCAAATATACCTTATTAGTTTATTATAAGGCGATCAAGCATTTACTGTATTCTTTTACTTACCAAGCTGTCCTGAAACAGAGACAAACAGTCATCTTTCATGATGAACAGCCGTCTTTTGCGAAACTTTTTACAATGAAAGATTTTTCGATGAGAATACTGCAATATTCATGTCACTCGTTCATTTATGGGCCAATACTTTACCGGACTACCATTTTTTACCACAGATATGTATCCACTCATATGTATTTTTGGACTCAAAGAGTATGTATTTTTTGTTGTGGTGATTTGCAGTTTATTTGAGGTATTCTTCCCATTGAAATTCTCTGCCGCAGAAGACGGCGTTCTACGCTCCTTGTCTACCGAGTGTTCGGCCGTTTGTCCAGGCTTTGACTCAGATATAGTATATTCTTCTGTATACTGCAGTGTTGCAGATCCCTTGTTGCTATTCTTTTGATTTAACAAGTGAACTGGTTCCTCACTAAATGCTGCTAAACTACTTTGAAGTCTTACAGTAGTTGGATGATGCTGTTCTTGTTGTCCCTCTACTATTGCAGCTTTTTGATGTATATCATTCGTTGCTGTGTTATTTAATAGATTGCTTGATGTGCATTGCATAGCACCTGTTATTATTGTGCTGTCCGAAGTAATAGAAGTCGGCGTTGATAAAGAGGGCGTCATAATAATCTGTTGGATTTCATCCACATCATCTTGTTGCTTATTGTAATGAATATCTCTCTTTTGGGCCTGGTTACTATTATGCTGAAGAAGGTGCATGTTTAAATTTGTCTCTGATAGAGCATCTTCCGTTGGGAAAGGTGTGAATGGTAGGTTAGCATGGACATCGCTTTTCTGCCTTCTGTCAAATAACTGTTGCTGAGGTTGTTGCTGTTGGGATATTAAAAAGGCTGCGGATGAAGATCGTTTCGAATATCGCCGCTTACTACTTTGTTGTGATTGTGGTTGCTGCTGCCTTGATGATGGCTGTTTTACACCATTTTTCAGTTTTAGTTTGCAGCAAATATTAAGGTCATCAAAGTCATTTAAACGAGCTGCTAATATATCAATATGAGGTATTTCGATCAAATTGCTGGTGATGTATCTACTGTGAACCAGAGCTCTAGCTGTAACATATATAAGTTCTCCTGTAATGATTTGCCCAAGAAAGAAACATGTCTGTTGATTATATTACCTCTTGTAACACCACTATTATATCACATACAATAAAAGCATTTAATTATTTGATCTCAATTTGATTTTAAAGCTTTCACAGCGCGCCACAAAATTCCAGACTCTATAAATCTTACCTGATTCGTTCTGGGATATAGGTTATAAATGCGAATTTCCCTTCAATTCTGACAAAGCCAAATAAGATTTCGTTTGTCAAATTATTTCGAAATTCACTGCAGTTAATATAAACAAAGAATACGGAATGAGATTAATAAGATATAATGCACATATCTTCGCACAATGGGAAATAGAATGCATCTATATTACCTTAAACCTTGGTTCCCATAGGCATATAAGGAAATGGTATCTCTTGTGCCATTATAACCCAAAATCAACCTGAATATGAAATTCAGGAAAAGGTCTGAATTTCTTTGTTCTCTCTTTTTTGGTACCTGAATTTTATGCATAAATTACTTGTTTCTTACCAGTCAGTAGATTCATCGTCGACAATGGAGATGTAAGTATTGAGAATCCGAGGATCGCTAATATCGCACATTCTGGTAATATTGTATGGTTTCTATTTTTGACAGTAGAATGAAATGCAAAGGGATAATAAAAGGGGGTTAGTGCTTGTTGTAATGAATGAGAGGCAGAGGAGAGAGGTCTAGGAAATAGCAGTCTTTGATGGATACTGCAGTTGCAAGGATATTTCAAATCAATATTTAGAAAAAAGAGAAGCAAAATATTTCAGACAAGTCTGTCTCGTAGCTGTTTTATTACAATGAGCCCTTTCATATATTTTGTGGTTGACATGCTAAAAACAGCAATTGAAAATGTTTCCGGTGGCAAAAATGAAGTAGTGGCAAACTTTGGCAATGATGCATGGGCGAACATAATTGAAGAACCGATCTGACGTTTATGTGTGTGCTTAACCTTTTTCATACAATTTGCACAATTTGCCTTCTATTGTCTCAATATCCTTTCTGATTGGAAGTGAATATGTAAAGATCAGAACAGGAGTAGCTGCTATGCACAAATAATCTGTGCTCCTCTAAGATTCTCCATATTTAGGGAGTAATCGTCGGGTAAACTTTATGAAAATTTTGACTTGCCTTGTACTTCTTAAAGGATTCAATACAGCCATATAATTACTAATGATAGCTTATATCTTACATTAGAACGAGTATTTGAGCCGTAACAATTCAATAACTGCCCGTCTGCATGTACCCTAATATTGAAATAAATAACAATAAATTAGAATAGCATGAGTCCCGGTACTCATTCTCCTTTGTAGCACATAAGCGTAAATACGTTTCAAGTGTTTAAAGAATCATTTTGCTATGATTACGATTGGCATTTGAGATATGGCAGATAGTATTCTTTTATTCTGTTCAGAAAGACAGCACCTATCAAAACGTCAAAAGATTGCTATTTGCTCTTTTCCAAACTATCATAGTATTGATGCTTACAATGCCAAAAGAAGTTTTCGTCATTTCTAAGTTCTCGTTTTGGTAAGAAAAAGGTGCCCAACATATTTTTTTTCCCTAAGGACACATCTTTTTTCTGAGGGGACATATCTTATAATATCTCTATTTTCTCTCTTTTGCCATGCAATAACCAACCGGTAATACACTGCAATAGCATTCTATAAACAGCTATACCTGTAACCGCATCTGCAACTATAAAATTTTAAAACATGATGCAATATCGGCTTGCACAAGTATTATTGGCGCTCAATCTGCCATCTTCTTTTGTGTTCGATTCTTGGACAGCGCGTCACAGTCATGTTATAGGTATGTTAAATATAAGCACATCAAACAACGATTTTGACTCTTGTGCTTTTCAATTTACTGAATGATGTCTGGGTGTTCAAATTCGAGTAAACGCACCTAAATATTGCGAAATCAATAGTGTCATTACTCATTAGAGTAAATATTATTCATATTTCTGTACAATAGCGTTTCTTGGTTAATATACTGTTTGATCTAATTGCAAGGCTTTTCTGTGCACCTTGATATGAAAGTTAGTCGAGCGTTACATATAAACTCCTTTGTAAGTGAGAGAAGAAGTTGATTAACTTAAAACCCCTCCCCCCCCGCTTTGCTGCTTGTCGTATACTCGTTAGTTCATAACGTAAGTGGGAAGCATTGCTCTAGATCCACTCCGTTTGCCCAGTCTACGGATACTCCCGTTCATTGGACTGACAAAATGCTTAGTAAAAACTCTGCATCTTTCTCAAAAGTTCAGCATTTTGTTTTTCAGCAGCAGATGAAATTGTATGCGCCGATTGAAAGGTACTTTCCTTACTCTGACTCTCTTTTTTCCTTTTTTTTTTTTTTTTTTTTTTTTCTCTAGACATTCTTTTTTTTGCAATGAAAGATAAAGATATTAGCCTGTTAGAAAGTCTTCCTGTAGAGTTACAGATTCAAATTTTTTCTCTTCTTGACAATACAGATTTAGTGCTTTGTTTGACAATCTGCAAAACTTGGTGCAACCTTGTTCAGCAAAAATCTCTCTTATATCAATCCGTAAACATCACCAATTTAAACGACTTTGAGAAGTTATGTAGTTTCTTTAAAAGGCATCCAGAATTTCGGCCATTGGTTAAGAGGCTTTGCATTGAAGAAATAGGGCTGCCTCTATCAGAATTACCATTACTTCCAGCGACCTTTCCTAACGTGGAAGAATTTTATTATTACGAGGAAAATAAACCCTATAGGCAACTCTTGTATGGTCCAGAGACGCCCGGAAAATGGAATGCGGTTGAAGCGGGAAAAGCATTCAGTGCTTGGAAAGATAAATTGAAATGTATCCACGATTTAGGTACACCTTTTTCTGCTCTTGCATTACTATCAAAAGGACTATGCGTCAATTTAGTTCACATAACCATGAGCTTTATTGGAATGGAAAACGAAAAAGAAAAACTCAAATTCATCAAAAATCTCGCTCATGCACCCAACCTAACCTCTTTACGGACTTCTTGGATCACTTACGGCAAGAAAGATATAGAGAATATTCATAAGTACGCACCAAACCTGCGAGCATTATCTTTTTATCAAGTTGGATTTTTTAGTGGCAGAAGCAAACGCGCTGAAGTTACTGTCGAAAAGACAGCTGATAAGATTGAAACTCTTACGGCTGAGTATGCTAGTTTCCTTGAACCCGAAGGTCCCTGGATACGATATTTTGCTCAGAAATACCCCAATTTAGAGAATTTCATTGTTTTACGAGGAGATGATGAGGATAACGACAAGTACCATTACGAGGACAACCCTAACGGAACATCGGATTATCAACTACTTGCAACAAATTGCAAAAAATTAGAATGTTTTCGCGCTTACGGTTTGAAATTCGATAAACCCTTCCTTCGCGCATTGGATAATGGTGGTATACAGTTGAAGACGATGGCGCTGGGTACGCATCATACTCATCGTTTCTTTGAACTATTGATGAAGTCCAACCAAATCAACTCTATTGAATCATTAACTCTATCTGGCTGTTGCTTTGCTGATATGACAAAGTATCGAGAGCCTTCAATCAACTTTATAAAAAAATTAGCCAAGTTTCCAAATCTCAAACATCTCAGAATCAATGAAAGTAAGGAAGAAGTGATGGGGCATGACCATAACCGTGTACCTTTAGACCTTTTGTTACAAAACTTAAGACACATACAATCGATCACCATGGATTTTGCGACGTTTGAGATTGCTGAGGAAACAGATACCCCCTTCGATACAACGTTGAAGAAATTGATTTTGGAAGAATGCTACGTCGAAGCCGCGAAATACAAAGGGCAGGACAAAATGCATGAAAAGTCAGAAGAATTTTTGATAAAGAAAAAGTTGCCCAACGCAAAGATTATTTTTAGAGGTATGGATGATGCCCCAGATGATGAAGATTGGCGACACTTATATAGTTATAAGAGCCATTTCATTTAACAGATGCTTGCTGACATTCGTAATTATCGAAGCTGCATTATACAATACTTAAATGCTACATCTGTTACATTGCTATCTTGTATATTTCTTATTTCTAACTGTATAATATAAGTTTCATCTGTTCTCGCTGTACATATTGTTAATAAAAGTACGACCACTAGCCTCTTTGTTCAATTCTTGGGACGGCAACGCCAAGTCTCAATCATCTTTGACTCGTAGTACCAATACAATGGACAGTGTGCTTCCAAACACAATAACGGTAGTGCAATGTGCGATTATTATAAGCATCTTATGCATGTAGATTTTACTTAAACCCCTTCCGTTTGTCATTATGGTGCATAATAAAGTGCCAGGGTAAAAACTCAACTTTATGTTGCCTACATAGAAAAGATCATAAAAAGAATAAACCGGCTTGTACTATTTGTTTTATACATTTAAGGGAGTTACAGATAAGAAAAACATAATAATGAACAGTGATATTTCTGAATCTTTATTGTAGACCCTTGTTTTTCATATTCAGCTCTCCGTCAATCAGAGTCTCCTGAGCATTGTTGCATGGTAATCCAAATTTAAAGGGGAACCCCACTATATTAAAGTTGTTCCATGGCTAAAACCAAGGAGACAAGTGTGTGCATTTTGATGAAAAAGCTCGTGATACTTCTATAGAAGAAGAAAAAAACAACATATTCTTGCTGCTTTCTTTTTCAACTTCTCCCTTTATTCTAAAAGTTTTCAATCGTCACAAATATTCTTAATCTACTTCATCATCGAAAATTATGCGTGTACTAGGCTGTATACAGAAAACTAAATTCATAATTGAGCGCCTGCAAAACTATATCGTAAATAAAGATCAATACGTGAGTCTCTTGTAAAAACGACACAACAGCTTTCCATTAGACCGTCCGTTGATGCTGACATGATATTTCTATTTACATTCTTCTAAAGCCGTATATTTGCCTTTGGCAAACTTTAGAATCAGCTCTTAACGTTTTGTATATATTTGTGCCAAAATTTGTAACTTATCGGCAACTGCATGTTTCTTCCTCAGCAGAAGATACATCAAGAGTCGAAACAGACGCTGTTGTGGACGAGCATGTTGCAGCTATTATCAACGCATCCGCCCTAATTGCTTCTATTATTATGGAAATTCTGGCTAAATTTAAGATGTATGAAGACATTACCAAGCAAATCTTGGACGATAATAGTAGATTATTGTATATGATTTCTGAAATCAAAACACTAGTGAAGACGCCAGCTTTTTCCAGAGACGATTACATGGTAAATGGCATATTTACGCATGATAGACAGTGAACGGTGACTTCAAATATTGACCAAAGTTATTTAGGTTATGGTCATAGACCAGTTGCATACTTTGCTAAAGTCTTTGATGTTTGTTTTTTCGATGCACGATGAGTTGGAAGAACAACAAAAAGATGATTTCGTTGAAAACTCAACTTCACTAAGGCAACAAGGGTATAATTTAACAGCTGAAGATTGTGCACTGAAGTCTAGCTTATCTACAATGGATTTATTGCCGCAGCAAGCTTTTTCACTACAGAAACATTATGATTATGTGATTCCACGATATGGTAACGATGATAAGCGTATACATAGCATTACCTTTGTGATAAATATAACCAGTTTTACTAACCACAGTCGATTTATTTGACCATCAATTTACCAGACAATGAAAACACAAAACTACCGACACACTCAAAGAGGTATGAACAACATAATTCTAGAGGAGTACCTACTTTATTGTTTGAATATAGGGATGTATAACTGAACTTGAATTTCTTTAATTTATAGCAGCTCGGAAGTAGAGTATAAAAACGCCAACAGCAACAAAAGTAAGTAGAGTAACGCTATGTACCAAATATTTAAGATCGAGAAGCAGTTATTAAAACCTTCACAAGTAAATGAATGCCTTATCCGTGGGTTTACAGGTTCCAAAAACTCGCAAAATAATTTGATGGTCGACCCAAGCAATAGAATTAACCAATACTGCAGCCAACGGACAAAAATTGACGAAGAGCGTCATTTTTTAATCAAAAATGATGACAGTGTCAAACCAACAGAAAGCAGAAGCATAACTTTCAAAACAAAGAAAAGTGAAGAAAAGCTTCGATTCAAAAAATACAATGGATTAAAAGCTGGTGAATTTTCCATTCTGGAACGGAAACAGAAACAATACACAAAAAGGGCCACTGGTATTCAGCAAGGAAAAAACAGAAGAAATAATTTTATGCAGTTCAATGATGAAGATAACGCTATAAATTTAGAACACCTATTTATGAGGCTGACTGACGCCGAAAATGAGAACGAAGAGTATATAGACACGTTTTTAATCGCGCATTCATTCTTCACCACTTCGACACGGCTATTGCAATATCTCATAGCTCGATTTTACTGTAGTAACACAATGACAGGTCCGCAGAAAACTCAATCGAGGTAGCAGCAAATCTTTTATAGACTAGCTTTTTTGATACATTCCGTAGCTCAATATGCTTCTCGTTCGTTCCATTAATAGAATTCTCAACGTTATATTACGTTGGATCAAAATACAATTCGAAGTTTTTGCGCTCAACCCGAGGCTTTTAACTGACCTTCAAGCGTTTTTGGATGAAAGCCTGAACAAAAAATACTACACATTCGAAGTAGAAATGATTAGAGAAGCAATACAAATACAAGTAAGGTGTAGGAGCTCATTGATTTATAAAGTTTAAGCGATTGAGGTTTTGCTAAATTCATATCAGTTAGTGCAAAATGAAAAACCGTGCCTTTATTCTCAACATTATATCCCGTGTCTTAACACTACTTCATCACTCACAATGGCTTCAACGACAGGATTTACGCCTCCTATGTCCCCTAAATCGAGTCATGACGGCTCGACAACACCATTACTCTTTCAACAACCAGAAGAGATAGCTATGTATTTAACCTTGGTAGATTTTGCTAATTTGAAATGTATTACAACCTATGATTACTTAGATATGTACAGCAGGTCCCTTTGTGACAGGGAAACAATGCAAGCCACCCATTACGTTGAAAGTACTTACAATCTGTTCGTCAATTCAACAGATAATAGTGAAAAAAGAGTGGATTATATTAAGCTCATGGCTGAGAGAACAAATAGCTTAACAAAATGGGTTACAGATACAATTACAGTGCATCAATTAGGTAGTAAGCAAAGAGCAGCGATAGTACAGAAAATGATTGAAGTAGCAAAGGTAGGATGCTTGATCTGAAAGGTTTATTATGTAAGCATTCTAAATTGTAAGAATCTCTGCCCAACAAAAGCTCTGTTTAGATTGGAATAACTTTCATACAAGTATGACGATCACTTTGGGATTAATGAAACTACCTGATGTACAACCTGAAACTGTATTGAGCAGCGCCAAGCACGATCGGCAATATCTATCACTTGTCCCTACTAATCCGTCTCTCTCACATCAAGCAAAGTCATACTATAAACACTTAGTGAAGTATACCGATGTATCTAGCAATATGAGATATTACAGAAGTGCCCTTGCGAAAGTAAGATCGAATAAGAACAGCAACCAAATCTCTCAACCATGCATACCTTTCTTCCCAATCCTCTTGAAAGACTTGCACTTCTTGATGGATGGCAACGAGACAAAACGTTCTAACGATGGACTTATAAACTTTTCAAAGTTCCGTTTGTTGAAGAAGATGCTGGACACGATATCAAGTTATACAGCTTCATGCTACTGGTTTGCTTCAAATATCGATCAATATCCCTTCTCGAATGATATGTTTCGTAAAGATGTGTTTCATACCTTATTGAACAAAATTTCTCTTTCAACCGCTACGCCTTTTGTAAAAGAAAAAAACAACAACAATAATATCGATAATACTAGCTGCCAAATAAAAGTAGTGGGAAGAGTTGCGTATTCCAGTAATATGGCATCATTATCAATGTCGCCATACAATTAACATAAAAGCCGGAATTGTTGGCATTAAGAAGTATTTATGATCCAGGCCTTACGAAATTACAGTATAATATCGATTTAACCAGTCTCCATTTTGTTAAAGTCATCAATAAGCTGACATGATGATGGAAGTCATAACCATATATTTTCCTATGTTTTTATACCAGGATCATATTATACTTTTTTTTTTTTTTCTTTGTTTGCTGAAGTTGAAAAAACAGTAACCAGCCGCGATTGAAGCAGAAAAAAAAATTTAGAAAGTCTGTCTCATTTCACAGATTTTTTACACTTCTTTCTTCTCTTTTGCTAAATTAAATTAAAGGAAGTAAATCAGAAAACTGTACCTTATCTGGTAGAATTTCCTCCGTAATTCACTTGGTTTCACGCTTTTCCAACAGACAGCATCTGTAACCAGAGCCTTGTTTAACCTTACCCTACAATTCCCCTCCACTCATAAGGTTACTTTCTCTTCCCATAAAAAGATTCCAACCACAAAGGATTTCCTTTTGTCAAAAATAACCTCGCGGCTTCAACTGTTTGAATTGTAAAATTAAGAGCATATCCTTCGTAATTTAAACAGCTCTTACTCAACCTATTCACTTAGTTTATATTTGCCAAAACAAAGGTAGTCGTGACAAACTGACAAAAACCAAATCATGCAAACCACAAAGAAAACTGAACATAATTTTCTTGCTTTTTCGTTTCCAATTCTTTGATCATTTAGTCTTGTTATAATGTCTTCCGATGATGAGGTAAGGGCCTATTCTCTATACAACTCGATATAAAGCATTCGATTGAATTGTTTTTCTTTTTTCTTCTTTCTTCTTCCTAAACAAAACGCAACGACGGGACATAGCAGGCTACATGTAGTATTTGTGATGGGGATAAATCCACCAAAAGAAATCCTATCATATTTTGCGATGGAAAAGGTAAGCAATATCATTTCATAGAGAGATCTTTGATGAACCTTTTTTGCTCAGTTCGTACTTCAATATTTAGATTGTGATATGCCCGTTCATAAAAGTAAGTAGAATCCTTTTTTTAAAACATTGCACAGCTTCAGTCGCTCACACACTCGCTTTTTTTTTTTACTTTAAAACCGTTAAGTCTGTTACAAAGTAGATGAAATTCCAGATGATGACTGGTACTGTCAAAGATGTGAAAATAAGAGAAAGAAGAGACCAACCGTAAGCAATGAAATGCAAATCCTTTGTACAATAACAAGTTTACTTACATGACTCTATTAGAATATCATTTGTTGCCCTATGCAAACAGGCGCTATAAAAAGGACCGCAAGTACAGGAGAGTTCATTCATGTAGTCTGTGCTATGTGGAACAAAGCAATAGATGATAGTAGAGAGCCTTACATCGTGCCAATCAAACAATTGAACCGACATGTAAAGCTTGATTAGAATTGCTTCTAGAGGGAATTGGCATTAATTGTTCTATACCTTGAATCAATCTATAGGAATGCTATTATTGCTACAAGAAGAAAGGGTTTACAATACAGTGCGAAGAAGTTGATTGTGCCATGTATGCGAATCTACGTAAATTTAATCTATCTTCTATATTGTAAGCTAACAATATCGCCTCAAAATTAGCTTTTTCCATGCCACCTGTGCAATCAACAACGGTATCATAAATCCTGCCTCTACTGTTCCATCAGACTTTTCTCCAAGATGCGGCAAACATCTTGCCGAATATGAAAGAAGGAAAACGAAGAGCAAAAATCGTCCCCTAATAGAGACCATATCTTCTGACAGTGAAGACACAGCAATGAAGTTTGAAGACGATGAGGAGACTGAGGATGAATCCGAAGAGAAAAGTTCAGATGCATCCGGAGACAAGAAACAAAAAGCATCTATTAATAAGAAAAAAGCAGCAAAATCGAGCCACCGTAGCCAACAGCAGCAACAACAACAGTCTGTCAAAAGAGAAAGGTCACCAAACTTGGTTTTCACAGATGACAGTGATGATGATATGTGCTTGAATAATGGAACAAACGATAAGCATAAGAAGGCGCCTACTTCAATAAGTACGGCTACAAAAATAAATTCCCTAGCTATTACAAGCCAAAAGCCTACACAGCAAAACAACAGTGCTTATAGCAACAACAAAGATGGAAGTAGTAAAACAAAAGTGATTGATGAAACTCAAGATCACAAAGAACGCCTCGATATCAAGAGAAGGAAAACTGAACATCAAGCAACCAGCAGCAACAATAATACCAGACCATCCCTCAAGATTGAAGACAGCAAGTTGAAAAGCAGTAACAGTACTGTAGCCTCATCATCTATGACAAAACAAAAGCCTGTGATTGGCAATTCCAGCAGTAATATCATTCCTTCTTCAGCTTTAACGCCACCTTTAAAAAAGACCAGTGGACCAGGAATCATTAAAGATATTGCTGAGGTTCGTTCTTTTCTAGCCAAGAGTACAACATTAGGACAGTAATTAAGCCTAGCTATGTATTCCTAACGCTTTCTTTTTTTATTCTATATTTCCTATCTGTAGATACGAAATGACATTAAGGCAGATGCTCAACGTTGGAATCTGAATGCTTCTGGTAACTCAATATCAATGAACCGCAATCAACCTGCTACACCTACAACAGCGAAAGCTGGTTTTTTGGAAAATGATAGAAAAATGATGACGAATGATGAAAAAGAGGAATTCAACAGACTAAATAGACGGTTTGCTGAGCTCAAACGGAATGTTACTGAGATTTTTACATCCTTAAATCTTCGTCTTCCGAGCAATTCTGCAGTAACGCCTGAACGAGACATAGAAGCTTACGTCGCTCAGCTACAACAAATAGTAAAGCGAGCTGGGCCAATTCGTGATTCAGATATTGCTGTTATTCAAGATTGCGTAAGAAGCTCTTTCAAACAAAGGGAGTAATATCACCCTTTATATTCCACATCCCATTGCCCATAGTATCTTATATCCTTATTCTTTCTGATTTTCCTTTCTTAGATTTCCTCTTTTTTCTTTTTTCTATATCTTTTAGTTGTATATAAACATAATTCTTCTTCTTAATTTACAATTTTCTTCAATCCCGTCTATTTAATCTTCACAATAAACAGCCGCTGTTTGTTTTTTTTTACAATTTGAAGGTTCTCAAAAATACTGTAACGTAGAGGTGTTGCAAAAGAACAATCAAAAAAATTAACCGGTTAATCAACTGACTTACAATTTTTCGCTTTGCAGGATTAAGAAAAAGAAATCAACAGTTCCTGTCGGCTGAAGTGATCGTTTCTTTTTGAAATGGAGGAAAGTCATAGTAGTGATCATTCGGAAGGTCATAAAGCACTACTGGAACTTGAAAAGAAATTCAATAAGAAAGCGCGATCTTCAGCTTCAAACATTCAAGGATCTCAAATTCAGGCTTTAACGGGCTTTATCCAAATTTTCGATCAATATCCGTACCCTGTTGTGATCAATGCTGCCATTCTTAAGTTAGCTGACTGGTTTCGAATCTAGTAAATGTCCTAGCTTATTCTTCTTGTATAACGACTTGCATATTTTTGCTAACGCGTCTGAAAATGTACCTCTGGGTTTATCATTTTATTTTATTTTTTGGTTAAAGTAATAATCATGTCAAATACTATATTTACAGAGTTTTCAAAGGAGCTTCTGAATCTCAGTTATGCAAGGTCATTAACGTTGAAGAGACTGTGAGACGTATATTACCTGTTCTCGGTAGTAATGACCCTACTGCCCGAGCAATAGCTCTTCGGTATGTTCCTTATCAAAAGCAAATGAAGCAAGAGAGAATGGTCGAATATGTATTACTTTGATACTATTGTTTTCATTAAAATAACAGTGTGTTTGGTTGCATGTCGGTGATAAGCTCAAACAATTTGGATGTTCATTATGGGTAAGATGGACGAATCGAACTGTGCCATATATAAGCAGGTACTAACCAGCCCCATTAAACTGCAGTATCATTCAACAAATGGAATTAGCAACAGATCGTATCGAATTAGAAGCAGCCATTTGGGCAGCAGATCAGATATGTGCAAGATCCAAAACGTTTCCTTCAGTGATTTTTCCTAAAATAGTTGAAAAGCTTCAAAGTAAAGCCGTTTTGTTAAGTATATAGTTCTTACAGCTGAAACTAAATGTCGTTTTACTCCTTTACAACTTCAGATCCAAATACTCCTCTAGAGATAAAAACCAAGATTATAAAGATATTTCGGCACATGCATCAAGATATTGGTATGGCTAGAGAAGCAAAATCAACCTGTTTACAGCTTTTGCAAGATAAGACTACAGATACGCAGCTGGTTCTCGTAACACTTAGAACGCTGACGTTACTATCAAGCCAAGTAGTTATAGATAGAAAAGAACAGGTAACATTATATTGAATGCTGATTTATAGAGCAATGCTTAACTGAGTCGAACTATATTTTATTACAGATCGAAAGACTCATTGATTATTCCTTGAACGATGAAAGGGACCTCGTCAGATATAATGTATTTTATGATTTAGTTTTACTAGGAAGAAATGACACCATGCTGGATGAAACACACATTATTCACTTGTTGGAAGCCGTCAAAAAGTCACAACAAAACAAAAAGATTCATCTTAAAGCTATCCATTGTGCAAGAAAAGTAATAGAATCTCATCATAAATTGATCCTGCATATGATGGACCCAACCTCCTCATCTCGTGAATATGAACCATTATCTTATATACGTGAATTGGAGGCCATGATGCAGAATGCTATCCAACAACAGCAGTATACTATAACCATCGCCATAGCGAAATTATTGTACAGCATTTTGCGCATCATACTTGGTCAACAAAACCCAGCACATAGCTCAACAGCAATGGATGTGGATTCAAATGTATTGTCTGAACTGAAGGCTCTTGGCCAACGTGTGACAGAAATAATCACAAAGATGGACATAGAATTAATTAAACAGGACAAGACATTGAGAGCTATAAGCAAGTTAAGATTGCAAGAGCTTCTGAAAATCAAGTCGGATTTTTGCTTGCTACTGGATGATTGGGATTGTGATACTACATTCAAAGAAGCTTATACACTTTTGACGAAAGCCGATGGTAAGTATAAGAAATCACCAATAGTAACACTTTTTTATCATTGACTGTTCTCTTTAATGAACTTTGTTCTCAGATGATATTGTCGCGGTATTGTTGCCGTATTTGAGTTCTCTTTCTCAAAAATGTAAATTGTTACCCACCTGGTTTCCAAACGAAGCACTTAATGAAATGAAAAAGCGAATGAATAGACCGCTTATCTTTGTGAGTATGCTTTTGCTGTAGAGTGTGAGTTGAAGAAAAGCAAAGCTAACCATACTTATGATGTCGATACGTTTACACTATGCAAGGTCAATTTAAATCGATTGCTAGTTAGAACGACGAAAAGCAGTGATGAATTGATGAACCAATTGTTACCTATTTTACATCGATTTGGCAGTTTCAATCGAAAGAGAGAGAGATATCAGAGCAATGCTTGGAATTTATATCTAATAGGGCTTGAAGCGGGTCATTGTGGGTGGTATCAGCTATTGTATCTGATAATGAAGGATCTATGTCGTAATGTAGAAAAGGAGGCAAATTTTTATTGGTTAAGATCACTTGGCTCATTGGCTTTGGCTGAATGGACACTCTCACAGAATCAGCCAGGGACTGATCACTATATTCAATGTTTGAAAGAGTTAAAAGTAAGCTTAATTGACAAATAGTGAACAACAAAAAAACTTGTTTCATTTCACTAATGTTATACGTTATTTCACACAAGGCTTTATCAGCGTTTAGACAGCCACGTCCCATTCAGTCTGGTTATGTTCAATTACGGATGGAATTCATCGAGATAGTACAGCGCATGAAGGAGATTATTTCAACAACAATTAAAGATAGCAACGACAAAAAACAATCACGACAAATGCGATGTTGTGCCATTCAATTTCGCAAATTAGCATTCAAATATGACTTTCTGGCTCAATCCAAGTCAGCCAAAAAACTTGACAGGGAAATGTTGGATGCCATTGAAACGTATAAGACATGCGCTCTAGTCTGTGAACATGCCACACAAACATTTGTGGGTTCGGATCATTCATTTTTCTGTATTGATCCATCCCTCATACCCCTTATTGCTTACAACGAACCTACTATGCCAAGCGAAACTCTACAACAACTGCCAAGTCAGCATCTATTATCTAGTACTACAAAGCGAATGATGTATAGAAGCAAAGACTTTTTATGCAAGGTAATACAATGGGAAGATTCACGTGAAAATGCGGAAGTTGACTTCAGATCAGTAAGTAATCAGAAATTAGTGGATTGTACATACATGAAGAATAACCGGTTTAACAAAAATTACAGATCTATTCTGAAGATTTACGCATAGCTCTCGACACGATTTTAGCGGAGCCATTGATTTTACCCAAGTCTTTCTTCAGCAGTATGAAAAGCCCAACTTGACCATGAATTAAATATTTAATGTATCTCTTTTGCGTTCTACAAAACAGTTCTTGATACAACACATTCAAAGTAATGCATAATTTGTCTAGTGGTAGTAAGAATGATAAGGTGGGGACTAATCTACCAAAATTGAGTGCTCTACAAAATGAGCAAAGAACTCTGTCTATTATGTTCTATATACATATATAACGATTAGCAAACGATACACTTCCCGTTTTTGTCAGTTGTAGAGAGAAGTTTCGCTAGTCGTAATTGTTCATCGTCTGTAATTATTCCTTGCTTCATTTTAGCCTGTAAGTTCGCTATCTCTTGTTTTCGTGCATTCGCTGCGTTGAACCGTTCTCTTCTCTGTCTTTCCATCTCTGCCCTCGAGAATTGTTGTTGATTTGCAGAACTGTTGCTGCTATTGACATTGAACAGATGTAGTTTTGCTGATTTTTTCGTACTAGGCTTTGATGGTTTCCCTGTGCATTGATGGTCTATTGCTAAGCGATGTTTAACACAGAAGGAAAGCCCACATTCAGGACAGTGTATTGGTACTAACATTTTAGCTGTGCAGCCTTTTTTCCGACATGTATTATCATTTTTAGGTTCCAAATCAGAGCAATTACTTTGTATATGTGCATTCATCTAAGAGAATCAGGTCTTTAACATTAAGCGGTTTTTGTAAATCAAGATAATTTGACATCAACTTACTCGAACATTTGGATCATCTCCTCGTTTGACAGGTACAGGCTTGTCACATATGGGACAAATTGGTACTCTACAATAATAGATATTTAATCAGGCTTCTTTCGGATATGAATCACAATATTAATATATACCTGACGTCCATCTTTGGTTCATTTAAAATCTGACATTTGTGAGCCTGTAATTTAAAGTGATCTTGACTACGAATGATTTTCAATGATTAAATAGACTTCATTATCAGGATTCTTCAAAAAGAGAATTTTACCAGTATATTTTCTGACAATAAACACAAGTGTAAGGCAGAAAGTCTAGAAAAATATATTTCAGTCGAGGTTAAAGAGTAAGGCTGACTAAAAACTTTTCATCGTACCGTAGAGATTGCAACCCTCAGCTGTACATCGTTTTCCAAGCTCTGGAAATTCCATACTGTATAGTCGAAGAGTCTTACGTAAGTGTTTTTATTGAGAAAGAATGAAAAAAAGAACTGCATATGCTATTTTTTTCGCAAAGGTTTTTCTGTTCCTGTAAATTACTATCTTTGGCAATTCATTCCCATTCAACAGCAGAAAAAAAAAATCGAGCTTATCGCAAAGGGCGTTTAATAGATCTTTCTACTACCATTGAGCAAATTCTAATCTTTTCGATCGATTAATAAGTGAAGACACCATGTCCGCTCTTGCTGATGAAACCATTCGTAGAGTATGTAATATTTCACTCTTTTTCTAACCTGACTTAATAGTTGGCAAGTTCATTAATTCATTCTTTTTAGGTTTTTGTGGAATTGCAAAACAAGTACATCCAAAGTCAACAACAAGCTGCCACAGTAAAAGCCCAAATCACAGCTAAGCAACGTGAACGTAAATTAGCAGAGTTGACAAGACGTGAATTGGATGGCTTGGATGAAGATACAAACACTTACAAACCAGTTGGCAAAATGTAATTCTTTTCTGTAGCTGCTGATTTTTTCGTGGATTGATTTGAAAAATTAGCCTTTGACCTTTCCTCTCATTGATAGGTTTATCCAAAGCCCTTTGAGCGAAATGAAAAATGAATACGTAAGGTCAATATCTCAAGCTGATGAAGAAATTAAAAAGTTGGAGAAATCACACAAATACTTCGAACGCGCAGCAACGGATGCTCAGGCAAATCTTAAGGATATTCTTCAAGGTCCAAGAACATAGCTGTAAAATCAGCTACAGAGAGAATGTTACTTTGTGATAATTTTCTATTAATCATTATATTGAATCAGATGGCTATTTATATGTTTGTATGGTTATAGAAGAAGAAATGAATCCATTAACGAATAAAAAACACTAAAATGTGCTTCTTAAAATTTGCGAGGTTTTTGTTTGCAAAAAATGTCTAACACCAAGCGGATGGGGAGGCAACACTGGGGTGTTACTATTACTGTGTTCATCAGTGAGGACTTTCGTTTCTTGATAAGAGTTGCTAAGCTGTTTTATCGATTGGTTTTTACGGTTGGCTTTTTCCATCTCTTTTGTAGTCTTTGCACCTGCGTTTCGAAGATAGTCTGCAATATTTTTGAGATCAGCTTGTTTTGCGAGGTCAAGTGGCGTCTGTACTTGCTTCAAAACATAATGATTGGGATATGCGCCCAACTCACCGATCAGTTTCGCTACGACTTTGAATCTTTGGTTACGTATAGCATAATGCAGTGGAGTCTCATTTTTATTACATTTGGCATCAACATTGCACTGAGCATCTCGAGCAAAGACTGTGATAATCTTCAATTTGCCAGTAATACATGCGTAATGTAGAGGTGTTAGGCCTATTTTTTTGAGAAATTGGTTACTAGAGAAGACTTTGAAACGACGAGCTCTAAAATCAATTATACCATTATCGTCTTTGCATTCGATTATATCATTGTTACAGAGTTTAAGAACACACCTGGCCATGTCTTCTGAGCCACTTTGTACCGCAGCATGAAGTGCGTTTTCACCATAGGGACCCCTATCAAGCATAAGATTAGCACCAGCGCGTTCAACCAATAGTTTGACACCATTGATGTAGCCCATTTTCGCCGCCAACACCACAGGAGCAATCTTATCCTCCTTTTTTAATGTCAGTGGGTAAATGCTCCCTTTGCCTCCTGCATCAATGACTGCACGTAAAGCAGGTGTATTCTTGACCGTAATCAACGCATGGATCAAACTATATCCTTCTTTAACGTTTTTCATGGACTCTGTGTTTTTTGCTACATTTGGATCTCCCCCGCGGCGAAGGTATTCTCTACACATTGGTTATTATGAAAGTTTTATAGTTAGCATTTCAGAAGAATTTGTAATGTAAGTCGAAAAGTAATTCTTACAAGACCATATTGGCTACTTCTTTCTTATTACCATATCCGTTGGATATCGCGATCCAGAATCCATCGGTACAACCGAATTTCAAAATCTGACGTGAATTGTCATCGCCGAGTAGATTTTGTTGCTGTTGACTTAGCATACTATGTTCTCGATGCAATATTCCTCCGTCATGCTGACTTTCATTGTTATTCATGTTGGTAGTGCTGTTCATTATATTTGAGGTGGCGAGGGCGACCGGAGAAAGGAGTGAATTTGTAGAATCAGGAGATAGAGCAAGGTTTAGATCCTCTGTCTCAGATAGGACTGTAAAAATATCTATATCATCTGTTTGATTTGGATCACCACTGCTATCGTCGATTATATTACTTGAGCTATCGACGATACTAGCAAGAGGTTCAACAAAGTCGTCCGAAAACGAAATTGTGGATGTTCTAATCGATGAGGCACAGGAGGAGCGCCCAGATGAAGAGGAAGAAGATGTCGAATATCCACTCTTACCAGAGAGACAGCTGGCGTTACTCGACATGAGTAAAGACCTTCTGCTGATACTGCCACTGTAAGTGCTACTGCTAATATTGCTAAAAAGACTACTCTCACTGGCTCGATGAAAATGGTGTCTCTGTTGCTGATTTGCTAATAAAGCTTCATATCGAGTTTTGAAATACTGACACTGCTTCAGGCAACGCTCGTAGGAGTGTGATTGCGCACTTAACCGATATTGTAGGCTTTGTTTTGATTGTTCAAGTCTGTCCAAAGCGTCTATCAAAGCATCATGTCTTTCAGACCAGGACAAAATTATTTTATCCATCGCGATTTTCAAGCGGTTCTGAAGCTCTGTGCAATCAACTTCTGTAATTATGTTTCGTAGTTGCTGTTCGTGTTTCGTCTCTTCGTATTTTCGAAAGCGGGTAAATGATGGTCTATTGCCCTTATCGGTGAATGTTCTTTTGGATGTAGTAGGTGGAGCAGGTAAGGATAGCGCTCTGTAGTGATCCTCTGTATTGTTGGTATTGCTAAAGCTCTCCATTTTCCGTTTGTTGTTACTAAGCAAGTATGTGCTGCTGTATCTGATGAAGTGAAGCAAAAACTCTGTTATGTGAGGAAGCAGGCAAAAACAAAGGAAGCGAAAAAGAAAAGATAGCAGCATTTAATTCTGTAAAAATCGCTACAGTAGTATGTAAAATGAGATGGAAAGGTTATTCTATTTGCGCTTTTCTTTCGTTTTCCTCCCTTCGATTTCTACAAAATTGACTTTCTTGCACGCAGAAAACATAAGGATGATCCGTTACTATAAACAAAAGTGATAGCCCGTAGGATCCTATTGGACACTGGTTGAGTAATATGATTTGGTTTCCTCCCTCTTCTCGTTTTGCAAGAAAATTTATGCGTATCTTATACACATGCATGATAGATGTGTTCCATAGTTGTTATGTACCAAGCGTCTTCTATTTATTAATTGTACATCGGTAAATGCTGACAACGCCGTGAAAAGCTGCTTGGTTAGACTCATCTTGTGGTATTTTTTTTTTTCTTTTTTTTTAGAAGAACCAAAAGAAAAAGGTATACTGAGGATGGCAGGTTTGTTTTTTCATGCGATATATGGGGTATGTAATATGGATGTATACGTGATAATTGATTATTAAGGTTAATAAAAGTCTAACTAACAATATCTACTGCTCAAGGTCTTTCATTCTAGGAAGCTTTACAATTGCTCTTTCTACTATAGTATGTGCACCATATTTGTAGGTCTTCTTTTAATTTTCTGTCATTTCCATTTCTCGATACTCTCTTTTTCGTCTGTATCTTCCGGCACAGCTAGCAATGGCTAACGTTTAACGTAAAAAAGACAATGATGGTGTCAAACGTTAGTCAAAATTTCAACACGGGTATTCTCCTCCGCTCGCACGTAACAAGCGCCACATAATAACTCCTTAATGACAAATAACATAAAGTATAAATTGAAACACATATACTTACAATCCCAGCCTCTGGAAATGACCGAATAAAATTTGACACGAACAACCCAAACAGGAATAGCCAACAGTATGATTCCTAAGGCAATCACACTTTCAACGGGTGCTTCTATTAGTGGTGCAGTGCATAAAAATAGAGCAATGCTGCAAAAAAGTATTGGCGTTGAAATCCAAACATGATAAGGTCTTTGCAAATCAGGTTCGGTGTATCGGAGAACAAGCAAACATAATACGGCCAAAAAATGAAAGCTATTTACAAACATGTTAGTCTTCTACATGAAAACACAAGAAAACAACAGTTAAACACTTACATCCAAGCACCATAAGAATAAAAATTTATCAAAACTCTGAAAGAACCTATCATTATCATGATGGTAGTTAGTATAGCTTGTAAAATTAAGGCTGGAATGGGTGTCTGACGAATTTGATGGAGCTTTCCAAATAAACTAGGAATATGTCCTTGCTTTGCAGACACATAGATGATCCGAGCTCCTGTAAATACACTTGCATTAGCAGACTATTGTCAACAGGGGGCAAATAAAAGATATTAGGGGTAATTATTGTTGAAAGATTCACGTAAAGTTTTTAGAACAATGAAATTTGAAAATAAGCTTTGTAAAGGACAACTCACCCCGAAGCAACTAAAAGCAACACAGACAGCAAATATAATACCACCGGCTGGACCAAAAATCTTTTTTCCAAAATCCATAGAAACCGTATTTGTATGCATCACAACCTCCGGTCTTAACGCTGCAAGATAAGCAACGTTGGAAAGCATGTAACACACGATAACCAAGGGTATGCCGAAGATGATGACTCGTGGCAAATCTCTGTGTGAATCCTTCATTTCGCCCGATACATAATTTAAATTATTCCAACCATCAAATGCCCATAAAGCTATAGAAGAGATTTGTGAATTAAAATCAAACTTGGCTTGTTTTCTGTAATAGAGCGATTAGTACTTTATGGTTACCCGAATAAAATGCAACGCCAAATTGTCCAAAACTGATAGAATTAATGTTCTTGAAAGCATCACCATGAATACTATCGCCAACCACCAAATTCTTATTCGTCAATACAATAATACCAACGATCGATATAACAATGGCCGTAAGTACTTTAACCAAAGTTAATACATCTTGCACACGAACACCTGCTTTCACAGAGAAAGCGTTAATTGTTGTCAAAACGATCAAACAGACGATAGCCAATAACTTTGGTAAAAAAGACGGTATAATCGAATCAGCTAATTGTGCCGCCGCATCAGAATCATGAGGGATGTGAAAGAAATAAGTATGATAGGCAATACGCGACACGTATTCACCGAAAACTGTACAAACGATCGCCAAACTGCCAGGCTTTTGCACGACAATGCTGAAAAATTCAAACATGAACGAGACAAGGCTCCCAAATGCTCTTCCTAAATACACGGACTCACCGCCGTTTTGTGGTAGCATGGTACCTAATTCAGAATAACATAACGCACCGCTCAATGCTATCAAGCCTGATATAAACCAAATGACCAATGCTGTTCCATAAGCACCAGAGGACTCAAGTACAGGTCCTAGAGAGAACATTTATATCAGCTTACTTTCCCAAAAATACAGTCTCAATTACTGCCTTTTACGAATAACTAACCTGGGGAACTAAATAACCCACTACCAATCATCATACCGACAACGAGACCTAGCCCGTTCCAGAAAGTCACTTTCTTTTGTAGTTCAGGACCTCTTGCTTGCGTCTGTGACAATGGAATCATAGGGATAGTTTCAAAAGAGAAAACTGAAGATGAAGAGCGATTGCTATGGTGCGTTAAAGGCAATAATGTACTTTGAACGTTATCCAATTCTTCGTCATCTAAGCTGAATCGGTGTGATCCTGTGCTGAAAATGGAGTCCGAATCAGACTCACTTATTCTGAATCTATTAACATCTCGAATGTTTTCGTGGTAAATGCTTTCATCTGTAGATGATGACTGTAGAGTGGCGTTTATGCGAGGCATACTATATAGTTCATTTGCCTCTACTCAACTGAATGTAAAACCGAAAGTGGGTGGATAGCTTATATAGCGCACTTCTTTCTATTGAATAAGATCAATGGAAACGACGCAATAGTTGCAAGAATCAAAAATATTTCCAAATGTAGATTGTCAAATTTCTGATCCCCGCTCATTGCATATCATTTAAACAATTTTTTGGTACGCATGCCTTCTCTTTGAGATCTTCTCAACATGGATGAGGAAGCAGTGGAACAAAATAATGCTTGTAAAAATCCTGCTAATAGATCTATTACAACGGTAGAGGAGCTAAGAATAGCCCTTGAAAAAATGGGTTTAAGCACGAAAGGCCACAAAGCAGAATTAAAGCGACGTTACAGAAAGGCTTCTAAAAAGCAGAAAGAAAAAGAGGACGACGTAAAAACGACAGTAGCGTACCGAGACACCAGTGAAGCTACAAATGTATCAGAGAAAGCAATTACAGAAGCAACTGTTAATATGATGGAGGAGGCTACTACGATTGAAAATTTGATAGAGTCGAAGGCATCTGATAAAAAGTAATTGTTATTATAAAAAGATTTATTTTTTCTATTCAGCAACAGGAGCTGATATGTAAATTATTTAGGAAACAGCCTTTCGATTACTATTTATTTTTCGACGTGGAAGCTACTTGTGAAGAAAACGGTGGTTTTACGTATCCCAACGAGATCATTGAATTTCCTGTTGTTTTGGTGGATGGAAGCACTTTCGACATTGTAAGAAAAAATTGAGGCAAATAAGCGAGGAAGTGTTCAAAACACTAATCAGTGCAATAAACCTAGGTGGATGAATTCAGATCATATGTTAAACCAACAAGAAACCCCATTTTATCAGATTTTTGTATTAAACTGACAGGTATTCAACAGTCAACAGTAGACGAAAGCCCTACATTTGTGGAGGTTTTGGATTTATTCCAAGAATTCATGGCAAAATATGGTCTGTTTCAAACAAAATCAGCCACCTTTGTCACAGGTAAATGCAAGAAAATCATATTCCATTCCAACATTCAATGATCTGTCAAGGTATTTACATTGAAACGATTATACATGAAATCTTTAGACGGTCCATTCGATATACGCGACTTTATCACAAAACAATGCAAACACAGCAAATTAAAAAAGAGACCTGCCTATTTCGATATACCCTGGGTCAACATTAGACAAAGTTTTAAAAGGTTCTATAAGCAAACGGAGAATAAGAATATCAGCATGATGTTGAGCTATCTCAACATGAAATTTGAAGGCAGAGAACACTCAGGCTTGGATGATGCCAGAAATTTAGTTGCTATAGGGAAAAGAATGCATGAAGAAGGCTGTATATTTAAACCAAACTGCAATTATAGTTTTCGTAACAATCAGGTTTATTATCAGACAAATAAACAGAAAAGGAGGAGATAGATGGCGAACTTCCAACACTAAGTGCTGTTTTATGAGAGCTCATGGACTCTTCTGTTGCACAGTCTGACAAACAAAAAAGGAAAATTTATTTTGCCAAAATCACTTTGACAGTTAATTTAACTTTAAATTTGGTGTTTTTCGAACCTTCTACAGTTTACAGATTCAAAGGAAATAGTAAAATGCTATTAACACGAGACTTAGCAGCATCTATATCAGGATACATTTCGATTGTGTTTTGGCTAATTGTATTCATACCGTAATTATTCGAATTTGTTCGAACAACTGAAAATTTTTTGCGATGCCCCCATGCGATCTCTGCAAAACTGACTTCTCTCATTGCAGTCAATTAGAAGAAAACTTTAAACGAAAAAGCGGCGATGGCATATCATTACCTTTTTTGATAACTTGGCTTGTGGGAGATTTTTTCAGTCTGGCTGGTGTGATTATGGAAAGACTGATGTTTACTATGGTATAAGTGAATGCATTATGGAGACTTCATAGCTTATGCTTGGACTAACGTTATGTCTGTGTGTATTGTGGGAAAATTGTATCAGTTTTTATTGGCTCTCTGGTACACAATTAGTGATCTCGGCTTGATTTGGCAAGTCATTTACTACAAACACTGTATTACGACCAAAATAAAACACGAAGAGCTTGACGAAGCTATATCCCTCCTTCCACAATCAGTATTAAAGCAACGTCGTTCTAGTGTTGAAGCTACAGTACTTTCTAAACCAGATACTAATAGCCCGGAAAAAACAACAGCATCAGCAACGAAAAACCTTCAAAATTTAGAAGAGCCGTTTGTCAGTAGAACAGATTCTTCATTTGAGGAAGGCACTTCTTACTACGACAATGACGAGAATATCTATAATGATAATTTTGCAAATCAACCAAAAATCAAACCCATGTGCCTGAACACTGGCATGTTCGCTATACTGATAGTTGTTACCTTGATTTCATGCTATGGCTATGAAGCAGCAATTACTCAGCCTATTGATAAAACTAAAGGATCAGAAAACACTATTAATGTTCTGCCACAGATTTTTGGCTGGTTAAGTGCTATTCTATACATCGGTAGTAGAATTCCGCAGCTTGTGAAGAACTATAAGGACCAAAGCACTGAAGGTTTGAGTGTTGGTATGTTCGTGTGTGCAGTATTTGGTAATATCTTTTACACTATGGTAAGTGCCGTTCACTTGACAATTTTTGGTACCATCTCTGAACATCATTTGATTTATTATTAGTCTATCTTCTTGAAGTCAACAGAAAGAATATATATCATTAGAAACCTTTCTTGGATCATCGGAAGCGCTGGAACAATAATTTTTGATATCATGATCTTTTTGCAATTTTACGCTTATAATCGTCGCAAAGTTGACTAATGCATGTATAGTACAATTTTTTTGTAAATTTTGTAATTGCTGGTAGCTCCTCCTTTATACCTTCATTTAATGCCTGTACATAAAACACTCTTCTCCCCCTCCTACCCCTCCAGATCAGATATGGCCGTTCCTAATTCCTAAAGCAATATAGCAATAAATAAACAGTTGCCGAGCATGATTAGAGTTTTCTAGCCCGATATTATACTGTCATTTACATTTCTTTACCTACCAGTAAATAAACTAGTTACAAGTGCTCATTCTTTCAAATTGCGACCAGAATCTTAGTCAGAAAAGAAGTGGTAAGTTCACTGTTTGAGCTATAAGATACAATGGTGGTGATGAGTACTTTAACATTACAAAAGAAGCCTAGTGCTTTTATTCTCTTCTTGTTAGTGAATCGATTCAAACTGTTAGCATTGATGTTCAGCATTTGATGTTGAAAACGAAGATGAATGGAGCTACAAGCGGGCAATACCTCCGGTCATATTATCGATATGCATTAGAAAGTTCCTAAATTGGCTTTTAAAGGGTTCACGGCGTACGCAGTCAAGCGATTCTATGATCGTTATAAATTGTCGCCCATCAAATAGCTCGAAGTAATATAACGTTTTTGAGATGGCATGTATAAATTATATAGCTATATAGACGTTCGGCTGAATATTTTCCGCATAATGATGTCTCTTTGAAACCTCAATAACCGCTTAATCAAATTTTCTCCATAAGGATTGGACAATTACTAGTTCTTAATTCAAATTGACTTAATAGCATATCGTTCCTTGACTATATTTCTTAATACAGCTATATATGAAGTAAACAGGTTATTAAATCGATCTTTCTCTCCCCAGTAACTTGCATAACGTAGCCTTCTCCTTTCTACTTCCATTTCACGGAAAGAATGCTTCTTCTTCTATGTCAATGTTAGGGCTCTCAAATTGCAGTAAAGGTTGTCTGTGTATTCATGGCTTTAAACAAATGATAAAACGAAGGGGCCCCTCTTTCCAAGGGGTATTGCAGGCTTAAAGCTATTTAGACTTCCACTTTTCTGATTACAAGCTGACTAGATGATAAATTGAAATAGTGCGCCATTACTTTTCTCCACCCTCAGAAAATTCATTCGTCCTAATAGAATCAAGAAAAGCGTCTTCATCACGCTACATCCCTTGAATTATACTTGAGTGTACTATAAGTTAGGTTCGCTTAGCAGATCTATATCATCTTATTGCTGTAAAAAAGTTGTTTCCTTTATTAACATCGATCATATGCAAAGAGCAGGCATTTACACATACGAACGATATCACTGGTCATAATTACTGCAATGTCAGGCATGATATGCAGCCGGTACAGTATATGGACCTGTAAATTTTTAATAGTTTAGATCCAAGTATGTCTTCTCTTTTTGATCTTTTTCTTATCTTCTTCAACTAGCAAAATAAAAATATGCACATGCTACTTATAGTTATACTGACATTTTCTTATCATATTTGTCTGTTACTAGCAAGCGCTATAACGGTTCTCGATAAACATGCTCTTGACGAACAACTACCTTCCAAATTTCAATCCATAGTTGCTTTTGGTGATTCTATGACTGATAATGGTTCGTTCGACGACTTTTACGCTAAAAACACAAGCAAAATTGACCCAGAAAGGTAGATTTGCAATTGCGTAGTGTCAAACCTCGTTGAATACAATGTAGTTTACCTTTAAAAATGCACATAGCCTTCATTCTTATACTTCTGCAAATGTATGGCTTTCAAGACAACGGCTGTTAAATTATGTACATTGTTTTAGATGATAACATGAATTTACTCACATTTAATTATAGCTTTCTCGTGCTTGTGATGGCCCAGTCTGGGTTGAACACCTAGCCACTTCCTTTGGCAGCCCCGATCTGTACAATTTTGCTCGTGTTGCTGCAAGCATCAATAATGTAAGTATTTGTAAACAGCAAAAGAAATTTTTTATTTGACTAAACTGTAAGCAGTCTCTAGTTTTAGAAGAAACCCCATATGACTTAAATACGCAAGTAACTAGATATTTGACCTCTGAGGCAGCCACCTTAACCAAAAACAATACCATTTTTTTCATATACATCGGAGGAAACGAAGTATTTGATATGTTCAAAGTATTTCCTAATGATTCTGTTGAAAGACGAAAGTTAATAGAACAACTCATGCTTTCAGCTCGCTTTAATTTGGTAAAGTCTGACTTAAACGTGCTTATATCGTTTTACATGGTGTGAATGAACAAAACAAATACCTTCCCTTTTTTTTTAGGAACGTCTGTATGCGATAGGCGCTCGATATATAATGCTCTTAGGACAACTGCCTCTCGAGGATTTGCCTATGCGTCGCAAATCACTGTCTGAAACCCGAGTCAAAATGGGCGATTTAGTCCGCGAGTTCAATATCAATTTGGAAAGACTTATGGAAGACTTCACAATCGACCACACAGAATTAAAAGCAATATATTTTGATTTATATTACTCTTTCAAGCCCCTATTTGTTTCTGACACCGGAAGAACGTGCATTTCTGAATCTAGTTGTGAGGGGTGAGTGATAAAGGAAATATTACAGTTTATTATCTACTTGTGATAATGATAGTTAACTTTATTTGCCAACTTGTATGTTGTAATTCACCTAGATACGTATTTTATGATCGGGGACATCCTACTTCTCTCTATCATGCTCAAATTGCTCAGGCCATTCGTGACAAACTCATCGAACTTGCTTGGTATGAGGAAACAGAACCATAGATTCTTACCGTACTCAAAGTTACAGCTTTTTATTCTATTTTTAAACTCAGTAACTGTTGATTGTTACGTTCTCATCCACACATTTTCAAAAATAATCACAAAGGCATATAGCTATTAATGCTAAAGGAGATTATTTTTCAATAAACCGAAGCTTGTCGAGCATTATTCAAATAGCGGCCAAGAGTGTATGTACCTTGATCAGTTGAGCTATAAGCTCAGACTTTATGCAGCCCCAATCAGAAGGTCTGCAACCGGCTATTCACGTTTCGAAAGCAGAGAGACGGAAACACAACCCCGGTTCTTTAAACTATTTTGAGGGGAAATTTCACTTTTGACATTTTTGATTCAAAAGAATCCTATTATCTCAATCTCTTTATTCCCTAAGCTTGCGTTGTTCTATATTACCCTATTTCCTGTTTCATATACGGACAATGCTCAGACAATTAATACAAAAAAGAAGTTTAGCAACCGTAGCCTCACCGCTCATTGTCAAAAATCACCGCATACAAGCTTCTGTCATTCTTTGCAGAGCACCTCAGATTCTTCGCGATGCTACACCATTTGAAAAAGCATATTTCGACTATACTGAGAAGATACAGCGCCAAGAATCGCTGACTACACCAACAGATTTTTATTTTAAAAAAGGTTCGGTAGCAGAACGTCGCTGGAAGTCAGAAGAAGAAGCACGCCAGCAAGCTATGACAAAAGATACATCACTTACAGAAGCGGTGGAGGAAGCACGTTCCGTTTGGGAAAAAGAAAATGAAAGCTTAGCCAATGCTACAACTAAGATCACAGTGACTGATCGCTCTACTAAGGCCGACGCTGAGAATGACATAAAAAGCCTTGATCGCTCATTACAACGTACATTATACCTGGTAGTGAGGAATAACAAAAATGGTTTATGGCAATTCCCTGAAGGGCCTGTTGATGGTTCAGAGCTTTTGCATGAGGTAAGAAAGGCAGTCTGTGAGAAGTAAGGTTTTCTGAAAGGATGTTGTTTGATGTTTAACCAAAAACCTGCATTTGCTTAATTATCATAGGCAGCAGAACGTACCTTGAAAGATTTTTGTGGTAAAAATATGGATACTTGGTTTGTTGGACGACAGCCCATCGCCTTCCACAAGAAATCCTCAGATAAGCAAGAGGACTATGGTTCAAAAACATTCTTCATGAAGGCGCGTATATTTGCAGGACAGGTTAAACCTAGCGATAGAGTCAGTGATTTTGCTTGGTTGACAAAGGAAGAATTAGCTACGAAACTTTCTCCTGAATACTATAAATCTGTTGTGGACAGCTTGGGAGATCTTTAAGAATATATCATCAACATTAATTTATATAGAACTTGTCACTTTATTTTCTGTACATATAAATACTTTAACCATTATATATAGTTTGTTTAGCTTGCAAAACTCTGTATAATAGTTAATTACAAACGTGCTTAAGATATGATTTGGAGAATCATTTTCATTGCGGGTATAAAGGGTACAGCGTATACAATTAGGAATGGACCAAAGGAGTTGCTATCTGTTCAACCAAACTACTCTTGCGCTTTTCAATCTTGAATTTCTTGAAAATATCTTTGAATGCGTTTTTTCCATTGCTTTTGCTTTCACGTGTGTTGGTTGAAGAAAAAGACGAAACAGATACCATTGAACTGCTGGGTAATGACATAAGCTGCTGACTTTTACCTTTCATATCCTTCATCTTTCTTTCCCAAATCATACTTTGTCTATGTTGTTGATAACATGCATTGCATAAAAAGTGTGTCTTGTCGACTTTGTCTAGCCTTGGCCAGTCATGTAGCATTTGTCTACACTTGGTACATTCATAATCAATTCGTAAATTTTGCCAATGTTTATCACCATAAGCCTCTTCATTTTCATAATTGAATAATATTGATTTATACTGACTCAAAAAATTACTCAAGTTCGAGCCACTCATTATTAAGGAGCTCCTTTGAGCAATTTCAATCAACTGCGCGGTATGTTCTTCAACGGAGCTTATTTGGTATTCGTCGAAATCCCTCCAAAAACGGTCTGCTTCCTGTAGATCTTGTAGCAACTGTCTCGTATGTATATTCTCCGAATGCAAATCATCTTGTTTCGCTGTTATTTGCTCTTGGTTCTTCTGTACATCTGAAATAGCTTTGGCAACCTCATTAACGGCCATTTGACAGCTATCTACGGTTGTTCTTAATTCTGATACTCTCTCCTCCGCGTCTAGATTTTTATCTCTTGCTCTTAAATATTTCTTTTTATATTGATCAGAGATAAGCGGTACGTTGTAGAACTGATGATATTGACGTTCTCGTTTGGATTTTTTGTTTCGCCGTTGCTCAGCATAAATTCTGATTTGGTTCAGCTCATCTTCGAACTTTGCAAGTTCCGATAGTAACGATGTCTTCCGGGAATTTAGTTGGATTATATCTGCTTTTAAACAAGTCTTGTCATCTTCCAATCTTCTTATTAACTGCTCTGTTGCGTGAAGCTGTTTGCTGCTTTTCTCTTGAACGATATGTGCAATTTGAAAAAATTCTCGATTTTTCTTTCTTCTGATTCCGCATTGATTTTGGATTTCATGCAGCAAATGGATGACATACTTGGAAGGGTTATTATTCATTATCAATGAAATAATAAAGTCTGCTTTTTCTGAACCGATGGGAAGCTGCTGCTGTTGTTGCTGTTGCTGTTCGCTCATTTTCAAAAGTCCTCAGAGATAGAGCAGGAAATAGAAAAGAGAAAGAAACAGACGATCTGTTTGGATGCTTTGTCTTCTCTTTGCCAAGAAAGATCAAAAAGAAAAACAATTCCTGTTTGGGTAACTGAAAATGAATCAGTGAAAGCTTCAAAAAAACTTAGCGGAGTTCCTTTTCTTCGTACCTGATAGTCGCGAGCCTTCTTCAAATCAAATATCAAAAGAAATAGCATCATAACAAGCGCTAGATATGATACATTTGTCAGCTTTTTCCATTGGTTTAAGATATACTAATTATCCTCAACCATTTTGGCTCATTCTTAATTACACTAAACTTTACATTTACACCTTTTATACTTGTAAAAAAGGAATCTAGAAAAGGACCTTTTCAGCCTCATTTGATACTTTCTTAGAAAAGCCTGGCGTTCAGGTGGTACATTGACAAAATTGATAGTACTCATAGGCTATAAATTATTACTACTTTTGTAATTGAGACCACAGAAAATTGATTTACTTATTTTTATTTTGATAGGGAGCCTGTATCTAAGGGCTCCTTTGCTGTATCCTAGGACTAAGTAATAGGGTGCAGTTTGCTAACAGTAAACTAGGCCTAGAGCTTACTTTCAAGTTAACTGAAACAGTCGTGAGATCAAATCTTAAAAAAATAGCTATTCCGGGCTGTAGATATGTAGCATCTAGAATACTCTTTAAGATGCTTATGTTTGTTTGGGAAATCAAGCACCTTAAAAGTGATAAAATGCCAATTGCTTCCACCCTCAACCAAAAGGTGTAAAAATTGTTAAGTCAGTCTTGTACCTTTTCTGACCTATAAATGACCTTGTTGCAGGAACACGTCATTTACATTTTTGTTCGCTATGTTCCTTTTGGAAAATGTTATGGGCAAAAATTAGATCACAACAGATTTAAAGATTTATGACAGATCACTGCTGAACTCTTTTTTTTTTTTTTTTTCTGAATCTGTGAAGGCAAGGTGCAATGAGCAATTACTTAGTTTAAACGGAACACTATGTTCAGGACACTGCGCAATATCAACCAAAAAGAAAAAGTATTAGCAAAGCATTTTTTGTGATTAGAATGTTATAGTGTGTAAGTCAACTGTTAGATATATCCCAGGAAATTAGCGACTCTAGGGCATAGTCTTCGGCGCAGATTTTTTCCTTCAGTTTTAATTTGACTCTAGCCTTTCTTGTCCCTCCCGTTTTTAATATCCATTTACTTGTCTAAGCGTCAAAAGGAAGTGTCAAATCGAGAGCGTTGTACTTATAATTTCTCTATAAAATTCTTCAGAAGGAGTTCTCGTTGCCATTATGGAAGCAGCCTTTTATTTTGATGCAAAATATAGGTTATACTTATATATGGTTTTCATACAGTCATTATGTATTGACAAAACAGAATGCTTATTTTCTTTTGCAACCTTTTATAGGTAAGATTTTGTCCTAGGTATTTTAGCCTCTTTACATGTCATTTTGTTTTATGATTCCAAATGTACTATCACCATGAACTGCAGCTAGACTGGTGACCTTCAGAAATAAGTGTTTATTTGGGAGCTTTCAGATGCTATTCGAGCCAACAACAATTGTGAGCAAATTTTATCTAATAAACAATACATGATTTACATAATCATTATCATTTTTTACCGAACAGGCGGTTGTAAGCTTAGTCTCAACCTTTCGGAATTATAGGGGGGCAAGGAGATACGATTGCTCACTCGCCCCGTTCATCACAATTTTTGAGTTTGAATGGAGTGACCTAAACATCCTGCATTTACATGAATAACATACTTTCAATATAAAGTTACTGCTCACTGAAGGACATCGTACTGGATGTCTGAATGCCAGAAACTACTTCCTCCTGATTTAGTCTTTTCTTTCCTTTTTGTTCATATTATCAAAATCGATAAACAAATGCGATATCGCTGGTCAGGCTCCACCATTCTTTGTTATATTTTATCCGTACTTTCTCTTCAAGCAGGAATTATACAATGTCGAAGTACATTCAGAGAAAGAAGGGGTGTTGGGTTTAGTCGAATTTTTGCATTCGGTGATTCGTATACAGATAATGGCTCTTTCGATGGTTTCTTTGAAAGCAATTCCAATGAAATTGATACAGCGAGGTAAAAAGATTGATGCAAAACTTTTGACAGTTTAATGGAGTTTCTTTTACATTGACATTTTGATACAAAAACCAGTCTCCATCCGCAAACTTCAAACTATGTAAGATAGAGAAACTATGAAGATATTCTTTTCCCCTCAATGAAATTGACACTATATTGCTGATGTTGATGTATATACAGATAAGGCGTTCAGCTGACGGACCGCTATGGATAGAGCATTTAGCGGAAATTCTAGGTGATGTTGAGTTGTTTGACTTTGCTCGGTCAGGCTCGACTGCAAATAATGTAAGTGTGATATCTACTACATAAACAGCAACCTAGTCTGTACGTAACAAGCACCTGATATATCACCTATCGTTAGGATATAACTCCTAGGGGTACTGAAGATATGAATACTCAAGTAAACAGCTACCTAAGTACATCCGTAGCTTCCGCATCAAAAAGTGGGTCAGCCTATTTCTTATGGACTGGCGTAAACGATATCAACGATCTCTTTAAAAAGTATGATGGAAATATAGCTCAATGTATCAAACAGTTGGATGATATAGTGTCAACCATAGAAGATGCCTGGGTAAGAATTCTTCTTGTGTTTTCATATCCGTTTTATATCAAGGATTTAACACACAGCGATCAATATGTTTAACATGTTATGATGGATACTAGCGCAAACTTCAAAAGTCAGGAGCGAATTACATTGTATTCCTAGGCTTGATTCCTTTACAGGAATTGCCCATGTATCAAGAGGTGCAATCCAATGTTAGAAATAATTTGAAAGAACTAATATTAGAATATAATGATCGGCTACGATTAGCTATGGATAAGTTCCGATCTGGCAGTCCCAATGTTCAAGCATTTTTCTTTGATACATACGGTCTGTTTGAGCAAAATTTCTCTCCTGAAGAACGTGAAAAAAATGCTAGACAACATTGTAATGCTGGGGAAAGCTGTGATGGGTGAGTGATTATGTCTATCCCTATCTTACACACCGCTGAACATTTAGTGACCATATTTTTATGCCCTTTTAAAGTTATATTTGGTGGGATAAACTTCATCCCTCCAGTAAAACTCATCGTCGAATAGCAGAAGCGGTTTTTCAATCTATGCAAAATGAAGGATGGCTATGACAGATTGCTATGGCAATGAAGGATAATGCAAAGTGTCCTTAAGACTATTCTGTTTATACGTTCAAGTATTTAATAAAATATATGTTTTAAATCGCAACGAGGTTATACTGATAGAGGACATGAACTATGAGACCGATTTCGAGACAGATCAATGAAATATGATAACGTATACGCTATTAGTACGTGAAAAGGTGTAAAAATAAAATAAGAAATGCTGTTGTAATACTTACATATGAGATGTAGTGTCAAAAGTTAGAGTTGAGCAGAATGACACATTTGACAGAAAAAGTGGTGTTATTGAGGGCGTTTGGCAGTCTTGTTCATTTCTTTATACTTCTTACCCAAAAGGTATTACAGCCATCGGCTGTGAGCGCATGTACCGTTTCTGATTAGGAAAGGTACAGCATATACATCTGGTAGTAGCGAGTTCGAGCAACGAGGCCAGCAGAAGAAACCATGAGTTAGAACAAAAAGAAGCGAACCATGACACTAAAACACAATGTATGATAGCCAGCATAAGCATATGTTCAAACAAGACACAAGAGCGAATAACAAGTTACCGGTGCCTTTTTTTTTTTTTTTGAGAAAGGTGAAGGACAGAGCAATGCAACCATTTCTGCCTCTGCTTTATAAAGTCTTTATCTACTCATTGACTGTAATTTGCCCCTTTATATCACCAGAAGACAAAGGAATATACTAGAACCAATCAAGCCCAAGTTTTAGTCATAACTTGTTTATCACCCAATAAGCAAATGGACAATTTATGCAACAAAGAATACAAAAAGCATTAGAGTGTCAGATTTGATCAGCTTTATACATAATCTTGAGAGTACTCTTTTTTTTTCCAGTCTGAATAATTCACCTCTCAGATGGGAGCATTTCATTGGACGATTTCAAAAAAATTAAAGACTCTACTGATAACCGCTTTTGCTAAAAGAAAATACCATTTGTTCGTCGGAGTACCTGAATTGAAATAACTCTTGACAGCTGCGCAGAACTGACAAATCAAGAAGGTGGCTTAGAGTGTCTATTATTAAAGCTCATTTTCCTCTATTTTTTGTATTTCTTTTTTTTTTGGTTCAAACAGAAGCACAATTATCCTTAGCATAAATGGAATACCATCCTGAAATCACTGAACAATTAATGTATGTTTCTGAAAGTAGAGGCATTATGGCATTCACATTTGATTACAGAAGCTAATTCTCTTTTTTTTTTCAATATAGTTTGGTAATGCAGTTTGATCCTCACTATGTCTTCTATTCGTTTGGTAGAAACAGCTAGCTAACCGCAGTCATTATTTATGGCGTTTTACGCTTGTATAGTGTCCTGGATGTGGTGCACCAACACCACCCAATGCAGCCAACATGTGTGTCAACTGTATTCGTAATGAGGTAGACATTACAGAAGGTATTCCCAAGCAAGCCACCATTCATTTCTGCCGTAATTGCGAACGTTATTTGCAACCACCTGGTATTTGGGTTACGGCTCAACTGGAATCCCGAGAATTGTTAACTCTCTGTCTCAAAAAGTTAAAAGGCCTCAATAAAGTTCGTTTGATTGATGCTGGCTTTATTTGGACAGAACCTCACAGTCGACGTATTAAAGTGAAATTGACCATTCAAAAGGAAGTATTCGTCAACACTATCCTTCAGCAGATTTTCGAAGTTGAATTTGTCGTTTCACATCAACAATGTGATGAATGTACTCGTTTAGCAGCTCAAAACACATGGAAAGCCGTCGTCCAGGTGCGTCAAAAAGTGGATCATAAGCGTACTTTCTTGTATCTCGAACAGTTGATCTTGAAACACAATGCGCATAAGGATACAACCAACATCAAAGAAACAAAAGATGGTATTGATTTTTACTACGGTGCCCGTAGTCATGCTATCAAAATGGTCGAATTTCTCAGTGCTGTTGTTCCTTTGCGATATAAAACTAGTGAACAATTGATTTCAAAGGATATCCATACTAGTGTTAGTAATTATAAATTCACTTATTCAGCAGAAATTGCACCCGTTTGTAAAGACGATTTAGTTTGCATACCCAAAAAATTATCCAACACATTTGGTAATATCAACCAGCTTCTCATTTGTACACGTATCAGCAATTCGATCCAGTTACTTGACCCTCACACGTTAGCCATGGCTGATGTCACTACAACACACTATTACCGTTACCCATTCCAGCCTTTAGCCAGTGCCAAAGCGATGATTGAATTTTATGTATTAGATGTAGAGCCCTTAGGCCCTGTGAACGGTAGAAATGTCCTCTGTGATGTGCATGTAGCTCGTATGTCAGATTTTGGACGAAACGATGAACAATTTATTGTCAGATCACATTTAGGCGCTATTTTGAATCCAGGTGACACCGTAATGGGTTACGATCTCGCTCGAGCCAACTTTAACAATGACGAATATGAAAAATTACACCAACAAGCAAGTCTACCAGATATCGTGCTAGTACGTAAATCCTATCCAGCACGTAAGAAAAGATCGAAACCTAGAAATTGGAAGTTGCAGCAATTGGGTAAAGAAGTGGATGAGATGCTGCCTCGTAAACAAGATCAAGCCAAGATTGAAAATGATATGGAATTATTCATGCGTGATATCGAAGAAGACCCAGAATTCAGATCCACTATTAATATATTCAAGAATCCCAATGCTTCTAAACAGACAATGGCCATGGATAATGATGAGATAATTGATTCTGAGGAAGAAGAACTGCCCGAAATTTCTTTGGAAGAGATGTTGGACGAAATGGCTATCAATATGGACGATGATGATGATGACGAGAACACAGCAGCGCCATTAGTAACAAGAGCAGCATCAGGCGCTGTGGTGGATGAGGATGAAGAAATGGAAATGTAAATTGTTTAAAATGTGTATATTTTCTATCTCCTGTAATATTCTTAGAATCTTTCGAAAAGAACAATAATAAAAGTAGTATAAAGCACGTTTGTTTTTGCTGTGCTTTATTTTGTATTATAATGAGATATCAAAAAGCAATATTGAAGATTTTTTACTTGTACTATTTGAACGTCGGCACTTGACTAGTTTTTGGATGTTGGTATAGAAGCCGCTGTTTCATCTTGTTGTTCTTTATTAGCTGCTCTGAACAATTTCCTTGCTGCTTGATCTAGCATACCACCCACAGCAGCGAAAGGAGCTACGGTCAATCGAAATAGTGTGCTGCTACCGCCAGTTTTCGATTCTGCACCGGTCGACGTAAACGGGTCTTTCGTAGGTTTTTCAGTAGGCATTAATACTCGATGTGATAGGAGAAAAAGAAGTAAAGAAAAGCCAAGGTGAAAAGCTGGACTACATTTATGCATTTCACAAACGTCATACAATCGCCAATTTAATTTTGAAGATCATCTTTCGACAGCATGAATTTCTAGAAATAAAGAAACAATTGCAGTGCAGAATAGTATCAGATCAAATGAAGCTAATCCGCATTATAAAAGGGTTCCTGCAAAATGGCTTTTAACACATTCAAAGATAATTTTCTACTGCTGGTCAATACCAACAGCTCACTTTAGTCGGTTTTTATATGGTAATAGGCATGTCAATTTTTTAATTTTCAAAACAGCATCTGTTGGATGTTTGTATCTATAGCTGGGGGGGGGGGAACTCCATCGAACTTCTTTCTACTAGACAAGAAAACATAGAAAGCAAAGATAATTATAATGCTTAGTGCATTGTTCCCTTTTCTTAAGGAACTTGCGATCAGGTGGCAACGAATAAGAACCCCGTGAGCCTTTTGTCCTACGTCATTTTGTATAGCACCAGAATGTTGTTTTCACACAGTCGCTTGTGTTGGAATAATAGTTTCAGTAACCATCTTTCTGTGGTTTCCCCTTCTTTTTTCTACTTATTTTCTTTCAACACAAGCATATTACAGTAAAAGCGAAGCATGTACAATACTAACAATAGTGCTGCCACTACTGCAATGCAATTTCAACAAACGCACCATTATGTTTTCCCTCAACAATCATCGCAGCAGCAGCCCTATCCTCAACAGCCACATAATAAAGTGTCGATGACCAACACTGGATTTCCTTCTCCAGTTCAAGATGATACACCTCCGATAAAAACAGCGTATAACCGATATCCTCATGAGCAACATTCACAACAACAAATAAACGCCCACCAAGTTCAACAACACTATGAAGTAACCAATTTTGATTCCTCGACCTCAATCCATGTTCCTGAACCGATAACTATTAATTTTGCAAACAGCAACTATGATTCAGCGAGTGATAGTGCAAGTTTTTTATCGCCTACGACAAGCCCTACTAGTGTAGAAGATGAAATACTACAGCGAAAGTAAGGATACAAGTTGGCAGGAGTAGCAATATGTGGACGCTAATTATATGGCTCGTTTTAGTATGCAACAAATACTTGATAAAAAACGTCGTAGAAGAGAATCTCATAATGCGGTAGAAAGGAGGAGAAGAGATAATATCAATGATCGAATCAATGAGTTAGCTACCCTTTTGCCTGATCGAGATGCTGCTAAGCTGAGCAAGGGAAGCATCTTGCGAAACTCTGTGGACCATATCAAGCTACTCCATGATAACCTAAGGCAACATCAAAGGCGTATACAGGAATTAGAGAATATGCTGGATATGTACCGCATGACATCACAGCAGCAAGAATTATCGCATCCACCAAACTTGACTCGATTGGCCTCTGGTGATAGCAATAATGCCTATCACTGAAATTTATCTTACCTTATATCCTTCAACGATGTATTTACAATCTAGTTTTCCCCCAACATATGTTATATTTACTCTCATTTATTCAACTTTTTTGTATGTTTATATGTATCATTTAATATCTATATCCCTTTTATATCCATATGCTCCTTCACGACCATTATTCCTTGACCAGCTTTTTATTTCTTTTCTTTTTCTTTTGAAAAAAGCTGCATTTTCTCATGACATAATCCGAGCATCACGCATATCTGCACTATAAATAACACTCTACTGTTCCCAGAGAAAAGGCTTATTGTTATTTACAATTTCTTAACTTGTCGCAGGAAAACAGTTTTTAAAGGAAATAGCTTTAATTTCAGTTATACTACAGTTTCATTTCCGTAAAGACGTTGTCTCGCTTACATAAGTTTAACAGTAAACAAGCTTTGAGCTTTACCAAAAATTCAATCTCATTTATCCCATTTTGGGGCTTTCTATCATTCTTTTTCTTTTTCTTTGTTGTGCCTTTCTACCTACACCTTAAACCTCGACACTTCTCTTTATTTTACAAGGAAAACATGGGCATCATATTTAGCAATTTATGGAATAAATTATTCTCAAAAACACAAGTGAAAATTATCATTGTTGGTCTAGATAATGCGGGCAAAACAACCATTCTATATAAACTGTAATACAACGTATGCAACAGAAAAGAAAAGGACGACAAAAAATTTAATTCATTCTAGTTTGATGAATCAGGTCGTAACAACAACACCCACCATTGGCAGTAATGTCGAAGAAGTTGAATACAAAAACTTAAAGTTCCTTATGTGGGTAAAGCCCTCGCGGTTCCTGACCTTATTTACCTTTGTCAAGTAAAGTATCGTTTATCAACAATTTTCTATTGAACAATGTAGGATATTGGAGGACAAGAGTCTTTGCGAAGTACTTGGAAGACATACTATGTCGATACAAGGGTAATCATCTGCATACGTACCATTTCAAGTTTGATCGATAGATTATACAAGTCAAACCAACACCTACACGAACATATTTTTTCTTGAGTCAGGCCGTTATTATGGTCATCGACAGTACGGACGTTGGTAGGCTTCATTTAGCAGAGCAGGAACTACATCAGATGATGGAAAGTGATGTAAGGCACATCCACAGAGAGCTGTAAAAGTATGATAAACGGACATCTTACACGCATGATTTTACAACGATAGCAATTGCAAAATGCTAGTCTATTAGTATTTGCGAATAAGCAGGATGCAAAAGGTGCATTAGGAGCAGCAAAAATATCAGAAGCCTTGGGTCTAAGCAAATTAAAGGATAGGCAATGGCATATCCAGGTATGGAGGAATTGAATCATTATTTCGACTGGCCTATATTGGCAGAAGTTATTTTTTTTTTTTTTTGCACGCCCCTCCCACTCCCCTTTTTCCCTATTCTTACTTTCAATTTTTTTGCTTCATCTAGGCGTGCTCTGCGTTGACAGGAGAGGGGTAAGTGTGCAAATGGGGATAAAACTGTGAAACAAAAAAATACAATTAGAAATCAGAAGTTAACGTATAACCTCCCTTACTTCAGTCTTTACGAAGGGCTGGATTGGATAGTCTTACAATTGACAGATTCGTAAAGAAAATATGGTTCATGAAGGAATAAATAGCTCGTCGAAATCTGAACAAGAGTTATGCGGAATTGCCTATATCAAAAAAGAATGTACAGCGCAGTATGTACTGAAAATTATGTTCAGTTTAAGCGCATCGAAGAGCCAAAGATTTTACATGCATGCAAATGAATGATGTACAGCTGAGCGTTTCGCCTCATGCATTCTAGTGCGATAACGACGTCCTTGTGCCTTTAAGCTCTCTCAATGACAGAAGGGGTTCATCTATGACCGTATTGGATATTTTTTAATCTCCCAAAAAGCTTTTTAAATCCGTTCGTCTATTCTTTTCCTTTTTTTTTTTTTGGCTCTTTCTTTTTCGGTTTCCTTCAAATTTTCTTCGAATCCCAAAAAAAAAGCGAATATGAGAAGTCGGCGCGTTGTTTTTTGCTTACTGCATCTGTGTAAAGGATTAGTCATTGCTTGATTTGTTGCAACCATTTTTTCTTCATATTTGATTTGATAAGGCAACTAACAGATCTGTTGCAAAAAATATAGTTACAGCTGCTTATCTTGTAGTTGCAGATAATATAACCTACAGTGTCATTACAGATTCTGCAGAGGCCACCAATTTTGGTATTATCATCAATAACGTTACCTATCCCTTAACGCCGTCCAATATCAGCTCCATTCTTTTTCAAGGTAGCGCACCTTCCAATGCCATCTATACTTATGCCAAGTTTGACAAGAATACAAATGCACTGATTCAGAGAGAGCCATTTTCTCGCCCCGCTGTTTCAACTAGCACGCCTAATGAGTTTTTTAATCGAAACTGGAACAAAAAGGATATCAAACATTTCGAATTGGTTGCTAGTATTCCTAAAAATTACAATCGTCGTGATGACGAAGATTTACACCCTGAAGGCGAAATACCCACTATTCAAGTGGTAGCTAATCAATCAGACTTTGATAATCTGCATCATAACGTAGCCAAGGATATTACTATTACTGCCGATATTGTATACATCAGGTAGTACAAATTTTATCAAAGTCCAAGTATGATACAATGGGTGGATAATAACTCCAGCTTTTTTTTTCTCTCCGAATGAAACGCACCATTCGACCGCACTCGCCACAACAACACTTTCAATAAACAAAAACAAATAACAACCAAAATAACCAGAAAGGATTCTGTTAAATTGTTCAAGCAGGCTGAATTTGAAGTCGGTGGTCGCTCGTCAAGACAATTAACAAAAATTTCTTATAACATCAAGCTCAACAAACAAGCAAAAGATGATATCAGTGGTTTCAGGAAATTAAAACTTCGCTCAACTGTAACTGATCCCAGTTACATGCGTGATTATTTGACTAGTGATATGTTGAGGGCTGCAAACCAACCTGCCACCAGAGGCTCTTATGTCCGGTAAGTATACATGCTTTCGATTGTATATTAATAGAAATCAGGGATAAGAAAAAAGCCGCTGGACTGACATGCTTGGTTTCAAATCACGCATTCTCGTGATTTGATACAGAGTTTTTTTAAATGGACGACCCATTGGCCTTTACACTATCATGGAGAAGTATGATGATACATGGTTAAAAAATGAATTTAACGCTGGCAATAAGTATAAAAATGGTATCTTCTATGAAGGCGAAGGAGGTACTGGTGATAAACGTGCCGATTTGTCATACAAAGGAGATAATGCTACAGATTATGCTGGCTCGGCCTATTCCATTGCAGAAAAGTCAGACTCAGGAGATGATAGTTTAAATGATTTGATTGCCTTCATAAAGTTCATTAACCAGCAATTGGAATTCCAAAAATCAGCGAACCAGACATCCCTTAATGCCACAGTTACAGATTGGGAAAGCCATCTTGATGTTGAAGGCTTCCTAACATGGTAATCTATCTACTATAGATCCTATATTTTTTTTTGATATGAAAGGCTGACAGCGATTTTAATATAATAGCATGGCTCTGGACTTTCTGCAAGGCTCTTGGGATGCTTATCTTCAAAATACAAACAATTACTTTTTATACAAATCTCCTGAACGAAACCGATTCATTTATATTAATTGGGACTATGATTATACGATGGGAAGTGGTCCTGTCTCCATGAAAAAAATTAGTCTGGGCAACTACAATGAATATGGTGGTGTTAAAACCAGACCCTTAATGGTCGCCCTCCTGAATGTGCCCTACTACCGTGCTCTCTTTGAAAGACGCTTGTCTGACTTAATCACGAACATTTATAATACAGACAAATCATACCCTGTCATTGATTCTGTTGTCAGCTTAATTCAAGATGATGTTGCTTGGGACAAGACTTTGCCGCATGTTATCTCGGGGTACGAATTTGTCACGCCTACTGTCAATAATGTTCTACATGGCGACTTTTTCAAAAAGAGCAATATTGGTACACCCACTAGTTTGAGTATCTTGACCGCTGTAGATTTTATCATCCGATTGAACTCGGATATTCCTTTCAAAAATGCTATCAACGGTAACACCGGTCACTCTTCGCTATATGGTGTTAAGGAATGGGTTCAAGTCAAGCTTGATAACATCAAAAAGAACTCGGGCGACACATCCCTACTACCATTCTTACCACTGAAGCGTTAAACCAATTCATTTGCATATTACAAATTATCACTATCACTTAATTATATATCACCGTGCTATACTCCATAGTATCCATTAAGCCCCACTTTTTTATCATTTTAAATATTCCATAAGTAAACCTCAAATTCAAAGCTATTCTACTGACTTAAGAATGCCGTCTTTTGTTTATTATGAAATATCGTACCTGTAAGAATATTTGAAGAAGTTTTATCAGTTAAATGTATTATATATTACAAAAAGTGTTTTGGAATCGGATGTTAGAAAATTGACTAAGGTAAAGGGCAAGCAAATCCACCAGTTGCAGGAGTAGCTATCAACGTTGGTTTATATCCTAGCCAATCCAAGCCGTAAAAATGTAATGTAATCCAGAAATGTAGTGGTAAAGATTCCCGTTGCTGTGGTTGCTGCTGTTGCTGATTGCCATTTTCGTCATTCGTAGGATGGTATAATATCGGATCGTTTGGAGCGCACGCTCTCACAATATCTACAAATGTAGGATCTGTACTATCTCGTGCCTGATAATTAAGTCGTATTGGTAATTGTACAGTAGAAATGCTATTTGGAGGTAAAGTTATTGACTGTAATAATTCCTGTTGTTGATCAGAGTTATCATGCTGCTGCTGTTGTTGTTGTTGTTGAGCATCGTGCAAATCCTTTCCAATAATCAGACCTGTTAGCGCATCTTTTGCTAATACTTGCACTCGGGAGAGCCGTGTGGGTATATGGTTTTGACGATTATCCACTGTCACATTCACCAGCCATTCGCTCTCAAAAATAACATTGCCCACTAAACCTTGTCGCGTTTCACTGATTTTAGCCGGTAAAGTCAATGATGCCCCTTCGATGCGCATTAAGGGTGTTCTTGGCCATAAAAAGTAAGTGATCACCGTACTTAAAATCAAAAATAAAAATATGCAAAAGACGCACGCTTTTCTGCCCAAGCAACAACAACCACCGGTACCACAACGCCATTTGCCTGCTTTACCAAACTTTTTCTGGTGTGAACGCTGCTCCTCTCTCTTTTTACGATCTTTACGCTGTTGTAACTCTCTTTCACGTTTCTTTTTTTGTTGTTTGAGCTGCTGTTGTTCCATAATAGATTGCCTGCTAGGTCTTTGTCCGCAACTGATGAAGCAACAGCCAATCCAAAATCCTCGACTAGTGCTATCTATATCGGTATGATTATTCTTATCGTGTAATTTAGCACTGGAATTTGTATGGCTGACACTCTGGATAGTACTCGTCCTAGCATAATAGCTTCCTTTTTCTTCGTCATAATCTTCATCATCGTAAAAGGGATAAGGTTCATGGCCATAAGCACTACGTTCTTCGGCCCAGTCATTTTGCTGTTGCTGGTGATCAAAATAACGGTATCGATCTTCTATATTCTCGTATTGCCTATAGCCACTAAATCTACTCTCCTTTTCACTTATATGTTCACCACCAGCAGCGTCTAAACTATAGCTATTGAAAGTAAATGATTGGGTATCCAAAGTAGCATCTTTTTCGGACTCCATAAATTGGGCGTAGATAGGTTTCTTCTTTTCAATGACTGGCTGTTGCTGAACAAGTGTGTCTTGACTTCCCCAAGGTCTATTTGGCTTTCTATGGTTATCCAGTAGTTGGCTGCTGTTACATAAAGAACTCGATGCAGAAGATGAGGACAACGATAATTCAGGACTCTGTAAATAAGAACGCGTCCTGTCATCAAATAAAGATGACTTTGATCGTTGTGCATCTAACGGATGAACTATTAGAATGTGGGATATCAGTACGTAGCAAAAGAGAGAGACAATTTAATAAGTATATCGATTAAGTTCGAGTATTTCCTTCTTCTCTTTCCCCTCTTCTTCTTTTTACTTATTTACCATGTGAATTTTTCCTGTTATTATTGTTGCTACGAATGTCTAATTCGAGTTCCCCTGCAAAGGAAGCCGCTCGTAATCGACTGAGTTCAGGTACTGTAGGGGGTAAATGAAGAGATGACCGTTTCATAAAAGCGTCAGCAATTGTTAATCTTCGAGGTTGTTGGTCTGCAGCCGTTATTGCATCAAATGAAAAGGAGCGAATCTCTTGTTGCATTTGCTGCAGTGATGGTCTAAATGCATCTCTGGAAGTTCTTAAACTATTGCTATGTGAGTCGGAGGTAGGTGATAGGGACCGTTTGTATTGATAGAAATCTTCGTTCGTTGAATTTTTCGGTGACAGATGCTGTCTATCGTTATTTCTGGTGGAAGAGCCTTTATTGGCGAATCTATCTGCTACAGAATGCCTCTTGTTATTATTACCTCCATAGGTGTCGGAAGAAGATGACAGAACTGTAATGCAATTGGATATAGTTGAAGCCGAAGGCGATGTTGTTCTTGTCTCTTCTTGCTGTCGCGGGGAGCTGGAGATACTTGGTGAAAAGGAGGAGGAGGAGGAGGCTCTTAAAATAGTAGTACTGGCTTCGTAATTTGTCGACATAAACCTATCTGCAATAGAGAGTCGCGGCTTCTCGTCAATCATAACCGACGGCGCTGAAGGCTTTCGATCATCCGATGATGGATATCGATTTGAATGAGGCCTTGTTCTTTCAATAGATACTGATTTTGACCGTAATTCCTTATGTATGCGTGGAGGAACAGCCAATGTATTTGCAGGAGGGTTGTATTTATCGTGTTGCTGCTTAGGTGCTACGGATCGAGTAGGTCTTGGCTTACTGCTGCTGCTCATTGGCGTAGGTGACGTTGAAGAGGAGTTACGCGATGACCGTGGCTGAGATTGCTTTGTAGAGATTTGCTTCATTCGAGTTCCAGGTGTCGCTGTTCAATGGTCGAAAGGGTTATAGAATTTGAAAAATAAAGAAAGGAAAAAGAGCAAGGTGATTTAGGAAGGAAACAATTTGTGAATTAGGAGGGGATGAAACAAAAACTTATGCTTGTTGTAGCCTGCGAAAAGAGCCGTCTTATTAAGGAGGCTAGAGTTTATACAATAAAACTTCAAAAGACTTTTTGTTCGCTTCTTACAGTCTTTCTAACTCTCCTTGCCTTCAAAGAAGTATCTTCTATCTTTATATTCAAACCTCCCTCATCAATTCTCATATCATTTTTTTTATAGATATACAAGTAGATTGGTCTCTTTCTCGAAGTGTATAAATTAGTCTCCTTGTTTTGCTCTTCAATGTTTTATTCTATAAATCCTGACATTCCTTGTTTATTTTCCCTACTTCAAAGATTGCAACTGTTTCGTTGGACTCAGTAGAAACATTATGGATGAATGAAGCAGCAGAGAATGAAAATGAAAATTCGGTTTTGTTGCAGAGCGGATGGCTGTTACAGTATGTACGTATCACATGCAAGCAGTTCCTCCTTTCTCCTGCATTACACCGCATGTACTTAATTTCATTTTTCATGATAAACTTACATTGTAAAGGCTTCTGGCTCTCAGCATATTTATTATATAGTGAATGTGGTGGCCTTATAATGTATTCGGCTTTCACCCAAAATTCAAATTGATTAAACCCTTTTCCTACTATTTGGATCATTATATGTTATATGTTTGCTCAAATAAAGGGGGCATAATGCAATTGCAATCATAATTTGATGAGCCATTTGTTTTTTAGGTAAATTGAACCCAGCTGCTAAAGACAGTGTATGCGATCAGCGTTTTTGCCCTTGATCATCTCTAGTACTATTATTATCGGAAAGCACTTTAAGCTTAATCAATTCAGTTTCTTCATTTCAAAGTGCCCAACATCGGGTGTATCAGTTTCATTTTTTTGTTTTATCCACACATTTGAACAGCTAGAATGGTCTGACAAGTTAATGATTAATAGTTATCATGCAACGGGAACGTATTATTGAGACCTAAAACTTTCGTTTCATTATAATACAAATGCAATGGCTGCTTCGTGCTCAAATTTGCTGGCGTTGATTGAGCCCCCGTTTTGACCGCAACATGTATGCATCCTTTGTATTAGGTATATAATCTCTAATGCTTTCTCTATAAATATTTGTTAGCTTGTATATTATGTGCGCTTATTTGTAAATCGCGACATAATGGATTCACTCTGGTTTTTTGACCTTTTTTTTTTTGTTTTGTCGCCAACTACGAGAAGATAGATTTTGTATTGAACCCTACATAAAGAGCTCCTTTTATATACAACGTATTGCTTAGTGTGTGACGTTGACAAAACCGCCACCGATTGATAACTGAATCAACACAATGACACAATACTTCAAAGAGGATAGAGAACATCAAAGGGAGAAATTATAACTTTTAGCGCTTTATTAAGAATTTTGATGATTAGTCGACAATAATTTTCTGGTCTAATTCTGCAAATTCTTCGTAGAAAACCTATGGACAGATATTTAGTGAGCTGGATGGACAGAACGGACAGTTAATGCGTCAGAAAGTTTACCTTGAACAAGTCAATGGCGTGTTTAATATCGTCAGTACCTCCTGTTTCACGGATAGAATGCATACTTAATTGGGGGTTACCAATGTCTAATTGACAAAATAAACCGGAGTGAGAGGCCAGATTATGCTTAACTGTGTTACAAACCAATTTCATTGTTGTAAACCTTACCCACTGTTCTTAAACCAAGTTTGGCGCTTAGCATAGGACCAATAGTGGATCCACAGCTAGAATCATTACGCACGACAAATTCCTAAAAAAAAAAAAATTTGTTAAAGCTATCCATTAACTTCTTTGTTTTCTCATCCTCTGTTCTTCTTTTACAATACCTGTAAGGGAATTTGATGCTTCTTTGCCAATTCTTTCAACACGAAACCAGTTACAGCTGTAGTAGCATAACGCTGATTAGCATTGATTTTGATCACCGTACCCTTATGCATTTCAGGGCGATGATTTTCCTCATGTTTATCAGCATAATTAGGATTAACAGCATGGGCCATATCAGCGCTGACCAAAATACTCTTATGAATAGCTTCTTCGAATGCTGTTGGAGAAACCTCTTTAGAAGCATCTACTACCTTGGTGTTGGCTAAACGTTGAAGCGTTGCAGGCAAAAGGTTAGAGTCGGCACCATGGGCCGTCAAAGAGCCTACTTCTTCGTTATCGAAAAGTGCAGCAACACGGATGTTACTGTCATTTTCCAACCCTTTAGCTTCAACTAAAGATCGCACGGCACAATAGGACATTTCTAGATTGTCGAGTCGCGGTGAGAAAATGAACTCGTTGAAAGCACCACCAATAACGGATTTTTGAGTGTCATATACTGCCAATTCGAAATCACGAATTTGTGAAGCTAAATTTATCAATTGAAAAGAAAGGGTGCGTTCAGAATTGGTTTAAGCGTAGATTGTATTTGCTGTAAATTGAAAGCGCTTAACCTACGCTTGACACTCATTTCCTCAGCGAGAATATGAATCAAAATTGGGTGGTGGTTTGCTTCAGCTTCAACACCTTCAGTAGGTTCGATACCGGATAACTGACTATTCGACGCATGAAAAGTTTTGAATGTCAAGGAATTGCTTTTATTGCCTCGTCACGGTTTACTTGTTGGTTTACTTACGCTTTGGTAGCCGTAGCAAGGATGGGAGCTAGTTGAGTTTCCTTATTGAATTTAAACTACAAGCATATACACCAGTTTTTTTTTTGGGGTTTTTTTTTTTTTTTTTTTTTTTTTGTGTTTACATTAGTCAAGGCACACTTCAGAATACAAACGATAAAACTTACATTCTCATTAGCAGTACGATCCAAGTGAATTGCAAGGGTAGGGATTCGTAAAATAGGTCTATACGGTGAAATTGATTTGTTATTCAATATGTTATTTCAACATAACAAACGGAAGAATTACAATTTATTTTCCCCCAACTCACCGGTCAATCTTTACTAAAGTATGCTTAAATGTACCATCTTCTTGTTGAATAAGAACACGACCAGCAACGCTCAAATCTCTATCAAACCAAGTGTGCCTAAATAAAATATATAAATTATATTTAGCTTACGAAATAAGAGTTGACGTACAGCTACATTGGTTTACCAAATACCACCGCCATATAGCTGGACACCTACTTCAAGATAACCAGTTTTCTCTTTCTTAGAGACTGGTTTAAGCTTCGATAAAAAATTGGCTTAAAGTTAATGATATACTGACTGTGCGTAGACTAATGAAACCATTCTATCTTTTTTTTATACCTTTAAACAAGGTGAGTCGGTATGAGTGCCGATGATAGAGAATCCATTTCCCGGGTTGTATTTACCGCCTACTTGAAAGGCAATAATAGCGGAGCCGTTTCGTGTAAAGAAATACTTCCCTTCACGTTGAATAAGTCCATCATTCCAGCTGTCGCGTTCTTTGATTTCTTTGAACCCGTTCGCTTTCAATATTTCTGCAGCTTCCTGTGTCGCGTGAAAGGGAGAGGGTGACTTGTTGACAAATTCGATGAAATCTTTGGCTACATCAGGCAAGAGTGTCAACGAATAAGCAAATGATTTATGCAAGAGTTCATTCATCTGTTAAAAATACCTTCTTCTGGAGGTTCTGATTTATACTATTGTAAGATAAAATAACTTTTAGCGTATGGAATATTGAGTAAAACAATAAACAAATAAGTTAGTCCAGTACCATCGTGCAATTATATACTGAAAGCTTAGAAAAGTTTGATTATGCTCCACAGGCAATGACAGCGTGGTAAAAGAAACAGTCTGACCTCTAATTTTCCAATTCTTTTTTCCAGCTATTTGAATATTGAAAACCCCTTTTCGATCAAGGGAGCTTTTGCTGTTGCATATATAAGCATCTACACTCAAATTAGCAAATTTTTAGAAGGCACTTTATGGTCAAAACATTATTAACATGAAAATTGAAGATCAATTGTGTCAAATCCGTGTGATGGAATAATACGGCAGTAAAGCAGAAGCAGCAGGTTTTTTACTGATTTACAATATATGAAAGGTAGAGGGACGGGTTGAATACTTGTAATTTGTTGTTGTTCACTGGCATCTATTTTACATATGAAATCTACACACATAGATGGAATAATAACGATAGATACAAAAATTAATTGAGATATAGTAATATGTACTGAGTAATGTATGTTCTAGAGAAGGGGATGTTGTATAGTCTAAAAAGGTATTGGTAAGTCTATAGGTAGAATGTATTGAAAATACTATGGTGATTTTTGTGCACTGTAATATAAGCTACGAACAGTCGTATTGTAATGATCACATTCATCAATAGCGTTGAGTAAAGTGGTTGCGTATTCTTTCTCGGTGAGATTGTTGAACCTACAATACCATCGTTTTATCTCCCTATAACGACGTTCAATTATGTCTTTTATAAGAAATCCGGTTTCTTTCATTTCTATAACAATAACGGTCCGAATATTAGAGTTTTTCTTTTATTGTAACTGGCATTGTCATTCTGATTTACCTTTGGATTCAGGCCATTCACCAACAGGCAATTCGATAGATTCTTCCACAACATTAACGAAGCCAGCATCTTGCAGATACCCACCCAATTTATTGTTTGTATCACGATCAAATTGAATGGCTTCATAGAAACGGTCAGACCATGTTTCTAACAACGTGAAGTGAGGCCCAATCGATCTAAAATTGACATCTACAGAGATTATTTTTCAAAAAAGATGAGCATTTTTTGATACTGCAGTCTTGTAAAGAAATATCCTTCCTTTGTCTACCTTGCTCATAGATTTCAATATACCCTCCTGGTTTCAGAATGCGGTATATTTCCCTAAACAAGCTTTTCCATTTGAGTGCTGGCGTATTAACAAGCCAAACATCTCTCATCATTAGATAGTCCACTTGATTATCCTCAAAACGTTCCAGACCAGTTTCACCTTGATGAATCATGGCATTTTGGAAGCTGAAGTTCTTGACAGTATTAGTTAAACTGGATACGGTAACAGATTCGTGATCAATACCAACTATGCAAGCTTTAGGAAACTCGAAAGCCAATTCTAAATCCCAGACAGCTAAATGCATGTATGACAAAAAATAAAATAAAATCGGGGTACAATTCAACGCACAGGTAAGAGAAAACAAAATGGGTAAGTCATCTACAATGAAATAATCATTACATTCGAAAGAAATTCTATAGCTACTCTATCAGTTTTTTTACCTGTAGCGCAGCACCAATCAATTATAAGGGAAGGGTTATTCAAAGGAATCTTGTAGTTTTTGCCCCAAGTGCGTTTCATTAAATAGTGCTATGATAGATAATATTTAAAATAATATACATGTTATATATACTTGTATGATGTGTTGGAAAAAGTGGAATTTTTAGCGTATCTGCGGAATTACCTGTCTGTGCCTCCTGTCACGGTCTCTTCTTCGTTCAGGACTTGTTTCATAGAGCATATATAATTCTTTCAACATGAGTTCACTGGAGTAGTCGTCTATTGTGGCATTAATAATTTCTTTTGCATCTTTATCGAAAGCTACAATTGTAGTATTAAGATTACGGTTCTTCTCATTTGTGTAAGTATTATAGGTAGTAGTAGAAGTAGCGACTGTAGTTGTATTGGAATCAAGTGTGGATGTTGAGGATATAGGTTGGTTGTCGTAATAAGGACCGGCCAGCGATTTATTACGTTTTGATTGATCATAATCAATGTAATTTTGATTGTACGGATATTCAGTATTTATGGTTAACGGCGAAGAGTTACTGCTGATATTAGTCGTGGTCGTTATCGACGTTGTGGCTGTACTAGGATGTAAAGTCGCTGAAGCTGTACTAGGTGATCTATATAGATGTAAAGAAGAGTAACTTCTAGAAAATTGAGGTACTGGCAAAGTTGACGATGTTGAACTTGACAGATCGCGACGATGAGTAGTAGATCGTTGAACATTTTCTGAATGCTGAAGAGGCTTATAATGTTTGAGCCGTTTCAGAAGACTTTGACTATTTTTGTGAGTATCATGCTGATGGCGATGAGCATCAAGAGGAGAAGAAATATTAGGTGAAGACTCTGAAGTTATTTCTGTGGTCGATGAGGTAGCTGGCAAGGCAAGTTGGCTTAAACCAGCTATAGAACGATTACTTTGTGTTCGAAGCTTTAGAATGGACGATCGTTTATTGTTGTCTACCTTGCTACTTGTTGTGTTTCCCATTCCCCTTTTACAGTGAAGACACCTCTTTTTATATAGAATTTTTAATCTGGGAAGAAAAAAAGGTACACAGTACGACACAAACACAGACGCACGCCAACAAATACCAAGGTACTAAAAGAAATTACTAAAGAAAAAGCACAGAAAAAGTTCGCTACTTCAACAAACTCATAGTTTAGCGATTTTTAGTTAGAAAAAAAAAAAATAAAAAAGTTTAAATCGTCAATCGAAAAAATAAGGACTTTCATTTGATTCAGAAATTCGCCACAATTAACAAAAAGGTCAACAAAAGGGGCACTTACATTCACTCACGCGGGCATACCAAACTCAGATTATTTTTGTTTCCCAGAAAAAATTATTATTGTTCATTGATGCTTGAACATAACATTTCTGTTATGATACTGATCGTCACGTTTAAGTGTAAACCAAAGGCCGGTATTTTTGTATTTGTGCTGAATACTACTACTAGAAAATACAATGAGTATCACTGACATAGTGAACTTTTTATGAAACTCTGGACCATTGCTGCAGCACGGGATAGACAACAGCATCTAGATGATTCTCACGGATGATCCTTTAACCTAATCCCAGAAACGGGCTATTGCAGTTTGTTTCAGCTTTCCAACTCATACAGATCATTCTTGGAACAACTTTAGCGCGTACTAAAAAGGCAGTTCGACAGTTCTTTGTGTAAACATGATAGCTGCAAAAAATAGAAGTACACTAGAGTAGTTATTTAGCCTAAAAATGAGTTTGAACGAAAATGCATTTCAAACTGAGAAGCCTTCAACTCAACTGTACTGCCTCAGTTGCGAACATTTGAGTGATTTCACAGTAAATTGTATCCTATCATACTATATATGTTTTCAGTAAATCAACCTTAACCGTGCAAACAAAACCTCGGATGAAAGTAACATATCCACTAAAATTTGAATCTATCGATTCAGCTGGATGAATACAATAAAAATGAGTAAGAATGAACAGTAGTTATAAGTCGAAATTGCTATTATCAAGGATGGATCCTATATACTCTTCTTATCAAAATGATCGAGGTTACGAAAATGCACTACAGTCAACAAGTTAATGAAGAAACTCTTTTAATTGCAGATATACAGTTTTTTAGCTTCGGGATTAGATAAAGCTGCGATATAACAATGGAACGAACCAGTTTTTTGATTCATACGCGTTGGAGTTTGAAGATCAAACCATACTAAAATGGAGATGCTCACCTGCAAAAATCGAGCCAATTTCGTTCTGCCAATAATAGGAAAAGAACTGAGATGTTGTTTTTCCAATTCGAAATGCTGATAAGCCATAATGTTTTTTGCTGCATTGACATCGCGATTCCATAGTATTCTTCAAGTTTTGCAAACAAGGATACTACAGCCACGGACGGTGTCTTTTCCTTTCCTTTATTGACGTGTTTGGCTCTTGACAGTCTTCACCTTTTTGTCCTTCATTCACCTCGAGTTTTAAAAAGTATGTGAAATAGTAATGATGTTCTTCCGCAACTTTTTTTTTTCTTTCCCTTTTCCTTCCGCTCTTTGTTGATGGTATCATGTTGCACTTTCTCTAGACGGTCAGTAACACTGAAGCAAAACCTTTAAAGTTTTCATAAGGTGGATTCCATTTCGCATATTTGGTCCATATAACAGCCACTTCAAATGAGCCTTGAACTTTCCTGGTATTGTACAAACCATTGTGTAAAGAAATTACAGTAGGAAAATCGAAGAAAATAAAATGGAAGTGATCGTTAGCTCTGCCAATAGGCCGTTTCCGTCGTTAAACAATAGTTTTAGGTTTAATAGCTTAATTACGAACAAGCAGCCTAAGATAAACCGAAGAAAGTAAACCAAAAATACGGTGAAAGCATATTCTAATATAGCACACTGAATGGTGTATTCGATTAGATTTACTCAAGCCAGAAGCACCTTCGAGATAAATCAAATATATTCCTATGGAGGTACGACCTTTGTAAAAAGTGGGCAATTATAATATCTGAGCAAAAATCATAAGTGCAAATGCAAATCCCGTTTACAACAGTAGTAGTGTTAGGTTAAGAAGGAAATCAGCTTTAAACAAATACAAGGAGAGCCATGTGTTCGAAAAGCCGTGACTCGACCTCATCCATTGTTTTCGAGCAAGACCTCCGAAAAAAGTCGTAAATCCTCTATCTGTCAAAATCGCCGCAAAGGTAGCTCACTTTCAAAATCCAATGCATCTTTAGGGGAGCGTGTACCAATTATAACTAAGATTGATGCTAATGATAATGCTAACAGCTCGACAAGAGTAGGGTTGAAAATTGTTACACTGTTAAAGGCTCATTTTCTAGTTATAATTGCTGACTTTTAATGTTATAGAAACATTACTTTCAACTCTGCCATTACAAAAAGTAGTTGAGAATCATTTTATGAAAAGCTTTCTGTTCAGTTTGTCTCTATTCTGCCTGCAACGCACAAATCTATCCATTCAAATGAAGCAAAATACTATGTTAAACGGCACTTTAGTAAAATGTTGTATTGGGAGTGGGAAAAAGGAAGAGAGCAGTGTTTCAGCTTTGCAATGACATTTGATTTGGTAAGAAACGATATCATAGACACTCTTTACCTTTTGATCGGTACTTGGTACTTATATACGACGAAAACTGGTGAAGAACTATTTTTTGGACCGCTGTTGTGATCTTTATTTCAAATTCTTCGGCGATCCTCTCCAACCATTCTCCTGTCGTTTCAGTGAATACTTAAAATAGAATTATTATATGAAATGATGATATGTAACTTGGTGTATTGCATTGAATCATGTTGTATAAATACAGTAGGTATATGATGATACAGATAAAATGAAGATAGACTGTTGAAGTGGTTCTTTGGTTTGTCTGTTGTAAATTTTAATTAGATGCGTCTGGTATATTATATGAAGCTGGAAGTTTGTTGATGACTACCTTTGCCATTTTTTGATGCGTACATATCTTCTAGATTAAGTTGAAACAACAGCACAAAGATATATTTATGAAGCTTTTCGTGCTAAGCAACTATTAGCTATTAAAGAGTCGATGCAACCTGTGGTAGCCTCCATTAACAATGTTGGGACACTACTACCGCTTCTAACCTCAGAAGACGACGAAGAAGATTCACCAAAAGCGGTAATGCGTTTGTTTGCATTGACGACAATAAACGGTTGTGCTTCAAGCAAATCTGCATCTGTTGCAGGTGATACACGAAGAAAACATGGTAAACAACAACTGGCGCAACATAAAATAAAAGACTGTTAAAGAGTTAGATTTCCCGAAAAGCACAATGTATTTGATTTGCTTCTAATACTACTCACAGATAGGATAAATATGGGTATAAACACGTTCGACATGCCAACAGAAGCCCTTCCATCCAATCGTTCGGCAAGTGTCCCAATTAAGGCAAAAACTAATAGAGTGCTAATGGCGTAGACGCCCAGTCCAATCAGGACACTTGTTTTGCCCTGCTGAGCTATTTCAGGTTGTTGAGGCAGTCTTCTTGAATAATAATAGTATTGATATCCAAGTTGCAAAGCCCATTTTAAAGCAAATAAATAGAGAGGGATAAAAACGATGCCCCATGAACATTGTATAGATTGTTGAATGCGCAGAACAATCAGTAGAAATAAACAGAATCGAAGTGCCTGAATCCAAAATTGATGCCATAAAACTGATAGACATGTTATAACAGTTGTACTGAAAGTATTGTTATGTTCAGGGTGACTACTGTTGGCTGATAAGAGTAATATTTGGCTGATGCATTTTATTGCTGCGAGGGGAATATTCAACAGTAACTGAACACCTTCGTATATGAAGTAAGGGATAAATATTTGAAATGCACTCCAAGTCACTTGCTCGTCCAATCGAACGACGATGAATATCTGAAATAACAATGCGAGTATGTAGTAAATGACAATCAGACAATCATTGAACTGTCTATTATGGTGAATATACTTGATATATCTATTCATCGTTTTCAAATTCTTTGCCCATTTTTCGTCAGTGGCTTTTCCTTCGTCCATCATAAACTGGTCATCATCCTGTTCTTCCCCAACGACGCCATCTTTCTTCTGCTTTTTTCTTTTTTTCATCCGTTTCGACATAATATAAAAAATGCAGACAAAAATGATGCCATCGATAATCCAAGCTGGAATCCAAACAACAGCCCATGGCCAAGGTACGATGTACTCGATACGTATAATTAGGAATGCAACAAAGATAATCACCAAGCCTGCTAAAAGAGAAACTGTCATTAAGAGAGTGCATAAAATGGCTTCTATATCGGGATCGAATAGTGGGCTAACAGCGGTATCCATCATCTGTAAACCAAACTCTCCGTATCGGTCATAGACTCGTCTTTTTTGTTCGTCACTTAATATTTCATAGGCGTGGCTGATTTCTTTGAACTTTTTTTTTTTTTTGAAACAAATGGAGGTGATAATTGAAATTTGTATTTTTAGACATGTTAGCTTTACGTATATAGTAGAAAAAGTTGTATATAGACAGTAAGTAACTATACTTGATCGAGGCTATTTGGGTTCTTATCAGGATGATATCTTAATGCTAGTTTTCGATAAGCCTAAAGTTATGAGACATGAGACTGATTTAAATTCTTATCGTCGGTGGCTGAAAAGTAAAATAAGAGTTTCAGGAACGGTTATTTTACCTTTTTGATCTCATCAGAAGTAGCTGATTTGGGTATTCCCAATGTGTTATATAAACTGCTACTGTTTTCCATGTTTACTTAAGAACAATTAGAAAATTGAACAAACTAAGAATAGAAAGAAGAAAAGAGAGAAAAAAAAGAAAAGAAAAAAAAGCCTTCACACTCAACGGACTTTTCGTAAATCAAGTTTTTTTTTCGTCGACATTTTTGTTTGTTGCGCGAGCAAAAAAGAAAATAAAAAAAGCCATCCAAATAAACTTCAATAGTTGATAAGCGTACCTTTTGCCTCTCCGTTTACAGTGTGCTCAGTTTATATGTTGCATCGTCCCAATTGTATTCTGATGCATAGAAGGTATGCATAAATAACATGCAAACGTTTTGTTAAATGAAGTAAGCCGACAGAAGGCTTGTGTGGCATAGCAAAATCAAATGATGAACAAGGAAATGCTATTCTCAGTTATTTGTAAACAAACCATATATACCAAAGTATAACAGCATTTGATGGACAATGATTACATTTTAAAGCTACCTGTTCGACCCAGCGAATAGTGCCTCAGTCCTGAAGGCAATATTTCCAAAAAAGAGAAAAAAGAAAGTACCTGCCGGAAAAGAGAAAAACAGTCGTTGCGGCTCGGTAAGTTGAGACGGTTTGAGGGAGAACGCGCTTCAGATACCATCCCTTAATGCTTGCTCTTAGTCATGGTGACTATAGAGCGTGCGGAACATATTGAACGGAGGAATATAGTCTTAAACTAAGCTGTGTACTATATTTTAGCCTTCTATTTCAAATATCGTACTTAAAGTGGCCATCCTCATTTAAGAACATATTTTAAATTCATTCGCTTTTACAATGTTCATACCATAAAACCTTTGTAATTGACTACATGGATTTACATACTTTTACAGTATTACAACTACTCTCTACAATAGACCTCACCTTTTTTTAATGCCTTTCAGAAGGTGAAATCATTACAAAGTAGCAGTGAAGCATCTGAATCCCCGTGATCAAAAATCGGTTGACATCCCACCGAAAAAGGAGACACAAAATAAGTGTTCTCATTGTCGAACTGCACTAAGCCTGACCCTGTGACAAAAGATCAGTGTAGTACCTGAACAATCAGTAATTCTGGTAGTGTGAACCATCTTCGCTCGTCCAACTGACTTATTTGCAACTTTGGCGTTGACAATTGAGGGCTTACAGGTGAGAGTTAAACACAATTTATTTATTCAATAAATAAAAGAGTTATATTGTGCTTGACCCTTGTTGGTAGACATAAACAAATAAGCTAATAAAAGTAAACAAAGAAAACTTTGGCTTATAACATAATGCATTTGTAGCACGCGAACGAATATGACCGAAAATAGTCAACAACATGCTTTTCTGAATAGGGTATAAAGTTCTAAAGAATGTATCAAGCATCTCCCTATTGATTGGCTTGCCCCATAAGTTGTACTACGATTATACTACCACTACAGAATTATAGATCTAGTAGTAATGATACTGTAATATTATTGTCAAAGAAAATAAAAATAGGGTATTCTTATAGAATAAGTATTTGCTTCTAAAAAGAGAATAATAAAATAGAAATTGAAGAAGTTCTGATCATGGATCACAAAAACTTTGGTTTTTTATCGTGACTCAAGTTGGTACATGTGTCTGTATGTGCGAACGCAACTGAAGTACACTATTGACAAAAAGTGACAAAAAAAAGAAAAAAAAAAAAAAAAACTTACTATATTTGAACATGATTGTTGAAGAGAAAAACAAAGCGGGCAAAGATGCCGCGTTCATATACACGGTGAATGCTGAAAGAAGTGTAAACACGATCAGACTGATGTGTCAACAAATTGCCAGATCAACAATGCTTATGTCATTCTCTGATCTACTATGGATAACCTTGGAAATATGTTTTCATCTATGTGTGCTATAGACCATCTTTTTTCTGTTTCTTCTTTAGGTCATTTTCTGATAAAACAAATTCATTCATCTATTTACTCTTTTAGTACTAGATCCAGTCACCTTCTTGTGATTCTTAAATACAGGCCCAAAAGGTTTGATGTCTGTGTGTTATGGCAGAAATGGGCAGGCTATTTTCTACAGTACTCTTCTTGTGTAACGTTTTTGAATACTTACTAATAATGTCGTCATTCTCTAAACCGCAGTTCAATTCTATCCCGTTGCACGCAATAGTTTAGGAGAGCTTAATCATTGGCCTGAGAAACACGGACAGCGCTTAGTTGTTCAAATGGTTTTCTTTAATTCCAAAGTTAGAAAGAGTACAGCTTGCATTGGCAAATTTTTCTGAGTTTAGCTCGATTGTGAAAAATGAAAAAAAATCGTAAGAATATGTTTACAGAACATTACATTGGTTTACAGTGTCACAATTAAAAAAACACAATTAACCAAGTTAATGTTTCTACTGGTATATAGAGAACCTCTACGCAATTGCATGATGAAATGTCCTTTATACACATTTTGAAACTGCATAAGGGAGCTTGATAGTGGCAGTTATAGTTATCTCACTTTATTACTTGTTACAGCTTAACAGCTACTAATGATTCCTTCGTTAAAATTGAACATCTCTTGTGAAAGGGTGTAGCCGTGTCTATTTGAGAATGATTGAGAAAGCCTTTTGAGAAAGGTCAATAGCGGATTTAAAAAATGTAGGGGTGAAAGTTTCGAAAGCCGGCATCCATGATTATTACTGTACGACATTCTAATGCTTTTCTTTCTTGTCTTACGCGAGACGTGGGATCAAAAGAACCAAGCCCGCAGCAGGCAACTTTGCATCAAGGCTCGACATCTATTCCTAGCGAGCAACAGCAAGAATTCCAAAGACGATGTAATATAAGCATGAGCCTGATTCCGTAGCAGAGACAGTATGTCTCTCAACATTCGAATGCCCTACACCACGCTGCTGCATCTATGTATATCGTTGTTGTCGCCGGCATGCACCATTGCAAGCGTACGATTGGTTTTCGTAAAATTACCACTTTAATACATCCCGAGGTACCTTTCAGGGAAAAGCAAATCTTGATCCATGACTATCTTGATCCATGACTAGCTCGTGGCTTACGTCGATAGAAAAGCTTATCTGTGAGGAGTGGGCCTTTGCCTTTTTTTTTTTCGGGTTAAGTAGATATACTGTTCAGTGTTATATCGTTCAATTGACGTGTCATCATGAGTAAGCAAACTCCTTCGCTATTGTAGCATCCGTCGCGCTTTCTATTTTGTCTTCCTTCTTATTTCTTTGTACAACATTAGTCAATGAGATACCTTCAGTTCCTTTTTCACCGCTTACGGTTAATAGTCAAGATGACATCAATAAAAACATTCCAAGGTACATAACAGAATGTTCCTTCAACGTTTTGTTACATATACTAATATGTGTAACAGAAAACCAATATGAACAATAGTGCGCCGTTTCGGCAAGAGTACGTTTAGAAACATCATATTTATATAATAACAGACTGATCAAACTGCATAGAGCAAAAGAAAATGAATGAATGAGAAAGAAAAAGATGACTACGCGAGAGTCAAACGTAATTAGGTATCATTAAAATGGTTATAAAAGTATTAGATCGTATACGATTGTGTATAGAAAAGAGTTATAAGAGCCAGCCTTTTTGTATATATTATGTATAAATTGTGGGTGCAAAAGAATTAGATAGTATTAAAATAGTAAGTTTGCTTTAAATTGAGTATGCTTCATAGAAAGAGAGAGATAGGAACCCTTGAACAACCTCTATAGACAGTTATCTCAAGAGAAGAAGCCGAGCGTTGCTTCATTAGAGAAGGACGTTGCATATGTACATTTTGATTAGATTGTTTGACTGCTTTGGATGTCTGATTGACATACGGTTGTCGAATTGTTGTAGTTTGATGCTGGCTTCTTAGGGCACATCCTAAAAGATCATTGAGAAAAGATGGTATCTTGGTAAGTGATTGATCTTCTCGCATATTCATGGCTCTGGATGAGCAAAACTTACATGGAATAATGACCCTTTTGACCACAGTGAATACAGCGACCGTCAGACATTGTAAGTGTTTAGGAATAGATAATGATATAGATTGGTAATTAGGGAAGAGTTTGATATGAGGAAGAGAAGAGAGAGTTCTGGTTTGATGATGACAGTAAAGAAGATGAAGATAGATATTTGTCACTGAAAAAGTGGTCTTTATATAACATTTTTGTTGTATGACAAAAAGTTATCTTTCCTATTCTCGTTAGCAATTTTTACTGTGCCATCTTTTTGGCTTAGTGATTTAGGAATTAGAGTAAAAAGGAATAATGAAAACTCCATTACAAAGTGTATGCCGCCGATCTTATCCGACACGTGGCAGTAATGTTACACGTTAAAGAAACTTTTTAGTTCCCTTCTTGAGCGGGAAAATTTGCGTTCATTGGCAGTTTCCAGTTTTTTATACGGCTCTGTCAATAAAGGCAAACTGTCTAATAATAACCTGCTAATTGCACTTGATGCAAAATCATTGGCTAGTAGAACTGAAGGGCGCTACATGCCTACGATACCATATTTCCCTAATAATAATAATAATAATAATAAATAAAACTTATGTAATTTCTCATGGAGGTCATCAAAAGGAAATATTTATGCAGGTGCCTGGGAGCGGGTTAAGAAGCCTTGCAGGTAGGGCAGTGAGAAGTTTCATGCAATTTATCCCAGTGTACTTTGACTCATCTTTTACCACGATTGAGGTAGAACGGGAAAAAAAAAGAGCGGTTTGGCTCTGGTTTGCCTTATCTCTATTCCGAAGAATGGAAATAACGAACCCGATGTTTTTCTTTCTTTTTGTTCGTACGCAGTAGGAAAGAAAAAATAAAATAAATAAAGTGGACACATGTAACGTTGAGATAATAAATGAAATAACAAGTCAAATCAAAGAAAGTATATTGTCGCTGAACAAATATGACAATTGCTATTTTTATCACAAGGTCAGAGTAAGATGCTCCTCATCATCAACTTTGTGAAAAATCAGATAGATGTCATTTGATGCACAAATTGCGCCGGCGGGAAACTAATTACGTTATTCACGTATCACTATAGACAATCAAAAAGGATTTATAGGCGATAAGTACACAAACACAGAAGTGTATACTGTGATGTAATTAGATAAGCATCAACTGTGGCGAAGTAGAACTATTTAAAGCCCTGCATGCAAAAGAAAAAAAAAATTACGCGTGAAAAATCTTTTTTACTACAAATCGAGTTTGTTCGACATTAAAAATGATGTAGTTTAGTATGAAGATAAGAATGACAATATTCTCTTTAATAATAAGTAACATGTTACAAAGATGATAGGTTAATAATGAATCAGCTCATTCAATCATTGAATCATGTTTAATTATCGGCACCCCATTGAGTAGTGGTTTCTGAAGACGTGAGTTACTAACAAATGTCGATAAAGTAGGGTAGTGTAGTGGTTTTCAGGCTCTTCAACAGCTCTATTAAAAAAAAAAAAAAAATTCAATTTTACCTTGTCATCATTGTATATGTTGAAAATTATATCTTTTTGTTTTCTAACATCAAATAGTACCATCCATAAGCACATCCGCTGCTCGACAAAACATAAATCATTATATTTTACCGCAGCAGCAGGCTTCAGAGCGTCGGACGAGAAGAATGTAATCCTGTAAGTAGGTTGAAATGAAAGGCGTTCCCTACCCAATACTGTTGTTGTATTCAAAGTGCTACATCAAACTAAATACATGTCTGATTCAGTATGAGCAGTGAAACCCGACACACATCTACTTTGGCACCCGCTTGCTACTATAACCTTATTTTCCGATGTAAAAGCATTATACTCAACCAACTGAGCAAAAAATCATTTTCGTTGTGCCTGATGCTTTTTCATTAACTTCATATCATTTTGTATAAGCGGTTTAGTAGCTGGATATATCAATTGTAGACGCTCAGAAAAAAAAATCTCTTCCAGCATGATACCAATGCCACCTCTTGATTGCTATTACGTGTGTTTTGGCTTATGGACTTGATTCAGATGTAAAGAAAATGATTAGAACGTGCAGCCACAAGTAACCATCTGGCGTCTGATTAATATCTTGCTTCGTTACTTTTTTTTCGTTACCTGACTTTCAACCCATATGGCTTCCTTTTGGCATCTGTTGCCCCCCCCCACGGTGGCTAAAATTGGAGCAATGAATGCTTTCTTCGACTCCAGAGTTTAGAGTCATCCTAAAGACCGCATATCCATAACAATAATCCACCCCTCTCAAGGCAATCATTTATCCTTTGTTAATCTCCTACAATAAAAGTGAGTATATGGTATAGTAAGTGGACTAGTTATATTGTGTCTATTTTTAAAGAGCGGAAAGAATAAAAAAATGTGTATACCTAGTTCATTAACTTGCTGCTGACATGTTCTTACTGATAACTGCTATAACATTGTATTGCTACTATGTTCGGTCCCAAATATTTTATATTCGTTCCTTTAGATCTTTACAACACAATTTAATCATCCAACACGTCGAAGCTTTTAGAAGCACTTCAAATATGAATATCAGTTAGCTGAAGCGGTACCAGAGAATGGTGTCGAGTTCAAATACATTGCATGTAAACGGATGATGTAGTAGGAAATAAGAGACACTCCTTCTACTTTTGTTCCTTCCTTTCCATAGCTGATTTAAGTTTCAAATTATTCCACAATTGATACGTGCCAATAACCATTTACTATTTTGGGTTGGTTCTCGTCTTGAGAACAATAATGGAAAGAAACAAATTAGCAGAGTAAAAATGTACAACTTGAAAAAGCAATCTCTTTGGCGTACGATTGAGTTTTTGGTTTGTAATAAAATTGGACCGATATGATTTCAGTAAAAAATGGGTCTTCAATATGGTGACCACCAAGGAAAGCAGCTTCAGCGTAACGGAAAAGGACAGGAATGATAATAATCTCAAGTATATCATAACTATACGGTGCGTAAAGTAAAAAAATTGTATGATAGCAAGACACCACGCCTCTTTTTTTTTTATGTTTCTACATAGGGAAAACAAATGACTTAGAATGTGACAAGGAGATTAATCAAAGGCTTAAATAACTCGTAAGTTTTAAATGGAATTTTCGCTTGGGGTAACACTACTTTTTATGTTTTAAAGTTGTATATGGTTTTGCTGGCGGAGTTGAAGACCTATTACTGCAAGTACACGCGGCGAGATAAACAGCAAGCCTAGAGTTTATGATATTAGAACGGTTATATGGTTAGAATAGGAAGTCGCTGAAGTACATACAATGTAAATTCGGTAAAGAATTAGGGCAACAGCGCATGCTCAAAAGTGTATAAATTCTATTAATGATCTGAACATAGAAGACATATTAGAAGTCCAAAAAGTCAAAAATCGGATATGCAGGAAGTTGACATTAAAACTGACGAAACAAGTTATCTGTATGCTTTTAATTGAGATAGTGAAGATAGAAAGGACTCACATCAGCCACCGGAAGCTGTGGGTATATTTCTCTTGAAAAACTACATTTGAATGCTTTGACAGGCTTCGCATCGGTGCACTGCTGGAGCTGTTTGCTATCTCTACAGTGTTTGATGCCCAAAATGCTCGGCTGTTTCATAGAAATTTGATTCCACTACCTTTGTCTATTTCTGTATGCTTGAATATTTTGTCTTCAATGCATATAATCAATCTTAGCTTACTTTTGCTAATCAAGAACAGAAAACTTTAAACAATCGTCCCTGACTGATGAATCGATTAATGCTATATAGAAATTGACACTACTACGCGTTTAAATTATTCCGGCAGCATCACCGTGTGCTACAAATTCGTCCCTCATCCACCCAGATACGAAATTTTAAGTTATCAGAGAATATTCCTTGGATTTGCCTACTTTGGAAAACTCAAACAGTCAAGATTAAAAAGGGGTCGGTTGTGCATTGTCCATTACTTGTTTGCAAAAAGTTCGACCCCGGATCTATTTAGAGTTCTCTATTTCTTTTTCTCTATTTCCGAATCTGTAACTCTTTTTCTTTGCCCTTTATAACAGACTTATTACAATGAAAATCATCGACAAAATTCATAATGCAGAGAAAGAACGCCGTAGCTTCTGGTCCTTTGAGTATTTTCCACCGAAAACCGAAATGGTATGGTAGTGTTTTGCTGTCTAAGTGAAGCACAAAGTTCTAAAAAAAACCTGATGGCCATGTTCATTCCAACTTTTTGAGAATTTAGGGACTTCACAATTTATATGACCGTATGGAGAGGATGCAAAGATTCGGTCCCGAATTCATCGATGTCACTTGGGGCGCAGGTGGTTCATCAGCAAAACTGACAACTGAAATCGTGGGAACAGCACAATCGGTATATGGCTTAGAAACTATGATGCACTTGACATGTACTAACATGCCTGTAGAGAAAATAGATTCAGCTTTAAAGGTAAATAAAAGAAGCGAAATGTCCGGTCAAAAAGGGCTGATCCCTCGAGCGCCTATTCATTGCTATGATTTTTTTTTTTCCCTTTAGGCTGCAAAAGCTTTCGGCTGTCAAAATATTTTAGCATTGCGGGGTGATCCCCCAAAAGGACAGAAAAATTGGGAATTATGCGAAAACGGATTCACATTTGCCATAGATTTAGTACGTTATATACGAGAAAAATATGGTGATTATTTCTGTATAGCAGTTGCAGGTAAAGAAAAAGAGACCAAAAATAAAAAGCACGGGTTTGGTTAAAGGTAGATGAACATTGACACACTTTGAAAAATTATCGTTAAAATGTTAGGTCATCCTGAAGGCCATATCAACAATGAAAGTAAACAAGACGATTTGAGGAGACTAAAAGAAAAAGTGGATGCCGGAGCTGACTTGATCGTTACTCAACTTTTTTTTGATGTCGACATTTTCATACAGTTTGTCCGACGATGCCGTGAGATCGGTATCACTTGTCCAATCTTGCCAGGCATTTTCCCTATTCAGAGTTACGGTGGTTTGAAACGCGTCGTTTCGTTCAATAATAATGTAGTGCCCGATAAAATCTGGAAAGAACTTGATCCCATTAAGGACGATGATCAAGCAGTGAAGGATTATGGAATTGATCTAGCAGTGCAATACATTGAAAAGATACGAGAAGAAACAGGTATACAAGGATTTCACATATATACTTTCAATTTGGAGCGATCGTCACGATTGATTCTGGAGAGATTAAAGCTTGTACCCGAACAAGAACACGTCAAACCATTACCATGGAATCCTGTAAGTTTATTCATCATCGGTTATCCATTGATGGTATAGCCAACTGAGTTTAGATTGTATATATAGTCCCTTGGATTGAATCGAACCAAAGAAAATGTACGACCTATCTTTTGGAAAAACCGTTCTCATAGCTACATCCAACGTACTGAATCATGGGATGAATTTCCTAACGGTCGCTGGGGAGATTCACGCTCTCCAGCTTTTGGTGAATTCGACCGCTGGGGAGTATCTATTAAATATCCGATTGAGAAGCGTTTAGCCTTATGGGGTGAGCCTACGTCTGTTGATGAAATTGCTCTCTTGTTTGCTCGTTATTGTAAAGGAAAATTGGAGGGCCTACCATGGAGTGCACAAAAGTTAGACCCTGAAACAGACATTATCAAGCAAAGGTTGGCGGCTATCAATTTACTAGGCTATTTAACAATTAACTCCCAGCCAGCTGTAAATGGTGCGAAGAGCAGTGATCCTATTTACGGCTGGGGCCCTAAGAATGGATACGTCTTTCAAAAGGCATATCTAGAGTTTTTTGTTCCTCATGATAAGTTGGACGACTTAACAAAGAAGATTGAAAAAGATCCAGAAGTAACCTATTTTGCAGTAAACAATAAGGTAAAATTCAAACTGCTACGGAGACAGCGTAGGAAAAACTTTCACTAGAAATTTTATGCTTTATCTCTTCAATTTCTAGGGTGATTTGAAAACAAATGCACCGAGTGATGAACCTAATGCGGTAACATGGGGTGTATTTCCAGGTAAGGAGATCATTCAGCCTACTATTGTGGAAAAAACAGCGTTCATGGCATGGAAGGATGAAGCATTTGCTTTATGGTATGAGTGGGCTCATACTTACGATCGCAAGAGCGTTACAGCAGAAATTATCTTGGATATTTACAATAATTGGTATCTGGTCAACATTGTGCATAATGACTTCCAAAATGAAAGTGGTATTTGGCGCTTATTCGATCTTGAGATAGACGGTGATTTATCTAAAAAATTACGACATACTTCTTCTCATACTACCTTTTGATTTTGAAGTTGTTTCGCATAGTCAACATGCTGTAACATAAGTAATAAACTGCGTAACCATAATATACCAATATGGGACTTTTTTCAAAGCAACTTTTTCTCCGTAACCAAAGGAGCCGAAAAAGCATTTAATTTCAACAAATGACGCTGTTTCTAACTGCCATCTTCAGGTCGTCATTTTATATCACTTGAATCGTACACGCCTTAGCATGCAAATAAATAATAAATCTTAATTAGTCAAGAAAAAAGAATGCAACTGCTGCAAGACAGAAAGTGCAACTATAAAGCAGTAACACCAATCACTACTTTTTATGAGTTTTATGGCCACAATACTCTACTGTATCTTGAGCACATAACTGTTCCTTCAGACTATCTGACGGAGGAGTATCGGAAAGCAGAATGATTGTAACATATCTATTTACTCATGTTTGTTAACTGCTAACTATTTCACATCTGTTGTAAGTGCACGCAAGTCTAGGCTAATATGTCTTTTCATCGTTAATGAATCTTTTGATAAGCAGACAAAGGCAATAAATAAATTATTTTTTCTTTTCTATCTTTGCTAATAGAACATTTCTGCCCATTTTGCGTGTAAACGTTGCAATTCTCAGTCCTTATTCAGCAGACTTAAATTTTATTACTATACTTGACTTTGTGACTAAGTATGTGGTGAATCGTATTCAGGTACAAAAGCAATGGAAAATAATCGGGGGAACACATGTTTTGCGGCTCGGAAGTTACGGCCTTATTTCAACAATCGGTTATTGAGCCATATTTTAACATCCGGGCTTTTTAACAATTTCCCAGCCTAAAAAATCCCAACACAGCGGAACAAAACAATAAAACTATCAATTATAGGCGAGTAACCAGATCCTTCTTTTCAATTACTTGTTTGACCAAGGTATGCCTATAGATACGAATCGACTATGATTATCAATCCATCCAACCGTCGCATCATTCATCCATACTCACGCATCATTAATTTGTGTTGATCCTTTAGGAACTTAAAAATGGCCAAGTCTAAGAACCACACCAACCACAACCAAAGTAAATAATTTTCACGATTGGCACTGTCGAGATGCCGATTTGTTCGGTTCAACAGATTGGAAAACTAACATTATTCTTTATTAACAAACTTATAGACAAGAAGGCTCACCGTAACGGTATCAAGAAGCCCATTGTTCACAAGTACCGTCCTCAAAAGCACGTAAGTACATTGTTTTTTAAAATGGTACTTGTAAATGATCGCGGTTGACATTGACGTCAATTTTATAGATGGATGCCAAGTTCCTCCGTAACCAACGTTTCGCCAAGAAGGGTACTCAAAAGGCTCTCGCTGCCGCCAAGGCTTAAATAGCGATACTTTTCCACTTTACACATACAACTCAACTTCCTTGTTCACATCTTATTGTAATATGGTCGAAATAAACTATCAACCTATTAAGGAAACGTGAAGTTACAATAATTTCAAACGCTCCTGTGTATGAAAGTTTTTTTGTCGAAAGGATTGGCTTTCGCTTGGCCTTTAAAGTTGGAAAAAAAGTGATTAAAAATGGCGGGTATAAAGGTGTCTAAATGCTACAACAGATATTTTTGATTTTGTACTTGCTCTGCAAGAGAATGGGGAAGAGGGAACTATTTTATTTTCGGATGGTCGTTTTGCTTCAAGTAGGTTTGATAGTTATTAACAGTGATGTATATCTTTCAAGAGCAATCGTTCAAACGATAAAAGAAAGGGGTTCAAAATTCTTGTTGCCTTTGGAAGGCAACAAGCATGGGTTGTAAAGTGCGTTTTGGTAAGAGAATTAAAAAAAAAAAAAGAAATAATACAGAAAGAACGCGTGCATTTGATGGTTTGATCCAAGTATGGTTTAATAATCAATATTCTAAAGCGAAAAAAGTATAAAAAGGAACAAGTCGTTAGTTACATTCTAATCGACATCGAAAAATATCTACTATCGACAGTAGTTGTATTGACTTACATTAGCTTGACAATGGGCTTTGATATTATCAAAAACCTTTAGCATTTTACGTCTTGCGCCTAGAGCAGCCACACCACGTTTTAGTAAATCTTCATCTGTCATTTTGATCATTTCTTGCCATTTGCAATCAGCGAAAATTGGGTTGTATTTGTGTAAACGTAAGCTCCTGAGCCAAGCAGGAATATCTGATTTTAAGAGATGGTATAAAATGTTTTGAGTTCAAGACATGCAATTCTTTCCTTTCCCAGCATTTTTCTTTGCTTACCCTTCAAAAGCTCCATATCAACAATTTCAACTGCTTTTTTGTCTTTAACAGCCCTAGTATTCAAATGATGGTTATTGGTGTTACTGTTTAAATGACCCGAAGGATTATAATTATTGCTGCCATGATAATTCAAAACTGAGGAAGGTCGACGATGAGGAGACATATGCGACTGGTCACTTTGGTCACTGGGATAATCATTATCATATAGTGTCAATTTATTAGTATTGTCAACAATACTTTGTACTGATATGTCATTATTCTGGGCTGAGGCAGAACTGTTAGCAGTAGTAGTAGGAGTTGTGTTGATAGACGTTGACGACGGAGGTGATGTTTGCATTAAATAAGTAGCATAACGTTCCAAACCAGTTGGTTTACGAAAAGGTGACGTGGTTGTTGATCGTGTAGACGACATTGATGTTGTTGTATCTATTCCTAAATCAAATGACATTCTACCCGAATTGGTGAGAAACTCATCAGATTCGGGCACTGCGGGAATTCTATTCATAGTAGCACGTCCAGGCCCTACTACACCACTTCTACTGTTACGGAAAGGTTGCTGGAGAGGATTGGTGAAATCGATAAGTTCATTATCTATCTGACTCGATGAGGCAGAAGTAGGTGGTTGTCCCCAAATGCTGTTACGATCCACTAACGACTCGGTAGAAGTAGTAGCAGAAGGTAACGACCAATTGCTTATGTCAGCCGATTTTGGTCTTTCAGGGATCATCCTGTTACTATTACTACCGATGGGGCCTACAGCAGACGGTTGTCGACGGTGACCAGCATTACTTAAAGTGAGATTATTGTTGTTACCGCTGCTGCTGATATTACTGCTGCCACTATTACCTAATCCACCGGTTGAATTCCACGTAGGAAAGAGTGAGTTGGTGTCACCTTCGATCACAGATCGAGGTCTACTGTTAAACATAGAACGTCCTGACGTTCTACTTGTTGCAGTTGTTGGCATTGATCCTAGACTATTATTCGTGGTTGTATTTAAACTGGTTCGTCGACTGTCGCTACTGCCTTGAGCAGTCAAAGTTGGTGTTTCATCCAGGATTGAACCCACAAAAGATGAACGGTTGGTATTACCGCTTCCGGCAGCAGCCCCAGGCAGAGTAAGAAAATCAGAAGCATTGTTGCGGCCGAACAGATGACTATACTCCTCTGTATCACCTAATGCGAATGAATGACGCTCTACAGTTCGTCTGCTTGTTGTACTTGGAGGTCTACTTATCACTTGACCTGTTTTAAAGGGTAAAACTGACATCAATCGTTGACTAGCTTCTAATTCTGCTTTTGCCATAGCACCAGCTAAATGGGTTTGCATGTCTTTTTACAGAAGGGTAGTTATAATCAGTCTCGTATCTATTTCTTTTTGGTTTTTGTTTTTTTTTTTTTTTTTTCCACCCAAAACTATGTTCTTTATACCTTGTTCAGGATTACTAGGTGTCAATAAAGAATGAAGTGGATCTCTCTTCACCATTTGTTGAAGAACGTTGATAAAGAATCGGACTTGAACTTGACTTGAGTGTTGTAAAAGTGTATACATAGTAGCGGTTTTCTCTGCTTCCGTTAAGTAGCGATACCATTGGTCTACATGTTGCATTTCTTCTTTAAAGTTCTACATAGCGCAAATATATCACATAAGAATTCAATCAGTCAGTGTTCTTTCTATTATTTACAGCAATGGCTTGGCACATAAAAGCCGTCTTGATACCTGATCTAAAGTAGCCGATGCCATTTCGTCCAAATTTCTTTCATAGTTTTGGAGATCCTCATACCAATTGCCTGCAATATCAGCTGCTACGAATAAAAAGAGCGCGTGTTAAAGCCTAAAGAAAATCCTTGAACTGTGTTGTCAGACTTTACCCTCATTCATAAAATGTCCAGGATTCAGAACTTCAGACATTGGCCTCACTGAAAGAGGTTTGTAGTCGTTAGGTAGCATTTAGTTCTTTAGTTGTGAATGGGTAAGGTATATGTGTAAAGAAAAAGAAGAACAATCAAAATAGGGAAAGAGACGGAAAAAAGAAAGGAAAAAAAGGTGAGGGGGTGGGTGGGGCGTCGAAAAAGAAGAGCTAAATCTCTAGCAAACAATTCAGTGTGTGTGTCTTGTATGTGAGAAAAAGAGAAGAAGAGCCTATTGTGCCCCTTCTTTTTTTAGCTTTGACTTTCTGGAATTTTACACAACTGTTGTGTTTCTTCAAAAACCCAGGCCGACCAAAAAAGTATACCCAAGGTAACCAATGAGATTATTCTTTGCACTGTTTTCTTACTCTCTAACTGACCTTTTAGTATGCATACCACTTCTCTGTGTGCAAAGTAAGTGAACAATGTCTACGATAGTGTAGTGTTTCAATGCGAGTCTTTCCATGAAGTTTTTAGACAAAAATATATCGTGCATTTACTAGTATATTTATTTTTGAAATAGGCGGGATCAACATATGTATACGTGTGTACCAAAATAACAATAAATTATAAATAGACATGTTATTGTATTTCTTTCGTTCTAGGTCCGAATCCTTTTACTCGTGAAAAGCTAGCATACTGTTCTACGGACACATTTGAACAGAGGCTTCCTTGTTGCTGCTTCATGATTGACGATTATCTTTGCAGATATAATATCGCGAAATATATTGCGAGAATGCGGAAAAAAGGATCGTGTAAGGAAAATTAATAACCGATGCAATTTTTTTAACAATAATGAATTGAAAAAAAATAACAATAATAGTGTGGTCTGATAATGTTACCTGAATTACATTGAGTAGATGTATTTAATGTAATAATTGGAGACGTAAAATGTTAATGGTCTCAAGTCTGACTACCAGAGTAACCTGCAATTGCTGCATTCTTACATATCTTAAAGCTTGATCTTTTCTCCATGTTTGTTGCCCCCTCCCTTTCATAAACTTATCATACCTCCCAGTTCTTTACTATAGCAGCTGATATATACCTTTATGGGTACAGTACTAAGTCAGAATACACAAATTCAGGGAAAAGTTTTATGGTAACAACTATCAAAAAAATTGGATGGTTAATTCATTCAACTCAACGACAGTAACTACCTTATCATCTCGTTGCCGGTACTGTATGAAAATCAATGATACCTATAACGTCTATGCCCTTCATATCACTGCGCAAAACGATAGTAACGGTATGGCGGGCCTCGTTGTTTATTTTGCCTTTTTTGGGATTCTGCTTGACCGGAACGTCATTTTTTTGTCCTGTCCGAGTTCTGTTTTTACTTCTTCTTACACTTACTGCTGAGGTTGTTCGCTATTTCATTATCGCCCTTCTGCCGACCTTGGTAGTCGTTAAATCCAGATTTTAACAGCCTTAAACACAGCTATTGATATGAGCCGCTTACATTCACTACAGACACGTGAACATGATCGACATCTTTGGTGTTGATGATGAAAATGAGTCTCAATATCATTAACGTCTCTGTTAGACCTGAACCTACTGTCTCTGCCAGGTTTTTTCAATATTCATTTCTCTTTCTTAACAGTATTTCTGACAGTCTCAGTTAAAAGAAATAGTTAGCGCTTTTGAAGTGTTCTCAATATAAGATACTTTGTCTCAGGCATGCTTTTGGCATTGTTATATACTATAAAACTACTTAAGAGATGACTCTAAATATCTCATTAAGAAGGAGACTCTTGAACCTTTCTGTAAAGTCTTTAACATAGAAATTCATTTAGGTAGTCGTTGTAATCTTGCATGCCACATAAGAACATCAAGATTACCTTCTTAATTCGTTTCCTCTAAAAGGATAGAATATGGATGGAAAAGCTACCTTGGCATTAACAAACGCCAAAGTCACCGAGTGGTTACACTTAATTAGAACTCGAAGAACTCTAAATACTGACATAAGACTAACTGCATAATGACACTTATACTTTATATACCAGCTTTCCAAAACATTATCATTATACCGTCCAACGCTTGAAAACAGCTGTAGCCCTTTTGAAGGATGTACATGTTGACATGCAAAAATACTTATTATTGCTTTAGATATCTTGACTATTTTTGATTATACTGGATATATACTTGGTGTCAATAACTTGTATAATAGACCAAACAGAAGAAGAGAGAAAAGCAGGAAGAAATTCGAAAACCTTAACTATAAACCATGTTTGCCTGTTGACTATGCATAAATGATTCTATCGACAGTAGTAACGCAGTAACAGTTGAAGTGAGGCGTTTCTGACTTATGACGGCACGTCCTAAAATGACGCGTTGAGATTGTTCTCCCTGAATAACAATATCAATTGCCTGCTTACAACGCACTATTATTGTTATCCACATTATCAATAAAGTCTTTGCTTTATAAGAGGATTATTTGCAACCAACAACGGTGATCTGACAATTTCTCGATCAAATTCTAACTTCATTTCCACTTCTTTGGAACAATTTCCTGCTCGTCAATTAGAGGTAGGTTTTAGAGAGAAAAATACAAGCTTTCAACTGTCAGTTATCAAAAAGTTCATTTGGAAAATTACTGTAGCTGTAATATGTTTACTAATATTTATATGATATAATAGAAAAGTTATTTTCAGAAAATGAGAATAGAAAAAGAGAACAAAGGAGATATATTCAGTGTCTTAATATGCGAGTCCTTGGATGTGTGCCTGCGTTGCCTATTTGCGTGTATTTGCATGTATTTATAGCCCTTGTGTACATAAGAATTGCATGTGCGCACCCAGTTGATGTAAAAGAAAAACATGAGGTTGCAATATTCATATGGAGTTTTTTCTTTTTTTTTTTTTTTTTTTATTATTAAGGATTGCTTCGTTCATATTTATGCATTATTCTTCTTCTTTCCTTTCTGTCCATTCTTATTCCCACCATAACCAGCATATTTGGCTCTCTTTTCCGCAGGTTTAAGGATCTAATCCATCGAGTTCGACATTAGAACAAGCTGCTATACTACTTTTTATAAAAATCAAGTTACTCGAGTTACCTGGAATGAACACATCAATGACTCGTCGACACTCATCATTGCTCCCGCGTTATCAAATTCACCACAATAATTCGGTGCAGAAAAGATAGTGACTAATTGACGTTTTGAGAAGAATTCGTAACCATCTTCTACCACTTGATGTGCTCGGCAAATAAGATCAATATCGTGCTTCTGTAAGAATTTAGATACAATATCAGGCCCAAATGTGAAAGAAACACCACGATCGTTCTCACTCCATCCTTGAATATCTTTGTCGGGATCTGCCCATAAAAGATCACACAAGAGACCTATATCATAAAAGAGTATCCATGTTTGAGTAAAATGATATAACCCTTCCCTCTAGCAAGCACTACTAACCTGTATCGGGTACATCAGTCGGTCTCATCACTCTACGGATTTGTTCAAAGCTTTGAAGGTCAGGAGATAGACCACCATGCATACAAAATATCTTTTCATCCACCAAAGCAGCAATTGGTAAGCAGTTGAAGCAATCTGTGAATGTCTTCCATAATTTAATGTTATATCTTCGTTTGCATTCATCATAGAAACCATAAATACGATTGATACTGGCACATTCATGATTACCACGCAAGATAAAGAAGTTTTCAGGATATTTGATTTTGTATGCCAACAATAAGCAAATTGTCTCTAACGATTGTTTGCCTCGATCAACATAATCACCCATGAAAAGATAATTGGATTCTGGGGGGAAGCCACCATATTCGAACAGTCGCAAAAGATCATAGTATTGACCATGGATATCGCCACAGATCTTGATAGGAGCTTCCAAGTCTAATAAAATGGGTTGACTCATAAAGATATCACGGGCTGTTATACAGAGATATCTGATTTCATTTTCGTGTAATTGAACTTGTTTGCCAGGTCGATTCCCTCTGACTAGGTGTTTATCAATCGGAAAAGAAGGGCACTTTGATTAGATAGACACTCGTTGAGCCCTCTTGACAAGAATAAACTATTCTTACCTTCTAATAATCTTTCAATAATAGAGTCCACATTAACATCAGCAAATTCAGACATGGTACTATCGGAGAAAGAGTAAGATAGAAACAATCGTCAAATGAGTTCATTATTCGTTGTCTTTAATTCAGCTTCTTTATAAAAGAACCATAAAATGCAAGTGTAAATGCGCAGCGAGTAGTTGTCTGTATGCATGTATGTATGTTTCCTTAAGAATGTATGCTCCGCGCCCCTGTTTCACTGCTTGGTACACCTCTATTTTCGATTAATTTTCATCTGTTGCACGTTGCTTGACAGTATCTTTGATATAAAGCGCGTCCATACTCCTTCTTTTCAAATCTGATAATTTATTGTAGAGGCTGACATCAGAGTACAAATTCGTTTCTGGAAAATCGAAGCGTAACTCGCCTTTTTTCTATAGTATGATGAGACGTCATGGTATGAACATATCCAAAGATAACAGTTGCTATCTGTGCTAACAAGTACATTTTGTTGTTGTTGCCTTTGTTACTATAGCGCGCAAAAGTTCGTTCCAAAAAGACCAATGGCGAAATAGAAAACCAACTTCTAGCCATCTTGGCTTTTTTTACATCATCAATTTTTTTTTTCCCCCTTCGCTTTCTCAGTTCTTGGAGATGAGTTATCAATGCTCAGATTATTTGCAGTGCGTTGTTTGATAGTCGTTGAACAAGTCGCAAGTGAGAGTCAAAGTGACAGGAGCGCATTTCCAAAAAAATACATACATGCAACAGGCACAGTTATTATTTTGTTAATGTGGAAACTTACAATTGAGTTAAATCTCGTTAGTTTTCGGGTTGAAATAAATATCTTTCGTCCTCTTTGTTAGTGAGCGAGAAAGACAAAATGGTTTTGGAAAAAAGAAGAAAGAAGAAAGAGAAAAGCAAACTGTGCAATAAGGAAAAGCTAAAGTGGTGAGGGTTTCTTTATGATAAAAAAGAGAGTTGATATGAAAGAATCAAAAGGGAATAGAAAAAAAAAAAAAAAAAACCAAAAAAAATCACTCAGGATTCTCGTCACAAACACTTTTTTATTTTTTGCTTGCTTTTTTTTTGGTGAGTTACTTGAAATTTGATAATAAAAAGCACTCACCATAAAAAACAATGCTCATCATACAAAGGTTTTTTAAATGTAAACAATGTTCATATGTGGGCATCGTCAATATGAATGACTAAATATCGTTGCTTTCATGCTTTATTCTAACAACCTGTAGAAGGTTTTATTCAAGGGCAAAAAAAATAAAGCAACCTGGACAATAGGAGGTTCCTTCCATTCGAGTCTGCCAATAAAACAGCAGGCATTTTCCTTCTCAGCCAGCTCTCTTGTGATTGGCAGTATTACGCCTACAACACTTTACCTCTTTCTTCGCTTCTTCGCAACATTGAAGTCCTGCATAAGATGGATCGATTAACGCAATTGCAAGATGCTATTGACTCTGTAATAGATACCACCCTGAGAACAGCAACATCTTGAATGCTTAGGCTATTGTTGATTTAACAGCGTCTAATACATACTTTTCTTTGACAAACGCATTTGGTAGATGGCGAGAATGTTTACCAATAGTATATATTACGTGCACGAAAAGTCCAGCATGGTCGAGTTAAACAAAGATATACCAGTTTCACAACCGAAAAGTAAATACTGGAACATATTGCACCGTGCTTCTTCTTTTTGACTACTAATATAGCTCTATTTATCTGAACTTAGTACAAGCAGATGATCCGCAAGTATTTCAAAGTTAGGATTAATATAGGACGAAATAGTAATTAAACGTTCATATTAAAAGCTAACTTCCCACATGATATAGACAATATGCGTGAATTGGTTTCAGACTTGGTAAAGAAAGCCAAAGAAATAGACCAATTGATTGAAGTCCTACCGGGTATCCATCAAACAGAAGAGGAGCAGGTGAGCAGCAACAGTGTTTTGTCAACGAAATAGAAGATTAAACACTCACCATCTTTTGTTATATGGATTAGATTGACATATTGAAAAAGCTTGAAGAGGAGAACAGGGCAGCGAATGATGAATATGAAGCCGCGGTAAAAGAAATGGGTAAAGTAGCAGTGTCACCTTGTCTTTTTATTTGTGTATTTAAAAGACGGGAAGTTGTAAACCAATGAATTTTGTATACAATAGAATCAGTTAAAGAACGAATAAATCAGTCGCTTCGAACAATTACAGATGAAGTCATATAAACAAGCACCAAGAGGACAAATTTGAAAGAAGAAAAAGAAAGGAATATACCAGTATTAGTGCAAGCATATCACTCCATGCCTACCTTTCTTCAAAAGCAACAAAAAAAAACCTATATTATGTAATGCAGTTGATAAAAAGAGAAGAAAATTTTCAGTTGAGAAAACTGTGATCACCGACCAAATCAGGGGCCGACAAAATTAAAAAAAAAAAAAAAAAAAAGATCTTGATTATTTCCTACATTTTTATAAATAAAGTAATTCTCGCTTGATCTTTGGACGCAAAAGAATAAGAAAAGCTATATATATCAGTCCTAAGCTCCTGGAAAAAAAAAGATAACCTTTTCTCTTTCTCCTTTCCCCTCTTTACTCACCTTCTGCTTTATACTTGTTCTTACTTCTACGCCTCAAGAACTTTACTTACTATTACTAATACTATAAGCATGTCATCTTATAAAGAGGAGCATCATTACTTTGATGATACAACAAACAACTGTAATGATAATGTACATAATATACCCAATCTTCATCCTTCTCGGCGAGGTTCTTTAGTAGCAGCAGCAGAAGATTGTCAAGACTACCACGGTTACAACTATAACGATGAAGAGCCAATCCTTGCCTCATCTTTTAAAAACAAAATTGAGACCTTTGTTGGATCTTATTCTAGAACGTCTATGATGCATATGGCTGAAAATGTAGTAGTCAGTTCGAATGCATCAGATAATTTTCATCATACTGCATTGGTAAACAACCAAATTCCTAGAATGGCTCCCTCAAAATAAAATAATTATATCTGACATATCATTTCATTTGATATTCATATAGCTGGACGAAGAAGAAAATAGCTTATCTTATACTAAAAATTATACCAGTAGTATCAGGTACAGTCTACCAACATCCACTCTTGTGCTACTTTGATTCCCATCTGTAGGGTGATACGATATCTCTAACCTTAAAGCTTGATTTCCATATGGTTTATGATATGTATGTTACATTAGGCAACAACAGCAACCTTGTGACAAGAGCATCCACAGTAGAAGAAATTCTGAAGGAACACTTCATGATGAGAGGACGCCCTTACTATTCCCTACCACTGCATCCCTACATAAAGTGAACACAAATACCAGCGTCTATACCATTGCTGATAGCTATATAGCTGGTACAAGTCAACAAGATCATCATTTTCATGGCTCTGTTCAAAAATCCTCCTTCATTCAGAGTATATTCAACTCCATCAATATTCTGGTCGGTGTTGGTGTATTAGCATTGCCGCTTGGTTTCAAGGTAAAGTTTTCATTCGTCATTTTATAAATGTATGTGTATTTTTTAAAGTTAAGCAAACTATATACACAATACGAATACCTTGTATGAGTACTACAAGAAAAAATAAGCTTATATTCCTCATTTCTCGCTTTATACAATAGTGTGCCGGTTGGCTTATTGGTTTTTTGATTTTTGCTTTCTGTTTTGGTCTCACAAATTACACAGCAAAGTTATTGGCAAAATGTCTTGATTTGGATCCCAATTCAAGAACTTATGGAGACATGGGCGCCAGTGCGTTTGGTGTTAAAGGTAGAATCTTCATATCAATACTGTTCTTAACAGAATTAACTACAGCCAGGTAAGCAAATTATACACCAATAGTATACTATGTTACATGCATACCAATAGAACTCTTTTTTATTTCGCAGCGTCGCGCTAGTCGTTCTTTTAAGTGACGGTATTGACAGCTTATTCCCGGGCCACAATCCTTTTCTTAACCGTGTCATTTCCTACATCATCTTGACACCTACTTTATTCATCCCTGTGCGCCATTTATCCTTTACTAGTTTGTTGGGCATCTTAAGTGCTCTCAGTTTATTAGTGGTGATATTGTATGATGGGTTCTCCAAACCACATGCTCCAGGAAGCTTACATGAATTGGCCGAGGTACGGTGTTGTGCGTTGCTTTTTTTTTTTTTTTTTTTTTTTTTCGGTGCACAAGCATTCTGTTTATAGTAATTCTAACATGAACTTTTTCACACGACCATTTTGATTGAAATATGGTTGTTAGGGTGCCACTAGCTTATTCCCCGAGGATTGGATGACAGTACCAATGAGCTTTGGTCTGATTATGGCGGGCTTTGCAGGACATGCTGTCTTTCCTACCATTTACCGCGATATGGCAGAACCTCGAAAATATAAGAAGATGGTCAACTATACTTACGTCGCCACTGCTATTATTTATATGGCCGTAGCAGCAGCAGGTTATGCCATGTTTGGTTCCGAAACTATGCAAGAGGTAGAATAGAAAAAGAACGCTTGAAATTGATTTCTCTAAAATAAGTACTAAGCAATCCCTCTTATTTGACGTAGATTACCCAAAATATCGTATCCTTACCAGGCTATAATCAAACTCTGAACAGACTTGCCGTTTGGCTTATTGCTTTGAACCCCATTGCAAAATACGGTCTTACTCTGAACCCTGTCATACTTAGTTGGCAAATTGGATTGTTCGGCACGAATAACGGTAATACTGCTCAGTCCAAATTAGAGGGTTGGTTCCATGAATCAAGCTGGAGAATACCTTTAGTCAAGACGATAGGTGTTTCGTTAACTTCAGCTATGATCGTCCTTTTGGCTGGTATGTTGCCTAATTTCGACCAAGTCATGTCTTTATTAGGCGCGCTCTTTTCTTTCTTGATCTCTGGCATTTTCCCTATTTGCTGTTATTTGAAATTATTTAGAAGCTCTCTATCTTCTTTCCAAAAAATGCTGAATTATAGTTTACTGGGTGTGGCAGCTTGTATGGCAACCATAGGTACAGTTAGGAGCTTTATATAATGGCTATTCATCCAGATTTCAACATACAACTTAAAATAAAATAAAGAGAGTGAGCTATAGACAAATAAGATGATACGATTTATGTAATATCAGGTTCAAAATAGAAGAGTCATGGTAGTCATCATTTAATAGTAAAACAATGCAGTCAATGGATGTAGACGATTAAGCAGCCCAAATCGTTGAACGTAAATTTATTAAACGTGGTTATTGAAAACGACATCGAGAGATAAGATGGTCATGAAATAGCAAAGAGCCTTGTTTATGAGGATGTAAACGATAGGAAAACGAGAACAAATTCCGAACCTTCAAATAGCATCAACCGGAAAAGTAACAGATATATTATGCAGAAAGACTATCCTATGAATATAAGAAAAAATAAAGATTTATAGTTTGCAGGGTATCATATTATTACACGTTATTGCATTTGTATAAGCAATTAGTATGACTGAACTTAGTATTTGTATGAGAGCTACTATGATGAAACTATTGTCAAAAAACGACTCCTATAAAGCCATTGCACCTAGACAGTATTGTTCATCAGCATCAAAATATTGGGCCAACCAATTAAACGAGCTAGTGTAAAGTTTATCTTCAAACAGCTTGCTTCATTACTCACCTGTCTTCTTCTTCCCTCCTCAAAGTCGGTCACATAACGTTCCCCGTGTCCCTTTATATCAGTTTTAAATTCAGTAAATGTTATCAATGTCGATGGCTTTAGAATTGAAATTTGTGCTTGCTTTCGCTTTAAGAAACAAAGTCAACACATCATACAATCACTTCAATTGTATGCTCTTATGTCTCAGTCAGTTGCACCATTGTGGAAATTGAGCAACTCATTCAGTAAGTAATTATCAAAGTAATTGGCACTTTGAAATAAAGTCCACCTAATTGACTAACGGATTTGCAGGAATTTCATTCGACAACTCCTTGTAGCAATTTTCTGATTGATTCAGACTGATAATCATTCCTTCTTTCTTCGATTTATTAGCGTTTGAAATAGAGTGTAAAGTTACATAGAGTGAGTGAGGCAGCATCTGGCGTGCTCTTCTAGTTTATGGATTATTTTTGTCTGGACTTATGTTTTGTAGAAGTGTGTCGATATCAATCTGGGAGGATATACTATTCATATTTGAATCTGTAGATGGGGATGTAAAGGGAGAATTGGTTATGGTAGTGGTTGTGTTAAATAATGAAGGGCCTGAGGTTGGGAATAATGAGTTTTGTTCTGAATTGGAGGATGGTGGTTGAGAGAAAAGATCTAAATGGGTCGGGTTATCATTATTGCTTAACATTTGCGAAGGCGGTTGCTGCTGCTGTTGTTGTTGTTGTTGTTGATGCTGTTGGACACTTTGAAGCTTATTATATAATTCTTGTTGGAAACGGTCTCTAAACATCGGCGATATTGTCATAAGTAAGTTCTCCATGCTCTCAAAAGGCGTCTCTAAGTGCGCTTGCACTAGTTGAGCAGTAGATAGTGCCGGATCCATGTTGCATAAGGGCGAACAAGAAGTAACCTAGAAGGGGATCCAGATCATATGTATTAGTAACCTTAAACCTTTGCCTTTTTGCCAATTCGATCATATACTATTCGCCTTTACCTTATAGCCCTGATCAGTAACTTCTAACACAATCATAACGCCTTCCAAAAGAGTTAAATCTAATCGACCTATTCCGTTTGCTTCGTCCTTCACAAAAACAGTAGCTGAGCCTGGAACAATACCGTAATCGAATTCATGAGTAATAGCATCAAGCTCTTCCCCTAATGAAGACAATCTCATTTAATTATCGTTTGAAAGAGTTTAGCTGAGATAAAAATGTATGCAAGATACGAATGATGTAGATATATTGAACCAAAGGTACTGGAAAAGAACGAACTTTAAAATTCCCAAAAGAACAAAGATTAAATGACTACCCATCTAGAAAATGCATCCTTCTTTGGGTTTTTGTTGGAAACGGTGACTGCTACTTTGGCTGTTTTATTCTTCCGCCTTTCCAAATCGCCTCTTGCTGGATAAACTGTTCCTTTGAGTCTTTCTGAGCAGAATTGAAAAAACGAACGCATGCCTTTGTTTTAAGATTGCTCATTATATACGTAAGAGCAGCAGATATAACATCAATATTACAAGCAGTTACTGATCAAATTGACATTGAAAGAGAGTAATTTTGAAGTTAACTAAATATGATTTTTTTATGCCGTATCATATAATGTATTTTTCAACAATTAAAGGTCTCTTATTTCCACTCTCAATGAACGTGAGTGAAGGCATCAACAATATCACCATAGGCTCTATTCATTGTCAAAAACGTATAAGATATTATGTTTTACAATTCACTAAAGCCACTAACTTCAATTTAATTAAAGTCAAGGCTTCAAATCGTACAAAATATGACAATGTACTCTGCTGTATTATATTGAAAACTACTATTTATCATGGTTGTATTTTGATATCGTTAATCTCTGCGTCTTCGTTTTTCGTTGCTATCGCTACTGGTACTTCTCCTTCTTTTACTGTTGTTACTTTCTGCTAATCGGGCCTTTTTCGCTCGTCTCTCTTCCCGTAACTTCTCCTGAAGCTCCTGATCAAATGCCGCTCCTTCAACATAACCTTTATCAATCCTTAGTGCTCGCTTCATCTTTTCATTGGCTTTTTCTTTGGCTGCTGCAATTTGATGGGTATCATGTTCTTTTAGACTATAGCGCAACCAGAACTAAGTGAGAACCGGCAATCCCAGTACGTAATTCGTAAAAACACAGCCGAATGAGACTTACTCTTTAGCATCAGTTTCTGCCACTTTTTCTTTTAATAACTTTTCTCTAAATTCTTGTACTTTTTCTTCAATAATATCTTCTTCAAGCCTACATTACAATTGCATTAATAAACAATTGTTGGAACGAATCATTATATTTTAGAATTGTCTGCAATTAATACTCACTCTTCATCTTCTAACTGAACTCGATATTCCATACATTTCACTTCAATTTTACGTTTGCGATCATGTTCTAGAATAGCTTCATTTGCTTTCCTCTGTTTAGGTGTATCTGAAAAATCTTCAAACTTTTTATTGCGATCGGTAGGTGGTGGTTTAACAAACGACAGGTTTCGAACAACATAACCGTTTGTGCCTATCCGATTAAAACAGGAGATCAGAAACGAAAATAGATTAGTACAAAGAAAAATCGAAAAAAAAACAATGTATGTAATGACGCTATTCTGAAATTAAGAAGTAATGTTACCAGATCCTCGAGGAGTAGTTAATCCAATACCGTTATACATTTTGTTGGTTTTTTTTTGGAAAATAAGAAAATAAAAAGCAGAATAGCAATTCTGCAATCACTTATTTGACTCTGGTCCTTTTTTGGAGCTCAACATTTCGAGCCGCACTAGGACTTGATTACATAATCAATGAATTGGAAATTTGCTTGACGGGTGGGGTGAGAACCACAACCAAACAAACGGAAATGGCGAGCATTAAGAAAAGTGAATTGTAAATGCAGATATCAACCGATCCTCCTCTTTAAAGACTCATTGGTAGATCAATCCAAATGGCCCCTCAAGGTAAAAACAAATTCAACAAGAGAGACTATAGATAAAGGCATGAATATACACAGATATTATGGAAGAGATAGATCAATAGACAGATGGATGGATGGATAGATTCATTCTTAGTTTTGGAATAGAAAACTTAAGCAGCTTCTTGAATTTCCCCCCACAACATCATTTGCAGTATAAGACTTATTAAGCAACATTTACGCATGTCACTATCAATATACAACTTTACAGTATTGTAAAACATAATATATACTTAGTTTATATACTTCAGCCACCATTCAATATATGCAGTCTTGTAATTTGAAAAGTACTTGACGTTAACGATTGTTTGGCAAAATGCTGCTCACCATTCCTGCCGTAAAAAAAAAAAAAAATCCTGACAAACTCATAGATCTATCTCTTCTCTTCAGTGTATTTTCATATCCTGCTCTCGTTAATCTGATGCTTCAGATCTTAGTTGAGCTCATTTGTTATTTTTTTAAAAATCATTATTAGCTACTACCAAGGCTCAAGCTGCCAAGAAGGCTGCCCTTAAGGGTGTTCACGGCAAGGCTGTCCGTAAAGTCCGTACTTCCACTCACTTCCACATCCCCAAGACTTTGAAGTTGAACCGTGCTCCCAAGTATGCTCGCAAGTCTATCAACCATGCTCCTCGTATGGATCAATATCGTGTTATTCGTCAACCCCTCAACACCGAAACTGCCATGAAGAAGATTGAAGAACACAACACCTTGACTTTCATTGTTGATGTTAAGGCTAACAAGAACCAAATCAAGGATGCTGTTAAGCGTCTCTATGATGTTGAAGCTGCCAAGATCAACACTTTGATCAGACCTGATGGTTACAAGAAGGCTTTCGTTCGTTTGACTGCCGATGTTGATGCTCTCGACGTTGCTAACAAGATTGGTTTCATCTAATCTTATTCATAACTGGAGAAAAGGAGCGAACTATTTTACTGTTGATATGGATGTTATAACGTCAAATTAGTTCATATGCAGACCTTTTTTAAAATATAATTTGAAGTTCAACATTTTTTATTTTGAAATCTGTGTTTTGGACAAGTATATTATAGATAAGGATTAACGGATTGTAGAATGAGTCTTGGATTCGAAAGATAGAGAGAGCGATTACGCCATGCTAATGCTATATTATGGGCGACGAGAGATATTTGTAGTCTTTAATGTGTCTGACTCCATCAGTGATTTTCTTCTGCTTTATAAAGTGTCTTACAGCTATGAAAGTTCCGTTGGCTATTATGTATGTTTACAACGCAACAGAGTTTACGTCCAAAGGTGTTTATTGCACTGTTTGAACTAGAGAGTAAATTGAGAAAAATGGATTTAAATAACCAAGTTATCGTAAGAGTTATTGCTGTATAATCAAGGGACAGTTTGACGAGAAGAAATGATAGTTACATCGCCTGCTTTTGTCTTCATAGGTTATTAACTTGATAATTTTACGCAGTTTACATTTTGACCATCTATGAAAATTGGGAAACAAAAAATCAAGGGGTATATGTTTACCCATTCACTTCTCTACAATTTGTTAGATCAGTTTTTGAGTAACCATTAGAATTCTTGATGTAAAACGATTTTTGATGCCTTATGAACAATTCTACTTCTTTCATTCGTTTTTGAACAAAAAAAAGAATCATTACTTCAAACGCGAGACTATTGAGTGATTAATAAGAGAAACATCTTGAAAGTCATAGACATCAATAACGTCTCTTTCTAACCCACTATCTGTGATACTCCCCACCCCGGTTCAAGAAACTGCAACGGCGTAAAGTCAACATTTAAGGATAAAAATGACAGAAAATGTTGCAGAAAACGATGGAGACAAATTTAATGAAAATACCAAATGCAGAAACACTGTAAATTCTATAGCAGGTTCCCCGAATAGCACGATTAATCATCACCATTTAGAAAGCATGGATATAAATCATCGAGAAGAGCAAGAGGGCTATCCTGCTGTTTTAGAGTCTGCACCATTCCCTGCTCTTGGATCGTTAGAAGAGATCACACAGACTTTATCACGCATGAAATCAAATCAAACACAAAAAAGCAATAATGCAAAAAGTACACTAGCAGATCAGAAAGTGGCAATGATGGAGGGAGAGAACGAAGAAGATGAAAAGGCGATAACAAGTTTTAGGCAGGTGCCTTATCCTACAGAGGGCATCCGTAATCCTGGTTGGTTAACTGTCATATCTTGTTTTCTTGTCAACTTTTTCGTATTTGGAACTACGTTTTCGTGGGGAAATTATCAAAAACTGTACGTATAAAAAAAAAGTGTGATTTCGACAAGCCTCAACATTCGGCTTTATGATCGATTTATTTTTAAAAAAGAAAAGGACCGAAAAGGACACTATTCAAAGACTTACATCAGCGCAAATTGCATTGCAATTCCAATTTTAGGTATATTGACCAAGTTTATGCTGGACAAACGGATGTGTTACGAATTGCTTTTGTAGGAACCTCTGCCTCTGCACTTTTACTTGCTTTGGGTATGTTCATCACACCCGTTATACAGAAAATCGGATTTCGAGGCACAATGGCCATAGGCACCTTATTATCTCCTCTAGGCCTGATTCTGGCCAGTTTTGCTACACAACTTTGGCATGTCTATCTGTCGCAGGGTATTTTGTTCGGCCTTGGAGCGGCCTTTGTCTTCTCTCCTTCGGTCACTCTTCCTTCCCAATGGTTTACTTCACGCAGAGCCTTGGCTACAGGTATTGCTGTCAGCGGATCAGGTATTGGGGGCGTTTGCATGTCACCTATGTCACAAAATCTTATACAAAACATCGGCTACCGCAATGCTTTACGTGTTCAAGGTTCCTTTGGTTTTGCTCTACTGTGTATCGCTACCGCTTTGGCGACCTGCAGATATCGTCCTCCTTCTTCTGCTAATGGTAAAGATAAATGGTATCACATCTTTGATAGACGTCTAATCAACCGTAAATTCGTTTTATTGTTGTGTTTTGGTTTCTTTGTACCTTTTGGCTATGTGGCACCCTTCTTTCTGGCTCCGCAATTTGCCCAATACATTGGTCTAGACACAGCTACTGGGGCAGCCATGATCTCCGTCATGTCGGCCGCAAATGCTATCTGTCGTATTTCGCTTGGTTATCTCGCTGATCGGATTGGCAGATTTAATACTATGTTTGCATTTACTTTTCTATCTGGCTTATTTACAATGGTTATCTGGCAATTTTCTAGTAACTATGCTACCTTCGCTGTCTACTGCGTTTTATTTGGCTTAACAGCAGGTGGCTTTGTCTCTTTGTTGCCGGTTACTACTGCCGATATTGTTGGTGTAGAGAATATTCAAAAAGGACTTGGTATGGCTTACATGACCACTGTCATAGGCAACTTGATAGGGACGCCTATTATTGGTCTTTTGTTTAATACTTTTAGCTGGACAGCTGCCATACAGTTTGCAGGATCAATGACATTGGCTTCTTCGCTGTTCATACTGGCTCTAAGAATGATGATGGCCAAAGGGAAGGTTTTTGTCAGTGTGTAGTACTGATGTTTTTTTATGGAGTTGCATTTTTATCAAAACCAGCTGAATTTGAATTGATTCTCATCATCAGCATCACTGCCACCATATGTAATTCTTAATCATTCAATCATCCAACCTCCATAATCACAACTTCTTTTTTACTATCACTATTAATTTATAATTTTTTCAACATACTTATATCAACTTATTATATACTTTTCTCTTTGATATCAAAGATTCAAAGTCAATAAAAGTACTGAAGCTCTAGAATTTACGATAAAAAAGTCAAATGAATCGGTCTCAACCACCGGATGCCTTCTCGCAAACGTTGGAGAGCAGTAAGCCTAGACTCTCTCATACGGGCCAGACAAAGCAGCAACAGTTACATAGTATAAATCGTAACTCTTCGGTGGTAACTGATGAAGAACCTAATTATGCTGATTGTGCCAGTACAACTTCATCTACCGTAAATCACCTTTCGCGCGTCTTTGAATCTACTCACCTCGATAATAATAAACAAGACATTCCGTTGAAACGACAATCCATTAAAAAACCATCGCCAACGAATATTAGGGCCAATACCATCAGTGCTAACAATAAACATGGAGACAGCCAGACAAACGAAAATCCAGGAGTAGACCAGACTTCTTTCAACTTTAAAGATATACGAGCGAGATTCCAGCAAGAAAGTTCGTTACCCATTAAAAGTGTTCCTCAGGTAAGCATGCATAAGTTTCAAAAAACCAAAGTAAAATACTGAGAAGTGCATCATCCTTGATAGCCTAATTACCGACCACCGACACCGTTAAAACCGTCTAAAACTGGACCTACACACTCATCCGAAAGAATTATCGTTGCAGCCAAAACAGGACCACCCGCATTACCCGTTAAACCAAGAATACATATAGTAAATAGATATCCCGATCAGTTAACATCCTCCTTCTTTGATCATAACAAGATACCAACACCATTATCAACCTCAGCCACTCATACAACCGCATCTACATTAAATGTCTCCATCACAACTGCCACACCTATGCTGTCGCGAACAGCAACTGGTAACGACAGTCTATTAAGTACAGCATCCACATCGTCGCAAACCTCTGCCTCCACAATATCCAAGAGAGGTTGGCATTTATCCAATTGGTTTACTGGTCACCAGCATAATCAACCTGATGCTCATGAACAGCTCAAGAATTCTATACGACGAACAGATACTGCACATCCGCACAACATACATAGTGATGGCAGCAGCGTAAGTGTCACTGATACTGTTACTACTACACCAACAGACGATTACCACAACCAACAACAGCCCATGTCTTCTTCATCTCTTGATTTTCCCAACACAAACCATTTATTGGTACCTCAACTTTCGGGTGCATCGTCTATCGCCGTTTCATCAACTATTTCAAATCCTCAGTTAAAACGATCTAAAGTCGTTCAAGAGCTTTTAGACACAGAAAAGACTTATCAGAAAGATATGGAATTGTTAAAGACAATTTACTATGATGGAGCTTGTCAAAGGGAAGGGAGTCTTTTCTCCAAGTCGGATATACGCCATTTATTCTCAAATTTAACTGAAATGGTAGAATTTGAAACGTCATTTGTGACCTTATTGGAAGATTCATGCGAGCAGGATTCAATTGGATCTTCTTTCAGAAAGACTGTAAGTTTTCCTGCAGTGTAATGTGAGAGAGAGAGGGAGAAGAGGAAGAGCCAAACGCCAATGTTTACACTCCATTGTTTCTTAGATGCGAAGTATCGATATCATTTATAGTGAATTTTGTAAAAGACAAGAAGATGCAGTGTTAAAGCTGCAAGAACTGGAACAACATCCTCAAGTACAAGAATTTTTGATCCGCTGCAAAGAGCAGATGCAAGGCAAAACCACGAGTTGGGATCTGGGAAGTCTGCTAATTAAACCCGTTCAGCGCGTGTTGAAATATCCCCTCTTACTCAGAGAACTTCATTCCCTTACACCTAATACACATCAAGATTACGAGAATTTAACAGCAGCGGTAAAGGAGATTCAAGAAGTAGCCGACAATATCAACGAAATAAAGCGGCGAAAGGATATTGTGGAGCGAATTGTAGGCGATAAAAAGAGAACAGATCTTAGCGTCGTACACGGTATCAATAAAAAATTGAGCCGAAGAGCACAAAAGTTGAAGCAAGCTACAGGTTTTGCGGTAGAACCTACTCATGATGTTAAGTTTGAAACACTCTATGTTAAATTCGAAGAACAGCAGGAACTGGTCCGTCAATTAGCGCGAGATGTGCAAGGCTGGGTACGTCATGTGAAAATAGGGTTTGAAAATTTGCAACAGTTGGCTTGTAGTATGGAGTCCATATATGGCTCTTGGGGTGGTGTCAGAGTCAAACGTTTAACAGGAATCAGTGAATTTAGTAAAATGGCAGCGCAATTATCTACCAGTCTAGCACGCGAGTTGGTAGAGTACCTTTCACATTAGCTTTGCTTTGCATAAAATTATTCACTGAAAACAGAAAAGAAACTAACTATAACTCAATATAGGATAATGATGTACGAGGCTATATTTATAGCAGAATTGATGAGTTTTTAAAGATCTTTGAAAATCCAGCTCAAGTTATCCATAAAAGATCCATGAAAATGATTGATTATGACCGCGTGCGAGACATGAAAATGAAAGGAGATGTACCAGATAAAGCGCTACAAGAATCAGCAGATGCTTATGTGTCTATCAATGCGCAACTTGTAGACGAGCTACCCCGGTTCTTCGCTTTGACAGCCAAGTATTTTGAATTCATGACTGGTAGTTTGGCTTTGGTCCAAATGAAATTTTATAAACGAATGCAGAAAGAATGGAGGAAATTAGTTCAGCAAAATCTTGGTTTAGAAGTAGCTCAAACTTACGAAGCTATTATTAAGGATTACATGAGTCATTTGGAGAGCGTAGATAATGCAGCCAGCCAAATAGCTATTTTACAACGAGATAACCGATATTCAAACAGTATTCGAAGTAACTCATCATCTTCCTTACTATTAAGGCAAAGAACACCCACTGAACTATACTCTTCACAAGGTAAATCTGAAAAGGAATTATTTTTTGAAAAATGTACTATTCCCGTTTGCTAAAATAAGCTCAAATGCTCGCGTTAGATACTTCACCCATCAACAGCGGCTATTCTACAACGCCATCATCAACCCATCGACGTACAAATACTGCCTCACAATCCGTAGCCACTGATGTTGTCGATGCGAATGCCGTTGATACACAACTTGAAGATAGGTCCAAGGACTTCAATTGCATTGTGCTATATGATTTTGAAACACATGAAGAAGATAAACTGGACGTGAAAAGAGGAACTATACTCAGAATTAACCAAGACGAGGACTATATTGATCCAGACTGGTGGTATGGAACTAGTTTAGACGACTTTCGATCTGGATGGATTCCAATCAATTATTGTAAAAAAATTTAAGCGTACGACTACTCTTGGTAACAATCCTATCATATCCCTTATAATACACTGTTACTGTAACATATATTTCTTGACTTACCACGACCTGTATATATCCATACGAAATCGAACATGCGTAAATAGTGATTACGATTATACTCTTACTACTGACCTCAGTTTTTATAATAAACCTTCGAATGAAGAAGATAAAGGATCATAATTGGGAATAGCTAAAATGTACAAAGCTCCAACCAATGGTAATAGGGGGTATTGTTTATTACTACAATTTGTTTATCGTGCTCTAGTTATTAAATAGCTTTTGCCCACAACTGCATGTTGGGGAAGGGTCTCAGCGTAAGTTGTTGCTTCTTTGTCACTTGAAAGCCTGGTTTTTCAAAGTACTGTATGTCTTTAATCAAAATTGCTAATAACAGCTTGAACTCTACCAATGCAAATTTGTAACCAATACACTGTCGTCCACCAGCGAGAAAAGGCATGTATTGATAAGCATTACCCAAAGGACGGCCACTACCTTCTTCCCAACGGTAAGGATTGAACTCTTTAGCATCTTCTCCCCAGATGGTTTCTGAATGATGATTACCCAAAATATTCAAAAATACAACTGTTCCTTTTGGCAAAACATATGAACCCAAAACGACAGGGAACACGAGTGATACGACTTGTGTATGGGACAGGCGGAATAAGACGAAGGGTTTCACGAACCACATTGTTTAATAACGGTAAAGCATTGATTTCATCATAAGTTGGTACGTTATTGATATCACCGTCATTGTTGTCATGTTCTTTGAACAAGGTACGGACCTCTGCTCTCAGATTGTCCTGAATCTGTTGATACTGAGCAAGCAACCATAAACACCAGCTTAAACTAACACTTGTTGTTTCATGACTATGGTTATAGAAGTTAGAAATATTACGCAGGTTAGTATAAAAAAAGGGAACAACTTGAGGCGGTTTGATTTCTTCATATATACCCTGCAGCTAAAAAGGTAAGACATTGATTTCGGATTTCTTCCAAAGTTAAACCTTTGCCTGTATCGTCATCGACTAATTCAATCATAGTCGTCAAAAGGTCTTTGTGCCTGTTATTAGCAGGGTGATTCAAATTAATGCCGACTGCTTTTGCTTTTGCCACACGATTCATTCCTCTCTGTACTAAGGCTCGGCTTTCTTCCTCCAACCATTTCAAATCTCTTTTTATCCTTCGGTTTCTTTCAGTAGGGAGCTTGCTAAGAAAGGGGAAGATAAATGCCAAAATCCTCATCATGGACATATCATTGGAAAATATATGAAGGTACGCCTGACTTAGTTTACTTTGATGGTGCGTGCCTGCAGACTCTAAAGATTTGAAATCTTCACCCAAAGCCCATCCAATGACATCCAAAGCGGCCAGAGATAGACCACTGGAGACTTCTAATTCAGTAAAGGTTTCTTCTTCTTGTTCTTCTTGATTGCTGTCTGCAGCTATTATGCCATCATCATTAGTTTGCCTTTTGACTTTATTTTCTTTTCCTTTGATGACATCGAGCCATTTACTTCTTAATTGATAGCCTGGTTTTGCCATCAGTGGTACAAAAGCCCTTATATTATTTACTGAAAATGCAGGATTTAACATCTTTCGTTGAAGACGATGGGCGGCGCCCTCTGCCAATAATACACCGTTCCCCAGGATACCTTTCAAAAATCTTGAAGCTTCTGGGGTTTTGACAAAATCGTATTCTCTAGTAGTGAGAACCTGTTTCAAGAGTTGATCATCTGTTACGAGGACTCGCGGTCTATTCCAAGGACCATAAAATGCAAGGATACCGCCAAACTGCTTAGCCCATTTATTCATAACCTGACCCGTTTCCTTTTCCTTGACCACTTCGGGATAATTGCCCAGGAAAGGAAGAAACTTTGAGCTTAGCTTTTTCGGGCCTGGCATCTTTCGCAAAGGATGAAGATACAGTCGATAGATAATAACATTGAATATGAAATAAACGACTGCGGTGGATACACCAACTTTCAACGCTATTTTTCTTAAAGCGGAGTAATCGAATTGTTGTTGGTGTCCTACAGCTGTAGCAGGTATATACTTGTCAATATATTGTTTTACTGCCTTTTGAACAGCTTGGTAGTCCATTTTGAAATTAAAGATCAATTAAGCGTACAAGAAAAAATAGAGGTAAACAAAAAAGAATAACAGACTACTGAAATTCGATATACTCATGACCTTGGAGCAAATAATTTTTTACCAAGAAAAAAAGACGCGGGATTGTATCTGAGATGGTCCGAGAACAATTAAGTTCCCCGGGTTTGGCAATTTTTTGTGGAGTACTATGTTTGTTTCTGAGTATTGCTCATCCTATCGTCATTTAGTAGGTAGGAATCAATGATCGCATCTGCCTACAAAAAAAAAAAAAAAAAAAAAAAAATAGAATTCGTGCATCACAGGCAACAATCTATCTTTTGGGTGGTTTGCTGGGGAAAAAAAAATTGGATAATAAGAATGCAGTTGATATTTGAACAAGAACAGAACGACTACAGTAACTAGTGTCCGGTCCATGATGCCACATCAGACTAACGCAAGAAACGCAAGAGGCAAATAATTTGGTGAAACACGAAATGGAGCAATCAGATGAGAGAGGCATTTCAAATTGTAAAAAAAAATCATTAACTCAACCAGGCTGGTCCACAGATTTGATCTATACGTCGCAAGAATAAAATGCTACGGACGTACAACGATAGGGGACTTGCCATAAACAAATTTATCAAAAAAAGTGGAGGCTCCTTTGCATGCGAATGAAGTTCAGAAATGGTCAAATCAGAAAATAGCCTACAGTATATTTCGAACTCAGAACGTTTGTTGCTTCACGAATAAGAAAATTTTTTTAGTTGACAAGGAACTGGAGGAGGTTTTAAAAAAAAAAAAGCACCCCCGCGCAATCCCAAATCCTTTTAGTGATTAGGGGTGTGTGAGCCGTCGCGCGTGGCTTAATTTTTTCTATTTTTTTTCTTCGACTTTTTTGGTTTGATTTTTCTCTTTTTTCTTCTTCCTCTTTATAATATCTAAAGTTCTTGAAGTAAGTTATCATGAAGCAATAAGGCTGATATTGAAGCATAGTCTAGAAAGCAGTTTTGTTTATAAGAAACAGCTGCAGAATAGTTTAATGTGGATCAAAAATGCAACAAACCATGCTCTAGAGCTTTAGGCTAACCGTCTCATTTTTCCAACAATTTTTATCATTGTGTGTTTAGTATGTCTGACAACGAACACGAACACAACTTCGAACAAGCCGAATCTGGTGCCTCTACCACCTTCCCCATGCAATGTTCTGCTTTGAGAAAGAACGGCCACGTTGTCATCAAGGGTAGACCTTGTAAGATTGTTGATATGTCTACTTCCAAGACTGGTAAGCACGGTCACGCCAAGGTCCACTTGGTCGGTATTGATATCTTCACTGGCAAGTAAGTATCCTTAGCGTTTTTGTATTATGGAAATCTATGTGTATATTTGTGTGCCTACGCGTGTTTGTCTTTCTCTCCCTCCCTTGCAACATTGTAAAGATAAGAGTAGAGACGAGGAGGAACTTGAACAAAAATGAAAGGGAAAAATCAAATACTAACTCAGTATTTTCAACTACTCCTCTTTTTCTGTAGGAAATACGAAGATCTTTGCCCTTCCACTCACAACATGGATGTCCCCAACGTCACTCGTCAAGATTACGCTCTTATTAACATTGATGATGGTTATCTTAACTTGATGTTGCAAGATGGTTCTACCAAGGACGATGTTAAGCTCCCTGAAGGTGAACTCGGTGAAGAATTGGAAGCCGATTTTGATGAGGGTAAGGAGCTCATCGTTTCCGTTGTCTCTGCTATGGGTGAAGAACACGCCTTGTCTTTCAAGGAAGCCCCCAAGGCTTAAATAATTTAAACTATGTTTGCCAGTTTATTTTGTTTTCTCTCCAACTCTGCTTTCACATAAAGAGTAACCATGCTTTTTTTTTTGTTCAGAAAGACTTTTTTTATTCTACAACTAAAAATTGATTCTTTTTGTGATCCTATCACCATTTATTTATCATTAAAAATTTCAAACTTTTGTGTATAAAACTTTTGGGATAACGTCTTTGTCTCTTTTTTGAGAGTTACTATGGGGTGACCGTTGAAAAAAATATTCCTGGCATTAGTTCGTTGATCGATAATCTCGCCTCATCTGCACTATCAAACGTTGAAGATTGGTTTGAGGCTACAGAACTAAGTGCTGGCCGATATTGAGGCTTTTTTAACGCACTTGTTTGAATCTAATTGATTCTTTGGGAAAAAAAATAACTTGCTTTTATTGAAACTGGTAAGGAACGTACATACGAGACTTATTATCGGAAATGTATTATAGACAAAAATTTAATATTGGAATATGAACAGATTGTATAAATGCAAAGTGAAAAAAAATTCCTTGTTTCTGCAAGAGAATAAAATAGTTGTAAGTGGGGGAATTATGTATTAGACTATATACTACAAAGATAAATGTATATATGTATAAGGTGTATCTTGTTGCTGTATCCTAACTATATATATCGTCGAGTCGTAGGTGTAATTTTTTTTTTTTCTTTTTTCGTCTTTATCGTTAGTGTCGTAACTCTTGGCCATAATCAACATTTTTAATAGAAGGTGTTGTAGCTGTTGCAGCTGTACTGGCAGAAGAAGACAACGACATATGAGAAACCATAGTATCTGTACGTGTAATTTTAGGATGATGATTCGTGGAAACATTATCAGTGTGCGAAGTTGAAGACGGGGATGCAGTAGTTTGCAGTTGTGACGGAGTGGCTGCTTGAGATTGTGTGATAGAGTTGGTATTGTACTGAGATTCATCGTTCTGTTTATTTTGATGTAGAATATTATTCTGCTTATTTGCCCCTGCCCTTAGAATGGTAGGCCGTCTGGAAAGTGAAGATTTTCGGGTGAGACCACTCAAGGAATAGGGTAAACTTAATACACTAGCTGAAGATGATGAAGGACCAGTGGATGGCGAAGAATCTGGATGGCCTACTGTTGTTGTTGCTGCTGCTGCTGCTGCTGCTGCTGCTGCTGCTGCTGCTGCTTGCTGTTGATGCTGCTGTTGTAGCTGTTGTTGTTCTATTGCTCTTTCTTCCGCTATTGAAAATATGGTCTTATGCTCTATTATAAGATCCTCTAATACTTTATCAGAATACCATTCACCAGCGGTCTCGGCTTGATTGTGATCATGGAAAAGCGCCGGAGTCCATATAACGGAAAGGTTCTTCATGTTCATCTTGTTTAAATCGGAATGACGTTCAACTTTTGCCAAATGAGTTATGACGGCTTGCAAAGTGTCTCGATGAGGTTTCGATAATGAGCTCAGCTTCAGTACTAGAATGTCTTTACGCTTCTTTTCATCAAGAATACTGGAATATTCAATTCGTTCTTGTACAGATACATTAAACAAAGGATGTTTTAACTCTCTCAAATAAATTTTCAGCACGGATGCAATCACAAACACATCTCGATTCTCCAAGTCAACCAAGTCTTCATCCTTTTCAAACTCATTCTTTAAGTGATCAATAACACTTTGTCTACCCGAGATTCTGTAAATGCCTTCTTTTTCCAAGCCGCCCTGCAGCTCGACTGCATTGATACATTTTGTCACTAAAATGGGCACTGTGCATTGATGATCTGCCGCGTATTCGTTCAAGCTTGATCCAAACAATATTTCTTTACATCGCCCGTAGTAATAGTTATCGTAGTAAACAGGTTTAGGTCGGGTGAATCCAATTTTTTCATATTCAGCAAAGAAACGATCTGTGTCTGCTTTGCTATCTATATGATGGGCAAGATTCAGATTTTGCTTTACTATCTGATAAAGTGACGAAAAACGCACGATTCAGTTTCACTGTTGATTCAACATTTCTTTTTTGCTGTTCATAGTATTTTCCTACCTCCAGTTCATTCATTGAGCAGTCTTCCTCTTGTTTACATAGTGTTATAAAGACTGATTTAATGGCTTCAGATTTACTTAAAAGGATGGCTTCAACATGCTAAGACAATATCCCTGTTAACAATTAACCCAAAAAATAAAAAGAATGTCACGTCTTTTATTCCATCTCACTTACTCTCATTGCATGAACCGCTGTTTCAATTTGTTTTTTTCGTAAAAATTCGAGTATTCGTATACCTTGTCTGTATTCGTGATCTAACATCATAAAAAAGTGAGTTGATATGGAGAAGGTTAAATTTAAATGCTGTTACGGCTGCTGATTAGAATTCTTTACCTGTCTCACTGATGTCCTTTTTCAACTTTGCTAATCTTGCGGCTTGCTTCGCAGGATCACCTGCTGCCGCTGCGTTGGCTATTTGTGATTTCATCTGACTCAAGAAACCTGCCATACTATTCTTTTTGCTGTTATAAGAGGGAGGGGATGTAGCACCCTCTTGAAGAGATAAAGCACTTATCGAATGTGCTTCACTTCTAGCACTTTCACTAGAGATTCGTGATTCTTCAGTGGATAACCTAGCCATTTGTGGGCTGAGGAGATCGTTGCTGTGTAATGATGATCCATCGTCATTATGCTGTGGTGATGATGATGATGATGATGATGACATAGATATTTGTTGCTGTAAACTTGCATATTCTTGACATTTGTTAAGATATGCTCTATGTAACTGAAGAGACAGCGTAAATAAATTAATCATTTATTCAATGCTTCTCTTGTGCTCAAACTTTTTGTGAGACAGAAAGGTGCTTTCCTTACTTTGACTATATCACGCGTTCGAAATGTAATGTAATTGGCGTTCTTTTCTCCGAGTACTGTTTTCACTTTCTTCCTTCTTTGCTCATGAGATTCCTTTTGGTTGTGCAGAAAAAAATGTTTGCATAGAAGTGTAATAGTTGAATTAATTAGGCTATTTTTTTGAATTCAATCTAACTCTTTCACTTTAAAAATAGTTGACACTTCTCGGGTTTCCTGCTTACTTTTACTCTTGTTAATATATCTAGTTGATTTTTCAAACATGCAATATACTCTCGTCTAATTTCGATGGTTTTTTCCATTGAAGATTCATAGCGAGCAGTGGACCGTTGTAATAAAGTAACATAATCTCCATAGATGTTTTCAAATAATCCGGCGCTATTATGATTTGTTGCACTATTTGTGTTGCTACTGTTGGCTGTCTCTGTAAGGTTATGATGCTTGACAATCTTCACAAGTGCACTCACATAAGTTTCTTCTGCAAAGATTCTGTCCAAAAGTTCATATTCGAGAATGATAGTGTTCAGCGTAAAGGGCATAAGATACATACGGGTATTATCGTTGAATGGGATTTATTTCTATTATTATTTTACCTCGCTTTTATGGATCCCATAAACTTTTCTAAATCGGCTATACTCCATTTCAAAATCTTGTTGACATGCTCAAGGTGTGCATCAATGCTCGCTATCTGAGAACAGTTTTATTGCTAGTTTAATAAAGTGCACAACGTGTATATCACGAGCTATAGTTAACATGTCAAGTAGCTATTTTACCTCATCTTCTTGACTTTGATTTATACTTCTACTAGATCTATGCATTCGGTATACAATATGAAAAGGTGGAGATCTCAACTAATTCTTTTTCCTTGTCGATGTTTGTTTTTCGTCGTTGTTTCGACTGGAAAGGCGGAGAAATATTACTGGTATAAAAGCAATAGCTGAATAGTAATTTTGTGAATTGGAAAGAAAAGCAGCTTGTAAATTTGATAAGGTCACCTCAAAAAAAAAAAGGTATATATTTTTGAATACAATATACACAAAGAAAAAAATAGGGAAACGAAAGCAGAACCATTTTTTGTGGGTTTATGGTCGGCACTCAAAAATTAAAGGAAATCGAAAGTTACAGTATTAACTTCATATTTGGATGAAGATGAAATTGTGTTTAGACAAAAGCCATATTATTTTAGACAAGTGTTGTAAAGACTATTGAAACATACAGACAGTTTTCACAAAGATATACAATACAAGTTTACCATTCTTACCTGTAAAAATCAGCTGGTCTCGTTCCAGCGATATTATGTGTTAGTGGTAGAGGAGGTGGTGGCGGTGGCGGTCTTCTTCCTTGAGAATACTTCGAGTTTACCGTTCCCGTTCCAAAGCGTAATACTTATTGACATCATGTTCTTACAGGCATTGATGTCCCGGTTCCATAGTATGCCGCAGCTTTTACAGGCTAGTATATTATGGCCGGGAACATCATCCAAACCATGCAATTCCTCGCTGTGGCAGCGGCAGCAAATCTTTGGCGTCTTGAATTCGTTAATCGTCAGCACTAACAGATTGCCGGCTGCTTCCCTTCTTTTCAGCGCACAGAACAAGACACCAACAACGCCACAACGGAGACCCTTCAACTTCACGTTATCTTTGCCAAACATGCCATCTCCAAAGACAAAGCACAAAAATGTCAGCAAGAGCAGATAGTGTCAACGATAATGATGAAAGTTGGCCTTACAGCGAACAAATTTTGAAGCTTGTAGGTCAAGTATCTCAGCATCCGTTGCTCAAAGAGTTCGACAATAGAATTAGTGTATGCAACACTTGTCTCCTTGGCAGCTTCTGTAAGACACTGGCTATAGCCTTTGGTGAAGTTATTGCTAATTACTATTGCCGGATGTTCTTGGTTGAAATCTTCAAAAAAGATCTTGATGCTGTCGTTTACTGCTGTCTTATGAGTGACCTTTTTGCCTGTAACCAGTTGCCCAATCGAGTACCAGAATTGCTATGTAAAGACTCCGGAAGGGAAGTCATTCTTCTTATATGGGCGAGATAAGCATTGACAAATAGCTGACAACGGAACATGATAGCCCTAATGTCTTTGCAGCACGAAATGACTTTTTCCATAAACTTTTCACGATACTCGAATAATACGGCACGGCTAACAGGAAGATTCATAGTAAGCGTGGTAGAGTCACTGCCTAGGACAGACGAGATAAATTCCTGCTTCGATTGAGTGTGGTTCGGACAATCTGGCGAACGGGAGCTGGTATGGCCTTCTTCTTTACAGCTGATGCCTTTTACAGCTTGTGATGCTGCTCTCTTCATTTTGGCAGCTTTTTTGTCAGCCTTGACCTTGTCGCTCTGTTTTCTCTTCGTGCCAGAGCTACCGACTATGTGTAAGAGTGAGTTGTTAGTGTATTGACTTGTGTGTGAATAGAAAATTTCAGGTTACCATCATCAGCGGCTACGGCTTTATAAAACCTGCATTTGTAGTATAATGCCCGGACGCATTACAGTCTTTGCACTTGACATATTCTGATTGTGTAATAATGTTTCTAGTACAATTGTGCGCCGAAAACGCATTCCTTAATACATGCTTACCAAATAGGTTCTCTTTCTTTGTGCGCTTTGCTTTCACTGATTCGATTTTATCCATGATAATACTCTTGTAAATGCAAGTAAAGGATAGCAGTGTTTACGAGGTCAAAAAATGAAAGAAAAGAGAAAGAGAGATGTGGAAGGATTCAAACACGAAAATGATCATCAGTGTTGACAACAAAAAGCCTTCCTTTGACAACATATTATAAAGCATTATCTCATTTACGCATTCAACATCGCGAGTAAAAGAAGCAGTCAGTCTCTTTATATAAAAACTTAGGGTTCGATCTTTACGCTTCTAGCTTGCTGTGTATAAGTTCATTAGCATACTACCCTCCTCATTCGGCTTTCCATTACACTGCTTAGCACGTATGCCTACTTTGTCGCAGTCTTGGTCGAGGCCCGCTCCGAGTCACTACATATTATGGCATAATCTATCGTATGTCGTAATCAAACTTTTATTGTTATGCTGTTATGGCTACTCTATCTGGCTGAAGTGCGTCGGTAGAGCAGATGTTTAGATGGAAAACTTTTTTTTTTTTTTTGTAGATTATTTTATTTGAAAATAATAAATTAGTCACACATCGCTGAGAGGTGGGACATGGAGGGGAAAAGAAGATATCTATGACAAGTAAATTAGTCGAAGGCAGCCGCTTCCCGCAAGAGCAAAGGGAAGACAGATTCAAGGAAATAACATTGTGTGCTTTACTAGAGACGGATGGGGGTTGAAAAGGAATATCATGGAATATCGTTCGAAAGAATGACGTCCAGATAGCCCAATGGATACTGAAGCAGACGGTGAAAAATCGAGATTGTTCAGACGAAGGTAGTGATGGTGGCGGGTGTAATCTGAGAGCGGCAGAGATGCTTTGAGGATCAAAGCAGAAGGACGGGAAATATGCAGCGAGGCCTTCTTGCCATATCTGCCAGTCAGCAGATAATAGTTCAGGAGTAGAGCCCTCGCAACTGTCCAAATTAATTCAGAGAAGAGCCCAAAACAAAAATTTTCAAAAAGTCCTAATATTTCTTCAGAGAGTCTGAATCTGAAGCGAAAGCTGTATTTTTAACTTCAAGATGTGGTCATTTCGCGTTTCTGTGCAGCCACTTTGGTACTAGACTACTTTTTGTTTCTGCTCCTACTACACGTGAACTGTTTGTTTGAATTCAATAGCTTTCTTTTCATTGATGTACAGAAAAGGCTCCACAATTGTCCTCCTTCATAGGACGAAATTCAGGTTGAGAACAAAAGGAACTGTGTTGCCTAAAAATTATGAATTTGCTTGTGTAAACCTGTTATCTACCTCACTGAATCCAGAACTTTTATCTGAGCTCTATTTTGCCGGCAGATCTAAAGTTAGAATAGCTGTGGCCAACTTCGTGAGTTGAAATGAAAATGCGGGTATGCGTGAAAAGCGACGCGAGTGCTCAAAACAAAACCCGACAAACAAGGCTGATAACATGTACAACTTTAAGAACTACCCTCTGAGTCGGGAATTAAGTTTCGTCGAAATGCGTCTAGATTACTTTATAGAGAAAAGTACATAAAAAACTGGTAATAGTATGGACTAGCAAGTAACCCTCTATGTCGGCTAGTACACCAAAAAACTAATGTTGTCCTTCGTCTAATTTGGCCTGAGGCTTGGATTTACCATGGCCAAAACCAAAAGCGGATGTAACATCCTCAGGATCCATTCTTTAAAAAGAAAAAAAGCATTAAGTTTGTTAATTCTCTCATATATCTTTTCTTGCAGAGCGCCGAGTATTATATCGTTTTGATGACTTACTCTCTAAATTCATAATGACCTTCGCCGTCGAAACGTAAAAGGAATTCATGATGACGGATAAGTGAAGTTCTAAACAACAAAATTGAGATTTTTGAGATTTTTTTTTCCACCCAAACTCGTTTCAGTACTGTAAATACTCTTACCTATGTGATACAGTAAACAGAGTAATACCCTCTTTACGAGCGTACTCATACATAATAGCTTCGATATCCACACTGACAGCGCTTGTACACTCATCCAAAATAGCCTATCCAACATTTAAGTACTGTTAGAGCTTCTGTACTGGTAAGATTTCCACACCGCCTCCGTTATGCTTGTCCGTTTCGACAATAGAATTAGCAATCACTTACAAATTGGGGTTTATGATAAAACAATCTTGCCATGGCTACCCTTTGTTTCTCACCCCCCGATAAAACATCAGCCCAATCTTGCACAGCATCCCAGCCACCTTCACGTTCCACTAAATACCCTAAATGTACCGTATCCAGTAACTTCATGATAGCATCGTCATTATATCCTTTCTTTAAAGCTTCACTTTGTGTATCGGGATAAATGACTTGGTCCCTGAAAGTTCCAAGAGGGAGATAAGGCTTTTGGGGAACATAGAATAATTGACTGGCAGCTGGTTTGGTCAAGGTACCACCGAATAATGGCCATAAATCACCCAGGATACGGAATAGAGAACTTTTACCGCAACCATTAGGGCCCGAAATCAAACAGTTCATACCAGTGTTGACCTTGAAAGATAGGTCTTTGAGCTAATCAATATACATCAATAATAAGTGAATAAGTAGGCTTCCTATTCCTTTTCTTATCTTTGCCGAAACCCTACCAAAACATCGCTATTTGGCGTCACAATGGGCACTTTGTCAAAAACAATGACGCCATCTTGAATCAACACTTTGCCTTTTGTATTATTCGTATCCACTATCCTGTTCTTTGTAGCCGCATTGATTCCTTCTTCTGTAGACATCATGGTGCGCGAATACTTCCCTTTACGAACATCAGTCAATACATCGAAGAGTTCGGCAACACGAGACTATTTATAAAATGTCTAACCGTTTAGATCGTACTTGTAGCTGGATAATATTGTAGTCATCACTTACGGTATAACCAGCAAAACGCGTTAAATCACGTCCTGTTAAAATCAATCGGCCGACTGCTTGGGATAGATTGATCAAATAACCGGCTATTCCACAGTGTAAAGTAAACGGCATGTTTAAGAATTGTACATTTGCATTAAAAAGGTTAGTAATAGATTCTACTACTTACAGTTTCTAGAATAGTCTTCCATCAATTTTGTGGGATCATCTGCCAATGCACCCATGCGTTTCGTGGCTGTACAAATTCAAAATGTGGTAATGAGCGTTACTATACAATTTTTGTTCTTTCCCTACTTGTTCGTATAGAGTTACCATAGCGAGGATCGAATACTGGTCTTGCTAGAAGGCTATATGTTGAATATCAATTACGTTAGGAACTCTCTTTTCGAGAATTTTTTCATGTCGATTTGTACTCACTAATAGGCCGTCATTGTAGCGCAGTATTTAACAAGAACAGAATCAAAAATACCATTGAGGAAACGTAAAGTATACACCTTACGTACATGATCTGATATCTTTTGGAATGTATTATTAACAACTTCCTTCTCACGTTCCCCACCACGGTAGAATGCTATTTCTTCAGAATGTGTAATAATACGAGACTGTGTAGAAAAAAGGAATAGTACGTTAATTATTGATTCGGGTCCACATCTCCAAAGACTACAGCTTACATGTGTGAATCTGAAATCGCCTTCCAATTTTTGCTCCACAGCAGTGTCTGTAATTAAATGTATAAATGTGAGTACACTATAATACTTGATATCTTATACCATGTATGTGATGCCTACATCGACCAAATGGCGGAGAGAAAGCACGAAGCAAGACACCAGATAGAACAAAATAACCAATCATGAAGAAGGGTGCTTCTGTACCTCTAAAAACATCATTGTAGGTCATATATTCTAGAAATCAGTATCGTTTGATCTGGTCGTCTATACAAAATCAAATGAAATGCTATCTGCTTACATTGCTTCTCCTAGCTTGTACGCAAATAAGAATATATCAACCACAGGCTTTGCTATATCCGAATACAAGTGAGACAAATTCTCTGAGAATTTGTCTATGTCTTGAGTCAACAGTTGATCTGCATTATGAAGTCGGTTGTCCAAATTGGATATTTTGTAAAAGGTAATTCCATCCAGATATTGGTTATGCGCATGCTACGTATAAGCATTAACATTTTGCGATATGTATATAATCACAACCTCCTTTCTGATGAATACCAGTACTGTTCTCTTACCGAAGTCAACCTTTCTCGAAAACTAAGTGCGAGTGCATTGATAGTTAGCTTGAGCGAGTTATTGACAATACTCATCGGCCACTAAAACAGATTGTTGGAACAAGTACCAACAGGTATTTTTAAAGAGCATCAGAAACAACATGACTCCCATCATGATCTATACAGATATCCTTACCATCATCAAACCAAACTCAACAATTGCTTTTGCTATGAAATCCTTTCTATTTCTTGAAACAATGGCTTTCACTACAGAACTTTATAGCAATAAGAATTGTTAATGCTTTCTTCTTTCAAACTCTTTTCTAGTTACTGTTTCTTATTCGATTTGTTACATTTACCCATTGAAACCTGAAAACCAAATATCCAACCATGTGCGAGCTATAAGGACAGTAGCTAGAACAAGTAATAGACCAGACTCTTTGGAGAATAGACCTGTGAAACCCATTGCTCATTATCAAGTCTGTTATCATAAAGTAAGCAGATAACATGCTTCTTACCAGGTACACAGATAGGCAATAGTCTCTTCATCTGTTCAATAAATTCAGCGTTGACTCCAACTCTTTTCTTCTGTTTCGTCTTAGTTTCATGTTGATATTGCTGTTGGTTACTCTTATAAGGAGCTGCCTTTGTATGTACTTTGAAATTTTGTCTCGCTTTGTAGATCGCATAGATGAGTGAGATGACGAATAAACCGGAAACTGGTTTTTTGCTTTTGTTCAGTAACAAGGAAAAGGCATTGGCCATTTTTGCTTTTTTAGATTAAAAAATACAGGATATGAACGAATAAAGCAAATTAAAAAAAAAAAACAAAAAAAAAAAAAAAATAGGAGGAAAGAAAACTGACGGTTAAAGCTTGATCAATTCAGGGTTAAGAAATGGTTCGCAAATGATTCCAAAGTTATTTGAAGATCGATGATATATGCATTTTACCTTAATAATAACAAAAAGGCTTTGGTATTATTTTTGATTGGATCAGAATTATTTTCTTTTATTTTTTCGGTGCATATTTGTGGAGAAAACCAGGCACCAACCTCTCTCCGGTTAAACTCAAAGAACCGGTGATTTTGTCGCATTTTTAATCTCCCTTGGGAAAAGATTGCTCTTTTCCTGGAATTTTCATGTGTCAGCGGTTTTATCAAGACAGTTACAGCCAGATACATCTGTTATGGTAGCCATCGTGTATGTAGATATTGATTGCCCTTGAGTGGTATTATATCTGACTAAACTGTTGGGCGAAATTATCATGTCCAAATATAACAATGTTAGACTGTGCATATTGACCGTATCGCTGTATCCAGCACCCTTTGAGGAAATCATTATGCACAAGAAGAACTGGCAGTGACAACACTGGCAAGAGCCTATGACATTGTTTTAGAGAATAATCAAGTGCAATAAAACACAAATCGAACTATTACAACTGCCTCAACCTTAACGATTCTATTTATTATGCCCTTTTTAAAAGATGCCCATATAAGGTAGCTTGTATCCGTGTCATTAAGAAGAATACTTTCAGAGGTCCTTGATGTCCAAATTCTCTTTTGTAAATGGATATAAAGAAACATAATCTGTAAGATTTCAATGAAGAGACGTAAGAAGGATAAAGCCAGGAAAATGAAGTTTGTTAATTGCAAAAAATCAATTTGGCGGCTGTACATGTACAATTGACTGTTACATTAAGATGGACAGCCTTTATCGGGCAAACAATAGTCTAGATTCATATAAACATTGTCAGTTGCAGCAGCTTTACATAAATTTGTGTTGATTATGCATTGTAGATCATGTTAGGTTGCAATATCTTATATAGATGTAGAGTATATAGCGATCTATTAGATTGGTGCGTTATGACAATCAAGATGGAAAAAGTCGCCGTGAAGATTATTGCTTCCGTCTTATATACGTTATCGAACAATAATAGCAAAAAAAAAAGCCCGCATTAAATTTAATAATAGAAACCTTACGACCCCTTTTAATTATATCGTGTTTACGACAAAAGGCATAAAAACTGAATGGTATATTTTGTATACATGTATATAATATACATCGCTGATACAATCCTCAAGATAATATAACGAATGGTTTCAAGAAGCGGAAAGTCATGATTTGATGCCTTATATTTAGATCCACTTGCTATGACCAACTTTGAGCCATTCATTGTTGAAGTTGAAAAGCCAGGAAACTCCTTCAATGGTCACTTGGAAGCAGATGTTCTAAAGCTTGGTAACGATTTGTAGTTGGCTTTAAACAAGTTCATTAAAGTAAAGATTTTGGAGCTTATTGCTATATTAACGGAAGGTAAGTTAGTTTAACAAATCCAAATCCATTTAAATATATTACTAAGGACTAACGAAATAGACTATAAAGTAGAAGCCTGACTTTCCAACGGATAATCGAACAATTTAAGTTAAGCAGTTTTTTTTTTTTTTGTTGTTGTAGAAATGACATTTCTAGCGTTTTTTCAGCTATCATGTGAGAAGATGTATCAACTCCAGATAACATATAATACTTATACAACCATTACTTAGTGGTTTTTATGGCTTTTTCCATCATACCAAACGTCCATTGTAAATTGCTGTAAACGAACTCTATTCTGAGCCTTTCATGAAAAAAATATCTAATCGTTTTAACTAAACTTTACCAGAAAAAAACTATTATATAATTCTACTGACCAATTATGGTCAAGCGCTATGAGTTAACCTTAACAGATCCTTTTCTTCTTATTGTGTTTTATTCGCCTACAGTATTTGACCGAAAATTTTATATGTAATCGGTACCTATTTGTACCCGCTAATTTGATCGTTTTGCAACCGGCCAATTGCTTTTTTGGGAAACCAACAATATCTATCAACCGGGCTGTCTGAATAGGGTTCTCCTGCAGACGACATTGCATATGAACATACTATCCATTATTGTAATATAAAGCAAAACACAGTTTATTCGCACCTTTTATTATTTGGCAATTATTCAATTGGACGTACAGCTAGCTCAAGTCTAGCTTACCATTGCATCATTATGTCCTTGGGGTGTATCTTATGGAGTTAAGCGAAAATGAGCAGTGGAAAAAATGAAGTGTTTGACGATCTTTTTTTTTTTAAAAAAAAATGATTGACAAAGTAAATGATCATCGTTTGTCGTAGAGAATCGGACTTATTTGTTTTTTAACGCCTTTTGGGCGAGTGGCACATGCCTCAACCTACAAACTTACTGCCAAAAGTCCCTTATTTATATGTATATGTATTCCTTTTTTGTTGCCTTTGTTAGGATAGGACCGTTATACAAAAGGAGGGTTTATATGTGCCTTTTGATTTCTCAAAAGAAGTGCAATCAATGTACATTTGATATGCCGATCCATTTACCATTACTTATTATTTTATGATCTACTGGTATATAGCTACATATTTGGTTGTAAAATATATGGTCGGTTTAATTACCCAGTATAGCTGATGAATAAAGAAAGCTGTCTCTTTGTATATAAGTAAAATTTTCCCTGCCTGGTTGTACATACATGCCTATAGTTGAGAATCCTTTAATGCACAGAATCAGAGGAAGTACGAGTGGAAACATTTCATTGGAGAAAGAATAAGATCGTCATCTTCTGTATGAAAAATAAGTTTAAATAAGATTATCCATTCACACAAACGATTTGCTCAAGTGCTATATACTTCTATGCACTTGAGGACAGTTCTTGAATGTAAAACAATGTGCTAAGTCAACCGACATTTGCATTTCTAGAAGGTTTTATATAATTAATTTGAAACTAATCACTTCCATGGCTTAAGTATGAACGCTTTTGCATATATTAAGTCTAATTCCATGTAGAATCTCTTCTTAAAGTCAAGCTCTAATGTTTGTAAAGATACAAAATATAAGAATTCTCAGTTTATGATGATCCATTACAACGCTTATCCTTGTGATCATGTTATCTTTCGCCACCCAGACTCAAGAAAATCCTTCCCCCGAGTTTCCACAGTATCTATATGTCGAATTCAAAAGATCTTCTTGTATACCTTTCTACTCTAACAAGTAGAAACGGTAGGAAATATTGGTATATATCTGTCTAAACAGTGCCCCCTCTCCTATCTAAGATGCATGTAACCTCTTTTTTCTAAAGGCGCAATATCAAACCGCCCTTATTACTGCCCTCAGCACTGTGCCGACAAGGAAAAACAAATAGAGGATCAACAGAACTGAAGAAATTCTTGTTTTCGCTTATTCCTAAAGGTATTTAAGATTTTTTCGCTTTGCCCTTTCTTCTATTTTACTTTCTTTTTCTTCCCCACTGTTTACCATTAAATTTTTTATTTCTCATAAAGCTATCTTAAAGCAACAATACAAAGATGCGTTTTAATTCCATTTCACTTAGTGCCGTTGCTCTCATGGTCTCCATGTTGACTATAGCTCACGCTAGACCGCTAGTTGAATCTGATTTGGTTAGAAATAATGATGTCGGTGACCGTGTTTCTAGCGGTGCTATCGGAAATACCCTGGAACGCGTTGGTGATAATGATGTAGTTGGTACTGCCGATGCTGTTCTCCACCAGGGCGGCGCCGGTACTATCGTTAGCCATGCTGTTGATGCGGTTCAGGATGCCTCCCTTAGTGATTCTGCTCTGCACATAGTAGATGGCGCTAAAAGTCAGACAATTTCCCGTCGTAATGCTGCTGTTCCTGCTGCTCAGGCTGGTGGTGCTGGCGCGAATGGTGTCCAAGCTGCTGCAAGTGTTACTCCCCCCGTCCCAGCAGATGAAGAAAATGAAGATGAAAATGAACCTGATGAAAATGAACCTGAAGAAGCAAGTGAAGGTCTTAGACGTCGGTCTGAAAAGAACGGTGATGATGAGGAAGACGAAGATGAGAAAGATGAAAATGAGAACGAAAAACGTTCTCTTGGAGATGAAGAAGAGGAAGACGAGGAAGAGCCTGATGAGGAAGAGCCTGAGGAAGATAGCCCCTCTGAAGATAATGAATCCTCAGGTTAAATCACTATAACTTTCTTACTTGGTGAATTTACATTTCTTTTTACTTTGAAACCATTGTTTGCTTGATCGCAATTATTTACCAAGCGTTAGCATTTAATAATGTCGTCTGTCTAATTTAATTATTGTAAGAATATCAATAAAGCTATTTTATTTACTGAATACAAGAGTGAACTATCCATCTTGAACCTTTTTGTATACAATGAGTGCTAATTTGGTAAATAGCTCAGGCTTAATGGATAATTTTATCTTGAATAAGAGGTACTGTAGATCCCTAACGTAAATACAATAGGAGAATCTTACTTACAACGGATAGCTGCAAGGTTTTGTTGTACTATGATAGTTCACAAAGGAGTAGCTTCAGGAGTATGGTTTTATTGTTGGATTCTGCGAATGTGGGGAAGAAACCCAAAAGAGTTACTGTAAGCGGCCATTATAAGTACATCTTTTTAAAAAAGTTTAACACTTTTGTATTATGTGGGCGTTTTGCATCTAGTAATTATATACTAGTACAGAAGCATTCAATGCAAAATTTAGACAAGAACTCACGTAATAGGCATTTATTGTCCAACTTCAACCAAGATAGTTAGAATGACGATCCTTGTAACTTACAGCAAGAAAAATAAGATTAACCTGCACTTACTTTAAACAGTTAGTCAGTCCTCAGGAGCCATATAGAAGTTAATGTACTTCAAAGATAATGCACGGCTAGCTGAGTCCTCATTTTGCGCCATACACAAGCAGGGTGGGCTTTTTTTGTTGGTTCTCATTCGTAAATCTATCCGCTCAGGTACAATCGACAAAGAATTCATTCATACTCCTAAAATCTTTGTTGTATTAGGAATCGATTAATTCTTTCGTTATCGTTTATTTGGCTTTTCTTCTTGCTTTGAATTTGCCATACTCAATTATTAATTGTCTACTTAATTATAAGATTATTTTAATGCAGTTTTCCTTCTTATGGATAGCGGTAATTTGTACTGCTTTATTAACAACCTTCATCATCGAACCGAGAGTGGTAGCGGAACATACTGATAACTTGCCACTAGATAAATATGACCTTGTGCTACGAAAAGGTTACCCTCTTCGTCCAATGAGTATGAACAAAAGGCACTTCAGCAAACTCGTTGGAGAGAAAGGAGCAAAAGCTGCCTTGCTCCTTCAACGTCGCGCCAATACTATACTAATACCGAGTATAACTCTTCCTACAATTGAAACTCAACAACGACAACAGCAACAATCCACTACGCTGACCCAGCCCGCTTCTACGGACCAGATGCAGCAACCAGCGATTAACCACGTCCCTTCTGTAGAACAAGCAGCAACATCACCGTCGTTACCTATTGCTGTCTCAAACTATTATCAACCAACACAACAAGAGCAACCACAAGGTTCGGTCTTGTACCCTACTTACCAATATCCTGAGCGGCAGCAGCAAGAACAAACTCCTCCGGCACAAAACATGCTGCCAGTTGCTTATTACTACCAGCAGCCTCCTCCGCAACAAATCCAGCCACCTCAACAACAACAACAGCAAGGTATTGCTCTCCCTTCGATCTCTCAAGCTCCTGCCACCAATCGTAATGAGGACGGAGACGAGGAGGAGGAGGAAGAGGAAGAGGAAGAGGATGAAGATGAAAACGAAGAGGATGAAGAAGATTATGATGCAGATGATTTGGTTACTTAGAGAATTTTTGAATAGAGAATCCATATAACTCCTCAATTTGCATGTAACATGCACCAAATTAAAGTTACTGTTTAACTGGTGTGTTCATTTGATTCGATAATAAAATGTGATTACAATTAGAAAAAGAATTTTTTTTTTTTGTTTAGTATTTTTCTTCTCTTTCTTCAACTTGAATGTAAACCAGCGGCCTCGCCCTGCTTTGTGGTTTCAACAGCACATTGTACTGCGTACCGTAGCCCTCCACTCACTCTAGGGATTGCCATTATTAAGTTAATGTCATTCAGAAAGGACAGTAAAGCAGTAGGGTTCAACACCCTGCCCGCGACGGTGGAGAATTTTCCTTTTACTATATTTTCTATTTGTTTATTGAATGATTAAATCCCAATAAAGAGGAGAGCTTAGAATACTAGAATAATAATTTAAAAAAGCTATTGCCCTTGAAGCATTTAATAATACTTTCGTTTATCATTCAGGCAGCACTGTGAAATTCTTGATATCAGAGATAATAATTTGCTAAGTAAAGACTAAGTGAGTCAGTGAAACCGAACAATAGTTCTTCTGTCGTTTTATTTTGGTTTAGAATTTGAATGGTCGTCTATGTGGATGCGAGGTAGAACTGAGCTTTAGTGGAATTAAGATAGTAGTAGTGACAACCGAGTAATATTTGTTCCTCTTTGTAAATCTTATTCAAATTTAGAGTTATAGTAGACTAAGTGAAAGTAGCGAGACTATAAAAAGATATTGATTGTCTTTATTCTGAGGTAACATCTAGGTCCCTTCTATATCTCTAAAAAATGAATGATTTGGTTAGAAAAAGCTTTCGAGTGAAATGAGGAGATTGGTAAAATTCACGGTATATAGTTTAGGTGGATTAATACATACATTTGGCTCATGTGATTATTAAATGAATTGTATAACGCCACTGCGAGATATCTAGATTACCAGTAAGGTTGAAGTGTGCCTGATGAAATCTTATTCGTCCCCAGTGTGCCTGGAATATTATTTGTTCCAGTGTACCATAGCTGGTAAAGGCAGTAAATCTGGATTGTTTCTCAGATTGTTATATGAATTACAAGTCAGAATGTTACAAGCATAAAATGACGAGGAAATTGAAAATAATCAATATGAAAGAACATGCATTGATAAACATAAATTAACAAAAGAGACATTTTTATCATTCATAACCCAGCATTTGCTTGGTTTGCATGTTTATCGTGTGCTTCCAATCGAGCAAATGTGGCATTTTTTTCACAAACAAGATTAGCTCTTCACAAGTCGTTGGATAAGTGATTGTAAAGTACTTTCGCTTGATATATTCTTCGTTCTTCAGCAAGCAAATACACTCGAAAACGATTTCTCCTCCTGCAATACAATAGAAGGGAGTATTTTAGTTTAAAAAAAAAGCGACATAATAGACTGAAATAACCTACCAAAGAAACGAATGTAATGCTGTGGTATAGGGTAATTCGCTATTTGTAATGCTTCCTTGGACTTTAAAAGATTCAAAATGTTGCCCACCATCTTTGTCTCATCATCTTGCTCTTTTTTGTTGGTGGTGTTGAACCTGAAACCTTCCGAAAACTCAATAACAACAGGAGTGACTTTCCTATCCTTGATGGCAAAGGCCACCCCTCCCATTTTGTTGTACAAGTTGTTTGAATCTCACTTTCAAACCTATTGGAACAAAAGTCAATAACGCGGTAGTGCTTTATACATTAGCATGCATATGCATATACACATATGTAACATACCAGTCAAGATTAACGATATCATTATTGGATAGGAATAGATTACTCAAGATAAACACCGTTGTCAGCGACAAAGTACTGGCCATAGAAAATGCCAGTTTTGTATTTGGGAGGGGTTGTTGATCGGATGTGTAGGAAGACGGTTGAGGACATAAGATATGGGATCGCAGACTGATGAAGGGAGTCGTAGGTGGTGATGCATGTTTAAACAGGAGATAGCGTGGAGCTTTGTAATTAATGACGAGGAATGTTTAAGGTAATAGGTTCGGTGGCCTCCAGGAACCCAATCCAAACGCCATCGGATACATCGGCTGCGTTCATTAGTTGACATTGGAATATAAAGGTACGTTCCATACAGACATGTTGTAAAGGGTTTCTAGGCCTGGTGATTAAATTGAGACTAAAAAAATCGAAAGAATTGTGTTGGTTATAAGATGTACTATATTGATTATATGCACAAACCTACAAATGTGTGACAACGACCTCAACAAAAGAGAGATCGGCGTGAATAATGGGATCAAATGTCTCATCGCCCAACGTAGATTTTCTAATTATTTTTCGTAATAATGCTGTGCTTGGGGGGGGGCTTCAGTTATCAAGGAATTAAATCGCTACAAAAAGGCGACGTACGATACATCAGTAGCGATGTTTCTGTTTTATCTGGAAGTAAAGCTTTTCACCAAAGAGATTTTTGAACAACACAGCTACACCATTGTCATCGAATAAGAGGAACTGGAAACTGCTCAATCTGAAAAAGCATAAAAAAAGTTTCAAATGAGTAACAGGAAACCTTTTAACATGTCAGCTAGCTACATACTTACTCAACGCTAAGTTAATTTGTTGTAGTAATTACATGCTTGAAGTAACCTGCAGTCATATCGTAATCATTATTTTTTGTTTCAATGCTATTTGCATCGCTTTCATTATTATCAGGAACCTCTCCGTGGTTGTTATCATATTTCAAACTGTTCTGGTCATCATTGTTGTATTTGCTTAATTAAAGATATATAACTGTTGTAAGTCGACGACTATGAACTTAAGTGTCTTTATTGTTCTTCTGATGAAGTAGAAGGATTGTTTACTCTGTGAGGTTTAATGGGAATTCTATTATTTGAGGACGCGTATGCTAGTCACTAATTTCAGGTTCAGAGGCTTCTTGTGTTACACTTCAATCCTCTATCTTGTTGTATTCTTGTACATAACCTATATTAGATGCAATATAGATAGACCGTGGTCGAATGTATTCTCTACCTGGTTGTACGTAATCGAGTATTGTATTTATTATCTCACCAAACACGTCAATCATGACTACCGGACCTGCCTCCTGCGTTGTGATAATTAGCCTTTATGTGCACCTGCATCAATATAAATAGTTAATACAAAAGGTTTTATGCGAAACAAACACACAAAGAAGAAGTACATTTTTTGATATGGCTTCAATTCCTTCACAGGTATCTTCATTCAGTTGGACAAAGGTTTCCAACCTTCTTTTCAGGACCTTTGTAGTTGCTTCAGAGGTTTCACGTCTTATCCAATATTCACAAAATTCTCTTCCAAAAGACGATTGTTCATTTTCACGTTTCTATGAATATATATATATAAATAATACAAATTAATCAATTCGGAAACAAAGGTTGTGTTGTAAAAAATGTTTTACATGAAATTGATTTAATGCTTTGATAGCTCCACGATTTCCAGGATCGTCTTTCACCTTAGTTAGTAAAGTCATATAATAAATGTTTGTTGTGCAATTATTTTCGTTGCATAGCTGGGCAAAAGAGAAATAATCATACTGTGGATCAATCAATTGAGCTGTTTCCAACCATTCTTTATACAGGTTATCAGTGTTAACTTTTTTGGACATAACGTAATTTCTATGACGGGTAAATTAGTCGAAGGCAGCCGCTTCCTGCAAGAGCTGCGAGGAAGGCAGGCTCAAGGAAATAACATTGTGGGCTTTACTAATGACGGATGGGGGTTGAAAAGGAGTGTCATGGAATATCATTCGGAAGAATGACGTCCAGATAGCTCAATGGATACTGAAGCAGACGGTGAAAAATCGATATTGCTCGGACGAAGGTAGTGATGGTGGCGGGTGTAATCTTAGGGCGGCAGAGATGCTTTGAGGATCAAAGCCGAAGGACGGAAAATATACCGCGAGGCCTTCTTGCCATATCTGCCAGGTTTGAGGGCAACTGGTTGTGAAATGGTCAAACGTATCGGTATCATGGTTACAAAGTCTGCAAGTAGCCGATGAAACTACCCCTGAGGTTTGCAAGACTGATAAGCATGGTAATTTTTGTCAAAATGGTGCGATAGCCTAGGTCACGAGCCGGAAGAAATCAGAACAGGGTGAACATCCGTTTGGGAACTACCTCTATAGCTGATGTTTGTTGTATTTGTGTGTTATGATAAAGCTTAAACGTTGAAGCCGAATAATGATGCCAAATGTTACTGTTGGCCAATCGTCGTAGTCGTGAAGTTTCCAATGCCTTATCTGGGTCATCGGTAGCTATAGAAGAGCCTGCCCGCAATCTATTGATATAGGGGTGAAGTTGCACTGTAGAATCTGTGAGTAATTGGCCCAAGAGCTGTGAAAGCAACCGCGGTTTCACACTATATTCTCCTGGATGTTTCATTATGAGGCGGTTGGTGGACCGGTCGTAGAGGAAAAAGGTGTTTGCGAGCATCTTAGGATGGCGTTCTACCCAATGCGACCCCGGAAGGTTTGGGAACAAAGAACGAAGTGGGAAGAGTAATAAGCTGTCTAGTCATCATCCTTTAAAGGGATTTTTACCTTATTGTTACTTTCTTGTTGATGACATTTGTTGTAAAAGCAGCAGCTATGCCTTCAAAAATAAACGAAGTTGGCTTAATATAGAACTCAACCTGTGCAAAACGAGCGAGGCAATGCTGCAGCAAATAACGTTTCCCCTTTCTATGATTCAGCATCAAAGCATGAACGAGCCAATGTGCATGAATCCTTGGACAACTAATGATGATGAAAACGAGCCGGACAAATTGGAATCATTCTCTGTCAGAATCAACGGCAAAACAACCGTTTTATTCTCCTGAATTTGGCAGGAAACAATATGCTGAAGAAGGTAATAAGTACGAATCTCGATGAATTGGAGACTCAGACTACAGAACATGACTGCTTTATGTATCTGTATAGTTTATTTAGTGTGTTAATGTAAGGAGGGTATTGAATAAATTACCCTTATACAGACTTCAAACAAACAGTGAAGCTTCTTTAAGTTAAAAGGACCGGTACATTAACCATGATCGGAAACGAATTTCATTCATATTGGTTTGAAGGGCACAAACGTGAACGAACAACCAACAGCTTCTGCTAAGTCACAGAAGCGACTATCTTTTTTGGCGGGTCAGAAAAACTTTCCCAAAAGAAAAAAAAAATTGTTTTGCATTTGCTTGGAAGTTTAATCACTTGCTACTGCTCGCGTTAAACATTCTTATGTGGCCATGCTGAGGTATTATAGTCCACTAAGTATGCTTCTACTCTTGGATTTCCATCCTAAATCAATTTTTTTGTTTGCTTCTTAACCATAAGGGAACTTATTCAGTCGTGGAGCCGCGATCCTTGGTTTACAGCGGAAAGCAGTAACAACACTCTTGAAGAAGCAGACGACCCTTTCAATGCCTATGACCAAAATGCCCTTCTAGCGTCCATTTTACAGCTACAGGGCATATTTGGACAGGATGATTTCATAAATATGGATGGAGACCACTCTCCTTATTACGATGAGTTCACATTTGGTACGATGAGTTTTGTAAACATACTATGTGATTTTGCAACCCACAACGGAAATTTAATTTCTCCGTTTGACTAAAATTCTATATTGCTGGAAATATAATCAGTTCCTAATAATGATACCTACCTGACAGAGACTGTCGAACCTTCAAACTTGATCAATGATACCAACGGTTGTTTGTATACAGACATCACACAACCAACGCTGAATGAACCTGCTTCTATTTTGGAAAGAAGATCTAGTAGCTGTAGCTCCTTATCTTCGTTCGATTCCAGTAAATGTTTTGATAGTAGTGAGGAAAACATTTCGTTAGGCACAAGCGGCCAACAGCCATTATCATCATGCGAGGATAATTTAAAACAGTTACAATATCAAGAAAAGCAAGAAAACTGTAGAACCAACCAATTACAAAGCCGTAAACAGCTTGAAGAAATGATCCTTGAAAAAATAACCAATGAATTGGATCCTGAAAGGTTGCCAGGGATTTTGAGTATCATAAATGCAGTACAAGTCGTGGACCCAGAAGAAGAGATCGAAGAAGTAGAGGTAGATTTGGAGCGCTTGGATTATGATCAGTTAGAACGCATATTAGCATATGTAGACGCATGTTTATTGGAAAAAGAAGGTGGGCCATTGGTGGATTTGTCAAGTTTTGTGGTGCGCCAACATACATTACCAATGCTCGATCGACAGCCCGTTGATGATCTGCCTCCAAAGCGACAAAAGAAAAGTAATAACCGCGTATTTCGAAAACAGTCAGCTATGGATGGAGGTCATATCGTCGATGGATCCTCTTACTCTCAGCTATCATCTACTCATGGGCCATTATCTATGTCTGCATTGACTGACCTAAAAGAATCAGCAGAAATTTTCAAAAAGAGCAATAACCGGAAACGTAGAAAAACGAAAAAAGCAAAAACCAAAAACGAAAAGAAAAAGCACAAGCCTTCCATGAAAAATTATAAGAAACCAAGTAAAAGAAGAACGACAATATGCAAGCGCAAAATGTCAGAAGATCTAGCTGAATCTTCATCTGCTGAGACTGATGAAGATAGCGAGGGCAAAACAGAAGGCGGTTGTGGGATTATAATTTTCGGTGACGAAAAAATGGATTTTGCAGTGACACAGAATCAAACGATTGTGCATAACGAAAATCGACAACCTGCAACAAGCCGACAACCAATTCAGGCTGCTGCTGCTGCTGTTAAGCAGAATGAAAATTCAGTATTTGTTTCCACTGTTGATAAGTTTGAAAATGAGGAATTCATTGATATCATGTCTTAAAGAAACTCCCTTTTTTTTTGTAAATAGTTCAATCACCTTGTATCGTTAAAATATTCAATATTTGTATATAGTGTATATCCTTTCTTTGTAGCTATTCTTTGTCTATTATAAATTATGGAATTAAAAAAGTTGTTCAGTATTATTAATTCATTCTGCTGCGTTATATGTAAACTTAAGCCGGAAAGGGTTCTTGGGTTGACATTTAATCGCTCATTAGGCCGGCTTGTTCAATTTAATACCCTCGAGTTCACTGACCATTATGCTTAATTACTACAACCGGTAGAATTAAACGTGCATCGAGGTTGGTAACACTACTAAGGGTTTTTAAACTTGTAGTAGGTAGTTTCTAAATTTTATGGGAATTTCTTTTTCTTTTTTTTCTTACATCAGTTATGCGTACCATCTTTGTTTCGATAAGAAAAAAGTAGTGCCACCTCATTAGTCCGCATATTGAATCGAAATCTATGTCCAAAATAGAAGCTCTCCTGGCAAGAGATATGTTATCTATCTCCACGGGCTTCTTACCGGAACTGGCGCAAAGCTAACTATTAGAATATCTGCGATCTAATAACCTTCAACAGGAAAGGGTGTGTTGCGTTTGTGTTCAGCTTGAAATGGAATTATTAGACCCTGAACAGTTCATCAGGGTTCACAACAGATATAGTCACCTTTTTAAGTAAGCTTCATACTGAGTACATAATAAAATTTATGGGGTTGACGTTCCTGATTTGTCTACGCAGGATTTCTTAGGTAAAATGACCACATTGGTACACAAACAGGAACAGATAAGCAAGTTTTTCGGCACGGCCCTATATAAGCACTTCAAAGTGCATCATAAGGAAACAAGTTTATTGTTAAAGCTGTTCAAGCTGTATGTACTACTTAGGTCTCAATTCATAAAGATTTAAAAAAGACGAGGATGGAGGTACAAAACAAGTCTCTTAACACAACAACAGGTGTTATTCTTATGGGTTCAAGCAGCATGTTGTACTCCCAAGATGACCGTACCCTTTGGTTCTTTTACTTTCCTAAAATCACTGAGAATTGCTTTAAAGGTAATACTAAGGGTTCCACCTGTTCATTCAGGGTTCAACGTATAAATTGGTGGCACTCCAAATTCTCAAAGAATAAAAACTATCTTTTCACTGATTTATAACTTTCAATAAAACCGAGTTTCTGAACAATTTGCAAGTATGCAATACAATTCGTATGCATTGAATAGCAGCAGTATTAATGTGACTAGTCGTGGAAATGCAGTGGAATGTAAGAATCTTTAGCAAATGATTATAGAAGGATACTTGAAACTATAGTAATTGCTGGATTCCTCATATATCATTTTATCCTAAAGTTAAAAAACAGGACCATGTTACCACAACTTATCTTAATGACATGTCGCAAGGGACTGAAAGCAATTGCAAATGCACCGATTGTATAACGTCTTCATTTAATGTATCTTTTGAACCCAAGTCAACGATGTTAAATTTACCGTTTCGAGCGGCCTATGACGAAAAGTTTACTATACCCTCGTTATTTATTTCTTCCGACATCCATAAAGAATTGAAACCAGTCATTCCTACTAAAAGAGCTGCTCAGAATAGAGCTGCTCAGCGTGCTTTTCGCTTACGAAAGGAGCGTTATGTCAAAAATTTGGAGCAACGGGTCAAGCTTTTGGACCAATGGAAAATTGAAATTGAAAGACTGCGTATGGAGAATCACCAACTACGAATAGAGTTAGGAAAAACCACACAAACATTCAAGACAGAAGAAAGACAGACATCATATGATTCTGAACCGCAAAAAATACCAGATGCGGTTTTTGCGAAAGATCCCGCTTACTGTGCTGAAATGACAAAGAATAGTTTATATTTGATTCAATATGAAGAGACTTCGACCACTGCTGCTACTGCATTTGCCCTTCCTATATTTAGGCGAACAAAAAAGAAAAAAAATGTAAAAGAAGAGCCTGTGCGCTTGCTTCCACGGCAAATAGAAACTTCATTTCAGCCAGTTAGACTTCATTCACCCGAACATATCAACTTCCAAAATACTACTAACTCTTTTTCTCCACCTCTCTAGTCGTGCTCCTCCTCGTCATCAAATGTCTCCTTTGACAAATTTGAAGATAATTTTTACCTAATACCCATGAGCCACAGTAAACAGGTCGATTTCGGCGGGGGACAGCTGATTGGGAACTCTGACTCTTGCGAAACTGATAACAGATGACCCCTCCTCACATGAAGAGTCGTCTTCCAATCTCAACCTAGTATTGGATATGACTGTTGACCAAGCGGCGCCTTCAGTAATCCATTTAGGTAATCTGTGAATCACTTTCAAATTAAGCATAAGAGCATCATCTTCCCCAATCCTATCTTTTCACTCAGGTCGTTAATTCATTATGGAGGTAGCTTATGGTTTTCCTATTCTTGGCAGTATTCTCTTCACATATGTACTTATCGCGCACAATGATAACATCAATTTTTTCCCTCTCAATACCATCATTAATTCTTTTATAATAGTTCAGGTTTTAATATACGCATATCTTTCCTTAAATGGTTGAAATTTGTTAAACGTACTATATGTACATATACCCTTATTAATATTTATTAATATGATGTCTCTCATAGAAATAGAGCAATTACAAATGTGAGCTCACTCGTCTCTTACATTTGTGGCATTTAAGCGCTATATATTTTATGTCTATCTATCCTTCTAAGAAGTGTAGCATAAGCTGCAAAAATGTCTATGCAGTATGCATAACAACTAGGATGCTCTTTATCTGAAATCTTCCTTGACAAGATTAAATAATTTGAACGTTCTGTGAAAAAAGAACTTCCAATGGTTCAATATAACAGATAATAGACGTAGAAATCCAAAATAACTCAGGACGATACTTCCACTACAGGGTCTGCAAGTTTGCGTCTCCGTAAATAACTATTTTATCGAATGTTATACAGTATGTAAGTACAGGTAATCATAAAATGAAATCTTCTTCCTTTCTATCTTTGATATAATTCGTTATGAGAAGGTACCTTTTAGGTTGAGGCTGACACAAAACCTGGAATATATTTCTGGAGAATTTATTAGAACTGTATGGATTTACCCTCAATTCCGGGTATTTTGCTTTAGTGACATCAGCTCGAATCTATACTTTTAATATAAGTTGCGCGATTCATGCAATATACTGAAGATAAAAAGAGAATATTTGCCCCCACTTACTTGTTCATGAGTGCTAACTCCTCGCAGAATTAATGTACAATGATAAACAGTCAACCCTCCAACTAACCAAAGCAGAACAAAGCAGTATATCGCAAGAACGAAGCTCACAGGAGCCGCAGAAAAGACGGATGAGAAGTTAGATGGTTGTTTTACTTCATATTTACTTATCAAAATCAATTGATAGGTAGCAGAAACCAAAACCAGGACACAAAGTAAGGCAGTTGAAGAGATGAATGTGAAAAAAGGACGGTAATTCCTTCTGCCTACACAATTATTCAGCCAGATGCAATGATGATCTTCGACCTCTAAGCAGGCAAGGAAGACGAACGTTAGTCTTCACAAGACTAAGTTATCCTTTAATCTGCGATAAAACCTTTACCAACACAATTGTTACATTGCTTACAATGGCTTGCTCTAGGAGGTCTATAAATCTTGCAAGTCTCGCAATATTTTAAAAAATATGATGTATTCTTGACTTGAATTTCCTTTGCCGGCGGCTCCAAAATAATCGATGCGTCCTCACTCATGATTTCCTCTGCATAAATATCCAAGTTACGTGGTAAAATCTATTGAACTCAACTAAGCGGTCATCGTTCATCTTACTCTTAAAACTCTGGAGATCGCTACTTACCCCAGGATCTGTCAATGAGGTTTTCAACATCGAACTGAACGCTAGTACGAAAGCATAGCCAATAAGTATGGGAATAACCTCCAGCGATTGGTGCCAAAAAAAGGGACAGCTGGTGGGATGGAAGGAAAACACAGTATATATAATTAGTAACACGCTCCCTCTTTTTTTAGAAGCTGCAAGTCAATGATTTACATAAATATAAAATACAACACAATGGGTGCTATCAACATAAATAATGCTACTATGAAGGCTCGATAGTCTTTACTAGTCACAAGTCTTCCTTTCAGAGGGAACCTCGTATTCCCAGGGAAAATTTGATAATTAAACTGTGGCGGATCTCTTAGGATGCATTTATCAGCTTTTGTTAGTAGTTTTCGCCCTTTAACATCTCCTTGTTGTATTATCTCAACTCCATCGTGTAGGGGTGATGTGTTTTTATTTTCTGTGTCAACCGCTTTGCCATCATTCAATAATATATATTCTTCTGTTGCAGTTTGTAATGCTTGTTGGGGCTTCTGGGATTGTAAAATTGGAGTCGTGCTGGCAAAACTAGTGTTAAACGACCTGGAGGTGAAACCTGAAGACTGGCGGACGAGGCCTTCGTCATTGCCCAAAATCAGAGTTACAGAATGCTGATCTTTCTTTGGTACTTTCTCAAAGTCAAAATTTTCCAGCGATTCAGGTTCAAAAATCGAGTGAAAGATGCTGGAAGTTTGCAATGCTGTCAGATTTAGTTGGTCTTGTACTTTAGCTTCTGGCGATGAACCTTGATCCGAAATGTTCATATAATTGTCTTAGTCCGTCTGTCGAGTCAAGAAGTTTTCTGCACAATTGAAATTGCTTTTAAACAACTTTAAACAAATTACACAGTTTTAATTTGCGGTCAGGAGAATTACACAAACTGCTTTAATGAAGGATGCTATACTTTTTTTTAGGAGTGATCAGAACATTTGACTCTATTATGCAAAAAATTTAGCATAACAATTACCCTTGTTCAGAACAAAAACCAATAATAAAACAACAGAAAACATCAAATAAATTATGATAATGCTAATTTATAAATGCTACAGGTTTATATATGAATAATATAATATATATGTATATACGTGAAAATGAAGTGAAGGACAAAAAATTCTATAAAAAATAAGAGGATAAAGGAGAAATTACAGGCGACAATTTAAAGGTAAAAGATAGATTTAGAAGTGATCACGACCAGCCAAGAGATCAATGACTTCACGATGTTCGGCCCACCAAGCATTACGAGGCTTACGGTTCTTCATATCAGTGACAGCCATGAGATCTGTGACAGGTTCGAAAACAACGGCAGTACCAGAGATACCGGCAACAGCGACAGAGTCCTTACCAGAGGACAATTCAACGGGAACGGCGGAACCGTTTTCATTAGCCTTGTTAAGAGCATCAGCAGCCTTGCTTTCAATGAAACAAATGGAACGCATGGCAAGACGAGTAGCACGAATACGATCCAAAGGAGAAGGAGTAACACCTTGTTGGATGTGACCAAGGACGGCAGTGCGAGAATCGAACATATACTCACCTTCTTGTTTCAAGATGCTGGAGATAACATCAGTTGTATAAGTCTTAGAAACATCTTCAGTGCGCAAGATAATTCTACCTTCGCTCTTGTTAGGGTCATCATGGGAGTACATGTTCTTCAAGTGCTTGACATCAGCTTGAAGGCGAGAGAGGTTGATACCTTCTTCGGGAATATAGACGGTCATAGCACCCACAGCAAGACCGGCTTCAACAGCCAAGTAACCAGAACGGCCACCCATAACTTCAACAACGAAAACACGACGACGAGAAGATTGGGCGGATTGAACAATGGCATCACAAGAGTTGACGATGGCATTAAGAGAGGTATCAGAACCGAGAGAATAGTCGGTACCAGGGACATTGTTGGAAATAGTAGCAGGGATCAAAGTGATAGGAACACGGAGAGAAGGATATTGTTCACGGGCCTTTTCAAGTTCAGCAATGGCAACGTAGGCTTCGAAACCACCGACAACCAAAAGACCTTGAATGTTGTTCTTTTGCATTTGATAAGCAACCATACCCATATCAATATCTTGACCAGGAACAGCACGGTTAGTACCTAATTCTGAACCACCGAGAGCAGTCCAACCGTCAACGGACATCCAAGACATTTCCTGCATGACACCACGAGAGAGACCAGCGAAACCATTGCTGATAGCAATGGGAGTGTGACCACGGTTGAGACAATAACGAACAGCAGTACGAGTGGCAGCGTTCATACCACCAGCAGGAGCACCAACGTGAACAATACCAATACGCATTTGTTGATGCTTGGGCAAACCGATGGAGTTATCATCCAAGATGGTGGTGGCGTTGTAAGCGTCGTATTCATCAGCAAATTGAGGATCACGGAGTTCCATAGCACGGGCAAAGTTCTTCTTACCAATGGCATCAGCAACTTCGTGGGTGAGCTCAACAGCCTTCATGAGAGGGAAACGAATGATCTTGTTGTCGTTAATACCAATCATAGGAGAAGGAGTTTCAGGAGTAGATTCAAGGACAGCATCGACAGCTTCAATGGATTGAGTAGTGGCCAACATACGATCGTAGAAGGCAGGGGAACCACCACGTTGAGTGTGACCCAAGATAGTAACACGAGTATCGAGACCAAGGCGGTTGGACAAGATATCCTTAAGGTGGTCAGCCTTGATGGGTTTCAAGTTCTTGTCGATAGCACCTTCAGCAACAATGACAACAGTCTTTCTCTTACCCAATTGACGATGTCTTTCAACGACGGCACACATGGTAGATTCCCAATCATCTTCTTGAGGAGGCTTTTCAGGGATGAAAACAAAATCAGCACCAGTAGCAATACCAGCTTGAAGGGCTAACCAACCGCAGTGACGACCCATCACTTCAACGACGAAAGCACGGGAGTGAGACAAAGCAGTGGTAGAAACAGCATCAACAGCTTCACAAATACGGTGAAGAGAAGTGACGGCACCAATAGTGATATCTGTGGAAGACATATCATTATCAATAGAACCGACAAGACCGACGATGGTCAAATGAGCGAAAGTTTCAGCTTCTTCCTTGGTGATACGGTTGGTGTTCTTAAGTTCTTCAACCAAACCAGGCCAGTCAGAACGGAAAAGATCAGCACCAGTCAAAGAGCCATCACCACCACAGACAATCAAGGCGTCAATACCGTTCTTGACAAGGTTTTCAGCAGCTTGGAGACGACCTTCACGGGTCTTGAAACCCATACAACGAGCTGTACCAATAGTAGTACCACCCTACATTCCACACAAAATAGTACAAATGATCAGCTAAATTCCAAGTAGAAGTAACTCGAGTGAAGGAATTGAATACTTACGACAGCTAACCAGCCACGGACATCCTTCCAGTTCATCTTCTTCAAACGTTCACCGCCATCAATAAGGCCTAGATAACGATAGTGGATAGAAATTTTCATTAAAACCCAGCCAGACAATACTTTCATCATGAAGCTCCATTTCCATAACACAGGATAAGCCCGGAAAATCATTTAACAAAGAACTCGTAATTTTTGTGAAGCACTCACCTTGATAACCTTCATAGACACCATAAACATCACAGCCCTTAGAGATACCATAACGAACGGTGGCACGGACAACAGCGTTCATACCGGGAGCATCACCACCAGAGGTGAGAACAGCAATCTTTTGACGCTTACCGTTGGAGGCCTTTTCAACAGCGGCAGCAGCACTGGTAGCCTTTTCACATGCACCGAAAGATTCCTTATCGGATAAAACAATGACATTATTGAGAGGATCCAAAGTATAAACTCTGGTAGCATCATCACGGCTATGATCTTGTACTGGGACATTCAACTCAGCCAATGCATTTTTGGCAGCCTGTTGAAAAAAAAAAAATTTGATTTTTTTTTTTTTTTGCTGTTAATGAAAAAAATTTTCCCTTTTCCATCGCGTATATTGCTGTGTATCAAGAACACTTACTTCGACATCCTTAACAGCTAAAACAAGAGCGCTTTCTTCCAAAGACCAATCAACATCACTGGCAGGCTTTTCTTGAGCAATGGCTGAGCAATTTAAAACGAGCTTAATAGAAGAATCAGTGGCTTTCTTTCCTTCAGAGGTCAACTTTAACCAAGCAGTTCTTTGTTCAGTTTGGTTCTCTTCAGTTTTATCGGTGATAGCCTTGTAGCCGAGAACTTGATAGAATTTAAGTGTGTTCTCGAAATCATCAACGTTTGACGCGTTGAAAATGACGTAGGAAAGTCCTTGAGAAAGCATTTGCTGATTTTTCTTTTTCACAAAGAGTTAAAGAAGAAGAAGAAAAAGAACGAAAACAAAAAAAAAAATTGAGAAAATTGCTCAAATTCAGATTAAGCCAAAATTATAAGACCATAGATCAAATCAATGATCTATAGAAATGTGAAACTTTTTTCAGACTCATTCAATCATGTCCGCATGGGTTTTTCCTTGTTTTTTTCATACATCACTGATAATTTTCGGTCATAACCCACCGAAAACGAGAGGAGCATCCAGCGGTATACATACGGGCTATAAGCAATTTGACTTTGTTAGAGTGTGATAATAGTAAGACGTTACTAATGCAGTAATGGAAATGAAGTAGAATGATCTTTTACGATCTTCGGTACAATTCTGTGTTTCTAAACCTGGAAAGCCGTTTTTCAATGGGCAAAAGTTTAAGTTTAGCCAAAATTAAACCACAAAAGATAACCTGGTTTTGATCAAAAAGATCAGATATGTTTGATAAAGAGACTAAACACAATTTACTGTTATGCCTCAACTTCATATTGTCTGTGATTCAGAAGAAGATAGTAAAAAGCTTTTGACGGATAAGGATCTCTATGAAACAGTGTAGTAGCAACAGATTTTTTTTACTTCATGCTGTATCACACTGTCAAAAGCTTCATAATTGAATAGCCGCCTTATCGTTGACCAAGAAGTTTTAGTTGATACAAGGACCTGGTCTCTCTTGAATCAGGTTCCTTTTTTTATCGCTTATCCATGGAATGTATTGTTATTATAAGGCTCCGATCATCGTGCGTCTTCTTTTGTTTGCCAACTTTTCTTTTTTGGCCTTTTCCTCTTTCTTCTTATTTCTTCTGTCTGTCGCGTATCTTCGCTCTCCAACGAATTACTAAAATTAGTAATCCGTCCCACATGTTAGGCCCTTACAAATGACATAATGATCAATGTGTAACTTTACAGCAATTCATTAAAATAGATATTAAACCTTGAATATACAGCAGCTATTGTAAAACTTTGTTACTATGTCCATCCTCTTACAGCTTCTGAGATGGCGTTTTTCTTACGTATATGTCTACTATCTAATTTGTTATTTTACTTGCTATTATTTACATTTGAATAGCTCACATTAGTTTGAATTGACTTTTCAACGACCAAATGACTAATCACAGAACAGTTATTCGTGTAGAATAGCACAAGTACAATATACACAACATCAGATCTACGCACACCGGTCTTTTTTATCAAATGAAATCTTTTCTGATCCCCTTTTGATAATTTAAAAAGCCGAGACTGATAATGAACTCAGTTCGGCATTGTTTCAATTGATAAATGATATCATTGGCTTATCCGAAAGCTGATCAATGATTTTGCTTTTTTGAACCTTGACACAATTGGGCACAGCCAACGGCATCGGTATAAAACAAAATCGTTTTCTGTCCCTTTATTTCGGTTAAACAGTTTATGCTGACTTGATCCGTCTACAGCGCCAAAGGTGTATAAATGTAAACTGACTTTTATCATTATCAGCAGTTGATAACAATGGGCTTTGTTTAAAATTAATAACGGAGCATTAGTTGGACTGTGGATATTGCTTATCGACTTTTAAGATGCGGTTTCCATTATGTAATATAAGGTGTAATCAATTTGATGAATTATAGTATACGCTGGTCAATAAAATGAATAGCCATCTTTAATACCCGGGGCTCTATTGTAGTGGTTTCCACCCTTCTAATTGGACTCGTGGTTGTCCTTTGTAAAATGTATATATACATATATAGTGCCCAGTCAACGATCCCTTAATGCGGGATTATCTTTTTTCAGTTTAAGGGAATCAAGCAGCTTTCAGCTTTCAAACTATATTTATTCTTTTTCTTATTTGATTCTGTATCCCCATATCTATTTTACAGTTGTTTGTTCCAATTTTTGAAAGTTACTCTCTTAAGGTCATTAAAGAATAGAATGGCAAACACAGAACCACTGAATGGACTCAATGCTAAAGATTCATCTCAGCAGGTGTTGCGATCGTCTAATGACAATCTTGATCAACAGGAACAGGTAAGAAAGGATGCTTACCAAACGATTGAATGACCCAGTCTTTGAACATTTAATTTACCTATGTCCGTTGTTAACAGCCAATCCGAGGAAAATGCATGTGCTGCAATAGGTAATAGTGATTAATATCAAGAATATAATAGTGATATGCGAAACAAAGAACAACTGAACGGTAGCATGAATTTTTGATCCTGCTCTTTTTTCAGTGAATTAAAGTACCCTTGCTCTGCAACCCGCTTTCGATGTCCCGTTTGTGATACTGTCAATGATTTGAAAGCACATCTTAAATTATCATCAACATCGCCAGTGATAATGGCAGCTGACCTCAATAATCAACCATTTACATTAAAAGTATTGAAGAAGATATACCATGATTGCCGACAGAAAGACAAATCTGCTATCAAAACTTCTCTTTCAACAAGGCCTGATAGGAAACTAACAGCATTGAATGAGAAAGATCGAGAAAAGTTGTATGAACCTGTGGAGAAGTTGGTAGAAGCAGTTTTCAGTAGCTGGAACTACTTGAATAAAAGCTTCCCTAAGGTAAATGACACGATCCGTTAATCTTCCAAGAACAAAACGTTCAATTTGATTTCCCTATTCATTCTCTTCAAGCCAATTCAAGAAAACGATATCGATAACGGAATTTTTCTCGAAGAAGTCAAAGATGCGTACAAATTGATTATGCGTATGGTAACTATTGTTTAATGATTGTTTGATAGCCATGTTAGTTATGCATAATTAACCTTATCTACTGCTATTCTACAAAAAGCCTGTCAACGTGATACGTGCTATGATGCTAGCTATCGATAAACTATTGAAGCGTCCATATGTACCTTTGAAAAAACTGAGCGATGTCCGCTTTCTATTAATCATCCTGGAGAATCCGTTATTAGCGCAGCATACTTTTCCGGTAGAAACAAAATTGCATCATAATCTTCTAAAAAGAGTGTTTGGGTTGCTAAGCTGTTTGAACAATAAGTGTCATCATGGTCTGGTTAGATGGTTTGCCAGGTAACACCCATAATAATAGGAAAGTTATCTGAAGCCACCATTTAGGAAAATGTTAACTTAAATTATAGTATATCCTTATGTTGCGTCTTATAGTTATCCAACCGTTTATTTCGAAGCAAAGATGGATCTAGTGCATGCCTTCTTAAGCCAACGCATCTCTCGAGCTAGAAAAAGTCAATTAGCACTGCCAGGTGCTTATGAATTAGATTGGAAATTAGTGAGTGCAGCCAGAGTGATGGCATTACTATGTAAGTTTCCGAAAACATAACGACGTATAAACGAATGATGCACACCTTTTGACTTTAATGATCTTCTGTATTGCTAGTTGCTGCTAACAATCAGTCCAATAAAGTGCATATCTCCAACTTTTACAACACGATGGCTGACTCTATTAACTTGATGGGTGATTTTGAGTCGTGGCAAAGTCAAAAACCAGGCAGCAAAAAATTTGCTTTTTGCCAATATCCCTTTTTGATTAGCATGGGCTCCAAGATGAAAATCGTTGAATCGGACGCGAAACGACAGATGGAAACAAAGTGGCGAGAAGCCTTCTTCAATATGCTGTTTCATCAAAAGGTCTCTAATCCTTATCTCCTTTTACGAGTTTCACGCCATAACTTGATTGAAGACTCCTTACGTCAGCTGGCTCAAAATGAATCGGATCTGAAAAAGTCGTTACGGATAGAGTTTGTTGGCGAAGAAGGGGTGGATGCTGGAGGGCTCCGTAAAGAATGGTTTTTGCTGTTAGTACGGTCACTGTTTGATCCTCAGTATAGTATGTTTACATTTTTTGAATCAAATTTGTGCTGGTTCAATCCTGTGAGTTTCGAAACGGAGGATCAGTTCTTTCTGGTAGGAGTCGTGCTAGGATTAGCCATTTATAACTCAACTATTCTCGATGTTCATTTACCGACGGCGTGTTATAAGAAACTGTTGAATTTACCGGTGGGTCTTTCTGATTTGAAGTCGTTTCGGCCGGCTTTGGCAAGAGGTTTGGAAAGTTTGCTGGTCTTTGAAGGAGATGTGGAGAACACGTTTTGCAGATCGTTCGTGGCCGAAGTAGAAGCTTTTGGTGAGCGACAATGTGTGCCATTGGTACCTAATGGAGATCAGATTATGGTGACACAAGAAAACAAGCAGGAGTTCGTGTCGATTTATGTGGACTTCATGTTGAACAAGAGTGTAGAACGGCAATTTGGTGCCTTTAAACGAGGATTTTATCATGTTTGTGGTGGCAATGCTCTTTCTCTATTCCGGCCGGAAGAAATAGAATTACTGATTCGAGGCAGCGACGAACCTTTAGCCATAGATGATCTGAAGGCACAGACAGAATATATAGGGTTTGATGAGAATGAAGAAACAATTGTGTAAGTCTTTTCACTTTTGCTAGCTGCGCTTATATGGTTTCTAAAAACGCGCCCCTTGTCTTTTTATTTTTTATTTCCAACAATTAGGAATTTCTGGAGTATAGTAAAAGCCATGAGACCAGAAACACAGCGTAAACTTTTAATGTTTGTTACTGGAAGTGATCGTATTCCAGCCACAGGAGCCACTCAAATGCATTTAACAATTATGTGTGGGAACAATGGCGATAGTGATAGACTGCCTTCTGCTCATACCTGTTTTAACCAACTGATTCTATACAAATATCATACCAAGCAGAAGCTTCAAAGAATGCTTTTCAGAGCCATCGAAGAAAGTCAAGGATTTTATGTCAAATAGGTTGTTTCTTCCTTTGTTAAAACATATATTACTACAATCCTGGTTTTAATTGACCCAATATTGTTTAAATAAGTTATACTACTTATACAAATCAGCATGTTCCCCATTATGCTTAATATAACTTTTCATCGCCAAAGCCATCATCGTCATCAGTGAGAGCAATTGTTTCGGCGTCCGAATCGCCATCATGATGACGTGTAACTATGAGGGTATTATAAAGGCTTATGTTAGCATCCATCGTACAAATTTGCAAGTCAAAAATGTTACTGAAAACTCACCTGAATTGAACTTTGCAAACGGATCTTGCATGTAGTCACTATACATTACAGGTTCGTCCATATCCAAGTCCAAGCTTTCTGCGTTATGATGTTTTTTGAAGTAAATGTGATGGTTGTCTTCTTTTACTGTGGTAGTTGGAATGATAGGTGGAGTCATATGTCGCAATAGGGCGAAGTTGATAGGTTTGAAAAAGGAATGCTGTTTCACTTCCGAAGCGCCCGCTTTTGATCCTAGCCTTTTACTTTCTTGCTTGTCTAATAAACGTCTAATTAAATTTTTACATTGATGGGACACCGCCTGCGGTTGTCTTTGCTGATGCTTTTTAGATGTAGTAGATGTATTAGTGTTAGAGGTATGATGATGCTGATGATAATGAGGTGGTGGGAATTGTATATCGTTATTCATAATGTTGTAGAAAGTATCATTTCGGTTTGCCCCCTTAAACGGTGTTGTACCATACTGGTATCATGCGGTAAAATGATAATAAGGGAGGTATTAGTATCATAAATGCTGACAAGCCCAATAATTTTCCTCTCTATGTACACCGATAAATGTAATTCAGGGGCAAGAAAAGAGACTTACGAGCATTTCATAGATCAAAATACCTAATGTCCACCAATCAACGCTACTTGAATGGCCCCAGCTTCTGATCACTTCGGGTGCGATATATTCTATTATATACGGATGTACATGAACATAAGGGAGAATAAGCATCATGAGGAAAAAGGGAGCAATAGCATTTAAGGTGCTATTGTAAAATGCAGGTCTTTCCCGAACTTTAAGAAAAGAAAAAAAAACATACCTTCTGTTCCAACAAAGCTATTTGTTCGTAAATGAGAAATGCAATTTCTTGTATCAATAGAGGGTGGCTATGTCAGAGAAAAAAAGTTAGAATCCAAGAATGAAAAACAAGCAGTTATGCAATTTAATTATGTAACGTAATACGTTACAATATGAGGAGAGTTTGACTTGACAATAGCAGGTGGACCTGGCGGATATGTCTGTTTACTCAGATCAAAATCTGTCAACATTAAATGTCCACTTTGATGTAGCAGAATATCTATTATTTTGCATTGCATTATAAGTAAGACGCTTTATAATGTTATCGTGCAGCAAGGCTTACTTTCTGGTTTCAAGTCTCGATATATGAATCCTTGTAAATGAAGATATTCTAAAGCAGCTATCACTTCTGCCGCGTAAAACTTGGCGCCCTCCTCTGACAAACATTTCCCTGGTCTTGATTGAAGAGCTCTAAAAAACTCGCCACCCAAGCAATACTCCATTACAAAATACAAATGGTCTTGGCTTTGAAAAGAATGATAAAGTGAGACAATGAACGGATGGTTGGCACTACACAAAATCTCTTGTTCAGCTAGTACGCGTTTCACTTTGTTGCGTCTTAGCATTTCCTTTTTAGACAGCACTTTCATGGCCATTTGCTTCTCTGTGCCTTTTTGTTTCACAAGATAGACACGGCCAACGTCTCCTTTGCCGAGCATTCGGATTTTTATGAAACTGCTAGGGCCTACTTCAACAGAGCGTATTTTAACACTGTTTGCAGCGTACGACCGACGATGGAGAGATTTGCTCGTGGTAATGGCTGTGGTTAAGGTAGATATGGTAGACTTTGTCTTATTGTTGGCAGTCGTCGCAATACTGTCCAGGGTATAAAGAGAAGGCGTGGGTTTTCTTAGAAGCGAAGGATTGTTATCATCCATAAACGGTTGAGTCGTAAGTGTGGGCGGTAAAGCGGGTGTAGGTGGAGGGGAAGAGGTTCTGTTATGATGGATAATCAGATTGCTGTTGTTCGTGGTATTGTAGAAGATAGAAGAGCTGTTTTTACAGGTGGAACCATTGCTACTAAAACTAGTTGTGCTACTGATACTTTTAATGTTTTTACGTCGCATCATAGTTGAAGAAAACCAGCTATTGCTCTTCAAATTTTTTTGATGTTGAAGGTCACCAAAATCATTGGGTAAACCAAAGCCTACGATGGCTGATGTAGGATTCGTTGTTGTTAGAGAATTGCAATAGTAACTATGTTGTTGTTGTTGTTGTTGTTGTTGCTGTTGGTTTTTTGGCGTTGAGAATAGAGATTTGATACGAGAGAAGTGAGGTGTGCCATAAGTCGAGGGTGACTGAATCATTTTCCTCAAATATTGCTATATTAATAATAAAATTAAAAAAGGAACGGAAAGGAAAGAGAGATCAAAAAGAGAACAAAAGATATTTCAATGAAGAGTGAATTAATGACCTTTTGCTGAAAGAAAGATACTCCTTTTCAATAGGGTTTTGTCTTGCTTTCAACTCCAAAAAGTAAAAGGAAGAAAGGAGAAAGTTTGTTTTTCTGTGTAAAACGCTTTTTATTGTACATGAACGCATCTACATTCGAAGAAGGAGAGGGAATGAATATAAGGGTTGACTGAACATTAATGCCTTTTTTTTTCTTTTTTTTTTTTTTTTTTTTTTGTTTTGTATTCTCCTGAAATGCCTCTTAATGCTTATGTAAGATAAAAATGTCAAAGAAATAATGTTGTAAAGAATCAATTCCCAAACCATGTTTCCCAGCTCTTTTGATTTGGTTGTGTTGATTCATCGTCATTGTTATTTAGAAGATCTGCTACTTTAGTTACCGCAGATGGTGGCTCTGATATCTGTGATTGAGTCGGCTTTGATGGTACAGTAGCAGGAGAAGGCAATGGCTGAGCATAAGGTCTAGTAACAGTATTAGTAGCGGTAGGATATGGAGGTAGAGGCTGTTGCTGTGGTGAGGTAGCATAATAGTTGGCTGGGCCCGATGCCTGTGCAGGGCTCATCATATAAGGAGAGGAAGGCTGTTGTGGCTGTAGATGAGGGGAAGCAGAAGTAGGGATTATAGGTTGTATAGATGACGGAATAGGCTTTTTATCTAACATAGGAGATGCAAGAGATGGAGTAGTGGGTGTAGTAACCGTAGTATTAGATGTGGGATAGGGATAGTGATTACGCATAATAGTATTAGATTGATATGGTTGTGGTGCCACACTCATATCAACGGTATTAGTGGTGATTGCAGGAGAATTGATAGGTTTATGCTGCTGCTGCTGCTGTTGCTGTAGCTGTTGCTGCTGTTGCTGTTGACGTGCATAAAATTTGTCTACAATATCTTTCAGATGTAACTTCTCTTCATTATTCGTATAGAAATTACGTACTTGTATCATCGTTTTTGTTTTCATAGCGCTTGCTACTTTTTCCCAATCTGGTCCGTAAAGACTCAAATAATGTTGAAAGTCGTTTCTTTCTAATACTGACCAGTAAGAAGAATAACTAGAACGTTTGATGTTATCGGAAGGCGCCGCTGCTAAAGTAGACTGACGGCCTAATTTGCGACCGTTATTGTCAGCTGGCATATAGTCAGTGTCTTCAGAGGCAAGGCTTTCCGCTCTACTTGATGATGAGCGTACGCGTCGTCGTCTTTGAGGCTGCTGCTGCTGTTGCTGCTGCTGTGTTGATGCTACTGGCGCTGCTTTGATAAATGAGGGGGATGGCAAAACTTGATAAGCAGAGGTAGCAGGTATGGCAACATTTGGCAAAACATTGGTTGCCAGCGGTCTGATCGATAACGTAGATGCTGATGTTGCCGATGCTGCTTGCTCTTGTTGTTGTTGTTGTTGTTGTTGTTGTTGTTTAACTTCTTCTCTAGGTGTATTTGCACCCATTTGGAACAATCCCACCAGCGCTGCTGCCGCATCCTCTTCATCTGCTTTCAAATCTGTACGACCACTTGCTACTACTTCATTATGAATAGAAGCCTGACTAGGAAGAGTAGCAATGGTTGCTGGAGGCTGGTTCGGTGGAAGAACTAATGTTGTCATACCCCCACCAACAGTCATAGCATTTTTAGTAGGTTCAATGACTCTTTGCTGCTGCTGCTGCTGTTGCTGTGGTTGTTGTTGTTGACGTGCATTCTCCTCTTCATTAAAAGCATTAGGCCCGAATTTTCGTTTGAAGTTATGATAAAAGTTTCGACATTGCTCTTCAGTTTTCGTCTTTAACACATTGGCTACCTTCACAAAATCACGACCATACTGTTTGAATGCTTCTATAGCGATTTCCTTATCACGTTCTGTCCATCTTGCTACACTACTGGGACTTGCTGTTGGCGGGGTAGTTGTGAAAGAAGACATTTTGTCATCAGAATCAATAGCCATATCAGAAGGTTCCTCAACAAAACGCTTATTGCCATCAGTTGGTGTAAGTATGTGATCCACAGTAGCTTCACGGGGAGTTCGGCCTCGACGTCGCCCACTAGTCTGGCTGGAACTAGAGTTAACTCGTTTTCTATCCGTTGCTGACGACTGCTGTGTGTTAACTGACGTACTCGGCGTTTGCAGAATCATATCAGTATCATCTGTCGCACTGCTACTAGGCCCAGACCCTGGTATTACACCACTGTCAGCTGCTGTAGAAGCATATCGTTTCGGCCGTCCACTACTTCTTTTTTCCGCCGCACTATCCCAATATGCATTTACTTCGTCCAGATTTTTCAATTCACGAGTTTTCCGCTCTGCTGCATCTTTTTCTTTTGCCTTTCTCGAAATCTGTGCTTCACCAATATCTGTCATTAAAGCGGATCCCTTACTCTTTGCCTTCTTACGCGTCGTAGATCCATTACCACTGCCATCGCCAGTAGCTGCTCTTATAGCTGCTGCAATACGATCACGATGCTTATTACTTTTTCCTCGTCGACCTTTCTTCATCAATGCCTTAAAATCGATCTTCTTCTTTTTACGATAGTAAAAGAGAACACACTGACGAGCATTTTTGGTTCCTATAGCCGCAGCTATGCGTTCAAACTGCTTTGGATACATCATGTACGATTCCATAAAGGTTGTTACTTCTTGTTGATTCCATACATCGCCAGTATTTGGCCCGGTATGATAGTAAGTCAAGGGATCTTTAACCAGACCACTACGATCGTCGTACGTACGCATACGTTCGCGTTCATCCAGAATCATCGGTGGAATTGTTGCTGTAGTCTTTTTGGCGCGTGACTCAGGGTTACGCATCTCTGCCGATTCCAAGGATTGAATAATTTCCAGTAGTTCAGCTTCTGAACGAGCTGCATCCGAAGTGAAATGTCCACTGCCGCCGTAAGGTGTCGTCGTACCATCACTTTTGAATCTTAAAGCATCAGGAGCTCCCGCAATGAAAATCACACCATCCGAGTATTCTTCTGGTTCATCTCTTCTATGACCACGCGTTGAGGAACGATAATAATGGGTTGAACCAGTACCAGTATACTTATCAGATGTCTTACGTTCATGAGCACGCATTCGATCCAAGGCTAAATTCTTTTCCTTCCATTCTTTATAGATGCGCTTATATTCATTCTTAAGAGAGCGTTCCTTTTTCTTCAGAGCTTCCTTTTGATCATGTAGAGCATGAGCGACATCAATGCGAAGTTGAGCGAAGCGAGCCATATTTTCTTGTATACAAGGGTAATCTTCGATATTTGAATAAAGGGGTTTGTACCACCTCTCTTCATCCGACCATTCTTCAAGGTTTTCAGCTTTTCCTTGCCATTGACCATTCAACATTGCTGAGTTCTGTTTGGCTGTTTGTTGATTATCACGTAAAATCTTCTCATATAATTCATCGTCCAAGTCGTCACTTTTAGCACGCAATTGGTTGATCAATAATTGGGGTCGTTTACGCATTTTATCAGTTGCATTGATAGAAGATACTGAGCCAACTGTGCTATTTTTATTACTTGACGCATCTGAAGAAGAGGGTTCAATTTCCATTGCCTGCAATGCTTGCCTTTTAGCCTCTTCTTTATTCATAGCTCTTTCTTCTTCTGTTACTTCTTCATGCTCGTCAATTTCTTTGTCAGACATAACTATATCCTCGTCTTTGATTGCTGGCTTGTCTTCTCCTCGTTCTTCTACCTTTTCTTCGCGCTTAATAGCTTCTTCAAGCATCTCCTCATATGTACTGATTTGGTTTTCAATATCATCAATGCGGTCCACAATCTGCTCCTGTGTCAGATTGGAGAACTGTTTTCCATCCTTAGCTACATCATCGGTTTCTTCGTCGATCATCATTTCGCCCTCTTCTTTTTCTTCTTCTCCATTTTCGTCCATTGTAGACGTTGTTGAGTTCTCTTTCGCTTCTTTTGTTGGTAAGGCAGATTCAGACTCTACCTTCAATACCTCTGTTGGACTTTCCGATTTATCGAGCTGCATTGGTTCTGGAACAATATCAGGTTTTGCTGTTGAAGAGCCTTTAGTTGCCTTTTCATCTTTCCCCTGCTTATCATTTTCAATAGCTTGATCCATTCCGGCTGTCGATATATCCTCTTTAATTGAATCTGGTTTTTCATCGTCTGATACATCTTTTTTCTCCTCCATTGCAACAGTATCGATTGCTTGTCGCTCTGCTTCGTAAGCTAATTCACGTCCTTTGTGTTCAGAAGCAAGTTCCTTATCATCTGTTGCTGTTTGCTGCCCTGATTTTCTGTCATCTGTAGTGGATAATTCTTCTACGGGTTTCTCCTTAGTACTTGATTTTGCAGTATCATCTTTACGTTTCTCTTCAGCAATTAGAACTGCTGTTGACGACGATGATGTTTGATTAGCTGATAATGTAGGATGCGATGCGGAAGGAGAAGGAGGTGATGGCGATGGTAGCGGTTTGATGGCTGCGTCATTTATTGTGCGTTCTTTCAATGTTGACGATGCCGATGCAGCTGAATAAGGTGTTGTAGGTGAGCTACGCCCACTTCTTATATCCAAATTCGCAGTTGATATTCGCTCAGGTCGGTCACGCCATGAAGCCCGACCTCTTCCACTGGATGAACGGTATCGATCATTTACAGATAGTGGTTTGCTGCTGCTACTGCCACCGCCATAATAATCACGTTCGTCTAATCTATCATAGTAAGAAGAATGTGGTGGATGTGGCGGTCCTGGTGGACCCGGTGGTAAGAGTGGGCCGGATACTGAGGCTGATGAAAGTAGTGATGGTGGTGGCATATCACGATCTCTATCACGATCTCTATCACGATCAGGTCTATAAGTGTCCCCTCCTCCATATGGTGGATATGAAGGACCATAATTCGGATCATAACGCATGTATCTTTTTAAGAAACGATGATGTGAGTTGCTTAAATACATTTAGCCATCTGTTTTATCAACAACTTGTTTACCTGCCACGTCTTCTATCATATTCCCGTCTACGATCTTCTTCTCTATATCTTCTTTCTCTTTCTCTTTCTCGTTCACGCCAGTCATTATACCTGCTTGAGCCATACGAAGGTGGCATATCAGAACTGGACGGTGGAAGTGTCTTTATATCGTCTTTTCCATCTTTCAAAGACGACGTTAACTTAGGATCTTTTGAATCTAAATCAGAATAGAGCTTCAGTAATTTTGCTCCAATATGGCTCATACATTCTCGTTCATACCTTCTCTTCTCAAAGGAATCGATGACATTTTAGAATAGTCTCTTGATATATGCGGTGGATAATGGTGAGGATCTTCACGATAATAGGGTCCATAACGGTCGTCACTGTGAAAAAAAAAAGTAAAAGAAAAAAATGATCAGGAAATCTGGTATAAGAATGTTATCTTGTTGTTGACTTTTCATAAAGTATGGGTTCTTTTTACCGATCTCTATCACGTGCTCGCGAACTCATATATCTATCCTCTCGCATGGCTCTGTCTCGATCTCTTTCTCGATCACGTTCCCTTTCACGTAGATCTCTATAACTATCCAAATCAGCTGAAATGCCACTTCGACTAGGTCTACCGTAACTATAATCATACCGACTACTACTACTACCGCTAGTGTATTTCGAGCTGTTTGGGAGTAATGGCGGTGGTGGGTGTGGGTATCGTCCGTCATTATAAGGTGGTGAGCGAGATCGGGAAGGTGAACGTGAATGCGTTCCTTGGGAAGACGTTGAGCCTGTTACGCTCATTTTTGATTCGTATTATAGATTATTGCTTGTATTGATAAGCTAGAATGGGATCAGAATGATAATGACAATACTTTAGAATTATGTCAGCTTATAGTAATATGGATCGAATGTGGAAAAAAAGATAATATCAAATATGAGAAATATGAAATTTTGAAACTTTAAAAAAAGAGAAAAAATCACCTATGCTTGCTCATAAAAAAAAAGAAACTTTTCTGTAAATTTGTTTTCCTGCTGTGGGAGAATTAACTCAGCCTTCTCTCAAACGCCATTGGTTGGGACTGCCTTGGCATTAAATAAGTTCAAAAGGCCCGTTTTGTCCCTACATTTCTGCTTTTCGTTATTTTTGTGTTCTTAATTCAGACGATGGGATTACTCGATGAACTCAGATCACGCAACTTTTCTTTATATGCCCAATGGTAATTGACTTCTGATTATCAGCCATTGAATGCTCAACTTATCATTAAATTCTGAAAAAACCCGTATGAGTGGATAGGCTCGGAATTATATCCTTAATTTGTAAGTTTAGGACATCAGTTTAGTCGTCATTAGCTGTTTGATGAAAACGTTTCCTTTTTTCTTAGTATTAGTTGTCCTTGGTGTTGTGGCTCTCACTAGTAATTTTATATTCTCAATTGTTGGATGGTACAGTCTTTGACAAACTTTTATAAATTATCAAAACTTCGAAAGGATTTGTTACTAACATTTGATTCATTTATATTTACAGGGTGATAGCTTTCATTCTATTCTTCGTTGAAATTCCTCTCTGTACTAAATTCTGCCCAACAAGTCCTAGATTGTAAGATAGTCATTTCACTGTTTTTGAAAATACAGAATAGATATTGAACATGTTCTATTAAAAGTGACGCTTTCATTGCACGCTTCGAAAATGCATACTTTCGAGGAGCCATGTATATTGTGTAAGTTATTTTGTTAAATATGTTCTATGACGAGGTTCTCACTCATAGTATATCATATAAATGTAGTTTCTCTATCATCATGTTTTTGTCCACGACAATTAATACAACTGTGCTAATTGTTCCGGCCATTACATTGTTATTTACGTTTCTCTGTTATGGTAAGAAAGGAAATCCACTGGAACTCGACAAATGTATTCAATGATTTGACACATATTTATTATCAACTTTAGTCATTGCTGGTATCAAAAAACAACCTTATGCTAGCAGTAAAATCTTCGGTGGCTCAGGTGTTGATAATGTAGTCTAGATAATGGATAATCACCAGAGTAAACGTTTCAATTTATGAACGAAATATACCTTTCTAAAAATAAGTTTCTTTTTGCCAACGATACACCACTGCATATGTGTACTTATTTTGATGACGTTTTTGTAGCAGCTGTAAAGATCCATTATCATGATATTACTATCAATCCTTCGTAATATAGAAAAAGATGAATTTCAAACAGCTCATTCTGATGACATGAATCTGTAAAACAAATTTGCGCCGCTGTTTGTATTCACTTAGCTATGAAGTCTACGAAGGAGAAAGGAATAAAGACGGGTACTACATGTGTAGAGTGTACTTCGGCCAATGGATGTGTTTGAATGCAGCCTAAATACGTACTGAGCATTTTGTTATTCTGAAATTTGCACCTAAACGGCGAAAATAGTCCCTTCACTTGTACTTATTGCTGCTTCGGAAACCTCAACAATATCATCTTTCTCATAATGGCAATTGTCAAGCCTCTTAATCTCATAACAACGACATCGAAAATGAATGACTATCATCGATATACGGTCATTGACATAGTTGGATCCTTAGCCTATCCTTCACAATACCCACCACTAACTAGTGAGGATGAAAGAAGGGAAAAATAAAAATGGAAATATCTCGAAAGATTTGGTAAATAACTGCCAATGGAGTATTCATGCGCTTATCAAAACCGTGTCAATCAGTCCTATCCTATTTACGACTCTATTTAGAGCAATTGATTATTTTATTATTGCACAATTTATACAACAATTCTAAGTGATATATGCGAGGATTAATTCAGTCGACATACTATGCAGATGTTGAAATGTTGTGAAATTTGGTCGAGAGTATCAATAAGCAGTTATGACCCTCTTAGGAGAATGAAAAAAAAAGAAAAACAAAACAAAAACAAAAAAACTGAATCACTATAACCAATAACACAAGACAAGCAACAGCAGGACAGGCTTTATTCTACGCGTTGATAGCAATATAATTGCAAAAGTACAGCTAATCGTTTGCTATTCTGGCGATTATAGCAGTGTTCGAAATTTAGAACAACAACAATTCTGCCGTCAAAATGGCAACTGAGGTGTGCTTAGATGCAGTAGAGATCAGTTGATTTTGATTCTAATTATTTGACTAGACTCACAATTACACTTGACTCAGCTTGCGCTAATGACATACTCAAAAGCGCAAAAACAATATATGGGGGAGCCTTGTTAATTAAGCTTTCATTTCAGCAATAATTTCATTCTATTATAGATGTTTCAACAAGTGAAGAGTATCAAAAAATATTTACTCACTAGTAAAATATGAAAATTTCAGTTGATGAATATCGAAGCGTACATGTGGCTGAACATTACAATGCACAAGTACTATCTTTATTTGGTGTTGCTGTTTGTATCTTCTTTGTTTCGTAATGTATAACCCATTTCAGACGTTAATTAACGGAACAATTCAATGACCTATTATAAACATTTATTGAAATCAAAGGTGCATGCACCATTGCATGCGGCAGCAATAAATTGAGTCGCCAATGATTAGCAGAGCTTCTAAATTATCTCAGGTCAATTCTCTCAATGTACCACAGTGACCAATATATAGACAAATCGATATAGTTCATCAGAACAAGGATATTATTTTTATTGTCACTTTTAGATTAGCGGCTTCAATGCAAATGTTATGACTATTGTTCTAAACGTAATTTAAAGGTATCTGTATCGTTTATCGCTCATTTTATAGTTATTAATCTTTTCATCCACAAAGGTCGTATCGTCTTCAACCACCTGAATAAGATGCTTAATGCCATTGTCATGCTGTTCTAAAAGCTAATGTACAGATATTGCATAAGCATTTAATACCTCGGACGATCTTTCAAATGAATTGCACAATAAATCATATAAATTACCCTTGTAATGTTCTTCAAGTTTTCTTCACTCACTGTATCCCATCCATCCACTCCTTCAATTTTACCATACTTTCTTCCTGATTCCTTGATGAGTTGTAGCTGTGCCCATAACTGACTCAATTTTCCATGGAATTGTTCTGATCTGTCTAACTGCTCTTGAATATCTTCTAATTTGGCTCGCATCAACTCCTCATCTGCAGTAATGCTTAAGCCTTTATTACGTAGGACTTGAACATATTTCATCAACTACAATGAATATAGAATTAACAACCAAATGAAAACATTATATCAAATGTTGATCATTTCTATTTCAGGGCTTACCCCAATGGTTCGTTGAACTATTTGCATTTGCTTCTGCTTATATTCTGCTAATCTAACTTGTGTCTCAAACTGTGATTTGTGAGTGATCCTTTTCAATATGTTCTTCACTTCTTGTAATTTTGCTTTGTGCGCTTCACTTAATTTCTTTTGTTCTTCCATACGCTTTTCAATATCTTCGAATCCAATAGCTAATGCTGGCACCATACGTGTAGGGTCTGGATTGGCAGCTTGAGCCTGATTCCATGCAGCTTCGTCATGATCGGGTGGACGTTGATAACGTTGAACTTCCTCGGGTGTCACTACATTATAGAAGTAATGACGGAACCGACAATGAGGCGAAGGTTCCCACCAACTTTTCAGTAAAGCCAATGCATGCCAGACATACTCCGGCTTATAATCGTCGCTGGTAATAGAGGGTCTGTTTCGTGCTTTTTCATCTTGATCCAGCTGCGCCAATAGTTGATATACTTGCTGAGCTCTTTGTTGGTTCATTAGATCGGTATTCTGCTGCTGTTGTTGTTGCTGATTAGTGCCAAAAAGCCCTCCTTTTCCAAAGCTACTAAAGCCTCCTCCAAAGCCTGTAGTTGTTGCATTGTTACCAAAGAGCGATGTTCCTGTTGCCGCTTGTTTATTTCCAAACAGACTGCTGCCTGAAAAAGTTGATGATCCTGTATTAACTGCTGTGTTATTCGTTGTACCGAAACCCCCAAAGCCGCTGGTTGAGGGTTTTGTGGTTGTATTGGTGGTGCCGGAAGATCCAAAAAGCCCAGTACCCGATTTATTCGTTGACCCAAACAATCCACCTGCTGCTCCAAAAGTATTTGTTGTTGTCGAAGCACCAATTCCACCAAATGGAGAAGCTGTGTTGGTGGAACCAGTTTGTGTTGTATTGCTCGAGCCAAACAATGTCGATCCACCTCCGAAGGCAGTAGAAGTAGATGTATTAGGTGCTGCTGGTGTATTACTAGTTCCAAATCCACCAAAACCACTACCTGTATTTGATGTATTTGTATTTGTATTTGTTGCTCCACCGAACAAAGATGTTGCCGGTGCTGTTGAAGTGTTAGAGCCAAAAGCACCGAATCCTGCAGTGGGTTTGTTTTGCTGTTGTGAATTACCAAATCCACCAAACCCTGTATTTGACGTCGTAGTTGCTGTATTTCCAAACATTTGGGTTTGCTGAGATGTCGATTGGATAAAAGGTCCTGTCAGTAAATCAAGCCAGTCTTAATGGTGAAAAAAAAAAGGGAGAATACAGTCTGCGAAACGCGTTGAAAGCAAAATTCTTCGAACGCTCAAAAAAAGTCACTATTTGAAAATTGGAGTGTGCTCGCCCCGACGATGCAACCCCTCAATTGTCCGAATTGCTGCATTAATTTTGATAGCTAGTTTTCTTTTATTGCAACCACTGTTAAACAAGGGCCTACTTCAACAAATGACTCGCCCGCCTACTCGAGAAAAGCTCTACACAAACCCTGCTCATGGAGGCTTTAGCCCTGCTTTACAAAGAGCCCGTAAACCGTTTGTCACCCGTAATGTCATGACCTTGGTTGGTCTTTTGACATTTACTTCCAGTGTTTGTAAATGTTTGAAAATGAAGATTTGCTACACAGCAATACAAAATAAAACCATCAGCTACGGCTAACTTTATACTGATTATGTTCGATTTTGGAAATCTTATGCTAGATGCTTATTCACTTATGGCTGTGAAGCAAGATGATTTTAGTGACGTGCCTATGCCTCCACCACTGTCTGAAACTCAGGAACAATCTTGAACACAGTAAAAAAAACTATTCCATTTGACGTTGAAAAATATTATTTTGTAAAAATACAGATGACACATATACAACATTATTTCGAAATAAAAACTTATTTCCCAAGCAACGACGAATTTACGAACGAAAGAATTGGATATTTATTACAAAAGTTACTAAAACGTTTTAATTACAGAAGAATGCATAAATGAGCGATAAATACTGTTGGTAACCCCAATAAGACACTAGGTTTTGGGTATATATATTTAATGGCACAAACGACATCAATTATCCTTAGTGGGATTCTGCCGAAGTTGGCACCTCAGCGCTCCATTGTTTTCTGAGGTCATCAATACTACTCATCGAAAAACGATAAGGGTTATTCATACTTGATGTTGACCTTTGCTTTGCTTGCGAAGCATGAGTATGGCCATTAGACAATCTATCGAATACATTGTGAAGCTGCTGGTGAGTCCCTACTACTATAGTTTTTCTGAAATCTGATGATGACGAACTGTTCAACATTTCTGGGTGTTGAAGTGAGTATCTTTTAGCTGCTTTATTCGTTGGCCTGCTGTTTATGGTTGATGAAGCATTGGATGCCATATTTATTGTTAATAATGAGCGACGACGCTGGAGCACTTGCTGCTGCTGTTGCTGGGTGGCAGATGCATACTGGTTAGTGTTGTAATATTGCTGTGCAGTAGCTGATCTCGGTAACAAAGGTAATTCAGTTGCAGGTGAATAGGTTGTTGACACCGGGCTATTATTACTAGCAATGTTACTCATTTCTCGTAGTAGGGAGCTTCTACGCAACATAGTAGGGGGAGAGGATGGTGCTACATGACTTGTAGCTTGTTGCTGTAGTTGAAAAGAATGAGCACGTCGTCGATTCAGTGTGGCTTGAGCGGACCCTATTTCGTGTTGTTGTATTCTACTGCCAGAAGAAGTACGCAGCATAGATCTACTACTAGAACCAACCACACCTGACATAGATGAGGAGATTGAAGACACACACCATGAAGATCCATTATCTGATTGTACAGAAGTTCTTCGAGGAAGGCTGGGTGGTGCACCCCCACATTTACGATAAGAAGAACGGGCCGATGAATTGATTGAAGTTTCGCGTTCTCTTTGAAATTTAGCAGATTCTGTGGGTTTTATGAGAGGCGAAGAAGGTGGCGGAGGGCGCATACCCATGGGTGTTTGCAAAACTTGACGCAGAAACTGCTCCGGTGAAGACATGGAATTTCTACGTTGAGTAACCAAAGGTGACGCAGAAGGCTTGAGAGGAGGTGCTTGTAATGGAGTCCTCAACTGTTGCTGCTGTTGTTGTTGCTGCTGGACGTTACCATATGCTGATTGGAGTGGTTTGAGGTAGGGAGTTATTATGGCTTCAGGTTCAGCATTTATAGCAAAGACAGATGAAGATATGGTTGCTTCTGGGCATAAAATAGGAATGACGTCGTTATAATCGACAATTTTACCGTTGATTCCATCATTGTATATCTTTTCAAACATATCTTCGACGTGCTGGTAGCTGATATTGTCATCATGATGCTGTAAGTCGATGGCCGAGTCAACGTCGCTGCCTGAACTGCCATCTTCTATATTACTTGAAGTTCGCCCTGTAGTCGCTTTCGATACTGCGGATGATAAAGAAGTACGACGAGACCCACCACTTCCAGTGTGTTGATTTTGAAGTAATTGTTTAAACTTCTTTTCAGTGTCAATAGTAGTGTCAATTGCCGCTTTTTTCATGACAATTAATGTACGTCTAAGATCTTGAGATGTCCTTTCTAATTGCTGAATGGTTGTTTTATTGTTATACTCTTCCATACGTAAAGCCACCATATCATCAATTACTGCCTCCATTAATAGTGATGCTTCATCTTCAGTTATTGACATGAGAATTTCAGAAATCATTTTAAGAGACTGCTCGGGACCAGCGTTCGTAGGCAAACTGTATTTTTCATCCATCGTATCGATGTCGAACCAGCCATCAACTTCATTACTGTTAGCCTTAGTGTCACGTTTTTTGCTGCTATTGCCCCCTATAACAATTTCACTCTGATCGGCAAAGGTGACTTTCCTCTTCTCAGGAGCACCTATGAGAACTCTATCCGCATCATTACTGGTCAGGTCCACAACAACTTCTTCGTTGCCGTCTACTTGATCGTCTTCTTGAAGAACTTCGGCTGCTGCATCATTTCGAATGGCATGAATTCGAGCATTAACGTAAGAAATTTCAGCCTCTATACGCTCAATATTTTCGTCAATAACCCGTCTGAAGGCCTGATCAATGGTTGTCAATTCTTTTGAATCGTCTAGATCATACACCAGCATTTCCCTTTCAGACAAGTACTCAATTTTACGTTGAGAGAGATCATTACGTTTAGCTAATAGCTGCTTCATTTCTTCTACAGCTTGCGTACCTTGGATAAATTGGCAAAGAGCATTATCAAGTAAAGCTTTCTTTTTCGTTGCACGTATTTCAGCAGGAATGCGTTGGTGCTGCTCTTGCTTGCGACTCTTCGAAGAGAATTGTCGTCTACTATGGGAGATACGACCCACACGGAAGGAATGAAGCAATGCTGAGCCAATATTAAGGAGAGCTCCACAGTTCGCCAAGGATTCTTCATCAAGAATGCCTCCTTCACGCACTGCTTTCTTAAGGATACGGACGAGGGAATTCAATTTCTCGGAGGCCACAATGGATTCGTCATTCTTCTTACTTATCATTATCTGCATCTGCTTCACTTCACGCTCCAATCGCCGTTTGATTTCATTGTCTTTTGCTTGCTTGCGTTGTAATTGCTGGATTTCACGCTCATGGTTGCGAAGTTTCTCTTTTACGCGCTCAGCATCTTCTTTCATGCGTTTGATCATCCGGGATTTCTCAATTTTTAAACTTTCGACATTGCTACGTAAACTACGTAACATAGTTTCGTTTTTGTTCCGAGAGGTTTGAATAGTACTGGAAGTTTGATTGTATTTACGACGGAGGTCGGAAAGTTGACCCATCAATTGCTTCATTTTGGCTTCATAGGCAAGTCGAATAGTAGCACTATTTCTTCTATTGCTATTATAAGGTTGAGCCAAAACAGGGGATAGCTTTTGCTGTTGCTCTTTTTCTTTTTGTTGGCGTAATGCAAGAATTTCCTCACGAAGAGAATGGAGTTTTTTTTCAAATTGTCGACGCATATGGCAGTATTCGGTTTCTGTCTTTTCGAGCTGACGAACAAGTTCCTCATTCATTTGAATATCAGACTGTAATTGATTCAGAACATTTTTGAACTGTGGATGTTTTGAGTAGATAGCTGTAAGTTCTTGTTCGTTAGCGCTAGGCTGCGTCTCACTGTCTTGAGAGGAAGCACATGCTGACCCATCTTTTCTAACATAATCTGACTATTATAATCGACGAAAAAAGTGATGTTAGTAAGTGTGCACCGCACGTTTACATCCAATTATGAAGCATCTTACTTGTACTGATTGTTCTACTTCATTAAAATCATCAAAGAGACTGTTGAAATCTTCAGATTGTAATTTTTCAAATAGTTCATTATCATGGAGAATATCACAATTATATTGGACCTAATAAAAGTTGGAAATTAATAATGATTTTGATTATAAGCTGCTGGCTTTTTTCCCTAAAAATTACGAGACAATAGGTCATACATCGTTTTCATTTTGTTTCTTATCATCCTATCATGTAATTAATTAACGTTATGAGAGTGTTCTTTTTATTGCAGCTAATCATTTGGCAGACAGAGCTATCGGTCAAGAGAACTTACCTTGAATTCATCCAGAACCTGGAGAGCCTTTTCTATTTGTGTTTTAGCGTTGTCAATTGAAAGCTTAGCATCCGCTCTTAAGCTGATCGATTCGGTTGTTTGTAATGACCCTAATGTCTCGTTAAGCCATGAATCAATGTCATCATTGCTATTGTTTCTCGAGCTTTTTGTATTAGGAACCTTGGATCGACGGGCGGAACGGAAGGTAACATTTTTACTGGTTGTGGTTGTTGTGCTTCCATTTATGGTGGCGGTGCGTCGCTTTTTACTGCTGTTAACGCCGGCTGAGCGCTTATTATTTGTAATAGAAGGGAGGCGTTTCTTAACAGCTTGGTGCCGATTGTGATGCTGCTGTAGATATTGTGATCTCACTGAACTATTAGGTGTAGCTGCAGGAGTTTTTATTGCTTGCGCAAGAGAAGCACGAATTGATTCTGAGAAGGCAAGACGCTCTTGCGTATCAGCTAATTCATTCCGTAACTCTTTGATCGTCGTTTGATATTGGCTAATAATAGGTAATGAGTTTATATTTGCTCCGCTTTTGCTGCTGTTGTTATGAAGTTGCTGTAGGGCAATGTCCGGTTGAATGCCGTCAACAAGGTGTTTGGACAACTCTTTTTCCATGAGTAATGTGTCACGTTCAGTAGAAAGCCTGCATATGTCGTCCGACATGGATTGGATTCGGTCTTTGAGTCGTTTAATTTCCTCCTTCAGAGCCTTGACAGCAACTGTTGTGGAACCTGCACCACCATTCGAGTGGCATATCAAGTTGTTAATTATCATATCAGCTGCTTCATTATTACTGCTGCCAATAATTGCTGGTTGTTCAGCTACTGTTGTTCTCAGGATTTTCAATTCTAATTTCAGTTTTGCCACTTGAGAACGTAGTTGATTGATTTCTGCAGAGGAGCCACTGTATTCTTCATTGACAGTGATTTTATTTTTGATGTTCCTCGCGCGGTTAGCATATTTCAATGTACTCAGTGTTTCTAAAAAGTTGGAATCAGAGGGAGAAACACAAGCAAGCATCAATGTTTGTGAATTGCCACCCAAAGAATCTTGTAAAAGACGGGTTAGTTTTGAATCTCTGTAGGGAATATGTAATGGTTGCTTTCTGGAATCGTCGCCTAAAGCACTTATGACGTTTCCGAGAGCAAGCAAACCAGAATTGATGGAAATTCCCTCACGTGCACGGTTCCCTTCAGCTTTGGTACGTTTGAGCTGAAGTGAAAATGATACGGAAACGATCAGCAACATATAATACAATATATTCTTTGACTTTTTTTGTTATTCTTTACCCGTTCGGAACCAGCCAGGTCAACAAAATGAAATTTACTGATGATGGTTCGAATATTATCTGTGTTCCCTTGCGAAGTAGCCAAGTTTGCTGCTATATCAGGTGAACTTTGGTCTATCTCAGCCGAAATATCTTCAGGTGTACTATCTATGAAATCCTGCTTGAGAATAACCGAAAAAATAGCGTGTGATCTTGAGGAAACGGAATTCATGTCTGTGGACCCGGTTGTACGACATTGCGATCCACTTGTCAGGTACCAAAGGAGATCTTCAGGACCAGAACATAGCTCTTCACGCACACCAGTCCAATAGATTTGACCATGAACGTCTTCCCTTATCTGAACATCACAAGAAGCAGGCATAGAAGACATCATTGTGGTACCAAAGGAACTAGATCGTTTCCGATTATGCTGCTGCTGTTGTTGACAGTACGTTGCTGCTGCTGCAGCGCTCAGTAAATCAACGAAATCTTCGTTATAAAGCTCTAAAAAGGAGACATAAACTTTATAGTCGTGAAGTTTGCCACTTTGTTTCTTATCCTGCAGTCGGTTGAAGAGATCTTGGATGAATCGAGGGACAATGCCTATATCCGATTTAATGGAAAAAGAAGAAAAAAAATTGGTATGCTTCGAAATACCTTTTAGTGTTTGTAAACCATATACCTTGCTGTTCTGTTTCTATGGTTTCATTAGAAGCAGTTCCCATACTGAAGGTCTTTCCTGAACCAGTTTGCCTGAAATGGAGTAGAATTGATAAGTAAGCTATAAGTTTTTTTTAAAAAAAAAAATAGCTGTCATGTAGTTATTACCCATAGGCCAGGATGGTTGAGTTGAAGCTATATGAAATATGAAATGCAGAAGATGTAACACAAGTTGAAAATTTAAAACGTCTGATCTCAGTAAGGAGGAGAAATGAATCGTCTTTTTGTTACCCGTCAACAAACTTTTCTACTAGTGGTACTACACTTGTATCATAAACAAATCGTTGTGATGTCTTGTTATCGAAAACGTAATCATATGTAAATGAATGATCTCTCCCAATAAGTATTTGGGGTTCGTTAGGTATGAACGTAATGCATTCTGTGCAATTTGTTTGATGTTCTTTCTGGGTTAAAGGACGCACTCGTAGTGCAACTCTATACATATGGATAACGCAGTAAGTTTCTGCAATAGGCATTAATAAAATTGTTTCTTATGCAAAATATGAACCTGACAGCGGTTGATGTCATCTATGCTAAGTATAACTTTTCTATTCTTATAGAACTTTTTGTTTTCAAGAAATAACCTATTGAACTAGACGGAAATGTAAAGGATGAAAAAAAAAAAAAAAAGAAAAAGAAAGGTATAGCAGCAGCTTCAGTATTCAAAAAAAGGGGAGAGATATTTTCGTCTAATGACAATTCAAACTTAAATGTTTCATAGTGTCTAGCCAACATCTGATTTACTAAAAGGGTAAGACAGAGAAGGGAACCTTTCAGATCCTAGAGAAAGTTACTGTCATACTGAAAAACTTTAATTCTTGCAAGCATACGTATTCAAAAGAAAAATTCAGCCTCTTTCAACAAAGAGGCGGCTCTTTTGAGACATTTTTAGTGCATTATACCATGCGTAAAGAAGAAGTTAGGAATGATCCATATTGATCAAGATTCTTCAAACGAAAGCCCTATTTTATATGGCCGTTATATCCTATTTTGTTGGTGTCACATGATATAAAACTATATGAGGAAAAAGCGGCATACATACTCGCCTCACAGACCGTAGAACGACAACCTTTCAGAAAATGGAAGTGCTTGTGCGACTTTCCCCAAGCAATTTTAGTATTGTGTGCGTTTTGCACTTGAGCTACTTTTTCTACAAGGACAAATGATTGTAATCAACCATTCACGTTGAAACTCACAGTACCATTCACCATCCAAAGCTATTTTTACTATTTACCTATATGCAAGTTTATTTAGCATGGTCTAAGAGATAAAAGCCTTTTTAATGCTTTTATCACAATTTCATAAATGCAATTTGAGCTACATATTTTAGGACACTTGTCAACACAAAATCTCGATTTTGTTTGCTCGGGTATAACTTTCACAGTTTTTGAATCCAACAATTCATTAAGAAATTACTTGAAAAGCAATCATATTCCCGTAAAGAGTATGAAATATAATATAGCAAAAATGGTACAAATATCAAAATTATTCTAAAGAAATAGATTGAATGTGCCAAAATGTGCAATATTAAGATTCCGGTTATTGTGTTTAAATGAACTTTTAATGGCAAACGGTCGTATTCATGAGAGGAGTATATTAAGACGATAAATTGCTCACTGGAGCACTTTCAGATTAGTCGAGTGATATCAAGTATCATAGTGCCGCTTCATCAATTAATTGTGGCGCTACTTCGAAAACAACCATTTTTCCTTGCAGCATATGAGCCGTAATATGACAATGAACAGCCCAAACACCAGGATTATCCTATCATATCAATTGAAACGTAAGTCTATGTGCGCATATATTCCTCATCGAGAAAAGCTGCTTATTGTATGCATTACCATGTATATTCGAACTTTTGTCCAACCGCATCCACCATTCGTATTAGCAGATGTATCGTTACTGTAAACATTATACACCATACTGACATCTTTATACAGAGGATTCGGATAGGTTTGGATATCTTTATGAACATCATGTTGATAATCGCCAGCCCCTTCCGCTAATAAATAATGGGAGTAGCCGTGTGTGTGCCAAGGATGGGCAACACACAAACCATTATGTGGGGTTTCCACATTTTGGAAAACAACGTCAACAACTTCTTTGTAATGGAAATTGAAAGTATGGTGCTTCATTGAATATCCGTCTACACTAGTAAATGATGCAGATAGATCAAAACTTGGGTCAGCAGTAACTTTTTGTAATAAAGGCATGCTATCATTCCCCCAAGGATGATGAACATATGGTAGATTGTTGTAAACATAGCGAGTTGTATTGTCTGGTAAAGTGACTTCCCCCATTGAGATCTTGATAGTGCGGTTGGCAGGTCGACTTAAGATAGCAGTGTGATATTCCTCATCAGATCTAACAGGCTCGACGTCTTGCAAAACCCAACCAGGAGCTTCAACAGGGGGCAGTACTTGCGGCAAATCGCCGATAAGAGGTGTAGTGACAAATACAGCAGCATCTTCTTTTTGCGCAGACCAGCCGAGCTCTTTTAGGTCGTTTTTGGGAGCAACATATCGGAGGAATCCATAGCCATTTTTTGTATAGCCCTTCGGACCCTTTATACGCCATACGAAACCAGAAGAAATAGGGAAAGTAGTTCCTGGGCTGTAATCCCCAGTTTGGATCAGAACCGACATTCGTTGTCCAGGGCCAACTTCCAAATAGTCAACAGCGTGTGGCTTGACATATTCACCGTCAATCTCGATCAGTTTCATAGTATGATCAGGAATCACGAAACCAAGTATACGGAATGTCATTGCACCAATGAAACGCAGACGATATACTTTGTTGGGCTCGACATCGAAGTAAGTGAAGCCTTGGCAATTTTCAGATAAAGTATGAGGTTCGTTTATGTCGGATGTGTTTTGATAAATCGATCTACCATTCAGTAAAATGCTGTCAGGACCACTGTCTCCAGGAAAATGATGATTCATATAGAAAGCTTCTCTATCATGGAAGGATTGATGCCACCATTCGGACCAGTGCAAAATAAACTCGCCATCATATTCAAAAGGTCCATCTGACACAAAAGTTGCACTATTGTCATTCTCATCCTCATTGTTGTTCAAACATGCTTCATTCTCGTAAACAATAAATGCACCCTGAATTGTATCATCCTGAACGCCTACATGCGCATGATAATAGAATGTACCAGATTGGTCTATTATTTGAAATCTTTGTATATAATCCTCACCAGGAGCTATACCCAGTTGCGTAATGCCAGCAACACCGTCTGAGCTTGGGCTTCCTAACTGTCGGATACCATGAAAATGAATGCTGGTAGACACATTGTTGGCAGCGTCATTTTTGATATGTAATTCAATAATATCATTTTTAACTACGCGCAGAGTGGGGCCTGGGTACTGCCCATTGATTACCAAAGCACTGTAAGATTCATTGTGACAATCTGGGTTTAGTTTAGTGGACTCGATGTGAAAATCAAATCTTCGAATTGTATCACCAGAAGCAGGGAAAGCTTGAACTATTTTATTTGTGAGAATAAGCAGTAGTAATTGCTGAAATATCAGGGGGACAAGCAATCTATAAATTTTGTTGATCTGAAGAAGCATAATATGTACAAAGCTTAAAAAAAGAATAGAATGAAGAGACTACTATTGACTATAAGTGCTTTTATTTTTATTGCTTCTTTATATATCATCTTCAAGAAATGTTGTCATAAGGTTTCTATTGCATTCAACTTTGAGCCATGTTTTTGACATGTAAAGTTTAAACAGAAATTGGCCATTTTTTATATTTTTAACATATCCACATACTTGATCAGGAAATAAGTTTTGTTAAGCCCAGGCTATATAGCTTATGCGAACAAAAAAAAAGATGTGTACTAAGTTGGCTGTACAATGACATCAGTTGAACCAAGCCAAACTTCTTTATCAATAATACAGATCAAGAAAACAATGCTATGGTGTGTAACGGGAGCCATTTCCCATTCCTTAGTTGAATCTCCGGATGATCGAAAAGCAGCAATCACCTGAAAAATTAATATATTTAGCTTCTTTTTTTCTATTTTTACGCTCAATAAAAAAAAAAAAAAAGAAAGATTCTCTTCGTCAAAATTTGAACAGCTGAAATGTCAACCGCCATTGTAGAAACTGCCCGTGCGGCCCGTCTTGCTTCTGTCAGCCTACAGTCTGTAACCGCAGAACAGAAAAATGAAGCTCTTTTGAAAATAAAACAAGTTTTAAGCGAACGTCGAGAGGAAATATTCAAAGCTAACGAAGAGGACAAAAAGGTACAAAAGTTATATACCGGTTCCAGTCTCGGTTGCATTGCGATCTGTGATCTGTAAGACCTTTCAAATACAATTATTCCCTCTGACACATGGTTTATATTTGTTGCATTAGATTGCTGAAGAATTAGTCAAGCAAGGAAAACTCTCCAGTTCATTGTTCAAACGTTTAGATGTTTGTCAAGGAGATAAATTTGATACGATATTATCAGGTGTAAGCGATATTGCTGAATTACCTGATCCTACCAAAAAGGTGACATTAGCTACCAAGTTGGACGAGGGTTTGGATTTGTATCGAATCACTGTTCCTGTTGGTGTCTTGCTGACTATTTTCGAAGCTCGTCCTGAAGTAGTTGTCAACATATCGTGTTTGGCACTCAAATCCGGTAATGCAGTTATTTTGAAAGGTGGCAAAGAAGCCACGCATACAAATGCTGCTTTGGCACGTGTGATTCAAGATGCATTGGCTAGTTTACCTTTTAAAGATATTCCTAAAGAGGCCGTTCAAATTGTGGAAACTCGTGAAGACATTAATGCGTTGTTAGATCTCGATCGTTATATTGATTTGGTTGTGCCTCGAGGCAGTAATAGTTTGGTCAAGTTTATCCAAAACAATACAAGGTAATGTTCATGATCGTAGAAACACAATTATTTCAGGAATAGAGCTAATTATAGACGTTACTTTTACAAGAATAGAATTCCTGTTCTTGGTCATGCTGATGGTATCTGTTCTGTTTATATCGACAAAGATGCAGATATTGAAAAAGCAAAGAAAATTGTTGTTGATTCCAAGGTAATGATGTTACATATTGCTTTGACACGGAACAGGCAGCGATGTTTATTAACTATGTCATGTGCTTCCGTCTCTCTTTTTATTTTTGTTATACCTTGCTTTGGATGATGATTATAGACAAACTATACTGCTGCTTGCAATTCTGCCGAGACATTATTGGTCAACGAAGCCTTACTACAAAATGGTGAATTCAGTAAAGTGGCCAAAGTCTTATTAGACGCAGGCGTTACGCTTAAATGTGAGGAAAATGTGCTCAACTTTATTAAGAGCGTAAGCGATATTTCTGATGATGATAAACAAAAAAAACTACAACCCGCTGTTGAGGAAGATTTCTACACTGAATTCTTGGATTTGATTATGGCCGTGAAGACAGTATCGAATGTTGATGATGCGGTTGTGCATATCAATGAACATGGATCCAAACATACAGATGCTATCGTTACAGAAGATGAAAAAACAGCTGATTATTTTATGACCCGCGTCGATGCTGCTGGTTGCTATTGGAATGCCAGTACTCGATTTGCTGATGGCTTCCGTTATGGCTTTGGTGCCGAAGTTGGCGTGAGTACAAATAAGACACATGCTCGTGGGCCTGTTGGCTTAGAGGGTTTAGTTATCTATAAATACAAGCTGTTTGGCCATGGCCAAGGCGCTGGAGACTACGGATCCGGAAAGAAGCAGTATAAACACGAGACTATCGATCCCTCAAATTACATTATTTAAATTGATCAAAAAATTCTTCGAAAGGAATAAAGGCTATTTCAACATTATATAAACAAAGGAGAATATATTCCTATAATAGCCAAGCATAACATAGCAATATCTAGTCCTCTTTTTGTATGATTATTATAACTTTGCTTATTACAGAGAGCGCAGCTGGCATGGGCCGTATTACAGTGTAGCACAATAGAATGTCCTCGCAGCTTGATTATGACCTGTCAATGTATCAGTGGTTTGAATTGTTGATACTACTTGAGAGAGGCATTCAAAATACAATGTATTATAGGAAGCAGCTGCTGTTATTAATCCTGTATTGTGTGCAGTTCGTCACAAAAGTGACTATAGCGTAATCGTATGTTTTTTATAACCGATGCAGACAATGCGGTTGTCAAAATTGAGTTCAAAGAAAACCAAAAAATACAGTGTTTTAGCTTCAACTTTATACTTTATACAAATTTTATTGGACAATATATATATTTAATTTAGATAATTTTGAATTACTTTAGGATGAAATGGTATAATATTCTTGGACGATTTATTGAATAAATAATTGGAGACATTATTTTGAAGGTCAGTGGACATTTTTCAATGGATGGTGGCATTACGTTAAAGTACTACGAGACTTATTGAGTATTTTAGTGTGACACAGGTCTTATGAGCAATAGATACAGGGTTGTGGTTTACGAGACTTTATTTATGGACCATATGAATTGAACTACGCGTTAAACTGATCCCAGGCACGTTCTTCCGCCACGTAGATAACGGTTGTTGTTGTCAATCGTAATAAAAAATAAATGTTGTCAAATTCAAAGAATTTACAGAAGATAACTTTGACATCTTTCTTTTGATTTCCATCTTCTTCTTGTTATACTTCTTTCATACTTTCTTTCTTCATCCTGATAGCTACTACTCACCATGTACAAAGCCAAAATCTTGCAAAAAATCAAATCGGTGGCAGAAGCCCATAAGAAGAAAGTCAAAGATGAGTCCTTCCGTAAGTAACACAAGAGCGCGCTGCCACAAATAGGTTATAGTGGTAATCCTCAATTCATGTTTCGTATGACTAGTAAGCATCGAGTGCAAGGATTGCAAAACACGCGGACATTTCAACAAGGCATACCATGAATGCAAGTTTTACAAAGCAGTTTCTGCGCGTGATGGTAAGTATCATGCTCTCACTGCAAGACAAGTTTATGTTTGCTTAACGGAAATTTAGTTGGAAGTAGCGGCAAGAAACGTAAGCAATCAGCTACAATCAAGGAAGAAAAGAAGCAAGCAAAGAGAAAGAAGAAGCAAACAACTGGAGATGTCAAGTGTATCAGTTGTGGCTTAAAGGGTCATTCTACTTCTCGTTCTCTCGAATGTCCCAATCACATAGCTTCAAAGGAAGAAGTTATCAACTCGACGCTTGGAGAAGGCTCCACTGTATTCACGAGGAAGCTCCCTCTTACGTCTGCTGTGAAGCCTGCGTTTCGCGAACAATTCCAAGAAAAAGTCATCTCTTGCTGCTCTGACATAAGGAGAATAGTATTCTCTAGTCAATTATTCGTTAACTCGTACCTCATTCATTATCAGGAGAATAGAAGGAATGCTAACAAAGGCGACAAGAAAGACACTGATAAAAACAGCAACAAAGGCAGTAAAGAAGCCAACAAAGAAGACAGCAAGAAAGACAGCAAAGAAGCCAACAAAGACAGGTCTATTCCTGATGTATTCTGCCAGCAATTCTGGTATTCAGTAGGTCAGCTAGTGACGGGCAAGCAAGTTACTCACAGAACGGCATTATCCGAGGACATAAAGCAGTATTATACAGACTTCAAGGCAAAGTTCCCTACTATCGAAGTAAACCACAAGCTGACCGTGGGATATAGCCAATGCCTTACAGAGGCAGCAAAGGAATTGAGCGTCTCTTACACGAACTCCATTGTAGAGCGCTTCGAGCAGCGCTTAACAAAGTTTCTTACTTACAAACTGAGAACTATGCTCCCGGTAAGGCTGTAACCGAGTACCTTCTTAATGCTCTGCTGTTTTATTCATTTATTTCTCTTTATACACATTCTAGAATATCAAACGCACTGATGTACAAAGAATTGTACAGCTGTATTGTTACCAATCTGTCTGCCATGGTCATCCTCATTGGCCAGAAAACCTCGAGCTGGCGGCCGTTGACAAAAACCGAATTGAAGTACTCTGCAAACAATTTGAAGAGTTCATTCCAGGAGAAGTAACCCTCGTTTCTCTTTCTGCTGCTCCTGCAAAGTTTGTTAATGCGTTATGGAACATACAGTTTGCGTACGAGCAAAAACATATACAGCATAAGCCGTACGATGTCCGTGTCCTACCACTTCCTCAGCGTTTCTTTCCCTTTCCTATTCCATCGCTGAAATGGCGGTTCATCGCGATAAGTATAAACGCTCTTACACCCTTCATGTTTCCCGGAAAAGTTGCCAAGGGTTATACAGCCCAACTCGAACAATTCTGTAAAGTCTTTGACTTCAAAAAGTTTGGCTTTAAGAGGTAAAACTATAGAAGAACTTCTTCAGCAAAATTATCCCCAATAGTAAACACACCCCTATTTTTGCTTCTGTCATAGTCTAACCGCTTTGAAGAAAAGTTCTGATGTAATGTTTCGAAACATGGTTAGGTCGAACGGTTTTACTGTAGACTTTTTGTTCAGCCGCAAAAAGAAAACAAAAGAAGACATGATCATTCATAATCACACCTTGACTTTGGAAGATTTTTCTTATGACGAAGTACAAGACAATTACAGACCCGCTTTCCTTGATCCAGGGCGAAATCTGTCTTCACAGCGGCAATCGGACTAGACCGTAACAAACATCAAGTACGCAGCTGCTCTACCAAGGAATATTATCATATGACCGGAAGTACCAGATACGCTGCAAAGCTGGAAAAGAAGAAAGCAGGCACACTTAAAATGATCGAAAGTGGCATACCAACCGCCAAAACTTCTATCATCGAACAACATGATCGTCATGTACAATATATGTTGCAGCACTTCGAAGCCTTGTCTTCTTTTTACGACGAGAGAACTGCTGAAGACAGATTTCGTTTATACCAGGGTAAAGAGCGTGCTGCCAACAATATGGTCAATTTGCTTATTAATGGAACCACAAAGTACAATAAGCAAGTGAGGTTGAAGAAGAAGAAAGATCGAAGCAAGTGGCCAAAGAAGAATACCGACAGAATGGCCTTTTGTAAACGTAAAAAGAAGAAGAAGAAGAAGCAAAAGGTTCCAGAAGAGAGGGAAAAAGCAGATGCGAGAGAAGTAAGCGATGTTCTCGCTAAGAAAGATAGGTAAGGTTTTTAAATGATAAGCAATTCATCCACTATTCGCAGAAATATTGATAGAACTCATGCTTTCTACAGCAATTCCCTGAAGAGCAAGTGGAAGCCTGAACCCTTTAGTGTAGGCGACACTAAAAAGATCCCTTTAATTGTAGTTGGTAATGGCATGTTCGGGAAGAGTGCAGTGCCCATCAAAGGCCATAAGACTGGTGTCGTGGGAGTTCTTTGGCGTGCCTTGAAGCGAAGAGAGGCTGCTGGCGATTTACTGACGATAACAATTGATGAATACAAAACCTCTCGAATATGCAATAATTGTCATTCCAACAATCTTGAAGCATTGAAGACAGTTCCCGGCCAAAGTATCCTTGCCTGCAAAACCTGTTCGATACTTTGGAACCGGGACGTCAACGCTGCTAAAAACATGTTGACAATTAGCGTTTCGATCTGGAAGTCAACGGGAAGACCTGCGGAGTTTTCTAGAAAACCAAAATCACCCGCAACAACCACTTAAACACCATCCTCTAATCGCCAGCACGAAGCTGGTTTGATTTTTACAGGTAAGCGTCTCAATTTTTGTGTAGCTCGATCTTGAAATTATAACTTGATGGTCTCAAAAATTTACTTTTTTCGTCTAGTTATATTGCGGCTTCGTCTAAACCCAAAGCTAAAAAACTGTACACCTGATCCATAATCTAACTGCTTACATAATCACTAACAATCACCACTTGAAACTAATGGATAAAACAAGCCACGTTAAGTAATGGCGAAAGCTAGTTTTTATTTCCAACCAGGATGGTAGTTTATTTTATTTGACCATTAAATTTCATTTCCATCAATTAAAACAAATAAAGAAGTCTATAAGTCTTCATTGCTTCTCAATCCAAAAGTTATTATCACGCATCTCTAAGTATGTAAAAGTAATTTATTCATGCTTGGTCTAATTTTCAAAGGTTAAAGCCATGCCCACTTTATGTCCATTCTCGTTTAAACGGTTCGTATCAATGGCTGCACCAAAGTTAATTTTGACGCCAGGTCGAACTTGCTGTGTGTAAGAGGCTCCGACTATCCCAGAATTTGTCACTTTGCCCTTGATAAAGGAAGTTTTATCCAATCTCATTCGAGCACCTACTTCCAACGCCACGCCGTTCATTGTTGTCTTACTCCAAACAGCTTTTCCTGATGCCTCTAAATCTCCGTTTACTCGGTGATAATAAGATACTGCAAATTGTGACATATTATTTGCTGAATTAATAGCAATAGCATACTCATTTGTGCTATAACCTACTGCTGCATTATATCGATGAATCTAGAAGAGACGAGAATATCCGATTATATACATAAGCTTTCCTGTTCCCACATTTGGTATATAACTGCTTTTTTTTTTTTTTTTTTGCTAAAATCATACCTTTGCATCCCTAACATTATAAGCAGCTTCAGCACCAACGACGAAGCCACCACGGTTAGAAGTAGAGTTAACACTCATCACATTCTACAATCACAGATTATTTACTTTTAGGTATTTAAATAAATTATTAAATCTTGTAGTTTTCTTCGTACCTTAAATACATCGTAATTGATAGCAGTTAGAACACTAGCTTGACGGTAGGTTACGTTCAATTTAGCCGCTTTCTCCTTCGCATTAGGTATAAGTGATGTTAAAAACTCTATTTTAAGGCCCTCTGTTTATGTCAAACAAATTAGAATCTGCATAATTCTGGCTCCTTTTCTATATGTATACATGATGCCACTTTACTTGCGAGATTGTTGTTCAATTCAATTTTTCCATTAATTTGGTTTGAGGTTGTCCAAGATTCGGTGATAGCAAAACCTGTTTTTCTATCCATATATTTTGTTTCTAGATCTCCTATAATGATACCTGTTCTATTATCACGTTGTCCATTAATTCGAAATGCCTAACATGGACGGAGGAGATTAAGATCGATCTGTGCTTAACCGGAAATTACAAAATAAAAACAGGTACTTACCACACCGTTAGGTGCAGTTGTTTTGACATCGAGCTTAACACCACCGATCGGGAAGTCTCTTAAAAGCAGGTTTCTAGCAGATTTGCCAATGTCATTGTAGGAAACTTTATGAAATGGGAAGTAGGTGTTACGTTAAATCGCGGTCCTGCCGATCTCGATCCGTTTTGAGTTCTCACCTGAAAAGGACATTTAAATTTTTGACAGTGTATTTGAGAAAATGAGTGCTGAGAAGCCCTTTTTTTTTATAAGCAAGACAACGTTTATATTGCATACATTCTTATGGCTTAAGAATGCCCAACTTTTGAACAACGCTCACCACAACTGAGTTTTTCCTGTGCATAAATGGACAAAGATTTTATTTTGGACAATTTAAAGCCATTAATCACGACTCTGTCTTGAAACCACGTATGTAGTTTACAGTGCAAATCTAAATAACAACAATAACTACATTTGTAGGAGCATCAACTGAATACAATGATTGAACTATATAAAATAGCGAAGCAATCATTAATGTGAATGAATATTGCCAATTTGTTTCTTAGTCACCTCTAAATCAGGAATGTTTTTTTCCATCCCACTGGTTCTTTTCAAAAAGCTTTCAATAGTTTATTAGTGCTCTTTTATATTTTTTAAAGGTTATAAAGGGAATTGAGATTGCAAATAAAAGAAAGAAGTGATTGGCCATAAGATAAAACGGCAAAAGAAGAGTAGAGAGGTCAAAGTTCCCTTTGGAACCTTTATGATCCATAACATTTTCAATTTTTGGAACTTAATATTCTTCTTCAAATTCAGAATCGCCTAAGGAGTCAGCAGCCACTTCTTCATAATCCTTTTCAAGAGCTGCTAAATCCTCACGAGCTTCAGTAAATTCGCCCTCTTCCATACCTTCACCGACATACCAATGTACAAAAGCACGTCTTGCATACATCAAATCAAATTTGGTATCCAAGCGAGCCCAAGCTTCCGCAATCGCTGTGGTATTGGACAACATACATACAGCACGACTAACCGTGGCTAGATCACCTTCAGGCACAACGGTAGGAGGTTGACTACTTATGCCCACTTTGAAGCCGGTTGGACACCAGTCGACAAATTGAATGGTACGCTTGGTTTTAATACTACTAATGGCAGCATTGGTGTCTTTGGGAACCACATCGCCGCGATAAAGCAGGCAACAAGCCATGTATTTACCGTTGCGAGGATCGCATTTGACCATTTGATTATTAGCTTCGAAGCAGTTGTAGGTAATCTCCGCAACCGAGAATTGTTCATGGCTCGCTTTTTTCTCAGCTATAATAGGTGAATATGTAACCAAGGGAAAGTGAATACGTGGGTACGGAACCAGGTTTGTTTGAAACTCGTTTAAATCAACGTTAAGCGAGCCTTGAAAACGTAGAGAGGCTGTGACGGAAGAGACGACCTGAGCAATCAATCTGTTCAGGTTTTCATACTTGGGGCGTTCGATACCAAGGTTGCGGCGACAAATATCATAGATCGCTTCATTATCGACCATAAAAGAACAATCGGAGTGTTCCAAGGTGGTGTGAGTCGTTAAGATGGAGTTGTAAGGTTCAACAACAGATGTCGAAACTTGAGGAGCAGGGTAAATGGAGAACTCCAATTTGGATTTCTTTCCATAACTGACAGAAAGATACTCCATTAACAAGGCACTGAACCCAGAACCAGTGCCACCACCAAAAGAGTGAAATACTAAGAAGCCCTGTAAACCTGAACAGTTATCTGCCAATTTACGAATACAATCCATTACTTTATCCACAACGTTTTTACCAACGGTGTAGTGACCACGAGCATAATTATTAGCAGCATCTTCTTTGCTTGTAATCAATTGATCTATGTATAAGTGTGTATTCATGGTTAAGTTATGGGTAACGATAACAAAGTTACTGATCATTCTCAAATAGAGCATACCGGGATGGAATAAATCTTTATACCGGCCGCTACGAACCTGATCTACCACTGTGGGTTCCAAATCAACGTAGATACTACGAGGAACGTACTTTCCGTTTTCCGTTTCATTGAAGAAAGTAGAGAATCCACGATCATTTTCTTCTTGTTTTTCGGGTGTTAGAAAACCATCTGATTGAATACCGTGTTCTAGGCAATACTAAGTGATGATTCAAGAGTAGGACATAGCGTTTGCTTTCAACTGATTTTGTTTCTGTTGCTGAAGGATAGAAAGCATACTTACCAGCTCCCAACAGGCATTACCGATTTGCACACCAGCCTATTTTAGGATACCATTATCGACCACATGAATTTTGAGGGTAGTGATCCTTTATTGTATATTCTTAATTACCTGGCCAACGTGAACACTGATAATCTCTCTCATATTGAATTTGTAGACTTAACTGAGTATGTACAAGTTGAATAAAACGATACGATGAAGAGATCTAGTGGCAAAGTATTAAAACCGTATTGAAAAAGGGGCAAAAACAATGAACGACAAAATTAACTTGTAATTAAATTGATACAGAAAAGCAAAGAAGTCGCTCTTTTGTACTACAAAAGGGGTTCTTGTGTAAAGAGAATAACAACTCTATCATTTAGATCGATTTGGGTGAGCGGAAGGTGATGACAGATAGCCGAAACGCATACCTCACGGGACAAGGCTTGGTACCAACATCGTGTCTACCGGGTACCGTATATGTAGTAAAACTTGTCTATAACACCTAAAATCTTAATCTTGAAATACATGCGATGCAATCAAACAGTAGTTCCAGAAAACTCCCAGCACTTCATTTGTATTTACTGGTCTGTTTTTCTTTTATTAAACTGAAAAGCACATAACTTTTGTTGATTGCAATACATAGTATTAAAATCTCAGGCACAGTTGGCATGAGTTTCATTGTTACTTGATTGATGTGGAATGTCCTTTTGACAGCACAAATATACAGCAGGGAGACGTCATGTTCATCTTTGTTTTCTTCCACCATAATACTAATTATGTTCAACCATTTACTTTCTATTTGCTAACAATTATTTCGGTTTTCCAAAATTCACTGATACTAATCGCTTCCATGCAAAAGATGGCAGTAGCCATATTATTGATCCGCTCTTAGTAGCAAAAATTTAAACCCTAATATAAGAATATAGACAGAAAAGCCGGTAACACAGATATCAAATGCATTAACGTCGCGTTAATCGGTACAGCCGGAGCAACCAAATGGCAACGCAAGGATTAAGATATTCGCTGCCAAATGGGGAAGAAAGACTTGTAAAGCTATGTGTATTGGAGCAATTTGGCCATGATGTAAAATCCGTCCCTGAGATCGTGAGGGTTTTGTGATTTTTAAAGCAATTAAGGGAGTACCTCAAATGAAAATCTCTTCTAAACTTCTTTTTTTTTTTTGACCTCTTCGCAAAAACAGTATCCGATAGTTATATTCATTAAATAGACGATCTTGTGATGAACAAACGTCAAATAGCAGTAATAGTTTGCTGAAAAGCAACAGAAAAAACTGAATCTAAGGCTATGAAGGCTAACAATAGCAATAATAACATACACAACATCCTGCTTCTATGGGAAGCAAATCATAAGAATTTGGAGTTTTCGAATCAGTAGTAGCAAGTGCTTTTAACCCTGCTCCCATTGGAAAAGCTAGTTTACTGAGGCTGTACTGATCTATTCGTATAAACTGTACTTTTGGGTTGGTCAGAAACTTATTATATGCTCAAACACTGCTAAACTGAAACGTATGTGCAATGAAACTCGACAATTCTGCAGAGCTTTTTCTATTATACCAAGTACAGCGAATAATGCGAGTGCCGAGCATCGATTAGGTCTCAGCGTTAAGATGGTATCAAACAGGGCGGAATTAGATCAGCGTCTGTATTCCAGCAGTTAGAATGAATTGATGGGCCAGAACGTAATTCAATAAGGTATTTTCGTTTCCCGCTAATTTCTTTTCCATGTTGCAAAAAAGTGCAACCGTGCTGCAATGCAGTTTTTCTTTTTTCTCTTTTTCCTTTTTCCAATCCTCTACTTCTGTATAGTCTGTCCTTATTTCTTGACCGCCACTGGACAATATGTCGGTTACTATTCATCCTTCTGAACAGTTGAAGTTTTACCGTAAATACATGCAGCTTGCGTAAGAGTTTTTAGTGCACAGATAATTAAAGTTTTCCCTTTGATAGGCCCACTCACACGCACTGTTAAAGAGTCGCTTTACGTCACAAACACCAATTCGGTGCCCATTGTTTTTAAGGTTAAGACAACAGCGCCCAAACAATACTGTGTAAGACCGAACGCTGGACGTGTGGAAGCCAATTCAGAAATTGAAGTTCAAAGTAAGGGTTATTCTCGAGTAAAAAATAAAGAAAGCCAAAACAGCTTAAAAAGATGTACTTAAGGTTAAAGAAATGTACATTAGTTATCTTGCAACCTTTCAAAGAAGAACCACCAGAAGACTACAAATGCAAAGACAAATTTTTGGTTCAGACCGCTCCAATTCCTAAAGCTGCTGCACTGGAAGATATCACATCGATGGTAAGAATGAGCAAGATAATCAATTGTTATTTTAGTGCCAGCTCTAATGTCACTTTGAAATTTTTTTTTGAAGTGGAGTCATATTGAAACAGTAGAAAAGGCGACTATGCATCAACATAAGATAAAATGTGTCTTCATCAATCCGGAAGAAGATTTCCATCATGCAGACAACAGCGTACGGGACCTCAATCAGGTAAAACCTGTTGCGGTTTAAAGTTACATCATTCTCATTTTTGACGATAAACTCAATTCTACGTCTAGGCCCCACCACTTACCAATAATGTCAATTCTACGGATGCAGCTGTTGCCCACCCCAGCAACACTGCCATGATGAGTAGTACAGAGCAACAACCAATGCATACCCGACAACAAATACCTGCTACCGATACTACAACTGCTCCTCATCATGAAAGCCAGTTCCCAGTTAAAGCACAGGAAACAGAGCCCGTGGCCGCTGGTATTGCAGCTGCTGTGGCTGCACCCGCTGCTTCAGCTGGAGCAAACACCTATATAGACGAGCATGCTGCACATAATAGCAACAGCGACCTTAGTAAATCAATGGAGTCTGCAGGATCTATGAGTTCGGCTGCTGAGATTTCACAATTACCGGCTACTGCAAATTCTACGACGACTGCCGCTAATAACAACAACATAACCCATACCAGTACGAGGGACATGAGTGAAAACAACGATAGACGTATGTTTGATTCGACATCAGGTTTTATTCCTTTGACTGCTACCACAAATGCTGCTCCCTTGGCAGCGGTTGGTTCAACGAGTAATCCTTTTACATCGGCAGTCCCTTCTGCAGATATAATTACCAAGTCGGAAGATGGACCTCACAATACAATGGCAGTGGTGAAGGATGGTAGTAATAACAGTGCTGATAAAGAAAAAGAGTTGAAGAAAGCATACAGTAGAATTGCTGAGCTTGAGCGACAATTAGATGAGCTGAGATCAACTGCCAATGCCGGTAGTGGCCTTCGTGCACGTGGAAATGGACAACAAGAACATGACATTGGCGGGAAAAAGTTAGCTTCTACTGTTCAACCTTTGGATGCGGTTCATCAACATCTGGCAGATTTGGAAAAGCCACACCCAACAGAAGGCTATCCTCCACAGGTTGTTCTTAGTGTTGCTGCACTCGTCTTTATTTTCACCTATCTATTTTTCTAAACACTAACTGACTAGGTCATCCATTCCTGGAAAATAAAATAAAATAAGGATATATCCTTTTATTTCATTGAAAGCCTTATAATGCATTATATTTACAAAAACATAATTTGATGTTTGAACTATATACAAAAAGATTTTGGGAATTCATTGAAAAACTGACCAGAGTGTTTCATTATAGCCACATGAACGAAGTGTTGTTGCCGTGCGTTCATAATAAATAATGGAAAAAAGTAGTAAATTGATCATTTAACGAAAAGTTTTGTCAATGACACCACCACCTAAACACCAATCTTGATCCCATACTACTACTTGTTGACCACGTGCTATTCCACGAATAGGCTTTGCAAATTTCACTCTGTATTGTCCATCTGGAGCCATTGACAATATAGCCTTTTCAGGAGCCTGTCTATACCTGATTTGAGCATGTACTTCCATGTTGCCATTAGCTAACTGCTGTGGTGGTTTGTGATGAATCCAGACCCAGTCACGCGCAATACACCCTAATTGGAATAATGCAGGATGATTTGATCCTGGCACACAGACCAGCTTGTTTTCCTCTACTATTTTATCTGCTACAAACCATTTGACTGAGCCATGACAAATACGTGATGCCTGACCCACCGTGTATCCGTACAAGCCGTTATGCTCGCCTATGACGTGTCCATTCTCTCCATTGACAGCAGGGCCGGGTGGCAAATCGATATAATCGCTCAGAAACTCATGAAATTTCTTTCGCTGACCCACAAAACATATCCCCACACTTTCTTTCTTTTTAGCAATCTCTTCTAATCCAAATTGTTCCACAGCCATTTGTTTCACAAGCGCTTTTGAGGTGAACTCTCCCAGTGGAAAGAGTGTACGCGCTATTGCTTCTTCAGGCACGGAGGATAGATAGTAAGATTGATCCTTATTGCGTTCTAAACCTCTCAGTAATTTACCGTCGGGCGTAGACCGACAGTAATGGCCGGTAGCAAACCAACTATCCTTTGGTACTTTGTTGAGTAAAGCGCCAAACTTAATGTAGCTGTTACAGGCAATATCTGGGTTTGGTGTAAGGCCATGTGCATAATCATCCAATGTCTTTGAAAATACATCGTTCCAATATTCTTTCACAAAATCGACATGCTGACAAGGAATATCTAGCTTTTGACACACTTTTTGGACATCTTCCCAGTCTTGCTGGCTTGTACATACGCCTCTTTCATCGGCTGTATCCCAGTTTCGCATGTAAATACCCTGGACGTTAAAACCTTGTTGCTTTAATAAAGCGGCTGAAACACTAGAGTCAACACCTCCTGACATGGCAACAACTACACGGTCACCCTTCTGTGGTTTATTCTTTTGTTGTTGTAGAATGGATAAGCAACGTCTAAAGATGGACGTGCATTTCCTCGTTGTCATCACTCGTTGTCCGAATGTAGGCAATAGCATATAGTTTACTTATTTGAGAAAGACAGGGAAAGAGGGAAATGTTTAACTTTAAAAACTTGGGGCTCCCTTTCAAATGTATAAATGAAAAAGTCACGGGCAGGTTTCAGATCGCGTTTGGAGGAAGATAAAGGAACCAGGTACGATCAAGTTGAAACTACATCTTATATGACTCATGAACAAAAAATTGTAGTCATAGCATCATAGTTAAGAGAGGATCTAGCCGTGCCTTTGGAAAGGCATAGCTGCTGCTTTGAGTCGATTACTATACAACTAAGTGCTGTTTGCACAATTGCAAGGATTCAAAAAGGAAATAATGTAAACTCAAAAATACTAAACATTACGATCTCGTTTCGCAAACATTCGCAATTGCATCTATGAGATGGCCGCAGTGTCATAAAGGACAATTGCATCCTAGTCAGCTTCACCACTTCATTGTCTCTAAAATGCCTGAATTCTAGCAGAGAATGAATGCATCGCTTTGATTTGACATGTGAAGGATTTAAACGATGATTGGTTAAAAAAACCTGAAGAATGCTTGTGTACCTCTTCCTTGTGTGATCATGAAATCCAGATCTATTTCTTTTTGAAGCACTTTTTGTCTGTTTATTTATTTATTCTGTTCACTGTACGTTGACTTTGTGAAAAAAAAAAAAAAAAAAATTCATAAAGTCGGAAAAACACAGATCTTAATTTTGGAGGGAATTGTTTACTTACGCATATCAACTGATGCATTTAGGTCGTAGGCTGTCCAAAGAAGCATAAAATAACGAAGTTTTCAAACAGTTAAAAGGGGGTCTATTCCCAGATTGTTATTAGCTACAGCGTAAAGTGTGTATTTACTAAGATTTGAATACTCTTTCAGACGTCAATACAGTAATGATTGACAGGGCTTTTTTTTTTTTAATTAAAAGAAAAGGATGTCTGTGACGCTTCTATCATCAGATTTTTAAGTCTTCTATTAAAGGCCTTCCTTTCCTTTTACTGTTACTGCTTAACTTATAAGCCTAGTTTTTTATATAACAGTTTCATGATCCTTGATTTAGTTTCAAAATTTTTTGGTAATACCAAAAATACAGAATAGAAAAAAAGGAATATAAATTAAACTTGCATTTTTTCAGCTCTTTTAATCATTTCTATCCTTCTTCTTCCCTTCTTCTGCTCCAAAACTTCTATTAAAAATATAAGCGAGCCACTTTCTTAGCAATCTGTATAAGATTTACATATAGATATGGCAATTCAATACTCAGCAATGCCATTATTACCGTCTAGTTATCAACCATCCAACTTATTGACGCCAGAGAGATCTGTTCCTTCTAGCCCGAATCTTTCCCCTGCTGTAGTAACACACACAAATGCAACAACGAAGCATCTTCATACGAACGATTTGAATGCAGTTGACTATATTGAGCTTACAAAACTACTACAGCAGCATGTCTCTTCCAATAAAAAGAATAACAAACGCTCTTCCTTCTGTCTAGCCTCTTCTTATCTTCAGAATCAAAAACAGCAACAGCAGCGACAACAGCAGCAGCGACAACAGCAGCAGCAAAGCCCATACAAAAATCGTGATCATCCACAATCACCCACTTCGCCTACCTCTACCACTAGTACAACATCAACTCTCTCTACAGCTTCATGCTCATCTGCCGCTGCTGGTCCTCCGCCAAGACCAATGCAACAACAACAGCAACAGCAACAGCAGCGTCCTACATCACTTTGTCTGAACCCTTTAAATTTACCTTCTCAATTCGTATTTAAGAAACCTCTTTACAACCAACATTACCATCAAACACACTTTCATCATCAGAATCCTCCGCCTTCACCCACACATTCTATTACTCCAACTCAATCATTTCATTCCATTACTACTACAAGTACATCGACTATCTCAAAGACCAATAGCCAACATCAAAATAATAAGGAACAACAGCAGCAGTCAAATAATAACCTAATATTCTCATCTTGGACCGATTTGAGAAGATTTTTTGCTGCTCCTTTAACAGCAACAACAGCAATGACGGAAATAGTAGATGAGCAATTGTTTGCCAACCAATTTAGGCAGAATATTTCGAGCAGATATGGACAATGGGGTAAGTCTATCATTTACAGCTTTCCCTATTTTTTCTTAAACCATGTAATTATCGTACATTACTCAATCTTGCATGATAAAATAACGCCGCCCACATTGAAAGTTTACATATTACATGTATTATTTATCTCCCATTCCCTTTTCCTTCATTGTGTGTGTGTGTGTGCGGCATTTTGGCCTGCTTTTATTATCTCCTTAAAGCATAAAAAAAAAATAACTCATCCCATCATAATTGCCTCATTCTAACATTTTATAATATCATTACTAAATATAGGTCGATATATTGGTAAAGGTGCCGGAGGTTCGGTTCGCTTAATTGAACAACAACGAAATAAGAAGATTTACGCCGTAAAACAATTCCGTAAACGGTTCGCTCACGAATCTGAAAAAGACTATATCAAGAAAGTAACAGCTGAGTTCTGTATTGGTTCCACTCTCCATCACCCAAATATCATTGAGACGCTCGATTTGATACAAGAAAATAACAACTTTTATCAGATCATGGAGTATGCTCCGAACGATATGTTCAATGTGGTGATGAGCGGTATGATGTCGCGCGAAGAGATTGCTTGCTGTTGGCGCCAGTTATTGAATGGTGTAGAATATTTACATTCTATGGGAATCGCTCATAGAGACCTTAAACTTGATAACCTTGTGCTTGACCATATGGGCATACTGAAAATTATTGATTTTGGCTGCTCGACTGTATTCAAATATCCATTTGATAACCACATCATCATGACGAAAGGTAAGAGGGAAGGGGAAGGGGATGAGGCTATTCCATGTAATTACTGATATGAATGTGTATAAGTTATTTACTTTAATGTTTATTTTATGTAGGTGTTTATGGTTCAGACCCTTATATTGCTCCAGAACAATACATTCAACCTTTGTACGACCCTCGTTTATCAGATGTATGGTCATGTGGTATTATTTTTGTCTGTATGACAATTCGCCGTTTTCCTTGGAGGGTGCCTAGAAGTTCTGATCCTGCCTTTAGAGCATTTGCCACAAATCATAATCAGCAAAAGTTCAGGTTACTAAAACTGTTGCCCAGAGAAGCGCGCTCGGTAATGACGAGCGTTTTAGAAATAGATCCCAAACGGCGTTGGAGTATACAAACCATTTTGAACGATGACTGGGTAAAGTCGATCGACGTTTGCACTCCTACTGAGCCTGGAGCTCAACACGTTCATCATGTTTCTGTCATTTTCGATCCGGTGGTACAAGAAAGAAGAGGCAATCTTGTGGCAATGACGCCTGAGCCACCTGGAGTTGTTGCAGAAAAAGAAAAAAGAAAACGCCAATCTTTGCAACTAAACCATCATCCTCAACAGCCGCAGCAGCAGCATCAAAAACCGCTTCCAAAAGACTAAGCTCTTTACAGCTGTCTTTTTGCATTCGCCATTACTTCTCTTACGTATATATTATTCCAAATTTCGTGACGAAACGAGACAAAAATATCTTTTCTTCCTTGACTGTAGCCCTTTTATTTATTGTATTTTTATGAACAAAAATGATACCACTTCTTTCTCCATTCTTTTTTACTATTTAATTTAATTTGATAAAAATAAAATTTCAGTTTGGGCGACCTCATTGCAAATGGTATATAACGTGATAAGAATGCAGCGTGTCTCTACATGCATACATAAATACGTGTTTGATTGTCAACAAATTGAATATAATTCTTGTTCTTAGAGGTGTATATTAAAAGTATAACTAATTGAGTGATCTATTTGATATTTCTTTCTTTATCACAAATTATACAATCCTGCTAAATTCATGAACTAACTGCATGCAAGGAGGTGTTTGACACACATGTGGCGTTTTCCAATTGTTTTAAGATTTTATGCGTAGTTGCCGCCTTTTTATATTTTTTTTTTATTTTTTTTCTTTGCTTATTGCTACCTTATGCGTGATATATGCACTTTAGGGGCAAAAACACGCATCACATTTATAGTATAATAGCTGAGCATGTTCGTAACGCAAATGGTGTTGAAATAGAGATCTATTTTAGGCTAAATCAGTCCCGGAAATATCGGCTTACATTTGGATAAGTATAATCTTTAGCTTTCGAGAAAAAACAATGATGAGCCTTTATAATTTAGAGTAAAATGTGAAGCTTGACAAATTATAGATCTATGTTAATACTTTTATTCGCCGGAGAAAATACCCGTAGTCTGCAATGTTCTCGATTCATTTTTCACTGGAACTGACAGGCTGAGAACACAATAAATCGGGAAAGCTAAAATCGGCTCTGATAAATTCTTATATTTGGCCTTCATGATAAAGTATGCAAGACAGAATCACATCTCATACTTGTTGAGCGGATATAAGTATTCCAGGAAATATATCATTAATTTATATTAGCCAATTCAAAAATAAGTAATCAAAAAGGCATCAGAACAATAAATATTTATTTAATTGAAGTTTAGCAAATGCTAAAAGAAAAATTATAAGAAAAAAAGAACGATATCGAAGAGCACTGTGCAAAGCATGTAATGATAGAAATGACGAAAATCGCTTAAATGGATTAGTAACAAGCAAACCTTAGTTCCAAGAAAAGAGTTTAAACAGTATTTCGAACAAAACTACAAAACTGTCCATCCTGAAATGCCTTAAACAAACAAGCATTCCTTTGGAAAATCCCCCTTTTTTCTTTTCCACATCGAACATTATATCACCTGCGGAAGAGAGAAAGCTACAGCATTTAGATCATCGCGCTCCTCTCTTTTGTACTTCTTTGTTCCTCCACTTGCATAGAATTTTTTAATATACTTGTCTTATCCCTTACAGCAGTTGAGATAATTTCTTCACTCACATCATTAATTGCTCGAACAACGCAAACAGAAACACAAGCCGGCAATAGCCATTGAAAACGTTCATTAACAAATTTTACATAATGGCAACTATTGAAACCGCATATTATGTACCGACTTTTCTAGGGTTATCAACCACATTTGCTATATCATGCTCAATATCAATAGCCTGTATTGCAGCTTTTGAAATCTGCAAACGATTGAATTCTATGCAATATTTGTTCTCTCCGAGGACACAGCTCTTAGAGTATGATACAAAATACTTTCCTCGGCTGTCGAACTCGTACTAACTTTTCCCTTGAAATTCAGAAACGCCTCACGAAAGCAATCGCCTCATCTATTTTCATGGATATCATCCACACTACATTTACGCGAAAGCGAATATGTCACAAAAGTAGGGTTAGACGCCACAATGCATTTGCGATTTCTGCGTATGGTCGTTCAATTTTTATTCATCCACTGCATAATCATCTGCCCCATCCTACTAGCCCTACATTGGACAAGGGCATCGGTTTCACTCAATTCAACTGATCTACTTAATGAAAGCACAACTTTAGACAAAAATGAAAGAAATTCTCCTGTCAAAGATAGCACAGCGTATTATCATTTTAAAACCGACGACACCGTGAATAACAATAGTAACGATACTATTCCGTCAACAGAGGACGAAGACAAACTTTCAGCAGATACGGTTTCATTGCCCGATCTCTATGGAATTGGTTTTCCTATCTTTCAAGGCTTTGACAGTAGTAGCAATAACAGTAATAGTTTAGTAGCAATACCTATTGATCATTTTCGTAGCAATTCCACGTTTTATCATTTTTCGATCGCGAATATACCTAATCGGAATCCTATTGTGTGGGTCCACGTTTTATTTGCATTCACTATTTCACTTAGTTGGTTATGGCTTTTGTTCGTCAATCATTTGCATCATGTGAAACTATTACAAGTGCAGAAACAGCAGCAGCAGCAAGAACATACTACTCTTACAGAAACGTCACAAAATAAGCGCAATACAGCTGTACTTCTACATCAACGGTCTGTCTTAGTCACACATATTCCACATTCGTTAAGAAATGAAGATAGCCTAAAAAAATATTTTTACGACCATCTTGGAGTTGACCAAAATGTAGAACAAGTAACGCTTGTACCTGACAGGGTTATAAAATGTTTACGACCCTTTTTAAAGAAGCGAGAAAAAACAATAGACCTTATAGAAAAAAACTTAATTCATATGGCCCGAGTGACAACGCGTTATCAAAGAAAGCTCGGCGAGGCATCTACATCTATATTGACTTCTTCAAGTGTAAGCATGGATTGGTACAAATGCTTGCAATATTCAGTTCAACACCAACTGCAGTTAAATCTAGAAGACCGTGTGGTAACAGTATCCAGACTACTGGCCTATTTAGGAACGTTGGATGACGAGATCTCCAAGTTAAGAGATAGCGAACTCTCATCCGAGCTCTACACGCCTACCGCTACAGCTTTCATCACCTTCAAGTAAGATCACACACACACACATCAGAGAGATAAGAAGGTTTTTTTGTTTGCTCACAAAAATACCACTTCAACGAATCTGTAGAACACCTCATTCAGCGCAAGCTTGTGCTCAGATGGTTACATCGTGGAAGCCAGGCGTACTAAGTACTCGCATGGCTCCAGAACCGAGAGACTTATTATGGAGAACTTTACTAAGAAGAGGAAGAAAAAGTCGAATCGCAGGAATTATTCGACATTGGATTGTATTTGTGGCTGTATGGTAAGGTTTAATATCACCCTGTTTCCTTCAACTCAAAATCGACTGGTCTGAATGTTCTGTCTACAGGTCATTGACTATATTTTGGCTGTTTCCTATTACTTTTATTCTTGGATTAACGTCCATTCAATCCTTGTCAAATCATGTTGCTTTTTTAAGATATTTTCTGGCTTCGTCGTTAGTCATAAGGACATTTGTTCAGAATATTCTGCCAACATTATTGGTCACTTTGTGCATGAGCTTCCTTCCTTGGATTGTTTTGGGTAAGAGATGATAAACTGTTACGTATCGCAGAACTACAGCAAAAGCCTAACGCACCTGATTTACGATTGCACAGAGCTTTCAAAAAAGCAAGATTTTTTATGTTACTCTGAGTTGGAAGACAGTGTATTGGGACGATATTATCATTTTGCTATATTCAATGTTCTTATAGTATTTCTCTTGGGCACTACGTTCCTCACTACCATGTTAGATGTGTTATACGAGCCGACTATGCTCATCCAATTGCTTGCCAATGCTTTACCTCAGGGTGCAAATTTCTTTCTCAACTATATATTATTCAACTGCTGTACTCATGCGATGGAATTGATCCAGCTTGGCTCTCAACTCTTCGGCCATCTTTTTTTTACACAACCATTCCTATCTCGTACGCCTCGCTTACGACTCAAATACACACAACCTTGGTCCTTCTTATACTATTATTACTACCCTCACCATATCCTGGTCTTTGTCATTACACTAACATATAGCGTTATCCAACCACTCATTTTGATCTTCAGTTTATTTTATTTTAGTTTTGCTTTGGTTGTCTACCGACATCAATACATGTATTGCTATATACGACGTTACGAATCTAATGGCACACGGCATTATCGACGTATGGCCAGATATACATCGGACGGCTTACTTATCTTTCAATTGACTATGGTCGGTTTACTATACTTGAAAGGCGTCATTGCAGCTGCCACGGCTATACTGCCTTTAGTGGTGTTTACTATTTGGGCAAAAATGAAATTACACGGTCTATTTAAATACCGTATGGATCATCCACCCGCTGTAATTGAGAAAAATCAATATGCTGAATCCAACACAATCTCCTCACCGTTCCCTCAATCTGAGCAACAAAAACAATCACATGTGACGAATAACAGAAGAAAATTTAAAGGAACAATATTAGCCATAATATCCATGTGGACTTTGTGGTGTCAGCATTTTAATGACATTTGGAAATTCTCGTACGTGCGCGACTGGTGGAAAATGGGGCGTTATGCAACGGAGTTGCAGCAAAAAGGAAGCCATAAGACTCGTAGCGACGTTCTAGAAAGGCCAACGCATACAATGTCCTCTAAGATAGGCAATGGCGTCTTTGTCATCAGTCACAATATATTACAAGCAATATCATCAACGGAGCGATCAGATGTAACTACGTTGACGCCTGTTTGTGTGGATAACAGCGATGAGGACAATGCTCGGCAAAATAGGAAACAATATTATGAAAGCAGTAGGAGTAGTAGTGTTGACAATTGTTGCAGCACTATAGACAATACTTTGAATATTGATTTGCTTGCTGATCGGTCCAATGTTGATTATTCTTTAAGCGATAATGAAGGATTTGATATCAGAGAAAGGGAAAGAGACGGCTTTCTTGATCATGGTAGTCAACCAGAAAGCAACAATACCAATAATGGCGATAGCAACGAGAAAGAGCCTTCAAATCAGCGGTATCAAGATTATACTGTTTACAAGAACGATTACAAGTCAGAATATGAAACCTATACGCACCCGGCTTTAATGATGCCATTGACAACCGACTTCATTTTACCTTTAAACGTGGACATTTGGTACTGGAATTTGAAAGAATGTGTTTCTGTTTCTTTTGAATTGATTCGGAGTATTTTTGTTACTCCTAATGATCAGCATACAATACAGGAAAGTTTGCAACAGATTGTAGCAGAAAAGAAACTAGAAACCGTGGTGTAGAAATTGTTTTTTTAGGGCATAAACAATTAACTACAACTTATATGATTGATATATAATGCTTTTAATAAATAATAGAAATGTCCAAATTTTTGTGGGTTGGTCTATACTTCTGTTTGTCATTGTTAACACGATGAGAAACGTTATGGGAAAGCAACAGCTATGCTGCTTGATGCTCTACTTGTACATGAGACGGCTGATTTCCGCGTTAGAATCTGAGCTATGCCTCATTGACATATAGCTCGGATATTTGTTAGTTATCTCGGTTTTCTATACAGCAACAATCACAAAACAACGATCTGCCGCAATATAAAGCAGCTGAGCAAATCGACAAAAAAAGAAAATATTAGAGAACGATGAGAAACGCTGGTAGGTCGCTGTTTGACGGAAACTACAAAGGCTGACATTTGATGGCATGGTTACACGTAAATTGTTCAGCTTAAGCATCTCAAATTTCTTTGTTAGTTCCTGACAATGGAAAAGGAACAAAAGTTGAAGTAAAAAAGTCGCGAATTGAATTTCCTTTCGCAAAAGCTTTGCTGCACTTAACTGAACGTTCATTCTTCCACTTCCTATTCAACAGTATATAACATTTGTTATTGTTACTGGAAACTCCTGAAACATTTTAGCCGAAAGTAAAGTTGCCTTGGGTTTTCTTTTTCCCCCACTTTCTTCATATCCTTTCTTTCAGCTTCAGTAATATACAAAGTGAACTATAATGTCGAGTATAAGAGATGTCATGCGAAAACGTAAATAAATCAGGAATTAGCGTCTCTCACCTCCTAAATAATCAGTAAAGGTTGACAATAATATCCCCTTAGGCTTGATGGATACCATACAATCCGTTCAACCAGCGGGGAAATGGAAGATTATTGTGGTCGATTCAAAAAGTTCGCAAATTCTGAATGCTGCTTGTAGGATGTACGATATTTTAGAGGAAAACGTAAAGTTATAGGCTTAATAATGACAGGGCGAGAGATACAATTGCAAGTCCTGGCTAACAAGAAGAAAAATTGTCTTTATATCAAATAGGTTACACGTAAAGTAGTAGGCAACAACTTGAGACTATGAAGCATAAGAAATTGTCTGACAGTGATATCTCGCTTGCAATGTATAGTTGTCGAGAATATAGAGAAAAAACGCCAACCCTACCCGAGTTTGGAAGCCATATATTTCTTGACACCTTGCCGAGAATCTGTTTTAAGGCTTGTAGATGATTTCGCAACAAAACCGCCCACTTATAAAGCAGCTCATGTGCATTTCACGAGTGGTAAAGATGAATGAAACATAGACTGTCAGGAGCAACTAATAATATACATCTCCTTTTGAAAGGGCTAAATGATGATTTATTCAATGATTTGAACAGAAGACTAAAAGCTAATGGAGCTGCTGAATACATCCTCAGTTTAAAAGAACTCTATGTCGATTTCATGGGTAAGTCATGGAAGTATAAAACTTTGATTTTTGAGGAGGAACTGATACATTCTTCTATAGTGAACGAAACAGCCGTTTTCACAGTAGACCCTAGCACTAGTTTCCGGTCCGTTTTTGGTGACGATCGAATGACAAATCCAGATGAAGCCTTAAGTTCTATTGCTAAGCAAGTAAGTCATGGCAGTACTCGCGACCCTTTTTGCTGCCTTGCCAGTTTTGATTCTAATTCTTCTTTTACTCTGGTCAGCTATTATCTGTATGCGCAACCTTGGGCGAGGATCCTATTATTCGATACCAAGCACAATCAGAAGGTGGGATTCATTCCAATGGCTCACCTGCCCAAAAACTAGCCTCCATAGTACAAAAAGAAATTGATAATTTCTGTAGATTAAATCAAAATTTTCCAGTAAGTTTCACATCAGCTTATAATTGATTATTTGCATATTAAGAAGCAGGTTTATTTTAGCCTCCTCGTAATCCACCTCAGCCTAGAGCCACGCTTCTCATTTTAGATCGCTCCATCGATCCTGCTGCACCTTTACTTCACGAATTTACTTATCAAGCTATGATCAACGATCTTTTGCATGTGGAGGATACTGATAACCATGTAGGCGTAAAATACTCTTATCAATTCCATCAAGCAGACGGAAGTGTGGGTGTCCAAGATGTGATATTAGATGAAGAAGACCATGTCTACAAATCCATTCGCCATATGCATATTGCGGAATGCTCAGATAGGTTGATTGAAAATTTTAATGAGTTTCTAGCAGAAAATAAAACAGCTGTCAGCACAAGGTAAATTATACTTAGAGTAGTTGTATTTCAAGAGAGAGCACATTGAATATCACAACTCATTCATAATTTGTATGGAAAGTGATCGAAATGCAGGTCCAAAAGACTCGGCGAAAAGTCTAAAAGAAATGAAAGAAATGCTGACAAATCTTCCACAATACCAGGATTTGAAGGCAAAAGTAAGATAAAACGCAATGAGTGCATTTTCAACAATGAACTTACTCACGTTAACGCTATTTTGCGTAGTACTCTGCTCATTTGAGTATTGCTCAAGAGTGTATGTCATATTTTGAAAGACACAATTTAAGTTCCGTAGGCACTTTAGAGCAAAATATGGCAACAGGGGAAACAGTAGAAGGAGAGATACCCAAAACCATAGTTCTTGATATGGTTCCCTTATTAGATGCTCCACATGTGAGGTAAGGCTAAAGATTGCTAGATAAAGCGTTAAAACTAAGAATTTACAATTTTTTTTTTCTTTTTTTTATTCTAATAAGCCCCATCGATAAAGCTCGTCTGCTGATGCTTTACATTATTTGGAAAGAAGGTGGTATTTTCGAGGATGATAAACGAAAACTTCTCGAGCACGCGAAATTGGATGCAGAGTTATGTAATGCGATCAATAATCTACCCTTGATGGGAGTGAAGTTAACGCGTATCCGCCGATCTGAAAAAGGATATACATCGGCAAGCGCAATGTCCTCTGCGACATCTCTTTTCAGAAAGAGAAGGCAGAGAAAGAATAAGGAGGATGAACAAGAAACACCTTATGAATTATCACGTTATACACCAATTATAAAGAAAGTGATGGATGTAAGTGCAGCATCAAAAATATGCTAGCGAAGTAACTGTAGGCTGATTCAAAAGGTTAATCATATAACAATCTGTAGGCACACTTTTCGAATACGTTAGATCCTCAACAATTCGCCTTTACTCGACAATCTGATGTAGATTCAGCCAAAGATGGTCATGGACATGCTCCTGGTGATGGTGGCATTCCCGCAAGTGGGGTTTCTCTACGAACGACAAAGCCTACTTGGGCGAAGAAGAACAATACTGGCTCTGTAAGTTGAGTACAATTGATATCGGATAGTATATATCAGAAATGTTATATGATTGTTATTCACATGAAATATATTTAAGGGCGTGACCACACCTATTCGTCAACATCATGGTGCTAAATTGATTGTGTTCGTAATTGGTGGTGCTACTTATTCCGAAATTCGATCAGCTTACGAAATTAGTGATACTTATAACCGTGATGTTTATCTTGGTACTACAGAAGTACTACGCCCTCAGAACTTTGTTCGTCATTTATCCCAACTGACATTGCCTATACCACAATTACCACCAGTTATTGCACCTTACATGCCACCAGCACCACGACCATCTGTAAAGAAAGCAACTTCATTAATGCACCATATGCATATAGGTGAAAATAACAATGGATTGCTGTCTCCAAAGGGGCATTCCGGACCAACTGTACCTCAGCATCTAAGCCATAAAAGTTCCACACGTTCACTACAAAGTTCTGTATTAAGTAATGGTTCAGGAACACCGACAGAAGAAAAAGAAAAGAAGAAGAAAAAGGGCTTACGAAAGTTTTTCTAACGAATAAAAATAGTTGATAGCTGAACTGTCTGTGCTGAAAGCACCATCTAAAGAGTTCCTCGGCTTTATTGATTTATATTCTAGTAGTTATAGTAGCAATAATAACCAGTAATTGTTTACAAAATATTTCTGTTTAAAGATAGCTATCTAAGCAGATAAAAAGATGTATAGTCAAAATCATTGCATTTTCACTTTACTCGACTTTCTTTTTCATAGACATAGGCTTAGGTAAGATTTTATGCAGTGCCAAGACGATAAGAGCAGGTATATGGCCTACGAAGTATACACTTTGATAAGCTGCGATGCTCTTATGCACTTTCAGCAATTCGAAACCAACTACTGCATAAGTGACTGTAAATTGGCACGTGGCCCAAGCAATAATTTTCCATGCATAAAAAAGTGGCCCTTTCTTCATACTGTTGTCTGAGCTACCGACAAAAGGGTATATATAAGGCACTACAAGACGCTCACGGAGTACTGTTTCAGCCTGTACATATACGAACTCGAGCAAAAATGTAACGAAATACATAGTATGGAAACCGTGCCAGATTGCTAAGAATGCTAAGGTACCGAACTGCGACAGATTTTTGTTACCCAAGAATCTCAGCCTTTTGAAAACGTAGTACTTAGTCCATAGATTAGTGTTGATATTAAACGATAGGATGATGTGATCAATTGATGTAGCAGTTTCGAACAATGCAGGTTTGGTATTTGCCAGACCGCTGAAAAGAGTAACGTTTTTTTTGTCAACAGTATTATAGTAGTTCCGGCGATCGTAGGATATGCCGAATAAAGCGACAGAGCCTATATTTATGAACAGAAAACTGGTCAGCTTTGTGCCCTTCTATATAAGGTTTTGCCTGGGGATAGCCGATTTACCTTCCGTCAGTAACCAGATGCCGATATATTTCATATAGGCAAATTTGCCCGCTAAGCAAAGAATAAATAGTCTGTTTATGAAATTTAATGATCTATATTCTTCTGTCAACAGATAACTCGTTGAATATTGCGTGCCTATAGTCTGTTGAATGCCTAAGTAGAGAGCAGCCAACGCCACTGATCGAAGCACATACACAATCTGAATTTTGTAGGTTTCTTCTTTTTGCAAAGTTGTAAGTTCCTGTTGTGTTTCATTATTAATCCATTTCTTGAAGAGTGAAAAAGAGAATTGTGGCCCGACCAAAAAAGCAGAAGGGAATAGACAGTAGGCAAATACTTCAAGAATATTCGGAAGTTCAAACAAAGGTGTATCGTCCAAAAAAGATAAAGGTAAGATTGAGGAAGGTGTTTTTTTGGATTGGTTAGTTGTAGTTGTTGTGTTTTCATCCTCTTTGATAACAGCTGTCTGTTTAACTTCTGCCTCTAATCCTACAGGATTCACAGTACCTTCTGCTACTTTCTTTTGCAAATGTTTGGCAGCATCATAGTAATCAAAACCAAATCCCATTAACCGTAAACATAGTACACAATGTGTCATAGTCCATGTAATATCGTAATCATCAGTTTGCATATAATAGTATCCAAGTAGCAAATAAACGGCATTGAAAATCCATACGCAGACATTGGCTATAAACCGATTCTTTAACGTTTGCTCGCCCAGAATATACAGTAGCCCGTAAGTGACTGAAATGGTAAGAAGTGAATGATATATGTAAAAGCTGTTAAAGAAATAGTTGAGTAGGATGCCCGCGCCTAATATATAGTAAATCTTGTAGTGGCTGAGGTTTACACCATCTTTAGTTGTAGAAATTTGTGCATTTTGACCGAATAGATAATTGTAGATAACAGCAGCAGGAAAACCAAGTAATACGGTGAGCAATAGTCGTAATGGGGGTTCTGGCAACCCACTTCTTTCGCTCAGGAACTGGGTAAAAAGGTTCATCAATTGAGGATGAAAGTAAGAATAAAGAGAAAAAAGTGGAAAGACTCATGTGGATCCCCATTACTATTTTACCCCCAGATTTTTTTTCTATTGGCGGCCCCTTTTTTTCCATTTTTGAAGGTGAAGGCTGACATAAAAGCAAAAAAAGCAAGAGTCTTGCAATCACTAAAGCGGAATGTATACAACAAATAGACGATTTCACAAGATAAAAATAAGAAATAGAGGCATTATATTATGGGAATCGAGAAATATGTACAGTGCAGAATACTTTTATTTTTCTTTTATGACTAAGCAAAGAGTTTAAGTTATTCAAAATATATAAACGGATCATAAACAGCAATCCTTCGTGTTTAGTTCTCATCTTCGACAACTTCAGTTTGAAGACCTATAAAATAAAGCGGCGAAATGGAAAAAACGATCCGATATGGGCCATAATAAATTTCAGTTAAAATCATTATTACGATTCATAGATAGGAGGACCCAAGCGTAATGATACAGCCTGGGGACTTTTACACTCCAACGTCATGCGCTCACTAAACTGGCCGGAAGTCACTACCCTCTGCCTTCATTATCTTTTCTCGTCGAAAGGAGAAACAAGACATGCTCTGGCAAATGAGAGTTATGCTACACGGATTCGCAGTGATGTTGATGGCAAAAAAGTCTTGTAATGAAAAAATTAAATGCAAACTTACCCTTGAAGTCAGTAACGGGAACGTAGGTAACATAAGAGTAGAGCTTTTCCTTGGCTTCTTCATCATCGTTACGCTTACGAGAGATACGAACACGAATACGGTGGTTAACGTGCTTAACACCACGAGACCAAACGGCCTTGTTCAAAGAAGGATCAAGACGGACATCCTTAGTACCCATGGCCTTTTCAGCGAAGTCCTTGACAGCCTTGACGGCAGCAGGAGCACGCTTTCTCAAAGAGCGGCCAAAGACGTGCTTGTGCAAGTGAATGGTGTATTCACGGGTGACTACATCAGCAAGAGTGGAACGCTTTTGTGTAGAAGTAGCTTTGGCCATTTTTTAAGGATTGCTGTTTATACAGAAAAGAAGAAGAAGTTAATACTTGTGCTAACTTAAACGGATGGATGGATGGATGGATGGAATAGATGATGATTAGTTTGGTCGTTTACCTTGAGGAAGAATGAGATGAAGGAAGAGAATGCTTCTAGAAAATCATTCCTTTTTCTCAAAAGTGTATATGATTTAAGCAAGACTTTCAGTCACCGATTACATATTTTTAAGCCGCTTCTTGCTAAGATTCCGTTAACACTGAAAAAATCGGTTGCGAAAAATACGTTGATTATCTTTTATTGTGGTTTCAATTTTCAAGAAAATCGATACATCTCTAGTATATTTTATTAATGACATGAAGAAATTGATTTAATGAAAAGAGATAAAGCAATTCTGGAGATTATTTGGCATGTTGAAGTTTCCAGCCGCTTAATAATTGATGATTTCGTACTTCTTCGATGGTCATAGGGAAACCATACGTCAAAGGAGCCAAGTAGACAAACATAGCAATTTGTAAGCCAACTGTGATTGCAACAGCTGCGTACACTTTCCATGACATCTCAGCCTTCATACTGGTCTGTCTTGTCAATTTACTCTGGCGACTCAGAAAAGAGACGGGGGAATCGATGCCGTCTATAAATATAAATTGGTACATTGCACCTAATAATAAGTAATTGATGGTAGCAGCTGGTAAATAATGATGTAGAAAGAGAGAACGTCCCATGTTGAAGAAGGGGAAATAATGCAAAGCCCAACCAAGGAAGAAAAAACCAGCACTTTGTAGCACACGGTGGCGCACAGGTTCTTCGATAGGCTCAATGCCACGACGACGAGCGAGGACATCTGCTAACATTATACCTGCGAACACGGCAATACCGCCAACAGACAAGTACCAACCGAACAAATTACCTGTCAAATAGATTTGAGAACGAGTATCTTCGTTGGACCAATAAGATACACCACGGATCATGAAGGGCCAAGTAATAGGCGTAGATTGATAAGGATGAGATTTCGTGAGACCTGCATTGTGAGAGATCATGCGGCTTTGCAACTCAATGAATTTAGAGATAAACGGCATATGACCTAATTTCTTTGCATTCTTTTCAGCATTGAGCTCCGTAGCATTCTTCCCCTTGATTTCCATGGCACTCCAATAGTTGGTCTTGTCCACAGCATTTTTATTACCATTGACCTCTAAGTGTCGCAAACCCCATTCAGGTAGCTTCTTATTGTGAGTCCAGATGGCTACTCGGGTATCTTCATGGATCAGTCGGAAGTCTGTCATATGTGTTTCCAAAAAGTCCTGATTCTTATTTTCAAAAATAATCTTGAAGAGAGTTTCAGAATACCGGGTATCGAGAGGGACGGTAGTAACCTCTTCATTAGTAGGCATATAAGGTGACGCAACATCGTGAGTAAGAAGATTGGTACCAGTGACAACGTGCTCTAATTGGATGATGTCGCCATTTTTTACACGACGGGGCTCATTTTCGTCGTATTCTTCGTCATCGTCATCAATAGGAATGGCAGGTTTGATACGCCAGTAACAGTTCTCATCGACTTCTTTGACAGCGGTAACTTGCTGACCTTTACTACTGATGCGTCCATCTTCATAACGAAGCGGATAATGGAGATCGTGAGAATGAAGGAAGGCTTGCGTATCTTTATGCTTGATTGTGATCTCATCACCGTAGTAAACCTCTATGTAGTTATAATTTTGAGCGAGTTCAATAAAATAATCTTTATCTAACAACGGCGTTTCTCTTTCTCCCAATGATAGTCTCAAAACTTACCTAAAGCATTCATCTTTAAGGGATTGTTTTTCAACGTATCTTGAAAGCGATTCGTCATAAATGAGTCACCAGGGCCAGATTTGTTAAGGATTGCGAAATGGACATAGAACCAAAAAAGATACACAACAGTAGGAACGGCAATTAAACCAATAGCTCGAGCGTAGAAGTGCTTCATGAATTGGTTCTAAGTGATCAAGCATAATATAAATAATTGTCTATGAGTTCTGTCATCATTTGATTTGTTCGCCTTTCTTTCAAAACTGTTGACTTGATTTCAACGTCAGCACATACCATAGAAAGACCATGCTTTATATCTAAAAGCATCCATAGATCATAAACAACTGAAAGACCAATCATTCCAACCAAGAAAAGGCCTACCATTTTAACACTATAGTTCCATAGTCGCAATTAGTACACCTCTGTTCAAACATATAAACCTTATGATGATTTCGTTACCTGACAGTGCAAGCCATAAAAATGCCTGTAGCGATTAACCATACCCACCAACTTACTGAGAATGATTGATGTCTTAACTTTCTGAAGCGGATATAGCAGTAAATTGTCACTAGCATAAAAAACACTAGCATACTATCTAATAAGATCAAACGGTTTTGTGTGACCATAGCGTTGTCAAAAATATACATGGCCGCACTGAGCACACAGATAGGCAAAGAGTAACCAGATTCTTTCATGATACCGTAGATGACAGCGGTGCTAAGGACGTTTAGAGAGGCTGGTAAGGCACGTAAGCCAATATAAGGCACCTGATGATCGATGTATTTGTCTCCAATTTTAGCAAAATCATAATAACCGTCGTAGCCTAAGAGGTAACCAGCACCTGCAATCATGAGTTTAGCTAATGGAGGGTGTACGTCGAAATAATAAGTACGTTGCAGGTAATAACCTGCAAATTTGCCAAAGTGAACTTCATCAAATCTAAAGTTATTTCAGTTTGCAAATAAATATCTCGTCCAGACCCTTATTCAATTGATAGATAACTGTGGGAACGAGAAATACTTACACTACTTCAGCGGGGCTCCAGATTTTATAAAAAGTGACGAACACTGAAATAATGGTAAGAGTAGTAACCGCTATTTTGTGTCCTTCGGCACAACGTTGAACAGGTATAGAATCCTTTCCATACTATACATGTTTAAAGAATAAAAAAGTGGAATGTCTAAGTAAATGGGATAACACATACACAGTCATCTACATGACTTTTACGATGCTCTTCCAAAACGTCAAGTTACGATCGATACCTTTTTTGAATCATCATAGTCTACATCTGATAACGGTTTCTCAGCCATGTTGTCTGATTCGACACGTCTTTGTCGAAGTTCGGTCATTGCAACTTGCACGACTAAGCAATCGTAATCTATTATTCAAATATTTATAAAACGGTTATGAAAAAGGGGTTTAAAAAATCTAAGGGTGCTTTCCAATTATCTCAATTGGCCCTTTGTTACCCTTTTTTGGGACTTTTACTTTCATTTTGGGTTTGAAGTAAAACCACTTTTGAGAATTAATCTAAATTAAAAACCATAGCTCGCATTTCTACAACCACTTTGCCCTTAACTTTACTAAAGAAGTTAAGGAAACAAGAGCAAAATGATTGCTACGCCCCTGTAAATCAAAAATTGTAAACCTTTCAAAAGAACTTGACAAGTTCTACAAATGCTAAAGCTAGGAATTGATCGGAAGACAGTTTTTTAAGATTGCTTTGCCTTTTCAATTAAGCTGATGAACAATAGTATAGGATATCAGTCATATGTAAAGTTCGGAGTCCAATAAAAAAACGTGAAGGCTGTTGCTATTTACTCTAGAGCGCCTCTTAACAAGGATTAAATCTACCGCTGGAAGCTGCTGTACTTTCGCTCGGTCAAGAAACGGTCAATGGTATTTTAAAAAAGGTAAGTAGGAGGGATTGAAGATGAAGTAAAAGGTAAAGCTTACAGACGATAATACAGACATTATACGTATGATTCATCATTGATTAGCTGAAACGGTATGATGACTAAATATAACCAAATCAGACGCGCCTCTTGAAGACTGTAAGATTAGATTAACGATTAATGCAATATGCAAGTCTCAACGGTGTCTTTTTGCGACAGCTTCAAATAGACGAAGACGTAATGAAGTGTCTTTTTACAGAAGCAGGGGCTGTATTGAATAGCATTTTAGCTTGCCAAAATTGTGGAATGTTACGGCAATGTGAAGTCATTGCTTTGAGACACATTAAAAGCTTAACCTCGATAATCAATGGTCAAGGTCATCTTCGAACATTTTACAAAAGCAAGGAATGCTATTGTTTTAAATACATCACCGTATCAAACACGATCCTTTTTCTAAAGATTTAGATATCTACAGTAAAACAGAAGGAACAATAAGCATACTTGATTTCTGCCCCCAATTTTTCTTATATCTTATTTCTTTCTAATCGCAACAAAAAATTTGTCTAGAACAAATTTACGTTTATCGCAAATTAAAGCAAAAAACTGTACCAGCTTCCATTTTCAATTAGAGCCGCCATATATTGAAAGCCCGGCATGTTCTATCTTTTCTCGTTATACTCGTTTTGTTTGCATTGTGTTATCATATTCAAATATAATTTGTTCCATCTTTTGTAAATTGTCGAGATTATTCCTTGTGCAATCATATTAGACAATACTTATAACGGAATTTATGGCCACGAGAAGCAGAACTTTATTATTTCTTCAATTCAGAAATTCTTATGCGCGAACACAAAGTTCTTCAGCTCGTTATGCAGCAGGTTCTTCAGAAACAGAAGGTCTCATAGAAAGCTCAGACAGTGTGATTGAGATGTCGGTGCTACCACCACAATGGTAATTGTGCAGTTTTATAAAAGATGAAGGCCTATCAGCAAACTATGCATAGCTAAGATGTATGAGAAGGTCACTGTTATTAAATTGTTGAAACTGTGCACTTTAACCGTAGGGTAGATATTGTAGATGAAGTAGATGAGGCATTAGATGCAGTAAAAGATAAAAGTAAAACCACTCGTGGTTAAATTTAAAAGATATGTTTATCCATCCATATTTATACTTCTGACATTTGTATTACGATTGTAGTAACAAAATTAGAAGGAATGCATAGAAAACATTTACTGCCAGGCTTTGACGATCGGTCTTCTGATGAGGCAGCCATTGAGTCACTGACACAGGAAATTACAAATGTAACCAGATGCATCTTAGACTTCAGAAAGCTTTACTTTTGGTTAAATTGAATAATCTTATTCATTTAGGAATTCTATCGTATAAAAAGAGAGATACAACAAATAAGGGTCGGGAGAACGAGTTCAGATCAAGAGGATAAATTAGCAAGAAATATCAAAACAAGTCTAGCTACGAAAGTACAAGATGTGTCCTCCAAATTCAGAAAGCAACAGTCATCTTATTTGAAAAGTAAAGGAAAAAAGATATCGTTAAAGCTTGATTACATCGAAAGACTAATAATGTCCGCTGTGTATGTAGAACTGCAGAGCCAAGAGAATCGAAAAGCAGATATTCTAGGATTAGAACCGGATTTGAGCAGCGAGGCAGCTGAATTACTCTTAGACGAGGATACGCAAGTGGTAATATGCGATAGTTATATTATAGTTGAGAGGAGTAATCCCTTGAACTCAAGTGTATTCATCTAGGGCTTCACAGAATCTCAGTTAGCAGTACTAGAATCGTCCGAATTTACGATTAGTCAAAGAGAGAATGAAATCAATCAGATCGCCAAATCAATACACCAATTAGCAGAGATATTCAGAGACTTACAGGAAATGGTAATTGATCAAGGTTCTATGCTGGATAGAATTGATTTCAATATTGAGCAAACCAATGTTCAAGTGAAAGATGCTGTGATACAATTGGATAAGGTAAAAGCCTGTAAATTGATATTACGAATGCAGATATTGAAGTATTAATGACTTACAACCCTTTTACAGGCATCGAAATACCAAAACAAAACTAGAAAGCGTATGCTTATGCTACTACTGATTTTGATTATCATGCTTTTAGTATTTATCTTGATCATAAAAATCAGAAGACGTTAGACCAAGATCTTGTTTTGTACCATAAAGCCCCATGTAACATAAGTATAACGCATAATAATATTCCCGTTTATATAGATATTTATCATTGATATCACGTTAAAACAAATGTTTAGATAGTTTATTCAATCTATATTGTCTTGAATTTCTTTTCACCTTGTAAAAGGAATAAGTAGGTCTAAAAGTGAGATTAATTTGAGACGTATAAAATAACATTATTCTACAGGAAGCGATAGACTCCATCACTGTGTAAATACTATTTGGCATGCATAAGTTCTTTGCATAATTCATAAGAGTAAAACGTAACTCCCATTGCCGGTGCTACTTTTAAATAGTTGGGCACGAGCCCTTTGTACAGCGAACGAACGCCTTCCTTTTTGGCCATTGTTGTCAAGGCATGCCAAGTACCGTTATACTGATATTCAGCATGACTCATTCCTACTACTTGGAATCTTCGACGGAGTACGTCTAAAGGATAAATGATTGTTTGTGCAATGGAGCCTGCCAAAGCGCCGCAGAATAGCTTGTAAAGACCGCCATTACTGGGAGTATCAGCAGGTATAAGATAATCTTTCAAGACTTCATAGCATTGAAAATTCAACGCAACATAGGGCGCAACACCCAAAGTCGTGGGCCATAATCCGCGATAGAGACCACGTAAACCTCCTTCTGTTCTATATATCAATCGTGTGGTGGAAATAATGCCTGATGGTTTTTTCATGTGCTGTTGGTGACTATGAAGTGATTGATCATTGTTGCCTTTTTGACTGACAGAAAGGGAGGCAGATTGTATGGAAAGTCGCGTTCTGACTAGATCTAATGGGTATGTACAAGTGACGGACACTGTGCCTGCAACAACGCCAGCAATGAGACGTCTTGGTGTATCTAATTCTGTTCTATTTTCTGTTTTGGTTGCGAGAAGAATCTTTTTGCATTGTTCATAAGCAGCAAATTGCGAAGCACTGTAGGGAATCATGCGTATTACATTTGTGCCATTGCCTTTCATAAAACCCTTCCATCCTTCCTCTTTCCAAATTCGAGATAATGTTGACCATATACCAGTATATGCAGGCATATGAGGACCTTGTATCTAAAACAAATTCCGTAGATAGATGTTAAACTTCTGTCAAAGTTTGAAAACTTTTTATTTATATAGGCTCACATGTGATTTTCAAATGGTTGCCGCTACGTATTTACTACACTTACTTGAAATAGAATTTTCATTCTTTCCATTGGACTGACTACCGTTCTGGAAATAGCACCTGCAACACCGCCTGCAATCAAATGCTTCATTGTATCGGATGAACCCAGCTTTTCTTCCTCTAGGGGAGAGATTTTAGTATTCGTAACATTGTCGGCTGTTATAGAAGAAGCATTATTTTTGTTGGATTGATGACTGATGAAGATATTCATGACTTTTCCGAACTGTTCCGAGGGGCTGCTATTGCTGTTCATATTGTTGATGACATGACGAGCGTGGAGATGATGATCCTGTTCAGTTTCTTCAACAACATTGAATGCTATGGCTGAAAGCAGAAGATTATCTTGATTATTCGCCAGTGTCGAATCATGAGAAGGTTGGATCAGGGTTCTATCGTTGTTTTCATCTTCTATAAAATTTTCCTATATTTGGTTAGGATTCATATTCTGTGAGCAACAGGATTAACCCAAAATTTTTGTAGTACTTCAATATGATTTTATACGACTAATACGCCTTACCTTTGTATCTAAAGCTGTAAACGTTGTGCGTAAAGGATAATTATTTGTGAGGGTAACATATGAAACGGTAGTTCCACGATAGTTCTGACCTTGATCTAATGTGTTTAGAGATAACTGTTTCATACTCTGTTGTGTATAATTAAGTGTTGTGTTCTCCATATTTTTTCCACCATCAAAAGTCTTAAGTGATGATTGTACGAAGAAGGTAGGAGGGTATTGTTTGGAGAAAAGTTTAGGAAAAGGTTACGGGTATCTAAAAAAAAATGTGGGGTAAGCAGGAAAGAAGAAGAAAATACCGAATATGCCTGTAAAGGGTATTTTTTAATGTTCACCTTTTTGCCATTTCCGACTGTCAGGCTTTGACTGATTGAAATTACAGGGACAGATAAACTTGTCCAATGAGAAAAAGCGATCTATATACTTTAGCTCTTACTCTGCTTAGAGTCAGAAAGGATTACAATTTTACATTGCTTCAAGAAGAAAATCTATGATAGAAAAGTGCATGCATCTTTTACATAGAAAGGAATAAAGGCAGTAAAGTAGACTTTCGTACCTGTTCTGGATTTTTTGTTCGAACGACGGAAAACTAAACCAGTGACATTAATTGCAGATAAAAAACATATATGATTTGGTTTTCTTATTTGTTCCTTTTCAACTTGCTTTTGAAAGCACACCAGCGGTCATCTGCAATTGACGCACCTCAAGTTTTTCCGTACTGTGCCTTCGGTAATATTTGCAGGTGAAAGGTTGCTACGAATATATGCTAAAGAAATTAATAGAAACAATATAAAAGCAATCAGACTGAAATGCCGATAAAAAGTTGACTTTTCATTCACTGAGATCCAAGACATAAACATATTTATATTAAGCTGCATTATAAAGGATTAGAACCAGATCATTATGTCAAACTTAGAAAGCAGGTCTTAGGAACAATAATCATATCATTCTTGATTGTAATATCAATGTATATGGCTTATGTACCATTTAATCGAACTGTATACGGTACGAAACAAATGAAAGGATAGTGGATTATGTTCTGGCAATATTCTGCAAGACACTTTCCTTGTTCTTTATTTCTTGAAATCTCGACTCCCAGGAGAGAAAGAAGGGGCAACAAAAGTAACGGTAAGGAGGATATTGAGGATTGAGATAAGTCGGCACCAAAAAGCTCCACAAGACACTTGATGACGTTTTCCTTCACTTTGATGTTGCTGTCCAATAGTCTATTTGCAATGATCCTTGTAATGCAACTGAAGTCTTCCTTCATTGCAACTGTCAATGCTTGCAAATCAGCATGCTAAATCAACTTCTTTTCGAGCGTTGTGACAAAGGTCGCAAGAGTACCCCAATCCTTGCTGATATCCTTGAAGCTGATTTTACGTACCTTGGCTGCAGCACGAAAAGTGGCAAATGCTGTGGAGAAATCAGGCGTTGGGGTATTATTTAGATGTGCTATAGCCAGCGCTTGCACAAACCGTGATGCAATTTTTTCTGTTGAAATATTGGAGGTACCCTCATTATGCGGCATATCGCACTATGTGAAACAGTAGTCGGGATGAGGCAATCGCAATCAATTTCATCAATTGCGGCACGCCAAGAAGCAAAAGTGCTGCAATCGTCATATCCAGTACTTACTTGGCGTAAGGATGAGATGGATACAGAATGAAATGCGTATGACTGATTATTGAAAGCTTCAGAGAACTCTTTGACACAATCCTGTCGGTAAAATATTCTGGTAGAACTAGGTTGTATGGAGTTGATGGAAGCTGAAGTTGATGGCTCAATGTCCACGCGGTGGTCGTGATGTAAATTCACAGATAAAATGTTCATATACTTGCTACCAATCTTCAGTTTATCTTGGATGGCACTCCCATCAGCCTTGAGGTATTTGACGACTTGTAAGAGTTAAATATCACTTAATTAAAACAATAAAAAGCTTAAGGAAAATATCTACTGACAGCTGAGTTATCCTACTCAAAGAAGACGTACGTCTTCTGAACCGTAAAAGAATAGAATTCTCCCTTGAGGAGCTTACGCATCTATCCGGAGCGGGTGGACTTGTAAACCTATCCATGGCTTGATCTAGTGATCATGCAACTAATCATTTTTCCCGTGCTGACTATTACGCAACACTGCTTGCAGGAAAATAGTATTGATTAGGAGAATAGTATTCGTGCGTGGTGTTTGAGTTGAGTGAACAGTTATTGTAAACGATGATAACAGCCTATTATCTTGTAATCATCATTTATGCTAAAGGCAGAGAATGGTACTTATAACCTATTGTACCTTGGTGTTAAATCAATATATCCTGCATGTCCATATATTAATTCTACTATATATCCTATGTCATACAGTAACGTATTATAGTTAAATATAACCTAAATGACAGCCTGTTCAGCCTTGTACGAGGTAGCTAATCTCGTATAAGGATCATCACGTATTCTATATTCGTTTCCTCCTCTACTTTATATTATTTCAGCAGTAATGAGGTGTGAGGATCTTGTATAATCTGTATACGACTTCTCCACATCTCATAAGATGCTGTCAACAAAACACAACACTTAATTCACGGTACTCATATATTAGAGTTTATGCAGTTTCTAATTATTTCTGGTTTGCAATAGTGTATAGTTCATCTTTATCCTTCATAAAGTGAATTATAATCTTTAATATCTGTATATCATCTACCCCCCAAATACGGTAAGCCTCTTCAAAATTACCCGCGCATAAAGATGAATGATATACTGTCGAGTTGGTAAGTAGGGGAAATGATTTAAAGTTTGTTTCTGCATGGACATCAATTGATTTGGCACGACCACAGGCCTCAGCGACCAAAATAAGAATCACACCCTTGCCAACAACGATTGAGCCTGCAACTGCTTGCAAGAGGGAAGGCCGTCTTCGAAAATCATAATTCAAGCACTTTGAAGATCTTCAACGGGTTCCACATAATCACCCATATTGCTGAGTAGGCTGGGCAGCCATGACTTACGTACTAATTGCTTGAGGTGCTCCACAGCTTTGTCAGCAGTGACTGGCTGATGATCACTAATTGCGCTTCCGGATATTTGTGCAGCAGGAGTAATTTTAAAGTCATCTGTGTGCCGTTGCAGCACACATGTCAACTGGGATGTGTGGATTGCAAGGTGAGAGGAAGCTGCATAAACGCGTTATGCAGGTCATCTTCATGAAGCAGGGAAGGCAATGTTATCGGATTCTCCAATGAGTTGCAAAAGAGGTGCAAGGCAATAGGATCATATTCCAATAAGCTAGCAAATTGTGTGGATCGCCTCTCGCAGTCAAGCTTAAAAATATCCTGACATTCGTTGCCTTTTGTGAAAGCTGTAGCTGTAATCTTATGTCGTTTGTGTTAATAAGTGATTGCAGAATTATCCCTGTCTAAAGCTCTGCTGCACATGATATACAAATACATATGTCTTTTCATATATCCAACCATAAAATCTTTTTGCTCGTTTTTTTTTTTTTTTTAAAAAAAAAAAAAAAAAAGAATATGCACCAGCGCAGAAATAGTTTTATACAATGTATTTAGCAATTAAGAAACTTGTTTATTTACGTATCAGAATATCGTATCGGTTTAATAGTCATCAAATTGACACTAAAATCAGTGCTGTTTACAAAAAAGTTGAAGACTGAACAATACTCATTAAGTGAAATGCTAGGAAAATATACTTACTCCTGCTGTCAGGGAATGAGGGAGAGGGAGGGGGCTAGTTAGGGTTGGGATCGCTTAAACTGAATATGTTCAAGTATAGAAAGTAAAGATCCAAGTGTTGTGGCAATACGCAAACGGACTTAAAGTAACGCATTATAGAACAATGTACGGTAGTAACAATAAATCCCTCAAAACGACTTAAAGACTGTGAACTCACAACATTTGATTGTTTGTATATTGAACGAACAAAAGTAGTCAACCTAAGACCCATAGTCTGCTAATCGCGATAGAATTGAGCAGTTTACTTCTGACCTGTTGAAATAATTACTAGGAAATGGCATTAGTCTCAATGATCAACAGATAACTGATGACCCATTATACCTATGCTTTTTCCAATGGTTAGTAAGATGCTGCAAGTTGGAGCGATGCACTGAAATCTTTTAGTAATATCAACTAACCCAGCGATTCCGATCTCCCATGTGATTTGTAAGCATAGGTCCCTTTTTTTTGGATGTTGTGCTCGTAGTGCCAGAAAATAAAATAGATGGCATGTTTTCTGATATACAATAACAGAGAACTGAACGCTTCCTCGAGTGTACAACAAGTATCAAGCCACCTATTACTTTAAACTTTTCAACACACGTATGTATTTTCCGGTTTGAGAAGCGTTTCATTACGAATAGATGATTCGCCGCTCACATTTGACTCGAGGTAGATAACGGTGCATCTGATAAGATTCTTTAGCATTTTGGACTGATCGACACTAGTAGTAAATATAGCCTGAAACTGATGGACATGATCATTAGTTCCCTAAAGAATCCTGAAAGCGTGTTTCAAAAATGCGTGTTTCAATCTCTCCATAAGATGTAAACGCCTTATCGTAGGCTAGTAGGAAGGTTTCCTTCTTGTATTAGTCATTCTCCTTTACCTTATCTAATCTATAAACTTTCAAACAACGAAAATGGCACATAGGAATGAAGGAAGAGGCATTTGATCTTTGATCCGTTTAGACAAAAAACTTTTTAAATATGAAATTCCGATCTAAAAGGACGAAAAACCTGCAATCTGGAAATGTTTCTATGCTACTTTTTCTTAAAAAGAGTTGGAACACGTCCGACAAACACACAGAATTACAGCGAACAAAATTAAATAGCAGACAATGTTTCTTAGATAATAGTGCCGTGATCTGCTTGGCATAGAATTTCCGTCGTATAAGGGTTATGCATTTTTACACACGCTAACCGTTATTATGCTTCATAATGTCGAAACTTGTAAGCTCCAACATGCGATAGGTTGATGTAGTGCTAATTAAGTTATATTCTGAAGTGCACTCTTGCCGCTTACCATCATAATGAACAACAATATGAAAATAGAAGGGGAATGCATGAAAGCAGACATCATATGAAATTCCTAAAAACATGTTGCCGAAAGGGAAGAAATTAATCTCAGTTCACAACGTTATTCCTGCGTTTGATCCGCATCATCAGATAATCGAGGCAATCATTACCGAATAGTTTACTCATCACTGTTTCTCATCTTTTGAAGGGTCTGGATATAGTGCTAACATTTTAGTAAAGCCTTCATCATCGTTCCCCAAGAAATGGCAAATGATATGACAATTGTTGACTCTCTATGGACTTTTTAAAAAACGTACGTGGATCGCTGCAATGAAACAAACAATAAGGCATATTTCCATAAGGTTTGCATTCTCTTGCCTTGTTATTAAACAATTTTCTATTTATAGGCTGCTCAATAAAAGCACAAAGCTGCACAGACGCACCGAACTCTAAAAGTCTGCAGATGGAAAAGTTTAGAAGGTACGTGCTCAACAAACTTTTTTTGCTGCTGTCATTCAATTCCACTGCTGCAGTTTCAGCCTATAATTATTTGAACAGAAAAAAAGACGCGTCTAATGGACGTGAATGGCCAGAGGCGTCAGAATGGAAATATATTCCACCAACATATGCATAATAAATAGGGACACTATCATAGAAAAAGCTATTGACCAACGTAAATTCAATCTATCTTGACGGAAAAGTCTATTATGGTTCAGCATTTTACAGTATTTTCGTTTTTCCTCTTTTTTACGACATGTTAAGTTGGAAAAATTTTGATTCACCGCTACAAAAGCAGAAGGGATAACCACCCGCACTTTACCTATATTTTTTTTTTTCAACTTTTGGGTTTAAACAAATGTGCGGTTTTTCGACAATAGAAGCCTTAATCGATAAGACCAAAAAGCGAAGGAATAAAAGAGAAACACCCCCAAGAGTTTATTCATATTAAACAACCGAAGCAGCAGCAGCAGCAGCGAACTGTAAAGCAACACCACTTTCGTTTTAGACTTTTCGTATATAAACAGTCGAGAGATGTATCTTGGTCCTCCAAAAAACACTCTTCACTCTTCCTTTTTTCACTTCTTTCTCTTTGACGATAACTACTTGAGAGTCATCTTTCTTAATATCTTTAAAATTTAAGGATGGTGCAAAGTAGCTTTATTTTATCCTCCATCGCTTTGCTGGGCTTATCCCACCTAATGCTTGGTGGCGTTGAAGCCGCTCCTTCAGTCCATGCTGCCCGACATTTGTTCGGCAGAGTCTATAATTCACATCGTTTGTTCTCAAGGAATATGCTTGTCGATGAACAAAACAATGGCACCGACGTTAATGCCTCCAGCTCTTGTCCTTTTCCATTCGATAATAGCACTACGAACGTTGTAAGTTATCAGAATTCCTTTAATTACTAATGCAGCCACCTTCAACTGCTTTTTTAACGCTGCAAACCGAAAAGGAAGCAATTCAGCTAAATATTCTATTCTTTTTTCCGACTCTAAATGTACATCATAGCTTAACCATTTCCAAGGTATCTTTCTTGGTGATTATGATGTTCGTGTTCCTGGTGGCGACATGGACGGCCCTCTGGCCGTTGGTGGTAACTTCTACGGTCAAGACTTCCAGATCAATACAGATGCTGACGATAAGATCTGTAGTCCTGATGAAGACAAGAAGAACCCTTATCAAGATTATGGTTTAGTTATTGATGGTAATTCCAATGCTAAGAACGTTTCCGTCAAGGGTAACACATACCTTGCCAAAGGTGGCGTTGGTATCACGGCTAATCATATGCCCTGTACTGTTGATCTCAAGGACAATGGTGGTTTGGACTTTAGGAAGCTTAGTGAAAATGCTATGAAGGCCTCTGATTTCTTGGCTAAACAAAACCCTAATATGGTGATGGATAAGGATGGTAACTTGAAGCCTGTCAGTGGCAGTGAAAATGCTCCCTTCACTTCCATCAAGTTCGATTCTTGTAATACTGCTGGTAACTGTGGTGTCCCCTCTAACCAAGCCTCTAACCCTGATAGTATGATTCGTGGTAAAAATTACAACGGACCTAAAGGTGTTATTCCTTCCGATAAGCCTGTCATAATCAATGTACGTTTTCAACTAGTGACTACTCGTATGAAATGCACTTTATTAACATCCTCCAACGACTTTGCTCCTTAGATTCCTGTCACTACCGGCACTACTCTTACTTTGGATGGTGCTGATCCAGGTGCTGGCCTTCAAGGTTGTAATGTCATCTACCACGCTTATCCTGTTGATGATAAGGGTAACTACTTGGCTAACGGTACCTTCTTGGTCAACCGAGAAACTGAAAAGTATATTCCCGGCCTCTTTTTTGCTCCTCGCGGTACGTTGCCAGTTTGCTTTTAAATATACATATAGGCATTACGTTGTAGCAAAAGGAAAAAAAAAAAAGCAAGCTCAATGGTACTTACTGTTTTATTTTCTTTTTCTTACAAATACAGGCACTATCTCAGAAAGCTCTAAGGGGGGTTTTGAAGGTCAAGTTATTGCACAAGGCTACACTGCCAATGGTCAAAAGGCTCCTGCTTTGAAGGGCTATAGCGATAAGGAATGTATGGCTAAGAGAGGCTGTTTCCCTTTTAATAACATTGCTGGTGGCGCTTCTGTTAACAGCACTGCTCAACCAAGCAGGTGTTCTATCCCTCCTGCTGGTACCACTAATATCAACCTTCCTGGCTATGGTTCGCCTGCCACTGCTCCCACTGCAACTGATTGTGGTAACGGAGCAATTGGTGCCCCCTCTGGACAACCCATTCCTCCTAGTGAAACTACCCTTAACTTAGGCGATCCTAGAGAAACCAACCCTGCTGGTCCTAACTTGGGTGGACCTAGAGGTGGTGGACCTGACTTTGGTGGACCTAATAGAGGTGGTGGACCTAGTGGAGGTGGACCTGACTTCGGTGGACCTAGAGGAGGCGGACCTAATGGAGGTGGACCTGACTTTGGTGGACCTAATAGAGGTGGTGGACCTAGTGGAGGCGGACCTGACTTCGGTGGGCCTGACTTCGGTGGGCCTAGAGGAGGCGGACCTGACAGAGGTGGACCTGACTTTGGTGGACCTAATAGAGGTGGTGGACCTAGTGGTGGTGGACCTAACGGAGGTGGACCTGACAGAGGTGGACCTGACTTTGGTGGACCTAATAGAGGTGGTGGACCTAGTGGTGGTGGACCTAACGGAGGTGGACCTAACGGAGGTGGACCTGACAGAGGTGGACCTGACAGAGGTGGACCTGACAGAGGTGGACCTGACAGAGGTGGACCTGACAGAGGTGGACCTGACAGAGGTGGACCTGACAGAGGTGGACCTGACAGAGGTGGACCTGACAGAGGTGGACCTGACAGAGGTGGACCTGACAGAGGTGGACCTGACAGAGGTGGACCTGACAGAGGTGGACCTGACAGAGGTGGTTCTAGAGGTGGTGGACACAGAGGTGGTTCTAGAGAAACTGGACATGACCTCGATGATCCTAGAGAAACCAATCCTGCTGGTGAAACTACCCTTAACTTAGGTTATCCCGAGAAACCCTCTGATGATGATGATGATGATAATGCCAAACCTTCTGTCACGGACTCGACCTCTCCTTCTGCTGAAACTCGTATGCCTCTTCCTTTTGCTACCTCTTCTGATGAAAAGCCTACCGCCACCACTTCACCACATCGTAAAGGCAAGGATAAGGAAATCAACACCACGGCCACTACTGAACCTGAATCAAGCATTACTATGACTAAGACCAAAAAGCCCAAGAAGAACAAACACAAGTCTACTACTACTGATACTGCTAAAGAGGAACCTACTGAAACTGAAACTAGGGTAAAGTCCACAAAGACTGAAAATAGCGATGAAGACGCTACCCCTACTACTACTGAAGAAGCTGGAGAAGAAACTTCCATTCCTTTTACCTCAACTACTACCAAGTTTAAGAATGATAAGAAGAAGAAGCACCAGAAGGGTGATGACGAAGAAGAAACTTCTACTGAATCTAAGGATGAAGATGAAGTAACCAAGACTAAGGATAACTATGATGAAAAAGAAACCTCTACTAAATCTAAGGGTGAAGAGGAAGTAACCAAGACTAAGGATAACTATGACGAAGAAGAAACCTCCTCAAAGCCTAAGAAGGATAAGAAGAAGAAGCACGACAAGGATGATGACGATGAAGAAACCTATACTAAATCTAAGGATGAAGAGGAAGTAACCAAGACTAAGGATAACTATGACGAAGAAGAAACCTCCTCAAAGCCTAAGAAGGATAAGAAGAAGAAGCACGACAAGGATGATGACGATGCAGAAACCTATACTAAATCTAAAGATGAAGATGAAGTAACCAAGACTAAGGATAACTATGACGAAGAAGAAAACTCCTCAAAGCCTAAGAAGGATAAGAAGAAGAAGCACGACAAGGATGATGACGATGAAGAAACCTATACTAAATCTAAAGATGAAGAGGAAGTAACCAAGACTAAGGATAACTATGACGAAGAAGAAACCTCCTCAAAGCCTAAGAAGGATAAGAAGAAGAAGCACGACAAGGATGATGACGATGAAGAAACCTATACTAAATCTAAAGATGAAGATGAAGTAACCAAGACTAAGGATAACTATGACGAAGAAGAAAACTTCTCAAAGCCTAAGAAGGATAAGAAAAAGAAGCATGATCAGGATGACGACGACAAAGTAACTTCCAAGGGCAAGGACAATGATAACGAATGGGACACTGCCTCACCTGAAGATGACAATGACGAGAGTGGAAAGAAAGACTAAAACGAAAAAGAAGAAAAGGCTAATAAGACCCATTAGGGTTAGGACCGTGCCACAACCGAAACTGATGTCGAGATTGCTTACGACAAAGATGATGAATAAGCATATTATATCATAAATATCCATATCCTATAAACAAACCCTTTCTTTATTTTATTTTGTATATTTAAAAATACTTTTTAATACTCTTGTTCCTTTTTATTTTATTTCAACTCATAACAAAGATTAGTATCCTCTGTAGCATATAATACTTGTAAATTACAATAAAGATTCAGCCTTTCTTTATACACGGTTCTTTCTAGTGTTTCTGTTTATTCGACGTCAACCATGGCGTCCTTCTCAGCAAGCCTGGGTCATCAGCCAATGTTTATTTTGATGACGAATGGCTTCGTTTTCACTTTTAAAAGCGTGTTTATAGTCTTTGTTTACTTTCTATCTTTGTTAAAGTGCAACTCATAAGCCTCATTCACATTTTCCTTTTACGACAGCATTTTATTTTTCAGAGCTTCAAAACTAGCATGTGAGCCTTAAACCATCAAATTTCGGAGTAATGCCTTAAAGTATATCTTTGCAGTTGAAGAGATAAGTTTACTGGTTTATATCATAATGAAAAAAGTACTGTGTGGCTCAAACAGATTTAAAGACACATGAAAACGTACACATACGACAGCAATGTGTGGCATATTTTCTTATTTGAGAAGGTTCATTCAAAAACCATCATCATGTTCGTGTAGAATGGCTAGAATTTTACAGAAGTTTCAGACCTCGGATTTGAAGCCTTTCGCAAATTGGTTTGTTACTTAAAAAGGTAAGCCATATGGTTCGTTATTTTTTTTTTTATTTTTGGTTATTTTTATGTTTTGTTTTGGAGGTCTTTTTTGTTATCGCTGCCCCTATAGTTAGTGGTATGAAAGTCGAGTGATGTAAGCTTAGCTGATAGCTGTTTATAAAGGGATATTAGTAGCAGTCCTTGACTATTAAATATAGTAAAGAATTTGCTGTGAGATTTTTTTTTGTCTGGTTGCAAATTCTGTCAGTTTAAAGAATACGAGCATTTTTGGGTGTGGTTTGGCTCAATACCGCATGGTTGAGTTACTTTGATTTTTCTAGCAAGTATTCGAGCATTGGTCAACGATACAAGAAGAAGCTCACACTTCGGGTTTTGGGACGACTGAGACAGCCAAATAAGTACTTGATGCTCGTACGTGTCCTGTTCCCTTTACTTTTTTTATTTCTTTTTTATTGTATTAGATTACATGCAAAATGTTTATATTGATATCAACCGCTCCAGCACTGAAACAAATAGCGTAAATTGAAAAATAAAAATAAAAATTACTATTAACGAGACATCATCCTTTAAAGACCTTCTTTTGATTTGGTGAGTATTCAACTTCTCTTCTCTCTTCTCTTTTCTACTTTTTCATAGTATTTATTCATAAAAAAGAAATCAATCAAGCATGAAATTGATTTCAACATCTATATCTTTCTTTTTATTGTCAGCCACATCGTTTGTTGTAACTGCGACTCCACAGCGTAGATCAGATATCAATGAGGTTGTGACAGCAGAAACACCAGACTCCTCTATTATCGATAATTTACTTGATCACAACGCAACAATACTCAATACAGTGAAAGCTTTTGACGGTATCATTTTCGGTAATTTTGAAGCACAAACTGGAACACAGAGATTCAATGGATCACTTGCCGTCCAAGGCAATTTTACAGCAACCAACTTCAAAGTAAACTCTGACAGAACGATAGACTGTCCGGTAAATACGACTGCAGTCTCTTTGGATAGTTTTGGTCTTGTCATTGGAGGAGCTCTAACTGTCAAGAATGCAACTGTTAATGGTGCCTCATATCACGCTTCTGGAAGTGTCACTGCTGAAGGCATAAAAAACAACGACTGCAATCGCTATGCTAATATCGACTTTAATGTTCTCCAAAATGAGGCACGTACTATTTCCAAATTCTTTGCCAATCAAAGACCCAACATGGTTATTCGTGACGTAGGATACCTAACAGATGGCGAGTATACAAGCACTAGCAACCAAGACTATTATATCTACACTTTCAATAAATGCGCTGAAAAATTCTGTGAATTACCTAATTATCTGTATTCTGATTCCGAGGAGATCTTCAATGGTGGCAACTGGACTGGACCATACAATGCGAACTATCCAAAGGACAAACCTATCATTTTCAATGTGAGTTATTTTCTCATCGACAAAAAACGTTCCTTTCCTATAGCTATAATTTTGCTCTTCTAACGTCCCTGGAAACTCATTTGCTTTAAACTTTCCAGATACCTGTCCAAAATAATTCATTCTTCAATATGTCAACAGCAAATCCCGCGGCTGGTCTCGAGGGTGCTGCCGTTCTGTATAATGTTTATCCAGCCACAGCCACAGGAGCATATGATCCTTCTGGCCACGTTGTTTGGCTACGTAATACGACTCACATTATCAACGGTTTTATGCTGGCGCCTTCTGCATTTGTCGTTGAAAATAATATCGGTGGTTTTAATGGGCACCTGGTGGCATCACAATATTTATCTGTTCTCGAAAACGAATATGCCTTACTGAATAGTAATCCTTTACTGTACAATGCATTACTTAATAATAACTTTACCCTGAATGATAGAACTGACTTCAACAACAATATTACCACTACTAATAATTCCACTACTCCTATAAATTACAATAACACCAGCACTAATAGTGGAGCATAATAAAATCATAAATTGTAATTAAAACAACCGATTTCCCTCTTTTATAAATTGTTTGTCATTATTTCTTCGACTCAATATTGTTTATTATAGCTTCCTAGACAGCACATAGATCAATTTTATTGTATATTCTGGAGTGCTTTCCTTCCAGTACTTCTGTTTTTATAATACACAAACGAGCAGTTACACATCTTGTTTAATTGAACAAAAAGGGTATATATTCCGCCTTTTTCAGATTTATTTTTATTTCATTTTTGAGAGGAGCTCGGTTCCAGTCTTATAATAGTTGGGAGAGCAAATAAACTTAGACTATTTTGGTTAAATTTTACCAGATCTTGTGCTCTAGACCCATTTCATTATTAGCCGTAAGACCTACGGCAGCTCTGAAAATGTTTTCAATAGCCGTACGCTGTCTGCTTAGAGCATTGACAACTGGTGTGCCGGAAGAAACCATAGGAGCCTTCAACATGTAACTCAAGATACTGAGAACACTATGGAAATGACTGAATTTCGTCATATCAGCGGTCTTATATTGAAGACGAGTCATCAATTCTGTCATAACAACCAAATCAATGATCAAAGGTGAGGCAAGAAGCGAATCCTCGCAAATGTTGTACATGGAGATAGATTGACGGCCTCCCATAAAGATGTCGCATTCATATTCGTCGAGCGCACGTTTAGAATCTCCAACGGAAGGAACATATTTGATCACAACGGTGTGATCAGGATGTTCATTCTTGGCGTAGAGCAAATGGTTAGCGGCAACCATATCATCAACAACAGTTGATTTCGATATTTCCTTGGATCTAAATTGTCTCTGAGAAGACAGGTTTTTACCATCATTGTTGCCTAAATGGTTATAAGACGTAATAGCTACAGGCTTAATACCCGCATTGACAAGGAAGTCAACAAGAGCAGATTTCATTTTCGTTTGTCCGGATTTGAAATCGTCACCACCAATGAAAGTATGATGACGTTCAGCGAGTTGTATCAAACCAGGCACAAAGGTATTCTGAGGTGATCCGTTGATAAAGGGAGCACCTTCTTCAATAGCAGCAAGGGCAAAGATGGAGGAGGGAGCAATTTCATCATGAGAGTTCTCGACAGCAGCCAAGAAGTTATCAGCAGTATCATTAACACCATCGATAAGTTCGGCAAAGCGTTCAGTATTGGCAGTCCAGAGTACAATAACCTTATCTAAACCATTGTTGGCCTTGAAGTCCCGAATATCTTTACGAATTTGATTGACGTGGGCGCGTTTATTGTTACCAGGGATTAAATTATCAGCACGATCTTCTTGATTGGCTGCGATAAAGTCAGGATAGTAGATAGAAGGCAAAGGAACCATATTGACCATGTCATCTTTTACTTGACGTTGAAGATCATAAGGGAGAACTTTGGCGCGTTCCATAGCTTCAGCTAAGTTCTTACCAGAGATGTCCCAACCGCCAATAACCAATTCAGTAGGATCTACCATGGGTAACATATCTTTCATGGGAACATAAATGTCATTTCCTTCAGGATCAACACCTAAACGAACAGTGGAAGATTGAGTCACGGAGCCGTAATAATTGGGTTCATGAGCGCCAGTTCTAGTATGCCAAGTCAGCTTCTTTTTATGTGATAGAATAGAAGCTGTCAAAGTCGAACCATTGTTGCCGCCCCATCCGACAAGCATTACACTAAAAAAAAAGTTGGTAAATCATTCAGACGCGATCTTGAGGACATTAAGGCGTTTTCAAACGCGATTTGCCATTTATGAGAATAGCTTACCCAACACGGGGGACAGTACGTTCCGTCTTGAACTCATAAATTGTTTCTGTAGGCTCAGCAATCAAAGTACCATCAGCTTGCTTTTTCACCAACGTGTTGAAATAAGTGTACTTGGAAAAAATGTGGTCATTCGTGTATTGGACATTAGGGGAATTAACTTTAAATAAGGGAGTAGGAGAGTTGAGGGTACCATTAGAGGTAGCGGTGGGATGGGAAATTTCTGCGTTAGGAGGTGCCATTTTCAAGTCTTGTTGTTTCGTTTGTTTATTCAGTTCTTAGGTTGACTTTTTAGGACGATCACTACACCGCTTATAGCCTCTGTATGGATTGTGTGTTGAAGATAAAAGATTTGCAAACTACAAGTTGATAATTAACCCATATTTTCGAATTAAAAAGAGGAACGTGCGTATGCGCTTATGCTGTATGTCATTTGCTTTACTTACCGTTTTGAAAAAGAGGTGCGTTCGTTTAGAATTCGCCCCTCAGATCAAATGGAAAATTTGTAAAGTAGAAAAAGAGAGAAAGATGCAAAAGAAAACAATAGAAGCCAAAATTCTCATTTTCAAACCCTTCAAACACATGTGTAACATTTGATGAAAAATACGGATAGCAATGCAGAGACCATTAAAATCACTTTTCTGCTCACTTTATCATTGAGAACATCGGGTAAAATTCTCCTGCATTCCCCAGATTTTATCCACAGTTTTTTTTTCGATTAAAGTTACGTTGGAAAAATCGAGTATATTTATGAGAAAAATATACACACATTTTAGATAAGTATTTAAGTGAAAGTGCAAAGCTTTGACAAATAGTATCATTTTAAATTGAAGGCTATTGATCCTGCAGTTATACCCCAAAACGTGGCAATCTTATGTAGGTGGTGTACACGAAGTCCGACAATAAAGCTATACTGCCTGTTCTTATACTGCCCACATTATGTAAAGCTAGCCGTTTTGTATCTGCAGATTATAGTCGACAAGATGAAATACGCTCAAAATTAAGAAAACTCTAAGCATTCGCTCAAAAATGAGGCGGAGGCGGATGTCTAATTTATTGTTTTGTTCAGAATGTTGGTCTTCACTGACGGTTATATGTAATGACATTCTAATTAAAAGATCTATGCGTAAAGTTTCGCAAAGAGAAAAAACAAACAACTGCAAAAAAAAACAGCCTATATCTTTTTATTACCACTACTACTTCTACTGCTGTTGTCAATCATTGCTTTGCTATTTGAACTTTATGGCCATCACTAACTAACTAATAGCATCTAAATTATAACCTTTAATGGATTTGTAGTCATTGACGACCAGCTTCAACATAATTTGTCTGAAACTTCTAACCCAACATGTTACGTCGCAGGAGAAAAGGAACGGTACGCTGAAAACTATTATTTGCTGAATATGCTGATCTCTAAGGTAGAAATAAATCAATGAAAAAGCCGAAACCTAAAGTTCTTCTGTCGCAAGAACCAAACGTTCTGGCTAAAGTTGCAAATTCTCTTAGATTTATTGTATAGTACTCCTGGAGCCCAAACCGTTTTGTACATCCCACTCTCTCCAAATATTGTTGGTTACATGTTAGTTTTGGCTATAAAGAACCAACCTTTATGAAGATTTTTACGCACAGGTAGATAGTACACCTGAAATCCACTACTTGAGTATGTAGATAATTTGTTTAGATATATGCATAATCTCTTGCAAAAAAGAAGCTGAAAACCTAGACGATGGACCAAGCTTAAATAACCGATTAAGGAGTCATAAATGCGGCCTCATCTATGATAGCTTTATCAAATAGGCTACTGCATCTATTTTTTCAAAATTTCTTTGTTCCTTGCAGAAGTAAAATGGTTACTGCTATGTATTGTTTAGGTGAACAGTAAAAGCAAGAAAAGGTATGCAACAACTTGAGAAGCAAATGTGACTTGAAAGCAGCATTAGATCATGATATAGGGGCTTATTTTGGAAGAAACCTTTATGGTTCGACAATAAAAAAAAACTGAGAGAGTAGCAGCTAGTTTATAAGCTCTTAAATGGGCAAGTGCTGCGAAAAGCATTGAAATCCAGATATAACAGATATAAAGTGAGTGAAATATTCTTGCTAGAGTCTTTCCCCATTGAGACTTCATTGATAGTGCGTCGTAAAAACAGTTTCAATAAACACAGATCATAGTTTGCGCCATATTATATTTCGAAGCTGATCGACCCTGGCTATTGCAGCATTATTGAGTGAACAAAAAATGCGATCAAGCTATTGATGTAATATAATTGTTAAACTGATGTGCAGAGTAAACAAATAGAAACTTAAGAACTATCCGAGACGTAAAGAAAAGATCAAGCAATAGCCATTAGAAAAGTTATAATAAGTCCAGAAAAGAAGTAGCCAAGATGTATTTTGAGAATCGCACAGAACGTTATAATTTGTAGAGCTGACGCCCTGCAAAATACTCTTGCTGTCGGGTGTTCGTTTTGAGGAATTTTTAAATATGCATGCTTAAAAGTATATCTTTTGTTCACTACGTACAGGGTTTTAATGGCAGCAACTAAGTTTCGACAAGCGATCGCTGAACCTTTGTCGAGAATTACTTCTGTTAATTCCAAAATAATTGAAGAGATACTATACCTACCGAAGATCGCACCCCAACATCAGTTTATTATACCTGTTCCAAAACTATTGGGAAAAGAACCAAAATCTCAAAAGCAGCAGAATGTTAACGCAATCTGCAAAGATCTTGTCAGCAAGGTAGCTTTCAACTTTCTAAAAGCAAGATCCTCTCTTCATTTTTTTCGTCAGAATTACGAAGTCGCTGACGAGCAATATGTGTACTTTTTAGTTAGAGACCAACACACTTATAGAAGATGTAGCCTCAGACGGTGTTTATCTCAAATTCAGCGTAAATCCACTAGCATATATGAAAACCACACTTCACCAAGTATATAAAGAAAAGGAGAAATATGGACACCACACACTAGCAACGCCTCAAACTGTTCTAATTGATTATAGTTCGCCCAATATTGCAAAACCTTTTCATGCTGGCCACCTACGCAGTACAATTTTGGGCAACTTCATCAAGCGTATTCATGATGCAAACGGTTACAACACCGTTGGTATTAATTATCTTGGAGATTGGGGAAAGCAGTATGGCTTACTGGCAATTGGGTTTGACATGTTTGGTAAAGAGGAAGAATTGTTAAAGAACCCTATAGAACATCTTTACCAGGTTTACGTCCAAGTGAATGCTCTGGCGAAGGAGAATGCTGAGATTGACAAAAAAGCGATTGAGTATTTCAAATGCATGGAAGATGGCGATAAAAAAGCGCTTGCTCAATGGCAACGTTTCCGAGAATTAAGTATTGAGTCTTATAAACAGATCTATAAGAGGCTTAATATCGAATTTGATTACTATTCTGGAGAATCGCAAACAGAACCTTACATTCAAAAGGTCTACCAAATACTGAATGAACACAGTTTGCTGGAAAAAACAGAGGATGGAGCAAGTGTCGTAAATTTAGAAAAATACAAGTTGGGTAAGCCAGTCCTACAGCGCGCAGATGGCACAAGCTTATACATGACAAGGGATTTGGCTAGTTTATTGTTGCGACGTAAGAACTTTGGGAACTTTCATAAAGCTGTCTACGTCATAGGCACTGAACAAGAATTGTACCTGAAGCAGTTATTCAAAATTTGTGAGCTATTGCACCATCATGACAGCAATTGGCCGACTAACCTTTTCCATGCTAAGTTCGGTCGTGTAATGGGAATGTCAACTAGAAAAGGCACAGCAGTGTTCCTGAAAGATATATTAGATACGGCTAAAGATCATATGTTGAATAAAATGACAATTAACGATCAGTTCAATAAGCAAATAATTGAAAATGAAAATCAATCACTGGAAAAAGTTGCTGATAAATTAGGCGCTTCGGCTGTAATCATTCAGGATATGGCAGCAAAACGAACCAAGAACTACGACTTTGCATGGGATAGAATGACAGCAGTGAAAGGGTATACAGGGATTTATTTGCAATACACACATGCACGGATGTGCGGGTAAAGTGATACAGTACTTTACGAAGTTGTCTAATGCAAGAGCACTAAGTTATCAATTGATTTTATAGAATTGAGCGGCAAATCAATATACCTTTAACAATCGACGCCGATGTATCTCTCTTGAAGGAAAGAGAGGCATTTGAATTGTGTCTAGCTATCTCTCAATTCCCTGATATAACGCGTTTTTCTTGTGATGCAATGGATCCCAGTATCTTGGTTCAATATATGTTCAAGCTTTCGCATGTCATAAGTCAAGCTAATGCAGTCATTAAAGTCAAAAATGCTGAAACACAGACTGCTGAATCAAGGCGTTTATTATTTTGGGCAGCTAAAACTACTTTATCCAACGGTTTGAAACTCTTAGGTGTAGATCCTTTAAGTCGTATTTAAATACAGCCAGCAGTGCTTTGAAAATTAAAATTTCTCTTGTACATAATAAATTGCTCTCTTCCTCCACAGACAACTGTGTTTGGCTACTGGATCAATATGAGTGAAAAAAGAAAGAGAGACGAATCACCTGAGCCAGAATCTAGGCCTATAAAAGTAAAACGCTGGTTTTGTTCTGAACGATTATGGGCGTTAACACTTGTCAAATTTTTGCATCAACTTTAGCCAATTCCTGCAACAAAGATACAGGCGTTCACTGTAGGCAGTCAAAAGAAAAGTGCTTTCCAAAAGCATAAAGAGGAATTAGAACAAAAAAAGCAGGTACCCGGTTGAAAATTCACTTGTAATTATTCAAAGGAGATCATCTTACTGATTATGCTGCACTTAGCAAGAGAACGCCGAAGCTGCTAAAGTATATGCAGAATTTGTCGCTTCATTTGAAGAATCAAAACCATATAAACTGGGAATATCATCGTTTGTGAAGTCAGGAACACTCCAACCGAAGAGTAAGATGAAGCTACTGTGCCATTAAATAAGTTTGAGTATCGGTTTTGATGTCTGACTGCCAACTTTAGATTCTGTTTTTGACGATAAGAGTAGCGATGAAGTTTCAACAGCAAAGAGTTCTCAATTCAAACCGATGTCGTTTGTCAAAGCAGGTGAATCAGCTTTTGGTAAAACGGCGACTACTTCAGCAACTATACCTTCCACTGAATCTGCTCAAGAGAACGTAACTTTTTATTACGCTACTATGTACACTGTAATCGTAGTCAGCACGAGTACTAATAGAGATCTTCGCTAATATCATCAGGCACCAGTAAAATTGAACAGTAAACCACAGAAAAAGCGTAATTTGGACTCATTTTTAGAAGAGATAAAAAAGTAACGGATAAGGAAGACCAAGTATCATCCAAAACAGAACCTGTTTCATTGATATTTTTCTGTTTATTGTTAGGGAACAGGAAGTGCGTAGCAGATCAGATATTAAGTCATCTGGTGCGGCTTATAGAAATGGTATGGAATCAACAACTTTACGGTGATTCTTTTATATGTATTAACCGTGTACCAATCGTTAGAATCTGGATCTCACGACGATGGAAATCCTCACACTACCAATTTGTATGTTGGTAATATCAACCCCACAACTACTGAAATTGGCTTGTGTCAAGAGTTTGGCAAACATGGACCTATTGCCTCTGTCAAAATCATGTGGCCACGTACACAGGAAGAGAAGGATAAAGGGAATAATTGTGGTTTTGTGAGTTTCATGAAGCGGGAAGATGCAGCAGATGCATTAGAACACATGGATGGTAAAGAAGTAGATGGTTTCGTGATACGTGTTGGATGGGGTAAAGCTGTCCCTTTGCCAGATCAGCCATTCTTTGGTAGGTTGTCTTCGATAAAGAAATAACGTGTAGTACTTGGTTCTGATAGATGCAAAATTCTAGTTCTTGACAAGAAAGCACCTAATGGCAAATCAGGTCTTCCCTTCAATGCACAAGTATCTGCTAACATCGGCGGCGTGGTAAATTCGTCATTATTGCAAAATATCAATTGCGCGGTTATGTATTAACTGTTTGATTTCCTCAGCACTCGAGACCTCGAGCTGAAATCCATGTCATTAAACCCGTAGATATAAAATTAATGCGAGTTATTCATCGTATGATTGAGCGGGTGCTGGTTCATGGACCCTTGTTTGAGGCCTTGATAATGGATAGAGAACGTGACAATCCTACATTTGCTTTTCTTTTTGATAATACAGTAAGGCTCTGTTCTATTTGAATGATTGTACGTTATATACTGATTGATATTTGTTAGTCCCCTGAACATGTGTACTATAGATGGAAGCTTTATTCTTTGTCGCAGGGCGACACTAAATCCAGATGGTTTGATAAAGCATTCCAAATGTTTGAAGGTGGCCCTTGGTGGATTCCTCCTGAGTTACCTTTGCTTGATGAAGTAAGACATAATTTAAGGCGGTTCTGCAAAGGAATTGGCTGAACAAGGTTCCTAATATGACCATTTATTATAGGATAGTGCAGATCCGATGTTTGATACAGATGATGAAATGGCAGAGCAGGATAATGTAACAAAAGGAACACTAGGACAAATTGCCAAGCAAAGATTAGGAATTATATTACGTGAGGTAACTTTCCAAAGAGGAACCATTGCTAGGGCCATGACATTTGCTATTGATCATTCAGATGCAGCTACAGAGGTACGACTTAAATGACAAGTAAACGCAATATAAACTGTTACTTAAATAGTATATATTCAGGTTGTAGATCTGCTGTGCAAATCAATACTTGCCGTTGAATCGCCATACTCTGTCAAATTAGCAAGGCTTTATCTCATTTCAGATGTTCTACATAATAGTAGTGTTCATGTCTCAAACGCCTGGAAATACAGAAAAGAGTTTGAAGCACAATTACCTACCATCTTCGATCATTTTAATTCCATATACCGTTCGATAAATGCTCGACTAAAAGCAGAACAAGTGAGAGTAAGTGTTGAAATGATGTCGCCTTTGCTTATGATTTGTTATTGATTTGTTTTTCAATATAGCGTCATGTTACAACTGTTATAAGTGTTTGGGAAAACTGGATGATTTTCCCAAAGTATTACACAGATCAGTTGAAAGAAATCTTTTTGAAAAAGGACAATAGCACGGCGTCAGCAACTTCATCTCACAATGCAGTGTCTATTCCTGAAGAAGAAAGACGTCAAAATGCTCATAATATAAATGAGAAGCATTTTGGTAGTAGTACCGAAGGCGAGCAAGTAAAATCAAAGGGGGTACAAACTGACGTAGATATGGAATTCAAAACTGCTAATGTCGACGGGCAGCCTACAGAATATGTGGATGGAGAGCCTATGGGCGGTACTGATGAAGAGCCTATGGACGACGTGGACGGCGAACCAATGGACGATGTCGATGGAGAACCTATGGATGATGTCGATGGAGAACCTATGGATGATATCGACGGAGAACCATTGAGTGATATCGATGGAGAACCAATGAATGATGTCGATGGCAAGCAACCAAAATCAAAAGAAGAAGCAAATAAAGATGAAGAAGAAGTCGGGGCAGATGTCGATGATATGTTCGCTTCTTGAGCAATTGTTCTTTAAACACATTTCATATTTATTTTTTGACGTTCCTCTTTGTAAATAAATCTTATGTTTGCTTTTCCCTACAATGAGAAGTATGCAGGGCGTAAACGAGTAGAGCGGTAGTGGTATACACCTTCATGCAATAACATTTTCACTTTTTTTTTATTAAACATCTTAAGAAGATTAGGATAGAACAAATATAATTGAAGGTATACGCATTTATGCAAAATAAGTTTGACCAGCTACTCCCAGCTTATCCCTACCACTTCACTGTTGAAACTTGTACCATTCGAAGGCAATATGCTTTCTTCGTCCGCATAATAGTTGATAGGACTACACTCAACTGCGCTAAATTCGCTATTGCTGAGATGAATTAGAATATGTTGGTTAAAGACAAGATGCTTAGACATACAAAGAGAGAGCATTTCCTTTACCTTTTAACTTTTTTCTTACTTAAAGCTACAGCAGCAGCGATTGAGTACGTACGCCTGACAATTTCACTTTCAGTGCCTCCATCACAATTTGCAGCATGCTGCTCAATTACCTCTTGAGGACATGATGTTTTACAAAGGGGACATTGTATCCTTTTTACTATGATATTTTTGCGTGGAGAAGAAGAAATCTTATCGGCCTATATGGAATGCTTAAAAGATTAAGTGGAATTTTTTAGGCTAAAGTGTAATTTTATTTATGCTTACATCATGGAACTTCTTCTTTTTGTTTGGTACAGCATCGAAAAACGACTCTAATAACTCTTCCTTTTCATCTTCGTCATAAACATTGTAAACCATTCTCTTTTTTGGTAGCTGCTGCTTTCTAAAAGGATTCAGCTTTTTCTCGGTTGGTCTACGATAATGCCGCTGCCTTACGTTAGTAGCTCTTGTTAATATTGATGCATTTACGACTGGTTTTTCTCTTTCGATAAACGATCATGAAGAGCGTTATAGTTATCATCACTGCCCTCATTTTTCGAAACGAGCCATTTGAGCTCGCTAGGTACTGAAGAAAAAATGTCGCGTTCTTCAGTGTTTTTATTTGGAAGTTGAATGCTTGGAGGAGGCAGTTGCACTTTGTTTTTGAATTTAATTCCTACAACTTTTGTTATCATATCACTTTTTTTCTGGAAAAGCTTGTTGAGGTCTACCGGTTCAATGTATCTTTTCTTCCGAAATTTGTATTCATGTTATTTTCAAGGCCTTCGTTTATGACTTTATTGATGAATTCATCGTCAAGTTCCTCATGCATCAACTTTAATTCCACTTTTGAAGGTTTCGACGACGTCCGCTTATAAACAGTCTTTCTATGCTCTGAAAGCTTTTTAGGATTGCCCAACTATTTCCACCACATCTTCGCCTAAATTATCTATCACAATTGTCGTTTCTTTGTTACTCATGGAGGGCGTAGTAGGTAGATAAAAAATGCGAGTTCAAAGATTGAGAAGGAAACACCTTTTTTCAGGTTGGCAAAGTAATGTACTTATCTACTGTTCCAAATACCCTTTGATATGATCCAATTTGTTATTGCTTGCCAACTATAATTAAAAGTTTTCCCTTTCAGCGATATAAATCAATTGGAGTCTTTCAAAATATCACACAAAGTTTTGTGCTTGATTTGCGCAAATTGAAATAGAAGGCTCACGGAGCTATATTTGTACAAAAAGCCCTACTTATTCACCATACATCTTTTTTAAATACACAGTGATTAGGAAGATACGAGTAAAAGATTTTTGTTGTATGTGTATTGTATATTTGTACATTTGTCTATTAAATATTGAAATAGTAGAATTTTTACACAGTTGGTGAAGAGCGGAGGAAATATATAAAAAGATTACATTAGCTTAGATAATGGTGAAAAGGTATGTGTTAAATCATGGCTTTTGCGGGACATAATACAAGAGGCATATAGATAAGTTAAGTATGTAAAAAGATATTTGATAATAATACAATAGCAAACTTGAAGGTTTGCTTCTTTTTTTAAAATTCAAAGGTTTCATGATGAGGTTCAAAATTATGAGCGACAGCTTCATTAACAACGGTGCGAGTGAATATAGCTGAGCCACAAGCATGGGCGAAGACTCTTTGAAGAGGATTTACTGTTTTGATCTTGTCCATTTCCACTTTTACATCTGGTCTTTCGCCGTAAGAAACATTGAGACAGTTGAGACCTTCGAAATAGTTGGGTCCTTCTTTCATCCTTGTGATGTAGACGTTAACAGAAAGATGGAAGGGTTGTATAGAGTTGTTCACTTTGTCGTTCCAATAAGTGAACATATCAATAAATGGATGGAGTTCGTCTATACAATGTAAAGAGAAAAAATTAGTATCTGCTAGACAGCATCAACGAGTGAATCAACTTACCGGTTGATTTAATCGCCCATATCAGATAAACATTTTCAGTAGTGATTGTACGAACACCGTTGCATCTCCTTTCAACAATGTCTTTAATCATAGCCAAAGAAGGAGTCACACCAATACCTGTACTAAAATAAGCGGCAACAGGATAATCTTGATAATGAAGATGAGGACCATGAGGACCATCGATGTAAACCTGTACCTTGTTTCCGACGGCGGCCGCCTTTACAAGATCTCGCGTCATGTGACCCAATGCTTTAATATGGAAGGAAGCTATTGTTTTCGCGTTAGTATCACCTGAAACGGTTGCAGCACGACGACGGAGACAGGAGACATCAGATAAAGAGCTAGAATCCGCTATTGTAACAGCGGAAGAATTAGCGATTTTGCGTTTTTCATTTACAGTAACCGTTGAGTCAGGCTTCGTGGAGGTAGCAATTTTTTCACTATGACTAGCACCAACAACTCGCTCTTCAATGCCACTATCAGTATCAGAGTCATTGACACGGAACACTTCAGAAATAGTAAATGGATGCCAGTTGGCGTATTCCCATAATTTTTTACCATTCAAAACCAATGCTGCAAAAATGTATTGACCAGGCTTAAAGCTATTCATGATTCTGTTTTCGAACAAGACCCGAACAATACCCTCCTGAGAAGCAGAGTCGTTTAGCACTTCATCCACACGGACCGATGTCGATTTGACTATCCAAGATTTGTAGGTACGAACAGCGCGGTCAGCCGCCCAAAGACCGACAGCGGGTATAAAAAAGACCATGCAGGTGGGTTCGTGCCAGCATGTAGCAATAATTGCGACTATTAAAAAGATGACATGGCTATAGTAAAAAACCTCGAAATAATTGCGACGAATATACTCGAACGAAGTAGCGAACATAATGAAGAAAGCAAGCATAGCGATTGTTCCGGTAGAGTATTCTGTGTCCATAAAAAGTGCTTCTTTGACAATGTAATGCCTTCTATAGCCTTTAATACTGTAGTTTGATAATCAAAAATTTGTTAGTCCTTGTCAAGAGGCAAGAGAGTTAATACGGATGTTGCGTTACTTACATACGATATACAAAGTGGGGGAAGAATTCTGCTAATCCAATACGAGCAATAATACGATGGAAAGGAATAAGTTGTTGAAAAGTCAGCCCTGACATTTTTGACAAAAGAGAATTTCTTTGCGCGAGGAAAAACACGAAACCCCAATTAGCCATGCCGATAAAGGCAGCACGACGATCAAATAGAGCGATAGGAGGGACGGAGTATTTAGTATTCACCGTGAAAGGAGCGAAGAACATGAAGATTAGATTAACAATTATAAAGAAAGTAATGCCAAGGATATGCTTTAGGGATATCATTTCTGTTACGAAAGGTATACGGACGACTCGGTCGAGGGAACGGAAGAGTTGAGCACCAGGTAGATCAGTGAGTATAGTATCTGTTTTACCGTGTATCCTTTTTTTTCTGATACGGTAGGCTCTGATTCTATTCAATTGGTGACCAATTGAATAAATTGCAAATACCACCCACCAGCAAAAGGTATAGAGATAGCCTGCTTGGAAACCATCAGTGAGCGTAAAAATTCTATAAGCCATCCTCTTCCGTTGACTAAGGAAATTGTTGCTATGATTGATATGATATTAAGCTTTAAGTTGAGGGTTAAAGAAAACAGAAAGGACTTGGAAAAAAGAAATGTCAAAAAAGATTTTCATGTTAAATATATAGTTTACTACAAATCAAAAACGCTCGCCCAGCCAATAGATTTATTGCAAGAACAGGTTGATCTGTAACTCCAGTTTTTTCACCAACTATAAATTATATTCATCCAGCTGCGGTCTTCATCATTTTAGTGAATGTAACTGAAACTTACGTAGGACTCAGCGTACTGTGTAATTGGCATTTCCCCGCCATAGTGCCTTATTTCCTCAAAAAGCATGCCAGAATCGACAGATATATTAATTACTATATCAGTTGTCGTGCTAAAGCAACTGTGATAAATATTATACCTCTTAGCGAGGCTTTTGACCAATGTTGTCGAGCTGTCTATTTGTGCAAAAGTAACCAATTATGCGGAAGTTACCGCAATCTAGTTATCAGAAGCTGTGTTTTATTTTGTTTCCGTTTCAATTTTAATAGTCTAGAAGCGATTGCAAAAAGACTATGCAAGGGTTACTCAAGAGTAGTTGACTTACTGTATAAGTTGCATGTAGCAGAGGGCATTTGACTAATGCTCATTCACTTAATGCATGTTGTGGTTCGCTATGTCAGCTCTTCTCAAATGCTTGACCAACACTAATTTTATGTTACAGGGGAGGGGAATGTGTCATTTTGTCGCGTTTATCCGTTGCACAAATTGAATTTCAATAGTCATTAGAAATACGCAATACTACTCTTTATTTAAATTTGACACGGAGCTTATCAGATTTTTTTGATATCAGTATTGTGTTACAATATTATCATTGCGTGCGATAAAGATCTTGCCATTAATTCTACAAAAATGCCTAACGCACAGTAGTTCCTACACGTACTGTTACGCCTGCAACAATTTGTTTTCCTATTTATTTCATAGAATAACCTATATGGTAACTGACGAAGCTTACAAACAACTCTTCCCCTCCAAACTTATCCCTGAAACCTGAAATCATGAAGATTCTTGAATTACTAAAAATCTTCGTAACGAACCACGGAATTTCCTTATCAACCCTAAAAGACTCTCATGATTTGCCAAAAAAAATAAAGCGGACAATTTCTTTCCATATCTTTTAAAGCGCAATTATCAGATCTTTTCAGTTATCGCTAGTAACCATTTGAAAAAATTTTTAATTGGTTTCTCTGGTGAAGATCTGATAAAACCTCAATGTACGACGTTACCAAATGTAACACCGACATGTTGTAAGCATCATAAACAAGAAATCTTATCAATTTTAAAATCATCGAAGTTTAAAGGATCCACTAACCTCCCCAAAAAGTAAATGTTTCATAATAGCCTTTTAAGTCAGATTTACACTTAAAAGTCCTTATTGTTCTACCCCCAGTCTTTTGTTCCTTTTGCCTTTTTCAGTTACTGCATGTTTTCAGACATCTTTCTCGAAATCCTTTTTTGTCAATTGTGTTAGACATTTCGACTTAATGACATTGATATGAATAGAAGGACTCTTATAATCGAATTATTACATACTCGACTCGTTTAAAACCTTTCGATTCAAGGCTGTCATATCATAAAATTATTCTTTGTTGCACAAGATTTAAAAAACAGAATTTGATAATCAATGTATTGATATGCTCAAATAATAACGACTTAAATTGCAGAGTAATTGCGGAAAACTGTCGAAGAAATATAAAAAAATGATGGCTGATCTCTGATTTCTGATTTCTGATTTCTGATTTACGGGTGAGCAGACTTTACAGTATTAGCACGGTGTTTACAACTTTGTTAAAGGCACTTTTGATTCCTTGGCTTGTCTTCTCTTCTTCTTCGTTGGTGTTTTCTTTGAATACTGTATGGCTGTACCTTGCTCTTCAGCTGATCTCTTTGAACCAGCGGTAATATTGTCTGACTTTCGTACAAAACAAGAAACAAAAAACCCGTTTGTAAGATCTTCTGCTGGAGAGGTACGAACCACTCGTTTTGCCAAGTCTAATTGAATGAGGATCAACGCAAAAAGAATTTCGGTAAGACTTTGCAATCATGATTGCAAAAGAAAATTCTATATGTTTTCAGATACCTTGGTTTCCTCCAAACTCCTCTACTAGACCTCTTCTTGACCATGTCGGTAATATGCTATCGTACGGTGCTAACTCAAAATTAGGATTGTTTTTCAGTATTGTATTCACAACGTGTTCATTTTCTTCTGTGTGAATAGAGCATGTGGAATATACTATCCTTTTGGCATTGGGAACTGTAAAAAAAAAAAAAAAAAAAAAAAAAAAAGTATTAATGTAAGCTTAAAGTTGACAGCAACCTTAAACAGTAAAAGAAAAAAAAAGAGTTGGACTTACACTTCATAGCATGCTCTATAATTGATATCTGGAAATCTGATAAATTCTTTAACCGCTCCTGTCGGGTCTGATCATTACTGTTATTACTATTTGAGCTGTCATCTACAAATACCCTGGTTAGTTTCTGAAAACTCATTCTTACCGCGAAGTAGACACCTTACTTTCTGTAGATCCTTCATCGTCAACAAGATGATCTAATCTGCTAATAATACCTGATCCAGAGCATGATGGATCCAGCATCAAATACTCGACCTACAGTATCAAGTCAATCTTGCTTTCCGCAGACCAAATATAAACTAAAAATCTTACCTGTGCAAACTTTGCATCATTAGGATCAGTATCGAGAAAAGACCCATGTATAGGCATTATATCTATGTTCGGTTATACCATTATGATAAGACCAGTAAATTGCATAAGAAAAAAGATAAAAAAAAGAGCTGGGGAGGATCTTTTATAATGGCACTTACTTTTACAACCGGCTTTATTCGTAAGTCTTTTAAGCAAATTCAAACGACGGGAATCAAGATCGAAGGCCCAAATTTTGCCTGTATTTCTCATCAATGCTGATAAGTGAGAGGTCTTATTTCCAGGAGCTGCACATGCATCAATAGCATGGGCTCCTTCAGGTACTTGACACACATGAGCAGGGAAACATGATGCTTTGTCCTAGAAAATCAGCCACATATTAATACTTCGTTCAATTGAAAAGTGACATTGCCAAAAGTGATATGATAATACCTGCAAAATAATATCACCTGATAAATAGAGAGCATGAGCATGGAAATCCGTTCTTGGATGAAAGACGAGCATATCGCGTAAATGTCGATCAAGGCAAAATTCGTTTGTTCTGTGACAATAAACGATAAACAGCATATTCGTTAATTTGAGGTACATCCTTACATGACATGAGTTGAGAACCTCTGGAAAATTTACTTTAAATTACGCAGATCTTCGGGATACTCTACCAACAAGTATCCCTCCTTTTGGAAAGACTCAACAGCTTTTTCTACGGTCGTTTTATGTTCGTTAACTCGAGCATATCTAGGTATAAGAACTGATTCATGTTTAAGCCTATTCTGATGTATCAAACAGAAAAGAAGCTGAGTTTTCTATCTTACTAGCATCTTTAACCTTCTGGCTGACCAAATCTTCATTCGAAGATACTCCTCTTTTAACCTTAATTTTTGTCAATTCTGACTTCAACCTTGTTTGATGGCGGATGACGCACTGTTTCAGAGGTACATCGTTTCGAACAGTGATACCTCTCTTTGTGAATAACAAGTCATGAATTAATACCATGGCTAGAGATCTCTTTAACTAAAATTAAACGGTGGCATAGGTTAGGAAAAGAAAGGATAATAAAGCAAAAGTCGTATAACATTATATACCTTCTTTTCGATCACACAAATCTTAGACGCATCAATAATTTCATTCAGCACTTGTTTATCTATCAGAACAGTAGTTTATAAATATCCTTGCGACTCTTTTTATTTCCACTGATCATGGTTTTTTTTTTTGGTTTTTTTTTACATTTGAGCGTTTCGCAAACAAGAGCATACATCTTTTTCTTATCTTTAACTTTGGGATCGCCAATAACGAGACCTTTGATGGTACCTTCGTGGCGAGATAACTTATCTAGTATTCGTCCAGCATGTTGATAAAAATTCATTGTGCAGATCTAATCTCTTGTGATGAGATTTGAACGATCGTAAGCTACACTATCAATTTGAAGAAATCCCGAAGTGACTATTCATTTCGTGAGCGGGATTTTTGGCCTGCTACAGCTTACATGTTTACAGTATTTTAACTAATATTTTAGATGAAATACATTTTTTTTTGGACGATTAATATTTTCATTTTAGATGAGTTGCAATTGTGTTGTAGACCAAAATATAAACCGTTTAAACAATGATTCAAATTCCAAAAACTTGTTAGCAGTGCGAAACAAAAAAAAAAAAAAAGAAAAAAAAACCGTACTATTCCTCACCTGTAATGATCTAAATCCTTGAAATACAAGGAAAACCGTGTTTATTACGGCGATTATTTCTTCTTCTTCGCTGGCTTGAAAATGTCGGGTCTTCCCGCTCCAGACCAAACTGCTTGGGATATAGTCATCATGTTGATAGCGGCGTTAATGTCTCTCTGCCATAGCTTTAGACATTGCTTGCAATGAAGAACGCCGGTACCCTTGAATCCAGGGGTATTAACAATTTGCATATCATCATAGAAACAGAGGCTGCATGTTTTAGAGGTTTTGAATTCATCGATTGTGACAACAATCAATTGACCTTCAGCTTCACGTTTCTTCAGAGTTGCAAAAAGTTTACCGACAACACCACATCTTTGCCCTTTCAATTTTACTACATCTTTTCCAAACATTCCAGCACCAAAGACAATCAATGGTACCCTTCTAGGGAATCCTGAGTACTTATCAGCCTTCCACTTCTTGTCACTTCTAAAAATTATCAATCAGCGCGTAAGCTAAACGATGAACATGTAATTCATTGATACTCACTTGATTGGCGGCTGTTTGTCAACATTCTTTCCTTTCTTCTTCTTCTTCTTCTGCTGTTTTTTCCTCTTCCTTGCCTTGCTTCTCTTTTTGCGATTGTACTTGGCCGTTCCATGAGTCAACATGTTGGCCATAGTTTCGGGTGCTCTTTGCCTTCCTTGGTACAACGTAAACCGGTCCTTTGCTGTTTCATGTCCATAAAAACTAAAGAGAGCGTCTAAGTTATTGAGCATATAACTGGTGAACGCCTCATATACTCCTAGACGAGAGGTCTTTGACGAGGGAATTTGACTTTCTACTAGATCTATTCCTGTAACAGCTTTTATACTGTTCAATTTCTTACAATATTTCGTTGACCCTGCCATATGATAGTATTCGGATGTAGTGCATCTTCGCACTTGTCTGTTATATTCAAGGCCAATAGCAGCAGTAAAAACAGACTTTCTTCCGGGATCCAGGGTAATAGGTAAATAAGTATTGTCAACTTCATCCAGAGAGAAATCATCAAGAGTGAGGTCAAATTTTTGGAACGAGGCACCATGGCCAGATTGTTGTCTTTTATAAAAAAGAAAGTCAACTGAAAACCCATCCGTTCTGACAATATTACCAAAGAGCTCTTTGTTATCACCATTCGGTGTAAGTTCAGAGATACTACATGTGCCCAAGAAGTTAAACCTCATACATTATACTCGACTGCATACCGTATTAACTGTATGCTTACCTTTTGTACCTGAGTTTCTTGAAATCAAAGACATGGAAAAACAGCTCTAATTGGCTTTGGTAATTGCGGGGTAAAGAACGTTTCACAAAAGAAGACAGAGCGTTCACGCTCAAGGTAATGAACCTCCATTGAACGGAAACCTTTGGCAGTAAGGATAGCAATTTTGGAAGAGGACGTCGTCGTACGTCAAATGGTTTATGATCATCGTGTTCGCTCTCAAATTCTGCGTTCAAAGATAACAAAAAGGGTACGAAAGACCCAGGATCAGCAGATAATGTCTTCATGTTCACTTTCTTCCCCAGCTTCTTCTTCCAAGGTTCACAAAAGGTTTGGATCTTTGCTTTTATATCTTTGGTAAGGTAGTCATCAGTTGGCCATTTAGGTTTTCCTTGGCATATCTCTTGATAGCAGAAATCACTTGTGACCTTTTTGACAAGCTTCCAAGGCATACACTACGCAAGATGAGAGCTTTTTTTAAAATTCATGTAAGACCCCAAGTAATATTGAGTTGCAACTTACCACAAATGCCGTTTGTATTTTATATATCAAAAAATAGAGAAGTTTCTCCTCAAAATTTTCCACTATACTGTTCGTATAGGAAGTAGCAATTTCGGTGCATGCTTCTGTAATGGCTTGACTAAGTCCAGGAAAGAGCTTGACAGGGAAGACAATCTTAGGGTAAGTCGTTTTAAAAGAATCAAACGAGCTCAGTAATTGTTGTGATATCAGCCTACTATTTGTTGGTCTTTGTCCATTCACTAGCTGTATCATAGAGTACCAGAAATTTTGTGTAAAGATACATTTAATACACTTTGGCTCAGCAAGAGCTGCATTTTCCAAGACGTAATAATTCACAAAGAGCTTCGCTCTAAGAACCAAGTTGCGAATAACAGAACAAGCTTCAACAGCTTTTGACTTGAATGTGTTGCGATAGTCACCAAAAACGCAGTTATCAAGAGGCAACCTTCTTGTAAACGCCTTGTAATTACTTCCCAAATGATGTTGAAAGACCTCTGCCTTTGATAATACATGTTGAGGACACAGAGGAGAACGCACCGATTTATGTCCTGGTTGCTTGCATTTGGTACAACAGGTATTGTCTTTATCCGGTTCTTCATTATTCTCTTTCCTTGCTTTCTTCTTTTCCTTCTTGATTTCAAAGTTCTGTTTGCGTTTTCTGCCTATCGAACCAACTATAGGTACAATGAGGTCGCTTACTAACGATGAATTTACCAACTTTTGAAGCCACATGAGGTGCTTACCTTGATCTGCAGTTTCTGTCTCATACAATTGACATTTAAAGTATTGTTGGGTGTAATGACCCCCTTTACCGCAATCAATACACGTTACATCTAACAGTACACGATGATTAATCTCTACGTATATATATGATCAGGTATATAGGCTTTCAAAAGGCAAGTTACCATTAACAGCACTTGATTTTTTCTTTTCAAAAATTTGCTTTTTCTTTTCATAAATTATTGTTTTGAACATGGGTCATAGTATGTATCTTAAAAACGTGAAATAAAAGTGAAAGAGACAACATTTGACTCTAAGAGAGCAATATATTTTATAGTGCTTATCTTTGAAAGTCACCCATGAACGCATACAAAAACATTGACAACAGTTAATATAACCATCCCATTCCGCTATGGTATCTGTTATACTATGACCATCAGCCCTCTATCAATGGTTTGATGTCAATCAATTCAAAGTTAACTTTTTTTGGAATTCTTGTCCAAAAAAGGCACCAACGAATATCTTGTTGGTCTCGGAACACATCGTCATTTAGTAAAAAAGTTGTCAAGCTTTTTGTAGTTTGTCCTATTGCAAGATAACATCAATAAAACCATTATTGGCGACTTTCTTACTGATAGAGACTAATTTCTAGGGTTCGATTGTATGTCATCCTTAATGCTGCTTGAATATCACTGAATAATTGAGTATCCAAATATCCAAATACTATGGACTTTTCTAAAAATATTTTTTACTAAATCTAAAATTAAAATGTATATTGTCCATTAAAAATTGTAAATCGTCTAAAATATAAGGTAAAATACTGTATTAAGTCAATCAGCTGGTTAAAACTCACAAGCAGATAGTTTTTAACACAATTCACGCACGTTTGAAAGCTCTTTACTACTATTTTGCTCTCGCTCAAAAATATGTTAAATTATCTATTTATACCCAGCAGCATGATTAGTCTATACAGATGGTATAAATCAATCCGCCTAAAAGACCCCCAAGGATAGGAGCCAACATAGGCACTAAAGCGTAGTAGTTGCGAATTGTAAAGACTTCCATACCCCAACCTGCTATAGCTGTAAATATACGAGGACCAAAATCACGAGCAGGGTTCATGGAAAAGCCAGAAGTATAACCTAAGCCCAAGGAAATAGCCGAGACACCAGCGGCAATCATTAAACCTTGTGCAGTTTTAAAGGGCAGGTTGTTAGGATGACCAGAGGTCATGATGATAAGAAGAAGCAAGGCTGTACCAATTATTTCGGATGCGACAGCAGAGGAAATACCAACATACAAAGGAGGATATGTTCCAAAAATACCCGCAGTACCTAGCTTACCAAGAATTTGCCGTTCTCCGTGATCAAACTGAGAAATGGCGGGTTCAATAATACTATAAAGTAAGGCAGCGCCAGTGAAACCACCGAGAAACTGGGCAGCAAGATATGTAGGAACTTTTCGAGTGGGGAAACCACTGAATGCCCAAAAGGTGATTGTAACAGCAGGGTTGACATGACCGCCCTATTCAAATGTGATGTATTTAGTGACATTGAACAGCTAGAAAGTATTTTGTCACACAAGCAATCACAACACTCACTGAGATATGCCCCGCCACACAAACAGCCAATAAAACACCAAAACCTACAGAAACGTTGCCATGTTATATCAGTCATTATTAGGCTAGCGCATCCCTTAACTGAAGCAAGAACGGTTACCGTTTCCAATCGAGGATGTCAACCATGATTTATGCGAGCCAATGCCTAAAGTTTCTTCTGCTGATACACCGCATACTAAGATAACAAGAACCATGGTCCCGATGAACTCAGCCAAAAATTCTCTGTTCTAGTATGTTACCAAGTTGAGGTTTGACACATAAAAAGTTGTGTCAATGAATAAACAGTCGCATCACCGCGTTAAATGCAAACTTACCTTGGCTCTAAAACGTCTGATACATGCTATAGACTTCGAAGTGTCACGCGCAGTACTTAGTTCGTCTGAATAGCGGGTAAAAACGTTTGAGTATCAGTATAATATCTACTCATTCTCTTCCTCAAGGCCCATTATTCAACTTAGCTTATTGTACTCATTTTTTGAGAACAAAGTTACAGCTTTAAGGCTGTAGTATTAATTATGAAGCAATAATCATGCAATCTTTCTCGAAACACATACAGAGGTCTCATCAAGGAGTAACAATTCCACAAATATCTTCATATAACAGGAGATATTTGGACTGGATACTTACTATTATGTTTGAAGATTGAATCATAATTCTGCCGTCTATCGTCGATTGTAATTAATGGATCGCGCTCGTTAGACTGATTTCCATCGCCCAACGTTGAGGAAGATATCGACGAAACGGTGTTACACATTCTTGAAGCCATGCTTGTTAAATTTTTTTTATAACCAAGGTTATAAAGGTTATAGATAAGGCAGAAGAAAGAGGTTATGAATGCTCACGTTTGCCTATACATCTAAATATACATAATTTAATTGGCAAGTGTCACAGCCTTGAGTTATTTAGATTTTGGAACAACTTCTCCGAGGTTCCCATCATTTAAACCTATTTTTTCTCCATAGCGATCACAGAAAATTATGTTTAGATATGCTAATGATATTCTACGTTATTACGAAGCGTCATTAAAGGTATAAGGTTCGTAACACCAACCTAAATTCTATCACTTGTTAGGTTGTTATGTTGAATTTTTCGTTAAATAAACCCAACGAAAAGGTTTATCATGCTTCTATCAATTTCATATTAATTGCTATCATATTAGATTCCATTTGGTACTTCATTTATGCTTTTTTGTCAGATATCTTACCTCTAATTACCTAAAGATGCAGTATAATTCAAACGAGAGGAAGTCCAATTTTAATTCTTCTAAACTTTATCGATGACTTTCTCCGAGATGGTTTCCTTTATGAATCTGCAAATGCTACACTTAACTGCAGATGTATACGAAATTGTACCTGAAAATTCTAGATATGTTACTGATATCTATGTAACTGTTATGTATAAATTTGTTACAAACTTTTTAAACAAGACCTTTATTCGAAATGCTCCGTCTACCATTGTCAATAAGATATTGGTCACACAATGTTGTGCAAAATTTTAGGCAGCTTCGTCAGCCAAATGTGCAGGAACATGTTGGTTACCTCGTCTGTATGTGTTCCGTGAAGAGAATGCATATGTAAAACTCTATTGTTCTTCTTCTCAGAGTAAGTTTAGAGATGTGTATCTGAGTTGGAGCTTTCTATACTGGCCTACACTTACTTTCTCATTGTACTCTTATTTAATATTGCATTAATCAGATTTGCCTTTTATATTTTACAGATAATCAGACTTCAAATTGAGAAAGTGCCAGCAAGAACGCGTTCACGAGTAATAATATCATCTCTTCTGCTTGAGTAAGACCAACCGTCATGTCAGAATTGTCATACGGTTGTTGTCTATTTACCTTTCTACACAAAGTTAGGGCTTACCCAACAGCTAATATCCTTCTTAATGGTTATCAGTTCGCTCTGTTTTGCCTACAAACAGACTTTATCTTGCTTTACTATCTGTATGAAGACCTCAATTATGATCATTAAGAAGATGGATGAAATTGTCAATATTGTAAATAAAATAGACAATGTGTCTTAACCACTAAAGAATACTCACACATCTGTAATAGCATTTTTTGCCTACCCCTTCGCTTTTCCATGGTAATTCTCTGCAAGCCATATGGTATTGTCAGCTACCGTGAAGTTTCGACTTGTATGAAAATAGCTTTGCAGCAGTCTGAATATGATGTTCACCACTACTTACTGTTAAATATATTATGTTTTATACAGTTGAAACATTTCTGTACAAAAGATGCAGAAATTGCATACAAATTTTCAGCGTAGGATCTCTTATTCAAAATATCCAGTATCGAATAAAACCTCTGCCATCTTGGGAAAGTAGTATTTCATTATCTTCAGACGGTTATTTTACTAAATTCGCGGCTTATAATTCAAAGCTTTCATAAGTTAACCATGGTTCTAGAGTAACTATTGGCAATAATGCCGTCTTCATCCACCAAAAGAAAGGGCTCTTCCTCAATGTTCCATGATTATGTATAAAAAGATATGCAATACTTGATGTATTTTAGCTATAAGTTGGAAAAAATAAGAATGTGTTGAACAAAAAATTATACAAGGATGACAGGGTTATAGAATCGACCATTTGTCAATATTGAATTGGAATTTATATTTCCGAGGTATAATTATCGATTGGCAAACCAACTATGTAAATAGCTAAGATACCTTCACTTGATTCCATTTTCTATAAACTGCTCTTCTCTCTAGCATTAGTTGCTGTAAAACTGTGGAAATTAACAATTACTTAATTAAAAATGCCAACATTATTAGCCGGACAATTGGCGTACGCTGTGAACAACGATGCAAAACCACCATTAGTAACAGTTATCCCCCCAGCTATTCAAGGCTCACAACTACAGAATTTGTCACCTTCAGCAAATCATGCAAGTGTTGACAAAAATGAAATAGAAGGCCAAGATGATAATGAAGGCCACATCACGAGTGTTCTGCCTCGTCGTGCAAAATTCGAAGCAGCGGGAATGATGCTATCCATGTGGGAAGCAGCTGAAGCTGGAAACTTGTCTTCATTGATATATCATATTCGGAACCATTACCAGCAAGGCGGCAATGACAAGAAGCTTAAGGAACTTTTAAATGCACGCAATCCTTCTACAGAATATACACTTCTTCATACCGTTTTTTCAGAGCAGAACCGCAACAAAAATATACATCCTATACTGAAACTTTTGCTGGAGCATGGTGCTGATGTATCTACCCCCAATGTGTACAATATATATCCAATACATGCTGTCTGTATGCATTATCCAGATCCATACGTTTATCTAGAGTTGCTTTTGAATTTCAAGGCGAAACTCAACGTCCGTGATGGTGATGGATGGACGCCGTTACACTATGCCGCGCGCTTTTCAGTTCCCCCAGGGCCTCCAATGAAACTGCTGATTGAGCGTGGAGCGAACATCAACTCCACTTGTGGCTCACATAAAACCCCTTTATTTTCGCTAATAGCAAATGGTGATTATCCTAAAACTTTGGATTGGTTGATCCATACAGCTCGAGCAGATTTAACAATTCGAGGTGAATGTTTGTTTAATCTGCCGCCCGCCCCAAAAACACAAGTAGGCACTGTTTTGCTTCAAGTAGTCAAATTTGGCCGAATTGAGTGTTTATCCTTGTTACTTCATTCTCCTGTCGCGATGGCACAGCTATGTCGCGCGGTTGACGAGAACGAATTGCAGTATGCTCAGCACATTGCACGTCTGCATTCGGAAAAAAAAAGCAGCGATTTGGTTAGAGTAAGACGAAAAGACAGCACTGACAGTCTAGAGGAAAGCTCAAGTTTTACATATAAACATATATTGCACATGTTAAAAGAGTTGGAAACATTATTGATGGATGATCCCACAAGTTTGATAGGCCGTAAAAAGAAAGACTTACAGAGGGCGAACGATAAGAATGCTACAAGAAAGAAGTATGCATTTTCTTATACTACACATAGTAGCAGTCATACGAAGGATGATAGTAGGAACACTCAGGAAAAGTTGAAAAGGACTAATTCATCACTGTCACGAATAAAGGATGTATTGCAGTTCAAGAAAAAGACATCCGAAGAGGAGCCCATTGTATCAACTTTACAACAACAATCACCAGCTACAGCACAATCTCTGTCTAAATCATCAGTCAGTCATTTATTGTTCAAAGCAGACAGAGATACCATCCTTGAGAGCACCTTTGCATAATCTCATTTACTGAGCACGGCAATGTAGACATATCCATAAAACTATTGATAATTATTCTAGATAAAAAACTTGCGCTTCAAAACAAAAATAAACTTACGCTTCACTTTTGCATATTCTTCAATTGAACAATGTTATGTATGCAATTGCGGTCTTCTGCGGTTACCTGCAGGTGATCAATAACAATTGTTCGAGCGTATTGGTTCGTGTCCACGATTTTCGGGCCAAGAATAAAATTTCCAAGAACTGCTGTCAATAATTACACCTTTGCTTTAATCGTCATCTTTTTATTATAGTGTACAATTATTCAAAGTCATCGCCAAAGTTATCTAAACAGAAAGAGACAAGGTGAGCCATTAGCAATTTAGTCCAAGTAAATGAAAGAGAAGAACTTAGCAGGGAAAGCGAGAATTTTAGAAGATTCAGTTAAAGCCAAGAAAACTTGCATTCATATACAGTTAGTAACATAAGTACCTGTCGAACTCAATATGCACAATATCTTCTTAAACAATGGACATTTAGATCCTTAGGCTTGGCTGAAAGATACCGATTGATGCACCTCTCAGATTTTTCAGCTGCCGTAAAGACAAAAATCAACCACAAAAAAACAACAAATTTTCTGTTTCCTTTTCTATTCATTACTAACCTTTCAACAAAATCTTCAAACTCCATGTCAGGCAAAGGATTGGAGAAAACACTTCAAAAATTAAGAGCTTCTGTCAACGACGGAAAATACTATGAAGCACAGCAAATGTATCGAACTGTCGCCAGAAGGTAGCTGCAAAATATTCGATATCTTGGATGTGTTTATTGCGCGCGTTCTCCTTAAAATGTAACGCTTTCTCTACCTAGATACAACAAGCAAGGAAATTTTGCAGACACTATCCGCTTACTCCATGATGGTTCCGTTTTATTATTTCAACATAAGCAATATGGTTCAGCATCTGATTTAGCCAATTACATGCTTGACACTTATAAGCTTGCACATACTCCTGTTGATGAGACATCGTTAGGTACAGTCAAACCACATCAATTCATCCTTTCTCACAACTTCATAAAACTGACATAGAGGATAGACCGAATCGTCGAACTGCTTAACCTTTTCCCTACGGCCGACAATAGTCGTAAAGCTTTCATCAGTAATGCTTTTAAGTAAGACTTCTAATCGTATTGGGTCAAATAGAGTTAGATAACTGACAAAAAGCTTGATAACAATTTTCATTTAGGTGGTCAAAAAATGAGGGCAACTTCCCAGAGGGAGATCCAGAGTTACATGATTTTGTTGGCACAATGCTTTTCAACGGTAAAAAAAAATTAGCAATATTCTTTGAAAAGACACAGTGAGGGAAGAGAGTTCGAGCAGGTCAAACAGGAAGGGTTAATATATTAATCTAACATCAAAAAACAGAAAAGAAATTCAATTTGGCGGAAGATCATTTGCTGTTAGGAAATAACCATAGTGCTGAAGTTATTGGTAAGTTAGCTTATCAATGGGCCGAGGACGAAAAAGTACAGTGGAAAGGTGTTTACCTTGCACGCGTAGTTTTCCAGTAAGTTGACGGACACTGTTCGAGGATTGTTGGTTTATGGTTTGAAATGGAACCTCATGGACAAATTTTTGTCATTAGATATTTGGCGAATAAAGATATCCATCACGCAAGCTTAGCTTTCCAAAACTTTGTCAAGACTGCTGGATTTCAAACAATTGTTGCAGAATCCAAAGTACGTCGTGCGCCTGCTGATTCTGAGGCGTCTTCAGTCCCAGTGTTTTCAGATCCTTGGATGAACTTTACTCAACTTTTATTATTGACAGTACAAAGAGATGGAAAAGATTTATTTACAGAATTGAAATCAAGATATAAACCACTCTATGGAAACGAAACTAATTTTGTCGAGCTTATTGATGACATTGGGCTCGCCTTCTTTAACATCCCTAAACCTAGAAAACAAGGCAATATGCTTCAAGAAATGATGGCTAGTTTATTTTCTGGAGGTGCACCAGGCGCTGGTGGCAATCCTTTGCTTGGTTTAGGCGGCGGTAATGCAACGAGTGGCGCTGAACTTGATTAAAGATAGTGTAGTTGTATAACCGGTTGGCATAAGTAATAAAAACGAGATAGCATTCCCAATCATTTATGCAAAAACTGTTGTTCTAGAGCTTGCATTTTAAACCGCTTTATGCCTGTTCTTTCAAAAGGCGCGCGAATGCGGTTAATGTTCATCCTTACAGAATAAAAATTTCAAATCAATAATCGTCATATAACGCGGCTAAAACCTTCCCAATCGGAACTAAGGCATGAGAGATTATCGCTGCCGCTCACTTTAATTAAGTATGCAGTATCTTCCGACTTTGTGCATTTTGTTTTTTCTTTCTCACCGTTAATTGTTCACATCTATAAAACCTGTAAGATTTTCCTGCCTACACATCGTATAAAAGCAAACATCATGAGCAACAGCAGTTTACAGAATAAAGTCGTCGTCGTTGCAGGTGCTTCTCGTGGTATTGGTTTGGAATTTGTGAAGCAGATTTCAGCCACAAATAATGTCATTTTTGCTGGTGCTCGAAATCCTAGCCAGGCTAAAGAGCTACAAGACTTAGCTAAAAAATGTGAAAACGTACATCCCATCACACTTGATATTTGTGATGATGACTCCATCAAGAAAGCAGTCGAGGAGGTTTCTCAAAAAGCACCTCAGGGTATTGATGTTCTAATCAATACTGCCGGGATTGCTGGGCCACTTGACAATGCTACACAAACGTAAGTTTCTAGTCACGGGCATTTTATGTGAAACGTTTTGAAAGCCTTAACTGATTTTTTTCACGAAAAAAATAGTACCAGAGAAGATTATATGAGCACGTTCAACACAAATGTTGTATCCATTGCTCGCAATATTAGCTTTTTCCTACCTCTTCTTCAAAAGCGCGGCAAAGATCACGTCAAAAAAATCTTGAATATTTCCTCCGAATTCGGTTCCTTGCACCATCGTGAAACCTCGGGAGCAAATAATATGGCAGCTTATGGTGTTTCCAAAGCTGCTTTGAATATGATGACCGAAATTGTTGCTAATGAACTCAAGAACGACAATTTCGTGGTTTATTTGGGTCATCCTGGTTGGGTTGCCACAGATATGGGAGGTAAAGATGCTGCTCTCCAACCTCAGGATTCAGTTCGTGGATTGTTGAAAGTGCTGAATGACGTAACGGTCAAGGATAATGGCAAATTCTATGATTGGCAAGGCAAAGAAATGAAATGGTAGACTTGAAGATTCATACAAATATGACTTTATAAAAAGCATTCCATTTGCGTACAATAGCAACATAGTATTTTTTTTTGCTCCAGCCTCATCGACTGACTAATTAGCAAATGCATTAACTATGCAATTGTCTACGTATATTATGTCTGTCATTACTTTAAAACGGACAATAAAATCCTTTTCTAATACTCATTTTATTATGGTTAATTCGTATAATATACATAAACATACAGAGCAGATGTTAGCAAAGTATATAAATACACTAGTCTATCTTTCAGCAAAGCCTTTCTCCTCTATTCGAATCCTCCAGGTACAGGAGGACGAGGTGCATCAATTTCAGGAATCAAATCTTTCATTTGTGCTGCGACTTTGAGCTGCTCTTGTCTATCTTCAGCAGCACGAATTGCTAAATATTTACGGCTGAAAATGTTGACCGGTCTTTCGATATTCGTTTTATCATGATCCCCTTCCATTACCAAACCACCAGACTCCATCACGATAACGATCGCTGCTGCTACGTCCCATTCCCAACAGCCAACTTCCCAATATACGTCTGTAATTCCCTTTGCAATATGACACAGGTTGATAGCAGCTGAACCGGTAGTACGGATGCTATGTGCTTCTGCTCCAAAGGGATGTTCCTTGGACTTTTTGCACACAATGTTGTGAATGGCGCTGATTTTCGCATCGATTACGGCTTTAGAACGATCAGACCCGGCCTCTGTGGATACGAGACAGTGACCCAAATCAATCAAAGGCGGAGCAGGATGGAAAAGAGGAAGTCGTTTGGTTTCGTTAAGATAGGCGCCTTTTCCTTTGGCAGCTGAATAGAGTTCATCTAAAAGTGGGTTGTATACAACACCAATGGTTGGTATTTTGTTGATGGTAAAGCCGATAGACACGGCTACAAAAGGATAACCGTGAACAAAGTTGGTGGTGCCATCTTTAGAAACCCCGTCCGAAGATGGAGTTGCAATTATATAAGCATCAGTTGGAAATGCAGAAATGTGGAAATTTGGTTTCAATATATCCAAAATGGATGATATTCATGTAGTTTAAGCTTGTAGTTATAACAATGTCTTACCTATTGGATCTACAATCCAAGTAGGAAGGTCAGTGAATTCTGTTTTGGCACCGCTTGCGAAAGTTTCTTCACCGATGAATCTGTGAAATACAGACAGCACAATCAAATGCCTGTCAATGTCCTAAAAATCCTCTCGTATTCAATCAAATTAAAAGTCGTCTTTACTTGTGATCAGGATATGTCTTGTTCAAACGATTCTTGATGAATTCTTCGACAGCCTTGTCTGTTTCGGTGACTAGGTCGGTTGGATTGTTCTTCTTCACTTCGACACTGGAACCTGTTCCTGCCATGCGAGAATCAACAGCTGCCTTGATGATCGCGCCGGCTTCTTTAGCCAACTGAATGGCGAAGTCTAAGTATTCCTGGATATAATCTATGGCATATTTGAACGAATAAGTGATCATGTTAAACGAAATAAATGAAATTTTGTCATCAACCTTGATGTGCTTCTGCCATCTAATATGTAAGGTGTTGTAAGGTGTTCGAAAAGGGGCAAAAGGAAAAGGCGGGAAAAGGTTTTAAAATGTGGAGAGTGAGCATTCTTAAATATGAAAGGTTAGAGCTCCGGGTATGATCTTTTTGATTACAGCCATGGTTTTGTTGTTGCCAAACAATGATTTATGCAGAATCATGTCTTCGACTGTGGGTTATTGCTTGTACAAAGCAGTATAATAACAGACACTTCAAATCAACTGGTATTCACGAAGATTGAGTTGGGTCGCTTTTACTGCTCCAAAATAAGGAAAGAACTGAAGAGCTGTTATTATTAGATTCATAACATTTTTTGGCATTTGTGCAACATACAATCAAGTAAAAAAAAAAATCAAAGCACCAGTGGCAAAAGCAGGAAAGACTTTTGACTTTTCTTCATCTTCTTATCTTTCAAGATCTCTAAAATTTCTGATTCGGAAACATGCGTCTCATTGCGTTGATTGCATTGTTTTATTTGGCCATCATAAAACTAGGTATAATATAGTTATGTGTGAAGTTTGAATCGTATCTTTGTGTTAGTGTTCTTTTTTTTTCTAATTTCTTGTATTTTTTTTATTTGGTCCTCCTTCAGTAGTTAATGCGCAAGGTAAGATAACATTAAGTCAAACAAAAATAGCCCGCTCTATTATACTTAATTCTTTTTTAACGAATGAAATCTTCTCTCTCTTCCTGCGTCAACATATTTAGGTCCTGCACCCACATCAAGTTCAGCAACAGTAGTACAATCAACGGCAGCGCTAACAAGTAATAACGCTGCTGCACAACCAACGCCCACGACATCGTCGGGAGCACCTGCTTCTGGACCGTCGATAGTCGCTACACCAGGTGGAGGGATCAATAATAACTCAACAACATCTATTATAACAGCCATTTTAGGCGGGAGCAATAATCAAACGGCACCCTCTGGTAGTGGCGCTGCAAACAGTTTGGCAGGTTTACCTACATCAGCCACATTTGGCAACACCATTTATCCAGGAGCAGCAACATTTTTGACGCCCACTGCCAGCAAATCCGTTTTACCTCTATACCGTATTGATAGTCGCGAAAATGTCACTTTTGTCTGGCAATTTACCGATTTAAAAGTGCAACCGGCCAACCTAACATTAGCAGCTGTGGCTCCTAATAAAGTGACCTACACCATTAGTGCCTTACCTGGTTTAGCGACCAGTGCAGTTTGGCATATCAAGGATGTACCGACTGCTTCTCCATTGATGATGGGAGACTATCAAATTCAACTCTATGATCAAAGAGGTGTGTCAGCTGTTCAACAACCGGGTTGGTTGGCACCTAATACTCGATTAACTATCGCATTTTATTCACCAGAGTCTTACTCAGCCATACCATCCGGATGTAAGTTTATCTTTTTTTTTTTTTTTTTTTTTTTTTTTTTGTAAAAAACCTTTCGATATGCTTTTAAAAAACTGACCATTTCCGTTAAATTGAATTTTATAGCCGACTATTGCCCTTTATGTTTTTATAGTGGCGGAAGACGTCTATCAGAAACGTTTGGACCTATTGCTATTGCCTTTGGTATTGCCAGTGTAACTTCAGGCATGATTTTATATGGTTTGATATTTCAATAGACATAGCTTTTTAAAAGTGGTACCTTAATGTATATACCATTTCAATATCGAACAATATATATATTTATATATATTATCATTCTATAATATACATCAATTAACTTATCACAATTCCTTGAAAGACCAAAATATTTATCATATCATTATGTCACATACATATATCTTGTGATCGCCTATTTGTTGATAACAAATATATGTGCATTGTCTGTGTGTGGCTTCCCACGCCGCATGTAACATGTATTTATACTAGAATTAAGGGGGAAGGGAACGGGCCTTTTATAAAATTGTGATCTGCTTTTTCTTTTCATTGTTTCTTTCTGCTCAGTGTTGTATAAAGTCCAAAAAGCTAAATCATCCATCCCTTTTTTCACTTTTCCTCTTTAATATTATTTATTCTTGTAATAACGCTATTCAACTGTAAAGGCCATCCTGCAATTTACTATATAGTAACCTTAACCTATCGTTCAGAAGAAACTACATTATTAAATCATGGACCTTAACTTTTGCCTCTACTGCGAGAAACATTTGCCTCAAGAGGTATAACAGATAGTCATATTGTATCAAGTACCATTCTAGAGAGATCATAGTGATAATAATTGCTCTATTAATATATAGAATATGAGCTTCTGTTCCTCTGCATGTCAATCCAACGAAGCATTAAAGCCTATTCAACAGCAGTCGAGTGACAGTATTACAACTTTTTTACCATCTCTTTTATATTTCAACCCTACTCATTATCGACCTAAGCCTGCAACAAATGCCAACCTTTATGAAATTGCTACTGATTCTACACACCATCTGTATTCCTCTTATGTACTGCCGAGTTATACTTGCTGTTCATCAACAATGAGGCATAATTGCCGTCCCCAGACTTCTTTTCCTTTTGACTCGAACTTTTCCATCATGACCTCAATATCCTCCTGCTCGTATTCATCTTCCTCATCATCGTCTTCAACTTCTTCTTCCTCAAATGCTGCCTCCCATGGCCCACTTGTACATATACCACATAATCATCAAGGCGACAAGCATGAACATTTATCTCCTTGTCAAGCAAACTAAACTGTATATAAGTTCTTCCTCATTTTTATATTTTACAGGAAACAAAAAATTCCACTTCCTAAGAAAACAAAAAAGCATTTGACTGCATGCTATTTTTTTTCAAAGACGAACGTCAGAAAAAGATTCGCCCATACTCTCAAAAGATATATACACATATTGCATGAAACAGAATAACTTTTTAAAATTAAAAAAATGATGTAGATTGGAATAAACACTACCAGTTCTCTTATTAAGTTCCTAAATATACAGTAGCCTTCAGAGAATCTATAAGCATGTAATACTCCTCTGAACGTTTAATTTTCTTAGGTAACCCTATCATAATGTTCGTCATTGCAAGCGTTGCTTCCCAATACCAAGAGTCAGAAGAGGTTCTAAACAATAATTAAGGTAAAGCACAAGTGGCGAAAAAAGTTTTAAGATTTTTTGATCACTGTCAACAATATTCTAACGATTTATCGAGATTCGGACAGTTGATAATCTTGCCAGAGGAAATAGAAGAGAAACAAGCGTTAATTACTAATATTTTGACTCCTGAAGCATCTTATGGGTGATCATGCCAGTTAAAAGTAATAATAATGAAAGAATGTATGAAAATTCGCTAAACTTTTGAAAGACCCTTAAGGCCTCCACACCTTATGCACAGACATATTATGCGATACGATCCATATTCCTTTGTGGGCTATCTTCATTACAGAACCTTCCTTTGCCAATCAGAATAATCTTTTGACTTGAAAAGATACAAGTTTCAGTTGTCGCTCCTTGGAGACCACTCCAGCAAATCAAATGTGACCGTTGGATTTATGCTGTTTTTAAAAGACGCGCCTTTTTTTTATATCGCAATATGTTAGGCCATTTAGTTTGTCCTTTTAATAATTCTTTGAACTATTACAGAACAAAGAAGTAAAAGTGTGAAAAGCAATGAGCGAAATCAACCCCTCTGCCTTGAAAGTAGTAGAGCTGCGTGCTGAATTGAGTAAACGCGGATTACCACAGAAAGGAAAGAAGGATGAGCTGATCGCTCGGTTAACAGAAGCCATAGAGGCAGATAAGAAGAACAAAGAGCAAATAGAACAGGAAAAGGAACAGGACAATAAAAAAACCGAAGAAGAAACAGAAACAGCCAGCAAAGCACAAGATAGTAACAAGGATAATACGAACTTGGAGAATAAAGACGAAGCAACAATACTCACAGAAAAATCTTTTAACGAACAAGAAAAGAAGGTTGAAAGTGTGGAAGAAGAAGACAAAAATCCTATATCAGCATCATCAACTACAGAAATTGATAATCATAAGAATGAACAACAGAAGGAATCAGAACCAGAACCAGTTTCTGGTGTAGAGGATGAAGTACCTAAACAGCAAGGCGAAGAATCGAAAATGGTCATGGAGGATAATAAAGCATCCGCCGTTGCTGCTGCGACTGAGAAAGAAGCACAAACAGCAGGAGACAAAATAAGCATTAATCCTGTTACGGATAGAGAAATTGATGAGGAAAAGGACGTAAAAATGAAGGATCTTAAAGCAACAAAAGAAACTGCTACGAGTACAACAAAGTCAAATACAGAATCTAACTCTGTTATAGGTACCAAGAGAAGGCTATCAACAGACCCTGGGGATACCGCTGAAGATGGTAAGAAAGCAAAATGGACATAAGTTACAGTAAGGGGCCTTATAAACATTTAACAACGGCATTATCTAGGCAAGCGTACCAAGATTGATGATCAAGGAATGATCTGTAGTCCAGCATTCTATGTCAAAGGATTTGTTAGGCCATTGATTACTAGCCATGTGAAAAATTTGCTCGAAAAATACGGAAAACTTACACGTTTTTGGATGGATCAAATCAAAACGCATTGTTATGTTATTGTAAGTGTTCAGTGATGTTAATATGATTATTAGACGACAATAGTAACTAACCAGACAATTACCTTTTGTGTGTGTCCCCTTTTTTTACAATAAAGTACGAAAACGAAAGTGATGCAAAAAACGCAGCTCGTAATATTGATGGTATTGTATTTCCAGAAGAAACGGGTAAAAAGTTGACAGTGGGCGAATTAACACCAGAGCAGACAGAGGAGTTAATAGAATTTGAGAAGAGAGCAGATGACGAACGTAGAAAGGTGGATTGGGAAGCCTGTATTAAAAAAGTGAAAGCTGGTGAAGGATTAGCATCAACTGGCGGCTCACCAGCAGATGGGCCAAGAAGAAGAATTCGTCAAATTGGCATTGGACAAATTGCAAGAGAGTTGAGCAAAGCAGCAGCTGGTGATCAGCAATCGTTAGCGCAGAACGCTACTACACCCTCCCCTATTTCACCCGCTTCCAACAATGGTAACAGAATTGTTCGTGTTGCTGATAAGAGAGAACATGAACCGGTGTTAAAAAAAGAACGTTCTTTGGATGATCTGTTCAGAAAGACAGAGGCATTGCCACGACTTTACTATCTGCCTAATACAGATGAGGAAGCTGAGGCCAGATTGGAAAAGCTTCGTCAACGTGCTTAATATAGCGCAAGCCTTACAGTTTATTAACATATATCACTATTATACCGTAGCAATTTTATATTGGTTTGCTTTGCACGGTTGAAATACAATAGGGTCTAGTGTGACACGGAAAGCTATGGAATATCTATATGCATTGTTTTGGCTGAACAATAAAAGACTGCTATTATTTAACTAAACTCTTTTATCTATTACTGATTTCTCCATCTGTATCCAAAGTGCTGTATACTTAGTATACTGGCACCACTTAATACACTCAGAATAGCAATAATGGTCATGGACCAGCCATTACCAATAGCACTTATAAGAGAGGGGGCTACCAAAGGAGTGCAACCTGCTGAGATGCATCTGAGCATGTTTGCAGCGCTCATTACAGATGCAGAATGGGATTGATATGAATCCACAATATACGTGTTACTGGGTGTCTGAACAAACCCTACACCTAATCCTACTGTTGCGTACAAGACGAAAAACCAGATGCTTTTTAGTACTTTTCAACATACTTCCTTCAAAATAACCTTAGACACACTTTACAAACAAATAAACCAGTCAAAGTGGTCGCAATATGGACATTAAAGGACGAGCACCAACCGTACGCCAATTCACCTATGGGAAGCAAAATAATACCCAACCACATAGGTGACAACCGGGCTTCTAAATTTGCTTTGCTGTCGTTGTTTTTATCACTTTCTTGAGTCTTATTAAGGGCTCTATCTGATAATTTACCCGATAGATAAGCACCCATTGCATTACCAACACCATTAGTCAGATAAGAAAGGCCAACTTGATAGCTTGTCAAGGAGTAATGATGCTGGAGTTCGTGAGGCAGCGTAGCAATTACGAAATACATAAAACCGTACGCCATAGAGTAAGGTGTGGTTGCCAGAATAACAACTGGTTTGAACATGAATTTGATAGGTGTGATGATCGTTGTGAAGAAAGAAGTAGAAGTTGAAAAAGAATTAGCAGCAGTGATTGAGGAAGAAGAGCAGGCGATTCCGTCTGTAAAACTATCATTGGCTTCTTCATTTACTCCTCCTTGCATTATTGTTGTCTGATTTTTCTGAAAAAGTATATGTGTTTCAAGCTTGGCTCTCTTACTGTCTTTGGTTTTTGTCTTCTCACTGGAAGCAAGCGCTTTTTTCTTCAGGATAGCTGCGGAAGTTTCTGGTAAAAAGAAAACGATGAAAAACAACGTCAGTCCTCCTACGGCTGTTAAAAGCCAAAAGATATAACGCCATCCTAAAACTACATGTCCATGTCATTTATATTTCCAGTGATACTCTCTGTAAGAATTTTCATACTCACATTGATTGATGAATCCACCGAAGATTGGACCGAGAACAGGACCAATCAAAGCCCCTAACAAGAAGAGACCCATCGCGTTACCACGCTCATGTATATCAAATAAATCAGTGATTGTTCTAAGAGAATGGTATTAAGAACAAGATGAGAAAGTTATCGTCAGAATTTTTCTGTGATAAGCTTACCCTGCTCCAACAGCTTGTGCTGCTGCTGCTCCTACAGATTGGAAGATTCGTAAAGCTATAAAAAGACCAATTGAATGAGACAAAGCACATCCAATTGTGGAGCAGAGGTAAATAACGGCGGCCGATAGGTAGACCACCCTACGGCCATAATGTTCAGAAAGAGTGGCCCAAATTAACGGCTTTAGAAAGTAAGTTTTAAAGTAACTGGTTAAGGTGCTTGTGCATGAAATTGCTTGACTTGGCTCATCAGCTCTACTGATCATTTTTATTGTACTTACTGAAAGGCCTAATGTAAAAATATAAGAAGAGATTGTTGCATTGATAGCAGTATCTGAGGCTTGAAATGATTGCTTGACCTGCAAAACAGCTGGTATCTGTCATATTAAATGAGTAGATTGTTGGAAGACTCATTATTTGTGATTCATTTGATGAGCACTTACATATATAGAACTTGATAAAGGGCCAAGGAAGCCCTGTAGAGCTACGATAAAGATAATGAACCATTTTCTTTTTTTGGACAGTTTGCTCTATTATTGAGTGTAAATAGTTTGCCAGACTATTACATTAAGCTCGTTTGACAATACTAACTTTTATTGAATAGGGTGCTAAGTCATCTGCAAATGGGACAATAATTGTTTCTTTCTCAAACAGTTTTTGTTCTGTGGTATCTGTATCAATGCTTGCTACGGATGACGGAATATGCCAGAGTTTACTACTATTTCTGCACACTACTGCTACTTCGTCTGCTTTACTGTTGTTAGTATCAGGCTTCATTATATATTCAAAGTGAAAGAACTGGGGAGAACGAGGGAAGAAATATAGAAGTGACGAAAAAAGCGCTTCTAGCCAAGTTTTACAATAGTAGAAAGAGAGGGAAGAAGCAAAAACAGATATGTCATAAGTGCATTGTAGTATATCATAGAAGAATTTATCTTACAATAGAAATATACAATATTATGCTCATAGTGGACGTGAAGATAACTAAATGAACAAACAACGATAGGAATAAATATAAGCCTGCTTTCGATGAGCTTACACAGTTTTTACAGTACAAACAAATTGGTTTCAATATGCCACATTTCGATTTAATCTAAAGTTTTCGGCTAAACATATGATATAAATATGTTTACTCTCATTACCACTCTGTCATCGTTTACTTCATGGTTTGACTAGGAAATAAATGATGCTGTTATTTTTGAATCTGTCAGCCTAGCATTGATTGCTTACATCGAGAGCAAATGAATTATGCTGAACATCCAGCCAATCACCGGTCGTCCCAGACTCAATGTTGTAGAACTTATTTTTGAATGTTTTGACTTTTTCAGCTTTCCTTTCTCGCGTAAAAAATAAGGGACTCCCCATAAGTAAAAGTAAATCAAGCGACAATGTATTCAGCTCCAGGAGGGGATAACCCAAACTATCAAGCTTATAGTAACCAAGCTTTTCATCAGCCTAATGCAGCTAGATCTCCCCCGCCTCTTCAACATCCTGTACCTCAGCATCCTATTCCTGACTTTGGACCTGCTGTCCAACAAACAGGATCACCTTCTCCGAACCTACAGAATGCCCAATATCAATATAACCAACCTTCAATCTCTCAGCAAGCACAACAACATTATTCTATGCATCGACAGAATATGCCATCCTACGATGCTAGTGTATACTCACCTCAACCTCAAGCTCAACAAGTGCCTTTGTCACAACAGCAACAACCACATCATAACTTCTATTCGCAGTTTGGCTTCAACGATCCTGCTGCTCAGATGGGCATGCAATTTGCAGGATCAGCTATGGCGCAAGGTTCTGCTTATGTCGAAAAGAATGTAGGCTTCAATAAGTCCAAAAGTAGTTTTATAGTCTCGAACGTCAGCTGACACACTTGACCTTTATCCTTTCCCAAACAAAGTTCAATAGATGGGTCAATATGCCAGCGTTACGACACTATTTCAATGTGAGCAATAGCTATGTTATGAGCAAATTAAGGCTTTTAGTATTTCCTTGGAGACATGGAGTAAGTTTTTCATTCAGGTTATATAGTAAGAACGAGGATTCGTTGCGCTAAACCGTTATCCCTCTGACACTTAGTCATGGAATCGTTTGATAATGAGATCAGAAACTGGTCAAATGGAAGGATTCAAACCACCAAGAGAAGACATCAACTCGCCTGATTTATACATCCCATGTAAGACTTTGTCACGCCTATTCATTTTTCCTTTCTTTTTTATACTCAATGCTTCGCCCTCGTAATTGATCATAGTAATGGCTGCAGTGACAAACGTTTTACTCTGTGGTTTGACTGCTGGTTTACGTAACAAGTAAGTAAAACGATAGAAACCGAACGGAAGTTTGGCGACACATTCTAAACATTTATCACGAACCCAATGATAGCTTCCATCCTGAATTACTATATATTGCCGTCTCTACGTCAGCGGCAGTGGTATTTTGGGAGATAGTATATACCAGACTAGGTTGTTACTTTTTGAATATTCCCTTTGAAGCTTCTATGCTGGATTTATTATGTTATTATGGATACAAATTCGTTGGCATTATTGTAACGGACATATCAAAGCTGCTCCTGGGTAACAGTTACTTGCATTGGTTTATCTTTTTTTACACTGGCTTCTGTGTTTGTTTCTTTTTGGTAGGAAATCCCCCTTCTCTTTGTAAACGATAAACGATGAGTTTGATGGCTTACATATCATTCTTCTATCATAGCTTCGTTCAATGAGATATGTTATTTTACCTGATGCATCTGCTGGACCTTCAACCATGAACCCTCAACGTAAAAGGCGCCTATGGTTTTTGCTTACCATTGCAGCTCTTCAAATTGTGTATATGTTCTTCCTTACAAATTAAATTCCTTACTCGAGAATAAAACTGACGTGTTTACTTTCTACAGCAATGGGTAACTTTTCAAGTTTTCCACTTTGACTGTTTTATTTAACGCGATATGGATGTAGCGCAAAAACAAAGCAGTAACAGCGTGTTTTATTTCATATGGTTCTGTTTTAAAAAAAAGGAGTACGGAGACTTCGTCAATGCTGAGATTGCTGAGCATCAGTCTTTCAAAGTTAATAAAGGGTGGTTTACAAAAGAGGTCATTGTCTGTAGAAGAGATCAGCCTCAAGGAACTAAGTTAAACTTCTTGCTTTTGGAAAATGAGGGCGAGCGGCCTCAGATATTGACTATAACCACAGTGCAGATGGTAAGAAACATTGGTTAGAATAGACATATGTGTAGTAGGTACTGTGATGGATTCAACCGTTAATGGTAATGGTTGTGTTAAAAAAAAAGAAAAAAAGCTCATTATCTTTCTGGATCTAATAGTATTACAATAACGATACAACAATATGTCTAAAAAAGAGAAGACGGCGGTTTTATAGACTCTACACCTCGAAAATCTGAGTACCGGTTGTTGTTGTTGTCGTAATAATCCAAAGATAAATTCCTCGTCATAACGATTGTTTCTAGCCATTTATTTCGGTTTTCGAAGAAAGAGATTCGTCGTATTATGTGTTATCGTTACTATATTGTTTGGAGCATTCTTTTGCGTTATTCCAACAAGCTCTTGAAAATGGCAAGTGAACTGGTAGTTTACGTTTTAAGCAAAGGTAAACGCTATGGTCGATTCCATAATCTGTTTTTACGACTTATGGATAACAGCTTAAAGCATAACTTTCGGTAACCAATCCACAAGAGCCTAACAGAAGTGGAAAAAAATAACGCTAAGTATAACCGTTCTGAAGAGACGTGCCCATACATCAAGGAATATTAAAGTCATGGCTACAAATTGAAGAAGAATGTCCTGAATCACTCCAGTGAAGGATACAAAAGACTGCCTTTCGGCCTTACTGATTGACTAAGAAATGCTCTGAGTTAGTTGCAGGAGTTAGAAAGCTTTGTCAAGCATTTCAGATTGAAGAGAAGCGCACAGTTACAGTAACGTACTTTTTTCAATTAGACAGTCTTGTATTAGAATTATAATTGGCTTCTTTTTCAGAGCCAGGAACCAACGTTGTTATTGTGTGGGGGACCAATGTTATCGTGAGAAACAGTTTCCCGGATCATACCTGCTTTCCGGGGGTAAAGTCATTAGACAGTCGGGTGGTACACACAAACATTCTAATGAGAATGTCCCCGCATGTTTTCGTGCAACAATGGCTTTTTACCCCTTCCACATTTCCCAATTCTTTCTTCCCTGATAAATTTGAATTTGTCCTTCTTTCCCTTCATTCTATTTTACTCTATTTATTTAAATTTTATTATTTACTTCAGAATGGGACACTATCACGTCTACGATACAAGCTGTGCATTCTGCAGCAGCGAACCTGAAGAGATATTTCCCTATTATATTAACAATAGTGCTCAAAGAGAAGACGACCAGAGTATTGAAGAACCTTACAAATATAATTATTTGCTAAATTTAATGATCGCACCAGATATGAATGCTTATTTATCAATTTCAAACGATGAAATCTTTGAATTACCATTACATTTGCAGAAACTGATAATTGAGGCAAAAGAAGAAATTCTGCTGGAACAGAACAGTGCACAGCAAGAATCCAACCAAGTTGACAGACAAGCGCAAATCAGATTGGAGAAATTAAAGCATCATTTCCTTAAGAATTCTGATGGTGATTTATTTCACTTAATGAAATCATTACATGAATTGATATCAGACGAAGGTGAACTGGACGATTTGTTAAGGATATACCAATAGAGATTTTACGTCATCTTTTTATCAACCACCACTGTTTCTGCTGAACTTGCTTCTATTATCTCTTTTTCAATCAATTTTGCTCTCCTGCACCATTTCCTCCTTCTTGTGAATGTTTGTAAACCAGGTGTTCCCGACATTTGTTTCCAAGCATTATTTCCATATTCCCAGCCATTTTGATCTACTTTGTTATCCAACTCGCCTGTCATATCCACCCACCAATCACCATCAACCCACTGCCAAACTTTGTTCACCGTCTTTTCAATTTCTTTCTTTGTCACAACATCAACATATTTCATACTCTTAACTGTAGATTCAGGTAATTTGAACTTTTCTTTGGCAGGAATAGGTTTTAATTCGTTATCCGTCCAAGGTTCTCTTTCGCTGGGCATCATATTGGTTGTCCAATTGACTCCTAACCACCAGCGCTATGAATGAAATCACACAATTGACCAAAAATCAGTCCCCCCAATAAAAAACATTGTAAAGAAACATTGAATTTTTTTCTTCATTCATGATTTTACCTGATTTTCGAATATTTCAAAGTGAAATACCATTTCGTTTCTTCTGCTGCTACTGTTATTAGTACTGCTGTTACTCTTCACATTTCTATCTGGCTCCTTCTGACCAATTCGTTGCAATACACTTAGAGCGTTTGATCTTTCTTCTTCTGCTTTATTTCTGAATCCGCCAAACCCATATTTGATTCTAGCAAACAGACTAAGCTTCTTTTGCTGTTTTCTGTAAGCCGTCGAAAAAGGGGAGATCCGAAGATATTGACAGGCCGTCAAAATGCACGCAATACCATACGCATACAAAGCGGCTAAAATATGCCTCAACACAGTATTTCTTTTCAATACCACCACGATCAGTTGAAACCAAGGCGCTGGACTTACTAGAATCAAACTGCCAGCAGCCGCCATCATCACTCGAGTACCCCATAGCCAGCACAGCACGACCCAGATAGGTGTAACATACATCCACACAGTCAATATGGATATCATCATTTCTGTATGTGTACCTTCCAAATAACGAGTGAGCCACGACTGCTGTAATAAATGCTGCTTTACTTCATCTATACACTCATTCATGGTATTTATATCCTGTATTGTATCGTCCAGCGTGATTTGGCCTACAGGATAGATTTTCCTCGAGATGTACATTTCTTCCTCCTCTTCCTTTTGTTGCTGCTTTCTCAACTGTTGTAAGCGATCATCGTTTTCGTCGTCCATTTCTTCGTTCAACATTTGATATCGCTTCATCCTTTCCTGCTGCCGCTTTTTCTCCAGTGTTTCTCGTCGTCTTTGGTTCGTTCTCAAGCAAATCCAATCTCTGCCTAACTTATAGATAACGATGCAGGGCAGGCCAAACATGATGACTTGTTGAGCCCATAAACAAAGGCAGATATAGACAAGCACAACTAGAAAGGATTGGCGGGGATTGGATGTTTTCCATAATAGAATCTGCAAAAATTGAACAGCAAGGCGAATAATAGGACCGAGCACAATAATTCCTTTGAGGATGGGAGTAGGAATCTGATCTATTGTTTGAGCTTTATAAGGTGATGTAAAGCTGGTAGCAGGCGTGCATTTCAAGTCGGGACGATTGTTATCGTTGACATTGGAAGCTTGCTGTTTTCTATTATACATTGTTTTACTTTTATACTTTTCAGGTGTTTAGGCTGAAAAAGTGAAGAAAGAGAAGAAAAGGGAACAAAGCATTATTTTTGTACTAGAGTGTCACCGCAAAAATAAAATACAAGGAAGAGTAATATTGTTGACTAAAAAGTTGTTACTGTCTTGGTTTGTACGGACAGCTGCCGCTTTCGATAAAGGGGTGCGAATTTCACGCAAATTGTCCGTAACCAAAAAAAATTAATGTCACATTCCAAAAAATGAATGGCATAAATCCCAAAAAAAAAAAGGGATTGCCCGCTTCTATCACAGATGAGTTATGAATGGTTTATGAAATTGGAAAGACTCTAGTGTAGACTTACAAAAAGCCATATGTTACCGGCAAAGTTGGATTTCATCAACTTGGAGAGATAGTAATTAAAGCAGAGCATACTACAACACCTTGGAACAAAAAAACAAAAAAAAAAAGAATTCATCACTTACGATCTTTGGAGAAAATGCGCGGTCTCGTTTAAGACCCTATTCTTGTTGTTTCTTTATAAGTTCTATACTTTGCCGAAGGGGTCTTGTTCTTATAACTTCAAGACATTTTAAAATGAAATTAGCTTTTTTTGGGTTGTAAAGATGAAGAAAAATGAAAGATGGTGAAAGATAGAAACACTCAATGCGTGATAACATCAGGCTCAATCATTATTTTACAATTTAAAACGGCAGGAAATGGTGACTATTAGTCTACAATAATAATACGTTTAGTAATGTTGCCACGCTTAACAGCGTATAACCGAGTCATGGTTGGCTATGGAGTCAATAAATAGTTAGAAGTGAGGTATAAAGGGGATTAAGCTTGCGAAAGCGCAGTAGCCATGCTTGCCATAGAAGAAGAAGAAGAAGAAGTGATGGTAGAGGAATCTAATTGTGGCGATGCATGGTCTGTATCCGACTGAATCGACTTTAACAAATCCTCAGCTAAAAGCACCAAGGATTCACTTTTCTGCGATCTACGCTTATAGCTGTTGTTGGCGCTGTGATTTTCACGCATTTTACTAACACTATTCATTGCAGGGACTGAAGCGAGTGTTGCTGAGGATGCCAGCGCTGTATCTGACGATAAGAAAATACTTGACTTGCGTGTCCTCTTGTTGCGTTTCAAATTGGTATGTATGTCACCTGCACGAAGTTTATCTAATAAATTATCCATCAGGTTTTTATCTTCATCTAACAAGCCGGTATTTGTATTGACGCCCTGCAATTTCTGTGCCTTAATTTTCTCTCGGCGCTCTTCTTCTGCCTTTCTGGCTTTTTCCAGGTTCTCCTGCCTCTTTTTTTTGGCAGCATTATCTCTCCTGGCACGCTACAAATGAAACGAAAGTGCACAATCATGTTGGTATTATCGACAAGAATGCTAGCTGTTCAGTTTAAGAATGTGAACTTACCTCCCAAAGGGTGCTGAATGTTTTGAAGATACTAAAGAATTCATCCGGCTTCATTTGTTCAGGATTCTCCCCGAAATAAGAGACAGCATCTTTATAAGCTACATCCATAGAGGTGAAGCGTACTTCCAACTCTTCAAACTTTTCAATGGCTTCCTGTTTGAAGTCTCGCATTTTTTGTGGATAAAGATCGATGCAGTTCTTCTCTTGCGCTTCCTTCTTTTCTGGATAATGGGTATCTATTTCTTTGATCAATTTGTTCAAGCCGATCCTTAATTCATGATAGTCTTTAATCAAATCTGGTAATGACACTGTTTGTGATATTGGAAAAATGCAAAAAAGATAAAGTAAGTTATCAGTTTGAGTTGGAGGGGTTGGGGGGTTGGGGCGGAAGGTAGATTCGCACTACGAATAACTGCTTTTTACCTCTGCAAGCGTCCCCACTCTTTTGAAGATCATGAAGGAATCCATGAAGCCGAGGAAATTGGTTTTCAACAGAATCGACCAAGAAATGTAATAGAGTAGTGTTTCCTTCGGTATCTTTGGTATCTATCAGCTATATTTTTTATTTATTTTTTTTTTTTTTTTTTTTTTTTTTGGCAGAAGCAGGGAAGGACGTAAATGGCAGATGTTGTATGTTAACCAAAGGACATGGATCATATATGCAAAAAAAAAGAAAGACTTTTTGTTTCGTTACCTTATTGATGCTAGCAATTTTTATGCCATAAGCTCCACCTTGAAAACTAGTTCCATTCATGAAATTTCCCAACAATAGTATGAATCGCAAAAGCTCTTTTAAAGCTTTGGACTCTTTCAATGCTATAGATGCTTCCAAAACATCTGTCATATTCTATATACATACAGAAGAGAGACGGAACAATTCAATACACAAGCAAAAGCGAAACATCACTGGCATACAGTTACAGTATGTATTACCTTCGATAGCTGCTGGTGTTTCTCTGAAAATGTCACTTTATACAACATATGTTCTACTCTTTCTTTGAATCGATCAATCTTTAGCATCTCTGCGCAGAATAAGTCTGCTTTAGACAGTTGTTTCTCCTGTGGCTCTTTTCCATCTTTTTTCGGTTGTCTGCTATCCGATGCATTGTTGGCAAATTCAAGCAAGCGCTTTTTCTCTTCTGCCGTCGGCATGGTGGATTGCATGCTGATGAGGACTTGTTCTGTCATCAATTCCTCATTCAGCGCTAAAAAGCTTTGTTTAATTTGCGTCAAAGACATATGTTTGAATTTGGAGGACAAAAAGGCAATGTTGATGTTGTAAGCCTTTTTAGAGTGGATAATGTGTATAATTTCTGGTTGTTTGTTGCCATCCTCTTCCTCCGTATCACTTTCTCTATCGTCTTCTTTGTTGTTGGTTGAGGAGGTTCTTCCTGTAGTTGAAGGATGGTGTCTGCTGGAAAGACTTTTCTTTAATCGTTTACCGCTGCTTTTTTCAACGATAGTAGGCCTTTTCTGAGCAAACAGGAGCTCGATCGATTGAAAAATACCCTTCGTTTCTAATTCCTCCTCCAAAGCCATGTCGACAGCTTCAGGCTCTGTTACTGTGTTGTTCTGCTGTTCCAACAAGGAGGAGGAGGAGGAGGAAGAAGAAGAGGGTAAACCCCATACAGTTTTTTGTAGATGGTTTGCGTTTAATTTTGTCCATTGCAAAGCGCGAGTTTTCACGCGAGGTTGATGAAGAAGAAGTTTACGTGGTGGTAGTGTACAGGAGGGTCTATTGTGTATAAGTGGGCTATTGTTATTGATCGTAGCAAGATTCGTAGGTGAAGTGGAAGGTAGACATGCTGTGCTGATATTTGTATGAATGGAGCTTGTTGAAGTAGATGTTGAAGGAACAGAAGGAGGAGGCGGCGGAGGAGGTGGCGGCGGCGGCGGTAGTGCTTGTGATGATGAAGATGGCCGTGCTGAACCAGCAGTACTTTTCGCCATTTCTACATTAGCCGCGCTTGATGTGGATGGTGAGAATGGAGGTGGAGGTGGAGGTGGAGGGGGTGGCGATAGGTTGTTGTTATTTGCGGTAACAGGTAGAGGAGCAGGAGCAGGAGCAGTAGCAGAAGAAGGAGGAGGTGGAGGCGGAGGCGGAGGAGGAGGAGGAGGAAGAGGAGCAGAGGTGGATTCGATAGCAGCTGTTACATTGTTGGCACCTTCCTTAGCAGCTCTATCATCATGGACAGATTGGCTATCGTTCTTGACCCTTTGACTACTTTGAAAGGAGAGCTTTTGTTGCAATTCAGCAGCCATAGCACTCACAGGCTTTTTTCCTACAGCTTCATTGCCGTCAGCAGCAGAAGATAAGTAACGACGTGTGTTGGTCATCCACGGTGCTGTTACATTGCCACCCAAGCTGGACGTCCCTTTCGTGAGTCGTCCTTGAGCTTTGAATTGGTGATAGGCGTTCGTCACTTGTTCTTTTCTTAGCACGGAATATCCAATTTGATCATCACCTGCAATACCATCCTTTTTATTGGCGTCTGCTGTCTTCATATAAATGTCTCTCAGTTGCTTATCCAATGCTACGATATTTGTTTCGTATTCTTGTTGTGTCTCTTTCAGTTTCCTTTGTAAAGTGGCGATCGTGTGCCGTGACAATCTTAACAAGTCTTCTAAAGAGCTCGTTTTGTCGCGCAAGACACCGATAAGAGGAGCCTCGCCATGGCCACCATTGACGGATCCTTTTTGCTTTAAACCCAGTTCGGTTTCCAGGTCGTGCTTTTCCCTCATGAGCTTTTCGATCAGTTTGCGTGCTTCTTTTGTCTCTTTTAATGCGGCAGCTAATTGATCTTGTTCATCCAGTTTATCAATGAGTCTCTCAACGGCCGACCAGTTGTTGAAGGCTGTGTCTGCGTTGTCGTTGATGAGGAGTCCTTTTCTGTCCAATACAATTTGAGTAATCAACTTGTCTAAAATCTGAAAATAGCGTACTCTTTTTTTTTTTTAAATTTTTGTGACATGAAAGAGAAAGAAAAAGACATCAACATGTTAAGCCGATGGAGGGGGGGGGGGAAATAATGCCAAAGGAAAAGGAAAAAAAAAGGGGAACCTACTGTGTATCATCGCCTTCATGGTAAGGCTGTATCATCAGCATATGCTGTAGTGCGCTCAAAAAAAAGTTGTAACTGGGTGTGCCTTCGACTCTTTGCAAGACCCTTTCGAAACAAGCTCTCGGATCATTCATATTGGTCACAATGGTTTCATTGTACATATCCATCATCTCCTCGAGATCATTCTCGTACATTTGCTTGTAAATATGGATGTGGCGTCTTAATTGCTCTTCATGGCTACTCGTCATACAATGACTGCTGCTGTTGTGATCACTGTTACTTGTAGAAGTTGTGGTTGTATAGTTGTTGCAAAAGAATTTCAGCATTTTATCCATGATGGGCACGAGTCCGCTCGCGTTGAGTTGGTTTCGTAGATGGACACGTATTTCCACGTCTTCTACTACCGTAATCAAGGAATTGATCAGCATCATATTGGACAGTGCAAATTCACCTAGTTGACTATCTACAGAAGTGCTCACTAGGGTGGTCGTTACACGATGACTACTGCCTGTGGTCGATGCTGCTTGTACTACTGCTGATGTAGACGCTAATCGACGAACATCTTCGCTGGCGCCCACTAAACTACCCATACGACCACGACCGTCGAGCGTGGCATCGAACAGTTTAAGCCAGGCATCAAATCGACAGCGACCTACCTCACCACCGGCTTGTCGTTGTTGATTTAATTTGTCGAAACCTTGAAGTACAAAAGTTTGGCCCTTGGGATAGTCGACATGACAGACAAAGGCGAGGATTTCGCATACCAGTTTCCTCGTTTGAATAGGAGCGGAAATGATAGATAAAGTGATTGCATGGATACATTGAGGATGGCATACAACCTCGCGAGCGCCCCACTATAAGGCCACATCATTAGCTTTGGATACAACTTTTTCAAAAGGCTTTCCCCAAGGAATGTAGAGAGAGAGCTTACTTACTCGGTTATTAATGAGTGATTTAAAACATTTCAGAATTTCAATTTCCATCTGAAGTTCCGATTCCGTTCTATGTTATTTCCCAAAAAAAAAAAAAAAAAGAATTAGATGGGGGAGGCAAACAATAGATAGAAAAAAGAGAGACAGTACTTTACTTGTGATCCCACTTATGATTGATGGTAGCAATGGCTTTTGTGATCAACTGAATACCTTTTAAATCAATAAATTCCTTCACCCAACTTAATGGCATGGTTCGAAGACTGACGGCTAAATGAGCCAAGACTTCATGATTCACGCCTTTCAAATCGGGTTCTGATAAGAATCTGTTGATGTAATACTCTGGGGAATTCTTGTCTTCGATAGCTGAGAGAGGGATATGAGGCACGGCGGGTAGAAGGAGTGATGATTGCTTTGACGGATGCAATTTGTGAAGGCTACTGTTACTTTTACTGCTACTTTTACGTCTGATCAAAATGCCACCGGCACCTCCACTATGGCCGTTATCGTCATACCTGCTGCTGCTGCTGCTGCTGCTATGACCATATCCACCACTATTCTCTTGCTGCTGAAGAGCCGTGGCTGCGGTAGTGGCGATAGTAGAAGGTTTTACTAATGCTGCGTCTGCTTGTTGATCCTGAGAGACCATCAGTCTCTTTTTTTCAATGGGGAAGTTCTGCATGAGTATTCTTGAATTGGTATCACGGATGCCCCTACGCGACTTGTGTCAAGTAGATACGATGATGGTTAGGATGAGGGGAGGAGGAGGAGGAGGAGGAGGAGGGGTTGGGTTTTCTTGTAGGATTTACCAGCATGCTTTGGAAAAGATTTTCTACTTCTTTATCTGATAACCCATCTACAGCACTGAGAGATGAATGTGCATTTACTATGAATGATGGTGGTGGTGAGATATAAGAATTGTTTGGAAACTATAAAGGTATATATACATATAGACTTTTTCTATTTACGTGTGGGTGCCGTAATAGGGAAATGACTATCACGTTGTTTGTGTTCATGATTTGTATGCTGCGAAAAATACGAGGACGATCGCGACAAAAACGAGCTATGATGACTGGATTTCCTACTGACGTTCTTTTCCCCTGAATCTGCTGCGCTTGTGGTTGGTATTTGCTGAGGTCGAATGGGAATTGAGATTGTTTCTGCAGCCACTGCTTCCTTTCGCTTGTTCTTTTTTATACCAAACAAGTCCATCTACTGCAAAACATGAAGAAAGCAATTGTGAAGAATCCAAAAGTAAGAAAGAAAAAAAAAAAAAAACGGGAAAAGAAAAGGAAAATGCCATTGAAATGGAAAGGATTATTTTTCAAATAAATAAAGGGACGGAAAGACGCAGTTAAATTATATTTATATTTGTTTCCCCACTAAATTAAAAAATTATTGCCAAAGGCTCTCAGTCTTTATCAGCGTCCCATTTTTCTTTTTCATTTAAACAGCAGTGACTTCATCTAGAGAAACACGGATGATTTTGCTGTGATGTCGAAAGGCTTCTTTAAAAAGGCCTGAGTGGTGAAGGAAACGCCCTTTTTCCTTTTTCAAGCACTTTGTACTCAGCTCTCCTCCCGCCGCTCTTTTCTAAGGGATCATGCTTAGACAGTACCCGATGGCATGGAAGCAAGAGTAACATGATGGTACTTGTTTTGTTTATCACGACGATGACGTGAATGGGCCAGTGGGGCAGAGAGCACGCGATACATAGGCAGATCGGATGACAGTTTTTTAGTGTTGAAAATGCATACGCTTATGTATAATAAAAAGGGGGGGGGCGGAGGCGTTTTTTACTGATGATGATACTTTGTTTCCTATGTTAGAGCGCTCATCCACTCGGGGATGAGGGGTGGAGACTGTTCGCGTACAGTGTCTTTTCATTATCACTTTTGTTTAGCTACCCATACAATTGAATCTCCGCTTTCCATGACGCTTTGTTTTTTGGGTTGCAAAGTATAAAAAAGGGCAGCCCAAAAAAAAAAAGAAAGAAAAGAAAAGATGTGAGACTCGATTCTGTCATTACTTGGTTGTATAGACATAGAATAGAACACTCTTCTTTTTGATCGATCACTTTTCTATACCATTTTTCACATCCCCAGCCCAAAGAAAAGCAAGCGAAATACCCCTTCTTTACACAGTAGCGAAAAAAGAAATGGATTTAAAAGAGCCAATTTCTACAGACCAACAGGAGAAGAAAGCAACAGCAGAAGAGGGTCTATTAGCCGCTACAGCGAAAGGCGCCTCCTACCTTATACTTTTACAATTCTTATCGCGTATGCTCACGTTTTCACTTAACCAACTCGTCCTCCGTTATGTGTCGAAAGCAACGTTTGGGATGGCGTCGGTCAATCTCGAACTGTTAGCCTCGACCATCTTGTTCATCTCACGCGAAGGGTTTCGGTCTGCTCTGGTGCGGTCGAACAAAAGCCAACAAACACTGATCAACCTAGCGTACGTTCCAACTGTTTTTGGTTTTTTCATAACGTGGGTGACGTGTGCTTATTATCTCTGGTCCTTATCGGCTGAGGAAAACGAGCAGTTCCCTTATTATTCCCTCTCTGTCCTGTTGTATGGTGCAGCTTCGTTTTTGGAATTGATGGTGGAGCCATTGTTTATCTTAGCGCTGAACCGTTTGTATTTCCAGTTGCGCGTACGCGTCGAAGGTGTCGCTGTCATTTTGAAATGCTTCATCACGTTTGGATTGACGATTTACTTTGCAGGCAATGAAAAGTTGAGTATTCTAGCGTTTGCTATCGCCCAGTTGGCGTTTGGATTGGTCATGATGTTGGGCTATTTGGGTTACTTTTTGTACAAGGAAAAGTCCATGCGTCCGTTATTGCCGCATCAAGTGACAGAAGATGATGAAGGAAAGAGGTAAACAATAGCAAATGAATTATCATTACATGCCCAATCTCTCTCGGACTGGGTTAAAAAAAAAAACTGACGCACGCTTGGCTCCTTTCTTCCTTACCCCCGCTCCACGCCGGCTCTTATAGGTGCTACTGGTTGGATAGACCCTTATTGACGTTGGGTGTGACGATGACGCTGCAGTCATTTTTAAAGCACATCTTGACAGAAGGTGATAAAATGCTGATTTCTGTGCAAAGTTCGTCACAAGACCGAGGTATTTATGCCTTTGTCGTCAATTACGGCTCCTTGGTGGTGCGCATTCTGTTTCAGCCTCTGGAAGAAACGGGGCGAACGTACTTTTCAAAATTGTTGCTATCGAGCACAGGAGAGAAAAGACAAGCGTCGAACGAGCGAACCGCTGCAAAAGTGCTCATGGTGATGATCCAAGGCCATGTGTTGTTGGGTTTGGTGTTTGTCTGTTTTGCTACGAATTACACAGCAACACTGATTGATTTGCTGGTGGGGAAGGAATGGTCCGTCGGCGAAGGAAATGCACCTGGCGTGCTTGCAGCTTATTGCATGTATGTTCCATTTATGGGCATCAACGGCATTACGGAAGGCTTTGTGCAGGCTGTGGCGACGAAAAGCGATCTCAACAGGCTGAGCTATTTCATGATTTTCTTTTCAGCCTGTTTTATGGCGGCTGGCTATGTGTTTATGCATGTCCTTTCATGGGGTGCGACCGGCTTGGTGTTGGCGAATATGGTCAATCTTGGTATTCGTATCACTTACAGCTGGCACTTTATTCGTCAGTACTTTGGTCATCGAGTGCAACCCATGTCCATTAGGGAATGGTTTCCTCATGCGAGCACCCTTTTCGCTTTTGCCATGGCTTGGTATGTGACTCAGTGGTCGCAAACACATGTGGGCTGGTACACATTCCATCAGAAAGTGGCCCACATCGGCGTAGGCGTTCTTTGTTTATTTATGGTTGCTTTAGTGATGTAAGTTCATCTTTTACGGGGGGCCACACAAAGGTTTTTGCAAAAATGGATCAGAGAAAGCTCATCATTTTTTCTTTTTCTTGGATTGGGATAGCTATGTGAAGGAGAAAAGCTTCATCACAAGTGTAAAGCGTTTAAAGAGCGAAAAGCATGAATAAAAACAAGCTATTCAAAATGTAGGACGGACTTTTTTTTTTTTTTGTTTTGCGTACAAAGCGGCAGGTGATGTTTCTCTCTACCTTCATTTGCACTTTTGTCGTACAATCCACCCACTGCCCACAGACAGTGAAGACAAACAAACAAGGTTTATAAAGGAATAAAGGGGGACATGTTGAACCCAGTCAACCGACTCTTTTTGCCAGTCACATACTCGACGAAAGGGTCCAAAGCAATCACTCGATCAATGTTGTTTTGTGCGTTATTGCTTAAAAGAGAGAGAGTGGGTGGGGGGAGTGAAAAAGAGAAACATGAACTAGAGTGTTTGTTTAGTAGTCTATTTTTTTTGGGGGGGGGTGGGTGGAAGCAAAAGCTTGGGTTGAATAGACTGTCGTCATGCAACCTGTTGTGAAGGACGCTGCGTTTTGTTGGGTCAATGAAAGTCGATTAGCCCACGAACGCTGCTCTTTGGAAGTTCAAGCCACACCCTGTCCGCTTGAGGGCAAAGGAATTCATGAGGAAATGAAAGGGTCTCTTTATTAACTACGCGCTGCGCTAAAATACAAAAAATGAAAAAGATCGTCATTTTGACAACAAAAAATAAACGTTTATGAAACAATGGATTTTCTTTGTAAGCCGTGAATAAGCCCATCCTTTTCTTTAGAACGCCTGCAACTATCCAAAAAGTAAAAAGAAAAGAAAGAAGATCAGTTTGGGATAGAAGCACCTTGTCATTCCCTAAAAGGAAAGAGGGTGACAGCACTTCCACATGGCCTCTTCCCAACAAAAGGAATGTTTGCATTAAAGAGTAGCCTATATGCCCCCTCCGCCAAAACGCGTAAAATAAACAGTTGCTTTTTGTTGTCAAAGCATTGGGCAAAGCACGCAAAATAAAAGGTTTCACTCTGACTTTGAATCAAGTATCACTTTTTTTTCCTTTGCATCGTCAACCAACAAGAAAAAATTGGGACGTAAAATTCGCGTGTTTTTCAAAAGCAATAGTTGACAACAACAACAACAACAACAACAACAACAGTTCTTTTATATTTGTTGTCAAAAGACAGCAGGGAGAATAAGAGTGTGCTACTGGCTTTAAATAGAGGATGTTGATGGTAGTTGAAATGTCAAAGAAGATCCATTTTCTAAAAGAATAGAGATCCAAGATTTTACAGAAAGTTACACAGAAATCTATTGCAATTTTCCCCTTCTCCCCTTTTTTTTTTTTTTTTTTTTTTTTTTCTTTTTTGTGAATCTCCGATCTTCCAACGTATAAATAAACAAAGCTTTTTTCCCCTCCATCCTTCTTTTTAACTTTTTTCTTTTTCATATACATCTTTTTTTGTTTGACAACAAAACCACCAGATACCTAACAATACATACTCGATACACACCCACTTTCCTTCAAACAGTCAAAATACAGTTATAAGCTTTTATTTCAAGAATTCATCTATTTTACTATGCTCTTTCATCGTTCCAGCTTCCTCTTTGCTATTTCGTGTGTCGTGTTCTCAGTTACTAATGTGAATGCATTCCCCGTTCAACAACAACAGCAACAACCATTATTATCCACCACCCCTTCCCACCGTTCATCATCAGCGCCTATTTCAACTGTAGAAACTGCCTTTCTTTTAACAGAAAGTCTATCCGAATATTATGAAAATATCATCGATCAAGTGATGCTTGACGTTTCTGAAGAAGTTTTATCGACTCTTCCTAGAATGTTGAGCAGTCAAGACGACGTTGAAGGTAAGCTTTCTCCTTATTCAAAATTCCAGAGGATGTAAGTGAAGAGAAAAAAAAAAAAAAAACGGATACACTAACGAGGAAAAATCATTTCCCTGTCCTATAGCTCGTCAACTGGCTGAAAAATCGTTCAACCGCAATCTTAACTTTATGCGTGCAAGTTTATTAGCATCTATTAATCCACTTATTTCAACTGATCTCCCTCAAATTGATGGCTTCTCAACTGTTCAAGAAAAAGCCATCCAATACCTCACTACTCTCCAAGAAGAAGAAAGCAGCAGCAGCAACAACAACAATAAAAAGTCGATCAGTGCAAAGGAAGCAAAGAAGCTTGAAGCCACGTTAACGAAATCCATTTTGACCTTGAATAAAAAGATCAGTCATCAATTAGGCTTGATTGTCAATGCTGAACGCTCTTCATCTATTCTTATTCGTCAAGCGATTCTTCACAACAGCAACCACAACAGCAGTCATAAGAATAAGGTGGTAACAGTAGAATGGCATTTGCGTAAACCTTTCCAAATCAACATTATTCATGAAGAAGAAGAAGAAGAAGGAGCATCCGTCGCTACGACCGCCACCCATGACCACAAGGACAGCGCCAACCTAGTGACAACAACCACCAACGTAGCTACTGAAACTCAATGGCTTTATCAGGAATTGTCTACTGTAGAAACAGATTTATTGAATGAATTTGATGATCGCGTAGAAGAAGCTGTACAGTTGGTGATGGAAACATTGGCACTTGATCTTTAAAACAACAAAAACGAAAAAAAAAATACCCTATTTCTCCCCCTTTTTTCTTTGTTTTCTCCCTCCCCACTCCTTCCCCTCCCCTCGCTCACTCATTTCATTCTGCTGGTTTTTTTTTTTCTTTTTCTTTTTAATTGTATATTTATGAATTAATAATAATCATCATCCTCATCATTATCAAAAACCAATCATATTGCTTGTAGACATGGATGAATTGTAGAAATAGCATTTCGTTACACTACAGTTTTTGTTGGCCTTTATTTATTTTTTTTGGGTAGAAAAATAAGTGATACAACCGTGTGTTTGTTGGAATTTTTTGAGAGTCCATTTTATTGGGCAATGAGATATGGATCCCCTTCTTGTTGTTGTTATCTAGATTTATCCTACGAATAGCAAGACATTCCTTGGGAAGGAAAAAAAAAAAAAAATCCAAAAAAAAACCCTGAAATCACAGAGATTTATATGATTCTAAAACCAAAGACTTACACTAAAACTTGTCTCTAACGACTTTACAAAATGCCACCATTTTGGCTGAAACGAGACGGGAGGGGGGAGGTCAGAAACAGAATTGAAAATTGCCTTTTTTGCAATAAAGGAACACTTACGGGAATATAAAGCACTTCGCCTTCTTGTAATATACATTCCAAATAATGAACCTCTTTATAGGCTGGAAACTTTTCAACGTCAGGATGTTCAACATCAATCTATAATTAGAAAAAAAAAAGAGTTAATTAACACATAGCCCTCCAAATGAAAAGGGGGGGGGGAGGGGAGGGAATGAAAAGTAGCGCGCTTTCATTTGATGATGTGAGCATGAGTGCAATAAATAGTACACGCGTGTCCGTGTCCGTAGCCGTAGCGCTAAAAATAGAGATGCATCCATGTACCTGACTGGTATTGGTCATCAACCCTTCTCGTGGATAAACCAAGGGTGTTTGCTGATGTGAGATGAGTTTCAAGTACTTGCTCCCCACCACTTGGCACAGCAAATTATGGTAAGGATCCTGATGCAACGGAGAAACCGTTCCTTTGGGTCCAAACCATGCATTCTTCAACACTTCTTGTTGCGGTGTGCGTTGGACATAAGAGTCGTTCAGTTCGGCTTCAATGTAACAATAATCCGGTATAATAATATCTCGTTCTAAACGAGGGATTTGGTAAAAGACATCATGTTGCGCCAAATAAGCAGGCGGACCGTCTTTTTCCTGCTTCACAATATGCTCTTGCACGAAATCAGAGAAACGCATCATCTTCTGACTCCAGTCTGCATCCGTGTATTGACTGCCTATCTCCACTGGAACCACACGATCGGCTGCTACCGATAACAAGTACTCGGTGGACTTCCATGGATGGTGTTTGAACGCAGGCCACTCGTCAATGATACCGCATCCTTTGGGAAGGATGAACGGTGTCGGTATCTCTTGATTGCAATGAGCCAGGAACCACTCGAAACTCGGCGCTTCCGTCAGTCGTTCAATAGGGTACTTTAGCCTGCCAGCAGCACCCTCCTCTTTTTCCGTCTTCTGCCTCTCCCCTACGTCTACCTTCAATCGCTTGGCAGACGGTGCCTCTTGCCTCTCTTTGACACGCCGACGTCCTGCTGTCAGCCACGCTTGAAGTTCGTCCAAAACAAGAAGCGCTGTCGACCTTCGATCGGGCCCAGGCGCTCCACTCACAACTAAACAGATGTCAAGCTCGCTCATCATCGACTGCACTTTCGGTTCTAATTTTTCAAAGTCCGTCGGTGCTTCTGAAGCGGTCCTGATGCTGATCAGTCCTTTCAATTGAATCATCACGTTGAGTAATCCGCTATCCATCAGCATTCGTCGCCAATGATCAGGTACTTCTTTAAAATGATACAGTAAGATAGCCTCATCGCAATAGTCTGTCAGTGCCTTTGCTTTTGACAGTAATTCCGTAAGATCGATCTCAGAATCGCCCTGACAAACGAGTGTAGCCTTCAACGTCGACTCAAACAAGGAATAAATAGATACACCGCAATATTCAAGATCTAAGAAGAAAAAAAAAAAAAAGGACGTGTAAGCCATGCTCACTGAGGCTCTCTACGCATCCATTTTTGCCCTGATGTACCTTTTCTGCCTTCGTTCGTATGAAAAAGTTGGACGAGTTTATCGTATAACTCTTGGAATGTTGAATGGCAAATAGGCATTTCTTGGCTAATGGAGGCAGGCATTTTTTCCTACCAGAAATAACAGGAGGGGGTGGGGGAAGAGAAGGGAAAAAGTTCACTTGGAGCGCATTATGCATTAACATATATAGTAGAGACCTAAAAAAAAAAAAAAAGTTTTTTTTTGTTTCGGATACATCTTTTTTTTTTTTTTTTTTTTTTCTTTTATTAAATAATTGCAAAAAGAGCTTAAAGGTTTGCTTCTATGCATGTTCCTTGGAGTTTCTTACTGCATCCGTTCTTTAAATGAGTTGTGAATAAAAAAAAAATGAGGATGAAAGTAATTGTTTGGTTTAAAAAAAACAGTGCGTAAAGAGAGAATACGGGTAATAGATAAACTGTAAAAATAATAATTAAATGAGTACACCACATGTGATGGAGTCAGTCTATAATAAGGTCACGAATAATAATCGCGCGAGTAAAAGTGTGATCAAGGAAGCCATCAGCGTCCGATCCTTTTTGTCTGTCATCCTGTGTGTCCTCACCGCCGCGGAAGGATGACGAATAAAAGAGTCTTTATCCGGTGGAGTAGGCGTTGTACTCGCAGTCATCGTTGCGGTAGACGTTGCTGATGACGAAGAAGAGCTGGGGAGTATAGAGGAGGAGGAGGAAGACGACGATGGATAGGATCCACTCGACAGAGCGGTAGGTGTTGGCTTGTGGGGCGTAATGACAATGGTGGTTGTGACAGTAACCACCCGTTTCGACTGAGATGATGCTGGTGTCGCTATCGCATTCGTAGTGCGGCTGAATAATGTGCCCGGTGTCTGGTCATTGGTATTTCTGTCACTACTATGAAGAGTCGCTGTCGGTAAAATACTCGTGCTTGGCAATGTTGCATGCGCTAAGAGTGGAGTCTTCCAATCTGCTTCTCCACTACGGCTGCCACTCGGTGGCATCTTACTCGACGAAGGGACAGATGGTATTGTTGAGCCCTTTTGATCTACGCTGGCGGGTGGACTTTGTATATAAATGGGTATCAAGACTTCACCATGAGCCGTTTCAAAAGTAACCTAGATGCATCGTTTTCAAAAAAAAAAAAAAAAAAAAAAAAAAAAAAATTAAAAATAAATAGGAAAAAAGAGGTTTCATCGAAGGGGGTGGGCGGGCGGAAAGCTTACCTGGAATGCTTCATCTGTGATAGGCAAGTGGGTAGGTAGGTGGTATGTATAAGAATACTTTGGATAGGACTGTCCATTCACTTTATAATTGCCAGAAGGATGCTGGGAAATATCTGCCACTAATTTGACATAGAGGCGTTGTGTCACTTTACCAAACATATCTAAATAAATATTCAATTGCTCCACTAGACGCGAAAAGGAAGACAAAACGGTCAGACATCCAGATCAAAAACGGGGCCGTCATGCATCATTGCTACTTTACTTGTATCGTCTAAAGGAACATATTCCAAAGATATATCCTCTCCAGGATGATACAATTCATGTGGCTTTGGTGAGAGAACGGTTAAATTTAGATAACGTGCATGAACCATCGTGCTGAACGGGAGAGCCATCAATAGTGAAAGCACAGCACTACGGAATATTCGATGTGTGGGTGGTCTACGCATCTCGTTCGTGTCTCTATCGGTTTATAGTCAGGTGTGGATGTCGTTTTCTATCTAATGAGATATAAATTAAAAAAGCTTGTTTGATAAAAGAAAAGGCCTTTCAAAAGGGGAAGACGAGCAAAACAAAAACGAAAAGTAAAAAGAGGCACAGAATACATTTATAATGGTTTTTTTTATTTTTTCACAACATGCTGTTGGAAAACGTCTATTGTAAAGTCAGCTACTACTCGAGTCATTCGGGTTTTTAGCTACAGTGGTTTTTTTACTCCTCTACACCACGAGTAAAAATATCACTACAGCAAAGTGAAATGGATGTTTAGGATTCCGTAACAAATTTATGAGCCGCCCACTACCATTTCATAGACTTTTCATCTACCTGTAAAAATCAACACCATTTTTCGTGCCAAGTATGCTGGCGGTTGATGAGGGTGACTTTTTCTTCGTTTTCTACAAAACTCAGTACGTCTTCCTGTTGACTGTCACATCGATAACGCTCATTACCAACATGTTTTTGGCAGCGTTGACGTCCCGGTTTCTAAAAAGACACTGCTGTCCAATGACGGTGATGTCGCTTATCCCCCTATTTTAAGGTCCACCTAGGATCGCGTCGGTGCTTCGTGCGTGAATGGCTTTCTAGAACGTCTTGCCTCTCGTCTGCGCCTTTTGAAAATGCTTCGGTCTCCGTTTTTATTATTTTACACAACATTACCATCGTACGAAGGAGCAATTGGGTTATATTCACATGAGAATAATACATACCAAAGAGCATCATACAGCACATCCCTGACATACCGTGGAATCGGCTAGGATAAGCTGCACTTGTATTTTCGATGCATGCTGCAACTCCACATCGATGTAGCATGATGGGTATCACGGCTGGTACCAAAGGATACAATAAGTTTTTAGATAGCGTTGAAAATCCAAACATTAGATAACATATCATTCAACAAGTGGCAGGTCTGTTGATGGTTCTCATGAAAAACGACTACTTTAAGTATGGATGTAATATCAACAACAAAGAGGATAATAGTTTATTTGCAACCAAGAAAAGGGGATCGAACGCTATGCACACTAACGAACGTTTATTAATTCTTTGGTGTGTCCTTAAAATCAATCTTCTTCTTCTTCTTCTTCTTCTTCGTCATCTGCAGCTGCTTGTGCTTGAAGACCCTCTAGCATATTTACCATATTGCCTAACCGTTGGTCATCTAGAGTAATACCCAAAAAATAACATGTCTTAATAAGAAAAATAAAGCAGACAATAGGTTTCTTTATGGCTACCTGGTCTCATTTCATGTGCCTTCTTGAACGCATGGATGGCTTCATCATACAAATCTAAAGCTTCATCTTCATCTTCAGCCATGTTGGATTGATTGATACGAAGCATAGCAAACTAATAATACAGCGTTTGGTCTAAATATCAATAGCAACTTAACACAGAGCAATGACAATGTCAACAAACCATTTCCCACACCCAAGCGTTCTCCTTGCCATGCTTTTTCTTATGTAATGTATTTGACTGCTCTAATAATTCCTCGGCTTTCTGAAATACTGCTTTCTTGCCTTTCACGTCATCCTCTTCCAAAAATTTCTCGGTGTGCAGAATACAAGCTGCCCAGATCGTCAATAATTCATCATTCTCTTTATAAGCAGGGAATTTCTTGATCAGGTCTATCACTGTGTGCAAAACCGTTTCTGAATGCTCCTTGTGAGCTGGGTTAGATAAAAGCTGTCCATAAGCTCTTAATTCATGCAACACTGTCTGTGCTTTCTTCACGTTCGATTCGTCCTCGAATTTTAAGATGGCAAATGCGTCCGTGGTGTATTCGATCGCTTCCTTGTACAATTTGATTTCATCTTTACTCACTTGCTCTTGCTTTTGTAAAAGCTCCTCAAATGCTACTTCATCAGTGATCTCGCCATTCTCGTTCTGGAGCTCCTTTTCTCGTTCTGCAAAATAGGCTTCTTGGCTTTTACGCTTCGAAGCAGCCAATGTGATAGCAGCACCTGCTGATTTCAGTAAAATGTCATCCACATTTTCTTCGGACGTCTCCTCCTTACGCTTTGTCTTCAGTTCACCACGTAATATTTCGAGACCTTCACTGATGCTTTCCTCCACTTGAAGCGCTTTGCCCAACTCTACCAGACAAGTAGCATATCCGACGCGGTTGTCAGGCTCGTCCTTTTGAAACTTTTCAATCGTCATATCAAACAGTCGACGCACCACTTGCTTATGATGACCTTGGTCATCCTCAGTGGCGTCACTATGGGCCGCTTCATCAATGGCCATGGCTAACAGTTCTTGAGCAGTAGGCTCACTGCCTTCGACGGACTGTCCCTCGGCATCTTTACGAACAAAGGAGATCTCCACTTCGCCTACTGCACAACCCGTGCAGTTTTCGTCCGTACAGTCAGAAGCGTGCTGTTGTTCTTTATCGGAGCGGGCACGTTTGGTATGGCTGCTTTCTGCTTCTGAAGCGAGTGGATCTTGTTGATGAGCACGTTTGGACATGGTGTTATTTTTTGGAAAGGGTAAACCAGGGAAGGGGGCAACTTATTGCGTGTCGACTGAAGGAGAGCAATCTCACTTGCCGCTTTTGCATAAATTCCCAATGGCTAGACCTCTTTTACTTTTCAAGTGGCTTGTCATTAAATGGCATTGATTTCATCCAGAGAAATGTATCATTGCATCCTACTCCCTTGACAATAAGCATATTATGTTAAGAATTCGTATCGTTCCTTGGATTAATTATGAAGAATTTGAATATGTTTATGGGTTGCTTTTTGCAGATAGAAGAACAGAGCTGGATAAAGTCAAGCAAGGCATAGATAGAGTAAAGTTGAGAAAGCAGAAAAAAGAGAAAAGAAGCATTCTACAGTAAAGCATGTATAGACAACATATCCACTTACAACTCAATGTATCGCTATCTGCCTTCTTGTATTAGGTTCAGACATGGACGAATAGAGGAGAAGTACCTTCAGCAGTAGAAATGACAGCCGCGCTTATCGAAATCATCATTCGCGATGAACAGTCGCACCGTCTCATGTCACATAAAGAACTACGACTTGCTTATGCTATGGCCATGGTCCGATTTGTCAACGGCCTTGTCGATCGAGAACAAAAAGGCCGTTTTGCCAAGTCGGTCAATACGTTGGCTCGCCATTTAGGCCTTCCTTCGTGGTTTGTTGATTTACGTCATGCCAGCACACACGAACATTTGCCGAGTCTTACTGTTTTGCGTCAAGGGGCTCTTCAAGCCGTCAGTTGGCTTCACGACCATTATTGGATGCGTAACATCAAAAATGCAGAGCAAAAGGAGATGATGCGTCAGAATCCCGAGATAAAAGTCAAACTGAATCAATACAAAGAATCCAGAAAAACTTATTTGAAAGACAAATATACCGGCAAAAACGCTGATCCCAATGCCTACGTGGCGTGCATTCAAGGATTGATAGAATTGATGATGCAAAATGATGAAAATGAAGTGATTCAGCTGGATATTTTACCATTGTTATTAGGTGTGGGGGGATTAGTCCCCGTTGGAAAGAAAAAGCGCGCATCAGCAGAGGATATGACGGTTTCAAGGGGTTTGGTTGAATTGTGGTCACCGTTGCTGCAAGGTTTAGATGATGGGTTTCCTCAATTCGCTGAACAATTGATGCTGGCCATGATTTCTAAATTAGATACACATACAGGTAAACAGAGGGTAGACAGAAATCTGCCTGAAAATCGGCCTCGCCTGGAACTTCTTTGATCCTTGCTAACACCTTTCTTAAAAAACATAGAATTTGAACTGAATGAATCTCTACTAGACCCCTATTCAATCTATGTAAGTTTCTTTTTCGGCAAGAATCAGTAGTGGATACAGAAGAAAAAGAAAGACTGAAAATTTACCTTACTTGTTCCGTTGACAGTCTCAACCGATGGAAACAGATGATCCAACAAAGACGAAAAGCTATTTATTAACATTAAGTAAATTTACAATGACATATCATTTGAGGTCATCCATGATGCTTGCCGTCTAAATCAAATTCCCTCTTTTTTTTTTTTTTCTGTAATAGCTTGTTGGCTAAGACATTTTGTTCAAGAATACGACAAAAAACCTACAGATCGTACACTCCGTCATTTATCCATGGACGATTTATTAGATGGATGCCTTCGGAAACCTAATTATTAGTACGCGTCTTTGAAAAAGGTCAACATCTATGTGTAGAATGAATTTCTAATGTGCCTTGATTTCTCTAGTACTCGATTAGTCCTTCAAACTATTGCTACAATGGACCCAGATTTAGGTGCTTCCATCAAACCTTTTGTTAGATATATCGATCAAATGATTTTGAAATATGTAAATGAAAAGGTAAAGTGAGATAGGATCCTCCTCTTTTTGAGAAAAAAAAAAAAGACTAGACTCATTCTTTATGATTTAGTCAAACGCACGTAATGATACCCAGACCACCTTGGAAGACGATTCAGCCTTAGAAAATGAATTACAACTACTTGAAAAACAACTTGTGGATATCAAATCAGCAGGAAAGACGGATCATGCGCATAGGCAAAAGAAGAGAAAAACGGCCAAGATGGCAACACAAACCGAGGCGAACAAAATGGAAATTGATAAGGAGAGCGATGCGACTTGGAAACTATACGAAGATTGGAAGCCTTGTCCCTTGGGTGCCTTACCCAATGGCAAGGTGCCTTGTTTGGATATCAATAGGTTAATGCTTCACCAACAGCCATTGGAGGAGAATGCATGAAATTTAAAAAATTCAATAGGCCAAGCCACGGGGTGCAGTAGTGACTTCTAAGCTGTGACAGATTTGAATTTGTCTCTCCATATTTAACTTTTTGCTCTCCCAACCTGAAATAAATTTAATACTATTTTTTTTTTTCAACTCTATAATTGTTCCGTTGAGAGTGGGATCCGTCTTTTGTAATCCATTCAGCATTCATACAAATTTACCTTTCAATAGAGAATAGAAAATATGGGATATAAAGCTAGAAATAAACAACCTCCTCCTCAGCCTCTTGAAAAACCTAATAAGAATAATGGACTTTCTAGAAGAGCCAAAGCTAAAGCAACTAAACAAAATAAAAAAGCAGCACCCACTTCAGAAGCACCTGGAAAGAAAACCAAGGCAGTAAAACGTCAACAAACAGAAGATGATGATGTCGAAGCCGTTACGAAAAAGAGTCATAAGAAGGCCAAAACAGCTCCTTCTCCCAAAAGCTCAACTGCCAGTAACAACAAAAAAAAGGAACAAAAGAAACAGCAACCTGAGGATGATTTGTGGGATAATCTGGAAGTTGTTTCCGACGACGGGGAAGATTCTGAAGTCGATGAAGAAATGGATGAGTTTGATGTGGAAGACATCGCCTCTGACGATGAGTTGAATATGAGTGATGAAGAAGATCAGGAGGAGGAGGAGATTGAGGAAGTAGATGATGACGAAGAAAGCGACGACGACCAAGGCGAACAAAAATATTTCCCTAAGGCTCAAGGTGGATTGTTTGAATCAGAGGAGGAAGAAGAGGGGGAAGAAGAGGAAGAAGACGAAAAGATGGCCAGTGAAGGAGATGAAGACGAAGATGTAGATGAATTCGATAGCGACGATTTGGGAGAGGTAGATAGAATGCTTTCGAGTCGTACGAGTCATAATGGGATTCATATTCTAATTCTATGAGAAACATTTTATTATCATTCGTAGGGAGAAGCACTTGATGAGCGAATTTCACGTAAAATTGAAGCTCGTGCTGCTCGTATAGCCGCTGAAGCCGAAGCTGAATTGAAAGAACAAGCCAACCAAGACGAAGAACTTGAGGAAGATGAACGTTACAAATTACCAGAAGGTGATGAAGAGGAGTTAGTTGCCGATATCACCGTCGTCAGTCAACGTATCAAAGAAATTGTCAACGTGTTGAACGATTTTAAACGTCTCCGTGATCTTAATACTGATCGTCAATCTTATGTCGACCGTTTAATTAAAGATATTGCCAACTACTATGGCTATTCTGAATTCCTGGCTGAAAAGCTATTCAACTTATTCCCTGTATCAGAAGCCATTGAATTTTTTGAAGCAAATGAAGTACCTCGTCCTGTGACCATCCGTACCAACACACTTCGAACCCGTCGCCGTGATCTTGCTCAAGCTTTGATTAATCGTGGTGTGAATTTGGAGCCTATTGGTAAATGGAGTAAAGTGGGTCTACAGGTATTTGACTCTCAAGTGCCCATTGGTGCTACACCTGAATACCTTGCTGGTCACTATATGTTACAGGCCGCTTCTTCATTTTTGCCTGTGATGGCATTGGCTCCTCAACCCGAAGAACGTATTTTGGATATGGCCTCTTCACCTGGTGGTAAAACAACCTATATTGCGGCTTTGCAAAAGAACACGGGTATGGTATTTGCCAACGATGCAACAAAAGATCGTTTGAAGAGTTTGATTGCCAATATTCATCGTATGGGTGTCAAAAACGCTGTTGTCTGTAATTATGATGGTCGTGAATTCCCCAAGGTCATTGGTGGCTTTGACCGTGTCTTATTGGATGCTCCTTGTTCTGGTACAGGTGTAATTTCTAAGGATCCCAGTGTAAAATTGAACAAAACCGAGAAAGATTTCGTGGATATTCCCTTTTTGCAAAAGCAGTTGATCTTGTCGGCCATTGATTCTGTGGACGCAAAATCCAAGACTGGCGGATACATTGTTTACTCAACATGTTCGGTCACAGTGGAGGAAAATGAAGCAGTGGTAGATTATGCACTCCGTAAACGTCCTAATGTTAAATTAGTGTCGACTACATTGGAATTCGGTAAAGAAGGTTTCGTGTCCTATCGTGGCAAGTCCTTCCATCCCAGTGTGAAGTTAACACGTCGATTCTATCCTCATGTGCACAATATGGACGGCTTTTACGTCGCGAAGTTTAAGAAATTAGATAACAAATACGATAACGTTAAGGATAAGGACCTCGAGAAGGAAAAGGCAGAGAGTGAAGGAAAGGAGGAAGAAGGAGAAGAGGAAGTAACATTCAATGACGAAGAGGATAAGGCTTATATTGAAGGTAAGAAAACCGTAGGCTGTTCAATGCGTTCTATTCGTAATCGTTATTAATATTTTTTTATTTCTCAATTTCAGAATCCAAGAAGAAGCAATTGAAGAAGAAGGGTTTGAAGGTGTAAGCATTATTATTATAAACATTGTATCTATATATCATGTATAAAGCTTTTGTAAATTTCACTTTAATAAAATTGTCTATCATTAAAACGCGCTCAATGTCAGGTAGAGAAAATGATGTGATTTTAGAAGGAATCTATAGTTTAGGAAATGAGTGCTATAAAGGAAGATGCGTGTATGTACAGATTTAGTAATAGAATGTTGATGCAGGGAGGTCTGTTTAGAATATGTAAGATGCACTACTATTTACAAGGGTGAGAGCGACGTGCTCATGCGGTTCATTAGGGTCTATAATAAATGCTTCTGCCGCTGCTGTTCATAATGTCTTCGTATCAGCATGATTTTTTCATTCTTACAGGCATGATCTAAATGTGCCCGAATGCTGGGGATATCCATATAAAATCTACTATCACGTCGTGCCGGTATCTCTGTCTTTTCCGCCAATAGGAATGCCTCCGTCGATGATGGATGAACGACAATAACAGAACGACGACTTTGCTGCTGTTGCGGTTGCGGCTGATCTTTTTCTTCCTGTTCAGAAATCAACGTCTTTTCTTGTATGGAATCAAATTCAAAGTGAGGACAGCCTTTCGGTAAAGGTTTTCTTTTGATTTGTTTTGTCGCGATGGATTGTTGGTGCTGTGGCGGGAAGGTAGCTGAGGAAAAATCGGACTGTTCCCGTTCTCTAAGAGAAATGACGTCAATTGAATTTCTTGTCTTGTCGTCTTTCATCGTTATTGCTAAGGGATTCATGGAACTTAATCTTGATGACATTTTGATTTTGTTGTGCTGCCGTAAAAAATTGGTGCTAAGCTGGTCACTGGTCTCATCTTTGTTCTTCTTTTCTTCTCGCCAAGCTAAGAATTGTCTCCATCTTGACTCTGTTGGTATCATATACTTAGGTATCATCAATAGATATGGAACAGTGATGGTTAGAGGAGAGGGAATAATGTAAGGTAGTATAGTAATAAATACAAAAAGAAAAAGGAACAACTGTGGATGTCTAATCTGTCGTATTTATATGAATTTGAGAGACATGAGTTTTGAGAATTGCTAAATTTAGGACTTCCGAACAATTTTTAAAAGAAAAAAAAACAAAAAAAGAAGGTAAAGAGTAGCCATATTGACAAGTTGCAGAAAACAAAAAAGCCAAGTGTTTGTCATTCATACTATACTTCTTGCATGAATTTCCTTTTTCTTTGGTCCACCATTCTTAGCTGAGCACAAACCAAAGTAAATGGTTTGTAGTTGGAGAAGAGAAGAGCTCTGATTTTTAAATCGTACCAATACTTTACGTTACTGTAAATAGATCAACCTTCGTTTGCCTCCGTAATTGTCATTGGAAGGAGTATTGCCGCGTGAACAAGTTCGTAGCCCATTGCTTCATTTTCTGCTGCTGTAATCATTTCTCATCTTTCCAGTATATACAGTTTGGTATTGTTAAACTTTTGACACTTCCATTCAATAGCCTTGTACTGTACACTATGATTTTATTATAGGGATACCTTCTAACCTTTTACTTTCAATTGCGTTCAATTTTGATTAGCTTTTGTGATTTTTGGGAGCAGTGAAGAATGGACGATGCGTAGCTTTTCTTTTTTTTTTTCTGTTTCTATTTATAGCAGACGTCGTTTTCTCGTTCAACTCTTTTTTTAGAAATGCCCGGGAAATTGAACTGGTATTGCCCCTGAATTTAGTCAAGTCTTGATCTTAGTTAACAGCCTGTATTCAACTCAGAGGAAAGGGAAATTTAGGCGGGAAGTAAATCAACCAGGCAATACAGTATTTTAGGTTTCATAAGAGACGATTTCGAAAATTTTGTGGACGGAGTCGGTACCTTAATTGGGACGTTTCTTTTTTTTTAGTGGATTATAGATTTTTAATTTTAGACGAACTGGGCTTTTATGGTAGACGAAATATTTTGAGTAGATTTCTTTTGCTTTAAAATAAACACATCCCTGCAACATGGATTACATAAATTATAATCCTGCAAGTGAGCCTATGCTTTCCGAGAATACTTTTGCTATGGACTTGGATGAAATTGCTGTTACTTTCGGGCAAATTGAGAAGCTCGTCGACTATGATGAAATGCAGCGGCGCCCTGTAGTCGATGATGCGAAAATGGAAGAAACTGTTGAAGAATTAACAACAGAATTCAGCACTGTCGCATTAACGGATAAGTCCAAGAAGCGCAAGCAATATAGTGAGCACAGCATTAGACGGTTGATTCACTTAATCCAAGAGGCTGGGCTTACAGTTCCCAAAGCTGCGGTTGAGTGTGGCATTCCGAGGTCCACCGCTTATAAGTTTTTAGATCAGTGGAATGCTAGTGATGGTACAGTCCTTCCTGGTAGCAAGCCAAGAACCGGCATCTCCCGACCAAAGAAGCTTTTTGCAGAACATACTGAGTTTCTTATAGCATTATTTGATGCGAGACCTTCGACAACAATTGAATCTGCAAGACAGGAGCTCTGTGCCAAATTTGAAGGTTTGAGTATCTCGATACCCAGTCTCTGGGAGCATATGACCACTAAGTGTTCACTATCTTTAAAAAGAGCAAACAAGTATACTTCAGAAAGAGATGCGCCTAGGACAATCGAGCTTCGTTTTAGTATTGTTAGTCAATGGAAAGCTGCTGGTGTTGACTTTCAAGAAAATTGTGTTTTTGTGGATGAAGCAGGTTTCAATACGCAACTAATGAGAAGTCGTGCGTGGTCTAAGCGTGGTACTTATGCTACTGTTAAAGTCATGACTCAAAAAGGAGCAAACCTTAGTCTAATTGGCTGTATCTGCGCTCGCGGCATCATTGATTTTTCGAAGGTGCAGCCTTTGAGCATAAGTGATGCTATTAAGGTCGAACAGCAATATCAACCACAGTCCAGTTCAAAGAAGAGAAAGGCTGACACTCAAGAACTTCCAAAAAAGCCAATTAAAGGAACCACTGCTTATCATTACGTGAAATTCATGGAAGTTGTAATGGATACGTTGGGCAGACTGGACATGAAAGGCTATTTTATCGTAATGGATAATTGCAGGATCCACCATGCGCAATTCGTTGTCGATACTATCAACAAACGCGGCTACAAACCGCTATTCATGCCCCCTTACTCACCATTTTTGAACCCAATTGAAGAATGCTGGGCAAAAATCAAAGCAGGCATCAGAAGGAATCCTCTTCAAAAAGGTGATGAGCTCTCTCCACGTATCAGCGAAGCAATCAAAACAGTTACGCCCGATGATTGTCTTGGATGGGTAAGGCACGCTGAGAGTTTCTGGGAGAGATGTTTACAGAAGGAAGTAGGGCTACGATGAACGATAATGTTATTTTCACATATGCTTTCAGAATTAATATTGACGTCTAAAATGTAAAAAGATCTACAATAAAATCCTACTTCGTCTAAAATCAAAAGTCTATAGTCCACTAAAAAAAAAGAAACGTCCCAATTAAGGTACCGACTTCATCCACAAAATTTTCAAAATCGTCTCTTATGAAACCTAAAATACTGTATACAGTGCGGCTAGTGAAAAAAACAAATGGCGATTTTGAGAAGGTTGTCAAGTTGGTAACTTGAGAACTATTACAAGTCGATAATACGAACTTGCTGCCGTTTTTACTCTTCAGATAAAGTAAAAAGATTATTTGTCTTCTAGCTGTGATAGAAGTTATGTTTATTGTGAGGACGCGTATGCTAATCAATACTTCAGGTTCATATACTTTATGTGTAATTGTTTATATTTCCAATAACTCTATCTCGTTATTCATTCGTACATAACCTGTATTGGATGCAATAGAGATAGGTTATGATGAAATATATTCTCTTGGTTGTACGTATTCGACTATTTTAGTTGTCCATTCGCCAAATACGTCATCACTATCGCGATCTTTACACGTCCAGGATTTACATGTGCAGCAAAATAATGAACTGTTTGTGATGAAAGTAATTAAGACGTTAATAGAAACGCGGCGCTTGTATCTATTGCAACAGACAGTGGTAGATTGATTGATTTATTCCTGCAACACACAATATAGAAAAACAGCCCCTTTTGAAACTGTCAAGAATGGCCTTAAATAAGCAGTAATAACAGTTGCGTTGCCATGCAATAAACATTCGAATAAAAAATAGAGAGAATTACATACCCTTCGGTCTTTTACGAATGTACAAGCATTCCTGCTGCATAGTATATTTGAAATATATTTGTGGCGTCAGTCCCGTATATCAGCCTCAAAGACAAGGCAAGATAGAAAGTGTCAAGGTGCGACCCTAGACCAAAACATCAGGCATTGGCAGAAATCACCAGGTATTGTATATATATATACATATATATATATATAGTACGACAGAATACCAAAAAAAAAGAAAACAAAATCGAAATCCTCAGATCCTGCAAGTATATTTATAAGGTGGTACGAACGGTGTGGATTCCAATGGAGTGAAGAGCGGTATAATCGTCTGCGTTTATTTGAATTACCAACGTCTCTGTTAGTCGAAATGAAAGAACAAGTTGATATACATAGAACTCTTGACAAGGACCAAATCAGCATTATTATGATCCATCCCGAAAAAACTGTACGAATCAGACTGAGTGTCAGTCTAGACCGCAACACATAAAAACGATCCATATTATCTTCTTAGTATTGTATGAAAATATATGACTATCGAAATTATTTTACGGGTCAGAGCTGACATATAACTGTCAGCCGACACACATCGATAGATATCGAAATTATACTTTTTTTACTAGAGTCATGAATTCGAACACAAGTTAAATCTTACATCCTGTATAATATCACATATGAGGGATAGATTTCAAAAAGTAACAGTTGCCCAAATAATAATAAGTGTCATCTTTTCTGGAAGCTTGCCATACATTGCTACTGATGACTATAAGCATGCAACTGATTACAATGAAAATATTGACAATTATTTTTGGTTTAGTGGCCAAATGATGGTACACTGCAACCGAGGAAAACGACAATCATTTTCTTGATAGCGCCATTTATTTTTAGATAAAGAATGGTTGCTTGTCAAATAGAGTTTTATCTCTCTTCTTGTGCTGCACAGGGTAGGACTAGGAAACAGCGTAAAAAGGGCGCAAAAAAAAAGGTCCCATGTTGTAAATACAGTATAAATTTCTTCTTTTTCAAGAAAGATAGTGGGGGATATGTGGAGGTAGTGCATGATGAAAGCAAGCCTGGTTCAACTCATTATTCTATACTTTTTTTTGAATTTTTTTCTGGTTTTTTTTTTTTTTTTGGTCCTACCTTTTATAAAAAGGTTCTAAAGCAACCACTGGTTGACTTTTTTCTCTTCCTAATACTATATTAAATTATTTCAAAAGACTGTTTGGCTGTCCTTGTACGATATATAAGGAGATAGCCACTTTAAAAAAAAAAAGCAGTAAATACCACGCCAGAATTAGTAACCATGGGAGCTAGACATTCACGACAAAATCAAAAAAATACAACTGCAGCAGATCAGACGTTCGTTCATAGTAACTCTTCCTCTTGTTCTTCTGCAAGAGACTCAATAACACGCACAAGATCAATGACTAATTCAGTCATGGTGGAAGGACGGCAATATCATCAGGAGGAAGCTAGTACTTATGGATTGCCTAAAGATGAAATCGAACAAGACAGACTAAATTCAGTAAGAAGAAATAAAAGATGGCCCACCATCATCATTCAAACGGCTGATGACCTCTGCCTTTTTTTTTAATAATATATATTATAATACATGCACACAGCAACACTTCTCCATAAAAGCATTGTTTGACGGGTAAACCAAAAAAATCATAAATATATGCATTCTCATATAGAAATTAAGCTTTTTTGTGTAAATGTGCTTATCAAAAAATTTAGAAATATACTCTCTTCTGTACTAAATCGATTGCCACCCAACGCTCAAGTGCTCGACCTTGGTTGTGGATCAGGATGTTGGGTCATGGACATGGCTATCGACTACCCTCATTTTCAATTTATCGGTGTGGATATGGCTGATATGTTCCCAACTGCAATTCGACCTGAGAATGTCAAATTTCAGTTACAAAACATCTTACAAGGATTACCTTTTCCTGATAACACCTTTGATTTTGTTCACATGCGATTGTTGATCATTGCTTTTCAAAAAAAGGATTGGCCTTGGGTGTTATCTGAAATTTATCGGGTGCTTAAACCAGGTGGCATTGTGCAACTTATGGAATCGGATTTCACGGTAGCGTATAATCTCTTAGACATAACCTCAAACACAAGAAGAGCAGAATCTTGTGTGCTTAGGTTTTTTTGTAGAGAATTTTGTTAACATGCCCACAAACGCTAATATGTGTGTCTAAAAATGGATTTAGGAAAAGACAAATGTACCGATCGTAGAAAAATTCAATAATGAATGTAAGGGTTTGATTCAGTCATTGTAGAAAAAGAGGATCATACAGACACAAAATAACGAGCGTGTTCCGAATGAGACAGACTAAAAAAAAAAGTACCTACCATTTGTAGTTATCAAAGCTATGTTAGATCTCGAACAAGATCCATGGATAGGCTCTAAATTGAGTCATTTGTTGGAAGAACAGAACTTCCAGGTTGTAGAATTGAAAGAGAAATATCTGGATTACAGTGAGTATAGAGTGATCATACCCTTCGCTCTCTGCATGTTGCTCATGACCTACCCTATTATTTTCTTGGCGTAGAATTACCTCTAAATCCAATATCAAAAGAAATGCTGACCAATTGGAAAGATGCTATGCTTTCTATAAGACCCATGCTAGCTCATCGGTTCGAATCAGCTGATTACAATGCAGTCGTAGATCAGTATATTGATGGCATTACACAAGCGGGATGGAAAGTCAAATTATGGGCACTTTGTGGCCAGAAAAAGGAATAAAATACAAAAGTTGTGTAGTTTTGTAGGCATACACAAACAAACATTCTAGTGTCGAAGAAAAAAAGCTAAAATGCGATAAAGTTTTTTTCTTTGTTTTACACACGTTTTGAAAGCTTTTCAACAAACATACCTTCATACGTTGGCAGCTTTTTTGTTACAACTTTTCATTCAGTTTCATTGTTAACTTTTATGTAATATACAAGGGGAAAGCTATGCAATGATGACTTAAGGGAAAAAAAGGGTCAGAAAAGATCTCCACTCGATTACATAATAACCAATAAATATGATTTGCTTTGTTCTTGAATATGTAAAATGATGAAAAAAATTTTAAGACATAGCCAATCAATCCAATATTTGCAGTAAAGATCAACAAACTGACGTGTTTTGAATTTTTTGATTTATGCAAATCATGACAAAAATGATCCTTTAATACCAAAAAAAAAAAAAAAAAGAGGGTAGGTCATCCATTAGAGACTACTTAGTAACAGAGAGTAGTAATAGTAGTATAGTTTTTTGGGGAATGCTCAATTATAGGTGAAAAGGGAGCCCTTTCAAAATTTTTGTAAGTTACAAAAAGCATGAATCAAAAATAGGTGTTAGTATAAAGAGAAAAAATTAAAGGAGAAGGAGTACATGATATTAAGTATATAAGGTTGAGAAGGTGTTGTTTAGCTGTCGAAAAAAGGAGTAATGATTGCAGTGCAGTTTTTACAAGTGTATTGAGAATAGAAAAAATGAAGGGCGGCAGCAGCGAAGAGAGGAGGGCGAGAACGGAAGGGAGAGGGGGCGGGATGTGAGTATGTTGATATCTAATTGTATCTTGTTATTACATATTGATGTTGTACTTTCAAAAGAGAAATAAAGAAAGACAGCTGCCATGTAGCAGGTATGTGGAATGACTAACCGAGTTTACCTTTTATATCCTGGGTAAAGATGTTCATTGACTTGCTTTGACATAAAGGAAGGGTAAGATAGGAGATAGTGAAAGAGGGAGAGTCATATTACTGCTACAAGCTGTTACTATTCTCGCTTTCTTCATATTAAGTAGCCTTCAAACTCATCTGTACCAAGGATATCACGATTCCCGGATCGATACCTCACCATCCATTTCCCATTTGGCAATTTCACATAGAAATTAGAATAAGGAAATTCATTCGGTTTACAATAAGTGGGGCTGAAAGGCGGTATAATCATATTTGATGTTGCTGGTAACAATTCTTGTCGTTGTTGTTGACGAAGACGACTATTATGCATAAGTACTTTGCGTTGCCGCCCTCTGCTAACATTGCCGCTACTGCTATTACTACTATTATTAGACGATGAAGTCGACGAAGATGACAATGAGGAACATGTTGTTGTAGAGTCTGTCATTGACACACATTTATTATGTTGACTCGATGTGCCGCTCGTATTCGATAGTGTGGAGTAGCGTCTTTTATTGCCACTTGTGCAATTGGTATAATCTGTATTTGTGCTGTTATGGTGAAACAAATGCGATAATCGTTTCCAGACACTTTTTAGGGAATGTGATGAAGCTTCTGATAGGATAGAATTGTTGTCTAGCTTTTTATAAGTTTGAATATCTGCCATCGTTTTGTTCTGAATTGAAAGAAATGCAGAAGGAAAGTTGAATAGAGCAAAATAGTAGTGAATCTTGCTATTTGAAAATGCAAAAAAAAAAAGTCAAAAATCAAATAAAAAAAAAAAAGAATTACTACAAATCTAAACGATTTGTTTTATATTCCCTTTTATTTTTTCCAGATCTGCGATTTCTTTTTTTTTTTTTTATTTCGTTTGTTAATGCAGCCAATCATAATGATAGCATCATAGACACTTGACACCACAAGAGCTCATCTCAAATAAGGAATGGATGTGCATTTTCTCGTGGTCTTCTTTTTGGAGAAAAAGAAGCATCTTCTGTACGCTATCAGAGAAACTGTTTTATAGGTAATGGTCATTCAACAAAAGTAATACTACGATTATTGACTTTTATTACTCTCTTCTTCTGATAAAAGGAAAGGAGAGGGTCAAGCTTCCTTTTTTTTCAAACCCTTATCAAGGAAAAGCAGACAGCCAGGAATTTTAAAGTCCTTTTTCTTTTTGTGGATTAATGCTTTGAGTGGCAATGAAAAGTATTGATGTACTGATGCAATTGATTTCATTTGAAACTGATAAACGATAAATGAAAAAGAATTATGCACGTGAATAAAAGCCTCCCGCGTCATTTTGTATATAGTAAATACAGTATATAAGGGCTATCATGAAGTAAGGATGAAGGCATTGTGTGGCTGCTTCTGCGAAAGACCATATTTATACATAATCATTACATGATAAACGCGGGCAAAAGACACCCTGCATGTATGCACAACTACGGTGCTAACCAATTCGTAACATATTCCTTCGTTTTCTATTTCAAATATGAAAAAAGCATTTGTTATTATTGAACAATCTTACATCTCCCTGAGCTGCTTCTCTACAATCGTCATTTATATTGCCTCTGAAACAACCACCCCAACCCCGCCAAATAAAAATGGATAAAATGCTGATCATTTCTAAGTCATCTTCTGCAGATCTGTTTATGCCTAGAAGTTCAACATAGAAGGGAATATCAGTTTGAGAATCTGAATCAACATGACGACGACGACATTGAACAATTCATATACCAAAAATTAACAATCAATAAAAGCCACAATGCTACTATGTTATCGTTGATTGAGATTGAGGTAATATCAAGAGTCATTCGTCCGATATAAAAGTCCTTTGAAAATCAAACTCAAAACCCAAGGTAGCAAACACTGTTAAACCCAGCGTAAGACCACCTAATGCACGCCAGAGATTAGAGCTTTGTTGGTTCTGAAGCGACCTCGCCTGTATCAGTGCACAACTCTGTAACACATACTCCAAGAATAAATCATTGATTGTGTAACAACTTACTCTTTTTGACTCTTCCGCTCAGCTTCTATCTTTTGAACACTGAGATTAAGCTTCTATTTTACCCTTTCCCTATCTTCCTACCACTACCTCGTATGCCTAAAGAACCGTGAACCCCTATATCATGTATATTCTGAAATAGAATCGCAATTCAGTAACTCTCCTTATGTATCTAAAGTCATATCTTCTGAAAGTGACCTTTCTTTTCACACATACTGAAACTGCTTCGTCTTTATGCATAAACAAATAAAGCGAAGCAGTTTGAATTCATCATTTTTTCTTTCATAATTTGACCTCTTTTCGGGTCAGCAGCAAGTTCTGTTGATTGAAGATTCGTATCTTATTCAATTTGAACAAAATTAATCCATAATCCTCCTGAGAGCAAAATGGAGTTCTTACTGGCAAAAACGAAGATCATCGAAACTTCAAATCAAATTACATAAGGTACTGTAAACTTTGCTTTCTGTTTGTTTGCCAAGTAAGAACTTTTAAATATAACTATGGTTAACCTTAAAAAAGAGAAAAGAAAAAAAGATGAGTTTGTCGAGCTGCATCGTATGTATCCCTTATCTCCATCAGCTTTAAAAAATTGCATTCTGAGTAAACAAAAGAAAAAGATAAAACAAACATTATCGAAAACCGACTGCGCTGACCAATTACGAGAGATTCTATAGAATGTGATTGTAGCTACAATAGCCTTTAAGTTCTGGACTATAAAGAATCCTACACTCAAACCTATGCTTGAAACTATAAGGTGAGAATAAAGATGATCGATTTGTAACAATAAGTATAATCTTTATACAATGAAAACATAGATAATACCGATAAACTTTGAGTAAATTTACACACTTTTATTATACGTCCAACACCTATAAATTAATTATCGCAAAAAGCTATTCAGACCTCCAAAGAGAAGAGGATTCAGTGGCCCGGAACAATAGGACTCATTATATTACAGTTGAGCAAAAAGGGGATTGAGGTTATTTTGTTGACAAACACCAAGGTATCCATCATACCGATAAACGGAAGGAGTCCACTCATCAGTGTGTTGAAAAATAAAATAGCTAATACTTAACAGTGAACCATATATTCAATATTGCTATTTTACTTCTTTATAACATTATTTTTCGATCATGTATAAATATTGCCAAGAATAAAAAAAAAACAAACAATGTTAGCCTTTCACAAGCAGATCATTTTCAGGAAGGAAAGGTTATCCTAAGCCGGATAGCGTTTTGTTCTCTAATAATTCAAGTATGAGGCGCAGTAGCTAACCATCTTTGCACTATCCTTTGCACAACAGCCCCACCATTTGGATCCAATTTTTCCAAGAAACGAACTCGAATACCACCGTTTTCGTTTGATAGCTGCAATTGTTGGCCAAACACATTGATTGCAGCAGCAGTTTCTGATTTTGGCACGACTTCCATTCTTAGTACCTCGCGTTTAGTTGCAACTCCATCAATTTCTTTTCCTGTTTCTGTTAATACATCGAACGTCGCATTGATTATTTCTGTCTTTCCCATTTCAAGTGTGTAGGGTTCAAATCCCTCCTTTATTAAGCGAATAGAAAGGCCGTTGTCCAAAAGTGTCAGGCCGCAATGCGGATGATGGAATTGCATTATACCTCCCAAATCGATGGATAAGGTAGGAAGAGGTATTCCTGCCGTATTGTATAATGACAGAGGTGTAGTAGACGGGTTTAATTGTTGTTGCTGTTGTTGCTGGGGCTGAGGCTGTTGCTGTTGCTGTGACGAATGTTTTGTATGAGGTTGGATTTCTGAGAGTTCGGAAATGCTAGGTTTTGATTTTATCGAAATAGGTGCGTTCACCAATTTATCAATGGCAGATGCCGTTGATGACACTGTAGTCATTGATTGTGAAGGACAGGCTGATTGTACTGAAGTTAGTTCATCAGATTCGTTGCATTCTCTTTTAACGTCAATGCTCGTTGATGCATTTGAGTAGACTGATACTGCATTGACAATATCAGTATGTTGCGAATCAACGCAGACAGTAGCACTATCTGAACTATAAGTAGGTGGTAAATGGTGCTGCCCTTGTGTCTCCCGCTGTTGCTGCATCCTTTGTTCAAGCAATTGCGAAGCAAAGTGACCCAAACCAGCCGGTAAAGTTGTTGAATGTTTTATTCCAGTGCGATGTTGTAATTGATGATGCTGACCGTCTGCTGAAGGTGCTATCCTTTCCTTTTTATATCTCTGTTGTTGCTGCTGTTGCTGTTGCTGTTGCTGTTGTTGTTGTTGTTGTTGTTGTTGTTGTTGTTGTTGCTGCTGCTGCTGTTGCTGCTGTTTCTTAGCCGCTTCACGTTCTACTCTTTCTAATTCGAAAGCCTCTGATGCCTTCTCCCTGTCCTTTTTCTCATAAAAAAGTTTCCATTCTTCTCGTTTAGAAATCACAGGAGCACCCTTTAGGATCTCACCGTTTTTCCATAGCAAACCACAACTATTACAAAGTGTACCATGTCCATTCGGTCCTCGTCTCCACATAGCTGTCGTCTTCGTGCTACAATAAGCGCATTTCAAATGAGCGTCATCTTTTATATTTACAGTCTTTGTTTTCGGTACTATCACATAGAAAGATCCATTTTTAGCCCGTCAAAACCAATAATAGATTTATGTGAAGAAAAATGCTTCCTTTACATTCTGCTTTAAATTTCTCATCCCTAGGGCGTTTCCCTAGCTTGATTGCATTCAGAATTTCGTTTCTCTTCTTTTCTGCTTGTACAGGGCCTGTAGATACATCTGGTATGGTGGCTGATTTCCTCAACAGTTCCTGAATTTCTTTAATATGTGGTGAATCTGCTGCTAAATTAAAGTTGATGTGCGTCTGTTTAGGAAAATACTTCATCTGAAAAGTAGGAAAGCAAAAAACCGTGAGTAGCAGAAATCAATCTGTAAGAATACATCTTATAGTTACTTTCTCCTCCATTTCTTCTCTGACATTAGCTGCATTATGTACAATACCATTGAGGGCTTGAACTATATCATCATTAGCACCCATCAGGCGGATATTTACAGGTTGATAGGTATCTTCTTTACAGGGTATTACAACACTTGGTTCATATGGGCCTTCTTTACTAATAAATTCTGCAATACAGTCCAAAGAAACGTTCCTTCCATAAGTTAGAATCTTATCTTTTGAGGATAGAAAAAAATCATTCGATTCGGGTGTTTCGACGGGTATAACAAACGATGCAAGAACCTAACGGAAAAGCAGTTCGCTCAGTTGTTGATTCTCAATTATATAATTCGTACAGCCTTTACCGTAAAAGTTTTATCCAAATCACTCATGGGTATACTCTCAATGATCGTGCTCTTGGGAAATATAAACCGTTCATTTGTCACCTCCTTCAGTTCGAACACGATATCTCGAAATATTAATCTTTCAGGATCTTGAGACGCGCTTTTACTGGTTATTTGCGATGCTTGTGCCTGTTTGTCGAGCACTTCTACCACATGAGCTGCTGGTGGTGTTTGGTTTTGTAACTGTTGCTCGTCTATTTGCGTCGGTGCAGCTGCATTTTGCGAAAGGTCCTGCTGTACAGCCAGCGCTGTCTGATCGTTATTATATTCAGCATCAGTTTCAGAGGCTTCCTTCATATTCCTATTAGGTTCAGTCCATATATTCTGTGCTTTTGCTATAGATTCCCAACTTTCTGATCGTACAGCTTCGTAAAAACACGTTTCTTCGAATAAGTGAGGGCCCAGTTGTAAAGTACAGGTTCCTAGATATCTCATTTGCGGCCACTTTTTTCGTATGCTCGGATTTCGTTTCGGTTGCTGTATTGGATCAGCTCGATATTTATTAAAGACAAAGTTTGCCCAATTTAAACGAGACTGTAACAAGGAAAGTAAGAGCACGCCACTAGTGATTAGATTTTCATTGCTATTGTTAGTTATATTGATCAGGCACAAAAAGCATCGACACTTAATCTTTCTTTTCTGCATACTTCTTGCATTCATCGGAACTAGTTACTTCTTTTTCTTCTTCGATTATTGGAATAGGGTATTTTCTAACTGAGGTTTCTATTCTTTTCCGAGCAGCGATGAGTCCTGAAGTAGACATTGAAACAGTGATAAATTTGAAAATTAAAATCGCCCAAGTTTAAGTTCATATATACTGCACTGACGGAAGTTGAATAAACTGACTGTTTGAAGCGTTTACCCAAATTTGAGGGTAAGGTATAGGTCTTTAGATGTTGTTGTTTCTGAGCTTGCGGATTCAAATTTCAGACAAAAAAAAATAAAAAAATAATAGTTAGTGAGGTCTATTAAAGAAATGATAGTTTTATTTCACGTTTTATCTTTCAAAAGTTTGAGATGTAGAATAGATAGGAAGAAAGACACTGCTATAACCATTTGTGAGCAGATTTTTACGAATAAGTAAAGGAAGAAGGGGAATGAAAAAAAATGGAATCAGCGACAGAGTCATGTTATTGATAGATGTTTATTATATCGCGCTTATCTATGACTTAGAAGAGGCTACCTTTGCTCAAGATGCTCTCAAAGTGTTTATGAGTAGAGATTTAAATCCGTTATACAAAGAATAGCTTGGCTTTTTTTACAAATTATAGATAAGGACCAGCAATACAGCAATATCACATGGAGTGTCCACAACAACATTTTTAGCGAGGACAATTACACTTGCATTATTAATGAAGATGCAATTATAATGATCCGTTCCTTTTCCTTATCTTAACTATAGCTAACAGCAAAGTGCAAATGAGTATGTCCATGTCGCTACATACTGCAAATTTCATCTTTTTGCGGAAGCATAAAACAATTGAGGAGTGGTTGAATCAATAGAAATAAACTAAATGTTGAGACCTTTCTTGCTCAATAACTTATTATCGAAAGATGCTCTTTCATTATCAGTGTAGTTATTTGTATCACAAGTCGTTCTCTTTACTATGAAGTACATTGATAGATGGATATCCTATTCTTTAATATGAACTCTTTCGATAATTACCACTGTACGGGCATTTCTTTATGATGGAGAGCGTATTCTTTTTACTGTATCAGCTAACATTTTTGTTTGTTCCTGCTCAATCCATCATTTTCCATCAGTAATTTTCTAGTAACACAACTTACACGTGTTTTTGGTATAAAAAGAAAGACTAAAAGAAGGTTAAACAACAGCGAAAAAAAAAGAAGGGTTGTAATCCATAGATTCTTTTTGAATTTTTGATTTTTGTCAATAACTCTCCACTCCTTTTATTCGACCGTGTTTAATTATCGCCGTATACTATTCAGTCTTTAAACACTCATCCTTTATGCAACCCTTTCCCCGCACTTTTAAATAGATCCTTTGCTAATGACTTCTTTCGACCCCGCAATTTCAAATGCTACAGCAACACAATCTGACAGTACCAACAATAACAGCAACATTAACAATGCAAATGCCATTTCGAAGCTTGTAGCAGAAGCAGTAGCACAAGCAACTGTACCTGAAACTACTAATCCTAATGCTGATGTTGCTGGTACTTTTCAACATCAGCATCAACATCCACAAGATAATGGACCGGTAGCTGCTTGTGTTGACTCCAGTCCGGTGCAAGCTTATGCCAAATTGGAAGGTGACGATCTTTGTTACTACGTTCGTAGCCTTCATATAACCTTAGGAAGAAAGGTATCTAATCCTGATAACGTCGATATACCGCTCGGAAATACAAAATCGGTTTCTAGGCAACATGCGCGACTATTTTATAATTTTAACACTCACCGCTTTGAACTGACAATTTACGGTAAAAATGGTGCTTTTGTGAACGAACAATTCGTTGAGAGGGGAGTGACAGTACCTTTAGAGAACAAAACAAAAATACAGATAGGCGAGATGGCCTTTCAATTTCTATTACCAAGGATGACCATCAGTAAATCCAATCCTACCAACAACGACTTACCGCCAACGATTGATAGCGAGGATTTCAACTTTATATCGTCAACATCAACAACGACGCCACAACAATTAGAAAAACGGAGCATGAAAAGGATGAATATTGAAGATCTCATTGACCCAACTGTAGCTACAATGATGACAACCACGGCAAATAATTTAGAAGGGGACACAGCCACCGCCACTGCTGTTACCAATAAGAATGTAAAACCTCCCTATTCCTATGCTGCTTTGATTGCTCAGGCTATCACTTCTACGGCAGACAAGAAAATGACATTGAATGGTATCTACAACTTCATAACGTCGCATTATCCCTACTACCAAATCTCACAAAATGGATGGCAAAACTCAATTCGACACAATTTGTCTCTCAATAAAGCATTTGTTAAAGTGCCCAGAAGTCATTCTGAACCTGGGAAGGGGGCATTTTGGACTATCGATAATAATGTAGAGCCACAATTCATGAGTGTAATTCAGAAGAAAAATAAACGAACAAACACAGCAACCCCACAGTCTAGTCTCCCTGCAACAGATATCCTGACCACCGCAACAAAAAAGGAAGAATTTGGGAACGCCAGAAAAAAGATTAAAAAGGAACATTATTCTTCGACGCCAACGTCGACAGTCAAAACAGATGCTTACTCTGTGAACCATCCTATGCCAGACAGAGCTGCTTCGAAAGCAGAAGATGGAGAGCATACGAAGTTAGATGAAAAAATACCCAATGAAACTATTACTGCTCCCAGAGCAGCAACGGCAATAGCGGATGGAGAATTCGCAACGATTGTTCAAAATTCTACTTCAACACTTGTAACATCCATCGACCCGTCGATCGTTGTAAATAATTCAATAGTTCCTTTTGAGAGTACAATACCGCTGTATGAAAAGGAAAACGTTACACTTACCGAAGAGCAACAGTGTCGATCATCAGGTACACCGCCACCGACAGCATCATCCCCATCATCAAAACCACCGCTTCTTAAACCTCACCTACAGCCGAACCCAGAAGCCCAAGCAAAACTTCAAGAGCAATTACAAAATACTATTCGTCAACATCTTCTAGATCCTATCCGTTACCCTTTACCTGCATCTGTAACGGAAGCATTACCTCAAGCTATGACTCAATTACCTCCTCAATTAGCCTCAGCGTTGAACAGCATCCTGAAGAAGAAAGATGGTGAAACAGAGGAAGAAAAGGAAAAAGGAGATGTCAGCGACAAGGATACAGATCAAAACAAGGTACACAATAGTGAGGATGGAACAAATGTTCATACTCTTGTTCCAACAGGCGAAAAAACTGATATTACCATCAACAACGATGTTAACCCCTCAACTGTTACAATTATGCAGAGTGAGGACGATATTTCTTGCGGAAGCGATACTATCACTAAGAATTCCGACGAGAAGCTCTCTATGGCTATAAGTATGAATAACCCTAAAATTGAAGAGGATGGCAATGGAACAATAACTAAACACGAAATTGATGGCAACTATAGCGCCTCAGGCACTTTGTCAAAAGATATAGTTTTGTCCGAGTCTACGGCAACCAGTGCTACAGCTAGCTCAAAGCATGATACCGATAAAAAGACTCCTCCTTCAAATTAAAATGACTTTACCCGCACAGCCATTTACAGATTAGCGTGTGTACGCCTTTATTGTTTTTATATATGAGTTCCTTTTTATTCAAGCTTGATATCAATAAAAATTCCTACAGTTTTTAAGTTGTTTTTTTTTTTCAAATGCAGACATAACAAATGGTAGCGACGCAAAAAAAAAAACGTAAAAAGATGGGGCCTGATTTATTCAGACGGAGCATTTTTCAACTCATGGGTTTATCCAAACAGATCGGTAAGCCACTACCACACCCACCCCGCCCTTTCCAATTTTAAGAGGTTCCTTGCAAACAGCAGAGAGTCTTTCTTTCATCAAAACGTTGCCTTGTTTAATACAATTTTAAGGGTTTAACGAAAGATTTATCCTCTTTTACCTTTTCAGTTTTAATTCTATTCACCAATGTCTGCCTATAGAGTTCTCTTAACAAGAGCAACAACTGCCAGAGCCACTGCGCAAGTGACAGGAGCTGCTTCTGCTCGTTGTCGTCACCCAAACACAACGATTGTTCGTCATTACAGTTCGCCTTTTAAGGTTTTCATGGATACTTTCAAAGAACAAATGTCAAAAAGCAAAGAGGTAAAAACTATACAAGATGAGTCCGGTCGTTTAAGTGATAGTGAAGCATTAAAGAAAGCCAAAGAATTATTCAAAGTAAGTCATCGAAAGGACGTGAGCTTTACATTCCACGAAAGAGGGTGTAAACTAATGATGATTCTCATTAGGCTCAGCAAGCTGCTCAATCAGAACGGTTAAAGCAAACAACGGAAAGAATCTCCAAAGCAGCTGAAAAAGTAGGCTCCACTGTCAATGAATCCTTTAAAAAGGCAGCCGAAACAGAATTTGCCAAAGATACCACAGAAAAGATAAAAAAAGCTGCTGAGACCATTAATAAAACAGCTGAGCCTTTGAAAAAGAGTGAAACTGTGGGGAAGATCACCGATTCCTTTAAAACAGTATTGGAAGACAACAGTGGCCGATATGGTGGTTTCGTAGATAGGGAAACCAGACGTAAAATGCGAGAAGAAGCCCAGAAACAGGCTTCTAAAGGGTCGGGCGAAGGAGCTGAAGCAGCGAAAACAGTAGCTGAAAATCCCAACGCTGGTGCCAATTTAGTGCTTCATAAGGATTCTAAATGGAAAGAAAGCTGGACTAAGTTCAAGGAAGAAAGTCCAATTATGCAAGGTAATGGATAAAGACTTGTGAAATGTATAAGAGAGGTTAAAGGTTGCTTAACAAGATGACTTTGTGTTTAGGCATTTTCCGCGCCAGAAAGAACTACGAAGAATCAGATAATTTATTCGTATCATATTCCCGCGCTATCACTGATCGCATTGCTGACACATTTGGTAATGTATTTGAGATAACGAGTGACATTGGAAACTCTGGTCATATTCATAAAGTCATTATTACCTATGATTATGATATTAGGCTCCTTATTTGAAGAATCCGATCAGGCTCAAGCTATTCGAGCTTTCCAAGCCATTGATCCCACTTTTAACATGGATAAATTTTTGACAGATGCACGTAAATTTATAATTCCTGAACTTATGGAAGCTTATTTGAAGGGTGATGTTGAAACATTGAAATTATGGTGCTCTGAAGCTGTAAGTTATCGATTTTAGCGCTGAATGTTATCTTTGACCAAAAATTGCGGAAGCTGATAAATAAGAGTTTACTTTGATGTATATTAGACCTATAATGTTTTGACTGCTGTTATTCAGGCACAAATGCAACAAGGATTGATTAGTGATTGTAAGATTCAAGATTTACGTGACGTCGATGTAAGTATATTTATACAGGCATATATGTACATATACAATATGAGGTTTAGTATAAGATGCTGACACTTAAACTTTTGTGATGTAGTTGGTTGCTGCCAAGATCTTAGAAAATGATGTACCTGTGCTAGTTTTGTCATTCCGTACTCAGGAAATTATTGTTTTCCGTAACGCCAAGTCAGGAGAAATCGCCTATGGCAAGGAGGTAAAGCACTTTTAACCAGGACTATTCACGAAACTGTTACTCAATTATATTTACATTGACATTATAGGATCACATCGAACAAGTAACGTATGCTTGTGTTTTCACAAAGGAACCTGAAGACCTACAGAACCCTGTTACCAATGGTTGGAGAATTATCGATATGGCTAAACATGATTCAAGACCCGTTTGGTAAAAGCTTTCGAAGAGCGATCGTGAACAACCTGAATGATACCAAAAAAGATAGACTTTGTAGATATAGTATACAATAACAATTAACTATACTTTTATTTTAATTAACCCCAAAATGTATTCAACTCCCTGCTCCTATTTCTGAGTCAAACTCTGTACTTTTACGCAATAAATGCCCTTTTGTCTTTAAATATTAAAGGTGTAGGTTATATAAGCTTTTTTATAGACGCACTTGTTACGCTAAAATGACCAGACATAACGTTCACAATCTATACCTTTCTGTTGGTCCTTTATTGTTATTTCAAGTTGTACAAATGATCTAACATTGCAGTGCACTGACTCTCCGATTGGCCTGAAATATCATACCATTTGTCAATCTGTTTGTTACATTGTTCGAAGGTGTTCTTCGCCGCTTTATTTAGTATTTCTCAGCCTCTTCCCCAGTTTCTTCCCCACTGTATAAACATATGATGATATTGCCTTATCTGTTGTATTCTACTACGCCCTTCCTTATTTTGACAAGGCTATCCTCGTCCGAACGATGTTTGTGGAATTTCGGCATTTTTACGATTTTGTTTTATTCTTTTTTTCCATTCTTCCACTTTTGTTTCTTTTTATTCTGTGATATAAGGCTTTACATAATTGTTTCAGTTTAATAATTTAGATATATTTACCAGCAAATGAATCATCATCTTTATGAAGAATCTCTTTCACAAGAATCATTTTTATCATCTTCATCTTCAACGTGCTCCTCTTCGCCATCACTAGAAAACCTTCTTGCTGCAGCCAACTCCACCAAGACCACAACAACGACGACTACGCAACCACAATTTACTCTAAGTCAAGTGCTATCCAATCCGAAACTGCTATGTGCTTTTGAATGCTTCCTACGTCAATCTTGGGCACATGAAAATCTATTGTTTATTGAAGCCATAACTCAACTAAAACATGAGACAGACCCACAAGTAGTAGAATCCATCCTCCACAGGTATAGAATGTTGAACAAAAAATAACGAACATGAGACATTACTATTTTTATTTTTTATTTTTTTGCCGTTCCTGAACTGATCATAAAATTTTGTTTCTGCGATTATGTTACTTCAAATAGGATCTATAAAACGTTTCTTGCTCAAGGTTCACCTTTAGAACTCAACGTTACTACACAAGAAAAAGTTGAAAAGGATTTAAACACTTTACAATGGGCTATTGTGGATAAAATAGACGCTGTCACAATTTTAGAAGAAACAGAAGCACAGGTTCTTGACATGCTGGTATTACACTAATTCCAAATGGAGATAGAAAATTATAGTTTTCTATCACGTTTTTCTCGTGACATTGCAATAAGGTATTGATCGCTAATACAAAAATTTTATGTAGGAAATTAAGCTCTCAGAATTTATGCAGACAATGGATTTCTCATTGGGGTAACGTCTAGAATCTGTAAAGGAAAGTCAGGAGCCCTCTTATTGCCGTTAATATTAATGTCTGTACAACGAATCTATATAGGACAATAAATCCTGCTAAAATCAAAAGTGAACAAGTGAGAGTTTGTATTATAGGTGGTGGATTTACTGTAAGTGTATTAACCGATGGAGTAGATTTAGTATAGTAATCCCGCAGGTACTAAACATTTCCTTTTATAGGGTTTTACTGTAGCTTCAATCCTAGATCAAATGCCACGTTTCTATGTTACATTGATCGATACGAAAGGTATAGTATTTTTTACTACAGGCAGATTAGACATGTCATGAGACAATCTACGTTACATGCGATAATAACTGTCAGCTTTCTTTCTCTTTCTCTTTCCTTCTTTTTCCTTTTTTTGTTGTTGTGAAAGACTCTTTTGAATATACCCCTGGTATTGTTCGAAAAATCATCCATCCAGAGCAATCAAGTAGTTTACGTGTACGACATGATGCCTATGTTCAAAATGGTAGAGTCATCATTGGTTATGCCGAAAACCTTGCAAACAAGGGAAAGAGCGTTACTGTAAATGGTGAAGTGGTAAGCTCTTATTTTCTTTTTTATTAATTGCACTCCCCAAGATGCACCTATAGTTAAAGTACGTTCAATTCTATCCTTATTTCACATCAGATCAAATTCGATTATCTTGTAATTGCCACCGGAAGTTCTTATTCGTCTCAGCTCAAATCTATGGACACATCTTCTTTATACCGTACAACTGGCTTGGAGCAATCCTATTTGGAGTTACTGAAGGCTCGCAAAGTCCTGATCATTGGTAATAAGATTCTCCAAAAACTGTTGAGTTTATTTTCGGCAATAGTCTGTATTCGTACTGAAAAGTTCGGTTTATTTTCTCTTTCTTCTATAGGCGGCGGCCTGGTAGGTTGTGAATTAGCATCAGAGATTTCCCAACATACATTTCCTGGTGCATATCCAAAAAAAGAAGTTACCTTGGTTGATTCTCATTCTAACGTTGTCAGTCGAAGTGATGTACGTCAGCAAGCCGTCGCTTTGAAATACTTGGAAGACTTAGGCGTCAACGTTATTTGCAATGAAAGAATCATTGACTTTGATTCAAGCAACGCCAATATATATTTGGGATCAAGTGGTCGTCTGTATTCAGGTTACGATAAAGTATTTATTGCGACCGGAACTCGACCCAACACCAGTTTGTTCACTGCAATGCCCTCGGATTCCTCGCTTGAAACTTGTATTGATGTTTCAGGTCGCATAAAAGTGAAATCTACATTACAAATTGATCATTATAGATACAAGCATATTTTTGCAGGTGGTGATGTTACGAACGTTGTGGAAGAGAAAACAGGTTATGCTGCCACTATATCTGGTGTTTGTATTGCTCGTAATATTTGTCGCCTGGTCAAAGGAAAAGCGCCACTTAAACAAGGAACAAAAGGTACACTGCCTGCCCCACATAAGCCGCTCCACGGTATGCTGGAACATGGTGGTATAGGCAAACGTACGTTGTCGTTTTTTTTGTTTTGTTTTTTTTTTTTCTTTTTTTTTTTTTTTTTGCAAACTTGCAAAATTTATAGAGAAACAAGCTATTAACCTCTATACATCACTTTATATAGAAAATCTTAACTCCATAAAAAAACGGTTCTCGTTTCTGAATCCATCTTGGGCAGCTTTAAAATATTTTGACGAGCAACAATTTCTCAAAATTGTTCAAGGACAAGGGACAATCAACTCATCCCAAGTGCTTGGACGATTACCAAGGAAACTCAATTTGCCTCCTTCAAGCAATCCTTCATCGTTAGCATACCAGCTTTTAAACCATCCTCATGATCGTAATCAGCATTTGAATTCGAAAAGTACACCGACCCCTAAGGCAGTAGCTGCCAACATGGCTCGACAAAGGAGCTGTGAAATGACAGGTGTAAAAAATTATAATCATTCTTCCACTGTGTCAGTATCTTCAAATGCCTATCATGGTGAGCCAAAATTTAGATCAGAAACTGCTATTCATCATATGAATGACAGTAGTTATAAAACAGGAATTGTAAATAGTATAGCTAAACCGTCAACACCAAAAACACACCATACCTTGACAAAGAATAATAAGAATAACAGTAATTTAACAATGTCTCCAGGATCAAATGTAGGCCGTCATGAAAATGCTCAGAACTTGCATTGGACTTCTCGCAATAAGCTACCAACAGAAAATGACAGCTTCAACGGCTCCTTTGTTACTTCAACGGACAGCAATAGAAAGGTAGAAGAAGATTATACAAAACCACTGGAAGGCTTCCTGTTTGAACATTTCACTTTCGGTGGGGAAGACCTTCATTTATTTACCAACAGTCACCCTGTGGCATCTGTCTCCCCTAGGGAGAACAAAATCTATAATCACCATTTATCGCCTCAACACCACCAACCGACAACCGGAGCAAAAACTGTTGCTAATACTACAACTAGAAAAAGATCCAATACCACAAGAGCAGAAAGCCACCACTCTACAAATGGAACAACGACAAATACTGCTTCTACAACTACAGCAGAGTATATTATGCCTACTGTTTACATACCGCATCAACTTTCTCCACCGCCACCACCAAGAAATAGTAGTAGACGACGTAGAAGAGCTAGTCTTTCGTCCTCCTTTAATGCATTGTCGTTAACAAGTACCAAAAGTAGCAGTGCTAATAGCAAATGTATGACAGCCGTGCCTTTGACGCGTTCACCATCTTTCTCATCTATTACTTCTCGCTTTTAAAGGCGAACTATAATATGACTCATTTCGTCAAGCAATTGTAAATGTAACTGTAAATGTACTTTCAAATATTATTGAGTTTAATAGCTATATGTATATTATCTTCTTTTATGTCCAACCTTTACCTTCTTTTTTATAAAAATAGACGTTTCGAACCATTTTGCATGTATGCATTTAGTATTTAAGCTATTTAATGAACGTTAATATTTATATACTACAACATGGCAATGAATTAGATGTATTTCTGAGAAAAAATCAAACGCTGAGCAGTATTCATAATTGTCTATGAGGATTCAAATAGTCTTCTTCGTTCCTTAACTAATGTTCAGTCTGGAGAATTAACTTATCATAGAGTTGCGACTATTTTCGGACATCTTGTATTCCCCCACATGCTTCTTTTCTTTCCTAAAAATCGCGTACTTTTGTCATGCCATCTTCAGGTTTACTTTATTGAATATACCCAAAAATAGTAACAGTAATACCGGTTTATCGTCTCTATAACAAGCGCCTCTATCTATGGGCTTAGGCAGTTTATGAGTGCATTTACATTTTTAGGGATCAACACGTTTAAAGTGAGCCGCAAATATGAAATTAGCAAACAGTAGAGGTTTTTATACACTATAATAGAATTCTTGTTGTTCATTTCAGACAGCTGGAAATCCGGTATAATTGTAGTTGTAGTATCATCGCTTTGTCTTTCAGTCATCTAAAATTGAATAATGTCCAATTCAATTCAACCATAGTTCTGCTTTCGTTTAAAAAATCACTGGCATCATCGGATATATTTTTAAAATTCCTGCTCAATAAATCATTTGTATTCTACTGTTTTTCTTACAAAAAATTTGAAACTTTGTAAGGTAACACAGCAACACATTGTCATGGTGGAAGCCAACTACTTGCCAAAAGAGGATAAAATCGTCTGCCTAACCCACAGCTTAGAAAAATGCACAGATTGCAAAGTAGATTGGACAGCCCAAAACAAATTGGCCTCATCGGTCAAACTCTTGAAAGGTCACGATTTACCCAAGCCAAATCAACCCATTCCATCCGTCAATCCTCAAGTTAATCAGCTCAAGATGGAGGGCAACCGTGCTTACAAAGAATCAAAATACGAAGAAGCAATCAAGTATTATGGCTTAGCAGTACAGGTTTCTTGGAGCCGACCTTTATGGGAGCCCTTAGCCTTCCAGTTCGTCAGAGAAGAAGTTGCCACTATTCTAAGTAATCGATCAGCTGCTCATGCGGCCATGAATAATTATGTAGAGGCGTTAGTAGATGCTCAAATAGTAACACGGTTGAAGAAGGATTGGAGCAAAGGATGGTTTAGAAACGGAAAGGCGTTATTGGGTTTGCACAGATATGAAGAAGCTATCAAAGCTTTTCAGACTGGATTGACCTATGAAAGTCAAAGTGAGGATTTGTTGAATGCTATTAAAGAAGCTCAAATTGCGTTGAAAGCTTAGAAGACCACACTCAAGTGTCGCACCATATTAAAATGACCGCCACCGTTAGAGGTGACAAAAGCCCGTCAAGATTGGTTTAATAGAAAACTTAGAGATGGAATGAAATTGTTGTCCATTTTTCATAGATATCCTTCATTTTCCTTGTATTTTATTCACTTCTAATAAAACAGGTGTAATCATATTGTTACAAATCTGTAACAAAAGCTGAATTGGCAGCAGATAATGATAGTTTCTCTATCTGCTGGTCAAAGGATATACAGTAACATACTACCGTTACCTATTAAAAATATATTATTTTTCTATATCGACCTGGCCAAAACAATAGAAAATACGGTTTGGAAAGAAGCAACTGCGCATAACTCATTCAGAATATTACATTATTATGAGATTATAATTGCCTAAGTGGGCGAAAAATGAAATCAAATAGGGCATCCTACGATAGGATGCTTGAACAAACGTAATACGCTTTCGAATGAAGAATTATTATTTACTTGTATTTTGCATGCAACTATCATTATGTACTTGTAGACAAATTTCCTCGATAATGACAGCCATTTTACTGCTGTTCCAAGGAATTAAAGGTGACAATAAGAATGAGAAACTGGAGATACTACCAAAGAAGTCCCCTTCCCCTGCTGCTGCTGTTGCTGCTGTTGCGTATATTGGCTTTGGAGATTATCAGTAGAGTGAGGTAAACAATAGTGTTCGATTGGTGATTGCTGTTGATTTTTTAAATCTGGAAAAATGGTCTGGATGGACGGTAGACATGATGGTACCTGTACGTTTGTTGGCGAACGTTCATAAAAGGTCGGTGAAGATAAAGGTGGGGAACCTTCGGGTGAAAGTGGTAAGGGTATTAATTGTGCTGCTTGAGTGGCTAATAAATAAAGGTTATCAATACCGCGTTCTTTTTCTACTACTGCTGGTAACACATGGTAAGGATCAACAGTAGAGGAATATAAATCTTTTTTGCGCCTTTTGTTGCTATTATTAGTGCCATTACAAGCGCTGTCATCAGAAGAAAAGGCAACAGCCAGTGTATTCTCTTTTGGTTCTTGAAGTACTGGAGCAACGAGTGTGGAAGCTGACGTAAATGTTGATTGCTTTCTCTTTATACCTACGGCATTATAAGTGTTGCTGCTGCTGCAAGTATTGACTAGGGTGATAGGCGGTGAAGCACTAAGGGAGGGCTGGGGACTCCTATTGCTTTGTTCTTTGGTATTTATATTACTACTGTTTTGAACAGCAAGAATTTTTGTAGTTGTGTTAGGTTGTTCAAATTGGCCAGCAATTGTTGAAGTAGAGAAAGGAGCAAGAGTGCTGTTTGACACAGAGCTTATTTCAGTATGTATTGTGATGTTATCAGTATTGGCTAACTTCTTTTGCCGGCTTCGTCTTTTATAATTTCTAAAGCTGTCATCATTTATGATGGAGGTGTTTACTGTATACGAACGCATGGTTGTAATACTGTCTTCCAATGGGATACGATTTTCGAAGGCGGTTTTACGTAGTCGTGTCTCAATGATTGCCTGTTGCTGTAATTTGATAATGAAAATATTGTTCATTTTATGTTTCAGACTTGTATCGATGTCTGTATTGCATGTAAACCATTTACAAATGGAAGATGTCGAATATGTTAAAGGTGGTGATTGCTTCGCAGAGGTTGACGTTTTCGGTCTGGCATGATAATGATTATTTGCCGCTACTGAAGATGCCATATCGGCTGCAGAATTTGTAGTGATGTTAAAATTTATGGAGCTTTGTTGAGCTCTCTGGTCGACGACATAAAAGTCCACTTCATCAGCACTCAGCGATTCTAGACTGAAGTGACATGGCAATTCTTCGTAGTGCCGATAGTGCCAATTGGGACACTGTATCACTTTGAATAAAGGCGCTGCCACAAATGCTTGTATTTCATTCAATGTCAATTTACATAATTCGGCGAGACAATAAGCATTATAAAAACGTGCGATCGGTAATAAAGAGCTAGGTTTGATGAATATTGCGCCTGTTTCTTTATTCTTCATAAAATCCTTCATATTCCAATCGAGATATTTTCTTTGCAGTTGTGCTGTAATCGATGTGAATGTTTTGCCTTCTTTATGGGTTGGTAAGTGATTATCGTCATCTTCTATCTTTCTTGACAGATTTGCTGTTAAAAAGGACTGTGGTAATTGACCATTCAAAAAAACGGTATTGATCTCTTCCAAGCAATAGAAGAGTGTGTCATTCTCCGTCTTCTCTGTAACTTTGGTACGGTTGTTGTTTTCCTTATTTTCAAATGAATATATACAAAATGGAGTCGCTTGATTACCGAATGTTCCCAGGATGAGTTTTTTCATGGAATCTACGATGGTATGTGCATGTACAAAAATAGTTGGTTATTATATGTTATAAGACGAATGGGTACGGAAGAAAAGAGGCAAATATGACTGAGCAATTGTGTATGTGCTTTTCTTGTAAATAATAGGGGTTAAAAGGGGACTGTAGCAGAAAAAAAAATAAAAAAAAATAAGAAAATCACACAGAAACAGACAGAGAAAGGGGGTCAAACTCACTACAACCACAGTAATATACATACCTGTTGTAATTCGAAGAGCCATTTTTTTCACAATTATTTCAATAAGATCAAAAAAGAATATTTTGAAGCCAAACTGCTCCCATATTTAAACCCATTAAATTGTAGATTCCTCATTTCAGCAATTTTGTCAAGTTTACCACAAAATACAAAATATGTCTGCTGATTGAATCATTTTATGTTTCGCTTTATTTTAAGGGGGTTCAGCTCAATCAATTCAAGCATTGCCAAAATATCACAAAACGCAGGGCAATTGGAGCAAATAACTCCTGAAAAAGAAGAACCATCTTAAACAATGGAGACGATCCACAAAAAATTTGAAAAGACCAACGTGTTTCAGCATTTTTACACATAAATTGCTCTCCAAGATGCACAATTACCACAGTTCCAGCACAATTCTGGTGTTTAAAATAAATAGTTCATGACATTTTATATGCATCAGAGCATGGACAGAGCATAGGCAAGAACAGACAATGGATATACGTTGAATATTGAAGAATAATCTTTTCTAAACCGACCTTTGTGTATATTTTCAATTGTTGAGTGGTGATCATTTTTCAGAACTGTACGGAGCTCTCTGTCCATAATCATATTTCTTTGAAGACAGGTACTCTAATCAAATTATAACTGCTTTGAAACACATAAATTACTAAAAAAAAATTGCACCGAATGAGAGCTATAGTTGTCACTCGAGCCTCGTACATTGCTATACACGAGATATATCCTATATGTCCAATAAGAGAGCATTTTAATCCAATGATGACATTTTTAATGATATTAACATTAAACAGCAGACAATTCATAGCTAGGTACTTTTTAACGAGACGTCTTGGTATTTTTTTTTTTTTTTTGGGAGACCTTAAGAAAATGCAAATCAAAGTCAAGTGCTTTCTTTTTCACGCATAAATCTGTCTCTTTTGAAGACTCTCCTTTGTTACAAAATTTCAGCAATTTTATCACAGGCACAAAATAACAGAAGGGGATGTCATCAGACGAGGAGGATCTAGACATTAACGATGACACTACATCACAATTGGAAAACATGACTGAGGATGGCGGCGATGGGATGGATATGGAAGGTATGGCAGTACCCGATTATTTCTTCAGTCTAGACCTCAGAACATTTGGCTGAAATGACAAAATGCCACCTCTCTACCAAAAGTAGATACAACTCCCTCTGTGAGAAACTCACCAGCCCCAGAAGCGCCGGCTCTGACTGCAGATAACACGAGACACTTAGATCTTTTAATTGATCCCCAACTTTTGACCTGCACATCATATGATTGTGTTCCTCTTGCAGCAGCATTTCACCCTTCACCTATATTTAGTCTGGCAGCAACACGCTGTTTTCGCTGGATATTGACAGGATCAGACGACGGATATATTCGAAAATGGGACTTTTTTAGTACTATGAATGGGAAGACAGCTTTAACACAAGCACTGAGACATTATCATGTCGACTCAGTCATTTATGCAGGTGTGATAAGTTCGTGGTGGGAAAATGAAGAGTTTCCAGGTAAAAGGAATTCATTGAACCCAAGACTATACATCCTTTTGAGCTTTCTTACCCTCTGACATTTATTATTTCGAAAAATTAGTCGAGGTTGCCAATGATAGCAGCTCCAATAACATCAGTAATAATGACAACAACATCACTCAGTCAGCGCTCACTACAGCCAATTCGTCCACAACAACTACATCGTCTGTACTATCCGCCTCCAACACAACCATCTCCTCTGTTCCTTTGCCATCTACTGTAGTGCCTGCGCCAACAACATCCACTTCAAACAGGTCGCTAAGTGATCAGAAATTATCTCCTGTTTACAGTTTGGACATTCATTCTGAGGCACTTTGGGCAGTTCAAGGTTGCGAAAATGGTTCAATTAATTTAACAACCGTACGGCATGATGAAGGCAAAACACATTTTATACTTAGAAAACATACTGCCCCAGTATCTGTTTTAAAGATCACGCCAGATGAAACAGGATTAATCAGTGGCAGTTGGGACAAACTGGTGTTAGAATGGGATTTAAATACAGGAGCTATAGTTAGGTCATACGATAACAAAGCTACCACCACAACCAATGGCAATTCTACTGCACCAGCAAGTCATAACTCACAAATTTCATCAGCAGAATTTCGACCTATTTATACGCCTTATTTATCACAGTCAGAGTCAACAGCAGATAATAGTAATAAAGATACAAAAGATAGTAAAGACAATACTGATCAGACGAAAACAACGACAGAAGAAACGTCAGCAGGATTGGAATGGGATAGAAAAGATTCAAACACGTTAATGACGACCAGTATTGATGGGCAATGCTTAATTTGGGATCGAAGAGAACCATCACATCAAGCAAGGAGTTTGCCTATACCTCAGAAAACTCCTCCATGGTGTCTGTCTGTAAGTGGTTTATTCCATCATACTAGCTGCACAAACTTAGCAACTGATTATATATCTAATAATAGGCTTGCTGGAGCTCTGATGGAACAAAAATATACATAGGTAGAAGAAATGGTACAGTCGATGAGTATGATTTTGCGCAACAAAAGCAAATACAATCCCTTCGCATGCCTGCAAATTCAGGACCAGTGTCTTGTGTTAGAAGTATGCCGAATGGCAAGCATATTATATGGTAAGAATCGATATGAGAATATTCATCTGGATTGACCTTTTTTCAAGCTTACCTCATTTGTTCTGAAATATTTAGCGCCTCAAATGACAATATACGTTTATGGAATACTACAGTGGAGTCTACTTTTACTATCCGTCCGAATACGGAAGGCGGATTCATAAACGCTAAAGCGTCCACAGCGAAGCTCGCTTCTGTAATTCCATTTAATATTCTACCAGGGCACCATGGCGGTACCATTTCTCATATTGCTATTGATCCTACTTGTAAATATATGATTACAACCTCCGGTAATAGAGGTTGGGAAGGTGCTTCAACAAATGCTTGTCTGTTCTATGACATATCATCTGTGATGTGAATAATTTGCTGGTAAAGGCCAAATAAAAAATAAAAAAAGGTCCGTACAAAAAAAAAATTGTACAGTACTGTATTTGGAAAGAGGTGTGTTTTTGGCCGCGTTCGTTTTCGCGCGTTTAGTTTTGCTGGTGTCGAGGAGGTTTCTCCCCTTTTTCTATTCAAATTGTTGCTGTTCGTCCGTCGTCGATCGGGTTGACTTATCAATATTCCAGCTTTTACAAAGTTATTGATAACAAAGTGAAATGTTTTCTTCACTTGGTGGTATCAAGAAAAGAGAGCCATTGTTCACTTTTAAGAAGAAGACACTTTTCGCCACAACTGATGACCCGATATACAAACCTGTTCTTTTCTCAACTGATTTACAAACAAATCGATTGGTAAATGCAACGAATCTAAGCATATCACCGTCGGTAGCTTCTTCTATATTTACTTCGACAGAAATACAGCCTGTCTTGTTAGCGAGCAATAATACGAATCTCCCAACTATACCGACAAAAGCAACTTCGATAAGTAATTCAAAGACTGATGACGACCCATCGTCAAAGGAGGAAAAATGCTCTAACAACACGATAACAAAGGTAGCATTAAACAACAAAAACCAAGACAAAGAAGACGAAATTGATAAAGAAAACATTAATGAGAATACGGAAGATGATGTGTTTGATTTTGCCAGTGCAATCGATGAATATGGATCAAAGGAGCTCAAATTAATGGTAGCATCAAACAGGCCTGTTCCTAAAAAGCCACCAATCACTCGAAAAAGAAGCAAAGCAAAGAAAACAAACTCACCTTGTACATCATGCGCGACTAATAACATGACGAAGAAAAATGCAGGCGAAAGTAAAGCGACCGATGCTGTAATAGACAAACCTCATGATACTTTTAATACCGTTCATAAACAGAAGGCGACCAATATCACAAAGCCTTTGGAGCCTGAACTAGTAGAACATTCGCAAAAGCTTCCGAGTACATCACCGGAAGCATCAACAACCAAGGATTCAGCATGGGATTCTTCTTCTTCAGTGTCTCCTCCAATATGCGAAACACTTCATTCCAACAATAGAACACAGGAAGAACCATATGATATTTTTGCTTTTGATCCTAATCCTTCAACCAGACTATACGATAATAATCGCGGTTATTTTACTAACGCAACAGCCTCAAATATGTCTGTTGCATATAATGACAGTAACGTTTCATATCAATTATCGACACACAATAATCATGACAATCCCTCTGTCTACAGCTTCACTAACATGTACAGTCAGCCAATGGATAATGGTACTTACTGTCACCGAGCAATTAATAACTTCTACCATGATCAGCTGCCATTTTCTACAGCATCTCAGCCGCAACAGTCTCTTCCAACGGCTACTTTCTCGAATAATTTTGATCAGCTACCATCTATAATCAATCCATTTGACTTACTCAACGTCTTAAACCCTGCCCCTACTCCACAGCATTCGAATGCAAATGTTTATTATCCTTCCGCCACGCATATCATTCAAACCGCGCCGACTTTCTCAGCAGCATTTACTGCAACTCCATCAACGATAGTGCACGTTCCAATGACAGACATGACTACTTCTACAGTTGCACCACCTAAACCATCGACAACACTTTCTTCGTCTTCTTCATCCACAGCCTCTTCGCGTCTCGGCGAACCAAAAAAGCGCAAACGAAACCTCGTCTCTCATTTAAAAAGTGCTACAGGCGAGAAGAGCAATAAGAGTGCATCGAAAAAGGACATCGATTACATCTTTTCTGATGAAGAGGACTCACTTATTGAACACTTAAAGGAAGAACAAATTGATAACCCACCATTACCCTTACGTGAAATCATTAATAAAGAAAGGAGCTTATCGCCGGAACTTACCCATGGAGAAAGGATGGAACTGCAGCTTAAAGCCATTATGCGATCGGAATTTGGAGAAAGCGATAAGTCTGATTCTGTAACAGAAGATAAGGAAGTGATTAAACGCAGACCTCGTTATGAACCTTTGAATAAAGTCAATGTTCGTGTCACTTTTCAAAAACCCCACAACACCAATACCACTCAACACATTGACGAATGATAATACTACTACCACAGCAACATAACCTACAGCATCGCCGTAAATCATAAAGCTTACTCAATTGACTTACAGTTAATATAACTAATTCATCTTGTACATAGTTTTATAATACATAATGAAATAAGCCATTATTTATTCCAACTAACGTGACATAGTGGACATTTTTATTGCTGCTTTGTATTCCAAAAAGCCCGGATGGCTTCCTCACAATCTTCCTTTGTTCCCTTAGGATGATCCAGTATCCACATCATTTGGTATTTGAGTAACTCCGACACCTGCGGGCCAGGTTTAATGCCTACTATCTGAGCTGATCGCTTACCATCTACCAAGTGCTTCCATGTGTAACAATCAGCAATGCCATACTGATGTGCAGCTTCTATCAGAGCATCATATTTCATATATATCTCTTTAGCTAAGTTTTCATCGACTTCTCCGGGTCTTGTCCAAGGTGAATCAGGGAAGGCATCCAAAATATCTTTCACTGCTGCCAATTTTATAGCAGTTGACCATAAGGCGCCTAAATTACGAATGAGCATGCCTAACTCAGATCTGGGAACGTTGCCCTCCATTGCATTTTTTTCGGCTAGAGCTTTTAGAGAACTCATCCCAGTAAATAATGTAGAAACAGTATTGATATCTGCGTTGTTGGTTTTAATAGAGTCTCTCAAAACAAGCTGTACAGTAGGGATATCTTTTCTCTTGATTTCAGAAATTACGCCTAAAAATGGTATTGTGCTTGCCGCCAGAATCAATGTCCTTTGTTCTTGCTTTGTTACTGCTTTCAAACTTTCTATTCTGGGTCTATTCTGTAAACATAACCAGTCGACAATTCCAACGGCTTTGACGGCTGTATAATCATCACTAATGGTACCACTCTTGATATTGCTCGGTGGTGACATAATGACAGAGTAGAGTTCTAAATCATGAATAAGTCGTACAGAAAGTAAAGGATGGGGGCCGGTGATCATCTTTTCATATTCAATACCAATACGTTCTCGACTGATCTTATGCATAAGTGCATCTTTGATTTCTGGATTTTTAGCAGCATCACATAATTCAGGTACCAACTGAAAGTTAAAACGACTGGCAAAACGAATACATCGAAGAACACGTAATGGATCATCAAAGAATGTTTCAAATGGTTCAAGTGGGGTACGGATGAGTCCACTGATCAAATCGGGTATGCCCTAAATTCATATCAATTAGAAGGAGAATCACGTTATAGTTCTGATATCCGGTTCTAATTTTCCCTTTTCTTCTTATATAAGATCTTACTTGTTTTGTATAATCTTCTACTAAGTTTGTGTTGACATTGTAAAATAAACTATTAATAGTTGTATCACGACGATATGCATCTTCTTCTGGTGTGCCAAATGTCTAAAGAAAAGAAAAAAAAGTCAGAGTTGAAAGGATTTTCAAATCTTCTAGAAAACAGCTATATTTGGTAAAATCAAAGATCATTGAAAATATGTAACCCTAAAAAACTTACAATCTTCGTAGGGATTCGACTTCCTTCCTCGTAAACTTCCTTACGTAAGTTACAAAAATCTATCTCTTGATCAAATAATTTGGTAGTAGCTGTCTCTAAGTGTTTGGATTTCTCAGGGTTACTGTCGATTTTAGCGATCGCACGAGTAGGCACACCCTTCATTTCTAAATATTTGTTGACATAGGTTGCGAACTCGTAACCCATCATATCATTGATCGCAACATCTAGATCGTGACACTCCTTTCCTAGAAGCTACAACAAATATTGAGTCGGTTTCACTTGTATTTGATTGAAGTTTTAGATAATAATTGAAATTGCTCTACTCTACTTTGTCACGGACCCAACCACCAGCAATTCGCGATTCGATCAAAGGTAGTTCAGGTCTTTCTTTGGCGATGAAGCTAGAGACGCCTTTGAGCACTTCACAAATTCGGGCTTCTTTTTCGTTGAGTTCAACTTTCATAGAGGTGCCGTTCTTGGCAATGCCATAGCTTTTGCTGTTCATTAACCTTGTTTGCCCAGTTAAACCAAAAAGTGAACGGATTGCTGTTGCAACTGATATTCCTGACCGGAACATGAATAATTTTGAAAGATCTGTAAAATACAAAATCTCAAATTTCTTTTCAAGCAAGCTCTTCCATTTTTGCTGCTGAGTTGATAACTGTATGCAAGCTTTTATATATACTAAGGGTGAAAGAGCTATTACTCAAAAATTGACAAATATTTATTGTGTGCATCTATTGTCAAGCTAAATTTTTGGAAACTTCTCTCATCTTTTGGCCTAAGCCTAAGAGCCATAAGTTTTTTTGAAGCATTGAGTGGCTGACAGCTTATACTGTGACTTTAATCACTCCTAAACTTACACACTTCTTAACTGAGCAGCTCCCCATTTTCTATGTCGTCCATCAGTAAAATCACTGACCAGTCACTTCAAGCCGTATATAGCTTATTTCTGGCAGCACCCTCCCTTATCATTGCACCCATTCCTCTTAGGTCGGAATTTCTTCCGAACGTCTGTGAGTCAAATCAACTATGTCGCTGAAAGAACTCAAAATGACGGCTTTGTCCATGTGTTAAAGGTTGAAGAAGTATAAAAAGACGCAACAATTGTAAGTTACAAAGATAAGCATAAGGCGCGTCATTCATGTTGTGAATCTATATTTTGACCGCGGTATCTTTATTTTAATGTAAATACTATTTTCTATTGTAAATAACATGACGTGGCTCTTTCGGAATAATCTAACAGCATACACTAAATGCATTTTTATCGGCAAGAATCGGTGTAATCAATGAAAAGGATGTTAGACTGGTGAGTCATTGCTGTGGAGCTTTACCGGGCGCCCCTTTGCTGTTATTATAACTGTCATCAAGACTGTTCAAAATTAGTTTCTCTTCAATGATACTATAGATCCAGTTATATAATAAAGCCTAACAAGAGAAAAACCAACAAAGTTTCAAAGAAAGGTGTCAAAGGCCTTAGGAGGCAAAGATGCTGCAACGCACGTTAATATAGTGGATTGTTGAAGAGCAAGCAACAACTGTCAGCTTGCAGTGCAACAGTAGCAATTTGTTGATGATCATATTTTCAATAAGCTTTTGTATTCGTGCCGTTGGTTGATTATTTGCAGCGATGACGTTGATCGACTATTCCTCGAGCAATTTCTATAGTTCAATCTATCCTTTAGCCGCCAGTGGTAGTCTCTGAAGCGTCCTCATGGAGTCTCGCTCGTTTCAATTAGTTGTAATTATATGTTTTCTTTACAATATTTGATGAGACAATGCTATATAATTCGGAAGTACAAGAACATTGCACCATATATGTTTCTTGTAATGAAGTATAGAGCTTTGAGAACCATTTTTCGTTGAGCTAACTTCTACGCCTGAACTCAGGTTTCATCTTCAATCCACAAATTTCAATTTTTGTAAAATACTTGAGCCACTGGAGGAATTATTAATTTGATCCTTTTATTCGGGTTACTGTTAATTCGACTTCCTGTTGATGTGCTCCTTTTGTGCTATTTTCTTTTCTGCTGTACCTTACAGAGTATAATTCGCTATCTGTTGATCATTTTTTAAAGCTACCAAAAAAGGAAATGAGATCCTACCTCTCCCCCTTTAAACACTCAACAGAACAACAGTGGCAGCAGCCATTTTGAAAAAGGCAAATTCGGAGCAAGTAAAAACTCGGGCAAAAAGTTAGCTCATCCTAAATGCGTAAAATTTAATTTGACAGAAATTCTCTTCCCTCTTTTCGTCTACTACTGCTCACCCATTCGTTGTCTATCACCTACCTAATTATCGTCTGTACATAGAAATAGCCGTATCAATCTTATTTGATATTATACAGTATTTGAAGCAACTCAAAGAGAATCAAAAATCCCATCACTTTCTTTTTTTCTCCTCAATTACTTTTTGAAAAAGTTACTCTTATGTCGGCAATAACAACGACGGGGAAGACGACAGCTTCTGCAAAAGCAGCTCGTCAATCTGTGGAGCAAGTTGCCCGAGAATTTAACACAGACACGTCGAGCGGTTTAAGGGCTTCAGATGTGCCTAGTTTGCGTGCCCTTTATGGTTCAAATGAATTAGAAGGATCAGATGAAGAATCGCTATTTTCAAAATTTTTGGATTCGTTTAAAGACCCTTTAATCTTGTTACTGCTAGGGTCAGCGTGTATATCAATGCTGATGGGGCAATTTGACGACGCCATTAGTATTACGATGGTATGATAAATAGTATCCCTTTTCGGATGAAGACGATCGCGCATTCATTTTTTGTTTAACAATTATTTTCTCCTCTTTCCGCCCCTCCTTTTTTATATTTGTCATCTTTTCCGAATAGGCTATCATAATTGTAGTTACAGGTATGTTCGATCTCAATAACATAATGTAGAAAGAATTAAAAATATGTTGACGAACTGTTTTGTGGAATTTTTATAGTTGCTTTTGTTCAAGAATATCGGTCAGAAAAGTCCTTGGAAGCATTAAATAAATTGGTACCACATCACTGTCATTTAGTCAGGTAATAGGATTTGACAATGCGGTAGTGTACAGTTCAGAGCAAACAGAAAATGCAGTCAAACAACTAAATAACGTGCTTTCTGCTTTGACATACACAGAGATGGCAAAATTTCAGATGTGTTAGCAAACGATTTGGTTCCTGGCGATATTGTTCGTTTTGGTGTTGGTGATCGTATTCCTGCAGATTGCAGAGTTACGTCGGTAAGGAGGTTGAGCGAGACAATGAACAAATATACAACAACTGTCGTAGTACTGTGTTGTGAAAAGGATCGACAGAAATGTAACATTATATGGTTTGCTTCAAGTGTGTAGGATTAGAAATTGACGAGTCAAATTTGACAGGAGAAAATAAGCCTCGACGTAAAATTTCAGACGCGATTGCAACCTCAACGTATGCAGAGTTAGCTATTAATGAACGAGAAAATATTGCTTTTATGGGTACACTTGTGAGAAATGGTAAACCTTAGACATATATATCAATTTTTTCCTAAGAAAAAAAAAATCAAAATGAAGTGGAACCTTAACGCGTACAACTTTAACAGGGCACGGTGAGGGCATTGTAGTTGCTACAGGAAAGAGTACCGAATTTGGCCATGTTTTTGAACTTATGCAAGAGGTATTGACCAAGACTTTTGTAAATATTAAAAGTAAGGGAAAACTGGCTAATTCGTATATTGTACATCAAGGTGGAAGTCAGAAAAACACCTTTGCAGATTAGTATGAACGATCTCGGTAAACAGTTATCCATGTTCTCGTTTGGTGTCATTGGTGTCATTGTTGTCATCGGTCTCATTCAAAGGCGTAGCTGGTTGGATATGTTCACAATTGGTGGTAAGGTTTGCGAAGTGCAAAATTGCGTACTTATTTTTCAAGTGTAAATGGAATCCGCATTCTGAGTTGATTATTTCATCATGTAGTGAGTTTGGCCGTAGCTGCTATTCCTGAAGGCCTGCCTATTGTTGTCACAGTAACACTTGCACTGGGAGTCCTCCGAATGGCCAACCGTAAAGCAATCGTGAAACAGCTACCCTCTGTTGAAACTTTAGGTAGTGTCAATGTTGTCTGTGCCGATAAAACTGGCACTTTGACTGTTAATCAAATGACCGTAACCAAGGTATTTACAGTTGAGAATCAAGAAACCTTTGATTTTGAATACAAAATACCACAGAAATCAACTGAAGCTTTACGACAAACCTTTCGTATCGGTAAGTTTAAGTACCCTTCCATTTTCATGTTAGCAATGGATGCATAAGGCTTTAATGACTTGTGTCTCTTTTTCTTCAGGTAATTTATGTAATAACGCTCAAGTGGGAGAAGGTGGTAAATTGTATGGACAGCCTACAGAAATGGCTTTATTGGACGTTGTTTTACGTAGTGGTTTGAAGGATGAACGTCCGGTAAGCAAAGACGAATAAACATGTCTTGCTAGCTGTAATAATCGTGCTGATAATATTTCTCTTCTATTCCAGCATTATGACCGTATTGAAGAAAATCCTTTCGATTCTGATGTGAAATATATGTCCGTGACATGCCGCTTCAAAGACGAACCTAACAGTAGAGGCATTATCTACATGAAGGGCGCTACTGAAGTCATCATGGAAAAATGTACCACCTATTATACCTCTAATAAAGCACGTGCAACTTTTACTAAGAAGCTTAAGGAATCGGTAGCCCAACATGTTGCCGCCATGAGCTCTCATGGTCTTCGTGTGCTGAGTACTGCGTTTGGTGAAAAAGACAATGAACTGTGCTTCACTGGTTTCCTGGCTGTTCATGATCCCCCGCGTCCTGACGTTGCTGATGCTATCAAAAAGCTAGTTCAAGGTGGTGTTAAAGTCGTGATGATTACAGGTGATTCGGAAGCTACAGCCCTTTCTATTGCTCGTCGATTAGGTATTCCTACCAATATCAAAGGAAGTTGTCTTACCGGCCATGATATAGAATCCATGTCAGAGCGCCAACTCCAAGAGATGATTCAACATGTTTCTGTATTTGCCCGTACTACACCTAAGCATAAATTAGCAATTGTACGTGCTTTTCAAGAAACAGGTGCTGTGGTAGCTATGACTGGTGATGGTGTTAATGATGCTCCTGCTCTGAAAATGGCAGACATTGGTATTTCCATGGGCAAAAGTGGAACTGATGTTTCGAAAGAAGCAGCTGATATGATTTTGGTAGATGATGCGTTTTCTACCATTTTAAACGCAATTGAAGAAGGCAAGGCTATCTTTTATAATATTCAAAACTTTCTGACGTTCCAATTGAGTACAAGTATTTCTGCTCTTTCCTTGATCGCTATATGCACTTTGTTCGGTCTGAAGACACCTTTAAATGCTATGCAAATTCTTTGGATTAGTAAGTTCTTTGATATAGTGACCGCTCAAGTGAAACTCTAAACTGAACTATGTATCCCTTATTTTTCTAAAAGATATTATCATGGATGGTCCTCCTGCTCAATCCTTAGGAGTTGAACCCGTAGATCCTGAAATTATGAAGAAGCCACCAAGAGCACGCAATGCTAACATTTTAACAAAGCCGCTTATTACCCGTGTATTGACAGCAGCCGTTATTGTCACTTTGGGAACGATGTTTGTCTATCTGTCTGAAATGGCCGATGGTGTTGTCACCAATAAAGATGCTACAATGGTAAGTGAGCCGTTTTTTTTTTTTATCGATTGCTGCTTATTAATGGAACGTTTTCACTAACTGCGTATCATTATTATCCATGCAATAAAACAGACATTTACAACCTTCGTCTTCTTCGACATGTTCAATGCTTTAGCCTGTAGATCAGAGAAGCAGTCCATTTTCAGTATCGGTTTCTTCTCTAACAAGATGTTCAACATTGCCGTTGGTGGCTCGATCGTTGCACAAATGCTTGTCATTTATACTCCTTTTTTCCAGGCCATTTTCCAAACTGAAGCACTGTCTTTGAGTCAATTAGTCAAGATCGTTCTTGTGACGAGCTCTGTTTTTTGGGTCGATGAAGCGAAGAAATGGCTTGGTCACAAAGGCGTAGTGGGTGTCTCGACTAGAAGATCAGGGACCCGCATCAATTATCGTGTTCTACGCTCTGATGAGGTAGAAAACGCAATTGATCTTGTGTAAAAAAACCAGACATAATTCCCCTCAAATCTTTTTTTAAAAATTGACCATCACATAGTATACATCATAGATAATCATTTTGTTTTGTTTTCCCTCCTTCATATATTGTCTTTGTAGTGTCTTCTTTACCTTCTTTTGAGCTAACAAAATCTATGACAGAAATTGTTTAGACACAATAGCAAAAAGTATAAATACCATAGATTGTATTTCAGTATTCAGTTTAGTTGTCTTTTTGAATGGGGTGCTGCATTTTAACCATTTAAGATTCGTATGAGCCACCAGTTGTTCGTTTCTTTGCATTAATGTTCACGTAGTGTGATAAACAGCCTTTTTGTTCTTTTACCTCCCTTTATTACCCGTGTGTCAAGGAACTTCCAATTTATTGAACTGTATAGTGTTTGTTTCATTGATAAGTAAGGAGCCATAGTAAACATACTGCAGCTTGGAACTGTACCGGTCTTAAGTAATCAAATAAATTGCCAGGTCCTCGCAAAATAAACAGTGCAAAGACCATACAGTTTTTGTTGCAATCCGCTGCTTTGGAGTTCGTAATTGCTCCCCGTCTGCACTCGTATTGTTCTTCGCTATTCAACAATATCTCAGTTATGTTGTCCGTACTGTAGAAAAAGATTGCTTGTTAGGCGTTTTATGTGGCTCGATTAGCACTTATCAGGTCTGACAATTTAACCCAATATTCAGTACCCGGAGTATAGATATCTACTCAAAAAAGTTCCAAAATTTAGATGAATAGCTTTTGTGCCTGATTAACTTATGAGCTCAATTGATTTACTAGATTTTAAGTGTTATTTGCTAAGCATGACTGGAAGAATTCTATTTCAGTTCTAGATGTAGGTATATCTTTTACATTTACATATTATCGAATCATTACTCAGTATTCAAGAGCAGAGCAGGTGCGAGACAAATAACGTGCTATGTACTATTTGAAAATTACAAGACGAAAACAATAATATTACAATTTATTTGATATACGATCGGTGAACAGACAAGCTAACGTCAATACTATCATCTTTTGTTGAACAAAAGAATGTGTTACTGAACAAGAAAAGAAAAAAGTCAGAAAATTTAAAGCACCTTACTCTATTGATCTTCACATTAAAAACTTACATTAGAACTGTTATTGCTGTACGGAACAACATAAGAAGCACCAACAATTTTTTTAGGAGGATTAGCTTTTCTGAAATCTTCTATCGTTTTGTATCTCTCAAGCAAAGGAACCAAACGATCATCAAAATCCAATTTCAATTGACTAGCTGACTTCGTTGAAGACTTTTTGCCATTTTGATTCTTCTTTTGCTGGGATTGATTGGAGTTTAACTTGCGATAATAATCGAAAGCCCACAACTTTTCCAACCCATATAAAGAACCTTGTTCGTAGTCATTGAAAGTCAACGCTTGAAAATCATCAAACATGTCCTTTCTGAACTTTCTTTCGAGGCCATAAGAATAAAATCTAAACAGACATTCCAAACCATATCGATAGCCATGGTTGGCATCTTCTACCGCCAGACGCTTGAATTCGTTATACATACGCTTGTTGGTATGATCACGAAGGAAATGAGACCAGAAACGATAAAGGGTGTTCATTTCTTGAGACTGACCTACACCTAACTTTTTACGCTCACGAAGCGCCTTAGCATGATATTTGTGATATTTGTGTTGAACGAAGCCCTTCTCACGAAGTAAGTCATGGCTTGGATGTTGGAAGCTGCTGCCAAATGACCGAGCCATAGTGTCGTAGGATGAAGATAAAATACTAGAAGCAGCAGGAGATTTGCTGAGGCTGGTTGAGAGTAGATCATTGGGATTAGGATGGCAGGGCTGATCTCCGAGCACCCAACCCACATGTTGTGGTGCTCGATCTCCTTCTTCCTCAATCGTCAAAGTGTTACTGTCCTTGTTATTGACAGGTTTTTGAATAGCAATAGCCGTAAGGTGGGATACTGATTCAGGTTGAGCAGGATAAAAACGAGCAGTCGAGTTTTTCTTCTTGCTACTTTTGGCTGATTTGCTCTTCTTATTAGCGCTCTCCTTCTTGGTATTAGCAGCCCCATGAGCTTCCTGATGTCCCGTAGCAGCAGCAAAATGATCCGCATCCATAATTTCCAATTTTTCATTCGTCTTGTGTTTCAAAGAAAGGCCTTGCTCATATTCGTACAAACCTTCATTGATCATTTCAGCAATTTCATCATTCATTTTATGGCGTTCGAAAGAATGATGTGTACGATCTCGCTTGCGTTGCGTAACAATCATAATACGTGCTACGGTATCGTCATCCATTTCCCAATCCTCATCGTCTGTTGAAGAAGAATCCTCATCAGAAAGGTAGTATTTCTGTACAGTTCCAGGACGACAACCGTCGATCCAATCTTCATCCTCTTCATCAAACTCAAATAATTCTTCATCATCCTTGCGGGTTTCTTTTTTCTGTTCCACATGGTTTGAAGTCGGACTCTTGCGAGTATCTGCAGGGACAGTAGACGTCTGCTGATTTGGTTTAGGTGCTATAACTGTGCTTGTTGTCCTTGTTACTCCAGCAGAAGGAGAAACAACATTAGCACCAGCACCAACCGCTGGTAAAACCCATGTTTCCCAACCCTCTTTCTTACGTATAAACAGTGGACTACTGTCTCTCTTGTGCTGTCTTTTCTTTGAATTTGTTGTTTCTGACATATCCTTTCCCATATCCTTCTCTTCATTTCCTTCTTCACTATCACCGCCTACTTTCTTCACTTGCAATATTTTTGATAAGGCCAACGACTCTCGTACAAGGTTATAATCAGCTGTTAATCCTCTCACACGGTTAAATCCAGCAATTAAGTTCAATGGTACGTAACCTTCTGAATCCATTTGACTACGAAGATAGACATCTTTACAGAGATTATCGATGCTGAAATAGTATTCAATTTGCTGACAGATATAAGATTTTAATATTTCGGGGTCTACGTTGAGGTAGGCGGAAGGGTTAGGACGAGGTGTCATGGGAAAATGACGATGGGAATGGCTATTGTAGTGGTTGTTGTTGATATGGTGACGGTTGCCATTGGTGTGATTGACGCGTAGATTAGAGTACGAACGTCTCATCATACCTGTATTGAAACCGCCGCGTGTATTATTGTATTGGAATTGCTGATGATGATTGTAATGAGATGAATGATGATATTGTCTATAGTTATTAGCAGTAGCAGCAGGGTTTCGGTGAAAAGGTTGCTTTGGTTGTTCGATGCTAGTGTTAGAGGTGGAGGGTGCGGCAGTGGTAGGTGTGGAAGCGTTGGGGCTGGTATTCATGGTATTAGTAGCGCTGTCAGTGTTGGAAGAAGTCATAGTATCATTGGTATTTGCTACTGCATTTGTTGCGTTGGAAGGCGCAGTATTTTCTTCTTTCTTCGCAATGTCGTTATTATTCTTACTGTTATCACTCACAGATGCTGATATTGCAGTTGCTGTCGGTGTGGTTTCAGCTTCTTTAGCAATAACACCATTGCTCGGTGCTGAAGAAGTAGAGGAATTTGATAATGGAGTAGAAGAGGATTTAGAAGGGCGATTATTATATTGGCCCTCTTGAGTTGCTAATGGATGATGATTCTGATGATGGCTGTGTCTATCACTGAATGGTGCACGTCTGCTGTTACCATTACGCGAAAATTGATGATGATATCTTCCTCGTGAACCAGGTGTAGGAGTTGAATGAATAATGGTAGGAGTGAAAGGTTTCCATTGACTTTTCTTATTGACAGCTTTGTTTATAATGGTGTTTTCCACTAGATCGTCTTGGTGTCCATTTTGCTGAATAAAAACAGTTTCTTTTGGTTCTGGCCAGGAAGTATCTTTGATTTTTTGACAAGCAGGTTAATAAACTCAAGTAACTGACTCCCATGAATCCGCAAAAACAAACTTACCAAGAGCCGTGTTTTGAGCCTTTGTAACGGGTTGCTTTTTCAACTGCCAGACATTGACATCAGGGATAGGGGCAGGGATTTTTTTTTTGGGAGTGTCCGTCGTGTTGACAGCAGCAGTAACATTGATTGTTTCCTGAACTTTGGTATCCGTTCCTGACGTAGAATTAACCATGTTTGTTATTTTGTCAACGAAAACTCTTCTATTGAGTAAGAAGACAAAAAAGCGGAAAAGAGACGTTCAAAAAAGAAAAGGAAGCAAAAAAGAAGAAAATCAGAAGTCTGGGGGAGTGGTTTAAAATTTTTTGAAGGTGATGAGTAAACAAGGACCAAAAATCTGTGAACTCTGAGTCTCATCAAAAAGAGTTGAATTTGAGTCTCAGTCGGGTGCCTAATTTTAGCAGGTGTCCTCAGCTCTAGAAAGGTACTACCATACTTTTTCGCCCGGAAGCTGCCAAAAACCTGCTGGAGTATCTGAATTTTGAGATATCGTCAGTCTTCTTTTAAGCACCCCATAAATCGAGTTGCGATGCTATTATCAATCCTATACGATTTCAAAGTGTAATACAGCTAGAAAGTGAAACACTGCAAAAGCTTCATTCTTTAGAGACAAATCATCCAAGAAAAAACCTGATCCAAACTTATACAGTATTTTGGATTCAGTAAATTTGATGATGGCTGACTTGGTAATTTCGGATAATAGTTGTGAGGAGACTGTACAGCAGCAAGACGAATTCGATGCATGATCAACGTTTTATCGTGCTCACCTAACAAGTCATTTATATTACCCGTTGTTCACTCATATGTTTCTTATTGGCTATAAACACTTTACGTGGTTCTTACAAATCAATGTCGATTTGTGCTTTTAGTTTTTTTTATAATTGGTTTTTTTTTGGTTTTTTTTTTTGGTGAACTCATCCGCTTATTCAAAAACCTGACAGACAAAAGTGTTGAGACGACATCAAATACACTGCATTTAATTCACTTACTTTGTCATCCTCTCTTAACTATTACATGTGTTGCTACGTGTTGAATTGAGGCTGACAAGAAAATAACCGATCAACCATTGATTTAAAATATATGAGTTTGTGTCTGGATTCGAATTTTCGACAGTGGGATGAACTAGGCTCAAGCCAGTTTTGGATTGAATAAACTTACAAAGATTGTATCTGCTGTATGCTCTCTTAAAACTGGTTTTTGTGGTCCTGTCCGCGTCTTGACTTTCTAATTTCTTTTTTTTTTTTTTGGAGTAAATCTTTTTAGGCTTCCTTGAATAGCAAATGATGTCCCACTGATTTCTGACAAACGTGGAGTTCCTTAAAAATTTATTGGAGGTATGTTTTTACATGGTCTTTCGATAGTAACAACGTGTATGATATCAGCTTGAAATATTCGTAGATCTGTTTCATTTTGAAGGCATGAATTGAACTTTTAAGAAAGAACAATCAACTTGATTGTTGTTATAACTTTTCTGATATGCTTGTGCTTGACATAGAATAACTATAGATCTAAGGTCAGCATTGGTACAGTTAGTAGACACTTGCAAAAGTGCTGGAAACTGCTCTTCTGCAATCTTGTGAATCTAAACCAAGTAAGGATTCGTCTGCAATTAAAACTGACGTGTATAGGCCACTGAAAGAAAAAAAAATAGAAAAAAAAATAGGAATGATTACGATTAAACAAAACCCGCATGGGCGTATAATCATTATGAGATTGAATTGCCCGGGTAAGATCAGATATAGGGGAAAACCCCTTTTTGATAGTCAAGAAAGCAAGAATATCATTACAGTGTTTTTGCTTCACTCTTTCATTGGCTGAAATCAGACGAATTTGGCGTCCTGCCTGATGGCAGTTGTTCAGCCCGAAGCACCTTCAGGGCTTGAGTATAACAAGTCTGAATGACCCCTTTTTCACGTATTTTTCTCTTGACAATCCCTCTCGAAAGGCTACAATGAAATCCTATCGAGCTGAAAGCTCTGCAATTACTGGTTCTGTTGAGCATACGGAAACAGATAACACTTGCGCCAATCCAATACATTAAAAATATTATCGTGCTACTTCAATAGTGAAAGAAACCCATCAGATACTCTTTTGCAAAATTGTAGTATATGTTGGAATCTTAATTGTAATGGCAGCTAAAAATATGTACCACATTGCTCAAGAGGTTTAGGCTGGTCATGGAAAGTCCTGGTATTCAACGATTCTACAGTTATTAAGTCTACATTTTATCGAAATATTGTACTCAAAACTCCCAAATTTTTTTTTTTTTTTTTTTTTGTTCTTTTGATCTGAAAACCTATTCAACGCTGTCGAAAACTGAACCGAAAAGATCTATAAAATGGTTACCTGAACATAAACCTTTTACATTTCAAAATGCATGTTGGAAAAGCCACACTGTCCTTTTTAAATAAGCCAAGGTTCTACTCTTGACTATAACAAAAATTGGTTTTAGATCGTAAAAATACCTTTCAAATCTGCTTTGTTGATAATCTTGACATGAACCAAAAGGTTATATTACAATAAACAGAAAATTTTCAAGCTTTTATAAGTTATTCAAGCTATAATTGTATTATTTTGTCCACCCGCTAGAGATTCTTTCAGTGTTTGATTATTATTTTTTAAGCTCATACTTTTACATGCAAAAAGTGTAACAAGCCAGCTTATTGCTCATCAAGGTTGACCCGTTAAGCATTTTCTGGGTAAAAGAAGATCCACTATTGATTGGCTAAGAGGAGATCAATAAAACAATATGGCCTCCTGGTTTTGCTTTTTAAGCAAGCGTAAAAGGCAAGGAAAGGGAACAATTCAATAGACAACCTGAGCTCGGCTTTTACAGGATCATGTCAACGCAATCCGTTATTACAGGATGGAAAGAGATATGTTCATTCCTCTTTACTATACTACGATGTTAGCTATTCAAACGTATTTCCCATTCCACCTTCTTTTGGTAGCGATTGCTTCATGATTAGAAAATGTATTACTGCCAAAAACTTCTGCCTCCTTAGAGAGGATATCACTTTACACTGCCGGTGTCAGAGAAAGGAAGGCTCCTTAAAAAACTGAACACATAACGTACATTTCATCCTGAATCCATTTCCTTTTTTTTTTTTTTTCATCCTTTTCTGAAGGAATGAAAAAAAAAAAGCTTATTTCCCTCCAACATCCTTTACCAACTTTTTTTTTTTTTTTTTTTTTTCTCTTCAATATATCTTTTACTTAACTGTACACACAACTCTTACATCTTTAACGAAAAAATGACATGTTGCCTAAAGTAAAAATCTTCAAAAAGCGTATCATTCGCAGCCATAATAACTGCTATTGACGCTTTTCATTTACTGCAAGACATAGTCTCTTGCATCTTTTGCTGATAGATCTGATATTTTTCGTTTGTGCATGCTGCTTATTGGTGTTGAGTCTATTAGCAATAGAAAATAGGATACCAAATTGCATTTTATTTCCTATTAACATTTTTAAAAGTGAGTGTGCCAGCATTGATGATCGGACAGCGACGCAAGAAATGGTACATCATCTAATCAAACCCAATTGTTTACCTAGTGCTAACAATATTAGGTTTATTACTTCTCTTCAACTCACTCATTGGCATTGTCTACACATACTTTTTCAATAAGAACAACAAAAAAACGGAAGCCAGAAGACTACGTATCTTGTATATAAGTGTTATCTGTATCACTTTTATTTATCAGCTATCTATCGGTATACTCATCTACGATGAAGCTTCAACACATAACATTTCCAATTGGTTATTGAATTTTCATAATAACATATTGACTGCCGCCCCTACAACAGCATCTCATATTCGCTATATCGAAGCAAAATTTCAGTGCCGTTATTACTTGGCAACGACAGGATCAACAGCAGTGAATATGATAACTTCCTCTTCAACGTGTTACGAACCCATTATTCATTATGTACAGACAGTTTTATCCAAATTTTACATCTCCTTATTTGCAACTTTACCTATCGAATTGATATTTCTATCTCTAGTATTTTTTATCTCTTAATTTTTTTACTTTTTTTTCTTTTTTTTTTTTTCTACTTTACAATCGATTCTAATACAGTTTATTACTACAAACGACAGTTACTTGTTTGCTTTCCAAAAATGTAATACATGATCATAAAAGGAACAACTAGCCACTAAATCTGTCATGTCTTTCAGATAGCACCAATCAGCTCCATAAGCCATGGATGTGTGATCTAAAAACTCTGTTGTTATGTTTGTATTGTATTGCTCGTCCAAAACATCGATTACAAAGGCACCTGCGTGCATCGAAGCCGATAACAGTCGATCCGCTCGCGTAGGATGCCATTTCAACCGCCAGATACCTCCTCCAGGCGTCTGTACTGTATTCACAGGCGCTCGCATCGCCCGCGTATCCCAAAAATAGATGGTTTCATCATAACTACCTGTTACCAACTGATGTTCTCTATGAGGATTGGATTGCATGGTTGTCACCCCCATCATATGTCGTTTATAAGTAAATGTCGGTTGGTCAGGTATACGTAAATCCCATCCTTTGAATAATCCATCATCCGCACCAGAATAGACGATATTTGTGTTCCAATAATCAAACGCGGTAATCCATGCTTCCAAATCGTGAGCGTGCCATTGCTGTTCAATAACGTAGGCATCCTGATGAGGACTGAGGATATTAATATCACCATTGGAGTGTGATGTGACGACGCGCTTATCAGAAGCGTTCAGACGATTCGCCCAATCCAGAGATAAACAAAGTACACTTGTATCGTCTGTGGCTTGTGTATGTCCTATATTGACCAAGTGATCGTCGCTGCTGTTGTTACCGCTGTCGCTAAAGCTGTACATATGAAATCCGCCTATTGAATCCACCACACCCAGTATTTGTTTATCACAGATGAGGTTATGGCTCCATTTCATGTCTAAAATAGCAGGCATGTCAATGGTTTGCTTGGGTTGCAACAATGCTGTGGTAGAGGAGGCCCCGATGGCACCGGGAGCATCTGTTGTCACGGCTGAATCTGTCACGTCAAAAAGGTAAAGCTTGCCTTTGCGAACACGCACTTTTTCCTGCTGCTCATCGGTTAACTGATAAGTACCGACAGCTAGATATTGAGCATGGCTTTGAAAGGGGCAAAATTCAGTCGAGTCAGCACTGTAAACTGTATCGAATGAAGCGATGCTCTTTGCTTGAATGGCTGACATCTGTTGGTAAAAGAAGCGGAGGGGGAACCTTTTTATACACTGTACAAAAAAAAAAAAAAATAAAAAATCTTTGAACTGCCTTTTATGGTTGGGAAAATGGTTGATCTCTACGGCGGACTTCCAAGTGAGGAACAGCTGGTTTGTGCTATCAGACTTTGATCAGGTTTACTACATTATTATACTTGAGACAAAAAAGAGAGAGGGCCTACTGTGTTTACAAGCATCCCTTTAGTGATGCATTGGTTGCAGGTTTAGACTCAATGAGTAGAGTTTTCTGTGACGTTTGTTCAAAATGACGTGCTAAGCTTTCCATACTCAATACAGAACTTTAAGTGTGGGAAACATTCGGCATTAAGTCTACCTTTTTATCTGATGGGAAACGGAAAGGAAAGGGTTACGCGCATCTGCTGCATGTGAAATAAAAAGAAATACAGTATTTTACTTATATTTTAGACGATTTACAATTTTTAATGGACAATATACATTTTAATTTTAGATTTATTAAAAAATATTTTTAGAAAAGTCCATAGTATTTGGATATTTGGATACTCAATTATTCAGTGATATTCAAGCAGCATTAAGGATGACATACAATCGAACCCTAGAAATTAGTCTCTATCAGTAAGAAAGTCGCCAATAATGGTTTTATTGATGTTATCTTGCAATAGGACAAACTACAAAAAGCTTGACAACTTTTTTACTAAATGACGATGTGTTCCGAGACCAACAAGATATTCGTTGGTGCCTTTTTTGGACAAGAATTCCAAAAAAAAGTTAACTTTGAATTGATTGACATCAAACCATTGATAGAGGGCTGATGGTCATAGTATAACAGATACCATAGCGGAATGGGATGGTTATATTAACTGTTGTCAATGTTTTTGTATGCGTTCATGGGTGACTTTCAAAGATAAGCACTATAAAATATATTGCTTTCTTAGAGTCAAATGTTGTCTCTTTCACTTTTATTTCACGTTTTTAAGATACATACTATGACCCATGTTCAAAACAATAATTTATGAAAAGAAAAAGCAAATTTTTGAAAAGAAAAAATCAAGTGCTGTTCATGGTAACTTGCCTTTTGAAAAAAAAAAGCTCTCATCTTGCGTAGTGTATGCCTTGGAAGCTTGTCAAAAAGGTCACAAGTGATTTCTGCTATCAAGAGATATGCCAAGGAAAACCTAAATGGCCAACTGATGACTACCTTACCAAAGATATAAAAGCAAAGATCCAAACCTTTTGTGAACCTTGGAAGAAGAAGCTGGGGAAGAAAGTGAACATGAAGACATTATCTGCTGATCCTGGGTCTTTCGTACCCTTTTTGTTATCTTTGAACGCAGAATTTGAGAGCGAACACGATGATCATAAACCATTTGACGTACGACGACGTCCTCTTCCAAAATTGCTATCCTTACTGCCAAAGGTTTCCGTTCAATGGAGGTTCATTACCTTGAGCGTGAACGCTCTGTCTTCTTTTGTGAAACGTTCTTTACCCCGCAATTACCAAAGCCAATTAGAGCTGTTTTTCCATGTCTTTGATTTCAAGAAACTCAGGTACAAAAGGTAAGCATACAGTTAATACGGTATGCAGTCGAGTATAATGTATGAGGTTTAACTTCTTGGGCACATGTAGTATCTCTGAACTTACACCGAATGGTGATAACAAAGAGCTCTTTGGTAATATTGTCAGAACGGATGGGTTTTCAGTTGACTTTCTTTTTTATAAAAGACAACAATCTGGCCATGGTGCCTCGTTCCAAAAATTTGACCTCACTCTTGATGATTTCTCTCTGGATGAAGTTGACAATACTTATTTACCTATTACCCTGGATCCCGGAAGAAAGTCTGTTTTTACTGCTGCTATTGGCCTTGAATATAACAGACAAGTGCGAAGATGCACTACATCCGAATACTATCATATGGCAGGGTCAACGAAATATTGTAAGAAATTGAACAGTATAAAAGCTGTTACAGGAATAGATCTAGTAGAAAGTCAAATTCCCTCGTCAAAGACCTCTCGTCTAGGAGTATATGAGGCGTTCACCAGTTATATGCTCAATAACTTAGACGCTCTCTTTAGTTTTTATGGACATGAAACAGCAAAGGACCGGTTTACGTTGTACCAAGGAAGGCAAAGAGCACCCGAAACTATGGCCAACATGTTGACTCATGGAACGGCCAAGTACAATCGCAAAAAGAGAAGCAAGGCAAGGAAGAGGAAAAAACAGCAGAAGAAGAAGAAGAAAGGAAAGAATGTTGACAAACAGCCGCCAATCAAGTGAGTATCAATGAATTACATGTTCATCGTTTAGCTTACGCGCTGATTGATAATTTTTAGAAGTGACAAGAAGTGGAAGGCTGATAAGTACTCAGGATTCCCTAGAAGGGTACCATTGATTGTCTTTGGTGCTGGAATGTTTGGAAAAGATGTAGTAAAATTGAAAGGGCAAAGATGTGGTGTTGTCGGTAAACTTTTTGCAACTCTGAAGAAACGTGAAGCTGAAGGTCAATTGATTGTTGTCACAATCGATGAATTCAAAACCTCTAAAACATGCAGCCTCTGTTTCTATGATGATATGCAAATTGTTAATACCCCTGGATTCAAGGGTACCGGCGTTCTTCATTGCAAGCAATGTCTAAAGCTATGGCAGAGAGACATTAACGCCGCTATCAACATGATGACTATATCCCAAGCAGTTTGGTCTGGAGCGGGAAGACCCGACATTTTCAAGCCAGCGAAGAAGAAGAAATAATCGCCGTAATAAACACGGTTTTCCTTGTATTTCAAGGATTTAGATCATTACAGGTGAGGAATAGTACGGTTTTTTTTTCTTTTTTTTTTTTTTTGTTTCGCACTGCTAACAAGTTTTTGGAATTTGAATCATTGTTTAAACGGTTTATATTTTGGTCTACAACACAATTGCAACTCATCTAAAATGAAAATATTAATCGTCCAAAAAAAAATGTATTTCATCTAAAATATTAGTTAAAATACTGTAACGTGAACAAATGGAAAACTTACCCCGGATTAGCTGCTTTTTCGATGTCATTTTCTCCGCTTCATCATAAGCTGAGAAAAGTGAAAACTTGGTACCTTTTTTCAACACTCAACATCTTTTTCATATAGTTCCTATTTTTTTTTTTTCCACTAAGCAGCAATTATGTCTAATCCTTTGCGTATTTTCGTGCCTGTCAAGCGTGTCATTGATTATGGTAAAGCATAAAGAAGAAAAACACAGAAAATAATAGGCGTATTAGGCGTGTGTGTGTGTTTATTGAGGAACCAGTACTGTTTTTTTTTATACTCTTCATTTTCGAAACTCATAATGCTATTCTATATTCCGTCATTTTACTGCAAAATAAATATAGCCGTTAAGGTTCGTGTTAACCCTGCCAAGACAGATGTCGATCGCAATGTCAAGCACAGCATGAACCCATTTGACGAGATTGCTGTCGAGGAAGCTGTCCGTCTCAAAGAAAAAGCACCCCAAACTACTGAAGTCGTAGCCATTTCTTGTGGTTCAGCCAAATCTCAAGAAACCTTACGTACAGCTTTAGCTATGGGAGCTGATAGAGCTGTTCATGTCGAAGTCAAAGATGACAGTACACTTCAACCTTTAGCCGTTGCCAAGCTACTCAAGGCTTATGCTGAGAAAGACCCCGATACAACAAAGCCAGATCTTTTTATACTGGGCAAGCAAGCTATTGATGATGATGCGAATCAAACAGGTCAGATGTTGGCTGGTTTACTTCAATGGCCACAGGTAAAAATCCGAAAAGATCGTTTGTTTTGGTTTTCTTTCTAACCTTTTTGCTTTTAAATGACAATACATTTCCATTCATGACCCTCTGGGTGTGTTATACAGACTACTTTCGCTTCAAAGGTTGAAATCAATGGTAAGGATCTAAAAGTGGTTCGTGAAATTGATGGCGGCCTTGAAACTGTCTCTACTCAGCTACCAGCTGTTGTTACAACTGATTTACGGTAAGTGATAATATGTTCATTGAACGGAGAAGGAGAAGGAGTGTATGGAGTTTAAAAAATAGTCAAAAAGATTCTAATCTTCTTTATTCCCTAATTCAGTTTAAATGAACCTCGTTATGCCTCCCTTCCTAACATCATGAAAGCAAAGAAAAAGCCTTTGCTTAAACTGACACCTGAAGAACTAGGTGTCGACATTTCACCTAGAATTGAGACATTGAAAGTAGAAGAACCTCCTAAACGTGTAGGCGGACGCAAAGTTGAAAATGTAGATGAATTGATTGACAAATTACGTAATGAGGCCAAAGTTTTGTAAAACAAAAAAAAAAACAGGGTTTGATTTGATGTTACAAATAAAAGAATAGTTATCAAACGCAAGCATAAACTGATGAGAAGTGTCCTTCTGAGCCGAGCGAACAGATAATAAGTGGCTAACACAAAAGATGCCCCCCACCGTTGACTCTATTTCACTTCCCTATTTTTGTTTCTTTTTTCATGTGGTTCTTAATAAGATTTATTTGAAGCGTTAGGGTAGGAGAAAGTTTCTGGTTTTTTTTTTTTTTTTTTTTTTTTGCATATGTCATCATAGACAAAGGAGTAAATATATCTTGACATAAGAAACGTACATAAAACATACAAGACCTTGTTTGTTCTGTTGCAATTGTTAAATATATATATAAAAGTAAGTCATAGACATAATTTAGCATCAATTGTTGTTGTTGTTGTTGTTGTTGTTGTGATTCTCTTGTTGCAGGAGAAGGGAACGTGAAAAGAGAGTACTTAGGTCTTTCCGTGAACACACTCGATCAAATGAGCCACAACAGCAGGTTCTGCCAAGGTGGAAATATCACCCAAGGAATCTTGCTCACCATTGACAATTTTTCTCAAAATACGACGCATGATCTTACCAGAACGTGTTTTGGGTAGATCATTCACAACGTAAATACGTTTTGGTGCAGCGAAAGGACCAATCACCTTTCGCACTTGGAGAACTAATTCTTTGTCCAAGCCTTCAGTGGAACCGCCACCGGCAGCGCTTTCGGCACTGTTCGGCTTCAAGGTAGTAAAAGCATGAATACATTGACCGGTGAGTTCGTCTTGACCGCCTACGACAGCAGCTTCGGCGACAGAGGTATGTAAGATCAAAGCCGATTCGATTTCAGCCGTAGACAAACGATGGCCCGAAACATTGATCACATCGTCCACACGGCCACGGATCCAGATATAACCGTGCTTGTCGCGTGTCGCTCCGTCCCCAGTGAAGTAGTAGCCCTTGTAAGGATTGAGATAAGTGTCAAGGTAACGATCATGGTTGTTGTAGACTGAACGAGCCATGGACGGCCATGGTTGCTTGATAGCCAAAACGCCAGTGACCTCCTTGCCAGCTGCCGCTTCCATTTCTTTACCGCTGACTGGATCTAGAATGACAGGCTGGATACCAAAGAAGGGGAAGGTGGCGGAACCGGGTTTAGCAGCCGTAGCTCCAGGTAAGGGAGTGATAATGATGGATCCTGTTTCGGTTTGCCAGTAGGTGTCAACAACCGCGCATTGTTTGTGCCCTACTTTATCATAATACCATTCCCAGGCTTCAGGGTTGATGGGCTCACCGACGGATCCTATAACACGTAAAGAAGACAAATCGTGCTTCTCTACCCACTTATCACCTAAACGACGTAGGGCACGAATAGCAGTAGGTGCTGTGTAGAATTGGGTGACCTTATGCTTTTCAACAACTTGCCAAAAACGAGAAGCATCAGGATAAGTAGGCGTCGATTCGAACAATAAGGTGGTGGCACCATTTGAAAGGGGGCCATACACAATGTAAGTGTGACCCTATAAGCCAAAAGGAGAAAAAGAGAAAAAAAGGGAAAAATGAGCATCTACCCCTTCTCTACCGACGGATTGCGAAACAAAATTTGAAAAAAAAAAAGGTTGATCCCTTACAGTAATCCAGCCTACATCAGCCATACATGCGTAGATATCACCTTCATGGTAATCAAACGTGTATTTGAGAGTAGCTGTAGCACCTAAAAGGTAACCACCGGAAGTATGAACCACACCCTTGGGTGTGCCAGTAGACCCAGAGGTATACAATAAGAACAATGGATCCTCGGCATTGACATTCACAGGAGGACAATAAGGTCTCGCCTTGGCCATTTCTTCATGCCACCATAAATCACGACCTGCCGTGAAGGAAACCTCCTTGGAGCCGGTACGTCGATACACCAACACGTGATCTACGGTGGGAGCACTATTGTTCTTCAAAGCCTCATCCACGATACGCTTCGTAGCAATGTTTTTACCCCCACGCCGACCCTCATCAGCAGTAAGGACCACGCGAGCACCACAATCATTAATGCGGTCACGTAGGGAGTCAGCAGAAAACCCAGCAAAGACAACAGAATGAACAGCACCAATACGTGCACAAGCTAACATGGCAAATACAGCTTCAGGAATCATAGGCATGTAAATAGCGACGTTGTCACCTTTACGAACATCGAGTGACTGAAGAACATTGGCGACCCGACTGACTTCTTGTAAAAGTTCGCGATAAGTAATTTTGCGGACGTTATCAGGTTCATCGCCTTCGTGAATGATGGCAATCTGTTACAAATAGCAATAAGATTGAAATAGCGTTTAATATAACTTGTTTTGTTTTTTTGTACGCTGTAAGCGGTCTATGTTGATAGATGGTCTGGTTTGTTTGAGTTAGAGTTTTACTTTATTTGTTGATACTGTACCTTGTCCGGATTGGTCAAAGCATGACGGTCAACACAATTGACAGAAACGTTCAACTCTCCTTCCAAGAACCAGGCTACATCTCCTCGGTCCAAGCTACCACTTTGAACTGTTTCAAAGGGCTTTGACCAAGTCAATAATTCACGAGCAAGCTATTTTCCCATTCCCCCAAAAAAAAAAAAAAAAAAAAAAAAAGCACAAAAAAAAAATTGAAATTGTTATGATAAGTAAGGACATCAAAACATAAAAAAGCAAGGCGGGTGACTCTATAACACAAAGAGATACTGTACATTGCCAAAGAAATTTTGAGGATGATCTACGCTTTCTTGCCACATAGTCTTGTACTCATCAAAACTGGAAATGAAAGGCTTAGGAAGATGATCATCCTTTAGAAGTCTTTCAGGAACAGGATATACTCTTTCGTCAGCAGTGAGAGTCTCAATAGTCATAGCTTTCAATAAATGGGAGTTTGTTGGTAACAGGAATTAGATAAGAAAAAGAAGAAAAAGGGGATAGTAAAAGAAAAAGGAAAACAAAAAGCAAGCTTCCAATTTATATGTCTGAGAGATGTAAGAGAGAAAAGCTTATTCTAATATTTGATATGGATTTATGCTTTCTGTACTCACATTCTTTTCGTATTTGTTATTGCGTTACAAATTCAATGAAAAGAAACAAAATGTAATCCATGTGACGATATTATGCCGACGACGAGCAAGAATAATCGTGCTCCTCCAATGCTGACATAAGCGCTGGCCTGCGAAAGTTACGAAATTCACTGCTTATTTCTGTTTTTATAGACATAGGTGCTACTAAGGTCATACCACCATGAATTATGTCAGTAATCCTAAAGACGATCATCCTCTAACAGTGATAAGTAACATTAGAAATGGAGTGAGTAACTTACTCAGCGTAGACACTTATAAAAGTCATATGGTTATGTACAAAGGAAAAGAGTATTGGAAGGGGATCAGCGAGATTCTGGGTTCAACACGCCAACTTCTGGTATCGATACCTTCGTTGAGCGGGTTCCCTACGGGTTCAAATTGATGTGTAAGCATCTCTTGCACGTGCCATTTGCAAAAGTATCTTTCAGGGTCTTTGGAAATGTAAAGCAATCAAGTTTTACCACCCATCTTCTTTTCAATATTAATGTATCGCTCTTGAAGCGCTAAAGTATCAACAGTGGTGTTAATTCGAGCAGCAGATCTTAAATCTATAACAATCTGTGTAACCAGTGCTGAAGGAAAGGATTGCAAAAATATGTGGTAAAGGGTCGGTTTACCATGATACTCATCATCGTAAACAATATTAAAAGCTTAGAAGTAGTGCCATAGCGCTTTAGAAAGTATCAATATAAACAGTGCTTATTCGAAATGGTTATTCTTCGATCCATAGATAATGGATGTTGAAACAATCTTATATTTGCAAGCATCATTGTTTACAGAAACCAAACATGACTATATATAATGTCCATTGCAGAAAACGATCGAAATTTATTCACGGAAGCATTAAATATCAACCGAAAGAGTATTATGAAAACGAGACACGAAAAAGTGGAAAAAAGGTGAGAGTGTTTTTGACTATATCAAAAAAAAGAGGAGATCTATACAATGATTTTTGTGATGTGTAAGCGTGTTGAGTGCGCGCATTGTGTGTGTGTGTGTGTGTGTGTGAGAGAGAGAGAGAGAGAGTGTGTGTGTGTGTGGCTGGGTGGGTACGATTGGATGTAAAAAGCGAAACAAAAAGAAAAACCAACTTTAAACAATCAATACAATGATCAAGGTCCTAATGGCTCGTAACTCCAGATACGAGCACGATTATCACCTGAACCCGTAGCGAACATTGGTCTATGTCCAGGACTAGTGGCAACAGAAATAACTAAAGAAAAAAAAAATAGAAGCCCAGTAAATAGCCAAGTATAGGCTATAGATTTCCTCTCAATAATAAAAAAAAAAACTTACCAGAATTCTTATGCCCTTGAAGCATGAACTGTGTTTGTCCAGTGCGAGGATCCCAGAATTGTACACCTCTATCTTTAGAACCGGAAACAATCCAATGACCATCTGGTGTAGTTGCCACAGACAAAACAAAGTCCTGATAAAAAAGGGAAAAGAAAGTTTGAGTAAACATTTTTCCTTCCTGAAATGTAGTGCATCTGGTGATTTTACCTTGTGTCCTGTGAAAACTTGAATACAAGGACTCTTACGCTCACTGCCATATGCATTTCTCTCGTTTGTACCTAACTGCCACATCCTCAATGTCTTATCCAAACTACCACTGACCAAAGTCTTGCCATCAGGCATAAAAGCAACAGAATACACACTGTCTTTATGGCCCTCTAATCTTTCTAACAATTGACCTGTGACAGCATCCCAGACACGAACTACCTTATCCAAACTACCAGCTGCTACTAACCGACTATCAGGAGAAATGGCAACACTAGTAACACCCAGATCTTGTTGCTCCACATCATTGATGCGCAGTTCATGTAAGCAACGAATGTTTTGCCAATCCCAAATACGGGCAGTACGGTCGCCGGATCCAGACACAAGGATGCGACCGTCACGACTGAATTCTAAAGAATAAATGTCTTGTTCATGGCCGGACAAAATGCCACGAATACGTTTCTTTGCAATATCCCAAATCTAGCACGTTATTTTATAGAAGAGTAATGGTAAGTTATAAGGGGTTTTTTTTTTTACCAAAACTAATTATTTGAACTCATGAGGGTAAAAAGACTTACTCTGATTTGCTTATCCTCAGCACCAGTAGCCAAATATTTACCATCAGGGCTGAAACTGACGGAACGAATATACAAATCACCGTCACGTCCTGCACTTGTATCTTGAAGAATGCTAATTATGGAATACAAGCAACTGGTAAGTTATCTTAAGATTTGATAAGCAGCCATTCCTCACTTACGCAACACGAGTAGCTGTCACTGTATCATAAATATAGGTGGCTTGATTACATCCAGCTGCCAAGTAACGTCCATCTGAACTGAACTTGACACAACAGACGACGCTTCCATGATCAAAGGTATGAAGAAGATCAACCTTGAGATAACGAGTTGCTTTGGGATTGAACCTGTTGATTAAAAACAGCAAAAAACAAAAAATGTTGCTTTAGAAAAGGATCCTATCTGCTTGGAACATGTAAATAGAACTTACAATGCAAACCAATCTTGACCCTCTACTTTCATATTGGCAGGTACACTTTCGGGATTGATATCACCAAGTGCTTCAGAAGGTTGCGATAATTGTTGCTGTTGCTGCGTTGATGATGGCGGTGGCGGGGGAACTGAAGTTGGAGGAAGAGGTCCACCAGCTCCAGACTTTGAAGGAACTACAGATGAAAAAGAAAAAGAGTCAGAAGAAAGCATAAATGACTAAAGATATAGTGCAGCTCGCTTCGGAACTTACGTTGTGATGAAGGTGGAGGAGGAGCATTCGAGGGTAAGGGCGAGCCATCGTTCATATAAGGTGTACCAGAAGCAGCGGAATGCGCTGATTGAGGAGGTTGTGGTTGCTGAGGAGGCCCGTTGGAAACAGATGGGTGAGGGGGGCCATTAGTTGGAGGAGCAGCATGGCCTGTGTTAGAGGGTGGATACGAAGAATGGTGCTGTGATACTGATGGCTTGGACTCCATTAATGAGGGTGGTGGAGGGCCCTGTTGCGGTTGTTGCGGCTGTTGATAACCTGAAGGACCTATTGGAATACAGCACATAGCAAAACAAACAATTTTTTTTTTTTGTTTTTAGCGAAATTTTCTCGTATGATAATTCTTTCACTGTTTGCCTTAGCAATAATGATTGTTATATTACCATTATATCCATTGCTTACAGGTGCTGAAGAGGGTGGTGGCGGCCCTCCAGCACCATGCTGGTGTTGTTCCAATTGCGACCGGAGTCTAGCGATTTCCTCTTCATACCTAATACATAAGAGTACTGTTGAATAAGCTAAGCTCGAGAGTTCAACCAGTAAATCGAGTTGCTTACTGTTTCTTAATCATCTGTTGTGTTCTTTCCAAGTCCATCAAGTTTTGCTGAAAAATTTTCATCTCCTGAATTTGACTGTTCACTGTTTTTAAAAAAGTTCGACATTAGCCATTTATTACGCGTTTCTTTCTTTTACATTGTTCTCATAAATCACTCACTTTTATGCTCATATTCGTCTCTCTGATTTTTGCAAACAATCACTTCTTGAGCGAGCTGATCGTACTCAGATTTGATGGCATCTAGCAATTCTAATAAACGACTGGCAGTAGGTGGTGCTCCTCCCATAGGTCTATGATTGTAAACTGACATTTCTGGATGGGTGCTAATGAGAAAATAACCTTGTTATCTATTTTTTTAGCTGGACCTGAGTTCTATGTCTGTCGGATAAATGTGAATGGTTTCCTTATTATGTTCGATAGAAAGGGTAAAGAAAGCTACAAAATAAATATCTGGTTCCGGTTCCAAATAGGAAAAAAAGAATTTAGAAAGAAAAGAATAAGAGGGAAAAAGGGAGATGAAACTGTGAACCCAGAAACAGAAAAAAAAAATTAAAGCTAAGGTTCTGGGTTCAGCAATAGTGTTTTTTGTAAGTTCAAAAAGATTTTCAGAATAGAATTCAAACGTTTTCCCTGGCCAATCAAAATTGTTATATTTCCTTTAAATATTCTATCTACCAATCGAAACTTCCTGTTACTATTCAATTTTTAAAAAGTGAAAGGCATATCAAATGTATTTGAAGTATAAGGCTCTTTCCCGCTAAACCTTACCCAACTGCCAAATTAAGCAATTTCCATAAACAACCCCTCCCTTTTTACTATTTCGATCAGGTTACAGTTTAACAAGTCTATTACTGAAACGTTCTTTTTCCTCAGGGTGCTGACTTGAGTGCATTATTACAATCCATTATCAAGCAGCCCTTTTATTGAAATGCACTGTCCTCAATTTAGTCTTACTGACATATCTCAAGTTCTAGAGGACTGTAGCTAGCATCAACAACAATGGTACCTCCAATAAAAAACTCAAAATTTATAAACGCAAGGACCAACAACGGCCGTACAACAGACGTAAAATTGATCTCTCAACTGTTGAGCATCTTTTGGCAGCACTATACCAATGAAGGATGCAATTCACAACCACACTATCGACAATGAAAGCTTGCAGGAAACTAGATGATTCACTAAATGATAATCCCTTTGCAAGGGGACAGACTCAAAGGAAGAACTGCTTCTTTCATGGCTATTAAGCGTTATCTCTAATTTACACGAAACGACTATTCGCTCTGGATTCAAGCAAAATAGATAGGATGGCATTTATCCATAAACAATGGTGATGAACTGCAATGCCAGTTGAATTTCGGTCAAACGAATAGACTTAGAACTTGCACGTAAATCAAACAACAAGCACGCGCGCGAAGAGGTGGCTTGCTTGAATGCTCGTTCTCACAAGCATCCGGAGCAGGAGCACTACCATTTTTAATGCAATAAGCCATACATGTGATAGATAGGTCGCATCACATTTAAGTTAAGCTTGATAACTAACTTTATCATTTTCATGGATCAAACTGCTCCTCTTGAAAAAATGATGTGAGTATTACAAGTGCTTAATCTATAAATGAAAGAAGAATACGCGCCTTAGAATTCAGCAGAGCAAAATTTAAACTGTTGTTTGTTACTCCACATAAGTACTGCCATTCGGACTATTGAAGTAACCAGTTATAAACAGTACAAGTCTCTCTTGTGTCATCGATAGATAAACGATGCAGGTTGATTTGTTGTACTTTGAACATAGAATGGCCTAAACTAAAGGCAATAGCCTATGTTATGCTATTCTCACATTTTTGAACATTCATAGTAAAAGCTCATCAGTGCTGTAGTGTTGACCAGGTTGAACAGCAAGAACCGTCATTATTAGTATGACGTGTACTATGAGTTTTTTTAAAGAAAAACTTCAGAGCTAAGTCTAACAGACAGCGCCAGGGTCACTAAAGTGATCAGCAACAGCCTTCTCTCCACCTCACGTAAATTTAGTCAAAAGAAATGACCCACATATACATAGGTCCATAGATATGCAGATGTGTAAAGGCTGTCGAAATGCAAGTTAAGTTACTGAAATTCCCAGTACTTATGGAGCTATTCAAAACAATAGCGAAGCGTAGTATGCTGGATTACATAAATCTGCCTATTTATGCATATACTGCATGCTGGAGAAGCATCGTCAGTTTTGTAGTTTTGCTCATGACCTTGTACACAGTTGCTAAGGGAGAAATCGTCTTCAAACATAATGTTATTAATTGTGGGATCAGAATTTTTCTCACTATCACTGTCGGTTGAAGCTCTCACCAATATTGTTGACAGGGTATCAAAAGCAATCTCTAATTCCTCAGCTTAATTAAAGCTGCCACGGAGGAAAGAGTTGTTTTTCTCTCGATGGTTTTTTTGTACCAGGCCAAAGAAGGGTGTGAATAGGGACGTCCAAAGGATCGATGTCCTTTTTATAGCAAGTGGAGCAATGGAGAGCCTGTAGCTAAGCTTGATGTGCCCTTCTTATTGACATTTCTGCACTATGTGGCACTGGCAGAAGGGAAATGATCGGTTTTATATCAGTTAATAATGTGTGTTAGATTCAGGTATGGAAAGGTGCACAGGATGGATCATTTGTTTTCTGTAAAACAGCAATAAAAAGACAGAAAGAACAGCATGGACAAAACTCAGCGTTTAGACATCTTGTTGGTAACGGTGCAAACATCAATAATTTTACCACGGGGAGAGAAACTACCGTGAGGACGACCTACAAGGCCTCCCTCTTACAAAGCAAAAGGAAACTGGGACAATTTCAAATTCACAATTTTGGCTTATTGACTATGGCTGCACAGAAGGAAAAAGAAGAACTGCTCTATGTAATTGTGCATCATTTTCAGTGCTTTTTTTGGATTATTATTTAACGTTACATATACATTGGGAAGCTATTTGTAACAACTAACATTTGTGTTGTCATCAATATAATATTCTCACAATACTTGGATGTCCAAAGAAAGACCCGCCTAGGGGTCAAGGCGGACAGAGTAGACTCCGTAAAGACGGAAAAGTGATGAAAATTGGGAAAGAGCTACACTGCGGACTTTGTAGAGGCATTTGCCTTACAAAGCTGATTCCTTTAAGCATCTTTCATTCGTCAAGCAACTTCTCTATTCGTTTCCCCTCAACCGATAATATCAGAATTGTGGTCTATTCATTACAGACAGAATCCGAACCCTCAAATAGAATAGACGAAATACGTTCATATACAACCTCAGTGGGTTACCCTGACACATCACTTTTATTTTTGAGTAAATGACAACTGGACAACAGTTGAATGGTTTTAAATATGACGATTTTGTGCCAACAGAAGGCATTTTATGTCCTATATGTACATTGAATTGTCAATCTCTGGAAAATTTAAATAGGGTACACAAAACATAATAATGTTAGTCCTTTGAAAGACACGACGACTTCTCTTGTGTATTATATCGAGTATAGTGCATTTACCTAACACAAAATCGCTTTTTGTCTTCTCCGTTGAAACACAAATTTTCGCAATAGCATTTAGATATTGAACATAGTGAAGAAGACTCGAAAGGAGCATTATTATCGTGGTTAAAAAATGCACATAAGAAAGTAGCAAATTCACTATCAGCAACTGCGACAACAACAACGGCTGCAAGGTTGGGTTCTTCGCCTTCAACTCCTTCTTCGTCCAACAACTACTATAACAACAAGTGGGTGGATCCTCCCCTCATAAGCTTTCAAGGCCTCAGCTTTAGTAATTCGAGTCCAAACTTCTTCGTATCAGATATCGATAAACAAAATGAATATGTCACACGAGATCATTGGCAACGTGAAACGGGCAATGATAAATGTAATATACGAGGATGCCGCAAGATAGTAGGAAAAGCTGGTTCAGGGAAGCAACATTGCCGAAAGTAAACCCTAAAAGCTGTGATAACTCTGCCGTAACCAGCAACAAAGTTATTGATTCGCTTTATTGTACTCTTTTAGATGCGGTAGACTATTTTGTGATTTGCATACTCAATACGAAATCAAACTTAACAAGCAAGCACAGCATGACCCTGAGCATGGTATATGGTGTAAAGTGTGTCTCAATTGTTTCGTGCATCGAAAAGGTTATTTAGAAACAGCAGGTGTGACGAGGAACAAGACAGATCTGCTTGTGAAGAGAAGAGAAAAGACAATCGACAGAGTGCATTTAGAATGCAATCGGCTAGAGAAACGATTGGAAAAATTGGCTATCATCCATCAATCGACTGATATGAAAAAGCTCTCTTCAGCCTTATCAACATCCTCAGTCTTGAACAAGACTTACAAATCGAATGGCTTATTGTCACCCTCGAGTACCTCAATAAATAGCTTAGCCATGGATAAGTCAGACTCAACGTCTTCGAGGGATAGTTTAGGAAGTATGCTTTCCCCAAAGTCGTCATTCGTGTCGAATCCAAATAGTATTTTGAGTATGAAGCTAAAATATCGAGGTAAAAGAATTAGAATATCATTTGGGTCAGGTCATTTGGTCAGTTCATCGCATTGACAGGGTTTTTTTTTTTTTTTCATTAACAGATGGCGAACAATCAGTTATAAAATGGGAAGATGATGCATCAGTGAGAGCCTGTCCTTATTGTGAGTAAGTATTATTATAATTACTATTCCATGACATCTAACGGCAAGTTTGAATTGAATTCAATTCATTTGGGCGCATATAAAGGAGCATATTCACTTTGATCAATCGAAAACACCATTGCCGTCTATGCGGCAAGGTAGTTTGTGGCAATATTAAATGTTCGAAAATGATTCCCTTATTTACAGACATGTCATCTGGTATGTTAAAGGTAATAAATAACTGATTTCATAGTGCTTCTCTGATTTACGGTATACGTTTTGATTCTACTCTTATAGATACCTTTGACGACACACCTGTTGGCGATACCCGTGCATGTCGTGATTGTCAGAGATACGTTTTTAGGCGGAAATTGCGAAACGAAGAAGCATCCAAGCCCTTGCCTATATTCCAACTGTATAGTCAACTAGCAATTGCAAGGGAAAACATCGAAAAGATGCTACCTAAGTTTCATGATGCAATACTGCTTCTAGAGTGAGTTTTCTATACAGTTGAATGATTTGAAAATACTGTTTCTTACAATCGCTTACATTAGGAAAAAAAACATAAAATCGCATTCACATGATATGTTTGTCAAAGCTGCTAAAATTCGAAAGACATTGCTCGACAACTTTACGCTATATGATGCACTGGCGAAATCTATCAGAGCGTTACCAGCTCGATCATCATGTATGAAACGATTGCAGAACAATATATGTACTGCAGCCAACCTTTATCTGCAACAAAATATGTTGCCCCTACAAATGTTACCGCGCATCTTGAAGACATCAACAGCAACAGAAACAACTAATAGCAAGAAGAAAAAGAAACAATCATCTGAGAAACTTGAGTTAGAAACACAATTGCAGACGTATTTAGAACAATATAGTTTAGTTGAAGGTTTTATAAAAGAAGCGAACGCAGAAAGGAAATACGACGATGTAAAAACGTTAAAAGCAAGCTTGGACGAACTACTGATTGAAATTAAGCGTTTACAACAATTACTTGGTGGAGATTAGATAACCATGATTAGGAATAGTTGCACAAATAACTGTCCAAGAAGGTTTAGTATCCTGTATTCTACGTTTTACGTTTTATTCCCCGCAAAAATGGGTGGGAGCATAATTTTGAATTTGATTATATAATAAATTACTCCCTTTTTTGAAATCTCTTTACGACTTTTGATCAGATCTTTCACGACATTAACAAAATATGCCAAGCACTAAAGGAGAGGTATTCAATATAAAAGATATTTTAAGGAAGTTGAATTGTTGAGACTCACACCAAAATGTTAAGCTTGAAATTGATTGGGATTTGAATGTATTAGAGTTTTGGGATGCAACCCTTAGCAGTTTTAAAGTAATTCATTGTCTTTTCAGTGTGTGAATGCCTGCGTTAAAAGAAGCACTACTTACATAACTTTGTGTTATAATAGAGATGTCATGAAGCAAAAGAGCAGTACACAGATTCAAAGCAAGTTACTGAAGACCTGCTGAAAAATTTACCACTTAAGTAAAGTGACAATATCTCTTCTCTACGACAGTTGCAGTCAATTTTACATTTCATTTACAAAATTGTCTCTAATTGATAGGCAGCAAAAGTCGATAAAGGAATCAGCCACTACAGTAACCAAAAACATGGACCTAGGTACCTCTCCATTAACCATATTCGCCGATAATACTACTGACGAGGCTCGAGAAGTGGATGAAGAAAACGACGATGAAGAAGCTGAAGAAGAGCAACTAGCAGTAGCAGATAAGGAATACAATATCGTCCACGGCGAAGAAGAAGACCAGTTTCAAGAGAATGAACGTAATCCAAAGGCAAGATCAGAGCATTGGATTGAAGAAATTGACAAAGATATCGGGAGAACAAAATCATACAGTGAGAAAGGACAGACTAGCAGAAGTAAACGAAAAGCTGCGGCAATCTCGGCAACTGACGACGAGTCATGTATACGCATGAAACCCTCTGTTGAAAATGCTTCAAAAGAAACAGAGAAACAAACAAAAAGATCAAAGAAAGGAAACGATGCAGATAGAGAACATAAGAGGTTACAGCAGCAACTAGGGCAACAACAATATAATGACTTATCAGATAATTCTTATTACCAGCAGAATGATGAACAGCAATATGCATATACCAACCCTGACGAACCAGCATCCTATGCGGCGCCCATGCCACCACCTCCGCCTACGAAAGACCAAAGCGAGGACAGTGCTCTATCGAATTTGATGATGGCTTGGTATTATGCAGGTTATTATACAGCAGTTTATCAGGTAATAGTAAAATCTTCACTGACCCATTTTCCTTGCATTAACATCTCTTTTCAATAAGTCTAGAAGAGAATTTCAAAGATAGTCGTTGGTTTAAGTTACCATATCTTTAATGAAAAGTTAACAATCATCATTGAAGAGCAAACATTATCTTGGTTTGGTCTTACTCTTAATTCTCACTTTGAAATAAACTGCAACAATGTGCATAATCAAACCTTTGCCCCCCGTTGTTAACACACTGTCAAATTTTTCAAAAACGAACTAGAAAATAGATACATTCTTTGACAAAATGATGATTCATCTTTTATTTCTTTCATGAGCATTTAAACTAAGAAAGACAGTTATAAAATGGACTTTGAGTAAAATAGCTCAGAATGAAGGGTAGTTATAGGGCTAAACAAATTAATATTCTTCAACATCTTCGATTTCAGAATCACCTAATGAATCAGAGCCAACTTCCTCATAATCCTTCTCAAGGGCAGCCAAATCTTCACGGGCTTCAGAGAATTCACCTTCTTCCATACCTTCACCAACGTACCAGTGAACGAAAGCACGCTTAGCATACATAAGATCAAACTTATGGTCAAGACGAGCCCAAGCTTCAGAAATAGCAGTAGTGTTGGACAACATACAAAGAGCACGTTGAACAGTAGCCAAATCGCCGCCAGGAACAGCAGCGGGAGGACGGCAGTTGATACCGACCTTGAAACCAGTAGGACACCAATCGACGAATTGAATGGTACGTTTGGTCTTAATACTGCTGATGGCAGCATTGGTGTCCTTGGGAACAACATCACCACGGTACAACAAACAGCAAGACATGTATTTACCATTACGAGGATCACACTTGACCATTTGATTGTTGGGTTCGAAACAGGCATTAGTGATTTCTTGAACAGAGAGCTGCTCATGATAAGCCTTTGCTGAAGAGATGATGGGAGCGTAAGTGACGAGAGGGAAGTGAATACGAGGATAGGGGACCAAATTGGTTTGGAATTCATTCAAATCAACATTAAGGGAACCATCGAAACGTAAAGAGGCAGTGATAGAAGAGACGACTTGAGCGATCAAACGGTTCAAGTTGGTATAAGAGGGACGCTCGATGTCCAAGTTACGGCGACAAATGTCGTAAATAGCTTCATTATCGACCATGAAAGAGACATCAGAATGTTCCAAAGTGGTATGAGTAGTCAAGATAGAGTTATAAGGCTCAACGACGGAAGTGGCGACTTGGGGAGCAGGGTAGACTGAGAATTCAAGCTTAGACTTCTTGCCATAATCGACAGAAAGACGCTCCATCAAAAGAGCACCGAAACCGGAACCGGTACCACCACCGAAGGAGTGGAAGACCAAGAAACCTTGGAGACCGGTACAGTTGTCTGCTAATTTACGAATACGATCCAAAACGGAGTCGACCAATTCCTTACCGACGGTATAATGACCACGAGCGTAGTTGTTGGCAGCATCTTCCTTACCAGTAATAAGTTGTTCTATTTTGTGATGTATAAATTAAGGGGTGCAGATTTGTATGAGTTTCTCATGTGCTCCCTTATATTTTCCAAGCAAAGTGAAGACTGCAGGTAGCAATCTTTAGTCCAAAAAAACTTACCAGGATGGAACAATTGACGATAAGGACCAGTACGAACTTCATCAACGACAGTAGGTTCCAAATCCACCATGACAGTACGAGGTACGTGCTTTCCTGAGCTAGTTTCGCTGAAGAAAGTGTCGAAGGAATCATCACCTGTGTTATGTTCATCAGGAATATGACCATCAGGTTGAATGCCATGCTCAAGACAGTAGAGTTCCCAGCAGGCATTACCAATCTGGACACCGGCTTGACCAACGTGGATAGAAATAACTTCTCTCATGGTACTGTTAAAAGAGTAAGGTTCGGTATATGTAGTTTGTCTTTTATAAGGGTGTTTTAAAAAATTGTTTATTCTAAAGTTAAGGAAGAATAAACAACAAAGAGATTTATGGATAGGGGAAGAAAGAAGAAAAAGAAAAACTTGAGGGGAAGGGACAATCTTTGACGTGCAAGAAAAAGAGAAAAAAAAAAAATTCTCCAGCAGAAGATGTTAATTTAACTAATTTAGTAACCGCACCAATCAACTCGAATAAATCACGATGTACGTTTTCAGGAGCTGAAATCTCAAAAGATACACGGTGCAAATAGAACAAAATAGGAAGGGGATTACTTGACATGTTGAAGGCTGTTCAACACAAGATTCTAAACCAGATTGCAAACTATTGATCTAAATGGCATTCGCTGAAATACATTTCATCGAACGTTGAGAAGTTAGTTCGTTTACACGACGTAGTTTTATGTATTCGTAATGTTGCGATGAAAAGTCAAGTATAATCGTTGTATTTACAATAAGATTCATACTGACAATTCGACAATCATAGTTGTAGTGAATGTTTATTAATAAATATTAATGAAGAGGTATGAACTAATATCATAACAAGGATATAGTAGTCTGCAAGCATAATTTGTGAGAATTTGGTTGTGTTTCGTTGGATGCAAATGCTTCGATGAAAATTGTTTTGATTTAAAGGTTATATGAGGATTGACCGTTCTGCTCATCAAGAGTTATTCACTCTCACTGCTGCTGCTACTACCATCATCATAAGCCGCGAGCAGTGATAACGATCCTGCTGGCGTTATTTTCTTAACTGCTTCTGTACTGCGCTTGTCCTCTTTGGGACTCGTTGTTACTTCAGTTTTGCTCTTTTTCTTCAATGGCAACCCATCTGTTTCGTTCTGCTTTCCTTCATAGGAGTTCTTTCTTGGACTGCATCCTTCACTATCGTCTTCTTGCTTTCTCTTCTTCATGATTACTGCTCCTGCTTTTGTTAAAGTGCTTTTCTTTACTGTTGCCGCTTTAAGACTACTTTTCGCTGCCTTCCCTTTATCATTGATATGCGTTGCCGCTACAGTTGCTGGTAAAATTGCCTGGGCAGGAACCATTATGGAATTTTGAGCTTGGCGAAACTCTTCTAATTCTAGCTGCTCTTTTAACTTTCGTTGACTTTCTATCTTTTCTTTCTCTTCAGCGAGAATTTTAAAGTATTCAGCTTCGTCTTCATCGATGCGTTTGATATGGTTAGCAAAACGACTCTCTTCTGCAAATTTTTCTTCCTTCAACAATTTTTGCTCTTGTAGGCGCTCATATAAAGTGCGTGGGTCATACTCCTCTTGAACAACTAATATTTAGTATAGTATGCATGTAGAAATAGTTGTAGATCTACTATACTACTATATGTAACTAGAGAAATGGGTTGATAGGTATCTTCTAGTTACCTTCACTTTTTGTGCTATTTGTTTTTAGTTGTTTCTCTTCGTCGTTTTCTACAATTGCACCAGTAACGAAATTCAACGACATTTTATGAAACTGATTGCTTGATTGGGAAGTAGATTACCACTTTCAAGTGAGCTTTTCTGTCTTTCCATTTCCCTGAGAATATCAGTCACAAATGACGTAGCAAAACAGAGAACAAAAAACGTCGATTTTCAGATTCCTTTTTGATTTCTAGAAAAAAGCGTGACATAAAGTAAAGAAGACTTTGTAAACTTTTTCACACTCCTTTTCTTTCTCATCAATATCAAAAAAACAAATGCCCAAACTACCTGATGACCTAGAAGACTTTGTAAGCAAGGAGGTTGCTTCTTTGTAAGTTTTTTACAAAGTGATCATTTGACCGTAGAATGTTTCCTAACTAATCTTTGTTTGTCTCCGAAACTTAGGTGCGATGCTGATCCTTCAGTTTTGGCTCAATATATAGTTGCTCTAATTGGCCCAGGGGATATGAATGATGATCTGAGAAATAGCCTTAATGATAAACTAAACGAATTTTTTGATGACCGTAAGTTGGTTTTTTCTTTTCAAAACGGCGTGTATGGAAAAGGAAAGTTCAACCATTTTTTAACTGTTGCCATTCTATTATACAGAAACTCTCCCTTTTATTGACCGTTTATTCACAAAGATCAAGGGATCTACTTCTGAATCAACTACCACAGCATCAGTTACAGAAGCAACTCCATCTTCTTCTATGCACAGCGTTGAGAACGAAAACAAAGAACGTAACCGTTATGACTTGTCAGACGATGAGGACGATGATCGTAACTTCAAACATAGACGTCAGAGAGCTGAAACTGCATCTACCACGCCTCCCAGAGACAACCGCAGCTCATATAAACGCCGTTTAGACGATGATAATCGTAATGCTTATTCGAAATATCATCGAACAGACGATAGAAATGATAATCAATTTCACGACAATAGATATAACAGAGGAGGCAATAGAGGTATGAGAGGACGTGGTGGTATGGATCGACGTGGGCAAAACAGGCCTCAATGTAGAGATTACAATGGTAAGACTGTCAAATTGCCCTTTTAAACTGTGATTTTTTCAAGTATTTCCGCTGTGGAATGTTTCCTAATTGTCATTTTTATCTATTGATAGAGAAAGGATTTTGTATGAGAGGAGATATGTGTCCTTATGATCACGGTTCAGATAGAATAATTGTCAATGACGGTACTAGAGGTTTCTCCTCCCCTAGCGGGCCCACTCCAGCTATGGGTCGTCCACCTCAGCCTCCCCCTTTCTTCGGTATGCCTGGTTTGGCAACAGATGCTTATGATCCCGAACGGTCTGGCATCTTACCTCCAGCAGCAAACAATATCGGAGGATTTATACCTCCTGCTGGTTTGATACCCACACAGGAAATGTTTAAGAATATGATGATGATGAACAATATGCGCGGCGGTGGCGCTGGCGGCAGAGGCAGTGGACGTGGAGGAGGGCCAAATCGCGGTAACCGCGGCGGATATTCATCTCGACATCATCCATATCAACACAATGCGTCAAACTCTAACAACAATACGCTGACGGTTGAAAAGATTCCTGTCGAAAATTGTCAAATTTCCACCGTCAACGACTTTTTCGCTAAATTCGGTACAATTACAAACATCAGTGTTCAACCAAATCTTCAAAAAGCTACTATTCAATTCAGTACACATGCTGAAGCACAGAGAGCTTATAGTTCACCAGATCCTATTTTTGATAATCGTTTTGTAAAAGTGTATTGGGCTAAAGAGGATCCAGCTGCAGCACCTGCCTCGCCTGCTAATGCTACTTCTGCTGTACAACAGCAACAATCGACAATAACACAGTCTAAAGCAGTAAATGAACCTGATCCTGAACTAGTAGCTGCTCGTGCCGCTGAATTGGCCAAAGCGAGAGAAGAACAACAAAAGAGTAAACAAGAACATATTAAACAGATTTTAGAAGTTCAAAAAAAACGGGAAGCTCAATTACAGCAACAAATTGACGAGCAAAAAAAATTGTTAGAGAAACTCTCAAACAATAGCAGCAACATGACACAGGCTGAAAAAGCAGATTTGCTGGGTCAATTGAAAAAAATTCAGGGAGATATTGATCTTTCCAGAACAGCAGTTGCAAAAGGCAATACTGTACAACAGAATGCTGTTGCTACTGACACCACAGCTGATGTTGCGACAGAAGAAGGAGCAGCTGGCAAAGTATTAACTGAAGATTTAAAAAAGGAACTTGCTCGTCTGGAGGCAGAGGTAATAGCAAAGACTTTTTCACTTGGAAATTGATATGAATAAGGGACTAATGCAGGCTATTGGATCCAATGTTTGTCAGGCTGCACAACTTGGCATTCAGACGCCAGGCTTCCGAGGTGGTCGTGGAGGTTATTATGGTAGAGGGGGACGAGGTGGTGGCTGGCCACGTATGAGAGGCGGTTTTACAAGAATGACATTAGATAACCGGCCTAAAAAGTTTGTTGTAAAGGCTATACCAGCAGAGGCTACTGAAACTGATCTACGTCAACACTTCGAGGTATAAATGGAGTTGTATAACTTTGAACGTGCATTAAAGAAGAAGGATTTTTAACTTTTTTCTCTTTCCATCTCGCTAGCAATTCGGCAACGTTACAGCGTTTGATAAGAAGGACTCAGAATTGTATGTTCAATACAGTCAACGATTTGAGGCTGAAAAAGCTATGGCAATGGGTCAAAATTTTCCAAAGGGTGCATTGCAATTCGAATGGGTTACAAACGAGGCAGATCCCAGCACTAATCATGCTTCAGTATCCATTGACAGCAGCCCTGCTACTAGCAACAGTACAACTGAACCCCCGTCTTCCAAATAAATTTCCTTCTTCTCATAGAAGAATTTAATGTACTGTACATAATATTGAAGGAAGAGAAAAGAAAAGGATGTCATTGTTTTATTTTTTATATTATCCCCATTTGTATTTCCTTGGTATTATCATTTACATTTTATGTTGCATATAAATTATAAAGACGATGGTTTTCCGTTTGTTCTCGTATATAATAAATGATCGTATTATTGTTTGCCTAAATTTCATGGATTTTAGGCTGCAAACTCAAGTACTTCTTTTGGATGGAGAAATGCAAGCCAATCTGAAGCTGTGTTTGGTAATAATCCCATTGCATTCACTTTATAAATGCCCATAAGAATAGTAACTAGATGAAGGCCTATAAACGTTAGTTTAGGAGTCAATAAATCAGCACCTGGCAGTGTCTTGGCTTTTCCTGTTGATTCAAAACGACTAAAGGCTATTTTTGCCATGGTGTTAGCAATATCAGAATTCTAATGCTCCTCGTATTACCCTGTTGTCTTTTTCATAAAATATTTACTCTCTTGAACAGACATGATAGCCTTGATGGGTTGGAAGAAAAGCATGGCTGTCACCATGACTGTGAAAATTTGCAGACTTGTTCCCGACATATAAATCATGATAGCGTTCATAGGTATACTTTTAGCTGGACCCATAGCGACATCCCAAGCTCTCTAAAGAAATGTACAACCGATTTGTGAATGCTAAGTCCTGTATCAATTATTGTAGTTTTGTAGGAATGTATGTCAACCTTCACTTTAAGAGTTACTTGAAGTTCATCGCGATTGGCTTGGCTAAGCTGACGGTATGTTCTCTATAATAGTGTTGTTGAATATCTCCACAATAGAATTGATAGCCATATATCATTCTCTGTTGATGTATGCATTACCTCATTCTTATCAAATTTTGATAATGCAGAAGGCTCAAAACCTATAGGGTTATCAACTTTACAACTAAGCGTAATGATGCATTCGAAAGTCAACATTAAAGTTGAGTGATCTCTGCGTTCAAGTACTAGTAGTTATAGTTGTGTTTTAAGCTGCGCTACACTAACCTGTTAGATGCGTTAAGTGAACTAAAATCTACAGACCATTTAGACATCGTTTCTAGGACTGATTCGTAGGGGAAAAGCCGCTTCGTTAATATAAAGTACGAACATATCTCTTTTGAGGATAATGCTTTTGATGTTAATTTGCGGTGACTGTTTCGTTCGCTTGAATGAATAGCACAATTAAGTCCTTTGAGCAAAACAGTGCAGGACTTCTACTGTTCAAATAATATAACAAACATTCTTCATAACTTTTCGTATGCCATTAATTGTTTTAGGTATAAATTGTCTTGACCTATACTCTGTTTTCTGAGCAGCATAGCAGAATATCCATTTAGGAATTTTATTCGTTTTGAAACACAAATTAGCGGGCTAAGTTATGAGCAACATGCTCCCTATTCTGGAAAATACAATGGCATTTAAACACATATTCTAGATATTCTACTTTCATATATAGAAACCATGTCTTGTCAACATTACATAAATACATTATACGACAAAGTGTACTATTTATTATTAATAGTTATTATAAGTATTGTAAAAAGTAGTAGTAGGTGTTAGATTAACATAAATTAAATTAGTAATGCGTTTTTATGGTACAGTGTACTAGCGGTAAAACGATAGTGTAGCTCTATATCTAATAGAAACCTTGGGCATATGCAAGACCCACAATGGCAAGAGCAATACCATAGAAAATACAGCAATAGACAAGTCTAAGGTAACGATGCTCATAGCCAGCTTCGACAAAGAAATAGACAATAGCAAATGCAACGAAAATCCAAGCAAGGATCATTACTGCACGTGTAGAAGCACGAGCGAATGTGTTAATACACAAGGCAGAAAGTAGCATTAGTACCAAATCCCGAAGTAAATCATGAGCACGGTTGAGCCGATTGAAAGCGTTTTGAGTCCAAGAGGGAGCTGTAGCGTATTTTGTATGACCAGTGGTTGTAGTGGTTCCAGCAGTGCCACCAATTTCGGGATCGGTAACGGCGCCAGTACGGTTAGGATCATTTGTTAGAGTAGGGTCTACAGTACCAGTTGTTGTGGTGGTAGTGGTTGCCACAGGAGCTATTGTGCTTTTATCTCCACCAAAAGCATTACGAACCCACCATGCAAGACCCCATAATACAAAAAGGGTCATAAAGGCGATCCAGGTAACACGAACATGCCAATCAGTCAAATACAGTTGAATGGGCAAAATGTCTTGCACAATCTTCATTTCTTCTTTTTGCTCCATATTAGTTTTTTATCTTTCTTATTTTTCTGTGAGATAGAAAGTAGTATTTCTATTTGACACAATTTTCTTGCGACTTTTATATCTTCCTGCAAACCCTTACCTAAAGCGCGTGAATACAGCAGCTAAGACAATTTTTTGTTTTCCCACTAAGTAAAACATTATGAAAATTTTATGCAAGCCTTTTCTATTGTTCATAATGGTAATAGATTACAATTGATGTTATCATCATCATTAAGTATTGAGACAATTTCTAAAACGTTTGACCAAACAACTGGAAAACATTGTTATGTCATTTATGATGCACTTCACTTTCCTGTTCTGGACAATTGATTTTGGTTGGTTTTTTTTTGGTTTTTTTTTTTTTGGTTTGTATAGAAAAGTTATAGATTTTTGATCGCTGGAACAAACAGATCTACGACCAAAAAGAATGGTGTAACTTCTGTCGGGAAATTTATTAATTGCATTCGTTTAATGGTAAGGGAAAAGAGCTCTATTGCTTGGAACAGAGATATTACAATCATTCTTTAAAGACCAGCAAATTATAGTTTAAGGATCACTTGTTTCTTCATAAGCTGTTTTCATTATAAGAAGTTGCTGCTGTGAGTCTATCTAATTCTTTTCTACTAATTAATTCACGAATACCGCGTAGAGCGCGTAAAACTATCAGTGCACCCTCTTTTGAACATACTTGATTATGTTCAGAACAAACAGACAAATGAATACCTAGAAGGCAACAAGGGATGCACATGAATTTGTCAATAGTTATAATAATCTAACTTTTGTACAAAAATTTCTGACTTACATAAGGGGCAGCCTGATTCGCAGACACATTCTTCAATTTGTCTTATAGAAATGTCAACCAAATTGTCAAAAAATTTGAATGCTTGTCCTACTACACCATTGGGTTGCGTCTCATACAGAGCAATACGAGCCGGTCTTTGACGTGTAGCATGAGGATTCTTGCATTCTGTGCGAAGATCAACAATAACTGAATAAGCAAATTTAGGTAGCAGTGATATCAAACAATGTGCTAAAAAAAAAGAAAATTTCCAATGAACTACAATTAGAACTGGTAACTAAATTTTTCGCTCAGTCCTACGTGGTTGTGTGTGAGCCTTACAAGCTGCATGAATAGCTGCCATAGGGTCTATACCCAGTTGATCCAGCTTATCTAAAGCTACTGCTGGCGCGTCTGCCCAAACACCATTTGATTCTACAAGGATAGGGTCCATATAAACTTCGTGTGTATCCATAATACGTCGACGTTTATCGATTCTATAATACCCAAACACAACCGTAGATACTATAACATAGTTTAATATGTCAAATCTGAGACTACGCTTTTTAAGAAAACCATATACCTCGCACTTTCCCAAGGCACACAACATTTTTTGTATCAGACACTTTCTTCGTCGAATTTGTGCTTATTGGATCCACATTTGTGTAATCCCTTTGAATTGTTGTCCAATCTACATTGGTTAAATGAACCTTAGAGTACTTTTTGTCGATATTACATTCTTCGACAAGATAAGATCGTCCTTGATGAATAAAGATGGCACCCTCATATACTTCAAACCCGACTCTGTGAACCTCAATCTCTTCCAGTATGATATTTCGATTTTCAGTAACGTCAATGACAGCAAATGTCTCCTCATTGATATTCCGTATGTTGACGAATTTTGATGGATATGGTCGATATTTTGGGTCTGGTCTATACAGCTAGAATTAATTTTTGGTAAAAAGGGTAAGCAAGTATGCGTTTGCTTTAGCTTTCAAATAGTAGCTATGTTTACGTAATCGCCAATTTTTGTAAGATGTTCGTCACAAATAGCCGGTAAACTGGTGCCAAAATATTCTTGATCTATCATTGCATGAACAGGTTCTTCCTCTGCAGCGCATTGTATATGGCTTTCAATCACTATCGAGTTTTCCAAATTTACTGTTAAGCTTTCAGGCTCCTTCTTAAATAGTTCATTTGGGTGACGCTGAGTGTTATTAAAAATTATTTGTCAGTGCAAATGCTTTAATTAGATGTATATGAGCAAACTTACAGCATAATATTGGTCTAATGGGTTTCCATCGCAAACTATCAAGGATAGGGAATCAGCATTGCGGCGACCAGACCGACCTGATTGTTGCCACTAGTTTGACAGAATTATATCGCTCAATATTATATACACGCAACTTTCATGTATCTTGTTTATTTTGTGAATAAACTTACTAAAGCAGAAATGGTCCACGGTACACCGATCATTAGAACGGCATCTAACGACCCAATATCTATACCCAATTCTAACGCATTAGTTGCGATAATGCCTAGTAACTGTCCATTGAACATTTGACTTTCGATCTTTCGCCTAGCATCAGGTGTATAACCACCGCGGTAACTCATAACCTTGTCTAATATATCCCGTCTTTGTTTTTGCTCTAACTTTTCTCTCAATTCTTTCATTAGAAGTTCACAAGTCTTTCGTACTTTACAGAAAGCTATGGTACGTATCTTATTGACTAATAGGTACTCAAGTAGGTTGGCTCCTTCGGCAACAGCTCCTCTTCGCTCGGAAAGTTCGTCCGTTGGTGTGGATAAAGCTGGATTCCAGATGACAAATTTTTTTTTCCCATGTGGTGCACCATCTACATTAATTAACTTTACATTTTCGATACCAAAAATTGTTTTCATATGCTTTCATAGATAGTCAGTATAAGCTTGTTCAAAATGCTGAGATGGGTGATAATGAAGTTACCTCGTCCGGGGTAGCTATAGTAGCACTACATGATATAAATTGAACATTATCATTCCCACTAACATGGCAAAGTCTTCTTAAGCGGCGCATAATTAAGGCGACGTGAGTACCGAACAAACCATTGTAAGTATGCAATTCTTGCGAGGAGAATGAAGAAAGAAGTGATCAGAAGAATTCCAAAGTGTATTAATGAGCGTAAATTGGTAAACCTACCATCAACAACAACATATTTTAATTTCGAGAGAAAATGCCTCCAAGATTTCATACTGGGCAAAATCGAATGATGAAGCATATCAGGATTCGTGAAGATGATACTAGAGTTTTGCCTTATGTATGGACGCTGATCTGATGGCGTATCACCATCAAACGTTGAGATCTAGTACAGGATAGGCCTTATAGCAACGATATCTTTTATCATTTAACTTAAACTATTTCTATTACCATGATATGAGATAATTTGGATATCCTTCGTATAATATCTTGAAGGGCACGCATTTGATCTTGTGCCAAAGCCTTAGTTGGAAATATATACATTGCCTTGCTCTCAATATTTTTTAGTAAGGCCTCTAATACAGGAATTTGGTAAATCAAAGATTTGCCACTAAAGCATGAGAGTTCGTTAGGAAAAAAGATAAATGCCATATTTGTAAAATTTTGTTTTCTTACCTTGCGGTTGGTGTAGATACAATGACATGTTTCCCTTCATATAGACCATTCAATGCATCTGCCTGATGCACATACAGATGATTGATGTTATTTTCAGTAAGAGCCGATTTTATTTCCTCTGACAAATGTATATCACCGTAAACCGGCTCTTCAGCTGGAAATGTTCTCTGATTATCATCAGACTCAAGTTGACCACCATAAAAACTCAACTGTTTTAACCCTGCTATAACTTCAGACATGGTTTTGGTGCCTTCATTTTCATATGGCACATTGATATCATTTTGCTCAGTGACGATATCGTGGTTTCTTAGGAGAGCAGGTATATTTTTCTGTAATTCTGCCGTTAAGTAATCTTCAATTTTAACGTTCTGATATACGGTTAATAACACATTTATCATCGATCAATTTCAAGTAACTTAATAGGTAGCATAAATTCATCATTCATTACCTTCTCCTCGCATTGTTTTATAAAATTTTCAAGAGACTTCACAAATAAATTGTTTTGGTCTTCTATCAACTTTTTAACCTTATCAGGCTTGGTAGCTTGAAATATGTCTTCTTTATTGTTTCCTTTTTTAGCAAATCCATACTTTAACCACTCATCTCCTCGATTACCCAAAGCCTGTGCATGTTTTTGCTTTGAGAATCGTTTATTTGCTCGTCGACCAAATTCAATTTCGATTGTTTGCTCAGTCAACGGGTGAAACTTCACAAAGTTAGGGATAATAACATTAATCGCAGCAAGATCTTCTAATGTCAGCTGAGGTACCGCTTTTTGTAGGTTCTGAATGGTCATGGAAGTTGTCAACCGTGCATCGCAGAAGGCGCAGAATAAGTTTAGCCTTTCAAACTTCTCTTTTAATTGCTGAAGAACGTCTGGCAAAGGCACCGAAAGTTTCTGCCTTTTGTTTTGCCTGGTACTGCTATTCTTTGTTGGTTTCTTTGACATCAGCGATCGATCGAATTCACAAAAATTGAAAGAGTAAATCAAAAAAGCAATTTTATGCAAATTTCTGCAGATAAAATGATGTAACAGTTTTATTGGTTGTTTAGCTCTAAGTTACGTGATGTTTTCTTCATACAGTGGATAGAGCACTGTTCTGTTCCTTGAGGAGAATTCATATCTGTTTGGTATCATAATTGTCTTACTGTACTAGTTCAAAGATCTTCTGCAACTGCGCTTTCCACGGTCTGTATGACATACTTCATCAGAAACCGTAAACAATCTATTGAAGCTGTAAGCAGGAACTTACTTTATTTTTCTTCTTCTTTTTTTTACGGTGGTCACTATGACCATCCTCCTCATATTCATGACCATGCTTTCTCTTCTTCTTCTAACAATAGGTGAATTTGATATAGCTAACTTAAAAGCTAGGTACTGATATTTGTGAATCTAAATACCTTTTTCTTGTGTTTCCTCTCACCATTGTGGTCCAATTCTTTAAACCAAAATCAATATTTAAATTGTATACTTTAAAAGAGAAGTTTCGAAACACTAACCATATAAATCTTTGTCTAAACCTCCAACAGTCTGTCCCGAATAATCGTCAGTATCTGCTTCGTCACTACCAAAGATTGAAGCATCAAACTAAAATACATCTCAAATAATTATTCTAGGTAAAGTCTCTCATTTTCATTTTCACTTGGACACATACGCCTGGGATGGGGCCTTCTTTTAAGGAAAATGCGCGTCGTAAGCTGTCTGCATCAAGCGGTCGAATCTCTGGTCCTGTCTCAACTGCTTGCGGATCTCGCAAAATCTTGAGCAAATATCCGTCATATTCTGTATCCAACTTGCCTATTGAAGCCAAAGAATATGTCGCGTCAGATGCTTCGCTAGTTTGTAATCCAATTCAAAGCTTCATATTACTTTATGACATACCAGGCAACTTTGCAAAGTACGGCATTAACGTTGGGTCGATTCCTCCTTCTCTGTCTGCTGATGAAAAAGGCTTAACATACTTTTCGTAGATAGGCAATAAATTATAATATGCTAAGAGATCTCTATTGCCGGTTAAAACTGCAGCTTTTTTCATTTCAGCTGGAACAGTATCAATGTTCGGCTAAAGGAAGCATACAAAGACTATGAAAGAAACAAAAAATAAGCGGAATGGACATTAAGAAAATCCTGAAGCGACCGGAACAGCCGAACAGCCACGCAATTAATTCTTGGCAGTATTAAGTAGGTGCGGTGTTATTTTGCAGAATGTAAGTGTGTCGATGAGTAATTCTCAATAATCAGTCTATTGTAACTGAATGCTGTATAGATAAACTCTTTTTTCTGAGTATGCGCGAACAGATAAATTTGCATGCCTGCCTTGAATTCAATGGAATACCGCATATCTTGGATTTTGGAAAATCAATTTCAAATATTAAATAAACATTGTAAATAGTTCAAGACCTTTAATTCATAAAAAACATGCAAAGAAATCCGGATCTACTGCCTTAACCCAATTATGGTACACTGGAACAAGTAAGATTCGGGCAACACTTTAACCTTACAGTTATTTAGATTTATCGCAGTGGCGTTGTACAATTCATTGACAGGAACTCGGTTGTCCCTACTACTTTCTTAATTCAAGTATACGCTCAGTTCTACCTCGCATTCGTTTAAAAGATCATATAATTTATAAACTACAAAATAATTCAAGTTGAGAAGTCTTGTTCGGTCTCGCTGATTCACTTAGTCACCTCTTTTAGCTAAGCAAATAATTATTTCTGATATTTAAAGACATCACATATTCAACCCTCCTATATCTAAGAGACACTTTGGTACGGAGTCGTGAATCCTGAATCCTCAATTCAATCTTCAATAGAGATACTGTATTACAGATCATGTCAAAAAGTACTAGACTGATTTTGGATATATGATTTATTAAACATGACATTACTACAGCCTTGACGCTTGCCTATGTAAATCTCATTTAGTACAGAGATTATAGTGGACTAAGTTAAATAGCGAGGCTGTAATAGAGATTTCTGATTGCCTTTACTCTAAGTTAGCATTTGGATCTCTTTTATATCATTTGGAATGAATAAATTGTTCGGAGAAGGTACGTGTCTATGACCTTGATGAGTAGTGTGAGGAGATTAGGAAAATACACATAGTCTGTTTGAGTGAATTATTGTGTATATTTGGCCTTAGTGATTATTAAAAACCACACATCTTATCCGAACAAACCAACAATTTTTTACTACTGTAGCGAAATATTTAGTCATAAAAACGCATTGAATGGATGTCTGTGTATTGTAAAGGGTGTGGTATTTGCTAGTTTTAACTATAAGATAAAGGTAAAGAATAACACAAGAGAAAATAAACACGTAAGCTTAACGAAATCAAACCACCGTCTTTATTTCTCTTTCCCAAAACAAACTAAAGAAAAAGAAAAGAAATCTAAGATTACTGCTATTAATAAAGACTTATTGTGTTTGCTGTCTACAAAATGATTGTATCGGGATCTATAGCTGACACTGATGTGTTATGGTCAGATAATACTCAGTGAATCAGAGGTTTGCGTAAAAGAATAGGTCTTCCCTTTGAATGGATAATTACTCGTCCATCCCAGAGCGGATTGATTTGTAATGTGCTATCCTGGCAGATCCAGAGTGATCATGCAGCTATATCTATAATCCAATTTCTATCGGCCACCAGTGGTGTAGCTCAGATACTGTGGGAATGATTATAGATGTTAGCTAGGAAGAGATATTCGTGCGTGGTGTTCTTTTGATTGCGTGAACAGTTGTTGTATTAATAAAGAGTGATTGAGCCTTTTTATCTCTAACCATACTTTATTTCCAGAGCAGGGAGCAGTACCGAGACCTACTATGTTCTGGTTGTTGGATCAATATATCCTACGAGTACATATATCAATCCTGCTATATACCTAAGCGTCATATAGCCATAGATAAACCAAGTAAAATATATTTCATAAAGATAACCTGTTCAGATCTTATGTGAGGTAGCTAATCTCACATAGGAATTATCCTTAATCCATATTCTTTTCTTATTTTATCTTTATTTGTCACAGTATACATTTGATCTAAGGTTCAAATGTCTTCAATCGAACACACCGCTTACCAAACGGGAACAAAGATTTGAGCAATAATCATATCTGAGATCAAGTTTTATTTTACATTTCGTTAGAGTTTTTGAATGATTTACTCATATAATATATTGCCATCGTGCCTCAAATACGACAAAGGGTAGAAATCAAGTAAAGTAATTTTGATAGCTAACGTGTTTGATGAGATAACAACTACAATACTCGAGGACGTACAACCAAGTAGAGAATACATCCCATCACGGTCTATCTATACTGTATCCAATACAGGTTATGTACAGCACAACATATAATGAGATGCAGGTCCAAGTATAATAATCACACATCGAGCATCTGAAACTGAAATTATGATTAGCATACGCGTCCTCAAAGAATATAATTCCATTAGACTTTATAAAGCAAAATAACCTCTCTACGCCAACTGAAGAATAATAAAAACACTTCAATTTTGACTAGCTCAAATACAGTTATCTGAAGCGGAAAGTGTTTACAAGAGCAAGTTATATCGTTATAGTTGAAATTAATGTTTATTACGGGTATGTTTCTTTGAATCAAAGAATGTAACAAATAATATGTTTTATAGTCAATGTTATAAGGAAATGATCTAAGAGATGTATTCCTGTAAAATGTGAACAGATCGCTGTCAATATTCCGAAGGAAACGAGTGCGATGAGTATGTCTTTTAAGTGAATATGGTAGATAAGGATGAGACATTAAATGTAAGTAAGTTAACACTTTAAGAATAGGGAAGAGTATAAGTTTATAGAACAAAAGATAATAGAGAGAAGTCTTCTTGATTTCTTCAGAAAGGTGAACATATTTATACTAATTTTTCAAAACTCATTTACTTTTGATTGGCTGTTGTATTTGAGAATCTTACAATCATGTGACGGAGTTCTAATTATTTCCACGACAATTATTTACGATCACATCGAAAATGTTATGTATATAACTTAAAAAGGAACTCAAGAGTCCAGGTTCAACTTAATAGTAAGTATTGTAAATGTGGAGAAGGGCACTGTTTATTCTTTCGATCAATATGACATTTAAATACAGTTCACTATTCTACATTTAATTCCCGCTTCACAACCTGATCTCTCCACTGAGCAATTATGAGTTCCAACCCTCTAACCTATCATATTCTTTTCTGAGTTCGAATTTTATCTTCCGAACCATCCTTTAGCTAAACCATATCAAAAAATATCAAGCCTTCTTGGCTCAGTTGGCAGAGCGTCTGCCTAGTAAGCAGAAGGTCGGCGGTTCGATTCCGCCAGAAGGCATTTCATTTTTTTAATTTTTTAATCATTTTCGTGATACGTTTCGAGAACTCTTGTGAATTATGGCTATTTGCAGCTATGGTTACAACTGGCTCTCTGATGTTCTACGATCTCCAGATAATGTCTGGCATGTTCTCCTCCAGTTGAAGCTTCCAACAGATACATACACTGAGAATTACACCTTAGAATTAGTTGGTAATATTTTGGAAACCCTTTGGCAATACCATTGGTATGTAACCATCAACAATGAAGCCTGGTCCACAGCGAATACATTACAGAGACTCCAATCCTCTGGAACTTTAAGTATCACGTTACAGAATGTTGAAAACGTGTCCCCACCAGACATTACTTAAACACTGTGATGAGTACTGTTCATAATGTGCCGCCCATGTGCCTCTTTTAGCCCCCCTTCTTCTCCTCTTATACCATTTGTCTTCAACTTTACTTTCATTTTCTGTCTTTCTGTTCAAATAAATCGCACATGAATTTAAACAAAAAAAAAAAAAAAAGTTACAACTGGGAGCCTTTCTTTCGTCTATTCAGTACATTTATTGAACTGTCCAATCAGATTGCAGCATTTACAACCAACAACTACATTTCTACATTCAAGATCTCTAGTCATCGATCAACCCATGACGATCGAATTACAAACCAAGCATGGGACTAAATAACTGGTCAACCATCGTGGCCAAAGGTTTAAAAACCAAAGTACCCCTTCCTCGAAGTCAGTTTGATATTTCAGGAAAAAAAGACTTGTACACTGTCGAAACTATTTTCGAAGAAGCTGAGGTCGCTGAATACATCCGTTCTCAGCGTATACAATCCATTGTACAGACCGCTCTCATGCCCGGAGCTGTTATATTTAACTTACCTAGCAGATTGTTTGAACATCAATCTGAAGCTTTTAAATTAGTAATTGATCAGATTGGACCGGTCGTGGGCAATTACTTTAACCTTGTATCGCTCCGTGGCAACCGTACACGCGGGGATTTGGTTTTCTATACCCGTTTTAGAGACGCTCAATGTACTCGTGTCGCCTTAGAGGAGGGTATAACGCACAACGAGTGTTCTTATCTTACCTCAAATCATCATCTCTTTCTTTGGATGTCTTATGTTTACAGGAAGTTTCCGCCTTCCACCTACAAGATCATCTCACGCAACAACAAAACAGCTACTTTCAATCTTATCTTTTTCCCAACTGCTCCGTATTATTCACTAAATATTCTGCCATTATATGCTTAAACAAAAACCTCACACTTCAAGATGCTACCGTTTCATTGATGAGCGGTGCATACGTGCATCAGTATATAATCAAACTCTACAACAAGTAGAATGCTCTATTACCAACATCTACGGCCCTGCACAATCCACCAACAGACTACCTTTTTTAGAACAATTTATGTCCTCACCATTCGCGTCTACGGGTCATGCAGGGTCACCTTCCATAATACTGGGAGATCTTAATTTAAATCTGTTGACGCTCGATGAGACCTGTGACGACCCTCGTTTTGTCTCCTGGCATCAATGGCTTTTAGAACATTTCGACAATTGCTTTTTGGCCGGTCAAACTACGTTTCACCGAGGCTCTCAAACCTCCACCATCGACTATATTTTTTGTAGCAAAAACTATCAGCCTCGAATATCCAACTGCCAACAGACATATTTACCCGCTTCATGGACAGACCACCAATTACTACAAATTGATCTACTTCCGGAAAGGCATGATATTGGCCCCGGATTTTGGCGCTTTAACACTTCTCTACTGCAAAATGATACTTTCGTAGC